TAGGCGTGTCGTTCACGATGCGAACCAATCTCAGACCTGTGAAGGAGAAGCAACTACGGAGCTTTCCACTCTTAACACTCTTACCTCTAATCTACTCTGTGCATGGGATTAATTGACTATTTCCAAGGTTCCGACAGAAAAGAGGAAACACAAAGCTCTGCCGCTTTCCCCTTGTCTCATATCTCCATATTCTATCCAGGAGAGGACTAGTTAAAAAGACATATCTGAGGCCAAACTCATTCGGGAAGCCGGCCGCGGGTGGAGTTTATCCGCGATTGACTAAATGACCCCTATTCGACACAATGCGCTTCGACCTCTGACAGCCCCGTGCGAAAGAGAAAAGTGAAAAAAGGAAATTAACAAAAACGGAATATCCAGTTCAATTGAGCACAGGTATTCCGGGGGATTCTCGCTCAGCCTTTCGTCAGCCAAGACCGGGCAACAGTGCACGATCATGGGATTTCCGCGCCGCCTAGGTCACTCATTATGTACTTTGGAACATGCATAAAAGTTGGGGATGTTCTGGAAAAATTCGAAAAGTCGGTCCTTCGGTCTTTGTGCAGTAGTGGAGAGCTATCTCCATCGAATATGGAAAAATGGCTCGAAGTGGGTTATCGACACGCCGAGAATAAGAGAATTCCTGTTCATAGGTTTTTTGTCTTTCCCCCCACGCGACCTGTGGATCATCTCGTACCTTGTACTGTAGGTTATGTTAACTTATGCCACTTCTATATTGAACAATATCACGGATATGTAAAACACAGGCGATTCGAATCAATTACTTGTTTATGAAATTGCGTAGAAAAGCGATAATATACCTCACGTCGGGAGTTCACGGTGTGTGTCCTTATGTGGCTGCGATTTGGGGGGTTTGCGAACCGACGCGGTCTCACGATCTCACATCGGAAGCTACACACAAAAGAACCAAGATAGCAAAGGTACAACGATGTATACAACGTTCCGTCGCACACTACATCCATGGTGCTAAATCTATAGACCCTGCCGACTCACCCGTCTCTCGTCGGTCGGGCATGGCCATGTCCCACTACACGGGAAGGGCATTACACACTGAGCACGGAGATCCGACGCTCCTCGCAGGGCGCCACGATGATGCTGTCTGGGCTGTCGCGGTTGATCGGCTAATCCGGGGAAACGCCTGCAGGATCACTGTTCACCTCACTGGCGACGGGCACGGGCTTATCCGATCGAATATGTGCGCCCTGCGTCATGCACCAAAATGCCTCGTTTCTGGTGCGGAATCTGTGATTGCCACGTCGGGAGGAACGGCAAAACTAGTTGCGGAAGTTTGAGGCTGATTGCCACACAAAGGACGGTGAGCGACGGTGAGGCCGTATGAAGTATACTCCGTCGAGATCAGAAATGCTGCGTGCAGAGTACACAGGAGGCTGGGAGAATCCGGCGCCGAATCAGTGTTTTGGCATTTTCTCGGAGTGGGGCCAGGGTGTTCGGTGCGTGTCTTTACAGATTTAGGGTGTTCTGGACGTCTTCTAGAAGCATTCTGTCGACGTGACGGGTTCCATGGGTGTGATGCAGCTTACTGCGTAACGGGAATAGGGTTTTCTTTTTTTTCCCTGGTTCCCTCCTTTTTCTGATTCAACCGACGGAAGTCGGCATTCAATTCGAATCGTCTTGAAATTATATTTGATAAGAATAATGATTCACGTCATCGCTCTTATCATGCCGCTGCCGCTTTCGCTTTCGCTAACGTTATCTAACCCCTTCATTTACCAACCAACGATAATTACACATTTACACGCAAGATACACAAATACAACAACGCACTGTAACTCAAATCCGAATGGCCCATTCGGGCAAAGCCCGAGCACCGAGGTCTTCCTCCACCAATCACAGTGCCTATAATCAGCTGAGTCAGGTCAATACCGTACGGAACTCAATTTGAACAACCCCATTTCGATTCGGGAGGACATTGCCGTTATAACCCTAATCGCACTTTGACTCTCTACCAACAAGCCAGGATGTCATCGCAAGAAGTGATGATAATGTACGCGACCTGATCTTAGGCGCCTCCCCAAAATCCATAATCCCAAATTCCAAATTCCCACTCCCAGATCCCAAATCCACATTAATACCAACAGTCCCTACTTACTGGCCAGTTCCAAGACCCAATCTCCTAGCCCGTTCTTGGCTTCTCGCCTCGCAGCCGTGTACCTACAGTAGCGCACTTAGTGCGATGGAGCAGAGCTGTCTCCTCCTGCAATCAGATTGCGCCAAATGCGTTTAAAAGAGCTCCCCCCTCATCGGAATCTATCTCTCACCGGTGGGCCAGAGGAGAAATCGTGGGGGCCCACTGGATGATCGCCCTGCCAGAATTGTTGCTTACCTTACCGCTACCGCACAGGGGACATTCGTACGCACGCTTACCAGGACTAGTTAGCAAGTCCTCCGTACCTTGTCCTTGGCTTTGTACCGGAGTCATTTGCCGATCTGAGATCGTGAGGCATTTTTGCTATGATTCTAGCTTATTTCACCACACCGACTGCATGGCGATGCTAACGTGTCTTGACGCTTTGCGGAAATGCCTGCTTTGTCCGCGGAGTTGGGGAATTTCGTCTGCGCTACTTGCGCCCGGTACGGAGTCCGTCGTAAATGCAACGTGCAGAATTTCCGTCTTTGACAGAGCGTAGCATCTTAATATAACCACGAAAAATAAGAGTGCAACTAACAGCCCAGCGTAGTTCGCCAAGCCATGTCATCAGCGTTATTCCCCCAGAATCTCTCCAGCTGCCCATGGAGAAGAAGCACGCACAGAATCAAATTGCGGGTTAAAGTCAATCCCGCACTGTCACTCTCTCTTCTACTCGTGCATCACATTTGCTTCACCCCAGGCCCAAGTAGGAAAGGTCCCATATGGGACCGGCATGCAGAGCTTTTACTCCGTACTTTCAAAACGACTGCGAAACGAGGAAACTCCTTTTCCCGGGTCTAAATGTAGTTCTTTCCGCAGATTGCAATCTCCAGACTCGTTATGCTTGAAGAATCCAATGACGCCGTAGTTATCTGATGGTCATAGCTTAGATTATCACGGGGGTGTTTGGCTTATTTTCACACACACCCACACACAAAGAAGTCGGGTGTTCGGTCGGTGGCTATTCTGATATCATCACCGACTCCGAAATATCCATAAGTAATTCAATATGGGGTTCGTTCGATCAAGACACACTATCGATCCCCTCTCGGGGCTTGGCTGAGTATCTTCGATGCTCGGCGTCGGGATTGCCGAGTCTCGAGCCCGTCTCGGGCGACGCGGCACGCGGGATCTCGGCACGGTTTTCAACACGTTGCTTCGCTATGGCGTTACTAGGGTTTGCGCACTGCACCTAGGGCTGCGAAAATGGATCGGATTTTGCTGACCTTTCTTTGTTGGTTGGTTGTGGTTCACATTGTGTTTTACCGTCGGCATCCCGGCTAAATTGCATTTTGCCTTTGTTCTTCTTGACGGTGTGGTGGATTACGTCGGACGCCGCGGCATGATAGCGCGGAAATACGCGTAGATGTTCATCAGCCCTATTTGGAATCCTTGCAAAGTGTGTATCTTAACATACTACAGTAACTATTCTTTCAAGTGCTCACGTATTCGTAGTGTATGTCTTGTCCGTGAGATCACTACTGTGTATTCTCTTGGCTGCATGTAAACCCTGACGCCGATCAATATCCAGGAATCGAGTACTGTGTCTCCGTACTCCGTACACCGTACAATACGGACGCGCCCCGCGCACAGCTCCCCGGGCAAAAAAGCAATTGCTGCATAAGACCAGGCTGGACGATTTCCCCGACTCGGTGTTTTATTAGCCGTTGCCCAAAACTGCAACTCCGAGCTCTAAACACTACGGTCGGAGTATGGCCGAGGAGATCTCCGGAGAAGATGCCATGTGGAGGAAGTAGCTCGTGTGACCAAGAACATGTTTCATCGCAGTGTCTCCGAGCGGCGAGCGGTTGATCATGACATCGACATCCTAGTCCATCCATACCCAAAGAAGCAAAGAATAAACACACCCGACCCAACTACTGAAACCCATAACTGTGTCGTATTGCATGGCGCACGCGACTCACGCGATTGCAGAACAACTTTCATCAAGTCTAGGTTCTGTTCTACTGCGTATTTGAAGCTCAAATGGCCGGTGGCCAGCTCAGTCTTCGCCCCGTCTCTCTCCTGGTTGGGCCATGATCGACAGGAGAACAAAAACAAACACCCCCACATTTGCTCGACGCGAACCTCGCAGTGGCAAGTGGACGGTTATCGTGCATAGCTAATTTCGTCTAAGCTTGCTACTGGTTCCTCGTTGGGACCGTTGCACATCATTATTTCACTGCGTGAATTGGCGGGAGTTGAGAGGTCTGATCTTGATTCTCGTTTGAGGATTAGATGTGGTATGTTGTAAGAGATTGTATGTGATCTTGAGTACACAATAGAGCATCTGAGCATTATACAACGCCCTACAATGCCTGGTACATTGGCATACTATGGCTCTACAACATAACGTAGTCAAGTGAAGTAATAGTAACCAAGTTGACCTGTGCATCGACGATCGAGGTAAGTAACCCGAACTCTCCTGCCAAAGCCGTTGCCTTTTCCAATGCACACGCTCCCATGTTGTATCTCCCCCGTACGAACCTTATCTAGATGTGCTGTGTACTGTGTATTACCCTCCCTCTTGGCTGTCTCGAATCCAAACCATGCTACATACAACTGAGCCGCAGATGCACATCGTCAACGACAGGCCGAATCAAACGGTACAGAGTATTCCGTCTCGGACTGGCCGCTGTCACTGCCACTCGGGCAACTGATGATCGGCGGTGTTCACGATACCCGCTTTGAATCCTTGTTTTTCTTTTTTTATCCATTCTCCTGTTCATTATTTTCACGCGGATCAGAGACCATGATGCGAGTGTGACGATAGCTGCTGCAATTGCGCTTCGTCGTTACTATTGTTGGATGCGATATGAGACTGCCTACTAGGCTACGAGATATCTCTCCTCTTCTGCAGATCTACCGCTGCATTTTCCCCTGCGTTGCCGTCGGCAGATGGTGCATAGCCACCGTTAACCTCCCCGATCTGCCTGCCGGTGACGGGTGATATTTCCGGGGATTGGAGTCGAGTTACCTACAAGATACATCTGTTCTAGCGAATAGGGATGGTCGAATTGCCATTTGAATCTTGTATTCCAGATCTTTCAGTACGTATACATACCTCGCGATTGTACGGTGAGCCTATCCCAGGATACCTTGTCCGGTATGCCAAGACCACGACAGGGATGAATTCGTGGGGGATGCTCATGATCGCCATGCTGCCTGGTGTGCGGAGGTGCTATTGTCTATAGATAGCGACTCTGGGGTGTGAGTGGATGGAAACGCAGTGAGACGATGGGATTAAACTTCATGAGCACGATAGACAGGCAAAAGCCAAGATGGGGGTGATTCAGTTGAAAGGACGATAGTGGAAAATTATTCAACTATTTTCTTGGCTAGGCGGAGTAGGCATTGCTGAAATATGAGGATCTGAGGTCAGAAATGGAGGTATCTTGGCTATGATCGACCGGGGGCTTTGTCTTATCTCTAACTAGGCATGCTGATACTTCGTGCATCTTGGTATAGACTTTAGACTTCTTGATCAAATCCGATTTACCCCATTGGGAGGTGTATATACTTCACCTTACTGCGTGTTTCAGAGGGAGATCAGCACAACATGAGCCAAGCCCTCACACAGCTACCCCATCTCCCCCCCTGTCTCCTTCAACTCCCGCCCAGCATTTCCCCAAATTCAAAGCTCTTAGCATTGTCTCTTTAGATAAAGTCATTCAATGTTGTCAACCTTATATCCCATCTTTATCTCCTTACCCCTCTCAACCCCTCTCCCATCCCCCTTGATCTGCTGATCGCCCTGCATCTCTACCTGTCCACCACCGCCAAGCCACACCGTGCATCCCTTTCTCCCGCATTATCGTCTTGGCACGCATTCGACCTCTGACCAGCCCCTTTTTCTTTGTCCCTGATCACCCTCGGTGACGTCGGGCGGAGTGGAGAGGAGAGGGACAGGCGCAAGGGTTGGCTGCTGATAATGCTTGTTGGACTTGCATCTTGGCGGGGGCAGTGTGCATGCTTCTGGCTTATGTGTCCCGTCTATCCACGCTGCTATCAGACCTGGCTGCTGTGAGTGCAAGCCGCGGTCAGCGTGGTTTTGGATCGGATGCAGAGACACTGAGGCTTGGGCTTCGTGACAGCGTTGGGTTGCTAAGGGGTTTTGTCCGGCTTAGCGACGGATTGTCCGGCGGTTGTTGTGGACTCGGTAGATATTTATCGCCGAGGAAGCTTGGCTGTGTGACGATGGAGGTAGGAAAGGATTCGTCTGCTGACCGGTGTCGGGCGTCTCTGTTACAGTGTAGTCGCTGGCCGGATAGTTACACGGGGTTCTGTAGTACCTCCGTCCAGGGCTTGAAGAAGGCGAAGTATTCCTTGGCTGTCTAAATGCAGAGTCTGTGCTTGAATTGCTCGGTCAATGTAGTTCGAACTCCAGTTCGATCAGGTCTGAACATTGTAGCGAAGTAGAGCCTCCTTGTAGGTACCTACCTACCTACCTATATCCATTATTGTTTCTTCGTTCCAAAGGACCCGGACGGGTTAGTACCTAAGAGTTGCTCTCCACGATGTCAAGTGCCTGTCTCTTTTAGTCTAACAGTAGTTAATTTGTGCCTGTCGAAAGATAGGTACCTACCTAGCCCAATTCCCGTGGTGTTGACTGAAGATATATATTGCGACGGTACCTGAGCTAGTAGGTGCGACCCAGCATTTCACGCATCACTTGAGGGTTGCAACTTCCATGCAAGATATAAAATGCTGGCTCCAGCAGGTTGAGTGTCCCTAGGAACAACATATATATGGATCAATGAGGAGCACCACCTCTTACGCCTCTTAGCTTGATGCTTGATGGCTTCGAGCATTATCATTATCATTAGTACTCCGTATTACCACGAACATCAAAGACCTACGTGTAGCCACCCACCATGACACCAGACACCATCCAATCCCGCATTCTCCCGATCGCAACAAGAACGCAGCAAGGAGATAAAGTGATGTCACTACTCAACACCTGAAAAACAGACCAAATTAAGCCGGAGATCAATGACAAGATATCCCCTTGATGATACATAACTCGTTGCTGCGAGCGACTCATGTCATGCGGCTTTGCATCAATGCTCTGCGTCAACGTGGAGACACGGGCATGCAAGGAACACCTTCAGACGAGTATCATCATCGTCGCAGATGAGACCAACACCTCCGAATCAGAATGTAATCCTGGACCCGACGGTGCAGGGAACCAACGACCCAGGCATGTGCTTCTCGATGGCGAACTTGGCTCGCCAGCCTGAACAATGGCCTGGCATGAGCACGGCAGGATCGAGGCGCTTGAGGTCAGCTATTGTGCTCTCGATCTGATCTGCCTGGCTCATGGCGAGATGAAAACCGCCGACCACGGCGTGGACTGGTACTGTTCCCCCTGTGAGCTGGACCGCGTGTTTTGTTGTGTTGACGACACCGGCGTGGCTGCACCCAGTGAAGACGACAAGGCCCTTTCCTGAGAACGTGTTAGCTTGACAACAATGCCAGCGTTTGACACAAATTTACCTTCGAGATTGCAGATTAGAGAACGTTCATCGACGATTAGCTCGTCTGAGAACCAGTCGTTCTCGTCAGGGTCATATCTCATGGCGTTTCTGAGGCCCGTCTCGTACGGCGTGACCCGGGGGATCTCGCCGGAGATGAGGAAGAAGTCGTCGAGCACGGTGTGTGGACCGCTGTGCTTCTCGACTACGGCACCTGCACTTTCTATCTCCTCAAACCTAGGGTCTGCTTCGAGGGAAATGATATGCTCGGGTATGGCAATACCTCGGTAGACCGGTCGATCCGGGTGCAGGTCCGCGACGAGGTCTTCTGAGCGGTTTTCGGCTCGTTTGGCGTCATTTATCATGCGGATTGCCCGCAGAAGGCCACCTTCGTGAGGGTCAGGATATTCAAGAGAATACAGTTTCGAGTGGAAGCAACCAACCGGAGTGATCACGATGCCAATGCGATAGATGGACCACTTCCACAGAGGAGAGATTCGGTCCAAGCCGCTTTACGTTTCTCTCCCATACCTCCTCTTCAGGGCCAGCATCGAAGAGAATACAGTGTTTTTTGTCGCCCTTAGTGGCAGTCTATCATCATGAGCTTCGTACAAACATGTATTGAATCCAGACCAAGGACAAAATATCATCTCACCAGCAGAATCGACAAGCCATGCGCTGCGCAGCACACGTCTTCCAGTCTTAGTTCCTTGCAGGCTACTCCGCGGTCGGTCAATGTATGCTTGGAGCCCATGGCAATAGTCGCCAGGTTTCCGACAACCTGGACTGTGTCCGGAGCTGCGGGTGAGAGCGGATCGAGCTCATTGTCGATGATGACAATGGCCTCAAGAGAGTCAACCTCTTCGAGGTTTAGGGTAGGCGTCTCCTCAACATCACTAGGTCGATATAGTTCCTGTCAGCACGTATATTCAACATAGCTCTCGACTCGGAACTCTTCCCCTAAGCATTGCCCAACCGAAGCTGTTAATGCATAGAGCAAAGGGATAACATATACCTGAAAGGATCATGTCGGATTGGTTTCAGTATATCCATTTCGAGATCAGTCCAAAGATAGGCAAATGGCAAGTTCCGGAGTTTCCCCACAGATGCGGGGAATGTCACACTTTCACAACTTTTTCACAACTTTCACAACTTCCCCCTGACGAACACCACAGAAGATCATCTCAACGTCGATCTCTTTCTCTATCCTCATCCTCTATACACCCAAAATGCATCTCCACGACCTCCTCCTCGTCTTCCTCCTCTTCTCCCCAGTCACAGCGATCGGTATGTCATGTTTTCGAGTCGTATCTGCACTAGTCGGCCGCCCAACACACCTCTTCAACAAATTCCAGAGTGAAATCTGCGACGCTGGATGTCAACCCACCATCCCCCACTGGGACCTCTGGACACGCAACAACAGCTTCGTTCCAGCTGTGCGCCACCTGATGCAACGCATGAACGTGCCCCACAAGGAAGAGGCTCTGCTGAAGATGGGCGACGATGTCGCGCTCACCATCAAGGCAAATTGTGCACCGATGCTGGGGGGTGGAGTACATATTTGTTCGGATGAGGAGACTCTGGCCGGGTTTGGCAATTGCTTCAAGCGCAATTTCCTCAAGGCTTCGATCAAACATCTTCCAATTTTGATCCCAATGGCCTCGGACGAGACATGCAGGGAGCAGCTGGAGTTCTTGCAGGGTGATGAGCTGTGGGAGGTAACAATTCCCCAGAATATGAGGGATTATGCGAAGGTCTGCGATACATTGGGGCCTAATGACCACGATGAATTGTAAATGTCTAGATTGTAAATAATTCTCTATATACGATACCACCTATATACAACTAATCACATGTCTGACGATCAGGTCGAGCCCGAGCAATAACTAAGAGAAGCAGCAAAGTGAGCAAACAAGGGGAAAGAACGTAGAAAGGAGTTCTTCAGCGTTCTTCTTCTTCCCTTCTCCTCTGTTTTCTCAGGGGAACAAGTCATCTCTGTTATTTTTCCCTTCTGGCTTGTAACATTGTTCGATGTGCTCAGACTAAATGCTGACTCCGCCGGATGACGACAGGCCGAGATTCCTCAACTTCCAAGCTTTTCCTTTAACCTCTCTCACTCTCGATTAGTGCTTTCTCCCTCATCATGCAGTGATCCGAATCTGCCTCTCCGACACTATATGGCCCACGCCACGTTCCTCCGCTCTTTGCGGCCAATCGTTCGTTCCCCCATCCGGCGCCCGCTCCGATATGCCCACTCAAGCCAATTCCAACCCTTCGTACCACCCTCGCCAAGCTCCCTAGGAAAACCCAGAGAAGCCAAGACATACAAACGAACAATAAAATGGCTACGCCGAATCTTCTACGTCTCATTAGCAACCGGCGTCGTCTACGGCATAGACAGACAGTTCAACGCATTATCGCTGACCCGAACAGCCCGCACGTTCTCCCTCGGTGTCCTCGTCGCCCTCGACTATAAAATAAACTTCCGTCCACAACCGCCGCTGGCTAGCTCTATTGCTGCCGTGCACTCCCGCAACGCAGAGCGCTTGTCAGACCTGCTGAGGCATAATGGCGGACTGTACCTGAAGATCGGCCAGGCGATTGCGATGCAATCTACCATTTTACCACCGGAGTTCCAGAAGATGTTCTCGCGTATGTTTGACGATGCACCCCAAAATAGCTGGAAAGATGTCGAGAAGGTCATCCGGGAGGACTTTGGAAAGTCCCCGGAGGAGGTCTTTGGGATCTCGTTTACGGGCGAGCCTGATAAGGGCGTAATGGAGCGCAAAGCTCGGGCCAGTGCTAGTGTTGCTCAGGTCCACTGGGCTCGTCTGCAGGATGGCACAGAGGTTGCAATCAAGATTCAGAAACGGGAGATCGTGCAGCAATTGGCATGGGATCTCTGGGCCTTCAAGTGAGAGATGCCTTGTGTTCGAGTTTGGCAAGGACAATATACTAATCGCTGCGGAATCCAATAGGGTCGTGACATATGTCTACAGCAAGATCTTCGACATCCCTTTCTACAGTCTCGTACCCTACATTAGTGAGAGATTATCGCTGGAGACAGACTTCGTGAACGAAGCAGATAACTCGGAAAACATGGCCAGGTTAGTGGCCGGTGAGTCTCGCCTGCGCAATCGTGTGTACATCCCTCGGGTATTCCGCGAGTTGAGCTCGAAGCGCGTCATGACTGCCGAATGGGTAGAGGGTGTCCGGCTCTGGGACAAAGACGCCATCACGAAGCCCTGGTATGGCGGCTACGGCAAAGGAAGTCCAGGCTGCCAGGGAACACCACTCGACCAGCGAAAGGTGTCTGCCACGGACCTGAACCCGCGCGCATCGAAGATCAAGCCAGAACGTGACTACTGGCGAGGCAACAGAAACCGCGGCGGACTGGGCTTATCTCTCAAGGACGTGATGACGACCATGGTAGACCTGTTCTCCGCGCAGATGTTCCTGTGGGGTTACGTCCACTGCGATCCCCACCCAGGCAACATCTTCATCCGGCGCAAGCCCTCTGGCGAGCCGGAGCTAGTTCTAATCGACCACGGCTTGTACATCCACATGGAGCCTGGATTCCGACACGAATACGCACAATTCTGGAAAGCACTCCTCGCCTTCGACAATCGCACGCTGGGCGAGATTGTCAAGCGCTGGGGCGTGAACAACCCAGACATCTTCGCATCAGCGACACTAATGCGTCCATACAGTGGCGGCGACATGTCGACCCGGCGCGGCATAAAGGGACTAAGCAAAGCCCAGCGTGCAGAGCGCCACTACGAGATGCAGCAGGCAGCGCGTAAGGCAATCCGCGAAATCCTCGGCGATGAAACCAAGTGGCCGCAAGAGCTGATTTTCATCGGCCGTAACCTGCGCATCGTCCAAGCTAACAACCAGTTCCTGGGCTCGCCGGTGAATCGTGTTAAGATCACCGGTCTCTGGGCGTCGCGCGCGCTGGTCGAGTCGCCGGATCTGCCGCTGGCCGAGAAGATCCGGAACCTGGGTCGCCACTTGATCTTCCGTGTGGTGTTGTTCAGTAGCGATATCTTCTTTTATTTCACCAAGGTGCGCCAGTTCTTGCATCTCGGCGGTGGTATGGAGGATGATATCGAGGCTCAGATGCAAAACATGGCCAAGGACATGGGCGTCGAGCTGAACCAGAATGTCTTTGAGGGATAGAAGGGTATGTATGTGCATTATGCATAATGCACATCTGATCTCAATTCACTGGCGATGTAGACTAGACAATAATCTCCAATCAAGACCGGTACTTTTCAAAATCCACTATTGACACAAATTCCCTTAATGTGTTTATACACATCTTCTCCCTTCTCCCTTCTCCCCCTCATCCAAATCCCAAATCAACATCCTCGCCCCCCTCCCCAAGCAATCCCTTCAACCCCCCAATCCTAGCAAGATACGCCGCCCCCGTATCCGCCCAAACCCGATACTCACAAACCTTCAACGTCCCCTGACCCTGACCCTCACTCCCACTACATTCCTCCGCAACCCGAATCCGATAAACAAAAGTCTCATCCCACCCCTGCCCAGTCTCCTTCCACACAAACGTAGCCTTCCCACGCAGCGAAACAGCCATACAGCTCTCGTCCACGACCCAGTCTGCATCAGGCTCGAAGGTCATTGTCTCAATTGAGAGGTGGGTGGATAGCAGGTCGAAGTAGGTTTTTAAGCCTTCTTGGCCGGTAAAGGGCCGACCGAGGAAGGGGGCTAATTGCGGCAGGCCGTGTTCGTGGGCTAGTGGGGATGGGCTGGTTGTGAAGGTTGAGAGGAGGGTACTTTGAGGCGTGTTGGGGGTTGTGAGGGCTTCGAGAAGGGCGTGGACTGGGGGAGGAGGAGGGAGGAGCGGGAGGGCATTTTGGTTGATCTGTATGCCTTTGGAGGTTTCTTTGTGAGGGAAGGTTGGACAATGGAATGGGGGTTGGATGGTGTGGTGGTTTTTATACTCTGACATAGCTATGACGTTGTTTGTTTTGGTCTTACATCTACACACCTGATCTATACACAGTATCTTTGCCTGCAATGTGAGGAGATAGCCCTGGACGAGATGATATTAGTGAACAAAGCCATTGGAATCAATTGGATATCTGGATTCTGAATCTTTGAAAAGTATTTTGGCAGCTGCTTCAGTCCAAACGAGGCAGAGGAAACTGATATTGGAGAAGCCCTGGAAAGCCCGCAAAAGAACTCCACTGGCTGTTTAGCCCGAGCTTGAGAGAAACGCATGAAGACAGATTTAAGAAGAAATAAAAAAGAGTTAAGAAGGAAAAAAACACCAAGCCCCAAGATAATACACATGCCCCAGCCCGTAGCTCTCCAACCTCTCGCTTACTGACGCCAGGATTTCCCGCAGTTCATGCATGTGCAAAACAGGGTCATCGGTTCATCAGCAGCACGAGTCTGCGCTTCAGTGTATGTAACCTTGCGCTGACCACACTTGCCACACTGCAGACTCTTACTGATACTGCGTTCTTGCTGAGCAACCATAGCCTTATCCATATTCTCCTTCTGGATCCTAGCGTCAGCCTCACGTTGCTCAACGGAGCGCAGCTCGTCATGAGTCATGCGCACGAACTGCTCAGCAGTGATCTCGCCATCGAGGACGCGCACACGCAGCTTAGGATTCGACTTGGTCTTCAGATTCTGGAAAAGACTGCGCATCTTCCCGCGGTAGTCCTCCTTCGTCTCCGGTCCGAGGTGGCTATACGCAGCAGCCTCTACTGCAACCGCACGAGACAGGATGTGCTTGGAAGGCTCGGAGGACCCAAAGCACAACCCATCGTATATCAGCCCCGTGAAGCTGTCTCGGATCTTATTCCCCGTGTGGTTGATCTCGGCTCCATCTGTCTTCCAGGTTCGCTTGTCCAGAGGCACAGACGGCTTCGAAGCCTTGTCTGAGGGCGTAACGGGCGTAGGCGGTCCTGTCGTACCCTTCTTGGCTGGCATGGGGGAGCCGCTCGGAGCTCGACTGGCTGCCGTACTACCACCGTGCTTCTGCTTCTTCACGTCGTCGCGCCACTTGCCGACAATCCTGCTGGCGAGCACGGCAACCTCTGCAGACGTGCTGGGCTTGAGCTTGTTGACGATGATACCGATGCGCGTCTGTCGCAGCAGGTCCTCTGTAGCTCGCACGCCTTGCTGGATATCCCCCAGGAGGCCCTTGATTACCTTCTCTTCATCTTCTGGCATCTTCTGGCTAGACTTGTCCGCATCCGAGACTGCGGCTGCGATTCCTGCCGCATCCAGCCCTGCGTTCTTGGCTGCCTCTTTCGCCGCTTCCCTGGCTGCGTCTCGGGCTGCAATTCGGGGCGCATCTCTGGCGGCAGCCTTGAGCAGGGCCTTGCCGGTAGCCTCAATCTCTTTAACGTCCATTGCCATTTTGTGTGGGGTATAGATGTGGGATGGAATGGGTATAGATATCGGGTTCACCGGAGGACTAGCCGAAGAATCTCCTGACGATCTATAAATCAGAGCTGTTAGTATGTTGTAGCAAAAGTATGGAGCGCAAGCCCTTCGTAAACACCGGATGTCGGCGCATACTGCAGAACCACAGCCATCACATTCGCCTCGTTCGAAAGCACAATCGCGGAGCACAAATGCGCTCAATCTATGTCACAGGAACATGGCCCCAAGGCACCCCCGCTAGAGACTGTAGAGACTCATGCGGGAGAGGGGTGGTACACTGCTAGATTGCACATGTCCATCTCTGCCCTCATTTGCGGTCGGGAACTCGACAGAGAGAGGTATAGAAGCCCACAGGCAATGGCTTGGGTACTGCAGTTCATATTGCGCCAGGATACCGCAACGCGAAGTTACGCAGAAGCAAGATGTGCTGAGGGTGTTTTGCGTGGGCACTCACTTGGATATCTCACGGTCGCGTCGGACGTAGGCTTGAGTAAATAAGGGCGTGTGTAGAGGATAAAGAGCGGAAAGGCGACGGCAGTAGATGCGCCAGAAGGAGGAGATATGGTAGGGAATATATTCCAATGGCGACGAAGTAATGGGAATTTTATGTGAGCTGCGATGTCAAGAGGTTCGCGCCAAGACTTCCGTTCCCTTTTCGGAAATTTCTTTTCCTTCACTGTATACAACATGCTCAACTTGATATACACTCTCACAGTCAGTCTACCCTTTTCATTACATGCACAAAGTCATCAGACCCTGCTTGTCCAAGTAGAACATCTATTGGTTTGTATTGGAAGAAACCAGCCCAATGGCTATGCAAATAGAATAAGATTGGGTCAAAGCAAAAAGAAATTATGTGCAGTCATCATTGTAGTGGGGGTATAACAAATGGGGGTCTTTTTGAAGGTAAAGCGTAAGCGTCGTCAGTCAGATCCTCATACCCAAAGCTCACAAGTGTTAAACACAGGCGGGGCCCATGATTGCCACGGACGCCCCAATTGAGCCGACGCCAAGGGCTGCTTGGCGGGTGGTATCAATGCATTTGATCCACGATCCGTTTGTGATAGAAGGAAAGTGCTGATGGAAAGTGACAATTCTCTAACAGCTCCGGAGGTCTAGATGCCGGTCTTGCCCAGGGCGTTGGCCAGCTCATCAACATCCTTGTCGGCCTTCTGGGCCACTTCCTCTTCCTCCGCACGATCCGCATCTGCCAGGGCCTTCTCAGCCTTCGCATCTTCATCCTCTTCCTCCTCTTCTTCCTCGTCCTCCTCCTCCTCCTCGTCCTCTGAATCCTCCTCTTCGAGCTCATCCAACTCGTCAACACCCCAGGTATTCTCAGGGTCCTCGTCGGTGCCGTGCTCCTCCTGCCGAGCCTCCAAAAGCTCACGCAGGTCAATAATGTTGGGGTCCTCCTCGGAGAAGATGTTTCCGTTCAGTTCGATGCGACGCAGACTGGGGAGAGCAGTCTTGGCGGCGTGAGTGAAGCCCTTGACAGCTTCCGCTTTCATCTCGTTGTACTGTAGACGCAGAGTCTGGAGCTTCTGGTTCTTGTTGGCCGCCAGAGCCTTAGCGACCTTCACACCACCGCGGGCAGAGAGCAAGCAGTCTCCAACACCAAGTTCGCGCAGAGAGGGCCAACCAGACAAGACGTTCGCCAGGGCGGTAGAGCCCACGGCAGTGAAAGTGTTGTCCTGCAGATCCAGAACTTCCAGACCATTCGCATGGTAGAGACCCTGGGTCAGCAGGTGGGAGATACCCTCCGATCGAATGCCGTTCTGTGTCATCTTAACTGACTTCAGACCTGCCGCATGGGCTTTGTAGGCCCGAGCCCACGCCTCCATACTGCCGTTCTCCAAGCGGTTCCGTCCGCAGACAACGCTCTCCAGCAGGGCAACCTCCTCGCCACAGTTGCGAGCTTCCTCCTTGCGCTCAGCCAGCTTCGATAAGGCATCGGCGACGTAGGTTCCAGCGTTGGGGCCGAGTCCGTTGTTGTTCAGGATGAGGTGGCGGAGGGGCACATGGCGCGAGAGGAATTCAACAAGCGGGGCCTGGGTGTTGAGACCGAATGCGTTGTCATTGAGGTTCACGGTGTGGACAGTGGGGATCTCGAGGATGGCGTTCAGAAGTGCAGACAGAGCAGTGGGGATCTCCGACAGGAGACGACCGGTGAAGATGTCGTCGAGGTAGGCTGCTTCGAGGCACTTTTGGGTCTTCAGAACCTCGGCCAGGCGCTGGGAGGCACCAATGCCCAGTGTGTTTCCACCGAGACGGAGTTCAGTGTAGTCGGTGTTATCGATCAAAGGCTGAATGTGTGCGTTAATGTCCTCTGCGCTGTCAAGCTTGAGGACTTTTCCCTCGAGGGAGAAGACCTTGGGAGGGGCCATGGCGGGGTAGTTAAAGTGGGATATTGAGATAAGGAAAAAACAGAAAGGAAAAAAGCAAGAGATCAATGGACAATTGTGCCACAGAAACAGGAAACCCCGAGTAGAACTAAGGATAAGAGAAGAAGACAGAGACAGGCAGTGTGGCAGGAAAGGAGGCGTAACCGGGGAGGCAATCTGTTTTGTTGATAACAAAAAAAAAAATAACTACGGTGCCGCATAGAAACCAGTTACGCCATAAGCCCATTAATAATGTCCGATGGTGTCAAGTTAGTTATCTGGAAGCACATCTTCACAATCATCAAACACTCCCTAGGCTCCTGTCTTTCGCTCATTCAATCTTTTCATCAAGCCTATCCACACATTTTCAACGATGTCGCTCTTCGGTTCCTCAAGTGGTATGTCTTGGTGCCTCCCCGTCTACCCGAGTCAAATGCTCGCGCAATGCGCCAGTATTATTTATACCCCGGAGATGACAATGGAATTGGTAGCCGCTTACACAATGATGCACAGAGAAAAGTGCCGCTGCCCCTGCGCAGGCGCCCGCTGAAAACGCCCAGGCCGAGAAGCCCAAGGTACGAACCAATGCTGCCGAACGAAGAAGCACGAGTGACTAACGTTGTCTTTACTCTAGCCCTGCTGCGTCTGCAAACCCGAGAAGAGCGCTCGAGACGACTGCATGCTCTTCTCCAAGTCCGATAACCCCGAACAGGAGTGCAAGTCCACTATCGAGCAGTATAAGACTTGCATGGCTGGATTCGGCTTCAAGGTCTAGACTCCAGACTCCTTCATGACTGAGTGTCACTTGTCTGTACCAACAATCTACAACTGTACCATAGCATTCAATTGGCGGGAGTTTTTGTTTTGTCTTGTTATCGTCTTTTTTGAGACGTCTACCCATTTGTGGGATACGGAATCTGAGCTTTACGCCACAGAGGATGGAAGTGAATTCAATCAACGTCTCATCTCTTATAGATCTCAGGTAAATGAATCATATTCATACAGAAGCTAGCAGGCAACTGCCTCATTTGATAATCACACAGCATAGGGTATCACAGAAGCGCACGTTATCCATCAAGTCAAAATCTTACTGCTTCTTTTTCTGACTTTCCTCCTCGGCCATCAGCCGATCGATCCGGCGGCATTGGGTAATCAACTTCCACGTACACCACAAATAGGCAATTCCAAATCCACCAGCCCCGATCAAAGCATTCAGAACTACCCAGAGATCAGGCTTGCCCGCCGGCGGAGGCACATATGCCTCGAGAACATGCCATGCAATCATGACCAGATAGAAACCAAAGTGTAGGAGGGTGGTCAGTGTGCTGGGCTCCAAATGAGCATTGGAGTCTTCCGAGGACGGCCGGCTTCGGTAAGTTTCGAAAGAGGTAGGAGGCAGGCCGAGAAGATAGCCCCATAGCAAAGTAATCACCATGTAAGGAACCCGAAGCTCATCGCGCTTGAGGAGGGGGTACATGGTCCATGAGCCAAGCACATTGGCCCAGCCCACCCAAGCGCGTGTCGCTTTGCTCAGTCCACCGTTACCAGCAAGTAGCAGGGTCATGGGAAGTAGAGGCAACAATACACTCTTCTCATGCACCTGGAAGGAGAACAAGAAGAATCCCCAAGACACGGAAGATAAAGCGGGGAGAAGGAGCGAGGCGCGAGGATGGCGGAAGATGATAGCACACGGAACAATGATTGACGCTAATGTGGCACCGAGGGATGCTCGCTGCAGTAACGTAGCATCGAAGCGAGTGAGCTTATAGAAAGTGTGAATGGCGCACCAGGCGTTGGCAACCTTATCTTCGAAGAGCCCCCGCGCAAAGGGGAACACTCGGTGGATAATCTGGGTCAATTGAAACGCCAACCCATATAGAGTAGAGTCCTTGTCCGCCGTGATAGGAAGCGCCTGCAATAGAGGCGGCACAGGAGAAGATGCGAAAGCCTCTCGAGCCTCGGTATTGAATGAACCAACGATGAACGGGGCTAACAGCACAGCAAAAGAAGCCAATGTAATCAATGCGATGTTGATAAGGCGGGGGATATTAATGCGAGGGAAAGTGCAGACGCCGAGAAGATATGCGAACATCACGGGTGCATAGTATAACGCCATCTGTTTGAATCCCAGTGCACCAACGAAGAAGATGCAAGCCCAGAGCATACGCCCTGCCAGGATAGCATCCAAGCTCGCAACCACCAACCCAAGCATGACTGTGTTATACTGGAAGTGGCCATGGTCGATGAGAATGTTTCCTGGCTGAAGGAGGATCGCTACAAGAGCAATCGAAGCGGACCATGTGTGAACACTCTGCATGCGAGTGTAACGGCGGAGGAAGGTGACGACGGCCGGGATGAATACAAAGTATTCAGAAGCAATGACAGTAGCACGCATATAAACTTTCAAACGGGGGTCTTCGAGACCCCGGGATGCATCTAGGGCGAACCATGCTGGATCAAAGGCGGAACCGCTAGACAGCCCAACAAGTTAGCAGGAGTCTATGAAAGTTCTCATTGAATGCCGAGAAGATAACATACATCTTACCAAGTAGCCAGCTATGATATGCGGTCAATGGTGGATAATCGAGGCCCCAGTATTGCAGATCGTAGGTGTACCATTTCGCCAGAGGCAGATGTGTGGTAATTTCCATCCAATGCCGTTGCGCTTCGAAATCTCCATGCATTGGGGGCACCTGGTAGCCTAAAAGGTATCAGTTATTGTATCACCGCGCAAGTGAGAACAGCGGCGCATACCAGAGTAACCCCATAAGCTGACAGCCCATCGAAACAGGCCAACGACCATGAGAACGAGGGGGAGAATCAGCCATTGAGACACACCAGCCCGAGCAGTCCATAGAAATGAGACCAGGGGGAACGCTGGTGACTGTTTCCCATCGCCTAGGTCCAAGATCAAGTTATTGTTGGAGCCGGGAGAGATCGCGCCCTTTCTCTTCTTGCGGGGGCGATGCGACGAGGGTGTTGGAGGGGCCATCACGTTGCAGGCCAATGGGAACTTATCGTCCCATTGACTATTTATGTGAGTGGGACACGTCTAACAGAAACCCCAGATTGGATATAGCAAGGCAGGCAAGGGTAGACGACCTAAGGGCTGTATGGTTTATGGGTTGTACCCATGAAGTGAAGCCGGAGCAAAAGATACCGCCAAGTGACCTTCGACTGTGAGTCGTCAATAGGTACTGGACTGGTACCCACTCCGTCCACGCGCTAAGTTCCTGGGCTAACTTCTTTGGGTAGGCGGAGCTGTTCTGCCAGCCTCCGAAATTTTTTTCCAAAAATTTTCTTTATCAGAGCTGCTGGTCCCCCAGCTCTTCACTTTTTTTTCTTCTTCTTCTTCCCATCCTCTCTTCTTCTTTCTCTCATCCCATCACAAGAAGCAGTCTGTTTCAGGTTGCTTTTCTGTTTCATCACACAAAACACTTCACTTCACTAACTTACGCAGTTGCGTGGGATTCTTTCCGTAAGTTCTGACAGATATTCTGGGGGCTTCTTATCTTTCTGAGGGCTGTGGGCTTGACATACATCTATTCTGTGGGCTCTGTGGGAATCTTCCTCGTGGGTTACATATTCTAGACAGTATCAGCTGTCGGTCGCTTGTGGGCTTGAAAACTTGTCCGTCCGTGGGTCGTGGGTTGTTGGTTAACGTCCAGTTTGTGACTAGATCACTTCTGGCAGTTCTTCTGAGGGCTGTTGTTCCATTTTTACATCCAAATACACGGGTGCTCGAGGGATCGTGGGCTTTGCCGCACATACTACAAGAACTTCAATTGTCCTAAGTATGTGCCACCCTACCCGAGCTACAAGCGAGCCTCCCAGCCTTCTCCCTAAGTCATCCCCTTCCACAAAGATCACAGGCTAACATGTTGTCTCCCATCAGATCACAATGTCCAAAACCTCTACCAAAGTTGCCGATAAGGCCAGCAAGGGCAGCAAGGCCTTGAACAAGGTCAAGGATGCCGGTGTCACCAAGTCCTCCAAGAGCAGCAAGGCTGTTGCCAGCAAGGTTGCTGCCAAGGTTGCCGCCAAGGAGAAGTCTTCCAAGAAGTCAAAGAAGAAGGAGCCTACTCCTAGCTCCTCCGAGTCTGAGTCTGAGTCCGATGAGGAGATGAAGGATGCCTCTAGCTCCGAGTCTTCCGACTCTGAGTCCGAGGAGGAGAAGCCCGCTCCCAAGAAGGCCGAGAAGAAGGTTGCTGCCAAGGCTGAGTCTTCTGACTCTTCCGACTCTTCCGACTCTGAGTCCGAGTCCGAGGAGGAGAAGCCTGTTGCCAAGAAGGCTGAGAAGAAGGTTGCTGCCAAGGCTGAGTCTTCTGACTCTTCCGACTCCTCCGACTCTGAGTCTGAGGATGAGAAGCCCGCTACCAAGAAGGCCGTGAAGAAGGTTGCTGCCAAGGCTGAGTCTTCTGACTCTTCCGACTCCTCTGACTCCGAGTCTGAGGAGGAGAAGCCCGTTGCCAAGAAGGCCGAGTCTTCTGACTCCTCCGACTCTGACTCTGACTCTTCTGAGTCCGAGGCTGAGGCCAAGAAGGCCGAGTCTTCCGACTCCGAGTCTGGCTCTGACTCTGACTCTGATTCTGAGGAGAGCGAGGAGACCCCTGTTTCCAAGAAGCGCAAGGCCGATGAGGAGCCTGCCGCTGCCGCCAAGAAGTCCAAGACTGAGGATGTTCCCGAGGGTGCCTCCGCCAACCTCTTCATCGGCAACCTGTCATGGAACGTCGATGAGGAGTGGCTCCAGCGCGAGTTCTCCGAGTTCGGTGAGCTCTCCGGAGTCCGCATTGTCACCGACCGCGAGACTGGTCGCTCCCGTGGCTTCGGTTACGTTGAGTACACCAACGCTGCCGATGCTGCCAAGGCCATGGATGCCAAGAAGGGTACCGATCTTGATGGTCGCACCATCAACCTGGACTACGCTACTGCCCGTCAGTCCAACCCCCAGCAGGGTGCCGACCGTACTCAGGCCCGCGCCAAGTCCTACGGTGACCAGACCAGCCCCGAGAGCGACACTCTCTTCGTTGGCAACCTTCCCTTCAGCGCTTCCGAGGATGCTCTCCACGAGGTCTTCGGCGCCCAGGGCTCCGTCCTCGGTATCCGTCTGCCCACTGAGCAGGAGACCGGCCGCCCCAAGGGTTTCGGTTACGTTCAGTTCTCTTCCATTGATGAGGCCAAGGCTGCCCACGCTGCTCTCCAGGGTCACGAGCTCGAGGGCCGTGCTATCCGTCTCGACTTCAGCACTCCCCGTCCCCAGGGTGGTGACCGTGGTGGCTTCGGTGGCCGCGGTGGTGGTCGCGGTGGTGGCCGTGGTGGCTTCGGTGGTCGCGGCGGCGGCGGCGGCTTCGGCGGTCGTGGTGGTGGTGGTCGCGGCGGTGGCCGTGGTGGCTTCGGTGCTCCTCGCGGTGGTGCCCTCAACAAGGGCAAGGGTAGCATCCCTGAGTACAAGGGTACCAAGGTTACCTTCTAAGCTTGTCATTGTTTCCAGCATACGGTTCTGATTTTTGCAACATATCGGTGTTCATGGGTCTCAAGCCTGGTTTGGCTGGGAGAAAAAAGTCCGTGTTTAATTATGTGTAATATGATCTTAGCTCAAGTACGGAGTATCTCAATTTGATACAACATTTCCATTTTTTCATCAAGGCATCTTTCATGTACTTCGTATCGCGTGCAACATTGTAGCCAATGGCGAGTATACTGCCACTGGTTGCCGTCTTCCCCGCAATTTCCTTTGTTTTTTCTTTGTCTTTTAACTCGCGAAGGTAGTTGGGCTCGTAGAGTTCTACTTCTTCCCTACTTCTTTGATTAAATCATCGATGAAAGGATATCGTTTGATTCGTTTCTCAAGATCTCCGATCCCTTCGTACTTTCAAGAGTATCTCCTACCATTTCGCATTTCTACTGAGTACTGATGAACCCCTCACGTACCCGTCACGGGCAGCAAATCACCTGTTCGGTCTGCTGATCACCTCATCATTCGAATCTGTCCAGAGCTTCTCTCTTTCGTCATATCCTCCATTTTGGCTTCATTTCTCGATCAAGGCATCATCCTTTGATTGATCCCTAACTTTTCCCTTTTGTTTTTCTTTCTGTTGGGACTTTCTTTTCTTGTGGCCAAACATTCGTATAGTGCTTTGGGCATCAGTGATCGACGACTCCACATCGATAAGATAGTCTCCTCCCCCACGTTGACCGCTCCCTTGGACCCAGGGTGGCCTGATTCCTACTCTTATATCTCTATTCTCATACAACCTCTCTCTTATTCTTTAATACACTCCCTGGCCATGCAACCAAATCACTACGACTTACTGGGTCAGGTGCGCGATCCTAGAGCCGCAAGTCGGATGACGCACGATAGCCATCAGCCGCTTCGAGATAACGGTCAGCCCCAGTCATCTGCTGCGACGCCCATGAGATCAGAGGGTATGTACTTGGTCCTTTTTATAATCCAGCCGGTACTTCCCCTGGAAATCGACTTTCAATATGCATACATACAAATCTCTCTCACATCTACACAATGTACTCACTACGATACTATATAGACTCATGGATCGACGTGTCCTCGCAACCGTCCTCTTCCTCGATCTCCTCTGCTGCCACCAATGATGATATAATAACTACCGGATTGCGGGTTGAACAGGGAGAGGCGGGGGCATGGCCGCGTCGTACCCGGCGACGTCGTCTCCAACACCTTGCTGCTATTACAACGGCGCTGGTGGACTACTCATCGCGAGATAACAGCCAAGCTACTAGCAGCCAAGAAGAATATGAGGAGAGTGAAAGCGAGTCCGATCGGGCTCTCAGCAGTTCAAACGAAGATATGGGTCGCCCACCGCTCCCATCTGCGCTGTCTGCGCGCTCTGCACCACGCTCGTCGAGTTCCAACGCCACCTCTAGCGATGATGAAGATGATACTTCCACTGCCTTGGGGATGGGTATCAGTCCATCACCTTTTGTCCCTCAGCCTAATATTTTCACACATCCACCAGCCACGTCAGAACCTGGGTGGTCTGCTCGTCGTCCTCAACACAATACTGCGTCTAACTCCAGGTTGCCTCGTAGAGAATCATACCCCAGTCCACAGCAACCGCGGAGATCTCAATACCAGCACAGCCCTTACAACATGTTCTCTCCCTCTCATCATGCCGACCATGATGCTGCCCTTCGTGCCAGTCTATCAACGCTTCTTTCATGTGCCGCTGCCGCCAGGGGTCTGCCGAAAAGTGATAACCATACATCACCCTCTCCAGCTCCTCACTCGCGAAATACCCATCCAGCTTCATTCCGGTTAGTAGGGGAGTCAGTGGCTATGGGCGAAGAAAGCAGCGACGAAGAGGCCCAATCCTCACCGCGGCACCCAGAGACAAGTCCATCGATAGGAGAACCACCGAGACATATGAACGTGCCAACAGTGCCTCTTGGTGCAGCTGGCGGCAAAGCAAAGCGCCGGTCGAGTTCATCCAAAGACCGCAGTGGTACCTCGAAGAAGAGCCGCCGCACCAGCATGACGGACTCAAACGCTCCTGTCAATCCCACAATCATGACATGGGTCCTCAGCGCCGGGGTTGTCGTTTTGTTTTCAGCCATCAGTTTCTCTGCTGGATACATGCTCGGTCGCGAGGTTGGGCGCACCGAGGTCGGTATGATGGGTGATGGTGTTCCCGGTCCTCGTTCTTCTGCGGCATGTGGCCAAGAAGCAGTACGCGGTGGACTCCGGAAGCTGCGATGGGGATCTGCGGCTGCAGGGTCTGCTAGCCTTGCGTCGATGTAAACCCTCATGAATAATGGCGAAACGATTCCAACGAGTTACGATGCCAATGCAGGCGCATGTGATGTTGATATTATGCCAAGCATGAATGCTTGCACCTAAAAATGTTCGTATCTTGTTATTTGATTGGTGCTTACTTTCATCTTATTGACTGCTTGACAAGGATTCGGCTATCATTTGCGGCAGGCTTTTGTGATTACCTGCCAATCAAGAATCGGCGCATCTCTATGTTTATGCCGGTGGCTTCTTCCTGAGGCAATGGAGTTTTGGTTAAAGTTCTAGTTGGGCTTTCTATGATGAATTTTTTCTTACAAGCCAGCGCAACCCTCAATATACCCTCGTTTTCTTGCCTTGATTTATATATATCCTCACTCGGTGAGAAATTTGAGTTGTTTGACATTCATATCTGCTTGCCATATCTCAAGTCCTATCTTGGGCATTCGATCCGGGTGCTATCCAGCCCTAGGTGACATGTAAATCATCTTCTTTATGTCTGCGTATCTGCATGGTCATAAGCCTTCCTAGCCTCATTAGCATGATAACCCGGAAACTTGGGATTTCCTTCAATTCGATACTTCCGTTGGTCGTGGAACCCGATCAGCGAAGTACATGACAGGCGAGACGTGGCCAGCGGACTATAACTGCCGGAACGGGTGTTGGACGTGATCAAACTGCCTCAACAATTTCATTATGGCGTCAAGTCCATTGATTCCTATGGAATGTAGGACGATGCTGGCGGGTTGGCGGGTCCGATGTCTGCTCTGGGAAGGCGAACCCGCCTCCCGATGGGTTGACCTACCAACTTGGCACTCATCCGTCCATATGATCGGAGTATAGGCATGACTATCGGTCCGGTTTCCAACAATCTCAAATGATATAAAGAAGTACTGATCATGGCAAACAAAGCGACAATTGGAAGACACACTCTCAACCGATCCTTTGAGATACTTGGCCATGGCTTCGATGTTAAACTACTTTGGCTTCAGTACCCCTGCCTCTGAGAAACAAGCCAAAGATTCGCCCGTGCGTGCCTTACCTGCATCATGGTACACTTCACCCGAGATGTACGAGTTAGAGCGCCGTGCTATCTTCTCGAAGAGGTGGCTCTTCATCACCCACAGCATGCGACTGAAGGAACCTGGCGATTGGCTCCGCTACCAAATCGCAGGTTTCGACTTCATCATCACTCGTGATCGACAGGGAAGCATCAATGCATTCCACAATGTCTGTCGACACCGTGCGTACCCAGTTGTCGAGAAAGAGGGCTCCGGCAATTCCAAGATCCTAGCGTGTCGGTACCACGGCTGGTCTTACGGACTAAACGGCAAGCTCGCAAAGGCCCCGGGTTACCAAGACCTGAGCAACTTTGAAAAGGATCAGAACGGTCTGTTCAAAATCCACGTAAAAGTCGACGTCAACGGCTTCATCTGGGTGAACATGGACGCCAACGAAGTCCCAGAAGTGTCATGGGAGCAGCACTTCGAGAACGTCGACAAACAAGAACGCTATAAAGCCTACAGCTTCGATGACTACGACTTTGATCATTCCTACGCTCTCGACGGTGACTATAACTGGAAGATCCTGGCGGATAATTTCAACGAATGCTACCACTGCCCTACAACGCACGCCGATATCCCCGAATTCCTCAACTTAGAGTCCTTCGACAGTGATCTCAAAGACGGACACATCCAGCACCATTGTGAATCAACACCAGAGCAGATCGAGAAAGGTCTCTACACAGCCAGTACATACTACTTTCCCATCTCCGCCATGGTTGTCTCGTGAGTCCCCACGTCCTACACCTCCTCCGGTCAATCTAACAAACCCACAGACCCCATTTCATCATGATCCAGAAATTCCTCCCCTCAAGCCCCCAAACCGCCAAGATGGCCTACGAAATCTACCGAAACCGCAACTCCTCTGACGCAGACTTCAAACTCATCAGTGATATGTACGCGCGTGTCATGCGCGAAGATAAAGTCCTCTGCAACAATGCACAGAGAAACCTCAACCGAAACGTGTTTACTAACGGCGAGCTACACCCTAAGTACGAGAAGGCGCCGCTTTTCTTCCAGAGCACCGTTCGTGACGCTATCATGGAGCATTTCGAGCGCGAGAAGGCTGAGGGTCATCAGATATGGCCGGCTAAGCCGAGGGTGTCTTGTAATGCGAATGTCAGTGAGAAGGATGAGGAGTTTTGTGCGGCGCTAGCTTGTGAAGCGAAGAGTGGGGTTTTGGCTTGGTGATTTCTTTTGAGATGGAATTGGCTGTTGGTTTAGTGGTTTCTGTTGCATTTTTTGGCTAGTACCTAAGTAATAATTCCCAAATTGAACACATGTCAGCGAAGACAGATCTGATGTAGTGACCCGATTGCCTTGATCCTCTTCATAATTGCAAGGTTCAAGTGCTATGTAGCAGCAAATCTGGCAAAGATGCGCCGAAGCAAAAGGAAGTGAGGCCTGATAGATCAGGCACTAACGGCTTTTGAGTCGGCGCGTCACGCGTCGCGCGTCGCCATCGCCGCGTGAGACGTCCTCCCGTCTTCCAAAGAATGCCTACGCCGAGAAGACCACATCGGGTTAGCAGGTCAGACTACAAGTTATCAAGTAGTTGTCCTCAATCACTATTCACTTATTCCCGGAGATTTACACATCTTACTGGGTGAAGCTAACAACATGTCCCCATTCCACTTCCCCCCAGTGGTGCTTGAGATCATTGTCTCCCATGCGGACAAGCAGACTCTTAAGGACATCCGACTAACAAATCGCATGCTATGCTCCTTTGCAACGACTCGTCTATTTTTTTGAGATCCCATTGCTTGGCTACGAGGATTTCACCTGCGAGCGCTTTGAGTCCATCATCACGCACCCAAAGTTGAAGGATCTAGTGCGCAAGGTTGTCCTGGACCCTGACGAGTCCGTCTGCGTGAGTAACATATATAGATCGAACTATACTGCCCATCAAACATCCAGTTTTTCAGCTAATACGCGGCAACTCAGGACTCCGATGATGAATGGGAGAGGGAAATAATTTTGGATGCGCCTGACAAATGGCAAGGGCTCCTGACTAAACTCCCGGATCTTCCTAACCTTGAAAGTGTTGTTGTGCGCTTCGTCGACCGACCTCCTGAGCGCAGTTTCCTGGCGGCCGACAGAAATGACTTTCGAGAAACTCGATTAGACTGGCTGGGCACAGCTCTTCTCTCTTTACCGAAACCATTGAAAGAACTCGAGATCGAGAACCAGCAAAATATTACACCAATCGGGAAACCGATTTCCAAAGTACTGAAGAGTTTGAAATCGCTGAAATTGCATGTCATGCACGAAGTGGACCCGCGTTGGCCGGACGAGGAAATCGAGCGTCGTGCACTCAAGGTTCGTGCATGCTTGAGCTCCCTTGAGCCCTATCATCTGGTAATCTGAGCTAACGCTATAACCCATCTACCAGAAATCAGCAGTAGAAAAGTTCTACGGAAGGGTCCTGAAATCAGTCTGGCTAAAGCCCACAATGAAATCACTCGAGAAACTCTCTCTGGGATCCGAGTTCTACTGGGGATTCTATCCCAAGCTCAACCTGGAAGGAGTGCACTTTCCGAAGCTGAAGTCACTAGCTTTGGGCAAATTCTCCTTCTTTGAAGACAGCCAGCTCGACTGGCTTCTCTCGCATTCAACCCTCGAAGAACTCCACCTCGATGATTCTCCGATCTTGGTCCACACGAAGATTGAATACCCCTCAAAACACCTTGCCAAATTCCCGATACCAGAATCCGATATGACATATCAAAAAGATGAAAAATGGGGGGACGGTGCCTTGCTTCACAACTACGATCGCCGCTGGTCAGACTACTTTGCCTCCATAGAGACAGGTCTTCCATGTCTCCGTCGCTTCGCATTCCGTCCCAAGGAGCATAAGAAAGATTTGGCTGGTCAGCCTGTTTTGAGAAGAGCTCGGTATATGGCGTTTGATGATTCAATAACTCGTCTGTTCCATACACCGAATAAGCTTGCACCGAATAAGACGTTTGGTGTTGGCCACCATGTGTGGATACCTTGTGATGATGAAGACCGTGAGGCATTGAAGGCTTTGTATCGGACAATTGGGCAGCGGCTGGGCAGCGGGAGAACTACTGTATGATATCGGGAAGTGCGTGATTCTGTACAAGTTCAGTGCTAAGGATGGCTTCAATCAATCACTCAAAGTTCGATTAACATTTTGGAGCCTAAATAAGGCAGTAGACACAAAAAGAATGCGTGGATGGACCCTCCACCTCTCTAACCTAGTCGCCTCTCTTCCCGTATCCCACGTTAGCTCCTCCACGTCAAGTTCCCGGCCTGGTCCTGTGACAAGATCAGACCACGTTCTCGGCATCCTCACTCCCAGCCTCGATTGCCGCTTATCCTTCCTCAGGGCCAAATCAGGCAACACGTATTCGAATAGTAGCTACAGGCCCCAGCAAGGCGATTATGGTTCTAATCCATTCAGGGGCATATGCTAGTCTATTTGGGATTATGATTAGTGACTCCCATATACATACCTACTGGTTATTGGTGAAGTACTTATAGAAAGACAGTAACCTAGTGAAAAGGCATAACTAGTGACTACCTATTTATCTGGGGATATCATAGTTTGAAATGACTGAACTAGGTACAAGCCATCACCATAACTCCTCCACAACTGATCAACTTCCATCATCTTCTGGGTGCGCGTGAAAAATCTGAGGATTCCGCATAAGACTATCCAGGAGTGCCTGTCGGCATGGTTAGGTAGGCGTGTCTATATCCCGTGGGAAATGATTATCACCATGATTATCATACAAATAAGCATCAATACGCATCAAACATACCACCATAATTACCATAATCAAAGTCATCAGGAACATCCATCATAATCATGCCCGATGGCCGAGGTAGTCGTCTTATCCGTCTTGGTCCTCGTCTTCTTCGTCTTCTTCGTCTTCGTCTTCTTCGTCTTCATAGCCGTCTTCATACCCGTATATGCACCGCCGGATATAGAATGCGACTTTTGTTCCCTTGAACATATCCCGGAGAGACAGCAAACATTGCTCTGCGGTTTGGCCGTCTGGGATTCGTTGCCCGGGAAATTTGCTCGCTGCTGTGACGTCAGGTGCGGAGACATCCAGATCGGTCAAGTGCGGATACAGGCCCTTTTTGCAGTCTGTTGCGATGTTCTGGGCCATTTCCCGAAAGGAAGACTTACATTCTTCAATGTGTAGGGCTTGTAGTGTTGCCGGAAATTGAGGATGTGCTGCAAGATAGGCATGAGAGACAGTAAGATGCTTGAGCACGGAAAAGTCGGCAAACGAGCCATACTTAACGAGGGTAGAATTGTATTCCTCGAAACTCCCAATCTCGTGTGCAAATTTCTCATTGGCGATCTCGACGTGGAAGTACTCGAGGGTATCCTTGTGCTGAAGAGCCTCTTCGGTGACTTGTGCAGCGTTGAATCCAGGTAAGCACCCAAACGGTCCATGGGGTGTGTACCTGAAGGATTTCAGGCTTTTGCACGCCCGCATAAATTTTCCGAGGGCCCCGTCCCCCAAATGGCATCCGTATAAGAAAAAGGTGTTCGCTGACAATGTTCCAGGCGTCCAGCTAGACGGGAAGACCCTATCGAGCAAAATACCGCGAGTAAGAATCGTTTTTTTTCAGCTTGGGAAGAGACAGAAGCTCCTGGTGATGTTGCATGGGAAAGCCCATTTCCCTGTCGGCGGATTCAATGCCTACCGTCGTGAGGTTGGACAAAAATGATGGATCTCGCCTGAAGAAAACTGGAAATGGCTCGAAATCGGTCCCACCCACGGGCATATGCAGGGAACGAAGATTGGGCGTTTTGTTGACCAACAAGGCTATGAAGAGGCCAAGATGATTGTTGTTCATGGCCCGAATCCAGTCTTTCTCCACATCGCCCAATTGAAGGTCCTTGATGACGCCTTCGTAAAACTTGATGTGGCGTTGCTCAATGCACATATGTGAATCGAAATATTCGTCTGCGAGAGGCGCGATACTGATATACCGCACATGCTCTCCAAGGTCAGGACGTGCATAGATTGCCTTGGTGAAACAGATGGTTTTGTCGCAATCGCGATCCTCATCCTTATCCATAAAGTTACGGAAGAGGAGAGGTTGAGCTAACTCGCGGAAATTCCGCGAGACTAGGCAGATATTGCATAGATCATCAGTCCCATCACCATTATCCAGATCGAAGTCGTCTTCTAACCACCCATAGGGGTCGGCGATGAAAGACAGAATCTCCTGCAGGAGCTCCTGTGGGAGGTCCTGAAGGTTGGCCATGATCTTGGTACTGTCCGTTGTAGAAGAAGGCGAGGTAAAGTGGTAAACCGACGTAAACAATGATTCAAAAAAGGGATATGGTCCTGACGCGTCAATACACGTGAAGACCGGCAGAACCCCAGGCCCAGGGCCCATGCCGTACGGTCCCCACCAAGGCGGTGAGGGCTAAGTCAGGATGATTAGGGCTCTGATTCAGGGGCATATGCTAGCCTGTTTAGGATTAGTGACTCTCCCGATATACATACATACTACTGGTTGTTGGTGAAGTGCCATAGAAAGACAGCAAGTGAAAAAAACATACATAGTGACTATTTATCTCGGGATATCATAGTTTGAAGCAACTGAACTAGGTACAAGCCATCACCATAAGTTCCACACAACTGATCAACCTCATCTTCTGAATGCGCGTGAAAACCTGAGATTTCCGTATTATGACTATTCCAGCAGGCCTTCGGCATGGGTAGGTGTGTCTATAGACCCAGTGGGAAATAATTATCACCATGATTATCATACAAATATTCACAAATAATCTACAAGATCATAATTATAATTATGATTATTCGATTCTTCGTCTTCCTCTTCGTCTTCATACCCGGGTGGTGGCAATCTGCACGACAAGATAGCGAACTTGACGTTTGTTCCCTCGAAGATATCCTGGTGAGACAGCACACATTTCTCTGGGGTGTCGTACTCTAAGTCTCGTTGCCCGCGAATTTTAATCGGCGCAGCGAGTTGGAGTTCGGAGACAGCCATATAGGTCAAGTGCGGATACAGGCCCTTTTTGCAGTCTGTCGCGATGTTCTGGGCCATTTCCCGAACGGGAGAATAACAGTGGGAGATGTATAGCTTTATTAGCGATGCCGGCAATTGAGGATGTGCTGGAAGATAGGCATGAGAGACGTCAAGTACCTTGAGCACGGAGAAGTCGGCGAACGAGCCATACTTAACGAGGGTAGAATTGTATTCTTCGATGTTCTCAATCTCGTGTGCATATCTATAAGTGGCGAACTCGACGTTGAAGGTCTCGAGGGTGTCCTTGTGCCGAAGAGCCTCTTCGGTGGCTTGCGCAGCGTTGAATTCAGGTGCGCATATGTCTCTGCACCTGAACGGAACCCCGGCAGATCTACTGTACGCGAAGGTTTTCAGGCTTTTGCACGCCCGCATAAATTTTCCCAAGGCCCCGGCCTCCAAATGGCATGCGATGAAGACAACTGTATCCGCCAATAATGTTCCAGGCGTCCAAATAGACGGGAAGGACATATCCAACAAAACATCATGACAAATAAATACTTCTCTGAGCTTGGGAAGGGATAAAAGCTCCCGGTGATGTTTGATATCGTAGCCGATTTCCGCATCGACAGGTTCAATGCTTACCGTCGTGAGGTTGGACAAAAATGATGGGTCTCGTCTGAAGAAATATGGGAATGGCTCGAAGGTGGATTCACCCACGGGCATATACAGGGAACGAAAATTAGGCGTTTTGTTGACCAACAAGGCTATGAAGAGGCAAAGATGGTTGCTGTTCATGGCCCGAATCCAATCTTTCTCCATATCGCCCAATTGAAGGTCCTTGATGACGCCTTCGTAAAACTTGATGTGGCGTTGCTCAATGCACATGTTTGGATATAACAATTTTAATTTGACTGGGAGAGGGGCGATCCTGATATGGCGCACATGCTCTCCAAGCTCAGGACGTTCATAGATTGCCTTGGTGAAACAGATGGTTTTGTCGCGATCGCAGCGATCGCCATCCATCTCTTCATCCGGAAATTTGCGGAAGAGAAGAGGTTGAGCTAACTCACGGAATTTCTGCGAGACTAGGCAGATATTGTATAGATCATCAGTGCCATCACCATCATCCATCTCGTGTAAGTCATAGGTGTTGCGGATGAATGACAGAATGTCCTGCAAGAGTTCAAGTGGGAGGTCCTGAACGTTGACCATGGCTTTGGTACTGTCTGTGCATGTACTGTGTAGACAGAAGGCGAGGTGAACCGACAGAAACAATGACTAGTTAAAAAGGGATTTGGTCCTCACGCATCGTGAAGCCCGGCAGTGTTGGTGTTGGAGGCTACGGCATTTGGCTCGTGCACGGAAGAATGATTCCTCCGTGCCGGTCACATGCCGTAGCCTCCAACACCAACAGGCAGAACCGAATGCGGAATCAATCAATGAATCACTTGACTTTCACTTGACTCAGCACAGCACACGAAATCCGGAAGTCTCGGAGAGGCAATACTAAATGCCGGGAAACCCCATCACATGATAAGCAAAATATGGCTGAGTCAGCGCATCGGCCGAGCAATTGCCGGGTGGGACACACAGGAATTATCCCGGGGGCCAGCGGGTAAGACCTACCCCGGCCACCCCGCGCTGGTATAATACTGGACCAGCCGCCACTCGGCTGTTGGCGTTGACCGATGGGAGAATGGTACGATTCGTGATTCACCCCATCGCCCCATTCGGCATGTGGCGACGGTATTTTTGCGGGTTTGGCAAAGTTGCGGCTTTCCCACATGGATGACCAGCCGAAGGATGTGCCGTCGCCGACCGTATATAGACCTTGTGAAGGCCTCGCTGAAGTAGTTTTGGTTTCTTCAATTTATCAATTCTTCACGTTTCTCACACAATGTCTCCCAAGCGCCAGTTCGACCCCACCTTCACCCCCTCTGTCATCAATGGCATGGGCCCCAAGACTCCCGAGCGTGCTCGCGTTGTCTTGGGTTCTCTCATTAAGCACATCCACGACTTCGCTCGTGAGGTTGAACTGACCTCCGCCGAGTGGATGCTCGGCGTTGAGTTTATCAACTCTATCGGCCAGATCAGCACCCCTATTCGCAACGAGGGTCACCGCATCTGCGATGTGATCGGTCTCGAGTCGTAAGTTTCACTCCGGCATATCTTTTTCTTTTTCTGCCAAGAATCAAAACGGCAGGGAACAAAAGACTTAAAAGGCGCAAACTAACGTATTACCAGTCTTGTCGATGAGATCGCCAACAAGATCGTCACTGAGGATGGTGTCTCTCCCACCTCCAACGTCATTCTCGGCCCCTTCTGGTCTCCCAACGCTCCATTCCGCGCACTCGGCGACAGCATCATCCAAGACCCGAACCCCGACGGCCGTGTTACTTTCATGCACGGTACCATTCGGGACATGGAAACCGGCAAGCCGATCGCCGGCGCCGTCCTCGACATCTGGCAAGCTTCCGCCAACGGCCAGTACGATTTCCAGGACCCCGCCCAGACCGACAACAACCTCCGTGGCAAGTTCCGTTCCAACGAGAAGGGTGAATTCAACTGGTACTGCTACCACCCAACCCCTTACTCCCTGCCCACCGACGGCCCCGCCGGTGTCCTCCTCAACCTGATGGACCGCTCCCCCATGCGCCCCGCCCACATCCACCTTATGATCACCCACCCCGACTACGCCACCGTCATCAACCAGATCTACCCCAGCGACGATCCCCACCTTGCCATCGACTCTGTCTTCGCCGTCAAGGACGATCTCGTCGTAGAGTTCAAGCCTAAGACCGGCGACCCCAAGGCTTCCCTTGACTTGGAATACAACGTCAAGATGGCGCTCAAGAAGCACCACCCCAACCCCAACTCTGCTCCCCCTGTGTCCTCGTTCGAGCGTCACGCAAAGGCCGCCAAGGAGGCCCAGGGAAAGCTTTGAGCGCATTGAACAGTACAGAAATATAGGGACGGCGTTCGAGATGGGTCATGTACATTTTAGCATTTACTTCAATAACGAGATAAGCTTCTGATATTACCCCACACAAACACACATCCTTGTCAGGGCTGTGCGACTAGCATGTAGATCACCCGTTGTGCGGGCCACATCGCAATATGCACGCATCCATGGATGTGCATATGTGCTTACCCGACTGCACGGATCCGGTCTAGCAGAATCCGGGGTCAGTAACATTTCAGCCACCAAAAAGTAACGTCAGCATGGCTACTTATGCTTAAACAGAGGCCCACCAATGGCCGTCTCCGAGCAGCGCCACGAATTGGAAATTTAGCATGAACTTATGAAGGAGTTTATGCTTCTTCCAACTACATCCATTGTAGTCTGAAAAGCTAGGTATAGTCCAAATCTCAAGAACACACCTTCATGTCTCAACCTACAATACTTTACACAAATCCCAAATACACACCCGACCTCAGTAACATATACACAATTCCAATTTTCACGTAAATCTAACCAATCCAGGCACCAGTCAACCACACTCAAACCTAACGATTCCTCTTTGGAAGGCCCGACGGATCAGGACGCCACGAGATCTCGGACTCATCCTCATTAGGCTCATAGTACGCCGTCGAAGACTGAGGCTTTGTGTGACGAAGACGGTCACCGGAAAGCACATTGTTCTGATCAGTGGTATCCTGGAGATCATCCATGGCCTCCTTGTAATCGTGTGCTGGGAGTGAATTAGCGTCATGGAGAAGACAGTCAAACAAAGAAGCAATTGAGCAGGAAGAACGAAGGGCAACACGTACTCATTCTCTCGTCGATATCGGAGGATCCGGGCTGGAGGGGGTTTTTCATGTTCTGGGCGTCGTTGTCCGAGCTGAACTCGGACTTGGGGGCTTTGGTTTGGGAGGTGCGAACCATTTTTGCGGATAGGATCGTGGATGGGATGAAATGGATCAATTTGTTAAACTTGTATGTGGGAATTCCAATTGGGGTGGCTAGGAGTGGTCTTTTATATGTTGGGGAATTGGCGTCATGATGACTTTTTATGACATTCTACTGCCCGAGGCCGCCTCATTATATTTTGCCTCTTCGTGTAATGTCTGCCTATTATATTTCATTGAGAATGGTCTGTATACATGCATCTAATAGCCAGAATTGGATACGTGTGTATATCGGAGATATAGGTATTGACTTTGTTGATCTGGACCTTCGAACACTAAACGATACGTGTAGACAGAAACCAGTTTATCCATAACTCGGGTGTTATTGTAGAAGAGCCCCCATTGCCCACTGGTGGTGGCAAGAGGTAGAAACACATTGAATGTTTGCCTGGGTGGCTCTTACACCTAGATCAGCGATGCCCGTGGGTGATAAGCGATGAAAGTAGGACCTAACGAGAGCAGCGAAGCAAGGAGTTAAGAAGGAACTACTCGTAGGCACATGACTTCCAGGAACGGCGCGTCGATGATAATGTCCCCCTCGTGTTGATTTCGCGGTCTGCGGAAGATGCTTTCGAAGTTCAGCACCAAAGGTGCACCATGAACTTGCCCATCTCGGTATGTAACTCTCTGCGATCGTCGGAAAGGGGTGCCGGGGCGATTTTGGGTCTGATGCGGATTTGAGGAAGGTCCTTCGGACCATACCTCCACGTCTACTCGCCATGTTGGCTTGCGAGTGGTGCATATGATGACGACGGTCTTGGTGAGATGGTCCGAGTTGTTATACCACCACTGGGCGTCATTGCGCAGCTGGGAGTAGGATTCTGAAACGCCCACTTCAAGGGCCAGGCAGGGTAGGGAATCCCCGCCCCCTCCCTTCCCATCGAAGACATCGGTTGGTGACAACCACCAGTCAGGCTCTTTGGCCACAGACTTTCCTTGTGTTCTTGGTGAAGGGCGGGCTGCGTACGCCCGATTGACATGGGCAAGGCCCATTGCGGACAGCTGGAGGGTTATAGCTTCAATGAAAACGCCAACGATTGAATTGTGTTGGTGGCCTGGCATGGCTTTGAACAGTACTTCCTGGCGAAGGGACGAGATTGTCAGTCGCACACCGGGAAAGAGCTCCTCGTCGTCTTTGATTTTTGAGAATAGGTTTTCTCCCGGGTCTTGCAGAAGTAGGTACTGGGACGATGGCGGGTTGGGGCTTGAAAGTTGATCTTTTAACTGCTCTAATGCCGCTTTAAGCTGTCGCAATGGTGGTGCACTGAGGACTCTCGCGCCTAGTGGAACACAAAAGTCGTCTAGATCAACGCAGTGGGAGGAATTACCAAGATTGCTTGATTGGAGCTCAGACGGAACCGTTGAGCCTGTGGTGGTCGTCGTGGTAGAATGCGCCAAGACAGAGCTGGAGTCAGTAGCAGCGTCGCGGCGACGGTCTGTACATTGACGGGTGGGCGCTTTTTGATTGAATGGCATGCCTGCTGGGGAGGTAGTGAGAAGCTTACAAGCCGACACTGCGGTTGTTTGAAGTCTGGTTGATGGGCTGTCGATGCGTTGAAGGGAGTGAGAAGAAGATGGAGTTTCAGCGAGTTTGGGGCGAGTCGACGTGGGTTCACGAGAGCCCATCGTGGCTTCCTCATTCGTGAGTCCTGCGGCTCCTGCCCGAGACGCCATTTTGCAAATGCAACACGGGCCAGTTGATAGACCAGAGAAAATAGAAGAAGAAACGGGTGAGCAAAGTGTCCAGTGCTACCAGTAGAAGTTCTAGGGAGGATGGATGGTGTTAGGTGGGAGAGATTTGTCAGTAGTTCAGAACTCCCTTTCCAATGTTATTCATTACTTATGGGCATCGGGAGTATGATAATGATGATGATATCATTAACCCTATTTCATCCGCTGGCCAGCTTCAGGCAACAGTTGATGAGAGTTTATTTTGACGAACATTGCGCGGCGAAAGATTCATGTATGCACCCTCGCGAGGGAGTGTCAATCTCACATATTCCCGGACAGAGCATTCAGGTGATAACTATAGTCCTCGCTAGAACAAAGAGGCAACCGCGGGCTTTCGACTGTCGGTGACATAGGGGCCTAACCTGATGTTGTGTGGTTTGTGTGTATGAAGAATGACGAGCCATTTGGGTCCGGGTTGGGAGATGGGGTCAGTAGCGCAGCATTACCGTACTTCACGCACATTTGATTTCAGTTCCCACGAAAGAGATGAAAATGATCAGCACTGAGATAGAATGCAACAAAAAAGAGCAAAAAGAAATCTCTCCCTCGGGGAATCGAACCCCGGTCTCCCGCGCTTATCGGTTTTAATGACAAGCGGAAATCATCACCACTAGACCAAGGAAGATAAGATGGCTGAGTTACTGCTCGGCCACTTGGCTGGTTGATATTTTATTTACAGAGTCGGTGGATTTATATACAACTTTATTGTGGCAAAGTACATAGTTTTGACCAGGAGAAAATATTGTTATCACGACCCACATGGAAATTGCAACCCCTTGTGCCTTGTTTGATGGCAATTCAGGTGTCACCTCTGAGAGTAAATTAGTTCGCCATCTGTTCTCGATCAACATCCATATCCAGCTTCGACATCCCGACGGATTTTGGCAAATTCCTAATTCCATTCCATTTCTCCAAGGGTCCGACCGGAGTTGGCAACTGTCCGGCCCGGTCCGGAGCTAAGTCACAAGGAGGAAGGATCGTCGGAGGTTATTTCAAACCTTATTCGACCTCAATCTCGGTTGGGAAAGTACCTTCCTGGACAAGCAGGAAGGAGCAATGGATCTGGCGCCTGAGGAAGGAAGGCATTGTGCCTGTATCGACCCCCTAAGGCGAGTCTACTGCGCGCTAGGGTCAGGCCTAAAACGTGGCAATTTAGTTAAGGCAATGAAGTACAACTGCTTGTGCTTGTAAATTGATTCTGGCACAGTTGCCACTTCACAGCCTGAACTTGCAATCACAAGGCCTTGAAAAAGCCACGATGCACTGACATGAACCACCCATTGCGACACTTCAAATGCGCAGATATCCAGCAGAAACCAGATTTGGCCAGCCGAGCTTTTCGCCTGGGCAACATGGGAAAGCGGCAACCAATGATGGCACATGATTATCATCGTGCAAGTATACGAGGATAGAGCCTGGGCCACGAACATGCAGAGCCGCGCTTGAGCTCTCCCCGAGTCCGAGCACTAAAGCCGTTTACCAATTCCAAATAGATACAAGCTTTTGCGGGCCAGGGAAGAACTGCGAGCTTGATAAGGTACGTATTGTACTTGGGTCTTTGCCGTAGGCGAGTGCCGCTACTGAGATAAATCCCGCCTAATGGTGCCGGTGTCAGGGGGCTGCACGCACGCTGGTCCGGTCAAACGGATGCATCCTGATTGAAAGTGTACTTTGCCGATATTTTGGAACCTGCTCAGCGGATGAAAACAGGGTGAGCTTGAGATTGGACTTCTTGAACAAAGCCCTTGATTAGTTGTATTGTTTTGCTTCGATCGTCATTACTATGGGTCTATCTCGTTCTGGCAGTGCGGCTCCCAGTATACGCGATACGCGGCACCCTCGCGTGGCTTTTATAGGGGAATATTGGCCAATGACTGGGAGCTTGCATGCTAAACGTGGAGTAAAGCGAGTACTTTCTTCTTGTTACAGTACACAGTTATACTGCTAACGCTCGTTCCAGATGGCGGTGATATGTCCACACCTGAAATTGCAACCATGTCCAAAGTCATGTTTTCGCGGCCACATGAGCATATCTGGTGGCATTCGGGCCACAGCCACCGAGAGGAACTGGTTCATGGGGTATGGTTATCGCATCATCGGGGCCAGTTCGATCTGCGAGTCATAACATCGGACTCTACTAGGGTATCTTGTTCACTTCTAACATAGGTTCTTCTTTTGTACGCTCAAACCCTATTGGTCTAGATGGCTAGGTGACACTCCCTCAAGCCCTTAACCCAATCAAAGCACCATATCTTTCGGGAATCAATACGGCATTGGGCACTGGGAGCTTGTACTACATCTGCCAGCTCCACGAGATTGGGAGACTCCTGCCTATTTCGGACCAGCTTCCCAGTGCAGCACAGGTAATATGAGATGGAGATAACCACGTGCTTTCTGTGTTGCATACATCCTCCAACATCAACATGCCACACATTGACCAGTTTACGGAATTCAAACTCCATTCAAATCGAGGAACAGACCTATTTGGAAACCCGATCAAACGCTAGAGTGACAGGCAGCTAATCTCCCATCCGACTGACCAACAGTCGACAGCTACGACTAGTCGGCTAGGCCTTCTACAACTATGGTACCCTTAAACATACTACCCCGTGAGTGTGATCGGACGTATAAGGCTGAAGCAGGGACGGAGTTTATTGGGAGTGGCTATGATAATTAGACGTTTAACCGTGAAACACTATCTTAACTACCTCGACGGTTCTAAAAGTTCACGAGATTAACACCTGCCGGACGGAATGCCGATCACACAATGTTAAATCACTTCTTGGGACTGATCAGAGGGGAAGAGTAGAGACATTTTACCAGTACAACCTGCGATACGTAGAAGACAGGAAGGCGCTTAGAGAAACGATCGTATAATTGCCGACGTTTGAGCCACTCATCCCGAGATGCACTTGATAGTCACACTGCAAGGTTATAAATACCAACTACGCCTGTTGCCTAAGTTCAAACAACGTCTTACCGGGTGCAGTAAGTTCCTGAGCATCAGCACTTTCTTCTTTACTATGTCGGGTTCACGACAGCAGCCGGGACTGGTGAGATACACATCCTACTGGCTTCGAGGCGTTCTCCTTGGCGCTAACAACCCAATTAGGCTTGCGAAGAATGTCGTAAGAAGAAACTTCGATGCGACAGGCAACGGCCTCAATGTGACCAATGCGAGGAATCAGGTACAGTCTGTATCGTCAATCAGGCCCGTTCACCACGAGGGCCGAAGAAAGGCCACCTCAAGGCTCTGCGTAATCGCATTGGTTCGTTGCTCTTTGCTGCGTCTGCATACATCTCTTATACTGATTAATGTTTTAGCTACCCTCGAAAGTATCATAAACTGTGGTCAAGCCAATGCTCGTCCCAAAGATGGCTTTAATGAACAATATCACGCCAATAATACGATACAGATGCTCAGTCCACCGCAAGAGTATACCCCCAATGCGGCAAGCCCAGAATGTCATCCCTTCTCGTACACCGTTGAGTCATCATCACTATCCACACCAATCACCCCTATGAGTTCACCTGCCCATGCGGGGTTTGATATGGTTGAGGCAGACCTGTATGCCAAAGGATCCTCCCCCATAGAATGTACAGAGAGCTAACCATCCAAGTAATCAACTATACTTCGACAGAGTACACCCTGTGGTACCGATGCTCCACCAAGGCCGCTATTTCACCTGGTCACAACGACCCGACAAACCAAGCTCACACACCTGTCTTCAACTCACAATGTGGCTACTTGCAGCAGCCTCATCCGCCCATCTACAGCACATGCGGGAATCACTGTACACGCGTGCACGACACGCCATCGAAGCTCTCGACCACGAGATTAGCCCCGACAGCGCGGCTTGTCTACAGACAGCCCAGGCATGGATCCTCTTAACCCACTACGAGTACCGCTATATGAACTATCGCCGCGCATGGCTCACAGCAGGACGTGCGTTTCGCATAATCCAACTTGCAAAACTGCACGAGATCGACCGACAAAACCTTGGCGTGAACATGGCACACACAGAAGCATGGACCGAGGCTGAGGAAAAGCGTCGGACATACTGGTTGGCATACTGTCTCGACCGTCTTCTCAATATCTCTGACGAGTGGCCTCTTAGTCTACACGACGAAGCAGTGAGTGCTCCTTTTTTAGCAGAGCGCATAAAGCTAACTCCGTTCCAGCTGTATATCTATCTCCCTGTCTCCGAGTCAGACTTTCAACACGGCAGGCCAGTCGTTATGAACTCTTTATATCACGAGATGGAATCTTCCGGAGAGAAGATGTTGCCCCCTCTCGCTGAAACAGTCGTCTTAATCACGCTTTGCTGGCATAGCGTTGCTATCCAGCGAGTCGCACACAGCGGCAATATATCACCGGATCAGTCTACAGATACATGGACACGCCATCGCTGGCTATACCAATTAGTACAAAAGCGGCTGATGCTCATTTCGCTACCGTCATCTGCACCGGAGCTCCACGACCCCCTGCGGCTGTTCACTAACATGCTTGCGAACGCGGCTGTGATATGGTTCTACAATATCATGGAGGCCCTCCAGATCGATATAGACGATGATACGTTCCTAGTGCCGCTGTACTCTGCATACGAGATTGTAGGGTTGGCGAAGCCATTGACACGATCTGGCTTCTTCAAAGTTAGTCCTCTTCTCTCTCTCTAACAACCGCAGAATCCGCATCTGACATATTCTATACAGGCACATCCTTTCTCGCCCATGCTGCTATATCTCTCTGCAAACTTCATCAAGGCACATGCCGACCAACTGAGCTGCGTCTCGGTATCGGAGGATACCCAGCTGAAGCTCGGGGAGCTGAAGAAGGCTCTGCGGATTTTGCAAGGGGGGAATAACCTAGCGATGGGCTACTTAGATCTACTTGAGTCCGATTTATATGACAAGTTCTGCAGTGTGTCGCCTGTTCGAGGTTTTGCTTTTCCCGTTACTGGGCAGACGCAGCCGCCTTTCTTTATGGATATTATGGATTCCTTTTAATTTGGTGTTTACGGCGCTGCTGGTTATTGGAGCATCTGTTCAATCATGTTCTAGTACGGAGAGTCGTTAGTCCTTTTATCTGGTTATTCGAGGGTATACCATTATCATTTTCGGAATTACTTCACCCATTGTATAGGCCGTTCTACACGATAGCATCTCGAAGATACCTAAGAACAGGCTTGGCATTTGCATGCACAGAAAGTACGGACAAGCTAGCCAACCCCATATCAAGCCTTGGTAAAGTACCATCCCTCCACGACACACTCAATCATAGGTATCATCTTACACCTCCCGACAATACTGAGAGCACACGATTAAACCAAGTGTCCACTGCTCCAGTACGAGAATTTAGTCGGCTTTAGACCCTGTCCATGAGACCTCATCCAGCATGTTCCTTCCAAATTGGTCGTACGCCATGCGAACCGCACACAACGCGCGGTGCGAGCACACCTTGCGGCACAGGCAGCGAAGTTGGGCTCCCGGGGTGTGCCCAGGTCCCACGAACCAGGGTCATCCACTAAGCATAGGTTAGTTCCAGTACCTAGATCTGCCAGGGTCTTGGGTAGAACTCACATTTAGCGTAATAGATTTTGAACTTCTTGCCGCCAGCGGGGAGGATACATCCATCGTCTCGTTTTTCTTCTCGTGTGTCAGTCATAGTCATCTTCCTTTCGTTCTGATGGTAACTTACCGGCGTTCACAATTCCCGATCGACAAGTACCTGAGCCTGAACCTCCTTTACATTCCATGTGGAGGGCCAGGTATGTCGAGTTGAGAGTGTTGAGCGAGGATTGGAGGGTACTGATTGTGGATTGGAGGTCGGAGATCTCATCTTGATGTTTGATAATCTCAAGCGAGAGCTGATTGTTCTGATTCTGACACTGCTGATATTGGATGGCTTGTTCGGCTTTGTCCTCCTGGCATTGCATAGCCTGTTGGTTTTTCTCTTCGTGGCATTGCTGTTGCTCCTCTCGACATTGACGCTTCTTCTCGGTAATCTCGTCAGTGTTTCGAATACATTCACTTTCAGCGTTCTCCGCACGACTCTTGTCAACCTCGCACTGCTGAAGGGCGGCTTTCTGCTCTTCTTTCTCTTCGACGCATTGTGTCTTCGCAGTCTCGCATTCCTCGTGCTGCTTCAGACACTCCTTGTTTGCCTTTTCACAGTTGTTGTCATCCCCGGAATCAACAACCTTAGAAAGAAGCATATGGTCACCGTTGGCCTGCTGATCAAACGTCTCGCTCATAGCGAAGAAACAATTTCCACGAGAGCTTGACCCTTTGATTCGCCAAGAAGCACCAAAGCAAGTATCGTCCTGCGCGCAGAGCTCGGCACATTCGTAGGCACTCGCAGCACTGTGACCCTTGAATCTGGAAGGTGTCGGAACAAACCCACAGGTGTATTTGAAGACAACATCGCCAACAGTCTCCTCCCCCTCGTTCTGTCCGCCGGTACAGCAGGCGTTTGCCTCGGGCGAGTCTAAGCACGGAGGGTTCGGAGCAGGCTCGGGGGCTTTGGCAAGTAACATGAAATCCGAGTTGTCCTTTGTCTCGAAACTGTCGCCAAGAGCAAAGAAGCAGTTTCCACGCGAGCTCGAGCCACTGGTCCGCCATGAGGCAGCGAAGCAACTCTCGTCGTTGGCGCAGAGTTCGGCGCATTCGTAGGCTGTCGCGGCGTTGTGGCCCTTGGATTTAGAAGGGCTGGGGATCGCGCCACAGACATATTGGAAAGGGGTGTCACCAACGGTTTCCTCTCCTTCGGATTGTCCGCTGGCACAGCAGGCTGCTGGATCAGGAGAGGATAGGCATGAGTTGGTATCGCCAAGGGGGTTCTGCTGAGCGTAGACAGAAATTGCGCCCAGCAGAAGGAGAGTTGTTTTTCGAACCATGTTCAAAGGGAAGAAGAGTCGTGATTGTGAGCTGTGGTTTATCCCATAGCGGACATTTGTCTTTATAACTTCTGGACGGCAGCGATACTACCTAACTTTCCATGACACTTTCTACAGCTAGTGACCCACAGGCAGGGTAAAAAACGCATGTTAGAAGCCGCAAGCGGTCGGTAGGGAGAGTTTGAAGAGCTACAACCTAGGCAGATGCATGTATTGTGTAGATCGGTCATGTACAGTGATGAAGGTGTGATGAAGTGTGATGTGTTATCCCTAGCTGTTGCTCAGCCAGCCTCAATCTGAGTTATCGTTCTGAAGAACATCACTCCAAGACACATATGCCGCTATAGCTCAAGGTGGATAATTTTATGCCGCTCTTCAGCCAGCCATGTTACACAACGTGAAGATCTAATGTGCGTGGAATGCTTCCAGGTGGAGTCCGGCAAGGAGGATGCCTCACACACCAGTGACCATAGCCCAATTAAAGCAAGCTGCATAAGTCGATCTCGATCTACGAGTGCAGGTCAATAATTACTAAGTGAGCCTGGTATCCATGAGCTCATAGCCATGGATTTATCAGGGAAAGCAAGCACTTGACACATAAGCTGAGATAGTCGATAGTCTCATGCATTCGATGCACCCGGAAGCGACGACCCTCGTTTCTGAACCGGTAGGTAACTAGAACACGTGAAGACTTGAGACACCCGACTCCTATTAGCATAGGCCCTTGCTCTGCCCGTGCTCTTGCAAATTTTGCAATACCCTGGATCCCATCCCCTCGGATATGTAGACCCAGGAAGACCGAAGTCAATGAATCATGAGCTCTTTGTTCTGACCAAGCTGACATGGCTTAAGCCCACCTCATGAGTTACAAAGAAGGCTTCTTTGACTTAGCACAGTACGACGCTGCCACGAATGTTGGTATCCATCCAGAAGCGGATTCAGCTTCGTCACTCGAGGTGATGCGATCCACGGATCTTGTGCAGCCTTGTGGCTGCTTTCATTCTTCGCACGAAGGGGTCGAAGTTCCATTGCAACATCTACAATTTGCATAACCAACGGAGCGCATCATTGATGGTCCCTCGTGATTGGCGCTTTCTTTGTCTCGTTGAAAGACTCGATCAACTGGCGTCGCGAAGCACATATACACCCCTGCAGCCGAGGCCCTTGGCAACATGGTTATCCTATGGCGTCGTCAAAGGACAAGTGTCAATCGAGGACCAAACAGGGAAGAAATGCCGAACAAGGGCTATTTAAGGATCAGGTCTGTGCCAGTTGATCTTCGAATGCAACAACCTCCTTTGTTGACAGTTGCGGAGAATTTCGACTTTCCCTTTCCAGCTATTCGACATGCTGTACTCGATGATAACTGGTCTCTCACACTTATTATGGCACTCGGACCCTATCGAAGAGGATAGTCGTCTTTCAGCCCATTTCCTGACTGCATGAATGAACTTTTGCCTCCGCGATGTCGTTCCCAGCGGTGGTGGCATTCAGAATGAAGTGCCTGATGGATTCATATAAAGACAGTCGGGTTTCCTCCAAAGCACGTCGTGCTTGCTAGCGAGCAGTATCTGAAACCATGGGGTTTTCTCAAAATGGCGTCCTCGCTCTCTATAGTTTTTGTCTGGTTCAGATGACAGCTGCAGCATCTCTGATCCGAACCGAGGTTAGCTAACACATTCCCAAACTCATATGAAGCCCTAACTCTAACACTGGACAGCTTGCCGCAGTCCAGAAACGGTCCACCATGACCTGTCCCTCCATCCTCAGCACCAGGGGGGATACATGCGAGAGCCTATCACGAAGATGTGGTGTCTCCGAAGACTATCTCCTTATCTTCAACGGAAACTCTACTTGTTCCACTCTGCCTCTGGGCTTGCCCGTGTGTTGCTCGGACGGGGCGCGTCAGCTTCCACCGACAGGTAACGGGGCTTTGTGCTACGTGTATACCATCGAACACGGCGATACCTGTGCTCAGCTTGCGGACGGGTTCGGCATCACCGTGCCCGAGATTGTGAAATGGAACAAGAACACCACTGGCTGGAATGGTTGTAATCATCTGGAGGATGGAGGGCGAATCTGTCTCAGTGCTGGCGAGCCGCCTATGCCGGTTGCACTTCCAGATGCGGTCTGTGGCCCCCGGGTACCTGGGACTGCACGGCCAATGAGGTGGAATACCATGTCCTCTCTGAATCCGTGTCCTGCAGGTCAATGTGTAAGCACCCTCGGGTATTCCTTCAACACCATGGCATGGACTGACCATACTGACAGTGTTCGGTCTGGGGGAAATGCGGGACGGGGCCAGACTTTTGTGGCTCGGCTGCAGCTGGAGATGCCGTGCCTAAGGCAAGTTCGAAGGAAACGAACGCCATGACAGCTATTATCCCAAAGGCAAGCGCGAAGGAAGTCAATGGCGTCACAACCGTACTCAGGGCGACTACGAAGGCAGGCACAGCTGCAATAGCTGTCATCCCCAAGGCAAGCACGAAGGGTGTCGAGGCTGTTACATCTATTGTCTCCAAGGCAAGTACGAAGGAAGGCAAAGCTACAACACCTGTCATTCCTATGGCAAGCACGAAGCATGTAGAGGCTGTCACATCTATCGTCTCCAAGGCAAGTACAAAGGAAAGCAAAGCTGCAACAACTGCCATCCCCACGGTAACTCCAGAGTTTTTCAATGGCATCATAGCCCTACCCTTAGCGACTACGAATGAAGTCAATAGCATCACAACAGGACCCAAGACGACTACCATTCAAGCCACGTCAACCATAACAGTCGACACTGTCACTCCAGGACCTGCAGAGAAGAAGTTAGATTTCGACTTACTCAATCCTCTACTGTTCATCATGTCAGTGGCCAAACTTGAGAGCGCAGGCAAAGATGCTACCACCACTGTGCCCACCCAGTCTACGACTTCCAAAGCAACCGCAACCACATTGATTAGCACCACTAAGCCCTCAACCTCAGTGGCAACCACGTTGACCACCGCAACTAAAACCAACGACAACCCCCCATCCACCAATGCTGCTGGAGTGGTCACGGTGCCCACGGGGTGGTCGTTGACAATGTACGGCGGGTGGGACTGTAGCGGCAACTACATGGTTTTCGAAGGCCATAACAAGAAGTTAGATGACAGTGACTGCATGCTCATTGGCAAGGACAGTACACTCCGCTCTGTGCTCAACGATACAGCGGTCTCGTGCCGGTGGTGGATTGAGGGTGGCAACGACTGGCTGCCTTGTTCTGAAAGTTATATGTCAGTCAAGCCCAATTCGTGGGTTATGTCGAATGGGCTCTGCACTGTTTCTCCGAATAAAAAGTGCGACAATTATAACGACATTGCTGAGACTTATGGCTGGCGAGGAACGGGCAATTGTCAAAATCGTCGGACGATGGATCCGGCGTTTGGGTCGATGAAGTGCTATGTTGGATAGGATCTCATGTCAATGTCATGTGTCATGTGTATATAGAATGTGAATTGTTTCAGAAGTTCTTTCAGTTCTTTCATCGCCAGGCTGCGGCGATACGAGAGTGGCTTGTGAGCTGAAAAACCCTGCCCCCTCAAATAAGCCGATATAGCCGAGCCTCACTGGAAGACTCTCTCATTCTTTGCTTCGTCGATAGCCAGTTCTCTCCCAATTCTCGTTGAATTCTCTCAAAATTCGTTCTTTAGTCGTTTTTTTGTTTACTTTTTCCCCCTTTCGTGAACTTCTGATACTGTGTAGCAATGGGTCGCCTCCACCAGGACGATCCCCCCGCCTCATCCTCTCTCTCTCTCCACACTCTCGACGAAGCGCCGCCTCCATACACCGACGATCCAGAGCCTAGCGACCTTATCCAACATGACCGACCATTCCCATCTGTTCAACCTGTTCAGGCTGCCAAACCCCCCGCCAGCATTCGACCCCTCCGCATAATCGACTCAGCCTACATTCTTCCCGGCGGCACGGAAATCAAACCCCACGACAAAGTCGCAATCACTCTCACACCACTGCTCTCAACCGACCCCGAAGGACTCTACGAAGCAATCCGCAGGCAAATCAAGCTTCCCCCTCGACCATTGCTCAGGATCCACGGTTCACACACCGAAACAAGCCATGGCGACAAGGACAAGAAAAGCAACAGCGTTACGGACTTCGATTTCAAGCTGGATCTGGCAGAGACGATGCTGACTGGCTGGGAAGGTGGTCCTCAGGTTATCAACTGGATGGAAGTGGAGATCCACACAGACGAGGACCTCAAAAAGGCATACAGGGGAGGAATCCTCCGCTCACGCGCGTACAAGGCCCCCAAATCGCGTGGTGTAAGCCTCGACGAAAGTAGTGACGCCCTTATCACTCACGACGATGATGATGAGCTGGGTAACGAGATCACTGGACCACAAGCACTGAAATTGTGGTGTGAGCGGTTCTGCGCCGACCCGGCACCTGTGAAATCGTACGTTTTTCGCTCTCTCCTCAGCTTCAAGGTGAACATATCTTGCTAATCTTAACTCTTGTAAAGATTCACACTACACCGCAAACTCGCCGGCTTCGACTCCAACGCCATGCGTAACCTCCTCTCCTCCCATATTCGCGAACTAAACTACCGCGGCACAATCCACATCAAACTCTCCATCGCCCACCAATCCGTCACAATCTACTCCCCGCACTGGATCAACCGACTGCGCACCAATCGCTTCGTCTGGTGGGCCGTCGTGCTCCTCCAGCTCTGGATCATCACATGGCCGATTATCTTCTTTATGGAGAAACGGTATGAAATCGCCCACACGCGCTGGAACGCCTCCTTGATACCCGAGACCAACTCTGCGCTCGACAAATGCTACGCGTTTGGTCGCGACGAGTCCACCCTGGCGGAGTACTGGGCTCCGGCTGTCAAGCAGGCGGCGTGGACGAGACGACGGGGCGATTGTGAACTTTTGACACGCTTGGATGCGGATCGTTTGCAGGGGTATACTACTCAGCAGGTCATTGGTGCCAGGAATGAAGAGTCTGCTGCTGAGCTGGAGCGTCGGCAGAGGGTTAATAGTGGCCAGGCTGGGTTTGTGGATAATGTGGTTGGTCTGGTGAGAGGTGTTAGTGAGGTTGGACAGGATTGGAGGTTTTCTTCGGGATGGGGTGCTAATTCTTAGTATCTGCCTCGGAAAGATCTAGAAAGGCATGGATGGAGGTCTCTACCCAGCCATCAGCTACCTACAGTCTACTCAGCCTCGATGATGTTATGAGTGATTACAGGGATATAACTTAATCGCAATAGTTCTTAAGCGAGATATCAGTCAACTCTATCGATCTCTTGCTTGTTTCAGAAGTCATTTTCAAATGCGCATGTCTTTTAAGACCCTTGGGATACAGAGGGCTTCCTTGACTGCTTCCGGGCAACGAAGTAGTCTGCCTTATGATCTTAAAAGAATGGGGAAGAATAAAAAAACATACAACAGTGAGGATTCGCTGGTGGTCACCCACCCAACTACTAACTCACCGGCGTGTGGCTTAAGTACGGCTGAGCGGACGGGAAGCCCTGTTTTCCACACCCTATGGTCGTATGTGGTAGTATTGCGATTGAACTGAATTATGAAACATCGGAGTTCTATTCAGGTTGTCTAGCCCACTTCAGCAGCCTTGCGCCGCATCTTATGCATCCTGTCTGCCTCGACCTGCTGTAGCCACCGTCGCAGGGCGGGTTTCATGTTCGTCTAACCGTCCTTCTAAAGGAGGGGAGCCAAAAATGGCTCCTCTATATCATATATGTAGAGGAATCAGTATCCATGGAATTGACGCCTGGTGGACTTGATCATTCACATCAATGATCATATTTCTCATTTCGGTGGAAAGGATTCAGAACGTGGGTAAAACTCCAGCAACAGTTGGGGGTATCAATACATAATAATTTGTGTAAACACGCAATCAAATCAAAACCTATGCCTCATTGTCAAGTCAAGCCCTGACCTCGTTCCTATCCCCTTAGTCTGGACGAAAGTTCCATTTCAAACCGTTCAACTGGAAACGGCCCTTCATATATCTCCTTAAGCATGTCCGCGCCAGGTGGGAAGTCATGCTCAAACGAAGGCTCTCCAGCCCCCCCTCATGTTTGCGAGAACGCTCTGTCGGAAATGCCAGCCAAGGAGGTCATCGGAGACGCGGTGCGGGTCGGCGGGGTTTCGACACACAAGGTCAAGGGTTCGTCCATCTACCCCCTCAGCGTCGGGAATAAAGGAAGTGATCTTATAGTTGTCCTTCAGATAGAATGAGTAAGATATCTGTTACTTCGATCTTGGGGTCAGATCACTTACATCTGGATTCACCGAAATCGAGTAGTCATCAAACAACTGATGTATGCCTGCCTTGAGGAGAAACCCATTTTGAATGGAGTGAATAGGTGCTGAGTGATCTCCCGAGTCCGCATCCGTAATCCATCGACTAAAATTATTTGCAATCCAAAAGTCTTCCTTCTCGAGAGGGGAAAATATGGGCGGCCTCCCAGCTCGCCCATTTGTTTAGATGAACTCGAAGATTGACAACCCCAGTGAAGACGCACTTTCCATCTCTGGCCCGCACTCCATTTTGAAAATCTACTTCACGACCACTGATACTGTAGGAAAGGAGCCGGCGCATGAACGCCTCATCACTGAGCTTGATAGAGTCTATCCAAGTGAGCCGGTTATTTCCTTCTTATTACTTTGATCATTAAAAGACCTACCGCCATCGGAAACATAGATATCATAATCCCCAGGCGTCAGTGGTTGACTGGTTCGTGAGATAATTTGCCCGGACCTCGCTCTGACGGTAAATGGTCGCGGTGCAACGGGGGATTGTGATACAATCACCAAGACGATGTCGAGCATGTCGATGAAGTTTGATTCGGTAATTGAGCCATTTTGAACACCCCACCCAGCATATCATAGGTACGTTGAACTGTCGAAAAAATGGACATTTCGACCATCATCCAATATAACTGACTGACCCTCCGACATCGTGGCGGGCAATTTCAACTGCGCCGCTGTCGTCGTTATTGTCGTTGCTATCTGAGTTGTCGCTCAGATCTGAGATGCGATATCAATCGTGGAAATATTCATGGCAAGGAGTCAAGGACTGTTCAGATGAGGGAAATAATCAGAGGCAGATTCTCTAGAGCTTGGAAGAGGAGTGACTCTGAACGGAAAATATATTCCCCGCGTGTAAGAAGAACCAAATACCTTTTCGTATCGTTCACGATCATGTCACTTCATCGACCCATACGGTGCCATACCCCAAACCTAGGTACACTCATACTTTGACATAATCGCTGCGTCATTGAAGACCTATAAGGCTATAGTAAAATTCACAACGGATAAGACGTGGCACGAGTCGCAGTGGGATTATTGGGGCAATTCGTCGGAATATAGCCTTGCGGATTTGAGGAAGGTCCTTCGGACCATACCTCCACGTCTACTCGCCATGTTGGCTTGCGAGTGGTGCGGATGACGACGACGGTCTTGGTGAGATGGTCCGAGTTGCTATCACCACCGGGCGTCCTTGCACAGCTGGGAGTAGGATTCTGATGCGCCCACTTCAAGGGCCAGGGTAGGGAATCCCGCCCGCCTCCCTTCCCATCGAAGACATCGGTTGGAGACAGCCACCAGTCAGGCTCTTTTTGGCCACAGACCTTCCTTCAGTTCTTGGTGATGGGCGGGTTACGAACGCCCCATTGGCATAGGAAAGGCCAATCGAGGACAGCTGGATGGCTAGGGCTTGAGAGAAATCGCGAACGATTGAATCGTGTTGGTGGCCTGGCATGGCTTTGAACAGTACTTCCTGGCGAAGGGACAAGATTGTCACTCGCACGCCGGGAAAGAGCTCCTTGTCATCTTTAGTTTTGGAGAATAGTTCTTGTCCCGGGTCTTGCAGAAGTATGAACTGGAGGACCTTTGATTAAATGTCCCGACGATGCTCAGGACGCTTCAAACAAGAAGAGTTCATATTTGAACTAAATAATCAAAGGTGGAAGAGAAGACGAAGAAGGAAAGAGAGCAAGTGAGAGATGAGGAATGGTAATTATTATATAGTCCTCTCACATCATGTGATCCAACCACATCCCTGAGATCCACCTTGAAGGAACACTTCCTATCTGATCTTAACTTGGGACAGGCACTACCTGGCAGAAGAGTTTGCAGGTCCAGAATCCAGATGAGTACAGTTTAGCACTACAGTTCGAATATAAAGAAGCATATCAGCTGCGTTTCATTATCACAAGGTACAGACACCAAGGTCTTCTATACACCAACTCGAAAGCAACTCGCATCTCCAAAATACCAATCCCGTGCCAATCACCGGGTGTCGAATAAAGTCAATAAAAAGTACATGCCCAAGGACAATCGAAGTAAAATTGATGAAAGCCCCGTTACAAAAGGTAAAAGCATTACAGAAGAACGAAGCCAGCGCCGAACACGGTGGAGACAAGAGTCACCAGGCCGACGGTGACGGGAGCGAAGCTGAACTGAGCAGGCTTGAGGCCAGCAGCAGCACCCTCGCTGGTGGCAGAAGCACCGGAGCCACCGCTAGTGGCAGCGGCAACGTCACCGGAGCCCTGGGTGGCAGTACCGGAGGACCCGGTGCCAGCGTTCTGGCTGCCCTTGCCGGAGAAACCGTCACCCTTGCCAGCACCGGAAGTCAGGAACTTCTTAGCGGGGGCGGGCATGGCGGGGAGAGCATCGTTGGAGACATCCCAGTTGGGCTTAGACTGCTTAGGGCAGCCAGAAGCACCGCCAGTGGAGTTGTAGCCGCCGTTACCCTTGGGGTTGTCGACCTCGGCGAAGACAGCCTTGAGACGCTTGTAGTCGCTGTTGGTGGTGACATCATCACCGTCAATCTTGGCCAGACCGTACTTGTTGCCCTCTACGGCGTACTCGTAAACAAGACCGCCGGAGTAGACAGGGGTCATCTTCTCAGAGTAAAGAGCCTTGACTTCTTGCCACTCGCGGGTGTTGGTGTTGCAGCCATACTCGGAGAGGAAGAGGGGGAGACCGTAGCCGGTGAAGTTCTTCACCTTCTGGTCCCAGCCGGAGGTGGTGAAGGAAGAGGGGTCGCACCAGGAGTAGTCGTTGAAGGCGAAGAAGTCGCTGCGCTCGTCGTCGGTACCGCAGTTCATGTACTCGGCCATCTCGAGGCGGTTGGTGTCGACATCGGCAGCGGAGTAACCAACAGGGATCTCACGGAGCTTGCGAGCGCGGAGGTAGGTGCGCATGTCACGGGTGACGGCCTTGACGTAAGGAGCGGCCTTGGAGGAGGGGCCATCGTTGATGACCTCGTTTCCGGAGAAGAAGGCCAAGGTGTTGTCGTACTTGGCGAACTTCTCCATGGTCGCGAAGATGTACTGGAGGTAGACATCGTTGTAGGAGATCTCGGGGTCCTTGCGGTTGAGGGAGTACTTGGGGGTGTTGACATCGAGAACGAGGTAGATGCCGGCCTCAGCGAGAGCCGACATGCACTCGTCGTGGTCCTTGGAGTTATCGACGGAGTAGACACGGATGGTGTTCAAGCCGAGCTCTTTGAAGTACTTGATGTCACGCTTGCAGCCATCGGCATCAGCGATGGGGTCGGCGAGCTTGGAGGAACCACCGGGCTGGTAGTCGACACCACGCATGTAGAAACGCTCATCGCCCTTGAAGAAGGCGTTACCCTTGACAGTGATGGGGGTGATGTCGCTGCTCTTGCGGGCCTGGATGTTGGTGGCAGCACCGAGGACGGTGGAGGCGCCGAGAGTGATGGCCGTGGCCATGGAGGCTACGGAGCCCTTCATGATGTGTGGTTTTGTTGGGGAAATTAAAACGAATGTGTGAGAGTAGGATGCGTGCTCTCAGGGCTTAAAAGAATGAATGACAGACAAGAAACGAAAGTGAGGTCAGAGAGAATGAAAAGAGGAAGGAAGGAGAAAGGAAGGGATGAAGGGTTGAAGCAGATAAATAATGGATCCCAAGCCAACCTTGGTTCTGCTACACAAAAGGCCGGGCTGTGCTTGCGCTATTTTGACCCGGAGTCGATCAGACTGCAAGGGTCAAACACAGTGGGGTTGGAAGTGGAGCTTAGGTGGAACTCTATGTGGGCTTTATTGTGGGGAGCGGCCTCTAATTGCCACTGAGATAGGCCAGCCCCTTAGTATTTATTGGTGGTTTCATGGATCGTCAGGTCGGTTGCCCATGGGTTTTATAAAGAGTAATGATGTACATCGCACAATAAACATCCCATCGAACCCTACACCTAACGGGCACGAAGTCTTTTACTGTACTCTGAACCTTTGAACTGAATCTTCTACTTGTTCCACTGCATATTGACAATATACAACACCCTCGTCTGCAGAATAAGGTAGGACCAATGGCAACACTGTGAGTGGAGTAGCGTGGCTTGGGGATGACGCGCCACCATCTACATAAGGGCGATCACACTTCAGGGGTTCTTGGGTCTAGGGTCTATTGTTGTCCAGGGGGTTTAAACTGCCTACATAATGCATGGTGTGTTGATAGGGGAAGTCAGTCAATTTGATTGAATTCAAAAGCCAATTTAATCAACACAATTGGCTGAAAGCTTTTCTTTGGTTTCGGCGCCACCAAATCCACCCACGGTTGGAGATGACGAATTCATTCTGATTCGGTCAGGTCTAGAAGTCTATACATAGACCTGAGACAGCATCCATGGATGAAGAATAATGTCCAAGGTACATGTATCGATTCATCTCCTAGAATGTACGTGTACGCGCCCCCTTGTGTTTCAAAGGCATGTGCAGCTGGCACATGAAATTGGAAGAGAAATTACCCGACGGCTCCGTACCTTTCATCACACAACCTTTGGTCAGATCGACAACGCGCGATAGACTCTGCGAATTGCGATATCTTTTTCTTTAATACGGAGTAGTTATCCGTCTCGCCGTTCACTTTCTTCGTGCCAATATCCCAAACTCCATCCTCAATCCCGCCTATCCCACAATGTCCCCGGACTCTGACCAGCAGGACCACACATTCCAGACACGAGATGAATCAGCCAGTTAAACCTTCAGATCGGATTTCGTCTCTCCAAAACGCAAACCGAAACAATCGCTTTGCTATTTTTGCTTTATTTAACGTCCGGCGGCAGCTGCGTTCTGGCTGTTAAATAAAGCAAAAATAACAAGGCGATTGATTCGGTTTGCGTTTGCGGTATCAGCCATCGAGGATGTACTCCCTCACCCGCCCAAAAAGGAAGATTCACACCTCGCCTTCGCAAGACTGGAAATAACCAATAGATCACTGCAAATTATCTGAGCTGATGAATCCTCATCTAATCGAGATGCCGGGGGCCTTTTTAGGGGCCCAGGCCCTGGCAATCAAAGCCATCTGCTTCTCCTACTGCTACCTCTGCACTGAAAGCGAAGCCCCGTGATGCACTCCAGCTCGGAATGGGTGCACCATTCGGAGAAAAAAAGGTCAAGAATGCAGCCGTGACACATCCCCACCCGGAACGAGGCCAAATATCGGCCCAGCACATTCCCCATCTCGGCAATGCTCACTACCCCCGAATGATTTCTCCGAACTATTTGCCAGAAAAGGGCAGGGGCCAGCCTAGACGCAGTATTCTCAGCAGGACCTGGAGTAAGACATTGGTCATATATTCGCCCAATCCCAAGACCCTATTCACACTGACAGATCCCTCCCCAATTCCGACCAAATCTCTACTCAGTCCTCCGCTTCACCAACCTATCCGTCCCATGTACCCAGTCCAACAACCCCATAGACCCATAATACAGATTAAACTTCTCATGATGCAAATCATGCGACTTCGCCCGATTCCCAAAAAAATCATACCCACTATGCACAGTCGCCGTATTAACAAGCTCATACCCAAGATACAACCAAAACGTAACAACATGACTCCTCAGCAGCTGCGGCGGCAACGAGATAGGCAGCGCATTCGCAAAAATCTGCTCAATCGGATGCGCAAACTGCGCCGCCAGCGCAATCGGCGCCGTAAAGCGGTGGTGCATTTTATGGATGCGCACGTACAGAAACGGGACATGCAGCAGACGGTGGACGTAGTAGAATAGCGCTTCGCGGAGTAACAGGCTGATTACAATGTCGCGTGCTATCTCGGCGATGCTTGGGAGGATCGGGGTTATGCGGTATGAGGTGGCGGAGCCGAAGTAGCTGGTTGCTTGCAGGAGTGAGAGGTGGAGGATTGTTGAGAGGAGTTGGTTTTTCGCTACGACTTTGATGCAGAGGGTTATTTCGGCGCGGGAGGGTTGCTTGGATGCGGGTTGGATTTTGTGGCGTTGGGAGAAGGTTGGTGTGAGCTTGTCGAGGGACATGTAGCATAGCGAGGGCAGCCAGAACGTTAGGAGTTGGATTAGGAGGGTGCCTAGGAATTCGATTCTTTGAGGGCTGTAGGTGGTTGCGATGTGGGACCAGATGGTCGCTGCTTGGGGGAAGAGCTCGCCCAGGGGGTGTGCAATGCCTCCATTTGAGATGCGATTGTAGAAAGTCTGGAACTTCAGTTGATATTGAATCTGGGGGAGCATTCTTCAGTGTTGATATAGACAGTAAATGTGCCTCGGTCTTCCCCAGTATTCGCTGGTTCCCCCGCAGCGGGCGACGCCGCCGCTGATCTTTCCATGTGAAAAAACGTCAAGCTTGTAAACCTCACTTCACAATGCTTTGGACTTTGTCAAAATTATTCTAATGAGTTTGCAACCTAGGAGTCATAGAGAAGAACAGGCCTGGAGACCGGAAGACGCCAACAATCATGGATCGATAAAGTCATGAACGGGTGCGAGTAACGCGAATTCCCGTGGAGGTACATCCCACCCGCGAATCCGTTGCAGGGATCTCCATGCTACATCTTTGTTGCTATAAAAGTGACGGTAGGGCCGTTGACTTTTCCATTCGCCTGCATGGTCGGGGTTGTTGCTGCATAACAGTGACAGTTACATAGATCGACTACAACTGCGCAACCGATCTTTAGCTCATGCATCCATATGCCCACGTTCAACCTGGCTTAATTCAAAATTTGATCGAAGCAGTGGTACCTGCAAGTTTCTATGCGCATCAGTATTGTGTGTGCACACGTGAGCAGTCAGGACAGCAGTAGCTGGCAACAGGACACTGACTACGCGAAAAAGATGACCAGGAACCTAAGCTGTCTGGCATTGTGGGAAATACCGCGCACGATCGACAATCACTGACCGGCGGCAATAAGTCGGTTATTCTGGCCATTTCTGGGAGGGAATGGATACGTGATATATGGTCGGGATTTTCATCTTGTGAAGTTGTGAGCTTACATACTGGAATTGGCTGTGTGTAGACCATTTCACTGGCTGGTATTGCAATATGGGTCCATTCTCGGGGACTGGCTGTCCAGTGTCTACATATACCTATCGAGGGATGCTATGCAGTACTCGACCATTCTCGCTTTGGATGGCATAAACAGCATCGCACCGGAACTGACAATTCGCGCACATGCACAGTCTTAGTGTCAAGCAATGCGAGTGTATATGTCAGATCTGAAGCTGCATGAACTAGGTATGTGATTATCTAGGTGTATGTACTTCCTACCTACTGTGTAACGCATGCAGTAGGTGTGACACCTCTTCAGGGCTGAGGTAGGTATTCCAATGGACTTGCATCGTACACTTGGATCCATATCATGAAGGTACATGTATGCATGTTTCACGTGTCAGGCCACCCTACTGGGTTGCATGTGACTTCCCTTCGTGTATCCAAGCTCAGAACCCGTAAGATAATATATGCAGAGCTCAAAATAACTAGAATATAGCTGGCTGCCTAATGTGTCGAGTGTTCGTATCTAAGTACCTGTCAGACGTAATCAACGACCTCTAGGTCACCCAATGTTCTCAAAGTTGTGCATGTGGTAACAAATGTAACTATCATTGTAACATTATGCATCCTTGACTTACATAAATCAAGCCTGTCAAATCAAAGGCCAATATCCAGATGAATAGAGGCCCAAAAGCCCATAGCCCTGAAAGACGGATGCATCTTGCTGAAAAATCGCCGACTCGGAGAGTTCGATGATTACATCCCATAACAAACAAACTGAAAACAGGGTTAACTAATTGATCTAGCCTTTCGAGGTCTAGCTTGCATAGCTTCAATGGTCTAATTAACCCCTGTCGGTCGTTTTGTCCCGGCGAAACGCCACTTCGATGCCTGCAGATTGACAGCTCACACATTACCAAGGCTAGACTCCCCGGCGCCAAGTGTTGTTCCTGGTCCACCGCAGCACATCCTAATAGGGCGCAGAGTTCATGAAAAACAATAAAGGCTCCATCTATGTACATACTCTACATATCATACAAGGGGTATTATTGTGCTTTGGCAGTGATCGGGGAGCTCCGGGGTGCTCCTGTTTATAAACAATGACCAGAGAGCGGCTTAAGGGAGATTTCATCGTAGATTGTTTCAGTGTGATCGAGGGTTCTATTGCGGAGTGACGAGATGGTTGCTTTTTACCAGTCTTGGTTGGTTGTGTTGGGGTTGTTGGCGGTGGTCGATTCCTCTCTCATTGATATTTCGCTCGATGGCCAGTTGTGTGGAGATTACAACACTGCTATACGAAAGGAATGGTTTGTTTTTCTGGATGTCCAAAAATCAATTGAGTTGTACTGACGTTCGTAGGGGAGAGTTGAAGCGAGCTGAGCGCATCGACTATACAGATGCGGTGCTGTGCATGCAACGGCAGCCTCAGCATCTTCCAAGAGAAGAGTATCCAGGAGTGCGCAACCGGTTCGATGACTTTGTGGCGTATGTTTCTAAAAGTCCATGCTTTATACTCGGATCGAGGACTGACTTGACTACAGAACCCACATCAATTACACACTCAGCGTCCACTACAGCGGTCTGTTCCTCCCGTGGCATCGTCACTTCCTCTGGCTCTGGGAGACAGCCCTGCGAGACGAGTGTGGCTACTCTGGATATCTCCCGTACGTACCAAGCACTACCCTAACTTCACCCACCACTCACACAAACCAGGTACTGGGACTGGCCATTATGGTCGGAGAATCTCAAGGCCAGTCCTCTCTTCGACTGCAGCGATAGCTCCCTCTCCGGCGACGGAGAACCCAACCCAGGCGAACAAAGCATCCATGGGGGTACAGTAACTCTACCCCCGGGCACCGGAGGCGGCTGTGTCCGCTGCGGCCCCTTCAAAGACATGGAAATCCACCTAGGCCCGTTCGACCGCAACATCGTCTCCTTCAATGAGATCCCGGCCCCAGGCTTCGACTACAACCCGCGCTGCTTCAACCGCAGTCTCAACAACTTCGTCAGCATGAACTACGATAACGAGACCATCGTCGATCGTCTGCTCGCAGCGACCGACATTGCCGATTTTCAAACCGTCATGGACCACTGGCCCGCGCGGCCAGACGGGGTCTTGGGCGCACACGGGGGAGGCCATTTCAGTCTCGGCGCAACCCTCCAAGACCTGTTCTCGTCGCCTCAGGACCCGGCGTTCATGCTGCACCATGCAATGATCGATCGGTTGTGGAGTATTTGGCAAGGTCAGGAGGAGTCGCATCGGTACGCGCTCAATGGGACGAGCACGATCCTAAACCCGCCGAATGGGACGATTGTCACACTGGATACGGTGATGGAATTCGGGGTTCTTGGTCGGCCTCGGTCGGTCGGCGAAACTATGGATCCCGGCCGAGATGGGTACTGCTATTCATATACTTGACGGACAATAATAACCTCCGGAGGGTATGACTGTATGACATGTATACCAATTGTACATAGGTCAGGAACGAAAATACTGGGGAATATACTCAGCCCCTTTTTTTTAGGGGGGGGATTGAAGCCGGATGGAGTAAAAAAGAAATAATCCATGACAACACGACTTAGAACTTGTCTATTGTTAGCGACACCGGGCCAATTATGGTGGAGAAAGCAACGAACTGCCCATACTGTCTCGGTTCTTAGAGTCATTATAGCATCATGAATAGGACATAATGTATGTACTCTGTACAGTGTGTATGCCGTATGCTACTTATTCCAGTCCGAGACAATTGATAGGCGTACTCCGTACAAACCGTCAATATTCATTCGTTAGTGTGAAAAAATCAAGAAATATCAAGTTGAGAACCTGAAAAAACGGATTGCCACCAGGTGGAGTCTCTACATCGTTCTTTCCTTTCTTTCTGTTCCTTCTTCCTCAAAAACTTAACCTTCAGCTCTGTTGTTTTTGTTCTTTTCTTTTTCCTTTTTGTTTTCCTCCTTCACCTCACCCCCCCATCTCCACAGTTATCAGCTATCCGTTGATCGACGTTGATCTTCCATCATGCTGCGTATCAGCTTTTCTCAATTACTCTTTGTGACACTGCTCGTTCTGTCTGTCGTCTTTGCAGCAGACGCAGTTGAATCACAGGCTTCGCAACGTGAGTCTCTCCAGGATGCGTTGGCCGATCTAAATGCGGTCTCCTTCCACGATGCTCTGCATGTGCTCTCTACCAAATTCCGCCATGGAATCTTCCCGACTGACCTTCATGCCGCCGAAGCTCTTCAAAATGAGGAACCCACCATTGCCAGTCTGGTCAGGCTCGCCAAGCGCCAGAGCAATGGCACTGTCAGCCCCGATCCATCTGTAACTCCTGCTCCGCCCGTGACTGGGTCTAGCTCTGAACCGGTCCCTGATCCTTCCTCGGATTCGACTGCTACTTCTGCTCCTGACACCAGCGTGCCCGGCTCTTCATCAAGCGCAGAGCCAACTCCTAGCCCTGAGCCCACTCCAACTGGGCCCACCGCCACTCCTTCCGACCCTAGCAGCTCTTCGGGTTCAGTCTCGGTTCCCGATGAGACCTCTAGTACCTCTAGTGTGCCGCCCACTTCCACTTCCGTGCATTCGACTACTCAGACCACTCAGACTTCGACTACCGGTGCTCCCTCGACTATGACGACTACCACGAGCACTTCGTCCCGCTCGTCGACCTCGACTACTACTCGTCATTCGACTACCTCCACTAAGACGACGCAGCACACCAGCCTGACCACCTCCACCTCCAAGAGCACGACCACCATGCCCGATGGCAGTTTGAGCACTATCACCTCCATTACTGTCATCACCCCAGAGGCGACCGGCAAGGGAGGCTCGCCTACTGCCGGTGGTAAGCCCGGTCTGCAGACTGGTGGCGCTGCACTTGCTACTGGGATGGCTCGCGAGGTTGTCGCCATGGTTGGTGGTGCCGTCGTGGTTGCCATGGCTCTGTGATAAATCATGGTTGCCTTCTCGCCTCCTTGCATTGTTAGCATCTTCAACGGCGTTCTTCCAGTAACTCGCATCAGCCCATCTCGATGGCAATTGCCTATCTGTCGCATGATCCCGTGATGACCTACGGATCTCTCTACTTGGCATTTATGATTCTGGCGATCGAGTTTCTCTCCAGTTTTATCAGCGATTTGGACATTTACAGCGGACAGCACGCGCTAATATTCCATGTGATTATTTTAGTCCATGAATCTTCATTTTGAAGATAATGCAAATTAGTGCTGTAGTATCAAACACATTGTTCATAAGGCTGAAAGTAAAAAATTCGTATGTAGAGTAGAACGTGCAAGGTATAAGATCATCGGAATGTGCAAGGGGGTATGGTATGTGCGGTCAACCTCAACCGAGATTGTAAGATAGCGAAATCAATCAGATCCAAAACGGGCTCGAGCCTCGAATGTTTTAAGTGCCGAACAATGGTCACCGTCCAAAGTTGTCAGCTCCGTTCCACCGCTCCTCACCAGTCCAGTAACGCACAACACTCTCCCAAGCAGCGAGATCGCCGTCCCGCAACAGGGCTGCAACGTCGACATTCAACGGCGAATCCGGCTGCGGGTCCGTCAACAGCTGCTGGATAGCAGTGAGAGTACTCGACAATGTATAGACCGGGCTCCAATGCTCGGTAGTGAGGAGCGTGAGACAGATCTCGCCTGTAGTAAAAGAGATATTCGGGTGCGAGATGCGGGTTGTGAAGTGGATGGTCGGCGGCGCGAGGGGGTAGTTTGGTGGAATTGCAATGCGAAGGTGCCAGAGTCCGCCTATTTCGTTGTTAGACTTGTCCGGATAACAATAACAAATGGATATAACTCTGAACTCACCCTCGTACGGTGTCCCATCTACGCCCTTCAATACCGCTTCCCAGCGTAGTAGGTCCTCCTCATCGACAAGACCGAGGTGCAGCAGAGCTTCGTTCGGGTTCGAGTGGTACGCTTTCAGCTCGCGGATCAGCCGCTGCGTGGTGTTTTGTGATGCCATGTGGAATGTGGTATGTGGTTTACACAAGCGGTTGTGTACAAAGTAGCCGAAAGACTCGAAGTGGCACGCCCTCAGGAACTCCGGAGGTGGCAGAGTCGGTCGGGAACTGTGATCGCCGAGGCTGGGGGAAGTTCTGCCCCGGTCCCCACCCATGGTTCAGCCTCCCATGTGAAATTACCGATTTGTTCTGACTGTCTACTCCGTACTCCGTACATATTGACCGCTTACATTCTCTGTGATTCTGCAATGCGCACTTCTCGCACTTCAAAGGAGACGGCGAAAGTGCTGCAGGCCTTATCCGCCCCCGTGCGACGCCAGACGCGTAACTCGTCCGCTGCCAGCGCGTTGAAAAGTTTCACCTACAATGCGAATGCGACTTCGACCGCCAAGACAGAACCAGGGACTGGATCTGTAGTACCCAGTTTGTCTGCCGTTAGCGACGATGACTCTTCTCTTTCCGAGGCCGACACGGCGGACATCGAAGATCTCCTCGGCCCGCCACCGAAACGCCAGAAGCGCAATGCGAGTCCTATAAACTCACCACACAAGCAGAGCCCTCGTACACCCCGCAAGGTAATCGTGAAAGACGATCCGGACCAAAAGCCCACGCGCGCACCACAACCCCGACGTCTCCCCGCTCGCAAAATCCGCGATGCCGATGGATCGGTCACGGTCGAGCCCCCGTCTAACTGGGATACAATGTACAACACCGTCAAGAAGATGCGAGAAGACAACCCGACCGCACCAGTCGACACAATGGGCTGTGCCGAGCTCTACTGGCGTGCCTCCTCACCAATCGACCGACGCTTCCAAACCCTCATCGCACTGATGCTCTCATCCCAAACAAAAGACACAGTGACAGCGGTAGCAATGCACCGTCTACACACCGAGCTCGGCGATCCCACTCCCTCCTCCCCTATCAAAATCAAACAAGAACCCGACGAGTCCAAACCAGACAAAGACAGCACGCTGAACCTGCAAAACATCCTCACTGTCGATCCCGTCCGCCTAAACGAATTAATCCGCACAGTCGGCTTCCACAACAACAAAACAAAATACATCAAGGCCGCCGCCCTGATCCTGCGTGACCAGTACGAAGGCGATATCCCGTCTACCCCGGAAGGTCTCATGGGGTTACCGGGTGTCGGACCGAAGATGGCGTACCTGTGTCTGAGTGCGGCTTGGGGTAAACATTTGGGTATTGGGGTTGATGTGCATGTGCATCGGATTACGAATCTATGGGGCTGGAATAAGACTAAGACGCCAGAGGAGACGAGGTTGGCGTTGCAGGCGTGGTTGCCGCATGAGAAGTGGCATGAGATTAATAAGTTGCTTGTTGGGCTGGGGCAGACGGTTTGTTTGCCTGTTAAGCGGAGGTGTGGGGATTGTTACCTTGCTGGGTCGGGGCTTTGTAAGAGTGAGATTCGCGGGTTGGAGCCGAGTTTGGGGAGGGTTAAGGAGGATTTGGATGAGCCCAAGGTTAAGATTGAATCTCTGTGATGGGGATTTACAGCAGCCTTGAGAGGTTTCGTGTTGGTCCGTTGCAATTTCAGTCGCTGGCGAGTTTTGCAAGCTTATGGATGTGGTATAAACGCCTATGGAACCCTTAATAAAATTTTGTATTCGGCGGGAGTCGCTCCGCCTGGTCCTCTCTCTGTATTCGTTAGTTAGCTAAATGATTCCGTAGACAGCAATGGAACCCATACCAGAGCTTCCCCAAATCCCTTCACAAGCGCAATTTCGTGGTCACCGCGGGCCAGCTGTTCAGGTCCAAGGTCGGTGAAGGTCGTTGCAACATCAAAGTCAATCCAGACCAGCCTATCGGGGTTCTCATGGACAAGGAGAAGGTTTTTGGGGTAGATGTCCTCGTGGTGAACACCCGCCCTGTGTATCTCATGCATGCCCTCGATTGCCTGGGGATAGAGCGCGTCCGAGTAGTTCACGCAGTTCAAACTCTCTGCATTTGGGAAATATTCTAGCAGTATCGCTCTCGGCTTGAGCTTGTCATGGGCGAAAGATTGTAAAGCAGGATGAAATGCTGCGGGATCCATTCGATCGATGTAGCCGTAGAATTTTGGCACGAAACCGCGCGTACAGACACCAGCAGTGACAAGCTTCTTATAAGCATTTAATTCGCAGCGGAATCTGTTCAAATCACGACCGTTTTCGGCATATCCGGGGTCGCCGTTGTCGTGGAAAAGCTTCAATGCATACTGTTGTCCATCCAGATCTACCTCGAATATTGAAGACGCATCAGAGCGCCAAATCTCCCTGATAATATGGATATTGGAGGGGTCCATGTTCTCCAAGGAAGGGCTTCTTAAGTGCATTGTCGTCCTGTGGGAAGACATCTTTCTACCAAGGAGGTCGGAGCAGGTCAGAACGACAAGCGGACATCCCTGTCAACATACTGCCGCTGTGGGAAAGGACATATGATATCCGATCAACCCAATGAGATCATCCCCGGACATTAGCAACCCAAACTTCTTATCCCCGGTCCCCTCCAACACCTCAACTCCGCAGCACCAACCGCCTAACCACCATTCACTACCACCAACCCCAATCCAGCAATTCGCTGGAATAAACCAATCCACCATCCTCCCGCCCACAACCCCAGAATGCCCCCAACACCCACCCCAATCCCCCGCTTCGCAACAACCCAACTCCACCTCCTCCACCTCGAACACGCCGCCGAAGTCTCAACCTCAAAACTAGCCAGCACAGCCGCCTCCGTCTCCCCCCAAACCCGTCGCACCCTCCAAGCAACCGGCCACGCCCTAACCGGCCTCATCCTCAGCCAATGCCGCACCGGTCTCGGCGGCCGTGTCGTCGGCGAGTTCGCGCCCGATCCAGCCGTAGCATCTGACGAGTCCCGCGCGGCAGATGGGTCGGTGAGATTAGGTGCGCATGGGATTCGGGTCGGGGATGTGGTTAGGGTTGCTGATGTTGCGGGGAAGAAGGAGAAGATAGGGAAGGATAAAGAGAAGGGTGGGGAGAAAGAGGCGGCGGGACCGGAAGGCGTCGTTACGAGAACTGGGGAGAAGGGTTTGTGGATTGCGTTTGGTCAGGCTGGGGGTGGGGTCAGGTCTAAGGAGGATGATGAGGCTGTTGAGGAGCTTTGGGGGAAGAAGCTTTGGGTTGTTAAGCTTGCTAATGATGTTACGCATCGACGGTATGTTTTTTTTTTCTTTCTTTGGATTGGGGTTTGTTTGGATATGGAGTTGACAGTGCTGGTGTCTGGTAGGATGAAACAGACTATGGAGAAGATGGTGAAGATGGGGGAGACGGAATATACGCATTTCATGCGTGTTGCGTTTGGACATACGAGTCCGCTACTGCCGGATGCCGAAGCGGCAGAACCGGTTGAATTTGTTGATCCAAGTCTGAACGATTCGCAGAAGGAGGCTGTGCGATTTGCGCTGGCGGCGCAGGATATCGCGCTGATCCATGGTCCGCCTGGAACGGGCAAGACGCATACTCTTATCGAGTTGATTCTGCAGATGGTGCTGCGCAAGAAGCGGGTTCTCGTCTGTGGGCCGTCGAATGTCTCTGTTGATAACATTGTTGAACGTCTGGCGCCGACCAAGGTGCCTGTGGTGCGCATTGGACATCCGGCTCGCCTCCTTCCCTCTGTTCTGGACCACTCCTTAGAGGTGCTTACGCAGACTTCTGATGCTGGGGGGATTGTGAAGGATATTCGGAAGGAGATTGATGAGAAGCAGGCTAGTATTCGCAAGACGAGGTCTGGTCGTGAGCGACGGGGGATTTATGATGATTTGAGATTGCTGCGGAAGGAGTTCAGAGAACGCGAGTCGAAATGCGTGGACAATTTGGTCAGGGAGAGTAGTGTTGTGCTGGCTACTTTGCACGGCGCTGGAGGACATCAGCTTAAGAATCAAAAGTTTGATGTAGTGATTATCGATGAGGCAAGTCAGGCGCTCGAAGCACAATGTTGGATTTCTCTTCTCGGGGCGCAGAAAGTGGTTCTCGCGGGTGATCATCTGCAATTACCGCCGACTGTCAAGTCGTCTCAAAGTTCCAAAGAGAAAGCCTCCAAGGCCAAGAGTGAGGAATCAACTACCAAGCCTGAAGAAGAGTTACTGGAGGGGGTATCTCTCGAACGCACCCTATTCGACCGATTACTGGCACTCCACGGTCCGGGAATCAAACGCATGTTGACCACGCAATATCGAATGCACGACAAGATCATGCGCTTCCCCTCCGACGAACTCTACCAGAGCAAACTGATAGCTGCCGATGCAGTCAAAGCCCGTCTGCTGATCGACCTACCCTACGAAGTGCAGGGCACCGACGACACGCAGGAACCCCTCGTATTCTGGGACACGCAAGGCGGCGATTTCCCCGAAAAGGCGGAGGAGGACGACATCTCCCAAAAGGGCGCCTTACTCGGCGACAGCAAAAGCAACGAGATGGAAGCGATGGTCGTTGCCAGACACGTGAACAACCTGGTCGACGCAGGCGTTCGACCCGAAAACATTGCCGTCATCACCCCTTACAACGGACAACTGGCTTTGCTGTCTCGGATGCTACGAGAGAAATACCCCGGCCTCGAACTCGGCAGCGTGGACGGATTTCAAGGGCGCGAGAAAGAGGCTGTGGTGGTGAGTCTAGTGCGCAGCAATGCGGAGCACGAAGTCGGCTTCCTCGCCGAGAAGCGACGATTGAATGGTGTGTATTACGTTATTCTCTTTCGTGGCCTGTCTACATGACTACCACTGTGCAGGGTGTTCCTGCAGGGAAATCAATAGATCGCTAATGCTGCATGTACTGTAGTGGCCATGACACGCCCGAAGCGCCATCTGTGTATCTGCGGGGATTCGGAGACGATCAGTCGGTAAGCCACTTTTCCCTTTTCTTTTGCGGATTGGCCATTGAGTTTGGGGGTTCAATGCTGATCGACATGGGATATGTTGTAGTGGGAGTAGCTTCCTCAAGCATTGGATGGAGTTTCTCGAGGAAAATGCCGACCTGCGATATCCTGATGCTGGAGACCTACTTTGATAGATATTGCAGGGAAGTATACCTAACAGTAGACATCACAAGGAAAAAGCCCGTACAGTGCCGATCGAGGAAGGTTCCTTCAATTCCAGAACACTTCCCCACGAATGGGAAAGTCCAGGAAATGCCACTACATAGTAAAATTGCATTGCGCTGAGTGGCAAGCCACATACAGTCTACAGACCCTGACCGAAACGTGGTATGGAAACGGCTCGGTTCCTCCCGTGTGTTGGGGCGCTTGGTACGGTCAATAGGCAAATAAAGCTTGAAGTATAAACAGAAATGAAGCGATCTAATTGGTCGAGCCTAGATCAGGTCACAGATACTAACGACCTGCTGAATTGTCGGTTCGATTCGGTTGCCTTGTGAAATCCCCAAGAAGCTGCAATCATCTCTGTCTAAACTTTACATTTCTTCTTTAATGTGGGCAGACGTCTATCTATGTCCCAGAACCCCGATATTTTCCTTCTGACTTCCAAGGTTATCTCTCTCTGAAACTGGGAGATGTTGAACTGGTGGGCTGTGATCGCACTGCTCATATCAGTTACAGCTGGTTGGCTAGGCTATCAAATGAAACCGGAGAGCCTCGCCCCTCAAATTCCACCCACAATGCCCCAGGATGCGCTCCAAGAACTACTTCAAGAAGTGAACAGCAACTGGACAACCCCTCAAGATCGGTTTTCAGGCGAGCCGCAATTCTGGACATATTATTCTGCTGGTCCTGGCGTGACAGTTAAAGGATGGCCCTCCCAAGGTGGAATGTATACGCTTGATGTCTCCAGCCGAGTGGAGATAGAATTTCTCAAATTGGACCCATTTGCCAATACAAGGCGTCCAACGAATTCCGATCCCGACTGGCAACAAAAGGAGAATGCACATTGTGATCGTAGTAAGTGATACCAAGCAGTATTGATACCTATTAGAACGCTGTATATTTCTAACTCCTCGCAGTGCGACATCTAAGCCCAACATGGTGGCCAACCGAACTGGCATGGCTTGAAAGTGGAATTTCTGGCATGCTTGATGAAAGGTCTAACAATTATGTTCGGGTCGGTTGGACTCCGGATGGTGGGGTGTGGGTTTGGAAAACAACAAAGGAGGATGCTAGTAAGAAAGGTGGAGCAATGCTACAAAATGCCCGCACCATGGAGGAGCGTTGCTCGGTGATTGAAAAGCTAGGAGGAAGTTTCTACGCCGACCCGAAAGATTGCCCTTTTCTTAACCTTCCTTGACCGGTTATTGTTTGATTTTCGGTCAGTGTATGCTGCCGCGATGTATTAGGCATCAGTTGTAACCTAGTTAGTTATATGATACTGTAGCTAGTGGTAGTGTTGTCACTACTAGTAGCGTCTACAGGATGAATTCCAAAGAATGACAAGTCACAAATCACAAGTGACAAGGGTAAGGGGCGCTATAGACCTAATGAGAATTCATCGAGCGACCCTTGGGCAGTGCGCCTACCAGCCCCCTAGCCCGCCAGATTCAGTGCTTTATTTTTACCCGGTATGGTGATAGACCGATGAGATGATCATATTATCTACCAAAGAGTAAACAAGCCTAACCAATGCAAACCGCGAACGACTAGGTATCGGTGGTTCTTGTTACGACCAAAACTATTTCGGCCATTACGGCGGGCTTCGGGGATTAATGACGTTTGAATGGATCTAAGGTCGTTCGGGATGCAAGAGACTCAAAGCATCCATCAATGTCCAAAGATCTTATAATGAGTAATATCGTACCATAAAACGATATTACATCCACTGTCAATTGGTCAATATACCATAACACAATTGAATTGCAGCAAGTATGATTCCAATTCCTGGGCCTGTTCGACTCTTGAAGTTGATCCCTTTGGCCGCGGGCGTTTTGGCCGATAGCAGTATCTGTGATGTCTTGAATTCTAGGGTTCCAGGTCGAGTCTCGTACTCGGGGGACTCGATCTACACTGCGTCGCTGTCATCCTATTACACCGGATACGAAAGAGACCTATACCCCAGCTGCATCTTCAGGCCAACCAGCGCGGCTGAAGTTTCGAAATTCCTCCAGTTTGTCGGCTCAGATGAATACAGCACCTCACCACTGCCCCAATTTGCTATCAGGGGAGGGGGACACACGTTGTTCACCGGAGCGGCAAACATCAACGGGAGTGTGACAGTCGACATGCGCTCTATGAACTCCCTGACTCTGAGCGAGGATCGAAAGATCGCCTCTGTCGGCGGCGGCAGTATCTTCAGTGATATTTATCCCCGACTTGTGCCCCATAACCTCACCGTGATGGGGGGACGCGTCCCAGGAATTGGCGTCGGCGGGTTCACAACCGGAGGTAAATTAACGTCGCGTCTTCACATCTGTTACAATTTGGGGTTCAAGTGTACTGACATCTCTTCTAGGGGGATTAAACTTCCTATCCCGTGAGCACGGGTTCTCTTGCGACAACATATACGGGTACGAGGTAGTCCTCGCAAATGGATCCGTCATCTATGCCAGCGCTAGCTCCCACAGCGACCTGTGGCTTGCCCTCAAGGGCGGCTCAAACAACTTCGGAATCATTACACGTTTTGATCTCGCTACATTCCCGCAACAACAGATGTGGGGAGGTATTGTGTTGTACAACTACACAGACAGTCAGGTGGACGCTCAAGCCCAGGCCTTCAGCAACTTCATGGATACTGCCAATTTCGATAGCGCAGCAGATATGGATCTCATTCTGAACTTTGAAAATAGCGGCTTCGAGATCGGAAACGCCCTTTTCTACTCGAAGCCCGTCGCCAACCCCGAGGTGTACCGGGAGTTTACGTCCTTGCCGTCCCCAATTATTAGCACCCTAAGCTTCAACGATGTGAGTGGGATGGTAACTCAATTCGGAGCGTATCTTCCCTCGACGTTGAATCGGTATGAATTCCCCTTATTCTGGTTCGGCTTCGGAGTTACTAACGACCTGTACTACATCCAGTGCAACCGAGCTCGTCTACTCATTCAAAAATGCCAACGCCACAATATACAAACAGCTCATTAAGATATGGGAAAATGAATGCAATTCACTGCGTGGGATTGATGGACTGGAAGTCCAGTTCTTGGTCCAGCCTCAGCCTGTCACGAATGGCACCAACTCTCTGGGACTGACGGCCGGCGAAACCGATAATGTGATTGGGCTCGTCACGGTTGCCTATAATAACGCAGCCGATGACAGTGAGGCTTTGAAGGGTCTTCAGAACATCGTCAATCAACAGGTGGCCCTTCTTCAGAAGGCCAAGCTCTATCTGCCTTTCAAGTACCTCAACTATGCAGACCAATCCCAGAGCCCCTTTAGCAGCTATGGGGAAAGAAGCAAAGCTCATCTTGAGACTGTCAGTGAGCGTTATGATCCTAAGAAGATGTTTCAGGAAGGGGTTCCCGGGGGCTTCAAGCTGTTTGCGTGAGACTCGAAGGCTTATGGGTAGATGCTGTCGGAATGCTTCAGGTTGATATGGGAAGATGAAGGCCTAGAAGTATTCGTCTCTTTGCTACCTTGGTAATTGATACCCTCACCGATTCCATTATTCAAATTCCATGGACTCCTCGGCATGAAACAGTGGCGCCAATATGACGGGACTGACATGTTTGGTCCCGTCTGCCTCATGTCTAGATCTCTCATACTCACTTCTCATAATGCATATCTAGGCTTCAGCAACGAGGCCGAAGGGAAATCTAAGGTTCAATGGATCAATGTATGAGATGAATTTCTCAAGCTTGATAGGTAGGTATGTTTTGATTCCTGGGGAACTACCTATTAGGAGCCTAGATATTTCTGCGACTATTCGACATAATATATGGACCTATTGAGCACACATCGACTATCGGGTAATTTGATCCAACTAGACCTCGTATTATCATCGAAAAGGCCCTTATTGGCAATTTATCTCACCAATCCCGCATAAAAAATAAACATATGAGCGTGTTTCTCAAGTCTGGAATGTGCAAGTTGCTACTGGGGAGGACACTGGGGAGCAGGTTGGATACAAGTTCCCGAGCAATGCAAGAGATCAAGAATTTGATGGAATATAAAACGACAAGAAACTCATCGTCCACGAAGCGGTGAGAACAAGACAGATCGCGTACAAAGAAGATGAACACGCAAGATCCAATGGTACCCTGCACGCCCACTATCTGAACGAGCTAGTAGGCCGGGGACCGAGCCCACTCTTTTCATAGGCCATGTCCAGCATTTTCATCTGGGCAATAGAGTCCTTTCCATCGACCCATTCTTGGGTTTTCCGGCCCTTGATGCGATTGACGAATTGTTCCAGCTGATGTCTGTAAGACATCCAGAACGATTCACCGGGCAGGTCCGCAAATTGACCACCTGCCTCCTTGAAAGTGTATGCTTTGTGGTTGGTTTTCTCTTCCCAACGCCGCACAACTTTGCCCGTGTCTCGGTCACGAATCTCAAAGACATCCTTAATGTCAATCCGATGCCAGAAAATACCATGCACAAAGCCATGGAGGGTTAGCTCACGCTTCTGGGCTTTGAGCTGCGAGTCAGGGAGGCTCTTGTCTGACAATATGACCTCATTTTGGGTCACCGTGACATGCGACGGGGTCCAGTATGTTGGTCCCTTCAAAGTACTCGATGCCTCACCGATACCACCGTTCGGGAAGCGGAACTTAGCATTGAAGTCCCAGTCGCATTTGTCATGGACTCCATCGGTGTAGGAGTGTACTTGGCAGTCGAGACACTCCTCGGGCTCGGCATCGAAGAGAAGCCGCATTACAGCAAGATTATAAGTCCCCATTGCCATCATACTACCACCTGACAGATTGTAGTTGAAGTGGATGTCGTCCTTGCTGGTTCCCCACCAAGGGATCATCGAGACGGCATTCACATGGGCCACGTTCGCCGGGTCGACCAAAGAGCGGAAGTAAGACCAGGCCGGAAAGAACCGGCTGTGAAACGCCTCCAGGATGACGGGGCCATTGGGCTGAGACAACTCAGGCAAGTTGAAAAGAAGTTCCGCTTCCGTCGCGTTTGAGACCGAAGGCTTCTCCAGCAGGACATGTTTGCCGGCACGGATGGCACGGGTGGCCCATTCATAATGGAGAGCATTTGGAAGGGCAATGAAGACACAGTCGATGTTGGGGTCATTGAGGATATCTAGTCATTTTAGCACGCAGTCTTCTTCAGCATACCGTATGTGACTACTCACCCTCGTATGTATCTTTGACCTCGGGAATGCCGTGTGCCTTGGCAAACTCCTCCGCTTTTTTACGATCGCGGGACGAAACCGCTTGGATGATAACCTCGGGGTGGGACTTTGCTGGTGTGATTAGAGCAAGAGGCCTGAATATGTCAGTGCAATCCAAATTTGGGTCATTCTTATCGGTCTCACATACGCGATACTGGCAGCTCCCAGAACGCCAAACTTGAGGGCATCTCCTGCTCGAGCGGATTGAACTGGTGGGTTGAAGGCCTGGTAGATCCGATTGGCCATGGATATCATAGAACCCATGATGCTGCTTCGCTCATTCAGTAAGTTAGAAATAAACCCGCAGGATATCTTGGCCAACTCACCAGGTTATATGGAGGGCAGAGAGAGTGTCTGAAGGGAATCTGACCGTAATATGAGAAAATATGAAATGTTTCCGCCTATTTGTCCTGCATGGCGAGACAAAGAAATGAGGCATAAAGCCAGGCATTCAGGCATGAAACTCCCTTGAATAGGCTATGGGACTGTGCAATTCGGGGCATTTGCTGAGTCAGTCACCACCGACGGCCTATGCACAACCAAGCTATGAGGATCCTGGATTGTGCAGTGGGCGCCTGCATATCATCAAGATTGATCGCTTCATGCTAAGCCGGGAGCCCCAATTCCCCGATGTCTTGGCAAAGATCCCCAGACGGAGGAAGGGCAGTAGGCTAGTAGCCTATCAACGACGGTGACAACAACACAACCTCGCACCGCATTTACCTAAAAAATCACAGCCTATGCCCTACTCCGTATCTGTACAGAGTAGGGCATAGGTAGTGCCGGGCAGCCGGTCCAACAAAAGAGCACAGGGATCACAAGCCACAACGCGCGGAACTCTGCCGATGACTCAGGTTGTCAGGTTTGGCGCCTTACTAGTTGCTCCTACATAGAGACTAGTAGGGATTCTACTAGTTAGCCATTACTAGCCATAACCATAGTTACAGGGCATACTGGTGGCCTGGTTTCATGATATTGTATGCCTTGTGTATTATCGCCTGCAGGTTCGTGTAATTTATATAATAGTCTCCTACCTAGGTAGGCGTAATTAGGTCTCACTACGACCAACTAACTAGTTACATAGTCAGCTAACTAGTCTCACCTACACAACAAGGATCTTGAGCAATACAAAGGCCCTGTGCCAGGAGACAGGCCATCCCTCCCCGATCAGCAAACCGCTGAAACCGAATTGCACCTTGGAGGCGTTGGTTACTCCCCAGTACAGAGTAATCAACGGTTCAAACCGAATTCTGCCCATGCATAGTGTACTGTGTAGTGGGAAGGTGTGGCCCCCCCCCCCCCCCCCCCCCCCCTACCTACAGGCTACAGACATGGTCACATGCTTACCCTGTCCACTGACCACTCCCGGGCACTCCCTTGATTTCTCACGTGCACGTTCCTTATGTCAGCGGTTATGAGCTGGAGATAGTCGCGACTCGCGAGGTGAGGTAGCCCTAGTTGAGAAACACACTCCTACACATCTCCAACTTGACTGCTTGTGCGCAAGGCGGCAAGGCCGCCAAGGTGACAAGCGCCAAACCCTTTCGCTACCTCTGGTCTGATGTCTATGCTACAGCTAGGTGGTATTTGCTGAATCGACCCATGTGTTGCAGAGCATACAGCCTTGAGCGTTCCCCTCTTCAATATTTAAGCGTTTACCGCCATTACGCCACTGCCTATTGGAAATTACCATCTCTTATCAATGCAGCAACGCTTAACACACGTCCCCTTTTCGGCCTTGTTCTTCATCCCCAATATAGGATGTCCCATCCTCTTATTGATCTTCAACGATAGAATTATATCTCTTTGTACCACCTGGTCTATCAGTCAGTAGTTCTGTACCATTCTCAACAGCTGTAATTTATAGCATTGGCTATGGTGATTTGACTGCGGCGCTCGCTAAGCCTCGCTTGTACGTTAGTGCCTCGTTACATCGTGCCTGCGTGGCCTGCACATGCAGCCACCAATGGGTGTGATAAGGGGGAGTATAGTGGGGTCTGCTGCATGCCGGAGAGCGGCATGTTTCACCACGGACCGCCCGGGAGTCAATCGCTTCCATTCACCGACGATAACCCAAAAGAAGGCAAATCAAGCAATGTGATAATCTCCACCATGATCGCGCCTTGAGTCAGAGCCCCACCAGCGACGTACTACAGTTATCATGCCGGTATTAATGCAATCGAGTGGACCAGCTTGCGTTGGATTGGTCAAGCACTCCGACAGCATCGCCAAGGACAACTAACTACTTCTTGTTAACACCACTGTCTGTACTGCTCCTAAACGCACTCTCAATCCACACAATCCACTCAGTCTTCCGCAAAATCATCAATTGATCGCAATGGAAGTAACGGACACACCTCGTCGGCGACAATCGTGTGATCGGTGTCATGGGCAGAAGTTGCGATGCACACGAGCGAGCAACGACGAGACAGGAGCTTGCATTCGATGCCGCCGGCAAGGTGCGCAGTGTATCTACAGCTCAAGTTTGCCCAAAGGCCGTCCAAGTATGTATCGCCTGGATGGACCATCCTCCGATTCAACGACCCTTCCACAAGTTGCGCGGCCAAAGCCTCGGTCCCGACAAGCCCCCGCCGTGACTGCGTCGAGTTTAGACCACGGCCTTGTCACTAATATCGAATCACTCCCCGATGACAAACCAAGCACGAACTCGCACAGCCCAGGCAATCCCGGCCCGATTTTCCCGTTACCGATAGATCCCTCAATCACATGGCCTTCTCTTCCGCAGTCAAACCTGCATGAAGTGGAGGCACGTGCCAATAAGCAGGATGGAACATTAAATGCATTCGATTTTATTGAGCAGCAAATGGACTGTGACTTGGATTTCCTCAACTCTGTGCCGGGCCTCCTACCATGGGACAACGGCGATTGCTCCTGTCTAGGTGGTGACTCTGAGCTCGCCAAGACAATTGACAATGGAGGGAAACTGATGGCCAGCAATTCCAGTCCTGACCTTGGCATTGTGCATTTATCTCAACTCAGTAGTCGCCTCGTCTCACTGTATCAGTGGAGCTGCGCCGTTGCGAACAGTGGTGGGTCGTCCCTCGGATCCAACGACCGAGATCAAGGACGTCCGAATTCCCTGATCAACGACGTCGCATTTAAGTCAGTAGCATCCTGGCTGGCACACTTTTCTACAGAGGGAAACTTGCCCTTCTGCATGAGCCCCAATATCAGTACCTTGGGAGAATTCTCCAAGGAAGATGCCCTGGGCAAGGTTTTCACGGCCTCATACCAATTTATGGAGACCCTACGTGGCTTGCAGGATCGAATCTCCACTGGAGCCCCGAAACCCATATCCAATTACTCCGGAGGAACGTTCCACAACTGCGGAACCAAGACCTCATCTACGTCAAACTCCACGCAGAATGTGCCGTTTCCCGTTCCTAACACTGCAGAGAACCCGTCTTCTCGTATTGTTGAGCGCCATCTGGTCATGGCATGTCACACTCTGCTCCTCAAGATTTATTTGGCTGTATTTGCCACACTGCAGTATGACGTTGACCGTTATTCTTCCCGAGCTGGCTGTGGGCCGGTTCACCAAAGTGCGGTCACGCACCCAGTTTCTCTCGCAGATATTCGGTGTGTCACAGTCGTGCAGCTCTGCACCTATATACTGGACCGTCAAAATCACGCTGTGTCTGGATACTTGGCACCGGGATCCCCGCCAACACAGTCCATGCAACTGGAGCCCTCCTATTTCCCTCAATACGATGCTACCAAAGGCGCCGAATGTGGACCGGACTTAGAGGTTCAGTCTCAGCTGAAACGCCTCCGAGAATCATTGCGGATTTGATGAATCTATGACAGAGCAAAGGAACGATCATGTGTCATCACACGCCGAGTACTGACCGTGTCCTATAATAACCTGCAAACTCCTTGTTATGTTGTAATAGGGCGAGAAACATTGGCATCACGGGTTTGTTTATGCCAAAGGTGCTCTGGGTTTATGTACTTGTCCTTGTCTCCGGGAAGAAAGATACAAGGCAATACACGGGCAATAAACGTATGTTGATGATTGGAGGATGGAATGGAACCATTTGCGTAGCCATCCGGGCATGGATTAAGTTATTCACTTCCTTTACTACAGTATATGAGTTTCACATCCACGGGACGCACTTCACTCCTCTGATGATCTATGGATATCTCGCGGGTTTAGAGTACCTGTCCCAGCCCGGCTGTTTGACCGAAGGTGTGGGTAAGCAGAAAGGCACAGATAAAGGACCGTTGATTCTTACTACGGAGGAGTACGTTATATACTGGTTATGGCCCTTTTATTCAGCACCAACGTCATATATAATTTTTGCGATATTAACGACAACGGGCCACCGACTGAACAATACCACAATCGCCTCAATATTCTGAGTAATCCAGATAGCTCGCCCGTGAAGTGGGAAGAGCGCGAAGGTGGTGACGTGGTCTGACATCGCAGACAGGACGATAGAAGGACTGCAAATCAGGAGACGGTAGCAGGGGACGTCCGTCACGTCCTCATCGCCCTGACAGACTGACACCTACTGGGAACTCATAGGAATCATACCGAAAAACGGTTCATAAGACAAGAGATGTGTGTTGTCTCACTTGTCTGTGTACCCCTAAAGGCGGATAAGCGTTGCCTCAGTAACCTCAGACCGCAGCCAATGGTGAAGCCGAATTCTGCCGAATTCTGCCACGCTAAGGTGAATCAGGTCGCTGAAAGATGCAGGCGGTGGAATGACAATGTCACCGCATTTTTTGGGCGGCTGAGGGAGCTGAACAGTTCTCTCACTACACTACACTAGTCGGAAGCCAGAACACATCTCAATGCCGGTCTGAATCACCTAATGGTCCATTCAGATACTAGTGCGTACTGTAATCCACCGAGTCAACAGTTCCTCTGAGCCCGATGGAAGAAGATGACAAATAAATACCCGACCTTCAGCGGCAGCCCGTGACATCTGAACAGTGAACACCTGCCAACGTTGCATCTCTCTAAAACAGGTCCCCCACTACGTGTCTTTGCTGCGTGGAATCATTACGAAATATCGCACCCGGAGGAAACAACGGCACCTACTGTCGGCTAGCAACTCGTATTCGCAAATCTGAACCATTGAACCCCATAATATTGGAACCGAATACAGGGATCAGCAGGCGCGGCGGCGCCCGACCTGAAAACACCGAGTCGAGTCCAATTGCCAGATTACCCCGAATTAGTAACTAAACCCCACAGAGAATGGCTAACTAACTAGTTAGAGTAAGCCGTAAGTGAGAAGCCCTCCACGGCTGCAGCACTTCGGTGATTATTCACTCAACCATCTGTTCGGCTCTAACATAAGCTCTTCGGCGGTACTCACTCCATCAGCAATGTAGCCCGAAAACACCCTCAGTGGCTCCACGATCGGCCATATTATCGATCGACGACAAGAGCCGAATTGCTACAGCCCGCTCAGGGCTGGCAGATGAGTGTCCTGCAGTTGACAATGTGGCGTTGAAGACGGAGCTCAATCGACGAAGGCTCTTTAATGCATTACTTACCCTCGAATCTAGTTGTCAATAGCCAAAACGAGGATTTAGGTATATTTCGTCCGAAGCTTTTGATATTGTCTGCATAATCTTGGTGAGCCGTTGAGCACACTGATAGTAGCAAATTGCCCCGGCTAGCTCTCTACAATCTCGCAATCAACGATCCTCCGAGGAAGAAGCCACGAAGAAGAAAGATGATAACTCCCCGTTCAGAGCCCATCGCTATTGTGGGAAGCGGCTGTCGCTTCCCAGGAGGCGCCAATTGCCCCTCTGCGCTGTGGAACTTGGTGGACAAGCCTCAGGACGTGTGTCAAGAAATCCCGGCAGATCGCTTCAACACGACTGGTTTCTATCATCCGGACGGCAGCCACCATGGCACAACCAACGTGCACAACGCGTATCTCTTGCAGGAAGACTTGAAGCTGTTTGACACGGCCTTTTTCAATATCAGCCCAAACGAGGCGGATTCTATCGACCCACAGCAGCGCCTCCTCTTGGAAACCGTGTACGAAGCCCTAGAGGCCGGTGGACACACTTTGGAGAGCTTGCGTGGCTCCGACACAGCAGTGTACGTGGGAACGATGGGAGTTGACTATAACGACACCCTGCTCCGGGACATCAACACCATACCGACCTACTTCGCTACCGGCACTAACCGCGCCATCATTTCGAACCGCGTTTCCTACTTCTTCGACTGGCACGGGCCCAGTATGACTATTGATACGGCCTGTTCTTCCAGCTTGGTCGCGGTGCATCAAGGTGTTCGGGCCTTGAGATCAGGTGAATCCCGCGTGGCAGTGGCGTGTGGTACTCAGGTAATTTTGGGACCTGGTAAGTTCTTGGATATGAACAAAATCGGCCAAGGTACGCGCAAACTAATCAGGACATATAGAGGTATTCATTTTCGAGAGCAAGATGAAAATGCTATCACCCACCGGCCGATCCCGAATGTGGGATGCTGATGCGGACGGCTATGCTCGCGGAGAAGGTGTGGCAACGGTCATCTTGAAGCGCCTCAGCGATGCCATTGCAGACGGAGACCACATTGAATGTTTGATCCGCGAGACGGGCATCAACCAGGATGGCTACTCCAACGGTATCACGGTGCCGAGCACTGAGGCGCAGGCAGCGCTCATCCGCCAAACGTATGCGCGAGCAGGCCTGGATCCGACAAATCCTCTGCATCGTCCGCAGTTCTTCGAGGCTCATGGAACGGGTACCAAAGCAGGCGATCCAAAGGAGGCCGCCGCAATTCATCAGTGCTTTGGTCAGCGAGGCCAGGACGAAGTTCCACTCTACGTTGGATCCGTGAAGACGGTCATCGGCCATACAGAGGGCGCGGCTGGTCTAGCGGGCCTCTTGAAAGCCTCTGGGATAATTCAAAGGGGAACAATCCCTCCAAATCTACTATTCAACCAACTGAATCCATCCATCACGCCATTTTACCAGGGCTTGAAGGTCCCCACGACTCAGCTCCCTTGGCCTCTGCTACCAGAAGGGGTTCCGCGACGCGTCAGTGTCAATAGTTTTGGTATGTTTCAGGAAATTATCTATAACCCTACTGGAGACTGACCATTTACGTTAATAGGCTTTGGTGGCAGCAACGCCCATGCTATCCTCGAGGAGTATCGGCCAGCAGTACTTGGAACCACGCTTGCGTCTTCAGTGCGACGTGTTCCATTGACCCCATACACATTCTCTGCCATTTCTGACTCGTCACTTGTTGAGCAACTCCAAGCCTATTCCGAATTCTTGAAGAAAACTCCCGAGACCAGTCCACTCGATCTCGCATACACACTGCAATCACGACGAAGCCAGCTACCTATCAAGGCTGCTTTCTCCGCGACTACCATAGAGAAACTGTCGTTGAAGATCGACGAGAAGCTCGCTCTATTGAAGCAAACCCCCGGTAATGCCGTGGGAATTCGCTCCAACAACAAGCAGTCGACTCCCCATGTCTTAGGCATATTCACCGGTCAAGGCGCACAGTGGGCGGCAATGGGCTCGCAATTGATTCTTTCCTCCGAGTATGTACGCACGCGTCTTCGTGAGCTGTCGGAATCTCTCAACACTCTTCCCTCCACTGATCGCCCGCAGTGGGATCTCCAGGAAGAGATCCTCGCTGGGGCCAAGACTTCACGACTTGCTGAGGCCGCACTGTCTCAGCCCTTGTGTACCGCCATTCAGATTGTGCTTGTTGATCTGCTGAAAACTGCTGGAATCGTATTCAATGCGGTAGTGGGCCACTCATCTGGGGAGATTGCTGCAGCATATGCGGCGGGCTTTCTCTCAGCTCATGATGCCATTCGCATTGCGTACTATCGGGGCACCTATGCTCACCTGGCCGGTAACTCCGCCACCGGGCATAAAGGGTCTATGATGGCAGTTGGAACGTCACTGGAAGACGCGCAAGAGCTGACTAAACTCCGGGCCTTCAGAGATCGACTGGCTATCGCAGCTCATAATTCGTCCGCCAGTGTAACTTTGTCCGGCGATGCTGATGCTGTACTCCATGCGAAGAATGTCTTTGACGAGGAGAAGAAGTTTGCGCGGCTTTTGAAGGTCGACACCGCCTATCACTCTTCTCATATGTTGCTGTGTGGTGAGCCGTATGTCCGCTCATTGGAATCATGCAGCATCCGCGTGATAAAAGACAGAAGCACGGCCTGTTCCTGGTTCTCGAGCGTTAACCCCAGTGAGCACGCTATGGAGTGTGAAGACAACCTCCAAAGCACCTATTGGCGGGACAACATGACGAATCCTGTTCTTTTCTACGATGCGGTGAAAAATGCCATCACCAGTGATCCGCAGCTCGCCCTCGCTATTGAAGTTGGACCCCACCCTGCCCTCAAGGGCCCGGCTGTGCAGAATATGTCAGATCACTCAAGCCCACTCCTCTACACGGGTGTGCTGAGCCGTGGAAAAGACGACGTTGAGGCATTTTCTGATGCGCTCGGGTTTGTGTGGGCGAATCTTGGTGGATCTAGCGTCGACTTCCGATCGTTTGAAACAGTTGTGTCTGGACGTGATTCCCAGCCGAACTTGGTGGTTGGCCTGCCATCCTACCGTTGGAACCATGCGCGACAGCACTGGCTTGAATCCCGTCGATCAAAGAAGATGCGCGGACGGAAGCAAGCATTCCACGAAATCGTCGGCCTTCTGTCCCCCGACTCGACACCGCGAGACATGCGTTGGACGAACGTGCTCAAACCATCAGAAATTCCATGGCTTGATGGACATCAGCTGCAAGGTCAAACAGTCTTTCCTGCTGCTGGGTACGTTGCTATGGCGTTTGAATCCACCCGCACGCTTGCTGGAAATATACCTGTTCGCTTCCTTGAGCTCAATAATCTGAACATTCCACGCGCCATCACCTTCGAGGACGAAAATGCCGGGGTAGAGACACTTGTGACCCTGACGGCTATTTCATCGAGCAAGGAAACCATCACGGCTGATTTCTCCTGCTACTCGTCTCCAGCGCTAGCTGTGGACCAAGAGATGGAGCTGATGGCGAGTGGCTCCGTGAGAATTGTCTTCGGTACTTCTGACGTCGCCACTCTTTGTTCCGCCCCTCTTGACGAGCACAACATGTCTTCAATTGAAGCCGATAACTTCTACTCCTCGCTTGCAAAGTTTGGATATGGATATTACGGCCCCTTCCGCGGCATGTCATCATTGAAACGGAAACTGAATGCATCTTCGGTTATGATAGACACGTACGCGCAGACTGATGCTGATACCTCTGTGTATGCCGTTCATCCTAGTATGCTGGACGTGGCTTTCCAAGCATCAATTCTTGCCTACTCAGCCCCCGATGACGAGCGTCTCTGGTCGCTGCATGTCCCGACATCCATCCAGAGAATCCGAGTGAACCCGGAGCTTTGCCTCTCCTTGTCAACTTCTGGATCTCGTGTACCCGCTCGTGCAACCTTAGACCACTCTGACTCCTTCAGCGCGAGCATAGAGATCTATGCCGAGGACGGTGAGCACTCCATGATTCAGGTTGAGGACCTGACCATCAAGCCATTTGCTCCGGCAACTGAAGCAGACGATCGTCGTCTGTTTTCGCGTATACACTTTGACGTCGCCTCCCCAGACGGAGCCTCTGTCGTCGCTGGAGCCCGTCCATCGACAGAAGAGATTGACTTGGCCACAATATGCGAGAGAGTCTCGTACTACTATGTCAGAAAGTGGAGATCGGAGATCAGCGAGACAGACTGGGCAAACGGCCAGGACCATCATTCCAGTCTCCGGGAATATGTGAACCATACGTTTGATACGGCTTCAGGTGGAAAACACCCATGTATCAAGAAGGAGTGGACGAACGACACCAAAGAGGAAATCGAGAAATTGATCAGCAGGTGAGAATCCAGCGTGGCTGGCGAGAGAAAAATGATTATAACTCGAGCAATATCTAGGTTCTCGGACAATGTCGACTTGAAGCTGATCTCGGCGGTGGGTGAGAACATTCCCGCCGCCGTACGAGGCGAGACGACCATCTTGGAACATATGCTCCCGGACAACATGCTCGACGACTTCTATAAGAAGGGTCTTGGTTTCCAGAGATATAATACTTTCTTGGCCGGCATGATGAAGCAGATGATACATCGATATCCCCACGCTAGGATCCTCGAAATAGGTAAGCCAATCATCAAATGGAACTCCGTCTCCCGCCATAGGATCCTTTGCTAACATCATCAATTGAACAAAAGGTGCCGGAACTGGTGGAGCTACAAAAGCCGTTTTGGAAAGCATTGGCACCTCTTTCTCCTCGTATACATATACAGACGTGTCAGTGGGTTTCTTCCAACAGGCCTCGGAGCTGTTCAAGGAGTACAGCAATCAGATGGCATTCAAGGTTTTGGATATTGAGAAGCCGCCTTCCGGCCAAGGCTACGAGCCTCACTCATATGACATTGTCATCGCCTCCAATGTTCTACATGCAACCGCATCGCTCCAGAGAACACTTGAGCACACGAGGCAGCTTCTCAAGCCAGGTGGATATCTTTTACTGCTCGAATTGACCAACAATGGACCAACCCGCTTCAGTAACATTATGGGCGGCCTTCCTGGTTGGTGGCTGGGAGTTGACGACGGCCGCAAATACGCACCTACCATCACCCCGGGACGCTGGCATACTGCTCTTCGCAAAGCTGGCTTCGGTGGAATTGATGCCATCACCCCTGAGATTGACCAACTGTCCTGGCCGTTGTCTATCATGGCGTCACAGGCCGTGAATGATCAAGTGAACTTCCTCCGGCGTCCCCTAGTGAAGACTTTGTCCTCCACCACAATTAACATGGAGAGCCTTGTTATCATGGGCACCGGAAGCCTTGAAAGTGCTCAGATCGCCGAGGAGTTGGAAGACCTTCTTGATGGATTCTTCCGTCATATCACCATTCTTGACGGCTTACCCACCGAGGACGATGCTCTTTTGGTGCCTCCCATGAGCGTATTTATCAACCTTGTGGACATTGCTTCCCCAATTTTCCGAGGGATGACGGCCGAGAAAATGGAAAGTTTGAAGCGAGTGTACGACTTGGCGAAGCAGATTCTCTGGATCACCGTGGGTGCCCAGGGAGACGAGCCATACCACATGGCAAGTATAAGCTTCAGCCGCGCCATGAGTCACGAGGCCGGACACATTTTCTTGAATCATCTCGATATGTCGGGTCTCAACCAAGACACCTCCAGGATCATCGCTGAATATCTCTTGCGGCAAACTGCCCTTGACGAATGGCAGTCGTCGTCTAGTCAAAAAGACAAGTTGCTTTGGTCAAAGGAGCCAGAGGCATTCTACAATCATGGCCACCTCATGGTTCCCCGACTGATCAGCAACGTTGATCAGAATGCTCGAATCAATTCTGCCAGACGAGTTATCACCAAGACTATACCTACATCAGCCTCAAAAATTGCCATTCTACCGTCCTCCGATTCTTTCTCGCTTGTGGAACAGATCATCCCTACGCCAATCGAAGCCCATGAAAGACTTGTGGGGATCGAGCGCTCAAGTTTGATGGCGCTTCGTGTCGCAGCGGACACCTTCCTGTTCATTGGGTTCGGGAAGGACAGGACCACACAGGAGAGCCTGTTGGTGCTTTCGTGTTCCAATTCCAACGAGGTGGTTCCCCATGCCCGTGTCCCGGTTGAGCCTACTCAATCATCTGAACAGCTTCTTGTTGCTGTTGCCAGCGAGTGTGTATCTGCATCCCTTATGGAAAATGTACCCTCAGGTAGTAGCATGGTGATTCATGGTACCAGCAGCGATCGCTTCTTCATCGACGCGCTTTCGCGGCGAGCAGTGACAAAAAGAATCTGCTTGACTGTCACTACTGACAATGAGAGTTTCAATCGCACACAAGGGCTGAATTGGATGAGGCTGAGTGCACGCATGCCCAAACAGACAATCCGACAGCTGTTGCAGTCAGCCAGGGCCACGCACTATCTCGATTTGACGACAACTGTTTCTGAGCTTAGCCAGATCATTTCTGCTGTCCTGCCTTCACAACACAAGAGAATTGAGCTTGCTGAACTCTTCCGTGAAGAATCGCTATTGTCAGGCGAAACGACGAAACTGACCAGTCGGCTGAAGGACGCTCTTGGAAGCCTGTCAGACACGTCAGACGTTGATGTTCAGGACTTGGTCGTTCCACTCCATCATGTGAGGGATCAACCACGGCCTAGCTATACGACGGCAGTGGTCGACTGGAGCGCAAGTGAAAATGTTACTGTAGATGTGCGACCTCTCGATGCGCAGCGCCTTTTCTCTCAAGACAAGACATACTTGCTCATTGGGCTTTCAGGCCAAATTGGCCAGTCACTTTGTGACTGGATGGTCTCCAACGGAGCCGGCTGCGTATGCCTAACGAGTCGCAATCCTGATGTTGACAAGGACTGGCTGAAGACTTTTGAGGCAAAGGATGCCACCGTGAGAATATACTCGATGTAAGTGTCGCTCTTGATCGCTATCCTAGAGCTCTGCACGAGTGCTAACACGCCGATCAAACAGGGATATTACAGATAAGGCCGCCTTGGAACGAGTTGTGAGCGATGTCAGAGCCACTTGTCCGCCCATTGCCGGTGTTGCCAACGGAGCGATGGTGCTAAAAGACATCTTGTTCTCGAAGATGTCTGTGGAAACGATGCAGGCTGTCCTGGGGCCAAAGATTGACGGAACACGCAATCTTGATGAAATATTTTACAACGAACCTCTGGACTTCTTCATCCTGTTTTCGTCATCAGCCTGTGTGATCGGCAACTCCGGCCAATCAAACTATGCCGCAGCCAACGGGTTCTTGAATGGTCTAGCTAAACAGCGACGCAAACGTGGTCTGGCTGCCTCGGCAATGGATATCGGGCGTGTCGCCGGCATTGGCTATGTCGAGACGGCTGGCAAGGCTGTCATGCAACAGTTGACCCGGTTCGGCCTCATGGCCATTAACGAGCTTGAGCTGCACCACATGTTTGCTGAAACTGTCCTGGCTGGGTACCCTAGGAACGAGGACAAAGCTGGCATTACCAATGCTGTAGTGACTACTGGCATCCGAACTATCCGCGATGATGAGGATATCTTGGGTCCATGGTTTGACAATCCCCTTTTCTCACACTGCATAATTGAGTCCCGGGACACTCAAACAGCCACGGATACTCAGGATAAAAAAGCTTCGATTCCCGTAGCTGCACAGTTGAGAATGGCATCCACAATGGAGGAAGCTCTTGAAATCGTGAAAAGTGAGCATTCGACCTAGGCCATTACATATTTGAAAGTCTTGACGCTAATGAGTTACCTAGGCTGCTTTGCTGACAAGCTGCGCGTTATCCTGCAACTTTCTGATCAATCCATCCATCACGATGTCCCCCTTGTTGAACTTGGTCTCGACTCGTTGGTCGCAGTGGAAGTGCGATCCTGGTTCCTGAAGGAGCTCAAGGTCGACATACCGGTGTTGAAGGTTGTTGGTGGAGCATCCTTGGCAGAGATATGTGAACAAGCTCTCATGAAGTTGCCCGAAGACATCATTTCGGGTGTTGGTGGAGCCAAGGAGACGCCACGATCACCTTCTCCTCCGTCATCGGGCTCAACTGAACCTCGAGTGGCGCGTTCCAGCAGTCCATCCTCTTCCGACTCCACTCCTCCCAGCGTGACTCCCAGTAACGATGGTGCCCTCACACCGTCTTCCTCGACTCAGCTGTCATCAGCGTCCACTTCGTTCGAGGACCTCGGAGAATTGACAAAGCAAAAGGAAATTGTCAGACCCTCGAGCCGATTTCTCAAGAGGGAACTAATTTCGCTCGGACAATCACGTTTCTGGTTCCTCCGGCTTCTACTCGACGACCAGACGACATCTAACGTTGCTTTCTACTATCGCATCACCGGCAATCTGCGTATTGGCGATCTGGAGCGAGCAGTCCGTACTGTCACTACTCGCCACGAAGCGCTGCGCACCTGCTTTGTTGAAGACGAGACCCAGGGTGAACGGGCTTACCAGAATGTCATGAGCAGCTCTCCCTTGCGACTTGAGCGGAAAGAAATTCGTTCGGTCGACGATGTGGCCCTCGAATACTCCAAGCTGAAGGGATACTCCTTTGACCTTGAAAGTGGTGATTTGATTCGACTTTTGCTACTTTCGCTGTCGCCCACATCGCATTATTTGCTAGTCAATTATCATCATATTCTGATGGATGGTGTTAGTTTCCAGGTCTTCCTCTCGGATCTAGAGAAGGCCTACAATGGAGATCCACTGGGAGCACCTCCGCGGCAATTCCCTGCCTTCTCGGCCGCCCAGCGGAATGCTCTTGAGACCGGAGGCATGGCACAGGAGTTACAATACTGGCGAGGGGTGTTCCCAGTTGGCGAGCAGCCACCCGTTCTGCCGCTCTTGCCTATGGCCAAGTCTCCTTCCCGATTGCCGATGAAGAATTTCGACGTCCATCAAGTACAATATCGACTTGACCCAGCACTGAGGGCACGTATCAAGTCGATGGCGAAAGGTCAACGATCTACGCCATTCCACTTTTACTTGGCCGCGTTCAAAGCAATGCTATTCAGATTCACCGACGTGGAAGACTTGACAATCGGAATTGCCGATGCTAACCGCACCACAGACGATGTAATGAAGAGCATTGGTTTCTTCTTGAATCTGCTGGTCCTACGATTCCGCCGGCACTCCGATCAAAGCTTTAGCGATGCCGTATCCGAGGCTCGCATTACCAGCTATGCAGCGCTCGCAAATTCCCGACTTCCCTTTGACGTGTTGCTGAGCGATTTCGGTGTGGCTCGCTCTTCGTCCTATAGTCCCTTCTTCCAGGCATTCTTTGACTATCGCCAAGGTGCGCAGGAAAGGCATCCTTGGGGCAATACGCAGTTCGAGTTCCAGGAACTTCACCCCGGACGCACTTCCTACGACATCACACTGGATGTCACGGACAATGAGTCAGATGCTCTGATCATGCTGCGGGTTCAAAAAAGTCTTTACGATATCACCTCGGCAAATCTTCTCTTGGAGACTTACGTGCACCTTTTGGATACCGTCTCCATCGATATGACGCTACGTCTTCAGGATACGCCGCTCTTTGGCACAAAACAGCTTACCCAGGCAATCAAAATAGGCAGAGGTGAGCCTGGCTTTGTCCATTTACGAATGCTCCATCTGATTAACCAAATGTATTAGGTCGTTCTCTGATTTCTGACTGGCCATCGACACTTCCGCATCGTATTGATGAAGTGGCCCAGGAGAACCCAGATAAGATAGCGCTGGTCGATGGGATCAATCAAGACTTGACGTACTCCGACATGATATATCGGATTGAGGCTATTTCCCAGGCTCTTCAAAACGTCGACATAGGCCCTGGCTCGCGTGTCTTGGTGTTCCAGACCGCGGCTTCTGATTGGGTGTGCTCCATGCTGGCCATCATGCGCATCGGAGCCATTTATGTCCCCCTGGACCTCCGCAATCCTGTTGCCCGGTTGGCAGTGGTTGCAAATGACTGTCAACCAGGCGCCATTCTCGCGGACCATACCACACGTGGAGACGTGGCCAATTTGAGCGTGCCGTCTGCCTTCACAATCGACGTGTCTAGCCTCCCGAGAAAGCCTTCGTCTCATATTCCCAACCGTGCGCAGGGGGCCTCTCCCGCGGCAATTTTATATACGAGTGGCTCGACAGGAACCCCGAAGGGGATCATCGTCACGCATTCCGGTCTCCGCAATGAGATAGAAGGCTACACGAAGGAATGGGAACTCGGGCCAGAACGAACATTGCAACAAAGTGCTTTCACCTTTAACCACTCTTCTGACCAGATCTACACTGGCCTGGTGAACGGTGGTACCGTTTACATTGTACCGTGGAGCAAGCGCGGCGACCCTATCGAAATCACGAAAATTATCAAGGACAACGCAATCACCTACACCAAAGCGACTCCGTCTGAGTACTCACTGTGGATGCAGTTCGGGGCGGACAATATTTCTCAAGCTACACAATGGCGTCGCGCCTTTGGTGGCGGAGAGCCTTTGACCAGCGTCGTCACGCAGCAATTCGCCGACCTTGGGCTCCCGCTTCTTCGGGTTTACAACTCATACGGACCAACCGAGATCTCCATTTCATCGACCAAGATGGAGCTCGACTACCGGAACCAGAAGAAAATGGACGACGGTCGCATTCCTTGTGGTTACTCGTTGCCAAACTATCACGTATATGTTGTTGACGAGAAGCTGAAGCCACTACCAGCAGGTATGCCTGGAGAGATATGCATTGGCGGGGCTGGCGTTGCGATTGGATATCTCAACAAGGAACTTACCGATCAGCATTTCATCGCCAACCCGTTCACAACCCCTGAGGATGTCAGCCATGGATGGACACGAATGTACCGCACTGGGGATATCGGACATCTCCAGGATGATGGTGCTATGGTCTTTCACAGTCGCATGGCAGGCGACACGCAGATCAAGATCCGGGGGATTCGAATCGAGCTGAGTGACATCGAGACCAATATCATTTCCGCCTCTGGGGGCGTTTTGCAAGATGCTGTCGTCACCCTTCGCGAGGGAGATCCTGACTTCCTTGTCGCCCATGTTGTGCTCAGGCGGGAGCATCTAATCTCAGACCAAGAATCCTTCCTCCAGCAGCTGCTGAGCCGGCTCCCACTTCCACCATACATGATTCCAGTCCTCGCGATCCCACTAGAGTCTCTTCCTTTGACCAACCACTCCAAGGTGGATCGCAAAGCGCTGGGGTCCCTTCCGCTACCTCAACGAATTCAAAGTTCTCAGACAAACGGGGAACTGACGAGTACCATGAGGCAGTTGGAGCAAATCTGGCGGGAGATTCTTGGAAACTCCGGACTCGATCTCGACATCCACCCATCCACCAACTTCTTCCATGTGGGCGGTAACTCCCTTCTGGTAATCCGTCTTCAGCAACACATACGTCAGGTGTTCAATGTCGTGATCCGCCTTGCCGAGCTACTGGACGCTAGCACGCTGGGTGACATGGCGCGCAAGGTCGAAGAAGGTATTGACCTCGACCTTATCAACTGGGAAGAGGAGACGGCACCCCCTTCTATTCCTGATTTCATCAAAGATGTGACTGGAGGTCGTGCCAATCAGCAGCAGCCCCTGACAATTTTGCTCACCGGTGCAACGAGCTACATTGCCAAATATCTTATTCCGCAACTCGCTGCCAGACCAGATGTTCAAAGAATTCATTGCGTCGCTGTGAGAGAGAAGGAATCGGAAGGACGTCGTGAAATTTATCAGTCTTCCAAATTGGTGATTCATGAGGGTGACTTGACGGTACCACAACTTGGTCTGTCTGAGCAGGAGTTCCGCTCGCTATCCAGCACTGTGGATGCCATAGTGCACCTTGGCGCCGTTCGATCGTTCTGGGACAACTATCATGCCCTCAAAGCGTGCAATGTCCTTCCTACCCGGGAGTTGGTCAAGCTTGCTACCCCGCGCAGTATTCCTATCCACTACATCTCGACGGTAGGAGTGCTATCCCGAAAAGCTGAAGCCGCTGAGATTTCTGCTGCGTCGTGTGTTCCCGCGACTGATGGATCTAACGGTTATGTGGCGTCGCGCTGGGCCAGTGAGCGAATCTTGGAACGTGCATCGCAAAGCCTACGCATCCCGGCTTCTATCTATCGCTTCCTTCCTTCCATCCAACAAACATCACCACAGGATGTGCTGGACGAATTTGCGCGCTTTGTTGATGTGTCTGGAGTCATGCCTAGCATGGATGGATGGGAAGGACGGATTGATATGGTTCCTGCCGAGCAGATTGCCAATTGGCTATCTCAATCAGTTGTTGCGGATGACTGCGCAGGCTTCACTCGATTCTCGCATTATGAAAGCCATGTCGCGGTTGATGTGGGCGTTCTGAGAGATTACCTTGAAACGAAGAAAGGTAGTCTGGGACTGAAAAGGATGCCTGGTCTTCGATGGATTGGACTCATCAAGGCGCTCGGTTTTGGTTATTTCTTGACGTCGCAAGACGTCACTGTTGGCGACCATCAGGATGGCCAAACATACGAATCACGGCGGTAGTTGGACCCAGTGCTGATGGCTTGCTTGGGTCCTGTCAATTCTCGTCTCTTCTCGTTATAGTTATGTCTTTTGTTACAATTTTATAGAATCAATGGAATGACCTTCTTTGTATGGATTAAGTCTTGTGCATAGATATGTGTCATTCTTCTGTTACTGGTCTACTCCGTACAAAATGGGACATCCATTTCGTTGAACTTCATTACCTGTTCCTCTCTGTTAGTACTTAGATAGTTTATTGTTGGATCTAAAGCTAGCTGCTAGGTTGCCTGCTCTCTCTCTCTCTTTCTCCTCTTCGTCGACTAGAATATACACGGGGCTCTCTTTATCTATCCTCCATCTGTATTGTATTCAATGATTAGGCTATCTGGCCTCAAAACGGCCGAATCCCACCAAGAGACTGCTAGTAGGTTACAGTTGCCCGTTGATTAATATTGTCACATGGGTATCTGAAACAAGACACAACCCCGGGTCGCGGCGAGAGATAAACCATCTAAGTAACACTTCAAGCGTGTACCTCTAACCTAAGTGTTAAGTATATACGAAAAGTGAACGGGCCATGTGTAGGTACAGTACCTCTGAATAAAGTATCAACAAAAATCTTCTGTCCAGTTGTCAGTGTCCTGCTCACCAACTGGCAAGCCTCCAGCCGACTGGCAAGGCTATATGCCGTCTGAGGTGTACATCTTCCCTCGATAGAGCGTCAATGCATCGCCCATGACGTTCAGATCAATTCCTCAGACAGGCTGAAGATAATCTAAAGTAGAGGGCAAACCAAATTGAATAATGGAATGTTGTCTACATAGGTATCAAGTTGAATTCATGGATGCTCTGCCTCAAATTTAAACATTTAGTCAAGGGCGAGGCCCTAGGAAACTTGGGTTAACGCTTTTTTTTTTGGTGCGCAGGCGCACCTTTTTGTGGACTATTCCTTCAATTCATGATAACGAGTTTTCTAATACTGGGACTGGCGTATGGCGACTCCGTCTAATATTCCTTGAAGAAAGACGCTGTCTTACTGGGCCCCAGAAACCACCTCCTTTGCAAGGGAAAATTGATTCGCAAAACGTCTCACCAGCAGCTGGCCCACGGTGTCTTTGTTAGGATCGTTTGGATTCAGAGGGTTTGTGGCGTCGAAGTCGCCGTGCCAAAATGTAGCACATGAAAGGCGTTCGGAATCAGACTTGTTAATGACTCTGTGCTTGGCGCTTCTGTATACACCTCCTGACCATTTCTGGATCATGTCGCCGCAGTTGATAACAAGCACATTTTCGATCGAGGGGACCGGCAACCACTGCTCTGTCTCATCGTGCCAAACCTCCAGACCTTCCCTGTCAGGCTGTTGAAGCAAGACAGTGACACCCCCAAAGTCGGAATGAGCACCAACACCGAACTGGCCAGGCAATGTTGCGCTGGTTGGTGGGTAACGGATCATCTTCATCATGATAATGGGGCGTTTGGTGAAGCTCTCCATGAGGTTAGTGGAGTAACCGAGGCCCTGCAAGAGGATTTGCCAAATGGTTTTCCCTAACTCGGAAGTCTGGTCGTAGTAGTCCGACACTGGCTCTTTGAACTGGTCTACTGGGAGATCAGGCCAGATATTCGGACCGTGAAACCCGGGAGGCTCGATGACGGGGTCATCCCGACCGATGTAGAAGGCCTAGGGCTGGGATTAGTATGTCTCGCCTTGCTATATTGTCCATTCTGTGGATAAACCGACATACCTCTTTTGAGTCTGGTAAGTCGTCTCCATCTCGAAGTGTCATTCCCGACGCCTCGTATCCACGGCGACATGGGTTTTTAAGGAATGACATTTCAACCTTATCCTCCTTGGGAAGGCTGAAAAGGTTGTTCAGAGCCTGAAATAGCCCGTTCTGTGAAGCTGAGGTCACGCCGTGGCCCTCAATTTGAAAGAAGCCATACTTCTGACACGCTTCCCGGACCTCTGCGATGACGGCTTCACGGTCCTGAGGGGAATGCGGGTGGATATATCGATCGAGATTGATGATGGGCAGCACAACAGCGTCACCTCCGGTCATGATGCGGATTCCGTGCAAAAAGAAGTGACTTGAACAGAGATCGTGATAAAAGAAGCCTCGGGAGTCATAGGTTTGGGTGTCATTCAGCACATCTACAATCTACATGGATTTATATAAGACCGATGCAGCAGCAGTCGTATCGTATGGTATCCTACTTGTAATTCAACCTAACCCTTGCAACGTCGTAATGCCGAGCTCGTTCGGCGCATTTCTTTACGAAGAAGCGTTCGGTGTTTCGTGAGTGTCAGCAAATCACCGAATGTTGACATGCTAGCATTGCGCTACCCAATAATGAAGGACGCTATCAATATGGAAACCCATGGGCCATGATTAAAAAATGGGAAAATACTTAAGCCATAGTTCTCTCAATTCCACAGTATACAGCCGCCAATTGCCGCCCAAGCACTAATTATTCACTCTACTACTATCCATCCTGATGCATGTGCTGATCGTCGGAGGAGGTCTCGGGGGGCTCAGCCTTGCTCAATGCCTTCGAAAGCAAGGCATTTCGTTCGAGGTCTTCGAGCGCGATGCCAATTCGCAATCCCGCCCCCAGGGATGGGCAATTGCCATCCACAGGTATATAACTACCCCGTTGCTCTGCTGCTCAGCTAGGCCTGTCGTGTTAACTCACAGTTGCAGTATCATTGACCAACTCGCCGAGGCCTTTCCGTCGGATATGCCGGATCTGAAAGAGGCGACAAATCATCTCGCACCTCTGAAGCTTCCTGCTCAGATTGGATTATATTTCCCCAACAGGGAAGGTCGTCTTGGTGTACAGGTATTGTATCCAATATTAGTGACCCCAACGATAACCTGGCTCACGCATGCAGGACTCCCCTGAGCTCCCGATCGTCCGCTCTGAGCGCCGTCGGCTCCGGGACTGGTTGTCAACCAACATACCCATCCAATGGAACAAACGAGTCAGCAAAATCCAGTCCGATGACGACGGGGTTACTGTCTTCTTTGAGGATGGCACAAGTGCCAAGGGAGATATTCTTGTCGGTGCGGACGGTATCAAGAGCGTGGGTAGGTCAAGCCCTCCCCGAAGCTTGAAACTTCATATTTTCGATCTAACAGCACGTATTTAGTCCGAGAGAACTTAACCCAACGTACCAGTGATGAGATGCTCAAGCTTGTTCCGATTGCTGCAATCGTCGGGGAATTGGACCTGTCTGGAGAAGCGTTCAAGCGTCAGCTTGCCCTGGGCCACAGTGCCTACATCTTCGTCAGCCCTGATCTTGGGTTCTGGAACTTCGGAGGACTGCATCATGTCCACCCCGACGGTGTTTCCGGTCGCCACTACTGGATGTACATGGAGCCAGACCCCAATGTGGCCGAGCCAAATCACTGGCTGCAGACGGCAACTCGCGAGGAGAAGCTGAATTATGTCTTGAAAAAGGTGTCGAAGATGCCGCCGAAGTTTCGGGAGATCTTTGAATCTACACCCGCTTCCGGTATTAAAGAGGAGCCTCATATCTGGCGTGATCTGGAGCTCGAGAGCCTACCAGCAGGTCGTGTCATTCTGGTGGGAGATGCAGCCCACGCGATGACTCCGTTCCGGGGTGAAGGGGGGTATCACACGTTCATTGATTGTTTGGAACTGTCGAGAATACTCGGCAAGATAGATTCTACTGACATTGCAGCAGTCAAGGAAGCGGTCGCTGGATACAACGCGGAAATGCTGGAACGTGGCGTGGAGGCAGTGCGGAACTCAAGGGGTGAACAGGGAGACCGAAAAGCTCAAGATCGCAAATCGAAAGTGGTTTCGGCTATGCAGGAGGCAAAGCCTCTTCCGGAGTCTGAGATCGTTCTCGAAGCTATGGCATGAGCTTGCACATGTTCTTGTTTACCTAGGTCTCACAGCTAGTGTACGTCGAGAATTGCGCCATGCCCGCGGTGTAGAGAGAGAAAGAGAGAGAGAATCCATTCGGCTTTTCGTAACTTAAGGTCACATGTAGCCTTCGCGCTAATTTCCCTGCGCGCAACATCCCGAAATGATGCCTCAGGCATCGGGCTCAGATAAGATCTTAGGTTACGTCGCTTATCGCCCTCCCTCCGGGGTACACACAACACACATCTCTTGTCTTTTGAACCGTTTTTCAGTATGATTCCTATGAGTTCCCAGTAAGTCTCAGGACGCCTGGATGTCCCGGCATGCTACCATCTCCTGATCTGCAGTCCTCCCATCGTCCTGTCTGCCGCGCTTTTCCCACTCCATTAGTTAGAGCAAAACGTGCGACAAACATCTACCCATGCGTACCTTCTATTCGAATTTTGAACACAAGCGGCCTTGTTCATGAAAATGGCTGTATCTGAAAGGAGGCAAGCAGATACATTGTGGACGATGACGCTTTGGGACGTCGGGACTGTTAGCAACTCGCAATATCAATGGTATCGTCATTGTCATGTTGGCCCTCGACAAGCATATCACTGGTACCACGGTCGTCTACAAGAGCATGATCGTATGTCATGCAGATGCAAGTAAAGACAACTCATACCTGATCCAATGCTATATAATTCACTCAAGCTCAGTTCCTGGGTTGGTAGCTTGGGACCGCTCCTTCGGCATCATCCAAGAACTATGAGATGACATACACAAGTTTCTCTCCAGACATTGCCTGACTGCGAATTATATCAACACCACGAATGACCCCTTCCCAGCCCCCACTCTGGACCTTAGCCGGGTGGGTATCCAACAAACCACGATCCAGCAGCGCTTGGACCGCTGTAAATGCCCGAGCTCCAAATTCCCTGTCTTCAGGCCGCGCTTCACGACCATATTCTCCGTCCAAGGCGACTTTGTGACCGAAGATTGTAAGGACCATAACCCACGACGGCTGAATAGTCAAGGAGCGACTCTGTGCGATAGCTTCCCGGAAAGGCTCAAGAGACACGTACCGGCCACCGGCACGGCCGATGGCAGCGTAGCAGAGCTGGGTCGTGTCGGCTTGGGTGACGCAGTCAAGAGCATAAGCCAACTCGCCTCCCGTGGCTGTACGAATATCCGCTGCACATGTCGGGCTGCGATAGTCGAACACCATTTCGGCACCAAAGCGGCGGGCCAAGTCGAAGTTGGCTGTCGAGCAAGTCGCAATGGGGCGTAGACCAGCTCTGAGCAATGAAAAGAATGGTTAGTCAACTGAGAAAGAGATCGACACGCATACTGCACATGTCAACAATCAAGGTTCACTCACTGTTTAAGCAGTTGAAGAGCACGTGTGCCAGTCGCGGTGCTGCCGCCGGCAACCAGAACAAACTCCTTGCCCTCATGCGTTTCCGGGGACTCATCCTTCGCCGACTGATCATATTGCAGCTGCTCTAAAGATGCGGGTACACGCAGCTCATGGAAGAGGCCTAACGTAGCTGTGGCAGTTCCGGTCCCAAGGGTCGCGGCTTCTTCGAAGCTCATATGTTCTGGAATCTTCAACAGCAAATCCGCGTACGCCCCCACATATTCAGCAAAGGCGCCCACGTCCTTCTTCAACGTATTCATGCCATGGACCAGGCCGGCTACCCTATCACCCACTGATAGGCGTCCCGCTGTAAGAGCGTCGGCTCCCAGGGCTACAACGATGCCAGCGAAGTCATAACCATGGATTGCCCCAACTGCTGCGCTGTAGTCGAGCATTTTTGCGTCAGCAGGGTTGATGGCAACCGCAGAAGTTTTGACAATGACCATGTCATCAGCCAATTGAGGAATGGGTATGTCGTGTTGGATTGCGAGCTTTCCTGGTCCCTGTGCCACGACGGCTGTTTGCCGTTGAGGAAGTGACCATGTTGGACAGAGTGACGGCATGGCAAGATACGGTCTTTAGACAGGGGAGAAGGTATAGAGTAGAATTTGTCAAAGTTTCGTTAGGTAGAGAGTAGGTATTTTATTGGTCTGGCGCTCTTAAGTGTCCCATCCATACCTAGTCCGTCGTCAGGTAACCTAATTACGTGAAGTATTGACGGTGATGGTCCAATAGGTTTGGAAGAGGCTGATGCAGGTGTCGGCGATATATTATGACAAAACCACCGAAAAGATAAAGCCATCGCCGAACCTACCCAACGAACTATGTCAGACAACCGAAAATATTCCCAAGGTCGCCGAATAATGCCCCTCAATACCTAGATTCGGCCAGTGGTTCCCGCAGAAGCTGAATCAAAGTATGTAAGTCCAAAAACTGGCTCTGCTGTTGCCGACACACCTGTGGAAGTTCTCAACCTGGGAACGGAATATACCACGAGAGAAGTAAACAACGAGGTAAGTCCCTACGTAGGTTAAGCTGCATCCTTTGTACCAAAACTAAACAAAAGTAAGAAGGATTTTTACGCTCGGTCACCCTGTCTTCAAAGATGGCCGTGGAATCTTTGTCTTGTCCGGCTCACACAGGCACCGAGGAGCACCAACACGAAGCCATGGCGTGTCCAGTGCCAAAAGAAGAGAAAAATTACCGTTTACAGTCAGATGTAAAAGAGGACATTGATCACTCGAGTTTACTCGCTATCCCATCGCCACCGCATCAGCACTACTTTGGTCTGCTGGGGCACGCCCCCGACTTGGACTCCGTTCTCCCAGTACGGACCTACTGGATGCTCATGGATCAGTATGCGCCAATCTTCCAGCTCGATCTTAACATGCCCTTCCCACGCGTCTTTGTGGGTAGTCGGGAGCTCGTGAATGAGATGGCAGATGATACCCGCTTCACCAAGTTCACTCATCGACTCCATCGAGAGATGAGAGCTGTCTTTGGCGATGGCTTATTCTCTGCCGAATCGACGGATAAAGCATGGTGGAAGGCTCATCGTTTACTTGTTCCCGCATTTGGTTGGTCGTCTCTGGCTGCATGCCTTGCGAAGGGCATTTGAACTAACTCGTCCTTGAATAGGACCTGTCGGACTTCGCAAGATGTTTGATGATATGTATGTCCCACTCCATACATTCTATTTGGAGAGACAATCTAACGCAGTTCCCTCATTTGTGCTTTACCAGGCAGGATATCTCTGCGCAGCTGGTTCTAAAATGGGATAGATTCGGCCCGGAACAAGAGATCGAGTTGATTGACGACATGTCGCGGCTAACGTTTGATACGATCGGTCTTTGTGCCTTTGGTTACCGCTTCAACGAATTCTACACGGAGGGGCCACATCCATTTATGAGACAACTGAAAGAATCAATCGTGGAGTCAGGAAAGCGCGCTAATCGCCCGGACTTAATGAACCAGCTCTACTTCCGCCGAGATGAGCAGCATCGGCAGGAGAACATTGTTAAAATGAGGGAACTCTGCCGGCAAATCATCCAGGAGCGACTTGAAAATCCCAAACCTGAGGCCAATGACTTGCTCAACGTGATGCTGCACGGCGTTGATCAGGAGACTGGTGAGAAGCTTGGGTTAGAAAATGTCGTCTTCCAGATTCCCACGCTCCTTGGTGGCGGTTACGAGACGACAAGCTCCACGCTCTGCTTCATCTATTACTTCCTCTGCAACAATCCCGATAAACTGGATAAGGCTCGAGATGAAGTGGATCAAATTGTTGGAGACAAAGTCCTCAGTTACGACATGCTTCGGAAGTTGAGATATCTCGACGCAGTTATGAAGGAGTCGCTACGCTTGCAGCACCCTGTCAGCCTGTTAACCAGGTTCGCCACACGAGACACTGTCATTGGAGGCAAGTATCTCATCAATAAAGGGCAGACAGTGTCTGGAATCTGGCGTCATTTCCACCGCGACCCCGAGGTATGGGGAGCGGATGCCGATGAATTTCGACCCGAACGCATGCTGGATGTGAATTTCTCGAAATTACCCACCAATGCTTGGAAGCCCGTGAGTGACGAGACCTAGCCCGAACCATTTTGCGCTCCGTGTAAGTGCCGCGGAAGTCCAATTCATAGCTAACGCAGGTTTACACAGTTTGGCGACGGCTTGCGTGCGTGCATCGGTAGGGGTTTTGCGGAACAAGAGATCTTGATTAACCTGGCCATGGTCCTGCAAAAGTTCGACATTGAAAAGGTCAATCCGGAATACGAACTTGATCTGACAGGTCAAATGGGGGTCAAGCCAGTGAATTTCAAGATCCGTGTCCGTCGTCGCTCACACCGATCCCTAACGGACGGCATACCTGGAGGCGTCGCGGCTCAAGAATCTGCAGAGACGTATCAGACCAAGAAGCGACAACAGGAGACCGCGCCCAGACCACCTAAAGAGACGAAGGCCGTATCAATCTTTTTCGGGGGCAATCAAGGCACTTCGGAGAGCCTGGTGCAGGGGCTCTCCAAGGTTGCTCCCCAATTTGGCCTCGAACTCGATATTCAAGAGCTCGACGCGGCAACGGAAGGTCTGCCGACAGATAAGCCCAGCATTATCGTCACGCCATCATACGAGGGCAGACCGCCGGACAATGCAAAGAAATTTGTCTCCTGGATCGAAAACCTTGTTTCGAAAGGACAAACGTTGCCAGGAAAGCCGAAGTTCGCCGTCTTTGGCGTGGGGAACAGCGACTGGGTACATACTTTCCACCGTATCCCAATTTTGATCGACGCATCTCTGGAGAAGCTGGGTGCCGAACGCATCATGGAAGCTGGCTTTGCGAATGTGAAACGCGACCTCTTTGGGCCGTGGGAGGCATGGAGCCAGAGCCTGTGTATGCTGCTGTCGGGCATAACGCTGCAAGACCAGTCAACTCAGGTTGGCGTTGACGTGCACATCGAAGACGGCAAGTCGAATACATTCTTTCAGCTGACGGGCGGCGAGGAAATGATTACAGGCGTCATCGCAACCAACTTTGAGCTCGCGGGCGCTTCCGATGGCCCTGCCAAACGACATACTGAAATCAGACTTCCTGCGAGCTGTGGGTACCGATCGGGGGATTATCTGACCATCCAGGGTCAAAATTCAGATGAAGCGGTGGCCCGAGTCATGAAGCGATTTTCCCTCATGGCCGGAAGTGTGATGAGTGTCCGGTCAAACAAAGAGTTCCTCCCTACCAAACCGGTCGCAGTGGAGCACTTTCTTCGGAGTAGAGTCGAGCTTGCTGCACCTATCAGCAGAAGACAGCTCGAGATACTGGCCTCGTTTGCTCAAGAAGACAGCGCCGAACATACTCAGCTAACAACAATGCATGAAGACGTGTGTTACCAGCGACTTTTAGACCAACGATACTCCATCATTGATGTCCTCGAGGAGGTTCCACAGCTTCCTTTGACTTTTGGGGTCTATATTGACCTGCTTCTCCCCTTGGCACCTCGAGTGTTCTCCATTTCATCCTCCCCTTTCGAAACAGCAAAGCGATCTTCGAAAGACTCCGTCATCGCAAGCATCACATTCGATGTCTTCGACTCTGAAGCCATGAGTGGCCACGGCACATTTCATGGAGTAGCGAGCTCCTACCTCGCCGGCTGCGTACCGGGAGACTCGATCCTGTGTTCCATTCGACCAACGAAAGTGCCCTTCCAGCTCCCTTCGACGCCGGAAACGCCTATCATCATGGTTGCCGCAGGGACAGGCATTGCGCCTATGCGTGCCTTTTGTCAAGAGCGAGCAGCTATCCATTTTGCAGGTCAAAAACTCGGCCCTGCCCTACTCTTCTTTGGCTGCAGACACCCGGAGAAGGACTACCTGTACCGGTCCGAATTTGAAAAGTGGGAGAAGGAGGGTATTGTCGAAGTTGTGCCTTGCTTTTCACGTCCTGACGACGGGAGCAAGGGACGATATGTCCCAGACGCGCTGTGGGATCAGCGGGAACGGGCGTGGGAGATGTTTGAGGATGGGGCACGCATCTACACCTGCGGACGCGCAGGCAGACTGGGCCGAAGCGCTGCGTCAGCGTGGAGGCGAATCTGGACGGAGAAGACGGGCAATAGTGAGACGGAAGCACTGGAGTGGTTGGATTCGGTGAAACATGATAGATATATCAGTGACATCTACTGAGACATCTGTTGATCGCGCCATATTGTGCGGAGTACCTATCACCTAGATAGTCTGCAAAGCCCGACGGCCGACTCAAACCAACTGTCTGTTGCCCGAGATATTGGCTCTGCAAGCCGGGCTGAGGCCTCAACATCTCTGATTTCATCTCTACCTTATCCTTACACACTAGTTACGCAATGGCCAGGGCTCGTTTATAACTCTGTAGTTCCATGGATCTCACTCTCGCTTGTATTTTTACATCTACAAATGGCTGTAAGAGTACCTCTTCAGAGAGTCAGAATTAGAGTACCTCACTTTCACGATAGACACTTCTTGCCAATCTAACCCTCATAGACATTTCATTATTGTCAACTACTGTGCGTACAAGGCAATAAGCTCGATGGATGTGCCCCAAGCAGGGCTTACAGCCGAAAAAACCACCTACTGTCGACCAACAAGCCAATCAACCCAGTGCCTGTCTCCGAAAAATGAGATTATGATGAACCCATTGCTCTGAGTATTCTGGTGGAATAAAGAGCAGAGCAGATATCTGCGATATTTATCTTATCATCTCGGGAGAGGTGTGTTACCCATGGAACGGAACAGTACTCCGTACCTACCATGGTAAGCGTAATGTTCTGCTGGGCAGAAAAAGGGGTATATCGTAGATTTGGTTCGTCGCCCGTAGGAGCCCCGCCACAACGGGGCGGTGAGGCCGCCATTGAAGCGCGCCTCCAAGTGGAGGCCAATCAGATCACTGTTCCTCTCTCTTTGACGAGTCTCAGGCTCTTAGCCCGAAACTGCCTTGGCAAGAGGCATGCGGGAAGTCAGGGATATTAGACGATAAGCTATTTTGAAACAGCTGGACGATCATTTCTGCTCGGAGACGTTACTCCGTACTTGAAGTAGCGAGGCCGATCCCACATCCCTGAACTAAGAACTTCTGAACTTCCTGAAGAGATGAAAGAAACAGAGGCTGGACGTCTCTATCATCATGTGTGTATGGGTATGTACACAGGTGGAAGTTGAGATCTTTCCAGACAAAAGATGCAAAGAAATTGAACTAAACAGAAAATAGTCTAGCGTCTCCTTCGACTCATCGACTCTTCACTCTACTGTGGACTGGTACACAGCATAGACTTAGACTTGTCCTTCCCCACCTTGCTTTAATTTCTCTTCTCTAACCCACCTCCACTTTCAAATCCCTATGCTAATCAAATTCTACGGCTGTGGCGTGAACTGGGGTTAGCTCTCTCCTAATCCCTCCTTCACTTCTCTTTGTTTCCTTTCTTTCAGCCTTGGGACTATTTCTTTTCCGCCTTATTGGCACCGACATTCCTTCATATCCCATATCCCGATCTTTTCTACTTTGTTTTTCTTTCTGAGACCGGCAAACGCCCGTCCCGTGAGTACTAGCTCTGGCATGATGTTCCTTATATCCTACATTGTACGCTCTCGTTTGTAACATGGGTCGGTTCTTCAGCTAACGCGCGTTTGAAGCCTTCATAGTCCCACAAGTCGACTAAACTTCACCCTGGCCCTTATTCGAATCCTCCGCAATTGATACCCTTATACCCTTTGTTTCTCGACACTCGCTCACAATCTTTTTATTCTTATTGTACTTTCTGATTCATCTCGCAACGCTATATACCCTATGTACCCGTGACGCATATTGCTTGTAATGACCCAACTGGCTCCCATACGCATCCTTTATATGTCTACTGTCCGACTGTGATACTTCGGATCTCATCATGTCGAGATGCCCCGCACGGTCGATTGCCAGCGCGGGCAGTGAGTCGGCTGGAAGCCCCCGACAACGATCATCTCCCGCCCGGGGAGAGCGCTCAGCTTCGAATCCGGCATCTTACATCGGAGATCGCGACCACTATGACACGGCGCTGCCGTCGATGGACTTTCGGTCTCCGCCTATGTTCCCTTCTCAGTCGTCTATCGCCCATCGCCGAACAGGAAGCACGTTGAAAACGGTCATGCGCAAGATCTTCAATCGGAAAAGGCAGAGCCAGGCCGATGAACTGGAAGAAACCCCATTTGAATCGAGCTTTGGCAGACCACCAGTGAGAAATTCAGGGCCAGCGAAAGGCAGATCATTGGCTGTCCCGCCAGCTCTCAATCTGAACACACAGCGGAGTAGTCCACTCTCCGCGGAGAACCTCCAGCTCGCGGAAGCCCATCTGTCTCCGCTGTCGCCTCTACATTCTGGGAGTTTGCATGAGCCTTTACCGGGCGGTATGCCGCCCCGTCGCCGACGTGCAACCCTTCCTAGCGTGGTCTTCTCAGATGACGGGTCGCGGTATGGCGTCGCATCCACGGCTATATCCGACCCGCAGGAGGATAGAAGCTATGTCCCAGACCGGAGACATAGCCTCCTCTCGCACCGGCTATCCAGAAGCACAGAGGCCTTACGCGAGATGGCAGATCAGCTACCAGAGATACCAGCTGAATGGTCAGCGCGTACAGCTTCCGCCCCCGGACCAGCCTCAATCCGGGGCTCTCCCTCCCCGCCCTTGGACGAAAGCTCCAACAGCGGCCAATCCAGACGACCCTCCACAGGAACGACCGTTACCAACGTAACACCCGAATCCGCCGCTCCCTCCGTGCTGGAAATGGAGCCAGCCGCCGACCAAGCCAGCCTCCCGAACGTTGCCCATTTCGTCAGCACAATGCAGCAAGACGACAACGTCACCCTAGAACAGCGTCTAACAACACTGGAAGTAAAACTCATCGACCTGGAATTCGCCATCGCGCGAATGCAAACCTCCGACCACGACAAAACATCCCGTCCACGACACCCCGCATCCACAGGATCCCTCTCCTCCCGCCGCCACAAACCCGCCATCCTCTCCGACAGCGACACATCCCCCTTGCCGAGCGCATACACCCGCCCCTCGAGCACAAGCACGATCCGCCCGGACACCATGAACACGCGCACCCTCCGCCCCGCCCCCTCCGCAACATCGCTGTCAGACTACAACGGCGTCTCTATTGAGCAGTACAGCACGCTCGTCACGCTTCTGCGCCGTGAGCAGACCGCGCGCAGGAACTTGGAGGCCCAAGTTGGCGGCTTACGGGACGATATTCGGCTCCTGCAGCGGGCGACGATGCAGCCTATGCGTCTTCGTCGGGATCTGAGTGATTCGGGTAGTTCGCCGAGGGATGATAAGGGGGCGGATAGTGAATCCGAGTGGGATCGGTCGGAGATTTATTCTCGGGATGATCCTTTTGGTCAGCCGAAGTGGGAGAGGCAGAGGGTTGTTACTGCTCCTATGATCTGATCTTCGTTCTGGTTAAGAATATGTCCAGCGCATGTCTGCTCGGAGCTATGCTACCTCCGCTTAATACCATACTTTATGAATGTGATTTCGGTAGCTGTCACAGTATTAATGGCCATACAGTGTCTTTTTCTACCTTTCCAGTAGTAAATAGAGCGCGTATGTCCTATGTCTATATTTCCTGCCACAATTGATAGGATATGACATACCACCTTAGTTCATGTCCACTCCACGGGCGCCAATGACTCACAACAACTCATATACGAGCACTTCCTACCTATTCGGGCAGAACTCATCTGCTTGCCGCACAGACTCACCATAGGCCACATCCCCTATCTAGCCCTAACTATTCAGCTACTTCACCACCTCTACACTCCCAACTTCTTCCTACCAACTACCTACACAGCACGATATCAACCCATGGACTCAGTCACTCAGAATCTCGATTATATATAAAAAACATAAAGAAAAAAAAAAGGGTATAAACACATCCCCAAGCCCCAACCACCCGAATCCCCATCGAAGATCCCATAGAAACAGACATCACCCGGGCATAAAACATATAAAACCAACAAGCTATACCTAGTTATGGCTATAAGTGCCCAGCCATACCCTAGAAACCAGGCAACGTAACATTAACATCCCTAAGCGCACCCACAACATCCAACTTCACATGCAACGTATTCGCCCTCAACGCCTTGGTATAGTACGACAGCTCCTTTCCGGCATACACGCTCTTGTTACCGGCGATGTCGAAGGGCAGGATCCCGTCCTTGTAAGGGTTTTTCTTCGAGGTAAGGAAGCTGATGACGTAGCCGTGGTCGACGGTTCCCACTATGGGGACGATGTTTTCGCCTGGCTTGAGGACGAGGTCGTGGAGCCTGGTTTCGCCGAGGTAGTGGCCGTCGAGGGAGAGGTCGAAGGTCACGTTGCCCTGTTATTTATTAGTACAACAGTCATATGAATTTGAATAGGGTGTGTGAGAATGGGTATGTAAGGATGTGATAGGGTGAGAGGGAGAGGAATTTACCATTGCGATAGTCATGACGGTTGGATTGGGAATGGAAACTGTGCCATTCATGCCGATACCATTTACTGGTGGGAACATGATGTGGAATTCCGTAATGGCGAAGCCTTTGAGTTTGTTTAGACCTGTGTTGTCTGTTAGTTTTCTTTCCTTTTCCCTTGTATAACCCGAGTATACCTCGACATCCACACGGAATGAGTCAAGAGGTCGGGAGAACATACCCTTCATCGTAACAGTCTTATCATAAGTAACATGCGTCTTAGGCAAACCACCCTGCTTAAGACCCGGCTTCCCCTTAATCCTCAAATCCAGCTCCTCCTGCAACATAACAGCTACATTGAAATCACCAAAAGCATCGACATCGGTCAGATCAACCTTCTGCACAACGTGGATCTCAGCACCGTCCTTGGACTTGACCTCGGGCACGGTGACGGTAGCGAAAGGACCGTCGGCACCGCCGAGAGAGACCTCTGCGTCGAACTCGTAGATCTTGGGATGATAGGAGCTGTCTGTGCCGAGGATCTGCTGCTGGTCGAGATGGAAGGATTCGGGGGTTGGGTCGCTGATGATCATTGATTTGATCTGCAGGGTGGAGTCGTTGACGGCGCTTTGGGCGATCTTGGGGTAGGCGACGTAGATACTGGGATTTTTGTCAGGACTCAGTGGATGTTGCTGGCGCTATTGCTTCGGAGAGTAAAGTAAAGAAGTAAAGGAAGAAGCACTTACACTGGCAACAAAATAACCAAGAAAACCACAATGAAGACAATAACATGAACCCACCACCACTTCTTAAAGTGGGCTTTGAGACGCGAGCCGAAGCTCTGCTTCGTCGGCACTGCGGTGACAGGCGCTTCATCCACGACTGAAGTCTTGGTGGTCGACATTTTATGCGACTGCGTTCTTTGGGTCAGGGCTGCGATTTCAATTGCTGGGGTGGGGAGAAGAGAATATATGAACAGCCACTGAACCTACCTTCGGACACAGCCCAGAGCTGACAAAAAGAAAAGGGAACTCGACGCAAAGATCCGGGGGGTAAGTAAGAAGTGAAACTAGTACAATGCACAATCTCCGACAAAGAACGTGGGTACTACTTTATAATAAGTCAGGTAGCTCTTATTAAACGGGTTCGCTAAATAAGTCTATAACAAGGCCAGAACCTATATCAATTAGCATCACATGTGCAAGAAATAGAAGAAAAAAAGCCACATAAAGCACCGAAAAAGAGTAAAAATGAGAGAAGGCAATTGGTTTGTGGCGTGGCGTATTGGCGTATTGGCGGAAGTATAGTTGGCTTCATTGTCATTTGGAAAAATTTTCTGTACCTGACTACTATCCAGCTAAGTGCGTAAAAGCCTAAGTATCTGTATACGTAGTAGTACTTGATACGACTCTCTCCACCTATGGAGTCCTCCGGATTTTCGTTGCGGAGAAGTCTGGAGTCCAGGCTCCATATACATCCATGTTCATGTCTCAGGTCTCAGGTCACAGGTCAGTGGAGACTGGAGAGCAGAACCTGGGGATTAAGAGTAATCGCACATGAAGATTCCTACAAAGAGGGGGGGGGAAGCGGCCGAGGTGGACTTTGCTTGATCTGACAGAAAGACGGGTTGCGTCGGGCCAAGCATCTGTGTAAGCTGTGCTACTGTGGTTGTTCGAATGCTGTGCGAGAGATTGCAGACTTTCTGGAGTATGTATGTTGCACTGGGTCAGACGACAGTCTGATTGGACGATTTCTGAAACTAGCAGCAGGGTTAGCGTGCCAAGGGGAGGCGACGGAGGCAAGAAGGGGTGGGGGAGGATATAGGGTTTATATACGGGGGGGGAAGCAGCGGAGATGGTCTGTAGAAGGCTATTCTGGAGGACAAATTAATTAAAAGGAACGCCACCAAGTGTTTTATGGGCAATTCCAACCCCCCTGGAGTTGGTCTAAACGAGTTGGGTCAATGCTCCGGGGTCCGGGGGGCCAAGGAAAAGGGGCCTGGGGAACAATGCGGAGTGTGGAGTAGGCTGGAGTAGGAGAACGCTGTCTTATTCATGAGTTCATGATCCAATGCAAATAAGATACAAAGAGTGTCCAATAGACAAAAAAAAAAAGGGTATCCACGAAGAAAAGAATTAATATGACAAGCTCGGTCGCAGCCCAGCTCTGAAGAAATGAAAAGGTGAGAATTTGAACAGAGAAAAGGAGGAAAAAATAATCGGCAGAACGCTCCAAACATACTGCAAGATCAAGATGCAAAATGAATGGTAAGACTCCGACAAAGTCGAAGCAAATGCAAAATGAGACAGTCTATGCCTCCGGAGCACTGCTCTTCTTGCGTTGGAAGATACTTCGAGTACGCGACTTGCTGCGCGGCTTCTTGCCCTTCTCGCCGCTGGCATTTCGGCCACGGGAGCGGGTCGCCTCGCTCTCATTGTATTTGTCTTTATAGATCCTGTGAGACAATTAGTGACTGCACATTCTGCACTTTCGAAACTGTATCAACGTACCAGCTGTTTCCAACCATACTCATGCCCTGCGACTCAGCCTGCCGGTAGAACCGAGCCGCCTTCTTCATATCCTTCTTACAGCCCACTCCCTCCGCGTAACAGAATCCGGCCTCGGCCATCGCATCCACATCGCCCCATTGACCGGCAATCTCGAAACAGCGTAGGGCAAGCGACTTATCCTGATCAATGCCCCACCCGTTCAGATAGCTGACGCCCAATTCGTAGATGCTAAGCGCGAATTGGGCCCGGTAGGCCTTTTGTAATTCCTTCGCCTTCGACGCACCAGGGGCATCGGGATTGGCCAACATTTCCAATCCGACCGAATCCACCGCTTTGCGTAACCATCGGACGCCTTCTTTCTCATTAGACCGCATCCCCCAGCCATGCCGACACGCGAGCGCGTACAGCAGCATGCCCGTCGGATGGTCCTGTTTCGCGGCAACCCGCAGGTGATACGTCGACTCACTTAGAGAGCCGCGTTCGTGGCATTCGATGCCCTTGGCAACGTGGTCATCGGCCGTCAGTCCAGACGCCGTGACATGAGTGGTGGCGGTTGTGGGTCGTGTGGTACTCGCCGAATCTGCAGAAGACACCGTCTCAGCCTTGTCGTTGATCGTCTGTCGGACACTGTCAACGGAGGGCCGCACGGGCTCCACTGTCGAGGGCGCAGGCGAGGGTTGGAGATTTCGCTGAGACGGGGGGTTTGGGTTTGAGGGTGATGGTGGGATTTCGGGGTCGCAGGGGCCCTGGAAGCAGGAACTTCATGCATGGAGTGAGGCTTGGGTGATTGCTCCATCTGGCGGTGGTGGGTAGGAGACGGTGTTCGTGTCATCCGCAATGGCTCCTCGGAAGCTTGGGGGGCCGTCTGCTCAAACAGCGGCCCGTCCCACTCAAAGTGAGGGGTCTGCAAGCCTGCGAAGATGACCGAATCTCTCGAAAGGAAGCGCCCGCGCGGAAGTGCGTATTTGGCATAGACATATGACGAAACGGCGGACGAGGGCTCATCCTCACCGGGTGCAGTCGACGCGCCTTCTTCGGTCGATAGTGTAAGCGGAGTCGGTTTGCTGCGTCGATGCATCTGATTCGACACGGAGGCATTCGTCGATTCCGTAGGCGTGGAAGCCCCAGGGGCAGACAAGCTGGTGCTCGACCGACTCAGCGGTCGCGAGAAATTGAAGGAAGGCCGAGGGAGGTAATTTGTGCCCGTGCCCGAGGTTTCTGAGCTCAGCGATGGCGACCGCGGATGTGGTCGCGCAGGGAACGTCGACATGGGTGAATATGGCAGCGACACCGCGCTTCCAGATGACAGCTTGCGCGGTTTGGAGAACGTGGACCCGCCGTTGGAGCTGCTGTACTCATCGTCGGAGCTCTCCGAATGCGCCACGCGCGCACTGCTAGATGGGCGCGAGTGCGGCGATACGGGCGGTGCCAGGGTGCGTGGGATGTGCAGTTTCGAAGCCGACGAGTCGGTCGACGTGCCTTGTGGCTCCGCAAGCGCCACACCAACCGACGCGCCCTTTGCTCCACTCGCCAGCGATGCCACATCCTCGGGGGACTCCGCGCGCGGCATCCCATACATCGTTGTCCGAGGTGTCACATCCTTATCATCATCTTCGTAATAGCTGTCTGTGGTGCTCGCATGGGAAACCGAACTGAATCGAGGATGTTCGGAGACAGGGCGGTACTTGTGTTCCTCGTATTCGGGGAGTCCCTTCTGAGTGGGTTGGCGGGTGAGTTCGGTGCGGGATTCGGTCGACGACTTGGAACGGTAGAAGCCCGGGCGGCCTTGCGAAAGCGATCGAGCGACGCTCGACGGCGGCAGCCGACTCATGCGGCGGTCTCCTCGTTGAGACTCATCGAGTTGTCGGGCTAAGTAGCGGCCCTGGGCGGCGAATGCGTCGAGGGGGAGAGTGCGGGAGGAACTTCGCCGTCGAAATGCGCCACTCGCGGGGAGGACATTCCACTCCGCAAGGTATCGTGAGATGTGGAGCGACACTCGCTCAGTTTCCCTCGCATATTCATTGTGTAGAAAGTGGTATTCTCCGTTGATTCCCAAGTCCAGAGTTTTGTGCAGGCAACGGTGTTACAAATGAGCGAATATGAAACAGTCGGTTATTCAATCATTTATCGCCAGTCGGTTGGAGGTTTCAAATATTGCGCAAGCATCGGAGAAGATTATTGTAGTTGAAGATGGTCGTCTGAAGGTCGCCTTTGTACGGCCGAGTTGCAGATAACACACAAAGGGGGGGGGGGTTGTTTGGGCGGGGAGGCAGAATGATAGAGCCAAAGGAATGACAGCCCTACGAGATCGAAGGAAGACAGTATGTAGATTCTCAAGGCATGAGAGGGAACAATGTGTACAGACGTGAGAAAGGAGAAATAGAGGGAGGAAGGAGAAAAGCGGAAGGGTCCTGACGATCACAATGCAAGACGATGAGAAGCCCCATGCACTAGAAAACAGAAACACTGGGCTCCACTGGATGTTGACAAGGGATCGTCTCAGGGGAACTTCAGACTGCTTCAGGGGGAAGATTGAAATGGGGTGCATCAGGTGTTTATTGTTATTGGCTATGCTATTGGGAGCTACTACAGTAGTTACTACCCGACTAGTTACATGTAACTAGTACTGGCCATTCTCAGGCTATCTGACCACTCCTCAGTAACTGACGATGTCTTGACTCTCTGCCAGTCTCTGGTTGATTTGACCCGCAATCTTCTAGAACACGAAGCTTTGAGGCTGTTCCTCTGCCGTCTCCCCACACGGGTTTCATTGGAAAATGCACTGATGCAGACTTTGAATCATCTCTGAACGAAAGATACATGTCAGATTAGAACAGTAAGCTTCTTGGACCCAATCAGTCAACAAATTACTGTGTACTTGAATAGTGTATCCGTAGTTATGGGCAATAATCCAGAGATGTGGAAATGTTCACACAGTAATTCATTTTCGGTCAAGGAAAAAGGAATTACCGGTACTGTAATCAGTGTGAAATCTCATGAGTGTAATGTAATTTAATCTGGAAATTGGCCAGAGTCATTGTGGAGACTCCATAGATCTATGGGCGCCTAACCAACACAACGTCAACACCCTTGGTCTAGTTATCTCAATGACCGAGATCGCAACCGTTTGGGAAGAAGGGTTCCCAGTGAGCACTCATTCATGATTCAAGCACAATCCATCAGTCAGCAGAGCACGTTTGAGGGAAGGTAGGCATTCGCGTCTGTGAAGCCTCGGTGCGTCCCTCCGTGAGCACGGTCTAGGACGACGACTTCACCCGGTAAATGCTTCGACTGCAGCCGATTCCATGAACGCACATCTAGTATGGCTATTTTAGCAGCCAATCGACCGTCAATTGGCGTCGTGGTGTAAATAAGTGTTTCCGTCCGCTGGTGAAATGATATTGCCCAGGAGAGAGATGCATCACAATCCTCAACGTGTTCTTCTGGATCACTGACGACGAAGATCAAGGCCATTATGGATTCTAGAAACACGATATCTCATCCTAACTCAAAATATACTAGTCACTCCGTACGTACTCCGTGTTTAGTCGGATCTATTGTCCATTAAAACGCCAGATCGATGTGCATTCATCACCCGGTGGATCCCCTGACCGCGAACAGACCCTTTTCATCCCGGCAGTCTCACTGGGCAAGGCTTGCATCGTACGGAGTACATTGTCCACTATCCACTATTCTATCCTCTCCGAGTCAATATACGTGCTATTCGTTGTTATAACACCTACGACTAAAAATGGAGACAAAGATACACGTATCAGAAGACATCCCTCACCCTTTGGAAAGTGTTACCTACTCCAAGTCCAGCGGGGACCAGCCCATGGTTCAGCGAGCCGTTCCATGCGCACTCTCGGGCTGGATCGCCAATGATATAGAAGCGGGTGGATCCAGGACTATCAGTGTCTCAATTAGGCGGCTGTCACAATTGAAACTAATCTCAGCGGTTTCAGACTGTGACTTGTACACCTCCAGCGCTGATCCACGAGAAGAATATAAGCAATGGCAAGAAACTACAAGGGAGGATTGATACATTGTCAGATCTTTAGAGCCAGCCTAGAGCTCGTCTTTGGTTTTGATTCGGACTGAGTTCAGCGTGCTCTCGCAGTCGCAGTTACACAACTACGGAGTACAATGCCCGAAATGCTTCTGGGATCGAGTTAGGAACTCTCTATAGTCGGCTTTTGTCTCCAGTTCAATTGTATGACTAGCTGGCTTTTACTGAGTTACTTCAACTCAGATTACCACAGCTGGCGATATCACCGGCTTAGAAAGAGCAATGATCTAACCTACTAGGTCAAAAGGACCTACACACCGAAAGGGTATGGAAACGGGAAACTCATTCAGCGAGATAACATGATGGACTTCGATTGAGCCATCGTCAAAACCCTTGATCGTGCCAGACATGCGTGGCAAGCTGCTCCAAACTAGCCTCGTCGAGGGTGATGTCCCTTTCGTTGGGGATGCTCGGCAGGCGAAGAAACAGCTTCTCAAAGCTGATAATAAGCGGCTGGCCCTGGAAGTAGAGATGGCCATTCTCGCCTTTGCTGACCGAAACGATTTGCTGACATTTGACCTTATCGTCCACAAGTTCCCATGCCTCCAGCACGATGTTAGGCGAGCTCCGACCGATCTTGATTGTGAGAACCACTTGAACATCGCCGTTGGACTCAGAAAGCCAGAACCGAGCATCCGACATCAATTTACAAGGCGATTCTGAAAAGCCCGTTTCCACAACAAGCGAGGGCCATTTATCCGTTCGAGCTCGAGGAAGACTGTCTGGTACATATTGGCAGTCAGGCTGTTTAGCGGAGCCATTTTCTGCTATGCAAGAGGCAGATCGAAAGAGTTGAAGATTGTTATCGAGGTCCATTGGCCTAAGACAATCAATCAAGAGCTTTGCGAATACGTGTGCGGTAATGTCATGAGCGCGTAAGACTGTCGTTTTGACCAGGAGAAGGTCCTGGGAAGAGTCGTAAGAATTCCAGCAACGCTCAAGGACCATTCTGTTCGTGTTGAGGAAGTCGCGATTGAAGGTCTGCTTGTTAACGTTGGTGAAGAGCACCCATTCACTCGCCTCGAATTCCTCTTTTTGGCGACTCTGTTCCATCTTTATAAATTCTAGAAACTGTTCAGTTCCCTTGTATGGATACCTTCTGATCGAGGGTCCTAGACCACCGAGGAAGCCGCTACTAGAGGTCTCGTTTGCAGACTTCGACATGATGGCCGCGTTCACACGGTTAGTGTGAAAGAAGAAACATGTCGTACTGACTGCAGTCTGCAGACATTAAGAATCGTCATTGAGGACTGACGCTAACGTGACGTGACCTGTATCTGTGCTAGTCATCCTCAAAAATGAAGGTTTGCCAATTTTGGGACCGTATAGTTATCGGATAAAGCAGGAGTGACTTCAATGTAACCGTATAGAAAACGGCAATGGCGCCGTTCGAACTTTCGTCTTTGCTATCCTACTCTTCTTCCTTTTCTCTACTTCAGCTTCGTACACCGAGTGTCACCTACACCGCGACAAAATGCGCCGAATACCACTAACTACCCTCTTCAACGTCAACCCCCCAACAGACCAAAACCACCATTTCGAAACCTCCTGGCTCCTCCCCCATCCATCCTCGCCGCTCTCCGCGCCCTAATCGCCCTCTACATCTTCACAACCATTTTCATCTTCTGGGGCTGGAATGGCACACACGGGAATGCCGCGGTAATCGGCCAATCTTTCAGCTTCTTCACCTGGTTAACCTACTGGGGAATCGGATTCTACATGCTCTTTGCAGCAATCCATACAGCATGTTATGCACGGACAGGTCGTTCGTTGCTCGACCGGTGGCCTCGCGGGTTCCGCATCTTGCATAGTCTGCTATATACGACGATCACGACGTATCCGTTTCTTGTGACGATTGTCTTTTGGGTGTTATTGTTCAGTCCGCCGTGGTATGGGGAGACGTTCCTTGGGTGGCAGAATGTAGGTGTCATTCGATTTTCATCTTTTGACCAGTCGCATTGTTGTGCGAGAGACGATGGACATGTCGGACCCGGAAGGCTTCGACTACCCCGCTCCCGTCTCATCTCCCGCATTAAGCCGCATTCCAGACGGAAATCATCGTGAGACCTAGAACCGTCGACTAATGTGACATATAGATCTCCCAGCATGCGTTGAACTCCCTATACGCACTGCTGGAAATTATTCTTCCAACTACAGCGCCCCATCCATTCATCGCAATACCGTTGCTGTTGCTGATCCTCCTTCTCTACCTCTGCATCGCATACATCACTCACCACACTGAGGGCTTCTATCCGTACTCATTTCTCGATATCGGTCGCCACGGAAGTGGAATTGTCACGGGATACTGTTTCGGTGTCTTGGCTGCGGTGCTCGTGATCTTTTTTATTACCTGGGCGCTGATTTATTTGCGTCGCCGGCTGACGCACGGTAAAATTAAGCGGTCGAGACGGGATCCGCTGTGTGCACAAGACGCTTTCGGCTCCGTGAGCTCGCGTGGTGTGCAGTCGAGTGAAATGAAGAATGCGCCGGTTTGAGAGATGGATTCTACCCTGTAGTCAGGATGGATGGTCGAACTACTAATAGCCCACCCAACTGCTAATCTACGAATTACGCTTATGATGACCGATACGTGATAATACCAACAATGATATCCTGACGAGAAGTGCCATTAAGAGTGAAGATTATTTCCAAATTATTTATGCATGAAGTATTACCAAAGCGAGTGCTTTTAGAGAATTGGAGGAAGCGATCTGCCCAAATTCAGCAGGCTCAAACACTCTCCCAGTTGGATTCACTGCCACTACCACTAGGCGTGTCAGAGCTCCCATTCCCACTGCGGTACCCCATCATCAGCGCCACGAGCCCGCTAGGAACCCAGGCTCCAATCATGCTGTACGACCAAGCGCCTCGGCCTACATACATGACAGACTTCTTGGACACCTGCCGACCGAAGATATCCCGCGGAGTGAGCTCCAGGGCATCCACGATAGCATGATGCAGATCCCGTGCTGGTGATCCGCGCACTAAACCGGGACCTGCCGAGGCAACAGGGCGCTGCTCAACGCTGGACAGATATTGCGACGCATATAGAGCTCGCTGTTGGGTATTCCACGCGAGTACTTCCGTACCTGCGATCTGGTTCTGGCCACCCCGGTAGACAGGGCCTAGGTCGATGTTGCCTAGGTGCAGCTCGACGACATCGACATTTCCGTGTTCGAGCAGGCGGAGTTCCTGGCGAAGTGAAGCCGCGAAGCCTGAGATTGCTCGGGCTGTGGCGACTTCGGGTCCGGCAAAGGGTGCGGAAAGAGAGGAGGATATGGAGGGATAGGCGAAGATGATGGTGCTGCTGTTGCTGCGGAGGGTAAGAAGGGGGAGGAAGGCTTGTGTTGTGAGGATGGGCGAGAGGATGCGCGTGTTGACTGTGTCGGCCCAGGATGATTGTGGGATTGTTGCGACGGGACCGGCGCTGTAGTTTGGTGACGGGACAACGATCAAGCCACTCAGAACGCAGGTGTGCGGAGGCACTCCGGCGACGGGCGATTGGGCTTGAGTAATCAGAGATCGGAGTTCTTGTAAAGAAGGGTGGAGTTCAGACGGCGAGGAGGATGTCGTAACGTCTAACCAAAGAGCCTTGATATCCGCACGGTTCTCGGACTTGATAATATGCTCCTCATCTGCAGATGACACAGTCACATATACAATGTATCCTCGACGTTCCAGGTCCGCGGCAATAGCTCTCGTCATCGGCTCATGTGGCGAGCCAGCGACAACTGATCGGAGGATTAGCACTCCTGATCTCAGTGCAGCGCGACAGGGTATTATGACACATACCCACAATCTCTTTCCTGGCACCGTTACTCGCCCTCCTAGCCTTTTTCCGCTTCCCATGTAGCTTCTTATTTCCATAGTATAAGACAACGCCAGTTCCGAGAAAGGCGAGGATGGCCGCAGTCCATGCGCGATTCCGAATCATCCAGTCTTGGATCCGGGCTGTCAGACCTGGGGGTGGTCGCCCCCTCGGAGAAGCTCGAGCTGGACGAATAGTGGGTGGCAGCCATGACTGCTGTGCGAATGTCTCCTTGATCGCATTCGCGGCATGGTCAACTTGTCGATCGATCGAGTCTGCGACTCCGTGGGAATATCGCATTACGTCATTGCGGATAGACTCAAGCTGGGCGAGGGTGTATCAGCGCTGAAGGCATTGTTATCATGTCTGAGATACTCACGTAGTCGAGAAAATCCTGGTCGTTCCTCGTCATCTTGTTTATTTGGCAACACGTTGGAAAGAAATGGAAGCGCAAAAGTTCGATAAGATTGACGCCGATAAGATTCGGCACCGGAGATCACATGAGCAGCGTTTTACACTCTATCACCTTACGCTACAGAAAGGAGGCACGAGGTCTCTTAGAACTATTTGGTTCATCCCACGTGACCCAAATTAGCCTGAAAAATCAGGCGTATAACGCGTCCACGGGTGCCTTGCTTATCAATGCAAAGTCCCATGGACGCGCCGAACTTGGATAAATCCTGAAATTTCCATCTCTGGTCTTCATCTGACTGTTCCTGATCGTCTGCACAGCGATCTTCGCATTGACACGGTTTGACTATGCTCTGATGTGAAGTCTTCTCGCGGAGACCCTCACCTCAGAGGCCATCCTGACACCGGCAGTAGTCACATTCTCGTACTGTGTAATATACACTCAACTATCCAATCACTAGCCCATCTCACTCGCGACCAAAAACCGCAAAAATGAGGGAGCTAGATCCCCTCATCTCGGAGTATCGTCATGAAAAGACGCGGCCGCGGGAGTCAGAGGCGCTCTTGATCTTGCGCAAAGTCGCCTCCCTGGTTAAACCGATCATGCGACAGCGTGCCTGGCGAGTGGGTGCGCTATGTGAGTTCTATCCCCAGCAGCGAAATCTGCTAGGACTGAACGTCAACATGGGCCAGAAGATTTGCCTGAGATTACGGTATCCTTCTGATCAACGACAATTTCTACCTATTGAAGAGGTTGTGGATACTATGCTGCATGAGTAAGTTATGCTTTGTCTACTTAGTCTATCTTACAGGCGCTTATTCTATACAGACTTGCTCATAATGTGATCGGTCCTCATAATCAGCAATTCCATGCATTATGGAACCAACTTCGTGATGAGCACGAAGAGCTCGCCATGAAAGGATATACCGGAGAGGGCTTCTTATCACAGGGAAAGCGTCTGGGCGGCCAAAGAATCCCACTAGATGAAGCCCGACGTCAAGCTCGTGCCGCTGCTGAGCAGCGTAGGATTCTGTCCAAGAATTCCGGCAAAAAGCTCGGCGGCGCACCCGTGCTCCGAGGAACGGACATACGCAAGCTTCGGGCTGATGCCGCCCAGAGACGCATTGAGGTCACCCAGGGCTGTGCTTCTGGTACAGACCGAAGCACGGAGCTTGCGGAAGAGGCCTCGCATGGGTTCAGAACGCAGGCCGAGGAAGACGATGCCAACGAGCGGGCTATCATGGAGGCCTTTATCGAACTGATACAGGAGGAGGAACGAGAGAAATATGAGTCTTCATATGTTCCGCCAAGTCAAGAAAACCCAGCAGGGCCTCGAACAAAGTCATCGCCGCCGCCTGCTATTTCCAAAGACTCTCCTGCTGCTTCTAACCCCCAGTCGGAACTGCCACAGACTGCCTCATCGTCTGATAATCAGAAGATTGTTGATCTCACAGCGGATAACAGCTCATATGATGCACCCTGGATCTGCTCAACGTGTACTCTCGAGAACCCACCTACATTCCTATGCTGTGATGTCTGCGCAGCAGAACGCCCCACTCCGGGCAATAAGCTGTCCACATCCACGTCCACGTCCAATCCTGGCCGACGATCTACCGCACCAGTACGTTCGGGCCCGCGAATCCCGAAGAAACGGTCTTTACCGTTTGACCGAAATGAAGACAGGCATGCAAAGCCTCGGGACACATTCGCTCTAAAGAATCGAACCCGTGCACTTGATTCCTTGAAAGCATTGGACCGTGATGCAGACAAAAAGCCCCTTGGATGGCTCTGCACCTCATGCAGTAGCTTCATGGAAAGTCAGTGGTGGACATGTTCTTGCTGTGGGACGATGAAGCCGTCCTCATAACGAACCTCGAGACATTTCACCACATACCCCACAGAATTACGAACCTTACGATATGAATACATGTACATTAACATATAGCATGCCAGCGTTTCGAACAAATTAGCAACTATTTCAACACCTCCTAGCTGTAGAATGTTCGTAGTATCCCCCAGCGGTACGGAGTAGAGCCCCATACAATATCCCCACACGTGACATTCATGACTAAGGCCAAGGTATCCACCGCGCCAAATTTTCTCACAAAACTCCGAACGCAACTCTTCTCCCTTCTCCAGCTCCAGCCAACACCAAAATCCAGCGTGGACCAAGACCAACAAATGAGATTGACATTGTTCCATGCTGGAAGAACTATACTAATAGGTACGTGACATTGAATCCTCCCAACTGGACCACAATCGAAGGAGGAAAAAAAACAACAAATACGGCACCAAGCAAGACTCTTTGTATGATGAGATACGCATTGAACCGAAATTTTTTAGGAAGAGCCGGAAGAGGTATGGCAGGGGCTGAAATCCCTGTCGTCGATGCTTATAATGGTTCTCCTGAGAAGAGTCTCTTGGATGCTTTGTTGTTTTCTTGGTCGATTTGGTCTGGGAAATATTGTTTTGTTTGGAGCAAGTCGCTAATGATCTCTTTGCAATGCAGGTTAGAAAGGGGTTTATATTGTCGTTGGCTATATAATACTCGAATGACGGTTTCGTACGCGGAGGGGGACATCGGACCAACTGGCTACTGTGTAGAAGATACCCAATTCAATGAATACTTCGTTGCTTATACACACATCCATGCGTAGACTGCATAGACTCTTGACCAATCGTTGGTAAATTGCTTCGCCCCGCTCAAATGATACCCTTATATTCTTTCAACTCCCAAGGATATAAAACTTTTATATGGAATCTAGATAGACAAGACCTCCTAACAAGGTCGAAAATGATCACAACGCCAGACATGCTTGAACACCATAATCCTAAACTCAGGCAACGCTGACAAATTGACGCTTCTTGCCCGTGCCCTTGGAAGCCTGCTGCTCCTCCCAGGTCTCCTCATCAACATAGTCCGTAGTACCCTGCTCACGAATCTGGGTGCCGATGATCTGCAGCGCGGAGAGGTTGAAGCCCATCTCGTCCTTCTGGCGAGCGAGAACCCGACGCAGCGATACGCGGATGCTGTCGAGCATGGGACGCATCATCTTGCTAGCGACGATCTGGCGGTGGTGGGTCTTCAGGATGAAGAAGAGCACGCGGCAGGTGAGGGGCACGTTCCATTCGCGGTCGGCCCAGATGTTGAGGAAGGTGAAAAGAGCAGGAAGTTTGGAGAAGGGTAGGACCAGGAGAGCGTCTTGGAGGGCGGCTGCGGGGATTCTCTGGACGGTGTTCAGAACGTGCTGCTCGGCGGAGATGTTGTTGAGGGCCAGGTAGACGGGGTTACGGTCCGGCGCGGCGGCGTTCGGGTTGGCGGCCTTGACCTTGAGCCAGTCGCGTACGACTTCGAGATCCTCCATGCCGAGATCCAGAGCTTCCATGATCTTTTCTCCGGCCATGAGGGTGCCGGTCGTCTGCTTGCCAGCATCGACGGCCTCGGCCTTCTCCTCGCCGTCCTCCTCTTGCTCGAGAGAAGCGGTGAGTGTGCTGTCGTAGGCCTCTTCCATCTCCTTCTCGCGCTCTTCCTCCAGGAACAGGGGCTCGTCTGTTTGTTGCCAAATACGGATGCTCTTGTCGTGACTGGCACTGACAATGAAGTCACCAGTGCGACTCATGGCTAGTGCCCAGATCTCGCCGTGGTGACCAACGAGACGCTGGATCTGTTCGAACTTATCTCCGTCCCAGTATTTGATGATGCGGTCCTTGCTTGCACTAAAGAAGTTATGACCGTTTCCGTCCTTGTTGTGAGGAACGAATGCCACAGCCATGATACTGTCCTCATGAGCCAAAAAGGCCTTGTGACAGTCTCCAAAGTCCAAGCCCCAAAGTCGGACGGTCTTGTCGGCCGAACAAGTGACAATTAGTTTGCTGTCATGGGAGATATCCATGCTTAGCACAGGAAGCTTGTGTCCGTAAAGGTTGAGGAATAGCTTGAGCGAGTCGACGAAGAAGACCTTCACAGTGTTGTCTAAGAGAGATACCGCGAGGAGTCGGGCATCAGGTGAGAAACGAAGGTTGAGGATGTCGTCATTGACCTTCAGCGTTCTTGTGTGTGCCAGCTTGAGACGGGGAGTGGTGCGTTTGGTACCCGGAATCTCCTCCTGGACAACCTGGAAATTCCAGAACTTGGCTGTCTTGTCTGCACTTCCACTGACCATTGACTTACCGTCTGGGTGCACGTGAAGTGACCACACGGGGCCATCGTGAGCCTTGATAGTATCGAGCAGTGTTGATGATGCGATATCGAAAACTTCGAGTTCTCCGTTCTTGTTACCAACAACAACAATCTTGTCTCCGGGAAGGAATGCAGAACACAGAGAATAGCCACACTCGAGTGTTCGCAGACAGCTTTCGGTACGGACGTTCCAGATCTTGAGAGTGCCATTCGAAGCAGAGGCAAGCATTCGGTCGTCTGAACTCAATGCAATTGACCGAATATCTGTTCGGTGACCTGGAATGTCCACTGCCAAACTGCGGCTATAGTCGGAATCTTCGCTGTCGGTGCTCTTCTTGTTCACTGGCACCACAGTATAGGCCTCGAGCTGGTTGTTCGTCGTGGCCACCAGGAGGTTCAGACCACTTGACTTGTTGGTCATCCAATCAAACGAACGAACTTTTCCGCCAGTTCGCACAATGACATGTTGAACGAAAACTTCAGAAACAGGAGCAGCGGATGCATCCTCCGACTTCTCATCCGCTTCTTCCTTTTTGTCCTCCCGCTGTGCCTCCTTCTCCTTTCTTCTCTTCTTCTTTCGTGCCATACTCTTCTGTACCTCGGACTGTGAGCGGATCCGCCAGACCTCGACTGACTTGTCGGAGCCGTGGAATCCAACGTAGTCTGAGCGGGGGTGGAATCGAATGCCGATTGTGCGGTCCTTGCCGTGTCGGTAGAAGGTTCCTCGTTCAGTGAGAATCCTGCGACCGTCGGCGACAGCCTTCTCCCGGGAAATCTCCATCATAGCTGCCTCGTCGATCGACCAGACCCTGAGTTCACCGTCATTGCCGGCTGTGATACATCCACCCTGGTCGGGTGAAAGGCCCAAGCTCCAGCACTCGCCGTTTGATTGTGCCACGTGGGTTTCAATACAGTGCTGGGACGCCAGGTCCCAGACCTTGATCAACGCGTCCTTTCCGGTGGTCAATAAGAATCCCTGGTGTTCGCTCAACCCCGAAGCAGTGAGCAGCTCTGGCGAAGGGAATAGGAAGTGCAGAGATGTAATCTGATCGGTATGTCCACGGAGTTTGAAAAGACCAGTCTCGGTGATCAGATCCCAGAGGATGATGTCGGTGTCTTTAGAACCACTGGCAAGGCGAACACCTGCATTGTCGAAGGCTAGCTTGGTGACGGCGGATTTGTGACCGTTGAAAGAAATGATGACGGTGGCAGTGCGCGAATCCCATAGACGAATAGTTCCATCCTCGTAACTAGAATGAGCCAATCTTGTTAGCCAAGCCGTCCGACTATCTCAAATCGGAGGACACTCACCCAACTGCGAAGATATCCTCATCTGTCTGACTCTGCGTGACCACACTGACTTGCGCTCTGCAGGCCGAATCGCGCCATCTTCCTAGAAGTTCTCCCTTCTTAACATCCCAGCACAGAACTTCCTCACTTGCGCCAACAATTGCTCGTCCGGCGCCAGTCTGGCGTGCAATGCCGGTCTGGTCATCTTTAGCCCAAATCGCATTGGAGGACGCCGAGGCGACGAGCCCGAATGTATTCGAATGCTCGAATTTACTGTATAAACGTTAGCGCATAGACCATAGGAATGCAAATCACAAAAAATCGCACGTACAAATATGATTTCACCATCGTTGAGGGTGGATGGAAAATTTTTGGGACCTCCGATTGCTATCGATAGGATAAAATTAATACGGGCGGCGACAGCGACCTCTCCGGCTCCCCCACCGCCCATGACGATCACTGGCAACCTCACAACAGCCACTCATCAACACTCCACCACCCCATTGATTTGCCCGTCATGCTTCTCTTGGATTACCAGAATGCTCTGATTCAGTCGCTCCTTACGGAGCGGTTTTCTGGGTACGCCCTGTCCTCCCTCCCCCGCACCGTGACCCCCGCGCATTGTATACACATCGCCCGGTACTAGGCACCCGACTAACAAGCTGAACTCAGAGCGACCCCCGTTTCCATTGACCAAGTGGTTTCCGACTTCGACGGAGTAACATTCCACCTTTCTACCCCCGAGTCCAAGACGAAAATTCTCATCTCCATCAATGTGAAATGTTACAAGGAATTGGTCCAGTACGGGGCCCAGGAGGTGTTGGAAAGAGAATACGGACCCTACATCGTGTCTCCTGAGCCCGGATATGACTTTTCAGTACAAATTGATTTGGAGAACCTGCCCGCGGAGGAGGAGGCCCGCAACGACTTGATCATGAAGCTCGCCCTCCTGAAGCGGAATGCAATGGCTGCTCCTTTTGAGAGGGCATTCGATGAATTCAACAAACTCGCCGAGGAAGCCTCGAGATACACCTCCGAGTCAGCACCACAGGGTATCAAGGAGGGCGGCGAAGTCATGGCGATTCACTACCGCGAGGAGGAGGCCATCTACATCAAGGCCAACTGGGATCGAGTCACAGTGATTTTCAGCACCGTCTTCCGCGAGGAGACAGATCGGATCTTCGGGAAGGTCTTCCTGCAGGTATGGTTTTCGCGGCAGTTTTCTTGCCATATCTCGAAGTCTGGTACTAACAGCTCATAGGAATTCGTCGACGCCCGGCGACGTGTCTTGACGCTGCAGAATGCTCCTCAGGTTCTTTTCCGTAACGATCCCCCGCTTGAGCTGGCAGGTGTGCCTGGTCTGAGTGCCACCGAAGGCGAAGTCAGCTATGTCACCTTTGGTACGCATGAAAATGATTTGGCAACCTAGACCTTGGTACTGACTCAGCTCACAGTTCTATTCCCTCGACACTTGACCCCGCAGCGTCGCTATGAGAACATCTCTCATATCCAGACCTTCCGTGATTACTTCCACTACCACATCAAAGCCTCGAAGGTAGGCCATTTCCCCTGGTTTGAATGGAAGAATTGATGACTGAGCATTTGTTGCAGGCCTACATCCACACTCGAATGAGAAAGAGAACAGCAGACTTCCTCCAAGGTATGTATTACTCGTAAATCAGTACTCAATCAATTGCTAACGACTCACAGTGCTCAACCGAGCCAGACCGGAGAATGAAGAGCGCGAGCGTAAGACTGCCAGTGGGCGTACATTCCGAGTGCAGGCTTAAGAAACTCGAGATTATTTGTTCATATTCGTCCCAAGGCGTAGTTTGTTTGTATGAGCCATTTTGAGTCTATTCTTATGCATCCTCTCTTATCTTTGCCCATGACAGATGCAACTGTACACGGTGCTTCTACTATGTAGACAGGTTTATGGTACTTAATATCGGGAGAACCCAGATCGAGGAGTGTAATGACAGGATGAGGAGCATAGCCCTATGCCAAGCGAACTGCGTACAATCGATTAGATCGTCATCTCTTAGCGGTCTTGTGTGGCTGAAATCATCCTGCCTTCCTCTATGTCCAGTAGTAATAAAGCATGGCCCCGGCATGGTCGGCCTTTTTCGGCGATCTCGGCGACATTGTATATTTGAACCCTGAACTGACCATTACTGTGTACTGTGTAGATACCTATGCGTTGATCCACCAGTGGGCGAGCTTCGGGGTTGTATACATCCATCCATTCCTGTTGGACAGAGCATTGTACGAAAATGCTGTTCGAGGGACAGTGCTTTGATTCAGGAGACGTCTTTTCTTCACCATGGTATGGCAGTAGTAGGTACTCTTTGACTCTAATTGTTACGAACCAGATGTAGTACTCTGATAGACGACTAGAAGTCCGAAAGTTATGCCTGATCGACATGGATCTAGGCGTTGCCAGCCCTATGCCTCCGAATGTCTGAATAGACGAATTTTCAGATGTGTTTTCCAAAGACAAGAAAAGAGACGAGAAATGGAAAACTCGATATAAATGATAGATCAAATGCCCAAAATGTTGAGATTTCACCGATTTCCATATGCTGAGAGATACTCCGTAGAGCAAGGTACAGTCGGCGGCGCAGACCAGTGAGAGATGAGAGATGCAAGTGACATTCTCGGCCCTGAGTCCCTGACCGGTCGCCCTTTTCCTTTTTTTTTCACTCGACTCTGCGCTCAAGCCCTGCAGTTGAGTCCATATCCTATTTTCCGTGTTCTTGTCTCTCCTCGATCTTCTCTCTTATGCCTTAAATGCCAAATATCGAGCCCATCTTGATGCACATAGTGCCAAGTTAGGGATGGTGACCAAGGCGGCCGTGTCACACTTCTCATCATGGACCTCCCTTAGCAAGTGGATCGCGAATATAAGCAAACAACTCCCTCAAAGCCGACCGAGCCTGACACGGCCATATCACGCGGCAGTCTGGCCCTCCTACGGGGTCACCACTCCCGTCCCCGACCGGCCGATCACCCTTCAGAAATCACCCTTCCGGTTCGAGACCGGCTACGCTTTATGTGCCAAACGACCTTCACGACCTTTCCCTCCGCCATTTCTATCGCCGCCATCTCACTCGTTTTCGGATCCCTTGACTACACACGGACTAAGCCAGGATAAGAGATTATCCGTCAAGGGCGAGCTAGTCCGTGGTTTGAACAATGGAGACGATGCCATCATCGTCGCAGAGAACTTCCTGGGCGTCGACGATGGTGTAGGCGCCTGGGCTACGAAACCTCGTGGTCATGCTGCGTGAGTGATCCCATCGCACTGATTGTCGGCCAATCTCTGACTTTCGTTTCTTAACGTTATAGACTCTGGTCCAGACTCCTCCTACACTTTTGGGCCCTCGAGGTGGAGCAGAATGTCGACCAGTCCACCGCAACCCTTGACCCGGTAGGATACCTGCAGGCTGCATACGAGGAGACTCTACGAGCAACTACATCTCCGACCGAGTGGTTTGGCACCACGACCTCCGCCACCGCCATACTACACTGGACCAAGGATCAGGATGGCGTTAAGACGCCGTTACTGTACGTCACCAATTTAGGCGATTGTAAGATTCTCGTGATTCGACCGAGCGAGAAGAAAGTCATATTCCGCACTCTCGAGCAGTGGCATTGGTTCGATTGCCCCATGCAGCTTGGCACCAACAGCATTGACACCCCCCGCAAGGATGCGGTAATGTCCAAAATTGTGGTGCAGGAAGATGACATCGTTCTGGCGGTGTCAGATGGTGTTATGGATAATCTCTGGGAGCATGAAGTTGTGAAGATCATCATGGACAGCATTGAGAAATGGGAAGAGGGACATACCGAGCCGAAAATGGTCGCGCAGCACCCTCATCTGTCCGGTGAGCGCAACGTCTATGTCGCCAGAGAGCTGCTCAATTCTGCTCTGACTATTGCCCAGGACCCTTTTGCTGAGAGCCCCTTCATGGAGAAGGCGGTGGAAGAGGGCCTGGCTATCGAAGGAGGCAAGATGGATGATATTTCCGTCGTGGTCGCCTCCTGCAAGAGGCGTGATGGATGAGATGTCATTGATCCTCTGACCGAACATTTTTCTCAACCTTCTACGGATTTCGAATTCGAAACATGAATGCGCCGGATCTCATCAACGAAGGACTCGAGCGCCTTGGGCAGGGTTCCGTTGTTTCTATCCACATCCACGCCTAGATGTTCATATCTAGCACAAAGCCCGCCCAAGCACCTTAGCACCTTATATCGTGCGGGTATGATGACTCGCAAGTCCCGATTCAGGATCGCGACAAGCCTAGAGTCACAAAACCACCTTCCACCCCCAAAGCAAGGCATTCCGCACTGTTTGGATTACTCGGTATATCATATGCATTGTTTTCTGTTCCACGGCTTCGCCTGCTCAGTCTTCATACATACTTTCTCCCCTGCGTACCTCAGTGGCTCTTTGGTTAGCGGGGACTGGCACGGGTCATTGCAGACATACCCAGAACTTGCTGTGAACCAAATCTTCAGCCGACGTCTACCTTGGCCGCATACAAACCGTTTCCTCTTCCGTTATTCAAGACTCCGAAGCCCCTTCTTTGATTTCTTCAAGTATGGGTTGAATCCATTGCTGGCAATGTGTTTGCCGGTCAATCGCTAATAGTTACTCTCAGCGTAATCCAACACGGCCAATGAAATCCACATTGAGTATATGAGTCTGTAACAATAATCGCGTCCCTTTCCATCCACCTGAAGCATGTAAAGGTAGATCTATATAGGAAGTATACAGTACTTGATTAGCGTGGAGTTGTCCGCTGAAAATAAAGTACTCGATACTTATTCTCAGCACAGGCCACCACCAGCACCGCCTCTGACTCCGCCCGGCAGAATAGAAAAAAGTTTCGGTCGAGGCAGATGCTCAAGCTCTGAGTTGCTTTCAGTCCTTGATACCTTGATCACCATTCACAATGAGGGCCAAACGTTCAAAGAAGTATCGCAAGCTGATGCACCAGTATGAGCTTACTTTTGGTTTCCGAGAGGCCTACCAGGTCCTAGGTATGTCGAATTCAATACTTCATGATGTACAGTCCTAACATGCGCTTGGATAGTCGACTCGAATTTCCTTCGAGCCACCGATGCCTTCAAGATGGACCTGATTCCCGCCCTCGAGCGCACAGTTCAAGGCAAAGTCAAGCCTCGTGAGTCCCTCCGAAATCCAAGCAACCCATCCGCTCCGCCAAAGCGCATCCCAACTAACAAATCTCTCGCAGTATTGACAAAGTGCTCACTGGCAGCTATCATGGCTGCACAACCCATCAACCCCAAAACCGAAAAGCCATACCGACCCCTCTTCCTTCCACCTCCTACAGAACTCCCGCTCCGCCATTGTTCGCACAACGCAGACTCCACGCCCATCGACGAGATCGAGTGTCTCATCTCGCTGCTTTCACCCAACGAATCAAAGAAGAATAAGGAGCACTACATTCTCGCGAGCGCGGATCCAATTCTGCGGAAGACTAGCAACAATGACAACCAGCCGCGCAGACGGAAGACCGAGGAAGACCGCAAAGAGGAGGAGGCTATGCGCCGGTCCCGGGCATTGCGGTCCGCTGCCCGCTCCATCCCCGGTGTGCCTATCATCTACGTCAAGCGTTCAGTGATGGTTCTCGAGCCGTTGAGCAGTGCGTCTGAGATGGTGCGGGATGGTCATGAGCGCGGCAAGTTCCGCGCTGGATTGGATGTGGATCCTATGCTCGGCAAGCGCAAGAGGGATGGCGATGGTGATGAAGATGTTTCTGGTGCAGAGGAACCTAAGAAGAAGCGTGGTCCTAAGGTTAAGGGACCTAATCCTCTTAGTGTGAAGAAGCCGAAGAAGAAGACTGATGCGGCTCCGCCGAAGAAGGCGAAGCCTGCTCCGAAGGAGGGTGATGTTGATGCTGCTGAACAGCATGATGATGAGTCTGCCGCGGTCAAACCTAAACGGAAACGCCGTCACAATAAAGGTCCTCGTGAAGACTTCGAGGAGGCCGCTGAGCCCCAAGAGGCTATGGAGGTCGAGGCTTGATGGAATATTTTACGGCTTAGGCGATTCATGATGCTGGTTATCATTGCATGCATTCAACATTTCACCCCCAGGGCGCGGCGTTCAGATGGATGGTTTATGTCTAAAAGTTTAGCCGATGTACATAAGAATGTACGTCTGACACCTATCATTAAGGAATCCCTGCTCCCTACTAGATCTACTGGGTATGGCACCCGTTAGATGAAAGGGGATGGCGTAAAGGATAGTCGTAAATACAGTTTCATATTCAAATATCGTACAAAGTGTCTTTCCAGAATGCAAAGAGAGGAGATAGCGAGGTGGCCGGCCGTTATTTGTTCAGCCCAGTCGAATCCCTAGAAGGCCGTGACTCAGTGCGTTGCGCTCTCCGGTCCCAGCGATATGCCGATGCCAACCGCAGACGGCCAGCGATGCCGTCTTGTCAAATGCAGGTTTCCGCCAACAAAATAGCCGTAAGGCCATAAAAAGTACAACCCTAAAAACTCCAAAAGGTGATGATACATGCTCATCTCATCTCACAGGAACGGAACGGTCTACTGCTTTGGCGTCACCAGCAGTAGTCGCAGCATTCGTCGCCGTCGGAGCAGGCCCTTCCCTAAGCTCGCGCTCTTTAGCCCAAATCTCCTCAACACGCCGTCTGTTGCTGCGCGCTTCCTCGCGGTTGCGTCTTGCGCGCTCGTATCGCTCTGCGGAGAGACATTTGTTCACGTCGCGCTTGATATCATTGCAACTTCCAATGGCTTTGTGCAGGAATCCCTTGGCGTGGCATTCATCGAGAGCATTCATGATCTCTTCGCAATCTATGGTTTTTGTCAGTTCAATGTCGTGCCAATATGCAAGATGATAGCAACGGCTCAAGAATTCTTCCGGCTCAACGTACTGGCATTGTAAGGGGTGTGGAGATGGGAATGCATAGTGACGGTAGTGGTAGAATGCTCAGCTGTGAATGGTAACGTTCTTGAAAGACAAGGCCAGCTCAATCGTACGATCAATGCCGAGCAAGAGCAAAACCCCGGCGGTGAGGGGATCGGCCAGATTCTGCCGGGCGGACAGCGCTTCGAGGGGTGTGGATAAAAAAAAATAATCGCCGATAAAAAAAAGTTGTGATAGGAGTTGGTTTCTTGTTACAACGCTTTCACAATGTCTTCTATGATTACGACTACAACATGGGTTAAGCGCGGTGTCGCTGCCCAGTTCCCTACCAAATATGAAATTGACGAGGCGGAGATGGGCCGTATATCCAAGCTTGCACGCATGCAGCTTGAGGAGGCTAAGGAAGATATGAGTGCCGCCCAGGCTGGCGAGGATGATGGTGACAATGCTATGGAGGAGGATACTGAGGAGAAGCCCTCAACCAAGGCTGAGGATACAACGAAGTGAGTAGCCTTGAGCGCAGCGGGGAATCAATTCTTTTGCTAATGGAGATTTACAGTGACGATGATGATGTGTTGAAGGAGTTCGACATGGATAACTACGATAAGGAGGAGGTTGATGAGCACGGCGAGAGGGCTACGATGTTCGGCAATGTGCAGTCCCTGGCTTACCACCAGCCGAACGAGGAAGATCCGTACCTCGTGATTCCCGAGGACGAGGACGACGAAGAACGCGAGGAGCTCCAGATCATGCCCCACGACAACCTTCTCTTGGCCGGAAAGGTGGAGGACGAAGTTGCGCATCTCGAGGTCTACGTCTACGAAGACAAGGCCGACAACCTCTACGTGCACCACGACATCATGCTGCCCGGCATTCCGCTCTGCACAGAGTGGCTCGATATCCCCGTTGGCCAGAACACAGAAGGTCGGACACAAGGCAACTTCGTCGCCATCGGAACCATGGAGCCCGATATCGAGATCTGGGATCTGGACATCGTCGACTGCATGTACCCCAACGCCATCCTCGGCCAGGGCGGCCACGACGCTGAGAAGACAAAGAAGAAGCAAAAGAAGAAGTCCAAGGCCAACGACGAGTACCACATCGACGCCGTCCTCGCACTAGCCGCCAACCGTCAACACCGCAACCTGCTCGCCTCCGCCTCCGCCGACAAGACCGTCAAACTCTGGGATCTCACCACCGCCACCTGCGCCAAGTCCTACTCCAATCACAAGGACAAGGTCTGCTCACTAGACTGGCACCCAACCGAATCCACCATCCTTCTGAGCGGCAGCTACGACCGCACCGTCGTAGCCGCCGACATGCGCGCCCCAGACGCCCAAGCCCGCTGGGGCGTCGACTCTGACGTCGAATGTGTCCGCTGGGACATGCACGACCCCAACTTCTTCTACGTAACCACCGACGGCGGCATGGTGTACCGGTACGACATGCGCAATGTCCCCGCCACCCCGGCCGAGTCCAAGCCCGTCTGGTCTCTGCAGGCACACGACGCCTCCGTCTCCTCCTTCGACATCAACCGCTCCGTCCCTGGGTTCCTCGTCACCGGCTCAACAGATAAGCAGGTGAAGCTGTGGAATGTCGAGAACGACAAGCCGAACTTGGTTGTCACGCGCAAGCTGGAGGTCGGTAAAGTGTTCTCTACTTCTTTTGCGCCGGACCAGGAGGTCAGCTTCCGCTTGGCGGTTGCGGGTAGCAAGGGTAACGTGCAGATTTGGGATGCTTCGACGAATGCCGCTGTGCGTCGTGCTTTCGTCTCTCGTCTGCCGGACTTGGCTGGTGATGTTGAGGAGCGCATGGTTGGTATCAATGCTGATGATGATGAGTCTGAGTCTGATGAGGGTGAGGAGGATGGGGAGGATGAGCCTCGTGCTGATGGCTGGGAGTCGATGGATGAGGATTAGTGAGAGTCAGATACCCGTGGCATCTTGTTTTTTTTACATATGCGTCCAAAAATAGATTTGTTAGGTTTTGCGTGTTAATGACCAGTGTGTTATGAGTATGTTATGATGTTTTGGATATATCCATGAGAACAGTTCTTATTAATCTGTCGAGTATTGTACCGAAGGACGTCTTGTAGGATAAATTGGACATCTTCGAAGGCTAGGTACTGTTGGATGTGTCCAACCCTGGATATGATGGATGTGGACCCACTTAGCGTCCCGAGTGGTCCAACTGCACAACCTTAATTTATACTTCGCAAACCCTATCGACCTGGTTATTTTTGCCTATCGATCTCCTTCCAATGGCTTCAGCGATGTATCATATCTAGAGCAAGAGGTCTAAACTACGTCTACATTCCAAGAAAAAGGGCAGAACATGACTCGTCTTCGCTACCATCATATAACAATGTCTGAGCCGTGGTAAATACATGTCGCAATCAACGCAATTGCACAACTCGACGCCAAGAACCACCCCCCTTGGCAACTGAAGGGTTTTTCCACTTTTATTAGACACCTCAGCTCTTTCGGCACTCCTCCGAACTAAATCTTTACCCGCCGGAGTATTGCCGCCAACAATACCGCGATAGGGCATACCGTCTTGGCATCTCCGCTCTGGGTTGCTTCCAAGACGCTTGGCGCGGCTCTCTCATTCCACATCCCGCGAATCTAAGGATTCAGGATGGGAAATGACCTCCCCAAGCCTCTTGGCATGGGTCCGTGGTGACGGGTGCAGCAGGATGAGGTGATTGGGGGCGCGCCCCTTGGCATCAGCCAGAAATCACGAAAGCGTCTCTGATCTGCTGCGGAGATTTGTTGGTGTTGATTTTTTTTCCTTGGTCATCTCTTCTAAAACCACGTCCTCACACGAAGTCACAAAGGATCTCAGAGCTTGAAATTTTCCTCATCTGATCGGTACCATCATGGTACTCGCCCAGTATCTAAAGAAGGTCGTGGGCTGGCTCGCTCCTACCCCACAAAAGTCGGAAGATGGACGCGATCAATGGCCCTCACGAGCAGCCTTTCTGCTGGCCGCCATGGGAGGCTGCGCCGGACAGGGAAATCTCCTGCGATACCCCTCGGTGGTGTACAACAACTATGGATTACAATGGTTTATCCCGTACCTGTTGGCGGTATTTGTCGTCGCCATTCCGGCCCTTATCCTCGAGATTTCGATCGGACAAGCATATCGAGGCGGGACGGTGATCGCGTTCAACAATATCAATCATCGGCTGAAAGGAGTTGGTATGGGCCCGATATTGGTCAGTTTCGTTGTCGTGCAATACTTCACGGTCAACTTGGCATGGATCATGAACTATTTCCGCAACTCCTTTCAGAGCCCAATTCCATGGGAGGGCAGAATTGAGGAGTTTTACATGGGTGATGTCGTCGCCAATGTCGAACCCGTCGTGGGCAATCTCACTGCTGGCAATGGTGCCGTTGCCAACTACACTGTGTACCCCGGGGTTGCGCTGATCGGTGAGACGGTTGGATGGAGCGCGTTCATCTGGTTTCTCATATGGATTTCCATCTTCCGGGGAGTCGGTCTGACGGGTCGTGTCGTCTACTGGACGATGGGGTTACCGATTGTCACGACCATTATTCTCGTCGGTCGCTCTTGTTCACTGGAAAATGCGAACGAGGGCATTCGACTCCTATGGGCGACATGGAGAAGTGATCAACTAGCCTCTGGAACTGTCTGGCAAACTGCTGTCGGACAGGTCTTCTTTTCTACCGGAATTGGGTTCGGGTATTTCACTTCCTATGCTTCCTATAACTCCAAGCACTCCAATGCTGTCATGGACGCAATTCTCATCTGCGGGAGTAACGTCCTGTTCGAGAACGTTGCTGCCTTTGCCGTCTTTGGTGTCGTGGGCTACCTCCGGCGTTGGCCACAGGATGGCGAGAGATTGGGTGCATTCGTGGTCGGTTTCCTCACACTTCCTGAGGCTGTGCTCCACATGCCCGGTGCGAATTGGTGGGCTATCCTTTTATTTTTCACCCTGGTGGTTCTCGGATTCAGTTCGGCCTTTGTGATGCTCGACGCGGTGGCTACCTTGGCCGTGGATTCGGGGGTGAAAATGTCACGACCAATGATTGTGACTGGCCTCACTATATTGTCATTCCTTATGTGTCTGCCATACTGCACCCAATTCGGATTCTACCTGTTGGATGGAATCGATCGATGGATCAACAATGTGGCCTTGATATTTGTCGTGTGGTCGGAACTCGTCGGTGCAACCACGGTTTATCGCTGGAAAGACGTGGTGAGCCAGACAGGCCTGCCTGCTTTCGCTGTCTATAATTTCGGATACTTTGGCGGCCAGATTGTCGGGGTCGCCGTCGCACACGGTATCTCAAATCCGGCAGCTGGCGCTGGTGCTGGGTTTGGGTTGTATATCGTCTGCTCGATTATTTCTGTCTTCGTCGCCACGACCCCGGATATCAAAGCTGCCAGCTTCTGGCAATGGTACCCTCTCCTCAGTCGATTTTGGTATCTAGCATTCTACTCTGTATGTCTCCCGCTGCCAACAAGTCTTGCCCCAAGGGAAAGCTAACATGTGCAGGGTAATCAATTAAGACGCGACCTGAACGCCGTCGTTGGCGGTCATGGAAACTGGAACATCCCTCGGTTCTGGCCTATTCTACTCCGGTATGTCAGCACGCCTATTCTGGCCATTGTGTTCAGTTTCGCGTATCCCGAATTCTACACCCTGCGCTACGACCCAATGATGATCGCTGGGTTTATTTTGGCGCACTTCTGTTTGCTCTTGATTCTGCTCGGTTTCGTGTTCCCAAGATACTACAACGTGTTTATTCCACCTGCCCGGAGGGCCGAGGGGACCGAAGAGACGATCGCCAATCAGCCCAAAGAACAGGAAGTTCTGCCAGAGGTTGGAGTGTTGGACTGCGAAACTGGCATGCAGGAGTCGGTTTTGGTCCGCAAGAGCTCTGATGGGATAGACAAGGGACATTGAAGGTGCCGAAGTTGTAAAGTGTACATGGGAACAGTATAATAGACGATTGTCCCGCAAGCTATCCAGCTAGTGCGAGTGTGCACGTTGTGTCTGATTACATTCACACTTCGGAACATTCCATGGAAGCATTGTATCCAATAGGCCTCTCAACCCTTCTTCACGAAGCTAACCCGTCGGGCCAACCAACAACCAACTGTGAGCCCATGGATAGAATCATTCTCATCTCGATGGAAGATTAACGTCCAATCCCCTGGAGCCGGTGCATCCAAGCCACGTGGACAAGCCAAGACCCAGACATCCTCTCCTAGATATTTCATAGGAGCGGCGTGTCCTCGTCCAAGATATCCATCGAATGCACCGTATAGCATGCCAGCCTGGCCAGTGCAATGGAAAGTCGAGTCAATTTCGGCACAATGGTAGACACCCTGGAAGATCGTCGATTTGGCAATTGATTTATTCGGGACAATGCGCCGAGCACTGAGGACCCGGTTGTCTCCCACACGATGAATACTCAATGAATCTCCATCAATCGTCGCGAGCATGGAGTCCGATTTGCCCTGATTTGGTGTACTGAGCTTGATAGGCTCTGGGCCTCCATCATAGCTAATAGCAACCTCTCCGTCTCGTGGGCCCTTAGTGACGACAATAGACAGCTGCGTATCCCGATCAAGGAAAGCGCCGAACCAGCCTTCAGTTGGTTGCACGGGGTCCACCTGGGCTTTAGTTCGTCGTAAGAGCTTCTGGAAAATCTCAATATTGGGACTGAGAGCGCCGGCATCACTGTTAGACATCACGACGACGGAAAGGCGCTCGTGTGGTGCGTGTCGCCGATGAAGTCGATATCCTCTCAACGCTCCACCATGCCCCACCGTATCCACGCCATCTATCTCAGTGTGACTTAGCCCATAGCGGTACCTTGCAACATTACCATCTTTGAACTTTGAAGTGGCAATGGCAGTATGGTACCAGCTTTGTGGGTCGGCGTAGCACTTATCGAGGTACCGTTCGTAGGCAATCATATCGGTCAGCGAAGCGACTAGTCCAGCATCTCCAGACCACTCCATACGATTGATAGCCGCAGTGAAACCGTGTTGCTCATTCCCTTCGTAGCCCACACAAGGTGGTGGGTGGTGTGCTGTATTTGGGCAGAGGGATGCCGTGCTCATACCAGCTGGGCGCAGCAGTCGCTCTTCGAGCAATTTGCCAAGGCTCTCGCCAGTAGCCCGTTCGATCACTCGGGCAAGTAAGTGAAAGTTGAGGTTGCAGTAGGAATATTCGGTCCCCGCCTGGAACTGGAACGACTTGGTTCGAGCAAGCAATGGACCGCAGTCTCTAGCCATCAAAAACTCATCGTCCGGCTTGGAACCTAGGAGTGTCGTCATAGCCCAATAGTCTCGAAGGCCGGACTGCATATTGCAAAGCCGCTCAATAGTCAGCTCACCGTCACTGGTAAGCTCTGGACTGAGTATTTCCTTGAGGTGACTGGAGAACTGCTCTCGAGCATTGCCTTTGGCAGCCAGGGCGGGTGGCGGATTGCGCTCTAAATCAATCAACAGCGCACACACAAATTGCTTCGTAATTGAGCATATGGGCATTTGCGTGTCGGCGGTCATGGGGATTCGTTGGTCCAAGTCGGCGAATCCCCAGACACGCTGACCAATGAGTTCGCCATCTTTGACAACAGCGATGGCACCTCCAGGACCTCGGTAACGAAGAGCGACCCCATTCAGGACCTCCTCGACATATTCCTTTGTGACCGACATACTTTGGGGTTGATCTGGGGAGAGAGACTTTCGGGGTGATGTTGGTGAATTACCCCACCTCTAGTGGGTCATCGCACCTCGATAGCATACAAAAGCAGCTAGTACTAGACTGCTAGTCTACCTGCCTTTCTGCTCACCACGCAGAAAGGCAAAGATAATGGTGAGCAAATCAGAGGGCTTATGATGATCAGGTGATCAGTAATCACTAATCGGCGAGCAAAATGCGGCAAGAGGTGAGCACTGAAACGGAAAGAGCAACTACGTAGTACGGAGTACAGTGGTACCTGTTAACTGGGGTCAGGACTCAGGACTCCCCAGGGCTAGAATAAGGGGTTGGATTGTAAAGCCACGCGATATCTAGGCCACGCGGTGCGTACCACGCGGTTCTATCTACTCCGTACTGCCGCTTGCGTATTACTGGATCCACTTTGAATATTCATTTTGCCACCGAATGGTCCCCTTTTACACAGTAGCGTCATTATGGAATTGTTGTGACAATATTAATAACTATTCGTACTGTGCTAAAAGAAGCTCAGATAGTTAGTATTGAGTTTTAACAGGGTGGGGTACGTATGGCTAGCCTCAAGGAGGGCTTATTCGATAAGTCCAATCGGCAACCCCCGGAGTAGGATCAAGCTACCTCGAGCAATCATTTTACACAGTACTGGACTTATGCGGGAGTAGCTCGACCCTCGAAATAATGAGAATTGTCTATTTGCGAGGACGGTCTGAGCCGGGAAGTGCTACGCCGATAAAGGCTTACATATCGGGAAATTATTGGTCTCATGATCGAAGTTTACACAACTGGATTGTTGCGGGCTCATTGTTCCATTAAGGTAGAAATGTCACCAGAGACGCAAACCCACATACTGTATGAATGTATTAGCAGATTGCGTCTCACTTCATTTGAGCCACCATTTCGCAGAATCTGGCACAGTAGGTAGTAGAGATTCGGAGAAACGGCTTTGCAAGCGAAGATGGAATATCCGGGAGATCGGATAAATCAATCGAATGACGACTCGGCCTCACCGAGATCCACTGATTGTGCATATTTTTGGAACAAGATCGAACGGTTCAACCAATCGGAGAACATACTCAATAGACAGAAGTGGATATTGTAGCGTGTCTTACCCACAGGATCCGCAACTCTGCACTGTGGCGGATTCTAGACTGAGATTTTCTATGTCTACAGTAGAACCCTGCTTTTGGCTTCAAAGGCTTCTATTTCGTTCTTCACTTTATTTCTTTACCTTTCCATATATTCGCTTTTCATCCTTTTTCACATTTCTTCCTGGCACATTCGTTTGATCCAGGTCTTTTCATTCACATTCTCTCATACTTCGTGACTATCAACGCTCGTTCATATTCAAAATGCGTTCCGCTCAAATTCTCGCCCTCGCGATGGCTGTCGCTACCACCGAGGCTGTCTCCCAGGGTTTCAACTACGGCAACAAAAAGGGCGATGGCAGCGTCAAGAGTCAGGCTGACTTCGAGACCGAGTTTGCGACTGCCAAGAACCTCGTTGGAACCGACAACGCCTTCACCAGTGCTCGTCTATACACAATGATCCAGGGTGGTACCACTAATGGCCCCATTGAGGCCATTCCCGCCGCCATCAAGGAGAAGACAACCCTTCTCCTCGGTCTGTGGGCTTCCGGTGGTGGCATGTCCAACGAGATTGCCGCCCTGAAGTCCGCCATCGAGACATACGGCGACGACTTCACCAACCTGGTTGTCGGTATCTCTGTCGGCAGCGAGGATCTTTACCGTAACTCTGTCATTGGTTCCAAGGCCAATGCTGGTGTCGGTGTCGACCCTTCCGAGCTCGTCGACCATATCAACCAGGTTCGCTCTGCGATCTCCGGTACCTCCCTGAGCGGTGCCCCCATCGGCCACGTCGACACCTGGAACTCGTGGACCAACAGCTCTAACTCTGCCGTCATTGACGCCGTCGACTGGCTTGGCTTCGACGGATACCCTTACTTCGAGAACACTGAACCCAACTCCATCGACGATGCCAAGGCACTCTTCCACAAGGGCGTTGCCAACACTCAGGCCGTCGCCGGCGGCAAGGAAGTTTGGATCACCGAGACCGGCTGGCCCGTTACCGGCGACACCGAGAACCTCGCTGTCGCTAACACCGCCAACGCCAAGCAGTTCTGGGACGAAGTCGCCTGCCCTCTCCTCGGCAAGACCAACACCTGGTGGTACATCCTCGAGGACGCTGGTTCTACTCCCAGCTTCGGTGTCACTGGCTCCGCCGACAGCACCACTCCTCTGTATGACCTGTCTTGCAAGGCCTCGTCCTCTTCCAGCTCCGCCGCTGCTTCCAGCGCTACCTCTACCTCCGCTCTTGCTGAGAAGACTGATTCCGCCTCGTCCACCGCCCCTGCCTCGACTGGTGCCTCCACCTCTGCCGGTTCAGGTGCCGCTGGCTCCGGATCAACTGCCACCAGCTCCTCTGCCGCTTCCTCTTCCACTGCTGTGATCAGCAGCGGCCGCCCCTCCACCCGGCCCAAGCCCACTAGCGACTCTTTCATTTCCAAGTCAGCCTCTGCATCCGCTGCTGCTACTGGTCCTACTGGCTCCTCCGGCTCCGGCTCTGGTTCTGGTTCTGGTTCTGGTTCTGGTTCTGGTTCTGGTTCTGGTTCTGGTTCTGGTTCTGGTTCTGGCTCTGGCTCTGGCTCCGGCTCCGGCTCCGGCTCCGGCTCTTCAACCGGTTCCTCCACCGCTCCCACACCCGCCCCCTTCAACTCTGCCTCCAGAGTCGCTGGCTCCGCGGCAGGTGCTCTGGTTATTGCCCTTGCCCTCGCTTTCACTTTCTAAGTTATCTTATTTTAGCCGGGCGATCTGGAGTGATGGGGGTCTTTCTCAATTGAGCTGTCATTACATGTAGGTAGATGATGATCGGCTGGTCACTACCTTACGATAGATCATGTATTATTTTCATATCTTTTGTGTACTACCATTATGCAATAAAGTCTTCTGATTGAAATCATGCGCTGTGCGGATATCCCATCGAACTCGCTGCAAATTGTAGACCTGTTCTCTGAGCCAGTCAGGTTCGCATATCACAACCTATGGCAATAGTTGTTACTTGACTGTTTCTCTTTTCCCTACGCAGTATGGCAATCACACTATCTCGTGAAAGGCCTGAGAAGGGGCAAGCCTCGAGTATAAATATTCTAGGAGCTCTTGTTACCGTTAGTCAACGATGAGGCAATGATGTATGTTCTTGAAGCCGAGGAAGGAAGTACGTTCGAATCACATCTTCAAGGATATCCTATTGATATTCATAATTGAGCAAACGATGTAGGTGTATGTATCCCTTCCACATATAACCTCCAGGGCTCCAGCTTGGAATGCGACAGTCTTCAAAGCACGGGCATGTTGTCAGGACTATTCCCATATTTACTTCACACCAAATCTCCTTCCAAGGTTGTGAGCGATGAAACCTATGAAGCGCGACACACACTGAAGTTGATTATCCTAAGATAATTCTCTGCAGTGCATTTGAATCGTGTCAACCGATGACAAAGTATGGGCTTCACCTGGGCATGCTCATTGCTCACCACGCAATTACAATATGGAATTGTCACGACACCTCTCCATGCAGTCAAGGGGCCCCTTGTACTTCGCAGAGTGAATACAAGAATGGTCTCTGAAAGCCATGGCGGCAATATCCGGAGCCCAGTCATAGTCTTCCGTAGATCTAGTCGGTCTCAATAAGAGCTGGTTTTAGAAGACGGGCACCGGTCTCTCATGCTATTCTCTCGTAAATCATGCCTCGTGAAATTTCTGGGATCTCCCATCTGTCTTGCATTGAACTAGTCACTCTCACTCGCACTCTCAATACCAATCTCAACCTCACTCTCAAAACCAACTCTCAAAACCAACTCTCAATCTCACTCGCACTCTCACTCGCACTCTCACTCTCACTCTCACTCTCACTCTCACTCACTCTCACTCTCACTCTCACTCTCACTCTCACTCTCACTCTCACTATTGTTCAGAGGGCGCTCGGTCCATAGCACGGGGTCCGGATCGTAATGACCTGGGCCGGGGACATGAATAGTTTCTTCAATACCCTCGATCTCCTTCAGTGAAGATGACCCAGACTTGAAAAGGGCTAACAACTCATCCATATGTTCATCGTGATCTGGATTCTCGCCCTTGTGGTATCCCCGAACGCACAAATATTCCAGCGAATCTGGCAAACAATCTATCAAGCGTAGGTGCTCATACCCCTCAGGTAGTTCCCACAGGTCGAATCTGATGCCCTTGGCGAAGTACAGGAGCAAATCTATTCCCAAGCTCAACCTTTTCAAGGCCACAAAGTCTTTCAGGGTTTTATTGTGTCTCCGTACTTGCGAAAGAAATTCGTGGCGTTTCTCTCTTGAATTGGACCAGGGGTCAGGACCGCTTTCCCAATGTTCCATAGCGTACTCCCTCCTAAATTCACATGGGATGTCAAGTAAATTCATTTGGCATGCGACGTCAAGATCCAGGATTTCAAGTGTGTCTTTGTGCCAGCACATCGCTTTAAAAAATGTCTTGGGATTGAACTGTGTGCCCGAATCCACTCTGCCTCCAGCAAAATATCGGAATTCCCTGAGAACCTTGAACGAAGCTATCAGGGCCGCAAGCGACAGAGAATCAAGGGAAGAACGACCAAGGACCATTCTGCTGATGTTAGAGTATCCAACTCTGAAATCAAGCTCGGTTATACTATTTTTATCCACGATGTCACTGGCGATGTGTTCAATGGACAGGAGGTTATCCAGGTAACGCAAAGAGTTAAAGAAATCCTCTTGCCTCCCAAGCCAGTAGTGACCTTCCCAGTGCCACGTTGGTCGGTAGACCAGAAAAACATCGGAGAGAAGGCGGAGAGAAGGCTTGTTCTCGGGACTAGCGTTAGCCTCGGTGAGAAACACTGCAAGCCGGAAGTCCTCGTCACCGCAACAGGGAGGTACGAAGGCCATTGACGTGAGGTTCGGTGATACCACAATTAACATGATAGAGAAAGCCGTCGAGATAACGGACGTATAGGGATGTTAGACAGAATGATGGATTCAGAGTGATGCAGAGCAACATACGTACCTAGGATAGATATAGTGTATCAGACCAGCAAAGGTTGTGCAGCGGTGGTCGGTCCGAGGAAGATACGATTGGCTACAGGATTACCCAGAACGGAAGGTCTGAGGGTCTGAGGCCAAGGTTGAACTGACGGTGACGAGAATGCTCAGGATGTGAAAGACAGCTGTCTATTAGCGTGTCGCCAGCCCAATATACAAGATAATGGTACCTAGGTTGCGAATTAGGTAGCAAAGGAAAACATAGCGTTGAGATGTGTGAAGTGGAAGGGAAGGCAAGAAGGAAGGAGCATAACATGATTCCCAGCCCTGGGGATCACACCTACCAACTCTCCTCACACTCTCACTCACTACTCATTCACTCTCAGCTACACTGTCTTCTATCCAATTGACTCTGTAATAAACTACCTTTTATCTGATTCTAAAACTTCTCTGTTCCAGAAATCCGCCCTTATCCACAGCCCTCATACCCACCTATCCAAACGCGTGTCGAAATGCCGCCAGAACCGGGGAAGAACCTGCCTAGATCTGTCGAGGAGTGGAAAGCCGCAGCCCAGCCCAATGGAACCATCATCGTCGATATCGGCGCCAGCATCCACGAGCAGTTCAGGCTCAACTCGGGCTCTGAGATGGATGAAGAAGACTTCCTTCATCTCAAAACTGTCTGGCCAAACGCAGATTTCGACTTGATTGACAAACATCACGCGCATACTCAGCTCAGACTAGGCACCTGGTTCGCCAAAGCTCACCGGGACCTAGACAATTCTCCGGACTTTGACCGGTACCTCAGCGCAGTGGAGCGGAGAGATGCACCGAGCCCAGATATCGGTATGTTCTGGGCTGCATACGAGCAGCAGTATCAGGTCGTCCAATTGCTTCATCACGAGAGCACTACGAAGAGGGCATATAAGATGAATGAAGAGCATGTGAATATGTCTCTTGTGAGTTTTCTTCAGGCAGTATGCGCCTGCCATCCTGGCCTCGATATCAGTTGTAACCCCGCCAGGGTCCACTTGACCTTCGACTTCCGGCAGGTGAAGGAGCAAAAAGCGGCCAACGAGATTAACTCGAGTGTCCTTAGCCTGTCGTGTAGGACCGACGGGCTGATTGAGTCAAGCACTACTGGTCGGATGCAGGCCATTCTCGAGGCCAAAGCCAGAGCGCGGGCAATTCATGAGCCGAAGGTAAGTTGGCAGGAGACAGCTGAGATGGTGACCGCGGCCCTGAGTGATAGGGAAAGTCTGAAGCACACCCGTCCCGGCCGGTAAGTCTATGAGCCCTGTTTGCTTCACGGGCATAATGTACTAAGACGATCATTAGTGTCATCCTTTTCTCGCAGGATGGCGACGAGTTCTACGTGTCCGAGGCAACCATCAAGGTAGGCTACGTCAAGCATATGAAGGATGAGCGTAAGGCACCCATCAGGGAGAGCGAGTTTGTAAAGATCCATCAATGCGGTCCATATTGGGTCCAGTCGAGGCAGGACGTACAATACTTCGCGAAGCTGGTCCTGGCCATTGCCCTCCGAGAGAGCCAGGAGGAGACCGCTTCTGTTAGCACACACTGTCTCCGTTCGCATGATACCTGAACCGCTCCAGGTCCCCAGCCCCAGAACTATGTAACGCTGCGATCAAAGAAGAAGTTCGTCGCCTCCGTCGCAGACATACTAAAACCAAAGACCCCTGCGACTGGATGTGCTGCACGAAAGCACGCAAGTTGCAACAAGTTACAAGACAACGCGACCCGTGAAGGAAAATGTGTCTAGGTCGCGCCGGCGCCGAGTCCAGCAGGTCGCTGAAGACGGCCCACAGGGTTTGTGGTGATTGGTCAAATGGGCAAGAACGGTCGTGCAACCACTGCCTCCGGGGGACCAGGAACTTCCTGAGCGTGTTCAGCAGCGCGACGGGTCGGAAGGATTTTACGAGCTGGTAGTCACTTTTGCCTTACTTCCGGAGCACAACTGTGATTGAGCGCTGGAAGGGTGATGGGTTGTAGCCCGTGTCTATGCATGCGGTGAACAGCTGAACCAGTGTTTCCAGAATCACCGGTAACTCGATGAGCTTGTGCGAGAGAGAGTTCGGTATACCGTCTTCTCCGGGTGATTTCCCTGCTTTCGCCCCTCCCGTCGCCTCCTGTATCTCTCGAGCGGTCATTGCTGGAAACTCAGTTTGGCGTGGGTACAGCAATGAAACTGACCTGTGTCGGGATAGATTCGCCGATAGCGGTGTTGGGAAGAAGGCAACCCGGGACGCCTCCGCTTTTGCTCGCTTGTTTCCGCGAGGGTTCCCGCTCGTTCCAGGCATTTCGGGATCCAGTATCTTCAACCATGGAATGATACCCTTTTCGTAGGCCCCGTCCCGGGGCCATCTCGGCTCAACGGATTAGCTACGTAGCAGAAACCATTGGCTTACACCCACGAACCACCTAGGCGTGCGAAAGGGAATATCCACCGATTATACTATCCAGATCACCATCGACGGTATCAAAACCGCATGGGGAAAGGGCAAGGCAGTGGTGACTCTCCTTACCCGGAGCGTATGATAATGTCTCCCATGCACGTCTACTGCACAACCTCAGGAAATGACGTCTTGGAAGCTTGGCTCCCTGGATCAGAGCCTTCTTGAGCAATGGAAGCGCACGTATTCGCATGCTTGAAGGCATGTCCGATCGAATACCTACCCCTACGGGTATCCCCCAATGGTCGCCGATCTCACTCATTCACTATCTCATCTAAAACGCAGACGCCAGATCTCATTGAGAACTGCGGTAGCGGTGTGATAAGCAGCAGGTGGGGTGACTATCCTAGCTTCATGACCACGGCCAATGGGGGGCAGCGAACGTGAGGCCATCAAGAAGCTCAAAGCGCCATGCCGGAAAGTCATGCATGGACTCTAGACAGAGAAAAGTATGCTCTCGTGCATTCCATTCGTCAATACCAAGGAACCTAGTCGACTGCTTCATTGGTCCCTCTGTCTCTATTCCAATGACACAAATTTATCTCGAGAGTGGGTCATTGTGACATACACAGTACTACTACCTACCTATGGTTTCCAGATTCGTTCAAGCTCTCCACCTCTCCATCTCCACATCTTCCAGTGTCACAGTGTCTCCATCATTTTTATCGCCCTCTTAACCAATCTGGCGCTTTCACGCCGTCCATCATGTCATTCATGATTTCTGAACCTGTCAATCCGCCTGCGCTGCAGGACCACGAGGCCCTGAGAAGAAAGTTCGAAGAGAATGCCGGCGCCATATTGAATGGCGTAGAATCGACAAGCCAGGTCTCTTATGACTGTGATGCGCTCCGTGGACTGGGCATTGTTCTCCAACATTTCGATGTCACGGATGACCAAGAGTCCCCCGACTTTAAGCCTTTATCTAAGGAAGAATACAGCACGCACAAAATCGACAGCACTGGGATTCCCAAACCCAAGCGTCATCACTATGACGATTTCGACGTGCTCTTCAATTGGTCTTCTTCGTCATGGCCACTGTCAGAGACAGAACTTATATGTGAGGAGGGTTTTCAAATCGTCAGACATACTGACATCCCCAAGGACTACTCCAAGAAAGATCATACCGACATTACCTCTTCGCTAGAGCAACCCGACTCGAACTGGTATCAAATCTTGTGAGTCAGGTCCTCCTTTATACTCCTCTACCACTTACCACTATTAAGAAATTGACCAGTTGACTAATGGGGTCTATCTAGGGCCGAGCATTCCTGCAATGATGGACTACAAGGAATACTATATGGTTTAGCTACTAGGCATTCAAAACCTCTCGGTCTTTCAAAATGGGGAGCTTTAACTTGGCGACAATGGCAGGAGTACCACCACGTGAACCCGTACCACCCTCTGAACCCGTACCACCACGTGAACCCGTACCACCCTGTGAACCCAGACACAATCCACCCACATGTTATGCTTATGATATGCACTGGAGCGGTGGCCGAGTCTAATAACCTTCTCCATGGCGAGATTGGGACGATTGTTGATGCAATCCAGTGCCGTCTCTTCCAGTACCAGTTTAGGCACACTTCGACGTTTCCGGTATAGACCTAGTGATCCCCATTATAAGTTACCGCTAATCACACCACTATTAGGTTCTCGTCATTTCGTTGTTTGGCGCAAGACAGGGGCGTATCCTCTCCGCCCGATTCAATATTGACGGCACTCTGATTGTACGAGCGTCAGATACTTTCGATTTCAAGCAGAAGAACCAAGAAGGATTTGACCTCTTCACGCGCTACTACTACTCCGAACCCAGAGATGCGGCCATGTTCAAACTCTTGCTCCTGCCGAAAAGTCTCCATGGCCCACCATCACTGTAGGCCGTACCTTGCAAGTCCGGAGCCGGATGCAATGGAAAGGAGTTTTAGCATTATTAATGTTATTTTGTGGAGGCCGGTGTGAGCGTTCGCTTAATTGTGAGGTACGTATGGCTGGATGAAAGTGCTATGATCAGGCTCAGGTGGTGGCCCTTGCTTTTATGCGCGGTAGCTTTTGTGCGCGATTGCTTTCACTGGGAGGGACTGTATATGCGACCTCCTGAGATTACTTTCAACGTGGTATTAAACGCAGTCTGTGGCGATTCCGGTCTTAGTTGGCCGGCACTCATCGTTGTTGTCGCTGCTCCCGGGCCTTTGACGCAGTATGCGTATTTAAACCAGAGGTTCCTACAAGTACTGCCAACTATTCATGATATAGCGTTTTATTCACTTGCTATTGTTCAGGAGCGGATAGGGAAGAGATAGAACGTACTGCTTGGATTTCACTTATAGAGCTCCGCTGCGCCTCAGCCTCCGCAAGGGTGACTCCGAATTCTGCCTCCATGGTCGTCACTCGTTACAGAAGCAGTGGAGGTAGATGTTGCTGAGTTCACGCCAGTACAGACAGAGCACTTATCGCTATCGTTGAGATTTGCGTAAAGAGCCTTGTGCTGTCACTGCCAAGTCGCAGGCGGCGGTCGCTAGTAAATTGGGGATTCCATGGCACCGGTCCGGCTGTTATGACGCTGGCGTCTGATTCAATACTTGTGCATGGATAGTCTAGAAACGTATTAGTACTTGCTTGGCCGTATATACTGCTTTCCTCATCTTCCTGTCTATATTCCAACCTATGGCACAAACTCCCCTCGGGAGTGGGTCATTGTGACATACTATGGTTTCCAGATTCGTTCCAGCACTCCAATACTCCAGCTCTCCAGACTCCCAGTCTCTCAGTCTCTTACACATTTTTATCGCCCTCTTAACCAATGCTCTTAACCAATGTCGACGCGTTTCCACGCCATCATGATTTCTAAACCTGCCAATCCGCCTGTGCTTCAGGACCATGATGCCCTGAGAAAAAAGTTCGAAGAAAAGGCCGACTCTATCTTGCATGGGCTGGAATCGAAAAGCCAGGTCTCTTATGACTGTGATGCCCTCCGTGAACTTGGTGTTGTTCTCCAACATATCAATGTCACAGATGACCAACAGTTCCCCGACTTTAAGCCTTTATCTCAGGCAGAATATAGCACGTACAAGATCGACAGCACTGGGATTCCTAAAGTTAGGCGCCGTCACTATGACAATTTCAACGCGCTCTTCAATTGGTCTTCGTCATGGCCGCTATCAGACACCGACTATATGTATGAGACGACTTTTCAAATTGTCAGATATATCAACATCTTCCAAGATTACTTTAAGAAACATGATACCGATAATACCTCTTCGATAGCGCGAAACTCGAACTGGTATCCGATCTTGTGAGTTCGGTCCTCCTCCCGTCTATATTCCCCTATTACCTATAACTATCAAGAAATTGACCAGTTGACTAATGAGGTCTATTTATCTAGGGCTGAAGATTCCTTCCATGATGGACCGCAAGGAATGCTATATGGTTTACCTGATGGGCATTCGAAACCTCTCGATCTTTCAAGGTGGAGAACCGCACAAATGCGACAATGGCAAGAAGACCCCGAGAACCCAGACACAATCCGCCCGCATGTTATGCTTATGACATGCACCGGAGCGGTGGCCGAGTCTGATAACCTTCTCCATGGCGAGATTGGGCCGATTGTTAATGCAATCCAGTGCCGTCTCTTCCAGGACGAGTTTAAGCAGACTTCGAGTTTTCCGGTATACACCTAGTGATCCCCATTATAAGTTAGTGCTAATAGTATGCCACTATTAGGTTCTCGTTATTTCGTTGTTTGGCCCAAGACAGGGGCGTATCCTCTCTGCCCGATTCGACATTGACGGTACTTTGGTTGTACAAGCGTTATATATCTTCGATTTCAAGCAGAAGAACCAAGAGGGATTTGACCTCTTCATGCGCTACTACTACTCCGAACCCAGAGATGCGACCGTATCTAAACTAGTGGTCCTGCCAAAAATTTAAAAGTCTCCATCGCATACCGATATACACGGCACATTGTTGTGTAACATGTACTTTGTTTGTGATGCTGTGTTTGTTGATCTTACACCCGCACTCCGGCGCCGATCATCCATGAGAAGGAACTGGAGCAAGTGGGTCAAATCAACCCTCTTCCCCACCTCACATGGAATGAATCACCTCCAGCCTGGCTGCCTGTGCTCCGTAGAGTGCCAATAGACAGAGAATCTGACCTAGTATATGAAAACAAACTCGAAAAAGCAGAAGAGATAAGTGATTCATTTGCCACCCAGCCACACCCTGCAGGTACACACCCCTGAGGCGCAGTAGTATCATAAGGCGACAGAAACGGTATGGATCGGCCTCAGATCACGTGGGGCGGCGTCATCAAGTGACATCTCAACTCTTTCTCCTCACCAACTTCGACCTCCACTTCTGAACATCAACCCGCACGTTTTGAACAAGTATCACTGAGATAGCGATATTCAACCGCACATACTTGAGGGATATATCATCTGCGCCTGCTCTCCAACGACCGATTTCCAGCCGCCACCGCCATGAAGTTCTTATCAGCGGCTAATCTGTTGGTCCTTACGGCTCCTCTTGCAAATGCGGCCGCATTCTCTCTCTTCGATCCTACACAGACTTCATTGAAAACGAATGACAACGAGAAATTCCCAGTCGAGGGCGACAACCCATTGCAGTACTGTGCCAAGCCAGACAGCTACAAACTGGAGATCGAGTCGGTGGACTTGACACCGAACCCGCCTCTACCGTATGTTAATCACTGGGATCGCTCTGTCAAGTTAATGGAAATGACTAACAGTAGCCATAGTGGGCAAAAGTTGACTATCGCCGCTAAGGGTACCCTGCTCGAGACAATCGAGAAAGGTGCTACTGTAAATCTGGAAGTGAAGTGGGGTCTCATCACCTTGATCAAGCAGACTGTTGATCTTTGCGATGAGCTGAAGAACGTGGACCTAGAGTGCCCCCTCGAGAAGGGCCACATGACCCTGACAAAGGAGGTGGAACTGCCAAAGCAGATCCCGCCGGTACGTGGATCAATACAACGGTCTTAGACCAGATAGCTGACATCCTCTACTAGGGCAAATACTCCGTGCTCGCTGATGTGTACAATCAGGAACAGAAGCAGGTCACTTGCCTCAAGGCAGATGACATCGTCTTCCACTTCTAATCTGTCTAATCTAGACTTTGCGTTGCATCCACTCACCGGGTGGCATCGTTCGATTTGCCAAACTGCCATATCCAGTTGCCCTGTTCCTGCCTCGGGGTTGGGTCGGCAATGATTTGTACACGCCCCTTTCATGACCTTTTTGATCTTGCATTTTTTGTTCAAACCCTAAACGCTCTACAACACGCTCGGGTATCGTCTGGCTTTTCATTTTCCACAGTCCTTGCATCTATTGTTATCTCGTTATCGCCTTCTACTATCGTTCGTCTGAAAGAACCCGAAGCTTGCTTGTGAACTCGATAAAGCCTCTGTGACTTAATATACAACAAAGTCGTCTCAATTTCTGTGCAATGTTGTGCCAGGTAAAAGTGGCGGCCTCGAGAGAAGCATTCGAGGCAAACGTAGGATATATGAACTCATTTACGTTATGTTGGGTATCTTCCTAGCGAGAAGGCGTAGCCAATCCCCCTTTCTGTGGCTAGATGACAAAAGCGTGGACAGAAGTCTTAACACGGCTACTCTCCAAACAGGCGGCGAACACGCTTCAGAACGCTATCTTTCTCCGGGTCGTATGGGTGGTCTTTGCTGGGGATCTCAAGAACAGCCGGGAAGGGATCGGTGAACGTGTCGACACTGTGACGGATGCGTTCAGCAATCTGTGGTTAAAGCATGTGTCAGCAAATATGATGCAAGCAAGTGTGAGCCTCAGCAGCCATGAGCGGGTGAAGTAGGATAGACATACATGCTGGTTAATCAAAAGCACAGCAATGTCTTTCCTCTCCTGGGTGAAGTTCTGGAAGGCCCGTTCGATCTCCGACGTCTCAGTCTTAGAATCTACCACAAGGAAGTTTCGCTGGGATTCCGGCGGTTCGGTAACATGCTATAGGAATGACAAAAGGTCAGCTTGTGACTCCGAATAGATGTAGCAACTTGACATAAACGCAATAGTGGATAGGACCATACCCCGATGCCAGCGAGCAAAAGACCAGTAACGGAGCTGCATATGGGGTGAACTTGATTAGCTGGAGGTGCTCTCTCGTGTAACAAAGAGTTGAAGGGAGGGCTGGTACTCTTCATCACCAATGACGGCAAGGAACTGCCGGTCCTGGGGTGATAGGTTAGCGACGCCATCAGATAGGCAATTGCATTGATCAGAGATCAGGTACCTTGTATGTTGCGGCCGATGCCGCCATATTAGGGATAGAAAATAAGACAACCCGGGATCTTCTGCAAATGAACTCCTCAAACTGGCAGCTCGAGATGGGTCTAGCAAACAAGAGATCTGGTTCAGCTGCTCGTTGATCTCCGTGGTTATCGGCGGGAGCGCCATTACATAAGCTGATGCAATCAATTTCTCCGACTTGTCCGATTTGTTTACTTCATTGTCTTCCTTTCTTGCCATCGCCTTTCACTCATCTGCCACATTGAATGGCCCTTTCATTGTCTTTAACTGGACTAAGCTGCTGAGGAACAGCTTCTGTCCACTACAACTACCCATCCTCGGATATCATGCCCCGACTTGTACGCCGCCGCCCGCTCACCGAGCGCATACTTTCACATCTGAACCCATACGACTTTTTGCTTTGGCTCTCCGAAGAGTTTGAAGGTGGTGACTGGGATCAGCTAGAGAAGGACTGGGCTTTGCCCATTGGCATCGCGCTCAACGTGGTGTTTCTTGTCGCCCGAGCAAATAGTCGCGCCGGTGGCAGCAAGGCTTTCGACGATGTGTTTGGTGACGACGAGGGAACGTCCCTGCTTGGTTGGCTTGTACGTTACTATCTGCCCTCTTCTACCACCGTTCTTTGCTTTGGCATTTCTTGAGAATTCGGGATGGGAAGTTAATGACTGTTATTTTTCTACATAGGCTTCGTTCACCGTCCATTTGATGGCCCTTGCCTCCACGGCCAATGCAATCTACACTTTCCAGAAAAAGAGACACTATCGCCTATTCGAGAATTCAATTGATAACAACCCAGCGACACCGTCTGCCCAGCGTGTGCGGGTCGAATCAAGCCCGATGATGCCGTCTCCTCTACGATACATCGCCAATGCCCTATCGACTGAATCGGCGCAGTCCAGAGCACACCCAGACGCACAAAGGGATGTTTGGGAACTGGCGATCTGGGATCCTTCGCCACTATGCCTTCGACTATTCTGCTTATTCAGCCCCGGGCACGTCTTGGTATACTGGTTATTCCTCCCTACGCAACTTTCCGATCCACGCCCTAGTGTGACAATTGTGACCACTATAATTTTGACGGTTCTCCTGTCTGTCCAGATGTCGTTCATATCTTCCTTCTACACTCAGCAAGCTAAGGACCAAAAGATTGTGCAAAAAGAGGTATTCAAAGAATATGAAACCAAATATGTCCAACCGCGGACACACCCACTCATGAGAGATGTTGGAACACAGTTCTCAGATCCATACGGTCAACCACCGAAGACCGAGGAGGAATGTAATAGGGTCGAGACTTACAGCCCAGCCGTCATCATTAACCGTGGTTTTAAGACCAGTCCCAACCCTAATTACCTCAAGCACGTCGACCCAGAAGGGTTCACTCCAGTCCGCCAAACATCCTCTACTCCTATCTCCTCTATATTCCAGGGCCAACCATCATACACCCCAAGCACTTCTCGAGATGGGTCGCCGATGCCCCGAACGAACAACCGTACAACGATGCGACAGCCGCAGTTCCGATCCACTGCAACAGCAACAGGCGATGGAGGCAGCCTTGGTGTTTACAGTCACGCAAACTCTCCATTGCGGAAATCTGCGACAACTTCCTTTGACCGCCGGTTACAAAACAACGGCGATTTTGTTTACAAGGAGCGTGGCACAACCCCCATGATGCGGAATTCAAGTCCTTTGAAAAGAAACCTTTGAAAGAAGCAGCGTGCCCGGAGGCATGGACCCCGTCAATAGATCATATAGCATCAACTTTCGCCGAGAAACGGGACAGTTCTAAAATGAATGAATGACCAGATTCTATTTCAGCAAGCATGTTAGCGTGCAATCTCAAATGCCTCCGGTGCGCAGTTCACTTCGAGCGAAGCGCGGAAAGCACACACCCCGCCGGCAGCTTCCGTACATATCCTTGAATTGACGTTATACCGATGCAGCTTCACGTCCGATGACCGGCTCACGACCTTTCGCGACGTTCGCCACTTCGGGGAATGCAAATTGCCCATCCAAGGAGGGCGCCCAAACTTATGATGGAAGATGGCATGTATTATTGTTCCTTGTCGATTAAGATTGGTCTTCTTCTTTTTTTTTCGACTTGGTCTTATCAATTTCGCATTGTATTCAGTCCTGCCGGCTCCACGTCATCCGTGGATGAATCGGCATCGCTCTTGCCTCTCGGTCCTCGTAACATCCTTGTGAAGCTTTATTGAAATTGAGTTGAGCATGTGCGCTTATCAGGAAACTGCCATTCCAAATGGCGGCCGGACATTTCAACTGGCATTCCACACCGGTGGTTGGCATTCTTCATGACCGACCTAGCATACCAGCCACGGGGAGCACACTATCCTTACGTGTTGAGAGCGCGATTACCTTTGATTGTGCCTCAAGTGCCGGTCGTTTTCAATCACCCCGCTCCCCGTTGTCTATCAAATCTCGCATCCTAAAGCCGACCGACATACGCTGACCCCGACTTCGACACAAACATAGCACACCACCAGCGCACTGAACAACTCGCTGCATTTCTTCTCCACGGCATGGGCTAAGAACCGCTCATTGGCAGGAGCATTGGAAATACTAATTATAACGGCTGTTGAAGCAATATGGACCGAACTCGTGTGGAATTGCCAGATGGGCACCTCGTGAATCTCTCGCCACGACCTTCACGTCAAGGGCCATACAAAGCATATCGAGCCGACTATAAAGTTACGCCCACAGAGCTCTCTGCAACAACTCCGCCTCGCTACCTACCAAGACCAACAGACCATGCCAATGCAAGCGACGTGTCTGATTACACATTCCAAGAATCAAAGCCTACCAAGCTCCCCGTGCCCAGGGCTTTGGCTGACAGTCACAACGATCCATCGAACAAAACGCCTAGTCCCTCCGGACTCCCTAAGCCAACCACGCCCGTTTACTCTGTGCGACGGCCCGGTAACCAAGCTAGCTCTTCCGACAAAAGCCGCGAACAAGGCTGGAGGAAGATTCAGGACAAGTTTGAGAAAGAGTCCCCGATATCAGAGAAAAGTGCCCAGAGCAAGGAAAGCCGGAATGACGAATCGCCAATCTCACGCATATCGTACCAACGCAGTAGGCCCACGAATTGCACGCCCACAAACCTGGGAAGCCATCGAGCAGGCGGTGTACAATCAGGTATTCCCAGTCCGAGCACTGCGACTAGCAGTCCAGTGCAAGCCGCAAGATCCAATGCTTCCATTTCCCGTCCTGTGGACAGCCTGAACAAATGGCGTAAACAGGGCGATCAATGGATCAACATGGATGTCACCGGAGATACACCTCACAAGTCTTCGAGAACGGATACGACGGTCGATTCCAGCCCTAGATCTCATCCTTCCGTTTCTCCAGTATCTACTGAGGACAGCTCAGTGACGGACTGGGAAGACCAATTCGTTGTGAACATGCCAACTGCGAAAGACCCCAACCCTCCAATGATGACGGCTCAGCAAATTGCCGAATACCAGAAGAGCATCGAACGAGTGCACCGAGAGGGCGGGCAAATGGTAGATCCAGATTCACTGCCTAGTCGCAACGGATCGTGCGAAAGCAAATCCAGCTTGGGCAGGCAGACCAACCCGGGCCCAAGGGAGTTTCATACGTATGATGGGGCGTACGAGGGGGCATCAATCGCCGAGTTCTTCCAATGAATTGTCGCGACCTCTGCCGCAAACCCAGCATCAGCAACAGCAACAGCTTTCCTATCAACAGCCCCAGGCTCAACCTCAACCCCAGGCTGGCGCAGCGTCGCAGCGTCAAGCAGTAAACCACTACTACAGCCCAGATGAGATCGGAAACAACCGCATCAGCACAATATGGGAAGAATCGCCAACGAAAGTCAAGGAGAAGCGACATCCACAAAATGCAGACGGTTCTTTTTTAGGGTGCAGGGAAATCTCCGGGGAAAAGAATCCAGACGAAATCCTCACATTCGCTTCCCCAGAGGATGCCAGTCTTCAACCGCGTCCATTGGCCTTAACTTCCAAGAAAAACAAGCAGAAGGCGACAAAGGAAGTGAAGTCAACGACATCCCCACAAATCATGCACAGAGTGGCCGAGACAACAAATCTTCAACGAGAACAGCCAACAACTTTTCGGAATACGACCCCTGTCCAATGCCCGAAGCAGTCGACAATGTGCCAGGACCAGAGTTGCCCCTCGAACCCAACCGAAATCCCGAGGAGATGTTCTCAGGACTCGGGCAAGAAGAACTTCCAACCTACCAACATCCCGCACAATTCGACCGAACAGCCAGGGGGCCTGGGAGGAGGTCGGGGGGACGACGATGTGTTCATTATCACACCCACTATCACACGCACTATGATTCCCACACCGGACAAGAGCCCTTCTACGCCAAAGCCGCAAGGGCTGCGTCGTCCTGGTGGCACAAGTCCCACCATAACCGCCGAGGCCATCAAGGCCGTCCGGGCAAAGGCTCAGATGATCTCCACTCCATCAGGGTTGCGGCCCGGGCTGCCGAAGTTGAACGCCAAGCCGACAGGCCCTACCTTGACCACTTCCCACACTTTTCCTCTCAGCAGCATATCCACCAGGTTCGAAGAACAAGGCGACAAAGAAACAGATCGAGTACAAGATCGCCCACCCGAACGAGCCGCAGGGGCAGCGTCACACACTATCCGTGGCTTCATCCGTACTTCCGGGCTCGTGAGATCACCCACCGATAGTCTTGCCACGATATTACGCAACGGGACCGAGTCTCTTCGTACCCGGGCCGAGTCTCTGCGGACTGCCTCCGGATCTCTTCCGCGTGCGAATCGGAAGCAAACACCCAGCCCTCAACCAACTCTTCCATCCCGGGACAATTCGGAATCTTCACGATCCGAGAGGTCATTCCATTCTGCGGAAGATACACAAGCCATCTCGGGAAACGTCCCTACCTCGCTGCCAAAAGTGGTCACGACGGACAACAGACCTGCTGAAACCGGAAAGATGGAATCCAAATTATCTCCTTCAGGATCGGAAGCCTCAAACAAACCTGTGACAAAAAGGGTCACTTTGTCAGAGAAACCTCCCTTGACGCACAAATCAGACAAACTTCCCACGTCAACCAGAAAGATCTCTGCGCTGGCAAAGCCCTCCAAGTTAAACAAACCAATCAAGTCTGCAGATCCAGCCTTGTCTGAAAGGCCCTCAGTTGCTAAGGCAGAGAATGTCAAAGCCCCACCAAAGAAAGACGAACGAGCGAAGTCCCTGCCTCGTCTGCGTACCGCTGATGAAGTACTAGAAATTGCGGAGCTCGATGGACTTCAGGTTGGCACCCCCAAGGAATCGCTACAGTCCAACATCACCGATGTATATGCCGACCTAGGCAATATGCACTCCCAAGACAAAGATGATTCCGAAGGGCCGGGGGTCAGCCCCTTAGCCCTTTCCCTTGTTTTCAATATCCTTGTCGTTGCCGTCACACAAGTGAACAGAGCTTTGCGAACGGGCGCTGGCAGCCCTTACTCGAAGTTTGTCGTCAACAACACCCTCAGCATGGCAGGTCACTGCTGGGGTGTTTTCAGTTGCATCTACACCGCAGTGTCTCGCTACCAAGCTACGGGTACCTGGCCCAAGGCTCGCAGTGATAAAGCAATTAGTCGATTTATGGTAGATCTGTTGCAGGCCGTTGTCTATCTCTTTATCCTTGCTTTCGCAGCCATGCTGATCGGTCGCACTGCTGGATACGTCGTTCTTGTGAGCAGCTGGATCGTGTGGTTTGTCAGGCCTTTTGCCTGGGCCTTTCAATGTGTCGGTCGGGCTTTGATAATGTAATATAATGACCCGTGGCTATTTGCGGGATGCTTGTACAAGATTGTCTTTGGGAAATCTGGAGTTGGGAAGCGATTCAACTGTCGGTGCTTTTTGGTTGTTGTCCTGGTCTCGAGTGCTTCTACTCGCCTACTATGTATGTCGGCCGTATCATTAACTACGCGCTCATTTGGATCTTCTATATTGCCATTGTTCCTTTGCTTTGCTTAATTCGCTTAGGGAATAGTATAACATTGGGAAAACTCGTTCTAATGGCCAAATACTTTGCAGTGGATGAGATGTAATGGATCTGGTACTCGCTCTCCCAGGTTGAAGTGGGAGAGATGACCAGTTCAATTTTAGTCGTACTCTGATTTCGAGTCTTCTATCTCGTGTATAGTGTGCGCTTTGAAAGCGCAAAGCAGAAACAATCCCAACTCCGTCATCCTAGTGGTAAATGTGCCTATCCTGGAGATTTTTGCGCGAAACCATGAAACAAAATGCAAATGTGAAGCGAAAACAGAGATCGTCCAGACAGCATTCCTTCTCATGAGGTGGTACGCCGAGGCATCACCCCCGAGGTCTTAGCCCAGCCGACGTTGACAAGCTGCAACCGAGTGCATTGTGGTATGTGACCTCGGAAGCAGGGACTGTTTGGTTAAGTTGGAAGATGAGAGAAGGATGAAAGAGAGGAAAGAGGATCGGAAGGGAAAAATGTCAACAACCATTATTATAGCCACTGCGAGCTCTATTTAGTGATATCAACCAACAGGACCAAGACGGCAGATAAGCACAACAGGCCCTTAGGGCAGGATGATGTTGAATGTGTTGAATCCTCTTTCCAGTTCTTTTCTCGGTCCTTCGATCTTTCTGCAGTAGTCTTCTGGACTGTGTATAACGAAAGGAAAAACATGACGTGGTCTAGAAGGGGAGCACGTATGAAAAAATGGACCTGGAAATGAAAACAGAGAATCCGATCGACGAAGCGCCATTGTTAAAAGAGACGGGGTATCGGTACATTATGTTGAAATGAAAACGCTGAGGAAGAAATCGTTGAGAGGTCTTCAGACATGACGCCATAAGACATTGCAGGGTGAGCCCGAGATGTGTTGGAGTAGGTTTTGTATGGGCTGTGTTATCGTTGAGATCAGTGATGTTGAATTAGGTAATTTTGGGGTTGGTGTTATGAGAGGTCCGCAAAGATGGAGTTAGGACCAAAGGACCCAGGGTGGGTAGGGGAGAGCCACCGTTTCGGGTTGACAGAAACTGGTCTAGTTGGCTGCAACGCCATTTTGCTCGGCGTGGCCGTTAGTCAAAGGTGCGCCGGAGACCTCGACATCGAGGTCTGGGACCTCCAGACCATCGAATAGTTCGAAGACAGCATTGGATCTGTGGAAGTCGTTGTCGACAATGTTGACGAGGTACCAGTCATCCATGACATGCTGAATCAGCTTGCGACTAGGGCTTGATACGTCATGGCACTTAGACCAGTGCTCGCCCAGCAGGTATGCCTCATCCTTCCAGGCCAGGAAACTGACAGTCTCAACGATAGTGGGCTGGATGATTTCCCGTCCAGCGAAAATACCCCATGTCAGGGCATTCGGGCTATCACGTGTGTTCGTCTTGAGCTCACCCTTCTTATTGGTGGCATGGTAAGTCAAGTCACCGTTCTTCTCGATGCGAGTGATTAGCTCATCGATCAGGCTGGAGGGGACCAGAAGCTCAAGGTAAGCTTTCTGGTAGACGAAACCGTTCTTTGGACCCCAACCATAGATAGGATGGGATGACTTGACTCCATTGACGGCAGGCTGTGAGTTGATTGTCAAAAATCCTCGCTGGTTAAGGTTGAGCAAGTCCTGCTGAATTTCGTGTGCCTCTGACGTGATTGGCGAGTCACTCCAGGGCAGTCGGTCAAGCTTGCCGGTCAAGAAACGGACAAAGATGTCTGACAGCTCTTTAATCGACTTTGGCTCGCCCCAAAGTTTGATATTCTGCTCATTTGTGCCCTTTAGACCCACGCCGTACGAGTCGAGCTCACCGAACGCAGGTGAACGAGAATCGGTCCACCGACCGTTGGGATATTCATCCCAAGTCTGTGTACGAGCAACATATGATGAGTTTCGGTTGCGCCAGAACACCGGGCGCACGTCCTCCGTTCTCCGATTGAGGGCAAGGGAAGGCCGCCAAGGCAGCGCGCGTTGAATCGGGGTTTCATCCGAGGGGCAAAGCCCGAGCTCTTCAAGAACCAACCGAGTCGCCTGAGCCAGATTCATAGTATAGCTAGATAAATCATCAGCATGCGTTCGGCATTGGAAAAAGTTAGTACACCGAACTTACAAATGCAAATGTTTGAGACCAGCAGCGATCAGCTTTTTGCACATCTCGGCAATCAAAGTCTTTCCGATATCTCGAACTGCAGAGTCGTCGTTCTTGACTGGCTCAAGAGCCTCCATCCACTCAGGGGGAACTCGAATCTTCGTCCAGTTGACGCGACGTAGGAAACTGCTGAATGTAGAGATCGGCATGATGCCTGGTATAATAGGAACATTGATGCCCTTGGCGCGACACTTGTTCACCCATTCGATGAAGTTCTCCGCATCATAAAACATCTGAGTCACAATAAAAGAGCTGCCTGCATCGACCTTCTCCTTCAAGTGATCGATCAATTGATCCACGTCGGAATTGTCATCGGCACCTTCGGGATACCCGCCGACACCGATATCGAAATGGTTTCCATATTTCTCCCGAATGTATTTCACCAAATCCTTTGCATAGCGGAATCCGTTCTCTGTTGCCTCCCATGTCTCCTTGTCACGTGGCGGGTCTCCTCGGAGAGCCAAAATATTGGTGCAGCCAGATTTGTAGGCAGCCTGGAGGGCCTGGTCAACCTTCTCAAGCGGCATATCAGTGCAAGTCAGATGCATGCAAGTCTCCAATCCATACACCGATTGTGCCACATTAACCATCTCGCATGTCAGATCCGATAAGCGACCGCCAGCGCCCCAAGTGATGTCGATGAAAGAGGGACCCAGCCCGTGCATGCGGTCCATTCGGTCGTAAAGATTCTGTACACCTTGAGCGGTCTTAGGAGGGAAGAACTCAAAAGAGATTCCAGTCTTTCCCTCCGCCTCATTCTTGGCAAGTTTCTCGCGGATATGCATAGTGCCGTGTCAATCTTATCTTCGTCAGCATATGGAACATGCCTGGAGAGCCATCGATGCGATCAAAGGCTTGAGCCCGCTTGCATAGGGGCGAACAAACATACCGAGTACCGGAGCAACAGTTGATTGGATTTTTAGTGGGACTGGAACGCCAATGCAGATGAGACAAGCTATTTCGGCTTGCGTCTTAGGACCAGTTGAGCACAATCCTGGTGCACTGTGACACCTGGTATGAGGTGCCTAGAAGCGAGGGTAAAAAATGGCAAGATACAACAAATTTTTTAGGAAAAGGGAGAGCAAAGAAAAGGTGAGGCTCAACGGGGAGTGAGGAAGGGAGGGAGCCGGTCAGCAGAATTGGGGGACAACATTTGGCGGGGAAGGCCGGCCATCGGAGCACGTGCTTTCCTCCCAAGGGGAGAATTTGGGAAGCATTTGTTCAAGGAGAACATAATTTTCTAGAAAACCAAGCCAATAAACTTGATTTATTTACATCCCGATATAACATACATTACAAAATAGACTTCAATGGCTTTGAAACAAGCACTCAGAGCGTATGGCTGCTCTATGAAGCCATACCGCCTTGCCCCTCTATCGAGAAAAGAGGGCCGGCAAAATTTTCGTTATCAGTGGATTCGACTCCGATTCGCAATTTGACTGTACAGGTTGACTGTTGACTCTTGGACATTTCCACCATAGCAAAACACCATCAACATCACACAATGTCGACTGTTCCTCCCCCTTCGGCCGACCAGGACTACAAGTCCACCTTGCTCCCCCTCCTCATCTCCAACAACGTCCTCTCGTTCGGCAGCTATGTCTTGAAGTCCGGCCGCGAATCGCCCTACTTCTTCACCTCTTCCCTCCTCCACACCGCACCTTTGCTGCGTGCCTCATCTGCCGCATACGCCAGCGTTCTTTCCGCCGAGCCTTTTGTCACTACCAACTCTGATGGCACCGCCCAGCCCAACTTCGACATCATCTTCGGACCTGCATACAAGGGAATCCCCATTTGCGCATCTGTCACCAACGAGCTTGCTGTGCGGGATTCACTGTCCGGCAAGAACACCTGGGATAATGTGAGCTACTCCTTCAACCGCAAAGAGGCCAAGGCACACGGTGAGGGTGGAAACATTGTCGGTGCCTCGCTCAAGGGCAAGCGGGTTGTCATCGTGGACGATGTCATCACTGCTGGCACCGCAATCCGTGAGGCAGTCGGTATCATTGAGAAGGAAGGCGGCATTGTTGCTGGTATTGTCGTCCTGCTGGATCGGGAGGAGCGTGTTAGCGATACCGAGACCAAGAGCGCCATTGGCGTTGCCCAGCGTGACCTTGGTGACAAAATTCCCATCCGGTCAGTCCTCGGTCTCCACGACTTGATTGAGAAGCTCGATGATAAGATTGGCGCCGCCGAGATTCAGCGGTTGAAGGATTACCGTGAGCGCTACGGTGCTCAATAGACATGGGGTTATGGAATCGTTTGAAAGAGGCAATACATACGAGCGAAGAGAGATAAATATGGATACCAGGGTAGTTTGGAGTTGCTTAGAAAATATTCCAGTTGAACATAGCGGGAGAACATTAAAGACCTAAGAACCTTGATGGTGGCCGATAGATCTCCAACCTGCCGGGAAGCCCTTAACATAAATGCTCCAATCGGGGAATATGGAGTCCTGTATGTCATCTCTCAGGTCCAAGCCCCTTGTTAAACAATGCAATTCGTCATGTTCTAGTATTTGGCACATCGATAGGTTTCGAGCTGAGTGACTTTATTTGCCTCAATACACCCCTGAGCCGACAACAATACTCGGACACCGGAATCCCCGTGTGCAAGACAACGTTTCACATGAACTCCAAGGAATAAATGGCGGGAAGCCGACTTTTATGGAAAGCCAAGAACTGCCAGCAACTTCTAGAAATAATAACTGTGTAGGTTATTGTGCGGCAAACGCCACGCTGTATGGCAGATGTCTCGCCAGTTGGCGATATCTCCTACCCAACCTCAACTCAAGGGGAACAAATGCTAGGCACCGAGTCCACGGGGAACATTACATAGTCCGTTGAGACTGATGCCGAGAACGCGCTCGGTACAAATGTGTTAAGCGACGAAGATTCGTCACCTGATTGGTACATGGTAGGACGTAACTCCGTAGACAGTGTACTTATCTGGATAGCAGGTACGATGGGTCCGACGTTGCTTTAAGCAGTGGAGAACCATGGAACTGTTGGAAATTTGGAATCGACCGTTACCCGGTACATGGATGACCATGGGATCTCGGTCATCTTACTAACTAGATGATCAGAAATAACGTCCTAGTCGAGATTTGTATTCTCTAATCTCTACAAGACAGGTGACTTGCCTCGAGGTCTGGTGGGGGTTCTGTGCACCCCTTGTCCTGAAATATGGCAACTTCCGGTTATCTCCCAATGGCTGCTTTGCGTTTCACAAAGAGCTCAAGAACGGGACCCGGGTTGGGATCTAGACTAAGTAATTTATTTTTATAGGATGACAAGTGATTCCTGCGCAAATCGCAGCCTCCAATCCTCCTCTTGAACAGTCAATATATCTCTAATTGAAAGATTTAGCATTACCTAGGTTTGGATTTTGTCATGATAGGAAATTGGGATTCTGAGCAGCCAGCAGATGCCTTTAGAATATCACTGAAGTCAATTTCAAGAGAAACTGAGGTATTTAAGCCTCATTAGGCCATGTATCTGGGGCATACACGTTGATGTAGTCTGCAGTCTGCAGTCTGCAGGAGCGTTGGTTGTGTGAACGATCAATAAGAATGGATAGTACCTAGTCTCGACCTACCGTCGGTATCGTCGATGTGGTCCTCTCTACGAATTCCCCAAATTGCGTCCTTTACTCGGCGGTTAGAGATGTACTTCCACCAACTGGTCGTAGAGCCTCGTTGTATGTGGCTTATCAACCAGACTAATGAATATTATATGGCTTGGTAATGGATCTGTCAAGTTCACTGGGTACATCGAATATCATTCAGTCGTCGAGCGTGCTAATTCAATCGGAAGGGCCACAAGCATGTTATATAAGCTCTTTTGGTGGGTTCATTCGATTCATGCGAAGTCGGGTTGCTATGATCCGTAGATACACTTGAACCAAGACAGTTGGGGCCAGTGAGCTTGGTAAAGCTGTGTTACCAGTTGCTCTTTGATCTCTCAATGCCACCAAAGTACCTTCTCGAGTTTTACTAGCAAATGTTAATGCACCCGGCTAACTGGAGATGACTGATCTGTTTCGTGATAAAGCATTCAAGTTACTTACCATGATCACTTACAATTCACACTTCTACATACTGTCCTCTTAAGAACAACTAGGATAGCCAGGTCAATGGCCGCTTAATTCTAGAACAGCCGGTGGTCCCGGAAACCGGTAGGCCTCGGGTTACATTTGGGAGATGCAGCACACATAGACAGTCATAGTCCTTTGTTGAGTTCGCCAGCTTCACTGGAAAGAGGCATGTTTAGGATCCAGGAAGTATGTGACCACCAGCAGATGTAACTTTATCTTCACCTTCGGTCAAACCGCACCATTCAAGAACAGCGCCACACACTTGGAACAAGTAATGAGATAATGAAATACGCGGGTCTGAGTCCTACGACAGCAAGTGTACAGGAAGCCTCGGATCGTATACATGTACCCCATACTTCCATGAATACCGGCACCAATTCAGGCTCGATAACAACCCTGGACATGTATGCATGTACCCTGTCGAGACGTTACGTACCCCCCTTAGTACTCACTAGACATCTAGATAGGCTGCATTTCTTTCTACTATACGCCACTTTAGAGTTATTTCGAGTGAGACAATATGTTTGCTGCGACTGTTCCCTCTGACACATACCCAAGATCCTGGCCGCAACAATGGAGACCGAGTCGAAGAGGCTCAAATTCAATGACCTATGTGAATTAAATGAGTACTGTTGGGTAAGTATCTCAACATCTCAATAGGGTCCAGTTCGTCTCCGATGATCTTCCCGTTGGACCAATATGAGAGCTACAACATGTATTCCGCGCTGCTCGGACTCTATACTGCCTTGAACACCATTGTAGACAAGTTTCACCAAATGACTGCAATACCTGCAAATGCATGGGTTGCTCGACTAGCCTCGTCGAGCCACAGATATTCCACGACGGCCGTATGTCATGCAGAAAGCTATGGTTATTGCTTGAAACCCCGAGCAACGGCGACGCCACGTAAGACACATATCTTCACCTGCTGAGCTTTGTGATATCTGGAAATAGAACAGCGTGGTAACTGTGATGTCAATCAAAGCGCCGATAGAGCTTGGTGTACATGGTCCATCTGGCCTCCTATCAGCTGCCTCATCTATCCTCGCCGTTCATTCCGGGCTGTCAAGGGAAATGTCCAAGTGCGCACGCTTAGTCTGGGAAACCAAGAAAGAACATCGGAGGACTTTGTAGGAAAGTAGATCAATAACAATCATGCTACCATTCTACCATGTAGAGTCATCTAACCCCGGCTGAAACTGCTCTCACATCTTTTGCATATTTCTAGGTTCCCTTTATCTCTATTAGCCGCTTCGCAGCTCTTGATTTCTCTTTCCTTTTCCCGTTTTTACAGAGGAGAGCCCGCATGATAAGAGGTAATTGGTGATATTCTGCTTGTATGGATATGCGCAGAGATCCTCGTTGGTACTGTATGTTCTACTCTTTCTACTCTTTCTAGACCGGGGTTTCTTCCTGTGACCTCCCCGAGGAAGAAACAATTGATTTCTTCTGGCATGTCAGTATATATCCCCCCTTCGGATTACTTGGTGCCAACAGGATCTTTGGTCCTTCCTTGGTATCAGTCGGTACTTGATCGAAGTCCCTCTCACATATCGGCTGAGAAAAAGAAGTATATTCACTGACATAGAATGGTGCGACACAGAAATTGTTCCTTGGAGAATCCAGTCACATCAAAGGTCGTTCTTTGGGCTTTTTGGCGTCTATATTCGACACATGCTGCGATCCTGAGTCTCTAAAGCGGCTTACCTAGTTGCTTGTCAAGCATGAGTTGGCGATACAAGATTAGCGTGCTCGCCCTTTTCGTGGCTTCTGGATTTACTTGGCCCTACGACGAGGCCTTCACTGCATATAACATAAACGAAAACCAAACAGCAACCGATCCTTTGGATTACTGGGGAGAATGGCCAGACCACACCTACTTCCCTTCGCCGGAAAACTGGCGCTTTCCTGTATATACCCTCTTCCTTGATCGGTTTGTGAACGGTGACCCGACAAACGACAATGTCAATGGGACCCTCTTTGAACATGATATCAACTCCAATCAAATGAGACATGGAGGTGATGTGGCTGGCTTGGTAGACACCTTGGACTATCTACAGGGAATGGGAATCAAGGTAAGCTGGCCAACCAATATTCACCCGTATCCCATATGTCCACAAATGATTAACGTTCGGACTTCCAGGGAATTTACCTTGCAGGATTGGTGTTGATGAACCAGCCATGGGGAGCAGATGGCTACTCGGCGCTCGATACCACTTTACTGGATCAACATTTTGGCACGATTCAAAAATGGAGAGAAGCTATCACGGAGATCCACAACCGCGGCATGTATGTCATCTTTGACAATACTGTCTCGACGTAAGTCATCAGCTTATTCTCCCTATCACCACGTGATTTCTGACAGCACACTAGCATGGGAGACCTCATTGGTTTTGAGGGGTACTTGAACACAACCACACCATTTTCAACCAAAGAGCACAAGGCTTTATGGAAATCCGACCGTCACTATGTTGATTTCCGATACGGCAACGCCTACAATAAAACGTGCGAGTACCCCCGCTTCTGGAATGAGACAGGCTACCCCGTGGATCAGTATGTCAATGATGAGCTTGTTGGGTGTTACGACAGTGATTTTGATCAATATGGTGACATTGAGGCATTTGGTGTCTATCCTGACTGGCAGCGAGAGCTCGCGAAGTTTGCCTCCGTGCAAGATCGGTTACGTGAATGGGTACCTAGTGTCAGGGAGCGGCTTATCCGTCATTCATGCATGATCATTGCATCTTTCGACATTGATGGATTCCGTTACGACAAGGCCACACAAGCTACTGTCGATGCCCTCGGAGACATGTCAGGGGCATATCGAGACTGCGCTCGCCGCGTGGGGAAAGATAACTTCTTCCTTCCCGGGGAGATCACTAGTGGAAACACTCTGGGATCAATTTTCCACGGGCGGGGACGCCAGCCTGATATGCAGCCTGAGACACTCGAGGAGGCATTTAGATTGACGAACGATAGTGATCCCGGGTACTTCATCCGTGGTCAAAACCAACAGGCCACCGACGCCGCCGCATTTCATTACTCCGTCTACCGCTCTCTCACCAGGTTCTTGGGGATGGACGGTAACCTGGCTGCTGGCTACGATATCCCGGTAAATTGGACCGAAGCTTGGTATCAAATGGTTCTCACCAACGACATGGTCAATGCCAACACTGGTAAATTTGACCCTCGTCACATGTATGGAGCAACGAACCAGGACGTTTTCCGCTGGCCGAGTGTTGAATATGGCATTGAGAGACAACTTCTTGCTCTCTTTATTACGACATTGCATATGCCCGGTATTCCTCTGCTTCTGTGGGGCGAGGAACAAGCATTCTATATTTTGGATGCATCTGCCGCCAATTACATTTATGGTCGCCAAGCGATGTCTCCTGCCACGGCCTGGAAAAGCCACGGATGCTTCCAGTTGAATTCTACTCAGTATTTCCAGTGGCCTATCAAGGCAGGACGCCTGGGATGCCACGATGAGACAGTCACATATGATCACCGTGATCCCGCTCATCCGGTACGGAACATCATCAAACACATGTACCAGATGCGACAGGACTTCGGTGCTCTGAATGACGGATGGTGGGTTCGGATGCTTTCAAATCATACGCACAACATATATCTTCCCGGTTCAAATGGCGTGCCGACGGAAACCGGCATGTGGTCTGTCTTGCGCAGCCCATATTATCAGATGCAGGACCTAGGTGAAGCAGGAAACCAAACAGTTTGGCTCGTATACCAAAATGAGAACAGGGCGGTCGACTACAAATTTGACTGCTCTGACCAAACCGCCGCCTTGATCTCTCCGTTCGACGCGAACACCACGGTCAGGAACTTATTCTACCCTCACGATGAGTTAACGCTACAAGAGGGTCCGATCAAGCTAGGACTCAATGGCTCTGACCAGTACAATGGTTGTGTTGACAGTATGGCTCTCCAGCCTTACGAGTTCAGAGCCTATGTCCCAGTAGAGAAGTTTGTGCCTCCCCGGCCAATGATAACCAAGTTCCTTCCTGGGCATGATGTCCCATTACTGTCAGCTGTTGCCCCTAACGAAAGCGAGGCGCTGGATATCAGTCTCTTTTTCTCGACGGAGATGAATTGTTCTCTTGTTACGGACTCAATATCGGTCGAGTCGTCCACCGAAATTGGAGGATGGCCTTCTGTGGACCCTGATAGCGTCTTTTGTGAATCTATCAGGCCGGAAAGTACTTCTTGGGCCGGCCAAATTCCATCTGCCTGGTCTTGGAGAGCTACTTTAACTGGAGTCTACAATGGTGTGCACAAATTGACGGTCAACAACGCGACCAGTGTTGATGGCAGAAAAACCAATGCTGTTGACCATTTCTTGGTCCGCATTGGGCAGTACGACAACCCCATTGTGTTTACAGCAGCAAATTACTCCAGCACCTTGCTTCACGAAGGAGAGAACAATACTCTTTTCATCACACAGCATGCAGCTGGGGCCGATAAATATCGATACTCCACCAATTGGGGCAGTACCTTTACCGGGTGGCTCCCATACGAGGGAGGAAATGTTAGCATCTACGAACTGCCTTGGTCTGGAACTAAAAAGCAACTATGGGACGGAAAGCACATTCGGGTCGAGTACTGGAGTAGCCTCACAGGTAGCAGCGACTACGTCCAAGAGGGTGACGGGCCCGGCTGGAACCCTGCTATCCAACGTCGCTTCCCTCATCTCTTCTTCAATGGCCCTTTCAACCAGTACGGATATGATGCCGGCATGGAAAACGTTGTGAAACAAGATACCGATGGTCTTTGGAAATTCCGTTTCATGGCTGAGTGGCCTGCTCTGGGTCAACTCAATGTCTGGGGCATGAATCCTGATAATCAACCAGATCAGAGCTATATCTACGGAGACTCTAACGGGGACTCTATCCTAGATCGTCTACCACCATCTTCCCTGAGTGTGACATCCATCAATATCAGCCAGCACCCGCCTGATCCCCACGTCGCTTGGAGCATTCAGTTGGATGACTCGACTCTACGGTTCAAGCTAGTTCCCACAGGCTCCAAATATGTCCAGATGGCCCTCTTTGTCCTTCTTTGGATGGTACCCGTTATTACAGCAATAACTTGCGCCTACGTATTCATGAAGTCATTCTACCGGATCAAGTTCAATCAAATTGGAGTCAGTGAGAAAAAGACCCTCCTTTCGATGGGGTTCGTGAACAATCTCAAGCTCGGCCACGTCGAGGATGGACAGTCCACGAATCCATTTCTACGTCTTGCCAGCAAATCCAAATTCCTTCAAAGCACCTCTGCTTTTGGAAACCGAACTGCTCATCGGAGAAAGGTTCTCATTGCTACTATGGAATATGAAATCGACGACTGGGCCATCAAGATCAAGATCGGGGGCTTGGGTGTGATGGCACAGCTGATGGGAAAGCAGCTCGGGCATCAAGATCTTATTTGGGTGGTGCCCTGTGTCGGGGGAGTCCACTATCCCACGGATAAACCGGCCGAGTCGATGTTCGTCATGATATTGGGGAATTCCTACGAAATCAAGGTCCAATACCATCGAATAAGGAACATCACATTTGTTCTTTTGGATGCTCCCGTCTTCCGCCAACAATCAGCCACAGAGCCCTACCCGGCTCGTATGGACGACCTTGACAGCGCCATCTATTACTCTGCTTGGAACCAGTGTATTGCCCAGGTTCTGAAGCGCTTTCCCGTTGATTTGTATCACATTAATGACTACCATGGCGCGCTGGCTCCATTATACCTGCTACCCGAGACTATTCCAGTTTGCTTGTCTCTTCACAACGCCGAATTCCAAGGCCTATGGCCTATGAGAACACAAAAGGAGAAAACCGAAGTGTGCTCCGTTTTCAACCTTGAATTCAATGTTGTTACTCGATATGTTCAATTCGGCGAAGTCTTCAATCTATTACACGCAGGGGCGAGCTATCTACGACTCCATCAACAAGGCTTCGGTGCAGTTGGCGTATCCAAAAAGTACGGAAAGCGCTCATATGCCCGATACCCAATCTTCTGGGGGTTAAGGAAAGTCGGCAATCTCCCGAATCCCGATCCCTCTGACACTGGCGAGTGGGATAAGGCCTTGCCTAAGGAAAGCGACATCAACGTCGACGATGACTTTGAAACCCGTAGGGTTGAGTTAAAACGTCAGGCCCAGGAATGGGCAGGTCTAAAACAAAGATCGGACGCTGATTTATTGGTTTTTGTTGGACGATGGTCAATGCAAAAGGGAATAGACCTAATCGCTGATGTTCTGCCCGGTGTGCTAGAGGCCCGGCCAAATGTGCAGCTCATCTGTATCGGGCCTCTGATTGATTTATACGGCAAGTTTGCCGCTTTGAAGTTGGACCGGATGATGAAGCTTTACCCTGGTCGGGTATGCTCAAAGCCCCAGTTCACCGTGCTACCACCCTTCATCTTCTCAGGAGCGGACTTTGCGCTTATCCCCTCACGCGATGAGCCGTTTGGTCTTGTCGCTGTGGAATTCGGCCGCAAGGGCGCTTTGGGGATTGGCGCCAGAGTTGGTGGACTTGGCCAGATGCCTGGCTGGTGGTATACGGTTGAGTCGACGACGACCTCGCATCTGCTGAAACAGTTCAAATCAGCCATTGACAGTGCCTTGAACTCAAAACCAGAAGTGAGGGCTATGATGCGCGCAAGATCTGCCAAGCAACGATTCCCAGTCGCGCAGTGGGTTGAAGATCTTGAGATATTACAAGCAACATCCATCCGAATCCACCAAAAGGAGCGAGCTAAGGCCCAGAACCCATCCACTGCCGCGGGTGCGTATAACGCTATCTATGGAATTATGACGCCGCAGGCCGCGTCAACAAGATCTGGGGCATCAACACCTTCATTGCAACCCTCCAGTCGCCCGGGTACCATGGGATCGCTGCAGCGAAGCTCTATAATTTACAGTCGGGATCCAAGTCCTGGAGGCGAAGCAAGACCCAGATCAGGGCTCAGCCATCAGTTGTCATTTGGTATGCGACCAGGATCTGGGACCACGGAGCCTCGTGGCCGACGCGAGCTTGCCAAGGGCAGCATTGTTGAGAGCGATGACAGTGCCGGCAGAGCTTCCCCAGAGGCTGAAGAGAACAGTGACGATGAGTTGATGGTAACTTGCTACGGAGACGATAACTATTCTCTGTCGCCTGAAGACACAGGCCGTGCGCAAACTCCTCAACCTCCGGGCGTGGCACTTACCAAAGAAGCTCTCTCGGCCCAACGTGCAATTCAAGGTTCTATAGTGGCCCGAGGCAGCAACACACCCTACAGCTCCTCGGCACCCAGTACTGTCGGGACCGAAGATACCCTCATACCGCCTTCCCGTCCATGGACGGAGCCAGGAGCCCGACTAACAAGTCCATCGGTATTGTCGGTTGATTCGGTGGTTGGGGAAAAGAAAGATTTCAAGCTACAAAAGGTTGACCCATTCTTCACTGATAGCAACGGCGAGTACTACAGAGTATTCGAGAAGCGACTCGAGGAGCTCAATGGGGCGAACTCAGAAACGCAGCTCTGCATCGAGCAATACCTCGAGAAGAGTGAAAAGAAATGGTTCAACAAATTCCGCGACGCGCGCCTTGGCCGCAACCAAGGGTCCCCAGCTGGTTCAATGCATCGTGGTAAGCCAGAGAGTTCTCCGGCAGGGTCCATCAATGACGATACGACATCTCACGAAAGTGGCGCACCGCTGGACAGAAAGAACCCTCCACCGGATGAGTTCCTTCTCGGCGACGACTATGTACCACCAACAGGGCTGAAAAAGTGGATGCAGATGCGCCTCGGAGACTGGCCCGTGTATTCACTTTTTCTTGGACTGGGCCAAATCATTGCGGCCAATTCTTACCAGATCACGCTTCTCACGGGTGAGGTCGGTCAGACTGCGACGAAATTATACGGAATCGCGACGGTGTATTTGATCACGTCTATCCTCTGGTGGTTCTTTTTCAGATATTGCAAATCAGTGCACGTTCTGACCGTGCCATGGTTCCTATACGGAACGGCCTTTTTGATAATTGGAATGGCTCACTTTGAGTCCAATTCACACAATCGTGGGTGGATTCAGAATGTTGGCAGTGGACTTTATGCTGCTGCATCATCAAGCGGTTCCATCTTCTTTGCCCTCAACTTCGGTGATGAGAGCGGCGCACCCGTCAAGCAATGGGTATTCCGAGCCTGTCTCATTCAGGGCACACAGCAAGTATATGTCATTGCTCTTTGGTATTGGGGCTCAACTTTGACTAAAGCGACAAACGCCGGTATTGCAAATGTGCAGGGTAGCATCACCAACACTTGGCGAATGACGTGCGTACCAGATCACGACCTCTGACACTAAAATCGGAAGCTTGCTAACCACTCACACAGAGCGATATGTACACCCATTGCCCTATTTCTGTGGGGAGTGGGCTTGATCGTCTATTTCGGCCTACCAAACTACTACCGTCAGGCTCCTGGGAAGGTGCCATCATTCTATAAGTCTGTCTTCCGGCGTAAGATTGTACTCTGGAACTGGGTGGTCGTCATTATCCAGAACTTCTTCTTGAGTGCGCCATACGGCCGGAACTGGAATTGTGAGTCTCCATAATCTTCCTTTTCTTTTCAAGGCCTTGAATATGCGCTAATCGTACACACAGTCCTCTGGATCACCAATCATGCCAGCCCATGGCAGATCCTCCTCCTCTGCGTTGCATTCTTCGGTTTTGTCTGGATAGTATTTCTGTTTCTGCTAGCCAGGCTATCCAAATCCCATAGTTGGATACTCCCAGTCATCGCCTGTGGTCTTGGAGCTCCGCGTTGGGCCCAGATCTGGTGGGGAACATCTGGTGTTGGCCTGTTTCTCCCCTGGGCTGGGAGTTATACCGCGGGAGCTTTGATATCCCGTAGTCTATGGCTCTGGCTCGGAGTCTTGGACGCAATACAAGGCGTCGGGTTTGGTATGATACTCCTGCAAACACTGACACGCATGCACATCTGCTTCACTCTTCTCGCATCACAAGTCCTGGGTTCTCTCGCGACGATTTGCGCAAGGGCCTTTGCTCCGAATAATATTGGTCCTGGTCCCATCTCACCGGACATCACGGCTGGTGCGGGTGCGCTAGCTAATGCCTGGTTTTGGGTGGCTCTTCTGCTGCAACTCGCAATTTGGTGGGTTCTATTTCTATGATATTCTGGTGATACACTCTCTGACATTGACTCTGCAGTGGTGGATTCCTCCTTTTCTTCCGCAGGGAGCAACTGTCGAAGCCCTGAGAAGATGTTTATACATCGTGCATTAATGGGAAGCAAGAGCTGTGTTATTGGAGTGTTGAAGAGGTCACTTGCTTTTCTTGTGCGTCATATATCATGTTGTTCCAGGTTCGTTCAGGTGGTTCGGCGCCCGTGATCAAACATGGCAGCCCAAAGTATCTATGACCTAATATAACTAATGATTCAAACTCTTCGGGATAGATTACCGGGAGAATCAGGAGCAATGCTCCCGTTCTTCCTCACTTACCTAGATTATTCTTATCCATTACTACATCTGTTCCCCTTCCGTACTATCGGGTGATCGGGTAGACCCGCTTGCCGGCTTGGCGCAGCCAGGTGGTCCGTCCACATAACTAACCTTAATTTAGTCAATTTAAAAGGGAAGAGTAACACGTACTAGCTGTAGTTCATTCTTCAGACAAGTCTGCCTCTAGCGAGATATAATTTGGAGTGGAGGTATACTACAGAAGTTTGATACAGTCACCGGCAAATTCACACTCATGATTCATTCTCATTGAATTCTCATATTGAAAGAATAGCTCATAATCAGCCCAGGAGCAAAACGAAACACAAACGATAGCGGCAACAAGTAGGGGAATATGATGTCAAATCCAAACACGGCATAGAAATAAGATGCAAGAGCGCCAATGGCCAGACTCCTGGCAGGCACTTGGTAGAACACAGAAACAACTTTTACCACTCAAGAGGCTCGTTGGTCACTTCACCGCGGTTGGTCTTGGGAACAGGAGCGGCCTCAACCATGGTCGCACCACGGCGATCACGGCGGAGATAGCCACTGCCGTCCAACCAAGGGGTGTCAAGGGTACGCTTGGCTTCGAAAGTGCGAATTTTCGACTCCATCTGGAGGGTGAGACCGATATCATCGAGGCCGTTGACAAGGCAGTGCTTGCGGAACTCTTCGACCTCAAAGGCAACGATCTTGTTACCCTGTGCATCCTTGATTTCCTGGTTGATCAGGTCGACCTCGACCTCACGGCCAGCGCGGGCCTCATCGGCGATCTTTTGCAGAGCAACCTCGTCAGAGACGACGACGGGGAGCATGCCGTTCTTGAAGGTGTTGTTGAAGAAGATGTCGGCGAAAGAGGGGGCAATGATGCACTTGATACCAAAGTCCAGCAGAGCCCAAGGGGCGTGCTCGCGGGAGCTACCGCATCCAAAGTTGGGACCGGTAACAACCAAGATCTTGGAGTTGCGGTAGACACCCTGGTTCAGGACGAAGTCGGGGTTTTCCTTGTCATCGGTGTAGCGGAGCTCGTAGAACAGCGCGGTGCCAAGACCTGTGCGCTTGATGGTCTTGAGGAACTGCTTGGGAATGATGGCATCGGTGTCAACGTTGGCGCGCTCGAGAGGGGCCGCAATACCCTTCAGGGTGGTGAAGGGGGGAGACCGGTGCTCTTGCCGGCGCCGCTAGCAGGAGCCGTGGAGTTGGTGTGGGGCTCGTTGTCGGCGGGCTGGTCGAGAACACGGTCGAAGTCATCCTCAGTCTGGGGGGAATCAGCCACGGGCTGCTGGACGTCGATCTTAGGCGAGGCCTTTCTAACAACAGGGCTGGCAACAACGTGCTCACGGACATCCGCAAGTTTTCCAACAATGGCAGCGGTGGCAGCCATGGCGGGTGACATAAGATGGGTACGGCCTTGGGCACCCTGGCGACCCTCGAAGTTACGGTTCGAGGTACTAGCACAGCGCTCCTTGGGGCTCAAGATATCAGGGTTCATACCGAGGCACATGGAACATCCCGCCTCGCGCCATTCGAAACCGGCATCAGTGAAGACCTTGTCGAGACCCTCGGATTCAGCCTGCTCCTTGACAAGACCGGATCCAGGGACGATCATGGCCCGCTTGATGTTGGCGGCAACCTTACGGCCCTTAACCACCTTGGCTGCCGCACGCAGATCCTCGATACGAGCGTTTGTGCAAGATCCAATGAAGACCTTGTCAACCACGACATCCTTCATGGGTGTTCCAGGGACGAGACCCATGTACTCGAGGGCCCGCTTGCAAGAGGCCTTGCGGTTCTCATCCTCAAAGTCATCCGGGCCAGGGACGACACCAGAGATGGGGACAACGTCCTGGGGAGAGGTACCCCAGGAGATGGTGGGAATGATATCCTTGCCATCAATGAAGACCTCGCTATCGAACTTGGCTCCCTCGTCTGTCTTCAGGCTGGACCAGTAGCTGACGGCCTTGTTCCACTCGGCGCTGCCGTACTTAGGGGCTAGGGGACGACCCTTGAGGTACTCGAAGGTTACCTCGTCAGGTGCAACCATACCGGCACGCGCACCGCCCTCAATGGACATGTTGCACATGGACATACGAGCCTCCATGCTCAGTCCACGGATGACGGATCCGCAGAACTCGATAACAGCACCGTTGCCGCCGGCAGTGCCAATGACACCGATGATGTGGAGGACGACATCCTTACTGGTGACGCCAGCGGGGAGCTCACCATCGACCTGGATGCGCATGTTCTTGCTGCGGCGGGTGATCAGGGTCTGGGTCGCGAGGACGTGTTCGACTTCACTGGTTCCGATACCGAATGCGAGGGCACCAAAGGCACCGTGTGTGGAGGTGTGGCTGTCACCGCAGACAACAGTTGTGCCGGGCAGAGTGAAACCCTGCTCGGGGCCAATGATGTGAACAATACCCTGGCGCTTGTCGCCCATGCCGAAGTAGGTGAGGCCGAAATCCTTCACGTTCTCCTCCAGAGTTGTACATTGGAGACGAGAGTCATTCTCTTTGATGAAATCGGCGGCATTCTTGAAGTTTTTCCGTGAAGTGGTGGGAATATTCTGTTCGAACCAAAACCCTTGTTATTAGTTAAGAACTAGCTCGCGGGCATGGGACGAAACGTACGTGATCAACTGTAACCAAAGTGCAGTCCGGCCGGCGGACCTTACGGCTGGCGTTCTTGAGGCCCTCGAAGGCCTGGGGCGATGTGACCTCGTGCACAAGGTGGCGGTCGATATAGATCAAGCAGGTGCCATCTTCTTGCTCGTTAACGACGTGGTCGCTGAAGACCTTGTCATATAGGGTTCTGGGTCCTGACTCTGCGGAAGGCATGGTGGAGGAATAGTGAGGATGCGATATGAAGATTGAGTCAAGGATTGAGAATTAGCAATGGCTTGTTATATTTTTCTGCTTTGAAGTATCCGCGATGTCGCTCGAAAGCTTGTCGAGGGGCAACGCCGATCTCGGCCGGTCAGCGACGAATTGTAATAATTTCATTGGTCGAGGTGGCAACTTACCAGTGGTCCGATGTCGGTGCTCGGGTGGTACCAAATGAGGGGGCCCGGCTACCCGGCTACTCGCGCTTCTTGGCGGAGGCTCAAAAAACTGATACTGAACCCTTAATATATTGCTCCCAATAATGTCGGCGTGTTCATCAGAGAGATGTATCGGAGGATGCGGTACGGTTGGCGTCGTACCAGAATATTGTGAGTCCGAGCTAACCGGTTGAAGTTTCTGTTCTAGATCGAAGCAGTTTGTAGGAATGCCCCAATATACCAGCGAACTATGCATGACGCATGTACACCGATCCCATGTAATTAAAACACGTTGATTGGCTGTAGACTCCGGCTCCGATCGGCCCGCCACCTTTTGACTCAACGCTAGGCGCCATGGATGAACAGGGGTGTCATGCTCGACCTGAAGCCCTAAGTGCACATTCTATGCATACAGTTATGACATAACGTGGATCATCAGGGGTAGCTGGTTACGGTAGTATTCCTCAAACCTGAAGTTGCTATTTTGTATCTTCACTGAATCTGTGATATGGTCAGTTGCTCGCCAACAATATGTCTCAATAAAGCTGACCGTCCTACAGACAGGGTGACAACCCAGGTAATCTGGTTGCTACGCTGAGAATAGTCATGCGGAAGGTTTGAAGAGAAGGGACATCAAGTTCTTAAATTGTATCATGGTCTAAAAATCAATTTACCCACATTGATATATAGGTAGTCATACCCCAGAACGCCAATGCCCGCCGGTATCTTCTAAAGCAAAGTGTCATGAAGAGAGGGAAGAAGTCGGGTGGAAACCTAGAGATCCGCTCAGTGCCTATACGAGCGAAGAGCCCAGATCGACCACAATCCGCTTTCCAGAGACTGAACCACTCCGTAACGTCTCAAGAGCCGCATTGATACCTTCCAGGCCTCCCTCCGCGTGAACGATCTCAGGCAATGTGAAATTTGCCGATTGCATAAGATCCTCCAACCAGCAAACCATAGCTTCGCCTACTGCGGGAGCGGTATGGAAAAGCTTAATGGGAACGGTGTGGTAGTGAATGCCCGGGGCTTGCTCTTTGGGCAAACCGGACAATCCGAGAAGGTGGGCATGACCATCGGGGTTTAGGGTCTTTTCAAGTTGTGTTGCTGTTTCTCTTCCGACTATATCGATTGCATATCGCAGCTTGCCGCCAGTAACGCCACGGATAATCTCGACTGCACGATCGGGGTCATGACGATCGACAAGCAGGTCTGCGCCGGACTGTACGAGCTTGGCACCATGTCGCGCGGCATCGGCTATGCATATCACGCGTAACCCGGCGAGCTTGGCTAGTTGAAGAGCAACCAGGCCAGTAGTAGTTGAGGCTATTAGTCAAAGGTCAGTGAGTTGTTCGTTTATATGGAAACCAATGCCTGTCTTACCTCCCCAGAAAGCAACCCAATCTCCACGTTGCGGCCTTTCTGAGTCCATTAATGATGCAAAGCATTCTTGGTGTATATCGGCGGGTATGTCATTTCGGTCGAGTTTATTGATAATATTGGGCAGGTTAGGACCGGGAACTTGTTTTATAAGGGAAAAGTCGAGTCCGAATGACACGCCCAGGGCGAGAACCGCAGCGACGAATGCGACTCCGACAGAAGCTGAAGCGTGGATGGATGTTGAAGGAGGAATTCGGGCAGCATTAAAGTCGGTCGCAATGGCGTATTCTTGGAACGCTGCTTTCCTGATGTCACGGTAATCTGTTGATGGCACCAGCACAATGTCGCCTACGCGGAGGCGTGATGATCCCTTGGGAACTTGTAATACACGACCAGCCAAATCTCGTCCGTTGATCCATGGCAGGCTGGGGATACCAAAGTTGAATGCCCTAGACGGTATATCAGTGAGCTGGCGATGAGAACGAGACCTGATAGAAACACTTACGGTCCTTTCCAGTCAACAGGGTTGAGGCCAATTGCAAGGACCTGCGTGTGGATGGTCAGTTTCTTGTGCCATGCATGATCTAATCCACGGGACCCTGTCATACCTTGACAAGGATCTCTCCCTCATGCAAGACAGAAGGAACAGCGTGGTCTTCCACTAGTGCATATTGTTCGCGAGCCCCCTTGAGAAGCAACACTCTTTGCTTTAACTCTTCCGATCGCGGCGACGCGGGTTCAGATTCAGATCTTGACTCGTTGGAATAATCTGAAATGGACTCGGAGAACAAATTGTGGTGGAAAGTAGTCGGGTTCTTCTGCACTTGTTCGAGCTGGAGGCAAGTTGAGGTGGACGACATGATGCTGGAAGATAGTAATGGCATGACTGATAGATGACAGGAAGACGTCTAATTCTACTAATATGTTCTACCTATATCTGCCTTTATACAATCTCTCGGGCGAGAGAAATAAAAGCAAAGCCCGCTTGCCTAGTTTTATGGCGCGGGGGATGGATCCCAGGCCCTCCCATAAGCACGTACATAGAGATGGGACCCGCGAGTATATCCACTAGGACGAGTTTAATAGAGAGATCAATGGGATAATTTCGTCTCACGTTTGCGCAATAGCAGCCTTTCCATAATTCCGAGGCCTATTGATATTGCACATGGCGGGGCAGGAATGGCGTGCTTCAAGCCTTGGCCCTGGGGAAGGTGATGCTAGATCTAGGCTTCACGTTATATCCATGTTGAATGCCATAGATGCAGAACCCTGAGGATTTTGAGGAATCAAAGAAGCTGAATAGATCCAAATGACTAGTCTGATACTCGCAGAAACTCACAATTCCCATTGCAATATGTCGTGCCGCGGTGACATAAATGCAAGTTGGTTCGGAGAAGTTGAAGCCATTTCGGGAACTGATGTGATCTTGGCCTGCGATGACGAAAACTGGTTGAAAATTTCTGGATTCCAACACTGAGGATCTGAATCGCGAATATTATTCGGTTGAAAATCAAGGTAATGAAGGCATATGAAAATGAGGAGATTATCAATCACTGATAGTCGATGCCAGTGATTCGCATGTTGGTCTCAGCAGTTGACTTGTGAAACAAATGTTGTCACATGTCGGTTCTTTATGGTACGCACGTGATCATGGCCGTAGAGATAACCTTGGAACACATGAGATCGACTGACTATTGGCCTATGCTTAGATTTTCTGCAAAGGTTCCATGGTGGAAGTTCGGAAGCTGCGAACCTCACCTGGGGCCCTGGACACTTAGATACTTCAAAAAATGTTCATAAGAGCAGGCCATGTATGAGATAGCCAACTGCATTCCAAATCCACTTGGAAATTGATAGAGCAACCTACACCTTGGATATTATATGTAACAGCAAATTTCCACTTTGTCTCCCCGGGCATGCGTTCGGGAATGGATAGGTGCATTCCACCTTAAGGTTACTAGATAGACTCCTAGATACCCTCTTGGCAATGGACCACCAGCGGATGTTTCCATCAGCAAGCATTATACCCGTCAGATCTGATATTCCAGTGTTCCACCCGATTTCCATGCAACTCGGGGAATCCAGCTGTACCTGGGTAGGATCTAGCCCGCCTGCTGAGTCCTGGGTGCTCCGTGCGAGCACGTAATCCAGCCTAATTACGACAACATGAATGGAGTGTTGGGTCGGGAGCTCTGAGCAGCTAAAGAGGGGTCTTGAAGGATGCAAAAACCGCCAGCACCTTCCTGATGTTGCATGGCGTGGGACATATTACTTAGGGCAACAGTGTCGGTTGATATTGACATGGGGGTACGAATCTCTTGCGCGAGCGCGTCTATATCAACTTCCAATATCCTTTCGAGTTGGTTTGATCACCCCGACATTGACCCTGGTTTATCATGACGAGCACCGAGAAAGACGTTGTGCCAGCTGATATGGACAGCCCAAGTTCATCCTATTCGGTTGGTAGGCTGCACAAAGGTGAGATTGCAACATTGACCCTCTGAGCTCATCTGAAACTGACGATGAACCGGCAGTCAAGTGGTATCGTTCGACGTTCTACAATGCCCTCGTCCTCGGCATTTGCAATTTCCTTGCCCCTGGGATCTGGGGCGCGATGAATTCCTTGGGTGGAGGAGGAGAAGAGGAACCATATCTTGTCAATGCGGCGAACGCGTTGACCTTCGGGCTTATGGTGGTCTCTTGCTTCTTTAGTAGTGTCATTGTGCGATTCATTGGGATAAAATGGACCCTCATAGTCGGAACAATGGGGTTTGCTCCATACGCCGCTGGGCTGTACCTGAACAACCGGTATAGTGAGGAATGGCTGGTGATTCTGGGCGCCGCTCTTTGCGGCATTTCAGCGGGCATCTTTTGGATGGCGGAAGCAGCTATTGCGCTTTCGTATCCAGAGCCATACAATCAAGGTCGCTTCTTGGGGTTCTGGCTCAGCTTCCGTGTTGGAGGGCAAATACTCGGGGGTGCCATCAGTCTGGGCATCAACGCTAAGCAGTCGACCTCGGGCTCAGTCTCATACACTGTGTACCTGATCTTCATTGCCCTGCAGGCTCTTGCCCCCTTTGCTGGCCTGCTTTTGAGCAACCCGTCTCAAGTGCAACGAAAGGACAGAGTCCGCGTTCAACTTCAAGTGACGAAAAATGTTGGATTCGAGTTGAAAAGCATGGCGAAGCTTTGGATCAATCGCAAGTTTTTGTTCATCGTTCCGTTCATTTGCCAAGCTGTGTACAGTGAAGCTGTGATGTTTTCGTACGAGGGATTGTGGTTCTCAGTGCGGGCCAGAGCACTTGGCTCATTGCTCTCTGGTGTGATCGCTTTGGTCATCGGCAACATCCTAGGAGCCTTCCTTGACAGCAAGCGGATATCCCTGAAATTGAGAAGTAGGTACGCCTTCTTCTTTGTCGTCGGGTGGCAAGGCATGTGCTGGATCTGGGGTTCAGTTGTGACAACCGAGTTTAACAAGACGCACCCGATATATGACTGGACTGATCCGGGATTCGGAAGAGCCTTCACCCTCTTTCTCTTCTGGGTCGCTGGCTTCCAGCTGAACTATATGTATCTGTAAGTTGAAAGGCGACCTACATCTCAGTTGCGACGGTGCTAATTGATCAGGTTTTTCTTAGTCGGTAATCTTGCAGACGACCACGAAGAGGTCGTCCGGATTGCAGGTTTGTTGCGTGGTACTGAGTCGGCCGCTCAATGCGTCAGTGTGAGTTTTCCTCTCATATTAGTGTTGAACCGCCTAAATACTAACGATGTCTTCAGTACGGTTTGAGCAGTGTGAAGATCATGGCAGCAGTGGGCAGCGTATACCTCAATTTTGGGTTGTGGGCCATCGCGGTACTTCCTGCCTGGCTCATTGTCAAGGAAGTTGGAGAGAGCTTCGGGGATAAGAAGATTGCACGGGAGACCCGCGATGTGCGCGTGGAGTCCTCGGAAGTGTTCGGAGATTGCTCGGAGATCAGGTGAATCCAGCGTGGATGATGCAGTGGAGGCGTTGCGCAGCCAGACAGTTGAAGGCTCCAGCGCGTTTTTTTTTTTTTTTTTGCTAATCTGTAGGTGTTCACTGTTCAGCATGAGACAGAGATCACCCTGTACGATGAAGTATGAAGAGATATGATAAATTGTATTTGAAACTCTATGACTAGCACCAGAAACAGAGAAACAGGACGAACGAGTATAAGTACATAGACAAATTCCTAGTCAGGATATTCCCGTTGAGTTATCCCAGTAGTCTGGACTGGCCCTAATGCAGCAGAGCTCTGAGGTCTACCATCCAGGGGACAAGAGGGGTGGAAATCTACGAGTCCGGGTCTGGCAACAGAAATGTCAGCGGTTGCTCCTTCCATGGAAGTTGACGCTGGGTGGGACTCCTAGGTTGTTCTTGTCAGAAAAATATATACATTGAATAGACAATACTACTCTGATAACCTTGCTCCTAGAGATATCTCGATGATTGACACCTTTGACGCTTTCCAGGCTATGCAATGAAACCAAATTCCCTATTGTCGTGGTGGAACACAAGCAGTGCAAGACGGTGTCGAACAAATAGACCAATCATCCCACAAACAATCTGGACTGCGACCATGTGCCACGCCAGTTGGTTTTCTCGCATTGGACCCATCCAAACTAACCAGAGGTTCAGAATGGTGAGATTACTCGATTCTGTTATCTGATCATTCTCATCCGTAGTAATGCGCACTAGTCTCAGTAGGTGTAACAGTCGTAGCGCGGTATCAATCAAAGGCGGCGGGGGACTCGTCCACTCTGTGACCGAGGCATCTAACAACCCAGTAGAGGCGCTGAATTTTGGCAATCGGTGGCGGGGGCAAGGAATGAGTTTGAAGAGCTGTGGGGTCGAGTACAAGAAGTTGAAGATCTGTGGAATGAACAGTAGGAGCAGAGTTTTGCTGAAATGTCCCAGAATGCCAACCACGGCAAACACCATTCCTGCAAAATAGCAGTAGGTATCGCCCACAAACACCTTTGAGGGATACCAATTATGGTACAGAAGAGCTGTCGACACGCCGATAAATGGAAGTAGGAAGTAGATCGACAACAAATGTGAGTCGGTGGCAGGGTGTGGGTATGGCGAGATAGGTGCGAGGTACAATGCATCATTGAATAGCAATTGAAACGCAATCACCAGTGACTGAGCAACCTCGATTCCGTTGATGCCTGCCAACATATTGATGGCGTTAGGACAAAAGATAGCCACCGCTGCCATGTAGATATAATACAGCCATCCAAGGTCAACGATGTCACCCAAAAAGGGCTGAAGTGGCACCGGGACGACCACGTGGGTAACGCCGAAGTCCACAAAGTAAACAATGAGCATAGGGATTGCGGAGAACGCAGGTATTAAGACTTTGTGTCTCCAGCGAATATCGAATAGATCATCACCAATCCCGAGAATTGCGACGGATTGCAAAGATAAAAGACCAGAAAGATAAGAGGCCAGCTATCGACCAATTTGTTAGTTTGAGCCCTGATAGCCGTAAACACAAAGGTTTATTTTTTACCTTGCCATGCGGAAATCGGTGGAGAAATCGGCCATTCTCAATATGTTGTGACTCGATCACAACGTCACGGTTTCCACCACCGGATGTGGCTGCCACGATATCCTTGTAGAAGGCAAATGGGATAAACATGATGAGCGACATCAGATACACCACGGCGCATACCGCTCCCATGGTTTCAGGTCTAGTCCCCGGTATTAGTTCATGATGAGATTGCATATGCAAAAGCCAAGAGCCAGGGCTTATACATACATCTCGGGCCGGCTAGGCTTTGCCATATCTTTGCCTTTTAGCCCTGCCTTCATGAACACAGGCCCAAGCCATCGAATCAAACTAAACGCCACCGCAAACACTATGCCACATAGCGCAATTGAAGCGACCAGAGGGGCCCCATCGCCTTGGAATGTGGTGTTAAGGATCGCTAAACCGGCCCCAACGAGACATAGTAGACGCCAAGTCTCAGTACGGGAGAGCGTGCTTGAGGTATGCATCGCAGGCACAGAAATGATAAGGAAGGAACCAGGTCCCCCTGCAGCAAAGATAGAAATCCAAGAAGTTGTCCTATGCAGCAAGAGCAACAATCCTCACGAGACGCGCAATCTGTCTTTATCCTCAAGATACGCGATAAGCGCTATCGTGTTCTGCCGTGGCTATCTGACCGCCAAATCTGGCGGTGAAAGTATCCCGTGATGCCTGCAACTAGGAAAGTAAGGCGAGTCCAACGCGACGTCAACCATCTGTTTCATACCTCTACGTGCAGAGGCATGAATTGTCATCTTTTGGTCCAGGTGTTTAATTCGTCAACTCTAAAGTTCAGACACGATGGGGGCTGTGGAGCGCCCCGAGATAACGGCTGGGTTTGTCGACTTCGATGCAGGCCATCGGGATCTGGTTACTGTCACCAGATTTAACTTCTATGGCAACCGTATTGTCACAGCTTCGTCCGATCACCGCATGAAAGTTTGGGATCTCAAGGAGGGCCAATGGCAACTCATAGATACCTGGCGCGCCCACGACGCTGAGATTCGCGATGTACGTTTTCTAATAAGCCAAAGGCGTGATTCTAAGCGCGCCAGGGCTACTTATTTACTAAATCGTTGTCACAGGCTACATGGAATGGCCCCTTTACAGGCCAACATATTGGCAGTGTCGGAGAGGACATGAAGTTAAAAATCTGGCAAGAAGATGTAACTCAGTCACCAAACTCCGGACGGCGTTTCAGGTCAATCTTTCGCATGACCGCGCCCCATAGGCATCCGTTTGTATCGCTCGATTTTCGCAACATCGACCTCGAGTCTTGGCTGGCTGTGATCACACGCGATGGCTACCTCATGATCATGGAACCTGTCAGCCCTGATAGCCTTGCAGACTGGCAGGCCGTTGATCAATTCCGAGTTTGCACCGCCCCCGAACGCGGGGAGGAAACCAGCTTTAAGGTCCAGTTCCATCATGATCCCACCGACATCACGCATACTATCTTGCCGGACTCGGACCCGAAGAGTCTGTCGCTCATTGTGGCTGCCATGGACACTGTGAAAATCTATCGCACTGACACAAACCGGCGATTCTACCATGCAATTGAGTTAAATGGCCACAGCGGCCTTGTGAGAGACATATCCTGGGCCAACGGCTCCGTGCGTGGCTACGACCTTATCGCGAGTGGCGGTAAGGATGGTTTGGTTCGCATCTTTGAAGTATACACAGTGCCTGCTGGTCAAGCATCCCAGAGCACCAACAGCCGGAAAGCCGACCGCCGCATGCAGTCGCAGAGGCAGACACAGTCACCAACCCTACGCGCGACATCGCAATCCGGGATAGGCTCTGCTCTAGCCAGTCGTGCCCCTGCGTCGGTGGCCGATCGCCAAGCTAACGGAGATTCGCTGTTCCGGCACTCGTTCAAACAGGTCGCTTGTATCGACACGAAACACCTCGATGTATGGCAGGTTCAGTTTTCGTTCTCTGGTGAGTTTCCACTTTGCTATGCTGGTCCAAGCTGTCTAGGTCTTTGTACTGATTCACTTCTAGGTGACTCATTGATCTCATCTGGAGACGATGGCACAGTTCGATTTTGGAAAAGGTCTTTGTCTGGAGACTGGCTCGAATTTGCCGAAACCGACCTGGCTTCTCAGTGATCTTTTCGCCAATACCTAGGCACTCAGTTGATGATGGCGCTGGGTTGCCAAGACTAAGATGGGAATGCCTGCCTAGCAGCCTGGGTAAATCCCCCAAGTTCCTCCACCTCTTGCCCGGCCCATTGACCCATTTGTCTCCCTTTTCAAACGATGATACCCTTTACATATGATCTCCGTATGCTCCTGTGTTCAACTGAGGGTACTATTCGCATAATCTAGTCGAATTCGGACCGTGGATGTTGATGCTTTTGACTCGCACTGTCTTAAAATCACCCAAGGAAAGAGCGATCCTGAAGGATGCCGTAGATGGCCCGTTGCGGTTGTAGGTACACTTTGCCCTCGAGCATCAACACTCAACCTTCCACCATCATCCTCTACCTATACTTTCATTAACCTATACTTTCATTATTCATACTCATCGTTATATTAGTCGCCCACCATGGCTGTCGGCCCGACAATTGGTACCGGCTTGCTCATCGGCGCCGGCCAAGCTCTCGCGGTTGGTGGGCCTGCCTCGCTGTTCCTGTCGTATATAGTCTTATCCTTCCTGACATTCGCTATGACCACGAGCCTCGCCGAAGTATCCACCCACATGCCCTCGCGACATGGAACACTGATCACCAATGGCTACCTGTACTTGTCAAACAGCGTCGGATTCGCTGCGTCATACTTCCGGTGGTACACCCTGTCTCTGTTCGTCCCATACGAGATCACATCCGCAATGGTCAACCTTGGCCTGTGGAAATCGGATGCCAAGGTCGCGATCAGAATGTGCCTCATAACTGCCATCGTTGTCGGAACCAACTTCCTTCCGGAGAAGACTTTCAAACGCTCCGAGGGTCTCTTCACTTCAATAAAGATTGGTACAATGGCAAGCCTGTTCGTGATCTCTCTCGCTCTTGGCCTTGGAGGCGTGAATGAGCAGACCCCGTGGGGTTTCAAGTACTGGAAACATCCAGGCGCCATGAATGAGTACATAGTTCATGGTGCATTTGGACGATTCCTAGCCTTCATCCAATGCCTTCTCGATGGCTCTATCGCATTCACGTTTGCTCCCGAATTGATTGTGCATCGCGCAGAGATGCCTGTATCACTTGACGCGCCAGCATCTCTAAGTGCTGCCATCCCTGGTAGAGTGACAGCCGACGTTTTCACAACGGCATTTCCGTATATCATGAGCTCCTTGGCGATGTCCGCCATGGCACCTTCCAATGACACGCGTCTGACAAACAACGGGACGGGCTCCGGGTTTTCTCCTTACGTGATCGGACTCAAGGATGCACAGATTCAGGTGGTACCTATGATTGCAACAATTGGGATCCTGCTTTCTTCGGTGGCCTCTGGGCGCAGCTTTTTGTACCTCTCCTCGCGCTCACTGTGTGCAATGTCGGAACTCGGGCATGCTCCCTCCTTTTTTTCCACCCGCAACCGCTGGGATGTGCCATATGTGGCTGTCATATCATCCGCTCTGGTCTCCGCCGTTGCCTTCGCTTCAGTGAGAATCACCAGTCCAGTCACAAACACCTATCTCCTCCGGCTCATCACGAGCGCTGGTTCCGTTTCTTCGCTTGTGTCATGCGCCGTCTATCATCAATTCAATCAACAGCTCAAAGCGAACGGAATCACCAAGCGTTATGGATTCTCCCTGCAGCCATATGGCACATATTTCGGAGTGTTTTTCAATACCCTTTCGCTGCTTGTTGGTGGGTTGTGGGCAGGTCCGAAGGGTAATCTGATCGGATCTCAAGGAGCACGGTTGGCGGTCTCCTACCTCAATGTTGTCGTATTCGGTCTCCTTTATTTGGGTCACAGACTGCAATATTTCCAGCCCGTTGTCGAAATTGAAAGACCGACCGATATGAATGGACAGGAACATTGGGACAGCGATGGGCCAAGAGAACTTCGGGCACAGAAGACGGACCCGCATAGGAAGAACCTCGATACAATTCCAGAGAGTCCTGAGGATATCGAGCTGCAACCCAGTCAGACAATGTTCACAGACGTTTGAGTGTTACGGTATATTGGTATACTGGGCGATGAAGATTGATCCAAGAGCACAAGCGCTGAAACGTGGGTATAAGGATGGAACGGTCATGTTTGCGACTCGGATTTCCTAGACTGTCAGTCATCATTAGGTGAATTCATATTTGTTTACTGTATAAGGTATACCACTGTACTTTCGATCGCCATGTAGTCGGAGGGAAATAGTTATCTAGGATGTCAGTACAGACCTGAATAGCTGTAGTTTGGGTCAACATGTGAGATCTTACAGTATCTTTCAATAAAGACAGTTCTGTTGTACTGTGTACTGTACTATTCTTTCCCCCTTTGTAGGGGCAAATGGCGCCAAACTACGTACAAATCATATCGCTCTTTCCCCCCCTTTTTCCTACCACGCGGAACCCGAAATCGCACTTCCACATTTTCTTCTCTTTCAAAAATGACTCAGATCTTCATATACAAATCCAATATGTACCAGAGGTTTAAGTGAAACCCTTGTCTGTTGTACCAGATGACCGTGCCCCTCCCTGAACCCACATCACGTTCTCCATCTTCGGGGGATCTCCAACGATTTCCCTTACCCGGTCTCCCCCCATGTTACTTCCATGCTTCCTCATACTTCCTTACGATTCTATACTTCTTGCATACTTCACCATTCGCTTCATCCTCGAAGACCTTCTCATGTGAAGCTCCAACATTTTCGTAGGTTCCCCATATGAACTCTCGTTCTCCCTTGCATTCCCTGGGGTTTTACCGAGCTGGTTCTGTGGGAATTTCTTTGTCCCTCCTCTCCGTCACAAGGTTCGAAGGACCACCGGATCACGAATCCTTCCAGCCTGTTCAAGATCTACGCGAATCTCAAGAACTATGGAAACTTGACTGATCGCGCTCTTCTTGCTATTCTGCAAACGGCGATATTGCGGTTTTCTTGGGCTATATGGCTGGCACTTAATATAGCCGACCTTGGGTGGTTATGATTCTTCACTACTTTTCTATGCGCCTTGGATTGGGAGTTTCTTCTCTATACTGTGGACATTTGTCTCCTACTCATCCATCTAGATGCTAACCCTCGTTGACTGCCTATGGATGCCCTAGGCTTTGACATTCCCGTGACTTCCCCCCACTCCCGCATTGAAATAAGCTAGTCCCAAGTGGGGCTAGTACATCCGATGCTTACTGAGAACAGTCGGTTTCGCCAGATTTCCGGATTACCATACCACGGTAATTTAAAACCCGAAATACCTAACGGGAATCTTCCGTTCACAATGAAATCGAGGTGGGAGGTAAAGAAAAGGGAGGACGCCCTGGAGGATAAAGTATGGTTGTTTCTGGGACGCTCCTATCCCTTCTGTCGAAGCCCTCTGGCTTCCTGCTTCGAGGATTCAAACCACACGAATACTCTTTCACCCCCTCCTCTCCCCCCACGCACTTGGTCTCTCTGGCTACCCGGACAGCCCATTCTCTGCCTAAGGCCCTCGTAGCCTCCTCCTTCCTCTGCCTCCAGTCCCTCAACTCGCTTCTTCTTTTTCCCTCCCCTTTACTTTACTTTCACCTCCTTCGCGCCCTACTTCTTTTCTTCATACCTTTATATATCTTTTTTTATACATTTTGCGCCATCCTTTTCCTTTACCTGACTCGAAACTCCGACGCTCCCCCTTTCGCTTCCTTCTTCTGATCGCACTACCTACGAGGCTACAACTTTCCAACGCGTCCGCCGTTCAACGAGACGAGATTGGGAATCTACACAATCACAAGCCGACTTCTTATGCGACTTGAACACAGACGGGCTGGCTACGCCTCTGTCAAGAAACTTCATTTTGTCTTCGCCTGAGAGGGGGTTATCTGTCGGCCATGACAGATACCTCCTCCCTCGCCATCACGCACGCCACAACGGATTCCTATCAGGTCCACGCCCATCGCGGCTCGCCCGCTGCCGGCGATGGCGCCGCCTCTGACTCCGGCGCACCCGAGGAAGAACCCTACACCATGAAATGCATCTGCTCGTTCGAAGAAGATGATGGTAGCACGGTCTTCTGCGAAGCGTGTGACTCATGGCAACACATCTCCTGCTACTACCCCGACAAGAAAGTACCGGAAGTGCATAACTGTGTCGACTGCGAGCCACGGCCCCTCGATAATCGCCGCGCCCACGAGCAACAGCGACAGCGACGGATCCGAGAGAAGAGTGAGGATAGTGAGCGAAAATCAAAGCGGTCCGCCACCAAATCTCGCAAGAGGAAATCCAAGGGCACCGATGCGACTGACACCGGCGTTGGACATGACTCGGGATCACGTGGATCTCTTCCCGTCAAGAAACAAAGGACATCTCGCCGTCCATCGACCTCAACCAGTGTTGTCTCGGGTCCCTCCGGTCCTTCAACTGAATCGCGCAATCGACGGTCTTCCACTTCCGTCGCAATGAGCCCAACCAATACCTCCACTCCGTCCATCCCTCTTTACTCGAACGAATTCCTCTCCCTTTACGATCGCGACGATCAGTTCATCGAATCGAACAGTATCCTCAACGACGGTGTAGAATTTGTGAATGAAATCGTTGCTTGGTTGAATGATCCATTGATATTGGCGCGTGTCACTGATGGACTTAGTGTCGAAGACTTCGCCCAACGGTCCGAAGCTGCTTTGGATCAGTCTCGCTGGCCCTCGTTGAAGACGAAAACCATCACTGATTCAAGCATCCAGATTGGTGACAAGCATCCGATCCACAAGATTCTGACCACACAAGATACAATTCGTCCGAACGAAACCGTCGGTGAAATTTTCGGCACGGTAGGCCATGTGAAGGACTACAAAAAGCTCGACAGCAACCGGTGGGAAGAGTTGCATCACGCCCTGCCTTTTGTCTTCTTCAACCGGCAGCTAGACTTGTACATTGATAGTCGCCAAGAGGGAAATGAGCTTCGCTACATCAGGCGCTCATGTGATCCCAATGTTGTGTTGAAAATTTACATTACGAGCGGCAGGCAGTTGCATTTCTGCTTTGTCGCGAAAAGAGAGATTCCTGCAAACACAGAAATCACCACTATGTGGTATTTCGACGACTATCTCTTTTCCGAGAATGCATCACCGACGGAACAGAACAAGGACAAAGTGGTGGATCCCAATGACGCCGCTGTTTGTATTAGCAATACATTGGCGCTTTTTGGCGGTTGTGCATGCGGTCACGCCCAGCGCGGGCACCCCGATAAATGCGTGATGGAAAGGCTCGATCGCCGGGAAAAACCCCAACCTCCCGGCAAAGTGACTAAGTCGAAGGCGAAGAATAAGCCCAAGAAGGGTAAGGCACGGGGCGGTCCGAGTCGCGCCACTAGCGAGACCACCAAACATCCTGACGACAATGACCCTGCCGCCGACATACGATCAACTTCCGGCTCCACGCGTGATAGACACACAGGCAGTCGTGATATTAGCCCCATGACTTCACAGGAACAAAAACTGCCAGAGCTCTCCAGTCGCGAAAAGCGCAAGATCGCGGAGGCCGAGAAGCAGTTTGAGCAACTCGCCCATGGACCTGTCAACTCCAGACGAAGAAGGCGCCCTAGCGGATATCACCGCCCTGCGATGCTTTCAAGTTCAACTCAAACTAGCGACGACTTCAGACCTTACCACAAGCCTTGCCCGTCTCTACCCCTCCAGACTGCTGAGCAATCAGCCCAGCGTCATGGCACTTATGTTGACGCCCAGACTCAACTCTGGGAGGATGATATCAAGAGATCATTCCAGCGCGTTGAACGCAAAAGGCGAGGATACGACATCTGCCCGGTACATCCGACTAAACTGAAACTAGCACGCTTTCGCGGGGGAAATCACAATGAGTTGGATTGGGAGCAACGAAGGGCGTGGCGGGCTGGTGACCGCAGTGTCATCCCACGTGGAGTCATCCCGTGGTGGTCCCTCTTTTATCCATCCCCCGAGGGCGACCGATCCGAGGTTGAGTTGCTCCCGGAAGATGCGGCACTAATGCACATGCCACTTGATCATGGCCCAATTTCGATGCCACCTCGGTGGTCTTTCCACGTGTCCCAGTATCCACCACCCCCAGTTTGTATGGGCCGTGTAGTGATTCGTGGGCTGCATCTTGATCGTCCCCCAAAACTGGCTTTACAGAATATCGATACTCCGAGTCCTACATCGGCCGATTGGGGCAGACCTAGGCGCAGGCTTGACAATGATCCACGAAAGCCACTATCTACTTATTGGCCATCCATTGCTGCGCATACCTATCGGATACCTGGAGCTGCCATTTCAGTCAATGTGCAAGTTTCCATGGCACCCCCCAATATGCCATCGGCGGCTAGTCCTGGCTCCGTGTCGACAGGGAGTTTAGCGTCGCCGCTTTCTCATACGGCTTCTCCACTTTCTCTCGTGCCAGCTTCTGCACCTGCGCTAGCTGCCACCCCTGCCAAGAAGAAACTCAGTCTTGGTGATTACATGATTCGACGTGGTACCATGGCGACAACCCCAACTCCGGAAAGGACCCACGCTCCGGTTCGTCCTCCGGCTTCTGGTCCGGCTTCTCTTCGCGCCGAACATTTTCTTGCGATTGTGCCCGTATTTGATGAGAATCACGAGTCTCATCGTCCAAAAGTTGAAGTCGAAGGTAATAAGGACGAGATGGATGTGGATGTCCCTGCGGCAGTTGCTAAGGATCTCCCTGAGGAAGATGCGCCCCAGCCGCAACCAAGCAGTAAAGCGGCTATCTCTTCGTGATACGTCCATTCGCAAGTTAGCAATGTGGCCTTGTATGTTGATCTCCTGTGCATCTAACGGTTTATGATTTGAAATTTCTTTTCTTGTATGGATCTGTTTGATCTATACAGCAAGGCGCGCACAGGCGTTTGGGACCAATTGTCTCGCCTTTTCCTTTTTATTTTTTCTGCGCCGGCTTCTCGATCTTGTCTGATGGACACCGGATGGCGTTTGGTGTGGTTTGGTTCTTTTAATGGGAGATACCATCGGTTGGGTCGGGGGTTTCGTGTCTGCCTGAGCTGCAGCACTGGGTTTTGTAATTTCTTTTGATTTGTCCGGCTGTCCTCTTTGGGACGTGGCTCAATATTCTCAATCGATATGTACGAGTACCGTGACTTTCTCTGGCTTAGCTTTCCCTGTATTTCTTGACTATGTCCAAGGCCGTAACGGAATACGAGGTCTAGGTACATGTATAGACGCAGCTACAGGGCTGTCGGGTCCCACTGAGGACATCTAACAAAATGATAGGCTGCAGCTCAGAGCATTAGACAGCGATGACGCGGGGGGAAACTTCTCACCCGACCCCTCTTCGCATAGTCCTTGATCACTTCTACAACTCAACTCGGCCCTCGAATTCACTACATGATGAGCACCTCGAACCATGAAAGCCTCGTGCTGGGCGAGATTCCTCCCCACAGATCTACAAATGACGTCTCGGAAATCGAGCTGCCCACTCTTGCTCCAGCAGATGGAGGGAAGGCCGCATGGCTGATGCTGGCTTCGTGTTGCTTGATCCAAATACCTGTCTGGGGTGTGTTACGATTGGATAGGGCCGTCAATACGCTATTAACCTCCATCTAGGATTCTCCACTGTGTTCGGTGTGTTTCAAGAGTACTATTCGACACAGGACGTCCTGCAGGGAAGCAAAGACGATCTGGCAACCGTTGGAACTACATCCACTGTATGCGATAGACTAATGCGGACGAACTATGTCTAGTCTAATGCTTTACAGGGACTTCTTTATCTTCTCTCGCCTGTTACCTTCACGCTTCTGACGAGATATCCGCGTCTCCAGTACTACAGTGCACCGGCAGGGCTAATCATTACCGTGATAGGGTCTCTGTTGTCTTCATTTTCAGCTCAGGTGTGGCACCTGATCGCTACCCAGGGTGTCATATGTGCCGTTGGGAATGGGCTGTTGTTCAGCCCTTCTTCCTTGTTTCTTGACCAGTGGTTCTTGCGTCGGAAGGGCCTTGCGCTGGGAATCATGTGGGCTGCAAAGAGCATTACCGGAGTCGCGCTACCTTTCATTGCTAGTGCTTGTCTGCATAGGTTCGGCTCCAGTACTACACTCAGGGCTTGGACTGTGACTGTGGTATGAACGATCTCGCTTTCTCGCCAGTTGGTGTCTCATGAATCCATCTATCCTTTGGATGGTCATCGAGCTGCCAGTGGCTTTCAACCCCTTAAGCAGATGTGGACTCTGACGAACATTAATTAGTTGCTGACCACTCTTATGGCGTTGCCATTCATGAAACCGCGTATCCCGATATCGCCATCCTCTTCAGCCCGCCGCCTGGATTTGAGCTTCCTCAAACTAACCACCTTCTGGATGCTGCAGGCAGGGAATATCATCCAGAGCTTTGGGTATTTCCTACCCACGACATTTCTCCCTTCTTATTCGACGACAACTGTCGGACTCTCTCAGAGCACGGGTACAATGCTAGTATCTTTGTTCAACGCAACGTCCATCTTCGGCGGGATAGCCCTTGGATCCCTCTGCGACAGATTCTCCGTCACGAACATTATGCTGCTATCCTCGGTTGGCTCTGCGCTGTCAGTGTTGCTGTTCTGGGGCATGGCGTCATCCTCTGGGTCAGGCTCGTCTCAAACAGCCATTGGTCTCCTCACTGTTTTCTCCATTACATATGGCTTCTTTGCAGGTGGGTTCAGCTCCACTTGGTCTGGAGTCATCACGCAGATTAAGCGTGACTCCTCGCCATCCTTGGAGACTGGACTTGTCTTTGGTCTGCTTGCTGGTGGACGGGGAATTGGGAATGTGATCAGTGGGCCACTGAGTACAGTCCTGCTTCACTCGGGGTCTCTAGGGGATTCCGGTCTGAGTGGCAGCACTGGTTATGAGACGCAGTATGGAACTCTGATTCTTTTTACTGGTATCACGGCTTTCTTTGGCGCATGGAGCTGGATATGGCGGTACATCAGCCCTGCGCTGCGGTATCTCAGTTGATCATGTGAAGTCCAAGTGTACGAGCAAAAGAAGTGGCGATGCCTGATAGCATTATGGTAAAAAGAAGAGCAATTGTATGTACAGAATTGAATTGAATGAGACACATCACTTTCATGAATAGATAATAGTAACCAGAACACACAATCGGGTCACGAACATCCATTTGTGCCTTGATGAATGGGCCGAAGATAAGTCACGTGCAGCAGTCGATCTGCGGAGCTTCCACTTCGAATGCGCCTTCTTCGATCTTCAGCCCCGACAACTTCCCTTTACATCTACTGCTGCAACCAGGGCCACTGCCCTTCTCGAAACAATGGCGACCGATGCCGCACTCCAAGATCCTCTCCTGTCGCTTCGACGTGCGATTGCCTCTGGTAACCTCCCAATACCGACGACCTCGTCCGAGCTCTCAGATCAATCAGCCACGGACGACTTAGCCAAGGCCACACATCTATACTTCGCCCAACCAACCCCTCAGACAATCGCGCTGTCAACCCCCACACGATTCATCTCGGCATCCACCAAATCCCCGGTAGACTTGCGCAGTATCCTTTTCGCTTGGCAGAACAAAGATGTGGCTATCCCCGAATACATCGCCAAGGCGCAGGAGTTCAACGACGCGCTGAAGAAGCAGACACCAGAAGGTGGTAAAGAGGAGAGTGTCCAGATTCTGATCTTCCTTGAGCGTCTCGACCTTTTCACCTGGTTGGAGGGCGCCTCCGACGACAGTGAACACATCAAACCCCTCGAGGGTGCTGCTGCTGCTGCTGAGGCGGCTGCCGCAGCTGCAGGTGTTGCGCAGTCTGAGAATGCAGCCGCAATTGCCGCTGGTGCGACTGGCGGAATCTCGACCGTTCCCAGCGGTGCCCCAGGACCAGCACAACCCGGAGCTCAGACCGGCCGGCCACAGAAGCAAATCGACCCTCGACTGCAAGAGATCTACAACGGAGAACGCAAAATCGGTGACCGTAACACAGTTCTACGGGGAATCAAGCCTACAGTGAGTTATATCAAACAGGACCAACAACATGCGATAGTAGCTAACCCCATTCTCCCACCCGCCCAGGACTTCTCACACGTCCGCAAAAGCGCTGAACTCTTCCTTGATCGCAGCCGGAATCGCCCAGGACAACCAGGCGCCAAACCAGGCAGCAAGGTCTCCGTGCCCGCGCCATCAGCCGGTCTTTCAATGCCCTCATCGCGCAAATCCACCTCCCACTCCCGCCCCGACCCAATCATCCTAATCTCACCCTCCGCCTCATCCCTCATCCGCATGTCAAACGTCAAATCCTTCCTCGAAGAAGGCATCTTCGTACCGCCCGACCACCCAACCCTCTCCAGCGCCACAGACGCCAACCTCGTGAAACTGGAGCGCCCACTTCGCATCAACGCCGACGCCTCCAACCCCAACGCAGCCGCAGTCGGCTCTCGCGCTGGCAAGCCCGCCCGGCCGACCAAATTCATCGTCGTCGACGGCACCACCAACTTCAAGCCCGAGTACTGGAACCGTCTCGTCGCCGTCTTCACCACAGGTCAAACCTGGCAGTTCAAGTCGTACAAGTGGTCCTCGCCGCCGGAGCTGTTCAAGCACGCCACGGGTGTCTATATCGGCTGGCGCGGTGAAGAGGTTCCGGCTCAGGTTAAGGGCTGGGGTCGCGGTGTCGAGAACTTTGCTGTTGAGCGCTGGGACGAGAAGAATGGTATCCATGGTGGTGGGCGCTGGCGGGATCGAGAGGTTGTCGAGGGTATTTGGACGGCTATTGAGGAGGGCATGAGACTTCGTGGCTGGGGATCTAAATAAGGCTTTGCTCTTGTCTCGATTCCCTTTCTTCTTGTCGTCTTGTTCTCAATACCCTCAATATTCGAGTTTGAACATGATGACCACTGGCATTCAAGGCGTGGTTCTAGGCGTTGTGGTAGTGTTTCTATCTTTTTACTTCTCTTATCCTTTTTCTTGTTCTCTATCATGTTCTCTGTAGGTATGTATGGCTGATCTAGTCACCCTCAAAATACATTCAAAATTCCGGATCTGTGAAGCAATGCTTAACCTAGCACTTCGTAAAGTCGGAAGATTACTCCCATCGTCTGTGGATACTGGAGGTATTGAATGGCTGCTCTCTAGGGCTAGGACTACATATCACAAGGAGTTGTTTCCTTATCAGGAATGAGAATATGAGATTCATGTCCATTGAGATTCCCGATAGGAAAGAATAATATGACATACACAAACAGACCAGAACTCACTCGCTGTGCCCGGTAAAGATGCAGGGGACTTAAACAAAACTCTCGTGAAGCGGGAAATCGAGGAACGAGAAAAGAGAGAGAAAGAAAATCATATGAAATGCTAAGATGAGAAAGAGATAGAAAGAAATGCAGAGTGATGGGAAAAAGGGACATGCAAGGAACGCCGGGTCTGATGCTCAAGAGAAAAAGAAACAGCCTCCAGTCTTTCGTGTTTTGTCTGTTTTTGTTGTTTTGTGGTTTTCTGTTTCTTCGGAGTTCCTCCCTCCCAGGATCCAGGTGGAAGACCAACAGGGAGGAAGAAGTGAAGAAGGAAGATGTGAGGGAAAAAAAGCAATCATCCGAATATTACAAGTATTTTCCAGTTCCGGCCTTTCTCTATAACATGAGCCATCGATCATAACGTCTTTCGTTCGGAGTAAGGGGAATCTCGTGACGAGTGGATTAGAAGGGAAGATTGAAATGGCAGTCAGACACACATCACTGTGCTGAGCTGCAAGCGGAAGAGGGTAATGAATATCGTGGTCGGAGACGATCGTGACCCGGGGTCGACCAAATATTTTATGTCCCCTCCATTCCATGGAGCGAGGACAGGGGGTGGGTCCGTAGCTGGGAGCCACAAGCATGAATGCGGAGTCGCAGAGTGGTGGGGATTCGACTAATGCCTTGTGGGAGAGGTTTCGAATACCGGACTGCGGGTGTTGAATGGATCGGGCAAACAGTGTGCACCGAGGAAGGCTCATGAGGAGTCGGAATCGCAGTGGTACGAATCGTCTTCGAATGGGTTGCGCGCTATGTCAATGCTTGTGGGCGGTGGTTGTCAGGCGCGCGTCGATCGACTCATGCTGCGTTCTGGAATTGACGGCGGGCCGCCTGGCGTGGGCGAGTATGAGCGCGAGCCTCCCATGATATCCACGTCGTGTTCTTGTAGGACAACGGAGTATTTGGGATCGCGGAGGAACTTCGGTACAGAGTCACTTGACATCAGCTTGAAGACGGACGTTTGAGCGAGCTCGAACAGGTGGACCACTTCTTGCAGACTCTTGAACATGGACTCGTCATCTCCCACAGCCTTGGTCATGCGGCTGGCCAGGCTGTTGCGGAGGGCGTGGTCAATGTTCAACTCGCAGGGAGATCCAGGTGCTAAGAAGGCATTGTACAATCCATATGCTGCAGCCAGGGTTTCGCGCACGGAGTCGACCTTGTTGAATGTTCCCATCTTCTCGGCCTTGTGGTAGTTGGCGGTGAATTCTGAAACATCCAGGTAGAAAGAGAGGTTCTCTTCACACAGCGAGTAGCGTAGGAATTCGCGGAAGAGCAGACGCAGAGCGGGATCTTGAAGAATGTGAGTCAATCGGGCGTTATTGGAGTCCCGCGGCATACCGCGGCTGTCGTACGTCGTGGCAGCCTCGCGAGCCTTCTCGCGGGCAATCCATCCACACACACGCTGCCCACGCTCAGTGATTCCATAGATAGCATATTTCGAAGGTTGGAAATGAGCACTCGTCCCAACATCAGGGAATGATTTATCGTCCTGGATCATCGTAATCAGACCATACTTCAAAAACAGCTCCGCTATCAAGCAGGTCTCCCGGCGCTCGATGGTCGTCGAACAATCCATCAACCAGTCCACCGCCGCCTTTCCAGTAAATGTATTGCTGTAAACCTTCCCATCCTGGAGCTTGCGCTCCCGAGCCACCTTCACACCAACGAGGCCGTTGGTGTAATCACTGAGCGAGTCCGAATCTGAGGTCGAGATACTACTCTTGACGTTCGGACCATCCTGACCAGCAAAGCGGCGGAAAATAACCTCAATTGTCGCGCGGTCGTGAGACAACTTGTCCGTATCCGTATCACGCTCGAGAATGACCAACTGCATGGTGTTGCGGGGCGACTCCAGTACATCCATCACGTGACGGGCGGTGATACCATTCCGCTGGCAGAAACGCTGCAGGATGTTGATGCCCTTCGGGGTGAGCTGGAAGAGGGCGCCTTTAAGCGGAAATATCGAAAGGGCTTTTCCATCGACAGATTCAATGAAGCGTGCATCGACGAATCGCTGGCAGACAGATCGGGCCATTTCCTTGGCCATGGAGAAAGTAGTGGTCGTGGTCGTCGTGACAATGCGGGAGGGGTCCTTCGGATCTGGCATGCGGTTGGACTGAGAGAACTTGAGCGAGCCCAAATTGTTGATGGCCTCTTCTGAGGTGAATGTGTGGTCATATCTGGTAAAACGGACGCGGTGCGAATCCAACTTCAAGCTGACCATCAACGTGGAGAACAAGTCCATGAAATCCTGCGCGAATCAGCCCAAGTGTTCCATTTTCTCTCGTTCTTTCTCGGTTCCGAGTGCCCACAAACCTACCTTGGTGAAGGGACGCTCATCCTCGGTCATGCGCAATAACCTCGACGACGTCTGATGCATTTTGGGGAGCCCGGGCGGGGAAGGGCGGGTGTCGTAGGCAGAGGTAGGGATACGAAGTGTCGAGCGACGCTTCAGAAGCGAATTGGAGGGATTGTCGACCAAGGCCGGGGAAGAAGGGCGCGAAGTTCCCGTCAATTGCACGTAGGTGTTGCCGAATGGTGGGGTCACAGGGGTCGAGAGCTGATGCGGTCTCGAGAGACTACCATATGATATCGAGGAACGCAGTGTGGTTGTACCAGACAGACTAGCAAGAGCGTTTGAAGTCTTTTGGGCCAAGGCAGCAAAAGAGCGACGATTGCGGGAGATAGAGCCGCCAAAATCAGAATCAGGAACTGGAGGGAGAGAATCTTCTCGGCTGTGGCTCCCGGGTTGGGTTGGCATTGAATGGTTTTGAGTCTTCGGGTTGAACCAGAGGGAAAAAGTGGGTTAGGCCAAACACCTGATACCGGAAAAAAACATGGGAAATTTTCAAGAGAAAAAAAATAAAAAAATTAAGAGTGGACTGGCTATCAAAGGAAAGGGAAAGGGTGAAGGGGGAGAATAATTGATTAGGATAATTCCCTAAATTCTCTTTTTTTTCTTCTTTTTTCACTTTCTTCAAATCAATTTCAACAGCGAAGAAAAGGAGGAGTAGGATGGGTCTAAAGGGGGGAGAAAGAGAACGGGATAACTAGGGAAAATAATTCAATTAAAATAAAAAGAGAAAAGAAGGGGAAAGGAAAATGGAAAATCGTGGTAAAAAAAGAGAAATAATGAAGCCCCCTTGTGAAGAACAACCATTCGGCCTGTCAGCCTATGACCCACAACCACGCGTGAGTCCCGAAAGAGTTTGGCCTGCTGCATCCAAACAACGTGGGCCATGAAGATCGGTGGGCTCTGGGGTCTGGTATTACACCGTACTTCTGTACGATGTATGTATGATGTACGAAACATGACATTCACGCCTGCACAGTGGCTTCTGATGTTCTCTAGTAACCACATCAAACAACTAGTTATGATTTGAAGTACAATTAGGATTTCACATGATACATGGTCTGCATATAGTTTATTTCTTATCCATGGATGAGTTCGTCGATTCCAAGTCAATCATGGGGACAACCAGAAAAATGAACACAATTAACTTGCAAATCTGAGATGGATCCCCCAGTCTACCCCAATAATAATTTAAATAGTTTACCATTGTACCAAGGGTCCCTGGGCCGAAGAGCTCCGCCAGATCGTAATAAAGTGGTACTGAGAATACATACAATACGTGCACCGTGCAAACCCTTGGTTACGGAGATCCCAGCCCGTTTCATTGTTCATCTGAACATTTCCCCTCCTCCGGAGGCCCTGCCTTTGGCGCTTTTGCTGACTTAGGGCTAGGCCTCTGTCTCTGATACCCATTCAAGAAAGGCTTCGGAACATATGACTAGGTACATAACGGGTGAGCCCAGATCTAGATCTTCAGTCTAGTCCGTTTCCGACAGATGTCATTGGTGCTTCTCAAATGATCTACTCCAAGCTTCCATGGCTCCGTGGTTACCCGTCAATTGTGTCAGCGGATAGACAGCGATGCAAACAAAGCTTGAGTCCACGCGGGCCTTCCAGGTTCCTACAGTATGGACATATGTTCCCCGCCAAATGGAATCCAATATCGTAAACATTGAATGCGGATAGTTACATATCGGCAACTATATCGAGCATAACGTTGATTGAATATAAAAACGTTGGGACCATGGAAGTGCTGTTAACCTTATTTCCTGGCACTGCCTGAGATATGATCATGATAACGAGACTCCGGGCGCATCTCTACTCCGTAGAGATTGGCTTAACCCAAGCCATGGAACAGGAAAATCCATCAGAACATGGGTATCTACAATAAATTCGTATTGACGCCGACCACTGCGTACTCCGTGGCTTGTATGAACAATTACAAACATCAACTACGTACCATATCACATGTCGCCATCGGAAAGCCCCTCCACTCCGATCGGCCAATGGTGGGGCAACCACAAAACACTTCTCAAATCTGCCAAGGTTCCCTGTTTCACTCCGGTGTTTCGTCACTGATCCAAATCTAGCGTGTCGCATGGCTTTGATCTTGAAACAACACTGTTTACAACGCGGATATTGTACGATGTAAACAAAGAAGGGAGCATGACTATGAATCTACTAGGTATTTTGTACAATGTAAGTTGTAGACAATCATAGTGGGGAGCGGGGGGTCATAGATTTCCAGTTGGAGTACGAAGTACCCTGCCTGTAACCCCAAGAATATCAGGGCGGTCAACAGAAGGAAAAAGAAGGGAAAAAGCCCCCATCTTCCAAGGCTTCCATGGTGATTCTAAGCGTCTTCTTTTCATTTCCTGCGCATCACCCATGTGGTCCCACGTGTGCCCACGTGGAGGGAGATGCTTAGCGTCTGACCGCCAAATCCCATATTACTGTTTTGCGTTTAGAGGGAGGCGCAGTCTCGCGAATCTTTTCCTTGGACGTCTTGGCTACGGGCCGTTCTGGGGAGATATCGTTAATAAATCCCCACGTTGTGCGGCGTAGGCCGTAGACATCAACTCCTCGGCCTTCTAACGGTTCTGGTTCGCGTAGTCCCGGTTCCTGGATCCTGCGAACCCGCCAGCCAAGCTGACCTCAGATTTGGGCAATATCGGGATTTGGGTTGAGGCCATTAGGCTTTTTGTCTCCTGTAAACAAACAGATCCCGATACGCTGCTCGTGGCCTTGATTCGTTCAGTGCCGGGGTTTATGATCGCCAATGCGGCAATGCCATTATCAGACCATTCATCACCGCTTGAAATACGAGGAGATCAATGCACAGCGATGCAGGGTGAGCTAATGCCGAAATATGAGAGCTTCATCTTGCCTCGATTCTCTGTCAAGACAGTGCCATAGGATGGGATGAACTTGGCGCCAAGGACTTCACCTGCATGAATCATGCCATTCAATTGAAAGTCTCATCAAGGCTATTGACTGACTTGCTTGGACCAAATTACCTATTAGGCACATCAGGATGCTACGTCCTCCTGGAGGCCCAGAAACTTGGCTGGCCAACCAGATCTTCCGGAAGAGCGAAAAACAACGGTCTAAGACACCAGTGCGAGTTTCATCCGCAGGATGCCGAGCGATGTCCTGTACCTATCTATATCTGTGAACAGGGTTTAGATTGGGCCGCTCAGACGCGGTCATAGAGACAAATTGAGCAAAGATAATCAGTGACTGAACAGTGTGGGCTCCCCCGCAAGAGGAGATTGGATGAAACGAAAGTCAAATTTGATAGCGCAGATCAGTTCAAAACGACATTTGTATTACGAAGCACCGAAAACAAACCGAGCCGAAGAACATTCGATGAGAGAACATGCATGATGCAACCGTTGAGATCTATCGACTAGGATCAATCACAATGCCCGATAAACAGCGCCATGTGGATTGAGACAGGGGAGGTATCAGATAAAACAGTCTCTTATCGATCTGATCAACCACACCGAGGGGTACTTAGATAGCTCAGATCGCGAGATTGGGGGCCAGAGTCAAAACTCCGGCCGCAACGTCTTGGTTCAGCCCTGTCTGCTGTATGACTCAAGAAGAGCTTCCATGCGGCTCTAGCGTTGAAACTTGAAACACATGATAGACGGGGATAAGACTGTTCTTACTCTTAGGCTGCGAGAAACAAAGTTGATTAGCTGAACGGTCTAAACTGTGGGTTTAGTATGGGTCGAACAATTAGATTGAATTCTTAAATATTACAACGTATATGACAATACTTGGTAACCTTCTAATCTTACATACAAATTAGTGGTTCGCGCATCATAGCCATGTGCATGAGTAGGCTCTAATGCGAGAGGGTAACTGAGAAGGGTAGATAGTGGGTACTCGTGGACCATCCCTGTCGCTTTGTTCCGCCTATTCAGCGAATTGTAGGAGCGGGAATTGAATCTATCCAAAATTGAGGCCCGCTAACAGATTTGGCTTACGGAGGCTTTCCTATTAGAGTCTAAACTTGCGGTCAGACAATCAATGTCAAAGACTCAAGGCAAAAGAAAGACGACTCAGACCCAGTGATCCTCGCTTTGTGTTGTTGGTCCTGTCTGCAACACCAGTGATATCGTTGAAAGTACACCGTACGAGGAGTACATCAGTGTATTGTATTGAATTGTTCTTACACACACCTGTATGTATGTACCAGGTTATGCCACATGTACTATATTTAATCTCTCCACATCCCTGAGCGCCACGCGACTAGGTATGTACATCAAAGGATTTTCTGCAGGTTTAGATTGCTCAGGGGTATATGAATCATGCATGCGTATTGGTGGATTCTCAGTAGCCCTATCTACAGGAATCAACGTCAAACCTTACGAGTCACGGAAAGTCTAAATAGGATGAAATAGGAGTCGAACCATCATGATAGAGAATCAGCTGCCAAGACCATTTCTTTTGTTCGAGATCAGGGCTGTCCTGGGGTGTCGATCCGCGCGAATGGAAAGCTTATGTGCATTACTCCGTAGCTTGTCCTGGAACATACCTTACCTAAATAAGATAGAACAATTCTTCACGTCGGACGGAGTCCATAGGCAACTGAGGTTGCCAACTAGTCACGTATCGCCCCCTTGCCTGTTCGAGGGTCCCTGCATGTAGCAAGTGTACTTTCGTACATACTCCGAACTGCATGGTCGCATGCGGATCTCTACGGAATTCAGGGAACCAACATCCGAGGACTAGTGAGTTTGGTTTTCCGTTGGAATGTGGCTTGCGCGATTGGGATTCAAACTATGCTCCGATGCTCCTTAGACCCGGGCTGATCATCCTAAACTCTAATGATTTCTTATCTCAAGCCCCGGGTCTTTTTGATTGCTAAGTCAAAGTGAGCTATTCAGATTGAGACCAAATGGCTGGGATTTAAACGAGAGAGGCCTGGACGAGTCTGGGCCTTTGCCTCTACCAAGTGCCCCTTGATAGACTGCGATCTGCGCATGAGCGAGCACACATAGGTAACGACAGCGTCGAGAATTTACATGCAGGAACGATTCCTATCTCTAACGGGCAGCCAAACTACATCGAGGTCAATGACCTCGACACTATGCATCATTTTGCAATGACCGAGCTATTGGAGCTACAGAAGTGGGGACGCATACATAACGAGGTTGCCACGTGGAATGCCGGGGTGGTCAACATGCCATGCAGTACTTTTGAAGCATGTTGTATGCTGTAGGTATGTGCAAGTATGAAGTAGATCTTGAGCACAGCTCTAATCGCGACAACTGCTTGACCGCAACTCGTAAGCCTCTGCGGTATGCCCACCACATGTAGTTAGCTACCTATCCCTGTAACTAGTTAGTCAGTTGTGCATCCATGTACACCATACTATGTAGCTGCAGCTGGACCCCTGTATTGGAACCCATGTGGCTTGCACAGAAGCCTCTGCACCTGCCGTCATTCAGCCACAGCTCTCGGTTCGTTTGACCGGAGGAAGATCTGAGAAAGGAGATGATTGACAGAAAGCCTCCTGGGCCAGTCCTGGCGAAACTAGTGAAGACACTAGTGAATTTCTGGGGGTGCACGCAGCACTTGGTGAACAGAGCCTCACCTACAATCCTAGTACCAGTTGACCTGTATTTCCTGTGCGGTAATACTCTGTGGAAGGGGAAAGTGGAAAGTGCTCTCCCCTAGCGCGGCAGTCGCGCTGGTGTTGCTTCTGGGCCCGTTGTCAAGTCTGAACGTGACATGGGATATTGCTTGATACTTGCGGACTCGATACCAATAATTGATATCGGATGTCCTGTTAGGAGAGTGCCCAGACCACATGTCATTCCGGATGAGGACAGTAATAGCTTGAACTGTAGACACTAGTTAGTGTTGAGAGGTCAAGGCTTTGCGCAAATGAGAATGTTGGACATTGTGATTAATTGTAGGCAGTATACTTGACTAGTTATCATCCCCGAGATCCCTTTAGGTCGTCCACACCCAGCTCCGACTAAGGCTCAATTAAGTAATGACCCTTTTGCCCGTCTGCGGGTGTTCATTACACCGTTCTCGTATTACGGTACCGCCACTGTACTTAGATACGAGTGTCTGACAGTACGCAAGTTTGGAGACCAGTCGTGATTTTCTCCACTTTCTGAAAACAGAGAGTGCGAGATAGTGAAACATGTCATCGACTTTCTTTGATCTCGGTGGATACGGCCAACTCCGGCGTGGCAAAACTTTGCAAATTGGAAACCACGCTAGAAGCCTTCTGGAAGGATTCTGGAAGACGCTAAGAAGCCTCCGTCTCAGACAATCCATGGTTCAACACATGGTCTAGCTGGACGCTATCGACACAAACAGGGGATGCGCTCAGCTCGATTGTCTTCCACATTGGACAAAAAGTTTGCTCATTTACTTTCCTGAGGATAGCGCACCAAATATTTGAGACCAATCTGCTATTCTTGGCATTTTGCCTAATGTTCAGGGCTGATAACACAGTCGAGTGTGACGCCACTAATGCCAAGATATGCTCTTGGAGAACCTTGCGAATCTCATCGCTGAGCTAGGCATATCTTAGCAGGGTCGGACTTGCCGAGTAACATAATTATGGTAACCGAAAAACGAAGCAAGCCGAGCCAAGCATTGCTGCATCTTATCATTAGGTAGTTGAACGGGGAGAGTCAGTTTTGTTTGGATTGTCAGCCAAGGACTAGGCAGCGGTATCTTTTTGGGAAACACTTACGTCCACTGGAACTTGATGTTTATTTGTTTCTTCCAAGGATCTCTGAGCTCTCTGCACCCCTGACCCCAAATTTGGGGCATATGACTCCCACCTAGAAAGTACTTGGCAAGTGACAGTTCCATGGTTGACGAAGTATGTCCATTCTGCGACTCCAGGGTTTATCTCAAGTTAGGCGATGATGAAAGTACCTTGGAAGGCCTGGTATATAACTATCCCATATCGTCGTACTTTATTTGATACAACGTACTGCAGATCTGAGATATACCGAAAGAAACATAAGATTCAAGGTAAATAATACGTGTAATAAATTGATGAATAAACCGACGAGCGTAATGGATGAGAAATCCATTAAACAGTCAGCTCCACTTTGACGGTAAGAAGACGGCAGAGGAGCCACACATGAACAAAAGGACCAAGTCCACGTGGCAGATCTGCAAAACACCGATGACAGCAGAGAACTTAGCCGAGCTCATGCAGCTCGAGAGCCAACCAAGCGAATAATCATCCTGCACTACATGGGGACATTAGTACATGAGATTATGACTTGCATTGAAACCTTGACTGTGGATCTTCCACGCCCATGTGGCCGTGAAGGATGCAGAAGATGTCTGCATGCTTTGTTTCATGGTCTCTGGTCCATTTCATTTGTTGATTGTCTATCTCTCTTGTCTTGATCATCCCCGAGAACCGCGAATAACGAGATACCACTAAGCCCTAGTTATTGATACTCGGTGGCAAATATGTTGATGACGCTAACTTGCATCTCGCTAGTGGTGATCACTGATCATGAAAAGACGCCTTTCTCTTCCTCTCTTCACTTTTTATCTCTGCCCGGAGAATTTGAAAACCCGCGATGGTGGTACCTTCAGTTTCTTTGCCTTCAGCCCCCAGCCTGGTTTTACAAGCATAGCACGGCCGTCCTGGTTACAGCATTCAAGCAAACAACCATCTCGGCAATCGAGAAGCATACAACATATGCATATCGCACCAATATCGGGTGAAATTCCGATCTCAGTAAGAGGTCGGCTGAGATCGGGGAGGGGTTGCATATGTTACCTACAAAGGTACGATGCATAGCTCGAATCGAGCCATCGCATTATTTACAAACACCACGAATACATTCAACGGGTCAATGGCCGTCGCGCTTGATCTCATTAAGCGATTCCTCCGGTTCTGATCGTCTTGACTGATATCCGACTGCTCTCATCTCTCGGCTGATAAAACGTGCTGATTGCCGGTATCGGGACACCTGACACATCTCCGTCTCGTTTGATCGTCGCTTCTACTACTGCAGGGTAGCGGGGAAGACGGAAGTTGGCCGACTCTCGATCGTCATAAGGGACTCGAAATAACACAAAGCAATTTACAAATTCATCACCCCGCGCTTTGATGTGGCTCCATCGACTGAATCAGTTGGGCTTAGCGAAACCCCATCACATTCTCGCGCTTCCATTCGAAGGAAAAACTACCCGCGTTGATATAACCCTCCCGTCACCTTGAAGGCCTCCACTTTTCCCACCTTCAACCTTGTTCGCGCATGAAGTCCAAGACTACGTCAATATCGCAATCCCTCACCTCGGTGGGGTAGCGAGACATGACTCGAGGCTGAAGTCTTGAGGAATGACAAATCACAAGACAACGGCCATATCGTACCTTGAGCCCTGATCTAACAAAGAAATGTGGCTGTGTCTTTACATCTGCACAGCGGGGTCATCAATGTAGACGCATTTCGACAACGGAAGCGGGTGACCGCCATATCGTCACAGGAAGATCCTTGACACTAGTCCTCCTTTCTCCCCGGGCGTACAGCATCTTGCAAATGGCACTAACCTGCAAAGCATTGCAGCCATGCGCAATTTCCCCATCTCTGCGGAGTATCATTCCTTTCCGTTTCTCGTGTTGCTCCTTAGGGGGCCCACTTGCCCACACGGAAGGCTGCGGCCCGCTGATCAAACGCCCAGATTTTATATGGAGAACATGCAAAAATACTGACATACTGACATGACTAGGTCGCACAAAGCTTAGCTTTTGTTCAATACGGCCAGTCGGATCTAGATTGATCCAACCTGAAACCAGCGAGTCTCGACCCTGTCTCGGTCGAAACAGCCTTGGTCTCTATCACAAGAGCTGGACCAAATAGGCTTGGAAGTGGTGAATGTATTTTCGGGCTACTGCATGGAATTCAATCAGACTTTGCACATGTGCACAAGGCAGACACATGCTCATGTAGTCACCCTTTCAACAGACGGATGCGAGAATAGCAATCTGCATGCAGAAGCCAGATGTATTGTCAACAGCTAAAGGAGCTTTAGGCTAGTAGCCTAGTACTATAGAAAAGGTTGGGGCATCAACAGTGGATTACACATTACAGCCATGCGAGGGTTGCATGATTCATTCAATCTCAGGTGATTCTGCTTTAGGCTCTATGATTTATTTCTCTTACCCTTGACCCAACCTTGATTCAAGGGAGTTTAGGTGAATAGTGACAGAGCGTCCTTGAATAACCCAATTTAGAAACACTAGGAGCATAATGGATACCTATAACCTGCATGTAGAAGCCCATCCGCATAAATGACCCTGAGATCGTGCATATTACGCATGGAACCCCAGCGATCGGCGTCCTGCATGCAGAGTAACACGCTCGCACCTTGCTTCTCCTCCTATTACCCATTTCTGGACAAAGACATGAGAATCCGACATGTCGTTTCCAACGTTCAAGCCACATGCACAAAGTCTATGCCGCGTGCTTTTCTTTTCTTATCGAACGTGCATACAGACAATTGCACACACTTTTATTCTACAGTAATATTGTCCGAGGCACCGATTAGGCTTCTACAACACCGACATCATAGAGCACAAGGGAGTAAGAGGAACACAACCCAAGGCAGCGGGATTCGAAACCCTGCCAGTGGACATTCCTTCCATTGCCGAGAGAAAACAGTGCTTCCAGTAACTGCGTGCAAGCTTTATCCTTTCCGTTGTTTTCTTTTTGCTCCGAAGGGAGTTCGACTCAGCCATTTTCGAAACCCTCTCTAGATGAAATTCATGTATCACAGAATCCCAACACCGATTGCTTCATGCTAGGCTAACGCGGATCTGCACTTAGTTCATGCATGTCATCCAACTTGGAGAACTAGTCTGTAACTCAAATTTGTGTTCATAACAAGCCTATAACCCCTTGGAGTTCGAGAACATCGATACCCCGTATTCCATATGCATGCTCCCGTACACATATATCGAAGCAAGGTAAGGGCGACGTGACTAACCGATGCCACGAAGAGCTAGGGTGGGGTAATGGAAGGGATAGGTGATCAGGTCAGGTAGATTTCGGAGCTAGTGGTTTCTGAGAATAGTCTGGAAAGAGTGGACAACAGCAATGTTTTCGATGGATATTCCAGAAGACTCCGTGAATGACGATTCACGTATTTCGATAGTAGGTATAGTACAAAACGGGTTCGACATTGCTGCCCTTACTCACGCCACCACTGGCCCAAAGCACCTCCAGAGCCAGCCATCTCAATGACTTCCTCAAAACTGATTTCCACACGGAACATCTGCCCGTCTGCAGTCCCATTGCCACTACCCACCGGAGTAACGAGACCCCAGCTAAGCAGCTTCTCCCACGCCTCTCTGGCCACGTCCCGGCCCCAGACACGGCCGGGAGTGGCCGCAGCACCGGACACGGAGGCCGACGTCTTTGCGGACGTCAGCAGCCGAACGTATTCGGCATAGGCGGCGGGGAAAGAAAGTGCAAGTGGTCCCATGTTGTGAGACTGAGACCCGTCGTTTCCGGGGTCGAATAGGGCTGCCAAGCGTGTTGCGGCTACTAGCAATGCCAATGGCAATGATGAAGGACTTGATGATGTAAAAGATGTGGGGAAGGGAAGAGGTGCTGGATCGGGGCAATCGAGGGCTTGAGAAGCGAAGCTCTTCGGAGTAGGGACTTCGGGGATGGATGGGTCGGCGGTGGATACACTTTGTAACAAATCGCTGATAGGGAGGAGGGCGCTGTTGAAGAACTCCTTCACGGATTTGGTTTGGTTGTAGATACGCCTGAGGTGGAATTGGAAGTCTTTGTCATTCCACAAATGCTATTCCAAAGAGTGAGGATTAGCGAAGGTGTAATTGGTGGGGTAAAGCACAATGTAAGATAACTTACCTTCAAGTAGTCCTTCCATGCCTCCAGCAGTGTATTCCATCCGTGAGACTCAACCAGACCGCGTTCAGAGCCAAGCTCATCTGCAATGTCGGCCATCTCTGCTTCACTGAGATCCAGACTCCCTAGGCAGATATCCGAAAAGGTCTCCAAAGATCGAGGTAGCGAGACATACGTATATCGGTGACTAAATCGACTTTTTACACGTTTTTCAAGCATCTCGGTTACATCGACCTTTGTCGTCAGCCCGATGACCGCAATAGGGGCTTTGCGGGCTTGGGCAATGTCAAAGAGATTATACAACAAAGTTTGTCGTGGGTGGGTGACGAATAGATCAAACTCATCCAGCAAGATCACGATGGACTTTGCAGCAGTCTTTGCTTCTGGGTCCCCAGAGGCCCCGAAAAGTTCCTCCGGGTGTGACAGTAAAGCCAAGAGCGTAGCCATTGTGTCCGCATAGGAACTGACTTTGGCTGTGTCTTCCTCGGTGTGCATCTCACGACCAAGCTGGCGCCACATCTCTCGTAGGGCTAGACGATCATCCGTGTGTAGAAAACCATTCAAGCGAACGACGTGGAAATCGTTCTTGTGCTCTTTCCCAAGGGACGAGATGATGGACTCCACGATGGCAGTCTTGCCGCATCCTCGAGATCCGAGAAGAAGCATGGAGTTACCCTCGCCCACTGAGACTGTCTGTTCAATGAGCTGGTGTACTTTCTGGTATTCAGTCTCGAGTCCGCGAACAGGAATCTGCCGTTTCCCCGACAGCTTTTCGAGAATTATGGTAGAAAGAATGCGCGTTTCGTCTTCCAACCCCTCTTGACAAAGCGTCTGGAAGTTCTCAGCATATTCTGGCATCGGTTCAGAGATATCCGCGGTCTCGTACGCCTCCGGCTGGACATGAAGATCCTGTTGGAGCTGCATTGCAACAAGGTCGTCCAAGTCGTCTTCATACTCAGGCGAAGGCGACTTCTCTTTCGTCTCTTTAGCCGGAGCTGCTTTCTTGGGTCTGGGTTTCGCTGTGCTCCTCTTCGATTTGGTTCTTGTGACCGAGCGCCGGGTGGGTTCGGGGGATGACTCGTCGACATCCATGTCATCCTCGTCATCATCATCTTCCTCAGGTTCGGGAGTATGTTCATCTTCATCTTCGTCGTCGTCGACCACCTTAGACCGTCGCGGCTTTTGCGCGCTTCGGGTCGCACGCGCACTTTGTGAAGGAGTAGCTGCTGATTTTCTCCGCCCAGGTGCCATGACTTCTTCTTCGAATCTTTTCGGTGTTTTGCGCTGTCGCCCGCTTGACCGTGTTCCAGCTCGTGGGGGGGTTTGCGCTTCATCTTTCAACACCTCGCTACCTGGGGCTGTCATGTCGGGGTTCGCGGTGTCTGCATCGCGCGTAGATCGACGCCGTGATGCGCTTTTGACGGGTGTGGGAGAAGTCCGGTCGTTGTTGGGAGATGATGGGACGGAGAATACGTCTTGTCCATCATTTCCCATTTCAATATCTCCATCAGCGTCTTCGGATACTCTTCTCCTCTTGGATGCTCGCGGGTCCTTCATCGTGGGTAATTGGAGAGATCACGAAGCGCTAATATAGTATCGGATTCGAGGGAAATAGCGCTAGTCGAGTTAAAGAAATTGAAGTTGAATTCCCTCGTAGCTCTCTCGTCGGCCTTGTTGGTTGCGACTGTTTCAATTAACATTTGTTCCAATCAACGCTGTTTTGTGTCCGACCAGCTTGAACCAAGCAGCTCACCCCGAGGGCATTGACTTACAAGTCCGTGAATATCAATCGCGGCGCATTTATCGTATATTAACAGAAACAGATCCAAGTCCAGTCAGACAAAGACAGACGACCTGCGTGGTTCAATTGGGCAAGGGTCGGATGGGGTCAACAGTTGCCGAGTTTGGCCTCAGGCCGAGACGCGTGACGCGAAGTCAGGTGCTTCGGACGGCAAGGAGACTTCCCTTGCACTTGCAGTGGGTTGTCTACGTTGTCTTTGATTGTCCGTTTGATCGAGATGATCTGTTTGCAGGCATTTTTGAATTGAATTGAAAAGTAGATATCGGACATCCGCCGAGATCGCATTTCGTGGCATGCAGCTTCGGAGTATCTGGCCATCGTTAATCTGCTGCCCAGGACAATTTGATCAAAAGAAATGAGACCATACAAAGCATGACGATTGCCAAAGCCACGGACTCATCTCTGTTGACCCAGACTTCAAAGTATGCGTTGATTTGCTTCATTTGGAATCAGTAATCACAACAGTCCTCTTTGACCGGCATTGCCACCATCAAGCCGAGGTCCAAACCATCCGAGCTGCGGCTGGGGGGTATGAGCTCCGAATACATCTCCAACAACATTTCCCTTCCCAAACATCCTTTATAATTCGCGTCTAATACTGTTTATAATACATACATCATGTCAGACAACGCAATAGGCGCCCCGTCCAGGGAACTGGACGACTTCGAGAAGCTCGTCTACGAGTACTCGAAGCGATTCAGCGTGGGGAACGGAGAAGTAAGTATCCATACGCAGCAAGCTTAACCACTGCTCTGCAACTCCCAATCCACGCACTTCTCGTACGCAGATGGAATATAGCGCTTACCCTTGTCTCAATTTCAAAGCACTGGGGCATCGATGCCCGCGCCTGTAACCTCCGCTTCGACTCGGCAACCCGCGGTCCCCCGGCCACCGTCTCCTTCCTTTTCAGAATCACCCCGGCGATGAGCAATTTCCTGGGTAACCTCCATGGGGGCTGTGCTGCTACTTTGATCGATAACCTGTCGACCATGATCTTGCTGGGTGTCTCACAGCCGGGCAAATTCAGTCTCGGTGGAGTCAGTCGCAACCTCAAAGTGACATATCTGCGCCCTATACCGACGGGTACTGAGGCGCGTCTGGTTTGCGAGGTTATTCATGTTGGCAAGCGGCTGGCATTGTTACGGGCTGAGATTCAAAAGGCCGATAGTGGGGATATTTGCGTGGTTGGTGAACATGAGAAGGCCAATACAGACCCGGAGGACAACCAGAGAATCTGATCAGGCTGGGATACGAGTACGGGGAGGAATAGCGTTGGCGGGGATATTAGAGACAGCTACATAGTATCAATTTGTATAGATCTCATTTGCATCAAATTGCCAGCTTCCAGACATTGTACGAGCGAATGGCATGATCTCATAGCGGTGGTAGTGATCTAGACAGTATTGTCCTTCGTTTGTTATGATAGGAGGGAAGGGGTACAAAGAACAGAGAAACTGTCGCACATGTCCAAGACAAATATAGCCAATCAATTTAAACAGAACTAGATGATCCCATTGTCAAGGCGGGTATCAAGGCCTTTTTACTCTGTGGCCAGTTGCTGATCTTCCCGGAGACCCTCAACCTTCAGCTCTTCGCCAGTGGCACGGCGGTACAAATCGCGGACATCATCTAGAAGATTTCATTAGCGACAAATTTGTAACATTTTGACCCTGGAAGACTGCTTACCGGTCGTAGTTTCGAAGTGTGATGTAGCGTCGTAGCTCTTGGAGATGAAGATGTTGGACTCCTCGCCGCTGTCGGTGGGCTCGTAGAGAGGAATAGGAGGACCCATGAACTTCTCCTCGATCTTACCCAGGCGCTCGAAGCCAGGCTCGAGCTCAATGTGGTGGTTGGCATCATTCTCAGCAATGGTGGAAACGATGGCGACGTAGTAGCCCTTGGGGCAAACGTTATGCGCAGACGAAACCATAGCAATGTAAATGTCTAGAAGATATTAGCATTCTACCCGCAAACCGAGACAGAATCACACTCACCGTGCTTGCGTCCAACCTGGGACTGGGGAATGATCAGTTGCACAGAGTCGCTGCCGTCAGTCTTATCAATGGGGTGGTTCAGAATACAGATAGCTTTGAGCAAGTATCCGGTGACCTTGGACTTGCTGGGGAAGTAGGAAGGATCGGCAATGATCTTTTTGGTCTTGGTCTCGAACTTCATGGCGTCCGATTGGTCGTCACGATCCTTCATGGTTGCCTTGATTCCGGAGACCTTGCCGTTCTCATAAAGCACCTCATCCACGTCGGTGTTCAACATGTAGGTACCACCATAGATGGCAGACAGACGCGCAAAGCCCTGGGGAAGCTCGCCGAGGCCGTAAAGCGGGTAGATGTATGGCGACTTTCCGTACCGTGCCATGGAGTTGACATACAAACGGATGCGGTTAATGGTTTCGACGGCAGCGCCGGGCTGATTGATATATTCGTCCGAGGGGAACAAAGCCATGGAGTGGCCGACGAAGTCCCGAGTATTATCCTCCAGGCCAAACTTGTCGTAAACCTCCTTCATCGTGCACTTGTGAATGTTCAATCCTGCACCCGGTTAGCTATTCGGTTGACGAACATTCGCCAAACTGGGCAAGTCGCGGATAACTCACCTTGGTGGCTAGCTGGGTCGTCCTCCTTAAATTCACCAACCCACTCCAAGAACTTCTTGGCACGTCGCTTTTCAAACAAGCCCATGAGCGATGAGCGCAGGGCTTCACCGGCGTCCGAGGGCACCTTGGCCACGGTCGCCTTGGGGCCCTTGCCTTGCTGAACATAGCTGCCAGCAATCTGCTTGAACTCAAGGTATCGGGTAACGTCCGTAGAAACCAAAATGTTGGTCAGCTCTCCATTTGACATGAGCAGCTTAGGGACCAAGTCGATATTCCAGTCATTGACCCTTCCGTATTTCTTCCATGGCTCCTCGCCGGGGGCGACGTTGCCGTATTTCTTGAACAGCTGCACATAAAGTTAGTGGGCATAGTACTAGACATCAGCCAATGCACATACTGCTTCGATGTTGACGGAAGCTGCTTCGCTGTGGTATTGTTAGCTGTTTTGACCGTGGTGCCGTCATAGAGAGCTTCTCCGCTTCACTTACCCTCCATAATGATCGTTGCGATCGATGTGAAGCACCTTGTTACCCTTCACACTGAGGACACTGCAGTCAAGTATGAGAAAATGAACAAAAATCAAATTCAAGCTCATGAACCTACCCAGACAACACACACTCGGTCAGGCCTGGGAAGAGTCGGTCAGTATTGAGGGGTGAATTGGCGGGGTAGCAACATAGCAACATACCAGTGCCGAGAACCACAACATCGTACTCTGGGGCAATCTCGTCCATAGTGAACGTGAAGGGGGAATACTATAGAGGTAGAAGATTGGAAAGAATCCAAGAGAATGAGAAGAAGAGAAGGTTTAACTTATCTCCCCGCGGATCAACGAGGCGGAAAAGGGGAACTAAGATTTGGCAGATCCGCCACTAGTGAGTTACCTCCGACTCCAACACGTCAATAGCTTCCCCTGATATCTTTGATCCTCATTGATATCCACTACTATTGGCATTGTCATAGTTACGTTAATCCAAGATATTCGATAATCTCATACACGGTAACTACCCGGTGGCACACAGCCCTAACTCTGGAAGTTTCTGTAACTATAATCGACAAGGCCGCCGGGCCGGCCATTATGAGACACCTGAGCGTCTGCCCTGAGCACACTGAGTGAAGGGTGATCACTGAGCACCCTGACTCGTTAAAGTGGCGTCCATAGTAACCGTTCTCAGCACTCAATGTACCGTCACCTAGCGTTGTGGTGTAATAACATTACAATAAATAGAATAGTTACATGTATAACATAGACTCATAGTTAGCTATTTGAGCATGTTACTGCGCGGTTGGATTGCCCGGTTGGATTGCCCGGTTGGATTGCCCGGTTGGATTGCCCGGTTCTTGACATGGTAAATATACTTGGATCACATGTCCAATTCGAAATGCACAATACTAAAATCACCATAGAAGCTAATCTTACATACACAGTACTTGATTGATTGAAGTTGCGGCTTCACTTTGCCTGGGCCGTACCTTCGCCTTGTTCTCATGCTTATTGTTCTTTGTCCTTAGTCTGCTCAACTTCCACGTCGTCAAGCCCGTGGAAGTTCTCAGGACGGTATCCGCTTTTGTACAATCGCGAGGCGTCCTCCCAAGCATACCAGCGTTCACGCAGGACGTGCTTGATGTTCTTCATGGTGCTCTTGATCTAACGATATCAATGTTGTTAGTGATGTCCAGAAATAGCAATGACGAGGAGAAGGGTCCTCGATAGATGTGCAAATCGTATGAACGAGAATGACCGGTGTCCAGCCAGGGTAAGACTCACCACCTTATCCCGTCCCTGAGACTCAAAGTCACCATAGCCGGGCTTCAATCGGGTTCTCTCGAAATCAGAGGTGTAAATGCGGTTTCGCTCCCGAACGCACACATGCCACAAAGCGTGGAGGTCTTCCCAACTTCTCTCCCGGAGTTCTTGAATACCCCATGAACGTCCTAGATTGTCCACAATCAGCACTGTCGATGCTCACCCTATAATATTTGAAAGGAATTGAACTAACCATGAGCGTTGTCATATTCAGGGGTAGATAATGCTGTCCGATCCGGGGGGAAGAAAGCCCAGAGTCCGTGATTGGGGTTCGTTTCCCGGGGTTGCATGTCTTCCGGTGACACTGGTTTGGGCAACGGCCATCTTGACACAGTGAATGGGGTTCTGGGACCGGTTCGGTGGATAGCCGACACACCACGGTTTTTGCTCTTGTCGCGTCGAGGGTTAGCGCTCACCGGGACAGTCGAAGAAAAGCTCGAAGACTGGACGGCTGACACCGTGACGGGAAGACGAAGTGATGGCGCGAGATAGGTAGGAGGCAGCTCAGCCATGCCCAGCCCTCTCAGGCGGCCGGCAATGCGTGGAATTGGCTGCATGATTGTGGTGGCCCAAGATGGTCGAGTCTGAGATTGATGGCCTTTCTTTTCGCAAAGGCGGCAAGGCTCGTCACGTGCCACGGCGGTAACCAGCAGTCCAGGACTTGATGCGAAGTCTCGGGTTCATCGGGTCTACTCTCGCATATTCGCATTTTAGTTTATCCCAGTCTTCATCTTTCATATATTAAATAAGTCCTTCTAACCCTCTTTCAAACAGCCTTTATCCAACTATTCTCAGTTGTCATCCTTTCCCATCAAGGCCTCGTCCGCGGTTAACTGGAGACTGGCCTGTGCATTCTCATGCACCCGCGCGGCTGACCGCCCAATCGACTCGCTCAGCGGAGCAGCGCCGCATCCAACGTGACCAGCCTTTGTGGATTGTTCTCCCCTCCACAGATTCAAGTCAGTGGATTATTCTGACGATCTTTTTGTTTGTTACGAAATATTGCGGATTCTGGAAACCAGCTCCCTCTCAGGAAGCCTCGATTATGAATAGACCAGGTTCGTCAAATCCCTTCAATGCCTTTGCGCACCGTTATACCCCATCCTATCATCTACCCACCTCCGCCGAGCCCTTGATTGTTTCTGTGCAGAGATATCCTCTGTCTAATGGGGAGGGTTTCTTGGCGTCATGAAGTGCAGGGGAGCACGCCGTAAGCTTTGATGCTGGTGGTCCTACATTTGCGACCGAGACATTTGCAAGGAGCGTGTTCACACATTCCTGTGTTGCGGTGTTATCCGCGCAGCCCTTGGTCCAACCATCGCGCTGACTTTCCACGATTGTGTCGGTCTCAGGCCTGCAGCCGTTGAGAGGCATGTCCGGATTTCCCACGCACCAACAAGCACAAGCTCAAACTGCATCGTTTACCTCCGCGCGATTGCTTAACGGGAAACTGGGTGCGGTGCCTCAAGTCATACTCTTTGGACACTTCAGATCATTTCTACGAAGGGATTCTAACATGCGAGTCCAATAGGAAGTGGTGCAAATTGGAGCTTCAATTTACCAACTAGCGGATCGTCTGGCCTACAGAGCAATCAACAGCGCACAATGGGAACCATGGGAAGCTTTGCACAAAGTCTTGGAGGATCACAATCTGCAGCACCACTTGATCTGTCGTAAGTGCTCACTTGCCTTGGTTTGCGGTGGTCTCCTATCACTCTGGATCCTCGAGTTTGTCTCCGAACTGACATGGTCGGGTGATATTAGGGAGTTTCCTTCGCTATCAGGCGCATCACAGCAATCACAGTCACAGACCCCCGGTCAGCTAATGTGGGCCAACGCAAGTCAACGCGCTGCTCAGCAAACACCTGTCCAAAGACAACAGCACCCTCCGTCGTCGCAAGCTCCCTCTCGTCCCTCGCAACCTCAAGGGCTCCCTACGCCTCAACAATCGCAGACAGCACACGATGATATGTTTCCATCCGGTTCACAATTTGCCAATCGACTCGACGATTTTAGAAATGGTGGGCAGGGCATCAGTAGCCAACTTGGTGCTGGTGGCCAACCTCAGACCGGCAATATTGAGGAATTCCCCCCTTTGGGTCGGAATGCTGCCGCTGAGCTCCCCCTCGGTCGAACTGGCTCATTGATGCAGGGTGCAGGATTTGGAGGATATGGATCTGGTATAGGGACATCAGGATCACTAGGCAGCCAGGTGCCCAATGGAATTTTGGGACAAGAGAAAGAGGTAACTTCATCCGATCATGCTCACTTATCAGAGGGTGCTAATTTTGCAACAGGGTTTGAACAATGGCGTACTGCCAGGTCAACGTAACTTCAGTGACCCACAACAGCTACAGCAGCGACTGCCAGAAAGCGCCGAGAGCCAGGATGTATCCAATGCACCCCAAAGTACCGAACAACCGCCTCTCGCACAAATGAGTGAACTTGACCGTTTTGGGTTAGCGGGTTTATTGCGCATGATTCACAGCGAGAGTCCCGATGTTGCAAGTCTCGCCGTTGGCCAAGACCTGATGACCTTAGGATTGGATTTGAATCAGGCCGAGTATGGGTCACTTCATTTTGTCATCAACTACCCATGGCTAACGCGCTTTTCATGCAGACCTTTGCACACATCATTCGCTTCACCGTTCGTGTCATCGATGTCAGCAGTTCCTTTGGAACAGGATTTCTCTTTGCCGGCTTGTTACAACGTCGCCAATATTCAGCCTCTCCAGTCTCGTATTCCGGGCTTCAGTGACGAGACGCTGTTCTTTATATTCTACAGCATGCCTCGAGATATCATGCAAGAATTAGTGGCTGAGGAATTGATGGGTCGTAAATGGCGCTATCACAAACTCGAACGTTGCTGGTTGACTCGCGATGAGACATATCCTGGACCGGTTGATGTTGAGCGCGGTGTGACGGAGCGTGGCGTATATCTTTTGTGGGATCCTTCCAGCTGGAAGAAAGTCCGAGTACGTACCTCGCAGTCCTCTCCTTGGACTCAAAAGAATCCGCTGAGCTAATCCCTCGATCCTCACAGCGTGAGTTCATCCTTCGATATGAAGATTTGGACAACAGGTTGGACCCTAGCCGAAACGCGGCCCGCGCCCCTGGTGCGGCGCATCATGCCTCATGATTTAAGGTTGATACGAGCCAGGTCAGGTGCACAGAGTTTGAGTAATCAAATATGGCGTTTGGTTTGCTATCTATGTAACAATGTTCAGGGGTGGCTGATAGTACATTACCCTTTGAGGCCGTGGCAGGCCTGTTTCTCCGAGAATTTACGGACAATATGGGAAATCAGGATACGGTATTTGAGAATCGATGGCTTGACGACCTTGTTAGATTATAAGAAGGCGTAAATATCTCCATTTCTTACAAATCATTGAAGCAATCTTTGATCTAGCGAGACTTCCGCGCAGTAGACAGAATGGCCACCCATTCTGTCTCGATGTCATCGTCTCCAAAAGTATCTTCCAAGTATCTTTCCAGTGCCGGACGGACCTTGTCCGCGTTTTCCTTTCGCTGCTCCTCAGTCCAGAATGACATTACCATGATGGGCAAGACCAGCATAGTCATCTCCAGAAAAATAGAAGGCGTGAGAGTCAGCTTGTCTCTTCTGACACAGACATCGATCTCCTGAAACCCACGCTCTTCGAGCTGGGACTCGATCCACGGCTTCGAGTGCCAATGCCCATCCGTCATGACAGAGACCATCTTTTCGACTTCAGGGAAAGGCAGATTGCCTGGCATGCTTTCAATTGCCCCTCGCGCGATGGAAACAGAGCCAGCTATTCAATCGTCAGTTGCTTCTGATATCCGACGGGTTCTCTTCATCTCGACACTCACGCAGCATCCAGGTTGAGAAGGCAATGGTTCCACCGGGCTGGAGCATTCGGACGGTTTCTAAACGTAGTCCATGTCAGACTGGCAATACTACAATCAAGCATGGAATGCCCCTACCATCCAGAGCTTTCAGAGATTCCGGAAGTGCCATGTAGACTGCAGAAGGAAGGAACATTGTCAGCCAGGTCAGGTCGCGTCACGGTGCAAGCAGACACAACTCACCAAAGGAACTGAAAATATGCGAATAATAATCGCTGGGGAGGTCAGGCTTTTGTGCATCCACAAGCTTGGTCTCCGCGTTCTCCCAGCCCTCTTGCTGCATGCGGTGCTCAGTGTATGCGAGTACTGCTGGCGAGATGTCGCCACAGGTCAGTTTCCACTTCTTCTTGACAATGCCATCGACTTTGTCATTGAGGATACTGGAGATGACGCCAGTACCGCATGCATTGTCGAGGATCACAAGGGGTTGGTCTGGGTTCGCCTTCGACTCCGCGCACACTTTGCTCTGGTCCACCAGTAGTTCCGCAAATGTGCGAGTAACTATCTCCCCACGCTTGAACGAGGAAGCATAGGCTTCACTCTTGAAGAGTGTCTCAACGTCATTTCTTGCAGCCACTGCCATGGTAGGTATGGAGGTAGGTAAAGGTTAATGATCAACCTAGGTGATCAATGTAAAAATATGTTACGAATATGGTTCTGCGGGAGTTGTGTAGTAAAGACCCTGGAAGATCAAGGGGACTTGCCGGGTCTTCCAGCCCCTTTAAATAATCACTGGCACTGACCTCGATGTTTCCTGATCAACCCAACAATGTGCTCAGAAGTGTCCGAGAATGTCTCCGTGAGTGGATACCAGTCGAATCAGTCCTATGCATCACCAAATGAGGCCAATGAGAGTGCATATGACCACAAATCTGCTCATGCCACGTCAATTCAAGGTTTGATTATTTCTAATGATGAAGATAGGTTCTGAGGAGGCAACTCAAGCATACGAAGTAGTGACCACCCTCGGAATACATAGATCATGATCGATCGGCAAGATATGAGCGTCATGTGGTCAAGGTGGAACTTTTAGACAGTCAATCTAGACTATGGCATAATGGCTTACCAGCCTTCGCTTCCATATGTCATAGAAATCATATCCTTGCTGTCGGAGACAAATGGATGAGAAGTCGCCGAGCCGCACTTCTTTATACTTCGATATCACGTGAGGACAAAGCCCCCGCGCTGACATCAGCAACGCGGCGCGCCAGACCTAAATGGGCAAACCATCAACAGCTCGTGCGGCAAAACAATCAATCCCCTCCACTCCCCATCTGGCCGATCCATGCCACTCTCCTAGCGAGCAGAACGCCGTTTCGGAGTCGCAACCATGAGGATTACGGAAATTGTCATAGATGTGAGCTCCTACATTGGTCACTGTTATTCATCACGCTAACTGAGTCGCCAGGGCTTCAAATCGTACGCTGTGCGTACGGTTATCTCGGGATGGTATGCAATCCTCCGTGTCCAAGCTTGAATTGAACCATGGCTTTGGTTGAATCTACAGCAATTCCGGATTCGTGGGACTAACTGACGGCGCGACGTAGGGACGAATCCTTCAACTCAATCACTGGTCTGAACGGCAGTGGTAAATCCAATATCCTCGATGCTATTTGCTTCGTGCTCGGTATCACCAACATGACCACGGTCCGCGCGCAAAACCTCCAAGACCTTATCTACAAGCGCGGCCAAGCCGGTGTCACGAAAGCTAGCGTTACCATCGTTTTCGACAACCGAGATACCGCGAAATCTCCCATCGGATTCGAAGAATATGCGAATATCTCGGTGACGCGACAGATTGTGCTAGGCGGCACGAGCAAATATTTGATCAATGGCCACCGTGCGCAACAACAGACCGTCCAGAACCTGTTCCAGAGTGTCCAGCTGAACATCAACAATCCAAACTTCCTCATTATGCAGGGCCGCATCACGAAAGTCCTGAACATGAAATCGGTCGAAATCTTGTCAATGATTGAGGAGGCAGCTGGCACACGAATGTTTGAGGATCGAAGAGAGAAGGCAAACAGGACAATGGGAAAGAAGGAGCTGAAGCTGCGCGAGATCGAAGAGTTGCTGAAGGAAGAGATTGAGCCCAAACTCGAGAAGCTACGGTCGGAAAAGCGAGCTTTCCTCGACTTCCAGCAAACTCAGAATGATCTCGAGCGCTTGACGCGACTTGTCGTTGCCCATGACTACGTTCGTGGCGGCGAGCGATTGCGGGTTGCAGGCGAGGAGTGCGAGAATAAACGCAACAAAGTTGAAGCACTCGAAAATAATGCGATCAAGCTCAAAAATGAGATCGCTCACCTGGAAGAGGACGTGGAGCGAGTGCGCTCGGCTCGCGACAAGGAACTCCGAAAAGGCGGGAAGTTCCAGGGCCTTGAAGATGAGGTCAAGCACTACTCGCACGAGTTAGTCCGACTTACCACGGTCTTTGATCTCAAAAACTCCAGCATGGCTGAAGAGAAGGAGAAACGGCGGACGATCCAGAAGACGGTCACTGATCTTGAGAAAGTCTTGAAGGAGAAGCGTGAGATCTACGAGAAGCTTCAGGCGCAGTATGACACAGCCAAGGCCGAATTGGATGCACAGACTGTAGAGGTGGAGCAAAAGGAGGAGCTGCTCCAGACGTTGCAGACCGGTGTTGCCTCAAAGGAAGGCCAAGAAAGCGGCTACCAGGGTCAACTGCAAGATGCCCGAAACCGCGCAAGCAATGCAGCCACCGAACAAGAGCAAGCAAAGCTTAAGATCAACCATCTGGAGAAACGAATCAAAGAGGAAGAGCCTCGCGCAAAGAAGGCGAAGGAACAAAACTCGGGGCTCTTGCGGGATCTCGAAGGATTGAAGTCCCAAGCTAGTAAGCTCGAGTCAGAGCTGACTCGGCTCGGATTTGAGCCTGGCAAGGAGGAACATATCTACCAGGAGCAGACTGGCCTTCAGCGAGATATTCGCGACCTCCGTCAACGGGCCGATGGTCTCAAGCGACAGGCCGCGAACATTGACTTCAACTACTCAGACCCTCACCCCAACTTTGATCGGTCCAAAGTCAAAGGTTTGGTGGCTCAGCTCTTCACTCTCAACAAAGATCAAGTTTCCGCCGCGACTGCTCTGGAGATCTGTGCGGGTGGTCGACTTTACAACGTGGTCGTGGACAGCGCAGAGACCGGTACTCAACTGCTTCAGCGCGGCAAGCTGCGCAAGCGCGTGACTATCATCCCCCTTAATAAGATCTCCGCTTTCAAGGCCTCTGCGGAAAAGATTGGAGCTGCACAGAGGCTAGCCCCCGGAAAAGTTGATCTCGCTCTGTCCTTGGTTGGGTACGACGAGGAAGTGCTGGCGGCGATGAACTACGTCTTTGGCAACACACTCATCTGCAACGATGCTGAAACGGCCAAGAAGGTGACATTTGATCCGTCAGTCCGAATGAAGAGTGTCACGCTGGAAGGTGATGTATATGATCCGTCTGGAACACTTTCGGGCGGAAGCTCTCCCAATTCCAGTGGTGTTCTCGTCACTTTGCAAAAACTCAATGAAATCGTCAAGGAGTTGCGGAGCAAGGAACGACAGCTTGCGACTCTGGAAGATCATATGGACAAGGAGAAGAAGAAGCTCGACGCCGTTCGCTCCATCAAACAGAATCTTGATCTCAAGACCCACGAGATCAAACTCACTGAGGAGCAAATTAGCAGCAACTCTTCATCTTCGGTGTGTTTCTATCCCATGATATTACCTGCAACGCGCGACTAACCCAAGATAAGATTATTCAAGCTGTTGAGGAGATGAGAGCAAACATCGAGCAACTCAAGAAAGACATTGTCGACGCTAAGTCTCGCCAAACCGAAGCATCCAAGGATATCAAGCGAATTGAGAAAGACATGAGTGAATTCGACAATAACAAAGATAGTAAGCTGGAGGAACTACAAACCACGCTAGACAAACTCAAGAAAAGTCTGGTGAAGAATTCTAGCTCGGTCAAAGAGCTGCAGAAGGAATTGCAAACTTCCAGGCTAGACTCCGAACAAGTCGGAAGCGATTTGTCTGCAGCCGAAGAGCAGTTGGTCGAGTCCGACAACACCTTAAAGGCCCAAAGTGAGGAGATCGAGTCACAAAAGCGGGAGCAGGCGCGACTCAAGGTATGCAATCTCCTCTCGACATTTCTCGATGGCCTTTTAGCTGACTGTTGCAGGATGCCCATGACATCGCGCAAGCTCAACTTGATGACGAGCGGGCCAAGTTGACCGGCTTTGACGAGGAACTACGAGAGTTGGAACAAGCTATAAAGAGCAAATCCTCTCAAATCACAGAGGACGGCCTCGAAGCGCAGAAGCTCGGTCACCAGCTCGAGAAGCTACAAAAGGATCAACACACTGCTAGCCAAGCCGTGGCTCACATGGAACAGGAACATGAATGGATCGCGGACGAGAAAGAGCAATTCGGACGTGCCAACACTCCCTACAATTTCCAGAACCAGAACATTGCCGAGTGCAAGTCTACCCTTCGTAATTTGACGGAGCGATCTCAGGGCATGAAGAAAAAGATCAACCCGAAGGTCATGAACATGATCGACAGCGTCGAGAAAAAGGAAGCTGCTCTCAAGAACATGATGAAGACGGTCATTCGTGACAAGCGAAAGATCGAAGAGACTATCATGAATCTTAACGAATACAAGAAGGAAGCTCTCCACAAAACATGGGTCAAGGTCAATGGCGACTTTGGGCAGATCTTCAACGAGCTTCTACCGGGTAGTTTCGCCAAACTCGACCCTCCGGAGGGCAAAGACATCACCGATGGCCTCGAAGTGAAAGTATCCCTGGGCAAAGTGTGGAAGCAGAGCTTGACAGAACTGAGTGGTGGTCAACGTTCCCTCATTGCTCTGTCATTGATCATGGCGCTCTTGCAATTCAAACCAGCACCGATGTACATTCTGGATGAGGTTGACGCCGCATTGGATCTTTCACACACGCAAAACATCGGTCGGCTGATCAAGACCCGTTTCAAGGGATCTCAGTTCATCGTCGTCTCGTTGAAGGATGGCATGTTCCAAAATGCCAACCGCATCTTCCGCACGCGGTTCAGCGAGGGAACCAGTATTGTTCAGGCATTGACGCCTGCGGATATGAAATAAGCATGCACATGAGGTCGATTGTGCATAGTTTCTCTTGTTTTTTTGTGCTGGTCCGGTGGTGTGATCATCCCTCGGCTATGGTGTTCGATTGTTTTCGGATGGGAATGGATCTTTTTTTATGACTTATGCATGGTAAATCTTATTTCTTTCAATGGCTCCTTGCCTTTCGCATATACCAAGTCCAATTCTGTAGGAACCTCCCGTCATAAGCAGAGTTGTGGATTCATTTAACGGTGTGCTGAACATAGTCATACATCGTGCGAGAGGAAACAGCTAACGAAGTCATGTGCTCGATTTCATTTCATATAGATGAGATTCTATCATCCTAACTCCTAAGCATGATCCGACGGAGCAAAAAAGAAAACAATATATAGTTGCTTCAGGCTCATACCGACCTGATTGCCTGTGTAGTTCGAATGTTGTCGGAGACTTGACGGATAAACTCCGATTCCCGCATTTATGACGGCACGTGCCCACCTCTCGACCTGACAGGCTGACCGTCTTGTGCCACCTTCCAAGCAGTCCGATCTTACTATAACGCCCCGCGCATTGCGCCCATACAGAACGATACAATATTAATATTTTACCGGTACCTATTATATCAAACAACTCACGTCTTGTCTCTCTCAAACCAATTCAGCCAACTGTCAACAAACCCACACCGCCGACCTTGGGACCTCGAACACCTGACACGACTTGCGCTCTGCGGCCAATTCATGATGACGGAAGAAGAACACTCATTGAATATACCATCGCTTCTGACGCTTGCGGTAGTATCCTACTTTGTACTCCGATGGTTCTTCAAACGCGATGACGGCTCCGCGGGTGGCGGCCGAGGCCGGGGTCGTGGCAACGCCGTCGACCCGGCACAGGTGGAACAGATTGCGCAGATGTTCCCGCAATTAAGCACCCGGGATATAATGTGGGATCTGCAGCGGAACGGGGGAGTGTTGCAGCGACGACAGAGAGGATCCTCACAGGGCGTGGATTGGAAACTGTACGTATTCGCTGATGCTGACAAGAATGTCCCGCCTCGTGTTTACCTGAAGCAATTTGGCTCCAGTCTTTGAAGACTCCCTTGAAACTGGTATTAGAGCATTGGCTAATTCGGATTCTTAGCCTCCACCTTCGTTCCAGCCTCCGGTCGCAATTCCCTCCACCAACACCCCGCCGACGCAGACTACGACAGCCGCACCGGCACTTAAAGCGGACGGACAAGACTTGATTTCTCGGTATAACCTGCGCGAGAAGGCCGCCAGTCCGCCTGCTGACTCACAACAAGAGGCACCCCCTCCAAGACCACTTGGTCTCAGAACAAAGAAGAGCGTCAGCAACTGTTGCAGAAGCGTCGGGACGACATGATCTTGGCAGCACGGAGGAAGATGATGCAAAAGAATCAAGGCGATGCACAATAATCCGAGCCCCGGTATTCTCGTCTGTTGGTAATGTGTCTCAGCTGTTGATGCAATTGGACAACCCCGGCCGCATTGTTTCCCTGGTGCCGATATACCCTTTCTATTATTTCCAGTTTACCTCGCAACATCATCTCTCCTCTTTGTTTGTATTTAAGCGTTCACATGCTGTATGGTGTTAGTTAAATTGGAACAGTTTTGGTTACAACCGTTGGTCGCTGGACCAGAAGGGTATATCGGACTATATACATGAAAGTCGTTTGGACATTGGTCTGCGTCACATATGCACCGATTAACTCCGAATGAAAAGATACCCAAAAACTCAAGGGAAATAAGGACCTCAGATGCTCAGAACTCCATATAATCTTCTTCCTCATCGTCGTCCTGGGTGCCATTGTACCCGCCATTCGCCCTCTGCTCGGCCATCTGTTCGCGTCGGGCCTGTTCTTTAGAAGACCCAATTCTCCTGTAAATGCGTTAGTGATGAGGACTTGTCACACGAGTCCCGATCGACAAACATACCGAAGACCATCCACCACGCCAGTAACAAATCCTCGCTCTTCTCCCAACTCCATAGAACCAACACCTGTCAAAGCGACGCCACCACCACCCGTCGCCGCGGCATCCAAGACATCGATTCCAGACCTCATTTTCGCCATGCGCACCTCCCGTAGGTCTTTAAGTAACCTGCGTATTTGATCCGGATCCATGAGATCATCGCTGGCTGCCTCGAGCAGCAAATTCCCAACCTCGACCCAGTGAAAGGGCAGTGAGGGAGGATCCCGCGAAGAAGCCACGGGCTGTGCTGTATTTTGGGGTAGGAAAGGTGGCGCTGCATAGTATCTATTGCCATCGGGGGTATACTGCGGTCGAGCGGTTGGGAGGGCGCCTTGGTCTAAGATGCTCGGTTGGCCGGGTAGGGGAGGAGGTGGAGAGAATGCATTCTTGTAATCTTGGTGCTGGGACTCGACTTCGAGGATGAGGGCCAATGGCTCTGGGTGGAGCCATGCTGGGGGTATGATGTTGGCACGACGTTGGCGTTTGAGGAGCAGCGCAAGCCAGAGGGGGAGGGAGGCACGTCGGGGAGGAACGAGTGGCTCAACGGGACCCTGGAAGTGGTTAGCTTTAGATCGCTGGGAGTTTGGATAGAGGCGCATTCACTCCTAGTAGCTCGAGGCCTTCTAGACGCTGGCGGGGCACAATCGTCACTGTTTCCATCTCCGCCAGGAAGGCAATCTCTGACGCCGTGACGCCCCGTGGAAGAGGGAAAGCCATTGACTGTGTATGCGCGGTGATAGGAGGGTAGCAGTAGGGAGATAGTTGTGACTGTCACAGGTCAATTGTTGTTTGTGGTGAGAAGGGACAGTCGCATCCTTGTCGTAGGTGCGTAGGCAATTGCGACCTTTCAGCTTCGCTCTGCGGTTTGGTCGTCTCTTTACGCTTGTTGATTTTTTTTTAATTTTCTTCGATTCCTTTGACAGGCTCCTGCTTCGCTCTCATAACTTAAGATCCTTGATCCACTGGGATAATTTTGGTCACGTCCAACGCGTTATCGCGATATGGCGCGTTTGACAAGTTTGCATCGATCTTCAAGCTCCAGCTCCGAGTGGGACGCCGACGCCGAGCAAGCTAAGCTCATCTGGCGAATGTACATGGTGACTGCAGCTAATTATTTGGACAGCATGGTCAATCCTATAGAATCCCAACGCAGCCGGGGTGCTCGATGGTTTGTTCCATTCGGCCTGGTCTTGATCCCTCTCTGGGTGAGCCTGGTCAATAAGGCCGTTCCGGAACCCTATCTGGACGAAGTCTTTCATGTCCCTCAAGCACAGGCATACTGGGCGCATAAGTGGTCGCAATGGGATCCAAAGCTTACAACACCGCCAGGCCTGTATCTGTGCTCATACATTCTCTTCTCCGTTGTGTTGCTCTTACGCGGCTCCCCGACAAAGCTCACTCCGGATGTTCTGCGCATGACGAACGTTGGTGCGACATCGGTTATTTTCCCCTGGAGGCTACAAAAGCTATCTGATACGATACACAGAACGATGAATACACGACCAGTGGGAGCGAACTTGAACCATACCGTGTTGAACATCTGCTTGTTCCCTCCGTTGTTCTTCTTTTCTGGTCTGTACTACACCGATATCCTTGCTTTGCTCGTCGTCGTGGAGACATACAATTGGGACCTGAAGAGGGACGCAGAAAGAGACCCGGAAGCAGCACCCCGCAATCGTATCTGGGAGACACTGGGATTTTTGGCCTTCGCCCTGGCTGCTCTTGTCTGTCGGCAGACCAATATCTTCTGGGTGTCGGTTTTCCTCGGTGGACTCCAAGTTGTCCGCAAAATCCGAAAGTCCGCCACGCCTTGCCAGTCCTCTAAAGTGTTGACTATTGTGAAGCAAAGTCAACAGAATGAGGTCTACGATCCCCTCGTTTCGGAAGCTTCCTTGGAAGGTAATATACTCCATTGGGCATAATACATGAAGCATGGTGATGATTCTGACCGAAGTGTTAGACTATTATAAGACGGCTATCTCACTTGCAGCTGTTGGCTTGCGAAAGCCCCTTACCATCCTAGTCTCTGTCGTCCCTCACCTCATTGTCCTTGGGGTATTTGGCGCGTTTGTACTCTGGAACAACGGCGTTGTCCTAGGTAAGCGTGGATTGTCTTATTTGACAGCAATGGGAACCTCGACTAACAACTGCTACCAACCAGGCCACAAAGAATTTCATAGTGCGGGTATTCACCTGGCTCAGATGCTCTACATCTGGCCGTATTTCGCCTTCTTCTCGTGGCCACTTTTTGTCATTCCTTTGGTCAACATCCTCGCCTTCAAGCCACTTCCCAAATCTCTGGACCTAGGCCTCCCACCGAAGCAAAGGAATTACCCGAAACTCAAGGCGGCTCTGATTGTCATCCCGCTCATGCTTACCGTGGTACACTTCAACACCATTGTGCACCCCTTCACTCTTGCTGATAACCGGCACTACGTGTTCTATGTGTTCCGCATTCTTTTGTGTCACCCAGCAGTCAAGTATGCTGCAGTCCCGATCTATTTCATCTGTGGATGGGTCGTGCTATCCGCCTTTGGATTCACCACGTTACAACGCCCGCCGAAAACACTACGCGTGCAGCAGTCGGCTCCAGCAGCACCCCCAGCTCCGGCACCAGCCCCCGCTGCCAAAGAGTCTAATACCACTTCGTCTCCCGCGCGCAAGCCTGCGCAAGCACATCAGCAGCCACCGAAGGGAGCGAAAAGGCCCAACCGACCCAATCGCAAGAACGACAAGAAGGTCGAAAAAACCGAAAAGACTGCGCCCGTCTCAGATCCACACGGCCCTGAGGTTCTGGCTAAAGTCCAGCAGCACATTCTGACGCGGCAGAAAGAATTGCCGGAACCACCGCGCGCTAGCTTCGTTCTTATTTGGCTGGCCGCTACTGCGCTTTCTCTCATCACAGCACCGCTCGTCGAGCCTCGCTATTTCATTATTCCGTGGGTCATGTGGCGTGTGCATCTTCCTCCTTTGCCATGCCTGTTGAGGGATCGCGAAACGAGACCCCGGACCGAGGAAGCTAAGCGTCGTGCTGACTTTATCATCAATGCCCCCAAATTTGTGGAGACGGCTTGGTTCTTGATCATTAATTTGATAACCGGTTATGTCTTCCTGTACAAAGGCTTTGAGTGGCCCCAGGAGCCCGGTAAGGTCCAGCGATTTATGTGGTGATGCTCTCCATGTCGGTCTGTTATCCTGTGGCTTGAGATTTCGCTTGTAATATTGGGACCTGTGATTTACTACATGTTTTGCCGTTCCCGGCCTAGCTCCCCAATACGCTGTTCTGTAACCTCTCTCTGTCGCCGAACATAAAAGACCTGACCTCCCCAGTTCGCCCTCTTTTCTCCTCCATCTCCCTCCCCAGTTCGCCCTCTTTTCTCCTCCATCTCCCTCCCCTCAACTCCTCTATCTTGCACTCATCGCCACCCCCTTTCTTTCACTCTGGCCCCCACCGACTCCTGCGCATTGGCTTTCAGCCCGACGCACTGCCCCTTTCATTTCACCGGAGATGCCGCTCGATCGAACGCTCAGCTCGTTCTCACCACTTCCCGTCCCCTGTGCTGGAATGGCAGTCGCCCAGGAGTAGAATCACTGGGATGATCTAGCCCACAGCCGCATCGTTGTGATTTCATGTCGACAGCCCAACTTCTTCCTAAAGAGAGTGACTGTCCATCATTCTACGAAGCAATCTAGGTCTCACTCTGCAACTGCGCCATCTTGGTATTTTGATGGGATTTCTAGCAAACGGGTGCAGTTATTAGAGGTTCTGGGGTGCAAGTGGCTCATTTCCCGTGAGCCCTCTTTTTCTGAGAAGAACGGCCCGATGTTCCAGAAATGCTTTGTATGCTGGTTTCGGGATAGTCCTATCTTCGTTCTCCCATACTTGGTATCTAACCTCCCAAACTTGAAGTTGACGAGTAAAATTCGTGCTCGGCTTGATTTTTTGCTTTGATTGAACAAAATGCAATACGTCTGCTTGCTGCATGTCGAACTTGCGCATGAGATAGGCAATGATAATCGTCGGCGAGCGTGATATTCCAAGATCGCAGTGAATTAATATCGCCTCCGAAGCTGCACCGCGCTGCTCGTCATTCGTTTGTTTGTGCTCGACGGGTAAGGAGAGCAATGAGGAAAGAGCTGGGGATGCCATTTGGTCGATGAAGTCGCAAATATCACTCATATGGGCAAGGAGGTCTTGGGTCGACGAATCTGCACACTGAACCCATTTGTGACGATGTTCTGGAACGCCTGCCTCTCTTGTAGTAGTGTTCCACCATACCCATCGAGCATCAGTAAGAGAGACAATTGCGTTGATATGGTTCTCTTGAGGCATTTCTCGTTTGTATGATGACTCGACATTTCCCAGGAAGAGACCAGGGACAATCTGCCTCATCCGGGCCGTGAATGCCATCTCCCACTTCTTGTTCCTATCCTTCTGAGCATTTTCTCCTGTTGCATTTTCGCCCATTGTGTTATTTTGTGCTCCCTTAAAGCTGGGTGGTAATAGTTGAGGTATTAGAGGTTGCTCGTCAGGTTAAGGGTAATGCGTAGTTGTGGTGTGTGGTTTCGAGGTGACCCCCGGGCCAACGTGGGGTTCGCTGACTCTGACCATCAAAGATTGAGGAAAAGAAGTGGCTGATTTCTGTAACCCCAGCTTATGGACTTCGACCGCCAACCAGCCTCAAATTGTGCAGGGGATAGCGGTTAATTCTTTTTTGGTGGGCCGGCAGTTGTAGTCTTGTTACCTTGTAGACGCGAAACACCTGAATCGCCTGATCTTTGGGCCTTGGGTATGGGTAGCTGAGGTCCGAGTAGTGGTAGATACTCTAAAGTGTCATTCGGTGATATGTTCTGCCTCCAAAATGGATGAATATACGTTGAAACAGGCTGCTTTACCTTAGTAGCCGGGCGATTCGGTGGGCAAATTGAAGGCGGCGAGGGCCCATTGTGATAAAGGGGCAAGCGGTGTGGCTCTCTGAGCAATATGCACTTGGTCGTGCAGAAAATTGAGCCAATAAGATGAGGTTTGGTTACATAAGGCGTTGTATTAGCTAAGAAATGGGGTGCCGTTAGTTAGTTAGTTAGTTAGCAAAAGTTGGGGTGTCCTTAGCAATTCCCCGAATGGACTCGACGATCTGGACAAAGAGAGGCCTACGAGTCTACGACCCCATGTCATTGTCCTTCCAAGCAGGCTGAAAAATTTCTTGCCAGAGACCTGGGGCGTGCGAGAGTATTAGGAAAACGCTCGGACCTTACATCTAGGTGGGGAAGGAGGATGGTGGAGGGAAGATGAAAGCGAAGATTTGGATTGTGAAGAGGATATTGAAGATTACGAGTATACCACCTCCGGTGACACGACACGAACGCTGAAGATTCGACTCTCCTTGACTGATGAGGAAATGGGCGAGTTCAAGTGGATAAAAAACTTTATCGCCAAATGCACCTGCGACGGCGTTACTGTAGCCACCGCTCTGGCTCGATACATTCATCGAGAGGGCATACGCTCTGAATCCTGGGAAAGGATGGAAGAGCCCAGTGAGGAAACGTGCGGTGTGGCCTTTCATGTCTTTGATCGATATGGAACAGTCCAAACCAAGTATAAGGACCATCCAGTACAAAGAGGAACTGGTGTATGGGGAAATGATCTTGATCATGGCCCACTTTTCCTAATTGAAAAGCTTCATGTTATCGCACCGGAACTACGTCGGAAAGGGCTGGGACAGAGAGTAGTGTCTTTACTTTTGGAAAAGGCCAAACGGTTCTACCTAGACGATAAGCTAGACGGCAAACTCGCAGATCTTTTCTACGGTTCCAATGAAGCCTTTGAGCGAGCATGGACTCTACATGCTCTAGTCAGCCCCGGAATACTAACAGCTGATATCGAATCGCAGTTAGTGGGCAAGTCCGCAGAAGAACGCTTGATGTCTCGGACTCGAATTCAATCCGGTGCTATTGACTTTTGGCGATCGTGCGGTTTCCGCCGAATCGGAGCATCTCGGTGTTTTGCACTTTCCTTCGATCTCCAACACCAGTCTCGCGCCCTTGGGGCTACTTCCGATTTCGATCCGCGTAGAAGCTATGCTGAAGATCTTGAGAATGAAGAACTAGAAGTGATCTACGAAACAGATCGTTTTTACTGAGGTAAAGAAACTGAAAATGGAAAGACTTCGTGACGCGTTGCCGCTACACCACGCAGTTCTCACTCTGACGGACGAAGAACTCAAAGCTTTTTTCGTCACCCACGCCGACGATGAGATTGGCTGGGATCGAGTGACCAACTCTGAAGCCACGCTTCTGCATTTAACCGCATCCGAGCTCAAGCCCCTGAGCACACGGTGGCTACTTGAGAATGTCCACCACGCCGACTCCTGGAAGACGACCCGTGATATTGACGGGTACACCCCACTCGAAGCATTGAAGGAGAATTTAGAGACAATGCGAACACGAAAGTCATATGGCCTTTTCAGGATCTTGAACGTATCAGATCACTTTAAAGGGTACCCCGACACTGCAGTGTCCTGTCTCTCCTTGCTGTTGGGACGGGATACTTCGGTGCGTAATGACGCATGCCTCCGATATGGGTGTACATGCGGAGAGTGCCTGGAAGGATTTCTATCCGCCCGAATGAGGAGCTCATTGATCTTTCACGGCGAGACTACGTACGACCTTATTCAGGAGGAAATTGATGATGGCGACTTTTGGATAGAAGACAACGACTACATCCTCGTGCACCTCGATCCCGATGTGCGAAAGAACCTCAAAACCAATAAGTCACTTCGAAAGGGCTTTGTGAATATTTTCCAAATTGCCGCGGAGTGTCTCAAGGCGAATAGGGCTCCCACCGCAGAAAATGTTGAGCGGTGTTGTAACAATCGCAGCGAGTGGCCACCGGATACCAAGAACTACCTGCGACGCGCTGGGACGCAGTTGGGCTGTCGGGCGGTGCTTCGATACATGTTCGACGCTGCTAAGGAAGAGGATGAGAAAGCAGGTAATGGTGAGTGTCAACTCATATTGAAGAAGGAATGGTCAGATCTACCCTCTTGCAGAAATGATCATGAGTTCGAGTTTGTTGCCAGGGCGTGTGGTTACAATGGGAATGATATTTAGTTGCCATGCTGGTGGATGGAATAGTTTCTGAAAGGCCCAACAGATACAGTTATTTGCGGCACTTTGACTTGTGCTAAGAGGTATTAGTTTAGCCTTTTAAATAGTTACATTCTGTGACTGTAACTAATGTACCCATAAAATGTCATTGTAATTCTGCTTTTGCGATTTGTCTAAGCCGATCTGATACCTATGGAGTACCTAACGTCTATGATCGAGCTATGTGGGAACATTTGGGGTTGGAATGGATGGAAACCTAGTAGGGACCTTGTCGCGACGCGAAGCGTCGCCTATTATATATACGCTGTCCTATACCATAGCAAGTATGTCTCCTTCACCTGGTCAATTTTCGATCGAGGCTTCGAAAGAAACGCGTTGTGATAGCTGTGCTCCACCAGTCTCCGATGGAAAGGGTGATGGATGGGAATTGATACAGACATCAATTCCCGTGATCGATTCTTGAATTACTTGGTCATTTGTTGTGGGCTAGGTTGCTGTAACTAGTCCTTGATAGTGCCCTTGGCCTAGGCCAGCCCCTCCTTTGCTCCCGACCGCGCCACTGTCCTATTCTCTTTCTTCCTCCCCAGTCACTCGAGTATTACTATGCCGTGGGATTACAGGTCTCTCTACTCCACGACCCCTCGCTCCTTCCTCTTTGCCGTCGTCGCAAATGTCGGCCCCGGCGGCGCTAGCCGCGCCCTGACTGTGGCCTACCGCCAGTATCATGACAGATACAACGAATTCGAAGCATCAGGCGCACGGGTGCACCATATGGTGACCGACACCCTTGCGCTAATCGAAATCCTCTCGGATCCCGCGAACCGAGCGCTGCTGGAGGCAGAGAGGGCGCTCGTGGAGGACTGGTATCGTCGGTCTCCCCATGAACCTTCGGTTCATGAGCGGCCCAGCATACCTGACACCGCGCAGCCCCCGTATGTGCCCAGTTTCGAGGATGAGGTGCCAGTGCAACAACAGCCCCGGCTGCCGTGGCGTGAGGATACGCTCAGTCAGTTTCCCTTCACTGCGACATGCGTTTTGCTGGCCTTGTTGCGTGACGATAGCGCTGCTGATGCCACCCGCCCCGGCGACGTCCAGTTCCAGCCGCTCTCGACAGTGTTCCGGGCGGACTGCACTGAATATGGCTTGGTCGTCCTCGACATCTCCGAGCTCGATAGCGGTGTCCAGTACGGCATTGCTGCCTTTCCTGTGCACTACATGGCCACGGTTTGGGACCCCGACGAGAACATAGACTGGGATCCCGTCGAAGACGACCAGCCGGAAGAGGTGGATATTGTACTTGAGAGCTCGCGGCCTCGAGTGCTTTTGTCAATTGCTCAGTGGATAAGGAAGTACTACAGCTTGTGGGGTCTGGAAGACCACCCTGGTATCCTCCGACTGGAGGAGAGGCCGCTGGCTGATGCGGCAGCCTTGGACTGTACGTCTGTTCACGCCAGTGGGATCCGGATGATTTTGCAGGTGCTGACGGGGGAATTTTAGATATCTGGCCACCGGAGCTGGAGGATCCGCCTCGACCAACTTCAACAGGTATTCTCTCGAGCATCTTGAAGGTAGACGAATCGCCGCGAAATCGGTCCATAGACCACGCAAAGGATGATGGATCGACCGCAGTAGCCTCGAGTGTGACCACATCACACGAGCCGCTGCAGAATGTGCCTGTGGACATGGATCGCACAATTGATAATCTGCTGGTTCTCACCCGGGAGCCCGTCTCTCCTCCCCGCGAGAAACAAGCGCTCGCTCACCTTCAAATGCTGGCCCCGTTTCGCCAGAAGCTGCTGCAGCGACTCGAAGAGGTGCCTGATAGGCTCGGCCCCTCCACGATCTCCAGCCATGTTCTGCGCGTGGCATACACTGAGCACTGCCACCTCAACTGGGTGGTGTTTGGGAGCCTGCCGCCTCGTGTGATTGCGGCCGCTATTGCCTCGGATGAGCTTGGGGGTGCGTCTGCGCTCAGCCTCTGCGTCGATGCGTGGGCGGGAGATGAGGAAGAGGGAGCATCAGACCTTGTTGACCTCGCAGCGGCCCTGGCACAATGCGCAGGTCTTCAACAGCTCTGCTTCTTGCAGCGACCGGACCGGGACAAGGACGATGTCTCGTCTCGTGTCTGCTCGCAGCTTTTGCGGCTGTGGGGGAGGGAACCAGGAGGAGAAGACTGGGAGTGGCTCAGGCGGAAAACCATCCATTCGACCTCTGCCTTCTTGACCGGTTTACGCAACCGTAAGTTGCCCACATCATCCTTGATGATAGCTTCGGGATCCAGCTTCACCTCGCGCGCCCAAATCTTTCCTAGGATCCATCTGTACACGTTGCTCGGTCCCCAACGCGAAGATATCCCAAACGCAGCCGCAGAACACCACGTCCACCCTTCTCGTCCTGGGTACATCGCCTACTACTCCATGGAAAACACCGGGTTAACCGCCGAGAACTTCGCCGTCCGATTCCTGGAATACCTCTGGTCTATGGGTCCGTATTCAGATCCCGACAAGGCCATCTTGCGAATGGCATATCATGGGGCTTTCTCGTCGCTCGCTTCTGATGACGACGATAGCGAGCAATACCGCCGTAAGCACGGCTGGTCGCTGCCCGGGAGACCGCCACCACTATCGCCGCTCCGGCCATCGCCAGATCGATTGGGTGTGAGGCCTATCCCTGCCGGATTTTCCGATGCCGGGCTCGCCCCCGACGACCCGTCCAAAGTCCGACTCGGGGATATTCCCCCTAGGAGCTGGGTGGTTCTTGTGGATCGACAAGATCGCAGTTGCCGGCCTAGCGACGGCACCGCCTTCTTACAATACTCTTTTATGAAAATCCGGCAAGCCTGTGCTGAGATTGCGCCCGAACAGCAATCTAGCTTAGTCGAGATGGTCGGCGGGCTGACCAACTTCCTGCGCGAAACCGTGCCGGGGATTGATATTGCCACGTGGGAGAAACGGGTCGAGGAGGTAGAGAGGGAACGCTGCATTGACGTCGGTGTCATGGCTGAGAGCCGGGCCTACACTTTGCTGGATCAGTTAGTGTGAGAGCATGCCATTGTATCTCTAATTAATCCCCCTTACACAGTAGATTCGCCACGATCGGGGGTCGAACCAGGTACCTGACGTTCCCAACTGACCCGTTATACGACATTTAGCAGCACGTGACGTGGACTGTGGAAAACCACTATACCCGACCACGAGAGGAATATATACAGATACAGAGTACGGAGTACTACAAGTTACAACATTTTCTTTTTGTTATGCGAGCCCCACTACGGGTAGCATAGTGGATCTGGCCAGCCACACGCGCGATCCCCACCTCTCATGGTTATGCTATGTCGATCTCCCGCCTGAGATCTCCCGAGATTTTCTCCAAACTCAAAGGTTATTACCTAACTTGGCCCAATTTGAAGGGAGGTACATATCTAGTACTACGTAGTACATGCAGGTGCCACTTCTCAGGTACCTAGAGTATATCTTGATTATGCAATTATGGCTCACAGCCCTAGCCAGAGCAATGAATTGTCAATAGATCTAGAAAAGAAAGAAAAGACAAGACCGAAACTTCGGTTTCCCACGGAATCTGCATGTAGCACAATGACGGATCCATTAGGTCTAAGATACAATTCATGACGATATATTGTGAATCGTGTTTCCAATTTACATCCAGCGTACAACCTACTGATTACTTAGATCCTGGCTTTACCACTCTCAATCTCCTTCCAATCTTGCTCTCCCAATCGCCGATACTGGGACTGGTCCAACCAGTATAGTATGTCCCCGTCATGCTGGCTACGGGGATCCCAGCCCTTCACTGCTAGGGCACCCTTGGCCTGTTTGAAAGTCACACCTGTGGCAACCCTGCAAGTTATAGCTCTGTTAGCGCCATGGCCACTGGTCGATTTGGATGAATGTAATGCAATACTCACTTCTCGGTGATTCGGACTAGTCGAGGCAGAGCATACGAGGGAACGCCCTTCGTTTTAAGCTGCTTGTACAAGGCAGACATCACCTCCGTCTCAAGTGCTGGTGATTCGAGCGTAATTCCAGCGGCGCCAGCCTGGCCATCATATCTGCAGCAATCCATCAGCGATAATCTCTACCATAAAAGCAACAAAACAACCGAAACACATACCCGTTCAACTTCACGCCATATACAACAGCATCATGCACACCATCTATCCGGCAAAGATGGTCCCGAACCTCCCCAGCACTAACATTCTCGCCCTTCCAGCGGAAGGTGTCACCCACTCGATCCTGGAACCTCACCCACCCGGATGCATCTTGAACGACCAGGTCACCAGTCCGTTGGAACAAGTCACCTTTTTGGAAAACATCACGCAGAAGCTTCTCTTCTGTGGCACCCGCATTACCCAGGTACTCAATCAGCAAACCACGGTCTCGGACGCGGCCTATTGCTTCGCCCTCCTCTCCAAGCCCGGCCCTGACACAGAACCCAGTGACGGGGTCACGGTACGGCATCTCAGTATTAGTGTCATACTTGACGATGAAAGTATCGTCTTCCAAAAAGCGGCGAATGGGCCCAGAAAAGCCGACCTTGCCAGCACCCCAAGCACCGACACCGTGATTATCAAACTTGGCAACGCCCTCTGTGGAGCGGTAGAACTCTCGGATCTCAGGTACGTTGAAACGTTGGCGGAACTTTTCCCAGATCTCACCGCGCAACCCATTACCTGATGCCACGATGCATTTATGGTCCTGGTCGTACGGCGAGGGCGGCGTCGAGAGCAGATATCGGCACAACTCGCCGATATACAGGATGCGAGTGGCGCCAGAGTCGTGAACCTCTTTCCAGAACTGCGAAGCGGAGAATTTTCGCCCTAGACATAATGTTCCTCCGTTACCGACGGCGGCACACAAGCCGGTAAAGAACGCTGTACCATGGAACAGGGGGAGGGGGGAGTATATGCGCATTGGGTAGTACTTTGATGGGTTGTTGGCGTCTGACGAGAGGGGAGTGGAGGTAATCAGGGTGAGCATGTTGCGAATCGCACAGGCTTTGGGTTTTCCTGTTGTTCCCGATGTAAAGATTAGGAGAGCAAGGTCCTTTGGGTTGCGTGTGGCAGCTGCGAGTCCCGACGGGGAGAATTGCTGTAGGGTTTCCGAGGTAATGAGCTCGACTGAGCCTGTGTCAACACTTCCGAACGATGTCATGTTGACCGTAAGGTGTGGTAAGTCGACGCAGACGTGTTGCGCCAGATCGGCGGTTGAGACAATCTGCTTGGAGCTGGATACGTTCAGACAATGAATGAAGGTATCGTCTTTGGCTAGTATCAGCGACGCTATTCATGGTTCGCGATTGAACGGTGGACTGACCTCGCAGGTTCGTGTTGATCAATGCGGCCACAGCGCCCAATTTTGACAGCGCATATACAGTGACTACCATCTCCGGTGAGTTGGTTGTGAACACACCCACCGTATCACCGGGGTGGATGTCACGATCTTTGAGAAGAGCGGCCATCCTGTCGGCCACTGCAGATATTGCATTAGCAGTCAGCTGCAAAGTTTTATCAAGAGACAGGAAGCACCAACGGTCTTTCAATTCACCGTATGACCACGTCCTTTGCTCAAACCAAAGCGCATCATGGCCACCTCGTCCTTCGACCTCCACTGCTCTCTCAAGCATTTTATAGATGGTCGTTGAGCCATCGAGCTTGGCGATGCGCTCGCCTAGCCTCTTTGCGAAGGCCTTATCATTGGCCATTGCGCGCAGGTCAGTGGAAATAGCGAGCTTCGCATTCAGATACGCACCGGCGGCCACTGACAGAGCAGAGGCCGCGGCCAGAGCAGGTACACCGACTTCGGAAAGCGTGTCCATTGCGACCAGGATTCCAGGAATGTCGACTTTATATTGGAGGTCAGAGGTCTTGGAATGGCTTGTTAGAGTTCAATGCAGCCACCAGTACTCGGGGTATAATGTATTGGCGGTGTATCTTGCCTATAGCCTGATGACTAGAGGAAATTCGAAACCCTCAGGGCCTGTAAGGAGGCAGTTATGTATTAAGAACCCCTGCTCTCGGGAGACAGACGACGGGACCTCGCCCGCCTCGATCTGCCGCCCCTAACGGCGCTACCCAGGTCATGGCTTGGGCTCTGACATAGCCATACACCCCGGATCGCATTGGAAGTGGGTCCGACCAATACGGAAATCCCCCACGCTCCTTCGTTTCCCCGGGCCCGAAAGGCTTGACCGAGTGTTTCCCAGCCTTTGTGAGTGAGAGCACCTCATGCCTCTTGATTGTGCCTATCCAATCTGACAAGATTAACTGTCGTATTCTTAGGTAGAAACCTCTTTGAACATTGACGTCGAGCCCTATATCCCTCTCAATGTCGTCGAATCGGTAATTGAGAATTGGTCAATATCTGTGGGGCCATGAAACGCTCAGAATATCACCCATCCACCAACCATACCCTCACAAAGCCAGCCGAGGAACAATAAATTACGGTATCATACACGGCGTGACACCCGAAGACTTCGGCACTTCCACTCGGCTTAATACCGGCTCGTTCCTGAGCCAATTGTGGTAGACTCTGGAGAAGCCGCGGTTCTTTTTTTGCCCCACGTCGTTCACTCCGGGGTATATTACAACGGCGAGCGCTGCTCTTTTGTTCCGAGGTACCTTCCCCATCCTTTCAACGTTCTCCCACGAATCTACAATGTCTTCACCACAGCAACGTTTGAGCTCGGTCGCGAACCAGCTCGCAGCTCCTGGCTCTGCCCGCCAGAAGCTTTTGGCAAAGAACCCCGATGATGTGGTACGTTGGATTCTACAACTTCGAAGTCAGCATTCAGAAGCTCCGGCCACTAACCAATTGCCTTCTACTAGGTCATCACGTACCTGGCCCGTACGCCGCTCACTAAAGCCCGCAAGGGTGGGCTGAAGGACACCACCGTCGACGACCTACTTGTCTCGCTCCTCTCGGTACATTCCTCCCTCTACACTAAGGACAAAACGCGCAGCGACTAATTCATACAACAGACCGTCCGTGAGAAGTCCAACCTTGACCCCAATCTTGTCGAAGATGTCTGCGTTGGCAACGTACTCTGCCCTGGTTCCGCATACGTCGCTCGCTCCGCCGTGTTGGCCGCCGGATACCCCGTAACAGCAGCCGCCTCAATCACGAACCGATTCTGCTCCTCCGGCCTCCTTGCCGTGCAGAACATCGCCAACCAAATCGTCACCGGATCGATCGACGTCGGAATAGCCGTCGGCGCCGAAAGCATGAGCAAGAACGCCGACGGCGGCGCCCCCGAAATGTCCGAGCGCATCACCAGGCACCCTATCGCATCGCAGAACTCCCAGCCCATGGGCCAGACCTCGGAGAACGTGGCGGGACAGTTCACCATCTCGCGCGAGCAGATGGATGCTTTCGCGGCCAAGAGTTTCCAAAAGGCCGAGCGCGCCCAGAAGGCCGGCTGGCTCGATGATGAGATTGTGCCCGTCAAGACTCAGGTCAAGGACCCCAAGACCGGCGAGGTTAAAGATATTGTCGTTGACCGTGATGATGGCATCCGTTACGGTACCACCGCCGAGAGCCTCAGCAAGGTCCGCGCTGCGTTCCCCCAGTGGGCTCCGAGTGCTACTACCGGCGGTAATGCCAGTCAGATTACCGACGGCGCTGCTGCGCTGGTGCTGATGAAGCGCTCGCGTGCTCAGCAGCTCGGTCAACCCATCGTTGCCAAGTTCTGCGGTGCTACCGTTGCTGGTCTGGAGCCCAGAATCATGGGTATCGGACCATCCCTTGCTATTCCTAAGATCCTGACCAAGTTCAACTTGAGCAAGGATGACGTTGATATTTTCGAGATTAACGAGGCCTTTGCCTCAATGGTGAGTTTCTCAAACGTGCGAGTGTTGTGCAAGGCTAATACTTCATTGTTCCAGGGTGTTTACTGTGTCGACAAGCTGGCTTTGGACGAATCGAAGGTGAACCCGCGCGGTGGTGCTATGTAAGTGACACTTCCACAATCCAGTTGACATATGCTGATGTTCTATAGTGCTTTCGGTCACCCTCTGGGCGCCACAGGCGCACGTCAAGTTGTCACTGCTTTATCCGAGCTGCGCCGACAGGATAAGCGAATCGCCGTGACTTCGATGTGTGTGGGCACTGTAAGTACTCTCTGATCGCCAGACTCCAGTCCTGAGGTATACTAACTGATTCAAACAGGGAATGGGTATGGCCGGTATCTTTGTTTCCGAGCATTAAGTATGCAGAGGAATGGCCGCTGAGTGCGAGGTCTTGTGTTGACATTGTATATATTCCCCAAACATAGCATACGGTCCGATCTGATTCTGCATACTTGATCAATTCCATAGGTACAAATCCCTACATGCACTGTAGATGAACCTTAGGCGTGTGACACGCAGGATTATGGCGTAGTCCCCGATTTCATAGCCCAAAAGCGAGCAAGCGCTGACGGTTCGGCACACCTTGGCCAAGGCTGCCTATCATATTCATTGCTGCTCCTTCCATGCTGCATATTCAGAATAAATGCCGCGGCGGAAGGCCTGCTTCAGCTCAGCCGCTGCCGTGCCATCGACCGGCAATGTGGCCTGGATCGCACCGACACCACCCAAGTCATTCTTTCGATCGATAAACCACGCAAGCGTCAATCCGCCGCCCCACGTCATGGTCTTCTCACCATACCAGCCATCGACATCCTCGAGCGTCAACAAACCCCCCTAAGCCGTGTCCAACCTTCGTTCCTGGGTCAATTCCCACACGGAAAAAGATCCCCGCCGGGCTAGCAAGTGCAGCTTGGTGGCCAGCGGTTGCCTCCGGGCTCAGATGATGCTGAAACATCTCGTCGACGGTAGCAGGTGCAAGCAACGCGCCGTCATTAGCTAGCAACGATCGCATCACCTTGACGAAATCAGAACCTGGCAAAAACAATCCATGTCCACCAAAGTCTCCACGGCCCCGCAAGTTCATCTCGCCGTCCCCGCCTATAACTGCACGGCCGAGAGCATCTGGATCGCTTGGATTGAGATCGACTAGACGCGAACGCAAGTCCTCGCGGGTTACAGGGTAGAACTGAGCATCCGTAATACCGAGCGGATCAAAAATCCGCCGCTGCATGAACTCCATCAAAGTGCAGCCTGCCACGCGCTCCACCACGCGGCCTGCCCAGTCAAGACCAGATCCATACATCCAGCCGGCACCGGGCTGGAAGCTGAGCGGGTAGCTAAATCGCTCTTCGACCGGAAGGCGGTCGGCTCCTTTTGTATCAGTGAATTGCTCACGCCACTTCGCGACCTGCGGGTCTAGAAAGTGGTAGGAGGTACCTGCGCTGTGCGTAAGCAGCATCTTTAGGGTGATGGGCCGGGCTGGTGGCTCGAGCTGGGGGCTCCCATCCTCGGCAAAGCCGGTGAGAACATGCTTGGTGGTGAGCTCGGGGATTATGGACGATAGGTCGCCGTCTAGAGTGAGTAGGCTGTCTTCGACACACTGTAGGGCGGCGATGGTGGTAATCAACTTGGTAGCCGAGGCTAGATAGAGCACGTCATCGAGCTCCAGTGGCTTCTTTTCGCCCGAGAGCAGAGTGCGTGTTCCGATTGCTTTGTTGTAGACGAAGTCCCCTTTGGCATCAGTCGCGCAGAGAACAGCGCCATGGATTTTGCCGGCGTCGATGGCGGCTTCGAAGCTAGTAGTCTCCATTGTTGTTTGTTGAAGCTAATAGTTCGAACTCGAACCCGCAGATAGAACGTGAAACGTCTGTTATTGTATTTATAATAAATCTTCTAGCGGAATTAGATACCATTGAATAGGGAGGGCATCCACTCCATTGATGGCACATGCGGTGGGTACTTCGCTTACCCTCCGGAAAGAAAGCTGTTCTTGAACTTTTCCAATCAATCACACCTGCCACTGCATCTATATCTGGATGCAATACAATTGGAAGATCGGGGATACCACGTTTCCCCAGATGAAGTCGGTGGCATGTAACTGTAAGATGTGGAGGAAGGGGCCGAAGGGCAATCTAGGGATACTGTGAATCTGCCCCTTCTCGATCACGTGTGTAAGGTACGCACGAGCCTCGTACTAGTAACTAAGAGATCTAGATCGGGGTCCCGTTTGAGTAATAAGTGGGCCTGGATACGAACCACGAAAGGTTAAACCTTTCTGGAGACTGGAGAGGATAGTGGATGATATGTAAAGAGACTGTGTGAATCTACTAGTATCATTGACTACGGAGTAGCGACGAGCGGGAGGCAAGTGTTGACCATTGCGCGACGGGGGGACTAGGATGATTCAACGTGATTGAATATCGATATGAGCGAGCTTCCCGTCAACTGGCAAACCCTCCAGCCAACTGGCGTGGCTTCCGCCAACTGACGAGCCTATACTTCTACGGATTGCCCCAGTGATCCCACAGCGACTGCATTTATACTGGGAATACAAGATATGACAACTGATTGGGTTTTATTCGCTAGCAAGTAGCAACCCTCTGCTAGCAACCCTCTCCTACCAACTCTCTTAGTTGTTCTTCCAGAGCCACTGGTTAATGCTGTTTGTTAACCGATGCATGATGTCTGACGATAAACTGGGTTCAATCAGGGTTTATTTGCGATGTGGTGAGTCAATGTTTACTGTGTATACTACGAGCAATGACTTCACGCTGCCAGCAATCGATATTACGCGTCATGCTGTTCCGCCGATACATCCCTCTGGGAAAGCTTTCGGGTTGATGGAGCTCGGTTCATTTCTTCTTGTCCAGCCAGTGGATTGATTGAATCTCCTTTCGAATTGTAGACAGCTACTTTCGCCATTAACCGGCTAGTAGCTAGGTGTTAAATAAAGTTTCATTGACGTTACCTCCACTCCAACCAGCAATCCGTATGGTGTGTTGGGGACATCTGCTTCTTGATTGACGAGCTGAATAGTGGCATAGCCCCAGAATAGTAATGCCAATAAATGTGGCCCCAGTGTGCATTTGCCTCCCAGCTAGAGGCGAAAACACCAGGATCGACCGCCACATTGATGACGCCAGCCTTTTGTTGAGGTGACAAGCGTCAAGAGTGCTGCGGTTCCTGCGCTACACCGAGGTTAACCTGCTCAAGGTGTCCTGTACCCATGTGGGTTTGACTACCACCATGCTCTCGCGTTCACAATACCATCTCTACATAGTCGCGGGAAATATCCAACCCTCTATTTTTTTGGTTCTACGAATATACTCAATACAATATGTGCCAATTGATCAAAAGAAGGCTGGACTACGACCATCCCTCTGCCACGGCAGAATGGCGTCCCGCCGAAGCGACTCAGTGTTCAGCTGCCATCAGGGCTAATGTCAAAGATATGAATGATCAACTCCAGCGCTGCACTGGGGCCGACTATTCGACAACCATCTTCTATGACCGTGGCTACTGCGAAAACATTAGCTTCTGCCGTATAAAGGCATTGTAAAAGCGCGGTTGGAAATGCCATATGTGCAAATCTGCGGTTTCCTCTGGCCTCGATACCTGTGCTCCTTGTAAGCACAAGGGTTGCCATGAATGTGAGCTGCGATAAATATTATGAAGGGCTTTTTTAAGGGGCGGTGAGTTTCATCTACTGTGCTACATGGTAACACAAACAGGGCTAATGCTGTATACACTCAGCGTTGATTGGTAGCTATGGTGAAGTGGAGGCAGTGAAGCCGACGGCGGGCAAATAGGCCTATATTTAGGTTCCCTGGGTTCCTACATGGATATGTGGATTGAGGATTTCATGTTTGTCAATCTGCATCAGGACCTACTGCCTGGCCACATTCAGACTGCCAGCTTGTGTGTGATTCATTGGCTTCTTGTCTTAGATTAGTCTCTCCTTTCTGTTTTAGCTTAGCTCCCGTAGGGCACTTGGGGGTTAAAATCCCCTTCGCCCACGCATTCCTTCTATCTGAAATCAAGTCATCTCTCTATATCCGTTTGGCCTTCCTTGCAAAGCTGTCATATGTCCTCATCGAGTCATCGTCATAAGTTTACCCTATCCATAGTGGGTTCATCTTCTTCCTAGTCCACCAATTTCACAGCATATTGTCACCATGCAAGGATTCTACACTGAGTCTATTACCTGGGAACTGGACTACACTTTGGAGAGCGAAATCACTCTTCTCGTCCGCCATAGGAATGCTGCCTTTCGCATCTGCTACGATCCACGGATCCTCGCCGCCTCGTCTCCTGTCTTGGAACAGCATCGCAAGTTTTACAACGTCCTATATAAGGATGATCCAGATGGAGAATCCGGTGAAGTGGAGGAACGTCTCAGAAAGCCGTTTGAGGAACTTATGACTCAGATGGCCCCAAATCAAATGGAGTCAACGTGGAATCTGCATAGCTATCTCTACCCGCCGTGGTTCATTCTCGAGGCAGGGGTAGCTGAGAGCAGCAGCCACATTCAGCCACATTTCAGGGTGGCCCTCTCGCGACAGGAGTTCTCACCTCCGGGTCAATATGTGAGCAACGAGTCCCTTAAACGGCACCTATCTCTGCTACTTAACTCGAAACTCAACAAATACTCGTCTCGTCAAGTGCAGGTTCTGGATCTAACGTCGCATTTGGTCCCATCTAAGGTCCTTGTGGATGATGATGAGTACTTCTTCAAACCTTGGGTGTCAGGTCGAGTGCATGGATACCACGAGCTACAGTCACACAGCAAGATACTTGCGGACGCTGAGGCAAGCCCGCCACTTCTTGCTGATATACGCATCTGTCACCTTCACGGTCTGATTATCGACAACGACGAGGATGTTCTTCAACACTATCCTCTCGACAGCGATGAAGAGTACCACCCTGGGACACGTTTGGTCGGACTACTTCTCACCTATATCGAGAATAAAGGCACTCTGAAGGATTTGGCGCCTTGGTCCGACTGTACAAATGAGGATCGGCTTCGCTGGTCTACGCAAATACAAAACGACGTTGAATGTTTGCATGAGGCAGACGTTGTTTGGGGTGACGCTAAGCCTGAGAATGTCTTGGTTGATATGAAGGGCGATGCCTGGATCATTGATTTTGGCGGCAGTTATACCCGGGGCTGGGTTGACGAGGATAAGCAGGAAACTGTGGAAGGAGACCTGCAGGGTGTGCAAAGGATTGATGATTGGCTCCATGAATGGTCCCGCCAGCCTGTTACTCGTATTAAGTGAAGCAGTAAGAGAGGAATGATGAGGGAGGTGTGTGATGGTGATAGAGGGGATAAAGGGACTTGTGACGGTAAGGGTGAGGGTAAGGGGTCGTTTAATAGAGAAAGAGACAAGGAGCGAGTAATGAGGGGATTGCCTAATGTCAGGAGTGCTTCATAATAAATCCGAATATTGACCTTTGCAAGCACAGAAGTAGGATTAAACGGTATTAATCCTGTAGCTTTGAAGATATTTTGTATCGAGGTATCTTTGGATGGCTTAATATGGGCTTCTGGATATGCCGCAAGGGAAGTCAAGTTTATCGATATGCACGCTTTAGGGGGGCAAAACAGGCCACAGCAAGTTGCTAGAGTAAATGCGATGATTTCGCTGGCATGCAAACTGGTATAATGTTGTTTTCAGTGCAGATTTGATCGAATTGAGCCGTTAAATGACTACCATGGCCATCAAGGACTAGTAGTCGATATTTGCCCTTCGAACGACCCTCAATACATGGTATGAAGTAATTCTGTAGCCAATCGAGGCTAACCTCATCGGCAGTCCATCCATTTGTGCTTTTATTGATCTTCCAGTCAGGTGCAAGGTTATCAAACCACGATTCAATGAAGACCTTGCCCTTGAAGATAATATAGGGCGGAAGGGCCCAACCAGCGGCATTCATTGATTCCACCACAGTCGCCCATTCACGATTCCCAGGTTGTAGCACAGCACCAGCAAGCTGTTGATCGATTGATCATTTACCTTTTGTCAACATGCTACCTTGCGATCACGTACTGCGGAGCCGAATAGCTATGCCTCGCTGGCTTCAAAGGCGTTGAATTTGCGAGTGATGCAGCATATGCAGATACCCCCGACCGACGCAGGTCAGCCGGCTTCATCGTACAGGTATATGGTGGCCCGTTGGACTGGAAGGCTGCAAAGCAACCTACTGTCACCACGTCCACTACCGAAGCCGAGCTTCTTGCCTTAGCCGATGCAGCCAAATCGCTGCAGTGGTGGCGTCGATTTATGGATCGCATCGATTTTGTCCCTGATCACCGTCTCTCTATCCAGTGTGATAACAAGCGAACCGTGGACCTGGTATCGTCGAAAGACCTCAGGATCTCCACAAATTGCGTCATGTTGATATCAACGGCCAATGGATCAGACAGGAGATTAGCCAAGGACGTGTTGATGTTGAATGGACACCTATCGGCAGCATGGTGGCCGACGGGCTGACCAAGGCCCTGACGCGGGCAAAACACGTCAAGTTTTTCGAGATGCTGCGCATGGAGAACGTCAAAAGCCTCGTTGAGCAACTCTGAGTCGTTGTTGACCAACGTTGATGCCCAAATCGGGTAATTGTGAAGCTATTCATCCCTCCAACAGGGACTGTTTTGGAGGACTGAGGGAGTGTATCCAAGCTAAACTATTTTTGTGAATCATGTGACCTTTCTGTACTGTAAAACCCAGCATCCAGGGGTAAACAGGAGAATCAGACAGCGTACACGGCCTTGGCAGTGGTCCTGAGCCGCTGAGCGGGCTCTAGCCCGTTACAAATAAGCGTCCATTAGGGAGGTGAGTAACTCATCGCTCTATTCTCACAGTTCTCTTCCGGTCTCCGCGTAAATTCACAAGGAACAAGCTGCAGGAACATAAATATGTCAAAAGCTTTTCGTTTCTGGACCTGTTGTATATCCGAATGTTTGGCTCCTGCTGCGATCGATATTGGTCTCTGCGGACGCTGTCAGAAGCGATTTTGCGCTGTTCATGCCGTGCCCCCAACTCATTGCTGCAAGGTACGTTGAGCTGTAGCTAGCTGAAGCATGTTTTAATCTGATCATAGAATGACCCTCTTGATGAAGGAGAATGGAGGTCTGCGCAAAGAGAAGAAATAACGACACTTCGACGCAAGGTCAACGACGAAAACCTCCTACGTCGCGCTTCAGAGCGGAACAGGGACATGGATTGTACATTTGACACCACGGACTCTCTAGGAGAGAGGCGGATGGGCGGCATGCACATTCATCTTCGAATTATTTTCAGCGATGGAAATGCCTGGCTTGCTCGGATCCTCCGCCAAAATTACACTTCATTCTCAGACAACTTCAGCAATCTCTGCTTAAAGAGCGAATGTGCCACTTTGGAATGGCTCAAGGATATGAATGTGCCGTCGCCTACACTCTACGACTTCGGTCTACTGAATGACCCTGAAAACGATGTCGGCGTTGCGTACATGCTGATAGAGGAACTCCCTGGGACGCCGTTGCTTTTTCTTAGCCCGTCAGAAGAGCAATTCCGCAAACTGTACAACAACTACGCCGACATCTTGTGTACTATCAGTAAGTACCCCCTTGAGCAAATCGGCTCTCTCTCTTTACGGCCCAATGGTACTATCTGTATGGGTCCCATCGTGGGCGACCGGACTGGTACATTTTCGCAAATGGGACCTTTTCGCAATGCACGGGAGTACTACGCAACTTGGGCGGAGAGATATCTGAAATTAATCTGCGACCGCCAGCTCTTCACCCGGTACTCCGTCAATGCCTACCTCATCTTCAGATACCTCAAAGAACTGGCGGAACAAGGCCATTGGAATGCATTTGAACCTAGCATTGACAACGGTCCCTTCTTTCTGAAACACATGGATGACAAAGGTGACCATATATTGGTGGATGAGGATTATAATATCACTGGTCTTATCGACTGGACGTTTGCCAGGGCGGTGCCAATCTATGAGGCTTTTGGTCCCTCGCTGTTGACAGCAGAAATGAGTGGCATATACGAGGGCAAGGCTGGCCGATCCCGGGGCGACACGATCCTCGCCGAGGCTCTACAGACCAAGAACAAGCATCTGGTTCGCTTTGCCGGCGGCCCCGATCTAGTTCGCCGCTTCTCATTTGGCCTCGGAATGGGTATGGACATATCTTGGGACGAAGCAGTTGCTTTATTCCGAGGTATCATGTCTACGGCTGAAGGGAGCAGCTTAGAATTTGACTGGGATGTCTGGCGCCAGAATCGCCTATCTCAATGGGCCGGTGATGGCAGGTTACAAGCCCTTCTGCTCCAATTGGGAGAAACCTGAGATTTCTCCGAGGAACTGAGGAAGCGAGTAGCAGCGAGGTAACGGCATTAATACATAAAAATTGAAAAAGAAGAGAAGATCCTAACAGTGTGCAGAGGCTTTCGGAATATATCTTTTGGTCTATGCTTCTTCTGTCATGTCCCAGAATATGAACTCCGATTCCTTGTTGTTGTGATATGAGGCTGATGCAAATCAGGAATCAAGCCGCAAGATCCCGAGGTGTCTATACAGAGAACCAAGTTGATTGAGAATCAACTTGGCTCCGTGTTGCATATATAGCCTCATCGTTCCATCTATAATAAATACAACATATACCTCTGGACTACAACAAATAGTGATGGGCGACCGGATACTTGAGCCCACAAAATCGTGATACACACTGTTTGCCATAGCCCCGCTGTGGTGAATTGATTTCCACTTTCTCGATTAACAGCAACATCTGACTCCTGAGAATCATGTGATGGCTTAATACGGTATAGTCTCGTACAGTATAGTATTGTTTCCGAATAAACCCCACTTACTTCTATATCTAATGGATAACCTTCGAAACTATTCTTCTTCCTGACATATTCACTGTCCCAGTCTCACAGTCTCACATTATCCTTTTAACTTCCACATTCTATCATATTCATCCCCTTCAATCACCTCCACCATGTCCTCTCTCATAACTCTTGGTATTGGACCTTTCTCAGGGTCAGATCTTCCACCCGGCCCGTTTGTTTCACCGAAGAACAGATAAGATGCCTTGAGGAGGCCGCAGTCTTCCTGGCCGAATCTCAGCCGAATGCATCGACGGATACCAGTGGGAAGAGAAAGGTTTCAGCTGCATTTAGTGCACCCAGGTCTGTCTCAAAGTCATCGACCTCGTCGTCGTCTTCTGCGTCCGTTACCACCCGTGGTTTCCAGCCTCATATTATCCAAACCTTCGACATCACAATGGCAGAAGAAAGTGTCGAGGTGCTTGAGTATACTATTGGGTATACCAGATAACAGCCATAAACTGGGGCTGTGAAAGAATGGTACAACAACGGCTTCGTCAACAGCAACTGCTCCAAGCCCAGGCAAACCAGCGCATGGCTCATAAGAAGAAGCATAAGCGGCCGAGGAATAAGTCTAGACATGAGCCCAGCAGACATGAACAGGGCCCATCCCATCAGCAACCCACGACAGCAACTATCAATATGACACCTCAAGATTTCCAATTTCCGGATGCATATGTGATGGTTCAGCCTGAGCCCGGTATCCTCGCCGAGCACATTTCTTTATACAAGGGCAAGGCACATCTGAAATTGAGGCAACCGGGTGATATCGTTGAGAGTGATGGGAGGCTCCACCTAAGCACACTCAGAACACCTCCCGGCGGAGATTTCAACTGGAATTTTAATGCTCACTACTGGACTGCGGACAAGGACACGGCTGAGGAATATCGCAAATAAGCAGAAAGGAGATGCCCTACAGCGGATACCTGTATCATTCATATACAGGTTCCGAAATCGTTTATCAACAGCCTCCGCAGGGAGAGCCTGTGGTATTCTCCTAACTGGAAAGAATACATCTGGACAAGCATAAGAGAGGAAATGCTCCACCCGAAATTCGACTATCTCTGGCAGCCTGGGCAAGCGGATATTGTCACGGGCCCTATCTGTTCTACCATCAGCAGACAGATTGTCCGCATCCGCAAAGAAAACATCCAGAGTCGCATCACTGGGGACCACGTGATGCGATTGCCGTCTGGCAAAAAGGCATCTCAATGAGTATTCCTCCAAGGCCATACCATCAATCGGTTAGCCGAGCAGATTCGAGGGAAGATGCATTTTACTATTTTCGAAGCCGTGGCGCGTTCCTCCCTGACTACGGTCTAGGGAAAGTGCAACCACTTCCCTCATCACTCTGAGTGCCTTGACTGCAGCCGCTTTTTGGGTCCTTCTTCATTTACCTGTTGGCATGTTTCTATCTTGCCAAAACCACCTGTTGAGGGATGGGCGTACTACAAAGTGGCCAGGAAACGATTTGTCGACAATGTGTGCATGCAGGGAGCGGATTATTTCCTCGTGAACGGCCCGGAAGCACCCATGAAGTTGTTCTCGCCATCGTGGGTCAATGGTCTCTCGGACAAAGCATTGGAGGAGATTGCAGGGGAGGATGGCAACACAAAGCGGAGACGTCTACAGCTGCGGAAGAAAATCACCGACTTGGAAGCTGGCAGGAATATTGTCTCGAATTAATTATGAAGAGGCTGAAGAGTTCAAGAAGAGTAACGGTCCGTATTCCTAGATGGTCAATTTACATTCTCGCTGCCGAGATGATTATGATTAAGTTGAATAGGTTACAAATTACAATTGCTTTGTCTTACCGACACCCTGACAGTCTCCTAGTTATTGTAAACAGGACATGTGTACAGTAGTACCATTTTATGGAAATAAGATATGAACAAAAGTCGTCTGTTGAGGTGTCAGTATCCTCCCGCCAACTGGCAAGTCCTCGGCCAGCTGACAAGCTTCCTACCAACTGGCAAGCCTCCCACCAATTGGCCAGCCTATATGCCTACAAATGTCCGGGCAGTGAAACTCCTGCCCAAGGATAATGCGAGACTGTAGACAGGCTCAATCCACACGTGACTTCCTCCACCGTGGACATAAAAACAAAACAACTCTTTCAAGAAGGGAGGCAATATATAAGAATGACTAAATGACCACAACCTAAGTAACGGAAGGAAGCAGGAGCTCCAGGGCTTGAGGCTTGCATTGCAGAGAACAAAATTTGCCAACGGGCCCGATTCAGAAATATCATCCCAATACAGTTGCAAGGCGCAGTGCCAACTGGCAAGTTGCAACCAGGTTCTCTACCGCGGCACCTTCACCATCTGGTGATAACGGATTCTCGACTCAAGAGCAGCGGGAATGTCTAACTCATCCAATCTATACCGTCTCGAGAGCATGCAATGGAATCGTAATCGTGTCATAGAACGCTGAGGAGGTACAACTCGAGGTCAGAAGGCCCAAAATTGGTAATTCTGCACTTTATATACTACCGTCAGCGCACAGGCTTCAGTCACTCTGCAACTCCCATACAGTATGCCATTTACCATATATTTCAGTATAGTGGATTAGAATCATATTGAATAGTAGCACAGTTTCAATTTCTCGATAGATGTGACTCTCAGACCCATTGCTCAGCCCTCAAACAATGCTCCATCTCATTCCGATCGACTCTATCCATGAACCAGCAGCCATCCGCTTTTGACCATGACTCCTTGAAGCTCCTGGTAGCTACCAAATTAGAAGCCGACAATAGCGGTCTCAATTCCAGTAATCGCCAAGTGTGAGCATCAAGTCTGGAACCTGGCTGGAGGGACACAAACTGGGAGATCGCAGAGGTTGTTGTCTTAGGAGATATGACTGTCAGTCGTCAAATGTTAGCATGTAGTCTTAAGGCAGAAGGGACACAGACCAGGAGATCTAAGAGGTTGTTGTCTTGGGAGATATGACTGTGCATCGCGAAGTGTTAGCATGTAGTTTGTAACCTGGCCGAAGGGACACAGACCAGAATTTGATAGAGGTTGTCGTCTTAGGAGATATGACTGTCAATCGCCAAGTATTAGCATGTAGTCTGTAAGGCAGGAGGGACACAGACGTTTCAATCCAGATCGATGGCTGGGTACTTCCTTGAAGGGGGACGGCTGAGGTACCTGAGGTAATGTATACGATAGGCCTAATTTGAATGATACCCAAGAATTGCATTGCAGAGACCAATGAACCTCGTTATATACACATAAAATATCTACAATCATTGAACAGTCAATGTTACCTCCGAATACGACGGTTCAAACCGTTGCCGAGCTCCTGTCATCTTCTGATGACAGATCACTGGCCTTCCATCGACGCAGCTTGTCGACCAGGAACCTTTCCTGCTCTTCCTGGCTCTTCTTCAAGTCAAAGCCAAAGAACAAGATCAAAAAGCTGACAAGGCTCAACGCAAATAAGAAGTAGAATGGCGTCGAGGCATTTCCTGATGGAGTCGCGTCGATTATCGCACTTGACACTATAGGGCCAATGAAAGACGAAGTCTTGCCGATGATGCTGAAGAGACTGAAGAAGAGGAATTCATGGCCGCGGGGTGTGACTTCAGAGATCATGATCTGAGAGTAGCTGTACCAGGGGCAGATGAAAAGACCGTAGAAGGCTTGGTAGACCTTTTGGTAGGAATTTGATTAGATACTAGTGGCTGTGAGTGAGGCTGGGATCGACATACCCAAACTTCCCATGAATTGTGGAAGCCAAATTTATCGGTCCAGATACCGATCATACCCCAGCCATCAAGCAAGATGATCCCAATGGCAATGGCGTTGAACATGGTTTTGGTTCCGAGCCTGAAGCGCTGTTGAATTTCCCAGAATGCATAGATTCCAACCGCCTGAAAGGAACCCGTCAGCTATAGGCGAGGCTGATCGGAAATCAGAGCTTACCTGTGCGGCAATACCAACGATAAGTAGGTAAGTCAGCTCTAGCGTATTATAAGCAACGATCTGATTCTGTAAAGTCCCAATCACAGTCACAGTGGTGTTGAGGGAGTCTCCAAGTAGGAAATAACCTTTAGCCGGGACTATATGTTAGACTTAAATGGCAAAATCGAAAGCTTTGATAAAGTACTGACCAATTAAATAGAGTAAACTCTGCTTCAAGTGCCAGATCTGCTGTAGAGCATCCCATAGCTGCCACAGACCAGCAACAAATACAGACCGTTTCCCAGAGTCTTGGCCGGGACGACGTTTCTCGAGAATAAACCATGGAATCGAAACAAGCAACCACACACCGGAGACGAAAGCGATCAGTACGCTCAACCCCCAGTTGTTATTGCTCTCGCTTGCATTGACATTCAATCCAAACATAATGCCCACAATAATTGCCAGAATGAATATCTCCGCAACAGACTGGACATAAAAGGCTACATTTGCCAGTTTGCTGCGCATCATGGTGTCGGCATAGTTATATTCATCACGTGTGATCGTCCCTGCCACATATGCGTCGGCTTTCTCCTTCAGCTCGAGGGTATTACGAGCCAAGCCCGGAAACGCGGCGGTCCAAAATGTAAGTGTCGTCTGGTAGGCGATCAAACCGACCATGTACAGACCGACTGCGACATGCCATTTGTCCGAGGTGTGCACGCCCAACCAGCCAAATCCAACGGCGTATGCAACGATTGATAGTCCGATCAAGATATTGGGTCGCCAGGAGCCGAAATCGGCGAAACTGCCAATCAGCAGAAAAACCACAACTTGAATCGCGAAGGATATTCCATTTGAGAGGAGGACAATGCTGTTGATGGTGCGTGGTCTGCCTATAAAGGTGAGCAGGCCATCAGGGGGCGCTGCTTGATAAAGTAGATTTTGGAAAGCAGTTGGCGCGAAGTCTGGAGAATATTAGCCCCTGCTTCTAGCTGCGGATGTCGGAAATATTGTAGACCCACTGAATAGCGACAGGCCATTATTTCCGATATAATAGCTAGAATTGTGGCGTTTAGTCTCCAGATGTGGTATATCAGCGATCCACGCACGCATAATAAGCCCAGATTTCCATCTTGGTGGTGCGGTATCTCTCGTCGAATTGATCTGGTGCAATCGGCTGGTCGATCTTGTCCTGGGGAAGGTCAGCTCGGTCCACCTCCACGGTGGAGTGACCGGAATCCATTTTCTGCTCCTGAGCCATGACAGGGAACAGGAATAATCATAGGAGAGATGAAGCGAGAAGAGGAAAAGAAAAGAAATAAGGAAAGAAAAAGGAAACAAATTAATTTGGTAGCCCCCGGATAAAGTGGGATTTGACCAGGCTATTTCAGGCCTCCGCGTAGCATACTAGCATCGTGTTGGGTCTAGTCAAGCCAATTCAGTGCTTGACTGTGCCTCTGCAACTTCTCCTCCTATCAAAGCCCTCGAGGGTTCCCAGCTTCCGCATTTGGCTGCGCCGTGGCTTTTTGCCGCTTCGTGAAACTCTCTTTTGTGGGACATGACACCTCATTCCTCAGGCCACCAGTTTTGCGTCGTTATTCAACGTCTGTGCACGTGCGATGATGATCAAAAGGCCCATGTTCTTTCCTTCGCTGTGCAAGATGAGAGATCCCGTCTGGGAAATTCCATTGAACTGCCTCCCACAGCCATGGCTGTCCTACTGGTACGTCCATTGCCAAAGTTCGTCAATAATAATGTCTTCCAAGGATACGAATGCGACAGTGTAGTTATCGAGGAGCGTGATAAAAGGCCGATGTGTAGGTACAGCTCTCAAGTCTCAATTTCTTGACCTCCCATGCTACACAGACTCTACACAGAGGGATTGCCTAGATCTGTCAACAGGAAAACCTTGAAGGGGAAGAATGCTTCTCATTCTGACTATCTCTGCTTTACTAAAACATCTGGGAAGGTCACCTGACTAGGCACCTGACTAGGCGGGTGACAGGTCCCCCCCGACATAAGTCGTCGTCCTCGACGAAAAAGGCGCCACGCAGAAGCGCAACGAAACACAGGCGGAAAGATCATAAGACAGACAAACCGGTCACAAACGCCCAAGTGAGCCATGAACAATGAACAATGAACAATATAACATAGAACTTGCCGTAGAACACGAAAGGCGTGAAATATGACTTATAATGAAAACATTGCCATAAAACTGATATTGTCTCGGGGAGTAAGGGGCCTTCGCAAGAAACTCATCTTCCCCTTTTTTTTTTTTGTCAGTTAGGGTCGTTGCCAGGCTTGTGCAAAAGCGGCCTCAAACTCCGCAATCAACTCCTCGCATCCCTCTAAATTCTCAAGCGGTAGCCATTGGTCGTCAATGGGTCCACGACCGGCCCACCGAACAAGGTACTCCGTGGTAGAGGGTCTGTAATTTTGGTAAAACTGTAAGGGCCGGTTAATGGGTAGCAGTCCTTTTTTGTGATTGTGTTTAGCTTCCTGAAGTCCACGCAGAATTGTAGGCCACCCCCGGGCTTCTTCGCCATAAGAATAGGAGATGCGTTCGGGGCTGAGCTTGGGGCGATGAATCCTTTCTCGAGGTTGTCTAGGATGTACTGCTTTGCTGCCTTTAGCTCTTCGAGTGAAAGCTTGTGCAGGGGACAGTATCCAGGCTGCGCCTCTGCTTCGAGGACAATGTCATGGTCCACACCAGGTCTAAAAGGAGGAAGCTCATCCGATCGCTTCTTTGAGAACACCTTCGCGGGGTCGTGGTATGATCGGGGGAGAGTGCGAAGGATCTCATCAAGTTCGGATTCCCTTGATGAAGAGTCCTTTATGTCCATAAGGTGGTCGATCTCGTGGAGTGTGGTAGAAAAGAGCTCGAGCTCCTTGTCGGTTTCTGCCTGCTTTCGGAGACGGTGGAAGCCAGCCTTGCAAACCATTCGTGACGTGCTTGATGTTGGAATCGCCCGAAGACCCGCCCTTGGCCAGCTGCTGGACACCAACAGCCTCTCCTATCCTGAGTCTGGCCAATCCGCACCTGTCAACCCTATCTCTAATCCCCGTGGTCCCATCACAACCACACCCACTACCAACCCCTTCGCTCCATACACGCCTTCTGGCCCTGTCACAGCCAGGTCAATCCCGTTCGACCCGCATCCTGGCCCAGTCACAACCCCCTCACCCGGCAACAATCCTTTTGGGGTGCCTCCTTTGGGGTGATCCCATTGTTTATTCCAGCGCATGCGTTGGTAGTTGGTAACCAAGTTGATGTTGCATAGGACTTGGTGGAAGACTCCATGGAAGGTGGGAGATTGATGGATGGATGGATGGAACTGACCAATTATGAAAGGCATGATGAAAGGCGGAAGGTTGATGGAAGCCTTGATATATAATGGAAGGTCGATGGAAGGTTCCGGCCTCTTCAGCCAACCTACTGCATGAACTCTGCCAAGAAGTCGGTAAAAGAATCCTTCGGCTTGATGGAAGGTTGATGGAAGGTTGATGGAAGGTTGATGGATGGTTGATGGATGGTTGATGGATGGTTCCAAGGTGGAGTGAGGGATGGAATAGAAGGAAGATGGGGAGTTGAAAAAAGAAGAAAGAAAAAGAAGGAAAAGTTGCGGAAAGGGGATTATATAGGTTGGTGGTTTCCTGTTCAAGAAGGCACGTACCTACCCCAGTGGGAAGGAACAACCCACCCATCATATGATTTCCGCATTAGAAATTCACCCACTTACCCAGGTACGAGTTGTATACCTACTTCACGCCCCTAGGTAATTATTGCAATACTGCGTTATCCTTCCAGCGCAGATTTGACCACTTTGCATCATGCGTGTAGTTGTTTCGTTGTCCCACTTGACCTTGGTATTGTCGGCCTATGCCTCAAAGAATGCGGCTGCTGTCTTGAATTGACCGAGATTTCTGGTAAGGGACAACACTCGTATACGCCTCGCGAGTCTAGTCGGAAAACTTCAGCAGTCCCGGCAATACAGCTGAGCCCCCTCACAATCTGGTCTAGGGCCACGCACTCCAAATGGCCAGCAAGGCCGGAAGCAATTTGACAAACCTCATCCCATGAGGTTCGATAGAAATGGTCGGCAGTTTGGCTGTCACTTCCTTTCAAAAAGCACGCTCTGTAATGCAAGACATCGAGCCGCAAAACACAACCAATAATGGCGAATCGAAAGACGATTTATCATTTACCGAATAGAAAAAGTTATCAAAATCTTCTAGAACTTTAAGCGAGAGGTAATAGTGGGATATAATCCTGCTGGTTGGCTTCTAAGTGCGAGTATGCGAAGAATAAGAACAAGAAAAGGGTAGAAACGCCAACAGAAAGATAAGTTCATGTGGCGATGGATTATCGACAGGTAGTCGGTACATGCAGCTTCAGCGGAGCCGAGGAAGCGCCCTCCGTGCGCCAATTCCTGCCAAGAATCGAATACATGGAGAGCAGTTGGTTCATAAGAGGGAGAACCTAGCTACGTCTACCCTATTCTCAATACCCTGGCGTGGGTGCCGGGTTCCAGACGCGTGCTTGGCGAGCTTACCGCCAACTGGCAAGCCTTTCGCCAACTGGCAAGCCCCCAGCCAACTGGCAAGGCTATATCCCTACAAATTGCCCGCACACAAGGTTCGACTGTATCCCAACAGCCGGCCTCAGACCCACTTTTACTTGGCCTCCAGCCCTAAACCATCATCTTCAGAATCTGACGAAGATGTAGTCTACGACGGAGGAGGCCCAGAATGAAGCACGTTCAAGACAGTGCTCATACCCAATTCAGACCAAGTTTCGGTTCACTGAAAGAGGGCATGTGCACTATTAGGGGTAGGAGGTTACTGGGCCCTACATTGCTGATACTGGTTGATCCTGGGGTCTTGCGTCGCCGTGCCTTGAATTTGAACAAAGGAGAGAAAAAACCGATTTGATTCTTCTTGAAAAAAATCACGGTCAAGGTAAAGATACCTTGATACTGAACAGAGTATTTTGTAGATGTACACATTTCCTTGGTGCGTACATGAGTTGCAACGTTGCAACGAATAACCAGGAGACAAGATATTCAAACGCCAGACCTAATGCACTGCCATAAGCGCCAAATCCGATACTAGATACCGATATCACAATCAAAGAGCAGTTCATTCCGCATCGGAGGAAGCCTCTGTAGACTTGCTCTTCTTCTTCTTTTTCTTCTCCTTGCGCTCGGCGGTCTCGTCGGCATCGACATCTGCCTCGGCGTCGCGCTTGCGCTTGCTCTTCTCCTTCTTCTCGCTCTTCTCTTTCTTTTCCTTCTTCTCCTTTTTCTTCTTCTTGTCTTCTAGATCGGCGGGAACGGCTTCCTCGGGGGCAACAAAGTCCTTTTCGCGCTCGCGCATCTTCTCCTCGCGCTTCAGGCGCTGGCGCTCGATGACCTCCTCCTTGTGAACACGCTCCTTGGCCTCCTTCGACAAGAAGTACTCTCCAGACTCGATCTGCAGGTCGACCTTGCTCTTCTCGGGCGCGGGCGGGAACGGCGTGTACACCTTCTTCTCCTTGTCGGTGACCTTGAACGGCACACGGCGCTTAGACAGCGTGCGCTTCTTGAAATTGGGCAAGAACCGGTCCCAGGACTCTTCCGCCAGCGTCGGGTCCTTGGCGAGCTCGCGCTTGATCATCAACTCCTTGATGTGGTAAATTGGGTGGATGTTCGCCATGCAGTCGTCGATGATTCGGCGCACTTCCTTCAGTCCCTTGAACGGACCCATCACGGCCACCGTGTTACCCTGCACCAGGATGTATGTGCTGGTGAGCAGCTCGAGTGCTTTAAGAGTTGTACCGTTCGGGCCGAGAATGCGCTGTCGGCGTTTCACGAAGCGCTCTTTGTTTCGCACCTGATTGCGAATTTTGATCACGTCACATGCCACTCCGTCCTCGAGGATCTTCAGCGCCTGTGTCACTGGCACACTTCGTGCGAGCAACTTGATCAGGTCTCGAGCTTTGATAATCGCTGCTGGATCCCAAGTCTTCCGCGTCGTCTTCACTGTCATGCTGCCCTCCACCAAATCCAGTGTACAGGCGATGCCCTGCTTCTCCAGTGCTCGTGTGATGACCGGCCATGCTTCTTTCAAGTATTGTTCACGGTATTTAGGGAAGAGGGTCATGAACGACGACTCCTCGGCGAAACTGCCCGCGGTATTATGTTCGGGTTTGAATTCTTCGATCTGTTGCGAGGATTCGTCAGTAACGATTTTAACTCGCATTAAAAGAGGAACGCTGCATTTAAGTCACTAACCTTCCATTTGTCAATGTCCGGCGTGTCCCAGGACTTCTCTTTGTTGTGTGTTGAAGGCATCTTGCTGGTGGTGACTTGATCGCAAGGAAAAGGGAATGGCGATTGCTCCGGAGCTCAAATGAAAATCCGCGCCAACTTTTTTCTCCCCGCTTTCCCCGATTGGGCAGTACTTATGCCTTAACATTCAGGCATTAACACATCTAGATCAGCGTCAAGCAAAAATGCGCATTATTTTCTTCTAACTGGCTCTACACTGCGGCACTGCCTATGGAGTAGTGTTTTACTTTTAACCAATGATCGTTAAGGAGAGTGCTAATTTGGGACAGGTATCAAACCTGTTTTTCTTCCACCATATGTAGTTCGAAGACTGAGAGCCTTTGGAGTAGACCCATCTCACCATTCGAGCGCGATGGACACGATTCTCGGGTATGGTCTGTGCCCAATTAATCGCTGATTATCGCTCCAAGACCGCATCTCAATGCATCTATGAAGCTGTCAATATGTAGTCCATGCAGTTCAAGAGCTTCGCCATGAAATATGGATAGCGCTGGAGTCCTCGGCGGAATAGCTTCTCTCTTGTCCAGGGGGCATTACAGGGGCAACTTGGACATCGGTGAACAAATGGTTGTTGAGGCTCTTGCTGCCCAAGGGGCTAATGAAACACGATGCCGTGACTGCTCGTTGAAGCGCGATGGCCCTCGCTATTTGACAGAGTTCTGCCTCTGCAGATCATCAACAATCAATAGTTCGCTTTGAAGGATCGAAAGGGTGAAGTTTTGAAGCCGCTAAAGGTATTGTCGACATGATGTGGTCGTCAAACGAACACTCGACATTTGAAGCGTAGACAGAGGTGCCCGCATGTAAATTGGCGTGGAGATCATGTGGTTTCTCGAGCTCGGTGGTTCCCTGGCCCTTTCCCGTCACGTCGGTGACCAGAGTCCCCTCACTCTGTTTCTTCATCGTCTCTCCATGTCAATTGTCCATATTCACCTGCGGGCCAATATCAATGATCGCCTGTCATTACTCCTGGGCCGATGAATCTCCCGAGCTCCAGGTAGTCGAGGCTTGTTTAGACCGAGTAATCCTTCTTCAAGGGGTAAGGTCGGATCGGGTCATCGCCAACGCCAACATCAACGCTACCGGGATCGGGAACTGTGCACGATTCCAACGGCTTAGCATCCACGCAGACACCCCTTCACAACCTCTTTTCGTTGGTCCAAGGCTCTTTTATCAATCGTCGCCAATTAGTGTCCTTCCATTTCCTCGAATGCTCACTTCTCAAGTGAGCTCGGCGGCGACCAGAAGCCAACGCAGTGGAGGGGAGTCGGGACACTTTACAACCAAGTCTTGAAGCATTTTCGCCTTTGTGGAGTACTTGACGACAAATTTAGAGCATTTACAAGGATTCCCTCGTTGCCATTGCCTGAAGCCGCCAATTCTCTGTGCGACCATGCAGCTCTCTGTCGCAAACACACCGCGGGGTCTTCAAACCTCTCTCTCACTGTACTTCGGTACACACACTTTGGCCTTCGTTGACCGTTATCGGTACTCAGACTCATCGTTCGGAACACAAGATGGTGTGACAAACACAAATTCAGTTGACTAACCATTGTCCCGCTAACGCAATATGGCTATGCAAGTGTAATCGAAGAGTGAAGCAACAAAGCTGCGCAATATGCTGGATCTGAAATGCATCCGGCATACCTTCGAGAATCCGACTGGTTGTGTCAGGGGTTTTGTTTGGCAAAGCATTGCTCCCACTAACCCCTTCGTAATCGTTGACTCGCCTCGGTCAACGCCTTACGGCTTTCGGCCTATGCACACGTACCTGCTCTGTCAGATCTTGTCTCTCGGATTTGTTGGAATACGATACCTACAATGGAAAGTATGCCTTCAATCTGGGATCTGCTGCTTCTTGTTGCGCTTCGTTTATCAAAGAATCGAAAGCCGCTGCTGACATATGCAGACGTTGAGTCAATGGATATAACGCCAGTGATCGGAGCAGTTGGTGTATGTTTCCACGGTTGTGACGACCGATCTCTTGCATACGTGGATCTGAATTGAGACAGTTAGGCTTGCTTGTTTTTCTTGGGCCGGAATGCACTAACCAGTCGACCACGCAGATAGAGGAAGAGGGATCATCTTGGCGTCCACCTCGACCAGCCCTGCCTCTGTTAGGATGGTTCTCAGCTTTGTCCCAACCCGAAGATCTTTTTTGTCTTCCAGAGAACGCAGGTATTGTGTGCTCCATCTTCTCAGGGCATGTTCATCGGTGATCGAGCCATTGTCAGATTGCACATTATAGTATATTTCTACCATTTGGACCCAACCTCCTGGTTTCAAGACCCTTTGCAACCGCTGACATTAGTTTTCAACATTGAATTTGAAGCCTGCTTCTGAAAGTTGAGGTATTTCGTGGGGCTCGCACCTGACTATGTCATGAAGATAAGATGGCCATCGGGATCGATTAATGCCGGTCGCAAGGAGTCTGGAGTGGACAAGATCGAAATGGTTTGCAGGGAAGGTGAAACGGCGGTTCAAATCATCGACCTGAGTTTCATCATGTTAGCGACTGTTTTTGGGGAGGTGGCAGGCTTGCACTGAACTGTGGTCCACGGTCGACACACAGAGGCAAGGAGAATTTGAAGCACACCGCTTGGGCCTAAGACGAAGGTCCTGGCTTCGCGTCGCATATACCACGCTTTTCCTCGTGAGACTCGAAGCAAATTGACTTACCTGGAGCCATAGGTTGTCTGGCACATCGTCTGGATTCATGTGAGGGGCAATGTCCACACCGATGACCTGGGCATAACGGAATATTAGTATATACTCCAACAAAAGCAAAGGGACACCTCACTTCGCAATCAGGATTCTCCTCCGCGACATCCACGGCCCACGACGCGGACCCATGGCCGCAGTCCAAAACCCGTCGCAGTCGCCGGATTGGTGGGAAGATCAGGCGATTGTCAAAAATCTTTTGGAACACTTGTTGCTGATCCTCGAGTCTTTGTGCTTCTTCCTGCTTGGGCTGTGAGTGGGGAGACGACGAAATCGCTCGCTTCTTACCTCATCGACTGGTCCAAAGTATGTACGATGGTCGATCGAATACTTCTGATATTCGCGGCCCTCGACTGTGACAGTATCAAGATAGTCACGGTCTAGTTCTATCGTCTGCGAATCTGGGCTCCTGGGCGTTAAGACAGACGTCAGATTCCATTGACCCGGACAAAACGAAGGAGAAAAATCGCTTACGCCATTATCACCCTGGCTTGAGTGTGTTCTGGACGAAAAGGAAAGTCAGGCTGTAGGTATCCCCTCTTGCCCAACCAAGGTGGGGGTCCGAATCCTTTGGATACAATGAAGTGTATCAAATCAATACCTGAGAAAGGGGTGAAAATTGATGCGCTGAGGGTTTCATAGAAGCGATCGGGTGCCGCTTAGGGACGTCGGCGGCACTCCAGGAAAGCGGCTCGGCCGGGAATCATTCACCCTTAAGCGCCTGAATGAGGGCTGTATGGAGGGGCTGCCAATTATACAAGGTGCGAACTGCGAATCAAAATGTACGACCGGGGGGAGGGCCACACGGTTTCATCGAATTTCCTCTTTCAGAGATCGAACCAGATGCAGGGAGCGCTGTGAAAACACGGGTTGCTTCACAAACAACAACACAGATGGGGCCTGCGTGGGTTTTAACCAAATCCGATCAATGCGGACACCAAGTCCCCTTCCGAAGTTGTCGTCCTTTGGGGCCAGTTCCAAACCCCTGCCTCAGATCCTTGACAATGAAATTACTGCAGCTAGTATCTGACGCCTTTCATAGAAGGCTCTTAGTTATTCCTACTGTGGGAGCGTGGAGGGAAAAGACGGGTGGGTGGGTCGGATAACCAGAGAGTGGTTCACGATCAAAGCCATGACGATTGACACCATACTACTAGGTAAGCATCAGAATACCCTCGACTCGGTTCAGTGCTTAAAGCCAAGCTACTGAACCTTAACACTAGGTGGCGGTGCCGTTAACTAATGCAGTGTACGTCGTCTCGCATAGTACCTATTTCCTACGAGGGTCCAAGAGCGCCCGACGGTGTGGACCGAGTACAAATCTGGGCAAGTCACTTCATCTGACCGGGGTTCCTGGACCACTGGAAAACCCTTCTCGAGACGATAGGAGTTACTGTCGGACCGTCGGTCATCGGCGATTACAGCGCAAGTCTACATAAAATCGAATCCGGCTCTATCAGCGCTATCCAGCAACGTTCCCTTTTCTGCGATCTGTCAACCGTGTTCAAGCGGTAGATCAAGTGACAAGCACTGGCAAATAGAAGAAAACCAACGGCGCAAAAATGGACGAAATGGCAGCGGTTCGCCGTGATGCTGAGACCACAGCATTGCCACTGCTTGGCCACTCAAGAAACCATAACCAAAAGATAATCATGAGAGTTGAGTACCATGATCAAGCAATTCGAGGAAAACAACGTTCCCCTGGGCTTGGACTTCACACCAAGCATTTCGTATGCACGACTCGAGAACCAGCCCGCATGGCCGATTCCAACCGATTCCAGAGGTGTGGTAAGGGATCATCCTCGGTTCCCGCTGTCATTTGGATGAGGAAACGGAACAAATGAATAAGAAGGCCCCCAACAAGTGGACCTTAACCAACTGCCTAACTAGTCCATGACAGACTTCCAACGAATTACCAACGCCCCGGAGTAGCGCCGTGTTCTCGGCCAATGTACATGCAGTACTGTGGGATCCAAGTGGCTTGTTTAGCCGGTTTCACGACTAGACGACACCAACAGCCCCTCATCTCGAGTACTAGTGGGGTCCGACAGACAGGATCAGCAACATTCTCGCTAGGGCATCCATTCCCTCGGGCCTTCGGTGGGTTTGATGTTGGGTGTTACATTCGATCATTGCCCCCCTTCCTTCACTATCGCCCTCACCGCTTGTCTAGGGGTTTTCTCGTGCTGACTCTGTTGGCCCGAGAGCAAGTGGGCGGGTACTATGGAGATTTGCTACAGGGATTTTCACCTTGCTCCCGGGCGTGTCCCCCCACCCCCAGGCACACATATCTGATAGAAGTGCCCTCGAGCCGATAACTTGATGTTCTTTCTTTGGCTTTTGTGGAATGATGTTTCGTCCGCTTGGTGTCGTGTGGGCTTTGCTCTATTTCATGACACTTGGTGGGCTAAGAGCTGGTCAGCGGACAATATATCCACCCCGAGCGTCATTTCCGTGTGAGTGTGGATATCTAATTGCCTTTCGCGACTTTGTTATGCGAATAAAGCATCGTCGCCAGTATCCACTCCCGTGTTCGAGCCCACCGAGGAATGACCAGGTTGTAATCTCTCCGTATTCTCAATTCAGCTGAAGACTACTACCTTTTTATCCCCCGGGAAATCCTCCGAACAACGGTTCCACACGATGTGCCAACAAATACCTATGATTATCAAGTTCGGGGATTCGAGGATCTAATACAGCTACAGATACAATCGCGGACAACATAGAGTCATGGACAGTGTTCCTTTTTCACATGATAATCATAATGTGCTGATCATCCAGGCAAGTCAATTTCATTCTAATTATGCGACCCGCGCCGAGTTCTCTAAACGGAGACGTGGCCCCGGCCCAGTTTTGAGTTCACAAGCCGTCAAGAAGTTTCGAGGTTGTACTGGGTCTGAGACAAAGAGAGAAGTGAGAGAGCATATACTACAAACATGCAATATGCGAGGATCCAGACTGTCGGGATTTCGACAGGGGGGTTGAGTTACCCGTCCGGCTCCGCCGTTGGCTCAAAAACCCAGCGCCATGGTTCATTTCGCGGGTAGGACTTCTCTAGGGACATCAACAATCAAAGGGGTTCAATCTTGAATCTTCAGTTGCCCCCCAGACCCATAATTCTGTCCAAAGATCTATGCTCCAAATTGGAGCGATCCCTGGTCCCAAAGGGCGGGAATTAATCGGCTGCGTCTTTTTTCCTCCTTCCTTGGCATTTTCTTTCATGGATTGCCCCTCTTTGTCCTCCGTAGGACCGTAACATCATGGCCCACTAGCGCAAACAGACCGACTACTTAAGGGCATTCGGACATAAGTTCGCCAAACCATCGCATTTGCACTCGCAGCACTCACAAGTGGCTGCTCGAAGGGAATCTAATATCCACATGTGCTACCTTACTGTAGTTACTCAATTGTGGGTCCTGACTTTCTTCAGGGATGAAACTGCTCCATCCGGTACACAACCGAGACTGCACAAAGACTGGGTGCCACCATCCTTGATAGCGAATGGGAAGAAATGCTTAGATCTCGAAGGTTCAGTAATTTTACATACATAAAACCTTTATTATCGAAGAGATGGGTACTCCATGTGCGAAGAATTTGCACGACTACGTCTACCTTGGGTTTGGGTTTGAGTAGAGGACACAGGTCGAGATTCGAACTTGTAGATAGTAATGCCCAAGTTTCATTTCGCTATGCTACTCATATCATCGTTAAGCCGGGGGCCGGGTATGGCTCGGTACATGGGCCTAATCACCAAGCATTGTTGGTGTTGCGAATTTCCATGGCCTCCGGGATGAGGATCGACGGAGCACGATATGGCCCGCGTATGGACAGTCTGTTAGTGTGTGGTGTCCAAGGGGCTGAGTGAAAAACTCGGCGCTTCGGTGTGAGGCGATCTGTAATTCGAAGCTCAATTTGTCCCGTGGTCACCAAGTATCGAATGGCAGCTAGCAAACATCAGTCGTATGCTGCGCCTCGCTTCTTGTCCCTGTAGCCAGGGCGGATCGATTGATTTGATAATGATATCAAGAGGTAAAAGAAGAAAAGCAAGAGGTTGCAGGTTTTTCAATCCTCCTTGCTCTCCTCTCGGCTGATGGAAGTCAACGAGTGTGCAAGCTTCAGAAGAACAACGCTCTCGGTTGCGGCGAAGTAGTTTAAGCTAAATCATAGTGTTAGAACTCACGACCAAGTACCATACTCGTCCGAAATTGACACTGACCTATCCATCAAGATCCGAAGGTGGCGAGAGAAATGGTCCTCATATCGTTTCAATGTGTCTTCAAGCTTCGCAATGCGGGTTGGGTCGTATCCTCTAGCCTCGGCACCGGGTATTTTACCACCAGCCAGGTCGGGATCGGCTGAGACCAACGCTCTTGAAAGCGATGCCGCAGTCCAAGAGGCGAACATTGTGCAGCAAGTCATCAATTTCGAATGAATCTACACAGTGCAACACTCAGCATGGATTGTACGAACATCCAACATGGGAAAACATACCTTCAACAGTTTAGCTTGTGTCAGCATACACTCTTTGAGACATGTGTCCAAGAAATCCACATGATCCTGCATCAGCTCATCAACCGTCCGGTTGACCTGCTTCATATCGTTTTCCTCAACCTCCGAGGCATCCGCATTAACGCTATTAACACGATCCATCAGACCCACCCAATTCGGTTCGATGACTTCCGCTGTGCAAAAGTATAGAAGTTGTTGAACGAACACCAGCATCTTCGCACGCAGATTCCACGCCCGGCGTTTCCATATCTCCAGGCGGCGGTCAGATGACTTATGCCGCCAGCTGAGGTTTTTATTCTGATCTGCCCAGGACGTGACCAGCAGTGTCTCAAGATGGCGCAGGGATAGAAGATGACGGAAGATAAGTTGGTACCGCAGAACGGTCTTGCGGCTGATCACCAGAGATAGAGGGAACGGGACCGAATAGTCAAGTTCGAGCGCATCGAATCCCAGAATGTCTTTGTCCTCATCGGTCGAATGGGAAGCGGAGGCTTGTTGCTTCTCTGCTTCTGCGCCCTCTTGGTTCACTCCGGAGACATTTACAACTTGCATCAACCATTTAGTGAGGCCGATCTTGTTCATCCGCACCTTCACGTCTTCCTTAAACGGGTCCAAGGCGGCAACACTCCCCGGTTGTCGAAGAACAATATCCAGGAGTGATTGGAGTTTGCCCTCGTTGACGGCACGGGCTGGTTTTCGCAGTTCCGACGCACCAAGCTCGAGGAAATAGGAGAAGAAATCGGAGCGGTCCAGAAAGAAGTAATGTTTAAGGGAGCGGAAGCGGGTCGTAAGGTTATTCTTTGTGACAAGGAGATTCAACAACGAAGCATTGGCGTAGGTGTAAGCGGAATTTACATTGTCCAGGAAGCGCGGATCGTCAAGCGTTTGAGGGACATCTTTGACCTCTTTGCTCACGTCGACACCACCACACTCACGCACCACGTTGAGATACTTCCCAGCAAGGAGAACTTTGTCTTGAACGCTCTTCAGCTGGGGCGGAACCTCGTTTTCGCGAATCGTGTAACGCTTCTCCCAATATTCATCGGTGTAGTCCTCCTCGAGCTTCTCGCGTTTAATCCATTTTTGTTCTTTCACCAGGAACTCCGCGTGAGGATCCCTGATACCGCCATGATGTAACCATTCGTTCAACATAGCCATGTACGGCCGACTGGCATCACGTAGCAAGGACTGAAGTAGGGTCTTAGTAGTCGGATCTCCTGAGAATGAAGCTAAACGTCCTGTTAAGAGTCCAAGAATATTGCCTCCCTTGCACATTTTCTTGCGCGACAGAGCACCGGGTACCAAGTCTCCTCCTTCTTTGAGTTGTTCGAGGATGTTGTCAACATCCTCATCAAAGTCGTCAATTGACTCTTCGAGTTCCTCGTCAAGAAGACCATTCTTGAGCAACAATTCCTGGCCCATAGAATATAACTGAGCCAAGCATTGACTTGTGGGCATCGTGTGGAGGTGAAGAAGGTGCAAGGTGAATGTAGGATTGTTCAGCAGCTGGGCTTCCAGCTGAGCGATAAGGATCAGGTAGTCTTTGAGGAGCTTTCGAATCGATGCGCATAGCGAATGACTGACAGCGCCACATTCAGCGCGGCTTTGGATCTCCACAAAGGCTTCCATAGCACTGTAATGTGTCGCCATCTTCAGCATGGACTGGGTGAGATCACGCAAAGTCGGGTCCAGGCCCGGGGCAATCTGGAAGGCTGGTCCCGTGAGGCGGTCCTTTTCGATTGATGGATCGTACGAACTAGCATAGTGAACATATTGGCCTTCGAATCCCATGAATACGAACAACAAATCCTCCAAGATCGCTGCTTCCTGGGCATCGGGTGAGAGCTCTCGAAGCGGCCGAGGATGGAGGGACTGCGGAGCTGTCGAGGCTAGAGGGGGGACTGATACGCGACATGCAAGTGGAGCTGTAGAGTGAGGAATCAATGACGCCTGAGGATTCCATGGTGCTGTAGACGTAATGATTAGGGTCAGCAATTGCATTGCGGATTCCAGGACAAGCTGCAACGCAAGGATCACTCACCAACCGCCGACTCCTTCTCCCTACTTCGTGTATTTGAACTTGAGGCATCGACTTGAGCGGCTCTTTGAGGCCGAGATTTGTCCCAATCGCCTCTATTGGCCGCGCTGACGGACTCCTTGACAGGGTTGATAGGGTTCCTTCGCGCTGCTTTTTCCCGCGTTGTGATCACCGTCCGTTCTGATCGCTTCTCAGACATGCTCTTCTGGTCCCGGGATGTTCTGTAATTTTGGCTCGACGTGCTGTGGCGCAAAGGCTCCTTGTTTTCAACATGGAGCGGCGATGGTCCGCGAGTTTCGGAATCGACGCGATTGGAGACGGCGCGGGGTCGTGGAACACTCATGTACGCGGCGCGGTCATTGGCAGACATAATCCCGCGAGGGCGACGAGTAAATCATGCAGCATAGGAGACCCAGCAGCGCGAAATCGAGGGCCTGCAACAAAGAGCGAAATGAATGTATGGGGAGAAGATGCAAGTATCCAAACAACTCCACTTTGGTTTAGGCCGGAATACAGCCTCAGGCATCAAGGCAACCAGGCACTCACCTCTTGCGTACGTCGAGAGCTTCCTTCCCGAGCTTCACTCAGACACCTCTGTTCCTCCTCCGCTTCAACTGATTCCCTCCTCCATCGTGATTCTATACTGCTTCGTTGGTTTTATTTCTGACAAGTCTCTTCTATCTCAACAAATCACTCAATATGTTCATTGCACGATCAGAATATGGTAAGCTTGACCGACGTCTCCCCTCACCGATGCGGAATCAACTAACAGCTCTGAACAGACCGTGGAATCAAGTGCGTTTTCCGAATGATCCTCTATTTAGATGGACCTCCAGCCTGACAATGATCCTTTCGCAGCACCTTCTCTCCCGAAGGTCGTTTGTTCCAGGTCGAATACTCTCTTGAAGCTATCAAACTAGGCTCCACAGCGATCGGAGTATGTCATACCGCACATTTTCTATTTCCTCTAAAAGCCCATTGAGAGCCACAAAGCACTGCGAAGCGATCTGTGTCCTTTCATCGAAGCGCTCAACCAAGGATAACGTGATTATGGGAATGTACCTCTGACACTCAGCCAGGTAGCAACATCTGAGGGCGTCATCCTCGGTGTTGAGAAGCGCGTAACATCTACCCTACTCGAAGCCTCATCCGTCGAGAAGATCGTCGAAATTGACCAGCACATCGGCTGTGCCATGTCCGGACTGCAGGCCGACGCCCGCAACTTGGTCGAACACGCCCGCGTTGAGTGCCAGAACCACGCCTTCCACTATGCCGAGCCTCTACGAGTCGAAAGCACCACGCAAGCCATTTGCGACTTGGCTTTGCGATTCGGTGAGAGCGGTGACGATGAGGAGAGTGTCATGAGCAGACCGTTTGGTGTTGCTTTGTTAATCGCTGGTTACGATGAGGATGGCCCCCAGCTGTGAGTGACGTGGTGTCTTCATTTAGGTTGGAAAATTTACTAATCTGTTTCTTTTGTTAGATACCATGCTGAACCCTCCGGCACATTCTACCGGTATGACGCCAAGGCCATCGGCTCGGGAAGCGAAGGCGCGCAGGCGGAGCTACAGAATGAATACCATCGGTCTTTGACTCTAGCAGAGGCCGAGACGCTGGTTCTCAAGACCTTGAAGCAGGTCATGGAGGAGAAGCTTGATTCGAAGAACGTTCAATTGGCCAGTGTGACCAAGGAGAAGGGTTTCCGCATCTATAACGATGAGGAGATGGGCCAGGCTGTCACACAGCTAGGCAACAACCAATGAGGGCAAGTAATTGAAGATATCTCATGAAGGGGCTCCTCGGACTTGATTTGGAGGCTAGTATCTATGTCAGGAGCAATAGAAAAATAATGACGATGCCGTCCAACGCTGACACGCTAGCTTATCTACGTGCGATTCCATCATAGACTAAGTAACTGAAAGTCCGAAGGAATATAGGCATAGATCACGCATAATATTTTGATAGTTATGTGCAAGAGCTTATTAGCAGAGTCCATATTTGCAGCGATTAGCGGATCTTATAAACACAAGGCTTCAGGACCTGAGCCTCCTGCTCAGGCGTCAAACCGGACTCTGAATCAGGCTTGCGCTCAACAAAACGTTTCTTGCCACCAGGCGCAGGCGCGCTGAGAGCCGAAGCATGTTTCCCCTTGGTGGGCGGACCACCCTGCTTGACAAAGACCATGCTCACGAACATCTTGTTCGATTTGTCCACTGATTCCTGGCGAAGCATAAATCCACGCGACCGGAACACCTCCACAAATGCTGAGATATCGGTTTCGTCGGAGTTGTCTGAAGGCCGCACATCCTCGGCAAAGATACCAGCTTCATCGACATCGGAATCATCATCCTTGCCACCCTTCTTCTTGGGCTTCTTCTTGTCGGCCTTGCTGCCAGGCTTCTGGGCCCCGATCATAGACTTCTTGCGGACGACTTTTCCAAATCGACTCTTGACCTCGCTGACCCAGCACTCGCCCTTGCCATCGGTGCGCAGAATACGCCATGCCTCCTCAACAAACGAGACCCAGTTAGTTCCCATCAAACTCAGACAGAAAATAGCCACATCGGCCGCCCCGTCTTCCAAGGGCAGGTTCGAAATATCAGCTTTGGTGATCAGCTCATTGGGTGCGGCCAAATCGTAGCTGTTGAGCTTGATATTCAGCTTCTTGGCGGAGGGCGTCAGCGCGCGTGCAAGCTGCGCATCACCGCAGCCCAGATCGGCAAATGTACACAGACCATTGGGACGACGGGGAAGCGGATAGCCTTTAGCAGGGTTGAGGGGCTTTCCTCGTCTGGGGAGCGGGATGGCACCGCGGGTGCGGATGGTCTTGATATAGCCGTCGACAGGGTTGATAGGCCAAGACTCCTTGACCTGTCGTGCGAATCCAGCATGGTACTCGTCAAACAGCTCTGGGTTGGCGCTGAACATCTCGAGTGCTTTCTCGGAGGGGGTAGTGTAGAGAGTTTCGTTCAGGTGGCGGAAACGGGAGGAGATCAGCTTCTGTCGCATTGCCTGCTGGAGAGGGGTGAGGTTTGCGGTCGGGGGGAGTGCAGGCGCAGCAGGAGCAGGGGCTGGTTTGGCCGGGGCAGCGGTAGCATCTTCTGCCTCGGTCTTCTCCTCTGAGGCGTTGGCCTTGTTCTTCTTGTTCTTCTTCTGCTTCTTCTTTGGCGCCTTATCTTCTTCGGCTTGCTCTGCGTCGTCATTGGCGACTTTCACACCCTCACTGGGGGATTCCTGGGCGGCGGCTTGCTCGAGGGCCTGCTTTTCCTTCTTTTCCTTCTGCTTCTGCTTCTTCTCGGACTTCACAGAAGAAGCCTCTGCGTCGGGCTTTCCACCCTTGCGACCTCCCGTGTGGCCCTCGATATGCCTACGGTACATATCATCGACATTTCCTGCGGTGACTCGGTCATTGGCACGCTTGCGCTTGTTGTTCTTGCCATTGGGGGTAGAGGCATCCTTCTCGGGCTGGGACTCGTTCTTAGGCTGCGCGGCTGGCTGGGTCTGTGGTTTCAGCGCAGAGCTGTCAACGGACCAACCTGGAACAGCAAACATGATTAATGCTGAAGGGTCGGGTGATCTGAGTCCAAGAACTTCGTAGTTGGCGTACTTGAAGTGATTGTTCCGCAAAAAAAAAGTAGCTCAAAATTTCGTTATCGGTACCCGTGGACGGTAATTTTACTATCATATTACATACGTTTTCTGCCTCATGTATCAGGCATCCAAGGGTCCCCAGAACTCACTCGCCTAAAAGCCTTCAGTGCTGAGCTAGCCTTGTGTAACCTCTTGCCCAGTCTATAATTGAATTGAACAAAAATAGTCGCAGTGAACAAATAAAGCGACTCGATCGGCCGGTCGAGAACATTTACCGTTCGCCGCTAAAAGGTTGCCTCGTAAGCCTACCTATAGTTACCCCTGTAATGGCCCTGCGATTGTTACGTTGCCTAGAGCCAATTATACTGTGCATTCAAGAGACGACATGCAAGACGTGTCGATGATACATGTGGAAACCAATTCATCCCCGACGAACCACGGATGGCCTATCGCGGGTGATCTGCGATCCTCGGCACCTTTTCCCTCCGCGTTAGCTCTCGTTCTTACTTTCTGGTTGCCATCTTTCTTCCTCTTCTCTCTTTTCCTAAACTGTGCCTTCTAGCCCCCCATAATGACCTCACTCATGTCCATCTGGAATTCAATTTGAACACCAGTTCTGGGCTATGGCTGAAGACCTTCAAGAACAGCTGGACCTTCCAGCGGATCCCGCTCTTGGCGGCCTTGCGGAGGCCTCAGCCGCGCGGTCATCAGGTACCCGCAGAAACCCGAAGAAACGGACTAAGACCGGCTGCTTGAGTATGTCGTAAGAAGCCAGAGAGAGGATTCCCCGTTGACCAAGCCTCATAGCTTGTCGAAAACGTCGAATCAAGTGCGGAGAGGAGAAGCCCATATGCACCAACTGCGTCAAATCCAAGCGAGTCTGCGAGGGATATGCCCAACGAGTCGTGTTCAAGAACCCCATAGGTATATTTGGATCATTCCACAATGGTCCTGGTCATGATCTACAGATGCCGATGGAGCAACAACATATGAGGGTGCCAATGTACAACGACTACAGCTCTCATGTTCTCCCACAACAAGCGGCAGCCGCTTCGCAGCACCCAATGCTCGCCCCGCGACCTATTGATCCAGCGACTGTGGGTTATCAGCCATTTTCGTCACAGTTTTCTTCCTCGAAACATGCCCAGCCGGTCAATGTGCCTCCTTTTCACTATCCAGCAGCTTCCTCACAACCGCCACCCCATATATGGCAGCCAATGGCTCAAGCGGAGAGCACATCGATTCCGCCGAACACGACTAATTACTCACAAACACAGCAGCCAGTTCAGTATCAGACAAGGACTCCACCTAGGCCACAGGCAAATGCTCAGACCAGACCGCAGGTCACCAGTCCAATGGGACAGACTGCCGAAGAATACGCCTCCAATCTTTCCTCACTGTCATCTGACTCATCTCTCAATCCGATGTCGATGTCGATGACTAGGCCGCTTGACATCAATCCAGTCCCTCGGGTACGTGTTGGGGTGATCAATTGGTTTGCAGCTGATATACTGAGTACTGATTTTTCAGGTGGCCCAGCCTCTACCGATGATATATCATTATCAGCCGCCGCCAAGGCAGTTACCGCAGCAATCACGATCTCATGAAGAGTTTATACCTCACCGGCTACCCCATCAGTCACAAGTGGTATATATGGAAGATGAAAGCGAGGACTATTATGACGTGGACTCGGACGACGAGATGGGTGGTCAATCGCAGGTCGAAGGCTTCAATCAGTTGAGCCTCATCATGACCTCTGCCAACCGTGACGAGCGACAACTACGTTCCTTCACGACCTATTTGAACGAGCCTAATGTTCTCGCCTCATATCGTCCTACGCTTGGTTCTTCGCCCCTTAACAACCCCAAGACCGCTCGCATCTTTGCTCACTTCATTCACTCGACTGGTCCCTCCTTGTCTATATTTGAACGACATCCTACTGACTCCTCGATTGTTCTTGGAGAGCCTGTCCCAGCGGCGCAACAAGGTTTATGGGTCTATACGCTTGCTCTCAAGGCTTTGGAGCATCCGGCCCTGCTCCAAGCAATACTGGCTGTGAGTAGTTTACATATCGCATACCTCCAAGGAGTCCCCACGACTGTGTCTCTAAAGCACTACCACTATGCATTGAAACGAGTTAGTACCGCAGTTGGTCTGCCACTCCGACGCAAGCAAGTCGGAACTTTGGCGGCCACTCTTTTACTGGGCTACTACGAAGTCATATCCGCCGACCACTCAAAGTGGAATAACCATGTGGCCGGGTCTGGGCATCTGATCCGAGAAATCGATTTTGCCAGAACTACCAGAGATCTTCGGGCCTATCGGCGTCGAACTAATGAGAAGCGGCAGCAGTCAGACTGGTCAAATACCTGGTGGGGCATACCCGACTCTGTCTCCGAGGATGATCCCTTTGCTGAAAAAGAGGGCACCGTCGACAAAGATCTTATAGGCGCCATAATGGGAAGCGCTGTCAACTATGATCATTTTGGAGGCATCGATGAGGAATCCACAACGCCTCCCAAAAGGCATTTCACCCGCAAAGACATTGAGGTGTTCCGGATTCAGTGCGATCTGTATTGGTGGTACGCAAAGCAAGATGCGCTTCAGAGCTTCATCGGCGGAAACAACCTATTGTAAGATTATCTCACCTGCTACCGACGGAAATTGAATCTTGCTTATCATCTAAACCAGAATGCCTTACTCTCAATGGGGTCAATGCCCGCCCCGAGCGGGCATCGGCCGATTAGACGCCATCTATGGCTCTGCGGACCATTTGTGGATTCTGCTCGCTCGAGTGACAGATTTCGGATTCCGTGATCGCAAGCGGAAGTTGAAAACCCTGAAGTCAGCCGGGATGGATTGGAGGCCAGGCCCTGAGATGTTCCAGTTCATGGGTCGGTTCGCTGGCGGTCCTCCCGGCCAAAGACCTGGACCCCCTGGTGCTTTCTCGGGCCCGCCTAATCCTAAAGGTCCGCCTATGGCGAAGCCTACTGGGCCATCTGCAAAAGCCGGACCGGCATCGGCTGACAGTCCTCCAATGTACGGAATGATACCACCCCAACCGCCTGCACGCCTTCCCACTGGATTCCAGGATACGCCGTCCGAGCCGCGCTCATCGCCAGAGCAGGATGACGCGGCCCAGGAGATGAATTACAAGGAAGCCGAGCAAGAATGGGAAGAAATCCTGGTCGCCATTGACCTCTTTGCTCATGCGCTTGGACGGGATTTCCAGCCTCTGCCGGCAGATGTCGCGCCCCCGATCTCAACTCCATTTGGTCCCGCCCTCCAATATCGTACACACACCATCGCCGTGATTTGGGGCTATTACTATGCCATCCGCCTTCTGCTGAACCGGCTCCATCCCTGCATGCCCCCCGCCATTATGATGGCTGCCGGTGTAGCTGCGCCTATAACGGCTGGATATGCACAAACCATTGGGAAGATCATGGCGGGCATCTACTACCCACAACGCTTTAATCTCGAAGCGGGGAGTCTCAACCCAAATCTGGGTTCTTCGCTGACTGACATGACTGTACCGATCTTCTTCGCCGCTATACAATACACGGATACTACGCAGCGAGCTTGGACCATTTCGAAACTCCGTGAGATCTCCCGACTGACGGGGTGGAAGAGTGCAGACGCTATTGCCGGTGGCTGTGAGTCAGCGTGGGTTACGGCTGCAGCGCAAGGTCGTGGACCGCCCTATCAGCGGTCATTTGAGACGGACCGAGCACGACAAAAGGAACGAGGGGAAGATGTAAGCATCCTTCTTGGCCATCTTGGTCTGTTAACATTCCATATACTAATGACTGCGCCACAGACTGAGGCTGTGCTGGAGGTGGACGATCGTCGTTTTGTGAGGGTCAATCCAGATCGGGCGCATTGGGCTATGGGGATCTTAGAAGAGGACATTGAAAATTTGGAGATCTAGGATTGGATGAAATCACTGGTTGTCATTCTCTAGTACCTACATTTAGGCACAACATACATGATACAGTAGTGCCCGACTAGCACATACAGAAAAGTGTGGCTGAGAGATGTACCTTTTCCCCCCACATTCAATAGTCCCGACCCAATGTCATCACTGATCGGCTTCTGCCTGACGCTCTGTCTCCTATCTTATTCTTGTTTAGCTTTCTCTTTGCTCCTCGAAGGCTGACTGCCGTCTCGTATTTTCTTTTTCTTGTTGTCGCCAGTGTCTCTTCTTTTACCCTTTTTATCCAACATCGAGTCTCTCGAGGTCTCTCTCTCTCCCGTGGTTGCTCGGAATCTCCCCCACTTTCGGGAAGTCAGCCGCCCGCGTCATCCACGGTTCGTCATTTCTTTTGCTGAGAGCATCCGGTGATACTCCCCAAACATGTCTCGCTATGATGATTATCGTTCGTCAACGGGGACCCTAGACTCTCGCGACAGACACGACCGATACTCACGGGGTCCCCCAGTCGTCGACCGACCCCGCCATGCTGAAGAACGTTTCGAGGACCGCTTCCGCGAAGAAGAGCGATATGGCCCCCCTGCGCGTGCACCAGGCAGAATCTACGAAGATGACCATCTAGACTACCCATCCCCTGCTGGATCGGTTGTGGCGCATGACCGGCGCCGACGCCGTGACGATAGTCCCTCATTCCGACGGCCACAGCTACTTAGGCGCCAGTCCTCCTTGGACACTTTCGACCGTATACCCCGGCGTAAGATGGAGCAACTCGATGCTCGAGATCTGGGCCCCCCGCCCTCCCCGTGCTCCTCGTGTGCCTATACCCCCTCCCTCTCGTCATCAATTCTCTCCAGGTCGCTATCGCGAACGAGAGGTCTATGAGGATATCAGAATTGCGGAGCCCGACTACTATGGTGATGAGGAGTTTAGAGATATCCGTGAACGAGATATGGTTGATCGTCGCCGCCGCTCGAGCAGCGCTGCCCGCAGGCATCATGAGGAGAAACCCTACCCGCGCAAAGGGAGGACCCGTATTCCTCGACACCTGGCTCATGTCCATGCCATTTTGGACCTGGGTTACCCGTTCAAGGAGGAGGTTGGTCGTTCCTTTAACAATAACGTTGTCGCCGGCTGCTGACAAAAATAGGATGATGTCATTGTCATTCAGAAGGCCTTGTCGAAGGAGCAGATCGACGAGGTGCTTAGCTTGAGCCGCGAGTTCAGACGGCCTTCACCGGTACAAAGTGAGTAGACTCGGCGTCCAACATCTTATACCAAGGAATATCATCACTGACTGACTTCGTAACAGCCGAATACCTTAGATTGCCGGAGTCTCCGCCTCTCAGGCCACGCGAGCGAGTGACGACCGAACATTTACGAGTGCAGGCTCCTTCTCCGCGCACTACCCATGAGGCTTTCATCGTGGAAGCATCACCATCCCGACACCGGTCACGCTCGCGGCACGGTCTGGAGTATGATGACTATGAGGACTATTATGAAGAGATCACAGAGAGGCCGCGAGTGCGGGCGATCTCCCGTGGACCCCAGCGACGACGGGCCGTATCAGTCAATGATCATGGTCGTTTGGCCCCTGTGCAGTACGTTGAGCAGCGAGAGACAGACTATAGCAGGGCAGGTCCGATGGTCCTCGTTCGCCCGCGCGATAGCGATGATATGAGCGAGTACGTGCGCCAGCTGGAAGAGGAAACCCGACTTCTTCGTTTGGAGAGGCAGGGTGGGATCGAGATCACTCGGCAACGTGAAACGGATATCATTGATAGTCACGGTAACGAGGAGGAGATTACTGAGGTGCGGAAGCAGGAGCGCAGTGGTATGGTCCCGATCCCTCTGGTTTTCTCGCTTTCTGTGATGCTGATCATTTCTAGAACCGAACTCTCGCCTTGTGCGTGCTATGATGGCAACCCTGACCTGAGCTACTTGCCATTCTGCTTTGCGGCTTTTGTTTGAATTATCACGACGATATGATCTTAGCTTGATTGGATTCCAAGGTTTTGTTTGGATGGGGATTCAGGATATCTCTCTGTATTTTTCTCCTTCAATTTGCATATCACACCTACTACACACATTGAAGTCTACTGTCTGCATACAACTTTCGCTCCGGTGGCTTCTGTATTTGACGTCCATTGGTAGCTCTTTCCTACCATTTAGTCAGACATAGTCAGACATAGTCAGACAGTAAAACTAGAAAGCAACCATAGACATCATACATGTATGGTGTACACAGTAAACATTCGAACGTTATCACTTTCCACGGACTACGGAGTATGGAGTGGACTTGGAGTGCCTTACAAGTGGCGCAGGTGAGGCGGTGCAGGGTCGAGGCTCCATTCCGCCCGCGATGGCACATGTGGTATCCTATCATCACTTCCTCCATTATCTGTTCTCCTAGTACCTCCTTTTTCTCGTTGAAATTTAACCAGTCAAGCCAATCATGGATCGAATGCAGGCATTCGGAAAAAACTTCAGGTGAGTACATCGCCGTAGGCACCCCTATTCCCCACCCCATCCTACCAAATTCGGCTTGTGACGGTCGCCTTACTGACATTTTGGTCCCTTGTGGTTTTCTGACGGACAGTGCGAGCTTTACGCCTTTTGCGCAACGTACCCAGCAACTGATCAAAGAGCAGCTGGGCCAAGTCGAGGACAAGACCCAGCTCCCTGATGAATACATCGAGCTTGAGAAGCGCGTCGATGCGCTCAAGCTTGTCCACCAGAAGCTGTTGCAGGTGACGTGAGTGATCCATTTCTACCCATGGGCTTTTATTTGGGTGCGCCTCTCCACTCAGCCACTGACCGACGCCACCTCCCGCGAACAGCTCCCAATACTCCAACGAAGCCTACGACTACCCTCCCAACATTCGCGAGTCCTTCAATGACCTAGGCCGTACCATCAATGAGAAGGTCCAGCTCTTGTCCCAGGCAGGCTCGCCCGCCGAGGCCCAAGCTGCTCTGACAGCCCCTCCTTCCGCAAAGCCCCAGCCCAAGACCTTCAACCACGCGATTGCCCGCGCCTCCCTTGCTGGCTCCCAGACCCTTGCGCAGAGCACCGAGGGTGAGGACCCTCTCGCCACTGCGTTGGAGAAGTACGCTCTGGCTGAGGAGAAGGTTGGCGAGGCACGTCTGGCCCAGGATGCTCAGATCCAGTCTCGTTTCCTGGCTGGCTGGAACACCACCCTCAACACCAACTTGATGTTCGCTGCTAAGGCGCGCAAGAATGTTGAAAACGCTCGGTTGATGCTTGATTCTATTAAGGCTAGCAAAAAGGCCGCCGCTCACGGCGATCTGGATAATCTGAGCGAGGATGCTCGTGCGGAGATTGAGCAGGCCGAAGATGAGTTTGTTGGCCAGACTGAGGAGGCTGTGAGCGTGATGAAGAACGTATGTATTCTTCCGTTTGCATCTCTTGACGACCACGTATTCTGTGGTGCTGACGTTATCTGCATCAGGTCCTTGATACCCCCGAGCCCCTGCGCAATTTGGCCGATTTGATCGCTGCTCAACTCGAGTTCCACAAGAAATCTTACGAAATCCTCAGCGAGCTTGCTCCAACTGTCGATGCGCTGCAGGTCGAGCAGGAGGTCAGTTTTAAGTGACGCTTAACATCAGTTCCATTTCTATCTAACCATCCTTTTTTAGGCCAGCTACCGCAAGATCCGTGAAGGCGCATAAGCGCTTCGCCGCTTTCTGCATTCCATGTTTATTTCGCTATTCTTCCACTTGGCTTCGTTTTGTCTGTTACTCCGAGGTAGAGCCTTGTCTTTTGTATCTAAGCCGCTCTGCTTCTGTTGTGCCATCCTAATGGATCATTGAGTATCGATTTTTCCATTTGGAAGCTGGTCCCTCTGTCAGGAGTATCAATAAATGTCATAAAGTAGTGAAGTAGTATAGCAAGTGCCACATTACAACTGTTGTATACTTCGTAGATGTCATGTTGGTCTCGATCCACCGCCTGCCCATTCTGCCTCAACATCCCGCTAGCTCCAGGAGCTCCGACATCAACGGAGTTACTTCAACTGGCCAGCTCGCTTTCCTCAGCTCGCAACATACCCGACAGTTGCATATTACTCAAGCGAAGCCCTCAAATCACTCGGCCTTTCTCACGTTTGACCGAACTGCCGCCGTTACGATCCCCCTCGCGCCACATCTCGAACCATCGCTCACCTGTCCGCCCACCCGCGCCATCAAAGGATCCGGAGATCTATAACCAGGCATCCACGCACCAACGATTGAACGATCAGCTTCCGGGTGTTTTCCGCCAAGGCTGCCACATTCCCCCCACACCAACACACATACAAACGCCGAGCTACGTCGGTCTAGAGTGTGTCTTACTCCGACAAACGATCTCATAACGAAATACCGACGACATGGCAAACGGGTACGTTCCTCTTTTCCTTCCCGGTTTGAGACAAGCGGTAGATTTGTTTCTTGAAACATCCGTGGGATGGAACTACCAGGTAGCGGGGAGATTGCCATTGTTCAAATCCCCGCTACACCACCCTCCCCCGACCCTCGACACACTGCCGCCAGCACAAGAATAACAGGAACTAACTCATAAATACAGTTGGAGCTTGGTCATTGGCCTGGTCATCATCGTCGCCCTCTCTACAGCAGCCTGGTTCCTGAGCCCGAAGGGCGATAACCAGACGTAAGTTTCGCATACTCCCTATCTGGCTGCTGGGCGAGCTCGGCAGTTGTCAGTTAGAATACCTATATACTGATCCCGGTCCTTAGTCTCTTCCGCAGCACCCTCATCCTTTCATTCGTCTCCTGTTACTTGATGTGGGGTACGTATCATCTGATCTCCATCTCTCCTACCTCTCGTTCCATCCTTGCTACAAACAAAGATGCTAACATCTTCCCCAGCTATTGTCTTCCTCTCACAGTGGCATCCCCTCATTGCGCCGAAGCGCTCAGATATCAGACCCGATCGTGTACCGCACTAGTGATATCTGTTTTTTTCGGTTTCTTGTTTTTTTCTCGGTACGGCAATTGGTAGTTTTGAAATGCTTTTGTTGGATACTGAATAAAAGAGCCACTTTACTTGGCTCTGCTGCGACTCGAGACATGTTGCTCATGGAGTTGGCTTTTATTGCGAAGTCGTGTGGATTCGCGTCTGGGGCAAAGCTGCCTTATGTTTTTGTATAGTTCTTTTTCTAGATATCAAGTCCCTTTTGACGGCGTTATATCCGTATGTCTCTTTCTGATTCCTCGTTACTAGTCTTTGCCTCGAAGGCTTCTTATTTGAACCCTTTTACTTGAGTTTTTACCTGATGGGCTACATACACCCGTCCACCTGATTTCTGTCCAGGTACATATATGCCCATGGAGTGTCAACTGGGAAAGCAGCCCTCGAGGTGGACCACTGGAACGTCGAGAAGAGCATTAAGACTTGGCGAGATATCCATATATACTCCCTGGATTGACGCCTTGGAAAGTCGGAATCAATAAACATTATGTATGAATTATGTATTTACCTATCTGAACCAGCCTCTCTCCATTAACCAACACCAACAGCTCCCAGAATAACTCTCTGCACCGCCCACCGCGCAATCTGACCAGCAACGGCAACGGCAACAGCACGCAAATACCCACACCCAAGCAAGATGTACAACGCCTCGATATTACTCAGAAGCACCAGATGCGTATCGACGACACCAAGCGAAAGCAGCGAAGCAAGCAAGTCAAAAACACCCGTTAGATAACTCGTCGGCGTAGAGGTCCGCAGCGAAGAAGCCGTGGCAGCCAACCAGGATTCCAAGAACGAGTAAGACTGCGCCTGCGAAGGGACCGAAGCCGAAACGGCCTTTGCAGAGAGCGTTCTCCGAGCCATCGGGAACAGACTCTGGTGCAGGGCGCTCGGCATTGTGGCCGGCTGCGTCGGGAGTCGTATTTGCGCTGCGGGGCCTGGGGTTGGGAGTTTGGAAAGGTTGGCGCTGCTGTTGCTGCTGCTGCCGCCGCTGCCGTCTGCGCCCCAGATTACGAGGAGGATAGGGAATAGCTTTGCGCAGCTGCTGACGAGTAGGGCGGTGCTAATCGCTGCTGGGCTTGCGGCTGTCGGTGGGGGGAGAGGTTGGATGTTCTGCAGTGGGGCGGTGGATGCCCGTCGTAGGGGCGGCGGTGGTTGTGTTGCTTGTGTTATTGATGTGCTTTCCGGGATGGGGGAGGGGTCGGTTGGGGAGGTGACTTCGGTTTGTCCGCTGGGGGGCGGGATTGACTTTGACGGGCTTGCGAGGGGGTTGGGGAGGGGTTGGGATTGGAGCGTTGCTGGAGGTGCAGATGGGGACAGCCGGTTTGTCGGGGTTGGGGGACCGGAGGGGAAGGGGGTGGCAGCATCTGCAATGGGTCTCATGTCGGGATTGGTGGTAGTGGTGGCATTGTTGCTGCTCCTGTTGTCAGGGCCGCTGTATCGGCGAGACTTCGGGACCAGGATCGAGGCCAGTAGGCGCACAGTGAGGTGGTGTGCGAGGGTTGCGACTGTATTCAAGCTTAGGAAGAAGAGATATTGGACGATAATTGGGGCGCGTGAGAGAAAGGTTGCTGCAAGTGATGGGTCTTTCTCAATTCGTGCCCAGGTGAGGTAGACATCGAAGAGAAGCAAAAGTACTCCCAAGCGAATTATTGACCGCTATGAGTTTCGCTGTCAGTTATTTGGCTCGAGGGTGCTCTTGCATGGGCATACGCACATCGAACTGGTTGTCGTCTCGCCCAAGCCTATTGAAGAGCAGGTGTCGGTAAACCTGGTTCCAGATATCTCAGTTAGATTGTCCAGTTCACCCGAGACATTCCACTGCTTACCTGGGGCTTGATGAGCACCAAGTCAATGAAGAGAACGACAAAGTCATACTCCACGTATTTGTCGGCAAAACGCTGGCATCGCGGACATTGCGTCAGTCGTACACCCTTGCCTTGAGACCGATCATCCGCGCGGCTGTAAGCACTGTACAGATGGGAGACGGGATAGGAGCACTCGATGCAAATAGGCATCGTGTCATGTCTCCTTGAATCTCCAAGGGTCTAGATCGGAGCTTTTGAACAAGGGACAATGAAAGGCGGTGAATCCATGCACTTGCGGCCTGAGGTTGTACTGAGTTGGATACGCCTGCTGAACAAAAAGTTGATAAATGTCCTGACATCGGAGGGAAGTCTAGAGATGGTCTCTTTTGTAATATTTGCATGCTGGCGTTATTTGTCAAATCAAAAAGCAAAAGGAAACTCCGATAGGGGGAATCGAACCCCCGGCTGCCGTGTGAGAGACGGCGATGTTAGCCACTACACCATATCGGATGGTTGAAAATATTTCCGCAAATTACGTTATTAGGTCTAGTGCTCGACATTTCGGTCTAGCGTTATGGTCCTGTGCGTCGTCGTGCGTGGTTCTATACCTCCCCATCGCCTATACTTCAGCATAACCCATTCTAACCCGGACCCAACCCATTGGGGCCCCAATATAGTGCAAATAAAATAAGGCGCAGAGGAAAAACAAAGCAAAGCGTGATGGACATACAGCGAGAATAACGCAGAGCCGAAGCAACGAGAAGAACGATGGAAACATGGTAAGGATAACGATAAGAGAAGTAAACCCGCTGCAGTGACCGAAGGTAGCAATTCAGGTAAGAATAATCACACGCAGCCTCAATGGCAATCCGTCTGCGAATGGGCAGCTAGAGCACCAGGGAGCTAACTAATCCACGTCTTCATCTTAACTCCTCAACATAATAATTGCCAAGGCTGTCACGAGATGGGCGAGGACCATATTCCATTCCTTGTGAGGCGACGACAATTTCCTCCACAGGATTTGGGTGATGTGGTGAGATGTTCTCGGAGCCTCTAGCATGCGGGACGGAAGGAATAATAGCTATTTTCTGTAGAGACTTCTCACTCGAGGGAGATGGTCGGCGAGGGAAGTCTGCATTTGGGTTGATCTCGAAGGAAGACTGGAAACGAGACGGACGGCCAAGAATCGTGGGCAACTGCGTATCTTCTTCATCAGGTTCAACAGTATCTTCAGACTCCACACCGGCAGAAAATGCATCCTGTAAAGGCTTGAAAACATCTTCCAACCCCATGTTGGAACCCTCATCTTCACTATCGCAATTCCACGGCTTCATAGGGACGTTGGCTGCTCCACTGAGAGCACCGATCCTATGGAGGATCCATTGCATTTGGAGAAGATCCCATGATGGCAATGGCAGACTTTCTAGATCCTTAGTCTGGAAAATGACCAGATCACCAGAATTCATCTTATGCGCGGATCCATCAGTGTTCTCAACACGAAGATTGAGTAATTCTCCGGGGGGATGAAGCGAAATACTCGGTTTGTCCTGGACCTGAACCTTATCTCGCGTGACTGAAACGATTTCCACGTGATGGAGGTAATGGATAGTTGTTGTGTAAGATGGGCATGAGGTATGACACGTAGGGGTCAGACTTACACGGGGGCGATGGCTGTCTGCCATGATGAGAAAACTGCAATGGGTTGTGAGGAGAAAGAATCTACATGTGCGAAGTTTTCCATTTGTTTGGGGGAGCTCCTTCCAATTCAAGTGTGGTCAAGTGACCACCCTCGTCGATAGGAATTGAATACCCTTACTATGCGGACTGTTACTGTCGAAAGCAAAAAAAGGGAAAAGAAAACAAGAAGGAGATCGATCCTATGCTGTACTGCACACAAAGTAACAAGTCTGGGAGAAAGAAAGAAGAAGAAGAACAGAAGGTAAACAATAAATAAACTCTTCCCCGCGATCCCTGCTCCTTCTCTTCCTGACTGCCCACTGGCGACTTTCGCTCTCTGCGTGGCGAGGGGAGGGGCGGCCTCGCCCCTCCCTCGCCGGAGAAAGGGGGTGAGGCGGACCGGGCGGCCTGGGAGTCCCGGGGGGGGGTCTACTGGAATCTGGTTAGCACTTGTGATGATGATGTCTTTATGTACCACGCGTGACTTACCTGCCGGAGCAGGACCTTTCTCTCCCCGGGTTGATCTCAGGCCGCCGGAGGCCATGGCGGAGCGATCCTCTGTTGTTAGTTTGTCAGTAACGTGTCCGATCCTACCAAGCGATCTCTGTGCCCGTGTCAACATACCATGTTCGAGGCGTTTTGCTGTGAACATGTCAGCCATCTGTATGTAATATCAATCTAGGGCTCAATTGCCCAACTTCACAACATGACATACCTCTGCCTCGGCTCCCCCGTCGGTGATTATTCCTCTGTGATCAAATGTCAGTTTGACTTGATCTTTATACAAAAAGTGTATCAATCTTACCTTCGAGGAGGAGGAGCGGGAGCGGGAGGGTGGGGGGTGGAGCCATGGCCACCCGGACCATCTCGGCACCAAGTTGGGCACCAAGTTGCACACGCCAGCAGTTGACAGCGTTATCGAAGGATTGCCTTATAACTTCCTCACCCCTAGCGCGCGTAGACAACTGGCTGAGGTGGAATAGCATAACTGCAGCATTGTGTCTGTTCTGGTGCTGGGCACCCGTATAACCAGCGTCTCCTTTTACCTCGAGGGTAATATATGGAAAGATCATAGCTGTAGTGCAGCTAATGGGTGCAGCGACGTGGCCTAGGTCGTAAAGCGCCGATTTGTATCGGTTGAAGTTTTCCCTTCGGAGGCCAACAGTGATATCTGGATACGGTGACGGTATCTCTTTAAGTCCTCCATCAGGATATTTCGAGAACGATAGCTGTGTTGGCGGCAGAAGCCACCGCAGGGGGGATGTAGGTTCCACCATCAGTTGCTGACCCCCATGTTATAATGGAAGGCCATCCATCGAGGCAAGCAGGGGCGGGAGATGAGGAGGCCGAGGAGGTTAGAGGAGTCATGGGTCAGCTGGACTGGGAGATGGTTAGCATGCGCTGTTACTTCGATGCCGACAGTTGATACTTACCAGTGTATGGCAACCCCGTCCAATGAGGCCAAACCAGAGAGCATTAGGCGCCAGGACAACAAGAAGGATCCAGGCATTCGCGGTGCCTGGGGCCACGACAACCACCAGGCTGCCGTGGAGCTCAGAGAGCTCCCAGGACAGCACGGACATCTCATGCTCCGAGACCCCTCCAAGCGACTGGTCAAACAGGGACATCTCGTCCCATGTCAGAAGAGTATCAGCTAGGAACTCGCTGGCGAGTACCTGCAGGTCACCCTTCGTTAAGGAAGGAAAGGAATGAAGGAGAGGACCAAGGGAAGTAGAAACGGAAAAAGCAGCCCATGGTGTCCAGCACCATTGTACCGAGATCTCAGGACAGCACGGACATCTCGGGCTCCGAGCCCCCTCCAAGCAACCAGTCGAACAGGGATATCTTGTCCCACTTCAGAAGGGTGCCGGCCTGGTACTCGCCAGCGGCTAAGTAGAGGTCGCCCTTCGAGAAAGAAGGAAAGGAAGGAAGAGAGGACGGAGGGGAAGAAGAAGGAGGAGAAGAGGAAGAAGGAAATGGGGAGGAAGCGACTGGAGAACCGACTTCAATGATGATCTCCTAGTATGGCGGGCTTCACCAGTGCCGGGATCAGGAGTAGTGTGACGTCCAGTAGGAAACAGAACTGTAATTCCTGCGCTCAAAATAAAGTAACAAGACTGAGGAAAAATGAAAAGAGAAAAGAGAAAAGAGAAAAGAAATAGGAGGAAGAAAGAAATAAAAGCACTACAGCCAGTTCTTCCCGTCATTATGACACCTTGTAGTGTAGTCCTTCGCTCCTTCCCTCATTCCATGTTCCATCACAAGACTTGCTCCAGACCTTCAAACCTTGCCATGCGTCACACCTGTATGTTAACTATTGGAGGCATAATAGTGATGTCGCTCTCTAGTCTGTACTCCTTATAAATAGACTCGGGTCAGTATCGCTTATAATGAAAATTTCAACTACAAGAATATCCTCTCTCTGATCACTTCATCTCTTATCCTCAGTGAATTTTATATCAACAAATACATCCTTCTACCTTCTATAGCTCGAATCTCTTCAAGCTTAGAATTTACACATATTCAATTTTAGCTCTGAGTCTGATGTCGATCAGGTCAAGATAAGCACGGAATCTACCTTCTTTAGGCCCCTTGGGGAAGGTGCCATTCCCGTGTCCCATCCCGGGTGCCAACCTCGAACTATACTGTGGACACCGAACTCTGCCAAGCGCTCAAGAAGAACGACATGATCGAGATTCAGAGTCGGGCGGGAACTGCTCGAATTACCGTTCGCACTAGATAACCTTTCTCAGAGACCATGGACAGGTATCTGCTGGTAGGTAGTTATGAACATTCGGTTGTTGAGCAAGATGTTGATAATATGTGGTCTTGAATAAATCGCGGGTTCCACTGCATCTGCGAAGACAAAGAAAAATGACAGGTACGCTGCAGTAGAGGGAAAAACGACAAAAAGTTTAGGGCCCGAAGCGCGATTCGAACACGCGGCCTCTCCGAATTTGAGATGTGAACCCAAACGGAGAATCATACCACTAGACCATCCGGGCAGAAGGATGAAATGTGGGGCTCTTTTTGGATGAGGAGCGAGAGATGTAATGAGGATTTGAGTCCTACATAGCCCTACAGCCTATTATTCCCAAATCAAAATAGTATTGTAACTAACTAGCGTGTAGTTAGGTAATGAACTAGGTTGTAGAGCTGTGCAGCTAAATAAGAAACAGTAAGTACTCCTGTGCCGAATAGAGACAACCTTATGTAGCCATATGTAAAAATGCGAAAAGTATTTCGCGCCCCACTATATATTTATTGGTACCTGGAGGTGAAGATCTAGATAAATACTCGGAAGAAGAAGATCACAGGTGATGATGTATTCACCTGCCTGATGTAGCTCGCTCTAATATTTGCTGCCATACGGAAGACGAAGTGCTGGCAGCTTGCCGACAGCTGGAACCTAAAGAGTGGTCGCCAGCCCACTGGGCGACCGCTGAAAAGTCACTTTACTCTTTCTCTTAAGGTTTCAAGATTTGGTACCTGATTTCCAACCTGGGAACTGAGATCAGGCCTTACAAAGCTAAAATAGCTCGTATATTTCATCTATTGCCCGGATGGTCTAGTGGTATGATTCTCCGTTTGGGTTCACATCTCAAATTCGGAGAGGCCGCGTGTTCGAATCGCGCTTCGGGCCCTAACTTTTTTGGGTGTTATCTTCTTTTTGCTTCATGAATCATTTTATTTTGCTACAGCAAGCAATTAATTGTCATTGCCAATTTCCTATCTCCTGTATACCACCCCATGCACGAGAACGTGCATGTAATCAGCCCTAAGAGGGTGGTTGGTTTTATCTGCTATGCCAGAAGGCCAACACTTTCATCACAGTTAGCATGCTAGATCACAGGCAAGCTCGTACCACTGCATGTCATGACATTCAAAGGAACAGACATTTTCCAGTTTTTATAAATACGACAGAATCACTGGATATTCACCGATCGCATTGGCCGAGAGCATTGAGGTCGGGCCTGGGCTCCGGTCACTAATGCTCAACCGATTCTTCCATAGATACAACTCCATTATCCCACCGCTCTAATCATCAAGTCATCAAGAGATGGATGGTCCGCAAGATTGTTCCAGAGGTTGATATCGAAATCCCAGAAACTGCTATCATCTTATAGACCCCAGGTTTCATCATTCAAGGTTGTAATATTCTCAGGGCCTGCAGGTCCCACGGATGGGTTTCCAGATGTGGCTGCCATGCCGCGTGAAATGTGCGATGGGGAAATCACCCGATCGAGCAGACATTTGGTCATTTGGGTCGCCTGCGAGAGCAAGGCACAATTGGGCGAGTCAACAAATACCAATGTGCCACTTTCAACTTCGCCCACTAGGATACTCAGGCCTTGAACGATCTTGGTTATATCTGTCCGGGAGATCCCACTGGCGCGGGTCTGATTGCCATTGGTGATAGTAAGTGAAATGAGTCCGGCCGCTGACGATCCATAGTACACAGTACACCACCTGGGGGCGAAAATAGTAGGTAAACCCAGCTCGAACGCCAAGGGCCCCAGACATGCCTTCCAGCTAGTTATATGCCAGAGTTTATGGTCTTGTACCTTAATCGCCTCGACGACAAGGCTAAGCATGTCTTCTCCCGCTCTGCCAACAAGCTTCTCGCCCAAAGTCTCATCCCTTGTAGATATAATAGAGTGACAGTAACAGATACCTAAGCCGAGGTTTATAACTACCAGGGGCTCATGCTAATAGTCCAGTCATCCAAGTCCCATCTAGGAGTAGTTCGACTGACAGCAGGGGACATGGACATGTATAAAGAAAAATAATTTCGCTACATCAAAATCCCTTTGTATCTAGGTCATAGGCAAGTGCAACTTAGCATGTACTCCCACAAATCCATTGGATATTACCTCCTTTGCCTTACTAGCCGAGTGCTTAGCCCAGCTAGCCAAGTAAAGACCACCAGGACATATTTGAAAAGCAATCTTGAACAGGGGCTGTAATCAGGACGGGGTGCCCATCTTATTTTCCATCTGGTGAATCCGCCTCCATAGTAGCCGAAGCTTAAGGCTATTAGCTTAATTCTGAGATTGGGCCACAAAGAGCATACCTCAACTCCCTGAGCTATGGACCCGATCGCGAGTGCGAATACACTAATAGTCAGGAGGGTGGCAGTCGAGTCGTCCATTCGGACGTTGAAGGAAGCAGCGAGGATCGGAATGTCGTAGCTGGAGTCCAGAGATAGAGGCAAAAATGTGTAGTTGAGTGGACAGAAGATAACTAGGTTAATCAGAAAGGTCAGGGCACAACTATGATTCAATAGTTACGGATAGTCCACAGGATAAAAGTTGGGACCGCTGCCCAACTAGTCTTAGTCTCATAGTCATAAGCCATAAAAAGAGCGCCCTGGCCCCTGACTAGTGGCTGACTGTACCCTGTCCATCACCCGCACTACCGGCTAGTACCTGCTCCCCATAAGGCTGATTGATGTGCTGAAACCTTATTTCTTTCCCCCGATCTGTCCTCCACCGGTAAACTTTCGTCTTTCTTCTCACAGTTTCCTCTCATCTTACTGTCTTACATCCCATAGCACTGTGTTCAGGTACAAAGCAGTGGCAATTTAAACAATAAAAAGGAAGAAACTGATAGTTGTTATGATGATAACTATTCATTCTTTTGCTACTACTACCTAACGATGAGCGGTCACAAACGGCAGAATTTCACAAATCCCTTTGGCTTTTGCCCTCTTACTGCGTATTAGTTAGATCTACTACAAGTCTACTCAGTCTAGGCCTTTGGATTCTTTCTATCGATCCCGGCAAATTTCTTCTGTCTCCTTTCTTCTCACCGTAAGCTGTGAGCTAGTAGCCGGCTACTTCGATTGGGTCTCGAGCCTCGAGGAACACACCTCCCTTATTGAAGATAGTAGTGGCCTGACGCCTGGAGGCTGGGTATCTTTGAAGAATCTTAGTTGATATTATCCTCAACTAATGACTTAAGTGTGATGACTATTTTGGTGTGAAATGGTGCAGGTCTCATTAGTACTACAGTACTATCGTGTAGTTGCGTTATGAGCTCAAATTGAGAATGACGCCACCGGTGGACAGGTCCATCGCCTATCTTGTACATAGAGCACTGTAGACTGCCAGTCCCGTAGGCGAAGAAACGGCAAATTGACAAAGCATTGTTGAAACACAAAGACTCTTACTGTGGTACACAGTACTCCGTACACAGTATGAAACTCGAGAGGAAAGGTTTGCCGGGGATAAATGGGTCTCCGCCGCGTGTCTCTGATGATGCATCAGGGGCAAATTATTTCCTATTTGCACATCAACGTTGCTTTGTGGAGCTCTGCATGAACACTGAACCAATCCGGCTTCATCCTTTATACTGTGGCTATTCAATTCTCTATTGGTCAGTGCTCTATCACAGGGCTATCATTGATTTGATACATACAACAATGTTGTAAAAGCGATCCGGTCACCATCCAAAAGGCTACCCATACCATGCAGTACCTGCTACGTACAACGAAGCAGTTGACTGTTCTCGTAGATTCGTGAATTTTTCTAGCATTGCCTCACGGCTTAGATAGCCGCCCGCGCCACACCCATAAAGTCCCTTAAGCTGGGTGGGCGAGCCATATTTCGGATGTTTCAGATCCGATCCCGAAGTGGAAGGCGGATTGACCCATTTGCCCCGTATTCTAGACTACCCCATCTCGGCTCCACACATCTTCTGGACATGGTTGACAATTGACATCCAGTCGAAAGTTCAAACAAAATGTTGCCCCCTACTCTGTTTGTCTCTTCGCCTTCCAAAATCTCCATGAATATTCGGGCCGGTCTTTACTCCGTACGGAGTACTTCGGTACCGATGGAGAGCGGGCAAGGCGAGTCGGTCGCATTCAACGGAGGTTCACATGATATCATCCTCGTCGCTCATAATCGGTTAGTGGGTAGACTGAAGGCTATGAAATTGCAACGAAGAGAGTGTAACATCGTGTTATTGTAAAACAGAAAGAATACGTAACTATGTATAAACAATTCGCTAACTAGTTAATACTATGTTGCTTTACATGGTGCGGCGTGCCGATTGTCCTTGCCGAAGTTTGAAGCAAATATTCGGGCCGACATACCTGTGCAGCTGGAAGGATTAATAATTTAGTGGATACCTGACCCGATGTGCACTGTGCAGTGGTGGGCGGAAATTGCTCGCAGCCGATCGGCCGTTCACACTTCACACGGTGGTACTTTTTGCCAGTGGAATGCTGCCCACGATCGGATATCAGCGCTCGGGGCTCTACAGCACATGCAGCGTGACCAGGTCCTTAATATGCGCAGAAGGCCAAGTTCCCCTCAAAGGCCAAGTCCCCCACTTCGGCGCTTTGCGTCGCCAAGCTGCTGTCGTCCGACGGTCGCCAAGGGTGCTTCTATGTTGTAGGCATTGCTTGGGACACCCTCCTCTTGTCATGTCCTTGGCCCAACGGAAGCAGTCTCCAAAACAGGACCGATTGGCGCTCTTCACCTTGGCTCAAGTATCCCACCCCGCAAAGCCAAGGTGCCAAACAGCTGAAGTTACTCCATTGGACGCCAATTGCAATGCCGAGTTCAATCTCATTTGGCCCCAATTTCAAGAGAAGAAGGTTAGCCATCGCTTAATGAGGTCCGGAGGATACCATGTGGCATGGGTTACCATGCAGTTTCCCCTCGGCCGTTTGCAGGTCCGATCTCTCAAGTATGCTCCACCTGATACCATCTGACCCAACTATGTACTGCGTACAGCAGACCATGCGAGTTCGGAACTGGAACTGACTCCGCCTATTGTTGTTTAAAGTCCTAATGGATGAATTTTATCAAGCTAAAAGCAAACCCTATGTTGTACATCGAAGTTGAAGGCGGCGGGTTATCCCGAATTATCCCGAGTTATCCCCAATGTCTGCCTGAGGCCATAAAAAAACCTTATCGCCGCCACAGACCTCATGCCGGACTGAGCCCTGGGATAATAAACCCAGGAACCATCTCTGAATGACGTTGTTTTAACTGTACCCCGTACCTCGATTCATATTAATGAAAAAAAATATTAGCATCCGTGGATACATAATCCGTGGGAAAACATGGCCAATACCGAGTCGGTCCCGACGCCGCCACCCGAGGCGGCGTCGGATATGCCGCTGTTACAAAGAAAAGGAGACTGCACCGGTCCGTGTGTGACGTATGCCGCGGTGACAATTGGGTTGTCGTGGCTCCGGAATTGGACAAACCTTCTCCAACGAGGCACTTGGCGAGAAAAATTCGACGTCTTCGCCAAGTTTCCGACGTCATGGTGGGGCAAAGAATTTGGCGGCTTAAGGTACGGAGTAAACTTAATAGTTAACGCAGGTACCCTACAAGAGAGAGAATTAAAGTGTATTTGCAAAAAATACGACAAAAGATCAATAACAAACCTTACCCCTGTGCTGTCTATTCTGCACACTAGAATTGAGGCCTACAGAGGTGCCCTGAAATGCCTTGTAAATGCCCTGGGCCACTAAGTTAGTCATCCGAACCACTGTGGGGACCGGTGGAGTTGTGTACCATAAACTGTGAACCCATGGCCCCGCCAAGATGCACTCCGCCAAGCGCCAAGTACTCCGCTTCGGGACCTGAAAACCCTTCGCTAGACTTACCCGTTCAGGACATGACCATGGTTGCGGTAGAAGACCCATATTTCTTCGAAGTTACCGTATTGCTTCGCATCCCCTATGGGGGCGCAATTGTTCTTATAAGAACGGCCGTTCCTCTTCCCCCGTTCTTCCCCAACTTTCCTTTACCCCGCCTCACCTGACAACACCCTCCCTCTACTGACGGCTATTATCTTGTCCGTACAGTCAATATGTGGACGACCACCAGTGGCCTGAGCGGTCGGTCGCTCCGGGTGAGCATCACCATCGCTGCTGTCATGGGTTTCGCTCTCTTCGGATACAACCAAGGCATGATGGCTGGACTGCTCAACGGCGACGAGTTCGTTAACTCCTTCCCTATCCTCGAGATGCCCGCGGAGCCCACTAAATCGCAAGAGCACTACATCAACGTCATCCGTGGTGCTGTCACATCCTGCTACGAACTTGGCTGTTTCTTCGGCGCATTGTTCTCTATGTTCTTCGGCGACAAACTCGGCCGTACTCGCGTGATCTTCATGGGTGCCAGTATCCTAATCATTGGTGCCTTGCTCACAACTGTCTGCTTCACTGGACACTGGGAAGTCGGTCAATTCGTTATTGGTCGTGTTGTCTCCGGAATTGGAAACGGCATGAACACCGCCACTATCCCCGTCTGGCAATCCGAGTGCTCTGGCGCTCACAACCGTGGCTTCCTCGTCTGCTTCGAAGGTGCTATGATCGCTGGTGGCACCTTCATCGCATACTGGGTTGTCTTCGGTCTCTCGCACGCCGCAGACACTGTCCAGTGGCGATTCCCTATTGCCCTCCAGATCTTCTTTGCTATCATCCTGGCTACCGGAGCCATGCTGCTTCCGGATTCCCCGTCATGGTTTGTGCGACACGGACATGATAAGGAGGCCTGCCTGGTGCTCGCTAAGCTCAACAACACCACCCCCGAGTCCGACAAGGTCCTTGGTGACTACAACTTCTTGAAGGCTGATGTGGAAAACTCGAGGAGCACCCAGTCAAGCTGGAAGACCGTCTTCACCTTCGGCAAGACCCAGGAATTCCAGCGTCTTCTCATTGGTTGCTCTGGTCAGTTCTTCCAGCAATTCACCGGCTGTAACGCCGCTATCTACTACTCGACCCTGCTTTTCCAGGAGAACTTGCACATGGAGAAGTACCTTTCTCTGATCATGGGTGGTGTGTTCGCCACCGTCTATGCTCTTGCAACTATCCCCTCCTTCTTCATGATTGAGAGAGTTGGCCGCCGCAACCTGTACTTGATTGGTTTCCTGGGCCAGGGTCTCAGTTTTGTCATCACATTCGCTTGCTTGATCGAGGAGAATGAGCAGAACGCTAAGGGTGCTGCCGTTGGAATCTTCCTTTTCATCGTCTTCTTCGCATTTACTCTATTGCCGTTGCCCTGGATCTACCCCCCGAGATCAACCCCCTCCGCACCCGTACCGTGGGCGCTGCCGCATCGACCTGCACCAACTGGATCTGCAACTTCGCCGTCGTCATGTTCACGCCTCTCTTCGCTGGCCAGAGTCCGTGGGGTGTTTACCTCTTCTTCGCTCTGTTCAACTTCATTGGCTTGATCTTCGGCTTCTTCTTCTACGTTGAGACAGCCGGTCGTCAGCTTGAGGAGATTGACATCATCTACGCCCGCGCCCACGTCGAAGGCAAGATGGCCTTCCGTGTCGCTAACGAGATGCCCAAGCTCAACCTCCAAGAGATCATCGATCAGTCTCGTGAGCTAGGCTTGAGCACTGACACCACCACTGGTGGTGCTCATGACAATGAGAAGAGCGAGCTTGGCTTCAGCAGTGACAACAGTGGTCACCAGGTCGAGGAGGTTAAGGACAACTAATTGCTCTCTTTTGAGGGTGCTCTCCTGTGGTTCAAGGTGATGATGACATTTGAAAATGAGAATGTTTTCCACGTGTAATTTTTTTATTGGCACTGTGCTCATCATGTGTTGCTTTTGTTGTGGATATGTCCATATTCCGATGATAGAGCTGATGACAGTGGACCCGGCGTGTATATATATCCAAGACTTCAGATTGTTTGCTTTTCATAGATTTCAATCTATTTCTACTTTGCTGGCACTTTGGAATTCATTAGTAATTGTAGCCTAACACCCTTAAAATAGGGAGTAACAAAGCACCGTGCGCCAACCTAGCGTAAGCCGGGCAGCATACTTCCCGAGGTCCTTGGCGTTCAGGGCGAATGTTTTGCTACCCCTAACCGAGGCCACTGGCTCGCCGGGCACGGAACCCGGGCGCGTCCTGTTCCGGGTCGTATCACCATCAACCAACCCCAGATCTATATCTTCCAACATCACATAGTTCCCAGCCATGGCCCTGTGTTCAGATAGCTTTTTCGGTGTTAAAAATTCCACACTTTCCCACACCGCTCATTCGCCGATATCCACCATGACCCCTGACCACGCTTACTACCCCGTGGGCGTAGAGATCCCCAGCTATGTCCCCAATGAATGGAGCACTCTAGCGCTAGTCTCTACATTCGCTCTTGTATGCATAATTGTCCTAACGGCTGCCAAGACAATCGCAACAAATGCAAACCCGCGCATTACAATCCCCGAACTCTCGCAGGTCCTCTGGTTTACATTATGTACGTCCCCCCGCCTATCTACATGCATGCACACCTAGTACTAACAGACGATCAGGCGGCTCCATCCACCTCATCCTCGAAGGCTACTATGCCCTAAACTTCGCCACCCTTCCGGGGTCCCAACATGTTCTCGCGCAACTCTGGAAAGAATACTCCATGTCTGATTCGCGGTATCTCACTTCTCATGCCTTCGTGATGTCCATGGAGTCCATTACCGCCTGGTGTTGGGGCCCGTTATCATTCGTCCTTGCGTCTTTCATCGTCACGGATAATCCCTTCCGACACCCGTTGCAGATTATCGTGTCCACTGGACAGCTTTATGGAGATATCTTATATTACGGTACCTGTGCTTTTGATTTTCTGGTGTATGGGATTGAGTACTCTAGGCCCGAAGGGTATTACTTTTATGGGTACTTTGTGTTGTTGAATGGGTTTTGGATTGTTATTCCGATCTGTGAGTGGTTGCTTTCAATTCTCCATTCGAGTTGGAAAGAACTGGGCTAATGAGTATACATAGTGCTTATTGCTGATAGTGTGAGAGCTTGCGCGAGGGCTTTTGCGGAGGTCAAGGGAGTGAGGTCTGTTGGGATGAACGGGGATGCGAAGAAAACGTCCTGAAGATGCCTTATATTCCTGTCGAGGGCAGGCTGTGCCAGGGAGCACTCGTTGAGAACATGGGTTCGAGGTCGGAAGTCCAAACAACACCATGATGTATTTACTCGGATTAGGCAGCGGGACGAACCTTCCGAGTCCATGGTTTGCCTTACGGCTTACCTAAAACTTCCGCCGCATGGATGATGGTGGAGCTTGGCACCTTGGAACCCATGGGCCTGTTAAGGCTGGATACGTCACGGGAATCCATGCACGTGAATCTGCCGTGTGTTTAACATTTGCGTCAGTGCCTGGAACCCCCTCGAGGTCAAGTCTTTAGACTTGTCCCACTCCAGCTCTGCTATTGCCCAACTTTTCCAACATGGATACCTCTCTGCCACCAGTAAGGATGCCCTCATCTATAACCTGCTGAAATCGCGTAACTGAAGCCGTTGGTTTTAGCAAGTAAACCCCCCTCCCGGATGGACCGTGTATCCTACATACGCCGCCTACAAGGAGGAGTGGGAAGGCTTGGACTCGCAAGGTCAAACAATTGCTCAGTGCTACGGTCTTGGCCCAGGAACTCCGATAATGGAGGATGACCAAGCTGTGAGAACAATCTTCCAGTCTGGGGACAGATATTATCTCTGGGACCGGAAGCCGAACAGTGTCCATGAATTTGCCTCTCAGAACATACATGAGATTCTTTCTACTATGACCAAGGATGGGCTTAGAGGACTACACATGGAAGCTTTATCTCCTGTTCTTGATGTTGACCACTGAGCATGACACTATGTCGTGAAAGGTTCTGAAACACCGGATTTTAGAATGGGTAGACGCTCTCGATATACATCCGGTAAAATAGAGACAGCCGGATTGGTCACTGAACGACAATAAGGGTCACTGGATGGAATTGAATCCCATGTTTACCCGAACTTGACATAAACACCCTCTGTGTCTTTTGCCAGTTCTGTAGCTCTATTCCTCCATGCTTCCAAAAATAGAGCCGGGTATTCATCTGCATTTTCCGGCAACCCCTTCTGTGTGTGTATAATCGTAGACGAAGCAAGAAGATAGGCTCGTTTAAACGTATCCCATAACTTGTGTTCGAGGCTTCCTGTGGCTGCTGGGTTCGGGAAATAGGGGTCATTTGCCGTCACGGCAGTGACCATCATATCGCAGCTGCGCTTCCAGCTCTCCCTCCAGCTCTCCCTCCAGCTGTCCTTCCAGCTCTCTTTTAGGGGAAGCTGATAAGCCTTGTCAAAGTCGAGCATCCAAAGATGTACCTGCCGTCCTTTGGTATCACCAGCAGGCACACTAAAAGGCTCCACTGCCCCAAAGTTCTCAACGACGGTCGGAAGTTCTCCATCTGTCGTCGCCCTACCGAGTACAAATTCCATGTCCATGCCATCCAAGCAAGCCTCCCAGTGGATGATGGCCAGTCCAATAGCCATTTCTTCCGAAAGTTGGACAGCGTCTAACCGCAGTTCCTCTACCTGATCGAGATAGAGAGGAAAGTTCTGAAGACTGAATGGCATACTAGGCAGAAGCCGCTGTTCCCTCCGCAGTCCAAGATACGGTCGCACAAGACATGCCTTGTTCGCCGGGTGATTGTACGCCAAACGACGCATCTTCCTCGGAAAATAGAGGCGAATGAGAGCTTCACGGGCGGGCCTAGGAAGAGGCCAGATCCGCTGGACTTGGAAAAGATATCCGGGCTGAGTATCGGCGGGAAATCGTGGCAAGTTCTGTCGCCACCAGTTCTCCAACTCGTTCTCACTGAGCCATCCGGTCACTAGGGGCACACGGGGGATTGTGGCAGTTGGGAATATCTCCTGGAGACGAGTCTTGTTCTCTTTCACTGCACGGCAGGCGGTGTTGGTCAGATTTGCGTCAGTCCATAGCGATCGTTTCTGGCTCCCCTTTTTGTATGCGGAATCTGTTTCGGGGATCTCAAAGACTGTGCCGCATGTTCCTCGCCCGATCACAACAAGTGCATTGTCTTGACGGCGTACTGCTGGGTCGATAGGCTCTGCCCAGCTTGAAGAGGTGGATATGATGGAGCGTACGCTCAGGGTCTGTCGCAGGATGTCTTCATCTTCTGTGGGGGCCGCTGCGGCTGCTAGCGCTGCTAGCATTTCTTCAGTAACTCTGCTCAATCGAGTATTTTTTTAATTCGGTATCGTGGCAAGCCACAGAATGGTCTACGTCCTACGAAGACGTATAGGCCAGCTGCCAGAACGAATCTCATTTGGACTCATTCCCCGCCTGATATTGATGCCTTAATGCCTGATTTTGGCCTAGCTCCTGACTGCTTTTGCCACCTCTCTGTACAATGTAATGTGAATCATAAGTTCCTACATAAAATTGAAGCTTTTCCGTCCTATGATACGTCAGGTTTTGCGATCTAGTTTGAGCTCGCAAGACTTCTGTTGCAGTAGGCGAAGATTGTTCGATACCCCGGAAAACATTGCTTGTATGGATCATGTGCGACGCCAGGCTTTAAGAATAAGAGCCCTTTCTAGAATAGAAGCTCGAAAGCAGTTATATATTGGTACGAATGCGTATAATCAGCCTGGTATATACTGTCTCAGTGCCTCTCCGAAAACCACCGTGTACAGGCCACCAAACGGTTTAGCTGCTCTGACCTGGATCATGGGCAGTCAGGCCTAACCTGTCTTCAATAACCTTGACAATCTGTGTCCATTCCAGCATAGCACCACTTCCGACATCCCCACACGCCAACACTTTCGATGCCTGCGGCTGCAAAACCTCAAACCAGCCACTCTCCTCGCCCGTCTCCTCATCCCTCTTGACGCCCCAATCCTCCTCCAGCACGCGGATTTGCTGCGCCGTGACAGGATGCCGCCACATAGCCGTGTTCATAGCAGGCGCGACGACAATGCGTTTGCGTTTCCCATCAACCTGGGCATCTGTATCCCACGCCCGACATACAGAGGTCAACAGGTTATCGCTCAGCCCATTGGCGAGCTTGGCGAGGGTGTTTGCGGAAAGAGGAGCAATGACGAGGATGTCGGCCCAGCGCCGGAGAGATATGTGTAAGATGTCGACGCCGCGGCGCCACGGCTCTGGGCCCCATTCTGCGTCATCGTCGTAGACGGCTTCCACACCGGGAAGGGAGTTGAGGGAGGCGACGGTGGGTTGCTCGGCAGACTGGCCGGCTAGAAATTGTTGGGCTTTGGTGGTGAGGATTACTCTGATTGAAAGTCTGTGGGCATGTGGTGCGAGAGCGCTGATGATGTTTGATATTTTGATCGTCGCGACGGACCCGGTTGCAGCGAGGAGGAGGTGGATTCGATTGTCGGTGGGTAATACCTCAGTTGTGGTTTTGGTTAGGGCATCATTTTTACCATCATTTTGATGGGGTATTTGTGCCATAGTGACTTATGTGAATTAAATAGTGATGCTAAGATCAAGTAATAGGGTCGTTGTCGGTCTTGAGAAAGTGAGGGGTGCGATAAGATTGCGATAAGGATGAAGATAACACCTTATCGATAAGACTGGCGCGCTGGTTGTGTGATGTGTCAGTCCATTACAGGGCTGAACAACTTACTCCGTACAAGCATCAAGAATAGAACTATAGAAGTATCAACTATCAACGAATGGGGTGGTAGAAGACAGACAAGCAGGGATCAGGCAAATTTTCCGTCTCAGCTCAGTCAATTTAGGCTATGTCGCGATGTACTTCGCAAACAGGAGCCTCGGTTTCTGAACACCCATTCGGCGCCCGGCATAATATGCAAGTTCAACTAATGCGAGCGCCACTAAATCAGCAACACGAAGGGTAAGTGGTGCCACGTATCAAAAGCATGGGGACGGAAGAATAACACGAGATGCGGAGCAAGAGGCATATCAGTATCCCATTCCCTGACTTATCGAACTCACAGCACACATGCTTCATCTTTCACCCACCTTGAATCTCTAACAGGCGCTTCGAAATCCTTCCAATCTGCTCCACCAACTACCTCCTAGAGGCATTGCGATACTCTCACGTCCCCAAGGACGGGATAATTGACCCACAAGCATAATGGCTGGCGTAGGCAACATTGACTATGTCCATTCTCTGTCATATACTGATCAATAACGTTCTAGGAAGGTTGTTTTGTTGGCATGCAGGTCAACTACTGTGGCACTGTCTGGACCATTGGAGCAATGGCAGCTGGAGCTGTGCTGAACTCGGGGTATACGTTTCTGATCCGCAATGCATATGGGCAGACTGCAGAGGTCTCCGGCGCAGCTTTAAGCCCTGCTCAATGATAGTATTATGCGCGTATGTATGGAGAGTCACACAGCTAGTGTTGGGAAAGGAACAGGCGCTGTCAAGTAAGGCTCGCAATGTCAAAAGCTAAAACACTCACATTGGAGAATTCGGCGCTTACCTAGGCTTGGCTAGAATCATATCACGGATGTCAGACTTCAGTCCCCATAATCAGTCATAAGGAATGTAACTATGACTCGGGTGTTCTGATGTTTGATAAGTGTAGGGGATTGTGTATCTTAGCGTAGGAGTCATATCGTGGCTTGGTATCTTGTTGATCTTCAGTTCTGGATCGTACGACCAGTAAATCATGCACCTGCCCGAAACCGCCATAATGCGCAAGGCAAAGCTTATTAGTTACCCACCTGCCAAACCTATGATTCCGCCTTGATAGAGGGGGAGTCGGACGAGGAGATTTGAGATATGGTCGCAATCATGCAGAACGAAGAATGAGGCGCAAAATCTGACGAATTACGAGACGAAGGATTATAAGGAAGCCTACTGTATGGCTTTTCCTGTTGATAATGAAGAGCCAGCCTAAGTGTTCTGCAAGACATTCAAGTATGTCGCCCAGGGGCAATGCAAGTACATCGTTGAAACAGCGAGTGGCCACAAATTACGCCAGATGGATACCACCTAGGAAATAGGTTGGTGTGACAGGTTTTGGCTTCGTTTGTCGTTTGCATTCAGCTTGCAGTTTGCTTGAATTGCCGTTGTATTGGGAGAACTTCGTTTTGAGTACCTATAACCAGTACGCGGGAATGCGGAATATAACTTACTTCCATCAAGTAAAGCGTCCACCAGGCGGCTAATATGGCCCAACTGTGTATGTATATCAGTTGTGGAGGAACCAAGGAATACTTATGCGAGCCATTGGTCCCTGCAGCATGTAGAATGTCGTTTGATGCATTCACAATCGATCAAACGACTCATCATCCCCTCCGGTCTGTGGCTGCTCTCAGTGCTCTGCCGAGCCATCTTTCAGCTTCTACTTCGGTTTTGAGATGGAAGTCAGTACGAAAAGTGCACCCCACGACTCATCAGGACACATTTTACTTCGTCATGACTGATGGTTGACTGAAACCATTCCACGGCTTTCGTAGTAGGTCTCAATCGATCAGCAAACCCGCCAGTCAATGTAGGACACTCCATAATCCCATGTATCCTGTAAGTAGCTACCGGATTGAACATGGGAGAAGACCAACCGTTCGAGGAAAGGAAGCGGGGGGGGGGTGGGGGTTGTCCAGACACGAAGACCAATGGGCATGATGTCGTCAAGTGTGAGCTGCAACGCAGCCTCACGAAAGCACAATGTGACACAACCCTCCAATGCGCTCGCCCTGAACGATACGTTCACATCCAAGCCGATAGCAAGCGCTTATGTCGTTTCAAGGCTGTCATATGCTCGTGATTAGTCGTGCCCTCCCTCCCTTTCACTTTATCTTCCCCTTTCCACTCAATCGATCTCCCAACAACTTCAATCACCGGACTAATCAATATACCTGCGCCAACAAGATTCCTGATTGATCTGACGTGCGGAATCGGTTGACGAGGCGCCTTATGACATCCAAGTAGGAAATCAAGGGCCCCAAGCGCGTCCTTGCTGCCTCACTGCCTCGACGTCGGCGGCCTCGACGTCGGCGGCATCGACGTTGGCGGCATCGCTGCCTCGAGGGGCGCTCCGCCCCTCGTCTCACTCTTCACTCTGTAAGGATCTCTTCCACCTCTTCCACCTCTTCCACCTCTTCCACCTCTTCCACCTCTTCCACCTCTTCCACCTCTTCCACCTCTTCCACCTCTTCCACCTCTTCCACCTCTTCCATCTCTTATGCATCACCCTGCAGACCATCTCCATGACGAAAGTTGATACTGACGACTGCAGACAACATGGAGACCGAGGAGGCATCGGTTGTTGTCAGATGATCCACGAGAAACGGGGCTCCAGTTGTTTGCAGCCTCGATGATAGTCGTTGGGTGTTTCAACCCAGTATAATCACAACCCGGCAGCTTGGGCTCGGGAGGAACAAGAGACACCGGACACTGGAGCGTCAAATGGTCATGATGAATCGTCATCGCCCAAGTTCACGGTCGCATCGATGGCGTGGCCATCGTCACAACAACCCCCTGATCGAGATCCCCAACAACAAAGGAATTGGGGCTCGGTGGGAAAGAGCTCAGGGATTGGAACAAGCTTCTGTGCAGTAAGTACGAGGCAGTCGTCCGACAGGGATGTCAATCCACTTATGTGATCTCATTACTTACTTATTTTGCTCCCTAGGACGTCCGATAACCACCGTTGGTCCGCCGTCCCGAGAAGAGCAAGTCATCTCCGATGAAGATGGTTACGCTCGCAATCCGAAGAATTTCAGTTACTATAAATTGAAGCCCACCAGACTTCCCAGGTGCTCCTATGTCACCGTGAGACAGGAAGAGCTGATGAGTTTTTCCAGCCATGCAACGTGTCTCGCTGCCAGGCCGCGGGGGATATCGGTGGAGAATACCATTTGGAATATGCCTCCGCGGGCTGTCGCTGCTGCACCGCACTGGTGCTTGCTCGTTCTTCTTCGGATGGTGTCTCGTTGCCAGGCCGCGGGGGATATTGGTGGAGAGTTCCACCTGGAGTATGCCTCCGCGGGCTGTCGCTGCCGCACCGGTTCTTGCTCGTTCTTCTTCGGATGGTGTCTCGGGCTCGGCTAGTGCTGGAACATATGGATCCATCGAGCCTCTGGCATCACAGCTCCAAACATGTGCTCAGAGCTTGATCGGAAGTACTGGAAACGCCAGACCGATGCTGTCATAGGACCACCTGGAGTCGATGAATCGAATCTGGATAATAAATCCGTGGAGCGTCTGGTGTGGGAAAACCACGATGGGGGGGTCGTGACTCGTTGAGGGGAAATTGGAAAGACGCGTTCAACGACAACACACTCATTGTCCCTCACATCATGCCGTTCCTCAACGAGGTCGAGACTCCCACCCCTAAGTGTGCTTTTGAGAAGCTCGTCCAGGACCTTGGCGATGCCCTAGCCCCGAACTCAGGCCTTGATTCTGACAATGTCGATCCCAAGGACATACAACGTCTGATGGAGAACTACGTCTCGAACTCAGACGAGTGGACTCCATATGCGCTGGGTGACGCGTGGTCTCACTGAGATGGGGCTCCTTCCGTCTATCCAAGATGATAACATGAATGCGGATGCGCCCATATATGGCAACTTCAAACCATCTTTGCAGGCTTTGGTCTGTCACAGAGGTAATTCAGTTGACTCAGGCCACAATCTTGCCGGGTAGGGGTCGTCGGCAAAAACCGACTCTCCGTTGTCTTCGTCAAACGTGGCAACGTGCCAGGAAACGGGTTGTTTCGCGTGGCTGGTGCATAGTATTGAAATTTTACGTGTTTTACTTTGTCGCTGCCTGGAGTACAAATGAATGTACATAGTCTTACTCCTCATTCTTGGACAATTCTCCAACTATATTCCTCGTTGAGTTAAATTCACGATTCCATATTCAAATCCCCATTCCGCAGAATCACACTACACTAAGACTAAAGATTCTCTGCCTACGGAGTAGGTTGTGACACAAATTTCTCATAGATTGTCTAAACATCTAACTATATCCGCCATAGGAATGACCAGATGGTCTGTGCAAGAGCAACGGGGAGAAGAGAATTGTTTCTCGCCCATGTTATGGGCTTGATCAAACAGAAAGGGAGCAGAGACTAGATTGTTCCTCCGACAATTCTCCAGTTCTGCCTAGACGACTGAGAATCCGACAAACCCTTCTCATCCTTGAGAGACGGCTACCAGCAATCATCAGTCTAGCATGCAGAGTGACGGAAGCCATTCAACGTTCCAAATATGTCAGATAGTTGTAGCTCAAGTCAAGGTCACGAAGAGGGGTCAATTCGGACCTCAAAGTCTACTGTAGTCACGGACTTGTTGCTCAGGTTCAGGCTAAGCAGGCCATTGAGATCGATAATCCCATCAATATTGCGGATCCGGTTGTCAGTCACCTTCAACTCCCGAAGATAGATCATAGATAAAGCTTGAGAAGTCATCCAGTGCCTCAATATCATTCCCTGAAACACACGTGTTGCAGTGGGAAATTCGTGAATCATAGCCTTGTAGGGATATAGCCATGCCAGTTGGCGGGAAGCTCGCCTGCCGCGCGTCGGTTCCAGTGGAACCTGACAATTGAACAGAAGATTTTGTTTCTTTTTTAGAAAGATACTGTACACATGTACGGTTCACCTTTGGTATACTGTACGTGTACATCTTGAAGAGTAAACAGAAATGAAGCGGTCTGATTGGCCGAGCCAGGATGAGATGGGACGGTCGATGCCTGACATGTCAGGTTGTCTACTGAGAGGGCCCGGGAGCCTGAGGCAACTACCATCTATAATTGTCAATTGTTTGGAGTCTGCTCCTCTGCCCGTTCCTTTTTGTCCTCCATAATCCATATTTGCAGATTCTGAGATTATATGAATAGTCCACAATTTCTCTCTAATTTGACCAGAACCTCCCCTAAGCGGGTGTCGAGAGTGATGTTGGATCATCTGCGCATGATACGGTTCCCGGAGCAACGCTTATTCCGGCACTCCTCCTGAGATCTCTCAACTCAACCTTCACTCCACCAGATCCGTTTTGCAACATTCAAACATGGAAACCGTACAATATATCATCTTAGCATTTGTTCTCATTCTGATATTTGGTCCTGTAAGTCACTTGAGTTTATTGGCCGTGGAGGACGAAGATAAAGCGAAAGTAGAAGAGCGCCGCGCTCTTTCATTGCTTTATCAAAACCATACCTATGGCCCAATATAACTATTGTGTCAAAATTTGCAAGCTGACAGGTCACTGAACAGGCCATTCTTGTAGACCGCTCACCCATTCCAGAAACTTCTGGGAATGTTTACAAAATTGGCAAATCCTCTGAGCTCGACGCTCTCTTATCATCCACTGCCCACGTTGTGATCGACTTTTACGCCGACTGGTGTCCCCCCTGTCGTGCTATCGCTCCAACTTTCTCTAAGCTAGCCGATGACTGCGCTGTGACTGGCCAGCTCGCTTTTGCCAAAGTCAACGTTGACCATGCCAAAGATGTTGCTAAGCGCTACAATATCACATCCATGCCCACCTTTCTATTCTTTGAGAATGGAGAGCCGAAGCCGGTTGCGATTACAGTCAAGAAGCGCAGCGCCCCTGATGGGATGACTGAGGAAAGGCTGATCGAGAAGGTTCAAGGCGCGGATATACACTTGCTGAATGGTGTGGTGCAGACATTGGCTGGAAAGGTACACGGCTAATGCACGTGCATGGAACTATTCAAAGTAAGCAAGCAGTTAAATTTGCAGGAGACCCTTCTATTAGCGAGTCAGATGTTAAAACAGAATTGTGTCGCCATGATCAATTCAACCTCGAAACAATGGATGGATACATGTCTGTACGCACATGGTAGCTGCACGTACTCTGTTTCGCCGATTGAGTCCATTGATACCAGTGCTAATATTCCTACAGACCTTGAAGACGTCCAATCTGATACGGGTAGTTCAAGAGATCAACATTGCAATTATTGAAGACATGCCGAAAAGTTCGCTTCGCTATATACCATTCCTGCAAATAACAAACTAAAAGCTTATACTACTCAACCAATCTGACCCTAGTCGGCAACCCCTGCGACGGTTTAGACGTGACATCCAAAACCTGGTACATGTATGCCCCTTCCTCATACACAGTCTCAAAATCAAAAGTCCTCACCGTCATGACCAATGCAATCTTCAGCTGCATCAAAGCCAACGTCTGGCCCAGGCACATGCGTGGTCCCTTCTCAAACGGTCTCCACGCGTCGCGCGGGACAAAGTATGGGTCCGTGGGGTCCGTCACAAGGTGCCGCTCTGGGTAGAAATTATCTGCATCCTTGAAGAGATCCTCCCTGTGCATGGTGGCGTGGTTGTTGACGAGGACTGCGAAGGGGTAGGTGGGCCACTCTTTGCCGTCTGCATGGAGGCTTCGGTCTGGTTGGCCGCGGCGGAGGCTGATGCCTGTTGGAGGCCAGAGGCGGAGGGCTTCTTTGATGACGGCCAGGGTGTAAGGGAGATTGTTCACGAGGTTGGGGTCACTGCGGAGCATATTTGCCGCGGCGGAGGAGTCGGTGCCGTATAGGGCATTGTGTTCTTCTCTGAGTTTGTGGAGGACTCGGGGGTGCTTGCTCAGGGCGGCGTATGTATACTGACTACTGTTAGTGGCGGATGAGAGCAAGGCCGTGAGGAACTTACGCAGAGAGTGCTGGCTGATGTGTCATGAGCAGCGAAGATGAGCGTCTTGACAGAGGTGATGAGCATGTCCCGCGTAGATTTATCCACAGCGGTGGTAGGTGGTGCCTTATTCAAGGTGCGGCTGGTCGAAATGGCGTCGTCGATGGCGTAGAATTTGGCCTTTTCGCTTGGAATGGCAGTTGGGCCGCTGGCGACTCGTTCGTCTACCAGACGACCGACGTAACGGTCTAAAGCGCGTCCGTTGCTCCACTTCCGATAGTATCGGCTGGGGCTGACGTCGTAGAGATACCGAGACCAGAAGTCCTGAGGTGCCAGGGCGGCCTGTTTCCGGAAGAGCTCGAGAAATTCATCGTCATCCCCCAGCGCATTGCACTTTGTTCCCCTATACCGTGTCAGTTGACGCTTGATCAGCAAACAAAGGACATGTAGCTTACAAGATGACCCAAGCCGAGATGTTGAATATCATCCTCCCGCACAGATCTTCCAGTTTGAAGACGTCATTTCTAGCCGAATGTTCTCTCAGAACATCAGCAAAAGCCAGCGCCTCATCCACGATAACCGGAACATGCTCCAGCAGTTTCCGCGGCTGGAAGCCCGGAGCGAATGACTTGCGTGCAATGAACCAATCATGTCCATTTGCAGTGACCATGGATTTTTCGCCAAGGATAGGACCGGTCCATTTCTGCATGACAGCCGACTCCTTGGGAAGATTCATTTTGTGGACGATTTGCGTGGCCAATTCCGGATGGGCGATGACAAGCTGCGGCGGCGCGAGCGGCCACAGATCCAGATAGAAGAAGTTACCCAGACCGTACTTCTGGCGCATCAATCTCGCGAACAGCTGTGGGTTTGCATCCTTGGGTAGACTGCTTGCGATCTCTCGCATTATAAGAAAGTGACCCCAGATAGCGTGATGCGGCGGCCCAGGGAGATCTTTGAACATGCTGCGTTGCTGGCGCAGTCTCACGAGGAAGTAGCTCGCGAGAGCGACTGGGATGAGAAGTAGAGCGAGCATTGTTGTATTCGGGCGTTGAGGACAAGGAGGCGTCGCTAGTGGAGTAGATGCAGAGTTGGAGTGGTGATGAGACAGCGAGGTAAGCCAAGTATTCAGCTCCGAACATACTGTTGAGTACAATTGTGTTTGATGTGTTGTTTTGAAGTGAGTCGATCGAGCTTTTATATTGCTTCTCCGGGGGCCAAGGCAGATTCCGTGATGCTTGTGTCGTGATGTTGAATCTATTTCTGGCTTTCTGGGGCCGTGTTACTGTATACCGACCCTGGCTTACAAGCTGCAGGGTCTCTAAAAATAAGCGCTGCGGGGCTGAACACCAGCCTTGGCGGGCGATTGCTTGGTATTCCTGGCATTGCTTATTTCATGTGGCTACTTAACCTTAAGTACGAGGTTAGGGCTGTGCCGGGGGTCGCCCCCACGTCTTATCACTTCATATGTCTTAGTATACGGTTCAATCCATGTGTCTTTCTAGATGATATGGATTATCAGGCCATGTGCAATGTCATTGCTCAGAATCTTCGGAATATCCCCTACGTAATTGATTTTGCCTCCCCTCTGCGATACGCAGTCTGTGTCAGACGGGGACGGGGGCCATGGGGCCGGATGATCGATCACACGCCTCCAAAAGAAGCAACAACAATCGTGACATCTTGTTGGAAGTAACTAAAATAGTCTAGAGTTATAGTAGTAGTATGCTACTGTACAAACATTGTCGATCTAGAAATTTCTCAACTGTTGCACCCATCTCCTTGATTCCTTCCAAGCTCACTATGTTCGCCCTACGAGACGCAATTTACCTGATCGAACTGGCATTCTATGCCCCCATCGTCCCTGCTATTCTCTCCATCCTCCTTCTCCATGGCAACAAGAGTCCTTACACATGGCGTCCGATCGTAATTCCCCTCATCATTCTTTCCGGCTTGCGAATCACCGCAGCAGGACTCGGCCTAGCAGCCATGGACCCCGCGAAATCCAATCTCCTACAAACAGCAACTCTCCTAGACACAATTGGCCTCGCGCCAGTTTTGTGCCTCTTGATAGGACTTCTGATTCGGGCGTAAGTCAACTGCTCTCTTCGTCCCATCTTTCTAACACCGATTTCAGCAACGCCCCCGTATACAAAGGTCTCCCTTTCTGGGTCTTCATCCCACTGCACATGATTACCATTGCTGCTACGGTAATGACCGCATATGGCGGCAGAGATCTCTATGCAAGCCGGGAAAGTGAAGCGCAAGACCTCCGCTTAATGCGTGCTGGCATCGTCCTTTTTATCGCCCTTTTCACTGTGATATTTCTCCTCTCTGTCATCACCATGCTCAAAGTGCGAGTAAAGTTCTACCGCACTGAGCGTGCGGCTGTTGTTTGTGCTTTGCTTTGTGTTCCATTTATGAGTGTGCGGTTGTCATTCTCGGCTGGCTCGTTGTTCTCGGGGGCGCGGTCTGTGCTGTCCCCCATGTCGGGAGATGAGACGGGTATCTGGCTTCATTTTCTTATGGTCATTGTTATGGAGTATATAGTTACACTGTCCGCCACGGCTGTTGCTCTGACTGCAAGGAAGGTGGTGGTTTTGACGGCGGGAAAGGATGAGGAGTGAGATACAATCCGGCGACAAGTCTAGCATTTGTCTTGATGTTCTACGTCCATGTATGTCTTTGTTTAACGTTACTTATTCAGCGTTGATTTCCATTTTGTCTTTTATCTAGGTTGTCTTCTGATAATGCTCAATAATCCACTATACACCTTTTGTCTGTAGGCGCAATCCAGCTCATTGTTAGGGTAAATTCGATGGCTTTGGTAACTGCATGTTTATTGGCATGGAACGCTGATATTAATTGGACCATATCGGTACAATAATGTAACTAATTCAATTCAGCTTTAATAGCAAGAGTGAATGTTGGCATACGCTTCTTCGTGTAGATCATACCAACTCGATGGCTTCAGGACAGAGAAGATAGGTCAACCGACCTACTGCTGGAAGGCGTTGCCCGAGGCATACTACAGCAAACCAGGCCATTCACAAACATGAGGCTTCTAATATTAGACGCGACGCTCATGAACCATGAGATATGAACAATGTTACAATAATGTCTCAGATAATCTTTTTTAAGCTCACTAACACTCTAGGACGGTAGTAGAAGGTAATGCAGCCCTGTGGACAGCGTCCCTGGACTTTTAGCCCCATGGTATTTTGGGATCAGAAGCACCCTACGTACGTTGCTTAGGGTTTTGAACTACCCCAAAGCTAAGACCCACACAGGAGTCCGAGTATTTCTCTACTGGGGCCAATATTTTAGCTTAGACCGCCTCGTTTCTTGGGCTGCCCTCGACCGAAACTAGCTTGTCAGGGCCTACTGGATGGCCCCCGCAGCCCCCGGCCCCGACGATCTCTCATGTCAGATCGGAATCATCTGCAAGAAAACATGCGTATTCCTTCAGGTCTAGAAATTAGGATACTTTTGTTAGAATGCTTGTAAATGCTTGGTTTCAAATCATTAGTGGCAGTGTTCGTATTTGTTTTGTTGCTATGGGGGCCATATCACACCACGATAGCTTGAAGATCTACTAATAAGCACTCGATGCACGTCAAAATCCACAATTCCACACTCACGATCTACTTCAACTACTCTACAACACATCTCACAATGGAAACCACAAAATTGCAAATGGACATGCACAAGTCCAACTCCTGGCTCTACTATAAGCTCGGTATCCACACCCTAGGCCTTGTCCTTCGATCTGGCGTCACAATCACCAGCCCCGACCCCAAAGAAGACATAAAACTCCAATCCACATCAGATGTACACTATGGAGGGTCCATAAAAGTCATCGTGGTAAGTCTGCCAAACACCCAAACATAAAGCGACATAACTAACCCAATCCAGGCCGGACTTCCCCGCACAGGCACAATGAGCATGAAGCACGCCCTCGAAGAACTAGGCTACGGCCCATGCTTCCACCTCGCCGAGCCTCTCTGCCAATTTGACAATCTCCGTCAAAGTGCCGCCATAGTCCACACAAAAGACACGGCCCTCCGACGGCGCAAGCTAGCCAAACTCTTCCAAGACTGCGAGGTCACCCTCGAGGTCCCCGGTAGCGCATGCCTACCCGATCTCCTGGAAATGTACCCCGAAGCAAAAGTCATCCTGACAGAACGCACCTCTGCAGCCGTCTGGCTACGCTCATGGCGCGGCTTTGGCATCGATCTGAGGTCCGATTGCTTCCGCTGGCTTGGGTACTGGGTTCCTGGTATGGTGGCGGCGAACGATCTCTACCGCGGGTGGATGCAGCTTTTGGCTGAGCGGCTTGGGGTGGAGGCGGAGCCGTCTGAGGAGTTGTATCATATGTACAATGCGTGGGTGAAGAGCACTGTGCCGAGGGAGAGGTTGTTGGTCTTTAAGTGTCAGGATGGGTGGGGCCCGCTTTGTGAGTTTTTGGGGAGACAGAGACCCAATCTCTTTCCCCATGGTAATGAGGCTGGTTATCTGCGGTATTATAAGCGGGTGGCGATTGTTTTGGGGGTTTTCTTGTGGTTGGTTGTTCTTGCTATGGCTTTTCTGTCGTTGTTGTTGCTCTCCGCTTGAGTAGACTGCTTGTGTCTTATTTTTATTTGGTCTTATACCTTGGTGTTTTGTGGAGCATGTATGGACTTATCCTTCAATCGAACGAGTCCCATTTTGTATATGCTAGATAAATTAGCCAACTGGCGAATAAATGCCAACTGGCAAATAAATGAGCCAACTGGCGTATTGTTTTTGACTATACTATGGCGTGCATTCTTTCTAGAAATCATATCCCGACAAGTACTCGTGGAACTATGCCAGACATGTTGCTCCAGCACATAAGAGGACATAACTCCAAGGAACTCTTTTCAAGCAGATATCCAGTCTTGGAAGCAACGCCACAGCTACAACTACAAGAACAGGCTAGCTTGGCCCCCGCCGGTACCCGCAAGGACCCGCAGCTTCGAGGGGGCGCAGCTCACTATCTCTATACGCAGTACAACCTTATACTCGTACAACAACCATTTGTGCCGGCGCGGCCGGATTCGGCGCCCTCCTCGATCGGGTTTGGCGTCCGCCCTCGGGTGCCCCGTTCGGGTTGAGCCGGTCCCGATGCGGTTTGGCGTGGCGCTAGCCCCAAAATGGCATCGAGATCCATCCTATCTTCTTTAGGCTTAGCACGTCCAAAGATGGCCTAGCGGCCCACGCCTTCCCTGAATGGGGGTTCTGCCTCCCTCCACCGCCAGCTGGCCCCACCGACACAAGTATATAACTCGGTGCGTCGCTCGACGTCCTCACTCTCGTCTGCTACATTTCGCTCTCGCCCGGCCAGGCCCAGCGACCTCGCCGCCGTGAAATGATACCGTATTCCCGGATCACACGGCACTGGACCCCCTGTTTCAGCTGGTTGCCTCACGCACGGTACCCCTTCTCCACAGGCTGGAGCACCGTCCAGACCGCCGGCAGCGCTGTCTACTGGTCCTACTGGTCCATCGCCCTGGTGTTTACCTTTTCAGCTGCGGTTGCCGGTCTACAATCTTGGCTAGAGAGAATTTGCCTTCTGGATACGTGCGAGCTCCCACCACCTCGCCTGTATATCTCCGTCTCTCTCTCGTGGGCATCAACAGTGCCCAGTTGTTGGCAGGAGACTGGATTGACTCTCGTCTTTGCACAAATGCGCCTACGATACGACGTTACCCGACTATCGCTCTTTCGTGCGCTGTCCAATCTGCGTACCCGTGTGCCATTGGCTCGTCTTCTTCGCCGATCCCTCGTCTTGACGCCGTGGCGCAGACTGACCAGGTGTCTCACTTGTTCGGGCAGCCTTTTGCCTCGTACAGCTGCCTCGGAGAACTCCGCATCGGAACTTCAAACGCTGTGATGGCATTGGCCGCTCACTTGGATGAACTCCTTCGGCCGCGCCCTGGTATTCTCCAAGGGCGGTCCTTTGGTTCTGGACGTCTCTTAGCAAGGCGCAGCAAGGCTGATCGATGACGGAGAGGTCGGTCCAAACCTGACGATGTGACACTATCGTCCAATTGGAAAAATGCCGCATGCTGTAGCGGCTTGCTATCTGACCCCTTAGTTATTCTTTCTCCGAAAGTTTGTGTATCACGATCCATCACCGACGGGCCGCACTTTGGCTCCGCGATAATGTCAGTCCCATCTAATTTCCCAAGCCGCCCCGGATGGGAAGCCAAGGTCAAATGAAGGGAGGCCTCAGGGGCTGCATATAAAGAGTCTTGGGATTCCTCGTTCGGAGAAGGATGCTGGACATGTGTCGCTAGCGTTTCTTCTATTCATCTCAGTATAAAGAACCCTCCTCCGCATGAGAGCGAACGAACTGGATTTTCAGAATATAGTGCACCGTCCCTGTTGTTTGCTCTAACCGCTTCTTTCTCTCCTGCCTCCTGTGCAAACCATGGCCCCTATCGATCTCGACAATATCATCCATTACCACCCTTCCCCCCTCCCAAATGCCCCTTGCAAACCATTACACCTGACCACCTGTCGTGTTTCTTCCCATTTCCCCTCGAATCTGCCCATCCTAATCCATCCTCTGCCTCCCCGGCCCCCGTCCCTTTCTCATGAGTCGCCGCGAACACCTCATCCTCACCGACAGAGTCCTCCTCCTGTTGTGTCATGTTTGCCTCGCGATCGCGACGCCCGCCCGAACAAGTTTGATAAGGAAATGGCAAACTTGGAAATAGCCGAATTTGAGGGCCAGGAGACTTCAGGATCATGCTTTCGAGGCAGCGAGGAGAGTCAATCACAGGATATCAACGACATTCAAAGAAAGGAATTGCATGATCAACACTATGGTAAGTGACCTGCTCGTCGGCTGGCTCCTCTAGCTTTTCAAGTCCCCCTCGGGTGCCATTAGTTTTCAAGTTCAAGACAAGTGAAATGTGCCAACTTCTTATTTTTAAAGTAGCCGACCACGACCACGATCATTACAGGGAGGATTTAAGGCTCCTCTCAGAGGATCCTGCTACGCAGCAAGACACCGCCGCCTCATCAAATGCTGCCGAGACAGGCCTCTCATCAGCAGCCAGCGCACCCACTTGCCCTGTGGGAGCTGATGGTTCCGTTTCACCGAACGAACCATGTCCCGTTCAAGGTTAGTAGTGTGTCTGATGATAGGGTTTTCCTAGGCTGCTTCTCATCATACGACTACAGATCTTTCACCCACTGAACGCAATGAAACCCAGCTTTCCATTTTTGGCTGTGAAACAGAGGTCAACAGCGTGACAGCGGGTAATGTTTCAAGAGATCAAACCCCATCGCCTAATCCCAGCACTTCTGTTCCAGCTGGAGATGAACCAGAGCCAGCGAATCAGCGGCTTCTTAGGGGGACTTCTGAAACTGGAGCAGAGTCCAGAAAATCAAGTCCTCTACCCGTCACGGAGGCACATTCCATCGGGTTGCACGCGAGGGACCTTTCAGCAACTCGCGACAGCCCCCTGGACTTGCGGAGCGACGGCAGTGACATCCATTCAACAGATTGTTGTCCTGACGACGAAGCGTTGTCAAGGCCTATCTCGCCCGTTCTGCACCAAAAAAGGCAGGCAGTTTCCAGGTCAGAGGGAAATGATTCACCAAGAGATTTATCTAGGTCGTGCTCCGTATCGGTTGTTGTACCTGTAACCCGGTCCCGTGGGCTACCAAAAACAAGGTCCACTAGAGCCGGCTCCACATGCTGTACAGGGAAAAGGAAAAATCGAGCAAACTCCCCCTGCAATGTTGACAGCGATGATCCTGATGATCCTGATGACAGTGACTATACGCATGGGAACGATTTCGGTATCGGTGACATCGCCGTGTTGCCACGTCTAACGAAGAGGCCGAGACGAAGTGCTGTAACGAAGATCCAGTCCACTCAGGCTCGACGTGAAAGCCCGTATCGCGTGCTTTCCTCCCCGGCTCCAGAAAAGGAAATTGCAAATCCGTGTTCCGGCACAAGTTTGCAGGATATACAAACCATTCCTATCAGAGGCTTCCTTACGCGGCAAACGTTTCTATCAAGAGTCATCTACTCGTGTACCTTCGAGGAAGATAGGCAACTTTCTTGTCCGCATGAGCGAACAAAAGCTCCTGCGTACGAAGAAAGCTTAGACAGGGCAGGGCACACCACGCAGCCTAGTAACAAAAAGCCTTCAGCGCATGCGACCCGTTTCCTGCCCGCTGAGGACGAACTCTTGATTGAACTGAAGGAAAAGCGAAGTCTTCCATGGAATCGAATCGTGAAGCATTTTCCAGGGAGGACCAAGGGTGCTCTTCAGGTTCACTATAGTACGAAGCTCAAGGACCGAGGAACTAGAAGTCTCAGGCGGGGTCGGAGTGGAAGGGTTACATGTCCTGCGACTGCGGCTTCACGCGGCTAAATTTCTATCCCCCTTTTTCCTCGGCAAGTCGAACCTCCAGAAGCTTGAGAGTGGTGCCTTCAAGGCAGTCTTTTGACCGTTTGTGAAGGCGGGCGGAAATCACGGGTATAATTCGTTCTTTTTGGGTGCGATACAAGTATGACAGGTGAACCCTGACTGGAAGCCTGCAGTGCAGCCTCACTTTCACCCCGCTTTCTCTTGACGTTTCCACGACCAGCACTTCACAATATTTTCCTTCCTCCATTCCCCACAAATCCATAGGACAGGCCATTTTAAAGCAAAAATTGGGTTGTAATACAGTCCACTATGGATTCCAGGATCCTACTCCACGACGATTACACGGTCGGATGGATAAGTGCATCGCCGGTGGAGACGGCAGCTGTGAAGCTGATGTTGGACAACATACACCCTCCTTTACCTCGCCCGGCGATGGACCAAAATACTTGTATCCTTGGAAGCATCGGGGAACACAATGTCGTTATTGCTAGCTTACCGAGTGGCGCATATGGCAATACGTCAGCTGCAACGGTTGGGATGCAGTTGTTGTGCAGTTTCACGCCATCCGCTTTGGTTTTATGGTTGGTATCGGGGGCGGAGTGCCAAGCAGCAATACGATATATCAAGGTTGTAAAAGTTGCCTTTAATGCACTACCCGAGAGGATGGGGTTGTCTCGTGACACGGCTATTTCGGGGTGATCCACTCAACCGTGAGAGCTGCCCACCCGTGAATTACGATACAAGTAGCAGTGACTAACAATTATTTTCATAGCAGAAACCACCACAGCCAGACTGGCCATTGGGACAAGTACAGCAGATCCTGGGTAGCATCAAACCATTTGCATCACGATTAGGTGCTGGACTAGCGGAGACAGCAGAAACCGAGAAGAGAATAACAGGGACAATCCTCATAATGTTCATGATTCTCAAACTAAATCATTTCAGTTTAACAAACACTATGTGATAGTAAGTAGCAATGAAAGGCACCTTTAATAAAGCTTGTATGGAATAAGGTGAGAGTCTAGTTCTAGATCATCGTCAGAACATCCTGCGGCAAAGATAATGCTAATTGGAAATACCTTACCCTTCCAAACTATCCTTGATAGGTTGAGGTAGATGTGAAAAAGAAGATGGTAATAATGAAGCATTTAAGATGGAAATTCAAGACTTTATATACCCTGACGGAATACGGCTACGAATGCTCTCAAGGGTGCACTGGAGTCAGAGCTGAGCCAGTGGCCTGGAGAACGGTATTTGGAAAATGGCTCAACCGTTCGAAAGCTGCCTGGCCCTTCCAGTACAGTAAAAAGGGACGATTGTCTGTCTGATACTTCGGCGGGGACGAGATCGTGTGGGGCCGGCTCGTATTCTGCTGTTCGAAAAAAGCCGCACGTTATCTGGGCACGACGTGGCTGAGCCAGATTGGACATACAGGAGACGAAGCTACAAGCTCCTGACAAATAATGGAAATGAACAGCCCCGTTGCAATGCCCCATTGTCCACGCTGCAACTCGTATGTTACAGTGACCAACATAGTACGAGAAGAAGGCTTGGATCTGGGGCCTAGGAAATATGGCATAAAGTGGACATATCATGGACTTAACTATGAGGAAATTTAACTTGGGCAGCAGGGTGAAATAAATTCTTGCATCTGTCGCGGTACATGTAAGATAAAGAAGTCTAGGTTAGACAAAGAGCTAGAGGGTGCTTGCGCCGTGATGCACACACATAGAATAAGCGGAGAAATCTGTCAATCAAGATGGGCACTCAAGAAGGCGTACACAACGGCAAATGTTCAGCGGAAGACCAGGGAGCGGGGAGAAACGCCGAGCCGGGGGAAAACCTTAGCGGGGAGAAATGCTGAAGCAACGAAGGCTTTTAACACTCCCGAGCATGGCAGAGCGGGGCAATGTGAGGCTTGAGTGTTGAATGCACACACTGTACGCAAAAAGGTCAAAAAGATAGGGGTCGACCAGTATTACGTGGCATAGGACATTATGAACCACCAATGGCAAGGACGAAACTTCCCTCGCTTCAATGAGCCCGAACCCGATTGAGATTTGAGGCGTTCTAGAAGGAATTAAAGCCGACCAGATCTACAATAGTGACCGACCAATCAGCTTGCTAATCTAATTAAGCTTTTCGGTAACCTTATTTACGGACTCTACTAAATTAACTGAGATCAAAGAAGTCATGGACTTTGCGGACTGGGCGTTCGGGCCGACCGGTTTACCTAGACTAGAGGTCGCACGTTCTTGAATCCTTATCTTCCACGCCACATCGACACCGATATGCAGAGCGTTATGAACGGCCGCGAATCCAACAAGTCTCTGATGCGCGCGATCACCCGGATGAGTAGGTGGATTGACAAAAGACGCCCTCGACATCTTACTTCGGAGCAGCGAGCGTCCCTTCGCGAACATCCAGAATATGTCGAGGCCACTCGGCGAATGAGGGAGCAAGCCGAAGAGTGCAAATGCGATCCCAGTGCAGCGATGCAATCGCGATTAGAGAAATTGACACGCGAAACCTCCAATACATTCGGTCGGTTGGAAAGAGCAATGAGACGAAAGGTCCGCCATGAGTTCGACCGCAAACAGGCCATAATAGACATTGAGCGACAGCTCTCGGGGGCTGCTGTTGATGACGAAGAGGCGAAGAAGGTACTTCAAGTAGAAGACCAGATGCTACCTGAGCAGGTTGATCTTCTTGAGAAATTATTCACCTGGCCTACCTCTCAATCCCTGGAGGCGGAGTGGCAAAGAAGGAACGCTGCTGTGGCTACGATCTCCCAATACTGCTGTTTCCTTGAAGGTGGACCCTTGCGTGGGCGACGTAAACGGGCTGCACCAAGTGATGGGTTCGATGAAGAACAGATCAAATTCCCAGAGCCGGCCAAGAAGAGTTGCAGCTCTCCGGAGCCCTCGCAGCAGGATATTCTTCTTGTGAAAGCCGAAAATTACATCAAAAAGGCAAAGAAGCCTCGACGATGTTTTCAATGTTATGGCGACACCCATCTTCCTATTCATCGCCGGACGCAGAAGTATAGCGAATACAAGTCGACTCTACGCCACTTTCGAGAGAAGCACTTGCAGGATCGAAGGTGTTATATGTGTGACGAGGATCTGCTACATGAGATGCATCTTCGCAGGCATGCAGAAGAAATCCATTGCCTCAGCATTGAACGGAATTACTATGTCAAAGAAGATACGGGATCAGACATTGACACGAACAAGCGCGAGCAAGGGCGCCCGTTCTTGTGGCAGCCGGTGAACTGTGCGACGCAGCATACTGCGCACGCTTTCCGGTCTGGATTTGGTGGCTATGGCCATCGTGTACCTCTCTTCAACTGGGGCCGCGCTCAACCGGCCATGCAAAGCGTCCCTGACCATGGCCATCACGAACGGTTGGGGAGACGTGGTGAACATGTAACAGCGACTGGTATAGCGCAGCTCTTCAATGATCGTAGGGTCTCCGGCCAGATAACCGCCCGGCAGACTGAAGGCCCTGTAGAATGATTCACTGACCAGAATCCGGGCGGAAAGGATCTGAGAGAAGCGGACGAGGTCGACGGCGGACGCAATCCCCAGCTGGGATGGCCCCAGGCGCCCTAGTCCGTTGGTGTCATTGAGGAGGACCGTCATGCCATGGGTCATGCGCCTCTTGCCCGCCAGTTGCGTTGCGAGAGCCATCAGATCCATGTAGCCACCGTCGACCACCGGGTCCAGGTAGAGTGTGAGATAAGTCGCGCTGCGCGATGACAGAGCCTCGAACAGCGGGACCAGGGCATCCCGATCGGCGTACTTCAGGCAGACGGTTCCCGAGTTCTTTGTGGCCACCCGAAAGCCTTCCTCGGCGGTCGAAGGCAGATTCGCGGGGACCAGGAAATAGTGTCGTCGACAAGCAATCACCGGACGGCACAAGCCGGCAATGGTCGACATGAGGCCCAAGTCGGAATCCGGGTAGGTCAGCGCGGCCGGCTGCCGTGTCAATTGTGCTGTGAGTTCTTCGACCTCGAGATGTGGTGGGAAAGTGCCCAGAATCCACCGAGCACTGCCTGACCCGAGACCGTACATCTGGCGGGCAGCATGGCCAGCGGCAATCTCCGCCGCGGAGATGCCAGAACGCTGTGTCGCCACAGGCTGCTCAATCTGCTGCTGCAGAATGCGGCTGAGGTATGCGTGCGCTTCTTGAGCCTCCCTCTGCAGCTTCCGCATGTCCACCGGGTTCGGCGCGCATCTGTACATTTGGCGCGGAATGTTGGTTGGTCTGCTGAGTCCGATGCGTTGACTCGCGGTGATAATGGCGTCGATCAAGGCGTTCACGTCCTCATCACTGTACGATGCGGACAAGGTGACGCGCACTCGACTTTCCCAGATCTCGACCGCAGGAGCACTGACCGGAGAGGCCACCAGCCCCTGCTGACGGAGAACGTGAGACAATTCCGCCGCCTTGCTGGGTCGGCCACCATACACGGGGAGCATGGGCACGTAAACATCGCCATAAACGTGAACCCCTTGGCGGGCCAGTTCTTCATGACAGAAGCGAGACAGATCGAGCAAGCGGTGCAACTGGCTCACCAACCGGCGCGGCTGGCGCAACATCGACAACGTCTGCAGCATGGTGGAGGTTGTGAGTGACTCGCCTCGCTCCGCCAGCTCCTCTGCCCGCTGGCGGAGGCCTTCCTGGAACGGAGCAGCGGCGCACACGAATCCGCCTAGTCCGCCGACTGCCTTGGACAGGACAGCGCTGCGAACGTCAATCACATCGCCAGGGACCAGAGCTTCGGGGTGTTGGTCGTTCCACATCTCCAGACAACCTCCTCCGGTTTTCCCGATCGAGCCGAACGAGTGTGCTTCATCCGCGTATAAGGTGAAGTTGAATTTCTTTTTGAGGCCATACAGGCGATCCAGCGGTGGGATGGTCCCATCCATACTAAACCCAAGGGAGATGGTGTTAGTGGTTACTCAAGACAGATTTGCACCGCAGGCGGGAAGGAAGGTAGCTCACCTGTAAAGACCCTCCACGACCACGATAATATCAGAGTGTTCCCCATGAGTTGACTCCAGGATGGACTGCAGATGCGCCATGTCATTATGCCGGAACCTCTTGCGGGCTCCGGCTCGGGACATGTACGACGCCGTGAAAATCGAGTTGTGGCATTTCTCGTCCATCACGATGAGCGAATTGTCTCGAGCAATGGCCGGTATCCCGAGCACGTTCGATTGGTAGCCGGTCGTCGTTGCGTAGCAACAGTCAGCGTTGAAGAACCTCGCCAGACCATCGACCATCCTTTGATTGAGCAGCGGGACAGCCTCGGCATCCGCGAAGGGCAGATGGCTCAGGCATTTCCGCTGCAGCTGTTCATCCTGTGGCGACAGTTCATACAACCCCGCGTAGTTGTGACTCCCGCCGTTCAACACCGAACGGTTCTCTCCCTGCATGCTCACTCGCCCGAGGGATTGCGAGGCCACTATCCGGTCGTTTCGCCCATGCCAACGGAATAAGGGATCCACGATGTAATGATTGAAGCGGCCAATTTTAGTCAATGGGTTGTAAGGTTTCTTGCCTTCTTTGAGCCGCACCTGGAGGTAGCTGGAAGCAAATGCAACGGCTTCTCGCAGCATGGCCAAACTGGAGCCGTGAGAAGGGCTTGAGTGACTTCCCTGGGACACTGAGGGAGAAGCTGCCTGCGGAAGACGGACGGCTGTGCTGTCTGCAACGTTCATTCTATCGGCTTCAGTCGTTTCTGGGCCATCCAGCAGCTCGACCTCCTTCGAGGCCCGGCAGATGGCTTGTGACTGGCTCATCTTCAATATACGGGAGGATCCCTTCTCCTTCAATCACCTGAGATGATGTGCCCTGGCTCCCTTTGTCCTTTCAATTTGCTTTTCCTCGCACTCAAAATCTGTTTCCAATCAGAAGGGGTTCCTTTTCTGTTTGGACAGAGCTTGTCTTGTTGGGGTTACAGTGGTAGAATCCAAGTGCCACGACGATTTATCACGCCTTCGCGACTGTGCCTTTATGTAGACTGGACTTCCCTTCAGGGACAGACGCTAACTCAATCCCGTCTGGATGCGCGATTTTCTTGCATCGTGGCCGACATATCTCCGAGCCCTATTGTGGTTAGGTCGTCAGTGTGGTGCTGTACATACTATGAAATTCCGGGACTAAGGTCGGCTTCGGTTTCAGAATGTTTCCTTCCGTGATAACGGGGCCTCCCTACGGTCCCAGGCTACGGTAGCCTGAGGGATAATTCAGGGCATCGGCCCGTAGCCTGCCAGCCAACAGGTGTCCTTCTCCTTAAAGCCATTTAAGAGGGTAAGTGCCCCCTTTAAAGTTTCAACCCGTGAAAATTGGTTGAGGAGTTCCAAAGGCTCTTCAATTTTACGGGTTCTATTTTGAGCAGGAGAGAGTAAGCATAAGTTACAAATCATTTCGAGAGGATTGCAAGCATTCAGAAAGCATTGTCAGAATCCAGTCTTCACCATCAATGGAGTGTTCAGTGAGTCCGGCCGCGATCGGCTCTATTCGGAGTTAGGGTCGTAAATATCACTCAAACAGGCGGTCAACCTTACCAATAGCTTACTACTAAGTTCCCTTTTCACCTCGTCACCGTATCTCCATTGTTAGTCTCAGCAGAGCACCTTCTTCATATTCAGAGTTCCGTCACTGTCGCAGGCTTTTGTGCCCAAACTCTTCGTCTATGGCAACAGTCAGCGAGAGCGTTGTCCAGAATCGAACACGGGACAGAATGACCAGCTAGGAACTTACACCCCTGTGCCAAACGTGGGTTTTGTAGCTTCTTATGTAGCTGAGCTACATACACATAGACCTCCTCTTTGGTCCAGGGCTACGGCTCGCCAAACCTGGTGAGGAGCCACATACACCATCCCTCCATACTGGCTACCCAGTGTTGGAAATTGACCATGCCAGCCTCCTTTGACTGTTAGCCTTTGGGCCATGGGCCAATCAGCCACTTGTACATGACAAATCGAGCGTTTCGGATGCTGCTGGAAATGGTATCGATAGTGTCTCAGGGCCGGCCGGCGTGCGCTCCGCACCAACTTATGGTTGGACCTAACTGGAGCACAACGCTATCGGGCGATAGACTGTCGTCGTCACTCTGGACAGCGAAGCCCATTTCCACTTGTTCGATCCACCCGCTAGTCCTCAGATTGCTATCGACGTCAGGTTTTCAAGAGAACACAAAGGTGGATATGACTCTACTGTCACGATACTAACTCATAACATCTTTTGTAGACCAAATCCCACTCCGGAGGACTAAAAGATCCGGTCATATGACGCATATGGATCAAATCAAATTTCTCACTCCATATCCATTCCCGTAGCACATAGTCAACCTCTAGAACGCAGTTCGGCGGTACCCAGTTGACAGGAGGTGGGAAAAGATCTACTCCCCGAACAGTGGCTGCGGTGCGTTAGTCGTATGGTTACAAGACAACAAGGAAGAATACTTGCCAGGAACATGTCAGCAACATCGCTGAGTCTGGTCAGAAATTGTTTTGGTATTAGAGGGAATATGGTACCTACTTACATCGCCCAAGTGCCCTTGCCGGTTCCGATGTCTAGGATGTGCTGTGCGCTAGGTCAGTGAGGCCGCATACAGTATATTTATTAATTAATAGACTTTTGTGAGGTCTCGTACCGTTGGGGAGTCGCCTACTGGCGAGTAAAACAGCGGATTTGTCGGATCTGACTCATGGCAAGAGCAACAAGGTGCCTGGAAGGGTGGTTAGTGAGAGTCGCGACCTTGGCTAGACGCCCAGACATACCCAGCATCGTAACTTTCGAACTGTTGGTCATTGGAGGGATACTGCGTCAATGATAAGTTGTGTGTCCATATTAACTTCCATAGCTCTCTGACTTACAGGTACTCATCCGACCGAAGTGTTTGGTACATCTCCGATAAGGTTAGCTTCAAGACAGCCGGAGATCCAATGTAGACTGCGTCTTATCGCCCTGCCATTTTTAATAAATCGAAGATCCGATCGAAAGTGGTTTGCCTAGGCAATGTTGAATGTCAGAAAATTTCGGCAAGGTTCATGCGATCACATGCGACATCCAATCTTCGGGGCCAGCTTTGCTATCGGCGTGGTACAGATCCGGATCCTGATAATGGCAGGTCAGAAGGCGTATAAAGGGACTCGGAGGGGTTTGAGCTTATCCCCGACGCACAATATCGATATTTTGGTCGGCCGTATCTAAAGGCACGCTCGCAGCCAACAGCGGGGAAGCGTCAAGGTGGGTTGGATGGTGCGAACATAACGAGATATAAAGACAGGCACAGATTTCCTTGGCTGGTCTGAGGCCCCAAAGTCGCGGCATGGCTCCCCGTCGTCCGCGTTGGATTGTGGTGAGGCAACAGAGTATGGCCAAATCTTCACGTCGTGGTTGGGTAAATATAAACACTGTACGGTAATTATTATGCAAGATGATGATGGCTCGATTGGGGTGACTGGCCACATATGGGTCCAAGGGGATCCGGCATATCCGATCAACCTGCCACTTATAGTGATGGTTGTAAGCGCTATCGCCAAGACAACCAATACGGAGTAGATTAACTTTACCATGCCAATACCACGCCCTATCTCACAACCCCCGGACGGTTGGAGTTGGATGTGAAGACAAGGATAGCATGGCCTTTCGTAGAAGCTCACATCCTGCAGCTTATGTCTTGGGCTGCTATCTGTCTCTAGATGGGGAATCTTTGATCGTGGTCTTGAAACTGCAAAGGTCATTATGCGCGATTCCATCTCAAGCGTCAAGACCAAGGCAAGGTTTTTTTCTTTTTTTTGCAAGATAGCCATTCTCGCCTGATCCTGTTAGAGAGGGAGAAGACTGCCCTTTTAAGTAGCGTTGCGTCACATGGAAAGATGTAAAGAGCCGAGGTTTCGAATGACGCTGTTCTGAACCGCGAACTTATAGAACTTGGGGAGTAGTCCTCGACCGCTGGATAGTGGGGACTTGTGGTTCTCCGGAAGGCTGATTGGACACGACCGTTTGGCGGTTTGAAACCACGAGCCTTTTGAGTTGCTTCAGCTATTCTGATGTCAAAGCTCATTGCTAACTTGTTAGTTAACTAGTTATTTGACTAATAAGAAGGAAGGTGAGTAATCAAATCCCTGGGAGATCGCTTCTCAAGTACACAAAGAGGAACATTGAAGTTTCCTGTCGATATTATAGTACCTAAACATGCTAATATCTTCAGCGTCAGGCACTTTCATCAAGTTTTCAAATTACGACGCCATTCATTATTTTCTTGGTGGTAAAGTTAAAGAAATCTTGTTGCATGATAATTTTGTGATGATTCTATAGGTGACACGCGGTTCAGAACCCATCTCTAGTCCCACCCACCTGGGAACGTTCATGAGCTTCCAGGAGCAATAAATATAGCTCCCATGCCTAGATTGTGTCGTTTCCATGGGCACTTACCGTTGTAAGGAATTCCCGTGCTCAGTCCGGGGTCCGGAATTATGTAGGTCCGAGAAGGGCATCCCTTGCATCATGGGCAGGCACCACACAGTCGGTTTTTCACTTCATCTTTCTCCGATCATAGCTTCGTTCATTTGAATTGAAGGTTTAGTAACTATATATCTCATTAATGCCCTTTCAAAATCTTTCTCCGGAGGATTACATCTCTACGAGCGAATCGCCGTGAAAGATCATCTGTTGCTCAAATTCGGGACCAGCTATCTTCAGATGTCCGCAAAACCCTATATAATGAAGAAATATTATCCATCAAGATCGAGATCTGAAGTTATCACGCATTTTCTTCATGATCATCGAAAGGAAAATGAGAAAGGACCGCAATTTTCTCCATCTCAGTGCTTGAATGCTCCGTCAAACCGTCTTTGATGCTCTGGATGATAGCCCTGCACCGTTCAAGCTCATCCTCATCTGAAACCCAGCCTAGGGCATCTGTCCCGATTAGATCCCTCATCTCGCCCAGTTCCTGTAGTTTCTCTTGTTCTTGGCGATGATCCTCCGAACACTTCTGCATCTCTTCCCCAGAAAATTGAATTGGACACTCAACAGATCTCGTTTGTGCTCCTCCATCCAGCGGCATAGGCCAATTCTTGAGGACCTGTAACATGGCATACTTCAATGAGACAGAGTCCCCTTCCCAGGGAGCCTGTACATGATGAAAAAGCTTCGCTCGAAGCATACAGTTTTCGGTTCTGATGGCGTCAAAATGATCCGGCAGGGATTTCATGGTCAACGCAGCATAATAGAAATGGACAATCCGTCTCCGCATCATCTCTTGAACAGTTCCTTGTTCTTCATTGCTGAGTTTATCAAAATTGTCTGGCAATTTGACCTCTGGCTTAGATAATGTCTCGGACAATGGATCGCCCCAATTTTGAAAATGATCGGGGATTCCAGCGCACAGGCAGAGGGGTAGAATGACTGCATGCTGCCAGTCAATGATCCCTACCACGTCGTTGGACGTATTCACCAGGATATTGTTAGGTGAAAAGTCCGGATGGCGAAGAGTCGGGCGAGACATGCGGTGGCCGGATGGGACGTCGAGGTAGGGCGCTAACTTTAAATAATTGGTAAGAAGACGTTGGTACGGAATAGGTGAGAGTTTTTGGAACCGGTGTATTTCTCGTAGGTATCTTTCGACGTGTAGGCGTGGTTTGCCAAATCTTTCACAGAATTCTATCTCGCGCTTGGCGGGTGCTTCGAAGCATGCAGAAAAGGTGTTCCCTGGCTCAGAGTCAATATCCCCAAAGAAAACAGGCACTCCTGGATGAAGACTTACATGGGCCGCGGTCAACCTTCAGAGAGGCCCGTTCTCGATACCACCATTCATGTTGTGCAGTTGGGCCAACGACGATATCGTCCGAGACTGGGATAAAGTGTTGTGAACCGTCGAGATCACGGCGGTGATAAAGACTTCCGCTTGCTGGGAAGTGGATGCTCATGAATCGTCTCTCCAAATCAACAATCTGTCTCATTACTTTGACCCGAGTTTTGGTATCCATGGAGAACCACTGGTCACTCAAGGGTGTTCCTTCAAGCCTTTCAAGTAGGATATATTCGGTTCCAACGGCGTTTGTCTGATCTGGAGAATACGCAAGGACTTTTGGGACTGGGACCCCATGAGCACGCAGAAGTGCGAGTGTAGCAGCCTCACTGGCCACTGCATGATGTTTCGGGACAGTCGTCTTGTACGGTAGCCTTGCAAGAACTGCATATCCGTCATCGAAGGTGACTTGCAAGACACGGTTGAAGCCCCCCTCCGCGAGTTTTGTGATCGAGGCCACGTCATTGACATGTCGACCGACAGAATGGCAGGCCGCTCTTGCAAGAGCATCCACGTCGAATTGAATACGGCGTTCAGCGCGGCGGAGCTCTTCGTTAAATCTATTTGACGCAGCAAGTCAGTTTATCGCAATTGACGCGTTCAACGGCTAACCGCCGTCACGACTCACAAAAAGCGCCCAGAAGTGTACTCGAACAGATCAGGCTTACCACCCATAGAGGACATCCTCCTGGCTAATGGCTTCGAGTATGGACTAAAAAATCTCGAAAAGCGTTGCATCTTCAAGCAGATGGTTGTCAGTTCCAAGATTGCTCCCAAGCTGCTATTATTATTTGCAGTAGGGTACTTCCAAGGTTACCTAGCCGAATTCTGGCTAACATGCGTATTACTCAGCACAAACGTGACCCTGTCGGTAAAAGTTAGGATTCTTCCCATCCGGCCAATCGCAAAGCGACAGATACAGTATTTGAACTTGGGTACTTCGGTCTAGGGTCCACTTCTTAGGTCCACTTCAAATATTGCCTCGCAGAAACGGGAAATTCAATCCAATTTAATAGCTAGTAATGCCCAACTTCGTATTTAAACATAGTAGGTTGTCTAAAGTGACGGTCAGACCCTGAAGTGGGGCCCGAAGCACCCAAGGTCAAATACTCATGGAACACCACTGTAAGTGCTCTGGGTAGATCCTGAGGTAAATGGCCTCGGATGCTGACTGAGCACAAATTAGATACAAAAGTGGCCTCATCACCGGGATGCGCGAACTCGACATGTCTTATGCCTCCGAGAAGGGAGAATCTATCTAGTCGATCTCACTATCGACAGCGTCAAGAGCCGCCTGGACATCTTCCTTAGTGCCACCGTCGGGGATTTTGACAGTTGCAACGATTCCGTGTGTCCCTTTTTCGTGTTTTTGTCTCCACTGCTTCCAGGAAGTTGGGATCTTGTTACCCGAATTTACCTGAACCTGGAATCTGTGGAATTTCTTCCCGTTTTCCTCAATAGTGCCTGCGAAGTCGAAACGCACTCCTAGACTCTCGAGATCTGCCGCAGTCTTCGGGAAAGCGGTTTTGTGGAGGGCAACACTTGGTCGCACTAGCTTTTTGTAACCATTTGCATGTTGAAGGACGGCGTCCTTGATTTTGTTCCACTTGTTCGGCATGTGGTTGATGGTGCTGGTTGCTGTCAACAAGTGTTTTCTCACAGAACAGGGAAGAGTTATCTACCTTGCGACTGAAGCTTTGTCTTGTTATTCACGATAGTAAATTGTTACAACAGCTCTGTTGAATAGAATTGACGAAATGTTGGCTAGTTCAAGTGGTCGCTGAGAAAAGCAGTTGGGAGGTAAGATTCACCACAGCTGTCGAGGGGCCAGCTTTTATAAACGTGAGAGAATCTTCCGAACTAAAACCTCTTTATGCAGCTGTCACATCACAAGTCAGCGGCTAGCTACAAAAGAAATCGGACTGAGGGGATTTAGTAGGGCGCTTAAGCTTAACAAATCAGATGCGTGCGCAGGTCTGAGGCCGCTGCTATTATGCAAGGCTCAACTGCCCCAAGGGTGACTTGCCTGGCAGCCCCCATCCAATCAAACTATACTGACGTGGCAGCAAGGGTTTTTTCGAGCCACATTGTTAGTTACATGCTGTTTCTGCACAGGCGTCCGCGAATCAAAACCATGCCCATGCGGGTTTTGTTTTGAAGAGCGCAAATGCGCCATTTTCAACATAGACGTAAAGAATGGAGCTATGTGAGCGGACCAATAAGAGAACTTTACTGAGGAGCAGCTAGGGCATGAAATTCTATTTAAGATACGCCACCGCCCAACCCCTCTCTTATTCACTCCTACGTCCTCGTCCTTACTCTTACATATTCGTCCTCACTCTTACAGATTCGTCCTCACTCTTACATATTCGTCTTCACCCTTACGTTACCCTCGCCATCTGTCCTACTTTAGTATTTTTCCCCCTTCAATTCTCTTATCCACTCTGACTGCCTCGTGCAACTTCTTACTCACCCACCCCTCATATTTCCTATCAATTATAATGACGTCATCGGGACGACGGAAGACGGCTCGGCCGAAGATTGGAGTATTGCAGCTTCTCCAAAAGGAACTAAAGACTTTCGATGAAGAGAACCGACCTTTGCTCCATCATCAAGATGAGCGACTACAGTTATGCTTGGTTTTGCTTGAATGTCCTGTGTTGGCTGGGTTGTCCGAAGCACAACGCTTCGGAAGATTACGGGCGCGAAAGCTTTTATTTGACATTCTCCGACACTTGGGACAAGAGGTTTTCTTCCTCTTTGCTACAGCGATAAGTATCACGAGGTTGGCAAGAATCTCGGAGGAAACCGTGCTAGAAGTGCGTCAATGGTGGAAAACCATCCGCAAGTGCCCGAATGGTCTTATCATCAAGGCCAAGGAAGTCTGCAACGATGAATTCCAAAAAAAATATACAGCAGGTAAGGTTCAAGTCGCTCCTCAACGAAAAGATCACTAATACATGTAGCAGATATGCCGAAGGATAACTCTTCCACGACTCAGCCTCCTCCCACGGTTGTCGATATTGGGTTCACGGAGCTTTTGAACTTTTTCCAAAAGTATGAACTTGGTTCGCCAAGGTTGAAACTGATGTGTCCCTTATTTGGATCGCCATTGCCATGGATCGATATAAACCTCGACTCCTCCTCAGAACGGACCGCACGCATTGAACTTTCTCTTAGAGCAAGTGAGGCGTTGGTCGAATACATTCGAGTCGCGCGGGATCTAACTGGCGTAACGGAAGTATCGAACTGAAGGACTTTGATAAAACCTGCAGGTTTCGCCAGGTTTGACGAGAATCAAGGCAATTCCAGGGTCCATCCCTGGCCCTGAAACCTCATTCAACACAGGGCTAGTGTCGACCCTAACGGCGCCCCATGCACCATCTTTCTTTAAAAGCAACGCGGGTATTGAAGGATCTATGCTTTCAAGGTTGACGCCGACTGTCCAATTTTTGTCGAGGGTAACATTTCTTTTCACCTGTTTATTACTTTAGTAGGAGGATTAAAACATGCAGGACATTTCCCACCTTCTCTTGGACCATCTTCCTAAGACTCTCATCGTCGTGAGGAGCGGCATCCAGTGTTATCACTTCACTTTTCTCAGCCATGACTTGGGAAGTCTTCAGAATTTGTCCAGAATAATCTTCGAGGAGCCACCTAACTGTGCTGCTATATTTTTGTGAATCGTTGGAGATTGATTTCACGAGTAGATTTCACTTTAACTGGGGGAACAGGGCCAGATTAATATTCCGGAAGCAGATGGGTGAAGGATGACAGGTTTTCGGTCGAACCTGAACAGCAACGCAGACTGTATACGTCCCCAGTTGGAAGGGGTATGAATGTAAAGTGGTGAGGGGCTTTTTTGTGGGGGGTGTCGGCGGGGCTCGGTTGTTGCGACCTGACAAAGCCAGACCAGCCCGATCGGAAGGGAGCAATTCGGGCAGCATTACGTATCTAGCCAAGAGAGGGCTTCCACTATATGGCGTTGTATTGCGTGAGAGTGTGTTTCCGTTCAGAGGATTGTGTTCTATATACATAGAGTGGACCTTTCAGTCAGGGACACGGTTAAAGGCTGATCTCGTGCCGAATCGAATCACTGAACTCAGCCGCGCATGCTCAACGAATTGGGAATCTGTTCAAGGATTATCTAACGAACTAAGAATAAGTCAGAACGTATGCGGCCAAGCAAGCGTATTTTCTAATCTGAGTATAGATTTTTACGAGATGAATACTTGTGCCATAGAAAGGGAAAGACCAAAAAATAGCCACACGTTGCACGAACCAGTGTGGTGCAGACACGAGTTAACAAGAGCAGGTACGAGTGAATAAGAGCAAGCACGACTGAATAAGAGAATGCACGAGCCAATACTCATAACCAGACATAGAAGGAGTTACATTAGCTGCGCACGGAATAACGGGTACAGCAAATCATGCACGCCTGTCGAGCTATTGATACCTAGGTTGGAAGGTGTCTAAACAATCGAACATGTTCGAGGCGTCCATCGTGTATCTCGCGGCACAATGTCATACCGCTGGACGCCATCGGCATGGACGAAAGGATACGAACATATAAGAAGAAGCAATTCCTCGGGCTCTCATCGACCTTTCTGCTCATCATCGGCATTCCAATCTCTTAGACAATTCATACCAGCTTCCCATACTGCACCGATATTTCTTAGCTGTTCAAATTGCACAACATGGCATTGAAGACTTCCTCTCCCTGTCACCAAGGGTTGACGCCCCCAGATAGCCCAACGAAGGGGACAACCGCGTCTCAGGCTATCGTGAAGGATCTTAAGCATCTCTTTGGTGTGTTCCTTGAAAACGTGCTCGACCTTGCCAACCAAGAACCTCCAAACACTCCTGTCTCCCAGGACCAGTCCCCGGCAGCCCCCGATATGATTCGACTGAAGCAGTTGCTGGTGAAACTCACCAGCGATGAAGGTGCTTCAGTTGGACCCTTCGTGACAACTAATCCTGCTCAGTCTGGCCTTGCCAACAATGAACAGGAAGAGGTTGTTCAGGCGGCAGATGAAATCGATCTCTATCGTCCAATCTGTACTACTCCAGATGAGTTCAAATCGTTTGAGAAATGGGCATCGGCATCCCAATTCAAAACAGTCGTGGAAACGTATGAGCTAGCCATCAGACCGTTTCTTGTTCGGGAATTGCTGACACAGGTCCAGTTGGGACAAAGAGGCATGTAAATACAAGATAGCCGAGCCGACGAAGACCAGCACTGATCTGGACGACTATGCTGAGTATGCATTCGTTGTCCGTGAACGTGTCGGTACGTCAGACCCCTGCGTGACGGACCGAAACAATACTAATAGTATGATTAGAACGGAACTCCGAGGAGGTGACGCCGTACATAGACATTAAATCGGCAGGCTTGCGCGACATCCTGCGTGTGGTTTTGCACGGCATCAAGGCCATCAGCCTGATGGAGGACAAGCCCTCGGTAATTGGCACTAAGTAGAATCTCGAAGAGAACGCTGACGTGGATTTAGATCGAGCAAAACGTCCTTTTCCATTTCCTCCCAGAGCTCGACAGATGTGCGGAGAACATGGACAACAGCTCGGACCATGACTCGGCACATGCGGAGCATCTCCGCCTGCTCATCGACCACCTCAAGCAAGCATATGCTTCTATCTCGCAGCGTCTCGAATCAATGTTGCAGCACGGTCATATTACTTATGACCTTCTTTGGGCGCTTTGCAAGCCCGGTTGCCATGTTTATACCACATGCATTGGCACAAAAGAGCCACGATGTGTCAGATTCGACGCGGGGGAAGAGATGACACAAAATGACGAGACGTGGTGGAATCTCGAGTGCCGATTCATCGATTATGACGGAGTCAAGTTCGGCGAGGCCGGAATATTTTTGCGTGTCGCAAAGTTCCGGGGTTCAAGGCCGATCGAGAGCCTTGAGGCCTTCCCTCTCCGCTGTCATTCAAGGCATGAGGAAGTTCGGAAAGACTTGGTTGAAAGAGGCCAAAAGTTTCGGGATTTGGCCGGCTCGCACATTCGGCACTGTAACGGCAGTGCGTTCTTTATGAACAAGGGGAAGGCGATCAAAGTCAACGTCAACAGTCGAGTGGCAGTGGACGCCGCATTCTTTCATGAAATGCAGCCAAACTACTCCCGACCGTCACTGCGCGACCGAGGGGTTAAGGAAAAGGATGGAATTGCAGTCATTGACATAGGTGCAATGTGCATGGAGGACCGTGAGCGGGAGAAGGAGAAAATGCGAGGAGACGGTGTGGATGCACAAAAGCTGAGCGAGGCTGATTTATTGGTCGCCTGTCCAACAGTTTGCTGTTTCAGCTTCAAGGAGAAAATGTTCTGTATGTGACACTACTGACAATGCTTTAGTGTCCGGCTAATGTGATTTCAGTGGAGTGCGCAGTCAGTGCTCTTCGGGACGTAGATTGGTCACCCGGATCGTTCGACTGCCTGCAGATCCCTTCAGAGACCAAGACAATGCTCTTGTCATTGGCGAAAACACGCTTGGGTCTGATACCGACGGTACCGTTTGACGACGTTATTGGTGGAAAGGGCCAAGGACTGAACATCCTTCTGAAGTATGTCGGCAAAGCGTCTGTACTATATCAAGACGTCCAGTCTAACTCATGCTAGTGGCCCACCGGGCGTCGGAAAGACATTCACGGTTGAGGCGACCTCGGAATATTTCAAGCTCCCCCTCTATTCGGTATGAAATCTTCGTCGCGCAGATTGTGGCCTTACTAACTTTGCCAGATATCCGCAGGAGAACTTGTTGTTGACCACGGAGATTCTCATGCGCTTGAAGCACAGCTTGAAGTCATCTTCAAAATCGCGAAGCACTTTAATGCTATACTGCTCTTAGATGAAGCGGACGCGTTCATGGCAAGCCGCACAGCGCTCCATGACAACCACAATCGACTAGTAACCATATTCCTACGAAAGCTGGAATATTATCAAGGAGTTCTCTTCTTGACTTCGAATCGGGGTATCCAATTTGACGATGCAATCCTTAGCCGGATCCACTTGACCGTCGAGTATGAAAATTTGACGAGAGAGTTTCGCAGAGATCTCTGGTCAACGTTTCTGTCCAAGGCATGTACGATGCAAGGACCTGCCGTTGTTGAGGAACACGACCTCCGACGACTGGAGTCTTTAGCTCTAGATGGACGAGAGGTGGGTTCCAGAGCGCTGCTGTGCACTTCTCACTTGCTGACTAACATGAACTAGATCAAAAACATCGCAGCAATCGCACATGCTCTTGCTGAAGCGGATGGCAACCAAGTGAGCTATAAATTCTTGGAGTTAGCCTCGGAATCGAATAAGAAATTTTCGAAGGAGTTCGGTCGACAGGGGATGGTTGATGGGATGTATCTCTAGCAGCGTACCTGGAAAAATCATGTGGATAATTCGTCGCTCAAGCCTGTCGAGCAATCGGCTCCTTTTGCAAACATGCCTATTTAACTAACGATCTTAATAGAAAGGTCTCGAGGTCTTGTGGCGTAATGTCTTGCAATGTTAGGATAGACAGCTAGAAGCTTAAGGTTCTGCCATATCGCGAATTTTCCACCTTTTCCAAGCCAGGCTTATATTTCATTGCTCTGACACGAGCATGCCGTGTATTGCCAGACATAGGTTCAAGGGCCCGAGGGCGCTTCAACCATTTCACATCCTCCAAGTCAATGACGACCAGACGGCCACTCAGGTCATCCCACAGCATATTACGCCACTCACTGTCGCAGTGGATAACTCCGCGCAACCGGAGCACAGCCAGAGCTTTGTCGCGCTCTTGGTGGAAGAAGCTAGAATTCCCATCATTGATGACATGTTGAAGCCGCGTTCCTGACCAGCTCAAGATCATCATCTGGGCCATTAATTGGCCGTGGTACCAATATGCAACGCGAGGCTTAAAGTCCCCAAGACAGACGGGAATGTGTTGTCCCTGCAAGCTCCTGAGATGGTGATAATTGTCCACTTCCGCTTGGAGGCGATGCTGCTTCTCCACAGTCGTGGCTTTAATGATCACAGTGTATCCGCGCGAAAGGAGGGTGGCTTTCATGAGGTATCCTGTCCGACCACAGACATGCAGCTGTTCGAATCCAAGATCTCGATCTCGGGCAAGTTGACGATGAAGCTGGCGTCTGAACTCCTGCGGTCCCATGGAGTGTCTCTGACCACCGTGGAGTTTCCAGTTAGGGCATTTTTTATCCAGAGGTTCACGGTTGACCATGCCGCGGATGCAGGCAATGGTGCAGTATGGTTGTGTAGAATGCCTGTCTTTTCGAGAAGTCTGTTTGTTGTCCCGGTCGGCTCGTGCCCTTTCGCTTCCCCTAGTTGATTGGCGGTTGTTGCCTCGGCCACGGCTCGATCGGCTGCGCGATGCTGCCGCGGTAGATGGCGAGTGCGATTCTTGATCACTGCCGCTGCCTTCAGTCGACGAGTGCTTCGGTGTAGATGCGCCCGGTTGACAACGAGCGCCAGCACGAGAGCGTGTGTTGTGTATTTTCCGATCTCGTTTCCGCTCTCGTTTCCAGTGCGAGGGCCGATAATTAGAGGCCGGCGGGTCTTTACGGAGAGTTTCGGGAATTTCCCTCAACACGTCGAGATATTCGACCTTCCAGGTCGTTAGCTTATCGTGTGCCGCGTCGTGCCATTCTTGAGTAGGAGGTTCGACGGCCAGCGCTTGAAGGGTGAACGCAAGCACCTGACCGATGGCTGTCCGGTGGAGACGCAATTCATCGTCCGCTTGCACATCTTGATTCGGGATACACAAGAAATATTGAACAACGGTAGGATCATCCTTTGGAATATGAAGGAAAACGAAAGCCTCTCCAGTGCAGATGTAGCCATATCGAATTCCACTGTCGATCATGTACGAGAATATCTGAGTGACCACGGCGGCGACGAGGCGGGTGGCATAAAATTCAAATGTGTCACCTTCCTGGTCAATGACATCGCGAGCCAGATCAGTCTGGTGTAGACCCGCCACCAGTTCGGGAATTGTCACTTTGTGTGGCGCTTTGAACTCCACTGCATAAACTGGTATGTGTTGTTCATCAGCCACAAGGTGCACGCAGAACTGGTCGGCGCGCCGGTTGCGTCTTCGTGCAGTCCCATCCCTCTTCTGTCTCTGCGCCGCTCCTCTCCCCCTTCCATGCCTAGTGTCCGCCGGCCGCCGGGGTGTACGCACGTCGTGAAGATTCATTCGCTCCAAGCTGTTCTCCAGCGAAGTCTCCGATGGGTTCGCGCGATCGTAGAAGGTGACTCGGCCTTGGATTCCAAACTCCTGTCGAAGGGGTTCATCGTCTCGCAAAGCATTAATGACTTTTTCGACAAAGTTATCCACCGTGTCTCGCTCAAAATTCCGAAGAGACGCTTCCGAGTAGATCGGCTTGTTCTGGATATTCGTAACGACATAATCGATTTGGGCATCAGAAGGGAATAGTGGGCGCGCGGTAAAGGCAGCGGCGCGGTCGAATTTCTCCCAGACTTGTTCCTGTAGCCGGGGGAAGTCAAGCCAAGGGACGATATGCTTGGGGTAGAGTCGGTTCACTGGGTCGGCCGCGTCGCCCTGCGTCGTGAGGGTCGCATCTGCCTCAACTTGGATCGCTTGGGACAGAGAATTGTGGCAGCGATCGAGGAGGCGAAATAGTGAGTTGGGTTGCACTCGCCGTTCTGCCGCTTCTCGTGCTAGTCTCTCTTCCTCCTCGCGGCGCTCTGCCTCTTCTCGCGCCAGTCTCTCTTCCTCCTCGCGGCGCTCTGCCTGTTCTCGCGCCTGTCTCTCTTCCTCTTCACGGCGCTCAGCTTCTTCCTGGCGGCGCTCAGCTTCTTCCTGGCGGCGCTCAGCCGCTTCTCGGAGCCTTTGTTGTTCTTCAACCTGACGTCGTAATTCGGCGATTGTTTCCTCCATCCCTTTCTGAAAGAACTATTCAGCAGATAACCGAACGAAACAAACTGAGTCAACAGAGTAGTGGGGGGGCCAGCTGGCGCAGGGAATGTGCTTTCGCGGGAAGATGTCCGTCTGGTTGTTTATCAGCTTACTCATCTCTTGACCCAGTTGGTGCCTCAGGCATCAATGCACGTTGCACTTCGGTTGGTTTCAGGCATTGTCTCCCAAGACATGCGCCGGACTCGATGGTATCTGGATTTGCCACGTCAGTACAAGATAAATTCGGTCCTCCTTCCGATCCTCAAAGTACAGTCACCGTAGCGAGACGACTATTTCAATTTGTAGCACTCGCGAGGCCCACTTCCTCCAATAAAAGCCATTTGATTCGAAGCATAACTGCGTTGTATTATCTCGCTGTGAGGAATGCACAGCAAAGCTAGTAGTCAGCGAAAGCTCTTTCCAAATAACTAGTTAGAGAGAATAGGCTTGCCTCTCTCGTTGTCCGTCTGTTTTGCGTAACACCCTATTGTATGCTCCAGTTTTGGGGTTAGACATCATGCAGTTATTACCCAACGGAATTGACAAGGAAAGACGTACCTGCCCTATCCCTTGTCAGGAACAGGCTTGCTTGCTTAATGCTGATGGTCCTGGTTGAGCTGTCAGTCCAGGATACACATCGGTCTCTTCGGGGAGGATTGGCTCTTAAATATTGCGTAAGATGCCTAGTGGAGGCGAGGTCTTACAGTTCCGAACCGCGAACTCAAAACCGCGAACTCCAAACCGCCGACACTCCCACTTTTGCTTAACTCTCCAGGCTAACTGACGATCCAGTACGTAAATGGGGAATTGTAACCAAACTGCTATTCAAAACCGCGAACTGCGAACTGCGAAGCCCTTGAGATGCAAGCAATCGTTGCCATACCGCAAATCCAGCTAAGCACAGCCTGAGTGTAGAGCGACGCTGGTGTCCCAGGTCTGGAACGTTGCCTGCAGTTTTAAGTGTGCCTCTATTGTATAGAGACTCATTGGCCTAGTGGTCTACCAATGGAGCCAAGGGTCGGCAAAGGACATCGTTATGGTATTCAGGTAGAATTGGCAACGGACAACCCTATGATTACAGTACGTCCCGAAACTGGTGCGACCACCTACACTCTTCGATTGATTCTCCAGGCTCCAACGCCAAGAGACACACTAGTCTATATTGGACGTTTTTCCGGTGTATTGCTTCTTACTGTAGGTTAGTTAGTAAAACCAGCTCCAAGATAAGAAAGAAACAGGAGAAAAGAGAAAAGGTCAGATCAGATCAGCAGTTGAAAGTAATCTCAGGAGGACGCCTATACTGCAGCTCCCAGTCAAGACAATTGCGCATAAAAGCAGAGGCCACTATCTGAGCCCGATCATAGCGCACTTTCATCCAGCCCACATCTTCCAGCGTGCACCCCTGCACTGGCTCGAAATTATTCTCTTGCGGCGGACTGGTATAACCTCCTAATTCCTCTTCACCCAGGAATCGCGGCTCCCACCTGCCATTAACCAGAACCACAAAGCCGGTGTCATTATAACGCACGACATCCTCAGGTGAAATGTCCAGAACTGACTGCAACGCCTCCTCGTCAACCATGATACAGAATTTATACCGTGCCGTATTTGCCCACTGGGCACGATCAAACGGAACGCCTTGCTCGGTTTCACACGTAGTACGCGCCCACTGGTTGAAATAATCACGCACAATAGATGGAGTCACGCCATCAAAACGCGTCTTGTCATCCATCACCGTAGGCACGAATGAATCGAGCATATCGAGGCCGTCGTAATACTCGAGCGTATCTCTCACATGATAGAGAAAGCGACGCATGAACTCCTTCCAGTCAGAGTCGCTCTTGTAAGTGCATCTGTAGATGACGAGGCCCCATGTCCGGAAGCCGTCGTCGAGCATGTTCTTCTCGATGACATCGGCTTCATTATGGTAGAAGGGGATGGATGGAGTACGTTTGGAGTCGAGCATCCTGGCTGGTGATGAAGACGATAGCGATATAGCAAGGAATTGAAGTATTTGCCTCTTCACGCATGCCCGTGGTGTGGTATTGTGAAGTGATGGGCGGTGGATGTTCGGGTTGAGCCGTCGCGTGGAGAATGTGACCGTTTTTGACAGGTTCCAATGAGAAATCTGGCTTTTGAGGAGGCTTCTGGCACCCCGAGTCAAGAATGTCATGTTGACACTCCCGCAGGGAGTTTCACAGTTCAGGCAAACCAGTGGGGTTGGAGATACACGAACGGGGGAAGAGCAGGAATTCAGAACACAGCCCGCGTCAGGTCGAAAGCTCTCGTCACGTGGCTCCACGATCGTCTTCCTACCCTGGGGTGTTTTGAGGCCCTTAAAGATATAGAAACAGTGTCTCCTGGCCTGAGTGGTTAGGTTACGTTGACTTGAAGGTGAACTGCGAAGTGCAAAGTGTTACGAGACAAGCCGTCAGCAACCTACGGGGGATGACAACAGCCAACCAAACCCTCAGAAAAGACGAAACCTACAGGAATCACGTACAACCAACCATATCACCAACTGATAAGTTCCCAGGAGCAAGACAAGAGCGTGTAAAAACGACACCTCATGCATGAGACTGTGATCGATCCCTGATCATTCAGGCGAATGTGACCTTGGGATCCACCCGACAGAGGAAATCCAGTACATAGATGCCTTCTAGGTACCCGATGTCCTCTGCCGTGAGGACACGCTGTCCTTGATCACCCTGATTGATCACTGAGCAGTCCCTGTGTAATTGTTCTTGAACGTGCTTGTGATGGTCTCACGTATACATAGAGGTGGATAGTGTTTCAAGATAAACAATCAATATTAAGAACAACTATAATTGACTCTAGATACAAGACGTAGCGCGAGGAAGCAAAAGGAAGGTAGCTTCCTCGCGTTCAGGGGAACTCATGTACACCATGTGGGTCCCGTGCGGATCATATCTCTATCCGTTCCGCATGCTTCCATCTATATCCTTGACAGTGCTCCACTTTGTTCCTGGGAACTTATCAGTTAGTGCTTTGATTGGTCACACGCGATTCCTGTAAGTTACGTGTTGTGGTTTTTTGAGGGTTTGGTTGGTTGTTGTCACTCCCCGCAGGTTACTGGCGGCCTGCCTCGTAATACTTGTTTGGGCTATCGAAAGCCACACTAGACTTATATTGCTTTAAACATTTCTAAATGGCTAGACTTGCGACCATAGAATTTATTGAAATCTATTAAACCAAATTTAAGCATGTCCTTTGCCTGAAGGTCACTCGGTTTGGGCCGGAAGCGTGGGGGATTTCATGAACTATTGAACGTCGGTCCAAGGAACAAGCAATTATGGTCCTAAACCGCCAACGAGCCTGCCAACCAATGAAAGGCCAGTATTAAGCGGTATAGCTATTCGAGAAGGCGGTAGTAAAGGGTAGTCTATGACAAGGTTCACGGAAGGTGGGGCCGTTTTTGACAGGGACACCCTCTGTCTTGGTGCATGTTGAATATCACGGCGGCTAAGCTTATGGAGTGGATTAGGGTCCGAGATATAAAGACGGGCTACCCCTCTTCTGTAAATAAGTTAATAAGAATGAATCAGACAATCACTTATCTCAAAAATCCGAAAACAGATCGCTCTTAAGAATGCCTTCACATGACTGGCTTTTGAGGAGCCCAGGGTTCTTAAGCGCTCATGAGATACCCATTCCAAGTGGAATTAGCTCCGTGTGGTACTTTCCCCTGACTTTTACTAGCCTCAGCTCCGCGGAGCTGCCCCGGCCGGTTTTGGGGGCGCTAAGGCATGAAAACCCCACCCCGCGAATCCCGTCCTAAGGCATGGGCCCCTGAATAAAAACCAAGTCTTCTGGGTTTTTCCAAATTCTGCATGCGAAGCAAAATATAGATTTTATTCACTTCTCACTCAGGGCCCCTATCTTTAGTAGGCTTCTTTCGCTCACCTTCTTTCTTGTCGCAAGGTCTTACATTATCAGGTAGTATGAATCTTCTATATGAGTAATGGCACAGCTCCTTACTCGGCGACCACTGGTTCATTCTCCTTTGGCGCGTAGAGCTGGGTAAATCCAAAGAAGTGGCAGTCAAAGTCGATGCCATTGTCTCCCATCTCGACCTGCCAGTCTCCCAGAGGGTCGACTCTCAGCTCATGGAGGAACTGAGGCACCCCACCGCGAAATTGGACCAGCGCCACCCTCTGTGTGTCACTGTCGTAGCATGAAGGCACGATTGTGATCTCCGCCTGGATATGCGATCTCTCGTCGTCGGCGAAGTTGTTATTGAGTGCCTCTTGCAATGCTGTCTTGAGATCTCCATCGGGCAGCTCCCTCGACGTGCCTGTCACCCGGAAGACGTGCGACTTTCTCTGGCTAGCCATTGTGGTTAGCGCCCGTGCGTGGTGGTAGAGTAATGCATTGGATGAGGCCAGACTGTGCTTGCGGATGGATGGCCACCTCAGCCTTGCGGCTATTATCACTTCGTAGATACTATCGTATACCATGCAACCTTCTCCAAATCATCCCTTGATGGAGGAAATAGTTGACCGCCACACACTTGGATAGGCCTGTCCACCGAGCTACAATCCCGCCGGATTCCCGGAGGCGCCGCATATGGACCGAAACGTCCAGAAAGATTTCGTGGGGCGTTGCGTTCGCTCAAGACACCCGAATAGTGGAGCCATGATTTGTGCAATGTTCAGCACCTCGGCAGTACCCACTCTGAAACAAAGGAACGTAGTAAAAGACGGTTTATAAACCTGCAAAGCTGCCCGCAGAACTTCTCCATGAGACGCATCTTCGGAAGCATGCACAAGGTGTCCACCGTCTCTATGCGTGACCATCTGGCTTTCATATAGAGGATTACACTGCATTTGCATGATTCGCGTCAAAGCCAAGCGAGATATCACTAGCGAAAAAGTAAATTGATTATGGCCACTAAAGGCAACTGATTGAGCAACAGTGACCTGGAAGGTTGACGTCCCTTCTCGCAGCCCACAGATCAGCTGTATAGCGACGAATACCGCATGCGAATGCGTTTTTCGACGTTATTGACTGTTGAGAGAAATCTAGCTGTACGACAAGTGTATAGGTAAATTTAGTAGTATTGAACTCTCCAACTAGCAAGATGACAGAAACCATAATTCTGGACAATATGTGTGAATATTATGAGTAACTGTAGTAGGTACTTTTGTACGGTATTAGCTATTTTAATGGCCACATTATATTCCTGGCAAGTTCCCCTATCTCAACCTATTTGTACACAAAATTCGTAACTTTAATTAGACCTTTAGTTCCGTATATTGTAACTACGCGAGCCAGCCACCTGAATCTGCTCTTTTTTTCCTCCCTTAGTATCATCCAGAGCGACTGCTTTTCCTGAATTGTCTTCTAAATGAAGCGCTCTGAATATTAAATTGATATTTACTCTGCGCGCCGTCATGTGACCGATGAGCAATCGATAGCTTAATAGGAAGGTGGTACTGGTTTTCTAAATTAAGGTTCACGAGGAAATGACAATAAAAGCAGGCAGAGTGGTAAACTGGGACTTTGTCTTTTTCCATGCTTGTTAAAGTTTACTAGGGTTAGATATGACTACATAGCCATACTCGTAAGGTCATATATTGTGACAGGTCTTTCAAGCAGCCCCTAGATCACGCACTCAGCATGAGGTTCATGTTATGAACTGGCAGCCTTTCCCTTTCTATATGTTAGTTTCAACAAATCCTTCTCGTATTCAGGACACTTCCGCTTCCCTAACCTCATATCGTCGTAAACGAATTCCGAAATTATTCAATTAGGGAGTAGTAACGGGCGCAAAGTGTCGGATAAAACTTAGGACAATAAAAACCTATCTCTCTGTTTACTATGGTCGTCGGTAGATGCGTTCATTTTACGTATCGCTAAGCCAAAAATTGCCAAAGGCGGTCAATTACCCGCCGCCACCGCCATGAGAATGACACAGATATCTTAACACCTCCTTTTAGACCCACACCTAATTACACAATTTGCCGGTTTTGAAACCCCATGCCATTTAACTAGTACTGTGTATACTATCTTGGCTCTCGGTATTGCCTGCACACGACGGGATGCTATCTTTAGTAAAATATAAGATTAATAAAAGAGGCAAAATACGTTGAAGCAGTGAGAAATACGAGAGATACGAAGTTCAATAGTGCGTTTAATACAGGCGGTATATATGTGGGGCCAAGGGGATGTTGAAACTTATGAACAGTCACTGTAGTGGAACCTAAGTTACATTACCCGAACCCCAACCCGAACACGAGGCAGTGACCAACAAGCACAAAACGCCCACCCGACCTCTGTGTGTGTGGCACTAAATCACTAAATCACCTGACGTACTAGCAAGTCTCGGTATTAAGGAAATCCGACACTTATCGTCACCTTAGAACCCATAATTTTAGTATATATAGTTGTGAGCCTTTGCTACGGTAATATCAGTCAGAGCACTAACCCGACAATTTTTTGATCTCACAAAATCACACGGAATTTCCTACATACATCGGTTTACTCTCACACGCTCCTCGAAGCACTCACTGCCTCCCACTATATCCGACACGTGTTTGAGTTACTATGAACGTTCAACTTCTTACCCTTGTTCTGCTCGTCCCCAGCGCCATTGCCATCCCTGCCAATATTCAAAGCGAAAATATCCTAGGTATTTTAATAACGACTACTAGAACGCAAACGAGACGCGCTAACCTTTGTATTCTACAGAACGTCGAGCAACATGCAAAACCTTTCAGCTCTACAAGAACCCTGATAGCGTTTCCGGCGGAAGCCCTGGTCATGTCGGTCATTCAGCGTGTTGCTGTGCCAGTGCCCAATGCGTGCTACATGATTACACGGATGATGTTGGAGCTGATTGCAACATGGTTACCTCGTCGCTTGGTTGTGATTGGGAGATTATCTCGGGCTCGAACCAGGCCGTTGGCAGCTTAGATGTGAACGGGGCTACGTATACTGTCGCAGGTTTAGGAGGTTGCTAGTTCCTGGGCTGTAGGAATCTTGACAAACTAAATCAAGGTCATCTCATGGGCATCTCAGGGGTATTTCGACACCCCCTGGTTCCGCTCTTTTTCTCTTTTGTTTCCTTGTTTCCGTCAACCCAACTCATCTATCTGTTCACCTTTTGATTCCGCTGCTCTAGTTAGTTAATTCGCGTGCCCCGTTTTGTAGCTAATATAGGTCATATATCTCAAATCTTAATCTTGTGGACCATCTAGGGCAAGTCATTGGGCCTAAAATTGAGTTTGCTGCTGATCTATTTCGTCCTACAGCCCTTAAGCTCTCATACCTAGCAAGACCTATCGGACACGTGTAGCGTTATAATAGAACCCCGTGGCAGGCCCTTGGAACCCCAAGTGTTGACATTCCAGAGAGCACTCATCTACAACGACATCTCCACAAATTCTTGCAAACAAAGAAAATCTTTAGGATGGTGCGGTAGAAGAATTAAATGACAAAGGGTCCTGCGTAGGCTCCTACGAAAGGATAATATAACGGCTCAGAACCCAGCATTGAAACATGTGCCATGGCCTTTCGAACATCGCCTTAAGCAGAAAGGATTCTGGAGGATTCCGTCGTAAGATTCCGTCGGAGACGAGACCGATTCCCTTCCTTTTCTAAAAACAAAATCTACTAGCAGGGTAGAAGGCCCGTCAGTCAGGTGGGGAAGAAGGTAACATGTTAACTGTGTTAAGACTTTTTCTTGGGAATCCCTCACGAAACCTTCACGAGCATTCTATTTAACATGTAGCCTCTTGAGAGGAACATTGCGGTTCCGCTCTCCATGATTTGTAATAAAATGCGAGGACAAGCCACAGACCTCCACATCTGCATACCAAGTAGCCCCCGAGAATCTCCTGGATGTCTTCCAGATCTCGGAGTGTTTCCGCCATGCCGCGCTTCTTTACTGTGAACGTCTAGCTGAGCCAACTCTCCCGTCACGGCATGGACGTATCCAGCACCTCGTTCAACTGGCCATGCACTGTCTTTATACCATGCAGTCGGATGTATACCTTCTCTGGCCATTATTCATCGTCGGCTCGGAGTGTGTCGAGGAGAATCACCGATCGATCATTCGAAATCGTTGCAAGGATATCTCCAAGGACTCCGGCTTTGTCAACAACCTATCATGTCTAGAGCTCCTAGAACGGATTTGGGCTGAGTATTTTGATGAATCCTCGTATCCCGTTTATCCAAGCGACTTCGGAGCCCCACCTCCGCTGGCTGGAGATCGGGCACCTACGTCGCAGGCCTTCCGGTGGTCCCAGGTCATGCAGGCCAAGCGGGGCGAAGGAGAATACATGGTGGCATAGATTGTCTTGTTTTTGTCTTTATTAATTCATACCCGAGCTATGTGCTCGGGGTCACCAGCTTTTCAGCATGCGGGATTGGCTTTTTTTCTTTTTTAGGGATCAGCGATTTGGGTTCCAACTTATGATACCATTCTTTGTGCAGCAGTTTGCCATTGGTTGGTACCATTCACATACTGGCTCTCTTTTGTCTATATAATTTCAAATAGAACGCGTGCATGTATATATTTTAGGCCGACAGCCAATATAGAAGTCCTACTAATGTCTTCAGTCCTGCCAGAGTCCTTAGTCCCGCTGGAGTACTAAAAATCTGCCGGGGTGCTTAGTCCTACCAGTGTGTCCCCAGACTAGTCATGGTCCTTTGGATCCATAACAACACCTCAGAAACACCTTGATGAACTCCAGGAGCTCTACCCGTCTTAGGAACTATCTAAAGGGCCCTGGGATATACATCGTCGCCGCTCTACATGGAGATAGGGTTATGAGTGCGCAGAATGAAAATTGATATCTGATATCCGGGTACATGTAACTACTTCACGTAAAATCTTTCCATCTCTGGTCGTCTTTAAGCACGACGTAAGACAGGACTCAAATAACGAACTTTGGAAAACCACTCCCACTATGCATTTCACAATATGGGATCCATCGACGATAATTCTCCGGTACGAGCCAGTTTGGGGAGCTTTCCCCTTCGACGTCCGCCCCCATATTTTATGGATAATTCTTCCATCGTAATTTTTATTGGCTTAGGATATGTGTTGCTCTGTTATCTGTCAGGGAAAAAATAGGGGCGATGTAGAGCGACTATGAATTATTGGGAATCGCGCCAAAACATACCAAGCTTTCTGTCGAAGGAGGCCAGTTTGGTGACTGTGACGCGAGCGTATATATCAATCCACTTTTCCTCATGCGCAGAATCAGATAAATATCTGCTTCACACTCTTGGGAGTAATCGAAAGATTTCTTAAACAGGCTGTTTCTTCCCCTTAAAACTTTCTGACTGTCCCTCCTGGATTGTGATGTTTTTAAAGGAATACCTACCCGATCTAAAGAACAGCGTGTCACACATGCTTGAGTGTCCATAGTGAGCTGAGTGAAATGGATTAGGCACACTTTCAAGCTGAAGGCCTTTGGTCTGGCTTTATGGGAGCCTTGACTGAGCTAAAAATGGGTTGTGGGTCCGTGTAACTGAGATCGACCAAATCGTCTCCACACTGACGTAGCACCTTTTCTCCTTGTCCTGGAGGCCTTTCTTTACGATCAGACTCCTAGTGTGAGAGTGGTCGTGCCACAAATGGTGCTGAAGCGTCTAGAAAATTTATTTTATCTTCCTCGAAGTCTTTGTATGAAGGGAACAAAGAGATTGTCGTGGTAGTAGAGGTGCGTGGGGAAAGCCTATTGGATGTCCAACTTCGCGGTTCAAAACCGCCTACTCTGCGACCACCAGGCTCTCGAGGTCTGTCTTTGCTTGGAGACTAGAACCTTCGATCCAGCATTTCCCCCAGCCTCTGGGCGCGCCCACCTTGCGCCCACCTTGGCCTTAAATAGGTCGCTCCCCCCATTCCCCTCTTCCGTCTCTTTTGTCCCCGACCTTCGCCCCCAGCTTTGGCTTTCCCTGCTCAGGTGCTGCGCACCTGGTCGTCCCATCCTTTTGTACATTCCTCCCCTCCCACACTCGTTTTTTCTTGCCTCTTTATTATTTGGTCTGCATTAATACGGGAATTACAACATGTCCCAAGAGGAAGGCTTCATGCAGCAATGGGGGTTTGGACTATCTGAGCCAAATTGTACGATATTGACAGATCCCAAGGCCTCATCTTCAAATGGGAATTTATTGGGCTATCAGCAATTTGCAAGGTCTGAAGAAGTAAGTACCAGAGCTTGGGTATCATTAATAGACTGCTGATGATTGTCAGTTCCCTGGTTTGGTTCGATATAACCTCTTAGCCCTTCAATCTCTTCCAGAGGCTGAGAGGCAGGAAGTGGCCGCCAAAGCGGGTATTACATCGTTGATGCCAAACATACCTTGTCTCTACATGCCCGAAAATCAAGTCTCACTAGACTCGCAGGTTGGAGAAAATGACGGTGCCTAGCTTGTTCCATTTCAACCTCTGCTTTGATTTGCTACGAAATATATTCGACACTGCATGTACTGACTTTATGTCTGTAGATCCCACGACGGAAGCCACTGGCTGGGGTGAGTTCAGTGAGTTCACCCACGATCTCGGTATCTCGCGTATACCTTCGAACCCGGAGATCAATCCGCCAAAACCACAGCCCCCGGAAACAACCTCGTATCCAACCCCCCAGTCTGTTCCCAGTCCAGACGCAGGAACCAATCCCTTGGGCTCTGATTTCTCAGCTCCGGCGGATCTCGATCCTTTCCAGTTGTTAGATGTGCCAAGACCTGCATATTTATACCGGACCCAGTCCGCGTTCGATTATACACCGCAACCGGCAACTAGCCTAGAGGGTTCTACGCTGCATAATACACCCCAAAATATAAATGGCATTGGCATGGGACCACCGCTGGCAGAGCCAGCGGTCCTCATATCCCAAGTTGCTGAGCAATCTTTAAGTCCACCTCTGGTTGATGATCCCGCCGAAGAAAATCAAGTCGCTAGTCATTCTCTTTCCCTTGAACGCTTGCAACATGTACAGGCCCCTGAAGTCATGCCCATTGACCATGCTCAAAACATGATACTTATGTTTCCTGATTTGAGTACAAACAAACTTCGACAAGCCATGGAACTAGGCGACCGTCTTTTCCCTCAAAACGTGACCGACTTGGAAACTCAAGTCAATCACTGGCAAGCTGAGCGACTATGGAGTTTCGTGGACTCCGGTGTCTTACCAGGTTCGTGTGCGAGACAAAGGATCGGCCAGATCTGTAGATATATCAAGAACATGGGCAACCCAAACGCAGAGAATTATACGAGGATTCGACTTGCAAAAGTTCAAGTCAACATGCTCTATGAGACCATCTGCAAAGAGGAAAAGAATAGGCGTCTCAACCTCGGACCGAGAAAGTTCACGACCCATGTCCTTAACTGTATCGAGGGAGCCATTAGAAATGACCGACGTCTTCCTGTTCCCAGAAAGTCACATGTTCGCGATGCTATCTTTCGATACAAGCAAGTTGGTAAAAAATGGTCAGTGTCACAGAGTCTAAGCATGACGTTGCTTGTTAGCCAAGACTGTGGAAGGATAATGTACGTGCTTCCTAAAGTTCGAAAATTCCCTGGCTAATATCATACAGAGAAAACGGCCAGTTCACCGAGATGCAGGTGAAGGCTTTGATGTTCCATGTTTCGGTAACTCGGCCTGATATTATCAGTCTCTGCAGCAACTTAGAACATGCTGTCAGCTATTTCCTGACCCATAATCAGTTGCCAGCGCGTCCTACGCCCGGTGACGTTCGAAAAATGATCGGCATTCACAATTCAATGACAGTGATCGTAGATTAACATGGATGGACAGGTTGAAGATTACTCCGTTTTCATGAATATCAAGTCTGACTTTGGCTTGGAAAGTTGGAGTTCAACCAGGATTGGGCCTGCGCTATTTATGCGTTGATTTTGCTTGGTCGAACTCTTTTCAGTTATCTGCAAATAGAAGATGAATCAATTAGTCCCGCCTTACCGCGTTCGCGCAGTAGATCTGTCTAGTATCCCAGGAAGAATGAGGAGCTCCGGGCAAATCGGCCGTCCAAGGACGAGGAGCTTTTATGCTAGAAGGTAAATGAAAATTGCTGCGAAGAATTTTTTGGGGAATACACCTCAACTTTGTATGCACCGCCAAGAGTGGGGTTGAAACTATTGTATATAGCAACGAGAAGTACACGGGGAAGGAGCGTTGTTACGGTACGGAACCACCCATTGAATTTGGCGGTTCGAGGTAAATACTGTGTGTCCATTGGTCGGACACCCTGTTGGCGGTTCAGAATCGCGACACTGGAAGAACCTGCAGCCGCGATTCCTGTGCACCAAACCATACAGCCAGGATATTCCATCGCATTAAGATCCGAGGAGGAAGCAGAGTTTCTGGTTTCTTACAATTAGCTGCATCGAAAGGCCAAAGCGAAGGCTGAACAGGAATGTACTCTACAGTAAAGTGGGACTCCTAGTTAAAGGACGTACACATGGTATCATCTGCCCACAAGTAAAACAGGCTAGTATTTCCACTGACTTCACACCGTGCTTCTACAGTGTCGGTCGAGCGCCCTTTCAGCGGTTTAAAACAGCGACTCCGAACAAAGCTATTTCGAACCGCCACTTTCTCATGCCACTAAAGCTTACTTAAAGGAACAGAATCCTCGTCCTCTTGATTCTTCACCTTCATGCTTTCAAATAAGATTCAGAAAATGAACCCCATCTTGAACAGTACTCTAGAGCGAGTCTTAGGGGCGGGAAGGATTGTGAGAAGTGGTTGATGTAAGCGCACATCCTCCACGTTTCAACGCTCAACTCTTGTGCAGGAAGATGTGGTTTGCTGACAAGTTTTAATATATAACTAGCGAGTTCAGAACAACGAGCGCTTGCCACGGCATCGGGGATGCTATTCCAGTCCACCGAATGTTAGTACAACTACAGCAGCCGAATGTGTGAGTCGGTTATGCCTGAAGCTACCGTGGGGGATCTGAAGCATCTCTTCATCGTGCTCGAAAATTTACCATATGCGGCCTCTCTGACCAAGCGCACAAAGCATATCCTGGACATCGGAACCGGTAATGGCACTTGGGCCATGTCAGTAACATCCAAATTCCCACCGTAAGACCTAAATAATCTCGCTAACTAGGTTCAGAGATGTCGCAGATAAATTCCCGTCCCAAGTACTCTTCCTCATTGTTTTGTAACCATACGACGAACGTGCCGCAGCTACTGTTCGGGGAGTAGATCTTTTCCCACCTCCTGTCAACTGGGTACCGCCCAACTGCCTTCTAGAGGTTGACGATGTGCTGCAGGAATGGACATGGAGTAAGAAGTTTGATTTGATTCATATCGCCATATGACTAGATCTTTCAGTCCTCCGGAGTGGGGAGTTGGTCCACGAAAGGCGTTATGAGTGAGTACATTGATAGTGGAGTCATATCCGCCTTTGTGTTATATTAAAAATACTTACCTCGATACAGTAGCAACCTGAGAACTGGCGGGTGGATCGAACAAGTGGAAATGAGCTTCATGGTCCAGACTGATGACGACAGTCTGCCACCCGATGGTGTTTTGTGCCACTTAGGTCCAAACATAATCTCGCGCGAAGCCCACGCCGGCCGGCCATGTCGCATCGTCGACACCATTTCTAGCAGCATCCGAAAAGCTCGTTTTGTCAATGTGCATGAAAAGATTTACAGGTGGCCGATTGGCCCACGGCCCAAAGACAAACAGTTAAAGGAGGCTGGCATGATCAATTTCCAACACTGGGTAGGCGGTATGGAGGGATCGTGTATGTGGCTCCTCACAAAGGTTGGCGAGCCAGAGCCGTGGACAAAAGAGGAAGTCCACGTGTATGTAGCTCAGCTGCGCGAGGGAGCTCCAAAATCCCTATCATGTTTTGGCACCGGGTGTAAGCTCTTTCTGTCCCGTGTTCGATTCTGGACAACGCCCTTCTTACTGACTGATGCTGCGGACGAAGAGTATGGGCTCAAAAGCCTGTAACCGTCATGACGGAAGTCCGAGTTTGACGAAGATGCTCTGTCTATCTATACCCTGGAGAAGATTGTCCCACTTTTACTCTTTGTTATGGGCAAAGCCCATTGCTTTTGCATTGGAAGATGTCTACTTCGATCATGCATTTCTTTCTCTCGTGTTGGGGGACCATTCCGGACTTCTTCGGTTGACACTCCGACTTAATCATATTATTTCGTGGGCTGATTTACAGGTGCGTAGTCTTGGATGAGACGGGCGTGTCATTTGCGGCGGAAAAAGGACGCTAAACACGACTTATGCGCTGCCAGGCAAGGAGATCCTCACGACCTCTCAACTTCTTCTTTTTCACTCCTCACACCACATCACTTCTTCTCTCTACATCACTTCTTCTCTCTACATCACTTCTTCTCTCTACATCACTTCTTCTCTCTACATCACTTCTTCTCTCTACATCACTTCTTCTCTCTCTCTCAGCTTCCTTCTTATCTACTGTTCAATTCATAGTCCAGCTTCCCTCAGCTTGACGTCATGTCAGATCAACCCCGCGGCCGCGGCGGTCGCGGTCGAGGACCTCGTGGCGGAGACTTTGGGGACCGCGGAGGTTGTCGCGGAGATTTCCAGGGCCTCCCTTTTCGCCCTTCTGATCGTGGGGGGCGAGGTGATTTCCGCGGTGACTTCCGCAGTGGCCGCGGTGGTGGTGATCATCGCGGCCGTGGAGACTTCCGGGGGCGCGGCCGCGGTGGTGGTCCTCAGGGCCCTCGAATCTTTAAGTGAGTATTACAGCTTTCACACCCTCTTTGCAATGTCTCTGTATTTCACGGACGATCACTCTAACCTCAAAATCACCGCAGTGAGGGCAAACCTATTACTCCACCTGATGCCACCGTCGTCAAGACGGAAGACACCGTGGCCAAGGCGCTCGTTGCCAGTCGCCAGAAAATTGCTACGAACGCTGCGCGAGCATATCCCGACCGGCCAGGATACGGCACTCTCGGTCGGCCTGTTACGCTATATGCCAACTATCTGCCCTTTACCTCAGTCGGCAAGCCAATCTATCGCTATCATGTCTCTATCGCCGCAGAGGGCAGCAGGGAGCCTGCTGGCAGAAAAGCACGACACATTGTGCGTCTTCTGCTGGAGGAGCACTATTCTGCCAATTTTAACGGCATTGCAACCGACTATCGCTCAACACTCATCTCAGTGGCCAAGCTTGCTGAAGGCCAGTTCGATGTGCGCTACAAAGATGAAAATGATGAAGAATATCCTGAACACCCGAATGTGTACAAGGTTACCATCCAACACACAGGCGACATTAACCCGGCAGACCTTATCAACTACCTCACTTCCACTAATGCAGGGAGTATGCTGAGTTCCAAGCCCGAAATTGTTCAGGCTCTGAACATCATCCTGGGTCATCATCCGAAGACCGAGCGCTCGGTAGCCTCCATCGGTGGAAACAGACATTACAGCTTCCAAGAAGGCATCAAGGAGAGTGCCAGTCTCGAGGGTGGTCTAGAGGTGCTTCGCGGCTTCTTCGTCAGTGTGCGAGCTGCCACAGCCCGTGTCCTGCTGAATGTCCAGGTCAAGTACTTGGCCTGCTACAAATCAGGGCCCTTGGAATATGTGATTCAAGAGTGGAAGGCTAGCAATTTTAAGGCCAGTTCCTACAGGATGGAGGCTTTTCTGAAGCGTATGCGTGTTTGCATCACGCATTTCAAGCGCAAGGGCAAAAATGGCAAAAAAAGACCCGCTCGCGTCAAGACTATATCCGGTCTGGCAACTCCCCAAGATGGTGGTTCAGCACCCAACGGGCCAAAGGTGGATGGCTACGGAGCTGGTCCCCACAGTGTGAAGTTCTTCCTGGATGCTTCTGGCTTGCAGTCTCCACAGCCTGGTAGTGGAGAAGGCAAGGGGAAGAAGGGCAAGAAGGCCCCTCCCAAAGCTGGCCCTCCTTTAGCTGGGCAGTACATTAGCGTTGCTGATTTCTTCAGGAAAGGTGAGTCGTATTGATACGGATGGTAATGATCCTCTGCTCAACACTGGTTCGTTCCTCTAGAGTACAACATCACTGTGAACCCCGAACTCCCTGTTGTTAACGTCGGAACCCGAGACAAACCCGTCTACCTCCCTGTGGAGGTTTGCGAGGTCGAGGCTGGCCAACCTGTGAAAAGCAAGCTCTCCCCTAAACAGACACAAAATATGCTTAACTTTGCGGTCAAAGGCCGCATGCCAGCAAAGAATGCTCAGTCTATTGTCACGAAAGGTGTGGGGGTATTGGGAATCGGTCAGCCACTGAATGCCACACTCGTAAGTGAACGACTGGCCTGACGTCCCCGCTCCCTCATTTCAGCAATTGCTGTATCAAGGAAATTCCCGAGCTCAGCTGACCACCCTCACTTTCTATTCTAGTCTTCCTTCGGAATCAGCCTTGGCGATAATCTTATAACAGTGCAGGGCCGTGTCCTGCCAGCCCCCCGGATTATGTATGCGAAGCAGAAGGAGCTTCAGGCCAAATTTGGCAGCTGGAACATGCAGTTCATTGAGTTCTCCAAACCTTCTACATTGAAGAACTGGGTTTGGCTTTTCATCGACGCCCCTAACAGCAGACACGGTCTCTCTCCACAGGGGCTCGCTGGCTCATTAGATGAGTTTGTCCAGACTCTCAAAAATATGGGTGTCGCGGCTGAGAAGCCTAAGGGAGGCACAAGGATTGAATATTCCTTTAATGCCGACAATGCTCCGGCTATTGAGAAGGCCGTACGTTTCTTGCAAGAAAAAAATAAGCCCGAGCTCATTCTGGGTATTCTGTTCGCCAAGGACGCCCAGGTCTACAATACGGTTAAGCAAGTGTGCGACATACGCTGCGGTCTGCGAAACGTGAACGTGCAAGCCAAGAAGGTGAGGGGTGCCAACGTGCAATATTGGGCAAATGTCGGCCTGAAAATCAACCTCAAGATGGGAGGTGCCAACCAAACCCTTCGAACCTCGGATCTGGGCTTCTTCGCCGACGGCAAGACCATGCTCGTCGGTCTCGACGTCACCCATCCCTCCCCGGGTTCCATCAGTTCGGCACCCAGTGTGGTCGGGATCGTCGCCTCAGTCGACGCGCAACTCGCACAGTGGCCCGCAGATATTCGCATTCAGCCTGCGCGCCAGGAAATGGTTTCTGACCTCGATACCCTTCTACAATCACGCATGAAGATCTGGGCAAAGCGCAACAAGGGCAAGTTCCCGGAACACATCGTCGTCTACCGTGACGGCGTGTCAGAGGGCCAATATGACATGGTCATTGAGAAGGAGCTGCCTCTCTTGAAGAAAGCCTGCCAGAACATCTACCCAGCCTCAGATACAATGAAAGGCCTCCCCCGCATGGCCATCATCGTTGTTGGAAAGCGTCACAACACCCGCTTCTACCCAACATCCGATGGTGACGCCGAACGCTCCGCCAACCCTCAACCTGGCACCGTCGTCGACCGCGGAATCTCCGAGGCTCGCCACTGGGACTTCTACCTGCAGGCTCACTCCGCGCTTCAAGGCACCGCCCGCCCCGCCCACTACTTCACTGTTTGGGACGAGATCTTCTACCCACTACATCCTGGCGTCAGACCCGGCATCTGCGCTGCCGATAGACTCCAGGACCTTACACACAAGATGTGCTACCTCTTCGGCCGAGCAACGAAGGCTGTCAGCGTGTGTCCGCCTGCCTACTACGCCGATCTCGTCTGCACCCGTGCTCGCTGCTACATGAGTGATCTGTTCGACCCGACTCCCTCTGCGACTCCGACGGGTAGTGTGGCGGGTGATAGTGGTGGTCGTGTATCCGAGAGCCAGGCAACTGTTCACCCCAGCATCAAGGATACCATGTTCTACATTTAAGTAAGATATTTCCAACCATTGGGTGGGTGGTTGGCATATCTTGGCTTTTTTGAGAACTTGGTATTTCTCGGGCGCTTGGGATGCCTGATTCCTAGTTTGCTGCAACTGGGTGCGCCCTGCTTGGTCCGGGACTGGGCGTGGGTCTGGTTCTACTTGAAGTTTTCGGTTTTCCTTTTCCTTGATCTTGCGGCCTTGGATGCCGCTATTCCTGCGACCGCTTTTGTTGCCACCCACTGGAAGGGCCAGGGCCGAGGTTTTGGATCTGGTTGTTCTGAACCTCGAACTTCAAAGTATTCTTGACTTCACGAGTAGGCCCTCGACCACAGGATACGGGGAACTTGTGGTTCTCCGGAAGGCTGATTGGACACGGGTATTTGGCGGTTTTGGAACTGCGACCCCTCGAGCCTTCTAGCTTCCTCCGTTATGTGTGCATCGAAAGGCCAGAGCGAGCGGAACAGTAATGTAAAGCGGAACGGCCCCTAAAGGAAGCACACATGGCATCATCTGGCCACGACACGCCGGAATTTCCACTTCCGTTACACGCGGGGTCGTGGTGTCGACGTCATATACCTTCGAGGAATACGGATAGCTGGGCAATTATAAAACCATCGGATGATAGATGCCGGGTACGTTGTCTAACTCATGTTATTTTATCTACTTCCATTTAATATGGGGTTTCCAGATCTTCAACCACTCTTGCAAAGCCTCCTGGAATCAGGTAGGTACTCCGACCTAACGATATCATGCGAAGGCCGTAAGTTCGCAGTACACCGCGCCATAGTCTGTTGCCAGTCATCATTTTTCGATGCTGCAGTCAAAGGAGGGTTCAAGGTAAATCGTATCCGTCTAAGCCAAGGTTGGCGGCCATGAGTAACATTGTCGCAAGGAGGCTGCTTCATCGCAAATCGACCTACCTGATGATGAGTTAGCAACCATTCAACGAGTTGTTACTTTTCCTTATATTCGAGATTATGATGACACGGGCATTCCAGACATTGAGGACAAAAGTCTGTTTCAGGCGAAGATGAAGATTCCCACGCAGTGTTGTGGAACAACCTCGGAGTTTTTGTGGCAGCCGACAAATTTGACATTGCGCCCCTAAAACAGCTTGCAAGAACTCGTCTCATCAACTGGATTGACGAAAATGCCCAGAGACTTCCATTTGTTGTGCCAGAGATCTGGGTCACTCTTCCACCTCTCGAGACTGAGCTTCGGGATGCCATAATCAAGGCAATTTCATGCCACGCCCAAGAATTCCTGAACAATGATGAGAGTATCGCAATTTTGACGGATTTAACGGCAATTGCTATTGCGGTTCTTAAAAAAAGGTTGATGAGAATGTTCTTCTCGAACTTCAACTGCAGAGGATGCGAGTGCGAGGGAGGTATTGATAATGACACCGTAATGTAGTGCGTACTACAGCGTTAATTTCGTTTGTTTCCATACAGAGTTCGATGATATCATACTCCGCCTCATTCCCTAATACGTAAACTGGAGTATCGTGGTTAGCTGGTTAGTCTACGTCTACGAACTTGTGTTCTTAGCTTGAGTAGCAATAAACATATGCTGTGGTGTAAAGACTCCCAGGGCCAACATATGAGTTCCCAGGAGTTAACGGATCTCCTGTGAGGGTCTCACGTATCCGTAGATGAGGACAGCGTATTCAGATGAGTAGTCAATATTAAAGAAAGCTATAGTCGACTCTAGATACAAGACGTAGCGCGAGGAAGCAAAAGAAAGGTAGCTTCCTCGCGTTCAGGGGAACCCATATACACCATGTGGGTCCCGCGCAGATCATATCTCCATCCGTCCTGTATGCTTCATGTATATCCCTGACATCTCCAGGACCATCAGCTACGTTTCTGGGAATAGATGATGTCTTCCTGGAATAGATGCCACGTTCCTAGGAATAGATGATGTGTTCCTGGAATAGATGCCACGTTCCTAGGAATAGATGCTGTGTTCCTGGAATAGATGCTGCGTTCCTAGGAATAGATGCTGTGTTCCTGGAATAGATGCTGCGTTCCTAGGAATAGACGCTGCGTTCCTAGGAATAGATGCTGTGTTCCTGGAATAGATGCTGCGTTCCTAGGAATAGACGCTGCGTTCCTAGGAATAGATGCTGCGTTCCTAGGAATAGACGCTGCGTTCCTAGGAATAGATGATGTGTTCCTGGAATAGATGCCACGTTCCTAGGAATAGACGCTGCGTTCCTAGGAATAGATGCTGTGTTCCTGGAATAGATGCTGCGTTCCTAGGAATAGACGCTGCGTTCCTAGGAATAGATGCTGCGTTCCTGGAATAGATGCCACGTTCCTAGGAATAGATGCTGTGTTCCTGGAATAGATGCTGCGTTCCTAGGAATAGATGCTACGTCTTGTATCTAGAGTCAACTATAGTTGTTCTTAATATTGATAGTTCATCTGAAACACTATCCACCTCTATGTATACATAAAACCCTGTCAGCGTTCCTGGAAATAGACTGGGATCTATGAAACCACATGCCAATCGATCGAGCGATTGATTCATAGTTTGTCCCAACCTTTTGGAAACATTCCCAGCCACACTCGGACAACAGCAAGACTATCGTTTTATGGGTCTGGCTCCATGACCGTGTGTATAATAATTAAGCACGTGGAACTGAACAAGGATGGGAATTATAGAAGATGAGAATTCGTGAAGCCTCAGGCAGCAAGACTACTGGAAGGACCAGGACCGTGGTTTTCAGGACTGTGGTTTTGAATGAGCTCGTTCTAAACCGCGAACTTGAAAGTATCCTTGAACCCCAAGTAGACCCTCGGCCACAGATAGTGGGGAACTTGTGGTTCTCCGGAAGGCTGATTGGACACGGGTATTTGGCGGTTTGAAACTGCGACCCCTCGAGCCTTCTGATTCAGAGTCCCTACTCTCTAGTGCGTCCCTACTCCAGAAAGACCGCTTCTCAATAATGTAAAAAGGGAAACATTAAATAGCCTGTTGATATTATGAACCTAGACATGCTCATAAGCATAGACAACATAGAATACTTCAATTGACAGAACACCTGCAAGCCTCCCAATTAATCGGTATCAATGTCCGATCCCATTTCTTCTTTGGTGTAGTAATTCCGTTCAGTGCTGAGGCGATGAACCTCTTCTGCATGCCTGCGAAGATGCATCTCATGTAGTAGATCTTCGTCACACATATGACACCTTCGATCCTGCAAGTGCTTCTCTCGAAAGTGTCGTAGAGTCGACTTATATTCGCTATATTTCTGCGTGCGGCGATGAATGGGAAGTTCGGTGTCGCCATAACATTGAAAACATCGGCGGGGCTTCTTGGCCTTTTTGATATAATTTTTGGCTTTCACAAGAAGAATATCCTGCTGCGAAGGCTCCGGAGAGCTGCAACTCTTCTTGGCTGGCTCTGGTAACACGCTGGTCTGTTCTTCATCGAACCCGTCACTTGGTGCAGCCCGTTTACGTCGCCCACGCAATGGCCCACCTTCAAGGAAACCACAGTATCGGGAGATCGTAGCCACGGCAGCGTTCCTTCTTTGCCACTCCGCCTCCAGGGATTGAGAGGTAGGCCATGTGAATAATTTCTCAAGAAGATCAATCTGCTCCGGTAGCATCTGGTCTTCTACTTGAAGTACCTTCTTCGCCTCTTCGTCATCAACAGCAGCCCCTGAGAGCTGTCGCTCAATGTCTATGATGGCCTGTTTGCGGTCGAACTCATGGCGCACCTTCCGTCTCAGTGCTCTTTCCAGCCGGCCGAATGTATTGGAGGTTTCGCGTGTCAATTTCTCTAATCGCGATTGCATCGCTGCACTGGGATCGTATTTGCACTCCTCGGCTTGCTCCTTCATTCGCCGAGTGGCCTCGAGATATTCTGGATGTTCGCGAAGGGACGCTCGTTGCTCCGAAGTGAGGTGTCGAGGGCGTCTCTTATCAATCCACCTACTCATCCGGGTGATCGCGCGCATCAGAGACTTGTTAGATTCGCGGCCGTTCATAACGTTCTGCATATCGGTGTCGATGTGTCGTGGAAGATAATGATTCAAGAAAGTGCGAGTGTCAGCGTGTTTCATGATCAGATTTTGCTGTGCTTCGCTGACCGCGCTGCTTTCGTTTAACATCTTTCCCCCCCCCCATAGCGAAAACGATGGGCGAACATTGACTGAAGGAAGCCGTGGATCTCCCCTAGATTTCTCAGTCGTCCAGACATGGCGCCCTCGGTCATCGGCTGGTTCCATTGAAGAACTGCACGTCCATTGATTACGTCTGTCTTGCAGAAGACATAATAGCTTTCGACTTCGCGCTTCAAGGGTAGTTCCATCTGCTGTCGACCACCTTGGACGAACAGCTTTCGAAGGCGCTCCATGGAGGAAAGCGTAGGGACTTCGAAGGCTTGGAGCCAAAGAAGTATACCGAATATGAATGTATGAGGGCTGAAGACAAGCGACGGATCGTTGATGATTTCAGGGAAAGGAAAATTGTTACTAAGAATAGTGTTAATATTGGGATCATCATTGCCCGGGTTCAACGCACGATACATACATTTGGGAAGTTCCGAGGAATTGCTTTGTATGCTCCGATTTGATCTCCACCAAAAGTACGGGAGGGCCCCCATCCGGATTATCTTGTATGGAGAAACGTAGATGGTGGAACTGTAGCGAAAGAAGAGCATGCAGACGGTTCACGGTATAAATACCGAGCATGTTGAAGAGACAGAGCTGGATTCGTTCGTATCCAAAATGAAATCGTCTTTCCTGAGTTCGGAGAATCGTCTCGTTCAATTCAGTCAAGTCTTGGACGTACACCGGCTCCTTGCCCCGTTCTTGTGTATCGAGGTCGAATTTATCGATGAGTTTCCGAATGCCCTAGAACCCAGTCAGCTCCGACCGTCAGACTAAGAGGAATAACTTACCGCATTGATCTCTTCGCTATCTTCGGCAGTTATCCTGGTCCGTGTAATTCTCCGATAGTAACCCCGAAATCCTTTCCAATCAGCTTTCAGGGCGCTCGCTTTCGATGTTCCCTTCAGATGACGACCGCCTTCGCCATACTTCAGCTTCATGCAGTAGTTGAAAAAACGATGCACGTCATTAGGAGTAACCTCGCGCAGTGCCTCCACTGGGTCATCCCATTTCAACAGCGCACCAGCCTGAGTAGCCTTCACTCGGCAGTACCTACGCCTCACATCAGTAATCACCTCCCCATTGCGTAGGTTTGAATAAATGCTCACTTGTCCCAGCGCTTTTCTATTCGTCGACCCCGAACCTTGGTTTTTTCTGAGCGCCCATAATCAAGTGGTACGTTTGCAATGTCCTCGTCTGTGTCGTCATCCGGGTCATCACTGAAATCGGGCAGAACACCAGCGTCCGCTGGACGGGGCACGGGTCGTTTTGGACGGGTGGAAGGCCTGCTACGATTATCAGGAAGACAGGTGGATTCCGGAGTTGTCAGCTCGGTTGAATTTGAGGCTTCCCCGGAATCGGAGTCATCGGTCGCATCGATGTCAGGCTGGAAAGACACCCCGGAAGTGTCACTGTCGGTCGCAGAGGATAGATCTGCAACGTCGTTCATGCTGCGTCTGGGGAAACAAAGATGTGCGCGAAGTCGCTTCAGGCAGGTAGACAAATCAACGGGGATGACGAACGACTGTGAGGCACGCGCGCTGAAGGAGGGACTGGCAAAGGATAGGTGAGAGGAGGGCTGGGTAGGAGAGCGAGGAGGGACTGTTGGCAGCTTTATAGTCATGGACCCCATTGCCCCAGCGACCAATGAGCCTGGGATGGGGTGTGCCATTTTTGGCGACTTCACAAAACGAAGGTGTCATGGTAGCGCTCAAGGAGCAGGCCCGGAGGTGGGTAGAAGTCGATGGAAAGCAGGAGCGGGGCTCGAGGGCAGGGGAAGGGGAGCCACGCGCCCAGGCACCGCCATGACCGAACAAGAACGTGACGGTGCGCATTACAAGGGGCAGGCGAGGAGCGCGTGGCTCTGGGGCCGAAAGTGCGTGTGCGGAAGAACTGTGCCGAGGAGGCCACTTTCGGCCCCCTTTGAGGCCAGAAATGGCCGCCTCTGCACAAATGCTTTTTGTTTAGGAGTCCTTCTTCCATTAGTCAATCAATTTTCTGCTTGACACATTTAGGAGAAACTTCTTATCCCTGTTATAACAACCAAATCTTTCATGTAGCGGGAGTTCAGATTGGTCACCGGCCGCTGGTAGCAATCTCCTTCCCAGGAGGGTCTTGAAGGACGAACTGCAGTAGCAGCGGCCACAGATACTTAGTAGCCAGTCGGCTCTTAGGAGGTAATTGCGACGCTTGCGTCGCCTTACTTACGGCCAAAACGACCTCGGAGATAATTCGGCTTGAATTCTGTCCCTCCGATTGGTTGTTCGGCTGAGAATTCTATTGGTTTTGCAAGTCAAGTTCGATTTTGCTATTCGTGGCAGTTACGGATAGTTTTTCCTTTCCGGTGACTTTCCGCCTGCCTTTCACGGCATAGGGCTAGGCGAAGCTGAGCGTCGCAGTTAATTCCCCAGACCATCGGGCGCCGGGAGACCTCGTTATGTTATGAGACCGCCTATCATACCGGCGCATGGATGTATGCAAGTCCTCCGCACATGCAGTGAGGTATGTATCCGTCCATAGATACATCATATACATCATACGTGCAGATATATGCATGAATGTACGCAGAGTAGATATCAGAGAAAAAGATGAAACTTCACAGCCGAAAAACGGGCTCGACTGATGCAAACTAAGAAGATTTGCACTGGGCACATGGGGCTCCGGGGTATTCGTAACGCAGGAAGTGAAAAGAGAAGAGATAAAGTTAAGAAAAGAGGAATAAGAATAGCAAATAATGATAAAAGAACACGGTAGAAGCGAAGAATTAGAATCTGCATATGAGAATATCCTCATCTCATCGCCTGGCCTTTAGGCCTCCTCAATCGCTTTTGGTTATTGATGCTCGCGCATTGAAGTAACAATAGAAAGGAAAAAAAGCAAGAATAAGACAGAAGCCGCTGATCAAGGACAATCTGTCCTAATGCGCTCTGTCTCTTTGACCCATTACGGGCCTGTCTCCATGGCACTATGCTCCATGGCATTGTGCTCGGGAGATATTTCTTCACCGCCGTTATCCATGTCGTTATCCATGTCATAATCGCCGGCGTAGTCCATCGGAGCACCGGCTGGAGGAGGGGGAGGGGGAGGTGGCGGAGGGATCGACTTCTGCTGCTTGTAGGGAGAACTGTTCCCATCCATGGAGCCATCGAAAGACGTAACGGAGCCACGCTTGCGCTTGAGGTCGTCGTATGGCATGGGAGAGCTCGCGCCATCAACAGCCGGAGTGTCATCACCGGACATCTTGGTGTCTGTGTTGGGCTCCTCGGTTCCGGTGTTGGTGGTTGCACCCTGGGACTGGGCGGATTGCGACTTCTCTCTGGCACGAGCGGCGTGCTTCTCCGCGGCCTTTTGGAAGTAGGACTTGCAGTAACCCTTCACGGTTTTCTCGTGCTTGGCAGAGATCATGACTGTGGGGTCGGTGACGCGATTCTTCTTGTAGTCGCTTTCGACCATCTTCTTTGAGATCTGTGATTGAGATGTGAAGGTTAGCCGAGTCACATCAAACGGAGGTGAAGTGAAAGAAGTCTTACCTCCTTGGCGAACCGCTTCAGATCGTCACGGGGGATTTTGTTCTTGTAACTGTCCACGACAGGCTTGATGATAGGGAAAAGCTGTGCTATGTGTTAGTCTGATCCTTTTGCCATGCTCGGATTGTAAGACTCACGGTGTTTTCGTAAATGCGCTTCTGTTTCTCCAACGGAAGCTTGCGCCACTTCTCGCCATCCTTTGGTTTCGCCTCCGTTTGGTCAGCAGAGGGGTGAGGAGTCGAGGGGGTGTCACTGTTCCGAACGTCGGAAGGCGTTTCCTCCTGGGAGTTCATGATGTCGTCAATGATGCTTTGTAGAGCGATGTTGGATTGTTTCCTAGATGCATGTTCAGCCGGCGTAGGTCTCGCAGGGAGGGCGGGCAAGGTTGGGCGTTCCCACGTTGTAGCACCAGTTGTAGAATAATAGTAGACGCGGCCTTCTGCCTCCGCAGCGAACCACCCCTCCGGCAACGGCATCGGACGACGCCGGTTTTGTCTGCCCCACATAGCTTGGTCTCGACGTTGTTGCGAGGGTCCGCGTGAAGCACCTTGTAAAGGGGGGAGGGCAATGACTCGGACTTCGTTGAGGTTGTTGTTGCCTAGTCTCTCGGCGCTCAAACTGGTTGACGGCGTGCCTCGCGTCTTTGCCACGTTTCTTGCGAGGAATTCTATAAGCAACCTCAAGACCAGCCCAGCTCTCTAGTATAAGTAGAGAATGTACAAGATATTTGATTCCATTCAGCTAGCGAGAAGTGTAAAACCGAGACTCAAAACAGAATGCCAGACACAAAAGAAAGAACCCCTAATATACCACCCTTCTAACCTATCAGATCCCAAACAACTCAATCTAATCAGAATTGACAGTGCAGCGCGTGAAAGAAGCACCAGCACTTTCAATCATCACTCCAGCAAATTTGTTGTTGTAGTCAGCAACAATACGATACTTGCCGGGTTCGCCGCCTATTCCAAACAGTCAGTCTCAATCCAACAGATATAGTCTTGATGACCTACCAGTCCAAGTTGCGCCTGCAAGAAGAGGATACTCGCGCAAGGCCCTGGTGACACCCTCAAAGACCTGCTGATTACCGCTCATATTACCAAACCCGTGCGGATAACCGCCGACACCATAGTCATCGTTTTTCTTGAGCTCTGTGAACGCATTGCCGACATCGTCCTTGGAGAACGTGGCACCATCAGGGCAGGAAGCGCTACCGATCTTCTTCTTCTTGCTGCGGGTGGCCAGGTCACTGGCAGTGTGGTCGGTAGATTCCTCGGCGATATCAACGGTCTCATCGACGGAATCAGTCACTTGAACGCTGCGCTTGTCTTTCTTGTCCTTCTTGTCGTCTTTGTTCTTGGTGTCTACGCGCGTGCAGGCCGTATAGGCGCCACCCATGGTTGGACCGGTATGCTGCATCACACCGCGGAAGTCGCCCCGGTTATCCTTGTAGTCTGTGACCACACGGTACGCGCCGGGCACACCTGCACCCATCAGCTTCGGTCAGAGTGTCTTTGGCTTTTGAGAAGCTTACCGCCACTGTATGTTCCACCCTCGATGATGGGGAACTCTCGTAGATCAGTTCCGTCGGGAATATTGCTGAAAACCTTCGCGCCGCCGCTCTTGTTGCCGAATTTGAATGGGTACTTGCCGATGGACCCGTCGTTGAGCCTGCGGCACTCGTGGTAGGCCTCACGGATGTCATGTTCAGACAGGGTGGTGCCGTCGGGGCATTGGAAGTCGCTGAGCTTGGCGCGCTTGCTGAGCTCGGGCACTGGAGAGGCATGGGCAAGGGCTACCAGTCCGTAGAGGACGATGGATTTGAAGTCGAAGATCATTTTGAAAGGCTGGTGCTTTGGACAATGGTTTAGAAGAAGGAGAGGCTTGTGGTATGGTATTGATTGCTTTGATTCTGTTGATTCTGATGATAGAACTGGTGAGATTCTCATGGCTTTATATGCTATTCCTCCAGGTCATCTCGATTCTAACTTGTTTCTAAACTAGGAACACTGAGAGGATTTCTGATGATCGTCAGTTCGAGTGAGATATTCTCAGTCGTCAAGGCTGAGCTGAACTCCACGGTTTGGCTTAGATTGAGTAGTCTGTAGAGATGCTGAGAATGCTCACTGCGTATTTTCCTAGACCCTTGGGGCCAAAAGCGGGAGGCCTGAACTGCGGGGGCCAAGACTGGGGCCAAGACGGGGGCTGGGAGTAAGCACTACAAGCATTGCCCAGCCTCGTAGTACATACTACATAGTACATACAAGCTAGTCTGGCCCCCGCAGGTACCCGCCGGGACCGCTGCCAAGACGGGGGCGGCACAGCCCACCACTGCCACCATCTCTATACGCAGAACAGCCTTATACTCGTCCTTCTATTATTAGTCAATCACTTTCCTACTTTACACATCCCACTTCTCAATACTCTCAATCCACACCATCTACTTTCTACTTTCTTTGCCTACCTTCACAATGGGAAAAGACAACTTCATCCGACAAATCGAAAACTCCGTCGAGTTCAAATCCCTTGACAAAGTAGTCAAGGAAGAACTCACCGCGCAAGATGCAGTCCAAACCATCATCGACATGACCATGAGCGCATTGTCCACCCATGGTCCAAATAAACAAGGCGGAATTGGTCTCCCAGACTACAACGTCTCTCTTGCGGTCATGGAGCTCGCTCAACGCCTGGAGCCATCCAAGCACACCAGGCTTGTCGAATTCATATCCCATCTGCAGAAGCAAACCGCCGTTGATCCATCGACAAACGAACCACTCAAGGTCCAGGGCGATATCCTCTGGACAGACATGCCTTCATTCGGCTACACAGAGCTTGAGACTTGGTACGAGTTTGGCGGCGATCACAAAGGTGATTCATCTTCGATTATAAACCAGTCGGAACGCAAATGCTAACTCGTATAGACCCATGTGATACAACACTAGATGCTACGCAGCGAGTTCGCTGGGTGAATCTAAACGCTTTCCTCGCACAGCTCACACAGGCTGCAGACATTCACTATCCAACTCCCACAGAGGAAGTGCGATTCTTTCCCCTGGACAAATCGCTACGGGCCATCTGGACCATGGGTATGGCACTTGAGAATGAGCGCCCTCCTGCATCGCTGGGGGATACGGCTGCGACGGAGGCTGCTTGCCAGTGGTTCATCTACGCTGCGGAACGGCTGTGGACAAATGTGCTTAATAGTCGCACGTATCCTGAGGCGTCTGGCGCTGGACCGGGGAAGAGGTTTGACAAGAAGGGCTGGACAGGCTATACGCGGGAGCGATGGGGGATTTGGGAGGATGCGCTGATGGAGGCTAGGGCTAATTGCCATGAAGAGAGGATGAAGAAGCTGATTGATGACGCTTTGGCGAATCTGAGAAGGGCGGTGAATGAATAGTCGATAGAACTATTTAGTCTTAGTGGAAATCAATTTTTGTGTGCATGTGGTTATCTGCTCAACTAGTATCTCCTAAAGATCTGTATGTTCCTTCCATGCCAGTTGATGACCTATATTATCCTCGAATTTATTAGCATTGAATGAGTTATTTGAGCCTGACGAACTATTTTTATAAGGCTGTTTTGGATGAGGCTGAGCTTCTTTGACTATTTATTTCTGCCTTACATGTTGGACCCCACAAAGGGGCCAAAGCCTCATCTCTGCCTGATCAAGACAAGCTCTCGCCAAGCCTTTTGCGGGGATGCTTAATAGTAATACGAGGAGCACAGTGCACGGGATTCCAGCTACTGCACTAACATTGGATCTAATGTTGGATCAACAAATGGTTGACTGGCCCGAATGTCGATCATGTCTGTTGTCAACGTGGCGCAGCGGATTGACAAGTGATATACCCAACGAGGCTGCCTTACAGGGATCTGCTGCATGAAGGCCCCCAAGGCCCGTTGGCTTATTTAGAGGTCGTTCTTTGTCTCCCATGTCTTGTTTATTTTTTATAATCAGGAGGAGAACCGCAAAGTGGCATTTTCATGCAACCGACCCGATTTACACAATGACCAACTCCGTCTCTATCGCTACCTGCGCCATATACGCAGTCCTCATCATCCCAGTACTCTACCTCCTCGTCCGACACGGTCGCTACGGCCTGTTAGGATGGCTCTTCCTTTCCATATTCTGCGCGATTCGCATCGTCGGCGGCGCGCTGGCAATAAACAACCCCAGCATCGCCGCTAGTATCATCTCCAGCGTCGGTCTTTCTCCTCTCCTCCTCGCAACAGCTGGTATTCTCCACGAGGCGTAAGTAGCCAGCCCCATAAATCCGAAGATCCATGCTAAATCCAGCAGTCGATACTATCGCATCCAAACCCTCGACAAAAAACTCGAATGGGTCTTTGTTCTCGCCTACCACATGCTCGTCGTCGCAGGCGTGGCCCTAACAGCTGCCGGCTCCGTAAAACTCCAGAAACCCAAGAACCCCCTGGACACGGCCGACCTCGATAAGGCCGACAAAATTGTCAAGGCAGGCATCTCGATTCTGGCGGTCGCGTGGGGGGTCTTAGTCGGGTGGACCTCGTTCTCGTTCATTGCTCCCCGGGGACGCAATTCCTCGCTCACGAGGGCAGGGAATGTTGTAAGTTCTTACCCCTAGCCATCTCCCGCATATATAGCAGTGCCATACTGATTATTCGCGAATAGCTGCTTATCGCTATTACCTTCTCGCTCGCCTTCATCGGCATCCGAGTCTTCTACAGTCTTGCTGCGCTGTGCACGCGGAGGGCATCCCTTAATCCCGTCACTGGGTCGCTTGCTATCCGTGTGGTGCTGGGACTCTTGCCTGAGCTGATTGCCGCGCTTGCCTTTATTTTTGCGGGGATTAAGACGCAGGATGCGGCACCGTTGGCTCAGGTCGAGGAGGAGGTAGTTTCTGCTCCGCCGAAATCGCGTGCTCAGCCTTGGATATAGCTGGATGATACACCTAGACGATGAGAGTTGCAATGATTGGAGCAAATATATAATAGAATGTGTGGGGGTCTCACTGAGAAGAATAGGACTCGGCCACAGAAAGATTACTACCTAGAACCTAGACCACTCAAAAGATGGAATGTGCATACTCCCGACATATCAAGGTAGCTTCCATCTCCCTGTAACTGTTCAGGGAAAGGATGAGGAGACTCGAAATATGATGTGTCTGTCATTGATACCTACATCCATGGATCCTGGGTCTGTGCGACTGTACTGCTTATGACGTGCACCTTCCCTATAGGTACTCGCGCCTTCCTCATTCCCTCGTAGTCACATGAAGTACATATATGTCATCTCGCCCTCGTAGGAACTTCACTTCATCAACAACTTCACCTTCACTTGATACTTCACTTCCCTTTCACCCATTGGTTGAATACAGTAAGTCTACCATCTTTTGAAGCCTCCTCGAGCAAGATGGAAATGATTTACTAATACATCTGAAAACAGATGTCACTGAAAATACCGCCGAGCGTGCAAATGAGAGCAATCATGTCTCGTCCATCAGGTCCGGCTCTCTTAGACCTCCTATGACTGCTTTTTCTGGCTCGATCGCTTCCTCAAGTACTCTCGTTACTCGCCTTCTCGATTTGATAAATCTTTGCCACCGTTGAAGACCTCGTCGCGGAGATTAACAGAGGGAAACCCAGTGGAAGCCCGGATGCAAAGCTCACCTACCATGGAGGAACCCAGCCCATTGCAATCATTTTCCAATGCACTGCATCTGCGTTTGTGCAAGAAATGCAGAATCTGAGCCTGCTGAGCCCGACAGCCACCACACAAAAGTGTCCTGGTCGAATTCTCAATCGCTGGGTCTCCCGCGCAGATCCTTCAGGACCTCGAAGACTATCGCGTCTTTGCCTGCGCAGTTCCGCTATGAGATCGTGGACGCGTATGAATCAACATCAGTGCTTTTCATCCTGCGTATGTGATCCTCCTTGCGCCTGGCGCCATCTCCATCGTCGATCTGGGAGTATCGGACTTCCGGACTTCGCAGAGCTATCCTCGGTCGTAGACCAATACTGGAGACTGATGAGTGCCCCCGGCATGATCCCGGACGGGCTACGTACCATCTCCGAGCTCATGAATCGCACGTTGACGGCACACCACCTATAGCTCATAAACCACGCAGAAAAACGCCGGGAACAACCCATGATACTTTTCGTCGATTTCAAGAAACACCGTCTGGCAAAATGCAGCCAGAATGGGAGCGTATAGAAGACCTGGCTAGAGCAGCCCAAGTGACAGAGCTCTTCGAGCACTGCGAAAGCCCTTTCATGAACTGCGCCGAGTATATGGACAAAGAATTTCGGAAGGAAGATGCCCTCTGAGTCTGGGGCCCAGGGACTGTCTCGAGCCAGCGACGGACGCGTCGTCGAGCTCGGCGCTTCAATCACTGTGATGGATCACATGATGTGACACCTGGACGGAGAGTGGAGACAGGTCAGTTGCATGTGCCAAGCGGACAAGCGTGTTCTGCCCATGTCCGAGCCAGGAGCTTTCGATGCACGGAGTCAAAACTGCAACAATGCGGCCCATATGCTCCGTCACCTTCGCCTACTTTCCTGCCAGGCCAGGGGCGAGCAGTATACCCAAGAATCCTTCGACGGTGTTGTGCGAGTTCTCTCTGCAACGGTTACACTGGAGAAGGTCACGATTTCTGGTCATTGGACTGTTTTAAAGTCCGGACATGTCTACACCTACTCCTACCTGCTCAAGTCCGCTAGTATCGAGGATATCACCAACAAACAGTGGAATGAGGTCTCACGTTATCTCCAAAATGGCATCAAATATATCATCCAAAAGACAAGACAGAATGTGGAGGACAACCTGAAATACATCAAAGACAGTGGGTCGAGCCGTAAACGCCGCCGCTCTTGATTCAGGAAGTTCAATGATGTGACGAGAAAAGATTTTGTCTTCGCAACCAAAGCGTGCTCTTGGTTGTCTTTTTACATTCTTATGCTAAGCCATCCATAGATGCGTTCAATATCGAAATCTCGAGCCTGCTCGAGGGCGGAGACAGATCATGTGACCGGTGTTCTTGTTTATTCTTTTGTCGTCTCTTCTTAATTTTCTTCCTTTCTTTTCTTCGTTGAATTGGACTCTGCTTTCTACAGATTTAGCCTGTGTCACACAGGTCACAGTCACAATCACAGTACTGGATTGCGAGTCTGTATTGGGATCGTGATACGGTGATCTAAAATGGCTTCAGAAGGGACGAGGAGTATGTCCTGACTCCTGAGAACTGATGCAGAGTTTTGGTAAAGAGATGTGGATTTGATGTTATACGATGTTTTCCATGCGCCTGGGAAAATATTTGGCAATTTGCTGCTTTACATGTCCCGGAGAGCGTTTGATTAACTGGGTGATGATGCAGGAGATTTGGGAGGAGACCCAGCAACGTGCTACCAGGGCGCAGGAACGGCAACGCCAACAGGCAAATCGGCACCGGCATGAAGAAGACTTCGGTGTCAGAGACTGGGTCTACGTGACAACAAAAGAAATTGGCGAACCGATCAGCCAGGACGCAAGCTAGCTAACCAGGCCAGCGGACCATACGAAATCATCGAAATGATTGGCCAGAATGCATACAAATTAAGGTTACCAGATTCAATTCGCGTGCATCCGGTCTTTGCCGCTGAGAAATTACGTCGCGCTGCACGCAGAGAGCCTCTGCAGGGCAGATCCAGGACCCATCACCGCCAGTCACCGTTGATGAGGAGGATGAATGGGAGGTCGACAGGATTATCGCTGTGCGCCTACGCTACCACAGACTTCAGTATCGTGTGAAGTGGCTTGGTCAAGGGGATACGAATGATGACGAATGGTATCCTGCAAGGAATTTCAAGAACACGCCAGAGAAAATCATGGAATTCCATCGTTGTCACCCAGATCAGCCAGGACCGCCAAAACGGCTAGCTCTGTGGACAGAAGCCGCGCTGAATGACCGATTCGAACCTGATCATCCTGATGATGATAGACCCGATACCGTGTGGCAGACCTGGTGGCCCAGGTCCTCTTAAAGAGGAGGGTAATGCGGTCTGACAAGATGCGACTGAAGGAGTTAGCAATGGGAGGTTGAGGTTGATGCAAGAGGAAGTTTGGCGTAGAGACAAACAGGACAATCGTAGGCCGGGATAAACAAATCCCCCACGATTCCGATCGTCCCTTCTTTCCTTTCCCCAGCTTTGATACTTTCGTTGATAGTACCGAATCGACTTGTCTTTTCGTCTGACTTGTAACACAATTAGAGAACTTCAAATTATTGCGAATTGATTCACTTTTCAATTTTCATATGATGTTGGCCCTATCTGGATAAGAGAGGCCTGTAGGTATTGCTTTGTCTTCGAGTCATACTCGTAATATCGTGAACCTAGTTTGAGGCGTCCCCGATCTGTCCTCATGTCTTCTATGCGTTTTTGTGCCTACTGCCTTACGGCTATGGTTTTTCGTTAGTACTTCGGGTTTCGTGTGTTCAGTGAGTTTCGATCATGTGTAATAGGCTGGTGCTCCCACTCTTTGAGAACCAGCCTCACTTTTGTACTGGAGCATGAACGGGCGTACGGGACACGAGTTCGTGCTTCATCCGGAAAGATGCACCTGCATAGCCATTACAATACTAGTTAGGCTCCAACTGGTCGTTAGAACTGATTGATTGATTGACTTCTTATACGAGAGTTGAACGCACATACCAGTCTCTAGCTTGGTCCCATGATCTACCATCAACCCCGTGTGTCAAGAAACGGGCAATCGTTATGTCTTAGGACAGGTAGTGTATTATCTCACACGGTTCAATGGGCCATGTCAAGTGACTGAATAGAGTGCGGTCGTTCATTTCGTTGAGAATGTTCCCATTTCCCCTACCTCTGGGTGCGTAACCGCCTCGGGTAGTCTACCTGACCTTGAATGAGCTGTGCAACTCGATGGGGGTTGACAACTCTCGCAAGGGTGGTTGGGCCAGGTGCCTAAAAAAAAGAACCGCCATCAGCAAATTGCTGGTAAGATATGCGTCCTTACAGATTTCAGGCACAGTTGATATAGCTATTGACGAGCCTCTCCCTCAATCTCTGTTTCAAGCAAGCGTATCCGCCCCGGGAAGTCCTACCTGACTTTTGATGAATCATCTCTGCAAGTGACCAGACCAGCGCAAGTTGAAGCATCTTTCGAATGGGTACCTATAAAAACCACCTCCATCAGCAAAATGCTGGTAAGATGTCCGTCATCGGGGAGCTCGGCACAGTCGATAAGGCGATTGACGAACCCCTCCCTCAACCTCCTCTCTCTTGGTGCATATCTGCCTCGGGAAGTCTTACCTGAATGTGAATGAATGTTCTGTGTGAGTCCGCAACTCAGCTGAAGTTGGCAAGTCTCCCGAGTGAGCGGTTGAATGAAAAAGGTGCCTAGAGGAAACAACCCCTCTCAGCAAATTGCTGGTAAGATGTCCGTCCTTACAGATCTCAGGCACAGTTGATAAGGAGATTGATGAACCCCTCCCTCAATCTCTGTTTCAAGCAAGCGTATCCGCCTCGGGAAGTCTTACCTGAATGTTAATAAAATGCTCTGTGTCAGCCCATACCGGTTGAAGCTGACATCCCTCGCGGTTGAATGCTCCACTGAGAAAAATGCCTAGAAGAAATCAACCCCCGTCAGCATATTGGTGGTAAGATGTCCGTCCTTACAGATCCCAGGCACGGTTGATAAGGAGGTTGACGAACCCCTCCCTCAACCTCCTCTCTCTTGGCGCATATCTGCCTCGGGAAGTCTTACCTGACTTTTGATGAATCATTTCTGCAAGTGACCATACCAGGGCAAGTTGAAGCGTCTTTCGAATGGGTACCTATAAAAACAACCTCCATCAGCAAATTGCTGGTAAGATGTCCGTTGTCGGGGAGCTCGGCACAGTTGATAAGGTGGTTGACGAACCCCTCCCTCAACCTCCTCTCTTTTGGCGCATATCTGCCTCGGGAAGTCTTACCTGATTTGAATGAATATGCTGTGTAATTTGGTGGGCGTTAACAACATTCGCGACGTTGTGAGGAATAGGTGCCTAGAAAATCAACCCCCATCAGCAAATTGCTGGTAAGATGTCCGTCATCGGGGAGCTCGGCATTTTGGACAACCAGATTGAGGGAGGGGGATCAACCGGCTTTTCAGTGAACAAAGACCTAGAGGGAGGGGGATCAAGGTCCTTTCCATGGTGGATAAAGTCATTGGGGGAGGGGGACCAACATCCTTTTCATGAGTGCCTGTTCTCCTCGGGAAGTCTTACCTGGCTATCGATAGATGCTCGGTGCAAATGCGTGTCATCTACCCATCACGGTCATAGAGGTGTGTTCAGGATAGGAGGATGTTATGCTCATCATAGTAAACAACATAGAGAAGGAGTGTATGATGTGAGATAGGGACCGTTGCTGGAGGGGAACAAAGTGAGTGTGAAGGATAGTTGAGAAGGTGGAAGATGGGAAGTGAAAGTGGAAGAGGAAGAGAAAAAAAAGAAGGGGAAGAGGTAGAGGACTAAATACTAGGTGCTCAGGTGTCTCCGTCGACGAAAGAGGCGGACGAGACGAAAGAAGTGTCGGAAGGTGCGACTGAATGAACTTTAATTCCTGGAACTCAATAGATCTATTCATAGTAAACCCTATTCATACAATAAAACCTCAATTTTCCAGTATTAACGTCCGATAGTACATGGATTCCATATCCAAGTTCATCCGAATCCATCATTCCAATCAATATACGTAGTACACACCACACTCGAGAAAAGTATAACCTCATGCCCCTTCCACAACAGTCACCTAATCAGGTGCTCTTCTTGGCATTCTCACGCTCGGCCTTGCGGAGAGCACGCTTGCGGATGCTCTCATGCATAGACTTGTTCTGTCCGAGAACGAACTTGCCCATAGTACCGGCAACAGAAGTCAAGAAGTAAGCCATGAGACCATGGCTCCAGTAGGGCGACGAACTGTAAGCATAGCTAGGCGAGCCACCACTGCGGCCAATCTTGGAGAGCACGGAGCGAACAAAAGCGCGAGGGGTGGGGATAGTGGCAGAAGCGCGACGGATCTTGGACATGGCAGAGGTAATCAGGTAGGCCTGGACGAGTTCAACATCAATGCCGTAGGGGGCCAACTCGCCGCCAAGAGCAGTGGACCAGTGCTGCAGGAAAGCCTTGCTGCCAGAGTAAGTGGCGAGGAAAGGAGTAGGAAGGAGACCGCCGAAAGAGCCCATAGTCAGAATCAGACCGCGACGGCGCTGCATCATGCCGGGAACGACAAGCTGAGTGACGCGGAGCGTGCCGGTGCAGTTGATGGTCACGATATCGGCCATCTCGGCCGCGGGAGTCTGCGCGAACGGAACGGGGATCGAGTGGCTCAGGCCGACGTTGTTGACCAACACGGACACGTCCAGGCCGGAGACAAGCTCTCCCAGCGCCTCAAAGTCGGCGTCGTCATTCTTGGCGAAATCCATGGCCAGTGTCTTGGTCTGCACCTGGGGGAATTGCTTGGTAATATCCTCTGACAGAGTTGCCAGCTTTGAGGCGGTCCGGGACACGAGAACGACATTGAACTTCGACTTGGCCAATTGCAGCGCGAATTCCTTGCCCAGGCCATCCGAGGCGCCTGTCACCACGGCCCAGCTACCGGGGGGTCCGAAAGAGCGGAGCTGTCAATCTTCTAGTCAGCTTTATTCTTTATATATGAGCAGTCTGAGACGTTGGTTTCCATACCGGTTTACCCGGAAGCACGAACAGGCTGAGGAGCACTCGGACGAAGGTCCAGACTTTGCAGGCGATAACCAGCCCACCAGTCGCCAGAAGGAACAGTGCTCCGTAAGTAGGCAAGCCCGGGGCAATGTGGGCTGGCCATTTTGAGATACACTCAATGTGCTTTGACAAATCCATTGTGAGTTTAAGGAAGCGTGAATGAAGTAGAAAGACCAGGAGAACGAGTAACCCAACAGTTGTGAAAGATCGCCAATGCCAAAGATCCTCGGTCCCTAGGTCGGCGTTCCATTGGTTGGTAGAGCATACCGCCCTTTTCTCCGCCTTTCTCATCAACATCTAGATGTCTCATTAGTTCGTTGGTAATACCCCCCTATCACCACAATCTTGTGTGCTGTAGTTTTGTCCGCAGCCTGTCAGAGTTAAAATTCAGATACTAAAACATTATTCTCTGGAGTCCTCGTTTTGCTTCATCAGAGCTTCACCTAAGTACGAGCCCATACAATAATTTATTTTTCTGCCAGATAAAAGAACACTCCACGCGATCGCCCCTACTCAGTCCACCTCGAGTCAACAAACACAACCTGACGATCAAACCAACGATCTCCCTCCAAACAATCATCCAAAATGTCTCAATTCCTCGGCTACCTCCCCCCCATTCGAGGGCATCTTGCCCAAATGGCTCCTCTTCGTAAGTCCCTCCCCCATAATTCCCATTCCCTCCCCAATCTCACCCCGAATCCTTACCCCCTAGCCATCCAGGCCCTCATTCCACAACTCGACTAATCATCCCTCTCTCCAGGTCTCCGTGGTCTCCGCACTTAACAGTCTCCAAGCCTACACCACACCAGAGTACACATCTCTACTCTACAGCAATGGCAAGGTCGCCGCAAGCCCGCTCTCCGGCCGCGTCTTCGGAACCTGGACCTTCCTCTCTGCAGTCATTCGCATGACTGCCGCTTACAACATGACCAATCCTGTCGCATACGACCTTGCCATGTGGACCTACGGCATTGCGCTGACACACTTTGTTGGTGAGCTTGTTTTCGGCAATGCCTCGCTCAAGGGCCGCTTCTTGAGTCCTTTGGTCGTTGCGTCTGCTTCGCTTGCTTTGATGTGGTCCCAGCGTGAGGTTTACTTGGGTTGAATGATGACATTGGATGGGGGTATGGCTTTAAAGAGGATGGTTTGATGCAGATTTTCACGTCGAGGGAACCCGTGTCTGTGGAGGAATTGGTGGCTGCGCGTTGAACCCCAAGTATACCTTACGCTTCCTTAAAAAGGCCGAGAAAATATTGTATATGCATATATGAACTTATTTCAACTCGGATAGGTCCCAGATATTCACTTTTGGATACCGATCCCTCACTCAATCTTCTTCCTGTACAGCTCACCGCCACAAGCCCGCAGCTTAGCCGCCGCTTGCTCAGGAGTGATATCGCGCTGAGGCTCCGCCATAAGCTCATATCCGACCAAGAACTTACGCACAGTCGCGCTACGCAGCAGAGGCGGATAGAAGTGCAAATGCAAATAAGAAGCCTCAATCTCCTCCAGAGTCCCATCAAGCGGAGCCTGGTGAATACCCATGCTGTAAGGGAAGTGCGTCTCGAAGAGGTTATCGTAGCGCCGAGTGATCTCAGCGAGCGCCTCAGCGAGCAACATCTTATCCGCCTCGGACAAGTCAACCAGCGCCCGCTTATGCGTGCGGCTGACAATCATCGTCTCAAACGGCCACGTCGCCCACCACGGACACACAACCAGGAACGCCTCGTTCTCAAACACGACGCGATCCTGCTTGCGGCTCTCCAGCGCCGCGTAGTCCTCCAGCATGTGGCTGCCGCCGTGTTCCCGTCGGTACTTCGTCAACTGCTCCATCTCGGCCGCTGGCTCTTCCGGCATCGAGCTGGTTGTCCAGACTTGTCCGTGGGGATGCGGGTTCGAGCATCCCATTGCTGCGCCCTTGTTCTCGAAGATCTGCATGTAGCGATACTGCTCTTTTGGCTTGGTCGTGCTTGTTGAATGCGAGGAAGGCTGCAGTGTTGTGGCTGGTGCGTTCTTCGCGAGCGGGGAGGTCGGCGACAAGTGCGCGGTGTATATCTCTGTCCAGGCGTCGATGACGGGCATGATCTCGCGCGGGGCCAGGTCGGCGAGAGTGAGGTTGTGGGCAGATGAGAAGGTCAGGACGTAGCATTTGCCGGTTACAGGCTCGGCTTTTAGGAAGCGGGATTCGAGTTCTGTAGGTTGTGAGCTGAGTGTGTGGATTGCGCTGGCAGGATCGCACTGAACATACCATCCTGATTTGAGGGCTCGTATGCTGCCTGTTCTTCTTTTACTGCGCTGTAGTCGTTTACAAACACAAAGGTGCTTTCGTACTTGGGGTTGGTATCGCCCTGCGCGCGCTTGTTCCCCGGACAGAGGTAGCAGTCAGGGTCATGGGCAGGCAGGGTAGTCTTGGAGGGGCTCTCCTGCGCTCCTCTATATGATTCTTTAGTTGATGTGCTGCGGGATGTCGTCGCAATTCAACAATACTCACTGCCAGGGACGCTTGGTACGGTGGGGAGAGACCAAGATGGAGGAGCCCCGGAGAGGGTTGTATCTCCGGTGGGAGATGTCGTCGAGTACGTTGTCCATGACTTCAACTGAACTAATAACACAGAAAAACTTTGGAGAAGGAAAGGTGAGAAGAGCAGAAGAAAAGCCCGGAAATAGTCAAAGGTGGGGGCGCGGGGTCTCCGAGGAATGCGCCAGGTTACAGCTGTTAGACAAGGTCAACTCTCCGTATGCGATGCCTGCTCATGGTCATGATTCGATTTCTCTGGTACACATAGAGTAATACCAGACACCATAGGTCAGTTATTCTCATAGAACGTCTTGGCGCTGCCATCTCCGCCTTTTTCGGTGAGCCGTACAGGCATCGCTCGGGATCCCGCTGTCAGTTATCTGGGGAAATGCGCAGTGTCGGGAGATTGTTTCACCTTTCTTCAGCCGAGAGAGGCAATTGAAGGCCGTACTTAGCCGGTGGAATCACGAGAAATCTTCTTTGTGTCCCACATTGTGGACTCGACTCCCAAAGAGGAAATCTATTCCCGCAGCTTGTATGACGTCACTTATCGCGTTATCTCCCAGTCGGTACCTTTACTGTGTACAACAACAACAGTAGAACTCGCATGTATTTCATGGTTTGAGTCTCATGTGACTCGTGAGACCCGTGTTGATTGGTATACTACCGAGCATCGATGGTAACCATCTTGGCACCTCAAGTGGCACATAATCCTACCGCATATAATCACCATGAACCCCGCCAACCCCGCGGTGACCCTGGACTCCCTACCCAACGAGGTATGTCCACTGAGCTCCAATCAGATCATACCATCAAATAGATCTGAACGTGCATTCAGTTATTTGTCGACATTCTATCCGACTTCTCGACCAAGTCACTTCTCCCACTCACAACGGTCAACCGCCGATTCCACGCCCTAGTCCTAAGAGTCCTTCACTACCGCTTACTCCTCAGCACACCACTCAAAGAGTACAAACTACTACTAGAGTGCTTCCACCCCAGCTCAAAGCTCACTGAACCACATGTTTTCTGCAAATACCTGGGGACAGACGGACTGAGCGAGCGCCATGACGGACCAGGCTCGTCATACGAGAATGTCGATACCGCCCACCAACTGGGTAGAGTGACAGGGCTATATTCACGCTTTCGGCCGGAGGTAAGCAGCGAGGAAGCAGAACAAGAAAGAACTGGTTCCTCTTTCGGTCTATCGCCAGGTAGGATGCTTTTGTTATCGGGGGTAATGGAGTACATACGTGCTGACATGAATGGGGGTCGAGACGATGGGGACGAGAAAGCAGTTATACGTGAGGTTACTCTAGATAGTCATGAGGATTTCTCTCAGTTGTGTGTGGTGGCCAATTTAGTGCAGGTCAGACCCGGGACGTCGTTGCTGTTGAGTGCTTCGACTGTTGAGGATGGGGTTGTTCGGTTGTGGAGGGATTGGCTTTATCGTCATTGTAGAAGATCGAAGAAATCTGCTGACGGCGCTATGGAAGAGGGCTCTGAGGGATTCTCATCGGATGATATACTGTGGGTGGATATGGCCAAGACTGTTGGGTTGAAATTGCGTGTACGGGAGAAGACATGGAATCCATCTTTTCCTGTGCTGGTACATCAGGACGACCTGGATGAGAATTCTTGGGTTGGATATGAGGTCGTTTTGGAAGGTGCGTTGCTGCATTTATGCACGGAATCCTGTACTGACTATTCAGAACTCCATATACGTTCCACTCGTTTACTTTTGGTTGTCGAGCAGTCAAAGGAGGATCAACAGAGACATCAAACAAATGCCATTGTAATTGGGGCTGCTCCGGCTCCAATAGGGTTGATTGTTGGTGTATGAATGTGAGGTACAAGGTGGGAGGCAAAGAGCCGCAATGCTGGACTTGAATTGTATCGAATCATACTCGGCTTGAAGAAACGCCCAGAGAGTCTTCTTCTGCCAACCCTTCTTTCTCCAATCATTCCCGATCAAGCTCGCATCATGCGCATAGACAATAATCAAACCACGCACTACTATCTGCGTCTGCATCCTGTGCTTTCTCAACCACTCGAATGGTCTTTGGTGTCGGCTACTCGGCTCCTATCATAGGACTGGGATATAAGAAAGGATTATCAAACAAGCCGCTGCAAAGGAGCGGCTGCTGCTCGTAAGGTGGGATCGTTCCCGCTATTGCAGCTGGGATAGCGGAAGGAAGATGCAGGTGTTTTTGTCAGACTGGGATAAGGCCTAGGCTTAAACAGGAACCTTGGTTTTTGTTGTGGTCTACTGTGTAGTGGTCACTATTTCCCATAGCTTTGCCTGTCCCCAATTGGGGGTTCCATGAGGAGATGGGAACTGGTCGATGCGGACTCCGCACAGTGGTTACGTGGTATGGCTTTTACGCAGTATTAGCGTCCGACGGCAGCCGGGCTCTGACAAAAAAAAGAGATCGTGGTTCCAGAGGGGGTCGAACCCTCGACTTTGACGTTATTAGCATCACACTCTAACCAACTGAGTTATGGAACCGTATCATGTGATGACAAAAAGTTTTGTCGATCATATGAACTTGAACACTTTGGGTGCCTGGTGACACGGCGATTGGTGAAGAGAAGATCTGCCATGTGTGGCTTGATGTGATTCTTATCGATGCTTCGCGAGTTTCGCCGCCGTTTCGGAGTATCTCTTTATTATCTTGTATCACTGCGGTCATCGCGACTTCTCGTGGCGGGCGAGATCTCCAAATCGGTAGTCAACTGTCAAGCGGAAGGAGTGAGTGGTCTATCCATTTGCAAGCAGCAAGACTACGGACAGTCTGAATGGCCTCCGAGCTGCCCTCATCCATTACACACAACACGACCCGAGTGTCTCGACTCTCGAGTCACTTCTGAGGCAAAAGTGTTCAGAGTTAAGATGCCACGACGCTCTGCTAATCACGGTAAACCACCCCATATTGCACATGTTAACTGAAATGAGCGCGTATTACGATGCCATATGGAACTCAATTATAATTTGGTCCCTTGGCCTAAGTTTAGATCAAGATAAGCGTGCGAATAGTTACAATATCCGGGGTCGAATTATTGATCACTCATCATAATCGGGGGCCCGGGCTGCCTCGGTTGATCCCCACCTCGGCCTTCCCCAACCCCAATTTCCCCAAGCTATATACACAACTTGATACGCTCATCTTATTAGGTTCACAGGCATTGCTAAAAACACAGGGATTACCCATATACCTAACCATCGATAGATATCCGTCATGCCTGGCAAGATTGACGCCTACGTCGACTGCGGTACGTCCTCAACACCACCCCTGGACGGGCCGTTCGCTAACTGCCTCAACAGTATCGCCATACTCATATTATGCGACGCTTTATCTGAGAAAGAATCGCAAAGCACTAGAGTCGCATGGCGTCGAGGTTGAGTATGTAAACATCGCTCTTCTATAGGAGTTGAACTAACCACCGAACAGATTCCACCCGGTCTTCCTAGGCGGAATCAATGTTGGCTCGGGTATGCATCATACTACTCCCCCAGGTTCCCAGCTATGCCAATTTGCTTCAGCGTTGCTGATACCTTGAACAGGCAACAAACCCCCTTGGACACTCCCCGCCAAAGCGAATTACTCCACGTTCGACTCCGAGCGCGCATGTAAATACTTCGGTGTCCCGCAAATCAAAACACCGGATTTCTTCCCTATCCTCTCGATCTTTGTAAGTGCATCATTCACTGTCCTCCATATGTATACTCTACCTTCGTATACATGTGTTTGTATCACCTAGCTAACGAGATAGCCCCAACGCTGCATGATCTACGTCAAAAACAACTTCCCGCGCGAGAAGTACGAGACTACCTTCCTCTCGCTGTGGGAATGGATGTACTACAAGGGTGTTGATATCAGCAAGCCAGAGAAAATAGGCGAGCTCTTCCAGAGCAATGGCTTCTCCGACTCTGAGATCAAGGCAATACTGGCCGCGGCTTCTAGTCCGGAGATCAAGCAGGCTTTGACGGATAATACGCAGAAGGCACTTGACAAGGGTGCGTATGGGGCGCCGTGGTTCTGGGTGCGGAATGCCGAGGGCAAGGAGGAGCCATTCTTTGGTAGTGATCGGTAAGTCTGGATGGGTCTTGTGTGATGGAATGGTGTGCTGATTGTCTTAGGTTTGCGTTTATGTGGCAGTATCTTGGGTTGCCCTTCCAGGATGTAACTCTTGTTGAGAAGGAGAGTTCGAAGCTTTAGGTTGGGACATCCACCTGGCCCCTGGATCTGGCTGCGTCAGTCTTGGGGTCATATAGGTAGTCTATGACTCTAGTCTATCTGGCTGAAATGTATTTCTTCATACTCGCTCAATCTTTATACCATCCATGGATACATTCTGCAATGGCGACTCCCACAATCCATGTACAGCTCGCGTAATTACATCGAACTAGATCGTTGCCCAAGACAGCTTACCATCGGATCATCGGATACCATCGGAGAGATACCATCGGAGACTCACCGGCGTCGGTGGAGACAACGCCCTCGGCCTTCGGCCTTCAGTACGGAGTTAGGTAGTGACTCACTGCTTAGGAATTCACTGAGCCTGGTGAGAAACTGGGATATATAAACCTACACTTCACCAGTTTTCAAGTTTCAATCTCACCTCCGAGACACAAGACCCGACCTTCCCCGGACAAGATACCCGGCACTTATCCTAACCCCACATCTGCCCCGCACCTTATAAAGTCCACCTTCGACTCGTTATACTCAATCCCTCTACACCCCCAAATCGAAACAATGTCTGAACACCGCGTCGCATGGATCGGTCTCGGCAACATCGGCCGAGTAAGTCAACCTCAACCAATCCCAACCCACCCCACCACAATTGCATACTAACTCCGACCCCAGGGCATGAGCAGCAACATAGCCCACAAAGGCCCCCAAACCAGCCCTCTCCTGCTGTACAACCGCACAACCAGCCGAGCAAAAGCGCACGCCTCCACCCTCCCAAACACCTCCGTAGCCAACACCCTACCGGAAGCCATAACCCCCTCAACCATAATCTTCACCTGCGTCGGCGACGACGAAGCCCTACTCTCAATCATCACCTCCGTCCTCAACGACTCCTCCATCGACCTAACCTCCAAGATCTTCATTGACTGCTCAACCGTGCACCCGGATACATCGCGCAAGATCTCAAGCCTGCTTTCGGACCGCGGGGCGGACTTCATCGCGTGTCCGGTCTTCGGCGCGCCGAGCATGGCGGATGCGGGAAAGCTGGTCGTTGTGCCGGCTGGGAAGCGCAGTGTGATTGAGAAGGTGCAGGGGTTCTTTGATGGGGTTGTGGCGATGCGGACAATTGATTTGGCGTCCGGGAGTGGGGAGGATATTGATGTGGGCAAGGCGGGGGTGTTGAAGGTTCTGGGGAATTCGTTTATTCTTAATACTGTTGGTGTGTTGGCGGAGGCGATGGTGGGAGCTGAGGTTTCCGGGCTGGGGACTGGGCCATTGAAGGAGTTTTTGGATATCTTTGCTCCTGGGGCTTTTGTTAGTTATGCGGAGAGGATGATTGGGGGGGATTATTGGAAGAGGGAGGAGCCGCTCTTTGCTGTTGATCTGGCGAGGAAGGATTTGAGGCATGTGCAGGGGATTGCTGGTGAGGGGGGTTGAGGATGAGGAATGTGGAGGTTATGGATGGGTTGTTGCAGGTTGTTAAGGAGGAGAAGGGGGAGAGTGGGGATATTGCTGGGGTTTATGGGGCTGTTAGGAAGGGGGCTGGCTTGAAGTATGAGAATTAGAGGTATTATGAACATACACAGTGACTATAAAGAAGACGGTTTTGCAAAAGCAAGATGCTTGATTGCTATTAAATAATGGTCCTCCTAGGGATATGGTGGAGGACTCGACTAAAGAAAGCCCCTAATAAACTATGGACACAGAAATCTTTTTGAAACAAACAAATACGGTGCAATCAATGCTATCCTTTCAGCCGTTATCACATTAGTTCTCACGAATCTCGTGGGACGCGTCGTGGTGGTGCTCGCCAGTCGCAGCCTCACCCTCCTTAGGGCCTGAAACGGAAGGACGGTGCATGTCATCAATGATACCCTCGGGGGCAACCCAGCTGGCTGACTTCCAGGGCTTCACGTGAAGAACGTACATAGTGTCGACCTCCTCGAGGGTACGACCCTGGGTCTCGTTGACAAAGAAGAAGACAACGAGGATGGCGAGGAAGCAGCAGGCGGCGAAGACGTAGCCGTAGCGGAAGTCGATGGTGTTGGAAATGAAGGGGGTGAAGAAGGAGATCAAGAAGTTCCAGGTCCAGTTGGCGGCGGTAGCAACACCCATGCAGACAGCACGGTACTTGAAGGGGTACATCTCACCACAGATGGCCCAGACAATAGGACCCCAGGTGGTGGCGAAGCCGACAATGAAGAAGCAGGTGAAGACAATCATGGCGACACCAGCGGGGTGGGAGGAGGGGTTGCTGTTCAGGATCTCATGGCCGACGGAGGCCCAGATCATGAAGCAAACGAACATCCAGGCGCCACCGTACATCAGACACTTGCGGCGACCATAATGTTCGACAATGTACAGACCAGGCAGAGTCATACCGAAGTTGACGGCACCGAGAATGATGGAAGTGACGTACGAGTTGCTCAAACCGATACCCTGGAAGATACTGGTTCCATAGTAGAAGATGAAGTTGGCACCAGTTAGCTGCTGCAGGGACTGGAGAGCGATACCGAGCAAGATACGGTGCATCATGCGAGGACCGGTGAAAACTTCTTGCCAGGGAGCGTTGCCGCTAGCGAGCTCTTCCTCGAGCTTCAGCTTCATGTCGGCCATCTCCTGAGCAACGACGCGGTGGTTGTGGGGAACACCGTAGAGCTTGCACATAACCTCGCGGGCTTCTTCGGTACGGCCGTGGCGGTAGGCGTAACGAGGGGACTCGGGCAGGAAAAGGGTACCGATACCGAGGATCAAGGGCCAGGCAAATCCAATGCCCATGGTGATGCGCCACGAAGCATCGTTCTTCAGGGTCTCGGTGCCGAAGTTGACGATGTAGGAGATGAAGATACCGAAGGCGACGAACAGTTGGAAAGCACTGACCATGGCACCACGGACCTGGCGAGGGGCAGACTCGGACTGGTACATGGGAACAACGCTGGAGAGCGCACCGACACCCAGACCAGCAACCCAACGGCCAAGGGCAACCTGGTACCACTTGTCAGTGGTGGCAATCTGCACAATAATACCGACGATGTGAATGAGGGCCCAGAAGGAGATAGAGAGCTTGCGGCCAATGCGGTCGGCAATGGGAGCAGCAACTAGGGCACCAATCATGGTTCCGATAGAGAGCTAACTTAATTAGTACATTGTACATGATGGTATGATTACACGGGCAATATCGGAATTCGAACGTACCAGGCCGACAATCAGTCCGTTGCGAACGTTACTGAACACATACTCTCCGGTGGCGGCATTGTACTCAGCAAAGCGCTGCTTGAAGTCGATCATAGTAGTGAAACCCGAGATTTGACCTATCGATGATCAACTTGGCATTCATGCTGACGAGGCTGTGACACATACCAGTGGAGTATCCGAAAATGAAACCACCCATCGAGACACAGAGACCGAGGATGAAAGACCGCCAGGTCAGGTACTTGACAGGACTGTCATCGAGAGTAAGGCCATCCTTCTCAGCGGTGGTCGAGTCGGCACGGGCTGGAGTAGCAGCCTGGGAGGAGAACTGGGACTCCGGTTTCCCAGGCTTGATCTTGTCCATGAAGGAAGAGACACCCATGTTTAGATATGATCCACTATTATATGGACAGATAATGAGGTGTCAATAGAAATGGGGGAGGAAAAGAAGGAGAAAGGGGAAAAAGAGGAATAAGAACGACTAAATAGTCAAACTCTCATTGCTTGTGTACCATGGGCCATGACCAGGGACAAAACGGGGGCCCGGATCGAGTGTCCCACGTTTTCTCGAAATGGGGTCGTAATTTTCAGTACTCCATGGGCAGTCTCTTAGTGTACTCCGTGTTTGGGTTTCTACGGAGTACATTGTGGAGAAATTTGAGAAAAGCAAGGGGGGAAGATCTCTTTCTAGAATGTGTCCACGTGAATGAAAACGGTCATTGTTTACTTTTTAGGTAGATATCGACTATTAGAATGATTTAACATGTATGTGGTCAATTGCATTCGTTGTCATGATGTAGATAGATGTAGTGATGGTTCTTGAAGGGCTATCCCGGCAACTATGTAATCTGTGCAAGTCCCGAGGTCAACAAAAAGAATCTTACCACCTTCTAGAATACTTTGAGATTCAGTTATGAATCTGGGTCTCTATGTGAATGTGCGAATGAGAGAGTGGTGCCGGGCCAAGCAGTCCGTGGGTACCAGATCGGTTGGGGTTCGACTACGTAACAGTGACCAGGGCTGTCTATGTTACAGGTACCTGTGGTAAGGTACAAGCTGCGAGGACTTCTAACTAGATTGGTTAATAGACACACATTTCAAGGAAAGTGACGTACCTAGAGTGATGCTAAGGTCGGATACCTGTGCCGATGGTGCCTGCCCTAAAGAGTATACGCAGTGAATTGGGAACTTATGCAGATTTGACAATTTCCTTGGTGCTAGGAACATGGAAACAATGGCAACTGAAACCGTGTGGGTTCCCAAGAAAGAAGGTAAACCAGAAAAAGAGAAGAAATCGAAATACAGTAGGTACTCCGTAGATGTGAGAATTCAGTCTACAGAGTGGGTCATATATGGAACTCTATCCTACCCGGTCTCAGCGCGCTGATCATTAGGGAAAAAAATCTTGGCCGAAAATATTCGAATGCAGTGTATAGCAAAGTGAGGAACAGGAAAAAGAACTCCCTGAAAACACCGGAGGGATGAAGTGCCATTTATATCTTCACGGAGTAGAGTCCAGTATCTCGAAACACGCTGATAAGCATCAACCTTGTAAGACAGCCCAAACATGCAAGACCCACTCGCGGGAGGCTTCGGTCAACTCCTTCGCAGAGATTTTCATGTTGGGCTATCTACGGGATCCACTTTTGCTGAATCGGCACACCGAATATGACTGCCCTGTTCTTATCCCGATGTCTGGCCGAGCCGAAAGAAAAACATGCCGAGTCGGGATCGTCAATCGATCCCGACTCGCCCACCGAAACCATCTCCCTGGCATGTATTAATTCTATACTTAACAATTTTACAACGTTTCCAGTGCCATTCTATTTCCATTCCATTCCCCTTTATTTATTTGTGTGCCACATATCGGTATGTTTTGTTTGCTGCCACATGTCATCGGCATCTTCGGCATCCCTTGTTCACTTCGGAAACGGCTTGGACCCACAATTATCAAGCCCCTTCCGTGATCTGCGGTGAACCACCTGGGAAAAAAACTCTGCGTGAGACCACATCTAGACCTGAGCTAACAAAGGGAAAACTCATTAACTAAGTGGGTCAAGAACTCTTTGTCAATTTAGTTGATACTACTAACTTGATAAGTTGATGGTCAGACTATCCGGCAAGCACACTGTTTGGATGTACCGAGTGTAATGATGCTCATGTCTATGCATTGGGTGTCTTTGCAGCATCCTCATGTAATGAAACTATGCCTCATGCGAGCTTGAACCTTGTCGCATTTACATATCTCCCAAACATTCAGGGTTTCCTTGTCATGGGAAGACAGATTAGATTTGGAGTATGTTCACTACATACACAAACGGTAGATGACTCTTCGTATCCAGGTGAAGTAACAGATACAACTCATCGAGAAAGTCTCCAGAGCCAAGCTCTTAAACCTAAAGCAGTACTACTAGTTACTCCAGAGACCTGCAGTGACATCTGCCGTGGAATAACACTGCGTCCGCCGTGTACCATATGTAATGTCCAAAGCAGGCAACTCTACCTGCTCATCCACTTCGAAATATAGACCCCATTGCAATGAGTGACAATACCTAGTCTCCCCAGTTTAACCTTTCAGCAGCTATCAATCAGTCGAAGAAGTTTCGCTCTAGCACTCTTCTTCAAAATGTATGCATGATGCCGTCATTCTCTGAGGTTCTGCGTATATCATAGTGTTCGGCTGGCAGTCAACGTATGGAGATGGGATATTCCACTTCCATATAGGGAGTAGTTATGTAGAACCTTCAGTTTACAGCTAGATAACGATAGCCCTGCCAAGATAAGCCCAGTCCCTTGGCATCTAGGCATGGATGTCGACGGCCAGCTGCCTGAGTGCAGTTTTTGGGCGTACCATGGCAATTCAGCTAGCTCCTGTTTGTAAGTTGGGAACCAACCTTTATTCTCTTTCCCTCTGCTCCTTCAGTATCCCGATCAACCGATCGTGCCTTGGAACACCGTAGATGATGGTTTTGACCAGCGTATATAGTTTATCTGCTGCGAGGGTGTCGAAGAGTGAAGTCCCGTGCTACCATGGGTGCTACCTAAATATCGGCTTTCAATTTCTCGCTCTTTTCAGTAGAATTCAGAAACAGCCTGTAAACCCCCAAGCAGAGTGCAGACTAAGTGGATATGTACTAACTACAGTTTTCCTCCGCTTCTGAGCAATGCTGTCACCATTTGATGACAAAAATGGTGAACAACAACAGGGCACCTGCACGATAAATCATGTGCCCCTGAAGAGTAGGTACGAGGACCTATGGTGGCTGCCTGAGTAATAGGTATCGACCAATAAGACACTATACATACACCAGCTACTGCAGAATGCCGATTCCCCGGTCTAATGCACGTCATTGTTTAGGAGGTACTCTGTTTTCGAATTCTACTACAATGTCAATCAAGATTGTACCTATAAATGCGCTCAATCACACGCCACAGCTTGTCATCCGTTGTTGTGAGCTGTGCTACATAGGTAGCTCATTACAGTTAAACGAGAAGACGATTCATTTGCCTACCACAAACATAGTGCGGCATTTCAATCAAGCCCAGGCCACGGGTCTATGCGCACTCTAGCAGAGTCTATTGCCCAGCTGATCTAGATATCGGGAAGCACAGAGATCCACTACCTTGATCTAAGGCTACACTGCAGCCCCGGTCACGAGAAGCATGCACACAATAGGATAACAACGATGATACGAAGAGAAGCCTACAGCCTCGAAGGTAGGGAGGGATAAAACCAAAGATCATCATATGGATTGGCGGTATATGCGAGATCATCAAGTCAAGAACTTTTTCTGTCCTATTGACCAGGAGGATAAACTCCCACAGATCGTTACTGTATCTAATAAACTTGGAATCATCCACAGTGAACAGGTGTGGAAACCAAAATGTGCGTCAAATGAACATTTGAACGGGACAAAAACAAGGAAAGAAGTATCATAAACGCCCAACACCATTTTGCACCCGGTATCGAAACCAATGGACAATGATTAAGAATGGGTCTCGTTTCATGCGCATCCCCGCATTGAATTGGCTTAACGACGGTCTGTCTTGCCCATACCACGTTTTCCGGAGTACTGTGAAATGAGTCAGTAAATATACCAATGTAGAAAGAAGGAAAGCAAGGATAACATACCAAGTGCTTAGCAAGAGAAACAGTTGTGTGACGATCAGCCTCACCGGCACGAGCCATGCGGTTCATCTTCTTCTGGCCCAGCTTAGCCAGACGCTCAGCCTTATCACGACTGCTGAAGGTGGTGACACCGTCGTGACGACGGTCAGTCGCCGGTGTGGTTCGGAGACGGCTCTTAGCGCGAGCAAGAGCCTTGTGTGGGTTGTCATCGACGTCCATAGCGTCGGCGTCGGCGGTGGCCTCACGAGTAGGGGCGCGGCCACGGCTCTGGGTCTGGGAACGAGCGCGAGAGGAAGCAGCGGAGTTGTCGTAGCCAGCGGAGTCCAGACCTCTGGTCATCTCGGACAACTTCTTGGCCTTGGCGCTGCGGGGAATGGCGGCGCGGTTCTTGAGGGACTTGCGCATCTTGGCTTCGTTGCGCATGAGCACACGCTTCTCGCGGATGAGATCGGCCTTCTGGCGGTTGTCGGCATCTTCCGCGTCCTCCACGCTCTCGTCCGACTCGTAGTAACCGTCGGCCTCGAGTTTCTCCTCCTCCTCCTCGAGGGCGGCGAGCTTGGACTCGATATCCGGATCCACAAAGTCGTAGATATTCTTGCCCTTCCAGACCTCGGGCATCTTGTCGTGGTTCCACTCCGGGTCAGCGAGAGTGTAGTCGCGCTGCATATCGAAGCTGTAGACACCGGCACCACCGTTCTCCTCCTCGATATCCCGCTCCAGTCTCCGACGGTTGGGGTCGTTCTTGTCGTACTTCTTGAGGTCCTTGACGGCATCGGGAATGAAGGTCTCGCGAACACCGCCCATTGGCTGAGCAACGTGGATACGGGACAGAACATCGCCGAGACGGCCACTGGGGTTGGCAGAAGACGAGCCGGACTTGAGCTTCTGGGAAACACGCTCGGCGAGAAGCTTGTCACAGGCAGCGTTCTTAACGGCGGTCACACCTTCGGTGGTGGTGCAAGAGGCCTGGAGAAGCTCGACATCCTCGGCCTTGAGGATCTCCTGCAGCTGCTCCTGGTACTCGGGCTCCAAATCCTCGGGACGGCGCACATCGATCTTGTTTACTACAATGAACACAATCTTGTTGGCGAACAAGGGCTTGATGCTGTGGAAGAGCTTGATCTGGTCGCCGACGGAGTAGCCACACTGCTCGGAAAGATCCATGAAGTAGAGAATAGCGGACCGAAGGTGAGCAACAGCGGTGATGGACTGCATTTCGATGGTGTTCATCTCCTCCAGAGGGTGATCCAAAATTCCGGGGGTATCGATGGCCTGGAAACGGAGATACTTATAATCGAAGTGACCGACAAACAAACTCTTAGTGGTGAAAGCGTAGGGCTGAACGTCGACATCGGCGCGAGTGATGTTGCGCAGGAAACTGGACTTTCCGACGTTGGGGTATCCACAAATCAGAAGAGTACGAGTGTTGGGGTCGATGGAAGGCAGACGACCCAAATGCTGGCGGACCTGCTCCAGGTAGACAAGGGGATCCTTCAGGCGGCGGGTGATGGTGGCCATGCGACCAAGCGCAGCACGCTTAAGCTGCTTACACTGGAACAGAGACTGCGCATACTTGATAAGACGGACGTAATCGCGAGAAACGGTTTCAATCAGATGCTTGGCGGTTGAAACCTGACCAAGAGCGATGCGGAAGTGGTCGGCATCGTAAAGAGTGTTCATCAAATCCTTGTCTGGTGGATATTAGCCCCGCCCGAACGATCAACATCGCCACACGGAGAAAACTTACGGAAAGGATGAATATCCTGTAGACGAGGGAATCCATCGAGGATGTGCTGGAACTTCTCGCCGAAGGTCTCCTGGGTATATTTGACCTTTCTGGTGTAGAAACCTGATAGGGAAAAAATTCAATCAGCGATTGTGCTTTATCGATAACCCCGATAACTTTTTTCCTTCATTTGTGCCACCGTCTCGAATCAAACAGAATGATTGGGATCGTACCTCTGATACGGCTGATCTTGAATCCAGCACGAATCTGTGTAGGAAGCTGTCTCTGAGTTCTGGAAAGGACGATGTCCAAGAACTCTTGGTGTGAAGGAACAGGCGCAATCTGTCGGTGAGAATAAATCAGCAATCTCCCTCAGGTGAAAAGTAGCAGGGATAATAAGGAGACAGAATAACTCACATCCTTCCACGTAGTCTTCATGATGGGCAAAAGTCAGGAGTCAAATATGTACTGACTCTTGAAGTGAACCCGTGAGTGAAGTGTTGATCGAGTGGGTTTTTCTCCGCGAAAAAATTGTTGGCGGTCCTTTTTTTCTGCCAGGCGGAAAGCAAATGCGGGGGCCAGGATTGGGTGGACTGTTATAGCCGAGTCACGTGATATCACAGAGGACGAAAGATGTCGAGTCTGCGTAGATTAAGAGAAATTTATTATATACAAATTGTGAACATATCTCTGATCATAAAATAGTGTCATGCTCATCAACATGTTACATAGCATGGTCGTCAGCTAAGGTACACAAGTCTTCGTGACTAACTCGGGAATGTGCAAGCCGTTGCCGCCCAGATCATAAAAGTGCGAATATCACAATCCCGCCACCCGAAGAAACTCCAAATTCTCTTTTGAATCCCTTGTAGGACTAACCCTGAGACATAAACGTGAACGTGCGTTATAGAGGACAGGATCAGACCAGGAACATCAGTAACCCCGACACAATCCACGCCGAAAAGATGCAAGAAAATACCCTTGAACTCGTTGACTGCTTATTCGTCAAGAGGTTCAGAGCCTAACTCCAGGACCTAATTGAGGTCAGTACAAGTATCGTTAATGGCCACAAGGGGACATACCATATCAACCCATCCACCACCACCGAATTGGCACGCGCTAGGACCATGGGACACAAAGCCAAATGACTCATAGAAAGGAACGAGGTGATCATGGGCAATGATAGCGATGCGCTCGGCGATCTGAGCCTCGCGGATACGGTGGATATATGACTTCATCAGTGTGCTCCCGACCTGCTTGCCTTGGTGGACTGGGTCCACGGCGAGCGAGTGAATGGCAATGGTGCTGCCACCTTCCTCGTGGCCGACGGCCTGTCCATCCTCGTAGGACCAACGCTCGTTTTGCCAATTGGCTGGAAGTTTCATCGAATAGTCGGTCACAAGAGGCTCGGAGGTGCGAGTAGCAATGATGTGTCCAACAAGCTGCGGGCGGGGCTTGGGTTCTCCTTCGGCGAGAATAGGGAGAGTAAAGAGGCCCAGACTGAGCTCCGGACATCTTGTGAGACGGTATATGAACTATCAAATGGTTTGTTAGATGAATCCCCACCATGGTCCGCTGTGGCAGCCATACCTTATCATGGGAGCAACGCTCTTGCTCCGGGAAAGCAGCCTCCACTTTCACACAGTCTTCAACATTCGAGGTAGACAGTAATTGAACGAAAGGGTGCAGCTCATCCAGTTTTGTGCGAACGTGAGCGGGTGCGCGGCGGAACCAGTATGGCTGATCAGCCTCGTCCTGGTCGACAGCAACGTAATCGTCCGCATCTTCGTCGTCGTCGTCATCGTCGTCGAGTGGGAAGCCATTGGCCAATGATATACCGGCGCGGCTCATGATACGAGATAATTCGCTGTTGCTGGGGTTTCCGAGGCACAAATCGTCCGCATTGGAGAGCGGCCTCAGTCCGTTGTCCTGGCCGTGCATGGACTCGGAGGGGTATTCACTTTGGTCAGACATAACAGGCGATTATACAATCACCTGCACGGGGATTATCGCGGGCGGTTTCGAAATGTTTTTGAGGGCGAGATCAGGCTAAGGTGCCACGATCGAAGTGCAGGGGGGAACCCGGCTTAGTGGCGTGGAGAGATAAATCTAGAACAGCGGGGGTCAGTCTCATGCGACCGATAGAGACCAATGTCAGATCAAAAACAATCTACACCAGTTGTCCTTAGAATTTTGGCTCTGTTGTTCCTCGAAGGGAGTTTTCAAGTCACGTTGGTAGAGTTGGCAATTCCGATAAGATTTTGCGACACTGTGCGCAGGGAGGGGGTCATTGCGACTGGACAATTGGGATTGAAGGGATGAGCGCCAGGGTCGCACTTACTTGAATGTAGAGTGTTTTGTATCAGTTCCAGACACCAGATTCGAGTGAACTAGAAGATGTCTATCGCAGAGAACAACCTTGGAAGAAGGGAACTTTTGGAGTGGCGGGAGATTTAGCCGATAAAGTACAGGGACTTATCAGTACCCCCATTTCGCCGGGTTCCCGGTTCGCCCGCAATGTACTCTTTAGTACTGAGACTCTTGTCCCGAAGCGGTCGATCAAAAGTCAATCTATTCCAAGCTTCTAGAATCATTCGAATTAGCCTTCTACACAGTACTGTAGCCTGTAGGGCTGCTGTATCTGCGTGTGTTGCAGACGCTGCCAGTAGGTTTCCTACCAATTGACTACCTTGGAAGACTCCTCTGCACATGCCGTGAATGCAAACATATCGTTTAGCTTATGCAACTTGATCTTGCAGCTATTCATGCTTGGCAATGGTGAAGATCATAGTGGACGCCGCTGCATATCTTCCTCTGAGATGCATAAAGGTAGTCAAGCCTGTTCGTTTGGCAAGCTCGCCATTACCACATTTGATCAACCAGACTAAGTATATCTTTGGACTGTTCTCAGGGTCCCAGCAGCGAAGTGCCCATGCTTAACTAGATTTTGGATATTCCACAGAAAAGGAAGGGTACAATATAGAACAGTATGATCTTCATCCACATGATCCTGTACGGATAAAAAATGCCTTCGGTTTGACACCCTCTTGAGTGCGAAGACACGGGTCTCCACTATTCAATTGCAACTTTGGCCGAGCGGTTAAGGCGCCAGACTCAAGAAACACCTTTCTTCACTGAGTAAATCAGTGAGCATTCTGGTCACGAAAGTGGCGTGGGTTCGATTCCCACAGGTTGCATATTTTTGCTCTTCTTTGGAGGAAATACTGTGTACTGCAGTGTCTGTTTTTTTTTAAAGAGATTTATCCTAGAGAGATCCAATTACAAAAGCAGTTTGAATCTGGGGCTTTTCACACAGTTCGTACTGGTACCTAGACTTGGGTTGTTGGTCCTGTCGAGAATCACGCAGCCATGTGGAATTATGCATGTGACTCCCGAGGGATGCCCGGTGTCGGCTGCGAGTCTGCGACTGTAGATAAGGACCACTACTCGGGCCACTAGGTAAGAACCGTAAGATCACGGGAGACGAGCTATGCCACAAGCTGACTGGGTTTGCTCGGCCATGAAGTCCGAATGAGAGGGAATTTCCCTCCGGAGTGTGACTTCCAGGCCAATACCCCAGAGTCGATGTGACATGCCATAAGGGCTTGCTATGCGCTACCCAAGTAGCCCATAAACTTGTACCATGATGGTTGTGGACGTGGAGTCAGCGTGAATAGGGCTTGATCATATGCGTTGTTGCGGTAGTACTGGTGAAAGGATGAACTCAGGAGTTCACAATCTCAATTTTTCGTATTGGGTGGTATCAAAACAAAACCCCCACTCATCGCCGTCATTCAACCTAGGGAATTGGTGATTAGCAGAAGACGATTGGGAGGGCTTCTCTTTTGGTAGATTGAGTACCCTGCTGAAGCCACCCCCCAATCATCTTCTACTAATCTACAAATCCCTAGGTTGAATGACGGCGATGAGTTCGTCCCCCAGTAGAATGTCTCCAAAGTGACACAAATGTATTCTGCAAGAAAATAGCAATGGACCGACTGAACGGAGTACGGTGTATGGACAGTGTACACAGTACGCTGCATAAATGCCTCCCTTATCAATCTCTGTCCACAGGCGGTGAACACCGGTCACCGGCCAACCGAGGATGCGTCATTCCATGTTATTTCCTTTTTTCCTTGGACTTGACTCATTCTAGGTTTCTTCAATGCACCCTGTCGGTCAGTGGTAAGATTCCTCCTCCGAGGCTCTTGCACTCGCATCAATTGCTGGGACGGGGCGAAAGATCCCGATCATGAGCTCCCGAGCATTGAAATTGCCCCGAACGGCAAAATCCTCTTTGGTGAAGGTGATCAATCCCAACAAACGGCTTAAATGGTGTTCATTGACTGATAAGAGACTATTAGCAAAATGTCGCTCGCCCTCGTGACTCTGCTACGGCGCGACCGGCTCAGGTGCTAAACGTCCGAGCCCAGCAAGTCGCCGAGTTCTCGGGCAGCAGCGACAGCCAAGATCGCTTAGGCCACCGGGCAAAGGAGAAGTTGCTCGATAGGGTATGTGAGAAATGACAGGGTCTTTCCGGCATATGCTAACGATCGTTTTTGTCTCAGGAATTCTTCCTCAGTCTTTTAAACTCCGCCTCAACTAAGCGCGAAGCTAAGTCGTACCTAGCCCGGCTAAAAGCCAGCCCCGCCAAACCAAACCAAGTAGCTTTATCCGAGCCCCCGAAAGAGTCTACATCTACTTCTTTGCCCTCCGGTGTCAACTTGGGTTCATTCTATGGTGCATCCAGGGCGGTTTACGATAGTCCTGTCTTCCGGCAAGATACAACTCCTACTCCGAAAGCGCAGGACATATCAGAGAGGTTACACTTGGCCCTGATCAAAATCACCACGCCACAAACACTCGATGATTTCGTTATCGATGGAGTGGCCAAGACCCTATCACAGCTCACTCGATTGGGCATGGCATGCTGCGTGGTGGTCGATCCCGGAAAGTTGGATGGAACTGCCGTGCGACAAACGGCCATTGAGCAGGCAAATCGGATATCGGCGGCAGTCGATGCGCAGCCCGACTCGAAATCTTTCACATTAGATTCAGCTTTGTCTATATCTAAGCAGCGCTCGGGTCAACTCACGGTGCTATCAAGGGAAGTGCTATTGAGTGCCCTTCGCCGTGGCCATGTGGTGCTTATTCCGCCCATTGCTTATACGGAGGACACTCCGCGAGCAGTTCCGGTCTCGGCCAATGACGCAGCCATCGCTTTGGTCAAAGAGTTTGCGGGATTATCCACAAACCCAGACCCTGACGAAGACCCCCTAATCACCTTTGAGAGGATCGATGCTCTACAAAAAGAGGTCTCGGTTGACCGTGTCATTGTTCTTGATGCTCTTGGGGGGATTCCGGCTTTCAAGGGTCCTCAGTCGTCCCACGTGTTTATCAATATGGAGCAAGAATTCGAGCAAATTAAAGATGAGCTGTCACTGGCACGGCAAACCGTTTCTGGAAACAGGAACGATATCACACCACAGGTAAAACCTGAATCCAGCCACCGAATGTCTGATAGCATTCCTCTCAAAAAGTTTGTCAATCAAGAGGTGGTCTCACCTGGGCAACCTGGACCATTTGGTCACTCACCAGGTGCCGAGCAAATGGCGACAGTCCTGGATGGCCATCTAGACAACCTTCGACTAGCACAACAAGCTCTGACCATGCTACCATCAACCTCTTCAGGCATCATCACTTCCCCCAAGAGGTCTCTTACTCAGCTCGCACACCCCAAGCGGCCGTTTCAGACGTGTCAGCCGTCGGAACCCGTCGTCAACGCAACCCACTAATCCACCACCTCCTCACCGACAAGCCTCTCCTTTCGTCCTCTCTACCTCCAGGTCGGCGCGGTGCTTCCAATGGCGGCATATCCAGCGCACTCAGCCCCCTCACAACCCACACGACCTTTGTGAAGCGCGGTATGCCTCTCACAATCCTCCCAAACCCCTGGAAACAACCCTGGGCAGCCCACGTCCAGCCACGCCTCGGACTAAACGACCCCAGCATCGACCTCCCCCGCCTAGTCCACCTAATAGAAGACTCTTTCGACCGCAAACTCGACGTACAAAACTACCTCGACCGAGTGAACGATCGCATCGCCGGCGTCATCGTCGCGGGCGAGTACGAAGGCGGTGCCATCCTGACCTGGGAGACGCCGCCAGGTGTTCCGGACGACGGCAGCGAAGCCAGTGTCGCCCGCATGGTACCATATCTGGACAAATTTGCCGTACTCAAGCGGAGCCAGGGTGCGGGTGGTGTTGCGGACGTCGTGTTCAACGCGATGGTGCGCACTTGTTTCCCTAACGGGGTCTGCTGGCGTAGTCGCATGGACAACCCTGTTAATAAGTGGTATTTTGAACGCTCGGCGGGGACTTGGAAGTTGGCTGATAGTAACTGGACCATGTTTTGGACGACGCCGGGGCTGGTGGAGAATCCCCAGCGCTTCCGGGATTATGAGGGTGTTTGTCGGGCTATTCAGCCTAGCTGGGCGGATAACAAGAGTGTCATTGACTGATGCGTGTGAGCATAGTCGGGCACTACTGTTGAGGGACGATATCTATTGAGGGATATGTGTTTGTTGTGGAGAGATGCAAATGATGAGCATGATCGATGCTACCTGTTTTATTAGATCTGCTCTACCCCGTTTGAAACGAGGAATGGGAGCAGGAGATGTACATACAAATTGCGACATATATCTTGCGACAAGTGGGGGAGATAGAGAAAGAGTTGATTAACTGCAGAAGGCAGGATGTCTGTTCAAGTAGTTATCTACCTAAAGGGAAGTCTGATCACCAAGTTTCTATTCACAGGATTGCGAAGATTCCCGCCACCAGCACCGCGATCCCACCAACTAGTCCACTTGCCTTCATCCTCAGGGCGGAACTCTTATCGCTATCCTTGTCGTCATCGGGATTATCCTCGGTGACAACTTTCAGACATGTCATCTGAGAACTGGTCTCGTTGACAAAACTGCTGTTGTCCTTCCCAACGAAGACGGTCAATATCGGCGTGATTTTGTAAGCCTCGTCGATGAGAGCATCTGCGGAGTAATTTCTCTATAGCATCTATAAGCAACTGAGGGTAGCATATCAAGCAAACAAGTAGATCTAACTCACCAAATAAGTACTGCTCATAATGCCCAGCAACTGATCAGACTTGGGCATAACAGGCCAGCAGTCGGTAGAATTTGGAATGGAAGTGAGATTGCCAAGCGACTTAACGGAGAATTCGCCGAACGAGCGACCATTCCCTCCGAAACCATCACATTCATCTGGAAGATTCTTCTTGAACTCCCGGTTGAGTTCCTCGCAGACTTCTCCGTTAGCCTGATCGGCCAATTCAGTAGCACGGTCCGTGATCATCTTGATGCACTTCTTGTCAATTACATCAGAGCAGGTGCCGCTCGCGGCGCGGGTGTCCGTTCCATTGTGTTTGCCTTGCAGCTTTGGGCCCTTGAACTTTTTAGACGGAGGGTCGTGGAAGACAACCACGCAGCCGGACAAGTCCTTGGCTTCTGCGTCTGAGGGTGCGCCGAGGTAGTAGAATGACCTGAAAGGGCGTCTCGGCTTGTCATTGTTCTTGCCACCCAATGGAGCGGAGACATTGACGCCTTTCAGGAGGGCAAAGTCACTGAGATATGATGGTGCGTCGGCGAGATGGGATAGTCCGATGCCCATGAAGGTGTTGTTGCCCACTGTGCAACGGTCATCGGCTCCTTCCTTGGGACATGAGACTTCGTTGCAGCCTACCAGGTTGGAGGAGAGCTTAGCATCATCTGCAACAGCATGAGAGAGGAAAAGAGCTAGGAGGACGGTCAACGTGGATGGATTGAACTGAATCATGATTTCGTTCGATTGAAGGAAAAGTGAGCTGGAGACAGTTTGACGATACGCGGGGGGAAAAGTGTGGTATTAGAGGAATGTCGTGCACGAGCCATAGTCCTTTATTGTCCGCTTTGTTGGTGTGTCATATCTAGCCTGACCACAAATTCAGGCACTCTCCTGACAACATGGGTCTTGATTCGCGTGCTTGAATTGGCGGGCTGGTTGGTGGCCGCGGGCGGACGCCTCAGAGAGGCTCCAGTCAATATAGCGTTGTATCTTGCCGATCCGGGGGCGGGGCGTATGCGAGGTTGATCGGGGGCGTATGCTAGGCTGATTGATCATGGGGGACAAAAGCTTAGCTGATTGGAGGCGTATGCTTGGCTTACTGGGGGCGACGTGCTTGGAGGCTGTTTGGATGTCGCAGACTCGCAGTCGCAGTGGAGACTGGGGGCGGGTACCGGCGGGTCATCGGACACAGCCGAGCCCTTAGCTTTGCCTTTTGGGGTTAGTATCAACACAACTTGTGGGGTATGGTTTGAATGCTTCCTCCTATGTCATACGTCTAATGCGTCTGTCATTATCTTCAATGGGTGATGATTGACACTCAGATGTCATTCTTGCCTTATAAGGCATAGACTTTGGCAAGTCTACCAGGAGGATGTACCTGAGGCTGATTGAGCCCCGCCCTGAACCTTCCTCTCCAGGGACTTTGCAACTGCCGGTTGTCAGCCCATGACTCGTGCAACTTGGACATATCTACTATCTAGTGAATCAGCCCAGTTTTCTGCCTGAGCCAGGGCTGTCTCCGCAGGTTCATGCAGTCGGAATAATCAAGTCCGACGCACTTCTAAGTTTAACCTTCCTCTTGGAACGTTGCCCTCATTGGATAAAATATAACCATTGCAATAAATCCTTCAGGCCTCCAATATCTCCGCACGGAGGGCTAAGCTCAAGATCACCATGTGTAGTTGTAGATCATCCATCTGTATTCTGTCCGCTGTCGTCGAAGGGAGATGTCTTCCCCCTTATCGGATAGCAACATGCATCATCACTGTGCCCACCGGGCTATTGTCTTAACACTTCTTCATGACCTTGGAACTTCATGAGTTTGCTCCGGAATTTGGGGCAATATGAAGCCTGGAGTAGAGACTTCAATATCACTGCAGCGCGCATTGATGACAAGCCTCCCAAATCCTTCGAGTGCTAACAAAGCCAACAATTCAGCCATCAGGATCTTGCAAAAGGGCACACTGTTCCATCGTGTATAGGGGCCAAGTAGGTGAAGGGGCCAAAGGACCAATTTAGATCAAGCGATGTCGATCCGTGATAGCAGACACGGAAAGCCCTGACTAGGGCGAGGCTGTGAATGTGGTGGTGATGAAAGGCGATGAGAATATCCCGATTGTCTCCTCGAATTCGTCTATATAAGGCCACGGAATCCCAGACGTTAAGCTCCATTCTATCCCCAGGATAACCATAACCCCTACCTTCATACTCTCAGATTCGATCTGCAAACATGTCTGTTGTCGATACCATTGGCGTTATCTCTGGTCTCCTAACCATCGTCGGGTTTGGTATGGATAACTTCGGCAATGAGGATACCTCCGGTTCAACCATCAAGGTTGCTGTGGCTCTCGATGGGCCCCACGGGCCAACAAATGCAGGAGGCGGTATTCCTGACGTGTAAGTCAAGCAATGGGTTCGATACCAAAGCATAAAGCAGAAGAGCCCAATGCTAACAGGCCCAATTCAGTCGAGTGTGGAACGAAGTCGGAAAATTCGTCGGCATGAAAGTCGACCCGGGTACCGTTGGCAACGGAGACCTAGGCACAGTCGACGTTGACCACGATAACCAGGGTGTGTACACCCTGTTCTCGGCCAACGACGATGCCATCTGCGTTGCGTGGGTAACCACGACCTGGAGCGATGACCGCGGTGGCAACAAGTACGCCGTGTCCGGTGACTATGGCCATGCCTGTGGAGGTCAATGGTACCACAGCCACATGTATCCGAACAACGGGAAGGACTACCAGCCCAAGTGCTTCTGGATTGACAAAAATGGCGACCAGCCTAAGACCGGATTCCAGGTCCGCTGGCCTGCCTTCGCGAAAGACCAGCAGGATGCCAACCACAGAAACCCGAAGAGAATGTGCAACGGTATTGACTTCGGACTTCGGACTGAAAAGGATCCCCACACCATCCACTACTACACCAAGGGAAAGCGTAGCAGCCCCCTGCGTGCCCGCCAGCCCATGGCTCGCCCTGCGTGGGCGGAGTCTGAGCTCGTCGTGAGCGACTCGAAGCACCATTCAGCCAAAGAACTATGTCAGTCTGATACGTCCGTGGGACCTGACTTCGTTCATGTTGAGGAGGGACTCTTCTGTGACATGAGTGCCAAGGTCCTCTATGCGTTCTGCACTGAGGATGGAAAGACGGATTGCTTTGACTTTGACTCCCATACCGTCTTAAGCGGTAAGAATGAGACACACCCGGTCGATACAACGGATGTCGCTGCTACTAGCAAGAAGCCCGGCAAATACTCCAGCATTCGTGACTGGCGCTCTAACAGCACCAAGGCTGCAGCATAGGCTATGCTGCGCTCGACCTGATGCCGGTCTGTGGCGTGGCCGCGTGGGGGATACGTTGTATATAGGTGACAGAGCACGCATTGGTTCATTGGTCGTCTCGCGATTGTTCTTTGAAGTTTGTCGTTCGTTTTCCTGCCTGGATCTTCTACGTATATATATGGATTGACGCATCATGTATATTCTTGCAATTAGCACCGGCTTGTTTAGTTGAAGGACTCAAGTATTTGTTGACGACATATTGCCGCTGTATTTCCTAATGTTGCTGGGGTGTACGCAGTAACATCCATAAACAAATTGCAGTTGGCTTTATCCATTAGGTAGCGTGAGCCCAGATATGGTCAGTAGACAGCAGCAATGATACAGCTCTTTTTCTGTTTTGTAAGTATGGAAGTGCGTAAAGCGTCTCTATCGTTTGCATGTGCTTCAGCCTCCATGTTGTTCCAATTTCTTTGACAATCGCGTTGTTTGGTCTACCGGTATTGGGTGTGAGCAATTATTCCATCTCAGAAGTATTGACAGCCTCTGTTGGCTATCAGCCTCTAGGGTCACAAGATTCGATCTTGCGCATAGTGCTATTTGTCTTGGGGTCCTGCCTTCCAATTGATTCTTTGATGACGACATGAAAATCTTCTCCGACATCAACGTCTCGAATATCCCACGTAGATTTCCGGGTCCAGACCCCCGGGGCCCCGACTTTTAGCATCGCCACCATCGACCTTCCTGCCGACCGAATCGATTGATACAAAATTGAATCAGTTTATAAATTCTCAAATTGAGAACTGACCATCAATCCGGCTCAGTGGTCTAGCGGTATGATTCGCCCTTCGGGAGAAATCTCAGGTTTCATTATATTACCTATAATGGGCGAGGCCCCGGGTTCGATTCCCGGCTGAGCCCCTCTTTTTTGCTTCTTTTGAATATCTACATTTATGCTGTTAGGTTTGGATTATTTTTTTTCCTTCTATATTTGAGCTTTTTGAATTCAATGATTGACAATATAGTAATCGTTGGAGATATGTTCGGATGGTGGGAGAAGTGCTGAGTAGTACTACTGCGTATTGTAGTGTGGGGAGGTATGTGCCAGGATGACTCCATTTCAATCGGACGTGCCATTCTCTACACAGTAGTTACCTAACCAATTCCACGCAAGTTCCACTTTGACGGACGATATGCCTTTTACCGCCACATGTTCGTTGAACTGTCGGTACACGTATCTCATTGCCACTGAGTTATCATGGGTTGCAACACTGACAGGTCCAGGGAAGGTCTCCACCGACACTTCAAGTTCATCTACAAACGGCAGCCAACACAAGAGTCCAAGACCATATTGATAGCCAGGGAGCAGCCAAAGTACCGACATCATCAGAAAACTAGCTCTAGAAAAATCCAGAAGCAGTGCTCCTGAGGTGACTTACTAGTGAAGAGAAGTAAACGGCCTACCTACATGTACCCTTAAACCCCGTTCAGTATACAGTTATCCTGTGAATGACACCGTCTATGAATGTGCCATAACTGTCTCTACTGGAGCTAAATCACAGGTCACTCAACTTTACCCAGGCATCCTTGCAATGCTTGCCATCTGCGTGAACCCTTTGACTTTTGGCCAGGAGGACTCGATTTATGCTCTGCTGGGGAGCGAATACTTTCGGGTATCATTCTCTCTTGATCGGCAACTGCCTGACTGCTGCCTGTCTCACTTCTGGGCTACAGTCAGGCCATACATAGGTTGTTTCCCCGGGTCCCGGCTTCTTTGTTTGCATCCCATCCATAGGTATATATCTAGCTGGCTCTTCACGAGGCCCTGGAACCTAGATGATGGAGGTATTCCACATCGTCACTGTTTTGCGGTGATGAATACAATCCTGACTAGGTTGCACCTGATTAGAGGAGTTTTATTCTAGCATTAGTCGTAGGCATCTTGAATTCTGTTTGCCGGTTGTTGAATAGTTAGGGCAACTCTACCAGTAATACTCGATTGGGAATTTCGCCTTTGACATATATATCATTAGCTGCAGATTCTCTTCATACCAACTCAGTATAGTTGGCCAATTGGCCTAGTGGTAAGGCATCCGTTTCCGGTGCGGGAGATCGTAGGTTCGAATCCTGCATTGGTCGCTTATCTTTTTTTTCTTTTTTGAAGTTTCCAAGCAGTCAGTCAGTGAGTGTGTTTTGTTCTGTTTTATGGTTACGAGAGTGGCCATACTGTTTGCCAGGTGATTGTCTGTGGTACAGCCCGTAGATAGACTCGCCGGCGAAAAGTAACTAGTCCCTAATATGATTAATTGTATTCGAGAATATAGTTACATGTAAGAATGAATGCAGGATGGAAAGAGGAGAATTCCGCATAAGATCATCAAGCAGGCCTGTCGATATGGGTGGGAAATAATTGTCACGATTATTACCTATCATAGTGACATTTCCTCAATAAAATAAGCATCAAAAGCGCGAGAAGAAATACCACGGGCATGATAAATGTCATTAGGAGTGAGGTAATCATCAAAAACATAGTAGTCCCCGTAGTCTTCATCGTCTTCATACTGGGGTGGTAACGGCGAGATAGAAAACTCGACTTCTGTTCCCTTGAACATATCCTGGAGAGACAGCAGACATTGCTCTGCAGTTTGGCCTTCTGGGATTCGTTGCCCGGGAAATTTAATCGGCGCTGTGATGTCGAGTGCGGAGACACTCACACGGGTCAAGTGCGGATACAGGCCCTTTTTGCAGTCTGTCGCGATGTTCTGGGCCATGTCCCGAATGGAAGAATTACAGTTGGAGATGGATAGCCTTTGTAGCGTTGCCGGCAATTGAGGATGTGCTGGAAGATAGGCATGAGAGACCCGAAGATCCTGGAGCACGGAGAAGCCGGCGAACGAGCCATACTTGACGAGGGTAGAACTGTATTCCTCGAGATTCTCATTATCAGCGGAGAACTCGACCTGGAAGACCTTGAGGGTATCCTTGTGCCGAAGAGCCTCTTCGGTGGCTTGCGCAGCGTTAAATCCAGGTGCGCCTGTGGACTTGTACGGTCGCGGAGGTGAGAAGAAGAAGCATTCCAGACTTTTGCACGCCCGCATAAATTTTCTGAGGGCCCCGGCCTCCCAATGGGATCCGTGGAAGGAAAATGTGTTCGCTGACAATGTTCCAGGCGTCCAGCTAGACGGAAATGACATATCGAGCAAAGCACTGCTATCAATGGACGCGTCTCTGAGATTGGGAAGGGATAGAAGCTCCTGGTAATATTTCATATCGGAGCCGGTTGAAGGGAAGGTGGTTCCAATGGCTACAGACGTGAGGTTGGACAAAAATGACGGATCTCGACTGAAGAAAACTGGGAATAGCTCGAAGACTGTTCCACCCACGGGCATATGCAGTGAATGAAGATTGGGCGTTTTGTTGACCAACAAGGCCATGAGGAGGCCAAGTTGCTTGGAGTACATAGCCCGAATCCAGTCTTTCTCCATATCGCCCAATTGAAGGTCCTTGATGATGCCTGTGTAGAACTCGATGTTGTGTTTCTCAATGCCCAGATATGAATTGAAATATTCGTCTGAGAGGCGCGATCCTGATATGGCGCACATGCTCTCCAAGGTCAGGACGTGCATAGATTGCCTTGGTGAAACAGATGGTTTTGTCGCGATTTATGTCGCGTTTTTTATGCATACCTCGACCCGTAAAGTCGCGGAAGAGGAGAGGTTGAGCTAAATCGCGGAATTTCCGCGAGACTAGGCATGTATTGTATAGAACATCAGTCCCAATAGCACGATCCGCGTCATCCTCGTATAAATCATCGGTGGTGGGGATGAAAGACAGAATCTCCAGGAGGACTTCAAGTGGGAGGTCCTGAAGGTTGACCATGATTTTGGTACTGTCCGTGCATGTACTGTGTAGACAGAAGGCGAGGTGAACCGACAGAAACAATGACTAAAAAGGGATTTGGTCCTCACGCGTCGTGAAGCCCGGCAGAACCGAATGCGGAATCAACGAGGTCTCCCGGCGCCCGATGGTCTTGGGATTTTAACTGCGACGTTCAGCTTCGCCTATGCCGTAAAAGGCAGGCGGTATCCGTAACCCCTGAAATAGGCAACCGAACGACAACCAATCGGAGGGAAATAATTCAGGCCGAATTATCTCCGAGGTCGTTTTGGCCGGAAGTAAGGCGACGCTTCGCGTCGCAAAAACAATAATTAATTGTATTCGAGAATATAGTTACATGTAGGAATGGATGCAGGAAGGAGTGAATGAGTGATGGAGTGAGTGGTTAAAGAGAGGTGCCGACAATAAAAAAAAGGGACAAAAAGATAACGACCAATGCAGGATTCGAACCTACGATCTCCCGCACCGGAAACGGATGCCTTACCACTAGGCCAATTGGCCGCCTTGTGTGCAGAGTTATCGAAAATAAAATTTAAGAGCAAGAAATGCCATACTATACACAATGACAACTCGACAGACCACATAGAATCGTCAACCAGCTCACATCTTCAACAATGTCCTATTTGGAATGTCAAGATGAGATGAATCTCAGCTCTTCAAACATGATCGAGCAAGCGGGTGCTACAAATCACATTCCCACATTGGGAAGATATCAATGACAGACCAAATCCCTGAGTGAACGGGTGTCCGAAATGGTCCCTTCTCTAGGGAACATGGTATGACCCACGACCAACTTACAGTCTTACACCCAGAAAGGAGCTCACAAGACTGAGTTTAGGATCTCTTCCAGGGCATACACATCAGCAGCGCAGGTCCCTAACCCTACATCGTCTCCCACGACCAGGAGGACCACCCCTTGCATAGCAGGGAGGTACAACCATGATCGACGGAGAAATTCGTTGCGATCAAGCATTTACACATTCCCGCAAGAGGGGCCAAGAATCCAGCCGTCCTGTCAGAGCATCAACAGATTGGCCGCGAGGGATATGATATCGTCGCATGGGCAGTTGAGGGGCACAACACCCCTTCATCCCAGTTATGACAGAATGTCACTAGGGCGATCCGACCTGAAAAGAATAAAGACAGTCAAGAATCCCCTGAGCTGATTTGCATTCCGGAAGACTTTCGTTAATATTTCTTGTGTTTTTATTTACGACGTTCAGCTCTGTCGCTCGCCGACGCTTTCTTTCCTTTCTCTGGACGTTGGTGATATCCGTACAACCGATACAATGGTTAAGACTACTTACGCCCTTACGCTCTTTGCGGCTGTCAGCCTGGCGGCGCCTGTTCAGCAGCTTGATGGTCGTGCGGAAAAGCATGGCGCTGCTGAGCACAAGAATCTGATTGAGGATATTCCTATCCTTGGGCCTATGCTTTCAGGCGTATGTATTTTGGGATCTTGAGCAAGCCGTGGGTAAAAACATGTTCGACTAACAGCTTCGATGAATAGAAGCACGATAAGCGCTCCACTGACAAGCCTGACCACCACAACTTCATTGATGATCTTCCGATTATTGGAAAGCTGATTGGCAATGTGTGTATACACCCCGGACGGATGATAGAGACGTACGCTAATAGTTCTGACCAATTAGGAGAAGTCTAACCAGCGCCGAGATCTCGGTACTGATCTTGGTACTAAAGGTATTAGTGGCTTGCCAATCGTTGGAGGGTTGTTCGGAAAGGTATGGATATTCGAATTAAATAATCAGAACGGAAGAAATACTGACAGAGCTGTAGCACACGCACACCGGTGGAGTCAATGGCATGACTCAGCGCCGAAGCTTCGACCAGAACTATGGCCAGAACTACGGTCAGAACTACGGTCAGAACTACGGTCAGAACGAGGGACAGAATGATGGTCAAAATGAGGGCCAGAACGAGGCGCAGAAGTATCAGAACGAAGGCCAAAACGAAGGTCAGAACGAGGGTCAGAACGAAGGCCAGAATGAGGGTCAAAATGAAGGCCAGAACTGGGCTCAGCAGTACCAAAACGGAGGCCAAAACGGAAAGCGTGACCTCGCGGCTGACTTGAATGATGATTTGGGTGGCCTCAGCAGCCTTCCCATCGTCGGCGATCTTCTTGGAAAGGAGGTACTACATACAATCCCACCAATTGGCTCGGTGAGTGAGAAAGCTAATATCGAATAGGACAAGGACAAGCCCTCGCACAAGCAGACTAACGATCCTGCCAAGCACCTCGACGCTCGCCAGGCCCCCGGCCACTCCAAGGGTATCTTCGGTATCCTCCAGTCCCTCACCAGCGGCGGTGTAAGTCGAGACCAAGCTATACCATCCTACCATTGGATCACTAGATGCAAGTGCTAACAACCTAACTAGCCCATAACCAAGAACCAGAAGCGCATGAACGAGGAGTTCTCCGAGCTCGAGTCTATGAGCGATCTTCTGGAGGGAGCCGTTGAGACTGGTCTGGATGCCGAGGCTTCTGCCATGCCTGTAAGTTCACATTGCGCCAAGTTTCTACCAGTCAATGAAACAGTGGAACTGACATTCGCAGGTCCGCCGCGCCGAGCCCGCTGCCTCCAAGGGCAACGGAGCCCAACAGGGCAACCAGAACGGCAAGGTTAGCGAGAGCTCCAACGGCCTTCTCGGCCACTCGGACGCCGAGAAGGAATCCGCCAACCAGGACAGCGCGGCAAGCAAGACCCTCCTAGGCGAGCTGTTTGGAAAGGATGGTCTTGGTGCTATCAAAGGCAACTCCCAGCACGGCGTCGGTCTCTTCCCCGTACGTGCAACCAAAATACCAAATATCAGATCTACAACTAACTGCCCTACCCTACAGATGCGCCGTGACACAAATGGACTCGAGACTAGACAGGCTCCTCCCATCGAGGGCTCGACGCTCGCTGGTGTTCTTCTCTCCGGTGGTGCCCTGGGAAAGGTTACGCAGTTGCTTGACCCCAGCACTGCTATGCACAAGCCTGGTGATAACTCGCCCTCTCAGGTCGGTGATGGGTCTATTACTGGTCCTCCGGATCCTAGCTCTGGTGCTGGTCCTCACTCTGGTCCCGGTCTGGCTGCGGAGCAGAAGAATGGTGCTTCTCAGTAAGAGGTGTGGATGATATGGAATATTGGTTTGGAACAGTCTAGAAGACCGAGCTATTTTATGAGGTGTTTTGAACTTGGGTAGGTTGTGGTGTAGAGTGGGTTATGTTTTTGTTGTTATTTTATTCTTTCAATCAATGTCAAATGCTTTGGTTCGATTAAGCAAGCTTCTGAGCTGTACAAAGGCAAATTTAGAAGCATTAACAGTAGGAAGGTCCTAGTCCGTAGCGAGTGTCATAGTCAAGAGACAGACGGAGCCAAACAGCAAAGCAAAGAACACCATCGTAAATCGTCACATCAAAACCGGCTTTTCCGGTCCGGACCACCCAGTTAAAGAGCGCCCTTGGGGGTATATCAGGTCGTTACGCGAAAAAAACAAACAAATACATCCAACTCGAGATGGAAGCAGACTTCCAAAGGGCCAAAGAGCCCTAATCGGAGTCATACATATCCAAATCATCCACAACAACAGTCGTCCCCAACGCCTCCTTCCCCTCCCGAATCATCGCCTGCAACTGCTTATTCAAGCGCTGAATACTGGCATCCTCCTCCCGCTCCTTGCGCCGCATCTTCGCAGCCTGTCGCTGTATATCCGCAGAACTAGGCACATCCCTCAGCCGCGGCGACGGCAGACCCGGCGATATGGGACCCGCATACCCGACTCGTTTCGCCGGCTTAGCAAGTCGAGGCATCACAGCTGACCTCCGTCGTGGACTAGACGCCTGGAAGGAGCGCCTCGCGCGAAACGAGGGACTGGCTAGCTCACTGCTGCCTGCGAAACCATTCGAATCCGGCACGACAACCCAGCTCTCGGTCTCGTCTTCGGGATACTGGCCCGGCACGGGTGTTGCGCAATACGTATTTGCGTTGTAGTCTTTCTCGGGACTGGTCGACGCTTGCCAGCTGGATTCGAGAATTTGGGTAGGTCCCGCTGGCATATCGTAGCCTTGGCCGCCGCCTGCGTAGAAGCCGCGGAATGCGCCCGTCCAACAGAGATCGAGGACTTTGCTTACGGCTTGGATTACCGTTCGACCCCAGCCGGTGGGTGTGGATGGGGTTGAGCCATCTGGGGTTGGGGAGATGCAGGAGTCGCGGCGAGTGCGCTTGCGGCTGCCGTTTGAGACGGCTGGGTTTGGGGACTCGGAATCGGAGTCGAAGGGGGGTGGGTGGAAGGATTCGCGGTAGCGGTTTGGTCGGTAATCTAGTTCGGCGGAGGTGTGGAGGTGGTTTCCGCTGCTTACTGAGCGGTAGGGGTGGATCATGGAAGAGGTGTTGCCGTCGGGTTCGAAATGCGAGGAGAGCTTCTCCGTGTTTCGACGGGGTCGCTTGCGACTGAGGGATAGGGAATAGAGGGATGAGGAGGCCGTGGCTGGCACCTGGAAGAGTTGGGAGGGAGCATTGGAGAGGTCCAGTTTGGGTGGTGAGGCTGAGTTGAAGAAAGGGTGTATGTCAGGCATTTCAAAGAAATCAAAGAAATGAAACAGAAGACTTTGAATCGGAGAAAGAGGATTATCGTCTTTTCTCTCTCGTTGGGAAAAGAAAAAAAAGAGAGAGGTTGGTTGACGGTGAGCGGAGTACATGTAGTGTCTACTCAAACCCAACAAAACAGAACTGCTGTCTCACATTTATCTCCCCCTACATTATATATTGACCAGGAATATCCTGTTACTGTACGCAGTAGATTGAAATTACAATCGCTGGCTGGTCCATTCTACTCCAGCAGCCTCCAGTCCTTCATCGCCATCGACCAACACACACCATCCCTCGCCGCCTCGTCCTCCATCTCCAGCAATCACCGCCTCAAAGTGACCGTGGGCATACTCCAGCACTTTATCGTCAAAGGTACCTGGTTGCAACCAAACAGCCGGGATCCCCACCGAATGCGCTTCCTGCAGCAACTGGAAGGTCACAGCCGGAGGAGTCACGACTGACAGGGAGGTCTGCGTCGGCGATGGCAAACTGGCCGGGGAGGGGACGGTATCGTAAGCACGCGAGGGGAACGTGATCTGCGCTGCTCGGGGGTTGAGCGGAGTCACTGGGAGCGAGTGTTGGTGATACCAGGCGAGAACTGAAGAGGTAAGTAAGAAGTAAAAGGTGAGAATGGGCTTTTGGCCTTACTCTTGTATCCGAACTTATGAGCGTCATTGCTGGCGCCCGCCACCGCAAAGTGGGGAGAGGAGAAGAAGCGTTTGACTGCGGCCATGGTGTCAAGGATATTTGTATATTGTTGGAAATTTGTGTGAATTTAAGTCCAATCTCGTATGAATTTCAAGAGTAACGTTAGATGGAAGTGATAGTAGTAGAGTCAAGAAGCGCAACCTCGGCAGCCGACTGATCAGTGATCTCCCTTCGCTCATCTCCGCCTCGATCTCCGACATTCGGCGATCTCACCAACACTTCCCTTCACATTCGTTCGCATGCCACCATTCGTCCCCCGCAAGCGTGTCTCCTCCGAGGACCCGCCCCCGGCCAAGCGCCATGCCCGGCCCGATAATATTCAACCTCCACCTCCAGCAGAATTCCACCTCTCCGACTCCGACTCCGATTCCAGTTCAGCTCTGAGCGACGCACCTGATGGGCTTCTCGACAAGGCCAATGCGCCTAATGCGCAGGAATCCGATGAAGACGAAGAAGAGGACATTGACTGGGAGGATGCGATGGACGCAAAGACCACGAGCACCACGCCTATCGTCGCCGGCCCGGAGCTACAGGACCTTGAATTGACCCTGGATAAAAACGAGACACACGTATCCGATCTTCCAGACGGCAAGAAAGGGCCTAGCAAGATCGAGCGCCAAATCCGGATCCAGACGCATTGCATGCATGTCCAGTGCTTGCTGTTCCACAACGCTATTCGCAATGCGTGGAGCAACGATGCCAAGGTTCATGAGATTCTGCGTAAGAAACTACCAGATGGATTACACAAGGAAGTCAAGAAGTGGCGTATAGCATCCGGTCTGGAACTTCCACCGCCAACCCCGGAACCGCCCAAGAGTAAGAAGAAGGGCAAAAAGGCCAAGAATAAAGATTGGAGTGCTGACTCGGAGAGATTGGAACCTGGCCAGCCGGATATGAGTCGGGGCGATCCAATCATTACGTTGATGAAGGTGCTGGTCGCGTACTGGAGGAAGCAGTTTCATATCACGGCGCCAGGTCTGCGGAAGTATGGATACCGACAGGTGTCTGCTCTTGAAGCTGCTATCACTGATTTTCGCGAGGAACAACATGACCCAGAGCGTCATGGTGAGCGGATCGCTAATCTTGATGAGTTCCGCGCGACTGCAGAGCGCATGCAGGGCTCGCGTGATGTTGGAGCGCAGCTTTTCACGGCTCTCGTTCGCGCTCTGGGGATTGAGGCCAGACTCGTGGGTAGTCTACAGCCGCTAGGCTTTGGCTGGACCAAGGGGGAGATCTACAATCCTACTACACCTGCCAAAGCCGAATCAGCGGAAGACCCCGATAATGAAGGAGACTCTGAAGCATCCGAGCCGGAGACGGATGAGGCCGATAACAAAGCACCGAATAACAAGCGCAAGCAGTTTGACAAGGATCTACCATTTCCGATCTACTGGACAGAAGTTGCCTCGCCTGTCACAAATGAGATCATCTCCGTCGATCCGCTCGTACTTTCCCACCCCGTCGCGCCGTTCAATACAGAACTACAAGCCAACTTCGAGCCGCGCGGTGCAAAAGCAGACCGAGCCAAGCAAGTCATCTGCTACGTGGTCGCCCACTCAGCAGATGGCACCGCCAAAGAGGTAACCACCCGATATCTTAAACGACGGACCTGGCCCGGCAAGACCAAGGGCTTCCGAATGCCCATCGAAAAAGTCCCCGTCGGAAAACAGGGCCACTACATCGCCTTCGACTGGTTCGGAATGGTACTGCGCGGCTACCAACGAGCCCGCAAGAGCAAAACAGCAGTTGACGAACTCGAAGACACCCGCGACCTCCAACCCAACCAACCCGAAAAAAAGAAATCAACCTCAACAACCGACACTCTCCAAAGCCTCCGCACCTCCCCAGACTTCGTCCTAGAACGCTTCCTCCGCCGCGAAGAAGCCCTCCGACCTGGCGCCGAACCCGTCCGAACATTCGTAACCGGCAAAGGAGCCCGCGCAAAAGAAGAACCCGTCTACCGTCGCAAAGACGTACTCAAATGCCTCTCCGCCGAAAGCTGGCACAAAGAAGGCCGCCAGACAAAACCAGGCGCCGTCCCGCTCAAACGCGTCCCTATCCGCGCCGTCACCCTCCAGCGCAAGCGCGAAGTAGAAGAACTCCACCGCCAAACAGGCGAAAAACCCCTCCAAGGACTGTACGCGCGCGAACAAACGGAATACATCATCCCGCCGCCCATCCGCGATGGACGGATTCCGAAAAACGAGTACGGGAATATCGACTGCTTTGTGCCGAGTATGGTTCCTGCGGGTGCGGCGCATGTGCCGTTGTCCGGGACTGTACGGATTTGCAAGAAGTTGGGGATTGATTATGCGGAGGCGGTTACGGGGTTTGAGTTTGGGTCGAAGATGGCTGTGCCGGTTATTCAGGGGGTTGTTGTTGCCGAGGAGAATGAGGGATTGTTGAGGGATGCTTGGAGGGTTGAGGCTGCGGAGAAGAGGAAGAAGGAGGAGTTGAAGGCTGAGAAGAGGATTTTGCAGACTTGGAGGAAGTTTTTGTTTGGGTTGAGGATTATGGAGAGGGTGAGGGATGAATATGGGGGGAGTGATCCTGAGGGGGATAGGGAGAGGGAGGAGCATAATCCTTTTGCTCTGAAGAAGGGGAAGAAGGAGGTGGATGTGGGTGAGGATGAGGATGGGCATGATCAGGAGGAGGAATATAATGCTATCGATCATGGTGGTGGCTTCCTTCTTCCGGGAGAGGAGGGGGATGTCAATGATGAGTTGGTTGTTGAGCATCTGGATCAAGAGAGTCGTGCACCCTCTGAACTTGATGGTGACCCTGACGACGAGATGGTTGATGCTGCATCTGATGCGGAATCTCCGCTCGAGTCTCTCGCTTCGGATCTTGTGGACAAGCTGGATGACGAGGATGAAGACTCAGGGCCTGAATATGAACCTCGCCCGACGCGGCGGACGCGAGGTCGCTGATTGATATAATGTATTTCTATATGGGTGTTTCTGTATCACGAATGTAACGATTTAGGGCTCTGTCCGCGGCTCAAGCATAATTATGGCGTTAGGAACGAAAAGTCTGGACTACCTCGAGATCCATATAACTCTTGCCATTGAAGGTCGTGCTTCTAAGCAAGACATCTAAAAGCGATATTTATCTTTGGCTTGGGCCAGATTGAGACCAGCATACAGCTGTATCATTGCGTGTGTATGCTCTGGTAAGGATTCGAGCAGAATCATGCAGATGTGTTGATATTTTTCACTGTGCTTCAGCCAAAGACCCCAGGGTCACTGCCCAAGTGCCTTGGGGCAATAGATGAGCTTTAAGGGCTGAGGGAAGTCGGACATTGTGAGAGTCAAAGAGTCTTCTCGTTAGTTACCTAGAACTGGGTAAGTAGAAACTGGTATATTGGAAACTCGATATCAATAGGACTAGAGTGTTAAGACCACGAAGCTGGGTAGCTATTTCCCTCTGTATAGGTGACGAGAACAGTCAAAGGGAAAGTAGTCATATGCTATCCAGCACCTGCCTACTTCAAAGTGTTTGCCCCGGTGCTTTCCTGTTTAGGAAATGAGCTCATCGCCATCCCAATTGTCCCCTATGACATGAGCCATTGCCTAAGCATATAAATACTCCTTCCTTTTCCAACTCCTCTTCTCCTCTTCTTCCTTCTTCAACTCTCCTTCTTCGCACCACTGCCTCCCCTGCCCTCTACGCACCACATCACCATCTACCCTCCCTCCCTTCTTCGCGCACCACTGCCCATACCGCCCTCTCCCCTCCGCACCACAGCCTCTCCTGCCCTCTACGCACCACATCACCATCTGCCCTCCCTCCCTTCTCTTCGCACCACAGCCCATCCTGCACTCTCTCCTTCACACCACAGCACCCTCTACCCTCCCCCTCCCTCGCACCACAGCCTCTCCTGCCCTCTACGCACCACAGCACCATCTGCCCTCCCTCCCTGCTCCTCGCACCACAGCCCATCCTGCCTTCTCCCCATCGCACCACAGCACCCTCCACCCCCCTCTCCTCTCTGGCACCACAGCCCATCCTACCCTCTACGCACCACAGCACCATCTGCCCTCCCTCCCTTCCCCTCTCACCACAGCCCATCCTGCCCTCTCCCAACCGCGCCACTGCCTCCCCTGCCCTCCCCTAACCCAGTCACACGGGTCCTGTGTGTGGCACCTGGATAAGACTTGCACCTTTACGCGGTATTCGGGATGAGTAGCCTTCAGGGTGAAACCAAGCAAGTTCTAGTTAGTATAGATAGACAATGAAGCTTCGGATATCTTTTCGCATAACCTTGTGCACTGTGCCTTGTAGTGTCTCCAGCCATCGTTGACGCTATCATATCCTTGTTTGTATGCGGTTCAACCTTCATAGATATCATGTATTCATGTATTCTCGTGACTCATTCTTCTATGACATCTAGTGTACCTGAAAAAGAGCAAATGCAAATGTAAAAATGGAAGACCAACGCCGAAAACGCAATGGGCCTTGTAAAATGCAAGCCCAGGACATGTCAGAATCCCCATCATTCGATCCCGCAAGCGCACAACCAACCTAGACATTCTGCTTGGGTCTCTCCGCAATAACCTCATCAGCCCAGGCCTTGATCTCAGGCAAGCGAATGCGGCCAGCGACATGAGCGAACTCAGTGAGATCAGTCTCATGGGCATGCTCATACTCCACCATCTGCAACAGCAGCTCCATCTTGTCAATATCATGCACGAAGTGAGCCTCAAGAGTGACGTCCTCCTCGTACTCCTCGAACACGCTCTTGATGTCCGCGCCCGACAATGCGCCGCCAGGAACCTTGCCCAAGAGAGTGGTAGCGATGTACTCTATGACAGCAGCCTCGCGACGAGCCTTCTCAGCCTTCGTGATGTGGTAGTCGACGGGAGTGATATCGCCAACGAGAGCCTCGGCCATATCATGCACCAAGGCCATCTTTGTGCAGCGCGCGATGTTGAGCTTAGCTGCCAGGGCCGGCGGGGCCATCATCGTCATGATCGACATGCGGTACATGTGGTCTGCGATCGACTCGCCGTTGATGCCAAAGCGGCGCCAGCCCTCGCGCTTGGTGGTTTTCAAACGTTCAATCAGGTGGAAGAAGGGGACCGGCGATGTGGAGTTCTCCTCCGGACGGCGGGGGAGGGTCTCGAGGACTGCAGAAGTCAGTATTGGCGGGGAGGAGATAGGGCCTTGGGAAATTTACCGGACTCAGGAGTCCACACGGGCTCGTCGGTGGTCATGGCTGATGATCTTGAAGGGGAATGGAATGACGGGGATAACGAAAGAGAGATAATAAACAAGAGGAAAAGGACAAAGATTTAAACGTCGACCGCGGGACTGATAGCTGATAACGTTAGGTGCCGGCGCTTGCAAACAATGCAAACCCCCGTTATCTGTGTTTACTCTACGCCGGCTGTTTACTAAAGTCCCCGTTGACACAGGATGGCTGCGACGAGGCCTGTTCGGCCAAAACCTCTCGACTGGTCGGGTCCCTCGCATCTGGAGGTGTTTATCCGCAATCTGAAGCTGCTGCACCTGGACCAACGCGAGGACTGGCCCGGTATATCTCTCCGCACATTATCCGCGGCATCGCAGAACCAGCGACAACGAACCCGACTAATAGAATGGGCTTTGTACCGCCTCTACGCTATTTGGGACCCAGAGGGCGCCCTTAATGTACGATAGCCCAAATGTCCAGCTTGTGGGCTCTGCTGATGTTCTCCACAGAAACTCCGGCCGTTCTTTCCCCCGTTAGAGCCTCTACAGTCCGTCAACCTCCGCGCCGCCTTGTTCCGATGTCTAGGCGAATTGAAGAAAAATGGCGATCTGGGAAGAGAGGTTATTCTCCGCAAAACAATGCTGGATGATTGCAAGGGCGAGAAATTCGAGGAGCTGCTCGCTGGGTTCTCCACCACAGTTCTCCGTAAACTTTTGGCCGCATCCACCGACGAGATTTGGAATCCGGCTATGAGACTGTCAACTGCCACGGCTATGACACCTACCGACTACCAGAACTTGTTGCCACTTATTCTGGCCCATCAAGTCTCTCTCAGTACTGCTGGAGAACGCCACGCCCGAGTTCAAGACGCATATGATCAGTTCGCGCAGCTTCTGGACGGTAAGAAGGTTGAGCTGACTGAACGTGCGAGTCGAGAACCAGGTCATAGCTTGGATGTGCAGGATGACCATGAGAGCCTGATGCAGCAGTTCCAGACGAATTGGTTAGGCAGCGAGGAATGGGCCACCGCGCTGCTCGAAGGTGGTTCACAAAGTAGCACCGACGTTTTTTTGGAACTACCCTTCTCCAAAGCATTAGCAAAAGCCCGGGACTACAATGTGGATAGCCTCAACAGTGGGTCGGGACAAGATCTGATCCTTGATTTGGAGGCTCGGGTTCTACTTCAACGCAGTCGCCTGCACAAATGGCACGAATACAACAAGTCTCTCTCAAAGGGAAGAGGCACTGACGGGATGAGTACATGTCAATCTAAAGAACAGCGCATGCTCTTCCGAGATCACCAGTCTCTCACAGTGGCTAGTATATCCAAAGCAGTCCGCCAGCCTGGCGATCGTGGACGAATGTTGAAAGGTGCAGATAAATATCTTCTTTCCTCCGTCAACGAGACACTCGCCCGTATCAACGGTAAATCTCGTCTCAAGCATTCTACCATACCCGAAGTGAGGACGAGCAGTCCTCGCCGATTTGAACACGCTTCGGAGACTGTGAAGCCTCCAACAACATCAGAAGACCACCGACACACCCCCAGCCCCTCACCAGAACAGGAGATCCCAGAGCTACAGCCAGAGTCCGAACCTCACACAAAACCAGACAGCCAACGCTCCCCTCCTACCGTCCGCCTTTCGCCAGACATCCCCTCAGACGACGAACCAGAAGCGGAACCCATCAAACGCTCCACCAACCTAGTCGAGCGCACACGCAGATCAATGTCTCTCCTCCCACCCGTGGCCCACGACGAACCACGACGCCGCCGACCCCGGCCATCTTTCCCCGTGAACCAATTCGTAATGCCGCGCAAAGCCTCCGGGCAATCGGCTCGTTCGAATGAGATCTCGCGCGCTTCGACGCCGCAGGATCAGCTCTTCGAGGAAGATGCTGAATATGCTAGCGTCTTCAAGTCGCGTCCCCGCGTGGCCCTCAGCCCTATTTCATCACCTGCTGTGCATGTTCCTTCTTTTGAGGAGGAGAGCTTTGAGCTGGATTATGAGGAGGGGGAGAGGGGGGAGTGGGGAGAGGTTGATTCGCCTTCTGCGAGGTTGAGGGGCTAGATCTCGGGAGGGTATAGGCATACAAATTCAGCTGGAGGGTATTCAATTCAAATGTACTTAGTCTGGGGGTGGCTGTGACTTATTAATGACCCTATATTGGTTTCTCTTCATGAACTAGACATGAACTAGATATTGGCTCTGTGCCTATCACCTCTATCATCATCGTCCTGACAGACTTCATGACCAGGGACACTGTTTCACGATATCTCAAGACCATCATGAGATCCCAGAGTCCTATCGAATCCACCACCTATTCAAGCCATTCAACAGCATCAGAACCCCAACTCCAATCACCATTGACATCTCCGATATACAATTACCCCAGTTCCCCACATAAAAAACCTACTGTACACAAAACCCACCCTCAATCAACCGGCTCATTCTCCATCTCCCTGGCCAACATCTCCGCCTCAGCACTCATCTCCTCCTCCCCCCTAGGTTTCCTCGCCTCATTATCAACAGCCGGGAACCTAGACCTCCTCCCATTCCCATTCCCCTTCCCATTACCACCTTCCCCATCCTCCCCTGTACTAGAGCCACTAAAAACCCTCCCCAAATCCCCCTCATCCCCATCCAACAAATCATAAACCGCATCCGTACCCCCTATATGATCCAAATCCGCCTTCTTACGCGGAATAATATGCGCATGAACATGCGGCACGCTCTGTCCAGCATCCACACCGTCTTGAACGGCGATGTTCAGGCTGCTGGCGCCGTAGACGCGCTCGATCATTCGGCCTATGCGCCGGACTGTTAGGAACAGGTCTGTTGTTTCGGCCGGTGTTAGGTCTTTGACGCGCGGGACGACCCGGCGTGGTGAGACGAGTACATGGCCGGGCAGGATGGGTTTTAGGTTTACTAGGGCGAAGGTGAGGGGTGTTGTGTAGAAGACCTATGGAATTTGTTAGGTGGTTTGGGGATTCTGAGTTGGTAGATTGGGGTCGGTGGATTGGATGGAGAGTGTACCTGTGGTGTGACGATGAATGAGCCAAAGTAAATTGGCGCTGTGATGCCTTTGAGGGGTGACATGGTGGAAGTGGACATTGAATTGACTCAATTGAGGGTTGGGCTTTAGGAAGTTGGAGGTTGTCGCGTTGGGGTTCTGTCGGGGCTATGCTGATAAGGTGCGATAAGAGACAAGAGCTTATCAAGGTTCATATCAACATCCAGGTTTGGCAGCCTTAAGGGCGAACGAAGGTCTACGAGTACGTGCATACTGTAATGTACCGCATTGACATGAAGCAGGGGAGAATGGGTATCATTGATATTGGCCATAAAAAGACATCTTAAACTATATATTATGGTGAGATATGAGGCAGAGTTGCAACTTGCGACTCATCCAAAATCGCAAGAGCAACGAATAAAAATGGCAGACAATTATCATCTGCTAGAAATGGCGTGAAAATGTGAAAGGTAAAGGTGAAAGGGAAAAGGCGGGAAAGGAGCTCAAGAGACCTCTTTCTCTTTCTCTGGCTCGGGTTTGTCCTCAGAAACAATCGAAGGTTCCTGCGCAGTTTCCTTCGGCGTCTCGGGTGTCACCTCAACCTTCACTTCAGGCTGTTCAGAGGGAGCTGCCTCTTCCGCCCCTTCCACAGAGGCCTCAACAGGAGACTCTGCCTTGGTATTTGACTCCTCAGAGTTTGGCTGTTCGGTCTCCAGAGTCTTCCGAGTCTCCCCAGCCTGCTCAGTCTTTTCCTCATGTGCCGGGGTCTCGGACGGCTTCCCCTCAGTTTCTGGCTGTTCCCGAGGTTCCTCAACTGGGTCTTCAGATGGCTCCCCAATATCAGCAGACGTTTCCTCCGAAATAGGTTCCGACCGAGAAGTCGGGACCTCCAGGACAGAGACAGGCCTTTCTGGCGATTGCTCAAGGGCCTCGCGCAGGGGAGATGGCGTCTGAGGGCTGTCTTCCAAATCCTCCGCTCCTTCCGAGATAGTCGTAACACGTGAACCGGTAGAAGGACTGTGCTTGTGGCGACGGGTGGTTGCGCCAGTGCCGAGCGTCGGGTCCAGACTTCCCGCCGCTGATCCGAATGGATTCTCGTCATCCTTGCGCAGGATGGTCAGACGCTTGCTGTCGGTCGGTCCTTCCTCGCCAGTCTGCTGAGCAGACTGCTGGACCGCATCTGGTCCCTCGGCCTCAGGGGGAATGGTGTAATTGTCCTGCTGGATGAGGCCGTACATGTCGCAGACCGCCTTGAAGAAGACATATAGACCATCATGGCCTTCCACTTCCCAAAAGACATCACGGTGCTGGAACCATGCGTGCGCAAAAATGCGGTATAGACGACGGAATATGTTGGTCAAGTGTCTCATGCTAGCCTGGGGGCCTCCGGCAGCCTCCGAGCCTAGTGTGAGCCGACTGGGGAAATATTTTGGGGAGGTGAGGGTATTCGATGCCCAATCAAGAGTATGGCAGCAGTAGTCAATTGCGCAGCAGGATTTAGGCGGGTCGTGCACAGCGCAAAGATATTGCCATTCCGAGGCTCGCATTTCAGGGCAAGTTGCCGCCGAGCAGGGCGGGCTCTCGGCGAAGAAGGCAATGATTAGGTTGTTAACTTTCATAGTGAGGAATCGGCAAAGTTCGTAGAGCCAGAGTGATCGGTCGACTCCCTCTGGGGGTTCGGCTAGCCGTATCGCAACCTCGCGGTTGATCGGGACCACGACGTCAGATCCTTCGGGCTTCGTAAAGTGATTATACAGGGCTTTGAGATGTTCCTGGAGTTGAAATGGAGAATCGAGCTGTCTCGATTTAGTTATGTTCAGAAAAGTCAATGAAGCACGACTAACCTGCGAAAGGGGAATCAACGGGGGGCCAAACGCCATGTCCGCGGCTTTAGTCCCTGGCCGGATTCGGCGCGTCGAGCCATCGTCTTCTCCCAGATCACCATCCTTGCCAAACACTTCACCGACTGACGGCGACTGGGGACCAATCTGGACCTCAGTGAAAGGCGGCGGACTGGGAAGCCGCGGAGAGCTTGACGGAGATACTCCCGCAGCAGTCATCACGGTAGGATAACGTGGGCGCTAGATGAAACGAGAGACACCGAGAAAGAAGAAAATGAGTGAATGGTGTCCAGGCCGCTTGTTAAGTAGTGTCAAAGAAAGAAAACGTAGAGTATTGAGAGTATATATCGCGCATGCGGCCTCGAAGCTGAAGATAACAGCGATCAGCATAACAACGGCTGACCGCCCGAGGTACGAGCCCTGTGCCCTAACGTCTATTTTAGGCAACAACGTCATCCGCCGCATCTACGAGCTTTCTCCAGATTTCCCTTTGTTTTCATAAGTTTACGCAACAATCAAGTACTCAGACAGCATGTCTGCTAATATTGAAGATGAGGATGCTCCTCCGGAGCTCATTGATGTATCTGCGATGCCAGCAGAGCAGGTGTCAGTAGATGAAGAACCGACAGCTCGAGTGCCCATCACATTGGTCACTGGTATGATTCTACTGCAACGGCTTTCAAGTAAGAAGAAGATACGAGACTAATAAACTCGCCAGGGTACCTGGGAGCCGGAAAGACGACTCTGTTAAACTACATCCTAACAGAGAAACACGGCAAGAAAATCGCAGTGATCATGAACGGTCAGTCATTCTACTAGCCATATAATACATGAACTACCTTGCTTATAACCTCCTACAGAATTCGGTGACTGTAAGCTACCCAAACACAACGAAAAGCCTCACAATCTAACATACAAAAGCAATGGACATCGAAAAACCAATGACAGTAAACCAAGGCGGCCAGGAAGTGACCGAATGGATGGAAGTCGGCAACGGCTGCATCTGCTGCTCCGTCAAAGACTCAGGCGTAATGGCCATAGAGTCCTTAATGGAACGTCGCGGCACCTTCGACTACATCCTGCTAGAAACAACCGGCCTCGCCGACCCGGGCAACATCGCCCCAATCTTCTGGATGGACGAAGGACTCGGCAGCTCCATCTACCTCGATGGAATTGTGACTCTGGTGGACGCAAAGAACATCACCCGCTTGTTGGATGAGCCGGCGCCGGAAGAGAAGGCCGAGGCGCATGACAAGGATCACGATCATGGATCCGGCCCTGTGTTGTCGATGGCGCATATGCAGATTTCGCATGCGGATGTGGTTATTCTTAACAAGACGGATTTGGTTACGGAGGCGGAGCTGGAGGCTGTGAGGGATCGGGTGGAGTCTATTAATAGTGTTGCTAAGATTCATGTTACGGATCATAGTCGGACGCCGCAGATTGAGGGTGTTGTTTTGGATTTGCATGCTTACGACCATTTGGCGGATTTGGATTTCAGTAAGAAGGGGCATAGTCATATGGATCCGGTCTGTTTGATACCTGTTTTCTGCTTGCTTTGGACTGGGTTCTAACCTTTTATCAGGCAATTTCTACTGTTGCAATCGTTATACCGCCAATCGCAGCGGGTAAGGTTGAGCGCGTGGACGCTTGGCTGCGCTCGGTTTTGTGGGATACGACGTTCCCTGTACCTGCTCAATCATCCTCGTCTGAGCCACATCCAGACAACTTCGAGATTCATCGGTTGAAGGGCATACTGTTCCTAGATGATGGGACAAGCAGGGTCATCCAAGCCGTGCGGGATGTCTTCGAGATTCGAGATGCGCAACCAATAGACGAGGATACGTCTAAAGAGCTTCAGTGCAAGATTGTGTTGATTGGACGGGGTCTGGGGTCAAGTGCAGAACCCTGGCGTGAGAGCTTGGAGTCTTATTTGGCGTAAGTCAGACAGTTGAAGCAAGCCATAGTCACCAATGCATTGATAGAAGAGCCTATTTACGGAAGAATAAAAACCGGTAGCCATGATTCATTGCCAAATAACGAAAATAATACAGCCCTGTCAGACAAGAAGAGGTATAAAAAGATCCCATCAATATACATCGACTATGGGTGATAACACCAGAACGCAGACAAGGGCCTCCGCTGAAGAAACATAGATCACAAAAGAGAACATCAAAACATAAAAAGTAGCACAAAAGAAATAGAGGAAAAACAAAGGAAAAGCGTCAAATAAAAAAACCATTAGAATCCGCCAAAATGCAGGAAAAAACAGGACTTTTTAGGACTCCAGGGGTTCGCCCGCCATCGGTAAAATGCTTCCAAAAGCTCAATAACACGAGGCAAACGAGGCATAAACTGTACAAGCAGAGCAAATCAAAAGGGTATCGAGTGCTCGGCCCCGAATATGGGGCTCGTTCGGAGAAACGGATCGTGGCGTCGTGGATGGCGGCCAATATAACAAGATTGTGTAAAAATATTAGTCTTGCGTTGACAAAGAAATTTGCTCAAAGGGCTTCACGAGACTGATCGTGAGGGATAGAAGGCTATTTTCGGTTCGAAGAAAGAGGTGTTTTGCTCAAGCGGCTCGCTTTGCCCGGACTTGAAGCTGAACTGTTAGGGCAGGTCGCCTTTGCTTCGGCGCATAGAGAACTGGGCTTTGGGCTTGAATGGGCAGGGCTGATTGGTAGTTTTGAAGCCGACAAGTTCGGGGCCGACTCTGGTGGACTTGTGCGTGCAGGTTTGATGTCGGTGGTTTCTAAGTCCGATTTACTCAAAGGCTCACTTCTTTGCCGCTCAGTGAGAGATGGTTTTGCCGGGGTGATGGAGCTGGTAGGCTTGGAGGAAGCCTGAGAGACACCGCGAGATGATGCTTTTGCCGATGTGGTGGTGGGAGCTGGCTCGGGACCAGCCTGAGAGCTACTGGGAGAGGAAGCCGGCACAGGCGGCTTCGTCGATACAGGCTTGACATCTGCAGGGTTCGCGGATGATGATTCCCATGGCCGCCTAAGCAGCCCAATGCCAACAACAGATGGACCAGTACCCATAGATCCAATGGAAGCCCCAGTGTGGCGGAGGCTTGACATGTGCAATGCGGAAGAAAAGCGAGCTGAAGTGGGGGATGGTGAGCCAGTGGATGTCGGTGTGGTCTTAGTTGTAGGAGGGGTGGAATTTTTCTGCTTTGACGACTCGATGGGCGCGGGACCCTGGGATGACGGGACATTTGTAGAGCTGAGCGACGTATGTGGAGAACGGAATGCAGGATTGATAGGCAATTCTGAACGTGGGAGGTATGATGTGGAGGGTGACGGTTCGGCATGTGGGAATCCTGTGGATTCCTGCTTTGAGGCTTCGACGGGAGAAGACTTCACCGATTGAGGTGGGGTATCAAAGTCAATGGAGGGCCAGGAACGAATCTGGGTAGGGTCGATAGGCGATGCCGAGGGAGGTTGGGAGTTTGACGGCGCTGTGGTCGTAGGTTTGATCTTGGGGGTATTCGCAGGTTGCTGAACCGCATCATCCTGCTTCGGCGATTTCAAAGAAGGAACCTGCGAGGGAGGGACCTTCGAGCAAGGAACACTTGGGCCATTGGTGGGAGCGCCAGTCGAACGGAAGGAAGGACTAATAGGCAATTCCGACGCGGACAGAGAAGATGTTGGGGGTGATGGCTCCGTTGGTCTAGGTTTATCGCTGACGTTTGCGCCTGGCCGAGTTGCATGCTTTTGCTTTGGTGATTTGATATGGGAAGCATTCATCGATCGGGAGGCACTCACAACGGCGTCGAGATTTTCGGAATCGCGGAAAGTAGGACTGATAGGCAGGGCTGAGGATTCGAGGTCGAGTTCGTCATTGGACGCCTTTGCACATGGCTGATCCGGTGTTTCCTGCTTCTGAAGCTTCATTGAAGACGGTGTTGCCGGTAAAAGGGTGCTCTGGGTACTGATTGGAGTTCTAGAGTCACGCAGAGTAGGATTGATCGGCAATACGGATGTTACAAGGTCTGCCTCGTTGCCGGCCTTGGGAATCGGCCGATTCAACACCTGCTGTCTCTGCGGCTCGGCGAGTGGGTTGACAGCTGGAGGTGTGGGCGTGGTGATCTTGGAATTGGGCATAGCCGGGAGTTCATCATAGCTCGGTTCACGGGCTGTCTCTCGCTGGTGGTCCATGGTGTAATTTCCGTGGTAGGGTTGTTCGTCTGGGAGGGCTGATGGTTCTAGTCGGTCGTTATGGAGGCCATTGCCCATTGATATCTCATGAGAAACTGGAGCTGACTCCAGGTTCTGATTGTCAAGCGGATGAGGCGATGATTCATCATGGATACGGCAGTAGTCCATGTACTCTCCGTGATTGTGTGGTTCATCGTGATTCAAGGTAGAGGTAGAAGAAGGCTTAGAGGAGAATCCCATATCTTCATTGGATCCTGCCAGAGTTATTGTTGAGCGCTTGACGAGGTCATGGTTTTCAGGGAAGATCGGATGCTGCAGACCATCATATGAGGGTTCAGAAAACTCTTTCCGAGGGTAAAAGTGATCGCCGTGCTGCACCAAGCCTGGCGATGACAGCCCAAGCCCAGCAGGCTGAGGCTGGACCCAGTTGCTTCGGACCGACATGAATCTGGGTTCGTTGGCCATCGTCTCCAGGGGCCGGACTGGTGTTGATGCCCTTGTTGCCGGTAAAGGCGGAAACATCGCCAGAAGATCCTTCGCAGAGAGCCTATGCCGCGGCATAGGGCTCAAACAGATGTCCACTATCCGTCTGTAGTAATCCGGGATCTTCGGGTCGTCGCTCAGACGAAGAGGTCGCGGTTGTCGTTCGGGCTCGTCCTCCTCCATCGCCAATGCCCATAGCGTCATGCCCAGTTGAAAGAGATCCGTCTTGACACCAATATACATGGAAATGCGCTGGTTGCTCTCAATCTTCGCGGCAATTTCCGGCGGCTCCCAGCCCACTGGACATCCCCTGCGATTGATATCGATAATTTTCGCATTGTCCTCTGCATCCACCACAATGTTCGCGAGAGTGAAATCGCCCTGGACATAACCCGATTCGTGGATCTCGCAGAGCCCTTGCACAATCTGCTTCGCCCATCGTTCGCGTCTCGCAAAGCTCGTTCTCCCGCGCTGCTCGTACAGAATGTCCACCAAAGCACCCTGTTCGGCATAGCTGATCAGTAACCCCTTGACGACCCCCCGTTGTTCATCGACCACAATTCCCTCCACCTGGATCACGCTTGGACGGCCTTTCAGCGCGTGCAAAGCGTTGATCTCATAAAGAAATTCATCCACAGTATCCGGGCCCGGGATTTCCTTCTTGATGAAGTAACGGCCTTTCAAATTGATTTTGTACACGAAGCCGGATAAATGAGATTCAAAGTGCAGTAGGTGTTCCGGAATCCACGGGGCACCGTCCAAATGGCCGATACATGAGATGGGTGGGTATGGGATTGTTTCGTTGACATCCTCGGTCACATGGACATGTAAGCGGCCACCGCTCGTCTCGAGCCTGAGATTTGTGACACCTTCATAAAACTGGATCGCGAGAAGGGACTCGCGAATGGATTCGTAGATGCGCGCACACTTATCGCGCTGATATCGCAGTCCCTTCAGCTCTTCCTCTAGGGAATCGGGCGGTGCATCGCGGTAATCGCAAGAAATTGTGACTCGGCGCCATCGATTCGGGGTTTCGGCGTACGTCACGAAGAATTTCTCCCGTTCTGAGCGGTCGCGGAAATGCATGCTCAGATTTAAAATCCACCGTTGTTCCAGTTCCATATCCAAATCGATTGACTCATTCTCCTCCGGCGCGTCCAAATTATCCGTTGCCATCTCGGGATAGGGGTTCCAAACTTCCGAGACCTGGTCGAACTCAGGGGCATCGTTCGGTTCTGAATGGGGTTCGGGTTGGGAGTCGAAATTGTCGAACTCGACCGTGGTTGTGGGCGGGCCGAGCCACTGAACCTCCGGGGCAGATTGTCTGGGTCCGACGGGTGGAGACGTTCGATGGGAGCTTAAGGGGCGTCGGTCGGCGGACAGGGCACGGCGGTGATCAGGTTCTCGAGGAGCCAGTCGTTCGACATCGGAGCTCTGTCGCTTGAAGGGGGTATGTAGACCGCCAACTTTTCGTGAAAGTCGACGTGTCAAGTTGTCTTGTTTCGAATGGTCAGAAGAAGGGCGGGGAGAAATCTCATCTTGACTCTCCCCGGCAGAGGAGTCTCGATCATCGCGGCCCTGCCATAATTTTCGCAACCCCAATCGATGCCACATTCTCTGCTTTGGTGGATGTCCACCTTTGTCGTCCAAAAGAGCCAGCCCTGGGCTACAAATATTGGAAACAGAGATGGCCATACGGCAAGTCGCTCTGTCGTGCTAGGAACGACTCGAACACTCCGCTGGCCGAATCTCCGATGTCCATAAGAATTGTAACAGGGTCAAAGGGGGATCTTCACTGTTTTCACACTGCCGTCTTCCGAGTTTGGACCAGGTGAGGGAAATTAAATCACGTCGAGGTCCAACGTCCAAACGTCGCACAACGTCGGGCTGCAATGGGCGAGGCTGGGGGGAACTGGCCCAGCACAAGCTCATAAAGTAGGGTTGTAAAAAGGGGAGAAGAGAAAGAGAGAGAGATGTCGGTCAAGATGAGTTTCTTAGGGTAAAATATTTGGTTGTTTTTCTCTTTTTTTTCCCTCTTCCACTCTAAATTTTTTTTCCTATTTGCCTGCAGTGATAGCGGTGATGAGATGCTTCCGCTGCAAGGCTTTCGAATGTTTGGACCAAAAGGACCTTGCAGGAGATCAATCAAAAGTCCTCTTAAAGGACACAAGGGTTGAGGTGAAAAAGAATAAAAATACAAAAGAAATTAAAAAAATAGTCAAGTTATGATTCATCAACGCGCACAGATCAAAATTCGATGCGTTGCGGCCTGACCTCTCTATGCCTGATTGGGTGTTCGCAGTATGACACAGGAAGGCACTTAATATAACTTCATATTCATGTGAGCCATTGCATTGCATTATACTCTATTTAATACATATAAGAACTGGTTTCGAGTGGAGTAATTCTTTTTTATTTCTTGTTGGCTCGTTCTAGTCCATACTCTTTCCTCACAGGTCCTTCAACTCCAACCATGCATTCCGTGTCGGAAGACAAAGACGCCATGTATACAGTAAATCACACAAAGCTATACAATAACAACAGGTATATACGACATCCCTAGGGGATCCCCAAAACGACAAAGCAGCCTACGCTTCATCAGCCTCGCCGCTAGCCTTCTCAGGCTTAGCTAGGGCCTTTTGCCAGACCGTGCGGGCAGCTTCCTTATCAAGAGTAGGGAAGAGAAGGTCAAAGACCTCGGAGTACCAGTTCACTGGGTGGCCTTCAATGCCCTCCTTGATGTTCTAAATGAGAGGGTCAGCGTGAGTAACCCAAAAGAGACCTACAGAGTTATGACTTACCTCTGGTAGCTCAAGCCAGTCAGACGTATTGTCCGCAGGGAAGAGAATCTTGGTAGCTCCAGCGCGACGAGCGGCAACGGTCTTCTCTCTCAACCCTCCAATGCGCAGGACCTTACCAGTTACAGTCAACTCTCCGGTCATAGCAACGGTGGGCTCAAGGGAGTGGTTTAGGGCCAAAGAAAGCAAGGCGCTAGCCATGGTGATACCCGCAGAGGGTCCTGTTGGAATGATTAGTCGCCGATTGGTAGGAAAGAACAATACGCTGCTGTGTTTTCACTTACCATCCTTTGGAACAGCACCTTCAGGGCAGTGCAGGTGGACCTTCGCCTTTTCGAAGAACTGGTTCTCTGGGAATTGTCGGGCCATAACAGATTTCGCGAATGAGTAGGCAATGTGAGTGGACTCCTTCATGACGTTTTGGAGGTTGCCGGTGATTTCGAGTCCCGGACGCGAGTTGTGAGCCAAGGCATTCTCCAGAATACATTCAACATACAGAGCAGCTCCGCCCATGCTGGTCCATGCAAGACCCATGGTGACACCAGGAGGGAACTGATCGTACAAGCGGTCGGAGGTAAAGACAGGAGGTCCAACGTAGTCCTTCAGTTCACCCTTGCCGATGCTGAGATGCACACCCTCTGGAACTTTCAGGGCCAATCGAGGAGTCTCGGTGGTCGACTTCTCTGGCTCGACGGGAACTTGCGCGGGATCAGCTGGCTCATGCTCCTTTGACTCCTCTTGGGCAGCCTTGCCCTCTTCCGTTAGGGCCGCCTGTTCGGACATCACATCCTCGCCTAGATCCTGGACAATCTTGAATGCTGCTTTCCGGTAAACCTTCTCGATCTGCTTCTTCAGGTTGCGGACACCGCTTTCGCGGCAGTATGACTTGATCAACTCCTCGATAGCATCCCGCCCGAGGTTCACATCGACATCCTTCAAGCCCGTGAGCTCCCTAGCGGCGGGGGCTAGATATCTCTCAGCAATGGCCATCTTCTCGTCGGCCACGTAGCCAGACAATTCGATGAGTTCCATACGATCCAGGAGTGGCCGGGGAATAGTGTCAGTCACATTGGCAGTGCAAACGAAGAGGACCTTAGACAGATCCACAGGAACATCCATGTAGTGGTCTAGGAAGGAGTTGTTCTGTTCGGGGTCAAGAAGTTCAAGCAGAGCAGAGGACGGATCACCCTGATGGCCACGCCCGATCTTGTCAATCTCGTCGATGAGGATAAGAGGGTTCTCGGTCTGACACTTCTTGAGAGCTTGGATGATTCGTCCAGGTAGAGCACCCACGTACGTCCGTCGGTGGCCCTTGATCTCTGCGACGTCGGTCAAACCACCGACGGAGAAGCGGTAGTATTGTCTGTTCAGAGCTCGAGCGATCGACTTGCCGATACTGGTCTTTCCAACACCGGGTGGGCCAACCAGACACAGAATCTTCCCTTCGACGGTTCCACGGAGCTTGCCGACGGCGATGAACTCAAGAATACGATCCTTGACATCCTTCAGGCCGTAGTGGTCCTCATCCAGGACGCCCACCGCGTGTTTAACACCGAAGTTTTCCACGCTCTTCTGGCCCCATGGGATTTGGGTCAGCCAGTCTAGGTAGTTGCGGGTAACATTGAACTCCGACGCAGCAGGTTCAAGGTGCGCCAGCTTATTGACCTCCTCATCGAAGACCTTCTTGACAACCTCTGGCATGGCAAGCTTCTCGGCCTTCTCCTTAAATTTCTCGACAAGCTTATCTTTCCCATCAGACTCGATGCCAAGCTCTCTCTTGATGCCCTTCATCTGCTCCATCAGCCAGTATTCTCGTTGGCGTTTCTGGATCTTGGCCTCGACATCTTTGGTAATCTTAGATTGCAGCTGAGCGTTCATCAATTCCTTCTTCAAAACGACAAGTGCTTTGGGAAGACGTTCCTCGATGTTCATGGTCTCGAGAACTTCCTGCATTTCGTGGAGCTCGCCTGCAGATACAGCGGCAGCGAAATCAGCCAATTTGGCCGGTTCATCACTAAGATTTCCAGGGAACTGATCGGTGTAGAAGGCGGAGATTTGATCGCGAAACAAGGGGTTCAGGGTGGCGATCTCCTTGCACACATTGACAATCTCGCTGGTTACCGCACGGATGATTGCATTCTTCTTATCGAATGGCTCTTCAACCAAGTTTTCAACATTGACCAAGCTGACAGGGTGTTTCTTGAGGAATGAGGTGGGTTCGTAATGGTCTTGGGGAGCTGCCTCGGGGGCGCCTTCTTCGAAGCTGGCCACAACATCACCTCGCTTTTCGGTCGTTTTATCTTCCGATGTAGGCACGGGTGGGGCTGCGGCATCTTTGTTCTCACCAGGAGGAAGTAGGGATGAGATCTTGATACGTCGGTGGGGGTAGAGAACTGCGGTCACACCGCTTGCCTCCCCGCGAAGAGGGTATGCGGCGGTGATCTGAGCAAAAACTCCGGTATCGTAAACATCATCCAATTTCTCAATCACATCGCCATCGGCGTTGTCATCCTTGAACAAGAATGCCCCGACGTACGGTTGGCCCCGTTTCATCATATCCTGGATCGCAACGGCGACATTCGGGTCGCGAATAGTGATCGCTTTGTAAAAGCCGGGGAAAAGTGGACGCTTGGCAATGGGAATTGCCATCACCTGGGGGTAAACGTCCGGAACTGTCGGCTTTTGTAAAGCCTTTTCTCCAGATCCCTTCTTACCCTTCTTTCCACTGTCGTCATTTCCGCTATTACCGCCACTGCTTGCGCCGCTGGGTTTTGAGTCGGCCGGGCTATCACTTGGTGGGATCGGTGAAGGTGTATCGTTCGAGTCCTCCTTTCCTTCCAATGCATTGGCATCCTTCTTCGTCCTTTCTTCAACTCCGCGCTCTTTATCAGATGACCGGTCCTTTCTCCGCGTGTGAGCTACCTGGTCTGCGGAAGAGATGCCTTTTGCTGATTCAGCCCCCTTCCTCCGCGATTCAGGTGCACGATCTGTTTCTTTATCATTATGATTGATCTCATGCTCTTCTTTCTCTTCCAGCTCGTCTTTGGGGTCCTCTGGTGGGGGCTTCTCTTTCCGCTGGATGGAGCTGACAGAGAAGGCGCGGGAGGACGAGGGAAGAGAGTGGCCGAGGCGGGCTGAGATTAGTGTTGAGTGAAAGGTTGCATTGTATCTCGGTGAAGCAAGAAACGGGCGTCGGAGGAGAGGTCGAGGCGTTTGATGGAGCGCAGCTCTCCAGGGGAGGGTCTGGCCGCGGAGCATGCTCCTGGAGGATGCGGGACCGCCGAGGGATGAAAAGACAAGAGGTACGAATAAAGAACCGTGACAGCCCGTGACACAGCTCCAAGAAGATAGTAATTAGTATTAAACACGAAGGGAGAGAGAGAGGAAGCTGAATGTCCGTAGTCGGAGTCCGGAGTCTGATGTTGCTTCGGTAAGCAACTCTTTCATCATCGCTCGGTCATACGTTATTCCGAGAAACTTCTCTCTCCGAAGAACTCGAAGCTTCTGTGAACAGGAGAGTAGTTCACTTCTGGTTTGAACGGTTATTGGTCGCTTCGTATACTATTCTTTTTTTTTCGTGTTGAAATTGTCATTCATTTTTCGGATATCTTCCCTCTCAGTCCTCTCATAATCCTGACAAACACGACCGTCGTCAACCGTCACTCGGCTATTACTATCCATGAATTCATCTACGGCATTCCCCAAGGCCGCGGCTCTCCCCGCGCGTCTGTTGCGCACCCAACGACAATATACCAAACAATCTTCCACCAGCAGCATTTGCTCATCCAACCAAACACGAAATTATCATGCAACCGTCTCCGATTCCCCGGCTAGGCGTCTCCGGGAGGGTGTTTCCAAGAGAAAGGACTCATCGGTGATATCGGCTAGGGTATGTCGTCCTTTACGAGTCTTCATGGTCCAATTTGTTAACGATATCTCTTTCGTTACATTGTTAGGCCTTCCACACTACCTCTCCTCTCGCAGCCATTCCCGATCCCTACAAGGTTCTCGGCGTTGACAAAAAGGCGTCTGCTGGCGACATCAAGAAGGCCTACTACGGCTTGGCGAAGAAGTATCACCCGGACACCAACAAGGACCCCAAAGCCAAAGACAAGTTTGCGGAGGCCCAGACTGCTTATGAACTTCTATCCGACGCCCAGAAGCGAGAGAATTACGACAAATTTGGTTCGGCCGCTTTCGATCAAAACGGCGGGTTCGATCCCAACGCCGGTAACCCGTTCGCTGGTGCTGGAGGATTCCATGGCTTCGGCGGCGGCTTCGGTGGTGGTGGTTTTGGTGGAGGCTTCACCGGCGACATCAATTTCGAGGATCTATTTGGAGCCTTTACTGGAGGAGCGCGCCGTGGCCCCCGCGGTGGTCGCAACCCTTTCCAGGAACAGATCTTGGTTGGTGAAGACATTGAGGTGCAGACCAGCATCTCATTCATGGATGCTGCAAAGGGCACGACGCAAGAAATCGTCATCACACCATTGACCAAGTGCGGAACCTGCAAAGGTGATGGATTGAAGGCAGGTGCCAAGCGCTCCCAATGTCGTCAGTGCAATGGTACCGGTACCCGCGTTCATATGATGCAGGGTGGCTTCCAAGTCGCCGCGACATGTGATGCTTGTGGAGGTGCCGGCATGTCTGTTCCTCGTGGGTCTGAATGCAGCCCCTGCAGAGGAAACGGTGTGGTCAGGGAGCGCAAGACTCTCAAGGTTGACATCCCCGGCGGTGTCGAGGATGGTATGCGTTTGCGAGTGACCGGCGAAGGTGACAACCCACCCACTGGAACAGCCGCTCCTGCTGGCGCTCGCACCAGACCTGGTGATCTTTACGTTTCCATTCGTGTTGCCCCAGACCACCGCTTCAGTCGGTCCGGGTCCGACATCCTTTACACAGCCTCAATTCCCCTCACCACTGCCCTTCTCGGTGGCGAGGTCACCATCCCAACTCTCGATAGCCAAGTGAAGGTCAAGGTGGCCACAGGTACCGGTACCGGTGACCGAATCACTTTATCGGGAATGGGCATGAAGAAGCTTGGTGGCCGTGCGCGTGGTTACACTCCCAATGGCGACCTTAAGGTTGAGTTCAAAGTCAACATGCCTAAATACTTGACAGGCAACCAGCGCACTATCTTGGAGGTTCTCGCAGATGAGATGGGCGATAAGACAGCGAAGCGGACAATGAACTTCAGCAAGGATAGGTAAGATGCACACCCGGTTCATGGTTGACGTTGACTCTTGTACTGACTTGTTACCCGACAGCCCCTCTACCTCCGAGAGCGCCGAGAACTCGACCAAAAATGAAGGCTTCCTTAAGTCTGTCTGGCATCGCCTCACGGAAAAGCATGATTCTTCCAAGCCAACCCAGGGCGACAAGGATAGCAAAGGCCCCAGCAAGGAATCCGAAAAGAAGGAAGCTGACAGCGATGCCAGCGAGGATAGCTCGAAGAAGAGCTGAAAATTGTAAATCATGTAATCTATATCCGTTTGTATTTACCTCACCCATGTCATAGCGCCGGCGATATTGGGGACCTGTTCTGCCTAGGTGATAGGGGCAGAATACTGTACTATTATTGAGTGATAGACGTTCAAATAGCTCTCCGCTTATTTTGATTGTAACTGTACCGTTCTTCTATGCATTGACTTATGTCACTTGATCACTGCAATTAAACGCTCTGTCCAATGGCTGTGCTCTACTCCGTATATGTGTTTGTAGTAATGTGTTGTTTTGGAATTCGTACAGTGCGGTTTTGTGGCCATCATGGGTTCTAACTATAGCCATAAGGTACCTAGTCTACAACAACATCATATGACACATAATCTTAGAAGTTCAAGTCAGTAGTTACAAGTAGGTCTAAGGTAACGAGTATTAAGCGGTAAAACACCGCTTCCCCCAAACAATGAAGGCGACTCGATATTATGGTCATAATGGCCACAAACCACGACCGTGCTGTTGGCGCCTATCGAAGGACGGTCACGGACATCCCATCCCACCTTTTAGGCTTTCCCTCCTTCAACACTTCAACACTTCTACACTCTATGCAACTCTGTTCCTTCGACAAAACATTCCCGCATTTCATTTGAATTCCTAGCGTCGAATAGTTCATAATCAAACCGAGGTCATTGACACACTAGTCCATCAGCTGTTGCCTTTCCGCCTCCCTTACCCCACAGCCTTGTCTCCGCTCCCCTCAGACACGGAGCTTCTGACCACCCCTGCCCCGCGCTTTCTCTCACATCCGATTTTCGTGTTGTTGGATGGGAGCATATAGCTCCTGGCAGTTACCCGACAATGGCCCAGTCGCCGATGCTTTCATGTCCGCTGAAGCAGACCAACGAGATTGATTGGATTCAGCCCCTCAAAGATTACATCCGTCAGACCTACGGCGAGGATCCCGAGCGATACAGCCAAGAATGCGTGACTCTCAACCGACTTCGCCAGGACATGAGGGGTGCAGGGAAAGACAGTGCTACCGGTCGCGATCTGTTATATCGATACTATGGCCAGTTGGAGCTGCTGGACCTCAGGTTCCCCGTCGATGAGAATCACATCAAGATCTCGTTCACATGGTAGGTGGTTCCTACCTAGTTCCGAGCTTTTGTTGATATTAATAGCCCTTAGGTATGATGCCTTTACCCACAAGCCTACCTCTCAATACTCCCTTGCCTACGAAAAGGCGTCCATCATCTTTAACATCTCGGCCGTCCTGTCTTGCCATGCCGCCAACCAAAACCGAGGCGACGAGACCGGCGTCAAGACCGCCTACCATTCATTTCAAGCATCCGCCGGGATGTTTACGTACATAAATGAGAACTTCTTGCACGCGCCATCGACCGACCTGAACCGGGACACCGTCAAGACACTGATCCATGTCACACTAGCTCAAGCTCAAGAGGTGTTCTTTGAGAAACAAGTAACAGATCAGAAGAAGCCTGGTTTCTTGGCTAAGCTTGCTGGACAAGCAGCATATCTCTACTCGCAAGCTGCCGAGACAATGCAGGACTTCGTTGGCAAGAATGTGTTTGACAGGGTCTGGACGATCGTCGTGCAAGCCAAGGCAGCGCATATGGCATCAGTAGCATCATATTACCAGGCCATTGCGGACAGCGAAAGCGGGTCGCATGGGGTTGCTATTGCTCGTTTACAGATGGCTGACAAGCAGTCCGCTACTGCTTTGAGCTGGGCAAAGACATTCCCCTCATCGGCCGCAGCGACCACTAACTTGACAGCTGAGTCCGGGACCAACCTTTTGGACCTTATCAAGCATAACCAGGCAAATGTGCAAGCTATCCTTACTACAATGATCAAGGACAATGACTTCATCTACCACCAGCCGGTTCCCAATGAGGCTGGTCTTTCCCCAGTCGCTAAGCTTCCAGCTGCCAAGGCGATTCCTGTCAGCGAACTATACCAAGGGCAAGATATTCAGCGAATCATAGGGCCTGATATATTCCAAAAACTGGTGCCCATGTCCGTCACTGAGACCGCTAGTCTTTACGACGAAGAAAAGGCCAAGTTGATTCGGGCCGAAACCGAAAAGGTGGAGACGGCCAATGGCGAAATGGCTGCTAGTTTAGACTACCTCAAATTGCCAGGCAGTCTCAATATCTTGAAGGGAGGCATGAACCAGGAGATGACAGTCGACGAGGAGTTCCGTCGCTGGTGCTCCGAGCTCGCTGGTCACAAACCTTTCCATAGAGCATTCGACGACTTAAAGGAACGCAAGGCGGAAGTACTGTCCCAGTTGGAAGAGTGTTCAAAGCAGCTTGACTTGGAAGAGAGCGTCTGTGAAAAGATGCGTTCCAAGTACGGAGCAGATTGGAGCCAGCAACCCAGTTCCAGACTCAACCCCACGCTTCGAGGCGATGTTCGAGCGTATCGAGATACTATTAATGAGGCTAGTGCGAGTGACTCCCAGTTGTCTGCCACACTCCGACAGTATGAGAGCGATTTTGATGAGATGCGGTCTGCCGGTGAAACTGATGAGGCCGATGTGCTCTTCCAGCGAGCCTTGATCAAAGCCGGATCGAAGCAAAGTAAGGGCAAGAACGGCGTCACCAGTCCCGCGGAAGGTACGCTGCTGGATGATGTGTATGATGAGGGCAGTGTCTCTGTTGCAGAACAGATTGCCAGGGTGGAGGAAGTTCTGAAGAAACTGAACCTCCTGAAGCGAGAGAGGTCCCAGGTACTCAAGGATCTCAAGGAGAAGGTAAGCTTCCTATTCTATATTTTCCACGACTGCATTCTCACTATCATTCTAGGTTCACAATGATGACATCTCGAATGTCCTAATTCTTAACAAAAAGTCAATTACCGGCCAAGAGTCCCAACTCTTCGACGCGGAGTTGGAAAAGTTCCGGCCGCATCAGAATCGGCTTCTGCAGGCTCAGCATAAGCAATCATCTCTGATGAAAGAACTCACCAAAATATACGGTGACCTCCTTCAAGACAAAAGAGTCCAATCCGAGCAGTCCAAATACGAGTCTATCACGAGGCAACGTAATTCCGTGATGGCTCGTTACAAGAAGGTCTACGAAGCCTTCCATGGCCTTTCATCGGGGATCAGTCAAGCCCGGACTTTCTATAAGGACATGGGCGACAACGTCGAAAGTCTTCGCAAGAATGTCGAAACCTTCATTAACAACCGCCGGTCCGAAGGTGCTCAGCTTCTCAGCCAGATCGAGCGCGACAAGGCTAGCGGAGTCTCGGAGCAAGAAGATCGCGAGCGAGAGAAGCTGCGCCAGCTAATGGAGCGTCTCTCGACGGAACCGAAGAACTCATCGACCTCACCTTCCACGGGATCAGCGAAACCGCCCTCAAAAATCAAGTCACCACCCCCGCCGGTCCAGACGCCGGCGTATGGAACGACCGGTCCATCCCCACAGATGTCACCCCGCTACCCGCCTGTGCCCGGAGCGCCGCCGCACGGTGTACCTCTCTCACACTCCCCAGCACCTTACGGGCAGTACATGGGAGGTGCTCCGGGGGCTTACCCACCCCAGCCCTTCCAGCAAGGCGCAGCAGCTCCTTTGTCGGAGGGCTACAACCCTATGGCATACCCATATCAGACTCCCGTGTCTCCTCCCCCGAACCAGCAATTTTTCTCTTCCACCCCAGCCCCGTACGGCGGTTACTCGAATTCCAGCACGCCGGCTCCCGGTGCTACCCCTGCCTCTGCGCACTACATGGCCCCGCAGGGCTACGTCCCGCCTCCGCCTCCACCGCGCCCCCCAGCAGACGGCCTATCCTCCTGCAACAGGTGGTATGTACCCATCTGGTCCTGGTGGTTATGCGCAGAGTAGGCCGTATGGACACCACAAGAACCCCTCACAGTCCCAGATGCAGCCGCAGTCTGGCACTTCCGCGGATCCGTGGGCTGGTCTTAACGCGTGGAAATAAATGCGAGTTCTGGCTGCATGGTGCGGTGGGAAGGAGCTGGGTTGGGTCTGTGGGCAAAATGGGACTGAAAATGGGTTGAGAAGGGGAAGGGAACATATATCTCGGCGTTCATTGACTTTGCTTTACACTTCTTTGCCGAGGTCACCCTCGATCAATTCTTTCTGATTCCGCGGTTTCATGCTGTCTTTCTCAAACTGCTTCTTTCGGAGAGCTTTGTCTTTGTTCTCACGTTCCAATTGGACATCTTCGTTTTTTCTGTTCCTTGTACATGATGAATGAACTATATTCTAGCGAGTAGGAAGTCATGCGTTCTCAAATTAAGCTTTTTTGGTACATTCTCATGAGTCATGTCCTTGATCTCCAGACGGAATGTGGAATGCGTCACTATAGCTGTAGCAACCGAAGGATATACTAGAAGAGAAGTTCAGCTGCGTCAGAATAATATAACATAAGAAGTATAACTAAATCTACATAGTAACTAACTATGAAGCCCCCAACACCAATCAAAGAGATAAACAATAGAGACCAGCACCGAACACCAATGGGTATCTTAATAAAAGCCGGAACTAGCCGCCAGACCCTCTCATATATCACCACACCACCCAGAGCATACTGTCAACCAGGACAGCACAGCACCAGCGCAGCAGGATTCGAGGCAAAATAACACCCCCCAGCTCCGTCTAACCCCAACTCACTGTAACAATGTAACAGAAGAAGCCAGTAATTAGAGCAAAAGCAAAAAGAGAACAAACCACTCTCCACCCCCTACTCCTACGGCTGGAACCGCAACCGAAACTGTCTCCCCCTCCGGTCCTCACGCACAGTATACAGAAACCGCGCAATAGTCTCCTGCTCCGACAGACCGGCACTGTTAAAGTGCTTGCGCACGACACGCGCGAACTGGTCTTTGCTCACGCGGTCTTGGCCTGCGACGCGGTGGAGTGCCGAGTCCGAGGGTGATGTCGAGTCGGATGCGTGTGGTCTGTTGGAGTTCTGGGTTTGAGTCTGACTTTCACTTTGCCTCTGGTTGTGATATTGGGCACGACGGGCGGCGAGGGAGGTTGGGGAGCGGAGGCCGACGCCTTGCGAGAGGATCATGCGGGAGTAGTCGTTTGAGAAGGCGGAGGGTGTTGGGAGTTTGTGGACGTGGCGGTAGGAGTGGAGGATTTCGAGGGGGAGGTCTGTCCAGGAGAGCTTTGGGGAGTTATATTAGTTTGGTTTAGTCTGATTTGTGTGGGTGTATAGGGAGTGTTGGGAGTGATGAATCACTTCTCTTTTTTTTTTTTCAGAGAAGTAGGTACATACTTGAGGTTGTTCTTCGACCTGCTGTTCTATGGCAGGCGCACTAGTCACCGATACCTTCTCTTTTGCTGCTGGTCTGCGCTTATTGGCTTTGGGGTAGTCCCTTGTGCCGCTCGAGGCTTCGGATCTCGAGTCATCCACTGCTGTGGTGCGTTGACGCGGGGGTGCCATGCCTAAGCTCGAGGCTGGTGTGATTTTGGAATGGGTGTGGTTTTCAATGTTTTGGATTTGAATTCAGGGGTTGCTGGGAGGATTGGATCGAGTATGGATTTGCTAGAAAGAGTAGATTGCGTGGATGGCGCTGTTAGTCTGGGCTTTGACACTGGAGATTCTCGTTTCCCCGAGCGGCCGGGAGTGGCAGAAACGTCATCTCCGTCCCAAGAATGGACGCCTAAGGCGAAAGGTTGGTCTGTAGACGAGATATGATTGGTTGGAGGTTCGCGTCACGGCCAGTTAAAGTGCTTTGAGATTGTGACCTTGGCTCGTGTACGGTGTCGGCTATTTGGATCTACCCGTGACTTATTACACAGTACTCCGTAAAGTGGACAATTCCTCATTATACTCGCGCTCTTCATAGACTGAACTGCTCCTTTCACGACCCTCATGCTCAACCCCTGGGCATGGGTCTTTGGAGCATACTCCGTACATTAGGACCTCGGAAGCGGTGTGCCTCCCGGACATTTGCCCGAAGTCTTATCAGTGGCTTATCAGTGACAGCATGAGTCATGACACAGGATCTTCTACACATCTGCTCCACGCACGCGCTACACAGTATGAATTTGGACTGCGGCATACCGCATACCTGCACCCATCGGTAGGGGCGTACAGCTGAATCGTTCATGGATCTGGATATCCAGATCTCTCTCAAATCTCAATGAACTGCTTGGGAGATTAAAGGCGATTCCAGAGAATGAAGAGGTAGACACTGACCAGTCACTACTCACTACTGCTCAATCTCTACCTCTTCCTCTGGAATCACCTTTAAGTTCCCTAGCATTTCAGTGAGAGAGGGCAAGGCCGAAGGCTGGTTGGTGGCTATCGACCCATCGTGGAAGACACCTCCGGCTACCTGGTCCGCGGACCGCGAGCTTTACCACTTCTATAAAAATTGGCACGGACGACCGATGCGGGACATACCGACATCTAGTACTCGTATTTGGTACGGGATGTGAGGCGACAAGTGGCGCCAGGCTCTCGGGTCAGCGTTCTGAGAGGCTGACGGTCCTTTTTAAGTCTGTACCTGTAGGTAGTGCGCGTAGAGGTCCTTTTAACCTTTACCTCCCATCACTGCCTGCTGTACGGTATATCCGTGGCTGTGGAGGGTTGCTCCGCAGGTAATCTTGAGCCTCTCATGCAGGAGGGATGATAAAAGGTGAACTTCATCCTGGATCATTTACTGAGTCGATATCGGTCCGCACGATCGTGCGTATCGGCTTTGCAGAGGTGGTAATGCCTGTCAACTAGCCACAAGAGGCGACGTCCAAGGGTCAACACCGGCCTTTGTAGGGCGTGCGGAACTCGCTTCAAAGCGTTTGAGGGAATCAGAACTCGAAGGTTCAGGAGTATAAGACACAGTACTCAAAACAGTCTTGGAAAGAACTTGTATCGCCGGTTGGCCGAGAGAAGCACAATGAGACTTCACCTCTGATGCAAATTTAGGATAGATCCCACCAAGCGATCAATGGTAGGCAATCAAGGTTACAAAGTCATGGCACATGTCACACTTCGCATTCAAATTTGCATTTATCCGCACGAACATACATTAGCCTTTCGTAACTACGCAATCCAAGGGACCAAGACTCTATTTTTTGAAGAAACCCTAAATTATACATCGTGGGATAGTAGTAGGTAGTCATACAGTACGGACTACGGAGTAGACGCTACGGGGACTAACCTTGGAAATAGTCTAAACCGAACTACCGCAGATCATCCCAGCTAATCCCAAATAGTGTTAGAATGGACAGCAAGTCTGCTCAAACCCCCACGGCTCTAAGGTGAAAATTTCAATCGATCTCCACGGATTGCCTCTACAGTCTACACTCTACAGAGTCCAGACAAAAGCACCCCACAAGCCTCACCGCTACATGCGGAGTACGTATGTAGACTGGACTTGCACGTCCAACCCTCGTCCCCGGAAGTACGACGGAGACAGGGGAGAAAAATGCAACAATGATAGTTATATCCGAGGAACTTCCGTTATCCCGAGGCATCCAACCTTAATAACCCTCGGCTTTACATACAAATAACAAGAAAGGGAAAAAAAAGCAGGATAGACAAGCAATTCCCTGCATACCAAGTGGCAAAGGCACAAGATTTAGACACGGTTTAGGAAATACTACCTGCATGGGTAGTACATCCGCCCAAAAAACCAGATCAGCCACGGCACATCTCCCCAGACTGCAGGTCCAGCTCCCGTTCCGAGCCTCGGATGAATCTCGGACTCCAGTAGATGCAGGGGTTCTCGGCAGTATTTTTCAATTTTTCTGTGTAGGGGATACGAACTCATACAGTGTAAAGTTGACTTGTGAGAGAGACAATAGCGGGCGGAGGGTGTGGGGGTGCGTACCGGGTCGATACATCCATACACCCAGGGGAGAAGGTCGCAAGATTTGGAAACCGGCACGGTCGTGCAGACTGCAGACCGACTCGGCACGGGAATGCCGTGGAAAACGCCCGAGTTGCGTAAATCGGGGAGGTAAAGACGGGAACGAGCAGAAAGGGACAAAGGAAAAAAAATTTCTTGTTTCTAATAATGGGTGAATTGATCCGGTATCTCACCGAGATGCCCCTTTTTGCATAGTTACTTGAATGAGTGCTTTCTCCGTGAAAATTTTACTTGTCTAGAACTTGGTTTCTCCGTGCTGTAACTACCGGACTTACCTACACTAGAATCGCTCAGTCTCCGCTGACTACTACAGCACTATTTTCGGTAGTTACAGATTCAACCCACGCCAAGATTCTCAGACTTTTCTATTCCTATCCAGTAGGAATTTAAAAAAGCCACATGATCATCGTGGAGATTCGAAAGACTTGGCTCCGTATCGGCACTAAGCCCCGCAAGTGGGAGAAGGCGTCTCGCAACCCATTGAATGGCATGAGGGCTGGATCTCCGAGTTCTCCCGACGGGCTTCATACCCAGTCCAGCCCTATGGGCTGGTGGTGGTTTGTACCTGCAGGATTGGTTCTGGGGTGGGAGAGTGTCGTCATTCCGATACTCTATTCAATACTCTATTGCTGTCATGATGATGTGTACCTCAATGCTTATATTCAATAGTTGCATGTAGACAATCTAAATTCAACTGTCATTGAATCCTTCAAATCCTCTCCTATCAATCTCTTATCAGCGGAAACTAGAAATCTGGAGAAAAAAAAGAAAGAAAAAACACCCCCTCTATGACGCCATTTCCCCCAAGGTACTTTGAGTTCACCAGGGTGTAGCTGGATGCACACTGCACGGTGAACGCCGAGGTAAGCATAAAGTAAACATGCTGTGATTATGCATCCTGAAGCCATCTGATCAAGCTTCGACATCCCTGTCCTAATCTCAAAGATGAACATATGATTCTCGCGTGCATGTGAAAAGCTCTCCCCTCCCCTGGAGATCTGGACCCCGCTTCATCTCATCCTATTCGGGTAACGGAACTCCGGAGTTCCCGTAGCTTAGTAGCTTTGCTAGTCCTTGCGGGTTTCAATAATCCCCTAAACCCTATCCCCATTCGGAGTACACGTGCTACGGAGAACTAACTACATGGGTTGGTCCCAGGGAGGAGCAGATCAATTGCACCAGGGCTCCAGGTTAGGTCCTGCTGGGGGCGACTGGAGGAGCGACCTAGGTACTGTAGTACTTGCGTAAATAACTAGTAAATGTTTATTTTCATCTCGGGGCTTGGCCCGTTGAGGATTTTCGATGGGGCAAGATAGGTGAAGGAGTCAAGCCCCGGATCATACTGTGTGATTGACCTGCGGAGTAATCTACGTGGTCTCTTTTCCCCTTATCTTTCTGTTGTAGCCTTGTTTTGTATATGTCTACCCCTGACTACTAGATCTGTCTCATCTGGAACTAAGTGATCTACTGCATGCGGTACCTGAACGTAGCTATGCACATCAACCCTAACAGGAACCTGCGTCCTGCACCGTCGAACAAGTGGATGCGAGCGACAGGGGCATTGTACTGTAACCCAAAATCCTATCCGCAAGTGGGTGGCATTACTCCATTCGGCGAAGGCGAATATGGGGTAAGAGAAACTGGTGATAAATCGCTCAGAGTGGAGAACTGGAGATGGTGAAGAGCAGAGAATTTTTATTTTATTTTCACTTGCAACGGGTACTCCGTAGTTATGGATTTTGGACCTTTGGTAGACGGGTATTCACCGGGAACTGGGACAGGACACGGTAGACTTTCCCTTTTCTTTTCGCTCTCCCCCGCTTTGTAATAAGGGAAAAGGAAATACCCTTATCTCTTCCCCAGAATGTCACATGGTGTCAGTTCAGATAGCACTCAGATAGGATATTTCCAAGGCTGCCGGGTAAAAGAAGAACTATCCCACCAATGGTCTGATCACGGACTCCGGAATGGCGGCCCCGCATGTGGTGATATCAGTGTGAGGGTGAGAGCATTTGCGTTTAATGGGCCTGCCAAGGGGGTAAATTGTTCCAGAAGCTGTGGATCGCGGATCCTTGTCTTGGCGAGCTATGGTGGGCTTAAGGTAAGGTGTGTGTGTATAAGGGGATAGCTGAGGGCTGAATTTGGGGAAATCCATTAGGTAATCACATGTAGACCACAAGGGCCCAAACCAGCTCATTGATCAGGGTTGCACTGTAGAAAAAGAAAAAAATCATTTACAGCATATGTGTCTTCAAATCAGCCTGACAGCCTCGAGGTCGCTCGAGGTCCCATTACATCACGAATAGAGTAACAAAATGGACACCCACCCCTCATTCCTTTTGGTCTTGTGGAATGTTAAATGTTGCCCCAAAAGCTAAAACACTACCCCGGATTATCCCTTTTTGCTAAACTCTCCCCGCATCAAGGACCTGCCAAGTATGACAAAATGTCACCTCAAGAATGTCAAATTCAAGTCATACTCTCCACGCTGGTAGGACATGCCACATACAACAGTAAATTGCACCTGAATATTGACAGCCTAAATCAGCCCCTTAACTACCTGGTCCACACTACACCCGGTAAATTGCGTCTTTGTCTTTAGCTGACCGGTGGCGCTAGTTGGAAGGGGTTTCAGGCGACCTTACAAGCGACCCTAGGCAGCAAGAAAGGGGAGATCAGGGCGATTGGAAACGCAGCGCAAAATAGAGACCATCCCCTGTTCCAAGCAAGCTCGTTGGTTATTGGTTACATGCACGAGTGTGTCCTTCTTTTCTTTTCAGCGGCTTTCAGCTGGGTTTTGTTGGCCGAGCACGCCATGACTCACACCGTATTGGATTGATGTCCAGCCAGTTGGTAGAGGTACCGGGTGTCTCCTGTGAGGTCGTGCTGCTCTCGTTGTCACCGGAGTATGAGCGAGGTTAGATCATGATGTGCATTGATCTCCAATCTCCAAAACCTTGAAAATATCAAGATGGAGTTAGGTAAGACTAAAAGAAATCATTATCCATGAACCTTGTCTCAAGGCCCCGGACCCTACATCGTACGCTATCTTGCGTGACGATCTGGGAGGTGCGGGGGTGATTGCCAACCGTTAGGTACTAGAAATAGATATCACTGGTTGAAATCTTTGATACACGAGTGTCCAAAATCCCAAATCTGAGAAATCTCTGCTGTCTCGGATGGAAAGAGAACACAGTCAAAGCCACGGAGGACGACGAGGCTCCGGACTGAGGGCGGAGGGCGTTCGGGGCTATCTCCATAGTCCTAATCGAGGAGTAAGTAACATTCATCCTTTCCTCTTGCACTTACTCATTGTTTCTGTTTCTGTTACTTTTTTCACTGTGTACTTTTTTTCCCTGTCCCCTTAGCTACCCTTGCCTTGCTCTTCTGTCCCGCATTAGTCATGCCTAGTCCTTCTTAGAACTGGTTTTGCTTTTTGCTTTTTATCCCGTCAGGATCGACGTACCCGCCCTGTGCGCTGGTCTGCATACCGGATATTAGTCAATACTCAATAGGATAGATCAGCATTGTCGAAGAAACTGGAATGCTAAGAGCGCGATACGCGGAATCCAACACAGTCACGAAACCCCCTGTGTGGTTTCAAATCCACATACATACTGCAAATGCTATAAGTTGACAGTAGCAGTGTGCATCATGCATAGGATATGTACATAGCTTGCTTCCCCGGATGGCGTGATAGGTTAGCCTTAATGTGGAGGTGGCACAGAGCCTGGCGGCGATATCGGAGGATCAATCCCATTCTAGGGGGCGATCGCGACGATCAAGGGCAGATTTTGCAGATTTTGCAGAAGATTTACCCCGAGATGTCAGGCGCAGATCGTCTGCTGCGGGTGCGATTTCGGTGACCAGAGCGTATCGCTGGGGGATTGCGGGGGAGTTAGAGGTGGAAACGCGCAAATGCCTATTTGGGGTAGTTCTTTGGAGTCTGGGGATCACCGGGTATATCGGCGTGATAGACTTCGTCGATCATTTCTAAAGAGTTAGACCGATTGAGGATGTTGGACGTCGGAGTTTTCTCTTTGAGTTTTGGCAATTGTCACCGGTTTGTACGTAGTGGACCCCACCGCTGGAGATTGACTTAGTAGAGTGGGAGTGCATACAACATCGATAGCTTGTGGATCTTATCGATGGTCACGAGGATCTTCTCCAGGTGAGAGGGTGATTGAGATTAGAGGGAAATGAGACGAGTTATCTTTTTACCGCGTAGTTACATTCTGAGCAAGCTCTCTACAATAGATCATATTCTTGTGGGGGTCAGGAGAGCGAACTCATCACCTGAAACAACTCACATCCAACTTCCAAGCGCCCGGTTTCAGATCCCAGAACAACAGGAAAATCATCGGCAAAAGGCGGGTAATCACTTCGACACATCTGTTAATATTCGAATAAAAAATTAAGACCAGATTATTTGATCAGACTGTCTTGATATCCTGCAAATCGCCACTCCGAGTACGGAAGTTCTCCATAGTACCCCGTGGAGAACCATTGGGGAACTGCAACTTGAGATATCCCCTTCGGGAAGCTATCGGGACGTATTGATCCCAAAATCAGAATGGAGAACGGGATTCGTGCAATTTCTCGATATACGCTGAGTTCCCGGTAAAAGCGCCTCAGCTCGGTAGACCGGCACCTTTAAGGAGGAGCTAGCCTGATTGCTGGAGCCTCCTTATCTTTGGGATTTTGCTTGTTCGCTCTTCTCCGCATATGTGACCAGGATCCGGGAATTCAGCCAATACTTTAGGTAGACTGTAGGAACTGCGGGGATCGGCTGAATGCGCTGTTCCGAGTGAGAATGTTTCCGTTGCGATCTGCCACTAAGGGACTGGTCCCTGCGGCTTAGTTAGAGATCACGTACATTGTACATTGTACATTGTACATCGTATATAGATGTGTTTATTTGGCTTTTATATACATAGTCATATACGTAATGTATGTGGTAGAATACATAGAGATGAATAATCGTTTCAACAGCGATATGATGACTACGTAATAATCATAACCTTCGAATGGATACCCCGGACTTAGACCAACCAAACACCTCAGCCCCAGCACATGGGTAAACGCGACCGGACTCGGATCTTGCCGAGTGGGCATTATCTTTGTTTATCCCGTTTGTCCCGTTATGACCTCGGCCCTTATCCCCTTTGGGCCTTGGCTTTTCTGTTCTAAGCCGGGGAAAGTCCGGGCCAAACTTGGTACGGAGAAAGATGTCCGATGTGTATCTGGGGGAGAAGCGTGAACCAGTGTGACAGACTGATAGCGATAACAATATGATGTTCCTTCTCGAGAACCGGGGCCCCAGACCCCGGTTATTACGATTTCAGATTCAACCGGCTAAGAAAGGGTATCTACAACACCCCTGGTACGCTGGACTTGGCCAGACTTGGTAGACATTGGCTGACAGTCGAGGATACCGCTGTCTCTTGCGCAAGGAATGCAGCCCCAGTGCTCATCGTACAGGGGTTGACAACTCGCATCTCGAGATACGCGGCTTTGCGGCTGCATGGCAGCTGCATCAGGGCTATCAATAATTGGACGATCCGCGCCTATCAGCGCTCTCCATCAGCTTTATCGGTAGGTTCAAGGGGGAGCTGATGCCAGGGTGATCCAGGTTTATTTTGTTTGATTAATGATAACGTTAGTCATTTCTTATTTTTCCCCGAAATCCGGGGGATTATCGGCCAACCTGGATCAATGGACAAATGGAAGGTGGAGGGACCGGTTTCTGACATCCGGGGATGATGATGCCATGCCAGGTAATGCGTCGCAATTGAACCCGACTCATTTTCGTCCTTTCCTTCATTGTTTGGGGGTGAAGGTTATTTTTCGCGTGATTGAATGATTACAATATTTAACCTTGGGGATATACATACCCGTCTCTGAGATAAGTTCGTTGTCGACATCATCGATGATCCCCGCTACCGTCATTTCGTGACAGGATCAGATGCCCCAGGATCTTCAGTTGTACTCCGTACACGGGTCTGGACTGGTCCAGCCGAAAATCACACTCAGCCCTGGTGTCTCAAGGGTCTACACTCTACAATATGCCCATTATACTTCGTCGGAGATGTGGAGGACCAGCCCGTATCTAAGTATAGTTCGCAGATATCTCCATCTCCCCAGATTCTGTTCGTCATCGGCTCTCCGCATGCCATCATATTCAATCATCCACTCTGCCCGGCTCGTGATTAGGTGCCGAGATAGCCAGAATCTGGGGAGAAATGCCGAATGGAGCAGAAGCCAGTGGAAGTCCTGATAAGGAAGGCAAGGGGATTCTTGAAAGGCGCGATAGCCGGATAGGGACACGCACTCACGCCACACGGTTCTTCAGCAAAAATGTTAGTCCCCACATTTTCAGTTCTGCAGTTACGTAGACCTTCGATGGTAGACTTTGTAAGTAGGTAGGCTACTGTATGTAGGCAACTGATATTCGATTCAATTGTTCAAATACACAGTATGTAGTTAGTCAATCTTCACAGCAATAGCTTCACCGAATGAGGTTTATCGGTGTACAGAATCAAGAATCCCACCCCACTCGTAAGACGATCTACGTCTTTTTCAATTTTTTACTCAATTTTTTCCTCTTTTTTCTATTCAGATTTCCCGTTTCGGTATTTTTCAGTCTTATTTTTCAATTTTTTTTTTCAATTTTTCCATTTTCCCACTTGTCCTTTTTCGCCCCCCCCAGGTGTCTTTCTCCCCCTCCCCTTCTTCTCCCCCACACTTAGCCTTCCAACCTTGAGTGTCTTTACTTTTATTTTTAATTTTTCTTTATTTAATTCTTTTTTTGCTTTTTGGACTTGACGATTTTTCAGAATTTTCTTTTCTCCAAGTCCGATTCCGACACTGCCCCTTCTCCCCGATTTCTCCCTTCCCCCTCCATTCCTCACTATATCATCTGTGACTCCCCAGATCGTCGTCTCCAGGTTCTTCCATTTCCCTTTTTTTCACTCTCGCTACAAACCATCCCTCCCCCATACATCTATACTCGAAAACTACTATCAGTCTGCTGTGACTGGTCGAAAGTGGGCTATCAGGAAACTTCGCGCATCACTTCCGATCCCGATCGACCTTCCTCCAAACGGGTGTCTGATCGACCGGACCTTAGCTCGGGACCCCTGCGATAAAATCTTAATCGGTCCCCCTTCAGGACGACCCTTTATAAACTCACGCCAACTCCCAAGGGAATTCACATGCCACCGCCAGCTTCTTCAGTGGGTTTCTCAAATCTACTCAATCCACACGAAAATTCCTCCGAGTCGACGCCATCGACCACAGACTCAATGGCCTCTTCAGTCAGCTTGTTACCACCCCTCATGAAAGGTGCTCGTCCCACGACAGAGGAGGTTCGCCAGGATCTGCCTCGACCATACAAATGTCCGCTTTGCGACCGTGCCTTCCACCGCCTGGAGCACCAGACGAGGCATATCCGGACACACACGGGCGAGAAGCCCCATGCCTGCCAGTTCCCCGGTTGCACGAAGCGTTTCAGTCGGTCCGACGAACTCACCCGCCACTCGCGCATTCACAACAACCCCAACTCGCGCCGCAGTAACAAAGCTCAGCATTTGGCAGCAGCAGCCGCGGCTGCTGCTGGACAGGACGGTAGCATGGTCAATGCCGCCAACATGATGCCTCCTCCTAGCAAGCCCATCACTCGCTCCGCTCCTGTCTCCCAGGTTGGATCTCCGGACGTTTCGCCCCCTCACTCCTTCTCCAACTACGCCAACCACATGCGCTCGAATCTCGGACCCTACTCGCGTACCACCGAGCGCGCCTCCTCCGGAATGGACATCAATCTTCTGGCTACAGCTGCGTCGCAAGTTGAGCGTGATGACCACCTGGGCTTCCACGGCTCTCGCGGACACCAAATGTTCGGTTCCCGCCATCATGCCACTAACCGTGGCCTCCCTTCTCTCTCTGCGTACGCGATTTCGCAAAGCATGACCCGTTCGCACTCCAACGATGAGGATGATGGATATGGCCACCGTGTCAAGCGTTCCCGTCCCAATTCACCCAATTCCACTGCTCCTTCTTCTCCTACTTTCTCTCACGACTCTTTGTCCCCCACCCCGGACCACACTCCCTTGGCTACTCCTGCACACTCACCGCGACTGCGCCCGCTCGGCGCCAGCGAGTTGCATCTGCCTTCAATTCGCCACCTGTCCCTCCAGCACACTCCTGCGCTGGCGCCAATGGAGCCGCAACCCGAGGGCCCTAACTACTACAGTCCGAACCAGGGCCACATGGGCCCGACCATTTCCGATATAATGTCGAAACCTGACGGCACCCAGCGCAAGCTGCCGGTGCCGCAGATTCCCAAGGTTGCGGTGCAGGACATGCTCAACCCTGCGGCTGGATTCTCCTCCATGAACTCGTCCGCCAACAATTCCGTTGCGGGCGGGGACTTGGCAGACAGGTTCTAACTCTTTGCTTTCAACCTCTTTACGCCTTCAAACTTATGTTATGCGCGCTACGAAACGATATAGACTTGTGCATTTTTACTCTGGCTGCGGGCATCAATGGTGTCGGATGGTTCTTGAACTTTTTTTTCACTTTTCTGGGGCGCTTCCACCAAATAGACGGATCGGGACCTTTTTCTTTACCTATGGCTTCTTTACTCCCCTCGGAGTTTTTCTTTCCCCCTTTTATTTCGAGTCCAAAATTCTGTCGAAAGACCTGCTTTTCTAGTCATTCTCCTCTCTGAGGCCTGTGGCCTCGTTTCACTTCTACCCTTCTGTTCCCTTTTATTCGCTTCTCTCTACCTAATTCCTCATACCACATTGGATGAGCAAAATGAAAAATTTCACTCCTCAATATCAAAAGCATTTCGTATGTTGTAGGCTATCTTGTGTTGGAGTTGCATGTGATCTCCCCGCAAATCGATCTACTCAGATCCTTAACTCGCCCTCGTAACTAACTACTGCATGTCTTTGTACAATGTTAGCACAAAGTACTCAGTACCTAGGCTCGTCTAAGAAATGACAAGTGAAACAAATTGCAACTCGAAGCTGTATCACTCACCTTGTGACAAAGATTTAGGTATCATCTGCCGAAGAACCAGATCCTTTCACATGCCAACTGATAAACACATGCAAGCACATGTCTCGTCTAGAACCCTGAGCCCCTAATGATCTAGATCCTTTTCACGTGTTGCAAGCTCTCTTGCAGTACGGAGTACATCCCGAATTGATGTTATCTTTATTTTTATTCTATCTATTCATGCTTTATGCGATGACGTAGTCGCTCCTTCCGTTCTCGCCGAGCCCAGAGCGCTCATCATGCACCATTGCAGCCGCAATGCTAGATTCCGTCCACTCGTTTCCCGAGGCTATGTGCTCACTGCTGTGTTTTGTTCGGTTATGCCGAAGATTGGCAGGTTATGTAGCCAGGAAGATGGAGGCGCCTTGATCCATGCCTGAGGCTTGTCATGTACCTGGACGGACGGGTAGACGGGTAGTTGATTGGATGGGTTTGGTTTGCTTGTTGCCCTACCCGGGGCATGATTGAGGATCATGTTGGCGAATGCTGATGTGGGATTCGTGGGGAAATTGGAATACAATGCTATTTTGGTTTGATTTCGGATTTAAGAAGGTATCTACTGTTGGTAGTGAAGTTCGAGATAACTATGAACTATCTATGGGGTTCATCAATAGGTTGGTTCCGATGCTGATGAGATATACCTACGACCTGTACTGTGTATATCTGTCTCTGGTACATCTGATGTGTTGTTCAAATTGGAAGTATAGAGCGGTTGATGAAGGCATTACTAGGGTTCAGGATGTGTAGAGCGGACACTTCCTCCAGGGCTGTTAGCCTGTTCCATATCACTCTAATTTACCAGTGGGTGTTTCGTTAGACATAGATCTTGTATTGATAAATGATAATAATGATTCTCAATAGAATATGCCCTTTGATTTCGCTATCTCTATACTGTGTACTTAGGGTATCTACCTCAACCCTGTGCTCTCCCGTAGGTCCGTGCCCGATTCATTGTATCCCAGACATCTTCAAAGAGCTCTTCTGGACATAAATAGAATAAAGGACTAACCATCTTCCCTTTCCTCTACCTTCTATGATACAACATACTATGTAGAGCGGTATTCCCTTATCCCGTCTTCAGCCCTGAAACAACTACTGCACGTTTTAGCTCCAAACGCCCCGCCCCTCCAAGAGTTTACTTAGCGTGCAAAAAAAAAAGATCAACTTCAAAGAATTCCAAAGATTCTATCGCTTCGAGAAGCCCCTGGCATATCCCCACTCCTGTGCCTTTGGCATGGATTCCTAACGCTAGAGAGAGAGAGAGAGAGGGAGAGAAAGACAGGAGAGCCTTGGCTTGGCCCTTTGAGGCTGTCTCATTGTATGCCAACGGGACGCAGCTGGATGTCATGCATATACTGACATTCCCTCCCAAGAGCGCAGATCGAGTCGTTACTGGCGTGCTAGTATCCCGTTGACATTTGTCGGACCTCATCTGGGGTGTATGTATATCCATTTTCGTTCACTCCCATTTCCCCTCTTCTCCTCTTTTCGTCTGACTTCCTGCCTACACGAAAATGTTACTATATTACCATGAAAACCCCTCTCCGTGCCGGGACCCGACCCTGACATCATCCAGCTACTCCTCCCCATTGCGCGAAATATACTTCACCCGTCCTGGGACTGCGGGGCATGTCGGAGCGCAAGCCCACAAACCCCGATGACCCTCGAGGCGATTTCGAGTCTTTCGTCTCACGCTCGAACAGAGATCGCGACCGCGGAGTCGAACGGCGATCTTCGTCCGCATGTGTCAGTATCAGCATGAGCACGAGTACCAGCACAGCGTCAAGTAGGACTCCCGGGCGCTCGCAAAAGCAACCAAGACAGAAACATTCAGAAGTAGTGATCACAGGCACATCATCGTCGCCGGTTATGCCTGACTTATCTAGTGCGTCGCCGTCGCCGTCAATATCATCGGTGGACACAAGACCCGGGTCCCGGTCCACCGTCGAGTCCAGACGAGCAGACAACAACGGAGACGGATTCTACATTCTGGACGGATTTCGCACATCGCCCTTGGTCACCGACGGCGCCACAGAGCCCGCGCTATCGCGCGCATCGCTGTCCTCGTGGGACACTGCCGCACCGTCGGTAACCTCCGCGACGCCGTCGATCCCCGCATCTCTACCCAGCATCGAGCAGCGCACCTACGCCTGTCTCTTCCACATGCTGGACTGCTACGAGTCCTTCGACGACGCCGCGGAGTGGCGCACACATGTCTTCAGCCACTTTCGGTCGCATCCGACGCCGCCGTCGGCGCGCTGTCCGCTGTGCCCGAATACCAAGTTCGTCGACGGGATCCCGGAGCCCGTGTCCTCGCCTGTTCTGGAACCTGGCGAGTCTGTGCGCGCTATCGATGCGGTCGTGCTCGCGCCGCAGCTTGATCTTCCCTCTGCCTGGCATCGCATGCTAGATCATGTCGCTATGGATCATTATCGTCATGGTCAGACGCTGGCGGGTAGTCGGCCGGATTTTGAGCTTATGCGCTATCTGTATGGTATGCGCGTTATTACGGATGCCCAGTTCAAGGCTATGCAGTTGCCGCCTGCGCCGTCAAGTCCGGCTTATCATCGCTCGCAGGATGGTATTAGGGCCAGTATTGGCTCTGCTGATGAGCCGTATTGTGCGCCGTATAGTAAGCGGCGCGAGGAGAGGATGCGCGGGCAGCATAGGGGTGTCGGGGTTGTGTAGACATAGACGGGCTTGTTCTCTTTGGATTTTTTTGACTGTTCTAGATATTCCCCCTTTTGCTTATAGCCATTCTATGTACTTCTGGCAGTCGCCTCTAAAAGATGCTGTATTTATTTCGATCTAATTGAAGATCAAAAGATGCATCTCCAGATATCTCCAGATACTCCGTAGACAAGAGCAAACAAGACAAACTCACCGCCCTTGATGACGGCCTTCACCTCGATCCTCCATCGCGCAGAGAAAAGCCGAATTGAACGAGCACCTTCCACATCCAAGCCTCGCCCTCTTCCTAACACGCTCCTTCCCTTTAATCCGCATCGTCGCTTCCTCCCAATCGTCCCTCCTTCGCCCTCCCTCCCCACCGCTCTCGGATTTTCTCCTCCCCCGCCAAATCCAAAACCCCAGAACGCAAGACACAGACGAAACATGGAGCGCTTATCTCTAGAAAGCCCTGCCCCGGCACAGCGCACCCCGCAACAAAATCAACAATTCCCCCAGAATGCCCTCGGCCCAGCAGGTCCCCAGCCAACAGGCGGCCCACCACAATTACCCCCGCAGATGTTCACAACCGCCGCACAGCTGCTCGACCTAACAGATAGTATGGGCTTCCTGCGTGATATAAAGGAAAGGAGAGCACAGTAGCTAACGCTGATATCACAGAGAAACTTGTGCTCATTCTCCGCGACGGGCGAAAGCTCATTGGTGTCCTGCGAAGCTGGGATCAGTTCGGTATGTTTCGCTCACGATCTCCCTGCTCTCTATACCTCGATCTGACTCCTCGCAGCAAATCTAGTTTTCCAGGATACTGTCGAACGCATCTATGCTGGACAACTGTATGCTGATGTCCCGCGAGGCATCTTTATCGTTCGTGGAGAGAATGTTCTCCTACTAGGTGAAGTGGTATGTACCCTATCTTATTTTACTTACCCTATTTTAGTTTATCTTGTATAACATACAGTGTGCATACATATACAGAGAAGAGACTAACATAATCCAATGACAGGACCTCGACCGTGAAGACGATATCCCACCCGAAGTAACCAGAGCCCCATTCGAAGAAGTCTTCGCATTGAAGAAAAAGGAAGAAGCGAAGCGGAAAAAGGGCGATAAGAAGCGCTACGACGAGTTGCAAGCACTTGGTTTCGAGCCTGAGCATAGCGGGGAGATCTTGTTCTAGGTTCTGCGCTTTTTTTTTGGCACTGTGTTCGAGATTGTCCGGAACTGGATGATGGACTGCGACTGGAAGTCTGTACTTTGCCCTTTTGAGACTTGAGACTGTTGCTCTCTACTTGTCGTGCCGTCTGGCTATCTGCGGTATCGTTATTTGTGTTCAAGGATATCGAGTCAAAGATATTGAGGGCTAGGAGCATCGGGCTCAGACAGCTTTGCTATTCCCGACTGAATACGGCTGCGATTTCCCGCACTTGTATCGATTCGGGGATGTCCTGGATGCATTTCTGTGGCGCAATAAGATTGTGACGGGGGCACTGGCGTTGATCTGATGCATGTCTGCTACACCAGTGGACGAGTCCTTGTTCTGTTCCTTGGGATATCCTGCCGAGCGGCCTGGTGGCTGGCTCGGTTTCATGAAGTTCTGATTGATATGGATATGTTCGATACTTTTGTTTCCTTGCATGATTAGCTGCTCTGCAAATGAGATATGATGAAAGTCACGCTGCATTGATGTTGGTTTCTGTGTAGCTGTAACTGGGGCGAACCTGCGTAGAGACATGGTGATATCGTATAAGATCGATCTGATATGGTTAAGGTATTCAAGATCATGATTACACTGCGTACGCAGGGGGAGCTACGTGACTACGAGCGAAAAGTAAAATAATATCTATGTCCATTGACCCCAAAACTTTTGAACAGAATCGTAATCACATCATGAAACGGGAGCAGAACTCTGCATCAGAACACAAAAGGCCCAGAGTCAACGGAATCACCACAGCGGAGGGTATATGAGAAACGTCAACACTAACCAAGCACAGGGACCGAAGACCGGATGGCAGAAAGAAAAAAGAATAGAAGAAAAGTAGGAAACAAAAAGTCCAAAAACGATAACAAATAACTCCAAGATCTGCTAGATGCCACCCTCCTTCTCTCCGTCCGGGCTCAGATAACCAAAATGGAAACCGGCAAGGTGTATGATATTTTACCTCTTCTTCCCCCATCCAGACCGGTTGTTGCTCCGGGGTGCATGACCAGGGTTGCGGCGCTTCTCGACACGACCGCCGCCAGAACCACCAGAAGTCTTAGGAGCACCGAGACCACGACGAGTAGAGGCCTGACCGGCGCCAGAAGCGCGCAAGTCCTGCTTGAGATCATCTTCGTCGACGTCCATGCTGTCGCCGGAATTCTTCTTAGACGACTGACCCATCTTGACCTTACCGCGCTGACCACGACGGACAGCGTCGGGTCCACTGACGGCAGCGAGGTAGGCGTTGACGCCGCCGTCGCCGGCACCGCTCATCTCCACGTCATCAGCAACGACATCGCCGTCGTCACCGAGGATGAGACGGCCGTCGGCGTCGAGCTTGGCGGAGCGCTTCTTCTTTGAGCCTGGGCCGGTGTTGAGGAAGCGTTGGCTGGGCTTTGTGGTGGAGATGCTGGCCAGGGCGTTGGAACCGAGCAGATCGAGCGGGTTGTCTTCGGGAGACATCTCGCGGATGTACTGGGTGCTTTGGCCGGTCTTTCTCTTGCGGCCTTTGATTTGCGCGACGTTGTCGACATCGACGTCGCTGTCGCCGTCGTCCGAGCCGTCGGAGGAGTCCGAGTCTGAGCCGTAGACGGCCTTGTCGAAGGCGTTGCCGGTTTGGGGCTTGGCGGCCTTCTCCTCGTCTTCCTCGTCGCCTTCGGCACCTTCCTTCTTCTTACGCTTGCTGCGCTCACGGGCTTTGCGGATGTTGACAACGAGCTTGCGGTCTTCCTCGCCGACGATGGCTTCGAGGAGTGGGGCGCCGAAGCGGCGCACAAGTCGGTCGATGATGCCCTTTACCTTGCTGCGAAGACGGCCCTTGTGCTCCTTGTTCCAGGCCATGAGGCTGGGAACCATGGTCCTGAGACGGGGGCGCAGAGTCTCATCGGGAAGCACGACGACTGCGACCTTGACGAAGCCAAGGACGGAGCGGACGATCTCGCGGTTGCTGGAGGTAAGGAACAGCTCGACGGTTTCAACGAGCTCGTTCAGCATCTCAGGTTGAAGCTGGGTCTGGAAGTCGAAGAACAGTCGCGAAAGTGCGGTGACGGTGGCGCCGACCATGTGCGGTGCGGAGCCAGCCAGACCGGCGGACACCATGGTAAAGAACTCCTCGAGAGTAGCGGGGGCATCCGGCAAATCGGCTGCCACACCAGGCACAAGCGATCTGCGGATGACAGTGCCGGCAGGATTGCGCTCTGGATCGATAGTACGCTTGGCCAGGAGGATAAGTAAGTCAAAGGCGGCTGTGCGTGCCTTCTCGTTGCTCTCCTTGCAACCCAATACCACTTCAGACAGAATTGCCGGGATGAAGTGCAGGTCTGAGGTGGGCAAGTGCTTGATGATCTCGGTGATGGCAAGCATACGGTCGCGGCGGCCAGAGGCAGGCGTGCTGTCGGTGGTAGCCAGCATGAGAGCTTGCAGCTCTCCGCTGCGCTCCTCGAGGGCAGCACGGCCAGTCTCCGTCGATCCGAGACGGGGAATCAGCTTGTAGGCCTTCTTGATGAGTTGCTGATCCGGATTAGGGGAGGAGCTTTTGAGGATGGTTGCCGCCATGGCAAACAAGCCACCGAAGCTGGAGCGGGGGAGGTAGATTGACATGGCGATAACGAGATCAATCAATGTGTGGGAGGTCGGCGGCATCTTGTCGGCTGGGGGCTGAGGGTTGGCAGCTTGCTTGGCAGCTGCTTCTTGCTCGGAAATCAGAGATGACTCAAGCATGGAAGTTACGCGGTTGAACGTTTCGTTCAACTCCTATAACGGGCGTTAGTGTGTGATGATTGGTATACAACGTTGAATGAAAGACTTACATTTTCAGGAGTAATGCTCAAGTAAGCATTGATACACTGGAGGATATAGCCGCGGTAGTGAGGGAGGGTCTGACTGTAAACGTTGAACAAGACAGCCAGCAAGTTGCTCGCAAGACTGCCGAGGTGAGCGAGGTTCTTCCGTGCAGTAGCCTTGGTGATGCGCCGTTGCAGGATTAAATCATCTTCGTCGTTCTCGACGGACAAAATAGCCTGGTTTGACTCAACGAGGTTTTGCAAAGCACGGCAGACATCGACACGCAATTCGGTCTGTTTGTACAGAACGTTGGAGAGCAGCTCAGCGAATGACTGATCAAGTGCCTCTACAAGATCAAGCGGCAGCTCGCAGTAGCCGGGGAGAGTACCCCACGTTTGTTGAACCAGGGTCTCGAAGATCTTCACTTCGACAGATTTCTCAGCAGCGCCAAAGTTGACCACCTTCTGGTACAGTGCCTCACTCAAGGGCACGAGCTCGGTGCGGAAGTGGCGGAGATTCGTGTTGGTCACGCTGTCACGCATAATGGGCAGCAGCCAAACACGGCCGGGTTGACCGGCCTTCTGTTCGATGATGTTGAGGGGAAGGATCTCCAAGACTGCCTCGGGGCCCATGGCCTCGATAGCGCTGGCGAGGACGGCATCGGCTTCTTTCTTACCGTGGAAGCCCTCGTTGGTGCGGAGTTCACCGACAGTGGAGACGATCTTGACGAGATACGGGCTTGATCGCCACTTGAAGCAATCGAACATGGCAGAGCAAACGTTGAACACCTCTCTCCAAGCAGCCTGGTACTTCACTGAGAGAAGATCGACAGCCGCACGAGACAGCTTCTCTAGAGTCTTCTCATCGTAGACAGAAGGCTCGATGATAACCGAGTTAGGGATACAGTTGTGCAGGAATGAGATAAGGCACTCGGACGCTGAAACGCGGATGTTGCTGGAGGGCGAAGCCATGAACCCAGAAATCAAGGTGAAAAGATCGGGCAGCTTTTCAAAAGTATCCTCGGGGGTGATTTGCGCAGCCACATCGTATCCGCGTGATAGTACTGCGATCCAAGGCGGTAGGAGCTGTGAGTCGTTCTGGGCAGGCTTGAGTTCGGAGATAGCGTCCAAGAGACGGGGCAATTTCGAAGATGAGAACTCATCCGCCATTCCCTCGAAGATGACCTCGAAGACCTCAAAGGCACCCATGGTGATATACTCATTGGTAGAGCGGGATGCGTTCATCAGAAGCTCACTGAGCGGTTCGATCTTCTTGCTGGGCCAGCCACCTGACGCCGAAGCAATGGTCTTGATCAGCTGCAGTGAGTGAATGATAAGAGGCTCGTGGTTGTTGGCCTGAGCATCGTGACGACCCTTCTTTTGCTTGTGAGCAGCGGAGATGCTATCGCCAAGAGTCTTCATCGCAGATTGAGCACACATATCGGCACCGGGGTGATCCAGAGACGGGCTTGGCGGGGGCGCCTTGAGAACCTTGACAAGCGCCTCCTGGGCACGTTTCCGCACCTTGGGCCGGTGATCAACTGAAAGACTCAGCAGACCTGCCATTGCGCGGCGCGGGCCGACCTGTGTGTGCGGGAGATTCCATGCCGCTGCATCCTGAGCGATGAGCAGAGACTCAAGACAGCCGATCGACGGACGCAATAGCGGGGCTTCGACCTCGGGGAGGGAGAGCGCGGGTGCGAGGCTTTCGAGGATTTGGGAGAACTTGGAGCAGAGAATTGGGGCGGGGACATAGGCGGTGGTGATATCGAGAAGGTAGACCACGGATGTCGCTAGGTCCTTGTTGACGATGCCTTGCGATGCGGACAGCGATTGGGTGAGCAGCGCAAGAAGAGCAGCAAAGTATGCGGTAGGCGAGAAGTCTGTCTTCTGATCACGAAGAGTATCCTCCACTGCAGAGAGCACCACAGCAGTCTGTTCGCGGGTCAATGCGTTAGAGTCAATTGGCCGGGTATGCGAACGGGAAAACTTACATGATGCTGGTTCTGCAACTTGGGAGACTTGATTTTCTCAAGCTTCTCCGCCAGAGTCGCCATGATGATTGTGGACGACGAGGTGGAGAAGATTATAGGAAAATTCACAATAGTATTGGGATGTGAAAGAGGGCTGTTTTTGGCGGTGATAAAAATCGTAAAGGAAAAAAAGTAAAGTCCGGCAAATTTGGAGGCGGTGAGAGAAGCGGCGGGGCGGTACGTGGACAAAAAATTTATCCGTGGAGTTGTTTACTCCAATGCCTTGTAACTGATTTTGATTGTTACTTTTTGAAAAAGTGTCGGCTTATGCATGGAAAGTGGTACTAATCGTTTCTCAAAAGCTGCAAAGTAAGATGCGACTAGTTAAACAACATAAGTTCATAACTACCTTCATAATGCCAATATTTTCAGGCAACGCTTCCGATGCCTGGACTAGTCCTGTTCGGGACATCAAAGCTGCCCGCTCTTGAAATAAACAATGTCCCCGTTGACACAGACGCACACAACCACTCAGATCAGACGACAATGCCATTCCTTAATCTGCCACAGGAAACCCTTCGGCAGATTATCTCATATCTCTCTAACCGCGATGTGGCTGCTCTTTCAACCCAATGCCGCACATTCCACACTCTGTGCGACATGGCGACGCGCCAGAAATATGATCACATCATTGTGTCCTCCAAAGAAAAATCAATTGACAATGCCTTTGACATGCTCATGAGCATTCTGAAAAATCCTACTTTGGGCCAGTATGTGCGGCGTATCGAATGTTTGGTACCAGAAACCACGGATTTGGTTTACAAAGAAGTCAAATACCAACGAGACCTGAGCAACGAGGAGATGGATCTCGTGCGGAAAGTAGTCAGAACGGCCGGATTACAGGACCAAAAGAGGAGCCAATCGTCAATATGCTCATGCAGAGGATTACGAAAGCGGGACGTTATCTGGATGGGTGAGTACACCGTCTGGCCTCAATATTTGGATGAGTTTTAACCCAAGAAACAGACAGCGTAACCGCCCCGGTACATTCATCTGTCAAGCTTTGACTATCATGTTGATTGTGGTATCACCGAACCTCACGTCAATGGCCTTCGTACCTCCCTGTTGCGGTGACAAGGACTTCCCGCTTGCAGTGTTCCTCACCGAGGCCAACGCTAGTCCGAAGAACAAGCCATATCTCCGCCTTCTCTCCGATGTTACTCTGATCACCCAAAGCGTGTACCACTGGGAAGATCAAAGGTGGCTTTGGATGCGAGAGCGCTTCTTCAGGTTCTTGAATTACGTGGATAACCTCCTGTCCATTGAATCTGTCACCACTGACTTCGTGGAGAGTGAGACATACAGCCTGTACAGGCATGGTTTCAAAGTTGGATACTCTAATATCAGCAGAATATTCATTAATCGCTCGTCCCTTGATTCTTTGTCGCTTGCGGTCCTGGTATCTTCGTTCAAGGTTCTCAGGGAAATCCAATATTATGCTGGAGGCGGTTCACTTTGGGACACGCCGTTCGATCCTAAGTCATTTCTTAAAGCGATGTGCCGGCACAAAGACACACTTGAAATCCTGGATGTTGACGTCGCATGCCAATTTAATTTACTTGAAATCAAAGACAAAGAAAGGAGGGAATTCGCTATGGACCACCAAGAAAGCGATCCTGACCCCTATTCAAGCAAGGAACGTCGCGAATTTGTTTCGCAAGTACAGAGTCACTATGGAACCCTGAAAGACTTTGTGGCCTTGAAAAGGCTGAGCTTGGGAATAGATTTGCTCCTGTACTTCGCCAAGGGCATCAGCTTCGACTGGACATCCCCAGGGGAGTATTTCAATGCACCCTTGATAGACTGTTTGCCAGATTCGCTGGAATATCTGTGCGTTCGGGGATACCGCAAGGGCGTGAACCGAAAACACGATAAAGATATGAAGAAGTTGTTAGCCCATTTGAAAAGAAAAAAGTCTGGGTCATCTTCACTGAAGGAGATCAAGGGAATTGAAGAAACTATTCCAGTTGTCCACGACCCAAATCATCACGACGAAGACCCCTTGATATGGGCCTTGGAGCCTCTGAACGATAGTGACAGTGGGAGTGAGACTTAGGGTGAGAGTGAGAGTGAGAGTGCGAGTGCGAGTGCGAGTGAGAGTGGCTAGTTCAATGCAAAATGGATGGAGATCCCAGGAGTCTCACGAGGTATGATTTACGAGAGATCGATGGTGTGTCTTGCTTCATTTCTCGCTCACAGCCTTGGAAAGAGATTTGGTGCGAGGTAAATACGGGAATAGCCCTACCAGCGTGAGCTTTTATAACTATCGCATTCCATTGGAAGCTGGAGCCCTGGAGGTTATATATGGAAGGAATTCACCTACATCGCTTTGCGCGCGGGTCCAGTACCTCAATCATGCATGTCAACATAGGTATTTGAAGAGGTGATTCGAATGTGGTGCCTTCCTCGGCTTCAAGAACATACATTGTTGCCTCATCGTCGGCTAACGGTAACAAGAACTTCTGGACTATGTATACTCGAGGCTTGCCCCTTCTCAGGCCTTTCATGAGACAGCGTGGTTGCCATAACACGTAGAGAAAAGAGAAACAGTGGAGTAACAACTATCAGTAATAGTAAATCAAGGAGACCATACCGCATCATTCTATTTCATGCCTGTACAAAGTACTGCGTACATAGTTGTCTCACGCTACGTGAAAAGAAAACACGAATCCGCGTCCACCGGATCATATGACTCTTCACGACGTTCACGTCCGGTTGAGTCGTTGACTGTTTTCTCCTTTATTCAAATGACAAATCGATATCACTTCGTGCTCCCTGACTCAGACTAGGCCCCCCAACAACGTCGTCACCCGCCCAATTCGGTTATGGTACCAAATCGGGTGCGCGTCTCGACGCGTCACACGCTTAACTGTCAAAATGAGGTTACAGTCGCGGTTCTCAAAACTCCCTTCAAGCTAGGCCCGCTGGACTACACTGTGCCTGCTTCGCTAACCATTGGGGCCATCTTCGTTTATCAAAGGCCCGCATCAATACCACAAAATGTCCTCCTGCGTGTGGACCGCCTGAAGGATGCTGCCGCCATTCTCCTCGACTACTATCCACATTTGACCGGCCGTCTACAAGAGAACCCTGCCAGTCGAGTTGCGGAAATTGTCCAAATAGGTGCTGGAGTTGAGCTATGGGAGGCGAACTGTGACTTGAGGCTCGGAAACATTGCTGCATCCAGTCCGTCAAATCGGTTGCTGATGCACAACTTGCCGGCTTCGGGGGATGCGCTAATCCCTGAGTTTCCTTTGGCTTGCGGCGCTATTGGCCATAATCCCATCCTTGCCATTCAGCACACTCGATTCGCTTGTGGAGGAGTCGCACTAGGGTTTCGGATTCAGCATTCGGTGTGTGACCCTACTGGGCTTTTGCGGCTGGTGCGCGATCTTGCTGGGATATACAGACGCATACGTGATTTTTCTCCACCAGCTCTTGTCTTCTTGCCAGTCCTTCACTCGTATCGTTCAACATATCCACGGGAACAATGCTCGTATAGGCCTCTAAATCTTTATCTCGAGGAGGATGCCACGATGGAGCTTGAGACAGCCGACGGGCCCTCTAAAGTCTCCAGTCGTGTTTTAAGATTTTCCGGCCCTGAGTTAATTGCACTAAAGCAGGCAGCAACGAATCCCGACCCCAGGTATCGGCACCCTGTCTCAAGCTTCGAGGCCCTTTCCGCATATCTGTATCAACGGATATATCAAGCCAGGATCGAAGCTCTAATTCACCAACGTCTTCCACCCTTCCCAAAATTGTCGCGTTTGAACCGTACTATCTGGTTAACCGTAGACATGCGTGACCCAGTCCGCCTGGACTTATCGCCCGATTACTTTCCCAATGCTGGCTATTGTGTCATCGTGGACTCATCATACACGGACCCTGAGTTGTATCCACGGTGGATGATAGCAAGCTACATCCATTACGCATTCTCTACAATGGATATGCACAGAGTTATCAAGACGTTGGAGTGGGTTGCGGCACAGCGAGACAAAAGCCGTATCAGATCCACAACCGAATTTCGTGAAGGGTGTTTCGCCATCAGTGAGTGGACTAAAGAAGATACGTATTTTGACGTTGACTTCGATGTCGACCAAGATGGCGATCCCATAACGCCTAGCCTGGTCGCCAAGCCGTTCACTGAAGTCGAACTGGTGGATGGGTTGGCATATGTCATGTCCACCGAGGAGAAGACCAAGCGAATGAAACAGGGATTAGTGACTCCTGTCAACCATACGTGGGCTCTTGATGTCTACCTGGCTTTGAATGACTCCGTATGGACATTCCTTGATACGGATCCTAATTTCCGGAAACTGTATGCTTAGTTCCCAGCCGCCGAGGCAATAGCCATCAACTCCAGACACAAAGTTCTATTGTAATTCTGCGGTAGGATTAACATGCTGAAGAGGAGATACATCCGAGTATGATGTATTAACTAGTCCTGAATTGGGTGACCCGAGGGTCATATCGCCGTTGACAGTTGCTGCAACTTGCAAGGACAGCCAAACCTAGGCTATCTGCGTTCGTCTCGGTTCATGCCCTGGAAATTATGTCGCAGACGCATACCTAAAGGTCTGAGGTCAATTAGTGAATTCAGTGCGTTCGTTTTTGTTGAGCTTCTTGACGAGCGCTGTCATGAAAAGGCAAATTAACGTGTAGTTGACCATCTAAGATACTGCCCCTTCGCGATGTCGTCATAGCGCGCCGTTGAGTTTCTGTTACTGGTTAGATGTGGTATCCACGTGATCTGTGCTCCATCTTTGTCTCCACCCGTTCCAGGCCCCAAAACACGGGGTCTACCATGGGTCTTCATCTGTTTGGGGACAACACTCCTAGCAAGAAATACTTAACTCTTCAGTCAAGACCTTGATGTTCTCATAGAATCTGACCATATTGCCACATTTAACCCATCCAGAATTTCTGCTAGTTATTCCACATCAGAAGAGTCTCATTTCTTCCTGACAGCCTGTGATGTCATCGGGCTGCCTGTGGTCCAGCAACAGCGATGGAAGAATCAACCCGTCGACCATCTACACTTGAACGCAACCGGTTCACCCAGGACGGCGCAAGTGTTCAAGGTATGAGCAGACTGGCGTCTCTGATACCCTGTTTGCAAGCTTGTGCTAACTTCACGAAGATGATGGTCGCATTGAGATCGATCTAGACTCCAAAGTCGGTAGGGAAGTCTCCAAATTGATTCCATTTCTACACACGGAGAAAGTTCTTCAACCAGAACAGGAGCTTCCGGGCGCGGATGGATGTGGCCTTGAGTTGAACATCGTCATTCAAGTCGTTGGCAGTCGAGGCGACGTTCAGCCGTTCGTCGCATTAGGCAACGAGCTCCAGCGCCATGGACACCGTGTGCGACTAGCTACGCATGGTGTTTTTGAGAGCTTTGTGCGCGACTCTGGTCTAGAATTCTACTCCATCGGGGGAGATCCCTCAGAGCTGATGGCCTACATGGTGAAGAATCCAGGACTAATACCCCAGATGAAGTCCGTGCGATCCGGTGATATCCAACTCAAGCGTAACATGGTAGCTGAAATCCTAAAGGGCTGCTGGGGCTCATGTGTTGAAGATGACTCGGTGACCATGATACCATTCGTGGCGGATGCGATTATCGCGAATCCACCGAGCTTCGCCCATATCCACTGCGCCCAAGCACTTGGAATCCCTCTGCATATGATGTTTACTATGCCGTGGACGAGCACAAGATCGTTTCCACATCCTTTGGCGAATCTGAAGTATTCGACCACGGAGCCGAAGATGGCGAATTATCTTTCTTACGGGATTGTGGAATGGCTAACATGGCAAGGGTAATAGCCAACTACCCTGCAGCGACTACAATTGCTGACTTCACAATAGCCTGGGGGATGTTATCAATGACTGGAGAAAATCCATTGACCTAGAACCTATATCCGCCACAGAAGGTCCCCGCTTAGCAGAAACCTTGAAAATCCCCTTCACCTATTGCTGGTCTCCGACGCTGATGCCGAAGCCGAAGGACTGGCCGGCGCATCTTGATGTCTGTGGCTTCTTCTTCCGCTCGTCTCCCGACTTTACGCCACCTCCAGATCTTGATGTCTTTCTCAAAAATGGCCCTCCGCCTGTGTACATCGGTTTTGGGAGTATCGTCATCGAAGATCCCCCAGCCATGACTGCAACCCTTGTCAATGCGGTTAGGGCCTGGGGTGGCCGTGCAATCATATCCCGCGGCTGGAGTAATCTCGGTGAAGCGGAATCGGACGATCAGATCTTCTACCTTGGGGATTGTCCGCACGAATGGCTGTTCCAGAAGGTCGCCGCAGTCGTACACCACGGAGGAGCAGGAACCACAGCATGTGGCCTTCGCTTCGGAAGGCCCTCTGTTATCGTGCCTTTCTTTGGAGAGTAGGTTACTGCGCTGCCAATTTCAAACATTTCTTTACTAACATGTGACAGTCAACTATTCTGGGGAAATATGGTTGCTTCACGTGGGATTGGGCCAATGCCTATTCCTCATCGATCTTTGAACGCGGAAAACCTAGCAGAGGCCATTCGTTTCTGCTTGCATGCCGATACCCTGTCGGCAGCTGGGGACCTTGCCCGCGAAATGAGCAAGGAAGATGGAATTTCCGCAGCCGTCGCATCCTTTCATCGAAACTTACCTGTTGAAAAGATGCGTTGTCAGTTTCTCGAGTCGGAGCCAGCTGCGTGGCAGTTGAAACAAAACGGGAAGCCCGCTGTGAAGTTGTCCAAAATGGCAGCCGGAATTCTGGCTGAGAATTCGCGAATTGATTCAAAGGACCTCAAATCGTGAGAACACACGCCCGATCCAGTGATTTAAACTTGCCAATGCTGACACATGCCGAATCAGATATGAAAGTAACTCAATATACATTCAAACTCAACGATGGGACCCTATCACGGGTGGAACATCGTCTCTACTGGGGATGTACAAAGATATTCTCACGGCATCAAGCGACGTTGTGATCCGACCTTACAAAGAATTCAACCGCGCTCGTCAACAAAGCGAGCCTGAGCTGGTAGTTATTGAATCTACGAATCCCCAACAATCTACTACCGAGTCTGGACCTGTCGCAGGCTCGTCGCGGAAGCCGAGTGAAATGACGGATGAAGAATGGAAGGCCACAGGAAGGGCAGTGGGCGGATCCGCCAAAAGCGTGGGGAGAATCATCGCATACTACTACAAGGGCGTCCTGGTTGATATACCCGGCGCAGTGAACGAGGGTCTAAGGGCGGTTCCCAGGCTCTATGGTGAAGAGGTTAAGGACTACGACAACATCCGGGATTTCAAGTCTGGAGTTGCTGCAGCGTCGGACAACTTTGCACATGGGTTCTCGCATGGAATCAGCGATATCTTCCGACAGCCTTACGAGGGTGCACAGAAAGAGGGCATCATGGGTGCAATTAAAGGTTTCGTGAAAGGACCTATTGGAATGGGCACCAAAGCCGCATCAGGTTTGTCACAGAATCGCTTCAATCATTATTTCAGTCATGCTAATGGTCCTACTACAGGCGCGCTTGGCTTGGTAGCCTACCCAGGGCAGGGTCTAGCCAAGAGTCTGCACTCTGCGATTCACTCCAAGACACGAAAGCAGCTCCTCAAAGCTCGATTGAAAGAATCGGAGTATTTAGCTAGACAGTCGGCTAAGGCACAGTCAAGCTGTCCGGATATCCTGGAGGCATTTGATGCCCACCAACGGTAGCCGCTGACCTCTCCGAGCTCACCCTCTCTAGGGCTAGGAGTAAGGTTGCCTAAATAGAAGACCCGGGGATTCCAAGTCCATATAGTTCGGTCTTACTGCCGAGGTCTCAGTCCAATGTTGTAGCCCCGCTTTATACTGTCCGAAATAGGCTCCCTAACGCGAATACGCGATGATGACCCCTTATCACCACCTTTCTTTGTTTCTGTTCATTGCTCTTGTTCTTATATATTCCCCTCAAGTCTTGACTTTGCACAGTAATCATTGTCAATCATGTCGTACAATGGAAAACTGTTCCCTCAGCCAGCAGCGGGGTATACCCAATCATTTTGGCGGACCCAACCCGATCCCCTCGACACCCACCAAACATCGCCTGATCTGCCAAGTGAAGCCGATATCTTGATTATCGGCGGTGGTTATGTCGGTGCCTCCGCCGCATATCGACTGCTCGCCGAAAACCCGCAAGAACCCGCCCCGCGCGTGGTGTTGGTTGAGGCCCGCGAGCTGTGCTCTGGCGCCACCGGGCGCAATGGTGAGCGGACCCCACACATGCCATCTGCACATGCAGAGAGACTCACTATCCCGTCCTTGGCTTGTTAGGTGGTCATTTGAGACCGGATATATATGCGGCGACTGCAAGGTTTACTGAGCGCTATGGTGTCGAAGCCGCAGCAGAGATCGTGCGCTTTGAAATCTCGCACATGAAGGTAATCGAAGATCTGGTTCGTAAAGAGAAGATTGATTGTGATCTTACCTTTACTCGCTCATATGACATGTATTTCGATGAAGAGGAGCTCAAGAAGGCGAAGGTCTTCTACGAATACTTGGTTGACCAGGGGTTTGACTTTATGGAAGATGTCAAATACATGTCTCGCCAGGAGACACAGGAAGTGAGTTGCAACGAGCTCAACCTGTGATGCATCTTTTTTGCTTCCATTCTGACAATACCTTCATCAAGACGGCTCATGTCCGAGACGCGAAAGGAGGCTTCAGCTTTTCAGCAGGACATCTGTGGCCTTACAAGCTCATTGCGCATCTCATCCGCGTTGCCATCTCGCACGGTCTAAACCTGCAAACCAACACACTGGTCTCTGAAATTGGAGAATCACGTACTGCAGAGGGCTTCTGGCCTGTTACCACTAGTCGTGGTGTGATTCATGCGCGCAAGATCATTCTCGCGACCAATGCATTCACCGGTGCTTTGGTCCCAGAATACTCGAAGGCCATCATCCCTTGCAAGGGCATCTGCACACAGATAGCTGCCGCGCCTGGGGCACCGCACCAAGAGTTACCCGGAACGTATGCGATACGATATCACCCTGGGGCATTTATTTACCAGATCTCGCGGAACGACGGGTCCCTCATTGTCGGTGGAGCGTCGCATCTGTTCAAGAAGGACAGAGAGCAGTGGTACAATAACCCCGATGACAGTAAATTGTTTACAGTTGCAGCGGATCATTTTGATGGCTATATGCAGCGGACATTCCTCGGTTGGGATGATAGCAAGGCGGAAGTGAAGCACGTTTGGACCGGAGGTTAGTATCAGCCCAAGAAACTCGATCCGATATTACAGACTTGTTGTGCTAATCTCTGCTTGCTTATGGTTCTAGTCATGGGATATAGCGCAGACTCATTGCCTCATGTTGGAAATGTCCCCGGTAAGCCGGGACAGTTCATCGCCGCAGGCTTCAATGGCCATGGTATGCCTGTGGCATTCTTGTCTGGAAAGGCTGTTGCAGATATGGCACAGACCTCGGTCGCCTTTGAGGATACTGGTTTACCAAGATTGTTTAAGACCTCAGAGGCTCGATTGGAACCTGTGTTTGATGATATCCTTGGTTGACTTATTTCTGACTGAGCGAAGTGAGCGAAGCAGCTTAACTGCTTGTTACTCTCCAGATGAGTATCTCAGAAGTGGACTTTGTGTTGTCTTGAGTGGCAGGAACTGCTCCCTCCTTGGAAGTATTGGTATTCATCTAAGCCTACGTATTCTTGTAATCGAATGCGAGGAGTATCGTGGGCAGTGCGCAGTTCAGCCGTTGTCTCCTCGGTCAATACGGTTCCTATTGGGACTTGAAGTCCCCGTATAACTTTGACAATGCGATTGAACGACGAACGCTGACAGACGGCACTAGAAAGGCCATCTATGGGATGCTGGTGTGATTTCGAAGTGGGCAATTTACTCAGCTCAGGCCCTTTATGGCAGTGGCTCTAGCGTCCATGGGTTTCGGTCTCAGAGTCCAGGCCAGAGCGTTAAATTGGCTATTATTTTGGCTGTGCCCGGTGGATACCTGGAGATATTCGAAGCTGCTGTTGATACTTTGAAATACTGCAATCTATCACCTTCCCTAGGAATCGCTTGACATGCAGTGGCACCTATAATGCAAGCACAGTCTTGTTTCCATATCTGCCATAATCTTTCACGCAAATCAGGGTATATTTCGCTCTGCGTAGATTGGTAACATGACCATTCAAAGACCAGAATCAACAGGAAAAACCTTCATCAAACCATCAACACCCAGTTTATACAACCGACTCCTTGAGCGCAGCATTCTCCAGAGCCTTCAAAGACCTCTTCTCCTTCTCAATCCCATTTCTGCGCTGAGCAGTATCACACAATTCCAAATTCCCACATTCACACTCCCCATCCCTAAGCCAGCGATAAGTAATACTCCACCGCTTCCCCCTCGGCCTAACCGTACCATCCGGCAACGTATCATTCTTCCTCTTCCTAATCCCATGAGTCCAATGCAGCCTCGAATCACCACTCATCTTCATCATGCTCCTCGGCGACAAATCGACCTCAATCCGCCGATCGCCCTGACGGAAGACCATCATAGCCGGCGCACCGAGCGATAACGCGTAGAGCTGGTCATAGGGCTTGTGGGCATCTACGTGCGGAGGGATGCCCGCGCCGGGAGGATAGTACTGCAGACAGACTTGGTCTGGGGCTCTGTCTTCGGTGGTTGGGATGAGAGGTTTGAGCCAGGAGGGGAATTCCTTGTATGGGATTTCCGGGTCTATCCCGAAGGTTTTATAGTCGAAGCTGTAGCCGTAGTGTAGTGATACGCGACCTGGTCGGTCTGGCCATTCTAGCTCGTTGGTGAAGATGCTGATGAGGTGTTGCTCGTGTTCGGCGGTGATGAAGTTTTCTTCCCAGAATATTCCGTGTGGTTCGCTGGGCAGCTCTTGGAAGTTGCTTCGTGTTTCCATTTCTTTTATTCACAGCCTTTGTTTACAGTCGATGTCGATTTAAGTTGACTGGAAGCTTTTTGCACGTGGTGACGTTCAAACTCTGATTTTGTGGATTTGTGTATTGAATACTGGAATTGTTACACTTGCCAATACTACACCAGTAATAATGTTCACAGCAGAGCGTTTGGGGCTGTATTCTTAAATTACACACCATGATCAGGATGGATTTCTCAGACTGTAACTAAATACGGATGGTATAGCAAAGCGTGGTATTACATTAGAGATACATAGAGTTCGTCATCTCTCTAAGTCGAAGGTCATCGTGATACAAGCCCAAAAAGTGAAAATACCAGCCCGAACGCCATCAGATCATCGTGAACCGTGAAGACAAAACCGCGAAGACAAAGTATAGTCCAGGCAATCAAGTAGCTTGGTAAACCTTGAAGCTGCCAAACTCCCAGTACGCTGTAGCGAAACTAGTAGCATTATCCCGCACAAATGCTTCACAGTTGCCAGGACAGCTACTTTGTGCCGCGTAGTACTTTTTGGAACCCGCCCAATCACCACACAACGCAATATTGGCGACGATACTTTGATTCTTGAAATGGGAAGCGATGTCACAATCCGTGCTGGGAAAGTCCGCAAAGGCTTCGCCCCAGGTTGACGGGTCGGGACTTCCCGAGGTGACGTCGGATGGGATCTTCGAGCGAGCCCATTGCCACACGCGAATACCAGCGTCACGAAGCTCCATGGCATAGACCTAAAGTATCATTATCAGTACACTGTTTCCAATTTTCCAACTTCTTCGGATTGCAACACCGTTGACGCCGGACGGTTGGGATATCAGTACTTACTCCGCCACCCTTGCTATTGAACTCAGGGCCATAGGTACCCTCTGCTCCTTTCACACCACAACCTGCATTCGAATTCGACTTGTAGTAACAGTCCTTGTCCGCCACTGCGCCGGTCTCTTTCCGCTTGACGCCCATAGAGCATCCCTTGGAGGTATGAAGAGTAGACTGGCTTCCGAATGTGCCAGCGTTCGTTGCCTCCACAACATCAATCTCTCCGTGCTCCGGCCAGTTGCTGGGGTCTGTCAGCCACAAGGCTGGCCAAGTGCCACATCCGTAAGGGGTATGGATGATGTCGAAGATAAAGAGACCATCGGCGTATGTCTTCTTGGACGTGATTCGCACAGATTGACGTCCATTAGCTGCCTCCGAGCCATTGTATTTCGTGTCAACCTTCAGCACGGCAGATGTCTCAGTAGCATATGTCAGGTTCATCCATTGGGATGCAGCCCGGTCGATATATCTAGTCATGGGTCAGTACTTTCACTTGATACATGATGTGTGACCTACTGAACAAATCCGTGGGTTGGGTCAGCGGCTGTGAAGTATTCAAAATCATCAAAGAACGATGATCCCGAGTAGCTGTCTTTCAACGTGTAGTTCAGTTTTGAGTAGTTGGGGTACCGATTGGCTCGCACTCCTAGCACGGAACCGAGAATGATGGCCAAAATCACCGCAACTATCCCAATTGCAACGAGTATCTTCTTCTTTAGGGACCATCCCCGCGGGTCCCATCTGGAGTAACGGTCTTCGTCGTCTTCGCTCCACGATCCAGACACAGGCGGGTACTTATTGGTCTCAGTGGTCTGTGGGGGCTGACTGTGTAGTAGCTGGCTTCCTTGAGACGCCTGGGGCCCATTTTGAGCATAGTATGTGTCCTGCATCTTGGCCGGCGGTCAATTGGTAGGTTGTATATCGCCGTGGCAAGTAACAAGGCAAGAATCACCACCGGGACAAGCGATTGAAAAACACAATGTTGAGTTGAAGATGGACCTCGAGAAAGATTCAGGTGCAGGATGACAGAAAATCAAAAAACACAACAAACTTGATGCTTTGCCAGGCTCTGACGACAGAACCGGAAGGTGGAGGCCACGCGTTGGATAAGTGGAGTGGGGCGATTAGGAAGGGCTGCGTTCACTGCGATCACCACTGTTTATGAATCTTATGAATCTGAGATATGTAAATCGGATTTACTTTCTAACAAACTGCATCCGGTTCAATGGGTCGGACGGTAGAAAGAAATCTGGGCGGATTTTACAAGGAGAGTTGAGCGTAGGGATGACCAAGTCCTTGCCTATGACGAGGACTGCAATATGTGCGTGTAGATCAGCTAAATATAGTAACAGCTGTAGGTACGGAGTACAGCTGCACAGATACACAGTACACAGTACAATAAGATATCGAATATATCTATATTGTACATCAACAGAGTTGTTGCTACACAAAAGGCGTTCATGCTTGAGAACGAGTGTTCGCGTGGTCCAAATGACAGAGGCAATCGAGCAGAAGTTGCCCTGGCAACCACACTATGGATGGAATGCTACTTGCGTAGGACGCAGTGTCGCAGTACACAGTACTGCGTAGGTAGGTACAGATATGGCTGATTAGAAGTGAAGAGATTGCTAATTAGGTTCAAACTTCAACTGTACTGACACTACAATTGAGCCCTCCTACGTACTTAGTCCAGTGTGCGAACCATAACCCGTTGCCCTTCACTTAGAGCTGCGACACTACTTTCTCCTAACGCAGATCAAATGTCCCTTCCTCAGAAAGCACTTCCGACAGATTTGTCATAGGAACGGGGCGGCTGGCCTAATGGTAAGGCGCTTGATTTCGGTTTACAATCTCAAGAGATTGCAGGTTCGATCCCTGCGTCGCTCATTTCTTTTTCTTTTTTGCCACTTCACTTACAGTACGCAGCATCGTAGTCATTGCAGAGGCGCCGGATTATGATTGTAGGGAGACAGTCGCAGCAATAGAGCTGTAGACCAAACTTCGGACACTTCACCTCCTATCCCACCTTCATGTCCGACCTCGCGAGATCTGATCTGCCCATCCGAAGTCGCCATGTGGCTGGCGCCTTGAGCGTATTCCAAAAGAATTCAGCAATCCAATTCGAATATACGGAGTACAACCTGCCCGATTGATGGACTGTGACAGTGGAAGGCGAAGCAATAGTTGACTGACTGATTAAGGAGAAAAATAAAAAAGAATGAGCGACGCAGGGATCGAACCTGCAATCTCTTGAGATTGTAAACCGAAATCAAGCGCCTTACCATTAGGCCAGCCGCCCTATTGATGTGGTAAGCATCTGGCCTTATAAATCAAGAGTCTAATTGTCAGATGCCAACCCATCAACCACACCCGCTATCCTGTTGATACCGACACTTTCCATCAAATCCTAAGGTTATTAGATCCTGTTTGTCATATCTCGTTCTGAATAATGAATATGGCAAGAGCTTGTCAAACTAACGTTATTCTGATTTTGGTCACGCACCTATCAATCTACCTACCTTCATTGTGCTCATCCCAGAGTTCATTGAAGAATCTAGCAGCAAAGCCAAAAGGGTATCATTGCAGATTCACTCACCTGGGACTACCCCCGCCCCCCCCCCCCATAGATGGTTTTCACCGGGCTTTTTCTTATGCGTATAGGTATATCCTTTATTGTTTTTTATGTGGTGTAGTGGGAGAACTGCTCCAATAACCCGATTAACGCCAGCATCGCCGGGCCCCGGCGTCGCGAGCAAAGATGAGATCGTAAATTTACATATCCCGACAATGACAAGACAGCCCACCTCTCTGCAGGTGGCTTCTTGAACCATTTCTCCATATGCTCCCCGTGCGTTCATTCTAGGTCCATGCCGCCATCGCATTTTTCCCTCTTCAATGGTTAACAATTATATACTGCGACTGTAGCAAGATCCCTCAAAACAAGCGCGCCTTTATATAATGCCCGCTATTGAGCCGTATGAACAATGCTCATGCTTCGCACTGCGCGAATAGATTATAGCTTGTGGTAGTTTGTATCCGAATGGGCTCATCGCTGCCTGCTTGCCCGGACTGGCCGGACTCCTGGTGTTTTGACATATATGGGTTAGCAGGCAACGATGCTCCGCAAGAACCGAGTTCTGGGAGGGATTCCTTCATGCATGGGCTAAAGACAACGATGCTGCGCAAGAACCGAGATATGGAATCGTTTGCGCGCGGGTCCAGCACCTCAATCATGAATATATCAAGATATACTTGAATATGTGAATCGAACGGAGTTCGTCCCTCGGCTTCAAGAACATACACCGTTGCCTCATCGTAGCCTAACGGTAACGAGAGCTTCTGGAGTATTTATACTCGAGGCTTGCTCCTTGTCGGAACTTTCTTGTACCGCTTTCACATCTTTCTTCATACCTTGATACCTATCTAAGCTTTATCGGTACCAAGAAGCTCCTTGTGCCATCTCTAAAACTTCCAACCAATCTCAACACACAAAAAATAACAACCTTCCAAATGGCGACCCGATATCGGAAGGGAATGAACCCTAAGGTCCTCGAGGATCACTGGATCCGGTTAAAGATCGAGGACGCCGATACCAAACGCGAGGTCGAACGTTGGATCCGACGGATCCACGACCTGGTTCAGCCGGCTTTCGCGGAGCAGGGGATCCCACCGGACGGGCTGCTCGGGCAAAGCGACGCCCGCAGGCAGCTCAAACAGCGGATGAGGGACGACCTCTGGAAGCTGCCAGTGCTGACCGAACAGCGGGAGGAGGTGATCGTACCAGCGTTGTATGACCTATATCGCGTCTTTCGCGGCGCGTTTTCCCGTGGAGTGAGGGTCGCGATGTCTCGTGAACTGTGCCGGCGCGAGCTCCAATGCCAGCTCCCACCACACCCACCGCCACGGCCCCCGCTCCAGACATGGAAACCCTCACTCCAAGTCCAGGGGAAACGCGCAGCGGAAGAAGTGATACAGGTCATACAAGGCTGGTATGACTTCCTCCTCCCGCTGCTCGGCCAGCACTGGCAGCTTTCAGAGGTCGTCCCTCATGCGCTGTTTCAGCTGCCTGCGGGCGTCGCTTTGCCCGAGCAGCCCGTCCGGTGGGATCCCCTGCTCCGCGAAAGCCGGCTGTACCAGGTTGTGGATCCGTCGGATCCAGCGTTCGACCTCGCGTTTGGTATCGGCGTCCTCGATCTTCAGCCGGATCCAGTGATCCTCGACAGTCTTGGAGTCCATGCCCTTCCGATATCGGTTCGCCATTTGGACGGTTGTTCTTTTTTTTTTTTGTACTGAGATTGGTTGGGAAATTGTGAAGATGGTACAAGGAGCTTCCTGATGCCGATGAAGCTTGGATAGGTATCAAGGTATTAAGAAAGATGTAAAAGGTGAGAAAGGTGAGAAAGGTGAGAAAGGTGAGAAAGGTGAGAAAGGTGAGAAAGGTGAGAAAGGTGAGAAAGGTGAGAAAGGTGAGAAAGGTGAGAAAGGTGAGGGAGGTGAGAAAGGTGAGAAAGGTGAGAAAGGTGAGGGAGGTGAGACAGGTGAGAAAGGTGAGAAAGGTGAGAAAGGTGAGAAAGGTGAGGGAGGTGAGAAAGGTGAGACAGGTGAGAAAGGTGAGAAAGGTGAGGGAGGTGAGACAGGTGAGAAAGGTGAGAAAGGTGAGACAGGTGAGGGAGGTGAGAAAGGTGAGGGAGAAGGCGAGGGAGGTGAGAAAGGCGAGGGAGAAGGCGAGGGAGGTGAGAAAGGCGAGGAAGGTGAGAAAGGTGAGGAAGGTGAGGAAGGTGAGGAAGGTGAGAGGAAGTTCAGAGAAGGGGCAAAGCCTCGAGTATAAATACTCCAGAAGTTCTTGATACCGTTAGGCTACGATGAGGCAACGATGTATGATTGAGGTACTGGACCCACGCACAAACAATGCAGGTGTATTCCTTCCACATCTCGGTGCTTGTGGAGCATCGTTGCTTGCTAAGCTGCTAACCCATATTACATAGGTCGAAACACCAGGGTCCAGGAGTCCGCGGGCCAGTCCGATCAGGCAGCGATGAGCCCATTCGGATACAAAATACCACAACTACAAGCTATAATCTTATTAATCTATCCGTGAATTATTCGCGCGGTGCGGGATAGATATACGGCTCAACAATAGCGGCCATTATACAACTAAGGGCTCGTGGGTTGTTGATGTTCGGGAAGTTCAGAACCTTGGAACCTCAATATTGACGTTGTTCGATGTTTGCTATGATTGGCGGAGATGCCGATAGCGCCCCCCACACCCTACACGCGGTGAGAGTTGGCAGAATTTTGGGTTGAAGGGCCAGTCCTTTGGGATGCATAACATCATTTACCTGTCTCTCTGCATTCATTGAATCCGAATGATATTTTGGGAAATCGTTAGACTGTCTCTGACTCTCTCTGACGGAAGTCATTTCGAGATCATTCGATTCATTCCCAGGGCATTAACCAGTTGTTGCCTATCGTAGCCGGTCGCATCAGCGCCTGATTTCTCCATTTGTCACTGCTGAACTCAGTTAAGCAAGTCCTATACGCCTCGCTCATTCCCTGACATTTGGAGGAGACCGGAGACTCTTGGGTTGGATGTATTGCATCATTGTCCAAGGCTCTACTTAACTCATTATCCCTACATTATGGCTTCACTCAACGCCACCGGTGACAAGTCGTTCATTTGTCCAGGATGCCGGCGTGGTGGCTTCGCAACCCTCGGCGCCGTCAGGGCTCATTTTGCCTCGAAAGGTCACGAGCTCTTGTGTTCCCCATGTGACAGGCACTTTGGCAACATTACAGCTTTCCTCAAGCACTCTCAACAGCATGAAAAGCCCATAGATGGGTCTGATTCCAAGTTTCATGGGCCAGCAATGCAGGCACAGAAGGGCATGAAGCAGCGGAAACTTGGAGATCTTGTCGATTCATTCACCCCCAAACCTGCAGAATCGACCCCAAGAAATCCGAAGCCAAAGAAACTTCGTAACGACAGCTCTACCGCACCGGTTCCGACGACGAGTGAATGGCCCAGCGAGTCTCAGAGTCGCACCGAACTCTTGCCTGCCCCTCTCACCTCTGCGGAACTGGCTCGAAAGAGTAAGAAATCCAAGAAATCTCAGGACCGTCCCGAGGCCATACCTGTGAAGTTCTCGGGCTCGGAGAACGCCGAGGGGGGCGTCAGACTCCCGGTTACCAGGCCCAAGGAACCAATCTCTAAGACCCAGAAGTCTAGGAAATCCCAGGATCGCTCTGAGTCCGTATCTGTCAAACCTGCTCCACCGGCCACAAAGACTATATTCAATGAGAAAGCGATACGTGATTTGTTCGGACGGTCAGAGACTGCCAAGGATGAAGGCAAAACGGATACTGGTCCTAATGCCCTGAATGCGAACTACCATGTTACTTTGGAAACACTTGAACAAGATTTGATCTTCCGTTATCTATCGGCGCGCTGTCATTCAGCCACCCGTCTGGCTACACTAGGCTTCGTCTTCTGGGATGAACGTGCGGGATTCTATAGACGTTCGTCAAAGAAAGTCGGTGATAAGTTCACACATTACCGTCAAGTACCTCGCTCCTCTGACGGCTTGCCAAAAAGAAGAGCAATCGTCATCGACTGCGAGATGGTGAGAATGAATCTTGGCCAGAGGGACATTGCCTTTCTGACTGCGATTGACTTCTTGACTGGAAGCGTGCTTATCAACAACTATGTGAAACCGGACGGGCAAGTCGTCGATTGGGATTCGCGGTACAGCGGGGTGACGCCCTATGCGATGAACAAAGCCGTCAAGGAAGGAACGGCTTTGAAAGGACGGGAGGGGGCGCGCGCCAAATTATGGGAATTCATGGATATCAATACCGTTCTCATTGGTCACTCAATCAACAATGACCTCGATGTGTTGGGTATGGTTCACCCGAACATCGTCGATTCTGCTATCCTTACCAGCGAGGCGGTATTCCACACGGCGCGCGGATATGAAAATCTCACCCGCTCTTGGAGTCTGAAGGCCCTTACAAAACAACTCCTCGACTACGATATTCAAGCGTCGAGCAAGGGCCACTCTGCTCTTGAAGATGCGCGGGCAACACGAGATGTCGTGATCTGGTGCCTGCGATATCCTGAGCACCTGAAGGCTTGGGCAGACAACGCTCGGGAAGAAGTTGAGGCACGCGCGCTTGAGCGCGAGATGAAGCAGGTCACAGTAGATCAGGAAATCGACCCGATAGCGAAGAGGCTTGAGGAGAAGTGGACATCAAGGATGATGTTTTATGAGCCTCCTATGGACATCAACGACAGTGGACCGAGTTGGTATGATTCTAATGCGCTCGGATTTATGCCTTCGGCGCGGGACGAGGTCATTCCTAATGATGAATTGGAACATGAGCTGAGAAGCATTCAAACGGCGGCTACTTCCTTCTTTTGATGCCCATGCACAACTATATAGATAGCTAGTTATCACTACCTGGATATCATTTTAGCAAGGACTATTTAGTCCAGGCTCATCAGCCACATACGCAATAGATGTAACTGTTCAAACTTGATGCGACCAAGATTGGGAACTTAACAAACATCGTTTCGAGTGGTTCAACCAAGAGATCTATGGCCTCAAGACACTATTGTACACAATGACGCTTGTCTTCATCATCACAGTCCGCGTCTCGCCTGCAATATTGAGGGATACATGCCACAGAATCGAGTGGCTCAGCCTAGTATTGAACGTGACGAAACTAGGCTGGAGGCAGGTGTTCAAAGGACTGAGACGCCTTCCATCACTTCTCAACCCATCACGTCCAAGAACAAGCCGAACAACAGCCCCAATATCCACAGACCTATCATTTTCCCCAGCAAAAGCAACAATAGGGATCTTGAGCTGTTTAAATACCTTCTCCAGTCCCAAATTCTGAGCAAAAATATGTCCATCCTTCGGAAGTTTAAAAAAACCAGCCTCACTAGGCTTCACAACAATCTCAACCTCCGACAGCAAAGTCATCTTAATCGAGACAATCCGAACTCTCTGCACAACATCCCTGATAACACCACTCGTCCCATCCCGCTGTGGTATAACACTGACACAAAGCGGAATCGGCGCCGGATTCTCAAGCTGAATAGCAACCGGTACCCACATCACAACCTCAAAGCAATACCCCGGAACCATCGATAATCCAAGTAACTTCTGCGTCTTTTGCGTCAACGTCAAATCAACACCCTGCATCGACGGAAGAAGTCGCTGGCTCCGCACCCGGCTCGTGATACTACATCGCTGCAGCGCGAAGCGGATCTCGTCTGCGTCGACTGTCGGGTGTCCTAGTCTGATAGGAGCTGTTGCGCGCTGGACTCGCCATAATCCTTTGCGCATATACTGCAGCTTCGCTTGGAGATAGTACTCGATGCAGATCTTCGCGCCGGGCCATTCGGTGGCATACGTTGCTGGTAGTGGGTGTCGGGTGCTTGTACCGAGGGGTAAGAAGCTCTCAGTTTGTGCGTGATTTCCGAGTAGCCAGTGTGGAGTTGTACGGGGGATCTTCAAGGAGAAGGGGATGTTGATCCAGTCGGTTGGGACGCTTGGCTCGGGGATGTGGATTGGTCCACGCAGTAGGACTTGTCGTGGTGGCTTGAAGAGATCCCAGTCGCCGTAGTAGGTGGATTTGTGTGGGTAGCCGTCGGATATCAAACGGGCTTTTGCGTGGCCTATCAGCACTAGTGTGATTTTGGCGTCAGGGGCCACGAGGTGTGAGCTGCGGTTCACGCTGCCGATTATTGTGTCCCCGGCGAGATAGGTCCATGCTGGGGGCGCGGCGATGGATATGTTGAGATTAGGGGCCCCGGTTACCACCGTTGGATGCATTTTCGCATGATGTAGAGGGGAGTTGAGTGCTTCGAACGGTCTTTGTGTGAGGTTGCCGAGTCAAAGAAATCGAGTTTCTTACATAACTCGGGCGTGTCGACAGGGGTTTGTGAAGTCTGTAGCTTGGGGTATTGTAGTAGAAGTTGAGTACTTGGGATGGTAGAAGGTCTGAATTTCAATGAGGGGGCTCTATGGTGAGACAGCTATGTGGGTTATGCAGTTACTAGTTGGTAGTCGATTGAGTCAGGCACCTTGGAAGGCAGGTGCATATCCGCGGGTCAGATACATGACGCACAGATACTCGTGCACAAGTATCTAAAAAGATTGCTTCAATAAAATGGAGCAACAATAAAATTCTTAATGAACGAATCCCCGCGTGGCCAGGTCGTCAAATCGACTTGCCCACACTGTGGCTCCAATTGCAATGTCAGCAAGGTGAAATCGAACCACGCAGTCTGGAGTGGGACGACGCGACCGCAAAGTACCTCCGTATAAGTTCCTTAGACCACTCGGTCCACTCGAATCTGGATGACCTGGTCCAAGCTTTCTGGAACAAAATCAAAGCTCTGCAGCCTCTGCTACCATTATTTGAAGCCTCGCACCTGCTGTGTACATCGACGGAGTTATCAGTGGGTCTACCATGTCACGTATGCTGATCTCATTGGTTTTCACTTGCATCAAGGTATGCGCTAGTCTTTATCCGGCAGATTAGCCAGATTAGCCAGATAAGCTTAATGACAACCGGCCCGCAACTTAACCCCGGACTTCTAAGATTCCGGGTAGCTCTGACATTTCCGGCGATTGAGGATCGAATGCTACATAACTATGCAGTGTTTATCTAAAGTCAAAAACATTAAACGGGGTATCAAATTCGCACGAGAGCAGCGTTTACATACAACCTCTTTTCGCAGATAGGTTTCATACATACAAGTACAGTTCCCAGGCAGCCTGATGATCTGATGATCCCACAAGCCAACCAAAGAATATGCGACCTAAAGTCATCAAGTCCGGCAGCGAAATCATCGATCTGGCCCTTACAATCTGCAGAACAGAACAAGAAGATTACACGAGGAAGTTTTTCGAAAGGCGATTGTGCGCCCGCCCAGACACCGTGTAAAAAGCAAAAGCCGATCCCAGACGCCGTGTGCATGGACAATGCAGGATGTTTATAGCAATAGCCGCCAGGAACGGAGGTAATATCGGCATGTGAGGGGGTAAAGTAATAATAGTAAAAGGGGGTCGTTTCACGTATTCACGGTGCAGGTCCTGCACCGAGAGGGGAGGGTATCATGAGGTGGGTGAGGCAAAGGGTGTGCAGCTCTTGTTCGAGCGGATGATCAATGCATCACGCAAGAACCTGCACGTTACTCTCCAGGCATTAGGACGGGTTGTTATGACTTCCGAGCTTTGCAGAGCCATGACCGCCACCATTTGCAGACTCCGAGGACGGCGGTGCGGCCATCGTCTTTGCGCTCGGTGCCATCCGGGTTACCGAGGATCATGGAGAAGATCCAGAAGAAGGCGGCTGTCCATGCGAAGAGAAGGATCACAATGCTGGCGAGAGGTGAAAGCAGCAGGACAGAAATTGAGGCGAGGACTGAGTAGGCCTCACTAGGCTCAGATATTACTGATGGCTGGTCGGAATCTGGTTCTGAGCGAATCCACTGGGTCGAAGATGACCGTTCCTCCGCCGAGGGCGGCACCAAGCAAACGAGTCGTTCGTGGATGTGGAGGACGGGAGATAGGAGATCGCAGAGCTGCGATACGAATGGCGTTGAACGTAGGTATTGGGAGAAGGAGCAGAGGCGGAGAGGTGAGACGAAGATGGCGAAGAGGAGAGCGAATATGGTATATAGAGCGGCGCCGAGTGAGTATAATGGAACGATCGTGAGACGGAACTGTCAGGTAACTGTCAGTACATAACAACGTACACCTCTGTATGTAATGTGTACTTACCAGCATCAAGAGCGCATCATGGCCGTCGTGCGTGATTATTCCGTCATCGGGTATGGGCCGTTTCCGGACCCGGATTATGCTGGGGTTGGAATGCTCCCCGGTCACTAGTGACGGCCGGTCTGCCCAGCTGCTTCTGGTCCGCTCTTCCTTTGGAGCACCGCTTGATGTCGAGCCGGAGGCCGGAATGGTGTTAACCTCTCTAGGTTCTAACCCCGGCCAAGAGGATCCTCCTAGCGTCTGGTTATGGTGTACACGGTTTGCTCGTGAGCTGGAGTTGCTGGGCCGGGTGCTGTGGTTCGATAAAGGAGATACAGGGCGAGACCCGTCTACCGCGTGCCCCAGCACGGATTGTTCTTGGGATCGACGGGCGGCCGGAGGAGGGGTGACGATCGAGCTGCGAGGATGTGTCGTTCCCAGTGAACCCTGACCTTGATAATAGGCAGGGCTATACGACATCTCCGGTGACGGCATGGCCGGCAAGGTATGAAAGGCAGAAATGAAGACAAAGTCGTACAAGGTAGACGCACAGAGGGCGACTATTGTATCTGGAAATCACCGCATGGTTTCAGTAGTCCTTTTGGTATAGTGGACTTTCAGTAGACAAATCGGAGAGGGAAGGGGGCGGGCAGGATGGGCGGAGGAGAGACTTATAAAAGACCACGGAGAGCCGCAGCTTGAAAGAGAGGAAGAGCCAGGAAAGCCCAGGAAATTCCGGCCCAGACAGCGGAGGAGCAATTCCTGCTGTTTGCAATCCCTCTCGCCAAGACGCCCAGATGCCGAGACCTTGGCATTGAGTCGACTTGTATGGGGTACGAGAATCATTGGACATCTTGCGGATTCTTTGTATTTCACATCTTCACAGTCATCTAAAGCGTATTCAATGACAGGGTTGTTTTGCGTTGGACAAGATGTGAAGTTGTCCTACAATGAAACGAGAATGATAAGGGCATGGGAGGTCAAAGGGGCAAAGCCATTACGAGATTTTTACCGTCCGCCAAGTTGCCAAGCAGCCGTCGGCAGTCATAAGTTGACAAAGCTCGGCCTCTTATTGGTTGACTGCGCGGCGATGATCCGCGCAGACGACGAAGCCTGGAGTCTTGGCGGTAACATCTATACACACGTGATGATCTGTATTGCATCCCTGGGACCCTGTTATCCACTCTATACAAATTGACACCCCATGGTTACCGGGGTAAAGTTGATATCTTTGGGTTTGATGAGACTCATAAGGCTGAATATCACAGTTACACAGAATCTCGTACTACAATCTATCGGGGCGCTTGGATCAAATCAGGGGGAGAGGTCAGCAACACACTCCAAGTACCCCAAGGACAGAGGACCGACGCCCAGACGCCGAGAGGTTGGCGAGTGTTGGCATTTGTCTGACTTTGGAGAAATCACTTTGACCCAAATCTGCTTTGTCGAAAAGCCCTTTCACCTATACTTTTCCACACATTGTCATGGGGTCGCATGCTCCAAGGTTAGCATCAAAATACAGATAACTGAAAATAGGGCCATTGACAGCTAGATCTTCCACTGCCTATTATTGCCCAGCCTGAAACCAGACCCTGACACCAGAAGGGTCTTGGAAACTCTTGGCCTTCTGCTCCTTTCATTCCGCTCTCCCGCCTAGACGAACCCAGCCGTACCGGCGAATCAGCACCCTGGCTGTCGGCTTCAGATCCCGAGGTTTCCTCTCCTTCGACAGAGCTCATATCTTGGCTCGTCAATTTTTCTCGTCTGGATCCCTGGGCACTTTACATAAAGCCCGTATCCTCTGCTTGGCTGAGCGGTCAGGAGCGACTGATTGCGTGTCCTATGCTCGGCAACCTCAGTCACAGTGAGGCCTTTCACTCAGAAATGAAATGCAGTGTCTACCCCTTGGTGATTGTTACCTGGACTTCCGCGAGTCAACCCGACTTTCATATGATTCTCCTCGGTCTGAGCCTGTGATCCGACCAGCACAACTCTCCTCTGCCAAGCATGATATGACAGGTAGCGGTTGTCGGTAGTAGATCAATCATATCCCCAGAATTTCGGCGCTATTTAAGCAAGCCGCGCAACAATGGAGGAGCGGTCGTGGTCTGTTCGCGCTGTCGGCAATTCGGCATCTTATCACAATTGAGGAATTGCAGTCATCGACGTTTCTACTATGTTGTATTGCTCGAACATCGCTTTCCGATCGACAGTGTTCCAAGTTGTCATCTTGAGGGCATTTTAGGATTTACCTCATTCTTTGGAAGTTTGTCTGGTGAATCACCTACGGGGACATGGATCGCATGCACCATATGTCAGCGATTCGAGACTCCTTTGAGTGCTCGCGAATTGCAGCGACACCCGGTACATTATCCGTCCAACGCCTTATTTAAGGGTCAGGTGAGGCGCTGAGGTCCCAGCTCTTACTCCAACAATGTTGTATTCTCTTTGCCAGGCATCGGCCAGCTCTCAGTACAATCACGCCGATCCTACGGTGATACGGTAATCCCGCAACTCATGCGTGCAATTCTGGCCAGGGCTTCCATCGCATTATATCCCAGCCGCACCTCGGTCACGTCTATGAATTTCCCGGCAGCGCTGTCGCATTGCGCGTTGAATCGAAATTCCGAAATAGAGAAACCCAGTCGCATACCAATGAGGCTGCCGATGTCACATGTGCAACCTCCAATGCCAGTCTTCTAGATTTCCATAATCTCGACACCCATAGACTTCGAGAGACTGCGGGAGTTTGTGCACACCTATGCTCGCGATGTAGCCTATTATGAGCCAACGCAGTTCATTGTTAATACTAGCCGACTATTCCTTGGCTTATGGTAAATAAGGATGCAAAATAGTCCTATGTGTAGACTATTGAGACATCTGACCATGCTATGTGATGTCCCTAGTCTTCCATGGAACATGTGATCTGCTGTGTTAGTAGGTATGGACTTGGATGCCCGTGTAGATGGAGTATTGGGGCATGGTCTGCAACACAAAGCGGAAAATATAAGTACTTCGCTACCTAGGCAAACGGGTTGGAGACAGCTCCAATAATAACATTGAGTCGCTTGGAAGTATGTCGACTTGAATTAATCAATTTCTACGTCTTAGGGACCACCTCAATACTTATAGGCCTTGGAGACTGGATATTACCACGAACGGGTAGCCTCATTTGTGGCTGAGGGAGGCTAGCCACGATTGAGATGTGATGGACGCAATTCAAAAGCCAACCAACTAGCGGACTCAGCCGCAGGACTAACTGCTTGGTATTATTGGCTTGTCGGTACCTGAAAGAATCTGCATCGAAGGCTTGAGCCCACCTGGGGTAACCCATGCAGCCATGAGACCGTGAGATAACCCCGATCCTCCTGATAGCAGAACCACATCATTCATGCACTGGCTAATGATACACATCAAACATACAACACCTTTGGATAGTCATCAGTATCTTTCTAGACTACCCCTTCGTGTTCCATAACACACAAGTGACAAGAGGCAACACAGACATGTCACCCAACAGAAAAAGTACCTGGCACAAGAAGCACCTGTGAACCCCCCACGTCCTTGAACCACGCATCTGCATGATAACGCCCAGTTTGAAATTGCGCATCCTCAGGCCAATCTCCCCACGATCCGAAGATATCTTATCAGTGATCGGGGCCAGAAAGTTGATGTGTCTATTCTGGTATTTTTTATTTATTTTTTGGTCTCGAGGTCGCACAAATCGGCAATCTGTCTTTCAACTGGACCGGTCTGTGATTCCTGCACTTTGCACTATCAAGTCTTGGCAAGACTTGATTTTGAAACTTCATGTTTTGTTTATTTGCTTCTAATTTACTTTTTACATCCTACTTCCCATTCCATGATTCCCATCTTATTTGACTACAATATACAGGGCGTTGGGGACCATGCTTCTTATATTGGGCGAATTGAAACGACATGGTGCCGACGGCACAGACGGGAAGAAGTCAATTTGACTTGAAAGTGGCTTTGTCTGATGACTTTCCCCCCCCCGCTGGCTAATTCGGAAGCGCTATGGGTGAATCAGGTGATTTCAACCAATGCAAATCGCAGTGATAAGTCTAGCCTCATTTATCCTGCAACATCCATCAACCCCCTGCCTCGATTCTAACTCTGGATCACGTCGCACGGTCATACCCACCGCAACGGAGCATGGCGTCTGCAAAATCCCGTCGCAGGGGGTTTGTGTGTGTGTGTGGTCCTTAGGTTATGTAAGTGTTCATTTATCCCGGGATCCGCGAGGATAAATAATGGGCGCCCGACCCGTCTCCACAGTAAACACAGATGGACCGCAGTTGCAGGAGCATGCGCGCGGCTGATCTGTCTCTGGCCGGAATATTGCCGTGACTCCCGGGAGATGCTTTTTACCCTGACAAGCTTCCGAGATTTGCAGTTGCAGCCTCCGATGCAGGTTTGTTATTTGTTTTGGTACTTACGCATAAAGGCTCGGCGAGAACCCCGTCCCCGACTAAGACACAACAGGGATATGTACTAGAAGGACAATGAACGGACAACGACACACAGAAATGCTAAAGAACAGGATATCGTGTCAGCAAGCGCTGCTCGAGAGTCACAGGGGTTTGACTCGGTCGGCAAATTAAAATAAACCCCAGCGGCTGTGTAACCCATGTTTGACGGAGATCGTGCTCCGTCTGGGAACCATCGTACTAGATATAAGATATCAGTGTCGGAAACCTAGGCTGATGGGGCAAAAATGAGAATCATGAGAACATCCCCGTTTCACGAGAGCCTCTCAACGGTACGGAGTAGAAACGGTGGCTCGGCTAACCAAACCCTGTTGGAAATTGAGGCGTCCACCCACGCCAAGTGGAGACCTTCAGAACTGCAACTGCACGGAGTATTGTGTACTGTGTACTGTTAAGAAAAGGCACAGCGTATGAACAGAGTATGAGGTAGTAGTAGTGTCTAGGTAGTTACAGCAAAAATCCAAGGATGCTGCAGGTTGACAGGTTCTCTGACGACATGGTTACATATGATCATATACTCAATTAAAAGGGAAGTCCGTTGCTTGTACTGTGTATTCGGAGAAGAAGGGGGAACATGGCGAAAAGTCGGAATCCCAGAGAGTGTTGTCACATCCGGGAGTCTCCACAGGGAATGTGCATCAAGCTCATCGCATCCACAGCAAGTATGCATCAGCCACGAGCACAGGGCTAATTTTTCCTGTGGCTGAGGGGAAAAGAAAATTGAATTTTTAACTGCGGAGCAAAGGCTTAGCCACTTCCAGTAAGACTAAAAGCGGGACGAAATGACGGAAGGGGCGAAATGCACTAGGGGGTCAATCTTGTCTCCGTATGGGTATGTGATATGCAAGTCCAAGGAGCCCTGCATGATCCGTTGACGTTTAGAATCAAAGACACAAGGGGGCGATGTAAGCTACCTGGATTGTACAATCGATGGACATCAACTGATCTATGTAGTCCGGGGAAAACTAATGGAAAATTATAAAACCGGAGAGGCCACACAGGGTCACTCGACAGCTGCATGCACGCTTCCGGGTTTGGTCTGTCTGTGTTGGTCTTGCAGGCTATTGACGTATACTACTTATGTTGTTAGCCTTGGGAGACATTATTGGACAAATAACGACAATATCATGGACGACATGGAGACCATTGGTAGAGGATTCCAGGTTATCATTCGACGGAGGATTAAGTGGTGTGGATACGGAGACTACGGAGGACTAAAATGCTGGGCAAAAGGGGTGTGGTCAGACAGGGATCTAGTTGTAGGGGCTTACCGAGAAGGCCCAATGCCGCTGCACGGTCCTGTGGCACGGAGAACAGTCGCACTAGCGTACCTTAGGAGCCCGGCTAAGGTTAGAGGCAACCACGGGGGAGTCCACCCCCGAGGACCCACTATGGGGCGCCATTCGGCGTCAATTACCGGGGTTTCGTGTTCGTGTATGAGAATAGAACATTGGGTATTGTATTTTATCATGAGGGAATAGTCAATAGAGGCTATATACGCAGTGGGGAATAAATATCGAAGATTGAGTACGGAATATATATTCTCAAATGCCTATAATTCTGATTTTATTCATGAAATCATAAAGTGGATCCTAAACGTCGTTGATGGAATGGATCCGATGGAGTTGGAAAATGGAAAAGCGAAAAAAATGGGAAGGAAAAGCAAAGAGAAACCTGAATAAAAAATAATAAAAATAAAAATAAAACGAGCATAACCGCCTCCAGATCTTTCTCCACAGCGCTAAGCCATTCCTGACCGTCAGCTGCTATTAGATAATCAGCTGTGACGGCCGGGAGCTACGCAACCACTAGCGTCTCTTGGCGGATTTCACCTTTCCTGCCAGCCCCTCGACTCTTTCCTCTCATCTTCCCCCTTAGGCTTCCGATCACCCTCAATCTGAACCTCCCTTTTCCCCACTGTTTCGTCGTGTATCTTTGCCTCTTCCTTTTACATCTTCATTCTATCCTATTTCCTCTGCGCATCCAGCTCTACCTAGCTGGGACCTCGCCCGATTGCCCCCGAGATTGTGTCACTGCCCATCTCGCGCCACTCATTACCTCCGGAAAGCGCCAAAGTCTTGTTGAGCTTAGAAAGTCGACCAGCTAGCTTCACTACTGGATAGTGCTGCCTGAAGGACTTCCATCTATCTCGCGATCATTCCGTTTTTCCTGTCGCCTCAAGTCGACCGAAAATTGCGCCTCCGGATTGGACTGCTCTAGCTCACCATCTCAGAGTGAACTCCATTGGCTTTTCGTAGTGGTGCAACATTTGATTGCACCGCCGTGTCGCAAGCCCTTCCGAGAGTTCGGTCGCGACACACTCCAGCCCGACCCACAACCACGACATCCGTGAAGAATGTCTCACACTCAACCTTCACCTACTGCGGGTGTCGCTCCACATCATGCGGCAGCGCATCTGGCAGCGCATGCGCAGGCGCAGGCCAATGGCCATATGCCGGCAATTCCTGTACAAGGTCAGAAGGGGGTTCCAGCGCCTACCACCGCGCAAAAGATCGCACAACTCAATGAGCAAGTCTGGCTTCAAATAGGTATGTATTCGGATTGTTGTAATAAGCTAGCGAATGCTGACAGTTCTGCTTGTAGGAACCTTGACTGAATTGATGGGCGATCTGGACGGTGCGATGAATGCCTATGAGCAAGCCCTGCGTCACAACCAGTGGTCTGTCCCAGCCATGAACGCCATTTCATGCATCCTACGGACCAAGGAGCAGTTTCCCAAAGCGATTGAGTGCCTGCAAAACATCTTGAAGCTAGATCCGAGCAATGGAGAGACCTGGGGAAGCTTGGGCCACTGCCACCTTATGATGGATAACCTGCAAGATGCATACACATCTTACCAGCAAGCTCTCTATCACCTGCGCGACCCTAAGGTAAGCGGAACTTTGCTCAACACCAACTGTAGACCAATTGCTGACACTGGTTTTTCATCTAGGAACCCAAGCTGTGGTATGGCATCGGTATACTGTATGATCGTTATGGTTCTCTGGATCATGCGGAAGAGGCCTTCTCGCAAGTTATGCGCATGGCGCCTGATTTTGAGAAGGCCAATGAGATCTACTTCCGTCTGGGAATCATATATAAGCAACAGCAAAAGTTCAACCAGAGTTTAGAGGTATGTGACCACTTGGACCAGGCATTGAGCTGTACTAATTGCCTGCAGTGTTTCAAATACATTGTTAGCGATCCTCCACGTCCTCTGACCGAAGAAGATATCTGGTTCCAGATTGGCCACGTTCACGAGCAACAGAAAGACGTAAGTGATGTGTGCTCCTCGCGCTTCGCCTTTACTTTGTACTCACAATAGCCTCAGTTTGAGTCAGCTCAATCCGCCTATCAGCGTGTCCTTGAGCGGGATCCGAACCACGCCAAGGTTCTCCAGCAACTTGGTTGGCTCTACCACCAGCAGAGCAATGCCTTCCAAAGCCAGGAGAAAGCCATCCAGTTCCTGGAGAAGTCTGTCAGCGCTGGTAAGTAACAACTCATGCCAGAAATTGAATTTTTTTCATTGAAACTAACCCATTATTTCTTCAGATAACAATGACGCTCAAAGCTGGTACCTCCTCGGTCGTTGCTACATGTCCATGGCGAAATACCCTAAGGCGTATGAAGCCTACCAGCAGGCAGTGTACCGCGATGGTCGCAACCCTACTTTCTGGTGCTCCATCGGTGTTCTCTACTACCAGATCAACCAGTACCGCGATGCCCTTGATGCCTACTCTCGCGCAATCCGTCTCAACCCGTACATTTCCGAGGTTTGGTACGACCTGGGCACCCTGTACGAATCCTGTAACAACCAGATTGCCGATGCCCTAGATGCCTACGGACGCGCCGCAGATCTTGACCCCAGCAATGTTCATATCAAGGCTCGTCTGCAGCTGCTTCAGAGCCAACTATCCTCTGGCACTGCTGGACAACAGCAGCCCACCGCTCCTGCTCCTCAGCCGCAGGATGTTCACCCCCAGGCTTATCAGGCACCAGGCGTTGGCGCACCTCCCGCTCCTCAGTGGGGTGCCCCTGCCGCCATTGGGCCTCCACAAGCCCCTGCTCCTCCTAGGCAGATTCCTGACTGGAACCGTGGTATCAACGAGCTTCAATCTCAGGGCCAAGCTCCAGCAGCCAACGGTATGGACCAACGAGATGCTCGGATTCCTGGTGCTCCCGCCCAGAGTCCTCGACAGGAGCCCGGCCGCGCCTTCCCCGATCCCCGAGGCCCCCCTCGCTCGCCGAAGATGGGTGATCCCAATGCTTACCCTCCCCAACACACCCTGCCCCAGCTCGGAAATGCTCCTGGTCAAGGTCATGAACGCGCTCCTAGCGGCGGTAATGCCTTTGGTGCCCCACGCACTGGTCTGCCTGCTGGACTATCCGCCGCCCCCCCTGGGCCCCCGGGACCTCCTGGGCCTAATGGTGGTGCTCCTCCCCCGCCGCCCTACCAGAACCGGCCCTTCAGCCCTCCTCCTGAGATTCGTCCGATTCGCGATGAGCGGCCCTCGTCGCCGGGCTCAGGTTACCCTCTCCAACAGTTCCACCCGGGTCCGACCCTTCCCCCACAAGTCCCAGGTGGTAACTCCATTGCCTCTGGTGCTCCTGCTCCACCTTCGGCTGCTACTGCTGCTGAGGCTGCCGCCCGTGATCGCGAAGATCGCCCTGCATCTGCAATGAAGCGCGGCCGCGAATGGGAGGCTGACACTCCGCTCAAGAAGCTTGCAAGCGACGAGAGCCGCGCCCGTCTGGATGATCAAAATGCCCGCCGCCCGAGTCCACCCGCACGCATGCCCTCTCCTCGTCAAATGCAACGACGAAGTTCGTCAGAGGCACGTCGCGAGGATGTCCGTCGTGCCAATGAGAACTACCACCCCTCAGAGGCTGCCCACCACCCTCCTACACTACCTTCAATCCAAGACATGCCTCCCCGAGCTTCCACTGGTTCCAGCCTTCCCCCAATGACTGAGCCCTCTGGTCCCGCATCGAACGCTCCTCCTTCAGGACCTCCTTCAGCCAACACCCCGGTTAAGGAAGAAGCACCCCGCCCGGAGGCCCCCCTGCACATGAGCCTCCTGCTCGCAAGATGGATGTTGATGAAGATTACGACGATGAGGTTGAAGAAGAGAAAAAGGCAGCTGCTTCCAAGGGGAGCCCAAATGGCAGCACGGCAGGCAATCCCACGAATGGTGCCAGCAATGCCCGAGCTGGTACACCTTCCAAGACCGAATCCACGGCCTAAGGAGTCCTGCTTGATCGAGACCAGACTTCTATGACCTGGTTCAAATTGACGACCTTCAATCCCCACACTCTCTTTCTCCTCTCTGTCCTTCCTATCTTCCAGTATGTGATGTACGGTATGAATGTGCGAGCGACAATGACTGCCTGGTTTCAAGCGCATGCGCTGATGCTTGTCTTTTGTGTTCGTTACCTTTTTCATTTATGATTTCTTAGTTTCCTTTCACTGTGAATCTTTATGTGCCTTAGGCATCTTCAAAGCAAATTTTTTTTTCATGCACTTTAGAATTTAGTAGAGTAAGCTCATAACATGTCCTTATTTTATCCAGTTGTGTTTGCATCTTGGCTCCAAGGTAAATTTCATTTTAGCCCACATGGATGTGTGGAGGTGCTTCGAGCTAGTTCGTACATGCGTAGTGCCGGCTGTTTGGCTTGGCAGCGACGCAGACCCATAAAAGTTATTTTCATCACGTGATCTCACCAGGGCTGGATTAGATAATTTAGGTTATTGTGGGGTGCCTGAGGCCAAAGACCCGCCAAGAGTCTCGCTTAGGTTAGCCCACACACCAAGCCTGCAAAATCAACTTCGACATTTCCAGATCGTCACTCCCACCACGCCGACTAACGACAACAGGGTCAAGATGTGAGTTGGCCTCCATGAAGCATCCAATATAAAATCTCTATGGAATACAATTGCTGACCTAGTTTCGCTTTTCAGGAGTCACCGGAAGTACGAAGCGCCTCGTCACGGTTCGTGAACCTTTTTGTCTCGATATCGAAATTTCGAAATTCGACCTCCTGTGTGTGTGCAATATACTGATTTCAATTCCAGGCTCCCTTGCCTACCTCCCGCGCAAGCGCGCTGCCCGTCACCGTGGAAAGGTCAAGAGGTCAGTACTATCGAAATCGAGTTTGGATTGATCTGTGGAAATTTTGTGCTGAGACTTGCGACAGCTTCCCCAAGGATGACCCCAAGAAGCCCGTCCACCTTACTGCCTCCATGGGCTACAAGGCTGGTATGACCACCGTTGTCCGTGATCTTGACCGTCCCGGTGCCAAGATGCACAAGAAGGAGATTGTCGAGGCCGTTACCGTCATCGAGACCCCTCCTGTAGGTCTTTCCTGTTGTGTGCGAAAAAAACACACCGAAGAACAACAAAACTAACAATAATCTCCTTCCCAGCTCGTTGCCGTCGGTGTCGTTGGTTACATCGAGACTCCCCGTGGTCTCCGCTCTCTCACCACCGTCTGGGCTGAGCACCTGAGCGACGAGGTCAAGCGTCGCTTCTACAAGAACTGGTACAAGTCCAAGAAGAAGGCCTTCACCAAGTACGCCAAGTCTCACGCCGAGTCTTCCGGTGCCTCTATCACCCGCGAGCTCGAGCGCATCCAGAAGTACTGCACCGTCGTCCGTGTGCTCGCCCACACCCAGATCCGCCAGACTCCCATCAAGCAGAAGAAGGCCCACCTTATGGAGATCCAGGTCAACGGTGGCTCCGTCGCCGACAAGGTCGACTTCGCCCGCAACCTCTTCGAGAAGACCATTGAGATCGACTCTATCTTCGAGAAGGACGAGATGATTGATGTCATCGCCGTCACCAAGGGTCACGGTTTCTCCGGTGTCACCTCCCGTTGGGGTACCACCAAGCTGCCCCGCAAGACTCACAAGGGTCTGCGTAAGGTCGCCTGTATTGGTGCCTGGCACCCTAACCACGTCCAGTGGACCGTTGCCCGTGCCGGTCAGGACGGTTACCACCACCGTACCTCTTGCAACCACAAGGTCTTCCGCATTGGAAAGGGTAGCGATGAGGGTAACGCCTCCACCGAGTTCGACATTGCCAAGAAGCAGATCACCCCGTATGTTCCTCTCCGATTCTTTTTTACAGTGTGTCTCAATTCTAACTTTGAAACAGTATGGGTGGTTTCGTCCACTACGGTGAGGTCAAGAACGACTTCGTCATGGTCAAGGGCTCCGTTCCCGGTGTTAAGAAGCGCGTCATGACTCTGCGCAAGACTCTGTACCCCCAGACCAGCCGCAGGGCCACCGAGAAGGTCGAGCTCAAGTGGATCGATACCTCCTCCAAGTTCGGTCACGGTGCTTTCCAGACCTTCGAGGAGAAGAAGGCCTTCGTGGGTACCCTCAAGAAGGACCTTGTCGAGACTGTTTAAGATGTTTAAGCCTATGGTTGGCGGTAGTGCGACGTTTCATATTCAATAAAAAGCGAATATCCTTCACGATTTGCATGTAGCTGTACAATAATGTGTAATATGTACTTGTGTAGATCTACAGCGGCATACGATTTATATCATGTCTGAGGTGCTGGTCGGAATAAACGGTGCTGATTTCTGTTCGACTGCCCGGAGTCTTAAGGTAGGTTGCGATATATATTTTGTCCAGGCGTCTTTCACGGGCTTCCGAGACCTAGATTCGTTCCATCCAATTCCATGTCTCTCCCCTAGGTATTTACTGTTCCTGCATATATCTCTGGAATACCTAGAGCTCGATTCAATTCGCAAACTATTTCATTCAACCTGAAACTGCCAATTCATAACCCGACAAAGTGGTGAAAATGCGCTCTAAGATCCATTGCGTCATCCGACACTTTTCCCTGACTTCAGCCAGAAGCCACGCTTTGCCCACCTCCTACACCATACGAACAAGACCTCAAATTCAACATCTCCAAGCAGATTTCAATAACCTACGCCATCTATCGAGCCAAACTACCCCAACAACCTTCGCAAACACCCAGCACCCAACTCACCACTTCCCCGCAACCACAACAAGACCACAAGCTCACATCTGCTCTACCCCCCATATCCATCCCTTTTCAACCTCAATCCGCACCATGGCCTCGGACGAAGCCTACATGTCCTTCCTGGACAAAGCCAACGAAACCACAAGTGACAGCAAAAATCAGCAAGGGAGCGGGACCATCAAAACCGAGACCGTGCACAGCTCCCTGTCCGTGCCGAAACCTCTGAAATCCGTCGACACCTACTACATTTCCGACACAGATGAGCCCTTCGAGCCCGTTGCGCTGAAGTGGGATGGAGCCGCAAAGGGAGCGTGGCCTAGTGCCGGTATGTCCTGTCATCCCATTTACCCGGTCCCTTCATATTCCCCGAGCTCCTTGCCCTGAAATATACCACTAAAAAGTACCTCGGGACCTGTCCGCTAACCAAAACACCCCTTCTTCTACGCAGGCCAACTTTCCTCCCTGATATCCCCAGACACAGACCTATCCCAGTCCATCTCCATTCTATCCCCCGACTCCTTCGACCCGAAGAACCAGTACTCCGCCGCCCTGGATGCGGTGCGCGCTGCCGCTGTTGAGAAGGATTCCGGTGCCGAGCAGTCTGCTGTTGAGTTGAAGGTCTACCGCGTCGAGCAGACTAGTACGAAGATTGAGTATTGGGTTCTGGCGCTGCATGCGCCTGAGAGTCGACTTGTGGGTTTGCGCGCTAAGGCTGTGGAGTCTTAAGCGTAAGGCTGTATGGATGTGGTTCAAGGAGGGAGGGTTCTTGGAGTTTGTACGGGACATGATTTGCATACTTATGTGTCACTCGGTGTGTAGCTGTTTAGGTATTCTGCTGAAAGATACGATATCCTATGGAGTGATGTATCTATCCTGCGTGTACTGGAATAGGATGGTAGACGGGCCTTTCAGGTGTGCAAGAAGTCCGTGATCTCCACTTAGGATGGCCATTGCCTTGGTCTTCTTGGTATGGAATTGATAACCGGGGCTTCATCTAATTGCAATCTGTAATTCAAAAGTGGTCTTGACAGCTGTCTTCCGAGATGTGAGGGTTGGCGCATTCTCAGGGCGTGAGGGTTGGGTTTAGCAGGACGCGTGTCAACGGCCGTGCAAGACATATTGAGTTGATAATCTTGGAAGAAATGGGACTAGTAATGACTTGTTTATTTTGTCAGTAGACATACTAGACAAAGTGTGTATTTAGTATTATAACGTAGACTGGATAAGATAGGTGTTGCGGATGTAAAGATGTTTCCATGTAGGGCTGTTTTGTCTCTTTTGTCTCTTTTGTCTCTTTTGTCTCTTTTGTCTCATCTTTGAGGTCCCCGCGGTTTCGTACTTGGCTTCAACAAACACCCCGGCTTCATACTCTGTACATGCGAAACAGCTACAAATCAGCTGTCTCTGCTAATTATGGCTCTCAAAGTTCAACACTATGCAGATCTCAGGATTCCCGCCAGCATTCATGCCTGGCCATTCCTCGTGCGTCTGGGGGGCAACGGGAATGCCGCACCCTAGAGCCCTATACAGGGCCGGTCAGGATGAGCTTCCAAACCACCAGTCTATCTTGATCAAGATGAATACCTAGCACAATGAACAGTTGGCCAACAAAAACCGAGCTGAGTTCAACACGTTATTAATCTCATTTGCAGATGAAGCCAAACCTCCGAGAGAGCGAAAGAGGTATAGACATACCATTGGTTGCCCCCTTGGCGCCTGTCATTCCGGTCTCCTCATGACCCCAAACAACATTGACTCCTGGGAGAATCTAGGCACTTCTTTTCTTCTGCTGGTTTGGCCTTCTCTCTCCATTTAGACTCTGTTTGTCTCTATACCGTGTCGCCGAGGCACATTGGATGCAACCCGATCAGTCCTGTCCGTTCTTTCGCTGAACAATCGCACTCTTCGACTGTGCAGGTTACCAACACATCTTTCCAGTCATTACCGCTAGATATATAGTGAAAAGTGAGGCGTGATCGATCAGAAGGAAGAAGAACCGAAACATCAGTCGCCGTCGCCATCGCCATCGATCTCCACAGATTACACCAGTTGATGCCTAAGGGCTTCTCTTGCCGCAGCAATGGACGATAGAAATCAACATTCACCCATTTCCGCCACCACGGAGCAAAGAACGGTGTCGGATTCCTCAACCAGAGAGTTGACATTTGGCGATCAGATATCGGAACACGGCTCTGATACTTCGGAGACGAAGGCAGTCCCTCCTCACATCCGACTGAACTCGGGACGACAGGATCCCTTCGGCGAGACAAATGAAGGCTATGCACCTCTCAAGTCGCGGACGTTCCCCCGACCATTAACACCACAGGGCCCCGATGGTCCAATGCCCATAAGCGCTCAAGGGATCTCGCCGTATGGCGCCTCTGTCGTCCCCGAGTCCTCTGAGTTTCTCTTACCCCCGAGGCTGCGTCCCACACAGGGCTCAGGCGTGAGTTACACTGATCGGCCCCGGTCACCGGACCGATGGTCAGCCACTCGCTCAAGTATCAGCTCCCTCAGTCATGAGAGTACCTACCCCTTGTACCCATTCCACGATTCGAGGGCGCCTTCGCACGCTGGTAGTGAGGAGAACGATGTCAACACACAGACTGTCTCGGAGAAGTTCAATATCATGCCTACTGATGGGTTGTTGTTGTTCCCCGAGGACGTGGAGAAAGATGATTACTTGCATAACCCGGACCCGGCGGACAAGGACCGAGAGTGCGATATCTGGAATAGACGTGGGATTCTGAATGTCGGTGGTCTGGCGCTTTTGACAATAGGCATTCTGGTGCTCTTCATTGGCTACCCTCTCATGTAAGAATTCGTGCGCATGTTTGGAGTTTTCTATGGCTGACTGGTTGTTGCAGAACTTGGTTGGCTGGTGTCATGAAACCGACGACACACAGTGTATGCCACCCTGATGATACGTTGTGTTTGGATGTTGGGGAACGGCCGTTGTTGCAAAACCTGCGTATGGGCTTGATTGACCCTGATACGCCTAAAGAAGCACTCACCAAGAAAAGTGTGAATGGCAAGGAGATGAAGTTGGTGGTAAGTCGTTTATGATATAGCCAGCAAAAAGAAAATGACTGACCTTCCATTGTAGTTCTCGGACGAATTCAACATGCCCGGTCGAACTTTCTACGATGAAGATGATCCATACTTCCAAGCTGTTGATCTGTGGTACGGAGTCACAATGGATAAAGAGGTTAGCACATCTGGCAATAATGAATGTTCAAGCGCTTACAGTGTATAGTGGTATGACCCCGATGCAGTGACCACGGCAGAAGGCACCCTGCAGCTCAAATTCGACCACTTTGAAAACCACGGTCTCCAATACAGGTCAGGAATGGTACAGAGCTGGAACAAGCTCTGCTTCAAGGGAGGTCGTCTCGAAGCCAGCATGTCCCTTCCTGGCGATGGGCACATCCAAGGTTTCTGGCCTGGATTCTGGGCAATGGGTAACCTGGGACGTCCTGGTTATGCTGCTACCACTGATGGTATGTGGCCGTACAGCTACCACGATGGTTGCGATGCGGGGATCACTCCGAACCAAAGTTCTCCCGATGGTATCAACTGGCTACCTGGGATGCGCTTGCCTGGGTGTGCCTGCCCTGGGTCCGACCACCCATCGCCCGGTCATGCACGCAGTGCACCGGAGATAGATATTATCGAAGGCAGCACTGCTCCACTGTATGGTGACAGCGGTCCATTCGTCGGCAGTGCGTCGCAGAGTTTGCAGACTGCTCCTTTCGACTTGTGGTACATGCCTGACTACGGTGCGTATCTCTCACCCCGTCTAGTATGTAAACAACTAGCTAACCAGGGTTACCACAGACTTCGCTGCGGTCTACGATCCTCGTGTCACTGAGCTCAACTCCTACCGAGGCGGCGTGTACCAACAAGCAATCTCCGGCTTAACGAATCTAAACCACCGCTGGTACAACGGAACCGAATACCAGACATACGCGGCCGAATACACCCCCGGTGACAAAGGCGACGTAACCTGGTTCGTCGGCAAGGAGAAGACCTGGACCCTCGACGCCCGCGCCATCGGACCAAACGGCAATATTGGACAGCGCATGATCCCGCTGGAGCCCATGGCCATAGTCATGAACATGGGTATGGCAGACAACTTCGCGCCGCAGAATAAGAGCATCCATGAATACATGCCTGCCTACCTTCGCCTCGACTATGTCCGTATCTACCAGGATCCCGATGATGAGAGCGTTACTTGTGACCCGCCGGGTTATGAGACGACTGAGTATATTGAGAAACATCGCAAGGCATATGATAATGCCAACTATACTCTTTGGTATGTTGATGAATATGCTCGAGGTATATGGAGTTTTACTGACGACTCTTCTTAGGGACGATGCTGGGTACCATTGGCCCAAGAACTCATACATGCATGACTGTTCGGCTAATTAGCCCTGGATCTGCTATTCCTTCTTTTCATAGTCTGTCAGTCGTATTAGCGGCATTGTCTTTTGGCGTTATGGGGATTGGGCATTCTTCATTTCTGATTGTTATCTATATATGGACCAATAACAATTTTTAACATTCCATTCTTTTTGTGTACGGACTACGGAGTAGAAAGCCTCTCATCGCATCACCAAGGCCAAATTCTGCAACGCATCACCGCCTTTTTCTTCCCGACGCACCCACGTGACTATAGCCCACATCCACGTGACCATGTCCAAGAGCTGGACACGACATTGTCCATTGTCCATGCATGTCCTGGGAGATCTGAGGTTGATCGAAATGACCCTTGTTCGACCTTGCTCATCCCTGGTGCTGTCTCATTCCTGATAGGTATTTATACTTGATTTCCGTCCCACTTCCATCTCCAGTGACAAGTCCATGATTAACATCCCCATAGAAACCAAGTCGGGGAATACCCCGGAATAGTATCTACAAGGATACATGAAACCTCCTGATTTCGAGAGTGAAACCAGTTCTCGACCGACGACTGACTCGACTCTCGAGTCCGAAAGAGCCAAAGACCAAAGTAACTTTTGATCTCTTTTGCCATTTGTCAAGTCGAACCTACTCGCGAGGCAAGCTACGTCTCTTGCGCGTCTACTTTGCATCCATTGACGCGAAGTGAAAAAAGACAAGAGAAGAGGCACCTCGCGCTATCCGATACGGATACACCAATCGTATCTAACTAGGCCGTTTATTTGTTATCACCTGACAAAGACGGTACCGCGATAATCGCCTTTCTCATGCATCTCTGAGACGGTTTCTCTTTCTGGCTTTTTCTATCAAGTTCCAACTACTGCATACAACTACTGCATACAACCGCTTCATCTTCATCTTCTAGTCACACACCCACCACCATGTCTAACCCCCTGACCTTTGTAGTTGTCGACTCGGACAGGTCCGAGTCCGAGTCTGATGGCGGCATGCAACTTGACGCCGATCTCGACAATGTCGACGGGGACCCAATGGAGTCCTCGGACGGCGACAGTCTCGAGGGCGAAAGCATCCCCGTGCCTCGGTGGGCTCCCCTTCGGGACCGGATTCCGAGTATGTATTGTGTTTCCCTCTCACGTTCCTGTTTCATCCTCATCCCATTCTCCCCCATCAACATGATAGAACGTATCGAACAATGTCGTCTATACTATACCCACGAAAACCGTTACCTCCCACCAAAACATAACCACAGCACCATCCCGCACCAGCAGACAAAAACTAACAAATTTCAGTACTAGCCCCCCACGCGCAAAATCCACACGACAGCGTCTTCGCCCGCCCCCAACAAGACGAGCTAACCGCATGGGAAGAAGCAGCCCGCGCGCGCGCCACTTTCTCCGATGAGAAATTTGGCGCCCTGTCCGTTCTCAAAAGTAGCGAGTTACTTATGACCTATGCACTCGCTAACAAGGAGGTATGTTACTGTCATTATATACCCCCAGCATCTATACCCTCCCCCTTCCCCCCCCCAAAATTCTATTAAACGCATTCCAAATCCAGCCTAGATAACTAATATAAAACAGACAATCCCCCAAACCCGCCGCCGATTCATGGCAAAGTACCTCGAACCCGACTACCCAGAAAAAGCAGAAGAACTGTACTCGCCGCGCATTTATATTGCGCCAGATGGGAAGGGTGGCGAGGGGTCACTGATTTCCGGACGGGTGAAGGAGTATATTGGGGATGTTGAGGAACATGGGTGGAGGAAGCCGGGCCATTTGAGGGCTGCGGAGGCGAGGAGAGTGCGTGGCTTACCGGTTGAGAAATCTGGGTCTGTGTCTGGGTCTGCTTCTGGGTCGAGGTCTGGATCTAGGGTTGCTTCGCCTGGTCGGCGGTCGTCTGGACGGGGTGTGGGCTTGGAGAGGAGGGGTGAGAGGAGTGTTTCGGGGTCGCCTTTTGGGGTTGGAGTTGATGAGGATGAGGATTTGTGAGGATTGCATTAACTTAGGTCTTGGTTTTGGCGTTTGATATACCTACGGAATACCTTTGCACTTTGGCGGTGCTTTCTTTATTGTCTTGTAGTTCGCTTATTTTCAAACTGACTTGGTATGCATCCGTTGCTACTTGCTTACAAAAAAAACAGTATGGTCAAAGATTTATTTCGCTAAAGTTGATGAAACAAAGTACTATACAGAAGGACCTAACCAATTTGAAGACCAACCATCCAGAGACAAAAGAGGGAGAGAACGAAAATGAAGAGAAAAAGTGGGTATCATCGAGAAGATCCAGAGAGTATTCCCTCTGGTGTAGTTGATTTTGTTCGTTCTCTCCCTCCCAATCTCCAGGATATTACCCGAGATACCTCAGGCTTATGGGACTGCGAACTCGTCGCAATAGTGTTGAACCCCATCGCGATCGGAAGATGAGCGGGAAAAACATGAAAGTCCAATCGGAAGAGCAGACGTAAAGCTGGCCCGTCTTACATCTCTTCCTCTCCTGTCCTCCGCAGCTCCGAGTGGAACAGACTCTCCATGTCTCCGACCTGCTTACGCTCCGAGACCTCTCGGCTGCGCATGCGGGCGTAGTGAGCCTGCGCGTTCATCAGTGTCAGTCCTCGAGCCGGCGCGGGTGTGTGTTCCGGGTCATTGTAGAATGGTTGCAGGCGGTGCGAGGTGGTGATCCGGACCCGACCGTCTCTCATGACGGGGGCTAGTCATTGCAGGGGCTCTGAACTTGAAGAGAGGCGGTTGAGGTGGAGGTAGACGTCGGTTCCGTAGCTGGGAATGAGTTAGCAAACATGTCTAGATAGAGCGTGAATGAAGGGAAATGCATACCCCTCCATACTGATCAGTTTTAGATCACCGCCAAAGTACCGTGCGTACAGTCGGCTTATGGGTAGACCGTATCCGAAGCCAGCCATTGGCGCCTTGAAGTCGTTCTTGTCGAAATCAGGGTCCAGATTGGGTGTTTGCTCCACGGTTGTGTACATGTAGGTCCACACGAGAGGAATGGACGACCGGGGGATACCACCACCTTCGTCTGAGACCTTGATCGTGATGTCTTCCTTGCCTTCGGCGACGATGACCTTGGTCACGGGGAATTCGTCTTTGTCGGCGCCATGTTGTTCGACGACCGCGCGCAGCGAGTTCTTGAGAGTCTCGAAGAGCATGTGCGATAGGTGTCCCGGGACATACATGAAGTTCAAGTCCTCCTTGCAGACCAGCTGCACCTTGGGCGCTTCGAAGAGACCATAGTAATCCTCGCAGACGAAGCGGGCATTCTCGATAGCCTCGAGTGCAATGTCCCGGACGTTGGTCTTGGTACAGATGATTCCGACATAGTTGGGGTGTTTGACGTGCGTTTGTTCCGTGAGTGCGATGTGTTGGCCGATGAGCATTCGGATACCGATTCTGGACATGTAGAACCGGTCGAGGAAGGACTGAATCGTAGAGTCGATCTGCATGCGCTGCCGCACGCGTTTCCATTCGAGAATACCTTGCGCCACGGTGGTGACGACCCCGTCGTGGCGCCGCTTGATCTGCTGGAGGGTCTTAGCGAATCGTTGGTTGTAGTCGTTGAGCTCCGGAGGCCAATCTCCGCGGTCATCCGCGGGGAAGAAATATCGTCGACCCGCGGCGGGCTGTTTGCCAACACCATTTCCATTGCCTGCGGTCACGGATGACCGGTACTGGCCCTCGCGCACGCTGGGGTTTTGAGTCGTTTCAGAGAGGATTTTCGAGAATCCGCCGCTCATCCGGCCTGGTCGCAGTAGGCGGGTTTTCACTTCTTGAGTCAGGGTTGGGCGAGGAAGAGCAATGATTTCCTGGGTGTTCGGGTCAGTGGTATTGCGGGGGGGGGGGGGGGGGGGGGGGGGCAGAATTCTATTGGAGGATCGACATACCTCAAAAGACTGCGCATACCAGTCCTGGACTTTTTTGATCGATGGCATCTCGCTTAGTCCATCTGGCAGCTCCCCCAGATCCTGCACGCGATGGGCGAGCCGGATCGGGAGCTCCTCAGAGAGAAATTGGGAAGCGCGGAATAAAGTGCCTATATACGAGTTAGATCTTAGCTCCGACAGTATCAGACTAGTTCACTAGCTCATACCTGTTGAGGGACGGTCACCGAATTGGACCATCTGCCGCAGCGAGACACCGGTTGCGGGGAAGCTGGCATAGTGCCTGATGGTTTCCATCAGGCGCTCTGAAGGCTTCCACATAGTGGGAATATAGGCCTGATGGCCTGTAATAGATTGATTTCTGGTAAGCGCTGCCTATCTCTGGGGAGAGCAGTGGTGAGGAAGAAGTGGGTGTAGTGTGAGTAATGTCTGTCTCCGGAACGTTTTCAAATGCCGAGGTTGGCGGTCTCCCCGGGTTCTCCGCTTGTGCTCCGGGGATCGGAGGAAGATCACACGATCACACGCGTCCGAGGTTTTTGCTGAAGAATGGAGTATGTAGCTGTGGCTTGTGATTTGTACGGAGGATATTTGATTGACAAGAAGCAGATAAAGCTGGGGCAATTGGCACAAGTCCTAAAGCTAAGGCCAAACCAAATCCGTTCATCCGGGGTCTATGACATAATCGGTGGCCTCAGGCAACACTTCGATGATTCACCTGATATATGATGCCTGAGGCTAAGTATACCCACATTCTGCATGCACTGAGTCACTAGTAGTATACTGACATTATTGGATGTGACATGTACATCCTGCGTAAATCCATAGTCGATCATGTCTTCTCCTCATGTCTATCCTGCAGTCTCCCTATGATCGTCCCGAGAACGGAGAATTAACTGCTCAGCAGCCCTCAGCCCTTCATATCTAAGCGAGTGGAGCTCAAAGACGAGTAACCACTTCATCCCACTGTTAACTACGGGGCTATGGACGGTTCATACTAATCCAGAGCCCTTCTCTGGTTATCAGGAAGCATCTTATACAGCAATTGAGCATTTGCTGTTGTTCGCCCTGCCTCTCAAGCTGTTACGAGGTTTAGCGGGAGTTAGGACAGTTCGTTCTTAGGTATCTACCGTGAATCTCTAGAGTCTAGTCAGTATGGGGAGATACCCCGTGATTCAACACTCAGTCCATAGAAGAATATCAATTACAGCGAGTTGATTTAGCCTAATAAGGTACACGAGGTACTGTGGTAACATCTCACCCGAACCATGCCGAATTTCGCCCGTTGCTTGATATTCAGTCAATTATCTACGTTATACACAAGTAGCTACGTGAGACTGACTAGATAGTTACACAGTATTGCTGACCATGTGTTAAGTGCTATGACTAAGATGACATCTCGGTGCAGACTCCAGAACAATCCTGTTAACTTTTGGTACTTGGTACTTTTGTCCAGCCCCCCATTTTAACCTTTCAATAGGCCTCTTTTGTGGATCTAACAAAATGACACTTGTCCTGCGTACTCCGTTATTGCTACTCGGCTGTTGATAAGCATCTTATCCATTTAGATTGTAGACAAAACAGCCATAGGCAAAGTAAACAAAGTCCAAAAAAAGCAAAAGGCTTATGTACCCCAATCACCAACCTGCCATTCGCCCGTCGATCCGCTTTCTGGAGACTCATAATTACCCTTTTCGAGCTGCTGCTGTTGACCAGCAATTGTTGCCTCTGACTGGCGGAGATATCTAGCCCCTCCATTTGTGTGTGCGTTGGCAATAATCCAAAAACTTGCACTATAAAAAAGAAAAGGAAAAAAAGCAAAAAAAGATATCTCCAACCCTAATTGCAATCTCCAAAACCTCAGGGCCGGGCTCAGATTCCTGACCCGCAACTCCATCCTCTCGTCCCAATCCTCTCCTCTCCTTATACGCACCCTTCATCAAGAACTACATGAGGAAAAAGAAAAAGGGAAAACAGAAATCCAATTCCAACCCATCCGACAAAACAAAACAACCCCATATACCCTCCGCCTCCACCATACGCAAAACCAAAAGACCAGCAGAAAAAATGTCTCGCCGTCGAATATCCCACAGCGAGATGAACGAAGCTCTTGCCTACCCCTTCGCCATGCAGTCTAACGGCCCTGCCTTTCAATCAAATGGTCAACCTCAACCTCGAGTCCGAGGACCTATCGAAGGTCCCGATGGCCGTCGTCTCATCCGCCGTGTCACATGGCGCTCCTCGACATATAAGCTCATGGCTTCCCTCTGGGTTCTTGCCGTCCTCTACATCGTTTGGCTAGTTCGGGATCTCTTCTTACCTATCCCCGCCGAGTCGGAGACGGATTCTACGAAACCACTCGAGTAATATACGGAATCTGAGGGTTTTATTTTTCTTCTTCGGTCATATTTGATGGGCGGGTGACTGGGCTTCGGAGGGGTTGGGAGTGGGGTTGTCTGCTTTGCGATGAAAAGTTGTTAGCGCTTGGTATACAACCCTTCCCTTCCACCTTCTATAACTTGGTCTCGCCGAGGCAGAGAGAGGACTGAGTTGGGTTTCCGGCGGATTATGACATGCTTCCCGTGGCGGAGATGGCGTTGATCCACGCGGGATTTTGTCAGTTCCGATTGCTTCCCAGGTGCATACCCGGAGTTTCTCCGGCTGACGAGCCCGGATGTGCGTTTTCCCATTCGGGGAGATTCTGCAGTTCTGTTCCCTCTGCAAGTCTGGTTATCTGGCCAGTGGAGACTGGCTGGGACGCCTCCAAGCTTGGGAGTAGCTTGGGTTTCTTTCTTCCTTTCTGCCTAGATTCTTACTGTTGCATCTTTCTCCACTGTTACGATTGCATGTCCACAGCGTTCTATTGCATATAGCTCTTATGATGACCCAGGTCGATGGCCTGATCACTTCATTTTTCTTTTTCCGTTTCTATACTTGTCTCTCTCTCTCTCTCTTCTCATCTGGGCGGTTCAATTGTCATTTTTCTCACGGGTTCGAACTTGCATTCATGCATAGCTTGCCATCTGCATTATACATCGCCTTTGAATAGCCATGGTCTTTCTGTGCTCTATGATGGCTTTCACTCTTACTCTCCCCGAAAGACTCAAACAACCCCTCCTATCTAGACTTTCCCGCTCGCAGGGCGGGGCATCGGGGAAGCAGGGAAGTGGGGCAGTGGGAAATATCGAGCCCGGTCTCAGATGCAACGGTGCACATACAATCGGAAACCTGTTATGGACATTAAGCTTTTATTCAATATACACAACCAACTCCTTGCCTTCCCCTTCAATATAGAGGGTTTCCCCACGTGAATTGGATTTGATATCTTCCAACCATCCGTCACATCTTTGCGTCGTAAAACTTTTGCATATTCTAAGTCAAGATACACATCAAAATGAAATTATACCAGGATACCCGATTAGACGTGCAGGGCAGAGGTCTCGCCCTTGGCAATGACGCTAGCGTAGGGCTTGATGGCAGCGGCAACCTCGGTAGAGGTGAACTTCTCGACCTGCTGGGGAGCGCGGCCGACGAAGGTGCTGGCGTCCAGGAGGGTATCCAGCTCGGGGATGATGGGGTCGAAGAAGGCGGTGCGGCGGATGCGCTCGATCAGGTCGTTGTCCTTGCCCTGCTTCTTGACATTGTCGGCGGCCTGGTGGGAGAGGACACCTGGGGATGTTAGATTTCGGGCTCGATAGTGAGATGGGCAGATTGGGACTTACGGATCTCCTCGTGGGCATCCTGGCGAGAAAGACCCTTGGCGACACAGGCCATGATGATGTTCTCACTGAAATTGGATGTTAGTGGTGTCCATTGGATCAGAAGGCTCTGTACTCACGTGGCCATGAAGGGGAGCTCGTCGTTGACGCGGCGCTTGATGACCTCGGGGTAGACGACGAAGCCGGAGGAGACGTTGTCTGATACTGATTAGCTACAAGATGGGCCTAGGATTGATAAGGTAACTCACTCAGGAGGATGAGACAGGCGTCAGCGGTGAGGTACAGTTCGGGAATGCTGATACGGCGGATGGCGCTGTCATCCTAGTACAGATCAGTACATCATCTTGAGCAAAGAATGGAGAGATACGCACGAGAGACCGCTCGAACCATTGAGCGGAGTAGGTGTCCAAGCCGTCCTTGGGGAGGTTCTGCAGGTGACGTCCAAGCGAGCACAGACGCTCAGAACGCATGGGGTTGCGCTTGTAGGCCTGCATATTGTCAGCTACGAAACCTTGTGGAACATGCAAAAGAAGAACTCACCATGGCACTGCTGCCAATCTGGTCCTTCTCGAAAGGCTCCTCAACCTCCTTGAGCATGGCGAGGTGGCGGATGTCAATACCAATGCGCTCACAAGTAGCACCGAAGGAACCAAGAGCGTTGCCGACATCAACGTCGATCTTACGCGAGTATGTCTGACTGGAGATGATGAAAGCAGAGCTGAAGCCAGCCTTCTCGGTCACAAGCTCATCGAGCCTCTCAACCTTGGCATGGTCGCCGTTGAAAATCTGCAGGAAAGATGCCTGAGTACCGGTGGTACCCTTGACACCACGGAAGCGCAGGTCGTCACGGGCACGCTCGAGATTGCGCAGATCCATCAACAAATCCTGAATCCAGAGACAAGCGCGCTTGCCAACGGTGACCAGCTGGGCGGGCTGGCCGTGGGTGAAACCCAGACAAGGCAGATCCTTGTACTGCTGGGCGAACTGGGACAACTTGTCGACGACGACGGCGAGCTTAGGGATGAGGATATCGAGACCGTCGCGGAGCAGAATCAGATCGGCGTTATCGGTGCAGTAGCATGAGGTGGCACCCCAGTGGATGATACCGGCGGCGGCGGGAGCAACCTGGCCAAAGGCGTGGACGTGGGCCATGACATCGTGTCGGCGGCGTTTCTCCTCCTCGGCGGCGACGGCGAACTCGTCATCCTGTATGACCTGGTGGGCCTTCATCTGCTCAATGGCCTCGGTAGAAATAGGAAGTCCGAGCTCTGTAGCAATGAGCCAGTCAATTTAGATGTCTTGCTCAACTAGAGCCGATGTCGGCCAAGGCTCGACCATCTCGTACCTTTTTGAGCCTCCGCGAGCCAGGTCCAAAGCTCTCTCCATGTAGAGAAGCGCTTGCGGGGCGAGAAAAGGTATTTCATCTCAGTGCCTGATCAATTGAGTATGGTTAATCCCGTTCTATACAATCTCCGGATGTACCCCTCCACCGGAGGGGCAAATTGGGACCAACTTACTCGCATAGCGCGAATTGAGGGGGGTTTGGTAGACATCGTTACTTCCAGACATTGTGTCGGTGATTGTTTGAGCAGCTCAAACAAAAGAATTGAGCAGCAGGACGGTTTAAACGACTAGGACAAGGGCTATGTGCGAACAAGGTTTTTTTTCTCCAGTCCCGATTTGGCGGGGCTTATCAGTCACGTTATCGGAGATTATCTACAAGTCACGTGACTATATACTTCCCTTGTATCGGAAATTATCGCAGTGAAGAGCAGGTTCGAATGGCGGGATATAACGGTGTTATTAGCTGGTATAAGATAAGATAAGATTTGGTTTTTCTTTTTCCACTTCCACTTCACTTCGAAATTCAAGACAACTGCGCCAGCTGTACCGATAGGCTTGCCTTGTCGTACTTGATGTACTTGCCACGGCCTTTGTCGATCTCCACATATCGATCATAAAAGCGCGCATACAAAGGCTCTAGGACAGTCTGTAATTCACGTGTCAGGACACCGCGCACCTCGCGCTCCATGTGAAGGGTTTTGTGGCGAGACACCATCTCATCAAAGCTCGCATTGAAGGATTTGAACTTGTCTTTGATCGCATCCTTATCCTTAGACGACAGAGACTTGACGATTGCTGACGAATCAACATTTCCGCTGGAATTGCGCTGCGCCCCACGTGAGGTATATTGCACATCAAGGAGATACTGGGATGTTTCCTTCCATGCATCAAGATAGGTAGACGTAGCACGCTTGCGGAAGGTGTCGATTCTAGCGATACTGTCTGGGGAGCCCAGATATCGTGCCAGTTCTGGACTCTGTCGGATCGACCGATCGACAATGCAAAAGACATTTGACAGAAATACTCCAAGGGCTGCCTTGGACCGATGGAAAGCGCGACCGCGAGCTTCGAGGGAGGTCATCAAAGCCTCAATCATATCGAGAATGAAGTGCGACAGAAGAGTGCTGCTGTCTGGGCCTACATCCAACGGAGCCGAGCCGGCGGTGTTGGACTTGGTACGCCAGTTTCCATCCCCCAAAGATGTCAAGATAGAGGCCAAAGGACCCGAGTAGCCTGTTAATGTGGCTAATGAGCTCATCACTTCCTCTACAAGAGGCACCGATCCACCGTCCGGTGGAAGTGCAGCGCTAGCAGCTTTGCGTTTCGTCTCCTCCAGCAACTCGGAGAGCGATGACTTGGCGGTCTCGCGTACAGGCCGAAGGGCTTCGATCAGGAGACTCTTCAGTTCCGCTGCCTTAGAGTCAATTCGGTAAGACATGGCCGTCACAATTTCAATAATCTCGAATGCGAGGAAGCAATCCGTCATCAAATTGGCCTTGATGTAATTATTAAGTTCCCGCAGTGTTTTGGAGTATTCGCCCATAGCCGGGAGGAAGGTGGCCTGTAATGCCAGGCCTTGCTGGTCCCCGGGAAACATTTGTACGATAATGCCATGTTCGGTGGTTATGAAGGCCTCCAGCGCGTTGGAGTAGATACCGATACCGTTGGTCCCTTGTTTGTAGGGACCATCGGTTGGTCGGCGTTTGACAGTATTGAGAGACGCGATAGCAAGATTCTGTAAGCTGGTTGCGATGTATGGGCCCCGTACCTCCGCATAAACCTTTATTGCGGGGTTCTCCCCCTTGCTGCGCTGAGAGCCATGAGCAGATGCGGAGGCGACCACCGAGCACACGGGCGCTAGATGGGAGACTGTTTCATCGGGTATGGATGGGAAGGGGAGGTCTAGTAACCCCACGCATTAGCTTTAATTTAGGGATGGGGTCGTAGTGCGCCTACCTTTGGTCAGATAGTGTAGGGGTTCGATCGGAGCGGCGTGCTGGTTCAATTCTGCCCTTAGCAAATCTTGAAGTTTTGTGCTGCCGGTGTTTAGGAGGGAGTTAAAATCAGCGATCGCGTTCTGATTTGATCGCAGGTTGGTGGTGTTGAGGTCGACCAGCGCCTTCTCAACACGTTTCATCGCCGACAAATACTGCGCGAGGCCTGAGCTCTGCGGTCTGGTGGTCGGTCAGCCAAATCCGAACGTAAATACAAGTCAATGAAGCATAAAGGTACATACCCTGCGCGAATGATGCCATCTTCTCGGTTCTTCGCATCGAGAGGTTGGCGCAGGCGGTCGATGGCGTCGTTGACTTTATCGATGTTGCTGTTGGTGACTTGCAGGGATTGAGTATTGCTGTAGATGGGACCAATGGCTTCTTTGACGACTTTTCCTCCTGTCTCCAAGCGTACCATGGAACCTTGGATCTTCTTCGTGAGTCGGTTGAGCTTCTCCAGGTTGGCATACAGGACTTCAACCTCCGCGCTCTCCTCGGCGTAGGCGGTATTCCTCGGACCCACCATGGTGGACAGTATGAGCGATGCAATTCAGCTGAATCAACCCAAAGAGACCATATCACATGTCATCACCAGAGCCCGTCAAAGGACATGGGCTATTGCAATGGAGTGATTGTCCCCTCTCGAGCTCCGGTGATAAGCAGCTCCGCCACGCTAGTCCGAAAGTGGTAATGGCATACTAGGCGGTCTTTGGGGAACAAACAAGCATTCTTGCTCAGACTACGTGTCGCATAATATATACAGCTTGATAAGTGTTTGATGCAGGTTGATATAGTTGTTTGTATGAATTTATGAACCTGTAGGTACCGGATTTTAGGCCACGGTCGCGAATTTCCCGATCGGGGTGCCGCCGCTTTATGAGGGTTATTTCGGCTAAAGCTACATTGACCATGGTCAATTTCGTAACATAGCACAGATGTCTCCAAAGGCTGGAGTGAGGGCAATCCGGCAGACCAATGGCCATACGTGTCTTCCTTCCAACAAACCCCAGAGAGGCATTCTGTCAAGCGTTTTAGTCACTGAGATCATCCTGCCAACTGTAAAGTACCTCAATGGGTGTGGGCCTTTTCCCGTTGGTGTCGCTTTCATTGGCATTCCTAATCCTGGAAGTGATAATGGCCTCCGATCCGTCTTGTGAAGTTGTGGAGGACATAGACACGCGATCTTGCAGCGGTGACGTAGGCGTGTTGTGGGGAGCTCCTGGGTAAGTAGCGGTTGTCGGTGTTACTGGTGGACCATCAATAGCCTTAGAGGCCATACACCTCATAAAGAGAGCCATGTTGGCCTCCGCTGGTCCATCTTCTGCAAAATCGAGCAAGGGCGTCTTCCTAATGATCAGTTCTTCGGATTCGTAGTGTGCGGTCAAGATTCGAGCTTTCATCCTTCCAAACGTGCTGATGACCATGACAGGGACCGTCTTGCATCGTTTGGGGAGGTTATCACCCTCTAGGCGTGTAATAGTCACTGCAATAATAGCGAGAGCCTCCAAGCGAGTCAGCCTCTCACCAGGCTCCTCGCATATCTCGAGCGCAATGATGGTGTGAGAATGTATGAATTTGCCAGTGGGCTTCCCATCGTTGTAGACGTAAGCGTACGCCGGGACCGGTGGATCGACGCATGATCGGAGGAATTGCTCGTTGATTATGAATGGGACGACCTCTCTAATATCAGCAGTAGAATTAGCTCTGGATATCAGGATAAAGTAATCCATAGTTAAGCTCAGAAAGTATACCACACTTACCTAATCTGCCAGCCGGTGGCAGATTGCAACGACAGGTATTTCCCCGACGCAATCTGCGTCGTATCACGTAGAATAACCTGAAACATCACCCGGATAATATTCACGAGGCCTTGTGTCTGGCTGCCGATATCATGGGCCATAGGGTTTTCCTTGATCGATCTGCGATATTTGCGTTGATCTTCGAGCGTCTTTAGGGTGTCTTTATCCTCGAGATGGGGCAAGGGAATGACATTCTCCCCAAGGGGTGCGAAGAATCGAGATTTCGCAGCTATCTGATCTCCGCCAAGATCAGAGCATTTGATATGAAGGCCCGAATAATTTGCTCGTTCGATAACCGTGGAAGGATGCTGAATGCATTCGTTCCACAGGCGCCTTGCACCTTCAACAGCAGCATCGCGTGGAGAGCTCTCGAATTCCCGTGTACATAGGAAGAAGCTAGAGATAGTGGAAATCATGGCAGCCACGTGGTTGGTGACTTCACAAAGTGATGGAGGTGGGCCCGTGGGGTAAGAGTAGCGGGTTGATGATCCGGAGGGTTGGTGGGAGATAAAGTTGCGAGTTAAGCTTTTGTGTGGCTGCTGGACCTAGAACGGCTTGGGGAGGTAATACCTCAGGGATCCGGCCTCCACTATCGTTCTTAGAGGATTCAAAGTCTTCATACTAGACGAATGAACCGTGTGTAGAATATGATGTTGGTTCTATGGATTTAAACGAGAATTCGGTGGTGACTAGGCGCCCAGACTGCGTGGCTAATGCAATAGTACAGCGAAGCGCCAAAGATCCTAAGAAACAGACCGCAGCCCAGCGAGGCGCGGTGCCTGGTTTCTGGATACCCACGTCGCCCGAGGATTGGCATCAACTCGTGTTAGCCGCAAAGCTCACCAAACAAACCATCAACACTCTTCCTGCCGTACTGTTTGGCTCCGGATCCGTAGCATCTCAAAGCCAATACCTGATGACGCGAGCCTTCTCTCCGGTTATGGAATTTGGTGCCCGTTATGCTCTCACAACACGAATGAAGGAGTTCGGGTTCAACAAGGGCCTCAAGCCTCATTGATAAAGCGGCAGAGACTCTGAAGGGGTCAAATGAATGGCGCAGTTATCTCGCCGCTATTGCAAAAAGCACCTGGGCCGAAGAGCTTCGTGAAGGAGATTTCCTGCCTCTGACGACTCAATCAAGAAAAAAGTCTCCGAGACTTTACGGAACTTCCCCGAATGGAAGGCATATTTGGATCGCTTTGGAAACCCTGACGATACAGGGGTGGCCCATCGGGAGCTCGGTCGCTTTCTTATCGTCAAGGAAGCACAGCAGAAAGTGCTGCTAAAGCCCCCCCCGCTGGACCACAAGCCTCGAGTCTGATTCCGTCGAAATGGAACAGTCGCTCGCTACCACCCGCCAACGGCGCGAAAAGGGATTTCGAAGACCTAGTCTAGAAAGAGCGGAGATTATGCTCGGCAGATACCTATGTGATTGAAACATTCATCCCGTTCTCCATCTATTCCTCGATTCAAGCTCTCAGGCTCAGGGCTGAGAGCAGGTTTATATCAAACTTTCTGTCCCCCTTACAATACCCTACTAGGTAGTACTGGAGTAGTGTCTCCAGCATAAATTACCGTTGGTTCCTTGGCATCATTATTATTCCCACATTATCTTGGCATGTTCGCATCTGAACTAGGACCATGGACAGAGTACAGAACACGGAGTAGAGAGTAGAGTCAATGTTACTATCTCTCTATGTGAGTATGCTGTAACAAACAGGAAATTGATCCGACTTCCACTGTCACTTTTATGCAGGGGATACATTGAACTTGTGTCCTTTTCTTGATGGTAACAAGACAAACCCGCCGGATCCAACGCCATTCACTGTGATACTGGTGGCATTCGTGGCTCCAATCGGTGAGCTACCCAGAGTCACATATGCTTGGTTACCTAAGTTGGACGTAATAGTAGCCTCTCTCAGCTTCCCATCGCTTGACCAAGTCATATCGACCTCAAAGGCACCACGAGCTACCAGACCTGAGACGGACCCTCCTCCGTTTGCAGCCCAGGTAGAGGGGAGTGTGGGAAGAAGTCGAATCAGGTGGATTTTGTTCGCGTCCCCAGTTTGGGCTGCAATGAGTGTGCCATTATTGCCCGCGAGCACCGTCTCATGGCTCTGGAGGAAAGCTTCGACCATGCCAGCAGGGCCCCCGAGAGTCCCATCGACTTGGAAGGGTGATGGAGGACCGGTTGCCAGGAACGAGGTTCCGGTAGTGTAGTTTGCCAATTGCTGAGCCAGGTTCGACTGTACTAGATCGGGCAGGAAAGCTCGCGCGGAGAGAGCGATCGACCAAGCTCGAGACCAGGCAGTGGAACCGCTGCCATGACTGTTCAAGTGATATAAGTTAGTCACTTCCGGGAAAAGAGATTGGGTAGATATTAATTTGAACATACTCCAGGCGACGATTAATGCTCGAAACCGCCCAATTGAAAGTGGTCTGATTGAAAGCTGTAATCTGTGAACCTGGGTACATGCCCCAGAGCATGGACCAGTGTCGATGACCAGGATCAGTCTATGGATAAGGAGAATTAGAATCCAGATATAAAGTTCATCTGTTCCTAGGGAAGAGGCAAACCTCGTTGTAGTCATGGATCCATTCTGCAATACCACCGTACTGATTCATGCGCAACGGGGGCAATTTACTCCTTAGAGCCGTTGCCGCGTCCGTAAGCTTCTTGTCATTTATGCCGAGCTCTCTCTGAGCATCAACCAGTTCCCCTAGTATTTCCCACAGCAGCGAGTTATCAATCGTTGGTCCGTACGTAATTGCAGCCTGTGCTGTCGAATTGGGAATAAAGTAGACATTCTCCGGCGAGATACTGGGGTTGGTAAGCATATACTCTCCATAAGGAGTTACGAAATCGAGAGCAAAGAGAACAGTCTTCCGGAGGAGGTCGTAGTTTGACTTGAGGGTGGCTTTATCCCCGGTGAATCGATAATGTTCCATGAGATGAGTGATCAGCCAGCTGGCTCCCATCGGCCAACAGGTCGAAGAGAAGTAATTATCTTGCGGTGCAGAGTCTCCCCACAAGTCGGTATTGTGGTGAGCGACGATCCCCGAAGCGTGGTACATCTTCTGTGCGACAACACTGCCTTGTTGGCCGATTTCATTTAGGAGATCATTAAGCGGAGTGGTCAGATCAGCTAGGTCTTTTCCGTATCCATTAGCATGAAGAAGGCAGGAAAAGCTTTAGGGAACGAATATATACTTACTGGTTGTCAAGCTCGGCCAATAATTCATTTCTATGCCAAGTTAGATGAGGAGGAAACGGTAGGAGAAGATTTCTGACCTAAATTGATGTTGATGGTATATTTCGAGCCCCACTCGGGGGTCCATATCTTGATTCCATATCCCCTGCAGATTGGGAGGAAGAGTCCCTGCCCTCGAGGTTGCGATCAATACGTATCGTCCAAACTGGAAATATAACGCCGCCAATTCGGGATCAAATGCAGTGGCGGTGGTATTCAACGCAGCCACTCGTTTCGGGGTGGTCATCGCTTTCTGAGCGGCCGTTGAGTTCCCAAGGTTTAACGAGACTCTTGACATATATTTCTGGTAATCGGTAACATGAGTCTCGCGGACCAAGCTGTAGCTCTTTCCGGCAGCCTTAGTGAGGACTGAGAGCACCGCATTGCGGGGTTTAGACTGGCGGAATGTTGTCCAGGCAGTGAAATAGATGGTTGCCTCGTCTGCTCCGGAACAAAAGACATAATCTCCAAGTGTGTAGACTGAGCCGCCAGAGCTTACCACGCGAGCGCCAGCAGCCCAGTCAATTCCACCCACACCGTCTGAGCTGCCACCAACAAGGATGGTGTTATTGTCGAGGGGTTCACTGTATGCTTCCCATCTGTTGAGGGAAGATCCACGATCAAAATGAATTGTAAAACCGACAGAACCGGGTTGGCTGGCTTTAATTCGTATAGCGATAACATCTTCTGGGTTGCTTGCGATATACTCTCGAGTGTACTCAACGCCATCACTCACGTAATACATGCCGGCGGCTCCTTCTTCAAGATCAAGCCACCGCTGGTAGCCAGTGACGGTTTTGGTGTGATTCATGGCCAAGGTCAGATAACCCATACTCCCATAATGTTGCGTTGACACAGGGGTGCCTTGATAACCATAACCTGATATGGTAGAAGCATCCTGCAAGAATCCTCCGGTGAGCAGCGTTTGCATCTGCTTCACGGTCTGGTATGCATCGGGATTGACCCGATGTAGCAAGCCTCCCGACCAGTATGAGTCCTCGTTCACTTGGATGGCCTCTGAGGACGCACTCCCACCTACCATAGCGCCGACACGTCCATTGCCGATAGGATAATTGTCCGAATAGCTGGATGCAGGGGAAGTGTCCCAAATTCTATTTGGGTTGGATGCAGAGTCTGGCGGCGCTGCCCCAACATGGGGAAGCAGTAGCGAGCACCATACTGTGACCGTCCGAAACAATCGAATCGACATGATTTTGCGAAATGATACACAACTGAGGAAAAGACAAGTCGAAGGTATAACCGGTGGGCCGTGGCTTGATCCTCTTAAATCATACCATAGAGATCTCCGCATTGCAAATTTCCCAAAGTCGATCATAGTCGATTATGGAACTAAGTCCATTATTACCACCGGAGGATTTGGGGTAAATTTGGAATTATGCGGGTTCAACTGGTTGTCAGTCTTCCGATTATTGGAGGAAAACAAGCATTAGGGTATGACTTTAATCGTCAGGATTGCCATCACGAGGAACACCGGGAATACGCTCATTGCGTCTTAGTTCCCAGCAGGAATTAGGGCTCCATTTCGAAGGATCAACGCCACTGAACGAATATAATAGAACTAGCAGCATAATAGGCAGGCATAACCAACCTTATAGATTTAGGCAAAATTCCGGTTCAACATCGCCCCGAGCCCCCGACTGACACTGTGGCCTACTTCCCCGCATCTTCTCCGCATCTGAACACAACTTCTCGACGGCAAATTTCCTACGATCGTCGTGTCCACAACGGCCTACCACCTCACCCAACGATCGAGGGGGAGTGTTGTAGGCTACGGGCACGGCATGTGACCGGCACGGAAGAACCACTCTTCCGTGCACTGGCCAAAACCCCCTCTCTAGCCCCTGACGGCTTTCAATTGATCTATCCATCCAATGCACAAGATATATCCTGAATCCTACATCTGTAGCATCAACATGACCCCGTTCGAAGCCTGGCATGGTTTCAAGCCTGACCTGTCCCACATTCGAATTTTCGAAGGAGCCGAATTTTCGAATGTGGGACAGGTCAGGTTTGAAACCATCTCTATGGCACAATCACTCCACTTGAAAGCGTCAACAGTGCACCTGCTGCGGCGGCATTCACCCGCTATCGGCTTTCGTCGACTATTCACGGCGCCCCAAGCCCTTCACTAATTGTGCTACAGGCAGAGCGCAGATCCGTCAAGTCCCCCCGCCAGCCCATACCGGTATGCAGTCCTGCTTCATTGTGTGATCAGCTTCCTATATCCCCCGGTCTGATACCGTGGAAGAGCTCTGTGATGCCATCTACGCCGCTACGGCGTTGTCGGCAGCCGCCCGAGACCTGGATACTTTTGCCGAGCGGTCGATTATCACCATCCGTAACAACGCGGCGACGGTGTTCAACGACCGGTTGATTGGCCGTATGCCCGGCCGTTCGAGGACGTATTGGTCTGCGGACCGTGTCCAGGGTGGCTCCGGCGGGGATCAACCCACCCTGACAGAGCACCCTCCGGAGTATCTACATTCCAATGATATCTCCAGCCTGTCGCCGTCGGAGCTGGCGTTGAAGGTTGGCGCCCTGATTATGCTGATCCGGAACCTACGTCAAGAGGACGGCCTCTGAAACGGCACCCGTCTCATCATCACGGGTCTGTATGATTGGAATATCACCGCCCGTATCATCACTGGCGAGTGGCGACTACAAAGCAGCGGAGCACACGATTCGCGTGTGCCATTGGAGACGACCGAGGGACAGCTATCCTTCACTCTCCGTCGCGTACAGTTTCCGATCCGTCTCTGTTTCGCTATGACGATTAATAAGAGCCAGGGACAGTCGTCAAAAAGGTGGGTGTGGAGTGGCCAATCTATCAGTCCTACACGTAGAGGCCTCGGACGCAACAGAAAATGTCCTATTTCCAGAGGTCGTACAGCGCTTCCATACAACGGAGTCAGCTATACAAGTTAATTACCTTAGATATATGCTTGACTATAACCATTAGCCAATAATACTGATTAGCTTACTGACTACGGACTTCACCTTCAACCTAGCCGCCCGAGCGAAGCGAGGGTAAACGGCTTGTATGTACTATGTAGTTGTGATTGAGTGTCATACCTGGCCCCTGGGTAATATCGAATTGAAGGTAAAGCCACTTGACTGGCCTCTCCTCGGCATATGTAACATCCTGTTACGCACGTCTCTTAAGACGCAATTTTTTGATTTATTTGCTCAACCTCTCAGAGGGGCTAATACAGCTTCGGCACCTGAACAATTTGAGACCTGAAACACATTCAACATGATCTCCAAACCTGCTCGATGGCCGAGTCCGGCCATATCACGTGCAACAATCACGTGCTACTACGTCATATACCAGGGAAGCCGTGGCTTGCAAGAAAAAGTACGCAGCCCTTATGACTTCTCCAATGGATCTCACTGGATGTTACAGTCCGTCAGCTTTGCTCAACGATACCAGTCTACGATGGTCGCTGCAAGGGTTGCCCGTCTGAAATGGACGGTGCCCCCAGCGGTCCTAGCTGCATACACTGCGGGGAATTGGTCGCATCCCAGACAATCACAAACTCGATTCTCTTCTTCTCAAAAACGGAACGATACAGATTCTGAGAAGGCCAATGCAGGAACAGGTGGTCAAGGAGATGACTCCAGTGATAATGGGTCCATTTGGAACAACATCGTCCACAAGTTTGACGGGGTCGCGAATACTGTCAGTCCCGGCGAATGGGTAGACGTGGGCAGCATCACCAACATCATCCCGGACTGGGCAAGCTTCTTACCAATTCCTGCTCAGAAACTGCAGCGCGAGCTTTCTCTTGCTCCTGGCTCCTTGGCCGACGAGATCTGGAAGGAGGCGCAGGACCCCAATGTCCATCCTGAGATTCTCCGTGAGGCCAGCGTGCGAGTGAGTGGAGAGTTATGCGAGGAAGAGAAGGCGTTCCGGCGACACCGTCAACGGAAGGTGATCAAAGCATTGTCGTCCTATCTCGACATACCCGAGGAGGATATTCACCCCGATGATGTGCCAGTTATTGCAATGTGTGGCTCAGGAGGTGGCCTTCGCGCGCTGGTCGCAGGTACCGGATCATATCTGGCGGCGCAAGAAGCGGGACTGTGGGACTGTATCACCTACACAGCTGGTGTCAGTGGAAGCTGCTGGCTGCAGACGCTGTACCATTCGTCACTCTCCCAGCGAAACTTCAACAAGCTCGTCGACCATTTGAAGAACAGACTTGGTGTTCACATTGCCTTTCCACCGGAGGCTCTCAATCTGCTCACCACTGCCCCGACAAATAAATACCTTCTCTGCGGGTTTGTGGAGAAACTCAAAGGTGACCCAGGGGCCGACTTTGGCCTGGTAGATATCTACGGCTTGTTACTCGCAGCAAGACTTCTGGTCCCGCGAGGAGAACTGGGAGTGTCAGACCTGGATTTCAAACTGTCGAGTCAGAAGGAAAATTTGATGAATGGAGCTCACCCGCTCCCTATCTACACAGCGGTACGACATGAGATCCCTGTTGAGGTCCTGGACGAGAAAAATGAGAATGGCCAGAAGCGTACTCCCGAGCAGTTGATGAGGGAGTCACGAAATGAAGCATGGTTCCAGTGGTTTGAGTTCACTCCCTACGAGTTCTTTTGTGAAGAACTCAATGCCGGTATTCCAACCTGGGCCCTGGGACGTCACTTCAACAAAGGCCGCTCCGAGGTCTCTGCTGAAAAACTTCCGCTCCCGGAGCTGAGGATCCCCGGGCTGATGGGTGTCTGGGGCAGCGCATTTTGCGCAACTCTGTCGCACTATTACAAAGAGGTCCGGCCTTTGGTCAAAGGCTTGGCTGGGTTTGGAGGAATTGATTCTCTCATCCAAGGCAAGAACCAGGATTTGATTCGAGTGCATCCTATCGACCCTGCGGGTATACCCAACTACGTGATGGGAATGAAAGACCAGCTTCCCGAGTCTTGTCCAGAATCGATCTTCCTAAATGACCACCTCCGTCTCATGGATGCGGGAATGAGCAACAACCTTCCAATCTACCCGCTCATCCGACCTGGCCGTGATGTCGATGTAATCGTCGCATTTGACGCATCTGCAGATATCAAGCAAGAGAACTGGCTTTCCGTTGTCGACGGTTATGCCAAGCAACGTGGTATCAAGGGTTGGCCCGTCGGCGCCGGATGGCCAAAAGCCTCCTCGAACCCCCAGGATACCGAGGAAGCGTTGCGCGAGCCAAAGAATATCACCGATGGCGAGATAGCCGAGAAACTCGCCAAGGCCAAAGATGGCATCTCGCCCACCGGCCAAAAGCCCAACACAGGTACAGACCTAGGTTACTGCAACGTCTGGGTTGGCACCACAGAAGAACGAACCTCGAACGACGAGCCCCCGCCCTCCAAACGACTCTTCAACGCTTCCGAAGAAGACGAATCCGACTTCCACCTGATGCGTCCAGACGCCGGCGTTGCCGTCGTCTATTTCCCGCTAATCCCCAACCCTTCCGCGCCAGATCTCCCGTCCAAATCTCAATCCCGGCCGCGTGCTGCTGCACAGTCCATGAAACAGAATAGCTCGCAAACCAAAGATCCGGAATTACCTCTCGCTCCACACCCCCAATTCGATCAACCCAGAAGTTGATGATTTCCTGTCTACATGGAACTTTGTCTACACGCCTGAGCAGATTGATTCCGTTGTTGGTCTTGCCAAGGCCAATTTCGCTGAGGGTGCAGCGCAGACTCGTCGTGTTGTCCGCGCTGTCTATGAGCGCAAGAAGTCAGATCGATTGAAGAAGGAGGCTGAAGAGCATCGGCAGAAAATGGAAGGCTTTGTGCCTCTGTGATTCTGCCTTGCCTTGAAGCTAGCATTACAGCTGCCATAGCGCGCTTTGATTTATCCCCACATACCCTGATCTGCTTTTCTGCAATCTTCATTCCCTTGCGTGTTCCTGGTCTGGGTTAGACAAAATCTGGTCTCTCTAGATTCCCACCATATTCCTAGCGATTTTGTGATATCATTCCATTTGTACAGAGTAACATAGCCGTCATGCAGCATACAATATCTAATGAAGTCATATGTTCACCAATGCGCTATCTATTACTTATGATACCCACCTAGGTAGGTATTTCCCAGACTCCGACTCTAATCTTCCTTCCTCTGCTCATCCCCATCCCCATAATTCGCCTTCACCCCTTCAAGCCCTCCCGTATTCGCCTTCTTAGTCTTAACCCTCCGCCCCTCCTTATCCGTAACAATCTTCTCATTATCACTCCCCGCAAGACTGACATCCGTACTCTCAGCCGTCTTCTTCCGCAATCCAATCTCCTTCTCCAGCGTATGACCCAGCTCCTTGGTCATATCCGGAATACTGGCATCCGTGCTATCGCGCGTCACAGCCTCAATCACAGGCTGGTTCTCCTGGTCCTTATCCGGCATTCCACGCCAGTCAGCCGGATCGCTTTCTTGGATAGGATCACCCGGTTTCGGCTGACTGATGGGTCTGCCTTCTGCCGGTGCGCTGTCTGTGCTTTTCTTCCCTTTCGCTTCGCCAGTCGCACTGCCTTCCACAGTCTCAGGCGCTGGATACCGCCATACAACCTTCAGCCTGTCCAAGGCTCGGACGCCTTTCCTCATACTCCCCTTGATCCCGTCCATGGCCTCCCATTCTGTTTCGAACACACCAGAGTCATGCTCGGCGCCGCCTTCGAAGTAAGGGTTGAACCAGATGTGGGCGACGGATGTTACCATTGCGAAGCCCGTGTAGGAGGCCTTGCTGCGGCGTTCGAGGTCGATGTTCACATCGGAGCTGGGGACGATAATCGGCTTGTGGGGTTTGAAGATCATTGCGGAGACACTATGGCTCTGTGAAGTCGTTGTTGCAGAGATATCAGACCCGGACGCCATCGGCGACCAGGTCTTTGTCGAAGGTAGTGTGTTCCCAGTAAGAGTCTTCTTAATCCTCGAACTAGACTTGGATTTGGAGGTATCCGTATCACTCCCCTTGGTACTCCCCTGCTCCTCGGACGACGAACCCCCCTCTGCAACGACAGTCCGCTCATCGCGATGGAAAAGATGGAAGCACTTGATCTTCTTCCCCTCATCCACATACCCCTCCACCGCAACCTTCACCCCATCCCTCAACCCCCACACATGGATCTCCAGAATCTCCACCGGCCGCTCAACATACTCCTTCCCCATCTGATTCGCCCACCGATCGATATACCCAATATACCGCATCTGGCTGGGGATGCTCACGCCATTCCCGAAGCCCACCCGCATCCGCCGCTCCGTAAACCGCTGCAGTGCATCTTCTTTCTTCCACCCCTCCTGGCTGATCAGGTATGCGCAGGCGATCGTCCCGCTGCGTCCCTTGCCTGCCTTGCAGTGTACGACGGCGACGCGCTCGCCCTTTTCCGTCTCTGTAGAGGATGTCGACCCGTCGAGTCGGTGCAGCCAGTTCCGCATGCTGCCCATGATGTTTGGAATCAGCGCAAATGGCGGTGGGTGGTGGTCGGGCCAGGGGTAGTGGTGAATTCGGTTGTAGACCTCTGAGTCCGGGTATCCGGTGCCTTCGGCGCGGAATTCCCAGATACACCAGTTTTTGCCATGTTTTGTGTCGAGGAAGCTGACGAGTTCGTCGAGTGGGTTGCGGTAGGCGCGTTGCGGGTATGTTGCTGATGGGCCGGAGGTCGCGATTACTGGGGTTGGTCTGGGGTTAGTTGGGTATTTCTGCTGGTCAGTCGGTGTTGAGTTACCTTACAGTTGTTTGTCACATAGCAGAGATCTAGGCCTGCTTCTTGGTGTTGCTGTCTTGGACCCGCGACTATCTGGCGGAGAATTGAGGCCTGGGGAATGATTAGCATTTGTGGCGACTGATAGGATGGAGATGGCCTACCATTGGAAGTATTATGGTCGCATGTGTGTACAGATTCCTTTCACATGAATGTCTGAACATAAATAGGATGACAATACTCAGTGAATTGTATTGCAAGCCATTCTACGCGGCAGGAGAAATAGTTGGGGGCGGATGATGTCATCGCAGTCAAGCTCCAAGCCTCAAGCCTTAACAGTCCTACCCAAGTACTGTGTAGTAGTAACTATACACACTGTGTGTAGCAGGAGATATCAATTTGTACAGTTCCAGCCCTAGATACATATCAGAAGCGCAATATGTCCATCGGGATTCCCAGATCCAATTGCGCCAGCGCCAGACAAGAAGTTTGCGCGCGCAACAACCAAGAAAGCAGACCAATTACACAATACATTAAAACAGCGCGATTCCTCCAAAAATCAAAAGTAGACAAACTAAGAGTCAAGTACAAGAGCTCGAGCAAGCTCAATCAAAGTATTCAAGCAACACCGTACTCCTGAGTAGGTCTCATGACAAACCGGATCGGCTTGTCGTCAGGCACGGTCACATTCTTCGAGCCGTGCTGGTACCAAGTCGCAAGGGAGTCGTCCGAGAGCCAGGTCTGCCACGAGTGAGTGACATCAACGTTCCAGTCGGGGTTGCCCGCTGGAGACACAATGGTGGTGATGTTCTTGTCATCGCAGGAGACCTTTTGGCTTTCGACGCCGCTGCAGTGGGTGCGGAACTTGGGGGTTGCTTCGTTTTCGCGGCCGGCGATATCATAGTCAAAGACGCAGCCACCCTTGGAGCAGCCGATTGTGAAGTTGGAGACGGCCCAGATGAGGTCGTCGGTGATTGTGTTGACGTGCAGTGTGGAGGGGAGAGCGGTGGTTAGGCCCGCTAGGACAATGGGGAGGATGTTGGTGAGTTGCATTTTGGGATATGTGAGTTTTGAAGGATGAATGATGATGGGTGAATACACAATGTGTGAGGTTGTGTAGAATAGGGGAGAGGTTGGGGAAGTTGAGTTATATAGTTGAAAACGGCAACTCCCCTACCCTTGGCTCTTGGCACGCGGGATGGCGGCCGATCATTTTCAGGGGATTCGGCATAATGTCAATGCGCTTTCTTGGTTTTTGCTTTGAGGTCTCGAGATACTCGAGTCGTCCTTTAACCTTCTTATGTGTCTTACACAGTACTCTCCGACGGTTACCCCAGAATCGTCATCGAGTGTCTTTAAAGTGGTGTGGGACTATTAGTGCTATTAATAGTACAAGGCCAGGGGGATCCACCAAATGGGGTCCATGTCAATGATACAAAGATCCAGGAGTCTGTTGAACAGGTGACGATGTGAGAATGTAAGATGGGAAATAACGTTGCCACAATGCTAGAGGCAAATATTGAGGTGATACAGAGTTAAGGGAAAGAGGCTATAGTACAGAATATGTTCATGTCGACCGAGGTCGAGCTGGTGCAACGTGCCCAGCAAGGGGTTTTGTGCTTCATGGGAAGTAGCTTGCAGCTGAGCCGCAGATGATAAGCAACGTGCCGGAGAAAAATGGTGATCGAGATTGAGACATGCCTCTCTTCAAAGGACATTATCAGTTTCACTTGGACTTGGCTGGGTTATTTTCGGTGCCACCTGCTTCCCAGTCGCCCCAACCCTCTTCTTTCATGTTGCGCTCGATGGCAAGGCGGCGCCGTTTCTTCTTTCGACGCTCTTTGTTGTAGTTGCGTCGCTGCTCGTCTGACATATTCAGTCGACGAACCGCCGGGGGTATAGGGTGGCGGCCTGCTCTCTCATTCGCTTCTTTCTCCTTCTGTTCCTGCTGAAGCTGATCATCTAGCTTCTGCACGTCGTCTCGAATCACGGGGTGATACTGCAGTCGCATCGCAAACTCGTCTACAGACCCCGCACAAATATTGCGAATTTCCGCCTGCGTTTCAGGGCTGAGTGAAGCGTCTCGCTTGAGCAGATCTTGGAAATACATAAAGCCAGAGCGGAAATTGCCCGCGTCCAGACACATCAGGATGATGGACTCAAACGTGACGCCGTTGGGTACCACTCCAAGTGACGCCATCTCTTTCACAAGGAACATTCCCGATTCGCGGTTGCGGGCCGTGCGGCACATCCGAATGAGCGCATTGTACACTCGAACGTCTGCCCCTTCGGGGCATAATGTATAGAGCTCTTTGTAAAATCCAACGCCATCGTCCACGACGGATGGATCATCATGGGCATCATGTTCACACAGGTCCGCGATGACGCGGACAGAGTCGATGGGAATGGACCGTTTCGCATTCTTCAATTGCTTGAGGATCTGCCAGGCCTCCCGGCGATCAACTTTATTTTCAATCATATACGTTAGAAGACTCTCAGTCGAGGTATTCGCTAGAGTGATCTCAGCCTCATGCATAGTGCAGAGCGTTTCGAACGCAGCAGGCAAATCACCGGCTGCCACGTGCGTCTCGACGAGTCGTTCATACTGAGTGCGATCAAGCTGGTGCCCGCCCTCACTGAGGTAACGGAACACAGAGCTGGCGAGCTCTGTATCGCCTGCATTTGCAGCTATTTTCAGCACGTCATCGCAGACTTCGACCGGCGGATGCATGTAGCCCAATTCAACCATGCGCCGCCACACATAGTGAGTCATAGGGTAGTGAGCATGCTTCCCTGCCTCGGCCAGCACGTGCATCCAAAGCTGCCGGGTCATGTCGTGGCCCTGGTCGACTCGCGCCCGCATCACCTTGTACACCTCGTCCAATTCCTGATGATCACAGAGTGTGTAGACAATTATACTGTGTAGCCAGTTTTCCACAAATATGTCCTTGCGCTCCATCAATGCAACATGCTCGAGCGCAAGCTCAAGCTGATTCTCGCGGAGAAGACCCGCTGCCACAAAATGCCACCCGGCCGGGCTCAGTGTGAGCCATCGGCCTCGTAGCTTGTTCAGAATTTCTTGTCGTAGGAGGTAATCCGGATGTACAGCAAGAACCTGGGTGAGATTCTACCATTAGCTTCCATTCGAACTCATAGCACCTTCCCAATCCAAGATAACCTACCTGCAATGCGCCGTGGAGTGTACCCGAATCCGCAGTGATGCCGTTATTCTCCATCTCCTCCAGTAGCCCGCGCACAATCTCCGGCGATCCCCTCTCGTTATCCGTATTCGCAAGGATCAGTGCTTTGTAGTGTCGGGCATTCGGCTGGACATGTCGGTCCCGAATGAGTAACCGTAGAATTTGGGTTATGTGTCGTATATTCGGCTTGTTGTACATGACGTATTGCAATCGGGCCTCCAGTCTGTCGTTTGGCATCCCTAGAAGGTCATCTTGCACCCTGTGTGTTCGTGTGTATAGTGGGAATTTGCGTCGCATTGGCGGCCCCGCGTTGGGTGCATCTGAAGACAAAACAGAATCGCGGCAAACATTCTCGCCTGACTCTCGTGGTCCGTTTTGGTCATTATTGTGTGTGGTATCGTATGGGGCTCTGTCATTGTCGCCTATCGAAGTATTGTAGCATCGGCGCGTGACCGAGCTGGCACTTGGGATCGGCGGGAGCGTATGGAGTTTCGGGGCTCTTCCTCTGGGTTTGGGAAATGTCGTTGACCGACTGAGGCTTAGGGCGGAGAATGATGGATACAGAGAGTACCATAGTCCATCAAGAACCAACCCCCGCCGTGCCATATCCGCTTGGTGTCTGATCGACCAGAAGCTTGGTCTCCGCGGATTTGATCTGGCGTTCGATATCACGTGACAGGTCCGATTCCTTGCTATGTGCCGGAATTGCGGCCAAGTTTACATGGGGAGATATGTGAATCTAGTTTGTATTTTTCGGAAATAAAACATGTAGAGGTAGTTGTAAATCGACCAAGTGACCCAGATCCCGTGAAAATACAGAGCCAGATACGCCACGGCCATGCTCGATCATACCATTCCACCGTACCTTGCGAGCGACCTTACCACCGTCTCCTCCGGGGGTATCTCGTTGCCTTCTTCTTAAAATCATCATGCAGAAACGGGTTCATATCTAGTTGGGGCCGGCGCCACCTCGTCCCCGACCGCGTCCACCCCGGCCACCACCACCACGACCGCGGCCCCGGCCACGATCGCCATCTCGCCCGCCGCGACGGCCTTGTGGTTGGTTCTGTTGCTGCTCCTTGACAATCTCGACAATTTCTTCGGGGACTCGTAGGTATTTGATCTGGTGTGTTTGTTAGTATGCGGCTGAATAGCGGGGCGAGTCCATTGTCGTTGGAGTGCGTACGTTGTTGCCCCGGATGTAGACTTCGGGTAATCTGAAGAAGCGGTCACCCTCTGGGCTTGTCTGCACTACTTCGCGCAGGATCAGGTTCATGAAGTTATCGCAGGTGACCAAGTGGCCGTTCAGAGTTTCGCCATTCTTGAGCTCCACCAGCATAGGGTGGCCCTGTGCGGCCGTGAGGAGACCGAGAGGAAGCTGTACATATATTGCTTTAGGGTCTGACCGTGTAAGGACATTCAGGTAGAGCTGGAGCTTACCATTTTGGAATGCGATTGACGGGATGTGGGACAGTCGGATGACGCACAGTCGAGGAAGGTGCGGGTGCTGTGTCGGATTCAGGGCCAAAAGGAAATTCCGAGAATATTATCAGAGTGAGAACCAAATAGAGAGGCCTTTCTGTTTGTCTGGGGATGTTTAGAGTAGCAATGGATTCAAGCAAGCTCCATCAGATGCGCCGACGAAGAGCCGGAAAAAGGAAATGCCGAGCCCCCGTACAGGTCTACCGTCTGACCGACTCTCTGCGAATCCTCTGTTTTGATTCTTGATATGCGCAGTACAACATAGCAATTTTCGAACGTATCATATGTACGGGCGGCGATAATATCTTACGAGATCTGAGGTCATGATAGGAAGCGGAAATACGCCGAAGCAGAAATATCAAAGTTACTCGAATGTGTGTCTCTCCTGTCTCTATTTCCACCATAACTCTTTACGCCCCGTCTTCACGGTACTGGCATAATGGACTTCGATAATCTCGCGAAAGAGCAGTCAGATCGAGTTTATCTAGTGTGGATCCAGAATCTACTCAGAAACGTACCAGAGGAGTTGGCAGGCAAGCTTGCTTCCCAGCATTATCCTGGCACGCCTGTAACGGCTTCCCGGCTTCGAAATGGGGCTTTTAACATTTGCTATCGAGTCACTTACGACAATGGTCATCGCGTTGTGGTTCGCTTTACAGCCCTTGGCCGAGCCATCGCTCGTAATGAGAAAGTTGAGGACGAGGTCTCAATAATGAATTATGTTGCTCAGCACACCACGATTCCCGTTCCAAAGGTCTTAGGACATGGCAAATGTGCGGTTGGCCCGTACATTGTGATGTCATTTATCGAAGGAGATACATTGAGCGGTTACCTCAGGGATCCGTTGCAGGAGACAGCCACATTGAGTTCAAAGATCTCGATGTCTGTCTTGAAGAGAGCTTATTTCGGCATGGCTGAAGTGCTGCTAGAACTGTCGAAGCCTGAATTTCCGTACATCGGAGCTATCAGAAAGGACGAGTCAGGGGTTTGGACTGTGCCAAAGCGTCCACTCACTTTCAACATGAATCGGCTTGCTCAATTCTCCAATATCCCACACAGTGTCTTCGGTCAACAACATTTCAGCACCGCGGCGGATTATTTTGAGGAGCTCGCTCAGCAGCATTTCTATCATCTTGAATTCCAACGTAATGATGCAATTGCAGACAGAGCCGACTGCCGGAAGAAATACGTCGCACGCTGTCTTTTCCGCAAGCTTTCACGTGAGGTATCAAAAGCTCATTGCAGTGGCCCTTTCCGACTCTATTGCGATGACCTTCACCCTGACAATGTCCTCGTTGATGCATCAAAGCTTGTTGTCTCCGGGGTGGTCGATTGGGAGTTTACCTATGCTGCTCCTGTTGAATTTACATATGCTGCTCCTTGGTGGCTCTTACTGCAGCGCCCCGAGAACTGGGATGACGATCTCGAACAATTTTTGGCGCGCTTTATGCCAAGATTTTTGAGATACTTCAGGATTGCGAGGCAAGAAAAACCAAGGACGGATCCTTGACAGAATCTCAGCGTCTCTCGACTTCTATGGAGAGCTCATTGGAAACTGGACTATTTTGGATTTGCCTTGCTTCACGACATAGCTCCATGTTTGATGAGATCTACTGGACCTTCATTGATCCGCGGTTTTTTGGTCCGTTTACAACTATTGAGGATCGACTATGTCTTCTGAGTGAAGAAGAGCGTGAAAACATAGACACCTTCGTTGAGAAGAAAATGCAGCAGGCAAGTGCGGGCAATTTGCTATCTCATTACAGCATCGATGAACTGGTTGATCTATAAATGCCATTAGCGGATATACTTATGTCGTGAGGTTCCAAATGTCCAGACAATGGACAATTCTACACAGGGCATGGACTAGTAACTGCTTTCATCGATAAGATTGCAGATATCATATGGGTTAATGAGGATTACATAGTACATAAAGGGTGTCCGGGTGATGATCCACAGTGCTTAAATCTTCGGACGTTTGGCCGCCTCAGATTCGTCCTCCTCGTCATCATCCTCCATGACCGTGAGCTTGCGCTTGACACGTTGGTCCCGGCTACCAGTTGGGGCCTTGGAGGCCTGTTCATTTGCATTTTCCTCCGCCTCTTCATCCGTTGGGACTTCAGGCAAGCGGCCCTCGAGAGCCTCCAACGTGATCTCATAGCCTTCCTCCACATTTTGAACTGTGGCATCGAGCTTTTCCACCCGGTCCATAAGCTCCAGTTCGGTCAGAAGTTCTTTATGTTTCTTAAAGAGACGCTGCTTGGTTAGCATGCGCCACCAGTAGTATCGTCGGTCGTTTTCATTGTCGGCTTTGTATTTCTTGATCAAAAGCCGAGCGAGATTTGTGCCGCCGGCCAGGCGGTGGCTTTTGGGAATCTGGCCAAGGAGGTACATCTCTAGAACGTGCGCGAACTGAGTTGGTTCGATTTTGAACGATTTTCGAATATCATGTAGCAGTTTTGTGGGGATAAGGGCGGAAGTGGGCACATTGCGAGGGCGCTTCTTTTCTGAGTATGCGCCAAGAGGGTCGGGATTGAGATTCACGTTGTGTCTGAGGAACTCTGGCCGCAGCAGACAATAATCAGCTGTGTCCCGGAGCGCATCGAACTGTTCATTGGGATCTTCAACAGTAAGCTCCAGGACGGTCGGGTCTGCGATACAGGCCGCGTGGATTGTGGTATAAAGGTGGGTGCCGTGGCCGGCGCGGTGGTGTGAGGGGAGGATAAGGAACTGGGCAATGCGGATGCGTGAAGGAAGTTCAGCGATGTCGACTTCTGATGGAGGGAACTCGTCGTTCTTGACTGTGGGCGTCTCTGATTGATTGCGGTGGTAATACCAGTAGCGATACGTCGTGGCATATCCGACGATGGAGTATGCTGATGCCGTGGGCGTTGGAGGAGTCACCTTCTCATACCTGGAAAGTTGATCAGTCTGAGATTCCCAATGTCAGGACGGCTACGCATAACTTACACGAAGTATACCGTCCACCGATCAAGTGTCCATTCCGGATCATCTGTCTCCAAGGGAGTCCCGGCTTCGATGAAAAGAGACACGAGGACCTGCATGCGATCCAGGATCTTTCTCACATCCGGGTTCCCCAATGATCCAGCCCATATCTCATATTTCCTGTCATCCGCCTCGTAGCCAAGTACAAATTGGCCCGGAGGCTTAAAGTCTTTGGCGTCTGGGTCCTCTTGAATCGCCTTCTCATAATCTGGAAGATTGGCAAATGACTCTGTACAACATAGCGGTCAGCTGGTATCGAGATGGCGTCAAAATGTCTAGACTCACCTGGCTGAACGAAAGGCTTCAATGTAGCAAGGAGGTCCAGAGCAGCTGTATCGCCGACCGGTTTGAACTTCTCGTCGTAGGAAATGTGAACATGAGGGCGCAAGTCGTGAGCTGCAAATCGCAGACGGATAATCAAGCCCTTGTAGCCAAAGATCTGTTCATCGTCGCCGAAAATTGGGTATGTGAATTGAGGGTGAAACGCAGAAAGTGTCTTCGGCTTCTTCTCGCCCGGTTGGACGATGGTAACATGGACCGCATCGTTGGCGTCGCAAGACCCTAGAATGCGCAATTAGCTCACATATTGGCAAAATATTGATAGTATCAGCTTACATCCAGCTTCAGTCGCCATTTCGCGGAGATGGTGAAAGTTGTAGGTCAAGAGACAATGTGACTGCTGAGGTTGAAAGTGAGACGCGAATACACGCGCCATCTGGACCACGTTCCGGCGCCTTTGGTCTTACCTAATCGGGATCTGAGCCCGGGCCCGGACCTCAGAGGTCGCCCCACCAGAGCTTCTACACAGTACTACTGTACTTCATACTCTTAACTCAGAGCTGGGCTTGGATATCATATCAATCATATGTCAATTATTATTCAATAAGATCACATGATCCTATCCAGTTCATGAATTCGCAGTCACTTCATAAGTTGGCTAATCTGATCCATATCGCCACAAATCCACCGGGCTTCATTGCCAATTACCACGAGGTTTTTACTCAATATTGGATATGCACTCTTGGAAGGATGGAATATTATTATTATAATATAGGACTTTTTCCTGGTACCGATGAATGCTTCGGGTACTGTGTTGTCACAATCCTCTCTAATTCTTGGCTTTGCATCAAGCAGGAACAGTGGAAGCATAGCTCGTTTGAAGTCGTTTCTGCACACAAGTGCGGCGACCAGGACCAAGATGCTCGAGGATAAGGATTGCATAGGTTGAGATACATGCATGGTAAATCTTTTAGCAGACTAGCTGGTCTATGGCATGGCCCTGATTGACAGATCTGCCAGATATCGACCAGGAGCCTGCATATCAGTGCCTAGCTGTAATTCCAGTGATCATGGCTTGTGATACCACGGCCTCCGTTATGTCCTCGTCGACTCAATAAGCGGCGTAATACCGTGAAACCGGAGATATGAGTGATGCGCCTGCGAAAATTGGCGAGGGAAGTGCCAAGTGGTTTCTAGGTCGATCTACATCGACATGCGGCTGGAACCTTAACGACGGCCTTACACACAGCAATGGCCCCACTTCCCCATCACTCCGAGAGTCCGAGGTAGGGCTCTTGATATTCCGAGAGAAGCCTTTACTGTCAAAAACCCTGAGGTGGAGGGCACCTTCCGCATCATTTGACATTTCCTTAGTCTTCCCGCCGTCGTTGTCCAAAGATCTACCGAGAGCAGAACTCCCAAGGCAGGACATCAGGTAGCAACACAAGCCAGACAGGAAATATCAACAGAATCCAGGGTCGGCTACCATGCGCAGCAGCTTGACGGGTAGCTTTGTTAAAGCATTTGAATTGGGATATCGCTGATATCCCCGAGCGCTGGGGACACGATAGGCACGACAGGATATCAGAACACCGAGTGACCATTGTATGTCTTCAATGCCCTGGTGATCTGCCAATGTTTCGCATTATTCGTATTTTACCATCCAGCATAGTACCTGCCACGCCTAGGTTTTCAACTACCCAAGGATGCCTCCAGTGGCCGGTTGAATGCTCAGATGCACTAGATATGGTTGGGGACTGGGGTGGAAGGGCTTTATTCTTCATCCATGTTTAGCTGAGTTTCAGTAGGCCCGGAATATTTGCATAGAGACATAGAAAATATTGTAGACGATAGGTATAGCATAATTGCTAAAGGGAAGATGCGACAGCAAGAATGGTTGTCGCACTCGGCCGTCCGATTTGAACCAGACGTGTGCCTGACTACACGTTCTAGAACAACCTTGGAAGTCAGCCTTAAGCCCTATGCATTGTCACTTTCCAACAGCAGAGTCATTCTGATCACAGTGATCACTGATCAGTAGTCCCTGGAGAATACCTTTTCGATATTCCCTACACCCCCTCCACTGGGGTTGACGGGTCTGGTATGTTGTGATTGAAAGCGGTACCTGACTACGTGGGTCCCCCGACCTGGCATCCACATCCAACACCTTGGCCTCTTACGCAACCGCATTCTCTTCTGGACTGCACCTTTAATCTCCTCACCATGATAGAGATCCCGTAGAGCTCTCAACTGCGAAGATCATCATGGAGGGACTTTTCACCCTGCTCGCTTTGAGCATTGTGATGGCAATAACGTGAGCCACCTGGCCTAATTTTGGAAGCCTCCAGTTTCGCTCAACTCAAGCTAATACCCTCAATTACTGCAGATCTTTTGTTGTCGGCTCATTACCTCTCGCTTTTACGCTCTCCCCGTCTCAACTCCGATTGATATCGTCTATTGGCATGGGCGTTCTGGTGGGAACGTCTTTGATCGTGATCATCCCAGAGGGCATTGAAACTCTTTACAGCGCGAACTCTCTAAGTCGTAAACAACACAATGCGCGGGCTACCGTCGTCGAATGGCAGCACCAGGCCCCAGCCGTGGCAACTACCTTTGGCGCCAACGGAGAAAGCGCCTCGAACCCACCGTCCGATACCCCTGTCACAGGTCTGCTTTCGGAACGAGACCAACTCTCCGGAGAGTCGCAAACAATTTATGTGCGGAAGGAGGATTCGACGAGTGAAACTTCGGACAAAGAATCAACCCACGAAGACGAGGAGAGTTCCCCGCATGCGTGGGTTGGAATTGCGCTTATCAGTGGGTTCATCTTGATGTACCTCGTGGACAAATTGCCCGAATTTGCGGCGCCCACTAAGGTCGAACGGACGCCTTATCATATCTCATTGGATAATCTCGGCTCGGGGCTGCGACGGGGCTCTACTGCCTCGCGCGAGGGTGGCCTACTTGATGCACAATACGCCTCAAGACGTGGACATAGCTTTGCGACCACGACTGGCCTCGTGATCCATGCTGCGGCGGACGGCATCGCTCTAGGTGCTTCCAGCTCCGATTCCGGGCTCAGTTTTATCATCTTCTTGGCGATTATGGTGCACAAGGCCCCGGCGTCCTTTGGACTGACCTCTGTCTTACTCAAGCAGGGACTATCGAGTCGCACCGCGAGAGCGCACTTACTGGTCTTTAGTCTTGCGGCTCCCCTGGGTGCTTTGGCCACTTTCCTCTTTGTACAGATGATGGGGTCCTCCAGCGCTGATGAGGCAGGTACTCACTGGCGCACTGGAATGCTCCTTCTTTTCTCGGGAGGCACCTTTTTGTGAGTTCTATTCCTCGAAGCACATGGATAATCAAAGGTTCTAATCTCTCTAGGTATGTTGCTATGCACACTATGCAAGAAAACGGCCCGGGCTCGTCCCCGCGTGAACTTCCTATCAACGGATACGGTGATCGAGACCAGGATGGATCTGACAAGTCGATGAGAGACTTGATTGCATCCGTTTTGGGCATGACCTTGCCGCTATTCTTGCAGATTGGACATGCTCATTGAGCAATCGCCGCATCCATCAGGATATGCTGCAATGCTCTTACATCTGTTTTAAGGGGGTTGGACTTTGGAGGGCTTATACCCATTTGTTACAGGATTACAGGCTGAAGACCATTGGAGGTTCCAGCCGAGACAAGATTGAGATATAAAGGAGGCTATGTTCGATTAGATTTCTTGTATAACTGCCTGGGAGTGTGTCTAATGTTGGTCATAATTGCATGGTATCTCACGATCACATCTACGTAGTTTCTTGCCCTACTTATAAAGGTCTCACGAGTTCCGCTTCGTTGGCTGGAATATGACATTTCCCCCGGGGAATCCCTCATCTTTTAATCAGAATGTCATCTGGGTAGTGATGACAAGATTCGTCAGTTCTCGTCAGTCTGAATCATTCGGGTTCGAAGTTGTTCCATGGTCGAAACGCCCGATAGCCGCATGTCCACCCAAGGACCTGGGACTTTCTTAAATGCGATCGAACTCAGTCTGTTCTCACGATAGTGCTCACTTTGAGGTGGATCAGAAAAGCCGGGCCAAAGCGCCTGGCGGCCTCCGTGTCTTGGATTTTATTGTGGCTTTTCGACGCCTCCCCGTTGCCTCCTTTTGCCATGCCCCAAGGATTTGTTAGAAGGCAAAACAAAAGGCAAAAAAGATGCAGAAAGGAGACGATCTGTTGCCGGATGCATAAGATCCAGATAAATCCCATCTGATTAGTCCGGAGACGCCTTGCTTTGTCAGAATATCACGACACCTCCGCTTGGAATGGAATGTCCCTTTTCAATCATTATCGATATTTGAGATCTTTGGCAGTTAAGATCGATCTGATCTTGAGAAAAGAATCAGATCAAATATAAAAAATTACCCAACGGGAGGAAAATAAGAAAAGACGAACCTCGAAACCTCCGGAGTATTATTGGTCTCACCTCCTTCCCTCGGCCGCCAGCCTTCCTTCTTACCCCCGACCTCATAACCCCGACTCCCCGACTTCCTCACCACTCTATGCCGGCCGTGAACGCTAGGAGACTCGGTGTGTTGCATCAATAACTACGAAGACAAGTGGGAGGATCATACTCGGCTGTGCCGGTCTCCCCCCTGTTCTGTTGCTATGGACACCCATCGGGCATCATTCAGCGACATGGACGATGGTTCAAATGCGCACATATCGGAGCAGTTGAGTGCTCATGACCGGCCCCACGACTCGGTCACTACCTTCGTCACTACTCCATCCCGATCACTCAGCACCAAAAAGGCCGTCACTCCTATACCCGCCAACCTACTTCCTTCGGCGCCCGCATCACCCCCGACACCTGCGCCTAGCCCTACCCCCCACCAACGTTCTTCAAACTGGCCCTCGGCCGACGACGAAGAGAACAGCTTCCTTTTGAATCTCCGCCTGCATTTCAGTACTCTGTCAAACGCTCGAAAACATAAAATCCTTGAGGGTCTTTTGGACGTATGCGACAGTCAACAGTTGAGCTTTGTGTCGAGTTACGTCGCTCCTAGGTTGAGAAAAGACCCATTTCAGGTCTTTCCTAATGAGTTATGCCTAAGAGTATGCTACTTGGTTCGAGTGTCACTGCGCAGGACTAATGCTGAATCTTCATTTAGGTTCTTTCCTTCATCGACGACCCGAAGACCCTCGCCAGAGCTTCACAAGTGTCACGGCGCTGGCGAGAACTACTGTCTGACGACATCACATGGAAAAATCTATGCGAAAAACATGCATACTCGGTGCGGCGAGTTTTGGACGATGAAGGGGACCTTGTCGACCCTTTCACCGCCCATCCCGTGGACGCGGCTTCCGGCGCACGCACCTTCAGCGGGTTACAGCGGCGCTTGACTGCGTCAACTGGCCAGTCTACTGAGAGCGCGCCAGAACTACCCCGCACGCTTTCTGGAGAATGGTTGCCTCCGACCACTTCCCCTGCCCGACGACGCCGGACACGACCTGTATCTTACCGCTCACAGTTTAAGCAAAAATACATGGTTGAGTCTGCGTGGAACAAGGGTGGCCGCTGTGTCCAGCGTCATATCACACCTGATCAGGGTGTGGTGACGAGTCTGCACCTTACCCCGAAGTACATTGTGGTTGCGTTGGATAATGCGAAAATTCATATATACGACACCAACGGCGACAACCAGAAAACGCTGCAAGGTCATGTGATGGGAGTATGGGCGATGGTCTTATGGGACGACACTTTGGTTAGCGGAGGCTGCGATCGCGAAGTTCGAGTATGGAACATGGCAACCGGGTAGGACAGAATCCCCACGATTTTGCAGGGTACGCAGACTAACGCCAGATAGGACATGCTTACATCTTCTTCGTGGTCACACATCAACGGTTCGTTGCCTGAAAATGTCCGATCGGAACACAGCTATCTCAGGATCCCGAGATACTACTCTCCGGATATGGGATTTAGCTACAGGAACCTGTCGCAACGTTCTCGTTGGGCACCAAGCTAGTGTGCGATGCATTGCAATTCATGGTGACCTAGTTGTATCGGGCAGCTATGACACGACGGCGCGGATTTGGAGCATCTCCGAAGGCCGCTGCCTACGCACCCTTTCCGGCCATTTCAGTCAGATCTACGCTATTGCCTTCGACGGTCGGCGGATCGCCACGGGGAGCTTGGATACTAGCGTCCGGATCTGGGACCCACAGTCTGGACAGTGCCATGCCATTCTCCAAGGACATACATCCTTGGTGGGTCAACTACAGATGCGGGACGACACGCTTGTGACTGGTGGCTCAGATGGTTCGGTCCGTGTCTGGTCGTTGACCAAGATGGCGCCCATTCACCGTCTTGCGGCCCACGATAACAGTGTCACTAGTCTTCAATTCGACAAAACTCGCATTGTCAGTGGTGGTAGTGATGGCCGCGTCAAGGTTTGGAACCTACAAACTGGACAGCTGCTCCGGGAGCTTTCTACGCCTGCCGAAGCGGTATGGAGGGTTGCTTTCGAAGACGAAAAGGCAGTAATCATGGCGAGCCGGTCTGGCCGCACAGTTATGGAGGTATGTCGTTATGGTCTCTAGGAGTCACTTCATGGAGATGTTACTAACTCATGGCAGGTGTGGTCTTTTTCTCCGCCACCAGAAGACTACGATGATACTGCTATCGAGAGTACCTCTAGCACGCCAGGTCTAAGATCTGTTAATGACAATGAGCTGGCCCTTCCACCTCGCCGTCGGACCCTATGCTCCGACCCGCCACCCTCGATTCCACTAAGCACCGATAGCGACTCACTCATGCCAGATGCACCTCAATAATCTCTTAGCATTTACCGATCGCATATTCTGCCATCTAACGATTACGCATATCCATTTTCTTTGTCCGATTTCTCTCCCATCTTTTTGAGCGCGATGGGTTTTGTCAAGGGGTGCTTTGCCCTCAGAATGTGCTGGCGTTCCTTACTGCCTTGGTGTTTCTAGAGCACTAATTGGTTGCATAATTGGTGTTGCAAGTCTATGCTGTGTCTTGTCCAGAACCATGTTGGAGTTGCGAAATCATTACATTCTGTGTGTTGTGTCTGCCATGAAGTGTTTTGGCGAGCAAATGATACCTTTCTGAACTGGAATATCATCTATATACCATCTAGTGAATTCAATATCAATCATCCAACTTCAATTTCAAGTCCGGCCGTAGACAATGACTAATCAGATCGCTCGGCTCCGGTTCAAAAGGGTGTGGGCTGATTCATGTGAAACTTGACATCTGCTAGATCTTAACGCGAGCGTTGTTCGCTGAAATACCCAAATCTGTTTTGGAAAAGCGATTCACGCGACACGCATCCATTAAGATGTACATGTGCTCTGCTCGGACTAGGAAGCCGAGTTGATCCAGCTATAAATGACACACGGCCTCGTTGGACGTTTGTGGAACCAAGATCAAGTCCGACCTTTCCGTGATCCACAGCCCTCTTTGTGGCCTCTGCAGTATCTGCAAGTATCGAAAGGTTCCATCAGACGACTGCCCGCGGGTGAACAATGGTCTATGGGGGCAAGCCAAGTACCGGATGTTACCTGTGTCGCAAGCGGAAGATAAAGGTATGTCCCGACTTTCAACCTTGTTTCATCAGCTTTATCCCACCATTGTGTACCTGTATCAGTTCTGTAGTGTTATTCGCATGCATGGAAACTCGAAGACAAATGCTAAAAACCCCTTAGTGCGATGAAGCGCACCCGGGGTGCCGCAATTGCAGCATCTATGGCCGTCCATGTCCAGGCTATCGGCCCGATGCTGTCTTCCGCAACGAGAACAGTAAAGTAGAGCGTCTGGTGAAAAGCGGCTCAGCCGTTAATTCGGACGCCCACAGTAACCATGATAGCCAAGTCACCAGCGTCTCGAGCGCGGACTCGTCTGCATTGTCATTGTCCAGTCCACGCAGGCGACACGCAACCTCCCATGCGAAACACCATGGAAAGTCTGCGCTGACGCTGTACTCGCCCGCCGATGCCAGCTGGGACCAGCGTGCGCTGTGTTACTTCTTCGATCAGTACACTATCAAAGCCGATGCCGAAGAGCCCGGACATCTGGACTATCTGCCTCCGCTGTATGCGCGTGAACTCGGTCGTCAGAGCGGCGAAACGCCGTCGTCGTGTTTGAAATGGGCGGTTGATGCTACGGCGCTGATGACTCTTGCTAATGCGAAGAATGCGCCTCCGCTTATGATCAAGGCAAGGCAGCGGTATGGACGTGCTTTGCGGAGTGTGCGGGAGGCGCTGGCGTCGCCGGCCCTTGCGGCGAAGGATGAGACGTTCGCTTCGGTTGTTTTACTGTCGCTTTATGAGGATATCGCGGGTGAACGAAATGGCTTGTTCAGCTCGCATACTGCGGGCTTTGAGTTCCTGACGAAGCTTCGTGGTAACGCGCAGATGACTCATAAGCGTGGGAGGGATATGTTTCATTTTGCTTATACACATACGGTATGTTCGAAAGGCCCGCTATGACTCTGCATCTGCGCAGAACTGACAGCTATATACACATAGTACGTTGAAATCCTCGCCTTGGGAGATAAACCCCGCTTCGATCTCGACTGGGCTCTCGGCATGCTGGACAACAGCAACCCAGTCGAGCGACTCATCATCGGCGCATCAGAAATATGCCACTTATACGGATCTATCCGATTCGCATCAAAACTCCCAGATCAAGCATCCGTCGAATCGTGGATCACAGCCGGACGCGAATGTGATCTAGAACTCTCCCGATGGACAGAGACGCTTGCAGACCGCTGGCTCCCGCTCGTCGTCTACTCCTCCCAGGGTGAGCCCCTATTAACCTACAACCGGCTCTCCACCGCGGTTATCTGGAACTACTACCGCGCCGTGCGCGTCATGCTCCAGCAGCTCCTCCTCGAGCTAAATCGCACACTCGCTACCATTAAAGCGGCCAATAAGCAACCCTCGTCTGCCAAGGCGAGTGATACACCGTCTGAGTCCGCGCTCGACGAGGAAGGTGTGCGGGCAGTCATCCGCGAAATGACAACGGACGTCTGTCGGAGTATTCCATTTGCATTGGCGGATGTCGACTCCCTCGGCCGTCCTAATAATAAGTCTGAGGGCGCGTGGCAAATGCGCGCTGCACAGGGCTATGGCTTGCTTTGGCCTTTGTGGTATATTCTTTCCTGTGGGATGCCGACTCCCGTGCAGGTCGAGCAGATCCGCACTGTGTTGATGCATGTAGGGTCTACGCTGGGGATCAAGTTGGCGTGGGTTCTTGCGCGTGAGGCGGAGCGTATGAGGGAAGAACAAGACATGCAATGGGTGAATGGTTGATGCATTTTCTGTAGGATTTATTGTTGAGTGGAATTACTTCTAGTACTTCTATAGGTCTTCTCGAAGCATTCTTGATTTGCCAAGATCCCCTGAATCCATCCCTTGGAGGTATTCACGCGAAAATTCCGCAAAGTGTCAATCCGCAAGACTTTACACAATAGACCTCTGGATCCATCTACGGTGTAGCATCAATACCCAATTCATTTCCATTTTTCCACCCTTTCCCCATGAAAGAATTGAAAAAGTCATGCGGCGACTGCCCCTCAAATGAACCCTCCAAGCCGAACCCAGACCGGGATGGGTTCCTTCTACGACTGGTCCAAAGAGTCATCAACTTCCTGCCAGAGGGATGCGCATTGCTTTCATGTTCATGTTGTTGGCTGCCAGTATGTCATTTCCTTCTATGTTACTGGTCCACATACTAATTTGCTAGACTGTTCTGGATTTCCTCCTAGCGGGTTCGGTGGCCGCTAACAGCCTCGAACGACTGCGAAACGCCTTTCTGGCGATTTCCATTCTGGCGCTCATCTGGGGTGTGTGGGGTGAGGGACTCAGTCGTAGAATGCTGTTGCGCATCTCACTCTGTGTCGGATTGTTGGCTTGGGAACATGTGAATCCGTGGGGGAAGGTCGGTAGCGGTGGAGAGCATAGCTGCCATTGAGTTCTAGAAGGAAGGTTCAGATGAATGCATTTATTGATTCCACCATTTTCCCCTCTCTCAGGCTATGCATAAAATGCTTATTTACAGTAGCTGGGTCTGGGCGCCGACCCGCTGGGAATACAACTGATTTTCAGGCTGGAATCGGGCCGCTGTTTGCTGTTTTGAGGCGTCGATCATGGGTCCTGACTCCTGACAGATTATTTGATGAGATGTTCGATAGCCTCTGGCGCTGCAATGAGTATCTTTTCATAAACGACATATTTCTCTCCCTTTGCACAATCCGGCTAAATCGGCCTGTATTCCTCCAGGTACGGTCCAGGCCTGTTCAGGGCTGTCCCGACTCCCGAGCTTGCCGGATCGTTATCATTGACGTCATCACCAGATTGCGAGGACATCTATGTTCTGAACGTCTTTCAATTGAATTGTAAGAAGATTGAATAGAGGCATAGATACAAGAGGGCCAAGTAAATAAAGATCTACAGTTCGAAGTATAAAAGTAAGCTCAATCCAAGGAGACGCTAACCCTGGTACTGGTGAAGTCAAGTGATCGCCGATAAAGACGGAGAGGGTCGCTGACATCATTGCCAACACAGGTCTAGACATTGTACTTTATCACTCCTGTTCCCGCTACATTGCGGATACCCTGTAGAATAACACTTTTTTTCCTCGCATTATCGCATATCCTCCTCTTCAGTCATGGCTACACAAGATCGCAAACTTCCCCTTGGGAAGATCGAGCCCAATTCGCTCAAGTATTTCCTCAGCTGCGGCCTAGGTGGAATCATCGGTATGTTCAAGCTCCTCGTATAATCGACAAAGAAGACATGTGCTAACAAAGATACTCCAGCTTGTGGTAGGTGACAAATCTTCAGTCTACTGCTGGACATTCAACTCACATCCAATTCTAGGACCAACCCATACAGCAGTCACACCCCTCGACCTAGTAAAATGCCGTCGCCAGGTTGACCCAAAGATCTACACCTCCAATCTACAAGCATGGCGTTCAATTTTCGCCAAGGAAGGCATGCGAGGTGTCTTCTTCGGCTGGTCTCCGACTTTCCTAGGCTACTCTTTCCAGGGTGCCGGCAAGTACGGGTTGTACGAGTACTTCAAGAACTTGTACGGAGACAAGATGTTCCCCAACTCAAACCGCACACTGGTTTTCCTCGGCGCCAGTGCTTCTGCCGAATTCTTCGCCGATATGGCCCTCTGTCCAATGGAGGCTATCAAGGTCCGCATGCAGACCACCTTGCCGCCGTATGCTTCCACTCTGCGCGAGGGCTGGAGCAAGATTGTCGCCAAGGAGGGCTTCGGCGGTCTGTACAAGGGATTGTATCCCCTTTGGGCACGACAGATCCCGTACACGATGACCAAGTTTGCGACGTTTGAGGAGACGGTCAAGGCCATTTACAAGACCATGGGGAAGCCGAAGGAGGAGTATGGTCAATTGACCCAGACTGGTGTTAGCTTCTTGGGTGGTTATATTGCTGGAATCCTCTGTGCTATTGTTAGCCATCCGGCAGATGTCATGGTCAGCAAATTGAATGCCGATCGGAAAGGTGAGCTCTTTTGTTTTCCTCGCTGTCGTGATGTTGTGCTAACTGCCCTTTTCTAGCTGGCGAAGGTGCAATGACGGCTGTATCGCGGATTTACGGAAACATTGGATTCTCCGGTCTGTGGAATGGTCTGCCTGTTCGTATTGTGATGTTGGGTACTTTGACCGGTTTCCAATGGCTCATGTGAGTGTTGTCCCGTCCTGATCTGACAGTGCGCAGTACTAACATCCGTTCAGTTATGACTCGTTCAAGGTATTCCTCGGTCTTCCTACCACTGGGGGTCACTAAGTGGCATTAAGGATTTCGGAAGTTTCTTCTTTTCACCCTGTGTTTTTGTCTTGTTTGGAGCAATTGTACATAGCAAGGAGTTTGTATGGATAAATGTTCAGATGAAATTGATTGTGTAGACCGCCTTTGATATCGCGGCAGAATCATGTTTGAAGATCATTGTTGGCGACCTCCATTTAGTACTTCCTCAATAGACCCTCTTCTCGTCAATCGACTCATCGACACTGTCATCCGGAATCAATCACCTGCGCAGACAGTTACACTATATATCCCACCTCATCTCTGATTTTCCTCCCTACCTTCATCTTCTCCAATCCGCATTCCGCACAACCCCCTTCGCGTCGTGCAATTAGCACCGACAAGCACCTCAAACCCGCACCACCGGTCTTACAAACCAGTTCCGACATCGTGAATCCCCACGCCAATTCTGAACATCCCCATCAAAATGGAAGCCTCCCGCCAACCCCCCTCGCACCCACCCGCCAATCCCCCCAGCGTGGAGATAGCCTACAAGCGCAAATGCATCTCACTAAAGAAACGACTCGCGGAAGTCGAAGCTGAAAACGAAATAATGCGCACCCGCAACCGCCGCGGCAACCAATACATCCAAAAAATGCGCCTGGAAACCTGCATGCTCCTCGAGCGTCTCGCCAAAGTAACCGGCATGGCCGACGAAGCCAAAGCCGGCGCAAACCCCGAGCTCCGGGCCCGCGCCGCCGCCATGATGAACACCGCCAGTGCACCGGGTGCCGCCCTGCTCGAGGACGACACGGAGGGTAGCTCCGATGAACAGCCGCGGACGGTACGTAATTCCATATCTGAGGAACACACGACTTCGATTCCCGAACCCGTCCCCGCTACAAAATAAATTTTCGCTCCTACTTGCTTGGTATCCACAGGCTAATACTCAATTCAGCCCGAGGAACGCCCGCTGCGCGTTAAACGATCGCGAAAATCTAATGCCGCGGGTCTCGATGGTCTGGATGAGGATCACGCTCATGATGCTCATCCCGAGACTGATTCTGCTACTGCTGCTGCTGCTCTGCCGCGTCTGGCGCCGGCTCCGACGCAGGAGTCGCTTACGCACTCTTTCCGTGTGCAGACTGGTAGTGGTGGTTCGGCAGATCAGACCCCTGTGGCTGCTGAGACGGTGCCTGAATCTGGGACTACGCCGATGGATGTGGATAAGGAGGTGACGAAGGAGGCTAAGGTTGAGCAGGCTTAATTGGGGTTTTGGTCTTTGGTTGCTTGGTTCTGTCTCATTCTTATTTCCTCTAGTTCCAGTCGTGATGACGATTATCTTTTTTTTTTTTTCCTTTACTTGTCTTCGGGGTTTATTCATCGGGTTCGGATGCGGTGCTGGCTTTTCCTTTATTTCTTTTTCTCTCCTCTGGTGTGTCTGTGACTGCGCCTGTTCACTATTATTACTGGCGTTCAGGTCTGATATGAGGTCTATCCGAAACTCATGCTGAAAGCATGGTTGAAGCAATTTGGTTCCTACTTGGAGATTGTGGTAAATGCTCCCGTAGAAAGTCACATTTACTCTTGCTAAAGCTTGGAATGTGATGATAGGCTATACATCTGGTCTTTGCCTTCGTTCCACCCATGCTTATGAGAAAATGCCAATGCGAACTAGTTACGAGTATACTACTCCTTTGGTAGGAAGCGCCATGAAATTGCACTGACTGGTCATTGAACTGCAATTGATTGACAACATCTTTACAGATGCCAATAGCCATATCCCAACGCCTTTTGCCTCGAGTCAAATAGCACACGCGCCACCCCGATACCAGTAGGACAGACGACATAGTATTAAAACAAGAATGGGATATGATTATCTGGATATGGATGTGATGCCTTCTTCATGTACAGGTGAAGGCTTGTCGGCTTGGAGAGATTGATACAAGTGGCGGGGGAATGATGAAATGGAGCGCATGGCATGGGCTCGGGCCTGTGGGTTCAAGTTCCCCACGCAGTCAGGCTGACGGGATCTTCTTCAGTCGAGGATGATTGCCCCTGGCATGCAGCTGTGTCCCTTAAATTATTGATGTAGAAAGGGATGCGGTGTATGCATGACATATGAGAGATATGCCATACATGTCATGATAGACCGGTGTTCGCGGGGAGATTGAATGCCGCGACAAGCGTGGAGTGATGGTAGAGCACATTATCTGTCACTCTAATCCACTCCAGCATAGAGATCAACGACAATGTTGATTGCAGCCACGAGAATCTCGGCGGCGATTAGGACGATAACTGTTATTCGTTAGACTGGTCCACGGAGTATCGTGATAGATGTAGTGAGACTTACCAATCCATTCGAGATATTCGCCATGGCGATGTGTCAATTGATCCTTTAGAACCGCAAGAAGATCCGCAATAACGTCCAATCGCTCCGTCAGCAGACTAACACGCTGATCCATCTCCAGGTAGCTTCGGACGGCTTGGTAGACAGGCTCCAATTGCGGCTCTGCCCAGAAGAGCTCTGGGCTATCGAGCACAGACCCCTGCAAGTGGATATTGATGCGGAGAATGAAGAGCTCTCCAATCTGCATGTTGATTTGCCGACGAGTCAGGTTGACGCTACCAGTTTGCGCAATCTGCGCAGGTAGCGGTGCAGTGTCGGTGATTGTTTCTGACAACAGATCCTCGAAAAGCGAAGTCTTGACTGATTGTGCCAGGGCATGGGAGATCGCCAGCTTGACCATATTGTTGCGCGGATCGCGAAGAGAGATGAAGTCGTTGTAGATTCTAGCTTGATACTCACGCGCATAGTAGAAGTTGAAGTTCTCAATCTGCGTGTCATCAGGGCTCAAGATGGATGTCGCAAATTTCGAGATATCGGACAAGAATCGCGATTCTTGAGCAGGAGTCATTCCCCATATTACGACCGTTCCATAGTCGAATAAGAATACTTCAGGTGTGTGGATGGTGGTATCAATATCAGGAGTGTCTTTGACGACCGCTTGTTCGGCGTCATTGGAAGAGTGACTCTCCTCGTGCAAATCAATCAAGTCCTCTCTTCTGCTCTTCTTATTGTCTTCGACCTCCACTGCGCTATCCGAATATCTCCGTTCGCTGGGCCGCCTTTCGTGGTGTCCATTGCCGCCCGCGTCCTGGAATAACCGTGCACCGTTTTGTTTTTCTTCGTATTGATAATCGAAAGGAGAGTAAACGCACTCATCGTACAGCTTGGGGTTGGCTCCACGAGTCTTGCTTCGCGATTTAAGGAATTTGATAACCCCCTCGAGTCGATACGAATTGGCCGTGCAATAGGCTGTCACTCGGGGTATGCGATCGCGGTCGGCTTTGCCCAGTCGAGCGGCATGGCTTCGTGCGGCGGGGTCCTTGATGCGAGCGATTTGCGAATATACATCCCGAGGGAAATCCCCATCCACGCCTTCTTCCTCCTCCGTCACGGGGTCCGGCAGCAGCTTTAATTTTTGTGCTTTCTTTGTGGTTCGCTGCGGTCCAATCTTGGAGGCCGCGTGTACCTGGTTCGAGGGAGTGGCTAAGGGAGCTCCGTGGCTATTACGGCGACGAAGCTTGCTATTCAATGCTGAAAGCATGGGCTGGCTACCGGGACGAGGTTGGCCCTGGGCGTTGACATTCTGCACAGGGGGTGAGCCGGTTTGTAGGGGGCGAAACGTGGAATCGGAGGAGGAGGCAGTGCCACCATATGTGCTGATTTGCGTGAGCGGGTTGAATGATACCGTCCGCGCCGTCCGGTTTGCCTGTGGTGACGTATTGGAGGCCGACTTCTGATGCTGCGGCAGCAGAGGAGAATTCTCTGCAGGAGCCATGGCGAGTCAATTTAGATATGTAGAATTAGACGACAAGCGCCATTGGCTAAGGGAGTAGGGAAATGAAGAGAGAGGGATGTGAAAAAAAGTCGAAGCTGGAGCGTTGGCAACCTTGGAAGCTTTCTCAGTGTCCGCCTTAATAATCGTTGGAATCAGGTGCCCGTGTCCTTGGCGTTTTTGGACTGATGTTTACATCTGTGCCATCGAGACTATCTACTACACAGTATTTATATTGTGATTATTCTAATTCGCATACAATTATGGCTATTCACTAGAATTTGTTTATAATTTTGTTGCCAGAGGTTAGTCGGCATAAATGACTGAATCCTATGTACATGACTCCTAAAATCGAGTTCAAGACCAAGCTCTACTCCAACCGAACTCCATGCAATCCTAGTAACAGTCGGATAAAATCCCCAATCCCGTCGATCTATCACAAACTGGCTGCAGTTGGCGCGGGGTTGGTTGCATACCCAGTCGACACCGACTTTCGCTCTGCGCCAATGGGGTATCGAAACCCTCGAGAGGGACATCAATCGATGACAGTGAGCGTGCTCCATTTCGTGACACTAGCAAGTTGTACATTAGACTTGCGACTATGTTTTAGATATGCGACATTGGAAAAACATCGCTTTTGGTGGCGATACAATGTTGCCATCCATTTCACCGGCGGACAAATGCAGAAGGACCGCCTGCTTTCTGTCGGAGCCCATTGCGTTGGGCTGTAGTACGGGCCTTCTGGAGCATGCTAGTCTTGAGGTTCCGGCCAGCTTTGGAAACCCTGGGGGGTAGCGCGGGCTTTGTAGACTTCTTCGTAGACGGCGCATCGAGCACCCGGATATTGACATCTCCCAGGTTAATATCCTTGGGAAGCTTATCATGCTTGTCCCAGAATCTCAACTTATTTGACTTCTTGGGCAGAGCAAACTGGTCTTCGGCCGGGGGTGTGGGAGGGCGAATGGCGGGTTCGGCGTTCAGAATGTCATCAGGAAGCAAAGCCGGAAGAGCCGCCCGTCGTGCATCTTGAGTGGTAATGCCTTGGATGGTAGCTGTGCTCTCGGATTGCATATCATCGGCTGGAGTCTCTTTGGTCTTGAGAGCCGATTTAGCTTGCGATTTGCGAAGCTCATCGAGTTTCCGTCGCTTGTCTCTCTTCTGTTGCTCTTCTCTGTAGTAATCGTAAGTCAGAATTCTTTCACCAAGTGCGAGGAATTACACATACAATTGCTTCGCTGCTTCTTGCTTCTTGGCCTGCTCCTTGATTTTCAGAAGCTGGGCAGAGTTATCAATAGTCTCTGGTGCGTCGTCGTCGCTGTCATCTTCGCCGTCATCGTTCTGGATTGGTGTTTCCAAAACTTCTTCCGCCGGTTCTTCGATTGGTTCAGGTTCTTCACTGCCAAATCGAATCTTCTTACCCGCAGGTGCTGTCTTTGCGGGTGTGTTTGTCGTGGCGTCTCCATCGCTGGCCTTCAGGTCGCTTTTTCTGCGCTTGGTCTGCTGAGCTTCGGGTTTCCCAGCGGTCGCTACCTGAGCCTTGCGCTTTCCATTCGCACCTTCAGATGCGATAACTCCTTGTCGGGTACTTGTCACCATCTTTGCGTTGGTGGCAGTTGAGGTGCCACTGAGATGTGTTTCTGGTTCTTCGGGTTGTCGTGTAAATAGACCCTTGGCGGCAGTTACCATGTGGGTAAACATAGAGTGTTGAAAGTTTGATAAATGAAGCAGTCAGCCCAAATGGGGAATCAGTCGAGTTAATCGAGAGGGCAAAAATAAAAAATCTCTCGGCGAGCAGGATTTCCCGAGAGCGGAGACGATAAGGAACTCCGCTGTTATCACTCCACCACATCTATCTGAAGTATTGTAGGCTTCACATTGGCATTGTGTGGATAATTATGAGATTTTTGATGTATTATATCTTGAACCCTGTTGTCTAGTACTGAAGCTGCATGTTGAACCTCTTTATCAGCCCACTGGTAAGGTAGGTACTCAAAAATGCATGAGCAACCTACAAAACTATGTCTTAACCCATATCAGCAAAGTCAAGGATATATAGTAGTCGATGGAATGGACAGGCGCAATCCATGGAAAGTCCTATCTATTCCAATTGGGTACATAGGCTGCGGGGTGAAATTGGTCCTTCGAAACGGCAGTGATTGCATGTTCATCCGTTTAGAAGATACATTACTCTTGGAAGAAAAAGTTGTTGTGAAATATGTAAATTGATGCTTCCTTTCGAGGTGCTTAAGCCCTGCGCAACCTTAGGAGGATTTCTTCAAGATATCTCCATAAGTAGAGTATAATTTCGACCAAGTCAGCTCCGTGTCAAAGCAAACAATCAAGCGGCCACCATATGCAAATAAAATCCCACGCTGTGTATAAACCCCTTTTGAATACCGTACGCCTTAGAGACAGTTCTGACGCCTAGACAGTAGACCAGACCTTAAAATCACGATGCAAATGATGGAAACGTATGCGCCCACTGAAGTCTTAGTCTTTGGCACTGTAAAGCGTCGTATAGAACTCCTCGTGTTTGCGAGCGCACTCCGCGCGCTCCAACGCCTCTTCGCGAGCTCGAATGAAATCATCCTCGCCAAGCGGACTGAGTTCTTCCCACATCTGGTTGTACTCATCGATGTCGCTGCCGGTCATAGCCCACATGCTCTCACGCTGACGCTTGTTGCGCTCGCGGTCCTCCTCAATGCGCTGCTCGATCTGTCTCTTATCAAGACGCAGCTGGGGCTTTTCAGACTTCGGCTTGCTGCCTTCGGCGGTACTATCTTGTTCGAGGTCAAGGTGGGAGGGGTGGGAGTCGCGGTCTTTCAGAGCAGCGTCAATCTCGGCCACGGTTTCGGCGCTGAGAACCTGCTTTGCTTGGAGCCCGTTTAGGACGTGACGGACGTGCTTGACATTGGCTGCACCTGTGCCATCGGCGGGAACGACCGAGTCCACCACACGGAGTATGTCTCGCTGCATCATGCGCACATATGGGAGGTAGTTTTCCTTGATAGCCATTTCGCAAAGGTGTTCAATGAAGTACATGATATTCGCGCGGTTGTTGATGTTATTCTACCGTATAGATTGTCAGGATAAATCAACATGATGAATAAAAGAAGTCTTACCCGCTCAAGTTGCTCTAGAATACACGAGTGGAGGTCCTCGTCAAGATCACGGTATTTCAGCGCAAAATAGGCGGCTTTCTGCGAAGATGTCACAGCAGCACTGAGGTGCTGTAGCTGCGTAGTAAACCGCATGCGCACCTCGAAAGGATCAATCATCATTATTTCGTCTTAGTCGTTGACATCGTCAAGGACTTGACAGCTCGCTAGGCCAAGACATGATAGGCGAAACACGAGGGCGGTGAATTTAAAAACGACAGAAAGATGTGGGGTGTTAAAGCGGAGAGGAGGCATACCCACCCTGGTGACCCTAAGCGGGATGGATGCCAACAGCCTCAGGTAAGTGGTAAAGCCTCAGGCAAGACAACCTTGGAAGGTTACCAGAACCTTTCAGAATGCATACCTAATTGTTTCAGACAGATCCAGAATGGTACGTGGATTCTTACAATAAAATGAACAGAAGATAAGCACTTTAGGTATTTGTCTAGGACTCTAAACCAACATCCATCATACAAAATGGAGGAATATACAGGCCAGATGGGACAATTATGATCAAAGAGAATCCCGCCTAAGGGAACTACTGAGATCGGGCGTATCATCCCCATCGAGCAAGCCAACTTCTTCAGCCTCGTGACGATTTTCGTAATCCCCATACTGCACATCGCGAAGTGCCTCTTCTCGGCGATACTCCACTCCGTTTAGCACTGACCAAACGTCTTTCTTGGTCAACAGGCCTTGTAGAATACCCTTATTGGCAAAAAGCACATAACGTAGGCCGAGACGTTGGAACATTCGCAGAACAATCAAGAATGTGATGTTACTGTTCAAGGTCATGGGTGTTTGGTCCATCCAAGGTCGCAGATCAAGGGTATCAATAGGATCCGCGAAAGGCTGATGTGAAAAGAAAACCTGTGTTTCATCCGATAGGTTGCGGGTGGTTGGATTTGTTGAGTATTTCAGAGCATAGGAAAGCTCGTTGCGAGTGATGTAGCCTAAGAGGATAGGACTTGAGTTTTCCGAGACCACAGGGAACCCGCGATACGTGGTGTTAGCTAGGAGGCTTCGAATCGAAGCAATAGTGTGGCCGGTTGCAGTGATGACACTAAGATCATCCACAGTTGTCATGACATGATGCGCAGACACATCGGGCGGAGTGCTATCATCACGATGGTCGAGGAAAGGATACTCGTTTAGTCGGATCCATGACTCGTAGATACCTCGCTTTCCAAAGATATCACCGCACCACTTAGACAACATCACCGCAATCATAATCGGGATGACATATGTCAATGCGCCAGTCAATTCAAACATGATGACGACAATCGACAATGTCATTCGAGTAGCGCCACCAAGAGCAGCAGCAGCCCCGATAATCGCATATAGACCAGGCGTAACGCATGGAATGTCTGGCTCACATCTTCTGAACATGAAAGCGTTCGGATAGGCTTCCTGCCACATACGGACCATGATGCCTAGCGCACGTCCGTAAAGAGCACCGATGGCAACTGATGGAAGAATAATACCCGCGGGAATGTCAAGTCCGAATGTCAAGGATGCCAAGAAAAAGGCCAGCAATGCAGCGATAACCAGGTAAATTGCCACACCGACAGAGGCAGAGCCTGTCGCACAGAGACCAAATCGATCATATGTCACACTGTTACACTCAGCGAACAGCGACTGAACAAGCTCCGAGTTCTGAGCCCGCATGAAGTGATTCGGATAATTGACCAAAGCTGTAATCAGAGCTACAACAACCACTTCAATGACTGGCCGCGAGGAAGTTCGACTTCGCCTCCACTTTGTTATTCCTGTATTTAGGCGGATGAGGAATGCACCGTATAGACCGCCAACGATACCAAGAATAATGAACGGGATGATCTCAAAGCGGTGCCAGCCTCGAGTGTAGGTGACTTGATACAGCACAATCTTGCCCGTACGGAAAGGATTCAAAGCTTGTAAAGTGACAGCTGCGACCATGGCGCAGACGAAGCTTTGCCACATGGTCTTGTCTGGGAAATAATATGAAAGTTGCTGGAAGAGTCAGCAAGAAATTAATCAGTACAAGGTTGATAACGGCTCCTACCTCCAGACTGAAAAGAACACCTCCGATCGGTGCGCCGAATGCGACTGAGACACCTGCTGCAGCAGCCGCTGAAAGGACCTCCCGTTTACGGGCTGTGACATGAGTAATAGCTCAAAATGACAGAGAGAATCAACAACTTACCTTCGTTGCCTCGCAGACTGTCGAAAGGTTTCATGAGGATATTTGCACAGCAGCATGCAACGTGCACAAGTGGGCCTTCCTTGCCTAGCCACAGACCTGATGCGACAGACAGACACTGATTATATTCAGCAAAGATACCTTCAGGATTGAGAAGATTCACTAACCAGACCGAGCGATTTAATGGCAAGTGTCCATGGTCCCATAAAATGTTTGATAACAGTCCCACCAAGGATCGTTTTGATTTCGGGGATTCCACTGTGTCGAGCATATATGGCATATTTCCGCACCAAAAAGCAAGCACACGCAGCAAAGAAGACCTAGCCATCGTTAGCGGAGCCGACAAAGCATGAGATTCAGAAAGAATTACCGAAAACACAACATAGAAGATGTATCCAATCGTATATGTTCCCCCACTGGAGCTGGTTCCCAATGCCTTTCCCCAAGGCGTCCAGTCGAGACACTGAGAGTGATCTATGTGGAATTAAGACTTAGTATGTGACATCCTGAGGCTTGACGCCATCGACTTACCATCAAGGCCCCAGCAGCAGAAGCTCTTGTTCAAGTAGAACCTACCACCCCCACTGCCATATTTGCAGTAGCCGGCCTTCAGGTCACCCAACCAGTCTGTTGCGATGTCGATAGAAGCAGCGATGATTCCCACCGCAATGCCGGTCGCAATCAGCACCAACCAGACATTGCTCGCATCAAGTAGTCGGCGAGCAGGGCCTAATATACCTTGTCCGCTCGAGTATAGGAGCCGTTTCCTTTGGCGCTCCTTTGTGTACTCATAGATCCAATCAATGGCGGTGAAGTCGTCGTAACCCACACGCCGTCCCGGGCCTTCCACGTACCAGTCTGATGGTCCATCGTACTTTGACCCCTCCGTACCAGTATTGAATCCTGCCGGCCCATAAGGATCGGGCGATGCATCTCCGTTCTGACCACCTCGCGGCGCTGCAGGGCCAAAGGTAGCATCCGATCCGCTAGCGGTAGGGGAGAGAAGGCTAGACAGACTGAACCGTGATCGTTGTTTTTGTTTTCGTTTGAAGGATATCCTAGATAAATCGTCAGCACTATAACAGAGGGTGGAGTCTCCAAGACATACGGCTCATGTAGCCCCTCGGCTTCCCGATTCACTTCCTGAGGCTGGACGATATCCTGATCAGGCCTTGGTGGTGTCCAGGATTGGCCCTCACCTCCCGAACCCTGACCACTCGTTGGCATGTTGCAACATAAATAAACCGCGATATCGCGATACTAGCATCTCCTTGTGAAACGACACTCCGAGGACAGCTTTGTCCGACGCGCGATCGTGGCTCAAGCTCCGCGATCAAAGGCGGTGGGGCCCGGGTCCAGGTGGGGCTGCGCCACAGGTGGCAGAAAAAAAATGTTGGAGAAAAGCCGTATGAAGCGGAATTTCTTCACTCATTCAAACTTCACTTAAAAGTTCCTCATACGGCCGGATTAAACATGGATCGGAGGCCGGTCTATGAGAGAACTCTTTCAGAGTCCGAGCTGCTCGAGCAGCTGCCGAGTGGAATCTCTACTTTCATTCGGACTGCATCGGGGACTCAATACCTCCACGCGCTTGCGCTTAGCGCATTAAACAACGAATTTACGGAGAGCATTTTCAGACTCTACGAACCGATTTTTGTCGATCTTGCAGCCCGATGGCTTCAATCGGATTTACATGCCGACTACATTCATGTATTAGCGGCGTTTGCGCAAGTCTTACCATTTGCACCGCATCTGCGGTCGCTTGCCAGTCAATATGCCTCATCACAGACTGGACCTTTGGCGGCACTGGCCGTGTCGAAGGAATTAACATTGCTACAGTTGGACCAACCTAGCATTAGACTCCTACTGCTCGCCTTATTCCGACTTCTCTCTTTCGATCTCGAAACGTTCTCTCCCCTCGTTTCACCGCTTCAACTTCAGTCCCTCTTCCAATCCCAAGACCAAGTGACACGATACCTTGCTGTAAGATGCTTTGCCTTATATATGCATGCGGCGGATGCGGCGACAGAGAAGATGGTCCACGTCAACACTGGGACAGATCCCATTGAAGGAGAGTGGGAAGGCACCACGATCGATTATCGCCTGCTAGGATTGTGGGAAGAGCAACGATGGGAATCTCTCGGAAAGATTATCAGAGACACAAGGCATTGCAGGACAGCGAGTGAAACTCTGGCCTTGTTTGAGAAGACAGGGGGATCTTTCACAACCAAGACTGCAGAGATTTGCGGAGTTTTGGTTCCCAGAATGAAGGACACGCCCCCGGCCCCTTCGTCTGTAGTCAAGACCGAGACCACTGTTGGGAACTTGCGCCGGATTGCAGGGTCATTACTCGGGTTCAAACCTATCCTGCTAGTTGGTTTGCCTAACTCGGGAAAGACCTCTTTGATTAACGACATCGCTGGTACAATGGGTCAAGGCGAATCTATGGTGACGCTCCACTTGAACGAGCAGACAGATGCAAAGAGCCTGCTCGGAATGTACGCCACCTCGTCTGCATCTGGATCCTTCTCTTGGCAGCCCGGTGTATTGACCAAGGCCGCACGCGAAGGCCGCTGGGTGTTGATCGAAGACCTTGATCGTGCCCCCTCTGAAGTAATGGGTCTCATCCTTCCAATTATCGAGAGGGGTGAATTAACCATCCCCAGTCGGAGAGAGCGAATCAAATGTGCGCAGGGCTTCAAGATCATCGCAACTATGAAGTCGTCATACAACATTGCTGGCGAGGAGATCGCACCTACCACCTCAATGCTTGGAAGTAGGCTTTGGGAGCGAGTACAGGTGAAGTCTCTTGCTGTGGATGAGATGCGTGATGTTATCTTGCAGAAGTATCCTTTGCTTGAGTCTCGTGTGCCAACTATCATGAACGTTTACGGGCGGGTATGCTCTGCATTCCATGGAAGTCTTGCAATCAAGGGCTCCCAAGGCCGTACCCCGGGTTTCCGTGATTTGATCAAATTGTGTAGCCGCCTGCACAATCGTCTTCAACGCATGGGCGCGAAGACTGGCTATGAGCCCACATCAGAAGGCACCGAGGATGAAATATTCCTCGACGTTGTTGACGTTTTTTTCAAGTATTTGCCTGAGAAGTCAATGCAGACTACCCTGGCCGCCGTCGTGGCTGAAGCGCTTCAGATTTCCCCCCAGCGAGCCCAATACTGTCTAGAAGAACGCACTCCCACATATACCGACAAGAACAACAGCTTGATTCTTGGCCGAGAAATCTGCCAGAAGATAAAGGTACCGAGCGGATCTGCATTGAAGCTGGCCGCAGCAGCTTCAAGATTTGCTCCCACCAGAGCGGCCTTGTCACTTATGGAGCAGGTTGCAGCCTCGATCCAGATGGCAGAACCTGTTCTGCTTGTGGGAGAAACTGGTATCGGAAAGACAACGGTCATCCAACATCTTGCGACTCTGATGCGTCAGAAACTTACGGTAGTGAATTTGTCACAGCAGAGTGAAAGCACCGATTTGTTGGGTGGTTTCAAGCCCGTCAACATCCGTACAATGGCAGTTCCAATGCTGGATGAGTTCACACAGCTGTTCGAATTGACTTTCTCGGCCAAAAAGAACCAGAAGTTCTTGTCTTCTATATCGAAGAGTGCCGCCTCCTCCAACTGGGTCCGGCTGGTGACCTTATGGCATGAGGCCGTTCGCCTTGCCAAAGGTGTTTTCAACCCCCCAAATGTCGATTCTGAGAATGGCGATGAGCAGCCAGCCAAGAAGAGGAAGCTCGATTCTCCCAAATATCAGCACTTGCGGCAAAGATGGGAAAGTTTCGCCACTCAACTCGGAGATTTCGAGGCTCAAGTTTCACAAGGTGATGCCAAATTTGCCTTTGCTTTCGTACAAGGTAAAATTGTGAGAGCTTTGCGCAACGGCGAATGGGTTCTCTTGGATGAGGTAAATTTGGCTTCTCCTGATACCCTCGAGAACATCGCCAGTCTTCTGCATCACGGCAGTGAGGGATCGCCGTCTGTACTCCTCTCAGAGGCCGGTGATGTTGAAAGAGTCTTTGGTCACCCGGAATTCCGTATCTTCGGTGCAATGAACCCTGCCACAGATGCCGGCAAGAGAGATCTACCACCAGGTCTTCGCTCTCGATTCACCGAATTCTACGTGCACTCACCCGACAGTGATCTGAATGATCTATTGGCCTTGATCCAGAAATATCTTGGCGATTTGACGATCAGTGACCAACGGGCCGTGCCAGACCTCGCACAGCTTTACATGGTGACGAAGAAACTCAGCAACGAGAACAAGCTCACCGATGGAGCTGGGCAACGACCCCATTTCAGTATCCGTACTCTCGTTCGTGCTTTGATCTATGTCATCGACCACGCACACGTATATGGACTACGCAGGGCGATGTTCGAGGGTTTCAGCATGAGCTTTTTGACTGTACTTAGCCTAAACTCAGAGCGAGCTTTGATACCCTTGCTTGAGATGCACATCTTCGGCAATGCGAAAAACTCCAGGGCTTTGCTCGGACAAACTCCTCGCGCACCCACTGATGGCAATGAATACGTGAACTTCAAGCATTACTGGATGCGCCGCGGTCCTATGGTTCCGGAGGAGCAACCTCACTACATCATCACCCCATTCATCGAGAAGAACCTCAAGAACTTGGTTCGAGCAAGCTCAACTCGACGATTCCCTGTTTTGCTCCAAGGCCCGACATCAGCTGGAAAGACAAGTATGATCGAGTATCTAGCAAAGGTATCTGGAAACAAATTTGTCCGCATCAACAACCACGAGCACACGGATCTGCAAGAATATTTGGGATCTTACGTCTCCTCGGATGATGGAAGCTTGCGTTATCAAGAGGGTGTGTTGGTGGAGGCGCTGCGGAACGGTTATTGGATTGTGCTGGATGAGCTGAATCTGGCACCTTCTGATGTTCTCGAAGCTCTTAACCGACTCCTTGACGACAATCGTGAGCTTTTTATCCCCGAGACTCAAGAGGTTGTTCACCCGCATCCTAATTTCATGCTCTTCGCGACACAAAACCCCGCTGGTCTGTATGGTGGTCGAAAGGTTTTGTCCCGCGCCTTCAGGAACCGTTTCCTCGAGCTGCACTTCGATGATATCCCAGAAAGCGAGCTTGAGTTCATTCTGAAGGAGCGCTCTCAGATCGCACCATCCTTCTGCACGCGCATTGTTGCTGTCTACCGTAAACTGTCCTTGCTGCGCCAGTCCAATCGACTCTTCGAGCAGAAGAACAGCTTTGCCACTTTGCGTGATCTTTTCCGATGGGCGCTCCGTGAAGCCGATGATCGTGAACAGCTAGCAGTCAACGGTTACATGCTTCTGGGCGAACGTGTGCGCAACCCCCAAGAGAAGGCTGCCGTCAAGGCTGTGATCGAGGAAGTGATGAAGGTCAAACTGGACGAAGACACTCTATACAGCTCCACAGAGCTGCAAAAGCATGTCCCTCAGATGAGTGAGCTTCCCGCAGGTGTTGTGTGGACCAAGGCCATGAGACGTCTCTTCGTTCTCGTTTCGAAGGCGATCAAGAACAACGAGCCAGTCCTTCTTGTCGGAGAAACTGGTTGCGGTAAAACCCAACTCTGCCAGGCTATCGCGGAAGCTTTCCGACGCGAGCTGTTCATCGTCAATGCACATGTCAATCTGGAAACTGGCGACTTGATTGGTGCCCAGCGACCTATCCGAAACCGGGCGGCCATCGAGAAACAGCTTGTCGACGACCTTCAAATGCTCCTTCACGGCCAACCAACCGGCGCGTCATTCGATGAGTTGAAGCAGGAATTCACAGCATTGACTGCTGAGCAGCGTCAAGCCAAGGACCAGTCTCTTCTGCAGAAGATTGAGAAGAATGCCATTCGTTGCAATGCACTGTTTGAATGGTCCGATGGAAGTTTGATCACTGCTATGAAGACCGGCCAATTCTTCCTTCTCGACGAGATCTCCCTCGCAGACGACTCCGTGCTTGAGAGGCTCAACAGTGTTTTGGAACCTGCGAGGTCTATTCTTCTTGCAGAGAAAGGCCCTGTCGATTCAATGGTTGTGGCTGATGGTGGATTCCAGTTCCTTTCCACCATGAACCCAGGTGGTGATTACGGAAAACGTGAGCTTTCTGCCGCTCTTCGCAATCGTATGACCGAGATCTGGGCGCCTCAACTGTCTGATGATGAGGATATCTTGCCGATTCTCTCACAGAGATTGAACCTGAAGGAGGAGAATGTGGCGAGAGCTATGCTCCAGTTCGCCAAATGGTTCAAAACAACCTTCCAAAACACCTCTACTACCTCTCTCTCCCTCCGTGATCTTCTTGCCTGGGTCGATTTCATCAACACCTGCCAGAGCACCGATATCCAGTTCGCTATCATTCAAGGTGCCGCGATGGTCTTCGTTGACACCTTAGGTGCCAACCCAGCGGCAATGCTTGCCATCTCTCTCAATGACCTGGATGGCAACCGCAAAGCATGCCTCACCAAGCTAAGCGAACTGTTCAATGTCGATGCTTCCAAGATCTACTGGGAGTCCACTACTGTCTCCGCAGAGCCTGGCGTTCTGCGCGTTGGGCCATTCGCTCTGCCTACAGCTGGTACCGCAAACCCCGATCCCCAGTTCACCATGGATGCCCCAACCACAATTGCCAACTCTGTGAGAATTGCTCGTGGTTTGCAGTCCTCCAAGCCTATTCTCATGGAAGGAAGTCCAGGTGTGGGCAAGACCACACTTGTGACTGCTCTGGCCAGAGCTCTTGGCAAGCCTCTCACTCGAATCAATCTTTCGGAGCAGACAGACCTCACAGATTTGTTTGGTTCCGATGTTCCCGTGGAGGGAGGAGATGTTGGGCAGTTCACCTGGCGTGACGCGCCGTTCCTGCGAGCTATGCAGCGCGGTGACTGGGTTTTGCTGGACGAAATGAATCTGGCTTCGCAGTCCGTTCTTGAGGGTCTCAACTCCTGTTTGGATCATCGTCAGCAAGTGTATATCGCTGAGCTCGACCAAACATTCAAAAGACACCCTGATTTCGTTCTCTTTGCTGCCCAGAATCCTCACCACCAGGGTGGTGGCAGAAAGGGTCTTCCCGCATCTTTTGTCAATCGGTTCACGGTCGTCTATGCAGAGAGCTTCACGGATGATGACTTGAAAACTATCTGTTCAAGGCTTTTCCCGGGTAGTCCCTCTCTCCAGACTGAGAGGCTAGTCGACTTCATCTCCCTCTTGAACCAAGCGATTACGCGTGACCGTCGTTTGGGAGCTACTGGTGGGCCTTGGGAAGTTAACCTGCGTGATATCCAGCGATGGCTTCAACTTGCCGATCGAGGGAACTTGCAGATCCAGACCAAGCATTTCCTTGACGTCGTCATCAGCCAGCGATTCCGAACTGCGGAGGATCGTAAATTGGTCTGCCAAATATATGACCGTGTTTTCACGGACTCGGAGACTGGCCCGAACAGTTACTTCCACAATCTGACTCCCGAGTACTTGCAGGTTGGCTTAGGTGTTTTGACCCGTGATCCTCTTTTGCAGCACTTGGCCGAGCCGAACATGAGGATTCTCCCCAAGGACCTTCACATCGTCGAGTCACTTATTCTGTGCATTGACAACTCCTGGCCAAGCATTCTAGTCGGACCTGCCGGGTGTGGCAAAACCACTCTCATCAGAAAGCTGGCAGCTGTCAACGGTGCAAATCTGGTGGAACTCGCCTTGAGTGCAGACACTGATACCATGGATCTGATTGGTGGATTTGAGCAAATCGATCATCGCAGGGAAGTATCTGGCTTTATTCATGACATTGAGATCTTCTTGCGAAACCAGCTCATCCACTGCTTTGCTTCAGGAGATGTGTCTGATGTTGTGATTTCCGCCCTTCGCATCTGCGAGCATTTCCAGTCTGCATATATCTCTTTGGAAGACATGACGCCGTTGCTCTCCAGCCTGTGCCAGTCTTCTTCTGACCCAGCCTACCAACAATACCTCGAAAGAGCTCAGACTTTGTTGAATGCCATTCAGAAATCTGACAAGATGAAGGTCGGATTTGAGTGGACGGAGGGTGTCCTTACTCAGGCCGTTCAACATGGACACTGGGTAATCCTTGACAATGCCAATCTGTGCAACCCATCTGTCCTTGATCGATTGAATTCTTTGACGGAGCCGAACGGTACACTTATCCTCAATGAGCAACGGACGGAGGATGGATCTGCCAGAGTCATTACTCCCCATCCCAACTTCAGAATCTTCTTAACTATGGACCCTCGCAATGGTGAATTGTCTCGTGCCATGCGAAACCGCTGTACTGAGATCTGTTTCCTTCCAAGTGAGCTGCAAGACATTGAACCTACCGTGGGCCCATCGTATACCTGCGAATCTTTCCTCTATCGCCTTCGCCATATCTGGAATTTGGCAACGCATATGGAGGATGAAAAGTTCGTTGAGGTTTGCTTGGATCATCTTTCGCCAGCAGAATTGTCCTACCTACAACAATCGCCAAACAACCCTGTGGTCAATAGCGGAAAGGCCCAGTCCCACAATCCTCTGCAGCGTTACACCTCTTTGTTCCATGACAATAACCAGTGGAAGCCTCTTGAAATCACCAACGGCGAGATTGTTCTCGGAGGGGCTCACCTTGGTATCCGAGGCATGTCACAGCCTCTTCACCCGCTCATCAACGAGCCTTTGCTGGCTATCGCAGGAACCAAGGAATTCAGGTCCAGCCTGGTGGTCCTGGCCTATCTACAGGAGTTGAGACTTGAGATCCACCGCCTTAGGCAAGGATTGATACAAGCCGACGCTTCTGGAAAGGAGTTGAAGCCTAGCCAAATGACACGGTTGGAGCGTTCGTTGGCATCCGAACGGATCCCTGCGCTCATGAAAGACACGACGCAACCTGTTGCTTCCTTTTTGTCTGATTGTGGCCAGGCTCTGTATGATTACATTCAGTCCTTGGATCAAATCTCTCTTCAAGGTCCTGTGATAATCGCCGCCCTTCGCGCCGTGACCTGCCTATGCTGGGATATTTTCAGAGCCACGGAGGTGAGCCAGGTTGACGAAGGAGAGTTCCAAGTCTACCTCCAGATGGGCCGCAGGATTTGCGGGTCGTTGGCCGATTCTTCGCCTTTGCTCCAGCCGCTACAGGTCGCTCTCTCGCAAGCCCTGGATCGTTTCCAGGAAGGCTGGGCTTTGACGACCGGCCTCAGCATGCAAAGGATCTGGGATTCCTGGAGACATGTCACTCCTGTCTCTCAGAAGCAGTTGGATTCTTTGATTGAATTGGAGTCAACTGTCCTCGAATTCACAACTTTGGCTTTGCAGACCCGCGTGGAACTGTCTCAATTAAGTCGCGTGCGCGACTCATTGATTGATGCTCAGCGATTCATCCTCTTAGATGGCGCCGATGGGGACGCACTTGTTCAGGTAATTTTGTCTTGATCTGCTATCAAACTTATAGATGCTAACTATCAATAGGGTATCAAACAAACCGTGGCTGAGCTCTCCCATGCAGTCCGTCGCTCAGAGTCAATTGAGTACCCATACTTTGCCGATGACTTCGAAGCTCTGTGCCAGTACCACGACATATCCTCATTCTTCCAGAAGCCAGTCAATGATACAGTCATTCAGACGGTCATGCCACTTCTTGCTGGTCGTACGGCTCGTCCATTGGACGCTTCGAACTTCCAGAACGATGTCCCAAATGCCCTGCACAGACTCTCGCTATTTGCGGGTTCGTCAAGCAAATCAGGTTCTGCATTTGCTACCGGAGGCACCGTCTCTCTGTCGCTACTTGATAGGCTGGCAGCGATCACCAATACAAAATTAGGTCAGATGGATATGCTTGAGGCAGAGAAACAGGCTCTCTCCAAGGCTATTACCCTGAGCAGTCAACAGATCGCAACAGATCAGTCCATCGTCCTTCGACGTACCATCGCGAAACTCACAGCCGAGCTGGTTGGTTGCCATCGGGAGTTCTTCGAGCCGCGTTCGGCAGAGCATCTCATCTCCGTTCTGCAGGCAATCCAGGCCGGGAATCCTTGCGTTGACGAGCCGTCTACCAAGGTTGAACTGGATCAAACCCTAGGAAGTGCTCACTTCCTCAAGCCTCTCGCCGAACAGGCTCTGCCGGCTCTTGTTTCGTCACTGCAGGCGCAGTCATCAAGCCAGCAGCAGAGCATTCGGGATACTGGACTTGCAGCGGTGCAGCTGGCAGTTATTCTTCTGCGGCTGTTCGTGCCTGACAAGACATTTGATCCATCCCTCGGCCTCGTTGTTCAGCTTAAGCGTCACAATCAACGCCATGCAGAATTCATGACCAAGTGTAACGCAATCCTTGAGTTCGAGAAAACTTTCACTGGCCAGGCTTCCAACCTCCGGTCTGAACTTTTGATGGCTGAGATTCGCGATTTGGGTGACGCTCCGCCCCCTTCACTCGTCAATCGGCCTCAGCAGTCCCAGCTGAGTCTCTTGCAGGGCGAGTTCATCAATTTGATCAACTCTGTGCTGAAGAGGGATCCAGAGCAAATGGTCCGGTCTGCTCAACATTCGCGAGAAAGCCAAGATATGATTCAGCTCTTGCGTAATAACATCAAACAATTGAGCAACCGTCTCAGTGCCCATTACAGGTCTTACGATGATATCACTGTGCCTGTCGTCCGTTTCTTGCAGCTCTTGGACCTTGGAGTTCTCTTGACCTCCAGCCAGCCAGAACAGTCCGGCGATATCCCTGATATCATGACTTTGAGCGAGCGCACGCCATTCTTAGGCGGCATTGTTCACCCCGTGCTTACTCACAATGACGAGAAGCCTCCAGGCACCCTGAGAAATGCAAATGAAATGCGTCTTCAAGAACTATCTGCCCTCTGGGCGGCGAAGGACGCTGATCCCACTATCCTGGAAACAAAGGCTGGCCGAGGTATCCTTCTTCGCATTTTCGCCGACTTCCATCAACTCTGGAAGACCAAGCTCGAGGAAGATCGGGAACAGGAAGCCGAGAAAGGAGAGCTCTACCGCTTCAAGGGATCCTGGGAAGAAGAAGAGGAAGTCAACGAAGCTGAACTAAATGAACTTTTCCCTACCTTTGATGAAGGCTCAGCCGAAGACACAGGGGGCGTTGATTGGATCGAGCGCATTGACCCCAAGAGCATCTCCATTCGCCTTGCTTCACTTCATGCAAAGATCCTGTCAAAGGAGTGCACTGGAACCGCGTTGACCACATTCGTCAAGCAATCAGGACATCTCTTGGGCTCGATCTGGTCTGAAAGCAAGTCTTCATTCTCGCCAATCTCACCCCAAAGCCATCTCCCTGCAGTCCTGCTCCTGCTCGATGATTCCATCGGCGAGGGAACTGACGATCGGAAGAAGAACTACAACTTCTACACCGATTCTAACCTCGGAGAGGCAAGGAAGCTGGTCGCTCTCACGCTATCTGTTCAGGCCCGGTTCGTTCAGATCCAAACGGCCTGGCCTGAACATGCCGTTCTCGCTGATGTCATTCAATGCTGCTTGGAAATTCTTCAGTTCAAGCACACTGAACCTGTTGCCAAGTTCATGACCAAGGTTGAAAAGCTTCATTCGTTCGTACATGAGTGGCAGACTGTCGCAAGCAGAGAATACTCAGCCGCTACCGTCTACGATGAGATCACAAGCATTCTCATCAGCTGGCGCCGTCTTGAGCTGTCAACTTGGGCCAAGCTCTTGGATCTCGAGAAAGAGCGATGCGAGGACGAAGTGGGTGCTTGGTGGTTCATCGCCTACGAAGCGCTTGTCGGCGCCCCCATTATGATGGTACAGGCAGGCGAAAAGGACATGAGTGAACACATCCAACATTTGGTTTCGACCTTGGAGCAGTTCTTCAAGTCTACGACTATGGGCCAATTTGCTCGCCGCCTACAGCTTGTTGCCAACTTCCAAGCTTTGCTTGAGGTTTTCGCCAAAGATTACCCCAGTCTTAAGCAGCTTGTCTCTGCCTTGGACAACTTCCTCCACCACTACGGACCCTTCCAGCCTGGAGTGGACAAGTACCTAACGGAGAAGCGATCCACCCTTGAAAAGGACATCAAGGAGCAGATCCAACTAGCTAGCTGGAAAGACGTTAACATCGTGGCTCTCAAGGAAAGTGCCAGAAGATCCCATGTCAAGTTGTTCAAGCTGGTTCGAAAGTACCGTGCTGCCCTTGGTCAGCCAGCCCAATCAGTTCTTGAATCGGGTCTCCCAGAAAGCACCGAGGAGGTCACTTCGATATCTCAAGCAGAGCCCGTCCGTCCCACTGCCACATTCCCCGAGGCAATGGCCATCTGCCAAAAGAAGAAGAACTTGTGGTCTACCAGAGCGCTGAGATTCCAGAAACCGGATGGAACAGCCAACAACATGATGAATCTGTATACCGCAATCCCAGCCGAGTTCGACATCGCCAAGGACCTTGATAGCTTCATCGTGTCTGTCATCGAAAGCATGAATGAGTTCAAGGCCAAGACACCCAAGGTTCTGAACGAAGATAACAAGGGCGACGTTCAACACCTCAAGTCCCAGAAGCGTCGTCTGTATGCTGAGACACTGAAGCAGCTGTACGAGATGGGCTTGAAGCGTAATGCTGGAACGAGCGTGATCGAAACTCAAGCAACCGTCCCGCAGGTTCTTGCTACTAGCGCCGCCTTTGAGGCTGGTGCTGCCACCTCAACTGCAGTCCAGAGTGCCGATTGGTACTTCCACAGACTTTTGGATCTTCTGCCCAAGACCCGCCTTGCCTCTCGCAACTACTCAGAGGAGCTCAGCAATGTCGAGGTCTTCAGGAGTATGGGTTCTATTGAGCATCTCCTTTTCACTGTTCGTCGCCAGAGAGGTGTCATTTCACCTGCTCTCACAGGGTTGGGCAAGTTGAAGTCTACGCTTGACAAAGTGCAGAATCTTTGGACCGCGGCTTCTGATTCTGCGTCGCAAGACCATGCTTCCGCTCCGGAGGAGCGAACCAACCTGGCTAGAGTCGTGGCCTGGCTGGCTCCTATCCTTGGGTTGGCTGCGATGATCGTTGGAGTGCATTCCAAGTTCTCAGGAGTTGATGCCTCCGAACTTGTGGAACAGTTGCGTGCCAAGAAGACATCCTTTGACAGGCTGCGCAAGTTGCACGAAGATCTTCCCGCGCTTCCTACCAGAATCGTGTCCAAGGCCCACCACGAGATTGCGCAGCAGACACGGTCGTCGCTCGACGAATTAGCTGCTGATCTGCAGAAGTGGAGTCAGGCCCGCCCTGATCTTTCCTTCGCATTGGATCAGATCACACCTTGGGTCAAAACAGACACCAGTGCTCTCGAGGAGATCAATGATGAAGGCAGCTTGTCTATCCAAGCCTTCGATAGTAGCCTTTTGACTGCTATAGACAAAATGCTCATTGGTCTTCAGCAGCTCAAGGATGTGCCCTCCGCTATCACTTACGATGGATTGCTGTCGAGGAGTGATGAGTTCTTCTCTCGCGGAATCAAGGCTGTTCATCTCACCGAGATCACTACCGCATTGGAAACTGTCCTTGACTCGTTGTACCTCCTTCAAGACCACTCCTCTGGCGGCATCTCGGTCGCTGCCGCGCTAATCACCAGTATCCTGCCCATCGCCAACAGATACTACCAGATCTGTCGGGATCTGGCTGATCGATTTATCGCCGTGCATCGCGAGATCTGTAAGACATCTTACATTCTGACCAAGACTTTCAACCAAGTTGCCTCCGAAGGATTCTGCAGTCCTGCTGAAGCATCCCAAGATGACGGCAAGGAGGGTAAGATGGAAGGTGGAACGGGTCTTGGTGAAGGCGAAGGTGCGGAAGACATCAGCAAAGACGTTGGTGATGATGAAGATCTTTCCGAGCTCGCGCAGCAAGAGAACAAGAAAGAGGATGGTGATGATGAGATGGATGACTCCAAGGATGCTGTCAACATGGATCAGGAAGATTTGGAAGGCGAGACCGAAGAGCGACAGGACGGGGATGAGGAGGAGAATGATGAAAGTGACGAGGAAAACAACGATGATATTGATGAAGAGACTGGAAGCGTTGATGATCTCGACCCAGGAGCTGTTGATGAGAAACTCTGGGACGGTGAGAATGATGATGAGCAGAAAGACACCGAGAACCAAGAAGGCAAGGGTGAATCGCAGGCCGAGCAACAAGCTGCGGCGCAGGAAGAGAAGGGTGACAAGGATGGCGAGAAGGGTGAAGAAAAACAAAAGGAAGGAGAGGAGGAGGAAGAAACTGAAGATGAGGAGGCACCCGAAGACGAGGGTGAGGCAATTGGCCGTGAGGAAATGGAAGTCACCGATCCCCAAGCCAAGGAGGAAGAGACGCTGGAACTCCCCGAGGAAATGCAACTCGATGGTGACGACGGCAAGGATGACAATGGTGAAGATGAAGAGGAAGGAATCGATGATGTCGATGATGAATTCGGCCCTGCTCCTGAAGAAGAAGGAAAGGTCGAAGACGGTGATGAGAATGTCGGCGAAGAAGAGGCCGAGGCAGCACCCGAAGATCAAGTGCCAGGTGACGAAGATGAAGAGATGGCCGATGATGCCGAGGAGACCAATGAAGGTGAAGCTGGTGCAGAGGAGGAGGAGGAAGCTGGCGGAGAGGAGCCTGAGGAGCCTGAGCACGATGATTTCCTGGCACAACGGGATGAGAACGAAGCTGCAGGTGACAATGTCGCTCCCAGCGACGCTGTCACCGGAGGACTTGGGGCCGAACAAGACCAGAATGAGGAAAAGGGTGCTTCAGGTGACGCTCAGCAGGAGAGTGGCTCGACTGATCCCAGTGCCGAAGTCGACCAACCGGCAGGGGCCGCCAAGGAGAGCGAAGAGAGCAAGCCCAGTCGGGATGCAGGTGGTGGTGAAGACAACGGAGAAGACGAGCCTCAAATGCAGGCATTCAAGAAACTCGGCGATATTCTCGAGCAATGGCACCGACGACAGAAGGAGATCCTCAACCCCTCCCAAGAGGAAGAAGACTCCCAGCCTATGGCCGAAGACACCGATATGGCGGATGCAGAGTTCGAGCATCTCAAGGACGACGACGATGCCGCTGACACCCAGGCCCTTGGACAAGCCAACGAGGATCAGACGCAAGCCCTCGACCAAAGCAAGGGTGTGGAATCCGACATCAAGCCTGGTGAAAACGACGTTCTCCCAGATGTGTCCGACGAGCAGCAAGACGCCGTGGACAACCAGCTTGAAGATGAGATGCAAATCGACCGCGAGCCGCTTCCCGCCGATGGCGAGTCTGTCGGCGCTTTCATCCCCGGCGGCCAATCATCCCATGAGCGCACAGACGAGGCACAAGGCACGGAAGAACTGAACGAGGAACTCGACGCAGTCGACTCCCAACTCGCAGCAATCCACCTCTCCTCCTCACTTCCCCCCTTGACCCCACAAGACGAAGCCCGCCGTCTCTGGTCGCACTACGAGTCCGCAACCAACGATCTCTCCCTCTCCCTAACCGAACAACTGCGCCTGATCCTCGCCCCAACAATGGCCACCAAACTACGCGGCGACTTCCGTACCGGAAAGCGTCTGAACATCAAGCGCATCATCCCCTACATCGCATCCCAGTACAAGCGCGACAAAATCTGGATGCGTCGCTCCATCCCCTCCAAGCGCAACTACCAGATCATGCTCGCCGTCGACGACAGCAAGTCCATGCTGGAAAGCGGCAGTGGCCAGCTCGCCTTCGAGACCCTGGCTCTCGTCGCCAAGTCCCTGAGCATGCTGGAAGCAGGCGATCTGTGCGTCCTCGGCTTCGGCAACGAGGAACACGTCCGCGTCGCCCACGAATTCGGAAAGCCCTTCTCCTCCGAGGCTGGCTCCCAGGTCTTCCAGCATTTCAGCTACCAGCAGACCGGCACCAATGTGCGCAAGCTGATCGCTGACTCGATCGCTCTCTTCCGTGAGGCTCGCTGGAAGCGCTCGCCTGGTGCTGGCTCGGCTGATCTCTGGCAGCTTCAGCTGATTATCTCTGACGGTATCTGTGAGGATCATGATACTATTCGCCGTCTTGTAAGACAGGCGCTTGAGGAGCGTATCATGGTGGTCTTTATTATTGTCGATGCTGTTAAGGGAAGCTCGATCCTGGACCTCTCGCAGGCTAGCTTTGAGGCTGATCCGGATTCCGGTGGTGAGATGAAGCTTAAGATGAAGCGTTATCTCGAGCACTTCCCCTTCCCTTACTATCTCGTTGTTCGTGATGTAAGGGAGTTGCCCTCTGTGTTGGCTACTGCGCTGAAGCAGTGGTTCGCTGAAGTTGTGGACGTGTCTTCTTGATGCGATCTAAAATAAAAGGTGTTGGGTTTGTCTATTTGGAGTTATTTGTTACATTTTAAGGGCGTTCGGATGGTTCACTTTGTATATGAGAGATTATAGAGCTGTGGTACAGAACAGCTGAATGTACAGTTTTTCAACAAATTCGACCGTATCTCGAGATTCGAGTGCTGTAGACAGATGAAAGACGACATTTTTTAATGTTCAAGGGCTCGTCCTTTCAAAATGGTAATATGGTATCTCAATGCTAATACGCTTGACGAAATGCCCCAATGCCTGATGTATGCTAATCTACAATTACCACCCATACTTGGATCCAGCTTCCCTCTTGTTTCTCCGACCCGTCGCAAAGCTTTCCTCCAAGGCATCCTTCTGCGAGGTCGCAGCATTGAGCAACTGTTGGAGGGTGTGCTTTCCCGGCGCAATGGAGCGCACAGGATTATGCTGAGCTGCAGCCAGTTCGCCCTGTGCCAGAACCTGGTTCGAGGCATACTCTTCGTCTGTGTTGAAGGTGCGGACATGGGACTGTGCGGCTGTGGCATTACGGCCGAAGAGCTGGCGCCTTTCGGACTTGGACAGGTTCAGGTCATTGGCGACGCTGTCCAACGATGAGACGGGATTTGATGAGACCGTTGCCGTTGAATACTCTGCGGGGATATGCGGAGGCTCGATGTCTGCGGGAATGGCCTCTGACGCTTCTTCACTTTCGGCGTTGTATACCAGCGGCTGGTAGGTTGCTGATGGTCCCGGCGTGGGGTCTGGTCGAGAAGTGGTCTCGTCTGACGACAGAGAGAAGAGGCTGACTTTGGGTTTTGGTGGGGGTGGTGCAGGAGGTTGTGACGTTGTCGTCTGCTGTCCAGATTGAGCAGACTTCGATGGACCAGGCGTTGGTTGCTCAATAATCTTGGTAGTCTTCTTTTTCTTAGGTCGCCCGACTGATAACGGTCTGAACATCATCGGGTTCCCTTGCAATTTGACTTGCTCTGGCTTCTTCATTGTCTCCACCGATGCATCTGGTGCAGTGTCGGCGGTCAAGCTGCCAGGTGCGGGTATGGTATCCTCCGCGTCGGCACCGGCAAGATTGTCGAATGCCATGTCATTCTTCATCTCTGCATCAGCCGTGCGATCAAATCCTGGTCCTGCGCCTGTTTTGAGACTGAATGCTTTTCGTGTTGTCGCCATCGGCGCTTTTTTCTCGGCCGTCCGTTTGGGCGCTGGGAGGAAGGAGTTGAATCCTGAGAAACCTCCTCCCCCTATGCGGGGCTTTTTGCGCGGGCCATCTTCGTCCTCACCGGCTGGGTGTTCGGGTTTGATCTCTGGAATTGCAATGCGGATCTTGTTCGGGTTGCTGCGATCGACCTTGAAGCCTGACTTTAAGTCGGGGTTTGTCGCCTTGTTGGTTAGAGGTGCGGGGGTGGTCTCCGGCTCGGCATCTGAGCCTTCGGAGTCAGAGTAGGCTACTAGGGCCATGGTGGGATATCGATGTGTTGTTGATCTTGAGAAAGACCAAGATCGGAGCTGCGCAGGTGGAGGCGGACTAATTGTGGACACCTGATGGGTCAGGCATCACTTTATTACATAAGCATACCGATCGAGATAAGCTTTTTCCCTTTTTTTCGTGGTGGAAAGAACGAAAGAGAAACAATAGAAAGTTTTTACTGTGTACAGAGTAAGGGCATGGAATAGAGTATACAGTAGACAATGAGGATGTCCATTGGTACAGTGGGCTACAAGCTACAGGGCAGGACAATTCAAGTTCGAGTCAATTGAAGTGAAACACTCTACCTGCCTACAGGGGATGATCGCATCACTTCGTAACGTCATCATCCGGGTTCTCCGCTCCAGGGGATACTGACAGCTAGATGGACATAACAGTTGTAACAGATAACAGATATCATAGTCAGAACTAAATGACTAAATACAATAGCTAACTAGCTATATAACTAGCTAAAGAGATGCTGGTCAATCACAGGCTTTGGGTCCATATACTACGTAGAGGAAGACAGTCTGATAGAGACGCGAGCAAGTAGTCGGAGAAATCAATCAGACCAAATAAACCAAACAAGACAAATTATACAAATGAGACAAATAATGATCGAGTCACCAATCAATCAAAATCTACTGACTACTGAAGAAGTCAACCTCGTCGGCAATGTGAAAGATCAATGCGTCATTCTGCCCGCTGCCCCTCCCCACTTAATCCGGACCCTCCCAATTCCAGCTTTCCCAACCCCCAATGGCCCCCAAACCCTACTTAATATTCTCTCCATGCCGAGCTTAGGAGGACTGCTGAAGAGGCGTACGAAGGACTCTCAAGACGGGAAATCGAATTCGGACCACGAAGGTTCAGGCGCATCCATGCAACACTCTTCGCCCCAGCAATCGGGTTCCGACAATCCCAGTATCGACCATGTTATACAGCAACCACAACCAAAACAGGAGCGAGTGACCAAGGGGAAGTACTCGCAGGAAGACTTCCAGCTGCAGCGCACCTTGGGAACGGGGAGCTTCGGTCGTGTTCATCTCGTGCAGTCGAACCACAATCATCGCTTCTATGCGATGAAGGTGTTGAAGAAGGCACAGGTGGTCAAGATGAAGCAGATTGAACACACAAATGACGAGCGTCGGATGTTAAATCGGGTTCGTCATCCGTTCCTGGTCACCCTGTGGGGGACCTGGCAGGATTCAAAGAACCTGTACATGGTCATGGACTTTGTGGAGGGAGGCGAACTGTTTAGTTTGCTGCGCAAATCACAAGTGAGTTGCTTCTGATCGGTTCTTCTCTTCAATGTGAGGGAAATCTGAGAACAAAGAACTAACTCGGCGATAGCGATTCCCCAACCCGGTGGCCAAATTCTACGCTGCGGAGGTGACGCTAGCGCTGGAGTATCTGCATGCACACCAGATCATTTACCGGGATCTGAAGCCGGAAAATCTTCTCTTGGACCGTCATGGTCATTTGAAGATCACCGATTTCGGATTCGCGAAAGACGTGCCTGATATCACTTGGACCCTCTGCGGTACGCCCGATTATCTAGCCCCCGAGGTCGTTTCCTCCAAGGGGTACAACAAATCAGTTGACTGGTAAGTTTGTTTTCAATGTCTTCATCTCATCGTCGCTAATTGTCCTAGGTGGTCCCTTGGAATCTTGATCTTCGAAATGTTGTGTGGATTCACTCCCTTCTGGGACAGTGGATCGCCAGTCAAGATCTATGAAAATATTCTGCGAGGGAAAGTCAAGTATCCTCCATACTTACACGCCGACGCAGTCGATCTGCTTTCCCAACTGATCACTTCCGATCTCACAAAGCGTCTCGGCAACTTGCATGGTGGCCCCAGTGACGTCAAGAACCATGCCTGGTTCTCCGAGGTCACTTGGGACCGACTAGCTCGGAAGGATATTGACGCGCCATATATCCCGCCCATCCGTGGTGGACAGGGCGATGCAAGCCAATATGACAAGTATCCCGAGGAGGCAGAGCACTATGGCCAGGAGGGAGACGATACGTATGTACTCCTTTGCACCTCTTGCACCTCTCGCAACATCGGACTAACTCTCTCAGATATGGCCACCTTTTCCCCGACTTCTAGGGTGCTTGTATGATTTATGACGCGACGAAGAGTCCGCACTCCGGGGGAGGGCCGGAACTGATTGACCCCGGGCAGAGTCGTGAAGCAGGGGCCTCTATATGAAAACTCATCTTTCTTTATATGCACATCATTTTTCTTAGCAATCTCAATCAAATTTTCATCATTTATCACTTTCATTTGCCTGCTCGATGTACAAATGGATTTATCCTAAACCCAACTCTAAGCTCGCCAACCAATGGGCCACGAACAGCCACACCCATATTGTACAGGGGCTACCCGCTTCTATCGTACAGTTCATTCACAGAGGTGTCTTTCCCTCCATGTTTTCGTCCATCTTCCTTGCTTTATTCGAATTCGAGAATGCATCATATTTAGCCCATGATGCCACCACCACCCTCGGGGAGGCCGCTAGCCATGGAGCCAATGGCAGCAGCTTCCTGGCCACCCATGCGCTTGGTCTCGACATTGACACGAGCGATGTAGGTCTTGCTAGTCACGTTCCACATGGCGATGTACTTGTCCATGCAGTTGGAGAGGCAGGTGTTCTCCTTGGTCGAGAGCGAGCTATCGGGGGAAGGAACGCAGGCCTTGAAGCAGTGCTTGTTGATTTTCTGAGGTCGTGGGTTAGTTTGCTGTTGAAATTGAATTCTGGGGGTGGTGACGTACTCCGATCAGAGCGCGGGCGTTGGACATGGCGGTCTCCTGCTGGAGCTGGCGCAGGACAGCTTGCTTGATCTCCGCAGAGGACTGGGGAGCAGCGGTAGAACCGGAACCGAAAATCGACGACATTGTGAGAGAGTGAGATGGAAGGAAAAGGTGTTCAATGGGAAGATTGTCGGAATTGAATCAAGAAGAAAGTCCGATTTGGGTCAGGATTTGAGGTTCCATGTGGCTGGTGTGTTTGCCTGCGCCACAGCCGATGTGGACACCTTAGCATAACAAGCTGTATACTTCACACCTCCTCTCCGCTTTACCAGGAACCTCGCACCATTCACTCATTCTTCTCACTTTCTAACGACCTCTTTTACTTCATTTCTACTCGCTAGGTTTCCGGGTCCTGGTGACACCGTACCTCCCCCGTCCATCCCACCCCCGGTCTGTCTTTGAAACTTAGGCTCTCCCCTCCATTGAGCCCTAATACAACTTCAATATGCGCCTTCCGTCCATTTCCTCGCTTCTTTGCTTCGCGGGCTTACTTGCATTACCCACCAATGCTTATGAGGATCCAAATATTAAAAGCATTCCTGTATGTGCTCATCGTCGACTCCGTTTGCGTGCCGAGGTACTGACTCTAGATGTCTACTAGCTCCGCACCCACAGCCTCTCTCCGGTATGATGATATTCTGCGCTCGGGGTGTCTACGACTGTGGCAATCGAGTCGCGCACATCTCATCCCCTGAGGGACTTCAATGTTGACCGCCCTTCACAGCCATACCTCGATTCGGATTTCCAAAGCCGCTGGTTCGACTTCGGAGGAGATACAGTAGTCCGCGCTGACAAGTAAGCATATCCTGGATACTCCAGACTCTCCTCCAGAGCACGAGCGCTGACTGTCGCCTTCCTTTTCAGATATATCCGCCTCACGGCAGACCGGCCATCGCAGCAAGGATGGATCGCCTCCCGCGTACCTTTGACCGCGACCAATTGGCAGGTAAATACACTATTTCCTCAGAGGAATGTCGCGCAGAAAGCTCACGAATCCCTCTGCTAGATTGAGCTTGAGTTCGAGATCCACGGCAATGGCAACCTGCACGGTGATGGATTTGCGCTCTGGCTCACTAAGGAGCGCGCCACACAGGGCCCTGTCTTCGGTTCGACAGACAAGTTCGAGGGTCTCGGTATCTTCTTCGACACCTATAAGAACAACCGCCCTGGCGTGTCATTCCCTTATGTCATGGCCATGATGGGTGATGGGAAAACCACGTACGACCAGGCGCATGACGGCAAGGCCAACGAGCTGGCCGGTTGCTCTGTGAGTTACTGTTTGATAATGGAATTGTGCTTTTGGCAAGCTAACCTGTTTCGCAGGCTCGTGGTCTTCGCAGTGCCCCCATTCCTACCAAAGCCCGTCTCACGTATTTCCAGGACAAGTCCCTTACACTGGAGCTGCAGTATAAGACGGAGGATTCATGGACCGAATGCTTCAAGCTCGACGCCGAGAATTCTAACATCGCTATCCCCTCCGTCGCATACTTGGGTCTCTCCGCTGAGACCGGTGAGCTTAGCGACAACCACGACATCATCTCCCTCAAGGCTGAGAACTTGTACTCTCTCAACCGCAATGCCAACAAGGGCCCCTCGGCCAACCAGGGAAAGAGCCGTCCTAGCTCTCCTGCCCAGGCTCCCAAGGAGCCCAAGCAGAAGGGTAGCTGGACTTGGTTCCTTTTCAAGACTATATTGTTCTTTGGTGTGATTGTCGGAGCATACTTCGGCTGGACAATCTACCGGACCAAGGCCCGGTCATCGCGTTTCTAAATTATATGTTGCATGGATATTTGGCAAAACACAGAATTCCATCTGTGATTCGAATTGGTCGGTCTTTGGTCTGGCAAGAGGGATCTTGCATACATAGCCCCTGTGAAGCTTTTCTTTTTCTTTACTCTGATCTACGTTTTACCCCTACAAGCCCTCGTTGTTTCTCATACTCTGCATATTTGAAATGAATTAAGTCATGATCATTCAGTTGCATAGCAGCATGCTGCTTGGGGTATCGTATAAGTAAAAAAAGTAAAACACCAATGTAAACCATGTAAGTCCGAATGCAATCCTCACTTCCGCTCCCTCTCCTCATTCCACAAGCGATCCACAATCTGGAAAACTTCAGTCACACTCCGCATAACAACCTCATCAATCCCCAAAGACCCAAACCGCTGTTGAATCTTGTCAGGATGCCAGCGTACACGCTCAGACTTAAGCGTCGCAAGAAACTCCTCCGGCGCATTCCGCATAAACTCCTCAACAGCACCCGGCTGCACATCCCCTCTCTTCCCCGAAAACACAGGCCAGAAAAGTAAACTGCGCAACAGCTTCACAGACCCCTCAGCACCTTCCCCACCAACAACCTTTGCAATCCTCTCCCAGCTCCCGACATACTCCTCCCAAACCCTCCCCCCACCCCTTATCCTTCTTTTTATCCTTCCGCTCCCTCCCCCGCCTCAAACTATCATCCATAGCCCTCTCAAACGCCCTCCTCTCATCCCCCCTCCGTCTCGCCTCCTCCTCCTTCCTCTTCTGCATCCGCTCAGCCCGCAACTTCGCCTGTGCCTCCAGCATCCCCTCCCGCGTCCGCTCCCACATCCGCGCCCGCACATATGTCACGTACTCCTCTTCTGTCATTTGCTCCAGCTCGCCATTTGGCCCTTGCACCTCCGGCACGCGGTAGTTGTGGATTGGTTGCCCATAGACGTGTTCCCAGTACTGGGCGCCTTCGTCATCGCCTAGGGCGTCGAAGAGTGATTCACGGAAGGCGTCGTTTGTGGAAAGTGGGGGGATGTCAGGGATGGGGGAATCCCCTTTGCTCGTGCGTCGCCGTTTGGAGTGGCTATCTCGCGTGTGTGGGCGGGAATGGCTGGTTCGTTTGCGGTGGTGGCGGGTGTGGGGTTCGCGATGTTTGTCCTCGGAGTATTTGTTTCTTGGGCGTTTGGAGGAGCTTTCTTTGAAGCGGAAGGGTCTTGTATGCGCTTTGGTTTGGTCGTTGGTGGAGGCTGGTGTTGATGTGGATGTGGATGATGGTCCGGCTTGTTCAGCCGGTGGATGGTCTGGATTCATTGTGGAATGTGAAATGTGAAATGATTTAATCAAAAGAAAAGCAATAAGTAGATTTCATTGCGTGAGACTGCATTGAAGGGACAGGTGATGTGGGAAGTGTAGCTTGATGGAACTTCGCAGATGTTGGGAAGTGTCCGCGGGCGGATATCCACTATCGGCGATAAGGTGTGTTAGTCATCCTTATCCGGCCGCCTTCCTAAATAGGAAGTATATAGTACTGTGTGTAACAGTGTACTACATCTTATCTCAGCATGCTCAGACTTGTTTTTCTCTTCTCTCCTCATCTTAGTTATCTCGTCGAATCGGACTCTGTTTTCAGCAGTGAGCAGAACTTGCCATTGTCACAATCATCATCATCATCATTGTGACGGTGGACAGGAACAAGTCATGTGAGCCAGTGGGCAATCAGGAAGGGAAGGAGCAGGGATCGCGGGGAAGAGTGTATTTATTGTTTACCTCGTGTTCTTCTTCTTCTTCTTCTTCTTTCTTTCTCTCAGACTTGTTACTTTGTGTGTAGTACAGCATAGGATCGATCTCCTTCTTGTTTTCTTTTTCCTTTTTAGCTTTCGACAGTAACAATCATCATCATCATCATCATCATCTGACTATTCCTTTTTTGGAATCTCATCCTACCTCCTCGCACCTGCCTTCCCTATCACTCCATCCCGCCTTCCTTTCCTTCTTCTTAATGACTAAAGTTCGAATCTCTGCCTTTCATAATACTTTCATGCCCGCTGCTCCCAAAAATTTCCCGCCAAGATGCCCGGGTGACTGGGCCGGAGCTATATTCAACGCGGATCAGTCGTATGTCATGCGGTAAGTAATTCTCGACTACTCAATGACTCTTCTATGGCTGCAGGCTGACTTGGAAAGCAAAACCTGGGACTCGAGTTCCCAAGCCCTCCGCGTCAAGAATCAAGATGCCATGTCTAGCCCACAATTGCGTTCATCTCCGGGTCGCAATATGCAAGGAGGAATGGTAAGTACCATATCCTTGTCTGAACCAAGAGGAAATGCCCGAGTTGATCAGTCACTTATATTGCTCCCAGGATAGTCTCCCGTAGGCTTTTCCCGCACCCATAGCGCTTGGGAGAGCAACGTGAGAGTGGGCTCCGGCCTCGTCCTGCGCGTAAGGTGCTTTCAATTCATGATTCCCCTCATTGAGCAACCCAAGATCCTGGGCAAGACCCAGTCTGGTCGCATCACATGAAAGGACCACTGCACATGATGGAGTTATAACTCGCGCCGTGAGCAGAGCTCTAGATGTCTCTGTTGGCACCCGGATACCGATGTCTCAGTCGCCATACTCTCAGTCAGAGAAGGAACCTGATGTCACGATCCACCCATCCCACCTTGTCGATCAGCCACCTAATATCTTCGAAGCTGTCATATGGATACGATACAGACTGGAAATTATGGAGAAGATCAAGTGGCTGAAAAGGAGAAAGGAAAAGAGAGACAGCAGGCAACTAGCTGGGTTCTATCTACATTGGATGCACCGAGGCATCCAACAAGCTGGCTGGTCGGTGTCCGCTAATGGACTTGCGGCAGACTGTGAACTGCTACTTCGGGGCAGTGGTGGATCAATCCAGATTGTCGTGACTATTAAGTGGACGCTCAATCGGCAGTCGCGCAAAGTGTCGGGTATCCTTCAGGCATGGCGACTCAACACTGATGACCAGCCATATTGTGTCCAGACGGAGGTATGTTCTCAATCTAGTATTTTGAAGATATCTTCTAATGACTATAGATGATGTTCCCTATCCGGATTCACCACGACCACACCACACAGAGTTGACATTTGTAGATGTATTCTGGTCGGCTGTCCCCCCTTCATAACCCTAGGGACCTACTGTACCTGGATATAGATATACTCCGGGAAATTGGAAGGCTTTTGCTGCATTCTGTGCGATGTCCTTATCACCAGCATGATTCATGTCTGTGTCTTTTACCTAGGTATTAGTTAGGGTCTAAACATAACGCCGCAAAAATTGACTTTTATGCATGATTGGAACAACGTTGATTGGCATACATCCTCCACCTAAGACGATACTGAACAAATGGGGATATTTGGCAGACACCTCATCTCTAGAAATGACCCTCTCCTTCCATCAATAAGTTGACACTTGACAAAGCAGAAAGTCCGCCCCATATCACCACCAATCGAGTGATCCCGAATATTCGTCGGGACCCTCCCCTTGCTTATAAATAGGACTTAGGAGTGGCAACTGTTCGAACAAGAAAACATCGACAATTGGAATCTGTGACACCTACCAGGGCTGGCACAGTGGAAGCCTCACAATTTCACCAATTGGCCTTGCGCATGCCGGCAATACGTATGTAAAGCGAGCTAAATGGGGTACATGAGTTTATCATCACCACCATTGGTCTAGCGCCGGCGGTTCAGCTGCAGATGCCTGAAATGCACAGCTGGAAACCCCTCAGCTTATGACATTCGTATGTAGGTTGGATTTTCCTTAGTCAAGCAGCTATGTATGTACTGCACGGAGTACGTCTCAAGATAAGGTTGCGGCAAGTGGATTCGTTCCATTCAATATCGGCGGGACCTTAGCTGTCACGTGTGGGATGATAATAGTAACGCAGTAGTTGTGGCCTTGTGGGATGTAAAATGGAAAAGTAGATCTAGTAGTTTGAAATAATTCAAGTATTCTTCTTATTTGAAAGCTTGTGAGCTTGTTTGAATATTGGATCTCGTTGAAGTGAAAACTGTGATATTCCAGAATAACGCCATTCCCAGCCCAGTGCGGCAGTGCCCCCCAAAACACAATCCCAGGTCCGAAAGAGCAGATCAAATCCGGTAATGCGCCATGTTCTTCTTGATCTCACTAACAATCTCCTCAGCCTCGTCGGCATTCCTCGCCTCAAAGTCATATCGCTTCTGCTCCGTGGCATCGTTACCACGCACAATCATCACCCGGAAACTCTTGGGATGCCGTCGGCTGACTTTAGAGCCAATCACATCGCTGAAGCTGATGGATCGAGTCTTACCGCCGGACACCGTTTTGCTCGTGTCACCAGGCACGATGTGCATGTAGTCATTTTCAAAAGTGAGGATTCGGTGGTTGGATGCTGTGAAGGACATGGGTTGTTTGCGGAACACGTGGTAACGGCGGAAGTATCCGCCGAGGTTGTCTTGCTTCTGTGAAGACGAGGGCAATGCGCGCTGGGCGCTCTTCTTGGCATCTTTTTTGCTCTTCTTGGAGGTCGTCGTGTCGACAGTGTCCACCATCAATGGTGCGTTTGGTGAGGAGCTGCCCGGCGAGGTTCCCAAAGCCAGAGGGCCGCCGCCAAAGCGACGACGCACCAGATCAAGCTCGGTAATACTGCCCAACGCCTCCACTGTGCGGTCAAGTGGCGCAATTGTGTTCGAACCCATCACTTTTAAGAGGTAGTTGCCCTTATCCTGGCCCCACCGTTTGCATACAGTATCCAGGATCTCAGCTATGTAGCTGTCCGTGGATGTGTTGATCGTCATGACATGCGCCGAGGCCTCCGTGTTGATGAAGCGGATTTTCAACGTCTTGGAAACACCAAGACGCGGAGTAGCATGCGAGATAGGTACCGCAGGGAGATCGGCAGGTGTAAGAGTACTGTGATTGAGTGCAGATGAGAACGGGTGCCCCAGGATAGGGTTCACCCGAGCCGGTGTTGTCTGGGGGTTCCTGTTTTGTGCGGCAGGCTGAGCCCCAGGCACTCCAAGATTCACCGGCTGATCCGCCTCTTCCGATCCGACGCTTGTGCTAAATTGTGGATAGAGCCTTTCATTCTCCTCGAACTCCGATGTGGATGCCTCAACCAGTGCAAACTCATCGTATGGCTTGCCCCTTGAACGGCCTCGGGACTTGGCCGACTGATTATTGTTCGATGTGAAATCCATCATCGGAAGTGTCCGCCCAAGTGCTGGGAAATCATACTCGACTTCACCATCGTCGACCATACGTAACGTCCATCGGTTCACGGATAGCTTTTCGCGGGCAATCTTTGGACCGCGAGCATCCTCCAGGTACTTCCACAGGGCGAGACCAATCGTTTCCGCAACGGTGACTAGCGCGGGCTGTTCCGCAAGCTTAGATTCGCGTGTAAGTGACAGATCCAACGGTTCATCGGGGTCGCTTGAGAAGGGAACGTAGATCTTCAGATACAGCGGATCACCTTGACCTCGCCCGGAAAGCACCACGAATTTATCCACTGGATTGCTTGGTGCACGCTTCCGTGATGTAAGCTGGCTAGTCAATAGACTGACTGGCTTTATCATGCTGATAGGTCGTGGCGGGGGGAGATCTTGCAACGCAGGAGCTGGAGTGCGATGCTTGCGCGATGGGTTCTGGAGTCCTGTGCCCGAGGGCAACTTGTTCATCATCAAGGGGGAAGACAAATTGAGACCGCCCGTCACGCCAGCAAGTAGCAAGGAGCCTGACCCAGCCGTGTTGTCGAAGTCAGATGAGATCGCAGACCCCACCGATTCGGCACCGGAGTCCTCGTCCTCGTCCTCCTCATGGAGTTCTCCAAGGGCCAGACTTTCTGCACCTCGACTACCCGTTCGCTCACGGCGGCTACGCGGATATTCGAGGATCTGATCGCTCCCAGAAAACTGAACTTGTCCCTGTTTGTGGCCGCGATGCTCGGTCTCATTATCCGTCGACAAGTCACTGCTGGTGGTTGTATCTCGACGTGGACGTAACGGGACTTGCTGGTACTGATTTGCAACACTTTGCGTCGATGGAGATGTAATCATCACCTCTGGTCGTTCGCGCTGGTCTTCTGAACGCCTTGGAGAGGAGTCGGCTCGATCTCGACGGATAGGCATCTTGTGGAATTTGATCCGATCGACGGCACTGTTCATTGTCAGCTAGCGAAGTAGGATCCCGCACAACCGTGCACCAACCTGCCGACATTGTCCCCGTCGTCGTCGCTATCATCACTCAGATCGCTGCTATCATCCTCCTCCGCTTCCGCTTGTCTTTGAACATCTTGCTGCCTTTCCCGTCGAGTCTTCTTCTTCCCGCCACGCGCATGCATTCGCCGCGCAGTCATGTCCGTATGGCTCTTGCCGGTCACCATGCCGCCATCATCCTCACCGTCCTCGAGACCAAGGCCTTGCGAATCATAACGTCGGGGTTTCGCATTTCGCTCTGCTAGTCTGTAATATTCGGAGGAGACGTTGGCCGTCGTTGGGATTGGGGGAGAATAGGTGCGCTTTAGGTGGGAGGAGCTGTGTGTGTTGGGATATGCGGAGGCGGTTGACCAGCCCGCTGCACGGAAGCCAGGGGTATTCAGAACGGAGTCATTGACGTTAATAAGTCGGTCCCCAATCCCATCCTTGATCGTGGAGAGATATGAGGAACGTAATTGCCAGATCGTGAAGCTATGGTCATGTTAGTCCTTCGAGTTTCCGTGGTAATTCGAGGGGCTTCAGCTGCGACTCAGGCCGAGACTTACTCTTCATTGTGGAGAAGAGACATCTTCTTGACAGTCAGAAGGATATATGTCCGTAGGCCTTCTGAGGTATCTTGCGCAGTAGTGGCCGAGGTCACTGGGCGATCTCACGGTGGAGCCACAAGCGCATCTGGGCAAATGAAGCAAGTGATGCAAATGAATGAGTCTAGCTCATACAGGACCAGCCTGGAAGAATACCTCATATGCTGGAATAAGTCTTGAGATCGGACAAGATGAGAGGGGTCTCAGAGGAGAGTGGACCAGAAGCAAGGGAAGTTGATCGGTTCTCCGCAGATCGTTTCCCCGCTAGCATTTCCCTTCCCTTGGAACTACAACCATCCCCATTCCCCCCACGCGTTGTAGAATCTCCTGCTAGGCACTTTATCACAGGTTTCTTGACTTTACTTTTCTATATCTTCTAAGATCACCGAATTGTATAGCAGATGGGATTGATCTAGAATTACAATGCATTAACACGTGCCTCTTAAGCCTTGGCTTTACCCTTCCGTCCCTTCTTGGGCTTTTCCTCATCCTCATCAGCCGCCTTCTTGGCCTTCTTGCCCTTGGCCGGTGCCTTTTTTTTCTTAGGCAAGCTCACATACTTATCCTTCTTCAAATCCAATTCTTCTTCAGCATCGTCCTTGATCTCTTCAACAACTTCCTCCTCATCAGATTCCTCAATGGCATCTTCAAGATCGGGCTTCTCCTTTGGTCCCTTCTTGGGTGCCACTACATTACTGGCCTTCATGAATGGCATCGGGTGCGAGCGTGAGTTGTACAGACGTGTGAAGGTGGCCTTGGTTTGGGTCTCCAGTTTGATCTTGGACTCGTCCATGGGGCCGAGTCCTAGTTCCATGATCGCATCAAAGTCCTCACGGGTAAGGTAGTAGTCGTCCATGAAGTCAATGACGGAGTCAACGCTATCCTTGCCTTCATTCATCATTCGGCGGATCATCTTCTCCTGGAGTAGAGGCATATACTGCTGGCGAATCTCGTCGTGGTTGCCTGTGGTGCGAAGACGCATGTGGCCCTGGATCTCTTTGATGAATCGACTGAGTTTGCCTAGAGGATCTTGGTTAGAAGCTGCATTATCACCAGTTTTGGTGAGAATAAAAAACATACCTTGCTTGCTGTTGTTGCCCAGCCAGCTAGTAAATGCAGGTCGTTCACTGAAGTTGCCGAATTGGAAACTGGCTGGCCGCACAAAACTGAAGACCGCATGTGTGGGCATGAGACTCCATTGTTGTTGGGTGCCGTGGATCATACGGTCGACAAGGTCACCGTCGCTGATACTCGAGGCGGCATTGTCCAGTAACTCGAGTGCTTTCAGTCGTTGCTCCTTACCCTGGTACTTGCCAGCAAGAGCAGGTTTAGTCTTAATGTAGTTCTCCTGAAGCATCAGATAGCTGAACTCGTGATCATTGAAATAAAGCTCAATCTTGTCGTTCAAGGTGGACGTGGAACTTGGGGAGAACATCTGGGCGCTGAGAATTTTGCTGACGATGTCCCACGGTTTGAGGATGACATGCTTTTCCCATGACTTTGACATTTGCTTGCCTTCGTCGAAACTGAGACTCTGTTGGTCTAGTCGTGCAGTGGAGAGCATGTTGATGACCTGGCGGATGTCGGCATGGGTTCCTTCAATGAGGCCATCGAGAACAGGAGGCGGGATCTTGAGACCTTCTCGGAAGCAAATAGTGGACAATCTTGCTCGAATCTGGTCGGCTGTCGGGCGTCGGAATGGTACGTCATAAGTGATGAAGTCGAAAGGCTTCATCTTGGGGAGTCTTCGCTCATTGCACACAAGGATGATTGGGATCTTGGTCTTCTTGACAATGGCTGCGACGGCTCCCACACCTCCACGATCACCGGCAGACATCCCATCGACCTCGTCCATGATCAACACGAGCTTCTTCTTCTCCCCCTCCACTTGCTTTCCTTGGCCGGCGAAATAACCTTGCAAGGATGTCGTATCTAGCACACCCAGAGTGGAGCTCTCAACGAGCTTCTTACTTCTGGTATCACTAGCATTGGTTTCCACGATATCATATCCTTCCAGCTTTGCCACGAGGTGCGCTGCCGTGGTCTTTCCAATTCCCGGGGGACCGTGAATCATAACGGCACGATATACACCAGAGCCATCTTTACCAGCCTTCTTGAAATCACTTTTGGCGTTGTTGTGCCAATTGCGCAGCCAGTTCTGAAGCTTTTCGACCGCAGCCTTGTTACCACAGATCATGCTGGTTGACGTTGGGGCATACTTCGTGGTCCAGAGTTCCGCTGATGAGGTGGGCTGCGAACTAGGAGGTGTCTGAGACGCGGTGGCGGTGGCCTTGGGCCCTTGGGCAGTCGCGGCCGCCTTTCGTTTCTGCTCCGCTTGTTTCTTCTCTTCCGCATCAATTTCGGCGGCCATGGCACGGATCTTGGCCTCATCGGCCTTTCGTTTCTCGGCATGCTTTTCGGCAGCTTTTCCATCGCCGCCATTGGCAGGCAGTCGTCGGATAAGTTCAAACAGGCCGTCTTCGTTGATCGTCTTGATTTTGTGTTTTGCGATAGTCTCGAGCTTCTTTGGACCGGCATCACCGCCAAGGACTACATAGCTCGTCTTGGAGCTGGGAGCCCCCACGACTTTGCCGCCGTACTTCTTCACCAGTTGCGCGCCCTCTTCGCGACCAAGCGACTCCAGAACACCGGTGAAGACAAACGACAACCCAGCGAGGCAGTTCTCTTCGCCAACAGGCAATTCCTTGGTACCGGTCGTCACCGGGTCTCGGCTTTGTTGCGCACCAAACTTGAATTTCCTGGGCTCGCCCTGGGGAGGTTCTGGGGCTTCGATGGTGGGGATGCTATCGAATATATCTTGGAGCTCTTTGCTTTCCGGTTTGTCGTCTTTCTTGGCCTTTTTAGGACTGGCTTTTTGCTTCTTCGCCGGTGATGCTGAGGGCTCTGTCTTCGGCGCTGCCCTTTTTGTTTCCTTTTTGGCTTCCTGGAAATCATCATCCTCGACGAGAGCGTCCGACTTGCGTTTACGGCTTGGTTGAGCCTTCGCAGCAGGGATCTTGGGAAGATCTTCCATGACCACATCGTCGTCCTCGTCGTTTTGAGGTTTCTTCTTTTGTGCCCTTTTCGAGGCTGCGGAAACTGGCTTTACTTCAAGCATTTCGAAATCACTGTCCTCGTCGCCATCGTCTCCAGCGACATAAGCGTCATCTTGCTTGCCGCCCTTTCCATATTCCGTTGCAAAGATGTCATCACCGCCGAGATCTTCGTCTTCGAGGATCTTTGTGGCTGCTTTTGTTGATCTACGAGCTGTAGTTTGGGTTTTCTTCACAGGCTCTTCGGTCGTCTTCCTGGGCTTTGGGCTCGCGGCGACAGGCTTAGCGTTATCGGGTTGAGCCGACTCCGTTGTCTTAGCAGGCCGTGCCTTTTTCTTACTGGAGGCAAAATAGTCAGAGGAGGTTGTAGGTTCTTCCTTGGTCTCTTCGGGTTTTCTGCGAAGGCAACTCGTCAGTCAAATTGTATAGGGTGTCCCGTTCTGTGATGAGCATACGCTGGAGTTTTGGACTTCGGCTTGGTAGCTGGCGCTATGGCGGGAGCTACATCTTCCTCTTCGTCACTGTCATCCACGACTTTTCTGCTACCTGTTCTCACGTTAGATCGGTGGTAGGGGAGGGTGAATTAGGAAGATCATACGTCTCTTCCTCGTGGCGGGGGTGTCCTGCATCGTTGAATATAAGATTAGTTCAAATTCACAATAGATTCAGCGGGAACTGGGTCACATATAAAGCGACCAGGACCTCCTTCCAGGAGCAAGGCATAGCATACCTCTTGTTTAGCCGCGGGCTTTGCGGCAGCATTGCCGGAGCCTTGACTTGGCTTGCCTCCAAAAAAATTTCGAATATCCATACTGGGACAATCAATCACATGGGATATGGCGAAAAATAGCAATCTGGTGTCTCGACTGAAGGTCAATCAAGCTTAGCTGCAGCCTGAGGTAGATCGCGACGCGCGACGCTCCGGGGCCCGGGCGACGTGACTGGCTGATGTAAGGCCGCACTTTCTTCCCCTTTGAGACTAGCGCAGATATGACCTACAGGCTACAGACACAGCAGATCAAGCTGAGCTTCCAAAACCAAAGGACATACGTTGATGCCAAAATCCTAGGATATCATCAGCTACTCAACTATGTTTCGAGTGAAGAAACAGATGGGCCGATGGCAGATGCAATTACACCTGTTTTCTATGAGGGAAGCCGGTAGACACCTCATCTATAAGGCCGGTACAGGCAGGACAAATATCACGTGCCAATGCCATACCAATTTAAGACTAGCGCCTATCATCGAAAAGTGCCGGAGTAACGAAGCCTTCCGCAACATTGGTATATCTCGTCGTCTCTCCCGTCACAATGGGTCCCCAGATCAAGATGTTCGCCGGGTCACTTTCCACCTGCACACGGCCAACCTGTACGAACAAATCAATCCCCAGAAAACCCATTCGCCGAAGACTAACAGTGCGAACAGTGTCGGGACCGCTAGCCACCTTTTCTCTATCACGATGCTTCTCTACCACTCCGCGCGCCCTTGACTGGCTGACGCCGAAATTCCAAGAAAAGTCCAAATCGCCCAAGGGCCGCCCTCACGTCGCGACCGGCGGTTCCATCCGAGGAACGACAGTCGTGTGGGGAGACTTCGGCTTGCGCATGAAAGACCACGACCGCCGCATGCCGGCTTCCGCATTGAAGATCGCCGAAGAAACCATCAAGAGGCGACTACGAGGAATGAACTATAAGCTGTACAAACGTGTCAGTGCCAATATTGGTGTTTACACTAAGGGTAATGAACAGCGTATGGGTAAGGGTAAGGGTAAGTTCGATTACTGGACTGTCCGACTGCCCGTGAGCCGAATTGTCTTCGAATTGAAGGGAGATGTCCACGAGAAGGTCGCCCGCGAGGCATTCAGATTGGCCGGTCACAAATTGCCAGGTTTGTTACATCCACTTGGAACTAACTATCTGTTGGACACGAAAGATGCTCATTATTATTCACTAGGTCTCTGGGAATTCGTCAACAAAAATGACCCCCCTGTCGTCGGTATTACAAAGCTCGGAAACGGTGTCACTCTTGAGTCTCTCAAGCGGGCGCGCAGAAACCCGCCCCTCGGTACCGATGAGCTCGCCTCAGCCCCGAAGAGTGCGTCCTCGAGCTCCGAGCCCACCCAATAACTCGTTGTTTCCTGCATGATACCGCTTCCCACCCTTTCTCGCTCGGGCGTGTCTTCTGCCGCTGTCGTCTTAGCCGATTAAGCCCCGACACCAGACCCAGGCCCATATCCCTGCGCTCTGCGGGTCCTGGCCGCTTCCTCGTCCACGCCATGTTTCTGTTTATCTTTTGTACATTATCATCAGCTGTTTGCGTCTCTTGAGGAGTCAACAAGACAAGGTTCCTTTGATGGATCCTTTGTCTTGATACTAGGAGTTTAGACAAGGAAAATATATTCAGCATTTACCTTTACTGGGCTCGGTGATTACTCCCATTCCTAGCTTCTGTGCTTGGATATCATCGTCATTGGTCGAAGCTGGAGTATGCGTTCCTAGACTGGGGCTCTCTTGGCTCTTAGAGTGCTCACCGCCGCCTTAGATCTGGTCAGCTATCGTCATAACAATGCGTCTGGCTTCAAGAGGCCGACATACCACCTAGTTGTCCGGTCGCCCTGGGGGGACTCTTTGTAAATTCGCGGATAGACTCATATCTGCACCCTGAATATCAGCCTAGAGCAATTGTAAGTGGCGTTGAGGCAAGCCATACTGGGTGCTTTCTCCGCCAGGTTCCATATCAACGAGTCTAGGGTCGGACATATTGAAGCAGTCTGCGTGGAGTAGAAGTACAGTGATCAAACGGTAGATAGAAGCATATAAAAAGTACAGTGAAGGATTTCAATGGAGGAACATGATTGTAGTTGGTGGTCCAGTCCTTTAAGTGACGGGGACGTGATGACGTATTGCCCCGGTGGAGGACAAGGTTCCTGTTGATCTACAACGGAGACCAAGATTTGTGCTAACTACTCGATACGTATTAACTAGCTGCTTCTACTATGTAGAAACACTTCTACGGTCGAACAATGGGTACATAATATCCCGCCAAGGCCTAAGTAGTTGATGTATGCGAGTTGCTCCATTGTCAGAGATAGTCCAAATGTTGGCTGAGAGGTGGTAAAACGCCGAAAGGTCCCTCATGCGCCTGTGAGAACGATTTAATTGCATAATTCGAGGGCTTGAATAAGTCCTCATGTTCCATGGTAGCAGATCCCTCGATCCCACTTGGCTCACTGAAGACCACCTTAGTGTACAAATCGTCAATCATCCTTCTTTTTTTGGTTTGCCGGGTGTAAGAGACTAGAAGTCCATGCCCATCAAATAACTAGCGTGTTGTCAGATTCGCGTTTTCGTTCGATTATCCGGGGAGAGCATACCTTTCATAGATGCGCATGAACTTGGCCACAAAGGCTTCCAAGTGGAAGATCACTTTCTGTTATGAGATGTACAATTAGCCCATGGATCAGTAACCGGACAGCCAAGGATGACCTACGCTTCCCAGCTTGATACGGTGTTCATAGAAGGCAGACCACTTGATAACGTCTGGCTTCAATGCATCATCAACCCGCGTCGCGAGCTTGAATGTCAAGGTCTAACACCGACAATCAGTATATTTAACGCTTTATGTTCCACGGGGGATACACACCTTCAAAATAGTCGTCGGGGGAATGCAGTGGGTCAATAAATCATACAGACGTGCGCGGACCTGCAATAGCCGAGCCGGTGACCGTTCAGACAGGATCTCATCAGCCGTTAGAGTGATGAGGGCTTCCCAGTCCGGAGGCGGAATAGGAGTCGTGTCCGTGACTTTCTCACTAGAATCCCGAAAGCATCAGTCACCAAAGTCTAGCAATGCAAGCCGATCTCGTGACTTACTTCTGGGCATAAATCGACTCAAACATGAGCAACGCCCGTCGCAGGTTCCGTCCACTCTCCTTCGCAATCCTCTTGTTGAGTACTTCTGACTCGACCCATCCTTGTTTATCTCCTGCAGCACTGAGCGCAGAACAGATATCGCTTTCGGTAGGCGCTGCAACCCTGACCAGCAGGGTTCGAGAACGAATTGGCGCGATGATGTTGGATGTGCTGTTGGCCAGGAGAATCAATCGGAGATTGGGACTGTATTTTTCCATGGTACGTCTGAGGGCTGCCTGGGCATCGCGGGTCAAGTGGTCGGCTTCGTTGATCACAACGACCTTGAAGCGCTGCTTGGCGCTAAGATCAACCTGTTGCGTCTGCGCGACCTCCTTGAGCAATTCCTGAACGACCACTCGGTCATAGTTTCCGACGTCGGCGGGAGTGATTTCGAGGTGGTAGACTGATGACACAATGTTGAATTCTAGTTTTCGGTTGCTTGTCGTTTGGAAGACTCTGGCGTCGATCTTGATCTTCTCGACACCTGGGCCATAAAGCTCTTTCAATGTCGCAATGATTCGTGTTTTCTTGCCAGCGCCCGAGGGTCCGTAGACTAGTAAATGGGGAAAATCTCCGCTTTGTGCCTGTCAAGGGTATATTGCGTCAAAATGGTGTTCATGCCCTGCGAGTCGGACTTGAGTATCTTACTAGTGACCGCAGGCGATCAGAGAGCTCTGAGTGATAGGATAGAGCATCAAGAGTGCGTGGCCGCAGCTTATCGACTAAAAGAGCCATTTGAGGAAATATTCAGAGTTGTTGAGGTGATTGTCTCGCAAGGGCTGGTAGTTTGCCGTTAGAAGGTGCTGACCCGAGAACGCGTCCGGACACGCGCCTAATTAATTCCTGGTCCGTGCACGCTCTTAATAGGGCCGTAGAGCTGCATGTCTGCGAACTGGCTATCGAGGAAGTACATGCTGACTCTATAATTACGCGTGAACAAATTCAGCAATATGTAAAGTTATGTAATTTTCCAGGCTTTTGACAGCCTTCCGCAGGACTCCGAATAGTATATATAGTACATGCAAATATCCCTGGAGATGAGATGGATCTAAGTGTAGGGCACAGCACCGCACTTTTTTCTTCCTTTACGGACTGTTTCAATGCCTAAGCCTATGCAGGATCACACATTTGAAAGGACAGAAAGGTTGCCGTCCCAACGCGCCCTCTATATAGGGTCCTATGTATAGGGTCCTATGATGCGATGGGCTTCAAAACGCCATTGTCGTCATATTTCGCTTCTGCTTCGGGTTAGTCCGAAGCAACAACGCCGCAGATGGACACGGAACTTACTAAAGAAAGTGTATGACAGGGTAATGGTATCGATACCCCTCATATTAGGATCAGTTGCGAAGTCGGGATCGATGAAGAAGAAAACAGGCATATCGACCGTCTCCCCCGCATTGAGCTTCTGTTCCTCAAAGCAGAAGCATTGAATCTTGCTGAAGTACGGCGCAACCTGACCAGGCGTCACACTGTATGTTGCGACTCCAATGATATCATTCGGGCCCTTATTCGTCGCGGTATAGAATGCCAGTGCGGTTTCGCCGGGCAGTACGCGGACCTCGCGCTGCTGAGGGGTGAACTTCCAAGGAAGCACGTCTGATACTGAGCCGTTGAAGGTAATTCGTAGGCGACGAGAGTCGGTCACTGGCGTCACGCGTGCAGAAGTATCGCCGTCGCCTGTGCGATGGGTGAGGATGGGCTGGCCACCCCAGCCGGTCTGTTGGCAAATCTGACATTGAGAGAAGTGTGAGCTTCTGTATACAGTAGCAGTGCTCCAGTTTGTCCGAGAATACGACATACCATCTTGTACAAAGGGACAGATCCGTATGCGAGTGCAACCGTTCCGAGGATTAAGCTGATGGTATAGTACCTGGGGAAGTATATTAGAGCGTGGATCCTCTGAAGCTTGGTCTAAATGCAAGCTTACATTGTAGAGGTATTTCGCTTTTGCGATTCTGGGGTACTGAAAGGCGCTGCAGATGAATTGCGCTGTTCGTGTAGCAGGAAATTCCTCGAGAAGTACCTCCGCTCCACCTCGAAGACGCTCTTCTGGAGATAGACTGAGCGTTGGGGAACCGTCCCCGTGAGCACCGAGCGCCCCAGCGAGGGCATTAATCGTGAAAACATGGTTGTCTGACTTCAATGGGGATCGTAAGTTGAGTCTCCACAGATCAGCCTGCAGGCATCTCCAACACGTGATTACGCTAATGCATTGGCGGCTTATCGATAGCCCTAAGCTTTGGGTCACGTAACTCACGTTACTGTGAACATCTAACAGCCAGCAATAGCAAGGTTGGTGTTAAGCTTCATTCTTTGCTGATCGCTCCTAATAGGCTAATCTGATCGTGCGGTCTCTTTCGCCTAAATCGCCTTCGAATGGGCCATGGCATTCGCGTCATCTTAGGCTCTTCCATGGACCATACCTACCTAGGTAGGTAGGTAGCTGTCTAGGTACCTAAGTCGCATTCCAATATATACTTGTAGGTGCTGCTCTTCCAGTCAAGATCGCATTGGTCTTGGTAGGCCAGTGCGAACGGTAGTGAGGAATATTAAGATTCGTAAGGACCCAAAGATATAAGCATAATACAAGATACCGTGTAGTGTCACACAGGCGAGAGTCTGAAAGTCTAAGATAAGCGATACTAATACAACGGCCTGATGGCTTCGATGGATAGCCCGAGCCTCTCATTGGATGAAAGTCTATTTCAACACGCCCGAGGCGATGCGACCAAAGACTCCTCGTACCATGCTGGGTCGCTCACGGAGGCAGGTCATAAGAACAGCAGCGCTTATAGCAAATGCAATGCGCTCTCGGATTTGGTACTGGGAAACATCAAACACGCGTCAGCATCTCGTGACTATTCTGGACCTGTCACAGGCTATTTTGGGACGTCGAGAAGAGGGTGAAGGGGGTGTGGGTGTAACCCTGGCGTGGACAGAGGATGCGAGGGTCTGATGCATACCTTTTTATCATACAACCGTGGCAAAACCGTGGCGGCAGCCCGTGGTGCCACAAATAGCGCCAACTCCTGCCTCTTCCGCGCCTTCTCAACCAATACACTCCAACCACACATGAGACATCCCATGCCGACGCAAAGTCCCGAGTCCCACATCATCGGCGTGACCGTTTTTGCATCGAAGATCTTGGGACCAAGTCGTGTCCGAGCGAGACAGACGCCGTAGTAGAATAGGCTCACGAAAGATGCGAGGAAGGCAGACGACCGACTGGCATCGGTGAGAACCCGGCGGATGGCGGTTGCGGATTTCATCCTGCGGAGCCGGAAAACAACCTGTAAGGGTATGTAGGTTGCACAGGCGAATTTGAAGGCTTTGGCGAATCGATACAATGCATGTTTCTCACAACTGGTGCTATAACCCATGTGCACCATTTCGCAGGGAATCGGAATCACTTTCGCTGGATCTCCCCACACCTCTGGCCAGTTGTAGTCTCTGCACATTGACTCGAGAAGGGGGGCTTGGCCTGTATCCTTTCCGTATACAAAGACTCCTCGCCTGGCACGACGCAAGGCCTCGATTAGGCGTGAGTCCACTTGAGCAGCCTCTCCAATCCACTTCTCGTAGGCCCTGGGCAGTCTCTCCGGGACATAGAACCAGGCCCACATGACAATAGCGGCGCTCATGGCAAAAACACTTGCGTCGGCGATGCCAGGGATCATCGACTCGATAGTAGTCCAGCGGTTCTGGGCCCGGCGGTGACGGGACCAGCGACTCCATGCGACACACGCGACTGCATCCACGGCTCTTGTGACCATATAGATGGTCAGATCCATTGTCCTCCCTGCCAATTCCGGACGGTGATGCTCTAGTGGATTGGCTATGACCTTGCTAGGGTCTTTCCCCTGATTTTCGGATTCCCGGATAGCTCTGACATCTTCGATTGGTAGGCAGATTCGGTTCTTGTTGAGAAGTTGGAAACTGAACCACCCTGATAGAAAAGTGGCGACAAACCGAATCAGGCGGTCGAGCCTTTGAGAAACTCGAACGTCAATTCTGGAGAGCCCTGCTGTTATCAACGCACACAGACGATACAACCCTATAGGTAGAAGCGTTGACCCGCCGACCAGGACAGCACAGGACGTAGGAAAGCTGTTGATACGGAAAGGACCAGTCAAGACCTTTGCTAGCTAATCGTGTCCGTGTCAGTGACAACACTTCAGCGACGCATTCTCAAGACAAGGGGTGACATGATATAAGTCACGATCACAAAGACGCCAGGCCAAGTGATGACCACGCTACAACATACCTCTTGGAGTTTCTGTTGGGTTGTCCAGTCCTTATTTCTCAGTCGGCGTACGTAAGACACCAGTTTCGGGGTGACCGATGACAGGTACCCGAGCGCGTAGGCGCGAAGGAGGCTACAGTCACCATCAGCAAAGACTAGATCACACAGTTGCACCAAGCCACAAGGGTAAGAGATCGCATGGACTCACGGCTTGAATACCCGGACGTTGTCTGTCCCATGGCGTCTCCGAATTGCAGATTCCATCTTGCCGGAAACATTCATGTCATAGTCCGTCGGGAGGTGTCAACATCCCAGTTTCCCCGAACTAATCAGCGATGAGAAGTCAATCAACTCTAAAGTCTGGTGGGGTTCACAAGATTCCAATCAATCAAACCAAGAGGTCAAAGATCCAAATGGATGTCCACAGGTGACCTACAATAATTGCACCTCCCGAGAATTGGGTAGTATTCTCCGGCAGAAAGAAGTTTGGGTTCTTTTTTATGGGTTTATGGATCAACCGTTGGATCCTCGTGTAACGGCGTGTTTAGTCCAAGATAGGTTTAACTAGATCGTGGGTAAACCTCGGTTAGGGGTTCTTAGCAGAAACCACCCCCCGCAGACCAAAGATCCAAAGTTAGGGGAGAGTACGGAGAACGGAGACGGAGTACCGATTAAGACAAGGCAGAGGACGATCATCCGAAGCGACGGGCTTGTTCGAAACACGATAGTCCGGATAGCGGGGCCTTTGGTTGAGGCCCATGGATGGAGGAAAAGCCCAATAATGGTCGATCCCAAGTGAACGGTCCAAAACAAGGAGACAATCCGCACTGACCGCATAGGCGTTTTAGTCTTTTTCTATGCATGCAAAGTAAAGTCCGTGATTTACCTACATGTACATACTATGTAGAATAGAACCACTTTGTAAAATGGGTTCCAATCTACTTACTCTTAGAGAAGAGAAGAGAAAAGTACTTGTTGGTTACTGCACGGACTAGAAATGGCCTCCGGGCTACCCACTCCGGGGAAGTTCTCCGTTCAAAAGCTTCCGTCAGGAACATCATAAATACCGACTGTACATTTCAAGCCACTGCGGAACGGCTGTAATTTTAGTAACTTTTGTCTTGTTACGTCACGCGCTCAAATTTTTGCATGTGATCCCGGATCGAGGCCGAACAGAACGCTTCCAAGGTTGCTTTGATTGCGAAACTCTCCACTCTTCTACCCCAGGACGGATCTTTCTTTACTTCCTGAAAGTTGCTTGATCCCTCTTGTTTTCTCTCTTTACTTTCTGCTTTATTTTCAGATTCCCCCTAAGCTCATTGCGCGCGAACCGAAGCGGCTAGTAGCTCATTGCATCGCATTATCAGCCTCAGAGAACCTCGTGGTCTTGAGCTCCCCGCGTCCCTCGTTTGTGGAGTCCGAACCTTGTTCATCGCATCTGATAGCACATACATCTACTCCATACACTGGGGTCAAAGGCATGACAGTGTCGCCTTGGTTCGCGCTACTGTTGGCATCAGAGTAGCAACCCCATTCACTGAAACATCAGCATCACTTGTTTTTCTTGAATCTGAACCTCATTCAACAATGAATGGTCACACAACTGAACTTCAGACTGGACGCACGTCCCCTCCGGCTGCTCCTTTCGGATGTGAGTATTGTCAGACATGATCTCGTATGCTTCGCTAATCTGACGGTTGACCACAGACTCCTTTCTCTCACCCATGGACACTCCTTTTGAACAAGCCCCTGCTCTGCCCCCGGGACCTTCCCTTCTTGATGACAATGAATCCAACATGCTCGACAACTTCTTTACTACCATGAATGCGAACCAATTTACGAATGATATGTGGATGCGACAAGAACATAAACCAGGGCTACCAGCCTTCGATTGGTCAGCTGAACTACCACCCAACTTCGAGGGCTCGACAACCTCTCTATCACAACCTACATTTCAGCAACATATGCTGGGCAAAGCTGGTGGTGGGATGATACCAGGCAACCCTACAGGCTCGGATATATTTGCCGCAGCGTCAATGCTCTATCAGAGTGGTTTGAATGGGTCAGAGTTAGGATCATCATTAACACAGCAAGCCTTTGCAAGACATCATCTTCCCAACAATGGGACACAATCAACAAATATCCCGCAAACTGCCAGTTCTGCTCCCGGTTCCATCTCGTCTCCTCGACCTGATCTCCCGACTGGGTATCATACCTCGGAGATGTTTTTTGACGTTCGTGACCCTATTCCTGCGGACCAACATCCATCAAGGAAGGCTCGCACCCTGCGTTGGGGCTCAGATGCTGGTTTCATGGACCAAGGTTACCTTCGTCCCCCCGACCAGCCTGATGAGGAGCAGCGGACGAATGACTTGCTCGACCATCTCGGCTGTTTCGAACCACAAAGCAGTGCGGCAAATACACGAGCACCCAGTCCAGAACAACCCGCGGGGCCTCCTCCTCCACGGCCTGTTTTCCGAAGTGGAGTTGCCCCAGACGATAGCTCACAGCCTCGAAAGCGGCAACGAGCGATAAAAGAGGAGGGCGACGATTGCTCTTCCGATGAAGACGGCAGACCTCACTCAAGGAAATCCAGAGGGTCCATCAGCAAAGGCCGGCGGGTCTCCACAGACATGTCTCGAAAAGCCCGTTTGCAGCAAGGCTCCAGGACTGCGCGGGAGAATCTTACCGAAGAGCAAAAGAGGACCAACCACATTCTTTCGGAGCAGAAGCGCCGCAATCTCATCCGCCAGGGCTTCGAAGATTTATGCACGCTGGTTCCTGCGCTCAGAGGCGGCGGCTTCAGCAAAAGCGCAATGCTCACTGGAGCCGCCGACTGGCTTGAAGACCTTCTTCGAGGGAATGATATTCTCCAAAGCCAACTGCATGATTTAAAGACTATCAACGGCTTGGTGATGCCGCGATGATAATGATCACAGCCTGGATTTATGATCTCATGGATGGCCCCTGCCTCTTTTTTTCTCTGCGTGGTCTGTAAGCATTTCAGCGGGCAACACCGGCGACAAGATACCAGTTCTTTTCTCTGCGTGCTTTTTTTGTTATTTTTCTATCTCGCCGCTCTGCTGTGGTTGATACAAGTCATCTTCCAGCTAGTTCTTGGCATACATCGATACCCCAGTACATAATGTGAAGGCCTCTATTGGCAATTATTTGAAACCATTCCAGATCGATGTTAGTATACTTAAGCGCATCGTAGCTTTCATTCTCAGTTGACGTCAAGGATGGCCGAGCCACTCTGACATGTGAGAATACCCCGTTTACCCCATTATTTCCAGTCCCCACCGCCCACCGCTCTATTTTGCCTGCATGTGAAGACGCGTTTACTCCCCAACTTTAATTCTGGAACTGGACAGCTCCAACCACGATTCAGCAATATGCCCCCGAAACGAAAACACGACGATGATGATGCCGAGGAAGATCCTAAGCGCTACGCCTATCTCAAACCTCAAGTTCGTCGCGTCCCAGAGAAAACAATCAAGTCGAAATGGGCCCCCCTGCCAGAACCCGTCCAGGAAAAGGTCAAGGACATGTTCCATTCCCTCGAGCGACCGGTGATAATGCGAAACCAAAATGAGCGCAAACGAATCGAGGCACAGAGCGCCGTGCAAGCGGTCGTGCGAAAGTAGGCCTCCCATACTGAGTCGTGCGCAGCCCATCGTTCGAAGACGGATGATGCTAATTGGACCCTGTCTTGCTTCAGCTTAGGCAAACGACTTCCGCGCATGCCATTTCCGCCCATAACGAAAGACTCGAACTTCGATTATGAATCTGCGCTGAATGAGCATGTATGCTACCCGCCATGACTGTTGACGACCCGTACTGATTACGTTTTAGCGTTCGCTTGAGACACACTTGGCTACCATGAATGATAGCGTTGATCTGTTGAAAGCGGAGATTGCTAAGGAGGAGGCGCTTCTTGCGAAGGAAACAAAGGCGCTTCAGGAAATGGACAAGAACGCTAAACGTGCCGAGGCGGAAAGGAAACGGCAGACTAAGAACGTATGCAACCATGCCACCTTGCTACTTGAGTATCGTTGGCTAATGAACGCAGGAACACCCCGTGCTCCGACGCCTGGATGCGCTTCCTCGGAGCGAGGGCTCTATGTCCTCTGATTTTACGCTTGTCGGCGCGAAAGATGGCCAGCTTACACTGGACGAAGTATGTGCTGCCTGAAAATTATTCGCGCTCGTTCTGTCAGCTGATAAATTCGTTCCAATTCAGTTAAGCACCGATCCCGAAGCTGAAGGGCTCATTAAACAACTGCATGGCCACCTTCGATCCATGCAAAGCAATACTGCACCCTTCACAGGACTTGCCGATGCCATCACTCGTTCACAAGCGGCCTTGGATCTGTATTCAATGCCCAATGATTGATCCCTTCAGGGGTTCATACTGCACCATCCAAGCCACCACTAGGCCCGAACGTTGATGCTTATTGACACATGAAGGACCTCGGACTGAGGTTCTGTGAGCTCACTGAAACAGCCAACCAAATACCGATCTTGGCAACATGGTATCGCATAGGCAATCCTTGTCGCGTGCTCACATTTCAATGCACCCACCGAATGACTGCATATAGTGGCACCGGACACGGTTGGACGCGTCTCCCATTGATAGAAGACATGCTTATGCAGGGGTAGCAACATGGTAGTCACCGCGGATCAGGTCGTGGAGGGCCATGCAGCGAGTATCAAGCACCCCGGTCCAATCTGGGGAGATTTGTTCAAGGATGATCCACCTGATAATCCGAGGCTCCACCGCATGGAAATTGTGCGAGCAGAAGAATCCAGACAGTTATAATTCAAGAAATCGTGAATCCATGCATTCTACACAGATGTTTCGTTCAAAAACCACCAGCCAATTGTAAGAGTAGAAAACGTAATCCCTCGACCGAGGTCGGGGACTCGGAATGTGGCGCGTGTGCCCCGAAGAACAGAACTGCGGAGCAGCTCGGAGGGGCGACTCCGCTTTCTCCATGCCGAAGAACTTTCGACATTCACCAACTCTTCTAAAACCACTGGTCTGCAGGCAGCCATTTCACTACAGCCCTGGTGGTGCTTCTGAAATTCTTTTGCACGATGACTGAAAGGAATGCGCCGGTGGGCGCTTCCAATGCTGGGGCCAGGTCCACTGATGCAGGGAAGGAAACGAGCGTCAAGGACTCACACACATCTGCGGCCAAGGCCGAAACGACCGGCTCGGGCAGTCATTCTAGTCCCAAGAAGCGCCGAAAAGTGAATCACGGTAAGGTGCCGTTGCGCAGCATGCGACAGGGATCTGTGGGCGGCCGATTCTGTTGCGCATAACGATAAGAACATCTTTGCTAACGAGCGTTTTCCATACTTCCAGCCTGTGTCTATTGTCGCCGCTCGGTAAGCTGAACTCCGCAAAGATGCTTTAAGCCTAATCACTATATGCGTTAGGCGATGGCATGAATGCCCGCACCCATCTTTCTGAGAAACTGGCTTTGCTAATGGAGTTTGTTCGTGTGGGACAGCATATGACCTGCGACTCGGTACGACGCCTTTGTCTCCCCTTTCCCTCTTCGCGACCCGTCGCGTCTGAAACCCCGAACACAGAACTTGCGCAAATAGGATTGCACCAGCTGACTTGTTTATATGAAGGAACGGCCATGCACCAGGTGTATAAAGCGAAACATCGGTCACCTATGCCATGATGAGCCGAGGGAAACTCCGAAGCGGGGACGTGGTGAACAAGATAATTCGGCCGCAGACGAAGAAGGCTCGTCGACTGAGTTAGGCGCCATTCAAGGCATGCCCAGGAGTGTCGACACCGCCGATGCTGCTGGTCAGCAACCATTCCCTGATACTACAATTGGAATCGCTCCCTCGGCCGTGAATCCGCCTTCAACGGTGCCGCCGGGGAATCTCTCTCTATCTGGCCAGGGCCTTGATGCTAACCCACCGCGTGAGTTTGCAATGAAGCTTGGTTTGCCCCCCGGACTCAGCTGACGTGGTAGGACAGTCATGCAATACAACGACTGGGCAGGTGGTCAGAATCAATTTCAAGATATGCATTCTCTCCATCCGTCATACATGTTCAATGCGCACGAAGTCACCAACGAGTACAACCTGCTTGGAGATTTCCTCAGCAACAGTCTTCTGGATGACGGGGCAATGTTCCAAAATCAAGAGATGCCAGGGATCTACAACGATTCATCGTTGATGAACTCGATGACTATGGGAATGCCAAATGGTTTGGCTACTCCCACGCAACTCCAGCCGCCAGCACAAAGCCAAGGTCTGTCAGGGGATTCGATTCAACAATCAGTTTCAACATTGGGCAATGACAAAGCCCGGGAAACATACTACATGACCGCTGCCGACCCGGCGGGTACTGATCCACCAGAGGAGCGGATGAACAAGCTTCTGAAGGCGAAATATGACGCTGGATTACTGAAACCATTCAATTATGTTAAGGGATACGCACGGTTGAATCAGTATATGGAAAAGAACATGCAACAAATATCCCGGCAAAAGATTCTTCGGCAGCTCGACAAGTTCCGGCCCAAGTTCCGAGAACGCATGCAAAGTTTGACTGATATCGAACTTATTCTGGTGGAGATGTGGTTTGAACGGAGTCTCATGGAGTACGATCGTGTCTTTGCCAGTATGGCTATTCCCGCCTGTTGTTGGCGTCGAACGGGCGAGATTTTCCGAGGCAACAACGAGATGGCGCAGTTGATCGATGTTCCAGTTGAGGGCCTGCGAGATGTGAGTTTCATCAACCATCCCATGTCACATCACACCCAGCTGACAAGTCTCTTCTCCACAGGGCAAACTTGCTATCCATGAGATTATCGTGGAAGATCAACTGGTGAGCTATTGGGAGAAGTTCGGAGCCATTGCTTTCGACAACACCCAAAAGGCTATGCTCACCAGTTGCACACTGAAGAGCCCCAATCCCAACTCAAAGAGCGATGGGATTACCTGCTGCTTTTCGTTTACGATCAGACGAGATAACCACAATATGTAAGTGTTCATCATTCGGCACAAACTAGAGTGCTAGAGCTAACCATATACAGCCCGTCACTCATAGTTGGCAACTTCCTTCCCATTCAGAGGTAGTATGGATAATGCTGTCAGATAGACTGTCATTTGTTGTCAAGCAAGGAGCTATACTTGCTGTTATCATTTTGTTTAACTGCTTGGTGGGGCCGGGAGTTGGCTGTGCTTCATGTATAGTGCTTAGGATATGTACAATACCAAAGAGTCTGTTTTGGGTCTATTGACACGTTGATGTAGACAGTAGGAGCGGATTTGCTCCAGAGTGCAAACGTTTGCGTTGCGCGACTCAGACGTTGGATCGTGGTTGCGTTGTCGCGGCGACTCTCACTTCTTACGTCCCTATATTTCTCAGACCTTCTTTCTTCCCTCTTATTTCCCCTCATCCATATCTCACGCTTTATCCATCATCTGTTCATCATCTATCATCTCAAGATCATTCATCTTTCTTTCCACTTACTCTAGGTCATCGTCATGGATCCAGTGCGCTCTCCAGCTGCGAGCTTGGAAGGTATCAGGTTCACCTCACGTCCCGTCTTCGACAAATCATCTAACTCGAGGCTTCTGCCATAGAACTCGGCCTCCTCTTGCAGAGAGTGCTGAACACGGATTCCTCGCCGACAGCCCCCATTCTCACTCCAGATGCCCTCCTGGAACTCAACAATTCCCTCAACACGAATCCATTCAATCCCGTGGACACAGGATTGGCAGCTAGCCGGCTTGATAGGCAGGCTACGAACCTCTGGAATCGCTGCACCGTCATGACGGCTTCACATGGTAGTAATCCAGAGAACTTGCGGATGCTTGCAAAAGTCAGGGCTTTCGCCTTTGCCCTGTTGAACAGTTCCCAGGCACCTGATCTTCTGGGTTTGTGTTTGCTCTGTCTGTATAGACTGGAACAAATCCAACTGACTTCTTATAGGCTTGATTCGAGCCGTTGAACTGGGTTTCGTCGCTACACGCCTTTGCATCGGTATCTCATTGCATCCCTTTGACATGAGGACTTCCCCACATCTAACGCCGAGTACAGTGAACGGAGAATCAGAGCTCGCAGTGAATATCATAACAGCGGTAGGTGATAAGCTCAATCGTATCCAGGACTCTCATCCCGAGGTTGATCCGAGCGTCAATCGTGGTCTTTTGACTGCATTCTACCTGCTTCATGTCCGCCTGGTGAGTCGTGTTATTTCGATCCTCTTTCCATGTCCCCTCAAGAACTGACATAGTATGCCAGGCCTGGCTGCAAGGCCTCCTAGATGCGGTCGATATTTTCTGGGCCAACGTGCCCGAGCCAACCACGGTGCGACATAGACAGATGGCCTTCGAATCTTGTTTCATCATGGGTGACCAGGCACTTGCACAGCAGTATCATGAGCTCGCGGTGACATGGCTTCAGAGGGCCTTGCACCACTTGCAAGAACTGGATGTCGACCATGGTTCGGCCTTTCCGTTTTTCAACGAGTGGGATCTCGTTATTCGACATTCGCTTGGTTAGTGGCTGAAAATTGTCGAAGATCTGGGTTCTGGACTAACATTTCGTAGTCGTGGCTTGCACGAAACTCCAAACCCCCGGGCCGGCCACCACCCGCATGACTCAAATGATCATTCTGAAAGAGGTATGCCCTGAGAAGCCTATATGGATGACTTGAAGTTGACAATATCAGCGCTACCCAGAACACCCGTCTGTCGTTCTTCTTGAGCTCTCTTCCAAAGATGAGACTACCAGCGTCGAGGACTTACTTAAAGGTTAAACGGAGTCCAGACCACTCTATTGAATAGACTGTATTAACTCTGTCGCTATAGGTCTGCAAGGATTCGTTGAAAATAATCGCCTAACGGACTTGAATATGCCTGTGTAAGTCACCTTACCAGCGTCGATTGGCCTATGTTTATCTATACACTACTGACCAGTGACACAGTATCTATCAATTCGCCCGAGGCTTGGGCTACAGAGGGTACCTTGCCACATCGAGCCCATGTGAAACATTGCTGATAGCGCGTAGTGGTTTGGAAGACGGAATGGAAGCACTTCGAATTTTGCTCGCGCGTCCTATGCCATCGCATGATTGGACGGAGAAATGCTTCCTTGCTTTCGCTCTGCTGACGAGCAGACGGCCAGATACTGGCTTGGACGGTATGGGGGGCCTGTGGTTTCTGATCGATGACCTGGACAAGCGTGGATTTTCTGATTTTAGCACCGGAGCAGCTCATGCCATCGTTGCTGTATGACATAACCCCATCATTCTCATTGCAGTCCTCGTTCAAAAGAGCTAATTGGTTGTGTATAGTGCGTCTGGAAACTTATAGGTGCTGCCATTCAAAAACATGAGTTCTGGGAAGCACGGGAATGGCTTTCCATTTGCGCATCTCCCAAAATCAGGCACGCCTGCTCGACGGATTTCATCATCGCTATTCAAAAGTCAGTCGGGAGGGAAATGACTATCACCTTGGGACACGCTCTGACATATTCTCAGGAAATTGATTACATGCCACATGCTTGACGGCAGCTTGGCAGATGCTCGTGAGCTGTTGGCCCGTGGTCTTGTCCAAGACCAACTTGATCTCCAGAGGATGTACCTGGAGTTTAAACTGACTATGATGGAGGGGAAGAATACCAACAGTAAGTAGATCATCTCCAGGATTTTTGAACAACTCTTAACTATTTCGCAGATTTCTTCGTGCTCGGTTTCTCTGAACAGCCCGATTCACAGAAACAACTGGCTGTGTTGTCCTGTGCAATGGAAGCCTACAGACTGCGCAAGTCAAGTGCCCTGCTCACTTGCCTGGAGCAATTTCAGAAATTCATGACCCGGAAAGAAATCTACCATGAGGATTTCACTGCTGCGGAGCACTACACGTAAGAGCTGTCTTCTACGAGTCGTCAACAAGGCTAATTTGCTTGGTCTAGGTTTGTAATCACTCTTCTTCTGAAAGAGTTATCCCACGGGTTCAGCTACCGGCTTGGTGAATTGATCAAGAATGTTACCCACCTTGGTTCGTGTTCACTGTCCACTTACTTACGCCAGAGCGGTATGCGATACTGACTGTCGAATAGCTTTGAATTATGCCAGAGAAAACAGCGGGATCGAAGGTGGCCCCACGACGGTCTCGATCACTCAAGTCCAATGGCTCTATCGCACGACTTACGAGATCGCCCGGAAACTCCTCAAATCTCCTGGTCTCGAATGGGCTACCACCATTTTGCAATACTCCAGAAAGGTTCGTTGAGATCTATACCATTGGACTTTCCGGGGTTCTTTCTGGGTCTACCTGTCTGACTGGCGCTCTGACATATCTACAGTTTGCAGATCTGTATCGATCCATTGCATATCCTGGTAGCGAAGCCGGAGTGCCACGGCCACATTTCTTTGCAGTCGCTTACCTTGATCTTCTTGCTGAGGCCGCCGAGGCTCGTGGCGAGGTCGATCCAGGTAGAAAGGTCAGTCTCTAAGCTTTCATATAGGGTTGCATTTCCAGAATGGAACGACCCGCTTTCTCAGGGCGATCATACTGACAAGAACCAGAAAATAAACTGGGAGAAGGTGCGCGTTGTTTTCAGGGAACTCAATGATCTATCTGGCTGGTCCGACGGGGAGGAAGAGGCGAAGGTTGACACGGAGGCCAAAGAAGCCAGACAGCTTACCAATGCGCGATTCTTTGACCTGGAAGCGGCAATGCACCTGGGGCGCTGGGAAGATGTCGCCCAAATATGTGAATCCAATGATACGTTTCCGATGTCGTGGTTTTATCCACCGCTCGTGGATTTGACTCTCAAGCTGGACCTGCCTCCTGCTTTGGCGATCAAAATACTCAAGGTACTTTTCATCCTTCTGAACTGGAAACTTTCTTCTCGGGAAAAGTGCTGACTCTCATCAACTAGCATGTCGTTCGCAACCGTGAGGATTCTCTGTGCGAGGCACCAGCCACCGCTATCGCCGAACGGGTCAATTTCCACACGTCTCTCCCACGCTACTTGCACTGCATCTTCATGCTGGCAATCTCGCCAGATCCCGCGCCAGCTCCCGTGGCTGCTGATGGTTTTCCAGATGTGAATATGGTCGATGCCAAGACAGCCGAGGAGGTGATCGACCGAGTCCTCAGTATTGTGGAACAAGGCACAGGCATCAATTCTGAGGAAGAAAGCCAGCTAGATAGCGGCGATAACCTTCGCGTGAATGTGCCAGATTCGGGGCTTTACCCATTCCAGGGAAATTACCCGACTCCGGAGCTGACCAAGATGGCGACCCTGACGTTCAATAGGGCGACAGACTACTACCGCGTGGTACAGGATGAGGTCTGTAAGCGGTGGGCAAATAAAGCCATACGCCTTGCACATCAAGTGCCTGGGCCGGAAGGCCAATGGTTAGCCGGGACACTTCAGGCCAAGCTGGATAACCTGATGCTGCTTTGAAGCTCCGGGGAACTGTACGAGCTCTGTAAGATTATGATAAGTGACTAGTTAAAAGAAATGTACGATCAAATGTATTCTCTGATTCGAAGTAGGTAAATCATAGAGAGTCGAGACACAAAGTTAGGAGTAGGGCAGGCTAGGTATTCATCCATTGAACTTGCTTATTGGCCAGCAGCTCAATAAAATGCACCTAGCCCCATCCAAATGCATTTGTTCACAACTCTTGACCGCTGTCCCCTCAGAGGCTCAAGTGCTCAACGAAAGGCTGTAATCTACCCCGTCTGCTCGTTGATGTCAAAGCTGCTAACAGTGACTTCACCATTCCCATCATTGAGCATCCTCTAACCTCGATTTCACTATTTAGTCTTACACAATGCTCTCAGACAACGAGCATCTTCAGCCTACCCAATTGCAACTGGATATCGCAACAAATCAAGCTCGAACCTATTGGCATCAGCTTGCCGAGAAGGTTATTGCGAACCAAGGCGGAGTCCATCTTGGAGCAAGTGTTTTACAGAACCTGCTATGCAGAGTCCCTTCGATACCTACTCAGCCCCTGGCCATTAACGAGATACTCTCCTCCGATGGCGCCACGAAATCAGTTCTGGCTCCTGCGTTATCAACAATGCACGTGGTTGAGCCGGGATGCGAAGTCGGAGGCAAGTCTAAGGAAAATCGAGCAACGGTCTTGATAGGCATCCAGACGCCAACCTCCTGTCAGTTTACTGGAGACACCTTCCGTCAATGGCGAACGACGGGAACTGCCAAGCCATATTCTTCAAACTACATCGGGATCTTGTCTCTTGCTTGGTCCTATATTCTCTCCGCACGTTTGTTGGAACTTCAAAACCAAGATGGAGCTGAGCTTGTTTACACTAGCTCAACGGCAAGAGCTCGCAGGATCGATGTCGTGGGTACAGACGAGTCAAAGCGTCCAGGCTCGCAAGTGATTGAAGTTGATATCGGGGAGGTCGATATCAACGTTGCTCGATGGTGGATGGCCATTCTAGCCCCCAGCCAAGGGTGGAAGGCAGTCTTCACCAAAAGAAATGATGATGTCTATCTGGCACCTTGGTCAATTGACTTGGGAGCGGAGGCATTATTCGGAGTCATATGGCAAGCCATAGGGCCTTCTGCGCCAGACTTCGTCGAATGTTTCCCACTTTCCTCCCAAGAGGCCTTGACGGCTCTGTCTGATTTCTGCTTGTTATATGGCCTTGGAGATCAGTATTTTGCCGCTTTTGCAGCAGCATTGACATATCCGACACACAAATATTACGACCAAGGGATCGAGTTACCGTCGCCAACCATTGCACTTGACAAAATGGAAACCACGCCGGACAAAGCAATGAGGAACGAATATCTCGCACTTGGTGAAGACCTTGCCTATCATATGGCCCTGAGTTGCAACCCTAATGTCGTGATGTCAAGTCTTTCTGGATCTTTCTGGGAGCCTGGTATCCCCTGCAACCTTGTTAGTCCTTGGCTGCATCCTGTTATGGAAGAACTGCCAAAGAGATCTGGATTAGCAGAGGGACCAACTCGGTACATTGAATTGATCACTTTAATGTGCGGAACCCGTCGTCCGAACCTGTTTGCTCTTTGGATAGGAGCTGCATTAAGTGGGCTTGTGCCCAAGGTCATTAATCTTGCCAAATCTGGAACGCCTCCTCTCGACCCAATTGGATTTGCGTGGACTGCCTCAGTGCAGAGCTTTATGGATGTTGCAGGCTCAGGACCGTATTTTGATTGTGATGCGTACGGGGAATCCACAATCAAAAGAGAAGATGCTTGGAGACTTTTGTATCTTCCTGTTCCGGAAGATGATGGGCTATATTATAATAGTCTCCCATTTTCTCCTTGGCCCCCCGTAGGGCAAATGAAGGAGAAAAACTGTGCTTTACGGGTCCGAACGCATAAAAATTGCCCAAGGCACTCTCTGACCTATCGTGACTGGAGATGGCAACTCCGGGATGGTACAAACTTACACGACAGAGGTTTTCGGCTCCAAAGCAATAGCATTTTGCAGCGAGATCAGTCTGACATGTCGCCCATAAATCCCGGATGTCATCCACAGTCACAAACTCCTCTTTCTCCAACGCTGACTGCGTCACGTGAAGCCTCGTTTGAAATCTTTCGGTGGGTGTTGGCAAACCATGAAGGAAAGCCACACTCTGAACCTATATATGATGACGACTGGATAGCGGGCTGCGAAAACACGGACGGTTCGCTTGCAGAAGAAGAGAGCATTGCCGACAGTGACTCTGGCGTACCAGATGTGAATTCTTCGGATGTCTGCAATGGATTGTCGTCCGCTCCACGAGGAAGTCGCATAATGCAATGGGTCGATAATATTCCTAGCACAGATCATTATCCAAGCCGATTACCCTCCCAAGAGAATGGGCGAGATCTTTGAGACTTTGACTGGCATTACGTTGATATCAATCCGGAATCGAAACAACGTTATACAGTCTTATACGGTAGGTATATTCGATGCAGATACTCAACCGCTACGGAGTACTCGGTATGCAGTGTGAACATGGTCCGTGGTCCGTGCGTTTTGTTTGCCCTAACCATTTCGGATTGGTTCCCCTTGGCTTCTCCAGAGACTAGATCCCATCACGTGTGCACCTCCATCCTGTAGTCACCACTTTTACATATTCGGCCTCGGACTCAGTGGTAATCGTACACAAGCGTCCAACACACCTTCCGGGTGTTGGTACGCCCCGCCCACGAATCAATTGCACCGACTGATAGTTTTTCCTGGCTGTAACAACTTCTCAACACTTTCATGCTGCACCCACGGGGCCACGATGATGGAGCAAAATAAAATCATAGAATTTCAAACTTCAAAGGCTCCTGTACGTTGATGATAGATTGGCCATGCTGGTCAGCGTGCGAGGAGGGCCCTCGCCGAGCTTCGTCTTGGTCATCTCCATCACCCGCATCTCAAGCTGCTCGGCCTCCTCCCACCGGCCCTGCTTCCTGTACGTTGACGCTAGGTTGTCCATACTGGTCAGCGTGTCGGGATGGTCCTCGCCGAACTTCGTCTTGCTCGTCTCCATCACCTGCACCTCGAGCTGCTCGGCCTCCTGCCACCGGCCCTGATTCCAAAACGTCAACGCTAGGTTGGCCATACTGGTCAGCGTGTCGGGATGGTCCTCGCCGAACTTCGTCTTGCGAGTCTCCATCACCTGCACCTCGAGCTGCTCGGCCTCCTCCCACCGGCCCTGGTTCCAAAACGTTGAGGCTAGGTTGGCCATACTGGTCAGCGTGGAAGGATGGTCCTCGCCGAGCTTCGTCTTGCGAGTCTCCATCACCTGCACCTCGAGCTGCTCGGCCTCCTCCCACCGGCCCTGGTTCCAAAACGTTGAGGCTATGTGGCCCATACTGATCAGCGTGTCGGGATGGTCCTGGCCGAGCTTCGTCTTGCGGGTCTCCATCACCTGCACAAAGAGCTGCTCGGCCTCCTCCCACTGTCCTTCATCATAGTGTACCCTTGCCAGTATTGTCCGAATGAAAACATCGCCCATTTCTCTGATGCTAATAGAGTTTGGATCAATATTACCTACATCCGAAAGATGCAGGATAAGATGCCGACGGAACCTGTGGCTGATGATCTTCTTCCGTAATCTGGCAGCAAGCAGCAAGCACAAACCTAGTATACCACGACTGCCAATTCCGATTTTGGTCGCGACGAATTGCTCTCCACTGAACCAGGCTGTGCATTGTGGTACTAGGCCAATCCCCGTGCACCCGCTGTACTAGACTGTAGCGAACCAGGACATCTATGCTATGTCGATATATGAAGTTGTCCCACTTTCCTTCGGATTCCGGAATAAACATTCGGAGCTCAGTGGAATCCTCTTCGCCGAGCTCGTTGACGACCGTAGACATACCTAGACTCGCGAGACGAAACATTTCGTCCTGCACAATATTTCCTTGGAAACAGGCCAAGAAGGTCAAGAGTAGACCAGGCTGCAGGCGGGGATACTGTGTTTCAATTTTCTCCAAAGTAGTATCCCATACCGTCCACACAGTTCTCTCCGCAGAGGATAACCCTCGAAGATGATCCATCTGCAAGAGCTCATCGCGATGCTTCTCATAGTCTTCTAAATACCGCGCGAGGGACAGTTCAGGGGCAACGCTATTGCCGATGTACGCCCCGGCAAGATCAATCGCCAGTGGTAAATATCCAAGCTTCTTCGCCACTTCGTCGCAGCCCTCTTCCACAGACTGTGGGAGCAAGTCGACGTTGTCGGACAGATGGCGCAGAAGGACCATTCTCGCTTCTCGTGGGGACATGTCGCCAACTCGAATTTGTTCGCAGCTTTTCTCGACCAGCTTTTGACTTTGCGCATCGCGGCTGGTGATAATTATTCTTCCTCGGGTTCCCTTTGGCATGATCTTTTTGATACCCCAAGTGAGGTCATCCGCATTGTCGACGATAACCAACCATTCATCATCCACGTCAGTGCGGTTGCGAAGCCATCGAAGTACACCTTGAATGACCCGGTCGTCCACAAGAGCTGTACTCTGCTGATTGTTTGGTTCGTCCGCAACCCCGATTTCTGCGGCGCATCTTCTGAAACTAGATCGGACGGTTTCTTCACGTGTTGCATCAATCCAGAGAATTGGGCTATACCGATCAACACTACATTCGGTAAACTTCAGGGCTAACTGAGATTTACCTGCCCCTTCTAATCCGTGCAGAGTGACAGCAAATGGAACGCTGGCCCTTCCGTGCCGTATTTGAAGCTTTTCTTCCAACTCCTTCCAAAGCTGATCACGCTGAATAAAGGTCTGTACTGTCTCAAGTGGAACGGAATATTGGCGCTTCGTCGGTTGAACCAAAGGTGCCAATACTCTGGCAAGCTTTGAAAGGATGATATTGTAGCTTTCATTTCTTGAATCGAACTTGTTCAGCCCGTAGTGATCGACGGCTAGGCCGATTTTGCTGACCGTGTTCCCCTGATAGGTGGCGGACCTCTCAGAAACGCACTTTTCTCTGTATCAGTATGCTCTGTGACAGTCTGGACATTATTTCAGGTCTACTCACAAACATTTGCCATCGAAAGAACCCTAGTCGGAGAAGGCAAAGCGGTCTCTGCTCATAAAAATTGACCACTTGCAAATCATCTCGTATACTGGAGATGAAGCTTTCGTGTAAATCACTCAACACGACAGAGTCGTATTCCAGATTGGCCAGGATCAATGGATTAGATCCTAGCGGTTGCAAGGCGAGTGCAGCAAGCCGACCCCAAGGGCCAAAGCTCGTACCGCGATGCGGTGTACCTAGAAAAAGAATCGCCCTTGTTTGCTCCACAATATGATTGAACTCGCGCCTGCGTTTGGCTTGAATAAGCGCCTAAAAAATTTAGCTCAGCCCCATGGAAGGAACATCAATCTCCTACCTCTTCGACTACTAGACCTCCGTAGCTATGTCCCACGAAGACCAAGCGTCGGCTCTGCTCCTACGGAGTGATCAGCAAGAAGCCTTGGCTAAGGGAGTTGTCAATACTCACATACTTCGACTGACGGATCTGCCCGTCAATATGTTCAAGAAGATGGGTACCGACGGTCTGGAGCCGTGTATAGACCGCATCCCTCTTCCAATATGTGTCATAGTTATAGAAAAAGATGCGAGCATCTTTGCGGACCTCCGGGGGAGGTCACTGGGAAGAAATTCGCTGACCCAGTTCACGTATTGCTCACTGTTCGGGCGGGTTTCCTCGGTCAGGTGTGCGGTGTTCGTGGAGTTTCTCGCTTGCCACGTCGTATCAGGGTTGGATCCGAGGCCATGGACGAATATGAGACTGTTTATGTCAACAACCTCGAAACTTCCGACTGGCCGTTCTACCTACTCGATCCCACTAGCACGCGCGGGTACGTAGCTCTTCACTGGAACGAGCTCGAATCTCGCCCTTGGAGCTTGATCAGCGATGAGCCGGCTCGGAATTCTTTTGGAGACCCAATAGTAGGTGAATGCGACCGATAGAGCGAAAGTGAGCAGATACAGAGTCGTGGGTTGGTTCATCGCTGATTGGTGGGTTCTGCCGTGTCGGTTCCATGGAAGGTGGATGGAGTCGGAAATTAATAAGCGGATTGTACTAGGTGGATATGACTTCACATATATGGCTTCAAAACCGTGGAGGTGAATAGCTGCTTCACTGCTTGACTACCTAAGGAAAATCCAAGCTACATACGACTGTCATAATCTGAGGGGTTTCCAGCTGTGCATTTCGCAGCTGAACCGCCGGCGCTAGACCAATGATGGTGATGATAACCTCATGTACGGAGTACCCCGTAACCCCATTTAGCTCGCTTTACGGAGTACATACTTGATACTGCCGGCACGCACTAGACCAATTGGTGAAATTGTGAGGCTTTCACTGTGCCAGCCCTGGTAGGTAAATTTCCTAAATTCCCCCTTAACTAGGACTTAACACAATGGATTTTAGGAATAACATTGTTGCAAGTGTTTCAGACCGCCCGACTCCCTCCATGCCCGGTTCAGCTCGCTTTACATACATGCTGCTACCTAGTGGCGGCACTAGACCAATTGAGATTGGTGCCTAAGAGAGAGACCGCTTCGCCCGATTCAAGTTGGGGTTATGTATTGGACCCTTGTGTATTCGATGATCCCAATAACTATATCAATCTTTCCGTGATCTGCAGTTCCGAAATATTACAATCCAGCCCCTGAGGGCCCTGACCACATTAATGCTATGTCTACTTACGCTGGCGCTCCATTCCCTTCATCGTGTGCTCTGAATCGAGAGCTTCTGGGAAATCCTCTTAGCGCGAATGACGATTCTTCGCAACCGCAGACCGGGGCGAAGTCCATACAATACATCCCGGGAAATCCTGCTATTGGCCTTCTCCCCAATGAGGTCTATGATTACCTTTCCAAAGAACTAGCAACCCCGCTTCTGGATGAGTTGTACGCCCAGCTGTGGTTAGTTGCAAGGAAATCTGGACATCATATCGATGCGCTGCATACGCAAAAGGCCAAGGGACGCGCTATCATCCCAAGCGAAGACCCGAGACTCCATCTCATTTGGGACAGGAACAAGATCTACATTAAGCCTGTACCTCTATGTTTGCTAAATCATGAATTCTGGGTACGGTATTTGCAGCCTCTGAAGGGAGCATCGTCGGAAAGTCCTTCGCCTGTTCCCAAAAGCCCCGAGCCAGCCGCTTCGGTGTTTGACAGCGCGATTGCCATAGGGTTTATGCGCTCATACGCATCTCTCGTCAAGAGTCCTCTTGACTTTGCGATCGCGAAGGAGTCTTATCTGATCCCGACTGAGGTTGACTGGGTCGAATGGTCAATCTTTATCAATCACTTTCGCGTTGAAGACGATAGTGTTGCAAAGCGCTACCACTATGGACAGTTGCGTCTCTCGCGATTAAATTGGGTGGTCCGGATCTTCCGTCCAAATAAAACTCGCACCAGATGGTTCTACGAGACTTCCTGCTGGTCCATTGGCGAATTTATGGAGAGAGCAACTTTTCCTCTCGTCTTCCTATTTGCTAGCGTATCTATCGCTCTTTCATCGATGCAAGTTGCGCTCGCTGTTCCGGTGGATCTACTTTGGTCTCACAGTTCAGACGATGAGCTGCAAGAGATGAACAGAGCATTTTGGCTCTTTTCTATTGCCGTGGTACTTCTATGGCTGGTAACATGGGTTCTCCTCCTCGGTATTCCCGTTGTTGCGTTGTGTTCGCAAGTTTTCTGGGGATTTAGAAATCGAGAGAAACCAGCAAGAGATACTTCTACTGTCTAAATCGAAGGAGCTTGGAGAATCCTGGCATACATGGTAAAACTCCGTACCTTCAACGCTTTCAAGATATGAGAACCTTCTCCGCAGGGGCATCTGTCTGATTCCACTTCGTTGATCTTATACAAGTGTCTCAACGCAATGCGCATTGACCACATCTCTATCACGATTGAGAACCGTGGTTCCGACAGGTCTTTGTATATTTCTAAGACCTTCTTATCAGGTCTTTTTTGCAGGCGTTTTGTGGGCCAATCATCCAACTAGCCGCGGCGAAAAGGGTCCGTGAACGGACCCAGCACAGCTGGAGGATGGAAAGAGGGCTGTCGAAACCACGGTCTTCGAATAAACAATATTGTGGGGCAAAGTGCCCCTTCGGGTGTGGGCTGAGCGTGGACTGAGTGCTCAATAGATGCCTCTGGACAATCTAATCAGTGGGCCGGAGCAGCGAAAGTAAAGGCCATGTTTACGGTGAAGTCGGGACTAGGAAACCGAGTTTATTCGTGCTTGCTTTGAAGAGAATGTAGAATGTAAGGAGACAGATTGAATGTCGTGATAGTGACAAGGCACAGCTAAAAAGGGTAAATATGGGTATCATCAGAAGTGAAATGATCTCTTAACAGATCAGCGAGGGGAAATGAAGATAGAAATAGAAAAGAAAGATCGCCCAGGCCACTAAAAACCAGTAGATGATGCAAAGGTGCCGAGAGATAAAGAGGGAAAATCAAGAGAATGCAATGAGCCAAAGGCCGCTAGATAGAAAGTGAAATGGTCATAGAAAAGGCTATGAAAGTGCCATAGCGTCTCCATGTAAAGTAAAACACCAAAGATGCATTGTTTCTCCCAAGCAGAGCGATAGAGAAGATGTGTTCATGCTTCACGTTTCGCATCACAGGAGCGACTCCGCGAAGTCTGGCGCATCCCATTTTGCCGCAACGACGGGGTAGAGGGCATGCGGCGGGGGATATGAGGCGACTTGGGCGTGGCACAACTTGGGTCCCGCTCCCGCTCCATGTCCTTGCCACTGCTATCCGTCTCCGTCTCGGCACTTTCGTCGCTGCTCTGTCCGCGACCAGCCACGATGCGGAGCGTGAGACTGAGCTCTCGCTCGAGTTCTTTTTGCGATTGGAGGGGCTGGCTTGAGCCATTTAGCTTCTTGCGGTAGGCTCGGAGAGTGCGGCATAGCTGTTCGGTGGAACTGTCCAGGCTTCCGAATTCGCTGCGTGGTGTTGTTTTGCTGCGGTTGCGGAAGTCGTGGGAGGTGCGGCGGTTGTTTGTGCGTGCGCTATTGTGCTGTCTTGGCGTTGGAGTCTTTGATTTGGGGCTCACTGGGGATGGGGAGCGGCGTCTTCGGTCTTGGGGTGTGCTTATGGTTGGGGAGATGCGGGTTGAAGGAGGTGAGGTTGTTTCGGAAACGGAGTGGTTTTTCAGCGAAGATGGGGCTAGTGAAAGACGTGACATCTTGCGGAGTAGGACTGGGGAGTGCTCGCGCATGGGTGTTGGGGTCGTAGGATTGGGACTATCCGGACGTTGGAACCCGGCAAGTTCGCTGCGAGAGAGGACTTTTCGGAGTGGCGGTCTCGCCGCGGCGTTTTCCTTCGCAGGAGTGTCATCATCATCTCGTCCGATGAGGTCTGAGGAGATCTGTTGCTGGATAGACAGGTCCCAGATCATCAGGATACCATCCATACCGGCGCTAACCACAGTGCGTTTGGGCTGGGATCCCTCGGAGGTATCGCGTTCCTCCAGGAGCAACACAGCAGTCACGCCTTCTGTATGACCGAACTCGCCAGTGAGAAGCTGATCTCTCTCAAGGTCGTAGACACGAACAGACTTGTCTGTGCTTGAAACACCGACGAGAATCTTCGGAGTCTGACCCAGAATCTCAGATGCAACTGTCAAGGAGCCCATAATTACAGCATCAGTGGTCTCCGAATCAGATGCCTTGAAGCTGTGAAGAAGACGCCCAGTGGGGATATCAAACTTCGAGATGTAACGGTCCATGGTGGAAAGATATAGCGTGTCCGAGTCATCTGGACAGAGCGTCATCGACACGGGCGAAGCCTTCTGGGTGATAACCCGTGAGATCAGGTAGGCAACAGATGTACCACTATCCACCTCGCGTGTCGCCCGCTCCCTTATGAGCACGGTGCGGTCCGCAGAGCAAGAAAGCAGTTTCTCGCCATCATTGACGAACATCAACTGTCCAACAGCACCAACGTGGTCATCCATGGTCTGGATCAATTGCAATTCGGAGTCTCGTTTCTCGAAGAGTTGCACCATCCGATCACGCCCACAACTAGCTATCAACCAGGACTCGTCCATTTTCTGAATGACCACATCTGTAATCTCTCCGCCATGCGCGCGGGCTTGTTTGAGACAAGTCCAGTCGGAGTTTGAAAAGATTCTGGATCCAAGAGGTCAGCAAAAGTGCCTGGTCTGGATCTCAAGATTGCACCTACCGCAATACGCCGAACTTGTCACCCGAGACAAACCAGCCTGCACCCTCCGCAGTTTTCAAAACTTTGAGTTCATTCGCCGTGTCATCATCGCCTCCCGGGTATTGTTCGAGATCGATGTTCTTCGAACCTCGACACTTCCCTTGCGCATCCCAGAAGTTTACAGAGCCATTGCGGGACCAGGTAAAGAAGTCCGCGGACAGTTCGTTGGGAACGTCCATTCGGCAGATGCCGAGAACTGGGTCCCGATGAGCCAGCATTGAAGCTTCACACTCCTCTTGCTCACCATCTTCGCGTAAAGCGTCCATCTGATAGACATGAATCGCGCGAGTGGAGTCAACGGTGATCAGATGCGTACTGAGAGATCCCATGCAAGTGATTGCCGGCGCCTTGCACTTCTTGTCAGCTGCTCCCTTCTCCAAGCGTGCAGGAGACATCGGCCTGGAGCTAGCTGATCGTAGAACGTCAAACGAGACCCGCTGCATTTGCCTTCCGCGACCACCTAGCCAGACGGACTCCTTGTCGAAATCCACGGCTAATGATGTAATGCTGAATCCGACTTGCTTGACTATTATCATCTTCTGGGTCCCTTCACGATCATCAAGATAGCAAATTGAGCCTGAATCTGTGCCGATCACGGCTTCATGAGAGGAAATACTGCTCACACAGGTAAAGGAATTGTCGCCTAGTGCACCTAGAAGACAATTCCTGCCAGATAGTGCTTTCGGGGCTGGATTAGGCGATGGCCCGACTCCATCAACATTCAGACGGGTCTTCGTTGGTGAAACCGGCCGTTCTACAGTAGGAAGACGCCAGACCTTGACATGTCGCAGACCAGTCCTAAACAACAGCGTTAGTCGGGTTGTTGATTTCGGTCATTTGGATCCAACGTACGTCACCAAGCTTTGGCCAACCCAGCACATATCCTTGATAGATGCGGTGCATTTGTTCACAGAGTGTAGCTTGGCTGACCCATTTTTGAGGTTCACTGTCCAGATGAAGAGAAATCCATCGTTCGGGCTGCCGAGTGATGCCAGATACTGTGAGTCGGGGCTAAAGGCCAAGCTGCGAACGCCAATCGTATGCTCGTTCAATATGGACAAGGGTACATCCGGTAAAGCATCTTTTGCTGTCGAAAATATCAAAACTCGAGGGTTGTAGCCGGTCTTGATATTGTCAGCTACTGTTGAGGGCCATGGGTTCATCTCAATGTCCCCCACTTACTTCTCCCACTGCAAGGAATCTTCCATTAGGGCTGATTGAAACACTCATCACTGCCTTGATTCTTTCTCTTGAGGACCATGCGCGGGGACTACCGGGGTCACCAGATTCGCTTGACGGAGAACCATTGGCGAAATTGAAGTGCGGATTCGATCGGATATGAGACAGAGATCGTGATCTGGGGTCTGGGGTGGTCGGAGGGGTCGATTGGTTGTAAAAGGAAGTTGGTGGGTTGACACTGGTCGCAGAAGGCCGAGCACGGAAGAAACGCTGTGTAATATTGTCATTCTCATCTAGTTCTGCGAGCACCGCTGCTGACCCAGCACATAGCGCAAAGCTCTTGCTCTGGTCATGACTCGAGAAGCCGTTGGGTGTTGTTGTGGTCGTGCCGATAACGGTTTGGAGAGATAAGGAGGATTGGTGGGATGTCTTGCTGGCAGATCGTGTGCCCGGTCGAAGAATTGGAGAGTTCGAAGGTGTGATTTTCAAGGATGCGCCGGGCCCAGCAAGCTTGCTTTTCGCGCCGAGAGGGGTGGTAGAAGTCATATTCACGGCGAGGACGGAGGCGGTGATCGTTGCTTCAGGGTGCTCTAAGAGCGCGACGTGTTTGCATTTAAAGGCTAGTCCATTAGAAGCTGTCCGTTGGTGCCAGTCAAATTGCAATAGGTTGGAGAACTTGTAACGAGAGTGTTCAGGAGAGGGTCGTGTGGGAGGATGGTAAAATTAGTGGGGGCAAGCTAAACTGAAGCTCTGATCAGCCAAGTCCTATCGCTATTCACAACAAACTTTGAACTTACCTGGAGCTTCAAAAGAGAGTGAGTGTGTTGGCGACCGACTCCGATGTCAATTGGAAAGAGAAAGAGGGTACAAAACACAAAGCTCATTCCGCGCTAAGCAGATCATTCCAGCCGATCGGAATTTGAACCTTTGAAGTGCTGCCCCCCTTGGCTCCATAGAGGAGATGTCCTTCAACTGGTTTGATTGGCCATATGCCCGGTCTCTTTGTGTTTGACTATCTGACAATCTGACAGTTTGACAGTTTGATCGATTTCACTTGCTGTACTCTGTAAGCTTCGGATCTCTGTGTTGGATCTGCGAGATGAACGGTGGGTCGTGTACGCTCAGGTCGCCGCACTAAGACCGGCTCAAGGTGAGCTCTTACAAGGATTGTTTGGATAGTTATATGGTGTAGTACTGTAGATAATGCCCGAGCAGATAATAGAGGGAGGTTGAGAAATTGACTTTCAAGACATTCAGGGTCATACAGAGCCTCGACTTAGTTGCACGTGCTTCGGATACCTCCCCAGTGCCCTAATTTCAGACTGCACTCGTGACCTGGCTGCCTTCTGTTAATGTGACCAGTCTATTCTGAGGTTGTGATACATCACACATATGGTATCATCATCGCTTCTATGTACAATTTGCATATTGGGCGTCTAAGATCACAGAGCGATATGCTGGGCTCAGGAATGCCACCTTCTCTGCGCATCTCGGTCTGGATAGCAGGCAGTACATGTTTTCAGATTGGAAGAAGCAACTGGTTCTTTTCTCTACAAAGTACAAGCAGCTTGCTCATACGTCTAAATCTGTTTCTGAGTGGGAAAGAGTCCCTTACTGTGTAGATAGAGGAGGCTGACAGCCTGACTCGCAACACCTCTGTTTCGTGAGTCTATCAGCTGGCCATTACTTGGCAATATCGAAGTGTTTGAAGACATAAACGCTTTTAAATGTCTATCGCCTTGATATCAAAATAGTCCATCTTCATTGAAGTAGGTCGGAGGAGTTCTGATACTGACGCCTGATATATCAGGCCACCATCAGTCCTGCCCCGGTTCTTCTTATCGCCACCAAATATTTTCCCTTCACTCAACCTCCAGCTCTCACATCTACCCATTACCAAATCTGTTTTGCGTGGAAATCCCCTTCCGCCTATATCTGAAGTCAACATGCCCACTGCATGCGCTGCATCCTCGAGGCTGGCTCTCCCTGCCGTTCTGCGCAATGTCTTCCGCTCTCAGTTCGCCGGCAAGCTGGGCGCCTCCCCGATGATTACTTACCGTCATTCTCCTGCCTCTGGTCCTCTCATTTCTTCGGGATCTCAACTCAAACGAACCTTCGCGTCAATGCCTCACTTGCGTGATCTCCAGAATATTCAAGCAGATAACGCGGTCCCTGGACACTCCGCTTCTATCGACCCTACCGATGCCACCGAGCCATCTAAACACGCATCAACGAGGGTCAAAATGGATAAGCCAAGGGCCGAGAAAAGTGGATGGAGTTCACATAAGCGCCAACCGAACCGCCGTCGAGAGGACTCAGAAAGGACTGGAAGATCCGATAGAGAACGCAGGCTTTTTCGCAACGAGTCACGAAGGGAAGCAAAGAAAGATCCTCTTCGCAAGGCTGAGCTAGACAAAATCAACCAAGCAAAAGAGGATGCGGCAAGGAGCGGCAACACCAGGCCCGAGACCTGGAAAGTGCAAAAAGAGGCTTTGAAAGAGAAGTTCCCCACCGGTTGGAGTCCAATCAAAAAGCTTTCACCCGATGCGCTCGACGGAATTCGTACTCTTCATGCGAAAGCTCCAGAGAAGTTCACAACCCCTGTTCTTGCTGAAGAGTTTGGGGTTTCCCCGGAAGCTATCCGTCGGATCTTGAAAAGCAAATGGCGCCCATCGGAAGACGAGATGGAGCATCGGCGCAAGCGATGGGAGACGCGACACGACCGAATCTGGGGTCGCATGGCTGAACTTGGTCTTCGGCCCTCGACTGACCGCACACGACCTGTTTCGGATTACCATGTGCTTTACGAAGACAATAATCGTGAGCGGAGATAGTTGGTCGTCTCTGTAATATAGCTATGGTCTCAATGTGGGCCCCTGTACAATATTTCATTAATCCTTAATATCTTGGTGAATCACAGTAAATAAACAAGACAGACACTTTTATTTGCCCTAGAACGTACGATGTGAGGAAGAAGGTGGGTATCATATGTCATTCGTTCCGTAGTTCGGGGTGGAGCTTGGAGCAACGGAGCAACGCCCTTGGAGAGCTCGGGAGGATATCTCCGTCAACTCTACGAACTCGGCCACCCACCTCAACTTTACGTGTTCATTGGGGTTGACAGAATGCTCCTATTGGCACACCTCACCAATAGCTTCGACCTGACCACAACTCCCCGCGTCGACAACTCCTCCGAGGCCTCAGGAAACCCCCTCGGCCTGCAGTCCACATGCTGACACGACCGCCATGTCATCCAACATCCAGGTCTTTGTGAAATGGAAGGATCAAACTATATTTGCGGGGGAGGATGTGGAATGCACCATCACGTTCAAGAACGTGGCTGAGGTTAGTGCCGACGGCAACAATAAAGGCGAAGGAGGTCAACATTCACGAAGGCTCTCTCGAATCGCGAACCATTCCCCCACGCCAAACCCGAACTCGGACAGTTTTTTTGGGTTCAAATCCTCCCAGGCCCTCTTCTCCGGTCGGCGGTCATTTTCCATCAGTTCCCAACGGAAGCCGTCTCACCGGACAGCCTCGTCTCTGAGCACTCCGTTGACCGGCTCACATAGCTTTCCCCCGAACAGTGGCCCCTCTACACCCCGAGCATGGCAGCCAGGTCATGGCCACAAACGATCTGTTTCAATCCTCTCCATTGATAGCGAAGGCCAACCCGACCCGACACCTTCCCCGCACCACCACTATAACCGACCTCAACCGGCCAGGGGCCATGGGCGCTCGGCGAGTCTTCAGGTCCTGCCACGGAGGAACGATAGCTATGAGGATTATAATAAGAAAGGTACATTGGTCATCGCAAATAGGCATCGAGGACTACTAGTCTAACAGATTTTCCATCAGCGAGAACCCCCACTCATGCTTTTCCTTTCCCATTGACGGAGGCTCCTAGCGAGCATCCCAATGGCAACCTGAGAGTTGATACTTCACATCTCGGGCGAGCCAGCCGCCGTGGATCCCTAGCTACTAGCCCAATAGGACCAGTGCAGCCAATGCGCGCACCTCCCCGACGGTCCCAACCGCCTCCCCTGGATTTCAAGTTTCCGGCCGCGCCTCCAGCCGAATCGACTGACAGCAGCACAGCGCGCACTCCCTCACCAAAGTCGGCAACAACCACCGGTACATCATCGACCGGTAGATTGACCGTTCGAGATGCTCAGGGCCAGACTGGACCGGCACATCAGCAATTGACTCGGATCATATCAGCAACAAGCGGGAATGGGAGCAGCCGGAGCAGTGGTGAATTCTACTCGGTCAGCGACCACTCCACCGAGACTCTCGGCTCTGAATACACGAATTACTCGGTCCAGGGTGCGCGACCTCCCCTCCCATGCGCCATGCGCGGCATCACTCCGTAGTTACATCTCCTTCCAGGACCGTCAACAGCCAGGCGCTGCTGATGGGCTATGCGCAAGTCAGCGCATCATTCACCGTTGATGGCTCTTTAGTGAACCAGTCAGTTTTCGAGGAGGTCAAGCGGAAGGGAGTTGTTGGTGGCCCAGCGGGTCCCGGCGGACTTCCTGGTCGCCCAACGCCGACTGAGCAACCACGTAAAACTGGTGGGTTCTGGGGCGCCTTGAAATGGAACGCTATTGAGGAGTCTATCAGTGGTCTTCTTTCGAATAACGAGTTGGATGGGCTACGCGAGATGCGCGGTGTAACATCATCGAGATCCATTCCGCTGCTGTCTACCTCGCAATCGCTACTTTTTGTCGACCTTCGACTGGCACCAGGGGAGGAACAGTCATATTCCTTCTCATTTTCCCTCCCTAAGGGGCTCCCGGCGAGTCACAAAGGAAAAGCAATCAAAATCTCTTATAATCTGGTCATTGGAACTCAGCGTCCCAGTGGGCCAAAAGACCCTCAAAAGGTTAACCGCATCAACATACCCTTCCGTGTTTTTAGTGGCGTGAATGGTACGTGAATTTGCTCCCCTTCTATTCTGTCTCGGGTCCTAACATCCATATAGAAAAGGGAGAAGTTCTTGGGCATGACTTGATGTCGCCTTATGTACTCCTACGGGACGAAGCAAAGGTGCAGAAGATCGGGCCAGTGACGCCTGTGACTACGAAAAACCAAAGTGTCAGCAAGACACATCACTCTGCAGCAGACTTCCTTGGCTATGTAGATGAGATTCTGGAGCAACGTGCACGTTCCAATACGCTTTTCCCGCCTGGCGCCCTCCCTTCGAGACGACCTAGTGTCGACGGATTACCGCAGATGCTCACCTGCAAGGATGTCATCGACTTCGCTATTCTCCGCAGTAACCAGGCGATTAACTCTCGTCGCAGTCCCAATCGCTTTGAGATTGCCCGCGACGGTGAACGCATCGCGGTGGTATCCCTGAATCGACCGATTCACCGTCTCGGAGAGACCATCATCGCCACAATGGATTTTGAGCATGCTACCATTCCTTGCTTTGCAGTCCGCGCCTCACTCGAAACCTCGGAGAAAGTCAACCCGACACTGGCCATACGGTCCAGTGCTAGTATCCACCGTACCACACGACGCATTCACGCTTCCTTGTTCGAGAACACACTCCATTCCACTCGCGTGGTCTTCAGTCCTGCAATTCCTATCACCGCCACGCCTACGATCGTGACTAGCGGCGTGACTCTGGACTGGGAACTGCGATTCGAGTTCGTCACTTCCAGTATTCGAGGCGATCGGGCCCCACCATCTGGAACTCGCTTGCTAGAGACTATATCATCTGATGATCGTAACCAAGTGTTGTCTGCCCTGGAGTATTTGAACTGTGAATCGTTCGAGATTTCTATTCCGTTAACAGTGTATGGAGAGACTGTCCGAGAACGATTACCCGAGGAGAATGAGGGTTACTCGATCTAGAGCATGCCTGCAGTGCAGGTTGATTTTGTTCGACATATTCCCCGGATTAATTCATATAAGCCAGGCTTTGACTGTGTATAATTGTTGAATTCATTGAAAGAACATGTAAAGTGTAGATAATGTACTGTGTACTGTGTACTGTGAGAGTCCATTGATACTTCTGACGTAGAGTTGGTCACTGGGGCAACGCGGCCAGTCGAAGATCGGATCTCACTTTACAGCGTACATCGTCGAGCTGTCCCCGATCACTTCCCTTGCTCATCTGTTTCATCCTTCCAAAGTTGCCAGGCATCTAGGTAAGGCGCATTATCACAATATACTGCACATCTGCCCTATTCCTGGAACTCTGGACATATACTGATCTTATCATTGGAATGTAGGCACATCGCGATCAGCGCAACCCCCCTACATCCCTACCGAGAGGGACTGCTTTTATTCGAGTCTGCAGACAATATGTCTTCATTCATCACCACCATGTCCGTCCCCGCCACCCCTCCCGCTGCTCATTTCCCTTCCCCTAGAGAATCTACCTCTCATCCCCCGCTATCACACTCCCCTACCGTCAACATCAGCCCCGCCCTGTATCAGACCACTCGCACTTCTTACATTCCCTTCCCGGAGCCACCCTCTTATCTGTCGCCAGCAGTGCGCGCTCTCAAACAAGGCTGTTATGGACTAACACCTCCCAGCAATGCCCGCACGCGCGCTCCCTTCAAGCCCCGCTCGGCCGCCAAGGGCACGAGCAGTTACCAGCTACGACAGTTTGCCGAAGCCACACTGGGAAGTGGTAGCTTGCGCAAGGCAGTCAAGTTGCCCGAAGGAGAAGATCTCAATGAATGGCTCGCCGTGAACAGTAAGACACATGTATCCATTCAGTTATGCTAAGCGCCTTTGCTGATGTTCGGGCCGATATAGTCGTCGACTTTTACAACCAGATCAACCTGCTCTACGGGTCAATAACCGAGTTCTGTTCGCCGCAAACATGTCCCGAGATGAAGGCCACCGATGAGTATGCTACACTATGTGCAATTGGATGAACCAATCGACTTACAAGTTCGGCTAGATTCGAGTACCTCTGGCAAGACTCGGAGAACTACAAACGCCCAACGAAAATGTCCGCCCCGGAATACATCGAACACCTTATGGCCTGGGTGCAGAGTAACGTCGACAACGAGCAAATGTTCCCCAGTCGCATCGGTATATGCCCCAAGTCATTTTCCTGGTGGAATCCATTGCTGATATATCTTCAGGCGTTCCCTTCCCCAAGACCTTCCCCAGTCTCCTGCGCCAGATCTTCAAGCGTCTATACCGCGTCTACGCTCACATCTACTGCCACCATTATCCCGTGGTAGTTCACCTCGGCCTCGAGCCTCACCTCAACACCAGCTTCAAGCATTATGTGTTGTTCATTGATGAGCACAAGTTGGCCAGCGGGAAGGACTTTTGGGGTCCGCTAGGTGATCTGGTGGATAGCATGTTGCGCAGTGACTGAGTTTATTTGCAGCTGATCTCTGGAATCCTGGCTGATCGACGAAAGGGGCATTCTCAATGGCGTTTGGGTGCGGTGCATTTCTTTATTTAGCTTGGACTCGTTTTTGGCGTTGGAGGGAACTACGCTACGCCTAGTCGGATGAATTCATGGCTTCTTGTTGTACGGAATACAGGTCATATCATGTACATCTTTACACTGTATCAGTCTAGACATTGCATACATTGCATCGGACCACTCTATTTCTGCAATTCAAAGTGAGGTATATCCATCTTAACCCTACGTACTCTCATAACTATCCGTACTCCCTCCCCTCCCAAGTCCCTTACTACTCCTATCCCCATCCTCCGACGCCATGCCAGAAACACTAAGAACATCCCACTCATCCAAAAACCGATCCATCTCAACCTCATCCAGGATCCCCGTACACCCACGCTGCCTAACCGACAACGCAAAATTAGGATAAAGACTACTAAACCGTTCCGGCTCCCCCGTCTTCCAAAGCTCGTCCTCAAAATTCTTCAACAAAACCATCGTATCCCGCGGCAAGCCAATCTCCTGTTTAATCGCCGTAAGCTGCACGAGACGCAACATGCCCTTTGCGAATTGCCAACGGCGAGCTAGAGCGCGCAGGGTGATGAGTATTTCCACGAAGACGGCTTTGTTCTTCTCGTCGCTCATGTCGTCGAGGAGGGTGAAGAGGGCTATGGTTGCGTATTGCATGCTGGCTAAAGGGATGCATTCGATTGGCCAGTTCGAGCGGAAAAGGTTTAGGAGTGTGCCGATTTGGTGTGCGGAGGTCATTAGGAGGGTTTTTATTCGGGTTTGTGTGTGTAAGGGGGCGTCTGTTAGGGTTGGGACGATGAAGCCGTACATTACTAGAATTGTGTGGTAGTAGCGCATGCTGGAGTTGGGGTGGTTTTTGGTTAGGTTGGGCTTAGGGCTGGGAATGTAGGTGGGGGGTTTGATAGTATGACTTACTGGAGGTCCATTGCGCCGGGGGTTGGGGTGTTTCCTAGACGGATACATTCTGGTAGATTTGCTGCGGCTTTTTCGAAGAGACTGTGGAAATGGTCTATTCGCGAGAGATCGACGATTTGGGGTTTCTCGTCGCCGAAGAGGTAATCGGAGATTTCCCAGGCGACTAGTGCTAACTCCAGTTGGCCGTTTAGGAGACAGTTTGTATGCGCTGGGACGGGCTCGGCTTGCCGGGGGTAGGGGATCCATGTATCCTTTGGATCATGGTTTTCTGGAAATCGATTGAGATTCTTCGGGACTTTGATTATTGACGGTGTTTGGAATGACAGGGTGGCGGCTCTATCGGAGTGTTTAGTACATGGTTCAACGGGTTCGATATATTCGCTCACGCGAAGAAAGGGCCTCACGGATTCAAACTGAACAAGCCGAAGACGGCGGTGTCAATTGATCTGGCCATTTGTTCACCTTGTTCGTTGGCCTCGGCGATCATCTTTTCTCGTTTGTGTAGAACTTGGCGGACGCAGTCTGAGATCTCTACGAGGTATTGCCAGCCTTGTCTGTCTTTGCCTGTCACACAAGCCCTGTCCATTTCGAGTTCAACACCGGGTCTGATGGAGATAAATGTGACAGAGGGATTACCTGGTGTATAGTTCTCCCCGCGCTTGAAGGGTGGTCAATGGCAAACGGCCTTCTTCTTTTTCAAAAGGGCCAATGCCTCCTGGAAGAAATGGTCTCCTCGAGATCGCGGCTCACCGGGCACAGCAAAGGATTCCGGGTAATCGGAGTAGATCTTGTGGGATATCAGTTGATGGTCCAAGAAGATAAGCAGGAATAAGCAGGAGATACTCACACAGGCAATGGCCAGCATGCTATTGACAAGCAAAGGTGAACAGAACCGGGAATCCAATCTACCAGAGTGCATATCCGCCAGGAACAAGTCCCGATCGATCCAGTTCAGGCTCGAATGCTGCCAGGTGAAGTACAGAGATATGAGATGCGAGACAAAAGCATCATCCTGAGTAATCGACGTCCATGGATGCGCGGGCACCTGGAATAAGGGTATATCTGCAATTCGGTTCACGTTCATATATCGTGTGGGCGAGGGTCTAGACATCTTGGGGTGACTGCCTCGCCGTTCACTCTGGCCGTCGGCTAGACAGAGTCGGATCTCTTCTAGGGGCGCATTACTGCGGATCAGGTTGAGTACGTCGGGGGTCTGGTGGTCATCGTCATTGCGGATAGCTTCCACTAGTCGCACTAGCAGATCGCGGTCCAATTCTAAGGATTCGATCTTGCGTTTGAGGGTTATGCGACGACGACCATCGTTGTCGGCATTGACTTTGCATTCTGTTTTTGCTTTTCGACATGGTTCACAGGGTTCGTCTCCGACGCACTGGTTAAGTCAGAGCTGTCTAGTCAGAAGGAGAGAAGAGAAGAAGAAAGAAAAGAGATGCAAACTTTTGACTTTCGCTTCTGACAGGCCTCACAGGCTGTCGTTGCTTTTTTCGTCCTGGCTAAAGGGTATCTTCCCGGGTGATGAGGTTTGTCTGGAGCAGGGGCCAGAGTGTGTTTCCAACTCCTCGACATTGTGAGCAATGGGAACAGTTTTGAGGGCTTGAAGATATGAAGTATAAGACAGCGGAAATGTAAATCCTGGCCCTCTTTACCCTGCGGTGGTCTCCTGCTTCAGTCTGTAATTGGATCGTGATTTGGACAAATGCGGGCGATCAGAGGGAGATTGTTCCTTTTTATTGTCAGGGTCATCCCTCCTAGACCACTTAAAGCGCTAATACAGGTCGAAACTACGCCGCTGAGCTCACTGATGGAGGTGATCGACCGCGAGAGTCGACTCAGTCGAGACCAAAGCGGATCTCGAACAGAAGAGGGTAAAAAAACAGGATTTGGAGCTCTTTTGCTGCCAAAGGGATCATCTCATTTTATACCCCTGTTTAGTTCAGTTTGCCTCAACCTCAAATAACCGGGTCAATTGATGGAGCTGTATCTTTTATCTGTGCCAACGAGGCGGGTAATATATCCGTCTCTTTTATATGTTAGGGTCTTGTATAAAAAGTGGCCAATTCACCACCAAAATACCCTCCAATCATGTAGAGGACAGAGGTATGAATGGCAGATACCACCGCAGGCCAAGAGCCTGAGCAAACAAAGCCAAGCATTTATACGCACGTGACCTGAGTTAAACACCCGTGCGCACGTGATCACGGGAACATTCGGCCCGGTCGTTCTCAACCTGCAACCTTGAACGAAAGCACTACGAACCAGTCGATATCACCACCATCCCAACCTCCTCAGCGTCTCTCCCCTCCTCGAGGTCCTAAGTTGCACAATGATGTCCGCTCGCTTCGCCCGCGCTGGCCTCCGTGCCACCCAGTTCTCCGTTCCTCGCACCGCCGCCGTTAACGGCCTGCGTTCCTATGCCACCCCGGCCCAGGAGACCCGCGTTCCCGTCGCCCTGTTCGGCGTTGATGGCACCTACGCCACTGCTCTGGTATGCACCTCCGCCTCTTAGACATGCGACTGTCTCTGCGAACTTTTTTTCGCAACTCCGTCTTCCCTCTACCCGGAACCCCTCCCACAGTCGACGGTCGTTCATTTTGATCTCCAATCAATGGCTTCCAACCTATAAAGGAACAGCTGCGATGGAATCAACAAATCAAAACCTGAATGGTAAACTAACTCAGCTGAATAGTACACCGCTTCCACCAAGTCCTCCGCCCTCGACCAGACTGCCCGTGCCATTGCCAACCTCGGCCAGACCCTCAAGGCCGACAAGAAGCTCGTCAACATCCTCGCTGCCCCGTCTCTCAGCAACGCCGACAAGAAGTCCATCGTTGAGGAGCTCGCCAAGGTCGCTGGTGCCGATAAGTCCGGTATCTTCCAGAACTTCCTCGAGACTCTCGCCGAGAACAACCGTCTCGGTGCCCTCGAGGGCGTCTGTGAGAAGTTCACTACCCTGATGGGCGCTCACCGCGGCGAGATCGATCTTAACATCACCTCCGCTCAGGTATGGTTTTATTCATGTTTTGGGGTCTTTGTGCAAGGATATGGTCTAATTTGTTTTCATGTAGGAGCTTGATGCCAAGACCATCGCCCGTCTTGAGAAGGCTGTTTCCAAGTCTCAGTACAGCCAGGGCAAGAAGCTCAAGGTTGTTGCCAAGGTATGTTTTGATGGGGTTGGGAGGTAATTTTTGATCGTTTGCTAACCTGACTAGGTTAACCCCGACCTCGTTGGTGGACTCGTCGTTGAGATTGGCGACCGCACTGTCGACCTGAGCGTTTCTTCCAAGATCGCCAAGATGAACAAGGCTCTTTCCGATGCTTTGTAAATGTAAATTAGCCTGCGTTGGGGATGGTTAGATTATAGCATGTCCCGGATGAACGGTAGCGTTTGGAGAAGGGAATGGGGGTTTAAGATTTCCCTTTTCGGCCTTCATTCTATTTTGTTCTCATTTCTTGTCAATTGCACAAATTCATCCATTGGGATTGTCGTAGAGCGTCAGTGATACTAGAGATGGTATGACCTATGATTCTAAAAAGACCTCTATTCGAAAATGATATTATTGTCCTCATTTACTAAACTATCGAATGCACTAGTTAACTAACTAGAGATCTAAACAATACTCCGAGAATGTAGATGAACGTATATAGCAGGAAATGCAGCACATATGAGACAAGGAAAAGAACTGAAGAAGATCGTTACCTAATATCGTGCCCAGAGGCGGCCAAAAAGACCGATTCAAAAGAGAAGAAGGCGAGTATAGGTGAATCATACAAAACGGACAGAAGACTTGATGGACAGGTGATAAAATCCAATCATGAGTCATTCTTTCTATCCTCGTTAGCCCTCGTCTCAAACTCATCCTCATACGCAGCAATTGAAGCAGAACTGCGCACACGCTGCAGCTGGCTCGCCACGTAATGGTTCACATGCTCGTCGGCGTCATGAGTAGTGCTACCGCGACGGCTGCTTGCACGACTGGCACCCCAACTCTCATCGCCATCTTCCAGTGGAGCGGGCGTGGCTTCGCCAGAGTAGAAGTCACTGCGGTTGCCGATCGAGCGCGTAGTTGAGGAGCGACGGACAGATGGGCGGTCGGAGCCGCGCGGTCTGCCGGACCGCGAGAAGATGTCGTCAAAGTAGTGCGAGGCCGCGGCGAACGGCGAGCGAGGTGTCTGTGGCAGACGGCAGCTGAGGCCGGTGTCATGGATGATCTTTGCGATCAGCCCGGTCCAGCCGCACTGATGCGATGTGCCTAGTCCGCGTCCGGTGTCGCCGTCGAAGAACTCGTGGAACCAGAGGTTGTCCTTCCAGTGCTCATCAAAGTCGAGGAGGTCGGATCCTGCGTTCACGGCGCGGCGGCCTTCGTCGTTGCGGGCGAAGAGATGCTGCATGCGGTGCTGCAGTTCCTCTGCTACGTGGCCCAGGTGCATAAAGTCGCCGGAGCCCTTCGGGCACTCGACTTGGAGCGAGTCGCCGTAGAACATGTAGAAGCGAAGGAGTGACTCGACGAGCAGGAAGTTGACGCAGAGCCAGATGGGTCCACGCCAGTTACTGTTGCCGCCGAAGAGGGCGGAGTCTGAGTCGCCTGGCACGTAGCCAACCTTGAATGTTTGGCCATTGACCTCCATGGAATACGGATGATCTTCGTGATACTTAGACATGGAGCGGATACCGTGCTCGGAGAGGAACTCGGTCTCATCGAGCATACGCTCCAGAATCTTGATGAGACGGTCTTTGCTGACAAGTGCCAACAGGAGTCGGTCGTCTTTGCCGCGGGTCTTCATACTGGCAATGTTGCGCTCGGCCACGTCGGCCTTGTTCTCAATGAACCAGTCCACTCGTCGCTTGAACGAGGGGAACTTGTTGATGATCTCAGGCTCCAGGGTAAGCACCGCATAGAGGGGGATCAGACCAACAAGGGACCTGATGGGCAGCTGCTGCGTCCATGGTCCGCCATAGGAGATGGCATCGTAGTAGAAGCTGTCTTCTTCATTCCAGAGCGACTGGACGGCGTCATCGCCGGAACGGAAGGTCATTGCATCACTGATGAGCAGGAAGTGCTCGAAGAATTTGGAGGCAATATCTTCGTATGTGCGACGGTGCTTGGCCAATTCCAAGGCAATGTTAAGCATTGTCAGGCAGTAGAAAGCCATCCAACCAGTGCTGTCAGCTTGCTCAAGCACACCACCGGTGGGTAACGGCTCAGAGCGGTTGAACAGACCGATATTGTCAAGTCCCAAGAAGCCACCTTCGAACACATTCTTGCCGCCAGAGTCCTTGCGGTTCACCCACCAAGTGAAGTTGAGCAGCAGTTTTTGGAAGACGCGTTCCAAGAAGTCCAAATCCTGTCGTCCGTACATCTTACGCTCAATCTTGAATGTGCGGAACACAGCCCATGCGTGCACGGGAGGGTTTACATCGCCGAAGTTCCACTCGTACGCAGGCAGCTGACCGTTCGGGTGCATGTACCACTCACGGGTGAGCAGGTCAAGTTGCTTCTTTGCGAAATCGGGGTCCATCATGGCCAGAGGGATACAGTGGAAAGCAGTGTCCCATGCAGCGAAGAATGGATATTCCCAAGAATCAGGCATCGACAAGATGTCGTCAATGTAGAGATGACGCCATTCCTGATTACGGATTCCTTTTCGGCCTGGCGGAGGAGGAATCTCACCTGGATCACCGTTGGCCCATTGGTCCCAGATGAAGTTGTAGTACTGCTTGCACCACATCATCCCGGAGAATGCCTGACGCTGGATGTTGCGGAGGTCGTCGCTCATTGGGAGGGGGTTGAGATGGTAGTAGAAGTCATCAGCCTCGGCGCGGCGCTGTTCAATCACGTCGTCCAGGACTTCTTCGTCAACGAATTCTTCCTTTTTGCGGGACACTCTGAAACGGACGACGGCACATTCGCCGGGAGGAACTCCCTCGCCATCGTTGAAGGCATACCACGCAGCGAACTTGGTGCCTTCATTGTCTGGGTTGATGGCGCCTTCTTCATTCTCGACGATGTGGCGGTGGAATGCATCCTTGACATAAGGGTTTTTGTTTTCAGTGCCCCAAAGCAACTTGTCGTTAGTCTCGTTGTCAGTGAACATCAGCTGAGGCTGGATATCCTCATCGCAGGATCCAACGGGAGGCGATGGTGCGAAAGAAACATATCGCTCGCCAATCTGGCTGTGTTTTGTCTTAGCGGCCAAAGGTCCCTCTTTCCTGATAGATGGCTTGTTCTGTTTCTTCTCCTCGTCCCACGCCCAGGTGTTTCGGAACCAGACATGAGGGATGATGTGTAGTTTAGCAGGCTCGGGGCCACGGTTGTACGCAATAACACGGAAGATCAACTCTTCCTCGTCGTCAGCCTCCTTGGCAGTCTCGATGAAGATATCCCAGTAGCGGTTCTCTTCGAAGATACCAGTATCCAGAATCTGATACTCTTTCTCCAACCGTGAGCGCTTTGCGTTCTCATCGATAAGATCCTGGTATGGGAACTTCCTCTGGGGATATTTGTAGAGGAATTTCATGTAGGAATGCTATACTCCGGGGTCAGCACAACAGCACAATAGGAGGTGAGCTGAATTGGAACCATCGGGGCTTACCGTCGGGGTGTTGTCGACATGGAAATGTGCCTCCTTGATACTCTCGCCGTGGTTACCCTGAGGGTTGGACAGACCGAACAGACGTTCCTTCAAGAAGTCGCTGATTCCAGTCAGTTTTCCATGCGGGGACTGGACCCACCACGCTGAGATTGGGTCTCAACTTACTCTTCTCCATTCCAGAATGCAAAAGCGATGTTCTGCAGACCGTGGGTGTCCGACACTCCGGCAATTCCGTCCTCACCCCAGCGGAACGTTCTCGATCTTGCGTGATCATGAGTGAAGTAGCTCCAGGCATCACCATCTTCACTGTAATCCTCTCTGACTGTACAGCGACGAAGCGGTCATTAGCCTTCCAGTTCCCGGATTTAGCTCAGTAGTTGCAAGTGTTTACCTGTAGCCCATTGTCTCTCGGCCTATGCCAAAGAAAAAGAATCAGTTTTAGCACTGATATTTGACCCCACCAAAATCTTTGACTATCGACTTACCACGTAAGGTCCCCAACGCTAATTGCAGATATTAGTTAGCGGGCATTCTTGAAATCTGGTCCCGAGCATGACAGAGGAATGTTACCTTCCAATACTTCGTTCTCTCGCGGTCTTCCTTCAGGCGCTTCTCCTCCGCCGTGATCACCTCTTTCCCGTCGATTAAGACCATGGTATATTGCAAGGGAAAGAACCAAGTAAAACTTGATCCGAGGGCAAAAAAATGGAAAAAGAGGAAAGAGTAGGAGGGAGAAGAGAAATTTCACCAAAAAAAAGAAGAACGCTGGAAGGAGGGGAATAATCAAGCAGGTGCCGTCCGTGCCAACCTGGGGCCCTGGAGAATGACGTGAATCATTGTCCGACCGGCGACGGGTCTATGGGTGGAGCTGGAGCTTCTCGGGCGGAGAATCGGTCCAGATTGCTAGTTCGGGGGATTTGATTGGTTGCCGAGAAATTCGGTTCGGGCCTGGAAGGTGCACAGGTCATGGACCTTGTTTCTTTCTCCGAAAATAGCAACTACGACCATTTAATGTTGAATTGGCTTTGCGATAAAGAAAAAAATTTAAGTTTTGGTTAGTTTTGGTCCTTTTGGAGCTCATCTCTTCAGGAAAAATTGACTTTGTCGGTAACTGTGCAACGTTGGACATGGAGTTAGGGCACCATTGGGCTTGGTCCATGTGGTCAGGCCCAATGTCCGACATCAATTCCAAGAAACTGATAAAGACTAACGCAATGGGGTAAAGCTATCAGAAGCCCCTGGAGAAACCCCTTCTCTTATCGGCCGTTCTTGCCAGATCTAGGTACCCGACACCTTCACCTGACTTCAGCCACTTCTTCGTTTAAATTGTTTTGCATTGCTTCCCTTATGCCATGTACTGCATGTCAGGTGCATAACTGACCGCCGTCCATGCACCAGCCATAAACCGATTCTAGCCCCTTTATGACCTTGTTGACAGTATCCCCAGCTTCCTACACTCGTCACTCTCGGCCCGCCTGCAACTTTGAGCCTGTAGGACACTTCGGGCTCAAAGCAGTGGTTGACTAGCTTTTTGAATCGCCAATGCCCTACGCACTCACTTGTGCTTGTGGCTAGGGCACTTTGATGTCCACTGTAGTCCGCCCTGGAAAGCAATAAGCGGCTACGTTCAATTTGATATCTGTTATCGCTCATTTGGAGGTCATCCTTGATCGCAAGCCGCATCTGACCATCCGAGCCCACTTAATTCAGGACATGGTCCTCAACTCTGGTTTGACTACATCCATCGAGATACAATGCATCAGCCCGCACTGGTGATATCCTGTGCTTTGTACCTAGAAAGCACGGGATAGGTACTACAGTCGCTAGGTATCGGGGAGATGTATGCCTAGTGCCATATAGCTTTCAGATGAAGACCTAGGCGTCCACTTGCAAACGCCTCGGTCCAGGTGGTGAGACTCATTGCCCGCCATCACTACACAGATTACTAGAACCGTATGACCTATGTATGCTGATGACGGGAGCGGCCTCACCTCTTGAGATATATTTTGGACACCGGGCCGTATTCTCCGACTGAAGATTTTGGCACATAGGTTTAAATTCAAGGCCAAGAAGTCTTCGAGAATCAGACTCATTTTCTAGCAAGTAGAATACGTTTGACCGGTGCCCCACACAAAAGGATAAAGACCGTGCTCTCTGCTCTCTGCGCCTTTACCAGGGAAGTTAGAAACAATGACGGAATGAAGTGGATAAATGGGCGTTCGAGTTCTGACTGCAGCTATTTGATTGGTCGTTGTAGAACGCCCATTCGCTTTTTGACTGCTTATCATTCGGCTCGGGCCTCCAAGGCGCAGGGCAACTCCTGCAACTATATATGCAGTACTCGGGCCACAAAAGCACATGTACACGCTAGGTTGTACATAGGAACCAAAGTGTTTTCCAAGGGGTATAAGTATGGAGACGTTAGGATCTGTTGCAAGTCTGATGTGTTTCAATTTCAGGCAGTAAAGGCATAAAGCATGGGTGAATCGCGGTTTACGCCGGGGCAGTGCAAACGAGGGGCGGCCTTAGATAGTCCCGAGGCCAGTTACATACAATAGGGGGGTTTCTCAAAGGATGCCAGAAAAAAAAAATAGAAAGCCAAAAAAAGATCATCCCAATAACATGACCACGCCGACAGGGGACTTAGGTTTGCGTCTAGCAGACGCGGCGCGGGTCCATTATGTCGGATCGCAGGGTTCCGCCCTCTGCTACGCTCGTCAAAGCCTTAATCAAGTTTCGATTCCGAGACTGGAGGTTTTGTGACCTGACAGTTTATCCAAGTTCCCAGGTGTTCGATATTCAGTTGTTCCCTCGCTGCTCAGATTGTTCAGATTGCTCAGGCTGCTGCTCGCTGTTGGGTCCTTCTAGGGAAGCTGTGAAACAGTCAGATCCCGTCACAGAGCATACGGCCATCTATATCAATCGGGGCCGCAAAAACATCAGAACGAGCGCTCACCAGCTGACTGGTCTTGTCCCTGGCTGGGTTGGGACGAGGCGTTGGCATCCCTGTTCTGTCGGGCTTGAAGGAGTCTCTCGGCCTCCCGGATTCGATTCTGCAGCTCTTCCAACTCGCGGGTCTGGATCATCATCATATGCTTCCTTGGGTTGCAGGTTAGCGCTATGGAACCGACGGTCGCGCCTATAGTCGGAGGCGTATGGGACATGGATCGGGAGCTAGGTCATGCGCCACTCACTTCTGGTCGATGGTTTGCGAAAGATTGTCGACATCTGAGTCCAGCATGAATGCGCTGTCCAATGCTGTGGAGAAAGCTTGCGCCATGGTCCTGTCAGGTCCCGGTTAATAGTCTTATCCTTGGGATCCGACAGCATAGGGAGACAAACGACTGAGGACGAATCTTAGTCGGCTTCCACTCCTGATCGAGATCGGACATCTTGGATGGTTATTGACTGGTCTCTTTGATTGGTATATGGAATCACAACACGGGCCGCGGTTAGGACCCCAAGAGCTGAAAGATCGATGGCAACAGGAGGTGTGCGACCTTGAGCCAAGCGGGGAAAGAGCCAGGCGCAAGTAATTAAGGTATTAAGGGCGTTATGAAGTATCGTCGAGACCAGGTCCAGCTGAGAATCACACCGTTTGACGGAGAAGGAGTTCTGATGCGCCTGGGGACAGAAAAACAATGTCAATTTTCTTATACTTCTCGGCAGATAAGCCACAATCTGGTGGGGGAGATGCAAGAATACCGGATATATCAGGAAGTTGCGATTAGTAGGAGATCAGAGTGATTATCAGGAAGTTTGGAGACCTGCCAGAGGAAACTAAGGGGGGTAAAGGTGGGAAGGGGAAGAAGGAGAGTGCGAAATTAAGTGATGATCATACAGCCCACCGACTATGTTTACTAGTCGCGACATCCACACCTGGGCAGAGAGCTTGTAAGTGTTACAACTGTATTACATAGGGGTAAGGGGGAGAGATTTGATTTGATCTATCGAAGTGCTTTGAATGTATGGACATACTTGTTAAAGTTGATAAACTCGACTATTGCCTCTTATGCTGCAATACATCTGCTCATAAAGTAATTGTCGAACCTCAAATTGCTATGTGCTGGGAGATCTTGCGTTGAGGGGAGACAGAACCCCCTGACAGGCGTGGGGTTCAGGGCAATAGGGGGTTGGTTTACAAGTATATAATCGATAATACCTTCAATTCCACTGGGTAAGAGACATACATTAACTAGTTAGTCACGGAGTAACTAACTGAGTAACTTCTCCGTAGATTGTAGAAACATCATATCTTCATAGTATCTCCGTAGATTCGATGTACTCTCATTGTACACAGTACATGTAGTGTGGCTTGACATTCTGGTTCCTCCCTGGCAACTAGTCACATGACTCATACCATACAGTACGAGATCGTGAAACTCCCCTTCCAAGCTTCTCCAAGCCAATTTCCGTTTTCCCCATTTTCATCGTCATTTCAATCTTGAAGGGTTTTCCATCTCGTTGCTTAGTCTTCGATCTACATTGCACGCGTTTCCCTCTCGTGGCCCATTGTGGTCGCCGTCCGTTCTTTTTTTGGTTTCAATTTTTCGCGCAAGTGGAAGGGCGATGCGTATTGCGTCTCCAGGCTGTCGCGTTCACTAAGTCTACTTAAGAATTCGCTAAACCGACTTCCTTGAAGCCCGAAGCTCTCACTTCAGTGATACCGAACTATCTCCGTGACCACCGTGATCGCCGACCACCGTGGCCCCCATCTTCAAAGCCCTTTCCCCCAGTGGCCGACCGGACGGGCAATGGGGGATGCCTCCTTTGTCGACATACACTCCGTTTGAGTCGCTACTCTTCTTCCAGTCCTTGGCAACTTCCGATTCAAGACCTACTAGTTTTGGAACGATCTCAACTCTCTTGCGCAACAATCAGCTTGTTCGCGAAAATGTCGATTTCGATGCTAGTCGCCTAACTCCGGAGGCGCTGGAAGATCTGTATGCGACATTGATGCGCGATGGGTTCAACCGTGATAGTGCGCTCTCTGTCAATGGCCGACCCGCAGATGTTTCCAGTCCACCAAATCCGAAGAAGCGCAAGATCTCCAGTCCGCTACCAGACGGGTTGACCGGTGGTTTGACCCATGCCACACTTGTTCCAGAGCTGGTGGCGCATCTTTACGCCAAATACAGAGACCTTGTCACGAAGGAAATCAGGGATGATGAGAGGAAGTACACGGAGATCAGGGCTGAGCTCGAGCGGCTACAGAAAGAGGACGATAGTGCAGCACTTGCGGCAGCTACTCCAGTAAAACCTGTGCAGACCGCACCTGTCGAGGCGAAGGACTTTGCGCCGAAGGAGGAAACACCACGCCAAGATTTACAAGAACGAACAGGCCAGCCTCTTGCCACGACCGTCCCGCTCGCCCAGGAACAAGCGAAGCCCGAACCACCCCAGCACATTGAAATAAATGTACCCCCTACGGCACAGGAGCCTCCAAAGGTACAACCTGCTCCGCCTGTCACTCAACCTCATCCATCGACCCAGGTGCAAACTCCGACTCCCACACCTCAAGCGGTTGCTGGGCAGGTACCTCAACCGCCGCCTACCATGACCCATCCGTTACCAAACCCGCCCACCCAACCTCCACTCGCCCCCTCTACCCAGAAAGCCCCTCCAACGACACCGGGACCGCGAGTCACACCGGCACATCCGTCACAAATCGCTCCCCGTGCCAATCCTGTACCACCTGGGTCGAACGTTCCTGCCAAGCCTAGCCCTCTCGCGCCAGTTTCTCAACGAACTTCCGCTCAGCCGACTTTCCAGCAATGGCAACTTGATCCTTCTCCCCATTCGCCATATCCGGCCGTCTCAGGTGCTGCTATACCCCAAACAGCTCAGGGCACTGCCAAAAGACCTTTACCACCACTCTCCACCCGTGCCCCATCGCCAGGTTCACAGGCACAGGTTCCCCCTTCCCAAACTCCGGTCCCACATACACCCAGCGCCGTCCCATCTGGGGTTCATACGCCTGTTCCGATTGGCCGCCCGCGTATGTCACAGACCCCGAGCTTCACGTTCCCCTCATTCTCCGAATCGCGGGCTTCTCAACCACGTCTCTCCATTGATACACAAGGTTCCTCGACCCCATGGAAGAAAACTCCTCGCTCAAGCATTCCGAAATCTCCCACATCACCGCCACGGCCACGGCCGGAGGATGTCAGTCCCATCAGTGAAAGAGGCCGGTCGCCGGTTGATGCGATGGAAATGTCACCTCCTCCAAGAATTAATCTGAGCCAGAGAGGTAGGTCCAGGGAAGATAAAAAACGACGACGTGGCCAGCCTGAAACCAAAGCTGCAGCCCCCGTCAAGTCTGAAACGCTAGTTCTGCCCCGGAAGACCCGGGCTGCAAGTACGGCCTCTTCACGCAGCCGCGGGCGATCCATGGCTTCCCGCGACGGGTCCGCTGCGCCCTCGGAAGACACCCCACGTGAATCACGAGCGGCGGGCCGTCGGAAGGGTGCCAGCGTTACGGCTGAGGAAGAGACGCCCAAAGCGCGGACAAAACGGAAACGTGGGCCCAGTGAAGCCTTGGAGTCGGAGCCGCCCCATCCAGCAGATATCCCCAAATTTGATACAACCCAATATGTCATGGCTACACGAAATTTCCACCGGACCGCGGCGCCAATCATGAACGATGTCGCTACCCACAAGCTTGCATCTATCTTTGCCAAGCCTATTGGGGAGCGCGATGCCCCTGGCTATCACGATCTCATCTATCGTCCGCAGGATCTGAAGTCTATCAAATCTGCCATCCACCAGGGAAGCAAAGCGGTCGCCACTGCAGCAGAGTCAGTCAGCACTCCTGTTGGTGATGGAGAGTCTCCGGTTCCTGGCGGCACACCCTCCTCCAAAGGCGGCATTCTCATGTTACCTAAGAGCGGGGACTTCATACCACCCAAAGGCATTGTGAACTCCGCGCAACTGGAGAAAGAGTTGATCCGCATGTTTGCCAACGCCATCATGTTCAACCCAATTCCCCAGCGAGGATTCGGCCCCGCCTTCCCCATGTCCACCGACCGCGGTTCACGCGAGAGCACACAGATGGGCGATGGAGACGAAGGTGGCATCATTCAGGATTCGCTGGAGATGTTCGAGGATGTTCAACAGGCTGTTACTCGGTGGCGGGCTGCTGAACGCACCGCCGATGAGCTGGCTAATAAGAACGTACTCTCTCTTCGGCGTGGTAGCGCTAGTGACTTCAACACTGACAGTACCGACGATGCGAAGGGGTGATTTTATACTATGATTTTTTTGTTTATTAGGCTCGGTTTTTACTGCTTTTGAAATGAAATGCCCATGATGTCTTTCGCCGGTGCCTTCGATAGCCCGGCGTCTATTAATATTCCCGCTCTCTGTTCCATCTAGACATTCTCTACTACCCTGCTCTTAGTCAGGGGGTTATTGATCCTCGTGAAGTTTTGCCTTGATGCGCACGTCCCGGATTTTTTAGGCTAACTAACACTCGCATGTTACGTGTAGGTGCCTATTGGGGTTGTCAGTCCCATCGCATGCATCTGATGGTCCCCCTATAGCATTTTTTCAATCGGCCATCTTTATCTCCCTTCACTTCGCCCCTCGAGGCTGAGGCTGTTGCTCAGTCAGACTGTTCCATGTTGTCGACTCTGACACCCAAAGCGGCCCGGGCTGAGCACTAAATTGGAAGAGGCCGGGCATCATCCAATCCATACGTGAGTACCTATGACAGCCCGGATAGTCTAATTGGATACATTTAATGACGTGTATCTCATTGTCGCAGTTTTCAGCCAGAGCCAGTCTCGCTGCCCTGATTCTATGGGTATATGTTTTCTCTATTCCAACCAGTGTATGCCTAACATCAAGCAGCCTGCCCCGGCCTTGTCCGACCAAGACCCTCCTTCGCATAGAAATCCATCGGATACACGCCCTTATTCGCCGTATCCCAGCTCTCCCGCACCCCGAGCGCAACAAGCGCCTCATACGGCGTCAACAATGGCCGCGCGAACGCATACCCCCAATCAATACTAAGGCGCGGACAAGCAATCTGCACCCAACACTCCACATCCGCCATAGACGCCAGCTTCCCGGGGAAAATCTCACTCAGCAGAAGGTTGACAATTGGGATCCCACGCTCGCGCAGGTGTCGTTCAATCATCGCCATTGTGTGTGGGTTGCCCTGTCGACCGAGCGAGCCGAGAATAATACCCCATTTGCGCGCCGTCTTGGCTGTTGCAATCGCGTCCCGGCGGATCGTGTGCATCTCCTCGTGCTCGTAGCCCTCGCGGGTCAGCGTCCGTGAGTATGGGTCATACCGGTAGGCTGGGATGGAGGGGTTATGGATCATGGCTGATTCGAGGTGGAAGCGGCCGTCACCGAGGTAGAGGATTGCGTCGATTTCGGTATCGGATAATTGTGGGGATGTGCAGCCCAGGATCTCGCCTTTGGATAGCGGGGTGATTTGTGGGATTATGACACGGAAGCCGGCGCGCTCGAGAACTGGTTTCAGCCCGTGCAGTGTTGCGTTAAATTGAATTGTGCCGACTGTTGCGATGGATTGGCCTGGTTTGAAGTTGCGCTCGAGGGTTGCGATGAGGTGGCTGGTGTCGATGCTGATGTCGACGAAGATGTAGAGAGTTTTGATCTTCGTTACGTCTACCGGAATTAGGCAGCTGTGGGCGTAGTGTACTAGCAAATCGCACCCAAGAGCTCGGGCTGTGTAGTCGTCGATGCAGCAGGCACCGTAGGTTACGTCGCCCATAATCAGGGTTTCAATTCCAGGGCAGAATTGGGTCAGGATGTCGGAGATGGTGGTCGCGAAGATGAGAAGTCCTTCGGGGAACTGGAGGGCTACTCGTTTGGCTCCAGATGTGCGGATTCGGTGGATTGTCTTGGGGATCTCAAATGAGTAGTTCTTGGGAAGAAGCTCCATTGCTTCTTGGATATCGGGATCGTTCAGTATTTCTGGCGGCACTTGGTTGAGAGTGCGGGGAGTGCGTCGGGGAGCGGCTGAGGGAACTGAGAGTTAGTATCTAGATTTCGTCGAGAGAAAGAACACTATATACCTGTTTGTACCGCTGTGGACTCGACATCCTTCTGGCTGGTGTTGTCCTTCTGGGCTTGAGCATCTGCTGTTCGTCGTCCGACGAATCTTTTCTTTGGCTGCCGCATTTGGCTAGGGACTTGTGGGTTACCCTCATTCGATGATATAGGCGACTCCATGATATCCAGCTGTGTTAGGAATCGAAGTATCAAATCTTTGGACGTTGACTGATCGACAACGCTTATCATCCCACTTCTTTTTTTCTGCTAACCTGACTCAGCAGGTGGCGGGGTGGTAAGCTAGTCCGAAAGGGGTAAGGCGCTCTCCGCATCTCGGGGGCCCTTCGGCCCTTCTTCTCCATTCTCCAAGCTCGCTCTTCTCAATCTCATATTTCTCTCACTCCACTTGTTCCTTTGGTCGTACAACTCGGCCCTACATCTAAAATGATGGCTACTCGCCCCCGCCTGCGTCTTTTCTCGGCCATGCGCCTTCCAATCCCCGCACGTCGCTTCGCGACCGAGTCGCGGTTAACCTCGGACCATGTCCGCATTGTGGAGGTTGGCGCTCGAGATGGCTTGCAGAACGAGAAAAAGTCCATCCCGATGCAAACGAAGCTCGAGCTGATCAAAAGATTGGCTAAGACGGGTGTTACTACCATTGAAGCTGGCTCTTTTGTGCCCGAAAAATGGGTACCACAAGTATGAATATCCTCGGACGGCATAGCAATAATAGCAGTAGCCAGGACTGACAGCTTCCTCGTATTATTGCAGATGGCAAGCACGGCTGAGATTTGCGAACAACTTCTCACAAACCCACCGCAAGCTCAATCTACAATCGCATACAACTACCTTGTTCCCAACATCAGAGGACTAGAGAACCTGGTCAAGATCATTGAGAAAACAGGGGTCCCTGCGGACGCGACCGGTGAGACTTCAAAGGCAGCGACAACCTCGGAGGTGTCTCTCTTTGCCGCGGCAACAGAGGCATTCTCGAAGGCTAATACCAACTGTTCCATTGCCGAATCTCTCGAGCGCATCAAGCCGATTGTTTCATTAGCCAAGACAAAGAATATCCGGGTGCGTGGGTACGTTTCTGTTGCACTAGGATGCCCCTACGAGGGCCCCGATGTGGATCCCGCCAAGGTAGCTGAGATCACCGCCACACTGCTGGAGATGGGAGCGGATGAAGTCTCGGTGGCGGACACCACCGGCATGGGGACCGCCCCCGGACCATGGCGCTTCTGCAAGCCCTCAAGGCTGCCGGAATTGCCAATACAGACTTGGCATTGCACTTCCACGATACATATGGACAGGCTTTGGTGAACACGATCGTCGGCCTGGAGCATGGCGTCCGCATCTTCGACAGCAGCGTGGGTGGGCTCGGTGGTTGCCCGTATTCCAAGGGTGCAACGGGGAACGTAGCGACTGAGGACCTTGTGCATACAATTCACAGCCTTGGGATGCACACAGGAGTCAGCCTTGAAGAAATGTCAAAGATCGGAGGCTGGATCAGTGGGGAACTGGGCCGAGCTAATGGCAGCCGGGCTGGAAAGGCAACTCTTGCTCGTCTCTCGGAAGAAAAGGCGTCACTTTGATTAATTGTGCCATCCGACTAGCCACATGGCTTTCGCTCTCACTAGCCGCAGTATATTAATTGAACGACTATAACATGTTTGCCACACAATGGTATCCCGTGAAGTTGCTCTGAATTGTCAATTCTTTTAAGTCATTTCATATGTACAATGCAGGTGTTCCCAAATAAAACACCACTTCTCCAATACCCAATTTTCAGGACAAGAAATTCCTCGGCAAGATATGTCAAACGCTAACATGATGCAAATCTCTCCGGTCAAGCAAAGTCCACTTAGAAATCTGTGACACGACCGCCATAGCTCCAATCACCACCTGCGCCCCATCGCAAAGGCTCATTCTTCGGTCCGCCTACTTCGCCAGTCTTAGGGTTCTTCTCCCCCTCAAACTCGGGCTGCAGTCCCTTCGGCGCATCGGGGTGGAGCTCGCCACCACTTCCATCCGCCTGGATCGCAGCCTGCGGGGACTGGTTGACCTGAGGTGTGCTGAATGCGCCAGTTGAGCGCTTCTGGAGCTGCTCAAAGATCTCCTGCTCTTCTTTGGGCAGGCGGGGGGAGCTGGGGAGTCGGAGAATGCCATGGGCTTGCCGTTGTCGCTTGGTTTGCATAGAATTCGGCTCGTGGAGAGTGGCCGGAATGCGCCACGGATTGTGGCAGCCGATAGGATTGAGCGGCGCATAGTGAATGAGGATGCCATTATTCTCTTTTGTGTGTGTGTGTGTGTGTGTGTGTGTGCGCATGTGTGAGAGACAGAGAGGAGAATAAAATGTGCAATGAGGCAAATCTGGAGTTGTACGGGGAGAATCCCGGGTCCTCGGGATGTTTGGCTCGCTCCACAGATGTGACTAAGACCGCCGATCCCGATATCGCCTTTTTTATTTCTCCCGCCGATACGAAGTACGATCAAAGCCATTCTTTTGCAGTTGTCACCTCACTTTTGCTACGGAGCAGATCTTTGGTTAAGTGTCTTGGAAATCAAAAGTCTGCCATGTCTGCCCTCCGTTTGGCCGCGCGCCGTCTCCCTCGCGCATCCAAGTCTATTGCTGCGCTTGAGTCACCACTGCAGCGCCGACTAGCGACTACGTCCAATGCTCCCCAGGATCTGAAGGCCCGGGTCAAGGTACGTACCACCAGCGGAGCCCAGAACGACCTTCGCCATGAGGCTAATTCTCGCACAGAAGGAGACAACTCTGCCCAATGCCGACCCTGCGCCGGACTCTGTCACGGCATCCTTTATCAATGAGCGAACTCCGTTCATGGTCCCGACTTACGTTCGCCCCGCCCCCATGATGATGAAGGGGCAGGGTTGCTATTTGTGGGATATGGAGAACAGACGTTATCTGGACTTGACGGCAGGAATTGCCGTCAACTCTCTCGGGCACTGTGACCCGGAGATCACGAAAATTATTGCGGAGCAGGTGCGCGATACTCCCATGAACTATATATAAAGAGACCAATTGCTAATTCTACTCCCTCGTCGACAGGCAGAAACCCTCATTCACGCCTCGAATCTCTACCATAACCCTTGGACCGGCGCCCTGAGTCAATTATTGGTCGAACAGACCAAGAAGTCCGGTGCCATGCGCGATGCCTCGCAGGTATTCATCTCCAACTCCGGAACTGAGGCCAATGAGGCTGCCATCAAGTTTGCTCGCAAGACTGGTCGCACTTTGGATCCATCCGGCGATAAGCACGAGTTCGTCTCCTTCCACAACTCTTTCCACGGCCGCACAATGGGCGCCCTCTCAGCCACCCCCAACCCCAAGTACCAGACCCCGTTCTCCCCTATGATCCCCGGATTCAAGTACGGCGATTACAACCAGATCGAGCAGCTCCAGACTCTCATCACCGATAAGACATGCGGTGTCATCGTTGAGCCCATCCAAGGCGAGGGCGGTGTCAACGTTGCTACCCCAGAGTTCCTTGCCGCTCTTCGCAAGCGCTGTGACGAGACGGGCGCTGTCTTGATCTTCGACGAGATCCAATGCGGCCTGTCCCGCACCGGTTCCTTCTGGGCACATGCTCACCCCTCCCTCGCCCCGGCTTCTGGTGAGGCTGCCCACCCTGATATCCTGACCACCGCCAAGGCCCTTGGTAACGGTATCCCCATCGGTGCCACCATTGTTTCTGGCAACACCGTCGCCAAGAACATCAAGACTGGAGATCACGGCACCACCTTTGGCGGTAATCCCCTTGCTTGCCGTGTTGCTCACCACATCGTTGAGCGCCTCGCCGAGCCGGAGCTCCAGGAGACTGTCAAGACCAAGTCCGACCTCTTTGTGTCAGGCTTTAAGGCTATGCGGGAGAAGTTCCCCGATGTTATTTCCGAGATCCGTGGTCGTGGTCTGATCTTGGGTCTGCAGCTCGCCCCAGAGTACACTGCCAAGGCTGGTGATATTATCACTGCCGCCCGTGAGCGTGGCATGCTCATCATCACCGCTGGTGAGGGTTGCATCCGGTTCGTTCCTGCCTTGACGATCACTGAAGACCAGATTCAGTCTGCTCTCCGAATCTTGGAGCAGGCCGTTGATTCGGTCGTGGCCAAGTCATAAGTGTCTTTGACTTGAACGCCGCTCACGACTTTGTTTTCCCTGATACCATCTTGTTCTATGTACTGCGCTAGATCATGATGCCATATCCCATGCATTATACATTATAGAAAGGATAAAAGCAGAATGGGGATGGGCTCAGCCATGAAGGCATTTGAACTTCATGCATGGTCCCAGCCCTATTATTTGACTCAATATACACCGTATCATCTTCACAATCACCTAGATATACCCCTGCTATAGGAGGATCTCAGGATATAGCATTCAAATCGATTGACGTGCATGTATGGATCATGTGTACCGTTCCATGCGATTGGTACTGGATAGATGTAAGACAGTCGAAGGGTCAGTTGATCCAGACAAGATAAGGCGCGGACTCCGTAGTCAATCCACGAGGGACCTGTCTACCTATGTCGAAGTCTCAAAGCGAAAACCCAGCTTCGCCGTCTTCCATCTTGCTCCCCATTCAAAGCTGGAGGGAGACGAGTTTGGAATGTCTGAAAAATGTATAGGTTCGGGCCGAGCCGACAGCCAGTCCACACCCGGGTATCCACCCTTGAAACACTTGAGCACGCTCGAATTGAGTCGTGATGTCGCATGCTGAGTTGCTGACTATGTAAAGTTCCTCGCTTCTGGGAACGTACTATTACTCATTTGTCTTGATTTTCATCGCCCATAGACCGGGTAAACGATTAATCACACTAGGGCTTGAAATGGATCCGCCTTGGATCACAGTCTATACGGGCCGTCAAACCTAGGGCTTGATCTTCTCACGTGGCCTGCAACAAACAGTACACATGTTTGCGACTGGACTCGGGCTTTGGAGTGCAAACCATATTGTATATATTGATGGCTTAAGTTGACTTTCGAGACTATCTACAGATTGGGGGATGTAGACGAGGGCGTGGGTGACAAGAAGAGCGGAGTGTCTTCTTCAAACATACAGTTTTGGGCCTATTAAGTACTATACTGCTACTACCTCGATGGGATATATGAGGTTGAAGTAAAGAGAACATGCGAGTTGATGGCAGCAATATGTGAATTAATACCATAGAGCCTAGAAACCTCCAAGGTGTGGTTCTAATGTTCATCCAGAGCAGCAGGTCACAAGTTCAAGATGAGAAGGCAGAGGGTAGAGGGTAGAGGGCAGCAAATGTCAGTAGACGAGGGCATGAGATGCAGTTTACCCTCACTGATATACATTGACTCTGACAGTTCATAGAAGCTTTGCTCGATGCACACAAGAGGCAATTGGCTGCTATGCTTGCGGCCAAGAAAGGTATGTGCCGCTACTATAAGTAACGCCAGGCAGCTGCTTACAATTGACTGCAGCCAAACGCTCGAAAGCGACTCCAGCCAAGCGCTCCAACCCAGCCAAGGGCTTGAAAGCGTCTCGAGCTAGCCCCCCACAACCGCTGCCAGGCAACATCTTGGGAATTTCATGGGACGACCCCGGGTTTTCTGAGGAGAATGTCCAGAGATTTCTGAAAACGCGTATGTATCACCGTCAAGTCGATGATGGATACCTGCTAACCTATGAGTGTGTAGGTAATCGCACATGCCGGGTCAAGAAGGCCACCAAGAACAGGGTCGCCAAAGCGAGCGGTCTCGAACACACCGAGTTTGAACTCAGGATGCCGGACGCTGTGTACAAGTTTGTTGTTGGAAAAAAGCCACTTCATGGAGCTCGTCCTCGTCGCAACTGCCCTCCCCGTGTCCAGGTTGATGAAAACAAAGTCCGAGTCCCGGCAATTGAGAACACTTCGGATGAGATGGATATCGAGGAAAACAACAGCATGAATGAGGGAACGGGTTTGACTTTCTCCACTCTCGTGCTTCGTCCTAAGGACGCCATTTAATCCCAAGAAGGAAGGAAGGAAAGGGCAGAGGCACTCTTTCCTCCTAGAGACACTCACCCATGGGTGACAGTCTCAGTCGCTGTTGCTATCAATGGCACATGCCTCCGAGAAATTCAACTTCTCTTTCCTATTTCGATCTAATTCAACTTCGATCGGAATGACTCATGTCGGCAAAACTTCGGATATGCTGGATTTGGGTTATGTTCTTCATTTTATCTTTACCTACGTGTTGGATTCTTTTTCTTTTTGCTTTTCTTTCTCTTTATTTTTATTCAAAAGTCAATTCATATCATCATCGCGTGAAACATAGAGACCCAGTAAACAAACTATCGTAGGCTATATGTAAAGCTCTCCGACTCAACGGCAGGAATATTCACTGTCGGATTGTAAGGAGAAAGTAGTCGGTGACTTGAAGGGGGCTCCTGATATAACGCGTCCATGGTTACCAGTCCCTAAATAGGTCTAGTTTATGTGGGTCCTTTAGGGCTGACACCTTCAAGGAAGGCGGTGGATCATGTGAAGATAAGGACTCAGGAGTCGTCACTCTTCGTGCTAGATTGAAGAGAGATTGCTTCAGGTCTCTATTTTGGTGTCCCCTGAATCTCCATTTCCGATGACAATGGAGCAGAAGCTAGTGTCTTATATTCCTTCGCTATAGCTCCCTTTCCACCGTATCGCAATATCCAAATGCCTTCTCCGGCGTCCGACGAGGATGCCACAACGCTTTCCTCCCAAGAGCAACATGCATCCTTCTGGATTCGTTTCAGCACCCGCGTCGGTGACGCCTTTAGCGGTGCAGATCCCCGAGTCTGCATTGCCTTTTGGCTCTTCGGTGCGCATCCCCAAGCAACCCAGCTGACCGGCTGAAACTAAACATCCGCTTTCGATAGGCCTTATCAACAACGTCCTATATGTGATTCTCCTCTCCGCGGCCGTAGATCTCGTTGGACCCGACGTACCCAAGGGAGTTGTTCTCTTAGCAGATGTGGTCCCCTCATTCGCGACCAAGCTCATCGCCCCATACTTCATCCACCTGGTCCCGTATTGGATGCGCACTGTCATCTTCGTCTTCTTATCGGCCGTGGGCATGCTGGTCGTGGCCATGAGCCCAGCTTATATCGACGGGGGATCGATTGCTTCCAAACTCGCCGGCATAATTTTGGCTAGCTTTTCCTGCGGTGGTGGCGAGTTGAGTTTCATGGGTCTCACGCATTTCTATGGCTCCTTTAGTCTGGCAGCGTGGGGTAGTGGTACTGGCGCCGCGGGACTGGTCGGAGCGGGTGCGTATGCTCTGGCGACCTCGGCGATGGGATTCTCCGTCCGTACTACGCTGCTATTCTCGGCTTGTCTACCAGCCATCATGCTTGCAAGCTTCTTCGTCGTGCTGCCAAGATCTCCCCTCAGATCTGCTGAAGTCGGTGCTGATAGGTATCGGGTCATTGAGGGTGGGGAGCAGGTGGAGGAAGATGAGATGGAAGATGGTAATAGCGGAGAGGATGAGGGGCTTTTGGGATCGTCGCGCGGTGCATCCGATGTCCACAAGCCTGTCCACATCAACGAGGGAGGTAACTGGCAAGACCAGGTGCGATTGAATCTACGTCGCGTCGGGAGGTTGTTCATTCCTTTGTAAGTATCGGACTCTTTCTCTTGCATATATGAGCTAACCCATATTAGCATGGTCCCGATGTTACTGGTCTACATTGCCGAGTATGTGATCAACCAAGGCGTGGCTCCGACCCTACTATTCCCACTAGAGCAGTCTCCGTTTAAGCACTTCCGCTCGTTTTATCCCACCTACAGCGCCATTTACCAGATCGGCGTGTTCATTTCCCGCTCCTCGACTCCGTTCTTCCGCATTCACAACCTGTACCTGCCGTCGCTCCTGCAGGTGGTCAACCTTGTGGTGTTATCTCTCCATGCTATATTTGACTTCATTCCCAGTGTGTGGCTGGTCTTCATCATTATTTTCTGGGAAGGTCTCCTTGGCGGAGTGGTATATGTCAATACCTTTGCCGAGATTTCTGATCGAGTACCGCAAGAGGACCGTGAATTTTCACTTGGGGCGACTACCGTCAGTGATTCAGCTGGAATCTGCATTGCGGGCTTCCTCAGCATGTGGTGGGAGGTCTGGTTGTGCAACTGGCAAGTTGGACATGGGCGGGATTATTGTCGCCAACGGACATAGCTTCCAATGTTAGACTAGCGAGACCTTGAGATACTTTTGTTTGAAGTCATAGACGCCTGTATATAACTTCTAACACAGGATGAAACAATTACCCTTGTAAAAATGTCTCGTGGTAGTCTCGTGAGCGGTCAGCTGATGTCGTCATTAGCATGTGAAGGTGGGCCCCTTTTTGACATGTGATTCACCTTCATTACAGCTCTCTCCCAATGATGAGCCCGCATTAGTCGATTGCTCTCGCTAAGTGCTGGGGAATGCTTGCAGGATGTCGTCTAAGCCATGGGCTTGTCTGAAATGGGACTTCTCTTTGTCCCTGGTGTTGGGTTCTGTTGACCACCATTCTTTGGATTCAACCTGCATTCTGGTTTTGGGCTTCACATAGACTACACCATACAGGCTGGAACTGGCTAGACTTAGCCCTAACTTTGGGAAATGATAGGTATGGAAACAGCCTAAACTCCGCATAATGCATCACCAGGCTAATGCATACATAGACCACGTCTTGGGGAGACCTTCAACTCGCTTCCGCAAGATCCAAGTCTTTGCAGTCGTTTCTTTTTGGTCGATATACTTATTAAGGTATACATTCCCCCTAGCCCATGTCCACCTCAGCAGCTCTAACCCCCTGAAAACAGAGCAGATAGACATGGCCCACCGCTCATTCGTTCCCTCTCATCCCGTCTCACGGGAAAATTAACAACATGGCAGACAACAGTCATAATATTCCTCTGGCTATACCTCAGTCGCAACTTCGCCAAGATAGTTGGCCTCGAATGCCCTGAGCCATTAGCAAACATGTACTCGCGCTCCTTCTTCCGAGCAACATGGATCACAACCGGTCTGGATGCCGGATTCTGGACTGCAATGAACATCAAGCCGAAATGGCTGCGCGATATCGCATCCCTAGTCTTCACGGTTTACTACCTGATCGCCGCAGAGCAGGCCGATGAGAAGGTCCGTCGAGTCCGGGCTACCCTGACTCTGGAGCATCTGCGTGTATCGTGGAATAAAGCTACAAGTCCGTACTTGTGGACACTGGCGAAACTGCTCCGTCCGCGAATGACCCGGTTCCCGGCAAGAGCGCTTAGGATTCCTCGTCCGCATCAGTCGGTTCATACGGAGCCGGTCAATGCGTGGTTGTATTTTGATGGCCCGTTGACGGCTCTGAAGGACCAATGTCTTGTCGTGCTGGATGTTCCTGGTGGTGGGTTTGTGGCTATGAGCCCGAGGAACTCGGAGGATAAGTTGCTGTCTTGGGCTGGGCAGTTGAAGGTTCCTATCATCAGTATCGATTACAAGAAAGCGCCCGAATATGCTTATCCATATGCGTTGCATGAATGCTATGATGTCTACCACAGCATTATTGCTACAAATGGCCGTTGCATGGGTCTAAGTGGTAAGACCCGTCCGCGGATTTTTGTCACAGGCGAAAGCGCCGGTGGGAACTTGGCTGTCGGGATGACTTTGATGGTGTTACAGTCGGCGATGTCTCAGGGATGGCGTGGAGAAGATGTGCTTCCGCCTCCCGATGGCCTGGTTTTGGGATACCCTGCATTGAACATGAAGGTGGAAAGCTGGATGAGCGATGAACAAATGTCGTTGATTCAGGACAAAAGCTCTCGTCAAACGAACCGCAGTGTTCTGCAACGGAAGCAGGATCAATACCGTAAACTCACGCCTTACACATCCCCTGGTCGGTCGGTCGAGGACCTGACTGCCATATCACCGGAGAAGAACGAAGACGAGGAAACCGACGTGGCGACGGAAACAGCCAGAACCTTGAAAAAGGAACTAGAAAAGAGCAAAGTTGTAGTGCCCAAGGCTGTTCAAGCAGACGAAGTCCAACCAATCAAAACCAGACTCGCCGTCTCGTCCATGATCACCTATGTCCACGACCGCATCCTTACACCTGAAATGACCCGTGCAATGATCATCTTGTACATCGGTCCACACCAACGTCCAGACTTCAATACAGACTTTTTCCTATCTCCAGTTCTGGCCCCGGATGCTCTGCTCGCCCGATTCCCGAAAACATACATCATGACCGGAGAACGAGACCCACTGGTCGATGACACGGTTATCTTTGCCGGCCGACTCCGTCAAGCAAAGCTGCATCAGTTCCGTGAGCGACAGGACTTGGGCTTGGAGAGGTCTAACCGCCCTTTCAATGAGAGGAACCACGTGGAGATCTCCTTGATCCCCGGTGTTTCACATGGCTTCATGCAGATGGCTGGCTTCTTTCCCGAGGCCTGGAAATACATCCATCGCAGTGCGGACTGGCTCGAGACTCTGTTTGATAGCATCAAGGGGGACGATGCTGATCTGCTTCGTCTGCACCAAACGGATTCTTCGTTTAAACGGTCTGACGGACCTGCAGATGGTCAAGCAAATTCATCCCGCGAGCGCAATCACCACCGCGGCTTGACGGGTGAGTCTTCGGGTGATGACGATAGACCGTTAGAAATGAGCATGAGCAAGATAAGTGATGAATTGGCGAAGCCAGAACGCCGCACACGTCGTCGGAGGTCGAGATCTTCTTTTGCTTCTTCGCGGGTCGCTGGGATTACCTCTTTGAGTGATGATCGGAATGCAAAGGAGGATTTCATTGCTAAGCTTCAACACTTGGAGAGGGCAGGTCGTGGGGACCGGTTCTATCCTGATGAGACGAATAGTGCGCCTGAAAGCCCTGTATCCCGGCCGAGGGGGAGGAGCATTTCGTCTCTCGATAGTGGGGAGGATTTGCTGGATCGCAGGATGAATGGGCTTGCTGGGGGGTTGATGGGGATTGGTGAAGGGGCGCAAACTCCTGGGACTTGAGGGACTCGGATAGGACATAGACTTATGAAGAATGATTGAGCGTGCTTGATTGGAGATAAAGATTTTATTAGAGAATCCTAGATTGTTCATATGGGGATAATAACTTGAGAAGAGATTTCTATACTTATTTCGAGTGCAGTGCTAATGTACAGCCCAGTGCCAAACATGACATGGGGAATTTTCTCATGACCTGACCTCCAGGATCACATCAACCACTTCCTTCTTCGCCCCTGCGCACTATCGAATGTGAGCATCGCCTCTAGTCGCGCCCACACCACCGCCAACGTAGCAACAACAAGTAGAACCCCAACCATTACACTGGTATTTTCATAGTTGCGCGGGCTGGCAACCTTCTGACCATGACCGCGAATCAGTGCGCCTGCAACCGGTGTTCCAAGTAGCGTCGCAAACCCTCGCACCATGTACAGGAAACCGTTGACACTGACGAAGTTCTGTACACCGAATGCCTCCACCAGACTCGTGGGGAAGAGTGCGACATATGCGGAGGCGAATATGCCATAGAGAATCGTAAACGCGATGAAGAGATTGCTGCCGGTAGATTGTGTAGAGGATAAACACGAAGGAAGCCACAATGCGACAACGGATATGGCGGAAATAAGAGTCGTCAGAACTAGCGTGTTCAACCTGCCCATTCTATCCGCTGCGTGTCCGATAACCACCTTCCCAAGCGCATTCGCCGCATTGGAGATGGCAATGAAGTTCGCAGACGAAGTCTGCGAGTAGCCCAAAGTACGAGCAAAAGACGCAAAGAAAAACACTGGCGTGTAGTACGCAGCTGACTGCAGCGCTGCGCCTAGCGCATGAGCAACGAACTTGCGGCTTCGCACGACTCGCCAGTCTACCAGCGGAAGACGGAAGAAGCTCGGTGACCTCGAGGCCGCGGCGTTTTCGGCTTGGATGCGGGCGATCTGGCTCTCCGGCCAACACAGGAATGTGCCGGAACCGCAGATGAGAATGAAAGAGATCCCGGCAGTGATGCGGAGCGTGGTGCGGAATCCCACTGCTTCGATTAGATACCTGAATGCAAGCGGCCAGGCTACGCCGCCTACTCCGGTTCCTGCGAGGATGATTCCCATCGCTAGGCCGCGGTGCAGGGTGAACCAGGTCGGTGCGACGGTTACGGAGGGCATGTAGGTTAGACACGTGGCGATGCCGAGGAGAATGCCTTGGGTTAGGATGAATTGCCATAGGGATTGGCTGAAGCTTGCGAGGACGAGGGCAGTTGAGTAGAGTACTCCGCTAGCCCAGATTACGTAGCGGGGGTGGTATTGTTTTGTCCAGCCTGTTGAGAAGGGGGCGCCGATGGTCATTAGGGCGATGCAGAGAGTGCCGATTAAGTCGATTTGGGCTGGGGTTGCGCCGGTAAAGGGAGTGTTTGGTTGCTTTGACATTGAGTCGTAGAGCTCTTGAAAGACTCCGAATGCGAAGTTTATACCACATCCTGTGAAGACGAGGGTTGTGGAGGCGATAACTATGATGGTAGGTTGTCTGTAGCTGTGTTAATCGCTAGTCTTGTGTTGGTTTAGCGCGGTACTTGCAAGCGTTTGAGGAGAGGGCTAGGACTAGGAGTGGCTTGTTCGATCTCCATGGAAGAGAGAGAATCCATGGTATTTTATACTAAGAGGAGACTGAGGAGTGAACAATTAATCGTCACCTTGGCAGATTGGCCAAGCTTTTGTATTGGGCGCCGCCGCGCCAGACCCGGTTTGACCCTTTCCGCCGTCTGAGTCAGGGCGGGGTGTGGGGGGTGGGTTTAGGGCTGGCCCGAGGGTCACTGTAACATTAAGGGTGAAATCGGGACGTTTTGATAGGGTCGAAAGGCGGAGAGAAGAGAGGCAGATGAAATGAATCTGAGGGAAAGAGAGCAAGTCCGCAGAATCCGCAGGAATAGAATAAAAGAGGAAAGAACAAAGAAGAGAAACAAACTCTAAACTCTTAGGAAGGTGCGAGTGCGTTTCCCATCTCGTTCAGGCAGAAACTCAGAACTCTCGCTGGGTTCTAGGTTTCTGCGGTACCCGGGTACTGCGCATAGTTGAACTATATCTACCTCTTACTCTTTCTGGACACATCCAGAGCAGAGAAGCGTCAATAGTTGTGGCGATTCTTATGAACTTCTCTGATTAGATTGACTGCAGAAGGCATCTCCTCTGTATAGGAGCTATCATAGATGACAGAAACCCACAGACTAATCTCTCCATGGCCCATGCAATCAGCATTTGTCACCAGAGCGGGGTATTACGATGATCCTCGATCCATCTTTGAGTCAGATATGGGCCAGATCGTAGGTCGACCACCGGATAGCTATGGGCCAAGACCTAAGAATCAAGGAATGCTCCAATGCTCCACTCATTGGATCACTGGAGTACACAGTATTTATCTGCTTGAGCTCACCCCTGTTACCTTCAATCAAGCATAACTTATAGTCAAAACAAAACTACAAGCAAGTACCACAAGCCAAGACAATCCACCACACACAATCATGTCCTCTAAGCATGTCGTCTTCGACATAGTCGGCACCCTCGTCTCCTACGACCGCATCTTCGATGCCATCGAGACCCGCCTCGGAGATCGACTGCGCGCAGAAGGAATTAAGCCTCGTCTGCTAGGCTATACATGGACAGAGTCCGCTGAGCGCGAGTATACAAATCTGAGCCTTGCCAGGAGCTACGTCCCCTTCGGTCAAGTCTTCCGCGCTCTATTCTACCGCATGTTATGGTCAGCCGGTATTGAGGAGCCGCGTACCTTCGCTTCTCCCGAGGACCTGGAATACATCATGGAAGAATACAATTCCTTGGAACTCCGTCCTGGTGCCGCGGAGTGTGTGCAGAAGCTGCGTGATGCGGGCTTTACCTTCTGGGGATTCACGGCGTCGGATGTCAAGACTGTGGCGGGATATTTCGAGAAGGCGGGGGTGCAGATGCCGGTGGAGAACTTGCTTTCTTGTGATGACGCCGGCGTTGGTAAGCCCGATTTGGGGTCTTATAAGCCCTTGTTGGAGAAGTTGAGATCTGAGAGTGGTGGAAAGACACCTTGGTTTGCGGCGGCGCATATGTGGGATGTGTCTGCGGCGAGAAAGGCAGGGTATGTGTTGGTTATATGAATTGGTGACTTTTTTCGCTGACGTTTTGACAAGATTCAAAGGCGCTTGGTGCGGTGTGTGGGAGAAGGAGCCTCTGACGGAACTGTTTGGGGAGATGGATGTTCTGGATGATACTTTGGTAGGAATGGCGGATAAGATTATAGCTCACCAGGCTTCGTCTTGATATGGAATTCCATAGGTAGACCGCATGTTGCAGCTTTACTTCCATCAATTGGTGTTGGGGCTAGTAAATATTGCGGGCCGAAGCCTGGAGACACTTCTGACATTTGAAGTACTGACGAAGGAACATTAAGCCGGACTGAATGTCTGTGTAGCAATGATACAATTGAATGCCCGTCAATGATAGTTCCCTAAGCCAAGAGATGCGCATGTGAGGCCTCCGACGATCACTCAAATGCAATCGCCAATCCTGATTGCGTGCTTCACGCAATTTGCTGCACAATTGCGCGATATGATCTCGGACCAGCCATGAGTTTATAAACCATGCCCTTTGCACTGGTAGACTCTAGACTTTTGAGACCTGAGCCTTCTACAGCTCGTCATGGAGATCTCCAAGGAGGTGGATTTGGAGTCTCACCCCCGACTAGAACACGATCCTTGGCTTCTCGACGACCATCCCCTTCGATCATACCCGACAGAATGCATCCCGGGCTTGTCGACTTATCTCGATGAATCACTCGGGAGGCGGAGAGCCATTCTGTTCCTCGTTGCATGTCTCATTCTCGCAGCGCTGTGAGTTTGTTGCCATATCAGCTTTCCACACAGTATAAGCCCACTCTGACATTCTTCCGTCTCCAGAGCCGTATTCCAGTGTCTCTCGCTTGTTCTCCGTGACCATCAAGAATGCGCTTTCTCATGAGACCACAAACCCACACCAACCCAGAACAGCGCTTGTACGTTTCTTATACTAGAACCGTGACCGGATGCGCTATGGCGGGGAGTCCTGGATGCGAAGGCGTCTGAACAGCTATTTGAATGCACGATGGCAAGCTGCAGATCGGATACGCGTTATGCGTACCGGGCCGGAGACGTTCCTGCAGCGACTTGGTCTCGACGAGAGTGGAACCGACCGGGTCCTTCCGATCTGGGCAGCTTCCAGCTCAGTCGCACTTTCCTTTTGATGTCGCCAAGACTTACACACTTAGATAGGTACACAAAGTCTGCCTATCAAGGTTCTGTGCATGTTTCAGCAGTGGCCTGCCGCCTCCCGTGATGTGTGGATGTGGAGTGCATTTCTCCCAATCTGTACGCACATTGCAGTCTGGCGGGCTATAACCATCTAAGAACATAGTCGTGGATCGAAAAACAAATCGGGCTAATTTGCCCTAGAATTGAGACTTCATAGATCCTAATCATCCTATTTTGGTCTCGATAAATCCCAATGAAAACCTAACAAGAGCTGCCGGATGATGTAGACCTACATCCGCTTGAGGCTGGGCACTGGGTCTGGCAACTATGATGGTTTCTATTTGTGGTGGTCTTACTCTGGTCGTTACCATGATTCTGTGGTTTTCCCGTGGTTTCTCGAAGCTTTTGCTGCTTGTGACTATCAGACGGTTGAGTCCGAGCAACAGGTAAGAGAAGGAGCAAGCATGGCAGGAGAACATGGAACGGAGCTCTTCTGCGCAGCTCTTCTAGGTTCTTCCCTTCTCCAGTTCTGTTACCTTAGTAATTAGTTCGCAGCGCAGGAAAAAATATCTCTTCGCTCTTTTTTCCTTTTGGCTTGTAACGCTGCTCAGTTTGTGGTCTCCTCATCGCCGCTCTTACTGCCTATGGAATCTACTACGAAATCGCCCGGAATTCTGGGTGAACCCAGGCCTTTATCCAGCCAGCGGCGTTACTAACATAGTGAGAAATTCACGTGAATTATGGTTCAGTTCGATAACGGCGTCTTCAACGAGTTCATCGGCATCGCGTTTTTGACTGCCACGATTCTGGCTCTCGGCGATGACCAGAATGCTCCACCCGGCGCTGGCATGAACACGCTGATTATCGGCTTAATCATTGTGTGCCAGAGTACCGAGTATGTGCTTTGCGTATCAACCCGGAGCGGCGTTCAACCCGAGCCGCGACTTCGGTCCTCGGCTTGCGCTTTTCGCCATTGATTTTCCCACCAATCTATTCAGGGACATACTGGTTCTATGAATCTTGGGCGGGCGGGTGTTTTGAGTGGTGGTTTCACGGTCACCGGCACTTTTCTCTCGACTTCTTTATCTTCACTGGCGGTGAGTCTCCTGTCAACTATATACCCGCTGGAGCACACCCAGCGTGCTTTGGCCAAGAGTGGAATGAGGTGAAGATGTCGACTTTGTCTGAAGTAAAGTCGATGTTTCACGGTCTAGAATTGAATTTTCGATGACGTCTGAGCGTCACTGGTCTTGTTTAGTCTTGCCTATACACTCTACTCAAGGCCGAGGTAAGCAGAGCTATTACGTGAGAATGGACGGATGAAGAAGATTAGTTAGCCTATGGCTCAGCAATTAAGATTTAAGACAGAAATAAGCAACTTAGTGAACTCACTCGAAGCTAGACAGAGTCAATCTATAGTCATTTCCTACAGGGACCCCCTCGTTGGCACATGTCCTGCATATGCATATTGCCAAACAGGCCTAAGACCTCCATCCTTGTACACAAGGAACAGGTCGCACAAGCCACAACCTTTAGAGCGTGTCTTTCAATTTGAGAGAGCGAAAATACCAGGTTTACAATACAACCCTTACTATCTCACTTCCTTTTCTTACATTCTGTACATTCTGTACATGTGCTAACTATATAGCTGACTACTGTAACTAGCTGCATGCAGTGGATATTATCCTGCTGTACTCCGTACGTCCATCCCCCCCATCCCCCCCGCATGCAAGATATTGTCTTGGCCCTGCCCCATCGCGCTAAAGAAGACACCGTCATCACTCACCGTTTTTTCTCTCCCTCGCCTCCCAGCAACCAAGTTCAGAGAGGGAAAAGGATAAAGAGAATATACAAATTTAGTTCCTCGAGATAGTGGGACCTCGATTGTTGATATTTCCACCTAACCGCTGCCCTATTCTGCACGTTCCCATTGCCGCTGTCTCGTGAGCGCTATCTCCGGGAGTATCGCGCGATCAGCCGCTGATCCTGCGCCTGAGCTCTGGCCTTGTTTCTTTTCTTTTCTTCCGGTGCATATGTGCCACCGCCATTCCGTTCACCTGTCCCTACTCTTTTCCCGTCTCATCTCAATTTTTCCCTAATTGCTGCCCAACGATTTTCTGAAATTCGGCGACCATGGACTACCGACGGCTACAACATTCATATCCGCCGCGGCCCTCGCCGTTGGGGACCTCGCAAGAAACTCATACCGACCAGCTCCGTCAATTCGCCGCACCTCACGAGTCTCGTGGTAGAATCGAATCCGATAAGCCTCGCCCATACCCTTCTCCCGCTTCAAATTCAACTTCCTCTCCGTCGCAGCTCTACCAATCTACGATTCCGCGGACGTCGCAGGCTTCTCTTCGGGAAGATGCTCCCAGCGCATACTTTCCGCCGAGGAACGGCCATACACAAGTACACCGTCGGCACGGGAGTCTCGAGACGAGGAATAATGAACAGACACATCGCAGGAACAATTCACAGCCTCAGAATGTTCGATATCGCGAAGGTAGGCAGTCTCTCTTGCATTTTTTTCGTGTTTACTTTCCCTCGCGTGGTCTGGTTCCGGTGCCCCAGATTGCAAATTCCAAGGATCGGACTTGTGCCGTGGTTGGCCGCCTCCACTTTGTTGCGGTTGTTTTTCCACTGGTGCATACGACCATGGGAAGAATTGTATCTGAGAGTAATTCATCCGATTGCTCAAGGTTACGCGACTGACTAAGTCTCCCTCACACCCCCTCTCTTCCCTTGCTGCTACACCCTGCCCCTGATGGATTTTCCCCGGTGGCGCAGATCGACTGGACGACAGCTCGGGAGCGCTAGTCCAGGTCAGGACTAGCGTGACCAGAGGAGCCCCTGCCTCTTTGGGCTAGCGTGTGAGCTTTCCGGAGTCACGGGTTCTTCTCGATCTGGCCCTTGCTTTCCCTTCTGAACCGTTGCTCACTCATTCACAGGGCTTTTTGGTGCTTCAGTGATGAATCATACACCCTCACAACACGAACCAGCGCGTCGTACTTCCCAAGGCAGCAGTGGGAGTTCTGGCCTTGCTGGTAAGCACCCGACCTTTGCGCCCGAGAGCCCCGTGCAACCCGTCCCGTCGCGATACATTGATTTCGAGACTCCATCCGATCGGGACATGCATGGTCATCTTGGAATTTACTCGCTGTACGAACACTGGCTAACACTATCTTATGTGCTAGGTGCGAACGAACAAGCAACACCTCCCGCGTTCGGGAATCGCCAAATGCCACCCCCATCCCCTCCACATTCATATTCCTCGCGAGCTCAATCAACCCACGCGCCGGGAGCCTCACTCATGTCGCGTGATGTCCCCAGCAGTCAGGCACACCGGCCGGGCAGCAGCATGTCCATATCCGCCATGCTAGGCTCGGAGCCGGACCGGCCTGCGCGAGAACCTGCACGGGAATCAGCGCCATTCTTCTCGCGACCGCCTACATTAGCGATGTTGGGTAATGCACCCCCATCATCATCATCCTCCGCCATGTCCCCGCCCACGGCTCCGACAAGACCCTCATCGCTCGAGAATTCCATCTTCCGGCGTTCACATACACCCGAAAAGTCATTCTCCAAGCCTGGAGGTGCGCGTGCGTACCGGTCGGGGTCGGGCGGAGGTTCGAGTCTCCTGGGCGCAGAGCAATCAGTATTCGGCGGCTTGACGCGGTCGGCACTCTCGCAGTATCCGGAGAAGCCGCACTCCACGCATCCTTCGCCTCGAATGTCCACGGCAGAGCCACCGTACAACGAGCCTCGTCGCTTGAGTCTCAACGGACCGATCGCTCGACCCAATAGTCAACCACCCCATGCAGATACACCTACACGGGCCCCCGGCTATAGTCCGATCTCTCAACCGGGCGGGGGTGTCGCAGATCGCCCCTTCGATTCTGGCCCTCGGCTTGCATCTGGGTCGTACGGAAGTCATGATCCACAGCATGGTCGGTTTGGAAACATCTTTGGTGAGCGCCGATCGGATGAAGCCGCCCAGCGGGATCGAGAGCGTGCCCAGACTCACGGACCCGATGCCAAATTGGGCCAGCCAGGATCGTATCGCTATGGCTCCCATTACGGTGAACGCGACCCGCTCGAACGTCATCAGAGTGCCTCTACATGGGACCACGGTCGATCTCACCCTCCATCGCCGGAGAGCAAGCGCTTCCTGGTGCCCGAGCACGGGTCTGGCTTCGGGTTTGGGGCCATTCAGAGCTACACTAAATCACTGGGGTCGCAGCCCGGTGGCAGTAGACAGCCCCAGATCTCTCTGCAGGCTCGGAACAATCAACCCACACCTCCACCCCACGATCCATACCTGAGACAACAAGCGCAGCCTCACCGGTCGGGCTCCACCCCTGCTATCACGGCATCGACCGCTGCCGCATCTTCTAGTCTAGCAGCCCTGGCTGATGAGGGACGACGCAAAGGAAGCGACGAGCTGCTCCATCACCGCAGCCTTCTGGCCGTTGGTGCAGATGGGAAACGCGGCGGTCGTGCATCGCCCCTTCCTCAGGCTGTACAGGGTGCCCAAGCCCCGTTCATTGGCCCTGCTGGGGAGCCAGCGATCAAGAATGACCTGGGGCGAGTGTTCTCCGGTATTGGAAGTGGTGTTGGTGGCGTGACCGCGGCCACTGGTGGCAGCGGACACTCTACCCCTCTAGGCGCTAGTCCTTTCAAACGCGATAGCCTCACAGGTCGCTCGATGAATGGAGACGCGGTTGATGAGGCGTCTAAGATTGGTCGACCTTCCTCTGCGGCAGGCAGACGGTCGGGAAAGTCGCGAGAGCAGGAACAGATGGAAATTGAGGCCAACGACCCGCGAGGCGTACTATCGGCACGCAATGCACGTCGCTCCCGGCATTCTCACCACCATCATCATCAGTATGTTCTACCTGCCGTCTATAGTTCGTTTTATCCAGCTAACTCTATTCCAGCCACCATCATCACCGCCACAAAGCAGATGAAGACGCGGCCGCTCTGGCCTCCCTCCACCGCTCTTCGGGCTTCTTCCGTCGAGCATCCCCAGCGGATCCCTCTCTAGGGCATCATCACCACCAACATCACCATCACCATCACCACCACGTTCCTCGACCGGGCCCCATTCCAGTTTCATCCCCCGTTCGCGAAGCTCGTATTACCGTGAATCTGGAGCCGCTGTTGTCAAGCGTCGCCCATCTTCCTCGACATCATCTTGGCTCGACGCTCTACGCTCCTCGGATCGGTGTCCCCACTGCCAAGTCTTCCGTGGAAAGCTCCAAGTTCGGATACACCACAAGTCCCCAGCCTCTCCCGCGGTTCGAAAATCGGGAAAATTGCACGTTCACTATTCGAGTTCCACGATTCCGCATCGATCAATCACATCGAGAGGAAATCTGTGCGCGGCGCGCCCTTTGGGGCACCGGTGTTTACACCGATGACTCTGATCCCGTCGCCGCGGCCATCCACTCTGGCTTTATTCGCGGCGCGTGGGGCGAGGGTGTCGACGAGTCCATGCTCGACCTCGAGATTAAAGATACCTACCAACACGCACCGCCACCCGAGCCGTCTACCGACGGCAAGGCTAGCTCTTCGGCCAAGGGCCCACGGCTTCCTCCGATACCCCCGGCCGACAAGGACTTGCACATCACCCTGTTGATTCTTCCGCGAGTGGCCCAGTATGATAGCACTCTCTTATTCGGTGTGAAGTCCCGCAAATGGGATGGCCGCCACGATGGCATGAGCTTCAAGGTCCATGCCGTTGACTGGGTGGACGAGGGCGTTGGCCGCGGGGAAGAGCGCAGCGGCGAGGCCCGTCGCAAACGTCTCCGCACGCTTATGCAAACTGGTCGCATCTGCACAGGGCCTGCCATGGCTAAGATGGATGAACTCCGCCGCAGCGGGGTGCAAGTGCCCCGACCTATCGATGGCCAGGCGCAGGACCAGCCAGCTGCCGTGCAGCCAGTCTCCTAATCCTGCCTGTCATAATCTTGACGGAGACGAGCATATCCTGATCTAGATGGCCTGGTATTGGCTCTGAATGACTTTTCTGACTTTTCTTTCCTGTTCTCTATCTCCTTTTGTTTTTGTTTTTTTTCCCCGTGAATCTACGTTTATTTAGGGCGGCGTTGGATGGCCTTTCTGTTCATTTCTTCAACCGGTGATATCTCTCCATTTGGATTCGTCTGTTTTTATTCGTGGACGGGTCAACGGGAACGGATGAAAGGGAAGGGGCGTGGGCTTTGATTCATATTTCATATTTCATAGTCATATACATAATCTAACTCTACTTGTTTCGTCTAAGTGATGTATGTATACGGGTATGTTCTACGGAGTACTGTCTACAGTTCTTCTCCTCGGCCCGTGTCCTCGTGGATGCCGCCGACCAGATATGCACTAGCCTCTCCCCGCATTCCAAGGTTGCGACAGCCAGGGATCGCCCGGAGAACCGGAGTAAAGCGAAGTAAATAACCAGTAGATGAGTATAGGTACATGTTAGCTACAATGTTATACTTGTCTCTATTCGCGGCAATAACAACATATATTGCATCTCCTAAATGACATAGTTATGCACATCTCCTTGTGACCGTGGAGATCAAGTGCATCATCGAAAATGGACCGAGGCTCAGAATTGTGGGCCTTGTCTTGGTATTTCGGTATCATACACGGAATACCAGCCGAGTTCACGATGTTCACAAGGAAGAAAAGATGGAAGAGATCAATTAACAATGAACATATATTATAGCTCCATAGACGATATTGTCATCTTCTTCCATACTATCCTCACCGTGTAAAGTCAGCTGCACTGAACTGAAGTTATTGAAGTTTCGAAGGTTCTCCGGCCGTTTCCACGGTTCAACAGCCTTCCCGTACCGTGTTTACGGACTTCCCCGCCAGCCGAGGCTGTCCGTCTTTCTTCTTAACGACTCTCCTTAGCTATTCAATCCAACCTCTTCTCTCTTCTTATACCCATATTCACCCTATCTCTCCTTATACACCAGAGGCATGTTCACTGCTTCTGCTCGAGGCCGTCTTTCCACCCTCTCAAGGCAACGGCTACCTACTAACTCTCTCCTCGCCCGCTCGGTAAGTTGTCTCGGACCGACCCTGCTACACAAAGCCGCCAAAAGTCGCCTTGAACCGCCAGAATCAGTCATTGACTCGTGTACAGACGCCTCTCACAATGGCTCCCCGACGAGCAGCATCTTCAGTTCCTGAGGGTGAGTTTCCACACACATCCGGCGCGTGGCGAGCTATCCCTTGTTCAACCGCGCCGCAAACCCGGAATCAGACTCGCTGACCACAAGTAGGATACAAGGAGGATCTCTCCAAGGGCAACATGCTCCGTTTCGAAGATTCTCTCCCTAGACTCCCCGTTCCTCCCCTGGAAGAGACCGGCCGTCGGTACCTGAAGTCCGTGCATGCCGTCGTCTCCGAGTCCGAGTATCAGCGCACCAAGAGCGCTGTCGAGGAATTCATCCGCCCCGGTGGTCAGGGTGAGTCCCTGCAGAAGCGTCTGTTGGCTCGCGCTGCCGATCCTAAGATCAAAAACTGGCTCTCCGAGTGGTGGAACCAGGCCGCTTACCTCGGCTACCGCGACCCCGTCATCCCCTACGTCTCCTACTTCTACTCCTACCGGGATGACCGCGAGCGTCGCAACCCCGCCCAGCGTGCTGCCGCTATTACCACTGCTGCGCTCGAGTTCAAGGCCAAGGTTGATGATGGTTCTTTGGAGCCCGAGTACCTCCGCAAGGAGCCCCAGGCCATGAGCTCGTACCAGTACATGTTCAACTGCTGCCGTATCCCCGCCGAGGGCCAGGATTTTCCCCGCAAGTACTCTGCCGCCGAGAACCAGCACATCGTCGTTGTGCGCAAGAACCAGTTCTTCAAGGTTCCCTACGTCGTCGACGGTCAGCAGCTCAATGTCTCCGAGTTGGAGAAGCAGTTCCAGCGCATCATCGACACCGCACAGCCCGCACCTCCGGTTGGCGTTCTGACCGTTGCCGACCGTGACCACTGGGCTGCTGCCCGCAAGACCCTCGTTGAGTTCGACCCCGCCAACGAGGTCGCTCTCCAGGAAATTGAGTCTGCTGGTTTCGTGATCTGCCTGGACGATGCCCGCCCGGTTACTCTCGCCGAGCGCTGCAAGCAGTTCTGGCACGGTGACGGCTCCAACCGCTGGTTCGACAAGCCCCTGCAGTTCATCGTCAACGACAACGGCACCGCCGGTTTCAACGGTGAGCACAGCATGATGGACGGCACCCCCACCCACCGTCTCAACGACCACGTCAACAACCTCATCTTCAACAAGAAGATCGATCTCTCTGCCAAGACCGTGCGCTCCCAGCTCGCGGACCCCAAGCCCATCACATTCAAGCTGAACGATGCCGCCAACGACGCCATCGACTATGCGGCCCAGTACCACCGCAAGCAGATCGGCTCCCACGAGCTCGTCGTCCAGGCTTACCAGGGCTACGGCAAGGGTCTCATCAAGAAGTTCAAGTGCAGCCCCGACGCCTTCGTCCAGATGACGATCCAGCTGGCCTACTACAAGATGTACGGCAAGAACCGTCCCACCTACGAGTCCGCCTCGACCCGTAAGTACGCCGAAGGCCGCACAGAGACCACCCGCTCCGTCTCCGACGAGAGCGTCGCCTTCTGCAAGGCTCACCAGGACCACAACACCCCCGCGAGGAGGTCGTCAAGCTGTTCCGCGCCGCCCTCGCCCAGCACACCAAGTACACCCAGGAGGCTAGCTCTGGCCATGGTGTCGACCGTCACCTGTTCGGTCTGAAGAAGCTCCTCCAGCCCGGCGAGCCGCTGCCTGCCATCTACGAGGATCCCGCTTTCGCTTACTCCAGCTCTTGGTATCTCTCCACCTCCCAGCTGAGCTCCGAGTACTTCAACGGATACGGATGGAGTCAGGTTATTGACGATGGATTTGGAATTGCCTACATGATTAACGAGAACAGGTAAGCTTACTTTTTTTTCTCTCTTGGTTTTTTTTTTTTTTTTTCAAATTGCACCTGCTAACATCTCCCAGTCTCAACTTCAACATCGTCTGCAAGCGCATCGGCGCCGAGCGCATGAGCTACTACCTCAGCGAGGCTGCCACTGAGCTCCGCGATCTGCTTATGCCCGATCTCGCTGCCCAGCCCGAGAAGCCCAAGCTGTAGATGTGTCTTGCATATACCCAGTTCTATGTTTTGGTTGGTGCTTTTCCACTTGCTCCAGCGTTTGATAGATAAATATCTTTGTTTTTCGATCTGGGATGTTCTGTATCTACATTATACTGTAATTGTATACAACTTGATCTATCATGATTTCTGTGTTTTCCTTTTCTGATTTATCTCATTCCATTGCTCGTGTAGAGTTAGGTGGTAAGAGGTTTCATCATCTTCACTGCTAGTAGTAATCTCTTGGTCCATTCCAGCCTATGTTTGAGGAAAGGAACGGAATAACTTGTCGAAGGCGCGGATCAACCCCTTTGTTCCAGCTTCTTGACTCTTCCACCAGGACCTCGTTTCCTTTCTCCTCCAAGCCAGCCGCCTGCCCTAGGCAGTTTGCATTGGCCCCGATTGGGCAAGGATGGCGTTGCGCAAGCCCATGCAAAACCAAAACACGCCGTAGACGACTTGGTATATCCAATGAGGGAGCGGAGGATGAGGAAGAGGACCCAGGTGATCTTTCATGGCCCATGGGGTTGGATTGTGTGGAGGAAGATAGGCACTTGCAATTGGTTCAAGGCAGACAGGTTGACAAGGAGTACTGTGGTAGTTATACTGCATAGTTTGTGTGGGAATTCGGGGAAGACTCGTAGGTGTTTGGCAGAACTAGATTGTGAGAAGGCCCTGGTCTTCTCTGACCGGTGCTTCTTACTTTTGGTGAACCAGCCATCTCTTCGCCTCTTTCATTATTTATCCATCCCACAGGTCGGGGAAGGACAGGCAGCTGACGGGGCCTCTCCCCACATCTTTCTTAAGAACGAGTTGCTCTCTATGGACGCACTTATCTGTACATAATACCATAGCTTAGCACGTCCCCATACCCCATGGGAGGTCACGGAGACGGGAGCTTCGCTCCCGTCTCCCCAGGACGTTAAATATAACACCAACAACAAGCCTCTTTCATTATCGCGCTTCCTGTACTCCGTACAACTAACTTTTACTGACCATAGTTAGGTAGTTGAGGGCTAGGGCACACCCTCGCGCGATCTAAGCCGACCTCGGCTGGGTAGAAGCCAGGTGAACGTGTGCTTTGGAAGGCCGTTGTTCGGAGTACATGTGATTCCTTTACGGCCGAGGAATTGGTGACTTCAAGAATATCAAATTGGTCAGGTAGTCACTCGGTCAGGTAGCAATGAATGAGTAACAGCCATGTTATTGCCTGGAGAGTGCGCAAGAAGATCGGGAAACCCATGTCGATATTCCAGGTTTGAAGACAAGGCTTTGTTTGACACTTCCTGTCCATAATTGTAGCTACTTGGAACCTCTAGACATTAATGACACCAACAGCCCCTGCCGCACATTCTGAGTTCTTATAGTAAGGCATGCTGGCCATAATGACAGCTCAGCCGGGGGTCGGTCAATCAGCCCTCACCACAGGATTCAACCAGAAAAAAAAAGAGTCAACGATCTTTTGCCAATCTCCAGGCGCCAAGGTGATAAAATTGCGCGGCGTGCTTTACGTGGGGCTGAGGGGTTTTTCTGTCATTCTCTGTCATGGTCTCGCATGGATGGGAAAGAGGATTGAAAAGCTGGAGATCCAAATTATTGCTTGATGTGTCAATCATTGTTGTGTCGGGGTCATTTCAATGGGCCAAGACTGGCCAAGCCTTCCGTATCGGCTTTTCAGTCTTTGCCGTCTCGCGGCAAGCCCACGGCAGGCGGGTCCGCAGTTTCGGTCCCCGCTTGCCCGGATGCCGTGCCCGAAGCAGTTGCGGAAGCCGCGCTTTGCGCTGTCGTGAGTTCTCCGATTTGCCTTTCTGCAGATGAGGTTAGTATGCGCGGTTGAACGGTTCCCCACTTTCGGGGTGGGGTTACTCCGCACAGTCACCAGGGGCTGCAGACGCTAAGAAAGAGTTTTTCTTACCTAGTTCCCGAATACGCTGCCGAAGAAGTGTGTTTTCTCGGCTTAGCGAGCTAGCTTCGGCTTGGTAAAATGCGCTTTCGTCCCGGCTGCCGCGCCGAGAGGCACTATCCCGCAACCCCGGGAATGGCTCCACGCCCTCCGATCCACGTGAGTCTAGTGGCCGCAAATTCGGGGATACTGTGTAGCTCGGAGGTCGTGAGTTTCGTCGGGCTGACAAGGACGAGGAGAGCGATGATCCGTTGCCCGCTGGCGCAGCCGGAGGCACAGATGGGAAGACTGCCGACCGTTCCGATGCTGGGGTTGTATCGTCGATGGCACCTGTTGACTGCGGGTTTTGTTGCTGCTGGTATTGATTTAACTGTGCCTGTTGACTACGGATCATCTGTAAGAGACGGTTCTACAATCCATCAAGTTGAGTTGGTCAGCTTGCTATATCTGTGTTCCCACGAACGGTCATCCACTCACCACTTGTGCTTCCTGTTCTTGCTCCAGCTCTTGATGTAGTTCTCCCAGCGATGGTGCGCGCTGGTGATGGGGATCTGCTGTTGCGAAGACGGGGCTTCCACCGTGGCTGGATGGACTGGCGGTGCGGAACGCATGCCCAATAGAGCCGCGGTGGTCTGTAGCCGAGAACTCGCTGTTGGGTACCCAGCCAGTGTTTGGCACATCGCTCGCATTAAGGTTCAGACCTGCGTTAGATCGACGTCGGTCAGATATCGAAAGTCGGCCAATGCTCGAGCCGGGAGAGGGCCGTGGTGAGCCGGTGTTCGTGTTCACGGGCGTCGGACCGGTTCCACTAGGAGCGGGCATATTGCGTTGCGCGACGGAGGAAGAGATAGAGGACGAACGAGATAAGGGCAGAGAGTTCAGATCTGGTGACATCTGAGAGCAGGAACTGCGGAGATGTCAAAGACTATGGTCATTGAAGAAGCTCCAGCCTAAAACGGACAAGCTGGAGTCGCCAGAATCAGATGACTCAGCAACTTATTTGCGGGGTCTGATCACGTGAAAGACACCGTTTGTGGATCGCCAGGCTCCCAACGTGATCGGATCTTTTCCGTTCGCATCGAGAAATCTCTCGGGGACAAATGCATCTTGACTGGAATGAGCATTTCACGATAACATCTGTCACACGGTCACACCCCTGCAAAGTCCTCGCTCTAGATTATTGATTATTAGCGCTGGCTATTTACTCCCCGAGTGGCTGAGTCTTATTCAATGCAAGGTTCTGTTGTCGGTGCATATGAGATTCTTCCAGAACATGGAATCGACTTGAAGTACCCAAGGTCGCATGATTGATTCCAGCAACAAATCACCTCCCTTCAGCTGGTTACTCTACACCGGTATCTCCGGGTGGCGCGCCGCCACATACATGTACGCGTTTGAGTCGGCTAGGGCCGTCCAAGGTACATCTACTGTATCTGCTACGCAAATTCTGGCTAGTATATCGATGTTGTTGTATTGTATGCCCCCCCCGCCAAGATCTGCAAATGGTCGCGTGGCGCTTGACATACGGTTTTGTCGATCCCCCGGGATATGACCATGTGCAGGAATGCACAGTACGATAAGGTCAAAGGTCGCATCTCCAGTTGAAGTCCCAAGGGAGTGAAACATTTGTGGTTGCTTCCGGACAACGGAGATAAGCGGTCCACTAACTAGGGGTAATGTGACGCGATGAACCAGAGGTTAACCAAACTTTCTTTTTGGTCTCTTTCCCCGACAGGCAGCGGGTGTGAGCGGTGACCTGGACAGTTGTCGAAGTTTCTTTGGAACAGAGTGTAAAGATTCCAGGGGCGTGTCCTGCAAGGGATTAGATAGATAGGAGTTTGGAAGTTTATCTGCTTCATCCGATTCAACGTGGCATTCTGGTCCGAAAAAATACCGAAGGGTAAGGCTGTCGCAGATCAAAAGGATTCAGGACAATCAGTAATTATCTGTGGGGAAAGAAAAAAATTGAAAGGAAAAAAGGTATGAACCGGTAAGGTAAGCATACCCCGAGGGTCAAAACAAGAGTTGTGGCCCCGTCCGCGATGACGATCTCCTGAACGCCACGCCCGTAATGAACCACGCCATCGGCGATATTAGCGCCCTTTAGCCGCACTACAGTACCTGCCCAGCGCCCACAATCTTCGCCTTTGGTTGATGCTTTGACGTCACAATCGACCAAGAGAGGCAAGTCCCTGGGCGATCTTGGAAATGTCTCGTTCTCACAGTCGAGTCTGTTAGCAGAATCCATCATAAGGCGTTTTGTATGTGCAGCCACTTTTCAGCCCCCGTTCGCCTCATTCAATTGTTTACATGGGGAACCATGCGGGTTGGGGTACGGTAATTTTTCCCGACTCCTTGCTGCGCGGGGCGCCATATGGAACTGACATTCGGATCGTCTCTATGTGGTATATCGATCGTACACTGTGATGTAGACTTAATGTTACATGTACGGAGTACTAGTTACTCAGTAAATTCGACATGAAGTCTAACGGATCCGACCCGGACATTCCGATCGGCCCAGAGCGGCCAATTCGGTACCCGGGGAAGGGCCCTGAGGGACTGGAGAGGGCCGGGGAAAATACCGCAGAATTTCTCCCAAGGGTGGGTCTTGTTTTTACCCCAATGCGTGGGAGGGTTCCTCATCCGGTGCCCTGGAGGGAAAAAGCACCCAAACTCAAAGCGTTGAGGGTTTTTCTTTTTACCCCTTTAATTCGCATATTCCTTATACGATGTCGGATCATCCAAAGGAAAGTCTGGAGAATTGGAAGAAAAAATTTAACCAAAAAGTAAAAAAGTAAAAAAGTAAAAGTGGGTATGGGGCATCGGCATCCCGCCATGGAAGGAGCCCTGGAAGTATGGGGTGGAGTAACAGAACCGTAAAGTACAAAGAGTACAATGTAATACGCTCTATTTATCACGAAAATCGACCTTTTATTATGAATTGGTTTGTAATAATCTTGCAAAAACAGTAGGAGCGGAAATCCTGGGACTGGTACTGACCCTAAACCATCTTGGGTGGTCCTTCCAATCCTGCATTTGGCAGTTGCGCTTTTTCCGTCACCGTTTTCATACTTAATCCTTTGCTTTTTCTCTTTTTCGTCTCTTCTTCTCATCTCGTTTCTTTCCCTTCGTTGATTCCTACACATACTCTTCGTCCCTCAGCTCCTGGGGGTTTCTTTCATCACTGCTGGTATCGATACCAGTTTGCCTCTACTACACACACAATTTCCACAACCCTCAACAATGGCGATCAACGCCGAAAAGCCCGGGGCGAGGGATACCGTGCTGGCAGCAGAAGCTGCCCACGCCCAAGCCGTTGTCAATGCGGCTACCGAAAAATTGGAGGGAGATGATCAGATGGAGGAGGCTTCTCCATTGGAGTCCCCCTCGGAGGAACTCGTCCTTTCAGAGGATATGTGTTATGACCAGTTAGGGTATTCGTTCAGCGAAAAGAAAAAGTGGACGATCATCATGGTCATTTTCCTTGTTCAAACCTCGATGAATTTTAATACGTCGCTCTATTCGAACGCCATCCCCGGTATCTCGGAAGAGTTCAATGTATCCGCGCAAGCTGCGCGTTGCGGAGCCATGATATTCCTGGTTTTGTACGCTTTTGGGTGTGAGCTTTGGGCTCCATGGAGTGAGGAGCTGGGTCGCAAGCCCATTCTACAGGCATCTCTGTTCTTCGTCAACGTTTTCCAACTCCCCGTGGCTCTGGCGCCCAACTTCGCATCCATCATGGTCGGTCGTGCCCTCGGTGGTCTGTCATCCGCTGGTGGCTCCGTCACCCTGGGAATGATCGCCGATTTGTGGGAGCCCGATTGCCAACAATATGCCGTCGCCGCCGTCGTCTTCTCGTCAGTTGGTGGATCTGTGCTCGGTCCGGTGGTTGGAGGCTTCGTTGAGGCTTTCCTACCATGGCGCTGGAACATCTGGATCCAGCTGATCTTCGGTGGTTTCGTGCAAGTCGCCCATCTTTTGTTTGTGCCGGAGACCAGAACCACCGTGATGATGGATCGCATCGCAAAGAAGATGCGCAAGTCTGGCGAAAACCCCAATGTTCGCGGTCCGACCGAGGGCTTGTCTTTCCGCCAGCGGTTCCCTCCACGCGAGATCATGAGTACCTGGATCCGTCCCTTCAAGATGTTTTTGACTGAGCCGATTGTCTTGACACTTTCTCTACTGAGTGGTTTCAGTGATGCCCTCATTTTCATGTTCATCCAGTCGCTCTCGCTCGTGTATAGCCAGTGGGGCTTCAACACTTGGGAGAAGGGATTGGCGTTCATTCCAATTCTGGTCGGCTACATCCTCGCTTGGTTCTCATTTTTCCCGGTGATCAAGCGCAACATCCAAGAGCGCAAGGACAACCCGGAAAGTGAACGGGCTCAATACGAGTCCCGTCTGTGGTGGTTGCTCTACACCGCTCCCTGCCTCCCAATCGGTTTGATTGGATTTGCCTGGACTAGCTTGCCGCAGTGTCACTGGATTGGTACCATGATCTTTGCCGCCATTATTGGTATTGCTAATTATGCCATCTACATGGCCACCATTGACTACATGATCTGTGCCTACGGACCGTACTCTGCTTCCGCCACTGGTGGTAATGGATGGGCGCGAGACTTCCTTGCCGGTGTGCTCACTATTCCAGCAACACCATTCTTCACCAGTAAGTTATTTCGCTCAATAAAACCTCGCGTATCATTTTACTGACCAATTTTGACAGACATCGGTGGAGAATTCCACCTCGAGTACGCCTCCACGATTCTCTGTATGTCCATCCTGTTCTGCGCTTCTACTCGAGCCATTGGTCTAACATTTTCCTTAGTCTGCATTTCGCTACCTCTGGTCGTTGCGGTCTACATCATCTACTGGAAGGGTCCCACTTTGCGCAAGCGTTCGCCATTTGCCCAGCAGCTCGAAGACGCACGTGCACAAATGCACAATGAGGGTCTACGCGGATCCAAGATCCCTCAGGCATCTCGCGCAAGTTCCTATGCACGTTCCCAACAGGACCTCAGGATTCGTCCCACGCTCGGCAGCCGAGGCAACTCGCGGGCCAACTCTCGGGCCAACTCTCAGGCGAATTCCCGTGCCAACTCTCGCCGGAATAGTCTGAACGCTAACGTTTGATGCTCCTTGTTTTTGGTCTCCGCTGTGAAGACCCAAACTTCGTCAGCGGAGTGAATTCTCTTTACATGTTTTACAATGGGATTTTGCTGTGAAGAGGAATGGCCGTGAATTCTTAATAAATCGTCTTATTGAGTAAATAATCATGAAGGTAGTTACTGTGTATTTCATTTTCTCCGTCAAGTAATGATCTGCAGAGAGACTGCGTAGATAGATGTTGGGGAGCATGATATCCGCAATGGTCTCGACTCCTATGTAAAGTGCACTACTCGTACATTATGGGGTATTTGGTCAGTCTCGATACCCCGGACACGATAAGACAAGGTGGCAGTGTTCCTGGGGATCTGGGGTTGTCTATATCTGCTTCCAGTCACTGCCCGTCAGTGAAGCCGATGACAACTGATTTGACAATGAAAGCCGAATGCATTACCCGCTTTTGGTATTGTCTGTTGACACCCTCTTCTAGGTCTCAGGCTTAGGTAGGATCGAGGGCTTATGGCTGAGGTCTGGCGTCTGGTTCGGAAGTAACCCTGAAGACCGGGAGATGTGAATGCCACTGAAGCTAGGACCCGATCTCAAGTGTAGTTCGATTTCACTTGCCTGTATACCTCCGTTCCGCCTTGGGCTGATGTACGGTTGTCTCAAGACTGTGAGTGTTGACGCATGTGCCTGTCGGCCGGGTCTCGATTGAGGACGGTGTTTCGACCAGTGTGGAGTTATCTCCCAGGGGATTGATATGGAGGCCAGAACCCTCAAGTTCACCTGTATAGTTTGATCAGTGATCTGGGGGGAATTCTGACCTCATCAGCTCCCAGGTTGATTACTCTAAATCATTTTGTTCAGTCCAACAATGAGACGATCACAGGATACGGAAGAATCACGGAGCTCTCGTCTGATAAGCCACTTGGTCCGTGCGTTTGGAACATTCGGACTAGCAGTGAACAACACTGAACTCTCTCAATTCCTCCAGAACCATGAACACTCTCACTCCCATTCTCTGTGCAGGACGCATGAGAATCCAACCTCTCATTCGACTCCCAACACGCCTGCACTCACCTCTGTCGCTCCGCCTGAGAATGGCATCCACCCGCGCCTTTCAGTTCGCCGAGGGCGAAGACACCCAACAACTAGCCCGTGATGCCGAAGCTCTTTTGAAGAAGGGCTGGGCCCAGGATGGAGATGCTATGGGAGTGACTAAGACATTCCACTTTAAGAGTTATTTCAAGGCTGTGGTGAGTCTTTTCGTGGCTCGGTATTTTGCTCATCCCCAGTCTAGGCTGACAATCTATTGTAGGCGTTTGTTAATATGATTGCAGCCGAGAGCTCGTCTAAGAAACATCATCCCACAATGACAGTGGTAAGTCCTGACCTGTGAAATTGAATGCCAAGAAAGAAAGGAAAGAAAAGCGATCGAGGCTGACGGGACATAAGCGCATTGGCTCGGTCGATGTGCACTGGACGACCCATCGCCCGCGTGGATTTTCACAGAAAGATGTTGCGATGGCGCAGCATTGTGATCAGGGCGCTGGTCTAATGGGTGCTGTCGATCCCGGTCAAGGACTGAAATGTGGTCCGACTGTCTAAGATCTTGCAGCTGTCAAATTCTGGGGTTCCTCGAATTTGAGGCAAAAAGTGGAGTTTTCAATTTGAGGTTCAAACCGTTTTTTTACTGGACTACGAGCCCCAAGTGCCGATTTCACTTCCCTCTTCTCGTGCGGGCCTGAAATTTGGTTATTTTCTCCGTCACACTCAACAATTCCCCCGGTCTGGCCCTGGCCCTGGCGCTATCACCAGATCCACTGGTTGGGACTAGTCTGAATTCGAATTTCCCCTTGAAATCCTGAGAGAATCCATTTTCTACTTCTCTGCCTGTCTCGTTTCTCCCGAAGGGGATGTTCCTGACTCCTCACATTCGTTAAATATAATATCGGCTATTCACATCGTGCTACTCCGTACTGCAATGACGTCGGATCAGTTTTTGCCCACGTTCGCCCGTTATTCCGATGATCATTGCCTTAATTAGTTAAAACGTGCTCCTTTTCCTCTGGCCCTGAATGCGCTGGGGCCAGTCTTTGAACTTCCTGAAGCCCTTGTGAGCCTCCGACTTTAGGGTACGATGAATCCAGACTCGCCGTCGTTTGGCGAACGCAGAGGGCATCGACTTGCACCTTTGCAGACGAATTTCAGCCGACCGGCCGCTAAATCGCAGCGATTACAACGACCTCGGCCGTCTGAATATCCCAGTACCAATGGATCAGAAGGTCCAGTTCCGCTCCAGGCTCCGGTTAAACCCCAACGTTCCAAGACGAGTCTGCGCAGTCTCTTTGGTCGTGACAAGTCGCCTGCCCCGGAGCCCAAATTGGAGGAGATTGACGAGGCACAGCTGCCGGAACCTCAAACTGCGATCTCTTCAGAGACCCCAATGTCGCCTTCTATCATGAGCCTCCGCACGATAGATACCAACCCTACCATTACCTCCCCAAAAACGGAACAACGACCTCGCGCAACATTGAAAACCTCCCGTACCAACCCGTCAGACACCAAATCCACATCCCAGGAACAATACGGTTGGAAGCCTCCTCCATTGTTCCAAGCCTACCCTCAATCGACCAAGCACGAGTGTCTCCCGGCGCCTGCTATTTCCGCCGATTCCATCTTGCGCCTGCATGCGACGACTGCGCGGAGCTCAACTGAAGACAACCCCGCCAATCCGCTAGAGCAGGACGAAGCGACGGACGCTGCTCGCAAGAAGCGCGAAGAAAAACAACGGAAGCATCTCCGGACACTATCGGGTACCATCAACAAGGTGGAATGGACTCGCAAAATATATGTTTTGGCAACTGCGGGTTACATCCTTCAGTATGCAGGCGAGGGAAAGCACGACCGTCTCCCAGAGAGAATGTTAATGCTAGGACCTCAGTCTGTCGCATTTGCCAGTGACGCTATCCCTGGGAAACACTGGGTCGTCCAGGTCTCGCATAACCCTACGGCTGACGATGACACCGTACCAGAGCCTCCCAAGCCTCGATTCTCGCGCTTCGGATTCCACAAGTCGCACACCCGGCGGTTTTCGCGCAACTTTCTTTTGGTCTTTGACAACCCCGATGCGATGATCGAGTGGCTTGCTGCAGTGAGAGCCGAGATCGAGAAACGGGGAGGGCGCAAATTCACTCAAGAGAAACACGATGACGATACCATGCCTCAGTTGCGGTCCAAATCCAGCGTTCGACAAATGGTGAAGAAAGATCCGCATCGCATCTCCAGCCTGTTCCTCCAACCACAAACTCTCCAATCACACGCCGAAGACGATGACGGTCATTCAGTTAGTGGCGCAACCTGGCAATCGCGTCGCAGCTCGTTCGTATCGGTCAATCGACGCTCAATCATTGAATCTCGCTCCGGATCGGTATCGACAGGTCGAACCGAGGCCACGAATCCTACCAACGGCTCTGCCTCGGTTGGATCTGACATGCGTTCCTCATCATTTACCTCTTGCAATATGCCCAACTCACCGCCAATAGGGAACGGTGCATTCAGGCCTGACGAGCCTCTACCCGAGGAGCTTGACCGAAACTATGCGCGCAATCCACCCTCTTCCAGCAATGGTAAACGCCAGTCCTTGTACATGTCCTCGCCACCTCAGCCTCCGCCCATTGCCGATTACACAGAGTATTTGCAATCGGGTTATCCATCGCCTGTGGCGGAGACTCCGATCCGTTGTGCTTCACCCCCAGCGCCAAATTTCAGTGTGCCAGTGTTTAGCAAGAAGTTTGTCCCTAGGTCTGGGCCAACTCCGGTCTCTCATGCCTCTCCCCCTTCATCACATCACGGGTTTGCGCGACCGGAGACCGAGCCAAAAATGTCCACATTTGCCTCGCCTCCGCAGTCTCCGACGTTCAGCGTGGCTAGCTCCCGCCATACAGATTCATCGGAGCCCAGACGTGTACTGCGCGCGTCGAATTCCGAGGATGCTCTGACCAAGACAGTCCGATCTGCGCAGAACCATAAGTTCTGCCGCCAACCACTGACAGCGCCGCCTACGGGGCCTTTGCCCGATCCCAGGGCTTCTTCCCGTCCCGTCAGCCAGCTTGGCCGCCCTCGCATGTGTCCAAAATCCAGCAGTGGGAGTCCTGCTCCAACCGTCCCTCTGCCCGATCCGACTACACGCAACCGAGTTTCTACTCTTTATGCTGAGGACAACGTTGTTCCGAACATGTTGCGCCGCAAGAGTATGCCGGGTCTGGGTTTATCCATTGGACCTCCGTCTGCACCACCCCCAAACTGTCCGCTGCCTAAACTCCCCTCCCCGGCTCCCCCTGCCAGCACCATTGCTTCTCCAGATCCTTCTCCTCCTCCCTCCGCCACCACTACCCCACAGCTGCTATCACCCTGGTCCGCAACATCCCCTACAAAACGCTTCTACGGAGCCCAGCCAGTGCAGGATCATGTAGACGATCGACGGAAGAGCGCCAACCTTACAAGCGTTGGTCCGAAGACTGCTCGCCATTCGAAATTGGTCAAGGGTCCATCTTAGGTCCTCCCTTTGTCTTCTCAATACCCCTCACGTCCTTGAACTTGACTTTCTTCTTGTCACGATATATCTCTCATGACACCCATGAGATACATTCACTATACCCTCTATTTTCTTTCACTGTGTTTACTATGCCTTTCTGGTCTCATTCGGCATCAAAATACCCTTGCATCTATTGCATCTCGAGAGCCTATATCTTTCTCTTATTACGCATAGCTGGCTATATCTATTCTTGTCCATTTTCTAGCTTCTTCGTCTGTAGCTTAAGCTAGGAAATCTTTGTTTTGACTGCATCTTTGCCTTGATTGGTCTTGTTCTTGTTCTTGTATGATCTACCCCATTTTTCATAGGCAACGAAGACTGATGTTATCCGGGACTGTCCATCTGAAGGCTATTTTTTAATGATTGCAGCACTGCCTAGATAGTCTTCAGGCATAAAGGTGAAAGAAAAGGGGTATATGTGAGTACTTTACAAGTCATACATTCTGGATACATCCCAACCGAGACAGCATCAGAGTGTACGAGAAGAACGAGATATATCAAGACTAGATTTCATGAGGGAACGCCTTCGTACTCCCATCCATCAATCGCACGCTTTCTGCGCCGGGAACTGCGGCGATTGGCATTGCATTTGACAAACAAAGTCAAGGCAGCGATGAGGAGGATGATGATACCCGCAATCGCAGAAACCAGCACAGTTTTGCGTTCGAGTTGTTGTGGGTCGGAGGCATAAGGACATCTCGACCCATAGCCAGTCGACACCCAGCAGGAAGTAACATCGAGGGAGTTGAAATTTATATAGACCTCTCGAAGGACGGGGTCCGAGGAGCTGGGGTCGACCTGGCTTTTCGGTAAAGAGAGAAGGTGTTTGTAGAGATAACTGTTTTCTAGACCCGTGCGCGGCACAGCGAAGGTCGTCCCGGGCGGACAGGTGTCCGACACGTTGCGGAAATATGCTGATGAATTCGACAGGACCCAAGAGAAAGGTGAAGTACCGACTCGACAGGCACCGTGTCGCTGTTCAGTGCAATTGGTGGACCGCCAACGGCCATCGAGCGTAAGGTCCATAATCGCACAGCGGTCATACTTTGGATCGCCGTCGCCGCCAGGGTAGTGCGCGTCGTGTGGCTCACCGATAGCCCATGCCCAAGAACTTGAGAGGGAAATATTGCGGTAATATGCGACTTGCTCGTCGGCGGTCTGACCGAAGAGGGTGGTGTTGAGCATTGGCGACAGACCACAAGCCGTGATGTTAGAGAGGACTTTCGAGACGGAAGACATAGTCTCATCCGTAGAAAGGCCCTCAGGAACAGGCAAATGATCTGACATTGCCCATGATGAGTTGGTCTGAGATACCTGCGTATCCCCAGGCTCATACAGACAGCCCGAGGTGAGGGTGCCGTTGGTGGACATTGAGATCGGGACTTTAGAACTCAGTTGGCCGGGAGGGAATACCAGATTGTCTTGAGTAGACATATTGTAATTTGCCAGCTGAGGATCAACGGAGCCATACTCAATGAGTACATGATCACGTTTCGCTAGCTGGATGTACTTTGATGATGGCCAGCCATCTGGGGTGCTCTGTATGCCCGCTTCGTCTTCATGAACAGTGAAATACTGCGTGATGGGCATATAGCTCGGCTCGACCCGATACCAAGAATTGTTCAGATTTCTTCGGTCTGAGGCAAGCTGAGCCGGGCTATAGATGAAGTCACCGAGAGCCGTCCCGATGATTGAACCGACCCGCTCTGTTTCCGATGGCATTTCAGCTGCTGAGAGGGTGTGAACGGGCTCATCTGGTTTAGAGTCACTCGCAGCGACATGGAGATTGAGAAGGATGTATGCCGTGTACACGGTCAACTGGGAATTTGTGTCTCGGAAATAGCCAACAAGCACTTCTGCCAAGGTATAGGGATCGAGGCCGTCTGTACATTTGTATTGGCCGAGCGAATAGAGAGTATGCCCGTGTGAATCTTGAGCACTGGCTGCAGCTGCTGGGTCTGCTGGAATAGATACCGGGCAAAAAGACCAGGTTCTACGGCTGGGCGACCAATATAGATCCACAATGAGACGTCGGTATCCGACGGCTAGGAGGTTCGAGAAACATTTCGCAGCAGCGGTTCGATCGTAGACGCGGTTTCCAAAGCAGGCAGCTGATACAGAGACTGCTGGGTTCGTCACAAAGTTCAGTGGAATTTGAGCAGCGACATCTCGTTCGCTCTAAGATGTGTTAGGGCGCATGCGCGAGGGAAGAACCAAGAGACTTACTAGTAGAACAGCCACCCAGGTAGCATCCAAGAGGGTGGCTGTGGAATCATATTGGGCAGGCATTGAGGAACATAGGAACAGCCAAGCGCATTGTGTCGAGGCTTGGCCATCTGCGCATGACGGAGTACGGAAGATGATGTAGTTAAGTCGGGGAAGTTGGGGAGGGCGGAACAAATCAGCTGAGTCAATCTGGCCACTTCTCCATCTCTCTCTTTCATTCACACTCCTCCCAACTTGCCGTCTTCCTCTTTTATATTTTTTTGTTCTTTTAATCCTATTCAACTTTCAAAATGGCTGCGCCCGGCCAGCCCAGTCCCCAACAGATGGCGGCCATGCAACAGCAGTTTGCTGCCGAAGCCGCCAAACGAGGGATGACGCCCCAAGAGTTCGCCGCAAAGCAGCGCGAACAGTTGACCGCCGATGCCGCAAAGCTCGGTTTGACTACAGAGCAATATGTTGCGCAGTTACGGATGCGAGCAATGCAAGCCCATCAGCAGCAACAACAGCAGGCTCAGGCTCAAGCAGAGGGCAAACCAGCACCAGAGGGACAACAACAGGCTCAGGCGCCTGCGCCCCAACAGCACCAACATCAAACTACACAGCAGGTTCCTGTGAATCCCAATAACCCTCCGGACCCAAAGGCAATTGCCGTGGCCAACTGGCTGCGGTCGCAAAACCTCAAACCACGCACATGTATCATGGACGGACAGCGCAAGGACATGTTTAAGGGTAAGCCAATGACCACCATATGAAATTTTTATAATGAGATGTCATCTGACAACGCTTTCGATGCAGTCAAGCGCGCCATCCGAGCCATCGAATCCCCCGCCTACGCCAAAGCTGCGTCAAAGAAGAACTCCCTCCTTCCCCCAGTGACCGACCGCGCCTCCGCCGAGAACGTGTTCAAGCTTCTGCCACTTTCCCTTCTGGCTCTCCGAGTCAGCAAGGTCGACCCCCACGAAGGCCACAACCACGCCAAACCCAAGAACCGCACCAAGGGTCTGTGGACCGTCAAGATCGAGCAGCACCAGGAGACCGACCCGATGATGCACTATGTGTGGCTGTACGATGGCCCGCAGTGGAAGCAAAAGGCCATGGCCGCTGCCGTTGTCGCGGGTATCTTCGCCGTCGTCCTGTTCCCGTTGTGGCCTATGTTCATGCGCCAGGGAGTGTGGTACCTGAGTGTTGGCATGATGGGCCTGCTAGGTCTCTTCTTTGCCATGGCTATCTTCCGATTGATTCTCTTCTGTGTCACTGTCTTTACGGTGGCTCCTGGTCTGTGGCTGTTCCCTAATTTGTTTGAGGACGTCGGATTCTTCGATAGTTTCAAGCCGCTGTGGGGCTGGCAAGAGGTATGTTTCTTTCTATTCTCGGAGGCTCATGATATCGTGAAACTGACTTCAATTCTTACAGACCAAAAAGAGCAAAAAGAGCCGCAAGGCCAAGGCCACAGCCTCCGCTCCAGCTCCAGTCGCCGCTCCTACTTCCCCCTCAACTACAGCCCCTTCAGCAACTACAACCTCTGCCGAGACCTCTATCCCGTCCACGGCCGCACCGCGACGAGGTCTCAGCGCCAGCGTGGAAGAGGTGGATGAGTAAGGATATTTTAAAGCCGATGACAGTTGGTCTCAGTGTTATTCGACTTAACTTTTATTTTAAGAACTTCTCATCCCATATCCATTTGGCGTTTGTGGTCTTCCATTGATATCGTTCTTCCTGGAATCATCGAGTGTTCATTGGACTCCCTGTATACACATCTGTCCAGACCTCTAGCAACGAAGTGAAGGTTGAGCTCATGAGACGAATGTATCACAGTCCAACGCTGCTCATATAACGCTTCGCCATTCTTCTACCGTCTACTCTGTGACATTCTCAGTAGTCATCATTATCATAGGCTATGAGTTTACCGTAAGACCAAGTCAATGCCTTGATCATAATCGCTCCTCTCCTGTCTTCCATAATTACGCACTTCCAGTGACCAACCTGTTCTACAAGATTATCAGACTCATATTCATTCACGATCAAATACATACAACAAAAGTAGAAATCACACAGTCCAATCCATACATATTCCCATCCAAAACCAATAGAAACAGGAGAAAAGCAGTCCCAGTCAATATCCCGCTACATGCCATTCATAAACCCCGTAAACTCCTAAAAGTCCCATCATAAACGTCACATCCAAAGGCTAAAGCCCAGCGAACCTCGCCCATCCCGCCGCCCGCACAGGCGAAGAGCCGGGAGTCTGTCGTTCGGTACTCTGGTTGGTCGTCTCGACTTTCTCGCTACGACCTTCTTCGGCAACCTTGCCGCTCACATCACGGCGGCGGCCGACACCCAGGCCGGCGATGTAGCTTCCGTATGAAGAGAGAGAAGCTCCGACTCCGGCTGCAAGGCCTCGGGCGGTGTCTGCACCGGTGTTGCTTACGACGCGGCCCTTGCGGTCACTCTCGGTTGCACGAGGGGAAACAGCAGGTCTGGCTGAGAGGTGTCCTTCGTCGTCGCTGTCGTTTTTCTTGAGTGCTTCATATGCAGACATCTTGTTGCGCTTCTTTGTGAGCTTGGTGGGTTTGCGGGTTAGTGGGACGTTTGAGTCGTGAGTGATGTCCAGCGCGGGCTTGTCATCTACGTCTAATTCTCCATAGAATTGGCTCTTGGGTGAACTGGGTGCGGAACTCTCATGTGGGACGGAAATCGGCTGTGCCTTTTCGTTGTATGATAGGTTTGGGTTATCACTCAGAGCGATTCGTCGCACCGGATCAGTGTTCTCGGGCTGCGCGGTCAGGATAGGTTGTGGGGTTGGAGGATTGAGCATGAGTGGGTTGAATGGGAGGTAGCCGTCACGCTCGTCGAGGTCATCGTTGTGCTCCGCTGGGTCGGGGAAGATGTCCATGCGCTGGTCGCCCACGTCTTGCTCACGTTGGTTATCGTCAAGGCCATAGTATTCATGCATGGCAAGCGATGAATATTCACCACGGATGTCTTCTGGAATGGCAGTCGCAACCCTCGGCTCGGGCTTGGAACCATAAGCAAACCAGTCGCGAATGCCACTACCTGCGGAAGGGGTAGTCCTGTTGGTGTTTCGGCTGTAAACAGAGGAAGACTGGCGGAGAGTGGTTCCATTTGCGTTCTGCTCCTCAACCATTGGAGATAGAGATCGCTCAGAGTAGGCCACCCAATTGTCGGACATGGGGCTCACGGTGTCGGATCGATCAGCGGTGCGTGATGAGAGATGGCGCATCTGAGCAGTGGCATTGATGATCTCAGGGGCATGCGAGGCAACATTGCGATATTCCAGAGCAGATGTTTCTGTGAGGTCATAGGGCTGGGTAGCAGGTTGATGGAAGATCGTTTCCGGGCTAGAGGGATCGTGAGACTGCATCTGGGATAGGCGATGCTGATAAAAGGAAGGATGTGAGAGCCGCGGGTCATCCATTATATCCATTGAGTCGTAAGTATCATCGTTACCAAGAGACTGTTCCCGTGTGTGCATGAATGGTACACTACGAGGAGAGCCGATGAGCGGATCTTCGAAAGTCGAATTCATAGTTGATTGACTGAGATGTTTCTCATCCATCTTATCCTGCTTGCGGTTCTTGCGAGGCCGTGCAGTGAGGTTGTCTTCCAGCGGATTCATGTCAGGCGGCAGACGGGAAATCTGCCTGAACGTGAGAGCTAACCAAATCGATATGGCAAGAGAGATGAGGTGCAATCCGCCATTTGCGAGAGCCAAGATGAAAGTAGTTTCAGATAGCTTGACCGTCATTTCGCTGTCGTTGAAGAGAGTGTCCCAATTGTATGCGTTGGAGGTCCACTGGCCATAGGCCATAAACGCGGTGAACACGTAGAATGCGATGAGGCCGAGGTCGAGGGTCGAAGCGAATAGCCCATAGCTGGCTTGAGAGCCTGGAGGCCGGGCAAGAGCATTCTTGGAATTGTGATAGAGGCCATAAATAGTATGAAGAATTGCAACAATTGGCTGCGAACGTTAGCAAGAAGATCCCATTTTGTGATGAACCTCACTCACCCCGGCGCGGATGATCCAGATCACGGTGACTGCAGCTCCCTTGATAACAATAGAGCAGAACAGAGACCCGAGAGCCCCCAGAAGTGTAATAACACGAAGTGCGAGCTGGGTTGCCCGTGAATACTTGACCCTGTCTTTTGTCTTATCGCTCATCGGTGTGAATGAGCTGGCCGTGTTGAAGGAACCCCACTACATCCACCATTAGCAAAGACTCCACCGTGGATTTTCATACAATGGTACGTACTGTGTCCGGGTGGCGATTGAGAACCACCAATGGTCCTTTTTGCTGCGGTCTTTCTGCGGGACGAACCCAGCTCGCCTCTGTCACGGCCTTCGGATTGAAGCCGCGATCAGTCGGGCCTTTGAAACTGTAGGCGGATGGACGCTCATAAAGGAATGGAGGCGACGATCTCCCCATGGTAGCGACTGAAAGCCTCTCGTGGCATCCACGCGAAGCAAAAGAGAGGAATGTGTGAGGAATCTGGAATGCCACTGTCAGGCTCCCTGTGATGCGCCAAGGTGACGCCTGTCATCTGCAAACATGTGATTGTCGTCCGGGCAACGGATAAGAGTCACGTGCACTATCTGATTATCTCTGGTCACCTCCGCAGTCTCTCGATCCCATGCACCATGCGCTTAAACCCAGTTGTATGTGTCCAATGCACTGTGCGGCATGGTCGCTGGCCTGCTCTACGGCATGGGAGTCTCGTATCCCAACTTACGTCCAAACGGTTCAATAGCCATGTTGCGCGAACCGATCGACCCATCCGTGTGGCTGTCGTGGGCTCAGGTCCGGCGGGATTCTATGCTGCCTATCGTCTTCTAGCCAAGCAGGAAGACACTATAGTGGATATGTATGAGAAATTACCAGTGCCATTTGGATTGGCTAGATACGGAGTCGCCCCAGACCATCCCGAAGTCAAGGTGAGTCACTGTAAATCGTTCGGCGCAATGAGCAGTAGAGCCCAAGCTTATGACTATATAGAATTGCGAGGATAAATTTACAGAAGTGGCCGAATCCTCGCGCTTCAACTTTGTCGGTAACGTCGATCTCGGACATGACCTTCCCCTCGCTGCCCTCAAGCCACACTATGACGCGATCCTTTTCGCATACGGTGCTACGAAGGATAAAGAGCTAGGCATTCCTGGTGAACAAGCTCTGCATAGTGTGCACTCGGCCCGTGCCTTTGTGGGGTGGTACAATGGTCTCCCTGAGCACAGAGATCTGGATCCAGACCTGAGCGGGGAGGACGCTGTTGTTGTCGGACAGGGAAACGTTGCACTCGACGTGGCCCGTATTCTCCTTTCGGATGTTGATAATCTTCGGAAAACGGATATTGCGGATTATGCTGTGGAAAAGCTCAGCACTAGCCGGATCAAGCGGGTGCGAGTTGTCGGTCGTCGCGGTCCCCTTCAGGTGAGTTCAATAGACTAGCTGGTAATATTCAGGGTTGCTAATGGGACTCAGGCTTCGTTCACCATCAAAGAGCTCCGTGAAATGCTACAGCTTCCAGGTGTCTCATTTGACCCTGTTCCCAAGGATATCCTTCCCCCGGATGAAGTGATCTCGGCGTTGCCTCGGGCGCAGAAGCGTTTGATGCAGCTGCTTGTCAAAGGATCAACCAATGACCCTCAAACTTCCACAAAATCATGGTCCCTAGACTTCCTACTTTCCCCCGACTCCCTTCACTGGTCGCCAATGCACCCGTATCACCTATCGCATGTGAAGTTCTCTCGCAATGAGCTCGACCCTTCTGACCCACATAGCCCTAGCGCCAAAGTGTTTCCGAAGCACCTGTCGAATGGGAATCGTGCTCAGGTCAATATACCAGCGTGCGTCTTCTTCCGCAGCGTGGGCTACAAATCCCTCCCCCTTCCAGGGCTCGAACAGCTTGGCATCGAGTTCGATGAGCAGCGTGGCATCATTCCCAATGATGGATTCGGTCGCGTGACTAGCCTGTCAAATAAGGGCGAACCCGAGCAATTACCGGACGGATCTCTCATCTCCCCCCTGCCCGGCCTGTACTGTGCCGGCTGGGTGAAGCGTGGTCCAACTGGAGTGATTGCTTCGACAATGACCGACGCTTTCACCACTGCAGATACCATCGCGCAAGACTTGGCAACCCATACCGAGTCCAAGTCTTTGCTCCACGCACCAGACCGCAGCACCGGTCTAGGCTGGGAGGGGGTGAAGGCCGAGGCTCAGCGCCGTGGCCTACGTCCTACGTCCTGGCAAGACTGGCAGCGTATCGATGCCGCAGAGCGAGAGCGTGGCCGACTAAAAGGCAAGCCTCGGGATAAGTTTGGGCGTGTGGAAGAAATGTTAGAGGTGCTCGATTGAGTCTTCTATGTATAGTAAGAACTACCTTGTATGTCTACATAGTGTGACGAATTTCAATAACTTGATATCTGTCTTCAATAACTCGGATCTGATGTACATTGTATGTGTTCTTGCTTCCTTCAATCTGTCTTAGCAGCCGCGGGCGGCTGGCACGCGCTGTCCATCACTTCAGCAAAAGTGACGTTGATGCGTCCCAGTTGTTCAGCCTGACCATTGGTCAAGGTGTTCATAGCTTGGAGTCCGATGTTGAAGCCACCGGTGGCGGAGTCGACCGCGAGGATGTTGATGGTGTTGTTGACCCGGCCATTCACGTAGCGCAGCTCGTAGCATTTGCCGCAGTTAGGGCTGTTCCATCCTGGAATGGTAATGGCACCGCCGATGTTCGGGAAGCCTGGCAGGGAGGCAAAATCAGTGTAGCCTTGCGTGATGAGGCCATGGATTCCATCGGAGCAGGCGACGTCGGTCAGGGGAGATGTGCCAACGTCGTATTTGGGGCTGTAGGAGACGGATACTGTCTCCGGTGCCTGTCCCGGTGCCGGAGGGGGAGCAGCAGTGACGAGGGTGAGGGTCGCCAAAAGGGCAGAAGTGAATGTGATGGTGGACTTCATATTGGTATGAGATGTAGGAGTAAATTTCCAAGGTTCTGCTTGCTGCTTGCAGTGCTTGGAGTCTAGCTATACATCTTGCTCCCTTCCGACAAGTGTTTATATGTCCCTTTGAAGAATTCCAGACTGAAGCCCCATCCCCTTCGGCAACCTACATCCGTGCAGGTATGAGACAGCCCGCTGACCCTCGGGACATGACTGGAATAAGCTTTCTCATCTCCGTCTCTCGGGGTCTGACAGTCGCGTATTATCAGCCAAGGCAAATTCCGACACTGGTGCGATGTGGCCGATGACCAATCTGGAGACTTGCTAGGGAGCACGCAGGCTGAGAATGGCATAGCTACATTGTTTGGCTGTTGTTTTCATAGTGAAAACTGAACACTGTTATGGTTGACCTCAGATTCCACATACCATTCACGTGAGAATAGTAATAGTAGTATCGTTACGGTGCAGTTAGCATGGGCGACTGCATTTGAGGTTGCATTGCGATAGGGACTGGTAGGCATAGTAGTATTTTGGTCTGAGCTTCAAGTGATCAACCATTGTTGTTTACTTTTTCAGATCCATGGATCGAAAAATCTAAAAGAAGAGCTTATCAAGTAGATTGATGGATGGTTGAAAAAAAAAACGTCCCCGGGAAGGCTTGAACTTCCAACCTCCCGATTAACAGTCGGACGCGCTAACCAATTGCGCCACGGAGACGTGCTTGTTGAGAGTACTTTGCCATGTTTATTACTTATGCTAAAACTCAGAATGTCGCGTTGTAATGTGAGAAAAAATGGTTGCAGTCGATTTCTATATTTGAAATTGCAGGATCATTGCGTTGTAGTATCTACGCCGCTGTATAAGCGCCAGGGGCCAAATTGCCATTTCTAACTAATCTTGATGCCTTAATGCCTGACTTTGGCCTGATTTGGCCTAGGAGCCTGAAATTTTGGCCAGGCCCCTGACCGCCTTTTACACCGCACTGTAAAATGTAATGTAAATTTGTAATCATATGCTTGTAAAATTGAAGCTTTTTGTCCCATACAAATGCATGCATCTCCAGTTTCGAAGGTGGTTTACTCTCCATGTGTGAAAATGAAGCCTTTTTGTCCCATACAAATGCATGTATCTCCATTTTTGAAGGTGGTTTACCAGCGCTCTCTCTCCGGCACAAAATAATGCACAGGTAAACCTCGATGCTTTAATAGCTAATGAAACCTTTACAAGCTAATCCCTTACAGTATTTTATTTTAATTCCCACCATAGGTTAATTCTAAATTCACCCAGACAAATCGACCATGCATCTTGCGTTTGTATGGGACAAAAAGGCTTCATTTCGCACATGGAGAGTAAACCACCTTTGAACTTGGAGATGTATGCATTTGTATGGGATAAAAAGGCTTCATTTCTATGGCTGGACAGCTAGCTAGCAAAAGTATGGTACCTCGCTTATTAAGTCAAGTGTAATTGTAATTCAGACAGCCCTATTTTTCTGCCCGTCGTAATTCAGGCTCCTAGGCAAAATCAGGCCAAAGACAGGCCAAAGTCAGGCATTAAGGCATCAAGATTAGTTAGAAACGGCATTTTGGCCCCTGGCGCTTATACAGCGGCGTAAGTATCTGTGTTATCTGTAATGATCTCGGGTAACTGCTGAGGCAGAACAATAGGTACCAAGACCTTCAATTAGTATGCAGATTTGAAAGTCGGCGATATATATTAGTGCCTACAGAAGAAGGACACGACGTATGAAGGAAGTGAATGACCTACCTACGGTAATTACAATTTCCATCTGAGCGGGTTTTTGTTCCTGCAGTAATGATATAGCACGGCCTGTACTCCTTCCTGTAGGGCTAGAAGAGTAGACGGAGAAAAAGTGAGAGATAGACATATGTAAGGTGAGGGGCTACGCTCGCTATTCTCAGTGGGACATGGAGGACTAAGTACCTAGGGCATGAAAGGTGTTGGCTCTATTGCGGGCGGGGGATCTCCATTCTCCGCTCTTCTACAGTACTTCCCCAAGACACGTCACACTCCAACCTGAGGGCACAGGGCAGATTGAATCGAAAATGACGGATTCCAAGTCGGTCGCTATTATCGGAGGTAAGACCAGCAACCAAGTGCAGATTGGAAATTGACAAGAATAGCGGGCATCTTTGGCCTTTCGCTAGCGATTACCCTGCGAGATCGAGGTGAGCACTCCAATCCGGGAGAAGGGCCAGGAATAACCCGTCGCAGGCTATGAAGTGTCAGTCTTCGACCGGTGCCAGTACGATGTAAAAGGCTATGACCCCGCCGACAATGTACAGGCTGCATCTGCCGATCACAACAAGATCGTATGTAACTCGCTGTCTGATACTGAACGAGAACTGAAATTCTCACAGTTTCGCGCATCCTATGGGAATGAGATTCATTATCAACGCTTGGCCCTGGAGAGCCGGAAGGCATGGGCCTTGGAGGATGAGAAGCGCGGGTTCACGAGAAGTGATGCTAGCGACGACCGGCTTTTTGTGAACAGTGGCATGCTCCGTATACAGCCATCGGATCACTTGGCAACGCTTGAGAAAGAGACTCTGGCGAATATGCAGCGTGATGGTCTGCGGGATACGCAGTTCGTCATGAGCGAACCCGCAGACTGCGAACGTGCTGAGAAGTTGGGTTGGAAAGATAAGATGTTCACTTTCCCTATTCCCGACTCTGAAAAAACATATGAGGCTGTTTTGGATTCTTTGGCCGGGTTTCTGCGGTGCAGTAATGCCTGCGCTCATTATCAAAAGGTTGCCGCCGACAAGGGAGTGAGGTTCAACTTTGGGCCACAGAAAGGAGCCGTCGACTCCTTGATAAGAGTGAAGAGTAGCCTCGAGCCAGGTAAAGAGAAGGTAAAAGGTCTGAAGACCAGCGACGGCCTTGTTCATCATGCTAATGCGGTTGTTGTGGCCGGTAAGTCGTAACATCCACCTGAATTGATCCCCTTTCTTACCATCTGGAAGCCGGATCATTCTCGACTCAGATACTACCAGAATTGAGCTACCACCTCGAGTCTTCGGCCGGTAGTCTTGCCACCTACAAGATAGACAAGAACAACACTGAATTATGGGACAAGTATTCACCCGAACGATTTCCCGTCATGACCTGGAAGAGTACACCACGGGATAGCTCCGGGGAGGACACTGGGAGTATCTATGTCCTACCAAGGACACCTCAAGGCCTCGTCAAGATTGGGTTCCGGGGAGTCAAGGTAACTGTCATATGATGGCGCTAATGTCTCTGCTGTGTCCCTGCTGACAGTTGTTTCAGTGGACCAATTTCCAGCCAGCGCCGCGAGATACCCCATTCACTCAAGATGGTCAGTGGTCAGTACCTCTTCCAGCGGAAGAGTGCTCAATGCTCCCTGCGCCTGCACTTTACGCCATCAAGCAATTTGTCTCTATCTTCATGCCAGAGTTTGAGAATACTCCCTTCTTCTCCACCAAGTTGTGTTGGTACACCGATTCGTTGGACAATTCGTTTGTGGTCAGTGTCCAGTTATGGCTTACAGCTGGGATAACCTTGCTGATTGTCCTTTGTATCAGATTGACCATGTCCCAAATTACGCTGAGAAATCTGTCTTTGTGTGCACTGGTGGTAGCGGACATGGTGCAAAATTCCTACCGGTTCTGGGAGAGGTGGGCAGAACGTGCTAGTATGATGGGAACCTACTGACTTGGTTATAGCATGCCGCAGATATCTTTGAGAATGGTGACAATAGCCCCTCTTTCATGCGGCCATTCTGGCGCTGGCGCTCTGATGCACCGAGAAGGAACGGTCTAGAAGAGGGCCCTGGCGGACCACGAGATATTTCGCACAAGTCAAATCTTAACTTGTAGATGTCTCGACTTCAGTTGGCATTTTATCCACGAAGTTGAAGCTACAGCGAACTCCATGAGCATAACCTGTGTCTGATCTTACTTACGCGTTATGAAGCAGGTCTTGCTTTCTAGCCAGAGGATGTTGATAGTTGGGAATGGCAGATGTCAATGCTTGTTCAATATAGTACTCCATGCATGCATTATGGCTCCACTTCCCATCAACTCGGTATATACAGATCAATACTTCCAAGCTCACGCTGGATACATTCTTGGCCCTGTGCTCACGGGCTTCAAAATACCCGCCTTCTCCAGATCCTCAACGAGATTGACCAGCATCAAATCACAGCCCCGGGCTGCAATAAAACTCATCGTGACCGGCATATACTCAGTCTGGAGAGAGATGGTAGAGTAATAGGGAATTTCACCCACAGGCACCACCAGATCAGGAGTGCCGGATAGAACGGCAATACGGCCATCTGAAAAGCCCATTGGCGGTCCAGAAGGGGCGCTGTAGATGTTAGTGGATGAATCAATTACGATGCGGTATATTATAACTCACTCGAAGTATACATTCCGATATTGCGTCTGGCCCGTGGTGTAAGGGTACAGATAGATACCCTCAGAGCAGGTCTTCTCGTCTGCCTTTCCGTATCCGTCAGTTTCCCACCAGTCTTTGAAAATTGTCTTGTTTTTGAGAGCTTCGTCGTATATGGCATCACCGCCATTCTTCTGACCCCAGGACCACCGCGCCAAAGGACCTGGGTTCACAAATGGTCGACGACCGCCATGCTTTGCTGCGTAGTCTGCATAGAACGGTAAAGCCAAAGAGCGGTATTGGTCGACAGATACCAATGAAGCGTATGTCTATAGGGAATCAGCATTTAGATATCCGATCTATCCTGTGAAAACTTACTGTCCTGAGCAAGGTGGCTATACTGGTTGTTTCTGACGGGTGCGTTTTCTCCCAGTGCGAAGCGATATCAATAGATTCTCTCTTCGCATTGAGGAAACCTTCCACTTTCAGAATAAGTTCCTCCAGGAGCGCACCGGATGTTGTATTGATGCTAGGGAAAGAGGATGGCTGGTAGAATAGCTTCTTCGGATATTCTCTGTAGTCAGTGAAGTTTTGGTACCAAGCATGCATGACCTTGGACCAGGTCGCAGCATTGCGGGCAAAGACACCAGCCGTGTCAAGCTCGTGGCAAAGCGGCAGAACATTGTCGAGCGATACAGCGCCAGTCGAAGGGCGGTTTCCGAAGAGTCCTTGCATTCCTGCCGGGCTGCGCATAGAGCCACCCGTGTCACTTCCTATGGCTATGTCCAGCCAGTCGTAGGATGCGACTCCAGCCCCAGGACCAGAAGAGGAACCACCGGGGGCTTGGTAGCCATCGCCCTGGAGTATTGGTTAGTGTGAAGCTTCGGAATCGTTTAGTCAGACATACTCGAGGATTGAAAGGACAGTGGAAGTCGACCCAATCTGCTGTGGGGTTGTCACCGTTTGCAAATTGAACGGTGCCCATTTTACCCACGATAATGGTGCCTGCATCTATGAGTCTTTGGAGGGCGGGGCCGGTGGTATTTCGCGGAGGATATAAGTCGTAATAGGCCCGATTGCCACCGCTAGTTCGTAGTCCCTTCAAGTCGAAGATGTCTTTTACTCCCACGCGTAACTTGTTATTGTCAGTAAAATGGTGAGTATTCGGGCCTAGTACTGCAGACTTACACCTGCAAGCGGCTTCGTTGATGTTGGCGTATAGTATAGTCTAGATGGCACAGCGACGCCCTTCGTCATTGCGCCCTGAAGCCGGTGAGTTAGGGCTTCCTAGGAGGTCGAATGTTTACTCACCGATGTTACTGCGGGCAGGGGCCTAAACCCTCCTTGTCCATCCCCAAGGGAAGCTTCTGTGAATGCTAACTGGTGATCGGGATAGAGGCGGAACGCTTGATAAATCTCCCCGGTATGGGACGAGTACAAGTACGGTCCCTTCGGGATGTCATCAGGGAGTTTGGCAGGCGTGATATGCGCCCCAGCATAGCCATGAGTCGCCATAATCAGAGTGTTGCCAAATTCCTGCAGAGCATGGGAAACGGACGAGTCGGCTTTGGCCCGGCCTTTTCCATCGTAGACAAGAAAGACCGCTGCATCGAGGTCAATATAGGTTCTTTGGCCTGAAAGTACCTCAGATCAATACTCACTTTTAAGAAATGCAGTCTGAAACACATCGTCGACAGCCGAGTAGTTTGAGATTATCTCTTTGATAGCATTCGCAGTGAGCAGAGCTTCATCTGTTCGAATGATAGTCATTGGAACGATATCGCCGAGTTCAGCCTTAGGACCTGAGGGGGATATTCTGGAGACTGCATCGCCGCTGTAGTACTCAATGCCATTGATGGTCAATACCCTGCTATTATCGATAGTCAATGTGGAAGATACAGTTGAAGCTGCTAAGAAGACTAGAGCAGAGACACGCCAAAGACGAGAGCCAAAACTGGAGACCATCATGTTCGCTTGCCCTCTGTAGATATGATATCTGAGGGGCGTCCCCAAGCTTTAAAGCCATCAAGTCCCAACCATACATTCGCAATCTTCTAGGATCAGACCTACATCGGAAATCACTTCGGACTTCCGACAGTCGTCGACTCCAACTTTGAATAGATAACGGTGGGGCTTATCAGCCCCTTTTCCTCCGTGGACATAGGTTGCTCTATGAGAAATCTCCGAACCTGGCCTAGCGATGGCATTTCTTGTACTGTGTATCTGTCGAATGACATTTTGGGGGAGATAGTAGATACGGGCCATACGGCAACGGCAACCTCCGCTTTTATGCACGGAATTGGGTAAGTGATGAGGGGAAGGCGTTCAGGGTATAGATTGGCGTGTCTTGGCGAAATGATCGATGGATTTGTGAGTTCCTAGGTTATGTAGACATAGGGCTGGTGGAATTTCGAAGTTTGACTTGAATGCATCATTTATTATGCATGTATTCAACATTGACCAGATCTCAGGTTGTCGGGTTGAGTGGTCCACTCCGGGGCTTGACCAGAAGCTGACTGTATTGGCGTGATGCGTTAAGCCCTAATTGGTCCTCTCCGCACAGGCCTTCGTATATAAGGGCCGTAGTGTTTTGGTGTTGTGTCTTCCTTTTTCCCTCAACTTGTTACTCTTGAATCGAACGATCGAATCCAAGGGCTAATATCGAAAATCCCTCACGATTATGGCAGACGCGAACACAGTATACGTCGTGACGGGCGCCAACAGGGGGCTCGGGCTTGGACTCACAAAACGGCTACTGGAACGCCCAGACACCACTGTCGTAGCCTCCGTCCGCAACCAAGACGCGGTCGCTAGGCTAAAAGCAGAAGTTGAGACTGTTGCCCTTGGCGAGAACAGTGTCCTTCAGATCGTCGAACTGGACTTTTCAACTGCCACCCCCCCAGAGCAGATCACACAGAGCTTCTCCGCAGCAGCCAGTACAGTGGCACATGTCGATGTCCTCATCTGCAATGCCGGATATGCCACGTCAATGATTCCAGCCCTTGAAATCTCGGCGGCAGATCTCCGTACCTCATTCGAGGTCAACACCATTGCTCCGCTTTTGGTATTCCAGGCCTTGTGGCCGCTCTTGCAGAAATCGACCTCTGTGCCCAAGCTCGCGGTCATCTCCTCTTCAGTCGGCTCAATTGCTGAGCAGGAACCTCTCCCAGGCGGAGCTTATGGCGCCAGTAAGGCAGCCTCCAACTGGCTCACTAAGGCTCTTCATAATCAACACGAGGCGGATGGCTTGGTCGCGTTTGCTCTGCATCCTGGCTGGGTGCAGACGCGCGCGGGGGATTTCGTTGCGAAGGAGTGGGGGTTTTCTGATAGCCCACCAGTGACTGTGGAGGATAGCGTGAGGGGTATGCTCAATGTTATTGACGGCGCTACAAGAGAGAATGTGTCGGGGAAATTTGTTTCGCAGACTGGAGATCTTTTGTCGTGGTAGGAAAGAAATTGGACAGTTGGCGGGCGTACGACAAATGGATTCAAAGTACAGTACAAGAATGTGTATTTAGTTACATCGGCTTTTGCGTTAACTTCAACGATTTCCCCCCCATGAGGCGGGATGGGACTCGGAAGCAAGGTAGTTAAACCTCACAGCTTGATCCATCTCCCCATCCACCGCTGGTTAAGGTCCTTCGCCTCATCCACCAAGCCCAACTCCAGAAGCAGCTGGATTGACCCACGAACAGAAGAATGCAGCGAAGAGCTGACCCAGGCTTGCGTTGGGGCAGTGTGCTCTCCGATGAAAATGGTGTTGTGTTCCGTTTGGTGATAAGCTGGAATATACAACTCATGCTGCGTAACATCAGGCCGACACCAAGAAGTCGCAGTGTGTTCATCTTGCAGCCAGCAGAGACGCTCATAGTCGCCAGTGTAGAGATGCCGCGCTTGTTCTCCATGTAGGCTGACAATCGCATCCAGTACCGTCTGGACGTGTTCTTCGTCGGAGAAACTCACGAACCGGTCGCTCCAATCACCGCCTCGGTAGTGCATGATCAGGCCCGGACGAGATTCGTTGAGTCCGTAGACTGGGTAATAAAGGGCGCCTACCGAGTCGCTGGATGGTTTCGAGTAGCCGCCGAAAATTGGTCGATCGCCCTTTTCCCAGAACCGTTCGGAGAACAGTAGCGCTACTTTGCATGCGGACTTGAATCGGAGACCTGCTTCGCTGATCGCGCGGTCCAGGACGGAAGAGAATTTGGGAAGATCCATGAAGCGGGTCATGGTGAATGGCGCTGCCATGATTGTGTAGTCATACTCTTTCGACTCGAATGTGCGGTTGGAGACGCTAGGATACCATGACAGTCGAGTGCGGGTGTTGCCATCTTTGTCCTGGAGGGACTCGAGTTTTCTGATCTTCCGACCAAGAGTTAGCCTGTCGCGGACATGAGGAAGGAAAGCATCGGAGAGGCGGTTGAATCCTCCATCGATGCAGAGCCATTCTGTCTCGCCCAAACTGTCCTTGCTTCCATCCAGACCGAGATTAGAATTGTGATGTAGCTCATCCCAAAACACGTCATAGTCCGACGAGGTCCAGATCTCATCGGTGATATTTTGGCTGGCCTTGAAGACATGTCGCATCATTGCCTGTTCACTCCAGTCATCGAGCCCTTGGTCCATGGCGGTTTTGTGGGCTCTCCAGACATCCCTTTGAAGAGACTTGAGAGTCTCTTTGTCTTGGAGGATCTTGTCCATTCGGTTCTCAGTGTTGCTGTATTCGGCACTTGTCATGGCTGGCGGGTCCTCCAGGCTCGGATCCTCGTCAACCTCAGCCCGCGTTGGGATTCTCCCATCAGGGTGGCGGCGAGTCCCTTGATCATATAGCTCATTGGGACTGTGTTGAATCCAGGGGATAAAGTCGATCCTCCATTGCGAGTCGTTGTTGTTCATGTTGTTCAGGGCCTTGGCCATTTCGAAGGTCAATTGATGATCGGAGTACAGAAGTGTGTCGTTGTCGTCCTTGTATGTGACAGAGTACGGAAGTCTCATTGGGCCCATTTCAGCCCATTCTTGAGTATCAGCGACATACTTTGTCCGAAATCTACCCCCGACGCGGTCGCTGGCTTCAATGATTTCCCAGTTGTGTACACCAACGCTGTCCAGCATCAGACCTGTTGCAAGCCCAGAGATCCCACCACCAACGATTGCAATCGAGGTATTCTTGGACGAGCTCTTTGAAGCGACCCCACCGTCCTTTTCAACTTTGCTTTTGATTTTAGCCACTCCGTCAAACCATGCGCCTTGTGCATCAAAATCTTTCAGCAATGGCAGGTCGGTATCGGCTGCGGATCTCTTCCGGGGCTTCTTTTGCACAGAAACAGGGCTGCTTTTGCCCAAAAGGCTCTTTGTGTCGCCTAACTCGGTCAACCCATAGATGTGAATACAATGGTGCGTTTGAGCATCATCGGGGACCACCCAAGCCAGTCGCTGTGGGGGATGATTCTGGATTGAGATTTGTCCGATAAGTTGCTCATTTGTCGCCGAAGCCTCGCTATCGCAAGGAGCGTAGATGGACTTGATCAAACTCGGCGGCTGGTGAAACCAATTGAGATGAACATTAGCCAATTCACCACGTCGAATTGTCTCCGAGGTTGTAATCTTGACTGTTGCTTGTTCAAGGATTGCGCCGATTGCAGGCAAAGCCTGGGTGAACAACGTTGCCACCGTAAGCGATGATTTGCCTAGCATTGTGAATATGGTGTAATTCAGGATCTTATATGGCGTCTGGCTTTTATATTCGCACACTTTTTGACACACCTGGGGACCTTCAGCGGTGCCAAGGAGGGCATGTGTATGCAATCGACTAGATCTACAGTGACATTACCGGCACTTTTGCTTATTTCCCCCAAACGCTAGAATACCCCCCGAGTCTTCAGTGTGGTTGAGAGTACCGTGTGGAAGGCCAAGACCGGTCACCGAGCTTTGCTGCGGACCTTGTGGTCGGCGATCGACAATTCCACTCGGCACTCACAGATCGCCCTCGACCATGAGCTAGTTGGTCTGGATCTTATTCAGTTAATGGAGCAAAATGATAATGCCTTCACTAGGATCCGACAATATGGAGCTTTTCTCGCACTGACTTGAGTCTTGAGAAATGTGTGCGTGAGTCTGCGACAGCGCTCAAGGTTGCGAGAAGCTTTTGACTGCCAAAGTTGTAGCGCCGTTGTAAGGGAGAACAAGCTGCCCACTCCCAGCCTGAAAGAGGTATGTCCTCATCAATCATCTCGTAGAGTCATCTTGACACTGCTTGACGGTTGTCGTTTGTTCTCTTTAAGTGCCCGGATCTAGCCCCCAAGTGAGACGTTATACCCAGTTGGTGGAGTGCATTCATCAGCTGTCATCTAATGGAGAGACACAAATTGAGTAGGCAAGCTGTTCAAATAGTCTTGGAACAAGGATATTGAATCGTTCGAAGTACTAGTAGAAGTACGCTACTACAGGTGAAGGGGAAGTGAGCCTTGAAGATCCTCCGTGGACTTGGTTGTGGGTCTGGCGGCCACTAAGCCAAATCCCACCCAATAAGAGAAAATATATCACGTGTACTTCGTTTATCCACATTCCACGCGTCCGAGATTACGCGCACTTCGTCCGAACCTGACAACTTTGTTTCGTTGACGTGTTTCCTTGACCTGTTTCGATGACGGGAATAGAGCGTAGAATGTCTGCTGAATTGCAAGCTTCGAACAATGATGGCTCCGGCAGCTCATCTGTCAAATTGCCACCCCCCCAACGGTCTCAGAGAATAGATTACCCCTTCCTAACCGGTGGAAAGGACGAAGAGGGGATTGAAGATCATATCAGAAAGAAACCCCGACGAGATTCGCCACCCGGCCGCGTGGAATCAATTGGTCCTGAAGCTTCCGCCAGTCAGCTGCGTCTCAATCTGCCTACTCCTTCGAAATCTGTTCCACCAGGGGGCCCTAGATGCTTGACAGGGTTCATACGGCCACAAAAAGTGCACAAGCCACGGAATCAATGGCTTTGGAATCAGTTTCGGGTCACTCCTCTTCCGGGCAAGCAATGGCGATCCAGGCAAAGCCCTCAGCTGCTCGAGGATCGAGAGATCCAATGCATTCATTGTGGCTGGAAAACCACAGATTCGGCGAGGGCAACCTCGACAAGCAACATGAAGAGGCACCTTGAAAAACACAACATTACGGAGACGTCCGATTCAGGGGACATGGGCGAGGGCCCCAGCGAGACGAAACGGCTATCGATTGCTCCGATGTTGTAGCCCCGAGCCAAGCAAGATATTAGGGCTCAGTTTGAAAAGAACTTAATTGGATGGCTTGTGGCAGCAGATGTGGAATTTACGGCAATTGACTCTCCTGCGTTTCAAATGATATTCAAGGACTTGCCGCGTGCTCCTCCTTTCTCCTCTCGAACGCTTCTCAGCCGTATCGATGCAGATTTTGATCGCTGTCGGACCCAGTTGATCGATGAACTCGCACGGACATGCTCCACAATTGCGCTTTCCTTGGATGTCTGGACAAGCGAGAACAATAAAGCTATTTTGGGAGTTACCGGTCACTGGGTGTCCACCGACTTCAAACATCAAGAACGAGTCCTGGAGTTCAGCGAGCTTCCTGGATCCCCCAGTGGAGAAAATGTGGCGGAGACTCTTCAGAAGATGCTTGTCGAGCTTCGGATTGAGGAGAAGCTGCTCACAATCACAGCTGATAATGCGTCGATCAATGAAACGCTGGCGTCTGCGCTGTATTTGAATCTGTCGAAAAAGTACAACTCGGTGGATTCCAACTCGTCCGATAAAGGACGTCTCCGATTTCAAGGCATCGACAGCTACATCCGGTGTCTTGCAAATGTCCTCAATCTCCTTGTCCGCGACATCCTCTCGGGGATGAAATCTAGGAATCACACGTCTGCCGTCGAAGCCTCTGATCTCTTGCAGGGAAATGAGAAAATCGGACGGCAGTCCGCATTGGCCCGGATTCGGATGATGACTTTCTGGATACTGAAGACACCTCAACGACGACGGCAGTGGAAAGCGACTTGCCAAGCAAATGGCTTGAACGACAAATTCATCGAGTGCGACGTCGAAACCCGCTGGAACTCCACATACCGTATGGTCCAGGGAGCCCTGCAAGCAAAAGCACAGATCGAGAAGTGGATCGAGCATCAGAACCAGTTTTCGCCATTTTCAGCTAACGACTGGTTGCAGCTGCAACAGCTCGGGAAGATCCTCTCCAAGTTCGATGAATTCACTCAACTGGTTTCCCGACGGCAATCCCTGATCCGCCTAGTCATTCCCATCTATTATGAACTGAATGAGATGCTCGGAGATGCAGCTTCTGCACGAGGCGACTTTTCGGGGCTTAGCCCTGACGTTACCTCCGCCATCTCCGCGGGGATGAAGAAATACACGAAATATTATGAACTGATGGACGCCCAAGATGCTTATTATATAGCTCTTGTCCTTGACCCACGCCTCAAAGCGCTCTTGTTGGATAAGGAGCTCGGGCCGGTGGCAGCGGCAAAGGTCATTCGATCCATCAAGGATACCTTGCATAAGCAATACCCATCGAAATCACTGGAGCAATCACGGTCAAAGATTAATCAGGACAACAAGTGGCAAAGTCTTGAGGAACGTATCCTGCAGAAGTACATGATCCAGCATTCAGATATTGACCGCTACTTTGAGGAAGATGCGGTGACTCTTGATAGATCTGTAACAAAGGATGAAGGTTGGTTATTGGCCTGGTGGAGGACGCACAGTGATGAGTATCCGCGGATGGCAGCTGCAGCCAGGGATTACCTTGCCATTCCGGTGGCTGGGGTCGCAGTAGAGAGACTGTTCAGCCGTGCTAAGGATCTGTCAGCGATACGTCAACGTTCTCTGAGGGGCGAGACAATGCGGAAAGTGATGCTGTTGGAAGATGTATATAATTTCGAGACCAGCGAGTGAAAAATCATAGAGCTCTTGCTGGTATTTCCCAACCAGCCCGTCGGTGCTTTGATTCGAGAATCTAGTAAGTAGTACCTATATGCCTCTGCAGATCACACTATTTGCAAGGCACGGAACATCAAGCGATGGCTAGTTATGATATTCCCAACCTAAGTTTGTTACTTATTTATTAGTTTCTTACGCTGTCTAGGCGGTTGGTCGCCTCGCCTCTGTGGGCAAGCAATCCCTCCTCAGTTCGAATCCAGCTCTTAAGTACATCGTACGGGGTGCTCGCGCCTCCGCCCGCAACTCCCAGCGTTAACCTCAAGCCAATGGTGCTAGACCTCGTCCGTCCAGCTTGGTGACTGGTCTTAGTGCATGTCACTATTTTTTTTCTTCCTCCCCTATCTTAGCAGTAGGGCCGAGTAGGGGCCCTCCGAACAGCTGGCTAGCTATAGAGCCAAGTTCGTTACTTATGCCGACCCCTACTTGCACCTTGAACTATTTTTAGAAGAAAGCCACATGGGACGGGATGCACCATAAAGACATCTTGAAATCCAGCCGAACCTGAAGAACTTGAGGCCGACTGTGAGAGGCCTTGCATTCCATCAGGACCCTATTCCATCTACTATTGGGTTTATGTGATCTGTTATGTGAAATCTGTTTATGTGACCCCGGTGTTTTTTATGTACGTGGTGAAAGGCTCGTACCTAGAACCGAGCTTGGAACTCACTCAGTCGGGAGCAGGTCCAAGGCTATTCTGTGCTATATCCAATATTTTGGCGAAGGGTTCTCGGGGCGAAAGTGCCGGAACAAGTAGCACAATGCTCTGGTTCTGGAGAGACCGTCAACTGTTGCGATGACCCTCAAAACTTCCTGTAACCCCGAGTTGGCCAACGCGAATTTTTCTGTATTTTCGCTGCCTGTGATACTCGGAGGTGTCTCCTAGGATCCTCCAAGTGAGCGGCCCGGAGCCATCCCAAATATGCTGCTGCCCAAGGTTTCAAACTGGTTAGGACCTGCATGAACAGCCCCGTTCCCGCATGGTTCCCCGGTAGTGGTAACTGAGAAGGAATGGTTGAGCGGGCTGGAAAGGGCGAATCAGACAATTGTAGTACATAGGTGGTTGGATCCATTGGCATCAATCATTGCTGTCGATCACTAATCACATACTCCATGTCCAGAGTAATCCATGGATGCATAAGATTAACTCTATACGCTGATTTGGAATTATGAGATACCAATCTAAGATGGCTGTTTTTTTTTAGTACTCTTAACTGGAGAGTATGACATCTAGACTGGAGTTCGACCCGATATAAGGTTGCTATGTGGGTACTTTGCGTCGCCCAAACACTTTATCTGAGTGCTGAAACACGATGATAGCGATTGATAAAAATGTCTATTAATACCTCTCGACTATAGACCTCCGCAATATGTATAGCACATTTTAATGTTGCCTTCAAGCCACTTGTATTCTAGACATACTCAGCATAGCCACTGATCATCCGATAGGCACAACCCCATTTGTCCAATTAGCCTAATTCGCATCGACTCAGCGAACGCGTCTTAAACGTAAGCATTATGTTGAATTGGATAAAGGACCCTTAGCGTAAGATATTGTAGTCATGGTGTGATTGGTCTACTAGTACTCCCCACATTCTCAATAAGGAAATGATATGTACTGTGTAGACAGTGTAGTTTGCTAGCCTGCTGCCTGGCCACTTCATTGAACTCTTTGATATAAAAATTGTCAGCTGACCGGAAACCCATTCCTGCGGTGGCTGATCGGCCATCCAAGCTTACATCGTTCAAGGGCGAAGCAAAAGTGCGTACGCAATGGGGAGTAGAGTAAACCTATCGCCATTGGCTCTAAGTGGCTTCGGATAGGCCGCGAAGACGAGAACGAGACTCGGGAGGATATACAGTTTGGACTGTTCCAATAGTCAGGTACAAGCATCAATTAGCAAATACCACTTTCAGGCAGTGTATGACAGGTGGTACCCGCTTTGTTGTTTGCGAAGGATCAGGATTCAGGACCCTATCTAGTATCGGCCATACCGAGTCTTCGTCTGACGCAGTCCGGTCCGTATGTCAACCGTGCAACCACGAGGGTTGTAGCTATTTATTGAGAGGATGAGTCCCTTCGAGTATTAGAACAGTCAATCCCAATTCCCTCACAATGTTCAAATATCCTCTTTCATGGCTCGCATGCGCCGTACCTGTCCTCGCCCAGGTTCAAAGCTTTCATCCTCAAGGCCATGATGATATCACCTATAGTGTCAATGTTCCAAATGATACAGCCAGATCTGGCTCGGGCCCTATATACCTCCAGATGAATGCGACTCGCCAAATGCAATGGTTCGCCTTCGGACAAGGAACACAAATGGCAGGTGCGAATATGTTCATCGTCTATGCGTCTGGCGACAACGTCACGGTTTCTCCGCGGCTGGGTGTTGGCGAGATCGAGCCTTTGTACAACAGCGACGCCCAGATCACAATCCTGAATGGCAGTGGGGTGCACGACGGAGTTTTGAGCGTTGCTTTCCGATGTGATACCTGCATAAAATGGAACGGAGGGGCAGAAGACATCACCAGCTCATCCAGTCCATGGATTTGGGCCGTCAAGTACGGCCCCTCACTGGACTCTGTCAGCAAATCCGAATCTCTCATCCAGCATGATGATCGCGGTGTTACGTCCGTCGATATGAAAAAAGCGACAGGTGGCAGCTCAGACAACCCATTCGCCCAGATGTCCCGCGCGCCCATCGCTTCCGGTAAAGAAGACCCAAACTATACAGCGTTCCAGAACACGATGAACAGAAAGAAGACCGCTCATGCTGTGCTCATGATTTTAGCATTTGTGATCATGTTCCCATTCTTTGCACTCGGACTCCATGTTGTGCCCTCCAAGTGGACAGTGAGGATCCACGGGACTTTTCAACTGTTCACTCTGGGAGTGGCTGTCGCTGGCCTCGGCGTCGGTGTTTCTTTGGCACGACAGATTGCGGTGATTGATTCTTACCATACGATCATCGGGATCATCGTTGTCGGATGCCTTGTTTTGTTTCAACCTGCTATGGGGCTATTGCAGCACCAATTCTTCCGAAAGACCGGCGGCAAAGGACCTTTCGCATACATACACCGGTGGTTTGGACGACTGATGATAATCTTGGGTATCATCAATGCTGGGTTGGGGTTCAAGCTTGCAGAAGGGCCACGTGGGGCTATTATTGCAACCAGCGTAGTTGCCGGCGTGGTCGCATTGTTTTATATTGTGGTGATTAGTTGGACTCGAAGACCAAGGAGAAATTCGTGAACTAGATATTGAATGAGGTACTGTGTACACAGTAAATAAGTCAAAACAATGAAGATCCTGAAGTACCTGAACATCCCCAGAAAAGCGAAATGCGCTAAGCCTATCTAAGCCAGTGATCGGCAATTTCCCTATGACATCATTCACCCCTTGTCGCTCTCATGTTCGTCTTCGTCTTCGTCTTCGTCTGGTTGGATGCTTTACACTCTAAAACTCCGCCAAAAGACAATCGCTTCCAACCTTACCCTTTACACTCGTTAAATGACGTCGGGGCATTTGGTGACCAGGCCCTCCTATCTTTTACTTAAATCTCACCCGACTCTTGGCTTCTGAATACCTGGATCCTGCGACAGTCGACCTACTATACCCATAAGTGTCTGATAAGTATCACTATGCCATTGCATACAGTCGCACTAAGTGTGGCACTGACTCCAACTGTCCTTCATACTCTGATCAGTCACGTAAGTCCTTGGCAGAGCAAGGTGACCAGGCTAGGGTCGCTTGACTGACGGCGCATGACTTATAACTAGTACCTGCATCGCAAATCGCTGCATAACAAACCGAACGTTCACATTACCTACGACGAAGGTATTCATATCGTCCGCCAATTCCTTTTCTATGCATCAAAACATTGCGTCGAAGATCTCCAGGCATTTACCCGTCAATGGGTTCCAAGCCCACATTGGGTGAGAACCGAGACCGTCGCAATCCCGAATAGTTTCTTGACATCTGCTGCGGAAGCTGTTACAAAGCAACTAGGTCCCAAGGGGATCACACGTGTCGGGGGTGAGAAATGGTGGCAATGGCGTGGGCCGTCCGAAGAACTGAAGGGGGAGTGGATTGAGATGCGCAACCACTACAACGAAGCGCGGAAGGCCAACGAGCGCCCCAACCGAGTGATGCTGTACATTCATGGTGGCGCTTACTTTTTTGGAAGCGTCGATACCCATCGCTATATGATGCAGCGCCATGCGCGCAAGCTGAGGGGACGCGTTTTTGCACCAGCCTATCGGCTGTCGCCGCAATTCCCCTTCCCGTGTGGCCTGCATGATTGCATGGCCGCTTACCTATGGTTGCTTAAATCTTACGAACCGAAAGAAATTATCATCGCTGGTGACTCTGCGGGCGGAGGCCTGGCTCTCTCAATGCTGGTCATGATGAGAGATCAAGGTATTCCTCTGCCGGCCGGTGCCATTTTGATCTCACCTTGGGTCGATTTAACGCACTCTTTCCCGAGTATCGTTGAGAATAATCCTGGTGATTACATTCCTCCCTATGGCTTCCGGCATAGACCATCGCCCGCCTGGCCGCCTCCCAATGCCGATGACATCCTGAAGATGAAGAAATTGTCGCGCCAACCAACAGTCACCACCGAAGACGTCAAGAATGCAATCCCCAAACATAAGAGTTCTGCCGAAGAGACAGCCATCCGCGGTTACACCGTTCATGGGAACACCCCGCCCCCAGCCCAGCATGCCTACCCTGGCTTACAGCAATCCGCCAATCCTGCTACGTTGCACGCCGAACCCGATAACATACACGTTGTTTTGGACGGGAAGACTGTCGAGTTAAAGGACCAGATTCAAATGTACACGACGAATCAGCTCATGTCCCATCCTCTTGTCTCGCCAGTCCTTCAACCCTCTCTTGGTGGCCTTCCTCCTTTACAAATATTGAGCGGCGGCGGTGAAATGCTTCGTGACGAACAGTTCTACGTTGCCCACAAAGCTGCTAACCCGAAAGCCTACCCACCTGGGGATGCATATCTCGATGAGCACGATCCCAACCGGGAGATCTTGAACAAGTATGAACCAACTTATGTTCAGTTGCAAGTCTGGGACGACCTCTGCCATGTGGCCCCCACTCTGAGCTTCACACAGCCAGCCAAGTATATGTTCCGATCTATCGCCCAGTTCGGCTCTTGGGCGTTGGCGCGTGCACAGCATGGTGTGGTTGAAATTGAGGATGACAGCGCCTTGTCGCCTGGCTCGTCAAGCGCTTCCGATGATGAAGACTTCCCGGCTGTGAACGGTCCGTCTAATGGACATGGGCCCTCATGTGTCGGCAAGGCTGGGGATCCTCTGCCGGTGTTTTACGAACATATGATTCGCCAACGAATCGACAAACGAGGACGTGTATACCAGCTGGATCCGCCTTCTTCCTACAAAGTGCTAGATATACCCCCCGCCAAAGTTGGTGCAATCAACCCAGAACTCATCAGGAAATGGTTGGAAGCAAAGCACGAATGGGATATCAAGTTTGCGAAGGACAAACTTCGGGTTCAGAGGCAACGACTGAAAGAATTGGCGCATGGCTTCCAGGACTTCGATGGCGAATGTCCTCCACCGAGTTCTCTGGCAGCTCGGCGAGCAGCTCCCGGAGTTCTACCAAAACGACATGCCAAGAAGAATTACGGCATGACGCTCTGGAGTGGCTGGGGAAGCAAGCACGATGAGCGCAGAATGGCAAGAAACCAACAGGACGAGGATTTCGGCCGTCGGTCTACCCGCCAGAGCGTTGATGCTGGGCAGGCTGGAGCCTGGTCTAGCACTCCAGCGCTGAATCCCCAAGCCGAAAAGGCTGCAAACGACTACTCTGACAAGGGCGAGTCGCAGGCCGCTGGCCCTACAGCAGGCATCTGGGATGAGAAAGAACAAACAAATAATGGCGATTCATCCACTGGACGCATTTCCAGTGACCCCGAGACAAGCTCTCGGCTTCCCTCGGAGAAAAGCGCTGCGCCGATGCTGATTTTGCCCGAGGTGAGCAACCACAAGTTCACAGATGAAAATGCCAGCACGAGGGCTCTGTTCCATGTGGCCGGAACTCTCCCATCGAAATCCGACACCTCGTTAGCTTACAGTAGGAACCGGCCGTCTTCTGCTGCAGGCTCAGCCGCCGGTCGAAGCGAGATGGTGTCGGACACTGCTAGTACCGTTGGTGGTGACAAGGACTCCGTCGCCCACATGAATATGGCACCCGATACCGCCAGCATCCGCGCTGTCTTAGGTGCGCGGGGTATTGTGGCTCCAATTGCGGGCGGCGAGTATGGTCGTCACTCTACAGATACTCTTTCCGTATTCTCCGCTGCTGGTCGTGACTCAATGTCACATCGTCCTGAGATGCCGGACAGGGAGGTTTTCAAGACAGCCGAGGAAGCGTTATAGGGGTGCCATCTATGAACATTTACCACCATCTTGTCTGCCTTTTGGTGATCTTGTTCCGTTTTTCTTTCAAGATTTTCAGTCTGTTTCTTTTTCCATGTCTGACCCTGTGTTCAATATCCGCCCTTCAGGCTCATTTATTTCGTGTGTCTTGCGTTTCATATCGTTTATTATACCCGATCGTAACTATCGCCATTCAAATGCAATATATACCCCATTTTGGAAGCTAGATTCCCCCAGAACTGCGTTAACAGCTATCTCCTAGGTGGTATGAACTGACTGATAGTATTACACTCGATGATTGTAGTTAAGGCCGTAGTTAAGGCCGAGACCTAAGGACGTGCCAGTAGCCAGCCACCAAGTTTTGCAAGTCTAAGAGAATGATACACAATGATTACAAGTCTGCGCTAAGCGCCCAGACGACCAGATGTTCATCGCCAATCAAGCCCAATCTTCCGAGCCACTTGCTCAGCAACGCCAAGGAAAGCCTCCCGCCTTGCACTGCGTTCAACATTCTCCTCTGCAACCACAGTCGGCACACCGCGATCAGCATCCTCGCACACCTGAGCATCGAGCGGAATGTCGCCGAGGAAGTCCACTCCGAGCCGCTTGCACTGAGCCACAACACCGTGATTCTCACCATGGGTGTGGTGGTGGTTGTCACCATGCGAGAAAATGCGAGTCTGATGCCCACACTGTGGACACGCAAAGTATGCCATATTGCGCACCATTCCGAGAACGGGGACGTCCATCTTTTGGAACATGCCGATTCCGCGGACTGCGTCGCGCAGAGCGATATCTTGTGGGGTTGAGACAATCACCGCACCGTCAATGATCACTTCTTGGTTAATTGTGAGTTGGACGTCGCCTGTTCCAGGGGGAAGATCGAGAATTAGGACATCGAGGGGGCCCCATGATACTGAGTGGAGGAGTTGATGCATCGCTTTTGTTACCATTAGTCCGCGCCATGAGATTGGGGTCGTGTCCATTGGTAGTTCGCCGGTTGTGCTGTCGGCTTGTGTCTGGGGGAGGAGGTAGCCCATTGACATGGACTTGAGGCCATAGTTTGTTAGAGGGACGAGACAGTTATCTGGGAACTTCATTAGTAGGCCGATTGTGACATCATTGGTTTGGAAATATCTTACTTTCGTCGAGTCGAGGTTCGCCGGAGAGATTGAGGAGGGTAGGAACAGAAGGGCCGAAGATGTCGGTATCGAGAATGCCAGTCCGGATGCCACGGCGAGCAAAGGATAGGGCGAGGTTGACTGGCAAGACGTTGTTTAGCATTTGTTCCGGCCCATAGGCCTTGAGTCTGATGCAAACCCTGGTGTTGGAAACCAGATAGCAGCGAAGAACATCCACCTACCAGCTATAGTAGATTTCCCCACTCCTCCTTTAGCTGAGGAAACTGCAACAACTTTCTTGACATCTCGAATCTTGCGTTTTTCGGGCAGCCCTCGTCGCGAACGGAAAGTCGGCGGGGTGCCAGAGCGTGGAAGTCCCTAAGTACAGTCAGTTGACGAAACACACTTGCATGCAGGAACCAAGCTTCAATTTATTGATATAAGGTCATTTGGAACAAATAGCCAGCCTGAAGACTATGACCGAGAGTCACAATTACATTGTAGAATGTTAACTGACCAAAGGATTGTCATGTTGAAGGGCTCGGCAGGTAGAGAAAAGCCTGCTTCCTCTAGCAATGGCCCCAGCTGGAGACACCAGCATCATGATAGCACTAGCCCGATGAATGGAATATGACAGAACAAGATACCAATGGTCTGTGAACAGCACAAATAGACTTGAAGGATGTACACAGTAGTGTCTACCGCGATACTGCAGACAGAAGGCCAGACCGCCTTTACCTCCTGCCCTCAAATACTGTAGACCGCTCACGTGAGGTCTCGCCGTCTTCGGGACGCTAAACTTGGATAGGAATAGTAGGAATTTGTTATCCGGAGAAAAAAAAGATGCTCGTTCAGACCTCTTCCCATCCACAAAAATACAATGGGTAAACCACGCGCAGGTCGGTCCTTGGCTGAACAGCTAGCTGAATTTGAAGACCCTACACCCAAGGGTAAGTTGAATCGCATTCCACCACTTTACGCTGACGGCGGACATGGAAAGCTGACTCGGCGCATAGACTTTGATCCTGAGGATATCGACAATGGCCAGCAATCAAGCGACGATGAAGGCGGAAGTGACGGTGAAATTGACGCTGGAAGAGAGCATTATGAGAAAGTTGGGTGAGTAAACCTAGTGCATTTCGTTCTAAATAAAAAGCTAATAATCAAGCAGGAAAGCAAAGCTCCGCAAAGACGAACCTCTCGCGCTAGGGAAACAATATGATGGTGCTCGGGTCAGCCGGGCGGCGCTCGGCGCTGACAGTGACGACGATCAGAGCCCTTTCGGGAGCGGCTCTGACGATGAGGATGATCACAGCGAGGACTCAGAGGTCGTTTCCGTCTCCGGCTCTGAAGAATCTGATAGCCGCATGAGCCAGGAGAGCGCCGATGAGGATTCAGAGGGAAGCGAGGATGGGAATGATGACTCTAACTCCGATTCGGAAGAGGAGGAAGACCAGGACGGCGATGATGTAGTTCGCCAGCACTCCAAGAAGGGCATCACCAACGTCCGGAATGGTAACGAGAGCGGAGCGTCCGGAGTATCTGGTGATCGAGACGAAATTCGGAGATTAATGGCGACAGATCAAAAAACCATTGCTGCAACAATCTCCTCGGCAGCTAAGGCAGATGCGACGAAGGGAAAGGCTGTGAAACAACAACGTCTTACGTTTGATGCGCTGCTTAACGCACGGATGAAACTTCAAGGAGGGTTGACTTCGATCAACGGTATTGCCACTGTCTTCGGAACGAAGATCAAAGCAAGTGGAGAGCACGCGATGGATAACGCAGAGGAAGCGGCTGTTGGTGACGAGGACGCAGTGGTTGATGAAGAAGCAATCAAGTCAGCCGAGTCAGCTGCGATGGCATTATGGTCTACTCTCGAAGACTTACGCTTCGCCTTGGCCGATGCCACGGCGAAAGAAGGCAGTAAGAAACGCAAGAGGCCTCCCCCCGCCTCACTTACTACCAGTTCTGCCTCCCTTTGGGAACGTATGAGTGAACTTGAGTCTAACGCCGTTTCACACCGACGTTCGGTCCTCGACAAATGGTCCTCCAAAATCCGAGGAACGTCTGCCTCACTTCCCAATGCCAGAGGAAAACTACTCGGATCTGCGTCCGGTCGCCCACAGACAATTACAGCCGTACTCGATGCCCAAGTTGCTACCGAGATTGGAGAACGGTCTTCGAAGCGCTCTCGCACATCTGACCCACAAGATTCAACCTACGATGACAGCGCCTTCTACCAGTCCCTTCTGCGGGATCTTGTTGAGCAGCGCATGGGCTCAACCGATGCGATGACGAATGGCTTTGACAACCTGCAGCAGCTGCCCTCACGCCTGCCCATTCACCCTATCACTGGTATGCGCAACGACAAGGTGAAGCGAGAAATTGATACCCGTGCCTCTAAGGGCCGTAAAATGAAGTACAATGTGCACGAAAAGCTTCAGAACTTCATGGCCCCAGATGACCGTGGTATTTGGTCGATGCGTGCACGAGACGAATTCTTTGCTTCTCTGCTTGGCAAGACGGCTAGCGGTCTCCTCGGTGAAGACGACGAGGCTGTCAGTGATCAAGAAGACGAGGTTGATCGGGAGGAAGGAGGGCTGAGACTGTTCCGGAACTAGTTTCATCGTTTGCATACGCATATTTGTACAAATAGTGGCTGCGGCATAAATCCACGAGCATTACCAGTGCATTCAACTATCATTACCCAATCTGTAGTTCTATGACTCCTATATAGTATGTAGAGGAAGATACGGGGCTTACCTGTCACAGATAGCCATAGGTAGTAGGTCAATAGGTAGTCACGAGACAGAAGTATGTTTTAATGAGCTCAGTCAATGTAACTAGAGGTACCTATGGAGTAGTTGGTTGTTAAAGCTGTGGTAGATCCCAAATCGGGCAAGTGCCAGGGGCGCGCTTACCTAATCTGCATGTCACGCTTGTTGCTTCATCGACAGGTGCACCTTCTACATCTTTCCTCCCCTCAGCCTATTCATCCCTCTCTCCTTCCCTCATTACTCTTCTTTCATTCCTCTTCCTTCCTCCTTCCTCCCCACAGTATCCCTTTCCCCCCCACCTGCCACTTCAATTTATTCACCCAATACCTCCATGGCTTCAGTAAGTGGCTCCTTTCCCTAGTCTCCTCGCATTTGCGATTTGCCCCAGCTCTTAACGAGATTGATCTCATATCATGAGACTGAGAAGACCTAGGCTAATCTTGTCACTTCACTCACATTACAGCCTCGTCCGAATTTCGGTGCCCAAGGCTACCCTCTTCCCAATGGTGCAGCTGCGGGTCCTGTCCCCGGTGCCACCCCGTTGCTTCCCAATAATGGCCGTGTGATCCAAAATGGACCGACCAGAATTTTGTGCATTGCCGATGTCAGAGGTAATAATGCTCCGTTCATCCGTTCTAAGTTGGCAGGCTGATGCTAATCGGACTGGTGAACTAGGCAACCTGAAGTCTCTGAACGAGCTCGCAAAGCAGGCCCGCGCAGACCATATTATCCACACCGGTGATTTTGGATTTTATGATGATACCTCCCTCGAGCGCATTGCAGATAAGTACGCATATCCCCAATTTTGGAAGCTTTTTGGTGTGTCTTGGATGCCCAACGCATTCGTCACACCGGGCTCTGAGACCCAGTGAAGTGCATCAACTAATTCGCAAATCACGAACAGAACTTTAAAACATGTCGCGCAATACTCCCCTCTCCTGCCCGAGAACGTCAAGCGGTCCATCGCACAGGTCACCCCACAACAGTCAATCAAGCAGCGCTTCCCGCCAGAGCAGCTGCCCCTCTCCGAGCTCCCTATGCTTCTTGACAAGCGCATCACTCTTGATGTTCCGGTATACACGGTATGGGGTGCTTGTGAAGATGTGCGGGTGCTGGAAAAGTTCCGCTCGGGCGAGTACAAGGTTGACAAGCTGCACATTATCGATGAAGCAAACTCGCGCCTCCTCGATATCGGCGGTGTGAAGCTACGTTTGCTGGGCCTTGGAGGTGCTGTTGTGATGCATAAGCTTTTCGATAATGGTGAGGGAAAAACGACTATTGCAGGAGGTCAAGGTACTATGTGGACGACACTTTTGCAAATGGGCGAGTTGATCGACACCGCCAATCGTGTTTATGATCCTTCCGAAACTCGTGTATTCGTTACACACGCTTCTCCGGCCCGCGAGGGAATGTTGAATCAACTTTCCGTTACCCTCAAGGCCGACTTCTCTATCTCTGCCGGTCTTCATTTCCGGTACGGCTCATCGTACAATGAGTTCTCCGTGAATCCGTCACTAGACCACTATCGCGGCAAACTCGCTGCCTCCAAGGCGTCATTCACCGATGTCTGGGAGACGGTTCGAGGTGAGGTTGAGTCAGCAATCTCTTCAAACGATGGCCAGAAGACTCTTCTTGAGAACGCCCTCGACGTTGTGAACAAGATGCCTTCCATCGCCAACGGTGGCAATCCCTTCGGTGGCCCTGTTGCAGCGGGTAATGCTGCTGGTCAGGTTGATGAAAGCGCCTTTAAAAACATGTGGAACTTCAATCTGGCGGATGCTGCCTTCGGATACCTCGTGCTGGAGGTTGAAGGTGGACGTATCGCGACAGAGATGCGTGCTCAAGGCTTCAACTTTGCTCACCGCATTGGAAAGCCTCAGGCGGGCGGTGCGCCTCAGCCTGTCTCCAGCGGTCTTCCGGCCACCACGGCCTCCCCCGCTCCCACCGGCGCTGCCCGGACTCCCGTTGTGGCCCCTCAGTTTGGCCAAGCACCTCCGGCCCGTGTGCCCATTCCCCAGGGCCAGAAGGGACCTCGGGCTTCACCGGTTCCCGTAATTCCTAAGTCTGCCAGCCCGCAGCCACCTGCTGCGGCATCCGCCCAACCTGCCGGGGAAGAAAAGGTTGCCGCCGCGGACACCAATGGTACCGCCCCGCATGATAAGCCCAGTGAATCCCCTGTGCCTCGGGTCGAGAAGAAGCCCAGCAATGCTCTGTTCGTTACTAGTGCCGATAATGAGCAGGTTGTTCGCGATCACATCTCTGAAGAGGACAAATCCAAGATCGTTAAGATCGAGAAGCTGGGCAAGTACAACCATGTCGTGGTGTTCTCCAGTCCTGAGGAAGCAAAGGCTGCGTTGGAGCATCTGCCTATTGAGCTGAAGAAGCCTGGTGCTACCCCCCAGGGTCAGCCACGCAAGCCTCAATTCAAGGTCTTCGAGGAACGCCCTAACCGTGCTGCTGGAAATGCCGGGACTTGGCAGAGCAGCAACCGGGGCGGAATCCCTCAAGGTCAGCGTGGATACCAGAGTGCCAGTGACAGTGACGGCAGTCGCCGTGGCGGATTCGGTGGTCGCGGCCGGGGCGGTCGTGGCACTGGTGAGAGAGGTCGCGGTGGACGCGGTGGTGCCCGCGGTGGCTTCAAGAGCGGCGTAGGCATGAATGAGTCTTCTGCTCCCTCAGAGGACAAGCCTGCTGCATCTGGTGACGCCTGATCGTGAACACCATCCTTACCCTTGGCATCGATGATTTTCACTTTGCCTCGTTATCGCACGTGTCAAGTTGATCACTTGATATTCAACTTCTTCTTTTCCTCTTACTTCAGTCTTCCCCCATTTGCGATGGGTATTTTTTTTAACTTTTCAGATCCCGCTGAATCTTCTGTCGTTTGTTCTTAAGTCTGGCCAGACACATGAAAGAACATGAAGAAGAGACGCGTTGATCTGGTGAAACATATTGGGTTTATCATGAGCCTCGGGGAGTGCTCTTTCTCTGCAAGAGTTAAGTTTGGACTCCAGGCTGGAAGATTCCTAGAATTCGGACTTTTCAAGATGCGGAGATCATCTTTTAACACCAAAAAAAAAAAAAAATCTACCACAGCTGTTTCCCATCTCTCTTTGTACTTTAATTCTGCTTCTCCGGCCACATATCGATACCCTTACAGCCTCGCTTTTAGCTTTTGCGCACTGTAGATTTCCGCTACTGGTATGCCCCGTGCGAGGGCCACCCCAAAGGTATTTCAAGCTGCCTCGTTCATCTCAGTTAAAGTAGCAGTGCAAAGTCAATTGAGACTATAAGATGAAGATTCGCCTCGGAAGAGATTATTTGTTTACAAGAACACAAAAGTACATTGGGCATTGTGAAGCAGTGCAAGCCATCCAGTCCCAAGCCGTCACAAGGATCATGCCCGTATTTCGTTTCTGGAACAAGAGACATTGGCATTCAGTGCGCATTGCTTTGACTATCGAGAGATTGGCCATCGTGTAACGGGCCAAGTCCCCCATTTGCCCAGCTCAAGCATGAAAACAATCGAATGGTTATTACTGTTGTAAAAAGAGGGAATATTGCCAACAGCATAGAAGTAGAAAAGAAAGAAGTGAGAGAAGATGTTGTACCAACAGGCAGTAGTGATGTATCGCCAACCATGGGCAAAACATCTGAAAGCGAAAGAGAAAGTAAAAGCAAAAGTGAATCATTTTCGAATCCAAAATCTGATAGATCGATGTTGTTCTCCCCCCCGAATATATAAAGTCCCCTCTTTTTCTCCTGTGCAATATGGTGACGCCGTGCAGGATTCCTCCCATTAATAACAATCGATGGTGGGTATGCGTAGAAAACGTAAGAGCGCGAGTATCAGTGAAGTTGATATGGTCCGTGAATCGTAAATTGAGCCCGAGGGCCAAGGCAAAGTCTGTCGTGAGCATCGTAGAAGCAAGTCGCTACTTGACTCGTCCCATGATGTCGTCAACGTCATTTTGGTTCACGACAACGCCGCCCTCCGAACAGCGTGCCTTCGTGCGAAGCTCGGAGCAGAGGTTGTCGACATCAATCTCACCGTTGCGGAATTTCTCCATGGATTGAAGACGATCCCTGTAGACAATGTTAGCGATCTGCCGGACATATTTCGTCGCATAAAACGAAGAAATCCAAAGAAAACCATACCATATCTTGGTGCACGACAGCATCTGCGTCTGATCTTCGCCAGGGACGACCTCGTCATCCTCAAGCCTGCTGTCAATCTGGGCAACGAGGCTCTTTTTGGGTGGGACCGTGTCGGAAGCAACCTCGGACAAGTTGTGGGATGGACTACCCAGGTCCGGCAAGGGGAATGCTTCATTGAAGAATGAACCGAAGTCCTGAGCCAACACCGCATCCTGGGGCTCTCGCCAATCACCAAAGAGCACGGGATCGAATTGGCCGCCATTCTGATTAACCATCCAGTCAATCCCAAGGTCTTGAGAACCGTCGCCCTCAGCTTGGTTATCAATTGGCGTTGGCTGGCCACTTGAAAAGCTGTGTGATTTGGACTTGCTGTCCCGAACCGCTGGTACGGGATTCCTGATGTTGCCGCAAGCCATACCAAGTTGCTCGCAGAAGGATTTCTCACCATCGCTGGTGATGTGCCCTCCACAAGTGTCTCCCACTCCCAGTTCGCGATATTTCCCGCTAGGAGAGTTGACACTAGGCTCGGGGGAAGTCCCGCTCGATGACACCATATGACTTTGATGTGAGTCCGACGAAGATGAAGGGGAATTTTCCGAAGTCGAGTTGTCATTTGTAGATGATTTGAAGCCAGAGTACGGTGCTTTCGTAGAAGTAGCACTATGAGGAGTGCCATTGGACTGCGAGTGATTCGACGGGGCGTGAGAATTAGACCGGGACGAGGAATAATTCAGACTGTCGCGACTCAAAACACCGGGAGCCCGAGTGAGGTTGTCATTGGATTTGAATTGGTCATTCTTGTTGGATTGTCCGTTGAAGAGATGACCACCCGGTAAATCACCAAACTTGGGGAAGTCGAAGAGAAATTCGTTGTTCTGAAGGCCATACGCCCCCTTGGAGTGGGCATTGGGGATGGAATTCGAACTCAAAGCGGAAAGGCCGTTGCCGGGTCCAGAAGCCATCCACGAAAGGCGCTTGCGGTACTCACGGAGCTCGACTTGCAGCCGCTCAACCTGAGCACGCAGCAAGCCATTCTCCTGATTTGCCATTTCAGATGTCTTCTGCAGCCTTTCCACGGAGTCTTCGAGGTCCTTCAGATGCTTTTCCTTGCGTTCACGGAAGGCTCGCTGGGCCGCCCGATTTTGGGCCTTGCGCTTCTGCTCAAAGGTTAGTTTACGGCCCCGATAAAAGCCACGTGTGACAAGAATAGCATACCGTAGTAGGCTCCGAAGTTAGTGGCTTCCTACCAGGCTTCTTGGCCTCGCTTTCCCTACGCTTCTTTCCGGTCTCTTCCCCTTCGAGCACTGACTTTCCGTCGAGGGACTTCCGCTTCTCGCCAATGTCATATGCGGACGACCCTGGTAGGTCGCCGATCAAGTCCGCCGAGCCAGGATAATCGAAGTCGAGTTCAGGAGTGAAATCCAAGAAAGGACTCTCGTCGTCCCCCAGTGCAAAATTGCTGGCATGAGCATTGTCATAGCTGCCAGATGGAGGCGCGCTGAGATTGGTTGATATATTTTGATCGGGACTTTGAGAAGTCTTTATAGGAGGAGATCCACTTTGAGGCTTCTGGTTGGGATTGTTGGAAGAGAGGGCAGCCAGCAGGAGATCTTGTTGGTTTGGAGAAAGGTAAAGACCCTGCTGATATCGTTGATTGTAATCACCCATGTCGATTGATTCCAGCGACTGGAGGGACTGATCAAGGGCAAGAAGAGAGGGTGTAATAGATCACTGAAAAATTGAATGGATTTCAATATAGAGTCCAGCCGGGCCTCCCGCCCGTAACAGATATTGATGCCGTGAAACGAGGAGTGAAGTAGGGTGATTCAATTTTTCGGAATGTAGCCTCGCAGCTTGGTCGAACTGAATAATCCCGAGTAAATCGAGTGTATATCCGAGCTCAATCGGCTGCAAATAGGAACCAAGAGAGTCGAGGAGGGGGGCGAAGATGGGGCGTAGATGGGGCGTAGATATGGGGGAGTGAGATATTGGATATGGGGAGGAAAGAAGAAGAAGGTAGCGGATAGTAAGAGGGGGCCTGAGGCGATGACTGATTCCCCGCTAGTCAGATTGCGGTAGAGTGTGGCTTACAGAATCACGAGGCTGATATGAAACACAGACCAGATAGAATAGTGCAGGTTGCAGAATCTAAGAGAAATAATGAAAGATAGAGTCCGGAGTTACGCAGTATGACTGGAGGAGTAGAGGGGGGAGGGGGAAGAGGGCGATCAGTGGTAGGCGGTGAATGAATTATGGAACTCAATTGGACAAGGGGGGAAGTTGCCTCTGGGCCAGAATTGCTGCTTTGAAATCAATTTTTTTTCTCTTTTCTTTTCTCCACTTCTGCTTTCGAGTAGTTTCTGTTCCTCCGTAGTTAACTCCGTATAAACTTGGAGTATGTTTAACCAACCTCGCAGTCTGAAATTCCGGGCAATCTTGTCACTATTCTATCATCACTAGGATCATTACAGCATCTCACCTGGTATCGATCCGGCATCTACCTGGCATTGAGATTTAGCCTCCAACTCTTGAGGGTCTGGACCGCGGTTCTCCAGATTCCCGACATATTTCAATGGTCAAGACCATACAATGACGTTACCACCTCTCCAACATACGAGTCGGCAAACAGGGATGTGATTGGGTCCATATATCAGTATGGAGAATATAGGGAACTCCATGGTACGAAGTACGAACTATGATGCTTATGGTACGGAGTACATTGTCCAACGTCGAATTCCAACTTGCATATTCCCTCCTTGCCGATCGAAAGTGGATTACATCGGACCTTTGCTTATCGCCGGTTTGTATCGATCGTAACCCAGGGCTGGAGGCGACCTCTTATTTAGTGTTAGTACTCCGTACAACATACGCAGTACAACTAAATACCGATGGCCGATGCATAGTTACCTCATGTGTAATTGATAGAATTATCTGACCCATGGTCGTATGTCGCGGACTGCCCGTGGTTGCCTTTTCTTTCTAGAGCGCCAGTTCTGAGGTTCGGGATCTGAGCTTCGGGATTAACCAACGTTATCTTGGGAATGTCGGCTGAAGGCGGAGTGGTATACACGTGATCTGGCAATCAATCTTGCCATGGATGATGGAGGTTATTTCTCCGCAATCTACTCACTGGTTCCTCATCAAATTCAACCCAAACACCGAACACTGCTTAAACATTTCATCGTTCTGTCATTCGCTATCATTTGTTTTTCTTTCAGGACCAGATTTGCATCATGGCTGACGTTGCTGTTATGGAAGCAGAGGTGAAGGAATACAAGCTTCAGGTGGGTTGCCGCAAATTCCCATATACACGAGTGCGACCCACCAACTAACATAATTCACACCGAATAGTATGAGTCTGTTGCATCAAGCTTGCAGGTAGACCCCGACAATGAAGAACTGAAGAGTCTCAAGGCTGAATTGGAGGAACTCATTGCACTTTCCGAAATCGAAATCGCCGAGAAAAAGCGTACCGAGTCCGCCAAACCCGCCAAACCTGCCGAACCCGCCCATAAGGAAAGCCGATTCAAGGGTAACGGTGCCCATGGAATTACTGAGCATACAGAGGAGGCATCTGCTGGAACTGTTACAACTCCTACCCCGCTATTGTTCGCAGTCAACGACACTGTTCTTGCGCGCTGGGTCTCTGGTGACAACGCTTTCTACCCGGCCAAGATCAACTCCATCACCGGATCATCCGCCAACCCGGTTTATCTTGTCTCGTTCAAGTCTTATGGCACTGTGGAAAATCTGACAGCCAAGGATATACGACCCATCTCTGGCACTGACTCGCGAAAGCGCAAGGCTGATGGAACCCCAGGCAGTTCAGCGTCTCCCTCACCCGTCCCCGCTCCCCCCGGTGTAATCTCCGCCGCAGCAGACGTCAACCCCGCATTGGCCACACAGGCTCGCAACGATCCCAAGCCCGGTGATGCACTGGGGCGTCCCGCCAAGATGCCTCGCAAGGTGAAGGCGAACAAAGAGCTCGAAGCAGGCAAGAACAAATGGCAGGATTTCGCTGCGAAGGTCAAAGGCAAGGGCAAGTTTGGCAAGAAGGAAAGCATGTTCCGCACAGGCGAAGGCCTCAATGCACGAGGTATGAATGATTTTTCTTTCTCTCTTTTTGGAACCATCATCCTACCAATACTTTTGATCACTGATACTAATTTGTTTCATCTTTTAGTGGGCGTCACAGGTTCTGGTCAGACTATGCGCAAAGACCCGACACGAACTCGCCACGTTTACCAACAGGTCGAGGACGATGGCTACTAGGTTGCATGACTTATGTTACCAGGCCCGCGTCGTGACGATCCCCCTCGACCATATGGCTATGTCGTCCTTTCTCACTTGTTCCATCTGATGATATCTCTTTGAGTTCTTCTCATATTTGTTCGCATCGCTAACTGAATTACTGGCGATGCACGCACAGGCATATTTGTCTCTTCATTCTTGAGACTCGGAGTTTCCTGTTCATAGAAGTCGGTTTCAATTCGGAGTCGGTCTTTTCTATGTTTTGTACTATTCCAATGATATCACGAGAATTCAACAAACCAACCTCGGGAATCACGTAGAGTCCCTAAAGTGTAGATGATCTGTCAATGTTTTGGGGGATAAAGGACAGTACACTGAGAATAACATCGGTTTAATTGATCAGCCCTCGGTCTAACTAGTCCTACATGCCAAGGAAAGGGATAATTAGCTGATTCGCGCCACGACATTATAAGCCACTCATCAGGCACATTGGTGACGGTGCCTGACTCTAGTGTCAAAGCACACCTTCAGGGCTGGCCGGCTGGGCATCTTTAAGGCTAGGCGGAGCCGCGGAGGCCTTGAAATATGGGTGGGTACTTGGCTCTGCTTGAGTGACCGTGCGGGGGAACCGATGTACCGTGGGTCTCCGCCTTCACGTCACTCTTCCCTTGCAAGCTTGCTTTGCTCCCTTCTCTTTACATACTCTACGTGCTCTCCACCTCGCCAACCTTCAAACCCATCAACACACTTGAGGCTACTGTTTTCTAATAGAACATCGTCCCTATCTCAGAATATCCAGTTTCGAGCTCGTATTCCCTGCTCGCAGCGGCTCCTCAAGCTTGGCCTGGCGTCAAACCTTCCCCACACCGACCGACAGTTGCATGGCCAACGATTATTGTTAAAAGTATCGCCATCCCAGGTACTCTGATTGGAGATTGGTAGGCAAAGACTTGGGCCTTGTCGCAGTGCTCCTTTCCACAACATGCGGTTGCTCAAGGCGGTTGCTGCGGTCGTCGGGCTGGGCTCTGTCGCGCCCACGGTCGTCAGTGCGCAGGGCGAAACCAGAACCCATGAAAAGGGTCGTTGTGCTATTCGAGGTCATTGTGGAAAGCAATCTATCTTCGGTGGAGAACTTCCCTGTCCCGATAATGGTCTGGCACATCGACCGGAGGACGCAGTGCGCCAGAAACTAGTAAATCTGTGTGGCAGTAAATGGAGCGAAGGCCCGGTCTGCTGCCTAGAGGAACAGGTATGAAAGTGTTGCCGCCTATGTCATTGTATCTCTATCGTCTCGCTCATGCTGATAAATTGTCTATAGATCGATGCGCTTTCCAGTAACCTCAAACTGGCCGAGGGAATCATTGCATCCTGCCCTGCCTGCCGGGACAACTTCTTCAACATCTTTTGCACCTTCACTTGCTCTCCGGATCAGTCCCTGTTCGTCAATGTCACAAAAACAGAAGAAAACAGTTCCGGCAAACGACTTGTGACTGAGTTGGACAATATTTGGTCTGAAGAGTACCAGAGTGGGTTCTATGATAGTTGCAAAAATGTGAAAAATGGTGCTTCGGGTGGAAAGGCCATCGACTTCATCGGTGGCGGCGCAAAAGATTATGCGCATTTCTTGAAATTCTTGGGTGACAAGAAGTTCCTCGGGAGCCCCTTCCAGATTAACTATCACACAGAACCCACTGGATCCGATCCGCAGGGAATGAAGGCTTTGTCAATCAAACCAAAGGCCTGTAACGACGAGGACAAGAATTTCCGATGCTCCTGCGTCGACTGCCCTGATGTGTGTCCGGAGTTGCCCGCCATCTCCCCCCACAAGATATGCCATGTAGGACTTTTACCGTGTCTTTCTTTTGCAGTCATCCTTGTTTACTCAATATTCTTGTTGTTTGTCATGGCTCTTGCCAGCTATTTCACATACAAGGAACGTCGATTCCGCAAACCAGAGCGAGTGCGCCTGCTACAGGATCCCACGCCCAGCGACGATGAAGATGAAGGAGACGTCGTTCACCGGGGGGGATACATGGAACGCCCACAGGGAGTGTATAAGCTCAATTCTGTGCTTTCATCCTTGTTCCACAGAATCGGTGGCGCTTGTGCACGGTTCCCGGCAATCACGATATCCTCCAGCGTCGTTGGGGTTGCACTACTAAGTTTAGGATGGTTGCGGTTTACTGTCGAAACAGACCCGGTACGATTGTGGGTCAGCCCGTCATCTGCAGCGGCACAAGAGAAGGATTTCTTTGATCAAAGCTTTGGTCCATTCTTCCGAGCTGAGCAGGCATTTTTGGTGAATGACCGCCCAGCGAATAACTCGCGTCCTCTCTTGGACTATGAAACCCTTACTTGGTGGTTCGACGTTGAGTCTCGTGTGCGCCGCGTGATCTCGTTGGACCAGGCTCTCAGTCTCGATGACGTTTGTTTCAACCCCACCGGGGAAGCTTGTGTTGTGCAGTCGCTCACTGGATATTTCGGTGGTTCTGTTTCGAACCTGGATCCGGATACATGGAAGGACCGACTAAGGCATTGTGCAGCATCCCCCGGAGATCCAAGCTGTCTCCCCGATTTCTCGCAGCCTCTCAAACCGGAAATGATTCTTGGCGGATATGAAGATACTGGTGATATTCTAGATGCCCAGGCGCTCATTGTCACCTGGGTAGTAAACAACTACGAACAGGGGACAGAAGATGAAGCGAAAGCTATCGATTGGGAAAAGACTTTCCAGACCGTTCTCGGAGTGGTCCAAGAAGAAGCTGCTGAGCGAGGCCTACGCGTGTCTTTCAATTCCGAGGTTAGCCTGGAGCAGGAGCTCAACAAGTCTACCAACACAGACGCGAAGATTGTTGTCATCAGCTATCTTATCATGTTCTTCTACGCCTCAATGGCCCTGGGCTCAGTCACGGTTACCTGGAGGTCTCTGCTGACCAACCCGTCAAATGCTCTTGTCCAGTCTAAATTCACACTAGGCATTGTGGGCATCGTCATTGTCTTGATGTCTGTCTCTGCATCGGTCGGGCTTTTCTCTGCGGCAGGTGTCAAGGTAACCTTGATAATCGCCGAAGTCATCCCCTTCTTGGTCCTGGCAGTCGGTGTAGACAACATCTTCTTGATCGTTCACGAGTTCGAGCGAGTCAACATCAGCCATCCTGACGAGGAGATTGACGAGCGCGTTGCCCGAGCGGTCAGCCGCATTGGACCTAGCATCTTCCTGTCTGCGTTGACAGAGACCGTGGCCTTTGCCCTGGGTACCTTTGTCGGCATGCCTGCCGTCAAGAACTTTGCCGCATATGCTGCGGGCGCCGTGTTTGTCAATGCTATTCTACAAATGACCATGTTCATCTCTGTGTTGGCTCTCAACCAAAAGCGCGTGCAGAGTCTTCGTGCGGACTGTGTCCCTTGTCTCACTGTCCGAAAGGCAAACTCTTTCGGCTTTCCCGAAGAACGCTACGATAGTCATGAGGCAGAAAGTATTTTGCAAGCGTTTATTCGTCGGGTCTACGCGCCCTTCCTTCTGGATCGCCGTGTCAAAGTCGGCGTTGTTATCTTTTTCTTGGGTCTCTTGACGGCCGGTCTGGCCCTCATCCCTGAGGTTGCTCTTGGCTTAGATCAGCGGATTGCGCTCCCCAGCGACTCGTATCTCATTCCATATTTCAATGACTTGGATTCATATTTTGGCACGGGGCCTCCGGTCTATTTTGTGACTCGCAACGTGAATGTCACCGAACGAAGCCACCAGCAACAGCTTTGTGGACGTTTTACCACTTGCGAGGAATATTCACTGCCATTTATTCTGGAACAAGAGTCTAAGCGTCCAGAAGTTTCTTATCTCGCAGGCTCCGCCGCCAGCTGGATCGATGATTTCTTCTATTGGTTGAATCCCCAGCAAGACTGCTGCAAAGAGAATGGCAAACTTTGCTTCGAGGATCGTATTCCTGCGTGGAATATTTCCCTCTCAGGGATGCCAGAAGGAGCTGAATTTATCCATTATGCCGAGAAATGGATTGGTGCTCCCACGGATGCCTCTTGTCCTCTTGGTGGCAAAGCACCCTACAGCAATGCTTTAGTCATTGACGACAAGCATCAAACGATAAATGCCAGTCATTTCCGTACCAGCCACACGCCACTACGGAGCCAGGATGAGTTTATCGAGGCATACATTGCAGCTCGCCGAATCGCATATGATATCTCCAAGGAACACGGTATCGATGTATTCCCGTACTCCAAGTTCTACATCTTCTTTGACCAATATGTCTCCATCGTGCGACTTACCGGTACCCTGCTTGGGTCGGCTGTGGCTATCATCTTCGTCTTGACCTCTGTGATACTGGGGTCTGTAGCGACGGGTGCTGTTGTCACCACCACGGTTGTCATGATAGTGGTCGACATTATCGGCACCATGGCGATAGCCGGCGTCTCCTTGAATGCCGTGTCTCTTGTCAATTTGGTCATTTGTGTGGGCATTGGTGTCGAATTCTGTGCTCACATCGCCCGAGCGTTCATGTTCCCCGCTCGGCCGATCATGGAGAAAGTGCCTGCCGAATTCCGCGGTAAGGATGCTCGAGCGTGGACGGCCTTGGTCAATGTTGGGGGTACTGTCTTCAGTGGTATCACGGTCACCAAACTTCTGGGTGTTTGTGTGCTTGCGTTTACGCGGAGTAAGATCTTTGAGATCTATTACTTCCGCGTGTGGCTAGCGCTGGTGCTCTTCGCTGCTTCACATGCGCTCGTCTTTCTACCAGTCGCTCTCAGCTACTTTGGTGGTGGTGGTATGTGCAACTTCCCTAGTCACTTCAAATATGAGGGATTTCACTAACAGGTTTAGGTTACTTTGACCCTGCATCCGACGGTGGCCTTGAGGCCAATCTGGCTTCTCGTGGCTACCGCTCATCGCTGATTCATGATGACTATGACTCTGATGAATATTAGGTGACGCTTCAGTGATCCGAGATCATGTCGGTGTATCCCGTCGGATTCGCTGGTTGTATAGCTTCTGGCACACCAAGGTCTCAGGGGACATTCGACGTTGCTTTTACCAAGGCATAATCTGGTCCCTTCCAAAGAACGACGGAATAGGCGTTTCGGGTGAAGATCTTGTTATTAACTTTTTATATTTCCATAATGTGAATGAATTCGTTTCAACCAGTTCTATATCAAGTACAAGTAGGTACATGTAGATTGACTGAAATTCAAGAGAGATAAGTCGGATTGTCCAGCTATACCACTAGAACTTCCAAGATATCTGTCTTTTTCATTTCCACTGATCCCACATAACTCAGGCATATCACATCAAAATTGAACTGCCCGAAATCCCGTGTGTTGACCATCTTCATACGCTAAACCCAATTAGGCATCAGCCCACTCCCCTAAATTTTTTTTTTCTCCCTTCCCTTTTCTTTTCTCTTCCCCCCACCACTCTCCTTTTTCTTTTCTTCACCTTTCTCCTTTCCTTTCCTTTTCTTTCCTGTCTATATTGCTTTGTGATACCCCCTTTGAGCTGTTTGTCTGAGACAGATCGCTCAATTCTTGTTTCTGTGGCGTCTCCTCTCGAGACCTACAGCTGAGATTGTTGAAAGAAATAAAAAAATATAAAATCCTCCCACATCCCTCTCATCATGGATCAACAAAGATTCCTGCAGCAACTGCAGATTATTCTGGACCGTGAGTTGTCTTGCATCCTCGAAGCCAATATTCTCGCTAACCCGTTCCTCTAGCCTCCCAGGGAAACCTCAAGGAGGCCACCGGTGTCTTGCAGAAGGAGTTCTACAACAAGCCGGAATCCCTTTTGTTCCTCATTCAGATTTGCACAAGCCACGATGACCAAAATTTGCGCCAGCTCGCTTCCGTGGAGTCCCGTTCACTCGTCTCCAAGCATTGGTTGAAGGTACCCGCGGACCAGAAGCCCCAGGTCCGTGAGCAGCTTCTTCGCTCCACCATGGGCGAGAGTTCATCTCTCGTTCAGCACTCTATCGCCCAGATCATCTCTGCTATTGCAAAGATCGATCTGAACGATGGCGAGTGGGCTGACTTGCCCAACCTGCTGTTGCAGGCCGGTAACAGTGGTAACGCCGCTGAGCGTGCCGTGGCTATCTACATCCTCTTCACCATCTTGGACACTCTCGGTGAAGCGCTTGAAGAGAAGTTTCAAGACCTCTTCAACCTCTTCGGCAAGACTATCCAGGATCCCGAGAGCGCCGAAGTCCGTATCAACACTCTCATGTCCTTGAGCAAGCTTGGTATGCACCTCGATTCGGAGGAGGATGAGGCCCCTGTCAAGGTTTTCCAGGGGATGGTTCCCGCTATGGTCGCTGTCCTTAAGGACTCCATTGAGCGTCAAGAGGATGATCACATCATGCAGTCCTTCGAGGTCTTCCAGACTTTGCTTGGCTGTGACCCTGCATTGCTGACCGTGCACCTCAAGGATCTCGTTATCCTGATGAACCAGATCTCTGCCAACACTGAGGTGGATGAGGATGTTCGGACACAGGCCATCAGCTTCTTGATGCAGACCATCCAATACCGCAAGCTCAAGGTTCAGGGCATGCGCATTGGCGAGGAGCTAACCCGCACCGCTCTCCAAATCGTGACCGAGCTTGGCGACACCGCTCTTGGTGATGATGATATTTCTCCTGCCCGCTCTGCTCTCGGTCTTTTGGATATGTTGTCCCAGGGCCTGCCTCCCAGCCAGGTCGTTGTTCCTTTGCTTAACGCACTAGGTCAATATTTCAACAACACCAACCCCGACTACCGTCGTGCTGGTATCATGGCCCTTGGCATGTGTGTTGAGGGTGCTCCCGACTTCCTCAGCTCCCAGATGAAGGAGATCTTCCCCATGGTTCTCCAGCTCTTGGCTGATCCTGAGCCCAAGGTTCGTCAGGCGTCTTTGCATACTGTCGCACGCCTGGCTGAGGATCTCGTTGAGGACCTCAGTACTGAGCACGCTCGCCTCATGCCCTTGCTCTTCCAGAACCTGGCCAGCGCCATGCAGGAATACAAGGGCGAGGAGGAGGGACCTACTCTTGACATCATCAAGGCCGGTATCAGTGCCATCGACGCTGTCGTTGACGGTCTGGATGAGAAGGATGTTTCTCCTTACCAGGCTGAACTCGTGCCCATCCTGCACAATCTGTTTAAGCACCCCGACTTCAAGATCAAGGCCCTCGCTGCCGGCGCTCTTGGCTCCCTCGCCTCTTCTGCTGGCGATTCCTTCCTCTCGTTCTTCGATGAGTCCATGCACCTCCTTCAGGAGTTCGCCACTGTCAAGGACAGCGAAGACGAGCTCGACCTCCGTGCCAGCGTCACTGACTCCATGGGTGAGATGGCAGCCGCCGCCGGTCCCGAGCGTTACCAGCCCTATGTGGAGCCCCTTATGCGTGCCACCGAGGAAGCTCTGCACCTCGGCCACTCCCGTCTCAAGGAGAGCACCTACATCTTCTGGGGCGCCATGGCCAAGGTCTACGGCGAGCACTTCGCTCCTTTCCTTGACGGTGTCGTGAAGGGTCTCTACGACTGCATCGAGCAGGAGGAGAATGACCTCGATGTCGATCTCGGCAGTGCTGCTAAGGACCTTGTCGGTCAAGAGGTCACTTTCAATGGTCGTAAGATTAAGGTCGCGAGCGCTGACGATGAGGACGATGGCGAGATTGAAGACGTCGATCTCGAAGATGAAGATGATTGGGATGACATCACTGCCACCACTCCTCTCTCCCTCGAGAAGGAGATCGCTGTTGAGGTTATCGGTGACCTTGTCACTCACACCCGCAGCGCCTTCCTGCCTTACTTCGAGAAGACCATCGAGCATGTGATGCCCCTGTGTGAGCACCCCTATGAGGGCGTTCGTAAGAGCACTATCAGCACTCTGCACCGCTCTTACGCCATGCTCTTCGCTATCGCTGAGGAGAATGGTCAGATGTCGAAATGGCAGCCTGGTCTTCCTCTTCAGGTCCAGCCTGCCAAGGAGGTCCAAAAGTTTGGTGAGATCCTCATGACTGCCACCATTAAGATGTGGACCGAGGAAGATGACCGGTATGTACCAAGCTTGTTTTCTTGTTTTCCTCCCTTGCCCAACCCAACCATTTCTATGATGATTTTTTCCGCTTAACCCAGCTCACTTTGATGCGCCAAAGGCGTACTTGATGTAAACGGCGAAGTCTACAGTCTGAGATCTATTCTTATCATTTGCCTTATCATTTCTCACTTATCGATTCCAAGATTCGATTGCTGACTGATAATCACTAGTTCCACCGTCGCTGATATCAACCGCAACATGGCTGAGAACCTCCGCTTCTGCGGTCCTGCCCTCATTGCCAATGAGACCACCCTTCACAATGTCATCCAAATGGTCACTGATGTCATTACCAAGCAACACATCTGTCAGGTGGAGTTCGGCCCTGAGGAGGAAACCCTTGAGGCTGGCGAGGAAACCTCTGAGTTTGACTGGATTGTCGTCGACACTGCTCTCGATGTCGTGTCCGGCATGGCCGCTGCCATGGGCCAGAGCTTCGCTGAGCTCTGGAAGGTCTTTGAGAAGACCGTCCTTCGCTACGCCGGTAGCTCTGAGGCTCTTGAGCGCGCCACCGCCGTCGGTGTTCTCGCTGAGTGCATCAACGGCATGGGTGCGGCCGTGACTCCCTTCACCTTTGGCTTCCTGAAGCTCCTGCTTCACCGTTTGGCCGACGAGGACTCCCAAACCAAGTCCAACGCTGCCTACGCCATTGGCCGTCTGATCCAGCACTCCAATGCTGAGGCCGAGATCATCAAGGAAATCCCCACTATCCTTACCCGTCTTGAGTCCTGTCTCCAGATGAACGTTTCCCGTCTTCAGGACAACGCTACTGGGTGTGTTAGCCGCATGATCCTGCGTTACCGCGACAATGTCCCCATCAAGGATGTGCTCCCTGCCCTTGTCAACATTCTTCCCCTGAAGAACGATTTCGAGGAGAACGAGCCTCTGTACCGCATGATCTGCCAGATGTACAAGTGGGAGGATGTTACCATCCGCGAACTCACCCCCAGTCTCCTCCCGGTCTTCCAATCGGTCCTTACCAGCGACGAAGATCAGTTGGAGGATGAGCGTCGGATCGAGCTCATTGAGCTTGTCAAGTGGCTCAACCAGATGCAGCCCGGTGCCGCTCCCTGGGCGGAGCAGCTCTAAACGGACTGCTTTTATGATGGATTGATGAACTGAAAAAGAATATAATGGATAGACCGATGGCTTTAAGCCCGAGATGACTAGACGATACCCCGGTCACTGCGGCGATGAATGATGAACCCCTCAAAAGTTGCTGCTGTATATACTGTCAATGACTCATGCTCTGTTATTTTTTCGCTTTGATTGTGTAGTTGTAAATTAATTGTAAAATCCTGTGTCTTAGTTGGATGCTTGTGTTCGTATCAACATCCGCTCGTTGGAGATCCTGTGACGTGGGTGGCGCGTTGGAACCTAAGCAATGAAATATGCTACAGCTAACCTGTACTGCGTAGGTACGGAGACTGGAGTACAATGGTAGGGTAGGTAATGGCCCCCTCCCTTATGTTCATGTTGGGCCTGTGTCTGGGTTTAAGGCCGGTCAATATATCTTGCTGCCTGCTCGGGTCTAACTTTTTCCTCTTCCTGCCTTCACTTTCTCAAACCCCGCTTTCAATCGAATAATTTCTGGCAACACTTTCTTTAGAGGTATGTTGTTCCTGCCATGTCTACTAGACTGCTACCTTCTGATCTAACTCTCCCATAGCTTTTCCTGTTCGCCATGGCCATCACCGCGATCTCAATCCCGTTCAATGGCACCCTTCCCTCCAGCGGCTCTGGAAGTTCTATCAAAAAGCCTATTAAACCAGTCTCCAAGCCATGTTTCGGCTGCGACTGCGGCGATGAAGAGTGCGATTGCTGTATATGCACTGTGATGTGAGCTGGCTGCCGTCCCTCACAATCTCGCTCGATATGCTTTTCGTGTCTCCGATCAACATCGTTACGTTATAGCCGCAGCCCAAGAAGGTCGAGCAATATCTGTTGCAGAAGTGCATTTGATATGTTTTTCGCTCTGGTTCCTGATGGTCAAGTACTTACATGTATCATGTACGCATGAGATGCTTCGGGTGCACCGATAATGATTGATTCTTCATTTGTAGGACCTATATCCATTCATTTGATGTGAAGGCCTCCATACTAGTTGATTAATGACGGGAACAATAATCCGCCGTCTCCTATGTATTAGACACAATAAGAATACTTTGCATACCCATGCCCAGATAGTCAGGTGATCCATGAGCCATGGCTCGGATGTATCATGTGTCAGCGGCGACTTTTGTCAGCGGCATTCGGAAGTCAGAAAGTTGCCGCCACTCTCCGAGCTTAGCACTGATCTCGTTACTGCATGTCGAGGTACTACAATGAATACGCCAAATGCTTCAGACCATCAGAAGAAGCGGACATCCCGTGCGTGTGACTCCTGTTATAAAAGAAAGGTAAGAAGTCCATACTACATTTGTCAACCCAATCCATCGGACCCATCATTAACCTGGTCCAGATCAAATGTGATGCTGTGCTCCCGCAGTGTAATTGGTGCAGTCACCATGATATTCCATGCACATTCGACCGAGTAGTGCACAGGAAGAAGAGAAGTACTCCACATGATGGGTGAGTTAGTACGATCATGCTTTCTATGTCGAGTTCTGATGTCAAAGTAGACGCCCTAAAGCTTCACGGCTGTCAGAGCGAGTGAGTCGAATCGAGCAGCTTCTTGCAGAGAACCTAAGTGGTACTCAAGCCTCTGGTAAGACGTTCACACAAGTACCTGCATATAGGAACGTACCAAAACTAACCGGAAATAGTGACTGGAGACTCGCCTCAATCTATCGAGGTTAACACAACGGCCAGCAACTCCCCTAGCAGCAACCAGCCCCCAGACTCATCATCAGTGCGAGTCCATTTTGCAGGCAAGGAACTAGGGGTAATCAGTTTACTTACTGGAACACTATTCCTCTTGCCCGAGGGACAAGATTGGATCAAAGCTCGTACCGGGCAACCAGTTGCAATTGACAAACTTAGCCCTGCCCGAGTCCCCTGGGATAAAGAGCGTGGGCGGACTTTCAGCACCTTCTTGATGAACATGAAGACTAAGGATTCCTTTGAGCTTCCTGAGTGGGAAATCCTGCAGACGTACATCCAGGCTTACAAAAACTCGAAGGTGATGCGGCGCATCTTTCCTGTCATAGACCCTGAGCTTTTTGATGAAACCGTCAACAGAGCATACGCTCATTCATCATTGCCTTTTGCATATGGCCAAGCCAGTTCCAAAGCTTGTGTCATTGCTTTTCTTACCTTTGTCTCCCGTCTATCTGTTCTCAATGCCGTTATCAAGGCAACCACTGATATCTCTCCAGTCGATCATGACCTCCTTGTGGCCAAGGCGCAGTTTCTGATGCCCCAAGTACTGCAAGAACCTGCCAGTCTAGATGCAGCGCAAGCCGTTACCATGCTGGTAAGTAAGGCACTCGAGTGTACCAATTCGATAACTGACCAGTGTCCAGACTCTCTTCGAGCTAGGGTCTGGAAACATGCGGGCAACAAATTACTACGCGGCGATTGCTGCACGGCTCATTTTTATGCTTGGTGGTAATCTTGCTAGTAACCAGGCCTTCCCGACGAATGACCGCGGCCACCAAAAGCAACAGCAACTGCGGAATTTGTTCTGGGTTTGCTACACCATTGATAAAGATCTTGCATTGCGCACCGGGCAGCCCCCAACCATCACCGACGAAAATTGCGATCTCACCCTGCCACCTGGATATCTTGATCGAGCCTTTGCTGACGTGGATGACGAAGAGACTTTGTGGTCAGGTCCGGTATTTCCATTCGACTTGCGTCTGAGTATCATCAAAGCCCGAGCGCATCGAGAACTGTACTCGGTCAGCAGCCTCCGGAAATCAGACGCGGAGCTACTCAAGTCTATTCGGGAAATCGATGACTCGCTAGAAGAATGGCGGCTTTCAGTTCCTCCGAAATGGCGTCCGACGGTGTCTTTTTCTTCTGAGACGTCCGATCCAAACATGGCTATGCATACCGTCATGCTGCGTCTGAATTACCATCTATGCATGACAATCATCCATCAGGCCAGTGGGCGATGCAAGTCCTGGATGCAAGCACATGGTGGTATGATGGATGGTGTGAGTTCGAGTTTGGCACTTTCAGTCGAGGCGAGTCGGTCGAGTCTATGTTACCTCGAGGCGGCAGAGCATGTGGTAGTCGATGGGGTCTTTTGGTATGTGATTTGTGTCCATGCTGCCTTGAATTCCATGCTAATCCGTCTCAGGACTCTAATTTTCTACCCTATGTCTGCGCTGCTCACTCTCTTCTGCAGCATCCTTCAGAACCCGCTAGATCCTCATTCGCGCGAAGATCTGGATCGATTGAAGGTCGCTACGGTCATGATTGAGCGGATCTTCTCACGGAAGTTGCCTGCGACTGAGGTTGTACATTTCAAATTGGTCGCTGACTTCATTGTGGAACTGAAGCGACTGGCTGAGTGTGCGATCGATAAGGCGTGGGCCGAACAGAGAGCTGCCTCTCATTAACGTGTATTTTAATTTCCTCTCGGGACTGTTACTCTTGCCTACACTTTCGGTAGCATTGTGTGCGCTTTGGCATGAGGAGTTTTGGGCTTACGAAGATATGGACCTTGATAGAAAGTATTACTGGGCTATAACCGGCCCTTGCATTTTTTACCAAAATTACGGACCCTCGTTTTCGATAGGAAGATATGTTTGTGTATCTAGTATACAGAGAGCATGTAGGATTCTCCAGCAGAGGTCGAGAGCAACCCGGCAGGTTGCTGGCTGCTCAGGGGAGCGGAATTGATCGAGACAGTCGACCTGACGTGTTTCAATGTGCTTCATGAGGATCTGGTGGCAATAGCTGGTCGCTGCCTCATCGACCTCAATACCCGGCGTTTTGGGTAATCCAGTACATGTTTGCAGGGGACGATATGAAGCCCACGCCAGTGAACATGACATGACAGGGGCCTTGATTTGGCAATGGTAACCAATTTCCAAAGGAGCTTTGTCGAGACTCCGAGGGTGATCGAATTGGATATGCATATGTCTTCGCTTCTGCTTTCTTCTGTGCCGGGCTCAGTCTCAATCTCAGAGAGATATGATTTGTATTCGGAGGAGTCGATCATCGGATTTTTGAAAACCGACGCGTTGTCCATTTCAGTCTTCCTGGTCCAGCAATTCCCAGATCAACCGAGAGTGTGCATCGGCCTTTTCTTTCAGCGCTTTGGCTTGGTCACTGTCATTATTCGACCTAGCTGCACTTAGGCCCTCCGCTTGTAACTGCTCAAGGACGCCCTCAACCTCGGCCTTGACCTTATCCATTTGGTTTATCTCTTCTTGACTGTGTTTGAGCTGCTCCTCCATCATCATGATGAGTGATTCGCGGGCTTGATGGGGACGGTAAAGGTTGAGAAGATGGTGCGCGTTGATGAACAGGTTGCGCAGATCTTCGACCTTAGCCTCAAATTGCTCTGGCGCTACCGATAGTATGCCGACAAACTCTAAGAAGTTAAGCAGCAGGGACTTGCTGATCTTGAGGAGGTAGTATGCGTGGTTGAGAGGAGGTGAGGGCTGTGAGGAATCCTGTTCTGCGTCGGTGGAGGGTTCTGGGTAGAGCTGTTCGATTCCTTGTTCTTGTAATGATGGCAATGTCGTCGATAGCTAGTCTAGAGTCAGTACTGTCGAATGCAGAGCTTCGGTGCTGGGAACGAACGGTCTGCAACTCGCCAAAGACACTGTATTGCCCCTCAGGCATACCGGGCGGCACGAGGTACCGGAGCTCTGAAGGCAATTCCAGAGCGCGCAATTCCGCTGAAGTCCAGTGCTTCTTCTTATTCGGCCGTCCATCTTCGCCCTTGGAAGCTTCGGCTTTGATTTTGTCCAGCTTGTCGAGATTCTCGCGCGTAAAGTGTTTCCATAAAGGAGGCGGGGGTGCGAATGCCGTGTTCACGGCTCGTTGTTGGCTTTCGTCGGCCATGTTGAGCGAAGGTGAGGGAGAAGAAAAGTGAGCAGCAAGTCTGTCAGTAACTTGGGGTCGAGGCGGTGACGTGGTCTGTGTACGTCTGTGCTTCCCCGTCTCGAGTGTCAACTTCAACTCCGCAACTTCTCGACATGTCCCGGTGATCGTCCCTAAGCCTTGGGATTTGCGCAAAATGCCTCACAATGGTTTTGGGAATGGGTCGACTCCAATCCTACAACGCGTGGGGCTTGCTGGAGCTGCAGCCCGCTTTGCACAACGCTCCTATGCCGCCGACTATGTCGCGCTGGGATTTGTAGTAGCGGGATGGGTACTGGTAAGCTTAGGTACTATTGTGGAAGCAATTGAGAATTCTGACGGTCAAATAGATCCAATTATTCGTGAACCCGTTCCATCGCATGTTTTCGCTAGATAACAGAGCCATTCAGTACCCGTTTGCTGTCCACGAACGAGTTCCTGTTTGTAAGTCAATTGCCCACCCCTATGATTCTCTTGATTCTGACGTGATATAATAGTGTGGTCTGTCGTTTTCGCCGGCTTGATTCCTTTCCTCATCATCCTCGCTTGGTCCGCATTGGTTCGCGCGGGTGTGCAAAAGACGCAAGTGACGGTACTCGGACTATTCGTGGCTCTGATGTTGACCTCATTGTTGACGGACATCATAAAAAATGCGGTGGGAAGACCACGTCCTGACCTATTGTCGCGCTGCAAACCCGCTCGAGGCACATCAAAGAATGCGCTGGTCGCATGGACCGTCTGCACAGAAACCAATCAACATATCTTACAAGAGGGATGGCGGAGCTTCCCTAGTGGCCATAGCAGCTTCTCATTTGGAGGTTTTGGCTATCTATATCTGTAAGTGCTTCGGATGCACGGCGGGAGACCTGATCTAACGATGACGAACAGCTTCTTCTGTGGTCAAATGCATGTCTTCCGACCTCGCACCGACCTTGGCCGCTGTCTACTCGCATTCTTCCCATTATTGTGCGCGCTAATGGTCGCTTGTTCCCGATTAGCGGATTATCGACATGATGTATATGATGTGACCTGTGGCGGTCTCTTGGGTATGCTGATAGCCTGGTTCTCATACCGCCGCTACTATCCGCCACTGCGGTCCGTCATGTGCGATGTTCCCTATGATAAAGCCGATCTTGCTGGACCGGACGGCTTTTCTAAGCTGGATGATGAAGAGGCCGTCGCGCGACCCTTTATTCCGCGTTCTGGCACCTCGTCGGAGGAAGTCTATCAACTCCAAGAGACGGAGCCATCCAGATCGACCTGAAATTTGTCTCTAAATACCTATACAATTCTTTCGGCCCAGCATACTCTGTTGCTTTGTCAGAGAATATTTGGCTGTCGTAGTCTCGTCCCAAGAGCTATGAAAGAGAAACAATGTCGTTCTTGCTCTCCCATTACCGTAGAACCCTTATCACATTGCCGAAGTGAAGAATGCCGCTCAAACTGAGGACACGCCAATTATGCTCTTTTGTCTATCGGGAGGTTTCTTCTATATCACCCTTCTGTCTGTCTAGATGGCACCACAAATCTGTCCAGCCTCATTTGACCACATAGCTGACACGCGAATTGCCTTGCTTCCTCGCGACCTTCTTCACTGTGACAGGTCCACACAGGTCGGTCGTATCGACATGCGTGCCTCCACAAGGGTACACTTCAGCCCCGATGATGTTGACGACACGCGACTTTTCTCCTGCTGGCACCAAGCTACGATCGGGAATCAACCGCTCCAGTCCACGCGAGCGGAAATCCTCTTCATCCCACCATTCGATTTGAACAGGCATTTTTGCCGCGACGTACTCATCCAGCCTCTTTTGAATAGGCTCCTTCCATTTGCCATCGATTGAGCCCTGGAACTCACATGCCGCCGAGTCGGGGAAATGCGAAGCCTTCAGTTCGTCGAAATTCTCGACCTCTTTTTCCAATAGATGTCGGACTGCTGCGCCTAGCACGTGGCCTGCAGTGTGCAAACGGGAGTACAGTAGACGTTTTTCCACATCAATGGCCTGCTCAACAGTCTCGCCTTCTTTGAAGCTAGAAGCCGAATCCCCGTCAAAGAGACCGAGGTGAAGGACTTGACCATTGGGGTCCATGCGAACAGCGGATACAGTAAAGGTGCCAGATTTGCTCTTCAACACGCCCACATCAGAGGGTTGGCCGCCACCTTGGGGGTGGAAAATGGTTTTCTCGGTGATAATGACATGGTGTTCCTCTGTGGCATCTTTGAAGAGTTGTTTGGTGTCTCCGATGGCATCAAATGGCAACACGGCCGTTACAATGGTCTCCAGAGTATTGAGACTAGCGTCATGCTGGAAGGCCAGAAAGGTGCGAGTGGAAGTCATGTTGACGAGGAGAGTCAGAGAGTCAGAGTCGAGGGTAAAAATCGAACTGATGCGGGGCACGGGATAAAACAGCCTAATATACACAACCCACTTGCATTCTATGATCGGACCTTATCTCAGGGGACTAGTTAGTAGTAGGTCTTGGTTGTATACCATAACTGTTAGCAAATAGTGTTTATAGTTCAGCCCTAAGCCTTGGTCCCCTTGGAGTCGAAGATATTCAACAGCTATTCTTCACCTTCTCAAGGCCTTCCTCCCCCACCAACTTAGTCTGGAATTTCGTGACCGAGGCTTTGTGAGTTTATCACAGCGAAGAGTGCCCTATTCTTGGTCATCGTTAATTTTCTAATCTATGTCTTCTAGATTCTGGGTTGGGTTCCGTAAACCCAGTCGGAAGAAAGTGTCAGACTGGGATACACTGGGATAAGGCCTCCCTAGGCCATAAACAGGAACCTTGGTTTTTGATGTGGTCTAGCGGTAATTATTCCCATAGAAAGGCCTACCCTGGAGGGAGACCTGGCTCCCTGCGTTTGACCTCGTCAAAACGCCGCCAGGTTGCCAGTGGGAAGGACGGGACTGGGATGGTGATACTACGGGCTGGAAAGGCTAGCGATTACATTGTACTTCAATGGCTAGTCTAGTCTAGTTTTCGCTGGAGCTTACTACGACTACGGAGGACTACGACAGAGAAGCTTTGATCATCATCTAGCTTCGTTCGCTCTTCCAATGGACACTCCCAGTCCGCGCTCAAAATATTGTTTAATCTTTTCAATCCACCTCCTGTGTTCCTGGGCGCATTGACTCAATGAAGAGGTTCCGAGCTGTGAGGAAGTGCTTGATATCCGGTACATTGAGGGGCATCTTCGCGATCTCGTGCTCCTCCCGAATCTCCAGCCGGTACTCGGTATACTGCGTGCACAGCGCAGACATGTTACTGATGCCGCGGAGAGCGACCAGAACTGTCTCATCCTTGACCAAGACTTATCACAGAGGCAGGTAACCATGCTAACCCCCCGCAGCCATCTGCCTTCAGGGCCAGGTGCTCAATATTCTTGGGACCAACGGGAGAGAGAGAGAGTTGATTAACTACTGAAGGCAGACTGCCTATTCAAGTAGATATCCACCTAAAAGGAAGCCTGATCACCAAAGCCCCCAGCATGTGATACCATGTCAAAACAAGAATAGCGATCTTGAATTACGACCGCAGTTTTCCTGAACTCGTGATGTGAATAGCTTCTCAACGGTTCTCTCCGATAGCACCAAACAGCAACCCGTTACAATGGTCTCCGGAGTATTGAGACTAGCGTCATGCTGGAAAGCCAGAAAGGTGTGGAAGTCTTGATTCTTTGTAGACGAAAAGCAGTGGAGGAGGGTAGAAAATGAACTGTTGCGGGGCACGGGATAAAACGGAGTAGGTATAGTTCAGCTCTAACCTTTGGAGTCGAAGATATTCAACACTCCGGCTATTCTTCACCTTCTGGGCCCTGGACAGCCAATCTGTTCGCTTATTCTTATATCTTAGAGGATCTCGGATCTCTCATAAAACTTGTCATCAACGCCTTTGGCAGACAAATATTGACTCGATAACCATTGCACTCTTCCCTTTGTTTCAACGACGTTCACATCTCCAACACCCGATGTCTGACACACACCCTTTTGATCCTCTCAGCCCCAAGGAAATAATCCAGGTATAACTTCAAATTTTGACCTAGATGAATGCTCTGTTGACTATATTGTAGGCGACAAAAGCGGTGAAACAGTTATTCCAAGGACAATGTCCCAACTTTCGCGTTATCACTCTGAAAGAACCGCCCAAGCAGGAGATGATAGCATTCCTGGAGAGAGAACGTCTAGGGCAGTCACATATCTCTCGACCTGCCCGTATCGCCTTTGTTCAAGTAATTGTTCGTGCTGACCATGGAGCAAATGAACTGACTGAGCTCCTGGTGGATATCAACCGTGATGCCATTGTTCATCGAGAGGTTCTTACAGGGAAGCATTCATTCATTGACTCAGCCTATATGAAGGCCGTTGAAAATGCTTGCATCTCAGACGAGCGGGTGCAACTTGAAATCAAAAAGTTGAAGCTCCCTGAAGGCGCCTCGGTTGTTGTTGAGCCGTGGGCTTACGCCACTGATGGCATGAATGACATGTCGGAGCGGACGAGCATGGTAAGTATATGTGTACAATGTCTCGATTCTGACTGACAAAGATGCTAGTGCTGGTTTTACATGCGACTTCTCGATAATCCTGACGCCAACTATTACGCATATCCACTTGACTTATGTGCAGAGGTCTCTGAGCAACTCACGGTCACCAAGGTCTATCATCTCCCTTCGTCTGAGAATGAGCGTGTGCGTCAAGAGGCACGACCATATGACCCCTGCAAGGTCCATTCTAGTGCTATGAGTGAATACCATCCCAGCATCCGACCATCGCCTCGCACAACTACCAAGCCTTACCAGGTTGTTCAGCCAGAAGGTGCGACCTTCACGACGCAGGGAAACCTGGTAACTTGGGAGAAGTGGACGATGCGTGTGGGGTTCAACTATCGTGAAGGTCTCACATTGCATGACATTCGGTATGACGGTCGCAGTCTCTTCTATCGGCTGTCTTTGTCGGAGATGTTTGTGCCTTATGGTGACCCTCGGGCTCCTTTCCCACGCAAAGCAGCATTTGACCTTGGCAACGATGGTGCTGGGATCAATGCAAACAACCTATCACTTGGGTGTGATTGCCTTGGGCTGATCAAGTATTTTGATGCATGGCACAACACATCATCGGGCGAACCGCTGAATATGCCTAATGTCGTCTGCTGTCATGAACAGGACGATGGGATCTTATGGAAGCACACAAATTTTCGAACAGGCAATGCCGTAGTGGTCAGATCGCGTATCCTGGTTTTGCAGACCATCATCACGGTCAGCAATTATGAATATATCTTTGCTTTCCACTTTGGCCAGGATGCCTCGATTCATTATGAGGTTCAAGCCACCGGAATCTTGTCCACTGCACCCATCAATATCGGCGACAACGTTGGCTACGGGACTGTCGTCGCTCCCGGCGTACTTGCACCGTATCATCAGCACTTATTCTCCCTTCGAATTGATCCTGCGATTGATGGAGTTGCAAATTCATTGCAAGTTGAAGAGTCCCACCCTTTGCCCTTCGGTGACCCATCTATCCATAATCCTTTCGGAGTCGGCTACACAACAAAATCAAGCATCGTCGACGTGGAGGGAGGGCTGGATCTTGATTTCAACAAGAATCGCACCTTTAAGATCATCAACGAGGCAAAAACCAATCCTATCACCGATACGCCAGTTGGTTTCAAACTTGTCCCATGCTATAGCCAGATGCTGCTAGCCCATCCGGAATCTTTTCATGCGAGGCGATCTGAGTACACAAAGCACGCGATTTGGGTGACTCGTTACAATGATGATGAGTTTTTCCCAGCCGGAAGACATACAATGCAGTCTCTTGGGGGCGAAGGAATCAGCTCAACAATTGCTCGACGGAGGAACGATCCTGACTGCGATACTTCAGTGCGAAATGAAGATATTGTTATTTGGCATACATTCGGATCAACACACAATCCGAGAATCGAGGACTGGCCGGTGATGCCGTCTGAAAAGATGGTGGTTGGTCTCAAGCCCGTCAACTTCTTCGCAGGAAACCCTAGTTTAGATGTTGCCGTATCTACTCAAGTGGATAACAAGAGTAGTCTGGTTGACACAGCTGAGCCTGTTGTCTGTTGTTCTGAATAAAGTCACTTTCATGGATGATGATGATGGAGCTAGGCTCATATCATGTTCGAGATCTAAATGGTACATCTCATGATCTCACTCCAGGTCAGGACCGAGAGTATCATATTCATTCCTTATGTAGCCCTCTGCACCCGTACTTAACCCTCCGCTTTGCATCGAATATGACTGAGCCCCACCAAGCCCCCGCTTTTGACTTTTTCCCACGTAAAAAGGAATCTCGACAAGATGGTTCATTGGACTACTCTGAGTACTAGTACGGAGTAATTAAAGCGTGGGTATCGTCGGTCTTTTCCCCCTAAACTCGTTAAGTCTCAACCTTCCCATCTTCAATCTTTATACAATGTCAGCTTCCTCCACCCCCAAAGTTCAAATCCTCCTCTCCGTGGATTTCGATGCTGTGTCGGGCTTTCTAGGCACTGGTGCATCAGCCACAACAAATCTGGCCGATTACAGCAGTGGCTTCTTTGCAGCTCAAGTGGGAGTCCCGCGCTTGTTGCGTCTTTTCAAAAAACATGGAATTAGTTCTTCGGTGACCTGGTTTGTGCCTGGGCATTCAATGGAGTCATTCCCAGAAGAGACCAAAGCAATCGTCCAGTCGGGTGCTGAAATTGGCTGTCATGGGTATGCTCACGAGGGCTCAAGTCAAATGACCGAGTCACAGGAGAGAGAAGTCATCGCCAAATGTGTACAGCTAGCAACCGAACTGACGGGCCAGAAACCTCGAGGTTGGAGGGCGCCGTTATATCAATTGCGAACGCATACCATTCAAGTGCTCGAGGAGTATGGCTTCCTATATGGTATGTTCAATCGAACGCTAATGTCAACAAAGATACTAATTTAGGCCAGACACCTCTCTCACACATCATGACTCGGCGCTGTATTTTGTCCCCCGAATGTCAGAGCCCAAGTCCATTGACTTCTCGCCATCCAAGTCTGCTTCTACTTGGATGAAGCCCCTCCCTGCACCTGAACCCAGGACTTCTCAGACTCTAGTGGAAATTCCCTGTAACTGGTATATGGAGGACATGACTCCGATGCAATACCTCCCCGCGGCAGAGAACTCGCATGGATTCGTTAGCCCGATCACCATTGAGCAGAATTGGAAGTCGCGATTTGAGTTCCTCTACAGTGAGGCTCTCGAAAAGTCAATTGAGGGAGATACCGAACAAGGCTTCGTGTTCCCTTTGGTTCTTCATCCAGATACCAGCGGAATGGCCCATGTGGTAGGGATGATTGACCGAATGATCAGTTGGCTCAAACAGCAGGATGGCGTTGAGTTTGTTACTTTCGAAGAATGTGCAGCAGAGTGGAAAAAGAAGCAGGATGCTTAGGAGATGTGTTCTAAAGCGAACAATACCAACCCCATGTCAGCCATGCACTATTAAGTGTTGGTCCAGACCTCGTAATAAGCCACAGTAACAAACGCACACTGGCGCATTGGTATCCAATTTTTATAAAACAAGCCCATTCACGTATAAAAATCATATCGGCAAAATCTCGTCTTTCTATGTCGATGTGTATTTGTCAGTCAATTCTGCCGGGCCATTTCTGCGGAATGGCCAGAACCTTTTTATCCGCCACTGGTGGAGCCAAAACCTCTTAACTTCATCTTCTCGTACGAGAGATACCTCACGGGTAGATTCATACCACCATTACCATGTGAAGCTGCATCAAATACATCTCGGATGCCACGAAGAAAAGCTGCAGACCGTACGGGTCCGGTGAAGACCCGGTCTCGCGAGGGCTGCAAAGAATGCCGCGCGAGCCGTGTCCGATGTGACACCAAAAAGCCTCTCTGCACACGTTGCTCGGAGAGAGGATTGCCGTGCACGAAAGATCTGACCCTGAAATGGGAATCGGAATTTGTCAGTCGTGGAAAGGCCTTTGGACGTGCGGGTGTATGGAGCAAAGCTGGGCCTGATGCAACTCAATCTACACCCGGCTCACTTTCTTCAGAAACGAATGAGTGGTGCCCCGTACCAAATGTCAGCTCTTGGGGTTTCATAAACAGCAGTTCTTCAACGTTTGAACACCCAGATGAAGTGAACGTGGACTTCGACGAGCTAAATGCGTTAGCTCATGTTGCTCAAGGCTCAAACCCATCATCTCCTGGAAATGATCCACTATGGTCCTGGTTGCAGCGTTTCCCACAACTCCATGGTGTGGCAACGAACTTCAACCAAAGTCTACCCCCTTCTCTTGCACTTTTCCCAGAGCTATCCAAGTCCGGCCATGGAGAGCTATTTGATTACTATCTCCATCAAGTGTGTCCTCGCACGGCAGCTAGCTCCACATTATCATCGCCATTCGCCTCCGTGATCTTGCCCTTCTGCCTCTCGGCCTCTCCCACACTCTTTAAAGCGATCCAAGCATTGGGGGCATGTCACTGGTCAAGACTTAATCCAAGTTACAGTGCTATCGGTCTGCGTTACAAATCAGCGGCGTTGAGGGACCTTCGTCATCGGCTTGCGTCGGAAGGAACTCTGACATGTTCCATGGATCCTGAAGTTCTGGTGATTATGATCATGTTATGTTTGTACGAGATAGTGGACAAGTGTGATCAACAATGGACAATCCATCTCAAAGGCGCCAATGACTTGATTCGCCTGAGGCGAAAACAGCAAATGACCTTGGCGCAATCGACAGCAGCCTCATCGGATCCGGTGACAAGGTTTGGGGAACAATTCTTCGCCTTCCAAGATGTCATGGGTCGAACCGCCTGTGCCAAAGAGGTCTTGTTTGGTACCGACTATTGGAGACCGGATGAGCGCAACATCGATCTCTGGATGGGATGCAGCCCCGAGTTGGTTTCAGTCTTGGCCAAGATCACAGATATGAGTCGAACGAGGAGGCAGAATACGTCTGAAGAGGACAAATCATCATTTTCCATGCGTGCAGCCGCCCTTGAACGTCAGCTAGAGCACTTGGTCCAGGAAGTGGGAGAAGGCAACGACGAGGACCTCGCATTGGTTGCAGATTCCAAGCGTCTGGCTGCTGTACTTTACCTACATTGTGCGTTGTATGGGGCGAGCCCTACTACACCTCTGGTGAAAGGCTATGTGCGCCAGATCCTGCGACTCATATCCGACCTTCTTGGGCGTGGACAACTGGTCAACGTTACATGGCCGGTGTTTGTGGCAGCCGTGGAGCTTGATCCTTCTGATGACGAGATTTTTTCAGAGTCTGGGACCGAGTCAGGATCCGGTCGAGCAATCGTGCTACGCTCTTTGGCCACAATGGCCGATTCAACAATCTCGAACATTGCCCGAACACGGGCCGTGATCACCAGGTTATGGCAAACACGAGATTCAGACCTACTCAAGGGATCCACCATACAGAAGCATTGTAATGATTGGGAATGGTATGTGGTTCCAATCAGCAATGCCATGAGTCTGGCGTGAGGCGAGGATGGGAATGTACACAGTACCCTCTATGTTTCATGCAACCAAGAGCGAAGAAACTATAAACGCTCGTTTGTTCTTATATTTCTCTAGGATAGCTTGTTAGCCTATAAATATATGTTCGTGTGTCAAACAGTGCAGGAAATCCCGTAGGTGTTTTTCATCATGTAAGAGCATCTGTGGCACGTTCGTACGGAGTAGATGGGGGAAGAGATATCAGGATCTGAACCTCAGGTGTCTGTCGGCTTATCTGTCCAAATTGGGTTTAGCGTGTATCATCTGATCTAGCCGCTCGGAGCCAGCAACCTGCGATGTGATGTAGACTTCAGACGAATTCGAGTGCTGGGTCTTTCCTGCTAAAAGCACGACGCATGCGCTTTTCCGCCATCGTCGTGGTGGAAATTCCAGTTTTCAGCGTTGGTGCCGGTGAATTATGCCCTTCGTTGCCCGCCCTTGCTCTGTGTCGCGAAACCCGACCCAAAGTGACTGAAGATTGAATATGGCGCAAGTACGACCTCCAGCGCCGGGGCGCAGTACATCGGCTCATGGATTCGAGAGCAAACTCAGTCAGCAGTTATCTCAACCTCAATCCGATATGGCTCAACCAGAACCGACACGCTCACCCAAGTCACGCTCTTTATCCGATGCGTCCAGGCCTACTTCCGTCCTCCAACCTTGTGCCGGCGATCTCAGTCGCCCACCAAACAAGGACGATAATGCGATCCCCTCCCTGCCTGCTACTCCTCGGCGATCAAGTGTATCTCACTCCACTTTGTCGTTATCTAAACCCGCCGTGTCACCATCACTTGCGAACTGCGCACCTCTCTCCCCTAAACTCGACCCATCGCATATCTACGGATCGCCAGGATCCGTTCTCCCTCGACGATCCCGGGGTCTTGATTTCTCGCGCGCTTGTACAAACCTCCACCATTCCACTCTCGCTGAGTCGTCCCCGGATTCGTCGCCCACCGTCGGAGGGCGGGGCATGCCGATACCCCAGCGGCGCGGATCACCGGGAACGACCTCCGTTCCACCTTTCTCAACCTCGGGTCCGGCGGACCGTAACGCCATATCCAGCTCCATGTCGAGCGTAAATATGATTGAGTCGGACACGAGTAGTAGTGAGGAAGATGAGGCGATGGGTGACCGCGACGAGATGATGATCAATACGCCGCAGCCGACGCGCATCAATGGGCCAAGTCCGTTTGCCAGCAACTTGCAGAGCCCGGGCAACGAGTGGATGGGAGGGTATTCACAAGCCGCCGCCAGCCTGATGAGTTTCCAACGCGCGCGCTTTCGTAAAGGCCGCAGTCATCACAGCTCCAGCAGCGGCAGCAGGAACAGTTCGAAGCCCAGTCCTGCCCCCCACTCTCCACCCATCATGAAAAGCGTCGAGCACTCTACAGGAGGCTATTTTGCCCCGCGGCACGCTGCGCATTCGCGGAGAGAGAGCCTTAGCTTCGGTACGCGCGACCTGCGTTTGTCCGATCAGAGCGATGATAACGAGAGTCACGGAACTCGAAGCAGAAGCCCAAACCCGACACCGCACTCGGAGGGTGGCGGTCCACTAGGAGTAATCCGTCGCGCGGTGACTCGGCGTGGAAGCTTACTTGTAAGTCGAGTTATCTGTGCTACGGTCGTTTACCAAGCTAACTTTTGTCACAGCCCAAAACCAAGACCTTTGCACGCATTCGTGCCGCTCTTATGGAAGAGGGTGCGCCGGTTGATAGCGACATGAAACGGGAGGCGGAAGTTGTCCGGCAGGTCCGCGACACTGAGCCAGAACCTACCCCCGCAGTAAGCGGGCTCCCATCATTGCAACCTTCCTCCTTTGACCTGGCATCGACCGAGGATCCCATCGTCAAGACGGAAACGGACGCACCGCATACGGACACTTTTGGTATACAAGCTAGTCGCCATTCTGGCGGCGTTGAATTCTGGAACTCCTTCGATGGACGATATCGCACCCCGCCCCCGGTCCGTCAGGGAGGGCCCTCGTCTGTGGCAGATGACGATGTATGCATGGATATGACTCCCTCCACGACCATCGGCTCTGTCACTGCGAGTTCATGCAAACCACGGTCCCGCTCTTCCACTCCTCATGCCCCTGGAATGCCAAGTATTGGAGAGATCTGTCGCAAGCGGCGTCGTGACGATGACTTCGATCCTAATCTTTTCAAACGCCGGGCTGTTTCGCCTAGCGTGAGCGCTCAGAGCAGTCCAGTGATGACCCACTCCCATCATGTCAATGATATGGGCCCGAACATCTGGGGGCCGCCGCCAAAGCCAGGTCTTGGTGCACCCTTCTCTGAGCGACTCAGTACTGAATCTGGCAGTCGAGTGAACCCTCATACTGGAGGTGTGAAACGTGTCGGTCTCCAGGGAATGACCGAAGCCAGCGATGGCTTTATGAATATGAGCATTGATTGAGGGTCTTTGGATACGTTATGTTATTATTTGGTCTAACGGAGTCTTTGGTATATTGGTTCCTTTCTTTGGCTTGTTTTGGGGTTGAAGGGCATGGCATGGCGTTGGGTTTGACAGTTCAAGATACACACACTCGTTAGTTAAGCGTTTTTTTCAATTGCCTCAATTAACATTGTATTGTTCAACATGACTTACGGCTTATCAATCGACTCTCGTACTCCGTAGACTGATCTATAAGATGTTGTTCCCCTCGAGGCCACGTGCTTATCGCTCTCCGCCTCCGACAGGTCTGGTTCTCTCCGCAGACTCCACAATCACCCTGAGCTGCCTCCAACTCTGCTTGCAATTGTGCTCCTCTCGCGTGATTTACGTGTCTTGATTCTTTAACACTTCCTCCTGCGCCATGTCTTCCACTGTTGAACTGGCGTCCTCCTTCATCGAGGGTGCCCCGCCCGGAGAGGTATGCATGTCAACAATCCATGAACCCCCGCTGGTCATCCTTCACCTCAAGATTAATGATCGCTGACATGTTTTTTTTTTTCGTTTAGCTCGCCGATGTCGTCGCCGGTAAATTGCCCTCGCCCTCGTTGCGATACACTGTCCTCCGTCTCCGCAACCCTGAGCGGTTCACGAATGGCGTTGCTGATTACCCTCTTGATTAGACGTGCAATCTTTGACTTCTGACGGCGACGATATTATTCCATCTCTCCTCCCCGCATTCAAGCGGTACAATGAGACGCAGCTCACAACGGTGAAATTGCCGGGATCAAGCCAGGAGGTAGGTTGCACTGCAAGTGTGGTGTCTTGGTAAAAGCTGACGTTGTTGGGAAGGTTATCGTCAGCGCATTCAACGAGCTCGAAGATAATCGATACTTTGATCCGGAAAGCCAGACCTCCTTTGAGGTTGACCATAGCACACAGGTATGTTTCATCCGACCCGAATAGAACAGCACGAAGACTAATGGATTGGGATCATCGGAATAGACGGCCTCTGCGGCACAATCATACCCTTTGGAGTCGACGAATGCGGATTTGATGTAAGAGTCAATGGCGGTTGTACTAGGAAGTTGCTTACCAGGTATAGCAAATCGCTGCTCAAGTCGTTCGGTGCCCATGCCCGCGAACACTACCCCAACTGCTCATATGGCGTCTACCCCATTGAGAATGACTCGGCCGTTGCTATTCTCTTGGTTGCCAACCGATACTCTCCCAACAACTTCTGGTGAATAGTCACAATCTCTGTGGATAATACCTCGGAAACTAATGTTCTCTCACAATAGGAACGGTCGTTTCCGCGCAATCTACCAACTTCCCGTCTCCTCCTCGTCCTCTACCTTGACGGGCAACATCCACGTCGATGTACACTATTACGAAGACGGCAATGTGGCACTCAACACTACGAAGCCAATCCAGGTCTCCATTCCCAGTCTGTCCGCCGAGTCTATTGTCTCGCGGATCGCTGCAGCGGAGCGCGATTACCAGGAAGCGCTGAGCCGGGCGTTTGTCCAGACCTCCGAGGGTGTTTTCAAGGGTCTCCGCCGGCAGCTCCCCATTACCCGGCAAAAGGTTGAGTGGGAGAAGGTCGGTGGATATCGTCTGGGACAGGATATTTCGGGCGGCAAAGGGCGATAGAGCGGAAATATTGTCGAGTGGTGTAATGAATCTGCTCGCAGTGCATAGCTAATGAACTCATATATCCCTGTTATTTTGCAAGCTTGACCATATTGAATTATCCATCTCTTACTGTGTAATGTAAGATAGTTCAAGATTCCTCTGTACTGTACCTAATACTCTATGGATGTATGTCTCTCCCAATCCACGGTATAACACAGCCACAGAACAATACAATGGAGATCCAAACGGCGACCAATATGCGGACATAGATTATTCCAGTTTAATTTATTTCAATCTGTATAAACTCGTTGCTCGATGCAAAGGCTGAATAAGCAATATTGTTAGTGCAAGCCCTGTGGAGGTGGAAATCAGCCCGCTCCCCAGCCTTTTGACACACAAATCCCCTTTCCTCGAGATTGAAGCAGTGCAGCAGTGATGGCTCAACAATTTTCCCGCTTTGTCAAATCGGGCGCCGGCCTTGAAAAGACCCTTCGGCTGATTCAATGCGTGTCGCAGGTCGTCGCTGCACTCACTGTAGGCAGTGCCTTGGCCGTGCAATTGACGACAGTTAAGCTACAATTGGCGTTGTGTAAGTTGGAGTCGATCACTGAATAGTTAAGACGTGCTTTGTTAAGCTGTCGTACCTACTGACACCGGGACTGCTGTATAGCACGGCGGTACTTCCGTTTCTTCGGGTTCATCGACTCCTTCCAGCACATGATTGCATTACTGGGTAAGGACGGCTTCACTTCTGTCGCCGGACTGCTGGAACTAGCCCAGTCCACTTGCTTTGGTCTCTACTTTGTCCTCGAGGACTTGACTCTGGTACTGTTGCACCCACCACTTCGTCCCCCGTGATTGCCCACTGAACAAGTTCACTAGCTTCATGCAATGGGTGTCTACGCCGTCCCCTGGCATGACCGTGTGATGGACCAGGCTAATACCTTCTGGTTCTATGCGCTTGCTTTCTCTGTTGCCGGGGCTCTTTGGGCGCTGCTTTTCGGCCCCGCGGAGAAGCCTGTCAAGAAGAATGGACAGAAAAAGAACCAGAAGGCTGTGTCGGAGAAGATTAACCCGACCAAGGCGACTCCGTCTTCTGTTCGGGTTAAGCAGATTGTGGTAGAGCTCTGTGATATGCTCATTCCGCTGGAGCTTCTGGGCTGGATGCCCACCGGCGACGTGGTGGTTGGATCGACCATGGTGTTGAGCACACTTCTGACGGCTCAAGATATCTGGGCACAGGTGTAATGGGGGAGTGCAGAATATTTTGCCATTGGTGTCTGGATAGACATAGAACGTGAAAAAAGGGAGGGCATTAGATGCTAGACTTGAGTCTGAAAATTCATAGACCATGACCCCTATATTTACCACAAAACTAGCCCCGCGACGCCAGGGGCAGAAGTAAAACTGTACTGTGCAAAACAGTCCCATCGATCACACTCGATTGACTTGTAACTGAGTGAGGATTGACTCGGCAAAAACAAAAAGACATGGACTCGCGGGGAATCGAACCCCGGACCACTCCCATGCTAAGGGAGTATTATACCACTAAACCACAAGCCCAATTGGATGAAAGAGACCGCTAAGATTGACATGATGAAAGCATATGTTTAATGGAAGCGGGCTATGGTCTTACTGTGTAGGAAACGGTTAACGGAGTCAACGGCGTCGTCTTTACGGAGTACAAGAGGCACAAAGCTGAAGCATGAAAGTTTCTAGGGCTTTACCATGACTGGGGCTGAGTCTCCACAAGCCGCTGACCGTTGAGATTAGGCCAGATAAGAGCACTGCCTCCTTCTGCTCCAAATCATCGAGGTACGGATCACAGCTCTGGAGGGCTGTGAGGTCATAAGCCCGAAGGCTTAGCCGGGCGCAGGCGGAAATACGAGCGCCAAGCAATGAAATAAAGTTCGAGAGAACCGCGGATCACGTCTAAACGATTTGATCCCAAATAGGCAACTCTTCGTATTGAAAGAAACTATATAAATCCCGAGAAGCTCAATAGCTGGAGATGGAGATCATTCATAACCAAAAACCCCCAAGAATGTCTACTACAACCACAGCCCTTGATCTAAAGACTGAGGAGATCCACTCCTCAACCTTGTCTGTGAGATCCACCAGTACTTCATACACGCTCATCGAGAACTCGTCTTCATTTCGTCCGTCGCGCATTTTGACCGTCAATGCGAAAGGAATCGGTGCCTTTCGCCTTCCACTACCATCTCGCCAGACCGAGATCTATGTCTACAACCCCGATGGCACTGAGGCGTATGTATCCACCCGCGATAAGCGCTATTCGGGCAGTGCGGTCTTGTCTCACCCCAAGCGCGGAGATATTATCCGAACCGAGTACTTCTTCGGCCCGAACCGTGAGCCTATTGTGCATTTACTCCAAAGCTCCAGTGACATGCCGCAGGAAGTGACTGTCTCTGGGAAGTGGAGCTCGCGCACAATGCGCTTCGGCGTGCCTGGAGGTAAACTGTTTGAATGGGAATATGCCAAGGAGAAACGGCCCGATGGACAGAAGGTCAATTTGATCGTTTTCCGTGCAGTGGACGGAGACACGGGGAAGGGTAAAGAGTCCAAGGGCCGGAGGATTGCGCAGTTGGTTCGCGGCGAGGATACCCGGACGCCCGGTACATCGCGAAGTACTGCGGGCAATGGGGGTGAATTGCAGATTGATGAGACGGCGGTACAGTCGGCTGAACTGGACGAGGCGATCATCGTTGCAACTTGTCTGATGATGTTGAAGAAAGAGATTGACCGACGCCGAATGATCCAATTCGCAATTATCGCGGGAGCGGGTGGTACTTGAGAGGTTCATGAATGGTGTATGCAGGCAATGGTAGTTTCCTTCGGTTTCTTTATAACGTTAATGTCTATTCTCTATCGGATATCTTCCAAAAATTCTTTCCGTTGTATAAGTCCATGTCTTCGTCCAATGCTTGGGGTGCCAGCCCCAGCCTCACTTGCGTTCGTGCAATAATTCCGAGATGTGGCCATTGAGCCAGTATCCGTCCAATTCCTCGGTGGACATGGTCTTGGCTCCAGAAATCCAACCTCGGCAGACTCCCTCGCCTGCCCCGCAGGTGCACTGGAAGCACTGGTCCATTTCCCACTCGGTGCTGGGGTAGAAGAAGGTGAGGGCGTCGCCGGCCTTCAAAGGGCGATCATCCACGACTCGCACTTCCATTCGGCCCATATCAAAGACCAATGAGGGGGCACATGAGTGGTTGCAGAAGACCAAGTCGGAATTGAGCTCAATATGGGAGTCGCGGCCGGTTTGCACGGTGGTGTAGGCCTTCTTGCCGGGGGTAGCCGTAGTAATCTTGGCAAAGACAGCCCCGGCGGGGAGATCGATCAGAGAGTAAGCCCCGCTACCGAACGCTTTGGTGCTTCGGTCAACGCGCAGACGGTCGGGATGAGTCGGAGGAGGGAGCTCGTTGGCAAGTGTGGGAACGGGATCGGCGGCGGGTGCCATTGTGAAGGAGAGGGATGAGGTAGGATAGTGAGATAGAGGATGTTTGAGGTTACAAAGAGGAAAGAGAAAGGGAAGGGGTGGATGGGGTGATCCAAGGGGTTTTATCAAGGTTACAATCAAGGCTCCCTTCAACCGAGGGACACGTTAGAAACGGTCTTACCCCTCGACCGAGGCTACAGGTGACGACAGAGGATCGTTTCTAATTAAAACCCGTGAACGTGCGGGAGGTCACAGGTGCCTTTTTAGGGTGGAGGAATTCCAGGTCTTCGTCCGGTATCCACATCTACCACATGCAGAAATTCCTCATTCTCGGCTTAAATGAGAGTCTACTCCGTAATCTGTGACCAATATCATTGAAAATTACAGTCTATCTGCATATGATCTAATTCATTCTGCGCAGTAGCTCTTGTCCATTCAACCATCGCTCCAAGTTCTCGGCGGTTTCCCGATACCACCCTCGTAATAGCTCCTCCTCTCCATATCCCATGTGGGGGGAAAGTAGCACTTCACTACGTCCATCTTGTCCCCAGGGAGTAGTACGCCATGGACTGTCCAGCGGCAACGGCTCCGGATCGAAAACATCCAGCGCGGCACCGCGAATGTGACCGGCAGTCAAGGTCTCGAGGAGGGCCTTCTCATCAATCAAGGGTCCACGAGAAGTATTGACGATGAAGGCAGAGGAGCGCATTTTCGCCAACTCAGCTGCACCTACAATGCCCCGGCTTCGGTCCGATAGAACACTGTGTACACTCACAAGGTCGGACTGTGCGAAGAATTCTTCTTTGGACGCCGCCACAGCGAATGTCCCTGCAGGCAGACCTTGGGCTTGCGCTTGCTCATCTGCCTTTGCTGGGGTCAAATTGGTTGACCATGCCAGGATTTTCATTCCAAACGCCAGGACGCCAATTTTTCCCACTTGCGATCCCAATTTGCCCAAGCCGAGCAGTCCTAGTGTTTTGCCGGATAAGTTCATGCCAAGCGAGCCTTGCCATGCACCGCGTTTGACTGCTGCATCGTCCCGCGCGATGTGCCGAGCAAGGCCTAAGATTAAAGCCCATGTATGTTGCACCGTCGAATTGACACCGGGTGGTCGGCCCTCGGTGCCTGCGACGGCCACGTTTGAACGGGTAAATGCATCGAGATCGAGCGACAGGTTGCGGGTGCCCGTAGTCAATAGGAGCTTCAGATTGGGGAGCGCTTCGATTGTCTTAGCAGCAAACGGTGTCCGCTCGCGCATCGCCAAGATGACATCGAAGGGAAGGAGTCGTTGGATCAGGGCATCGTGTTGTGTCGGATCGCGGGGGTCCAGGGTCTCGGGAAAACTGGTGATTTCGACCTGCGACTCGAGGTGAGCGAAATAGGGAGGTGCAATGCCTTGATAGTCATCAAGGATGGCAAACTTGATGGCCATTTTGTAGTTTAGCGAAGAAGAAGTACTTCGTAAGAGTAAGAAGAATGTCAGGTGAATTGAATTTCCCGCCCTAAGCCTGTGGGGAAGTAAATGACGTGCCCGGCTGTCTGTTTATCCACTTGAAGTACTGTATCCACAGTGTACTGTGTATGTGCATCACACTGTCTAGATGGATTTTATTGGGATGACTATCTTCAGGTAGAATATTGGAGACAAGTCGAGGCATGGCGGATCTGACTTGTCGTATGTGCTTCATACCATTATGGCCCGATCTATTGTGGAACTGGATCCCTCATCATCAAGTGAAAGCTTTCACTTCCTTCACCCCCAAAGGAGGTAAAATCAATGGTGATCTCCTCCAATATCTTCCATCCGTGTTTGAGGTAGACGGGAAGGCCCTCGGGCGTGGCTTCGAGGAAGATGCGCGACTGAGCGGCATCTGCCTTCTCTGTGCCCCATTTCAAGACGGTAGACCCGAATCCTCGCCCTTGATATCCTGGCAGTGTTGCTATGAAATCAAGAACTGGTGATGCATTTGAGTCAGACCCAATAATACACAGAATGCCCGCCAATGTGGGGGACTTACTCATATCATCCTCCGTGGTGTATCGCTCGCGAGCATCCGCCAAAAGCTTTTTGAAGGCTTTGAAGATGGTCTCATTCATTGGTTTGGGTGCATATGGTATAGGATCCTTGGCATAGATGGCCGCCTGGTCACTTAATGTCACCACGCTGGTACCAAATGATGCGGGGAGATGCCAACGGCTGTAGGTGACCAGCTCCCCGGTGGTTGGGTCGTGAACTTTGAGGACATGCATATTGGGGTTGGCGAGATGTTTCATCCCCACAATAGCTTTGTATTCTTGCATCCTAGTCAAGCTGGCCCCAGGAAAGAATTGTCCGAGCAGTTGACGGCCTTGGAAGCTTTGGACGTTGATTTTCGCAAGTGCTGGGCCATCGGCCTCAGTGGCATATTCCACGAGATACATTTGGTAAATGAATCTCAGCCAAAGAAGAAGCTAAGAATATATGAAGATGGATTGAATGAATGGAATGGGATTCGAGATGGGGTAGGAAGTTGGAGATGGGAGTGCGGAGTCAGGTCAACTAGTTCCCCGTTGCCTCGGGAGTCTGCCGATGGCTTCTAACACAAACATTTCCATATACCGGGCTACCGGGCAATATACCTAGCTGACTGATACCTACCTAGATGGACGATAACTCACCATGTGCGTGATTCGTTGTGTTTCTCTTCTCCACGCGTCAGGACCAAAACAAATATATAGCCCATGAATGCTCCGACCGATGGAAGCAACATATCCCCATCTGCCCGCGTGATATTTAAAGAACAGACATGTTCGATTTACGACCTAGGATGTGATGGAAGACTGCACGAAATCGAATTACAACCCATATATATACCGTATATGTACATCTCGTGGGCAATTCGCAATCCCATTCGACTATTTACGCGGCGACGGTGGCAAAGGTCTTCAGAGAGGCCTCGCTGCCATTCCAGATCTCAGAATCACCACCATAGCTGTAGGCATCCGAGTTCTGCCAGAAGCTCTGGTAGGGCCAGCCACCGGGGATGGTACCGACGGAAGAGCTGTAGCGAGCCAGCACCAAGGGATAATCGTTGCTGAAGGCAGTGCTGCCACCGGTGCAGGTGTTCCACCAGTCGGCGGTGGTGTAGATCATTGGGTACCGACCGGTCTTGGCCTTGTAGGTAGTACCAAAGTCCTTGATCCAGGAGACCATGGCAGAGGCGCTGAGGCCATAGCAGGTTGCGCCAGACGGGTTGTATTCAATATCCAGCATACCGGGCAGGGTCTGGCCATCGTTGCTCCAGCCTCCACCGTGGGCGAGGAAGTAGGTGGCTTGGGCGGCACCTGAGCTGCTAGCGGGCTGGGCAAAGTGATAAGCACCGCGGATCAAGCCAGCATTAGTGGCACCGGTGTATTGCGAGGAGAAAGAGCTGGAAATGAAGGAGGTGCCCTCAGTGGCCTGGCCCGGTTAGTATTGGTGATGGGTGACCAGGGGAAGGATTGTGAGCACTGACCTTGATCATGACGAAACGGGCACCAGAGTTGTAAGCACCAGCAAAGTCCACGGTAGGTTGGTAGCCGGAGATGTCGAAGCCCTGGACACCGGAGGCACGAGCCTCAAGAGGGCTGGCGCTGGCTGCAGCAGCGAACAGGAGGGAGGCGAAGTTGAGCTTCATGGTGAACGTGTGTTATAAGGCGAGTGTGTCGGTGTATCGAATTGGGTCAATTGAGTGGGTATCTGGGACTATTTATGTTTCTGCAGGCTGGAATGAAGCCTTCATACGAAGCCGAATACGATTGTATAGTTGCATCCCCGGGATTGTAACCCCCAATAAACAAAACACGAGATCGAGTGACAGAAAGTAACCTTACGAGAGCCACGAGGGGTCCCGTTCTCATCCAGGTATTCGAGATGCAGATCAGTCCGTGTCGTTTCAAGGGTTCGGCTTCTGCAGCCAGGGCTGATCTCGATAGGAATAGTAACCACAACTTAAGAAGAGTTCAGCAATTGGTCAGAATCCGAAGGTCTTCAATTTTGTCAATGGTCAATAGAAACTATCCAAGGAATTGCACGTTTCGTGCCTATTGGACTTCTTCATAGTAGGGGGCTAGGGGCGATGCAGATGCAGAAGTAACCTTAAGATAAATAGCTGTAAGATAAAAGATGAAACAGGGACTACAGGGACAGGGATATGCAGTAACTGCAAGTTAATCCTCCTCTCATAGATCAAACTCGCATAATCGCACCTTCTTCATCTCATGATCGGCAGTTTCTAAGCGAAAGGTAAGTCTCCGAACCCGGCCTATGCCCCCGGCTCTTTCTTTTGCCCCCACTTTCTCTTTCCTCCTCACATGTTTCTATTTGACGACATTGGCCGATGTCTTGGGATGGATAGCTTAAGTGGCCCCGAGGCACCATGAGCTCATCGGACAAGGAATTCAGGGATCAGTTGGGCAAATTTCGCTTGGAGAACAACTACGCTTCATGGCCCCCTCAACCTCAGGAGTCGGAAGTCTCCAATCCCCGCAGCAAACGAGTGTCCACCGCTTGTGACTTTTGTCGCAAAAGAAAGAAGAAATGCGACTTTCGATACCCCAATTGCACCGCCTGCACGCGCGCCGGAGTCCGATGCACAATTCCCCCACCGGGTCCTCAAGTTGCTAGCGCCTCCGTTCCCCGGGATCAATTGGAGAATTTACAGAAACGAGTACGATGGTTGGAGGAGGTCGTCAAACGCAAGTCGGGACTCTCCGTGGCAGAATTACCGACAGGGACCCCAGTCGAGGGCGAGGGAGACCCGGATTGGTGGTATCGGCTCCCCGCGATGGTTGCGACCGGCGGAAACACTTCTGCAGCCTCAGTGCCGAGTCCTGCCGGCAGTGGCTCCTCGGTGACGGCGGGTCCCTCGGAGGCGTCGACTGGAGTAGGCACCGAGCTACCCAACGTGGGCGAGATCTTTCGCGACCAGCTGGAGCACCGCCGACCGTCGGTCGCACGACCATCCTCCGCGCCGCGGGTTATGCGCTTGGCATCGCTGGAAGAAGCCGAGCGGCTTGCTGGACAATATTTCGAGAGTATGGGCTATCAATACCCGTTCATATCGCGCCCGGAGTTTATACGCCAATTGCGCCATATCTATAGTGGTGGTGTTCCCTCCCCGGAAATACATAATTTGTACCACATCGTCATCGCCATATCGCTTCTGATCGGGTCGGCGGACCCGGAGCAAGCAGCCGATTTTTATAATGCTAGCCAGGAAACGCTCCCACTAGCATTACAGAATGAAGACCTGCCGGCTGTGCGGGCACTGCTGGGGTTGGCCTTGTATACCATGTTTGCGACTGCTGGGCCCAGCATTTGGCATGTGCTGGGCGCGACCATGAGGTTAGCGACCAGTATTGGTTTACACAAGAGGCGGTCGTATTCCAGCGTCGCTGAAGAAGAAATGGCCAAGCGCGCTTTTTGGAGCCTTTATAACTTGGATCGCCTCATTGCTAGCACCCTGGGCCGCCCATTGGGCATTGCCGACGAGGATATTAGTGTGGGCCTTTTGCGGGAGCTCAACGACGACGCGACGGAAATGCCTGGGGCGAGCGGGATGACGATTCCACTACAAGTAATACGTCTGCGGCGGATCTTTTCGCGAATCTATCAATACTGTGAGTCGAACGGGAGGGTCATATGTCTGCTTGCATCATAGTACTAACTGATTGCCTGTAGTATACAGCAGCCTGCCCCGACTGTCATCTCAAGAAGCTGCCACTGCGCTCAGTCAATTCCGCCGGGAGGTTGACGACTGGCGCATGAATGCTCCAGTGTATCCGTCGGCACTTCTCTACTCCACCTCTTATTACGACTATCTCTATTATACAACATTTCTCTTGATGTACCGACCTAGCCCCCGCAATCCGACACCCGACATAACTAGTATCATCAGCTGTGGTGACTCCAGCATCCAAGTCATTCGATCTTACTGGGACAGTTACTCGGTTGGCAAGTTGAAGTGGATTTGGTTAACTTTGAGTCAGTTGTATTTCGCAGGCATCACTATCCTGTGGTGTCTGGAGCAGAACGCACGCGCTTTGCGCGAGTCGCAACCTGCCCCTTGGCACCCCGAAGAACAGACGATGCGTCGTGGCATACAGGCTGTCATCGTGCTTTTGGAAGAATTCGGCAAGCGCCGTCCTGGCATGGAGCGATTGGCAGAGACATTCCGACATCAGAGCACGACAATTTTCAGCCAAATGGCCTATCAACAGCAATTAGACCAGCAATCACAGCGCTCACATCAACCGCTCCCTCCTCCCCCTCCCCCCACCTGCTCTCGTACCACCGCATCCCTCCATGTCTTTGGCTGCACCTACTCCCCCGGTTCCACTTGCTCCGGTTCTTGACGACGTTTTACTCGTGGACGGCAGCGGGACTGTCCCGATGATCGATCCACAAATGGCGGAACAACTCTTTTACTCATACAACTGGTTTCAGGAGGAAATGGCGTCTTACTATACCCTGTGAAGGAGTCCACTGTGTATTTAACGGGTTCTTTATTGGGATATAGATGGATGTCTTCTTCGGCAGCCAGATCTTATGTATTAATCTATGGCAATGTGCTCATATGCTCGCCAAACTGATATTATCCCAATCACTACGATGCTATGCCGGAGATGAAGATGCCTTTTTCGGGGATTGGGAAATGAAGACTCTACCAGCATAGTAACCAACAGGTTCACCCTAATCTCTCGCATAGGAGGGTCATCACAGCTAACTTTGGCCTTTCTGACATTCACATGCCCCGGCATATGTACCTGTATTACCAGATTCTAGGCCGCGGATGTGAATTTCCCGATCGGGGTGCCGCCGCTTTATGAGGGGGCTCAGGGTCATGCTCACTGAGTGGACAGGGGAAGCATGCCTGTAGTCACACCTCCCCACTACATTAGTTACCTTTCTTAGGGGTCATATCTCCTTAGCTTTCCTTTTACCCTCTTGGAAGGGTACCGCATACGGACTCGCAATTCCCTTCTCGCTGACCTTTCCTCATCATCTTTCAAGGTTCAGAAATATGGAGGGTCTTTTACGCCCATTCACCGACGTATTGACGCCCGTACTGAATTTTTCTTCATATGAACCCTTTACTGACAATTTCCACAGCCGGCCAGTAAGGCCTCAGACAGGGCATTCCCGTTGGACGATAAAGAACTCGACTCTCTTTCTGACGAATCACTCGCTGACCTCCTCAAATCAGCCCCAATTCTTTATGATCTCGGCCAAACGACAGTGGTGCGACTGTCCAAGAATCTCGTCTTAAAGGCGGCGGCAATGTGCTGCCTTGTGAGGCAGAGGTACTTCAACTAGTTGCATCGAGGTCCAACATTCGAGCTCCTCGTGTTCATCGGACATTCCATTTCACGGACGACACGAAATACTTTGGCACCATGGGGGTACATTGTGATGGATTATATCGACGGCGAACCGCTTGATGGCTGCTGGGGCGATCTCAGTGATGAACAAAAATTGGACATCGCAAAACAGACTGCCCAGATGATCATCGAAATGCAGTCCATAAAACTGTTAGAGCCAGGTCCGATCGGCGGGGGACCATGTCGCGGTCGTTTCTTTACGCACTACAGTGTCGGTCCTTTCAAGGACGTGTCCGAATTTGAGGGCTGGTTCAACCACAAGTTGGACATCTGTAAAAAATACAATCATGCGCCACAAGACCTTCCCCGTTCAAGTTCACCCAGTTTGTTCTCACCCATCAGGACATCAGTCCGCGAAACCTCATTCTGGACCGAACTGGCCTTGTATGGCTCGTGGACTGGGCAGATGCGGGCTCTTATCCCCCCGCTTTTGAGGCGGCAGCTCTATGGTCCCAGTCGCAGTTTGTCGACTTTAATGACATGGTGCTGTCGTTGCTCCCGCGATACCCTCTGGAAGAACAGCAATTAGACTCCATTGGATATGGACTCTCAATAGCTGCACTGGCTTAAATTCTGCAGGTATCGCAAGCAGATGGATGCGGGCTAAGACATCTGAGCACTCCATCCCAGGAGTACCTTGCAACATGGATCAGTGCTCATACCTCCCATCTGCAGCCGCCTGTCTCAGCCTTATCATAAGGCACCCAGCCCTAAGCGCAAACCGCCGAGGAACAAGGTAGTCGGGACTCGGAACCACGAAGTTAATTCTCCACTGCGAATCGCGAAACAATGTGCAGGTTGTCGGTCAGTCTCAGATTTATGAGATCTAAGTTGCACCGCCGGGGGTCCGAGTAGTAGAAAAGATATGCAATACGAAAAGATTGCGTGCTGGTGGGTCGAGGATCGACGGATGAAGTCAGAAGTTTGGTACAGTTCGTGAGCCGTGTACAAAACAAGATACAGCTCGAACTACTCCGATCGATTTGTCGATCATCGCCACTCTGGCGCGATCTTTGTCTCGAGGAAGTGTTCCAAGGATTCCATGGTTCATTGTTTCCCGAGATATGTCTGAAGCACTTTGGCCAGATTATGTGCACCTTCCGGATGTCGCTTATCTCGCCATTTTCAATGCTTCTGAGGCATAACTCGTACCTGTATGTGCTCAAAGCCTCAAGCGCCTGGCCCCTTTGGTGGAGTCTGCGACAACAAGGGCCAACACCCCCTTATAACTACAGCCTCACCAAGAATGCGTACGTAATTTGATGGCGCAGTTTGTCCAATAGATGCATTTAGAACAATTCTCTATACAGTATCAATGCAAAATGACGAAGCTTAGCAAAATGCTTGATAGATAATGGCCGATAGCTAAAGTGCACGTGGAGAATGATGCCAATGTGGCATCATTAGCTCATCATTACCTAGCTGAGGCTATCTCCACGTGCAGAGGACCTGAGGTTCTCGGTTCCCAGTTCTTGGGTTCAGGGGATATGCCTCGTCGAGCCAGGGACCTCGAAGCAGTGATTGGAGTTCCTGAATCAATTATCGCGCAAATGTCTCGGTTGTTGCAGACGTTCGGGTTCTTCAGGGCTGAAGAGATATCGGATGGATGAACCGAGCGACATCGCAAATATCAGTCACTCACGCGAGATCTTTTTTCTCCGATGGAGATCCCGAATGGTGAGAGCCAAACTTATGAGGTGCACATGCCATCATGATCGACGCTATTGGCCATTCATATTGTGTATGCTCCTATGGTGGAGTCTGCCCTATAATTTTTGGAAGTACTCGTAGGTGTCAGTACTATTCCCCATAGCCAGAATAGCTCGTGGGGCGCCTAGGAATGTGTGATTCTTGAACACGAGGAATTGAGGCTTAGTGGTGTCCCAATAGCGATAGAATGAATATACGCAAGCATCATTGATCATGCTGCAGGCTTGTGAGAAGTATGAGCTCAGAGCCGGTGAATCAAGTATACCTATCAAGTGAAATTGATGGCTTGTTTTGATATTGAGTTGATCGAAGTAAATCTTACCATCTCTGTCAAATTGTTGCGACTTTCTTCCAATCCACTGTGGATCATGTTCTCCGATGCCCGTGAAGCTCGGATTCGTAGTAATTCCTAGTAGACCCTATCGTTTCTTGAATCGAGTACAAAAGGGCCGCCCATTCCGCCACATTGGAAGTTGAAACTCTGGAGTTGTCTATACCCAATACTCAAGACCACCTTTTCTCCTCTGCCAATAGCTTGCAAGCTTTGGTGTATACCAAGCTTGTTGGTTATTCTTTTATAATCCTTCATTATGACTTCATCCCAATTCAGCTCAACAGAGACACTCAGAAACCCCGGGTCTTCTGAGAACTCTGCCACCTCAAGCCCTAATCTCAAACCCCACGAGAAGAAGGATATTTCCTTACCATCAACACCAGCAGAGTCAATACTCAACCTCGAAAGTCAGACTAAACCGGAACCACCATATCATGTGTTCTCTCGACCTCGCAAGTTGTTGATAGTCTGCATCGTCTCCTTCGCTGCCATCTTCTCCCCTTTATCTTCAAACATCTACTTCCCGGCAATTGCAGAAATTTCACATGTTAGTCGATCCCATTTATTACTCTCCGTACCTTTCTCGCTAACATTCATTCAGGAACTTGGCGTCTCTGTTTCCCTGGCTACATTGACGGTAACGATATACATGATCGTTCAGGGTATTGCCCCGAGCTTTTGGGGCTCATTCTCCGATGTTCTAGGACGTCGCATTATATTCGTCGGAACATTTGTCGTATACATTATATCCAATATTCTTTTGGCTATCACTACCAACTATGGCGAGCTCATGGCTTTCCGAGCTCTGCAGGCTGCTGGAAGTGCAGCCACCATCTCGATTGGTATGATATACCCACTTTCCATTACTGATTCTCATTCTAACGTATTCAGGTGCCGGTGTTATTGGAGATATCACTACCTCAGCGGAGCGAGGAAGTCTAATTGGAATCTTTGGTGGTGGTGAGTGAACCTGCAGTGACTATCCCAATACACAATCTTCCAAGCTAACACGAAACAGTCCGCATGTTAGGTCAAGGAATCGGACCAGTCTTCGGTGGAATTCTAACCAACTATCTCGGCTTCCGATCAATCTTCTGGTGCCTAGTCATTGCCTCCGGAATCAGTCTACTCTCCATCATGTTCTTCCTCCCCGAAACCCTCCGCCCCATCGCCGGCAACGGAACCGTCCCCCTAAAAGGAATCTACAAGCCCTGGATCTACTCGGTCGTCGGCCAAAAAGACGCAAAAGAAAATTCCACACCAACCGAAAAGAACACCAAAGTTACCTTCAAAACCGTGCTCGCGCCCCTCACCTTCCTCTCCGAAAAAGACGTCTTCATCACCCTCTTCTTCGGCAGCATCGTCTACACAGTCTGGTCAATGGTAACGTCCTCCACATCCGCCCTGTTCGAGGACAAATACGGCCTGGACTCAATGGAAGTTGGCCTGACCTTCCTCGGCAACGGCATCGGCTGCATGACTGGCTCCTACACAATCGGCTACCTAATGGACTACAACCACAAGCTGACAGAACGTGAATATTGCCAGCAACACAATCTCCCAGTCGATACACGCGTCAACTTAAAATCTCACCCGGACTTCCCAATTGAGTATGCGCGCATGCGCAATACTTGGTGGATCACTGCTATCTTCGTTGTCTGTGTTGCTGTATATGGAGTCTCACTCCAGACGCATCTGGCTGTTCCGATTATTCTGCAGTTTATCATTGCCTATGGCTCCACTGCTATTTTTACTATCAACAGCGCGCTGGTCATCGATCTCTACCCCGGTGCCAGTGCTAGCGCAACGGCTGTGAACAACCTGATGAGGTGTCTAATTGGTGCTGCTGGTGTTGCCGCTGTTCAGCCTATCATTGACGCTCTTACTGCTGAGTTTGCATTTGTTCTGCTTGCTGGGATTACCATTGCTATGGTTCCTCTTCTTATGGTTGAGATGAAGTGGGGATATAAGTGGCGTCTTGAGCGGTATGAGCGTTTACAAAGAAGTGCAGATCGGGTTGATAGTTAGTTAGGTGGATGGCAATATCAGGGATGAAAAGGGGACAGGACTAGAGTAGTATTAATGCCTATAACGACTTAATGATTTGTTTGTTCCGGAAAAAGCGGTGCATAGTACTAGGTCTATACAGAAAAAAACCGAAGTCTGCTTAAACTCGTCCTGCAAGAGACGGCACTGGATTGCATTAACAACCGGCCCAATCTCGCCGGAGAACGTTATTAGACTCGGCCACGTCCGTTCCTGTGCATGTCATAAGCATAATATGCGGGCGGACTGTGTCTAGGTTCTCAGGGTCCTCCCTTGCCATTGTCGCCAACTCGAGGCTCTCCAGAGGTTTCCAATGCCCAATACGTAAACCACATAGCATTCCTTGTGGTCCGTCGTCAATGGAATCATCGGCCCTAGATAGACCTAGTTAATCAACTGGTCAATTCCTTAATATTTATAAGTAACAGGAGAAAATAGAGGAGGACCGAATTCACATGATCTGAGGCCAGTTCGAGTTTTGCTCTATCGAAAAGGTATTATCGGCATCATCTTTCTCAGAGTAGTCTTCCAATTGAGGATGCCGATATATCTGGCAATTTGAAACGCCTTCTCATACCTAAGTGCCGTGTCTGATAGTGTCCATGACATGATGATGACGAACGCCAATGGATGAGCGCGTCGAAATCGTCATAGTGATGGCGCACATGTTTAGGAATCCTAGTGCTGTCGATTTTGTAGGTGCTGTATTCTTCTTTAGATAAAGGTTTAAAGTCGAAGGACTGTTGGCCATCTGTAACATTGATATGCTGGAGAAGCACGTGAAGTTCACGGAGTGCATCACAGTCACAAGAGACCTGGCTTTTCAAATCTAGCCCATTCAAGATGGAGTCTGCCTTTTCTTCAAACTTTTGTCTCAGGGCATCATGGTCCTGCAGCACAGGCGGATTGACAGGTTCTTGAATCATGATGGACGGCGTGGAAACGACGAGATTGGTCGATAAAATGATGGAGGGACTGAGGGACTGAGAGGTGTGGAGGGCTGGACCAAATCGGGGAAATAATGTTTGGCTGCAGAGGGTAGTGTTATGTACTCAACAAAAAGATACAACAGTGAGGATTCGCTGGTGGTCACCCACCCAACTACTATTCACCGGCGTGTGGCTTATGTGCGGCCAGTAGTTCGGTGGGTGTGGCCGGGCGGCTGAGGGCACTGAGGTAACACCGGCAGAAATCTAGCGGTGGGTTTAACGGTGAATAGTTACCAAAGCCCCTAACTATATCTTGTCCCCCTGGTTTCCAGGTTTCCAGGTAGCCATCCAAACGACCACAGAGAAAAAGAACTTCCAGCATCGACATACGATCGGTACTTTTTTGGATACAATCTCGCCTAGGTAGTATGCTGCCTCTGATTTCTTCCATGCAACGCGTATTAAGTTACCAAGTTACTACATGGAGGTAGTGCTGATTCAGTATTTCAGAGCTAAAAGTATCGCATGGATCTCTGAGCTAGTGATAACATCAAAAGTAAACAGGTAGCCGGGGAACATCTACTCCAGCCAGATTATCATCGCTAAGGATGCGGAAAGTGCTCCACACCCGGCATAACTGACTGCCACGGTCTGTGAGACCTCTCCGGGTTCTGGTAGGCAGTTCTTTGGCGAATCTGGCTTCGAGATAGGCCCTTGGATGATGTCTGCTGTTTTCCATCCTGAAGGTACGGAATCCGGTACATTCGACAGTGGTTTTCGGGTCCAAGTCGCGATAGTGTGCTGCCACTCGCGCATAGAGGGCCTCCAAAAGCCCGAATTGCGGAAATCAGGGTCTTTAAATACCAACAAAGCACTATTGACGGAAACGAATCTCAGGATCCATTCTAGACAATCGGATGTATAAATTCCCGGCCCCAACTCGTTGTCCAAGTTTCTACTGTGAATGACCGGGGTGAAAAAGGCCATCATCGCAGCTAAGGCGGCCCGAGTAGACACTCGGTACAAGAATGAGCCGCCGCCGAGTTTGCTCACGTAGTCTTTGCTGATCTTCGCGGATAGACGGTCCTTGTTCTTATCCCCTTTAACTCGAACCGTGGCGATATTCTGCGGCAGACGTTGAGTTTTGTTGGCGGGAAACAGCTCCTCCAATTTATGGCAAGTGTATTGGAATCCAACTTGCGGTGGAATGGGATCAAGGCGGACTGGCATAACAGCGATTGGCGGCTGATTGTATCCAGAAAAGTACCGATCGTATATCGATGCTGGAAGTTTTCTCTCTAGATACAGATGCTCCAAGATCCATGGTACACCGACATTTGTCGGGATGAGTCGCACCTCGTCTTGGAGGGCAATCGCTGGGTCGTAGATTGCATCGACCAGCTCATCAAGGCCTGCGAGCCAAAAAAGGCTACTCAGTGGGCCAATTAGTTCATCGAATCCTAAAACCAGATCAGTCAACATATCCTCTAGCTTTCGCCAAAAATAGATATAGGTCTGCGTACGGTGGCTGTTGCTGTCAATGTACTCTCCGATATCCTCGGGGATCGTTCCCGGGTATCCATGCTCTCTTGACCAGACCGGGCGAAATCCTGCTTTTGTTAACTGACTCATCGTACGAGCCAGTTGATTCCGATTTCCCTCTATATCGGAGGGCATATCTAGCTTGTCTTGGGGGATGATAGGACTTTCGAGAGTGGGGGTGCCAGGCACTTTGCTGGCAGAGGAGGTGGTCGAATGTGAGAATGCTAAGGATGGGATGGACGAAATCAAAGGTATTGAATCTGTGGGACTTGTCGACGTGGTTGGGCTGTTCGCCGCAACCGAAAGCGGAAAGCTTTGTCTTGGATCCATGGATGACTTGGTCAAATATTGAAGTAGATTAGATCGTAAGGAGTTGAATTGGATTACCCAAATCCCATTCTAATATGCATGGATAATGGAATGTATAGCGTCGCTCTTGCCAAGCGCAATGGCACCTGCCAGTATATCTACATCTTGGCGTTGAGTACAAATATAAGAGCAAGAGCAAGGTTGGGAAATTGCAGTAGTGTTTTCCTGCCAAGAATGGTGTCGGATCTTAACACCATAACATGGCATCATGGATGGCACTATGGTACCATGGATTCCCCAGCTTACACCCAATGTTGGCAGGAAAACCGAGTTAACGTTTGGCTTCTTTGTGCAGCCAGTTTACATATGTGTAAATGGACGGGGCCGGCGTGGATAAACGATGCTTTCGAACACAGGTGGAACTAGACAGGTTTCAGATTTAGTCGGGCTTATAGATAACTAGATCTAAGATATATATGGCTGGTGATTATTGATATTACCTGTCTTTCAAGCTTTGAATCACTAGATCATGGTCGAATGGTCAGTTTTGGGTGTGTTTCCCTTTCATTGGACACTCGTTGTCAGTCGTGTGGCTTGAGCGAGTTTAATGATTATGTAATACTCAGGGACGTGCTCAGTTTTACTCAGTGAGCAAAAGGCGGCAAGGGGTGAGCACTAAAGGGGAAAGGGAAAGCCATTTCGCTCGGTCTAAATCTGGTGTATATGCGGATTAGCAATGCCCCTCCCCCTCAACTGTCATGTGCTGGCCAGATAACAGGTTCGCCATTCCATCTTCCTCTCTACTAATGCAAGATGGATGACCTCGATAAGAACTCCACACCAGTCTCTGGACTGCCCCTGGCTTTTCACGGCACAGTTATTCATTCCAAAAGTCTGGACGAGCTCGAGATCCTAGAGAAGTGTTTTTTGTTGGTGGGAATAGATGGCAAAATCCAGGTTCTACAAGCAGATGTTGAAGCAGATCAAATCAACTCCATTGTCTCGGAAAACGGCTACGCGCCCGACATATTCCCTGTCAAACATCTCGAACGTGGGGAGTTTCTGTGTCCCGGTTTCGTGGATACTCACAACCATGCACCCCAGTGGGCACAACGTGGTGTCGGAAGAGGAATCTCCTTGCTAGACTGGTTGGATAAGGTTACTTTTGCCCACGAGACAAAGTTTGAAGACCCCGAATATGCCAAGCGCATGTATGGCTCCTGTGTTGCGGGCTTTTTGCAACAAGGCATCACTACGGCGTCGTATTACGGCTCACATCATGGCCAGGCAACTCGTATCCTGGCGGACGTCTGCTTCGAAAAAGGACAGCGCGCCTTGGTAGGCAAGTGTAACATGAACCGAAATGCCCCGGACTGGTATCGAGATGCGTCCGTGTTAGACTCGCTGCAAGAGACGCGTGAGTTTATCAACCACGTTCAGCAGCTGGACCCGAAATACCATTTGGTGAAACCGATCTTGACGCCACGTTTTGCGATATCCTGTGAGCCAGAGTTGCTGGATGGGCTCGGTGTCATCGCTCGTGAACATCCGGATCTCCCAATACAGACACATTTCAATGAAGCGAAACAGGAGATTGAATTCACGCATCAGCTGTTTCCCGAATTCGCCACGGAAGCCGATCTCTATCAGCGATATGGTCTGTTGAACGATCGATCCATCCTTGCACACTGTATCTTCCTACAAGAAGATGAAATCAGCCGCATCCAGGAACTTGGCTGTGGGGTTGCTCATTGCCCTATCTCCAACACTACGATGCAAGAGTTTATGGTAGCACCTGTACGCGAGTATCTGCGTCGGGGCATCAAGGTGGGACTAGGCACAGATAGTGGAGGTGGTTACTCCTCCTCCATACTGGAGGTCATGAAGCAGGCCTTCATTGTATCCAATGCGCAGCAGATGTTGACTCAGGGGCGGGATCCTGCGCTGTCTCTACGCGAGGGCTTCTTTCTCGCTACTCTGGGGGGTGCGCAAGTGTGCGGGCTCGATGACCGGATCGGGAATTTTGCGGTTGGGAAGGAGTTTGATGCACTCGAAGTCCATACCATGGACCTTCGCCAGCCAGGAGTGATGAGCCCAGTCGAAGACGAAGATTCCATCCCAGTAATATTTGAGAAGTTTTTGATGACTGGGGACGATCGAAATATTGTCAGAGTCTATGTGAGCGGACGATCGGTCAAAGTTTGATTGCCAGATTCGATCTATGAGAATATGACATGTGTCTATGAAGGAACAACATAGCAAACCGGACGAAATGGCCGTTGCTCACTCCCATGTTCCCTTTGGAGGCCCAAAGTATCCCTGCGGTGGTAGGCCCATGTATGGTGTGCCTTTGCCATCAGCTGTGGTTTCAGACACAGTATTTCCCCACCAGCTCAAAGAACCAGCTGGGAGGGTGATGCAGAAAAAGATGATCACCGTAGCCACAGCAACACCGCAGTCGAGCGCGGCGGATAATACATAGTCTGCAAACAGTCAGCGACAGAAGCGAAGATCAAATAGAAGAAGCAAGAAGCATACTGTATTTCGACCACCAGGCAGGTTTACGACGACGGATTACACCGTTGAATATCATGTTGATGACCCACCATGACGAGAAGCTGATACCTGTAGCAGGCGGGACTAAGCTCATTGCACCAAAGGCGACGGGCCAGGAGATATAGTTGACGGCATTCCATCGACGACCTAGGAGGTACGTAATGACCACCGCCGCGGGTCCTACAAGGAAAAACCAAAGCAGGTTGCTGTATATCTGCCCGGGAGAGAACAATCGGCCTGGACCGACAGCGCCTGAAAGGTGGGTTAGCCACGATATGGGAAGAAGACCAATAAGAAGAAAGGATATCCAACCCACCCCAAATAAGGGAAGAAGAGTACGTGACCTGCCCATGAGGGCAGATGAAGTTTCCAGCTGCCTCGGGGGTGCATACACCGTCGATTCTGGTAATCATAAACACCGTCACACCGCATTGGACGACAGCTCCGACGAGCGTGGCAAGGCCTTGAGCTATGAACAGGAGCCGCGGCGCGATGTGCATATAATGAGCCAATTTCATATCGGCGACAAACCTAGTACCGTGTCAGATGCATCCAAGTCATACATCTATTGGAAACAGCATCACTCACTCTAGTCCTTGCTGGACGGCGACATAGCCGTAAAATTTGAAAGCCATGTTGGCGACGGGGCGCCCAAAAAAGGCATATCCGCCAATAAATTCAGTGAGCAGATTGAGTTGGTTACTGCTGATGTTTGTGATAGCTTTGATGACTCCCACAGGGATAAAGTAAACCATTGGCATCACAAAAGCCACAAACACACCCCAGGCCGGTAGACCCGTATGCCATACCTCATTGGTCACAACGCTCAATGCAAACATCAGAACGGTTACAGCAACGAACCACCACCAGGGTACAGTTCGATATGAAGACATCAGGCGGCTATGGATGTCTCGCTTGCCGGTGCCCTTCCATTGGTGCCACAAATCCTTGCCGTGGTACAGCGCGATATGGAAGAAAATGCCTGTCAGATTAGCAAAGGCGACACCGAACGTGATTGCATATCCAGCCGGCAGAAACATGGGGGAATAGGCCCGATAGGCATCTTCGTTGACATCACCGCTCGAAGCCATGATGCGGCTGGTGTTATAAGGTTTCCCAGTGTTGTCGAAGGTGTTCGGGTTGAGCAGTGGCAAATGTGCAGAATACCAGGTGTTCGTGTAGTAAACTAAAGGGCATACGAGCCAAAAGAAGAGTGCAAATGACCCCATCACATTGAAACCAGCCCAAAGAGGAACAAGCAGGGGACTCTGATTGGCATAGACCACCTGGGCCCAGTCAAAGGTCAATACTGACATCCCCAGTCCGGTAGTTTGCCCAAAGAGCTGATTCACCACCACATTGGATGGTACAATCCAACAGATAAAGGCGAAGGTACTGAGACCCGTGAAGAGATATCCCGGGGCGAAGTACCAGATGGCACCACCGACGAATACATAGAGGAAGAAGCGGAGACGTGTGATCCGCCATCCATCTGCGATAGCATTGGAGTGAGAGTGTAGGGTGGTCAAAAGTGCCGCATTGGACAATACCTGGGGCCAGAGCATCGATGCCGGGCCAACTAGCCAACGCGAGGCCATGCCGGCTAACCCGAAACCAAACAACTGCGTGGTAATGCACAACAGCACTTCAAACCCGCCCTGCGATGGGACATTATAGAATTTAACCAGCGCTTCGATGACTTGGGTGGCCGCGGCAGAGCCAATCGAAACGTTCGCCATGATAGTTATCAAGGCATGCTCCTTGATATTGAAATGTCGGTCCGGGTTTAGCACCCCCAGAGGAATCCATCTTGCCCAGGCACATCCCACAGGAAAAGCCAGTAACTGTGCCACTAGAGCACTGATAGTCACACTGGGTTGTCGTAAGCTGAAGAACTGATTCAGTCCACTACCAACCTATCCTGCAGTTAGCACCTGTTCCCGATCGCTCGGTCGCATCAGACATACAATAGTGAACACGATGCCAATAGTCCACATGCGGACTGTATTGACAGGCAGGCTCAAGTCATTGACCGGTTTTATGACAGCCCGTACCTCGGGGAAAGGTGAATCGTCGGCCTCGTAGGGCAGAATCTGATCGGCATCCCGATCGTGAAGAATGACTGCTTCATCACTTTGATCTGAATGAATGTCCTAAGACGGCGTTAGTTCAAGATCATATTATCAACCATATGGGTTCCAATCAGTCTCCATTACGAAGATCAAAGAGAATGGCACCCACCTGACTCCATGAGTTACGCCGATGTTCCTCAGTCTTCCCCATGGCCGTCAGTCGTGTCCGGAAACCCCTTTGACACACAACAGAAGACAGACTCCCACACCAGGTCGAAGCCAAACCCACACCAGGTCAAAGCCAAACCAAGATCGGTATTGAGTCGGCTTGAACCGACGATAAGAATGCGCCACGGGACACAAGGGAGGGGCGCAATAATGGTTACATGGAGCGCCCTCAGATGCAGGAATGTGGGTCTAACAATAGAAGACAGGGGAGATCTACCACATGGGAGGGGGAATCCGCCAATTTCAACTCTCCAGCAGCTGCTCGGGCCCCGGATAATGCTTCCTCTGTGATGGTATTGGGTCTTAGAGCGCCCGAGGATAACCTCCGATCATGCAGAGGGAGAAAAAGTGACGCAGTGGGACGGCAGAGGCCGCGATTGACCCACTTTATTATTGCCTGAGTAAGATAAAGCTTGGAGACTTCCGAAAGATGCCCATCAGATTGACCAGGTTGGAAGTTTAAATAGGCTTGAACCCTCAAGAGGGTCGAGTGGAAAAAGTTATAAGGATTCGCCCTCTAGGAGAGGTCCGAAGGTATACCTCTACTTTTCCCCAACGCCATGGTTAAGACTGGTGGAGAGGTCGATCGTCTGTTCACCCGGATCCATTGGGAAATTCATTCTCTCTCTGAAACTGCACCTTACTCTTTGCTCGTATCAAAATGGGCGATTGCAACCAAAACGAGACTGACGAGGCACCCTTTTCCCAACGACCCATTGTCATTCTAGGTGCAGGGATCATTGGCTGTGCGGCTGCCCGACAATTACTGTTGAAAGGGTTCCCGGTGGTGTTGGTGGCCGAATATCTGCCGGGAGATCAGAGTATCTACTACGCATCGGCGTGGGCAGGGGCAGCATGGCATGCTGCCGGCGGTATTACCCCTGATCAACGCTATCTCCAAGTTGTCACACATCGGATACTACTGAAGATGGCACAAGATGGCCCCGAGGCTGGAGTCAGCATTGTCAATGCAAGAGAGTATCTCGAGCAGCAACCGACCCCTGACTCGGCGATCTGGGGCAAGACAGTAGTCTCCAAGGTATACTCCTGCATTATCTTTTCAGTTGATCTTTGAAATCAGACCGATACTAATTTTCGGGACACTTTTAGTTTCATGAGATGAAGCCTGGTGAATACCCTCCAGAATTTCACAGTGCTTGGGCCTACGAAACGCTTGTGACAGATCCCACGAGGCATATGCCTTATCTTAAGCAGCAAATTGAGCATCTTGGTGGTCAATTTATCCGCCAACGTGTAGACTCTCTTCAGGAGTTGTACGGGATGTTTCCCGAGTCACGCGTCTTCATCAATGCCAGCGGCTGGGGCAGTAAAGCCCTGACGGATGTGCAAGATGAGAGTTGTTTCCCGGAACGAGGGCAGAACGTATTTCTGACCACGGATCGCTGCGACACCATGTACTTCCGAAATGGCAAGGAATATACCTATATCATTCCTCGACCTTTATCAAAAGGGATCGTCCTGGGTGGGGTGAAGCAACAAGGCAACCTGTAGGAAATTTGTTTAGATCGATTCTGGAGTGTTCAAGCTGACAATATCCAGATCACCTGAAGTGGATATGGAAATAGCACGGGATGAAATTGCACGCGCGCATCGGTTAGCTCCCGAGATTGTTCCTGAACACCCGGCGCCAGACACAGTGAGCCACATCATTGGTATTCGGCCCTCACGAAAGGGTGGATTCCGTCTCGATTCTGAGCGCAAGGGCAGCCGGGTGATACTGTCGGCCTATGGATTTGGTGGGGGCGGATACGCCTTCTCGTATGGAATTGCAGATGCGTTGGTGAAGATGGTGGAGACAGCGGAGCGAGAGAACGTTGTGTAGGCAAGGGTGGTACCTCTCATTCGAAGGATACAACTGTCTTTTGTACGGAGTACAACAACACAGATGCACAGATGTATTGATTGTACTGTTTGCATTGATTGTACTGATTGTACTGATTGCACTAATTGCACTGATTGCACTGATTGCACTGATTGCACTGTTGTAAGCTTGCACTGTTTGTACTGTTCCTATCCATTGCATTGTCTGTTCGTTTGCAGAGTTTACAGTTCACAAATGCCGCTTAAGTCGGGTCCAAGGCCCAAGCGGTGTCTTTCAAAAGCCACCAAGAAGGTCTGACGTCATGGACCCCCTTTTCCTTCGTTTGCGGCTCATTGGCCCAACCATCTGGGATTCTGGATCAGCATTGAATGGGGATCTGCCTTCTTTAAAACTGGTTACTTATGCCGATTGCCGAGTACTGCGTGTGGTAGTATCATCCTCCTCCGTACAAATATCCCAGTACCGCGTGGTACCTACTGAAGTGGGATCAGTCTACTACGTCATGGGCATAAGCATCTCTGTAAGGGGCGCTGGTACTTCGGTCTACATACAATTTACTGGAGACACAATGTACCCCATGAACCAGGGGATAGATAGGCCTTAAAATAGCCAGATATAGAACCCCATTACGTCGTCAAGTGGGTGTATCGGGTATCCCTTCTTCTTCATTTTCCTCTAATTCTTAGAAGTTTGCAAATCTTTATTGGTTTTCCTTGTTTTCCTCATTTTCTTGCTCTATTTCCACTTCTTCTGCCCTTTTTCCCGTACTCATATCCACACTTGGTCTGGAAGCCCCTCCGTTCCCCGCCGGGGATTTCTCCCGGCCACTCAGTTCGCATCATCGCCCGGACTCTTGAACCAAGTTTTCACCCCAAAGTCTTCCACCTGATCTCCTATATCCAGATCCATACCATTTTTCTTCTAAGGAAACCACACCCCTTTGAATGAGATCCTCACTTTTATCATTCGGGCTATGAGTGATATGCCTGTGGATGAAATGCGCCTGAGAATTGCCGACTGTTGTCCTAGCAATGTAGCCATGGTGGTCACTCCCCCGGAAGAGACCGATTTGAGTCTCGACGCCCTTCGAAAACTCCAGTTGCATGAGAAAATCGCTCCGAAAGAGTCGATCTCGAGCGGATCTATGACTCGCATTTATCGATTTACACCGTGAGGATGCCTCTCCAAGATCTTCCAAATGAAATTCGTCGCATTGCGAATCCCTGGGCGAAAGTACGAATATGAACATCACTAACCCCCTGCTTTCGCAGTAAACCAACCCTCGTCTTGGATGGCGCACTACGAATCGTCGAGGTATCCGATAGTCATGTGGAAGCCTTCAAGTGGTCTCGCGAGCGACTCATGACCCGGAATATCTACGACCTTCCCACCTCCATCCTCCCAGTCTCCAGCGTCACATCTCTGAGCGGTGCCATAGGCACCGCCATCTCAACTCGCGACGTGCAGGTCATCAAGCACGTTAAATCACCCGAACCCAACACCCAGTTTTCACTCAGCGTGATCCCCATATTTGAAGGCGACAATCTAATCTACGTGCTCCTGGAATCACAGCGGACCAAGGGTCAACGGAAAAGGTCGAACTCTGTCAGCGAACAAACATATGTCAATGAAACTTACAAAATCTTGATCGATACGGTGAGGGACTATGCCATTTTCATGCTGGATACCAGCGGCCACATTGCGACCTGGAACTCGGGAGCTGCCATTCTGAAAGGTTACACTCGAGACGAAATCATCGGTCAGCATTTCTCCATATTCTACAGCGCCGAGGATTGCGAAGTCAGTAAACCCGCCCGTGAGCTGGAGGTCTGCTTACGGGAAGGAAAAGTCGAGGACGAAGGGTGGCGATACCGCAAGGATGGCAGCCGATTCTGGGCTAATGTCATGATCACCGCCATCTATCAGAACGGCAGCCATGTGGGCTTCGCTAAAGTCACCCGCGATCTAACCGAACGTCGGGCGGCCGAGACCCGTTTGATTGATGCCTTCGAAGAATCCGCCAAGCTCAAATCCGACTTCCTGGCCAACATGTCCCATGAACTGCGCACTCCCATGAATGGGATGCTCTTGGCTCTCTCGATGCTGCTGAGGACCGAGCTGAATACCGACCAACGGGAATATGCAACCATTCTGGAAGACTCAACAACTATTCTCTTGCAGGTCATCAACGATGTGCTGGACTATTCAAAACTGTCCTCGGGAACTTTCCCTCTGAACCCAGACGTGCTCAACATTGAAAACGTGATTACGGCCGTGGTTCGAAATTGTCAGTCGTCACTCAAACCGGGCGTCGAAATCAGCGGCGGTGTCAGCGAGGGCTTTCCCTCAGAACTCAAAGGGGACCCCTTGCGGTTCCGCCAAATTCTGCAAAATTTGGTGACCAATGCAGTCAAATTTACCGAGAGTGGTCACGTCCGAGTGCACGCGACTTACACAGCAGACGAACGGAATCCCGATCTGTTTACAGTTACCACGTATGTTGAAGACACTGGCATCGGTGTTCCCGAGGATGCCGCAAGTACTCTCTTCACCCCCTTCACGCGCTTCGCGGACACGGCTACCAAACGATACCAGGGCACTGGCCTTGGCCTCTCTATCTGCAAGAGCCTGGCTGAACTGATGGATGGAACGGTTGGATTCCATGCCAATCCAGAGGGGACAGGCACTGTGTTCTGGTTGACAGCTAAGATGGCTCGCCATAACCCGCTCACTTCCTCAAAGCAGAGGATGCGACCGGCGTCCCCGGTTGAGGCGGATCATTCCGAGGCGCTCTTGGAGATTGCGCCACAGAAGCACATCCTATTAGTTGAAGACAACAAAGTCAATCAAACTATCATGTTGAAGCTTCTCAGCAGCCTAGGATTCACGCGCGTCGACGCTGCCTGGGATGGCGCGGAGGCAGTGCGGATGGTCAAACAGAAGCCGTTTACATATAACGTGATCCTGATGGATATCAACATGCCCGTCATGGACGGATTGGCGGCCACAGAGCAAATCCGTCTGATGAAACTCGATGTGCCTATCCTTGCATTGACCGGCAATGCACTCAAGGGAGATGCTGAAATATATCTGTCCAAGGGGATGGACGATTACATCGCTAAGCCATTGCATCGGCAGCAGCTGGTGGATCTGTTATGGAAATGGTGTGGACCCTGAGTGGCTGCTTATGTATCTGTCTCCAGTTGAGAATGGAGAGTGATACCCCCACGGTATCGCATCGCCTCTTTGAGGCAGTCCCTCGACGCGGCCAAGACACGGCAGTCGAAACAAACCCGTGTTAGCGTCATGAAGCAGGGACCGGAAAACCGCTCTCTACACACTTCCATCTTACGATGTACGGCGGAACGTCCTCGGCAAGGAGTCGAGTGCACGGAGACCGAATTTCCTCCTCCAAATCCCTTGAGTGCTGGCACTACTTCTACATTGAGATACCCCGTTTATACGCCTAATATGTGCACCCTGCCTGTCGGTGGCTCGACGCCATCCGCGGTCCCTGTGATACCCTCTCCTGCATGTGCAATCCCAAATTGCTCCCCGAGCTAGAATGAACTTTGAAACGGAGGTCCTGTCTTTTGAGCTCGCGTGACGTATGCCTGTAGAAGGCCCATGCAAGTGTTCTTCTGCCACCAATGTTAGAATCGTTGGTGTCTTTTGTACTATCTCTCAATACAACTCAGATTATCCTCTACTATCTATATGCTGAGGTCAGGCAGCTGCGTAGCGGCCTCAAGAGTTCAAGATTGGTCCTGGCATGTAACATCCGGGCCATCAGCTCGAATAGTAATTTATGCCATGATTCTTGTACAATGGATGTGAACTTCATACATCTACCATCTTGACTCAATTATTGTGTCATACTGCATACATCTCGTAGAAGCGCAGCCATTCCTCAAGCCATGGTCGGAAATTGCGGGGATTCAGGGGTTGCAGAAATGGCTTGAGATCGTCGGCCTCATTTCGGCATCCAACCATCAGGATGGCAGGATCACTCAAGTTACTCAACTTCATATGAGTAATATTTCCACCGAACAATGGCAAATGCACATTGAAATTAGTAATTACCGTATTACGATTCAAGCATTCGCCATTCATGAAGATGGAAGCTAAGTCAGTATTCAGGGGCTACTCCCTACTCTTCCATAACGCGAGGCATTGTTATCTGCACGTGCCTCATTATTTGTCCGGTGATCTCGGCAGTCAACAATCAACATTGATATGACTGAGATCTCTATTCCGAGGTCTGAAATACTGCGTAGATCATGTTTGGAAATGCCTCCCGGTGCTATGAGCCTATGTGAAAGTCGCCGATGGACGCAACCCCAATGGCATCCAACGTACATGATAATGATACAACATGAATATCGATACTCTCCGCCTCACCCCCTCTCAGATGATCCCGTATGGAGTACGGAGTACGGAGTACAGGAGCCTGAGAGGAGAGGGAAACAATACTAACATGTTCAGTTCAAGATTGATTGGCAGTTGGCACAACTACAGGTCAAACTCAAGCTCCATCAATACCCCATCTGCCGTTCCCCTCGGGGCCTTAGCATCGATCGCCTGCTTGGGTTTCCTCTTGGGTAATCTCCACCCACCGAATCAGAAGGGAGTTGACCCTGAACGGCCCATCCAGGCCCACTAAAAATGCTTAGAGTTCCACTGCGAGGCAGATTATTGACCTTCAATGGCGCGATTTGGATTTGGATGGCTCGTGGAGCGCTATGGGCTTTCGGGTTGCATTTAGTGCGTGATGATCTGGGAGACCAGAGGGTGGATATTTGAACAGGCGATACTATTAAGTACGCCGCATCCGCCGTGCCTCAGCTGGATCCGTTTAGATTTTAAAGTCCAAGGAGGAAGCTGCATTGGCAATCTCCTGAAGCAGCATGAAGTACTCCCTACTGGTTTGTGCCCTAGCAGCCTGTGCCTTGGCTGTACCAACCGCCCATGAGTATCAATTACATGAACGTCGCGAAGTGATCCCAAAGGCTTGGGTTGAAGGGAAGGAGCTCGACCCAAAAGTGTCACTACCTGTGCGCATCGGGTTGACCCAGTCTAACTTGGACTATGGTCATGATCTCCTTATGGATTTGTACGACTCACGCAGTTGACTTGCTATCCACGAATCTTGAATCTGCAACTGACACCCGCCTCTCAAAGATCCAACCCCTCCTCGAGCCGCTACGGCCAACATCTCACCGCGGATCAAGTGCATGATCTCTTCGCTCCAAGTGACAAAAGCGTCAGTGATGTGCGCACATGGTTGGAGTCCGCTGGCATCGCGGCGGAACGGATCACGCAGTCGGTCAACAAGCAGTGGATCCAGTTCGACGCGGAGGCCAAAGAGTTGGAAGAGTTGCTGCATACAAAGTACTACCTTTATTCCCACGCGGAAACGGGCCGATCGCATGTCGCGTGTCGCGAGTAAGGTCGTCGATTGGAGTACGATTATACCTCACGCTGACTTCTGGATGCAGGTATCATATCCCGAGCTCTGTGCGTGAGCACGTCGATTATATCACTCCAGGAATCGCTCTGCGGGAGGTGACTGGCGTCAGGAAATCAAGCAATAGCCGGAAACGCTCCGTGGATGGGATTCCCCCTATTCTTGAGCCAATCACCATGCCAATTGAAAAGCTGGTGACTGAGTTGACGTCCTTCTGTTCGCACGTTGTGACGCCCCAATGCATCCAAGGTACGCCGTCGAAAAGCAACTGGCCATCTCTCGATGTGATGATAATATGCTGACAATCTCACAGAGATGTATAACATCAGTGCGGGCCACTCTGCCACAAAGGGGAATGAGCTAGGTATCTTTGCAGGCATCGGGGATGTCTACGCCCAGGAAGATTTGGATTTATACTTCGCAACCTTGTACCCGTATGTTGCCTCTGGGGTATTCCCTCAATATGGCAGAGATGACGGACCTAACTTTTCAACAGGAAAATCCCCATCGGCACCCACCCAACTCTGAAGTCAGTTGATGGTGGCACAGCCCCGGCAAGCATAGTCAATGCTGGGCCAGAATCCGATCTGGACTTCCAGATTTCATATCCGATCATCTGGCCACAGGACTCCATCCTCTTCCAAAGCGACGACATGGTCTACGAGAATAACTACTCTTTCCAGGGTTTCCTCAATACATTCTTGGATGCCATTGACGGATCATACTGCAGTGAGGTCTCGCCCCTGGACCCTTCATATCCCAACCCGGCAGAGGGGGGCTACAAGGGCGCTCTACAATGTGGCGTGTACAAACCCCCCAATGTTATCTCCATTTCATATGGCGCCGCTGAGGCGGACCTCCCCATTTCCTACCAGCGGCGCCAGTGTGCTGAGTTCATGAAGCTGGGTACCCAGGGAGTCTCCGTGGTGGTCGCCTCGGGCGATTCGGGCGTGGCTGGCCGTGGAGGTGACCCTACCCCGAGCAATTGCCTTGGAAAGGATGGCAAGATCTTCGCTCCCGATTTCCCTGCCTCCTGTCCTTACCTCACGGCGGTGGGAGGGACGGAGATTCCTTCAGGTGCCAAGCCAGGAGATCATGTCGAACAAGCTGTAACTCGGTTCCCGTCGGGTGGCGGGTTTAGCAACATCTATAAGGCACCTGATTACCAGACCCAGGCTGTGGCCGATTACTTTTCCAAGGCCGAGCTGTCGTATCCGTACTACAAGAGCGTGGATAACAGCAGCTTTGGTGAGAATAACGGTATCTACAACAGGATCGGCCGTGGCTATCCCGATGTTTCAGCCATTGGTGACCGGGTCATCATCTACAACAAGGGACTCCCTCAATCGATTGGTGGTACGTCGGCCTCCGCGCCGGTGTTTGCTGGGATCCTTACCCGCATCAACGAGGAGCGATTGGCTGCTGGTAAGTCCACAGTCGGATTTGTCAATCCGGTCTTATATGCGCACCCCGAGGCGTTCTTCGATGTAACCACGGGCACCAATGCGGGTTGCGGCACTGATGGCTTTTCTGCGGCCGAGGGTTGGGATCCAGTGACCGGGATGGGAACCCCCAACTATCCGGAACTTCTCAAGGTTTTCATGCAGCAGTAAGTCGGCATTAGTTTTAGACAGAAACATGATTTGTGAATACAACCGAGGGCAATGAAGCCAGGAGCTTAGATGTCATTCGGGATAATCCTTATCAAGATGCGGAGCAACTGCGGGTTTGACCCAGCTATTCCTCTAACCGGTAGTGATGGTACTAGATAGAATGTGTTCAGTGGCAGACAAGACTCTAGAGTTCCAAAATGCTCACTAGGCATTCCCGGTCTGAATCGGGGCTCTCGCCCCGACAAGCGGTATTGACCCGAGTTACCAAGCCGAGGGATGGGCCGAAGGATGTGGCACACTGGCAATGTGCTCGGACTATCTCCGTATTATGTGTCGGAGTTCACGGCTTTCCAAGTTTGGAGAGTGGTAAAGGCCGTAGAAGAGATGGAGTTCCGCCAATGATATGCCTGGAAATTTCCCCGACTCCCCTTCCGATGCCCGGAGAAGAACCATGACATCATTAGGCAAGCACCCCCGCGGGGGCAAAACGGCGCTAACCCGTTTAGATCACTTTTACTCTATGCTCTTTTTCTTTCTTTTTCTTTTTCTCTTTCTGTGATGAGCAGATTGATCTAACTAGAGAGATATCTGAATATATGGCTAGTTGGGAAGCTATAGATTTGGTAAATTTGCATATTCTCAATATTTGAAGGTATAATCCCGTTGTACTGTTTACCCTAGGTGGAGTCTACTCCGTGGGTTGGCGACGCGTTCAGTGGCAGCCCCGCCAAAGAACTTGGGTTAAGATGCGGGATTTCCCCGTGTCTTCTACTTTCCTCTTCTCTATCTCTCAATAATACTTCTATCTTCTGTTTAACATCAAAATCACCTACAAAATGTCTCTTGGAAAGAAGGTCATCCTCAACTCGGGCTATGAGATCCCGTGAGTCCAATTGCGCCGTACTCAAGTATACTATACGGTTACTGACCCATGTACAGCCAGCTAGGCTTTGGTACCTGGCAGTCCGCCCCTGGTCAGGTAGGCGAGGCTGTCTATGAGGCCCTGAAGGCCGGTTACCGCCACCTGGTATGTGCATCTTTGTTTTCCGTTGGCGACTGATTTGCTGACCCCCTTCAGGACTTGGCCACCATGTATGCAGCTACCGTTGATTGCAATTGTCCCCGTTGCGGATTGTACCAAACTAATCGCCACTCGTTTTCAGCTACCAGAATCAACGTGAAGTCGCTGAGGGCATCAAGCGTGCTTACCAGGATGTTCCCGGTCTGAAGCGTTCGGATCTCTTCATTGTAAGCCAATAATCGCCAATTGAAAACACGCAGGCTTCCAGAGACTGACTCATTACTTTACAGACCTCCAAGCTGTGGAACACGTATGATGACTAGAACTGCAGTTTGACACATCAGAAGTACTGACTCTTCATCTAGCCAGCACCGCCCCGAGGTTGTCGAGGCCTCTCTGGATGCCTGCCTGGCCGAGCTCGAATTGGAATACCTTGATGTATGGGTCTGTTATTCTATATTTCTCTACACAATCGCTGACCGTCCCAGCTTTACCTTGTCCACTGGCCCGTTGCCTTCCAGAAGGGCGAGGATTACTTCCCCCTTATTGCTGACAGTACTGTTGAGGGTGGTGACGTGGTTATTGACGATGGTGTTTCAATTGTGGATACCTGGAAGGGTGAGCATCTACCGCCTGAGAGCAGGGGGTTAGACGCAGCTAACTCGCTCTCCAGCCATGACCAAGCTCCCTAAGAGCAAGACCCGCTCCATCGGTGTCTCCAACCACAAGATCGAGCATGTTCGTATTATTCCTGATTCAGAGATCACGACACACAGCTAATACAATACATAGCTCGAGGCTATCATTAACGGCACCGGCGTCGTCCCTGCCGTCAACCAGATTGAGCGCCACCCCGTGCTCCAGAGCAATGACTTGATTGAGTATTGCCAGCAGAAGGCCATTCACGTCACTGCTTACTCCGTATGTACCATGCTCTAAGATAATGCCGCAAACGTCCAAAGCTGACTGAATCCCCAGGCTTTCGGTAACAACATGCTCAACATCCCCCTCCTCATCACTCGCCCCGAGGTCAAGGAAGTTGCCGAGTCTGTTGCCAAGCGGACTGGCGAGACAGTCACCCCCGCCCACGTCATGTAAGATCATCCCGATCTTTTGCCCAACCGTGTTCAATGTGCTAATATTCTTCAAGTCTTGCTTGGTCTCAGGTCGGTGGACACAGTGTAATCCCCAAGTCAATCACGCCTTCTCGCATTCGTGACAACTTCAAAGAGATTGGACTCACCGCCGAGGAGGTCCAAAACGTCAGCGCCCTGGGTGCCAACCGCCGGCGCTACAACATTCCTTACACTGCCAACAAGCCTCGCTGGAACATTGATGTCTTCGGTGAGCCTGAGGAGCAGGCCGCTGATCACAAGGTTATCCTTTGAGCTGGTGCCCCACCCTTGCCCAAGAAGCGAACTGCCGTTGCCTCGTCACTCGGCATGCAAATATCACTTTCGTCGCACGTACTTACAACAGCTGAAGACGGAACCATGAAGCCAATAAATGAAATTACGGAAACTAGACGGCCACCACCAACCAAGAAAGGTCAAACACCTACTCCCCCGAGGATATCACAGCCTATACACCCTCCACAATCGTCCAATGTGCTTATATAGTCAAGTTTGATAAATGAATAGTTGAAAGTGAAACTGGTAGCACCAGTATTGGGACATACTGTAGAAGAAGACATTTTATGTACAGTTAGGTGATAGTTTCCAGATGTTACCTAGTAGGAAAGTCTTGATTTTGCATCTTGATCGAAGGTGCGGGAAAATAACCAAGACCAAGATCCTTTTTTTCGATGAATAAACCCCGAGAACCTTCTCCGAACGTCGATTTCTCGCGCCAATCTAAGTGGCCGATGTCGTGGAGTTGCTGCTATCAGTCTGATTTCACAACGAAGAAGTTAGCCCAAGGCTCAAGCAATCCGATGAGGTTTAGTGCGCCAAAATCTGGCAGAATAGGCAGAATTTCGGAATCATGTGATAAGGTCCGAGTGTACATGTCGACACTTTCTCTCAGGGTCATTACGCCCACTTCGAGTGTACCTTCCCCACATCCATCAGATTGCGGGGAACCGAACCGTGGACTCTGTGTACCTTCCAAAGTCTCCCGAGGAACTCCGAAAGTCCCAACACAGTACTAGTACTTCTTACAATTCGTTAACTAGTAACTACCTGGTCGGCTGGTCCTGGTGGCCATGATACTTTAGTCTTGAATAATAATCTTTCTGGTAGGAATCATGACCCTTAGAGTTCGGCAAGGGCTGGGTTCTGTCGCCATCGCCACGTCCGTGGTGTGATATCCACCTGTGCGGCGGTGCATCAGACTGTTGATCGTTTATCAGAAGGTCAGTCAAGTAACAAGTTGACATCTGCTTCGACTTCGAGTTGGAGTGTTCGGTAGAGAAACGAGTTCGAGTGGATGTGTCACAATCCGGTAGGACTTAGGAGCTTGGGATATGTTGATTTACGCCCGTCCTGATTCTACCAAGCCGCGAGTGTGGCTGCTACCTACAGTAGTCGGCCTTCTCCTCAATCATGGACGATCTTTCCACCGGCTGGCAGGTCTGCAATCCATTTTATTACAGTACTAGTACTAGAAGAGTCTGTGGCACTCTGTGCGTAATGACCATCCCCATAGCGGTGGGATAGGTGGGGAATGTAGTAGTAGTATCACTGCTCGACATGTATCCTCGTTACTATTTCCCGAACCTAGTCGGTGACCTCGTCGCATCCTCTGGGCGTTAACCGGTTGACCCGCTCCAGGCGCGCGGAAAAGGTGTGGAACTTAGTGGAACTTACACTTTCCCCACATATTTACTTGCCGGCTGATATGCCTCGAAGTGGAGAGCCATTGCTGACAGTTTTATGGTGGCTATCGGTCTTCTGTATTCCAACGAAAGTGATGTGTTGAGAATGACTGTTTCATGGCGGACTGGTATATTCTAATCGGTTACTGCCTCCGACAGGTAGCTAAGTAGCAGGGATCGCTGCAGGTGTTAGGCTGCGGACTTTGTCGAAACTCACATTTTGTCCCTAGATTGTCGGGCTATGGTGACGATAGATAAAAGGTAAGGTACCTGACCACTGCGTACCAGGATTATCATCTAGTGGGACGCACTAACTAACACCAAGAAAGTGGTGTCGTAGTACGAAGTCGTAGGTAGCACGATTACGGTATTTCGATTTCTTGTGCTGCCGGCAGTGCTTCCAATCGTTTCCCCGCATCTGATTGTATATAAACCCACTTCCATTTCTTCCCAGTTTCCTTCCCGCTTTTATTCCATCTCCAATTTATAGGTATTGGAACCTTCCATGCCTGACTCTCTGCTTTTTCTCTACATATAATAAGCATACGGTACTACAGATGCCATCTGAACCATGGGAAGTGCTAGTGCACAAGAAACAAGCCGAAGCTGCTGCTAAAATCCCTGCTGCATGGCGGCTTCCAGAAGAACTGACAAGCATATCCGACACATCTGGCGCGACTGTCCTAGACATCCCACGACAGTCCGGAATCTTGTCAGCGCGGCAACTCGAAATTACCGAGAAATATGATGCGACTGATCTATTAGAGAAGCTTCATTGCCAAGAGTTGTCGGCCTATGAAGTCACGGAGGCGTTTTGTATTCGCGCAGCGATTGCGCAGCAAGTGGTGTGTATCATCGACCATCCAATAGGCCCAATTGTCAAGTTCTAATGTGCTTGCAGACTCGATGTCTTACCGAAACATTTTTCGAGCGAGCACTGCAACGTGCGAAGGAACTGGATGAGACGTTGACCAAGACAGGAACACCTGTGGGGCCACTACACGGATTGCCGATTAGCTTCAAGGCAAGGATGAAGGCACTCCGAAGGAGCGACTCGGGCTGACCATTGAGATACAAAGGACTGTTTCAATATCGAAGGAATTCCTTCCACAATCGGATATACCTCGTTCATCGGGAATGGCCCTGTCAGCTCGAACTCTCCTGCTGTTCAGATCATGCTCAACCTAGGGGCCATCCCATACGTGAAGACAAACGTTCCGCAGACGATGATGGTGAGTGATTTAGAAGGCCGAGATATCTTCCAAACGCTCACGCCGATAGGCCGCTGATTCCCATAACTACGTATTCGGCCGGACCCTCAATCCTCACAGATCAAATCTGACCGCCGGGGGATCGTCTGGGGGCGAAGGGGCACTGATTGCCATGAGGGGATCAGTGCTGGGAATTGCTACAGATATCGCTGGCTCCATTCGAATTCCCGCTATCTGTAACGGGACCTACGCGTTTCGACCTTCCGCGGACCGGATCCCATATGGAGGACAAACTAGCTCCGCTCGTCAGGGGCTGGCCGGGATCAAGGCTTGTGCCGGGCCCTTGGCAACCTCAGTCAGGGATTTGGAGTTGTTCATGAGACTCACAACGAATGCGGATCCCTGGCAACTGGATTCTTCGGTGATATACTCTCCATGGCGTACCATTACCCCTAAGCCAGGTCTGCGGCTGGGAATTCTGCAGGAAGATTGTCATTTTCCATTGCATCCACCCGTTCTGCGAACCCTTACAAGCGCAAACGAGAAGCTGGTTGCGGCTGGACATGAGATGGTCTCACTCAAGACCACGCTCATTCGGGACGCATGTGCGCTGGCTTTCCGCATGTTCTCGATGGACCCAGCTCGGACCGCGTTCCAACATATTGCTGCTAGTGGAGAGCCAACCATTCCTGCACATAAGTCAACAGCTCTACCACATGATTACATGCCATTTGACTACGCACCATTGACCCTAGAGGCATTGTATGACCTTAACATGCAACGCAATCATCTGAAGGAGCAATTTCGCTCTCTTATCACTCAGGCCAAGATAGACGCCATCATTTGCCCAGGATATCAAGGCACTGCCCAACCTCACGATGTCTTTGGCTTTGTGCCTTACACCGTTCTATGGAATGTGATGGATGTAAGTATCATTCATGCCGATCATACCTCGGATACTGACTCCCCCAAGTACCCAAGCTGCATCATCCCGTATGGCAAGGCGATGAAGAGTGCCGATAAGGAATTTGTTCGGGACGTAAATTACAGACCTCCATGTAAGTAACGGAGCCCGTACCTAGCGTGTCAGTAAAGGTGCTGATGCAGATATTGAGATTTGCCGGATGTGATTGAGGGAGCACCGTGCTGCGTGCAGCTTGTTGGTAGGCACATGCATGACGAGGAGCTGCTGAACATGGCGGAGCTTGTCTCCCAGGTACTTAATCCCTGAGCCGTAGCCAAAGGGTTGGTACGATACTGCCACCAGGCGCGCCTTAGAAATGTCACAAGCTCCCCCGTTGGGTCTTAGGGCTTTAGATGTAGAGTTATGAGTTCAGTCCAAGGCCCTTTGAATCTCAAAGAAGCAAGAGGAAGCATTGCTTCGGTCCAGGCCTCGAGCCTGACATAACCTAGTAGAGACATTGGCTTCTCATATCAATTTGATAGCGCCCGTGCAAGTTTAAACTTTTGAAAACACTATGCGAACCGTAAATCCTTTTTCCGGGGTAGAGATTCAGAGCTAAATTCTCGGCTTAACCTATCAGGATTCATTTTTTTTATATTATCTTTTTCGCTGATGAATGTCGCACAAGTTCACAGCCTTGGAAGCTTCAGGTTAACTAACTAGTGTAGTTAGTTAACTAACCTTAGTTATGTTATGTTGTTAGTCAGTCGGTCGAAGATCGGCTTATCTTTGGCCCCTGTCCGGGCCTTAAAGAAAACTCTGATCCACAGTGGCGCTGTGGCACAACAAGCGTGCTCAGGAACCTTCACACAAAAAGTTTGTTTGATGTATAGTTACGCTTTAGGGTTTATGCCATGCATTGTCCTTGTATGAGATGAATGTGTTCCCCAACATAATATACCGTCAACATGAGACGGCCGCGATTTACTACAACATATAGACCGTGATCGACAATTCGAAGATCAGTTCAAGTGGCAAAGGCCCACAATATGGAGACCCATGGACTACCGACTACCCTCAGTCCCTCACGATCTACCTGACCACTTACCATGTAAACCTAGTGTAAAAAAGTATCTGCCACCGCCTTGAGGTCAACGGGCTGTTCTCGGAAAATAGTTTCTTTCTTGACTTTGTTTCTGTGGGCTTTTGAAGGAGTGTCGTCAAGAACTCAAGATGGGTTTGAAGCCGTATTTTGGCCTTCGAGGCAATGCCCTTGTCCGCGCCGCTGTTTGGCTGGTCGTGTATCCATGCTTCACTTGCTATGGTTACAACATGAGCGTGGCTGGTGGCCTGTTAACGCTCGATTCATTCAACGCTCAATTTCCCCGCATGGATACAATCCATACCGTTGGAGCTCTCAATAAAGAAAACTCCCAATTGCAAGGTTGGTCAATCGCCAACTCAAAACTTTTGCTTTTGGGCTGATCAGGGTTCCCAATAGGTACTGTCATCGCCCTCTATACCGTCGGTGGTATTTTCGGCTCCCTATCGTGCATCTATCTCGGCGATCTCTGGGGCCGACGGAAAGTGATTTTCATCACGAGCTTCATCTCAATCATCGGGGCCATTCTCATGGCGACCTCTTTCGATTTTGCCCAGTTCATCGTCGCAAGACTGGTTCTCGGGCTAGGCGTCGGTGGATGCATCGCGACGGTCCCTGTCTGGCAATCGGAGATCTCCCCTGCGGATAAGCGAGGATCCAGTGTTGTGACTGACGGCATCTTTCTTGGTGTTGGTGTAACACTCGCCCTCTGGATCGAGTTAGGCTTCTATTTCGTCAAGGATAACTCCGTCTCTTGGCGATTCCCTCTCGCCTTTCAGATCGTCATGTCAGCCACTGCACTCATTTTCATCACCAGCATGCCGGAATCGCCTCGTTGGCTCATCAAAACCGGGCAAGTGGAGGAAGGACGCAGAGTGCTTGCAGCATTGCTCAATGTCGACGAGGATTCAGGAATCATCAACGATAACGTGCTTAGCATCGAGACATCACTTGCCCAGTGCTCGGGTTCTTGGACCAAACTGTTCAAAAATGGCAAACAACGGCTGTTCCATCGCGCATATCTTGCCGCGACAGGCCAGATGTTCCAGCAAATGTGCGGTGTGAATCTGATCACCTACTACGCGACCACTATTTTCGAGCAGTACCTTGGAATGGACGCTGTGAGATCTCGAGTTCTCGCTGCTGCGATGACTCTCATGCAATGCCTCGGTGGATACTTGGCTTACTATACCATTGACCGTCTTGGTCGCCGACCTCTGATGTTATGGAGTGCCGGCGCTATGACAGTCTGTATGGCAGGCCTTGCTGGCACGACTTCGCCTTCCGCGGCCAACAATACAGGGGCTCTCGCGATGGCCGTTGTCTTCCTATACGTCTTCCAATTCATCTTCACTGTTGGCTTCTCCGGCCTCACCTTCCTCTACGCTGCGGAAATGGCTCCCCTTGAGGTTCGCGCGGCAGTGAATGCGATATCGACTGCCACCGTGTGGAGCTTTACCTTCTTGATTGCCCAAGTCACCCCTGTTGGCTTCTCCACGATCGGTAACCGTTACTACATCATCTTCGCTGTCATAAACGCCGTGATCGTGCCCAGCGTATACTTCTTCTTTCCCGAGACCAAGGGTCGATCACTGGAGGAAATCGACGAGATTTTCGCTCAATCCAAGACCATCTTTGACCCGCCTCGTGTGGCTCGGGCCATGCAACGGCAATTGAGATCTGGGAACAAATCTCACCCCGAAGGGGGTGATGTCACTAGCTCCGATGAAGATGTCAGCGAAGAGGTCAAAGTTAAGGAGTAACCGAACTCGCAGACTGGATTCGCAGAGCTCGGAGTGCTGGACAGACTTCCATCACACGAACTCCGGACTCCAACGGTAAATATGTCGCCGACAAAAATGTGACAAAAACTGCAGATATGATACCTACTTCTGTAAATATTTCCCACTTTTGCTCGCGGGCTTCTTTCCTGTCACATGGGTAACTTCCATGGTGTTTATATAGTTATAGCCCGAAGAAAATACCTATCAGCAAACATTTTCTGTCCAGTTGTCAGTATCCTTCACGCCAACTGGTAAGCCCTCCGCCAACTGGTAAGCCCTCTGCCAACTGGCAAGGCTTAATCCTACAAATTGCCCCAATAATCAGAATAATCTCAATGCGACACGTGCCGCGTTTGATCTGATTCTGGTGCCCCTGCATGGCAAAATGTATCAATCAACCGCTAAGGCTGGTTCACAAACCGAGGATTTTCACACGTGCGCAGCTGACACAGTACCGAAAGCGTCCAGTGTACCCATTACCGCCGACACTATTATGATGTAGTCAATGAACATACAGGGAGTTATGGCCAGATCAAGAGACCGAAGCAGCATACGACGGAAAGCCACAGGTCGAGAAGCACCACAGTGCAAATGAACGTGCTACGGAATGATGATAAGATGAGGTATTGTTCTGCTCCTTGCCTTTTCATGTCCAGGTTGTGAAATAGTAGCTGTATGTAACCTCTGGAGACTTTCCCGGCCGAACACATCGTTGGATAGTATCATCTAAGGTTCCTTGTAGCATAAGTGAGTGAGCACATGGGCAGGAAGATGGTAATCCGCCCTCTTCCGGGCCCGACAGTGCCGTTCTGCTGGCGCTGCTTATCAAGATCATTCCCCCGTCTGCAGTCATACCTATATACAATTAGGTGCATTTGGGGCTGGAAGGCTACCTAGCGGTGCTCGATTACAATTTGCTATAGACTCCTAGGTACCGTTGAGGCTAACCTAAGTACCTTCTGGATGGCTTCTACGCTGGGTTTGCCTCCTATACAAAGACAACTATGAAATAGTTTGGGATTTTTTTGATATCAATCAGGAAGCTATTCGGAAGCTTCAAATGTTCCATTGTGCAATTGGTCAAGGCGTATGTTGTACTGAGCCCATATGCCACCTGGGCAGGTTGATTTACTTATGACATCCCTCGCTGCAGTTGCAGCCAAGAAGATCGCACTCTGAGATTTTTCCAGTGAGTAATCATGAAATATTTGATAAGAAGCTTGACTCACTGCCTTTTCCACAGAAGGGGTTGGGCTTAGATCCATCTGCGCATAGCTTTAAGCATATTTCGGTTCCTAAAGCATCTGTGGAGCAGTGTCTCTTTACTCCAGTGCAGCAGTTTGCCATAGTTAGATGCGCTGTTGCAAGGAACAGGAAGCAAAGTATGGCGATTCTGGGTATGGTAATCCTGAAAGACATCTCGAAAAGGATAACGGCGGGAACTAGGGAGAGATCTTGGTTAGTACAGAGCTTCATTCGTGGTGCTAAAGCCATCGATGTACCGTATCGGTAGTGAGGAAGCTGGTATAGGATGGATGAGTTGTTCCTATCTAGGTATAGGCTGCGCACGTAGTTTTCTGCAGTTCCGAGGAAGTCGATGTTCAGTCGTTCAAGACGGGATAAACCATAGGTTTCTGATACATGCGGCAGTCTCCCTCCCTTTATATACCCTCCCATCCCCCCCGGCTGCGTCTTAGATACCTTGAATGCATAGCCCTCTAGGGATATGATGTATGGCATCACCGGGGGTTCAAAGAATGCCAAATTCCAAGATCAGCAGTCACCGCAACAAGCATAACCAAGGCTTTCAATATCGTCAACCCCGTGTACCGGTGAACAATCACGGTAGTATAGCAAGATAGGGTACATAATGAAGGGATTTCCAACCATACGACAATGTATAATGATGTCCTTTGATAATGGTGCTTTTGTATGAACCAAGCTGGAAAACTGTCTATCAGGAGCTCGTTCAGTCATTATATGCCACCTCAGACACAACCCTTCCAAAGGATGTCACTGAAGATCGCGCGGGTTCTGCATTATCATAATCATATCATCCATCTTCAGAGGGGTTCACGTCATACTCTACGTCGGTCCGTATGATATATTTTGCCCCCTTCCTCACCCCTGTCCCCTCATGCAACAAAGCGCCATTGGACTCCCCATGTGGGAATATTGCGACAGCTCCCATCACAGGTTGCACCGGATATCCATTGAGAGTCCCCTCCCGCACAGCTGGCACGAAAAATGTTGTCTCTCCCCCCTCAAATTCATCATTGAGGTAGAGGAGAAAGGTGTACATGGAGCTCTGCATCTTCTCTTCAGGCGAGGAGTCGTACACGTATGTGTCATCGGGGAGAATACCGGATGGTGGCCACGCTCCATCAATGTGACACCGATATTCGGCGCCAGGAACATACCTGTACACACGGAAGCGGCGATTGATACCTCGGACGAGGCGTCCGTTGATCGACGGCGGCACATAAGGGGATATCCGCGCCCAGAGCATGTCATGGAAGGTAGTGTCGATGATCCAGTAGAAGTTGTGGGCGAGGATGCTCACGTCTCCATCTTCGCGAAGGGGCGCATCGGGTACAAAATTGACGGATTCACCGGCAGCGATGATCGCCTTGCACTCAGAGGCGGAGAGCACATTTAGGGCAAGACCAAGACCAGGAACAGCAGGATGTGGATGATATGTGATTGTGGGGCCGACGGGAGCCAGCGGAACGGCATTCGGTACGGTAGTGTAGAGGATGGCGGGGTGGTGATTGGGAGGCTTGCGAAGGGGTCCAGGAGTTTCTTCGATGACCCGCAGGGCAGATGGATCCTTAGGCGCAAGGGCCAAGATAGATTTGTCCAAGACCGAGGCGTATACCGGAAGAGGCGTAGTTGGAGGACGGAGATCCCAGATGGCCTGGAACGCAATTGGGGTCGTTGCATCGATGGCATTAGGATTGATGTCAATTGGCGTGCTGACACGTAATATGGCGTCGAGAACGCCGAAGATTTCTAGGTCCTTGGCACTGGGCTTGGGTAAAACTTGGTCCTGGGATTTGGGCCGCGTCGAGAGGCCACTGACAACGTCCAGATCTCGCACCCAGCGACACAATGCTCCGATTTTGGGTTGTTCCCCTCTGATTCTCATCTCCGCGAGCAGGATCTTCGCTTCCATGTACTTCCCATCCGTCAATGCACCCGTGATTCGTGCTGTCAAGTTGGCGCCCTCTGTAGATTATTAGTCATAGTTCGTTCTGTTTGATTTTTTCCGTTTCAGCCGGAATAACGCAGCAGCATACCAGCCGTGTTGACACCTGTAGTGCATGTCTGGCGGAAGTCATACACTGCGACTCGAAGGTCCTTGCAGGCTTTCGACTTGGTCAGGCCGGGGTACTCGGCAAGCGCGGTAAGCGTCTCGATAGTGATATCGAGATCCTCGTCTGAAACGACCGCATTGAGATGTGTGGATTCGACAGTTTTGCCATCGGGAGGCGGTGTTATCAAAGTCGAGGCTGCCTTGGGGAGTTTTTGCGGAAGGTCGGCTTGCGCAGCGCGCTTACGCTTTGCGGCCTTGGATTTTGCCATGGCTATATAAAAAGAGTGTGCGATCTGATGATTCCGTGCATTTGATTGAGGGTGAAAAGAGACAGGCCCGGAAGACCTCGCCCGCGGGCTCTGTGTTATGTCATCAATTGCCACCGGAGCAAAAGTCCTGAGGTTGCGATGGTTGACATCGTTGTTACTTTGTTGATTATTGATCGTTCTATAAGAGAGACCAGTGATGCGAGATTCGAGACTCTTCGCCTTCCCTGAAGTTCACATCATGGTCAATAGTGATAAGCCCCCGGCTGGCGGATTTGAGGCAACCGTTTCTGCCTTTCGTGGCCTCAGGCGACGAACGAGTCACCCATTTCCAGGAGCAACTTGGCGACAACGCAGGAATAGCATCGAATATCATTTGCTGTTGACGCTACGAAACTAGTTGCATGGGGAAAATAGGAAGAAGAAACTGATCCATGAACTATGGAAAGCAGGCTGTATTTAAGCCTGCATAAACAAAGAGGACAAACAATGGATGAGAGCCTCAGGCGGCAAACACAGAGGCACATGGAAAGACATCCTATGTATGTCAGTCAACATTTGCTCCTGCAGCCATTCTACCGAGGAGCAGTGGAGTACGACCAAGCTTACCTTGACTCTTAGTTTCAAAGTTAGATTCCAGAAGATGATAATCTTGACGGTAACATTGGATTTCATTCTCTCTAATAGGTCATATCTGCAGGGTATCATCGGCAGCTGATGATAAAGACGACAGACTAGCTCTTCTGGCCCAGATCAGACTTCTCCATAATCAACGGGACTGGATGCTTGGTTATTTCTGCGCCTAACGCTTTCGTAGATGACTTTCACCAAGGTATGCAGGCGATCTCACTTCAACTGCTCCGCGTACTCATGCGAACAGCCAGCCCTGGATCGGGAACTCATAACGCAGTCATAGCGGCGTTCGGACCCTTGAAATAGATACATTTGCCGGCGTATCTATACGGCCTCAATGGAAGCCGATAATCCGACATCTCTAAATCATCACAGCTGAAGTTTGTGACTTGGATTCGATTTTTCGGAGATAAAGATATTTGCGGCAAGGGTAGGAGAGTGGTATTTCGGGTTCTTCATTAGATGCGGAGCCCTCCGAAGATTGGAAGACCGCATATCGACGTTGTCATCTCTGTCCAATGCAATCATCGCAGCCTGGTAGAATGGAACTCATTCGCTGACGATGTGTCGGAATATAGATGTGCCAGAGAGCATCGTTATGATGGGTGAGTTCAGTTATTCCAAAAGGGTTATGGTCGAATGGAATCGATGTTCAGGACTGGATTCATGTGGCATAGGAGTCTCAAAGATCATTCTGTTAATTTGTGAAGCTTGCCTTTGGATTCGTTGACCTTCTCATGCAGAGCACGTGCCTTTCGTTTGGCCTTGGTATATCCTTCAACGCCAGCGAGCATGATATAAGATTTGCTCATCGAGACACGAGACATATCAACACCCTGTTGCTGAAGGGAGTGATGGAATGCTCGAAAGTTCGCAGTTGAAGGACGGTAATGGCCACTATCAAGGTCAGCACTGATTGGAAGTTGAATGAGGCCTCCAGAAACTACCTCAAAGGTGCCAGGCTCCGGAGCTGGCCATGTTTGATTTTGATCATTCCTGCCGCTGCAATTCGGGCACCTCGCAGGAAAGATGAATGTTGGAAGGCACCTGATCTCTTTATCCCGATGTACAAACGAAAAGACGTATCTGCGACCTAGCAGGGGTCAGCTTACCTGACCTTCAACGAAAGCATGCCTAGAGCTAACTCACGAACAGCCACGTGTCTTCTTTCTTGGAAGACTTGCCCAAAAGTCGTTTACATGCAGCAACAGGGCTGGGATGCATCACCTTTCGCATCGTCTTCGCAGCCCTGTACTCCTCATCGGTGAACGGTTCGGGGCTTCGGCTTCTTGACAGAACACTTTGAATGTTCTCTGTTGCAGATGATGATGATGCTGGCGATGGAGGCGATGGAGACGACGGAGACGATGGTAAATCAGAGGTGGATTTTGGTTTGGTCATAGATGAGTTGCCATTGTACTCAGGTGCATCGTCCCCAATAGGCACAATTCCCCGAAGGCTATCTTTGAAATGCGCAGTACTCGTCCAGACTGGCTCGTTGTTCTTGGCCCACCTGAAGTGCCCACTTTCGTCAACCATTACAAGGTAATTCTGTCGTTCCTCGCGAGTGAGATAGCGGACTTGTTCTCTTTCCAATTTTTCTCGTGGACATTGTGGTATCTCCACATCTTTGCCCTCGCCAAAGTCCAACCAAAAAAAGAAATTCTCCTTTGACGCTGAGTCTCGCCAATAGGCGTGATAAGCGCGCAAGTTACTGCCATGACGGTGTTTGAGATCGACCATCTCTAGAAAGTATTGCAGATCCATCATCTTTGCAGTCGCCCCGCATGCCGTCTCTTTATTTGGCTCTGATCGGTTCCCCGGAGAGAGCGCAGGTTCCGAAACAAGATCGTCTCCGCCGGCACGTCTGGCGACACTCACCGCACGTTGCCAGTTGCGTCGAGCTTGGTTAAAGCCATCTTCACCGGGTGCTATGTGTGGCTTGGGACTTTGGAGTTGGTGCCACTGAGCTTCTTTGAAAGCCTAGGTAGAGAACACGAATTAGACTTTGACTCGCCTAGGGGCTTTTCTTCATACCTCAACCCATCGGGTGGAAGCAGTCAATTCCAGTCCTTGCAGTTCTCGTCGCGTCCGATGACCACGATAAATTCTCTAATCCCCTTAGCGGTGATCAATATATCAGGGGCATGATTTTCTGTACCTGAACCGTTCGCGCGGCGCGTTCTCTGTCCATGACGTCATCCGACGACGTGGTTGAAGTTGCCGGGATTCCCGTCATTTTGGATGTTAAAAGGAGGCCAAGAAATAGAATCAGAATTATTTCAATTAAAGGTTCCCTCAACTTAAAGAGAAGTCAAGAAGAGAGATGCAGAGGCCTGAATAAACGTTGAAGTCAACCTGAACCGAAAAACCAGGGCAGGCCCCGCGTGAATGCGTGAATTCCTAGGTCAGGTGACGGTAGGTCACAGGTGCTTCCGCCTCGACATGTTGAACTCTGACATGTGGCAATCTCGTCCCTCTTCCATCTCTAAAATCTTCGACTTCAAGTTGACCAGGGGGTCCGGCTCGTTTCCGTGTTATCTATATCCATCTTGGGATTGACGTGATGTGCCAAGCACGTATTTTAACACCCATTCCCCCGCGCGAGGTTTCCAAAAACGAATTTATCCACCAAGATTGGAGATATCGGCAGCCCCTCATGGATATTGCTCTTCACTTCTTCGCTTTGAACTGCTAATCTGACAGACCGGCATAGGATCCGAGTCTACCAGGCACATTGCACCAGGGGCTAAGACGGGAAATCATTTCCGCATTCAGCTCTAATATCCACAATAAGCACTGCGGCCACAATGTTCTGCCGAGATTCTGCCGAGATCGATGTACATCGTGTAAGTTCTCGGGGAGCGCCCCGAAGCTGCCCGGCATGGAGTCACATATCGAGCGACGAGCCGATCATGGTGGATGATACCCCTCACGAATAGATGATACCATATGAGGGGATCTCAAATGATCCGAAGCTTTGAACCTCCATAAATGGCACGCTTGCCTTGAGATATAGCCTGGTATCATCGATTCTGATCCTGCAATTCAGCTTGACTATACTACATCACTTGACTTCACAGCCCTCACCATGGCTCCCTCTCTACACCCTCTCGTTGACAATGGTATCACCCCAGGCTCCAGTAGCTTCGCTGGCGGGAAGCTTCGTTGCCATTGCGCATCGGACAAGGTGGAAGTTACTCTGAGTAGCAATGTCGCCCACAATCATGCCTGTGGCTGCTCAAAATGCTGGAAGCCAACCGGCTCGCTCTTTTCCATCGTCGGCGTTGTTCCTCGTGATGCCGTCTCCGTGACCGCAAATGCATCCAAACTCTCTATTGTTGACAAAGAAGCGACCATCCAACGAAACGCCTGCAAGGACTGCGGTGTTCACCTCTTCGGCCGTATCGAGAAGGACCACCCCTTCAAGGGACTCGACTTTGTGCACGTCGAACTATCCGACGAGCAGGGCTGGCAGGAACCGCAATTCGCAGCGTTTGTCTCGTCCATCATTGAACAAGGCACCCACCCCAACCAAATGGACGATGTAAGGGCCAAATTCAAGTCCGTTGGACTGCAAACCTACGACGTTCTGTCCCCACCGCTGATGGATCTGATTTCGACGTTCACAGCCCAGAAGGCTGGTCACATATTCTCCAACCTGTGATTTGACTGTCTAACAGCTGGCTTCACGTGAGGAAGATGACTGCTATTATTGTTGTCGGAGCGATGTGCTTGTGGGGGTTATGTTCCTGACAAATCATGAATGGGAACGGTGCATAAAGAGTGACAATCATTAAGACCATGTTCAGAAGCTAAAGGTTCTGCTAAAGTTAGTACAATCTATGATGCGACCAGCAATCTTACAGCGTATACTGTCTCCCTGTGTAGTTGCATCAGCATATTGGTTTAGTTTGTGGACGTGTAGCGCCGCGCCAACTATAATCAAGATGCCGGAAACGCAGTGAAGTGTGAGGAATGGAGGCACAAGTATATTGGAATCCTTAAGTAGGTTGGTATGGTTGCCGAGGTCAGGGTCATTAGTTATGCTGAAGTTCTTGTCATCGTCGAGTGGTTCCATTTTCCCGATGATGCCCTGCATCCACCAGAATGGTGGCCTTCCGTTGATTTTATCTGGTTGTGCTAACATACTTCTACCGAAACTTCTAAGGTGTTTTGAGTAACGAGCTATTCATTGTCCAATCTGGTTCTTTCGACGAAACGGCAAGTATTGCCCCGGATTAATCCTCTTTGCAGTTATATGCGTGCTCTAAGCTTCTCTGCAGTGTCTTGAAGCGGATAGTCGTGCTTTGTTTTGCTGCGGACACGCTCACCATCCTCAGGTGTGATATACCGAGCTTCCACGGCCGGGTTGTATCCGAGACCAGAAAGCTTCTTGATCTCCTCATCGGGAACCGCCTGACTGACCTGGCCATCGGCTCGCTTATAGATAGTGACCACCACTGCACCCCCCAATCCCAGGTTGTGTTGCAAAGCGACATCAATACCTGGCACCAGACGATTGTTTGCCCAACCGCGGAGTTGCCAGGTAAGCTCTGCACACTGAGCTAGCCCAGTGGCACCCAGAGGGTGGCCCTTGGAAATCAATCCGCCAGATGGGTTGACGACTAGGCCACGGCCTCCGTAGGTGATATCCCCCCGGCGGACCATTTCGTGTGCCTTTCCAGGCTCCGAAAATCCCAGTGCGTCAAGCAGGAGAAGCTCATTGGTGGAAAAGCAGTCGTGAAGCTCGCACACCTTGATGTCTCTCGGGCCAACGCCGGCCTCTTTCATCGCCAGCTGGGCAGCTTTGCGGGACATGTTGAACCCCACGAGATCGATTGCGCTGCGGGAATAGACCTCGGGGCCATCGGTCAGCAGTTGTTGGCCGGCCATGACAATGGCCTGAGACTTGAGATGAGGACGAGCGTCCAAGAAGCGCTGCGATACAATGACGGCCGCGGCGGCTCCATCACTGGTCGGGGAGCACTGCAGCTTGGTGAGTGGTCCATAAATCTGGGTCTTGGGATCCATGATCTGGTCGAGCGAGAATGCTGTTCGGAATTGGGCATACGGGTTTCGCTGTGAGTGTTCGTGCGAGACGCGAGCAATTTCGGCGAGATCTTCGGCTTTGGCGCCATACCTGTTCATCTGCTCAGCACAATGAAGAGGGGAGAGTGGGAGACGAGTCAGGGAAATCCTACTTTTCCATGTATTCTTGCCCGGCATTTCCAAAGTATTGTGCATTGCGGGGGCTTGCGTGTTTTCCGTAAGTCTCCTCCATCATCGTGGTCGATGGGCCCAATGGACTTGGGCGATCATCCCAAACGCTCTTGATTGACCCCGGGCGCATCTGTTCAAACCCGACGACGAGCACACAGTCCGCCTGCCCGCCCTTGACTAGGTTCCGTGCCAGATGCAGACCAGTTGACCCGGTCGCGCAGGCATTGTTGGTGTTATAAATTGGAATGCCGGTCATTCCTAATTGATACATGATCCGTTGACCAGCAGTGGTGTCACCATAGCAATAGCAGGCCACGGCGGCCTGTACATCGTCGTAGGTGATGTGTGCATCAGTCAATGCCTTGACGGCTGCCTCATATCCCAGTTCGGGGTCTAAAATGAAAACAGTGAGATTCAGATCCACGACTTTGGAGGAATATCTCACATTCACGAGTGCGACGGGGTTTTAGGAACTGGGTCATGCCCACCCCCAAAACATATGATTGTGCCATGATTGCGATGTGATGAAAGAAGAAACTGGAGGTCTTAGGAGTTTCTTACTTCCCTTGCGGATATATAATCATCAGATATTATCCTCTACGCCCCCGGTTCGTATACACAGTATAGCCGAACTTCCGAGGCACGTTCAACCCCCCCCCTCTCAATGCTTTCTTCCACAGCATGAAGCCGACTTAAAATGACCTTGGGATTTCCCAATCTTGGAAGCTCTATTCTACTCGGATTATTCCAATTTACAGAATTGCAGTCTATCGTTCTCGTTCACTCCGAGCCTCGTTTCGTTCTTTCCATTTACCTCGGACTTGACCAATCCAGAATCTAACTACTGCCACCCACCTCCTTCATATCATTTATATTTCTTGACATTCCTGAAAGAGATATCATGTCAGATACTCTTCAGTCACAGCCACCACCCACAAATGTGTTCAAGTTATCCTTTCCCCAGCCGAAAGTCCTACTGGTGACGATCGACCGTGAGAAACAACGAAATTCATTGCCCGCCGAGGCTCATTGGGAGGGTCATAGCTTATTCTCCTGGTTTGACGATGAACCCAGTTTGCTGGTGGCTATAGTCACTGGAGCCGGCGACAAAGCATTCTGCGCCGGCCAGGATTTGACCGAACAGGCTTCTTCTCGCCTGGGTCCCAAGACTCCGGCCCAAGTCGCAGTGATGAACCATCCGCCGTCAGGGTTCATGGGATTGAGCCAGCGCAGAGGTAGAAAGCCCGTGATCGCCGCTGTAAATGGGTTTGCACTAGGGGGAGGCTTCGAGATCTGCTTGAATTGGTAGGTCCAGCATCGGGGCGATCGTGAGTGCTACGTGCTCGAGCTTATTCTTTCGTCTCTAGTGATATCGTAGTCGCCTCCCCCCAGGCTGTATTTGGACTTCCCGAGGTTGCAGTCGGACTATATGCTGCGGCCGGAGGACTGCCTAGGTTGATGCGGATTGTTGGTCTGCAACTCGCATCGGAGATTGCTATGACCGGCCGCAAATTGACAGCCCAAGAAGCCCTGGACTATCGGCTTATCAACCGAATTTCTCAGAGCCCACAATCGGTAGTTGATGAATGTCTCATCCTAGCGAGCCAGATTACAAGTTTCTCTCCTGACGGTATCATCGTTACACGCCAGGGATTGCGCGAGGCATGGGACAATCCCAGCGTCGAGCACGCCACTGCACGAATTCGTCATGAATATGTGAACCGCCTGGTTGCGGGTGAGAATTTCAAGATTGGAGTTGAGGCTTTTGCCAACAAGACAAAGCCCAAATGGGGCCCTTCTCGTCTATGAGGTTGGCGTTTTCAATGTGTCTCGTTTGGTGATCCGCCGGAACAGCGAATGTATTTCAGAACGATTTTTACTGTGTAGGCAATCTAAGTCCTACAGTGTTAATAGAGATTTTGCCACATGTGCTAGGAACATAAAGATCCCCGCAGATATAGACCGTGTGGGGGAGCTCGGGCCGAGGGTCGTTGTAAACGTGCTCCCTCTTGTAGGTTTATTCCTCATTTCTTTACATTCTTTATTAGCATCGAACATCCCTCGCTCTTTCTTTCCTAATAATCTACCTCCTTTCTCTAGCTCAACATAATGCAGCCTGTCATTGTCGGGGTTGCCGACATTAAGAATCGATCACTCGCCGTTGAAGATGCCAAGGAACCTGCTACCTTGATGTTAGAAGCCATCCAAGCCCTATCAACGATGCATGCAGCTCAGCTGAGACTGCACAGATCCTCCGAGATCATATCGATAGTCTGAGCGTTGTACAGACTTGGACCTGGCCCTATCAAAATCTGCCGGGCTTGTTGTCTCAATGGCTCGGAGTGAATCCCAAACACCAAACATGTACCGAGCATGGGGGTAACCAACCTGCCAAGCTCCTCGATGAGGCTGCTCTGCGGATTACACGCGGCGAAGCAACTGTAGCGGTGATTACGGGGGGTGAAGCGCTTGCTTCTTGTGAGTGGAGATAGTTGATTGACTTGGGCCTCGTTGACGAGTGTATAGTGGCTTCATGTGTCAAGCATGGCAAGATGCCACCTCCGGGTTGGTCATCCCCAGCTCAAAATGTCACGGATGTTTTCTCTCCAACCAACAGAGAGCTGAGGAAGGGTATGTGTGCACCATGCAAATAGTGGACACTGTGAATGATGACTCTAAACCCGTTCCTAGATATCGCAGGGCTACATTCCGTGGGGTCACCAATCCATGTATATCCACTGTATGAGAATGGATTCCGGGCCCACCGTGAACAGTCACTCCAGGAAAATCATGACGAGTCGGCTGCCCTTTACGGCTACTTCAGTAAAGTCGCATCACGAAATCCATACGCCTGGAACTATGGCGTCGAGGCCGAGACCACCACTTCGATTGGCACCATATCGAAGAAAAATCGCATGGTCTGCTCACCATGTGTGTTTCGGACTTCCGGCATTTTGATCAGTAATTCATCCAAGCTGACGCATACTTATGACAGATCCTCTTCTGATGAATGCTTTCAACACTGTCAATCTGTCTGCAGCTTGCATCGTAACGACTACCGAGCTCGCTAGGCGACTTCAGATACCCGAGGACAAGTGGATCTACCCCCTCGGTGGTGCTGGTTCCAAGGAGCGTGAGAATTGTATGTTTACAAACATTATATTCCAAACCTAGCGAGACAACCTACTAACATGGACGTCTCCCAGTCTGGGAACGACCCAACTTCTTCCAGAGTACGGCGATATCCAAGGCTTTGGACACATGTCTGAGCGTTAGCCAACTTACATCCAAGGAGATTGACCTCTATGATTTCTACTCGTATGAACCCTGGCCTGAGAACTGCGATTTCCAACTGACCTCCTTCCAGATGTTTCCCAATTGTGCCAAAACTGGCGTGCCATCACCTAGGCATTTCGATCAGAGAGCCCCAGAAGCCAATTACCCTGCTGGGTGGTCTCACCTCCTTCGGTGGTGCTGGTAACAACTACTCCATGCATGTACGAGCCCTACAACTTGCTCTAGCAACCAACTACTCACCTGAAATTCCAGGCTATCACTGAAATGACCCGCCGTCTACGCCAAGGCTCCAGTCGCAATGGACTTATCCTTGCCAACGGTGGTGTTTTATCTTACCAGCATGCAATCTGCATGTCCTCCTCACCCCCAAAGGAGGGGACACCTTATCCCGATAGTGAAGTTCTAGGAAGAGGCGAATTAGATCCGATTCCGCCAGTCGACTTTGAAGCAGAGGGGCCGGCAAAAATCGAGGTCAGTGGCAGTCGTCATCTGTCGCATGTTCCCAAAATATCCTGCCAGGAAAGCTAACTATGAACAGACGTATACCGTTGAATTCAAACGAGATGGGACTCCATTGCGAGCTTACATCGTAGGCAGGTTGACTGATACTAATCACCGATTCCTGGCAAATGAGGGCGACAAGTCGACTCTCCTACGCTTGGCTTCATCCCATGAGGAACCGATAGGGAAACTTGGTACTGTCATTGCTGATCCCTCGGGGGTAAAGGGCCAGAGAAGGAACTTGTTCTCGTTGCATAGCGCGTCCAGGCTGTAGTTGAATTGGAACGGTAATATTCATAATCGATGACAAACTTATGTCCGAAATGAGCTTCAGCAAGCAGTCCATCCGATTCTTGTAGGGACTCAATTTTGGGAATTCATTGTAGATAGAAGAGGTTAGCTATTGCCCGTCTCTGGAGTCTACGGTGATGTCGTTTTTCCTTTACCTTCCTCTGGCTCTGACGCAAAATATCTATTCGGCTTCTTAACTTATTTCTCCAAAACACGACGTACACGACGTGGTCAAGTTGGGGAAGATCGACAATGACTCCAACTCGCCTCCGTGTTCCCCGCACTTCCCCTCTCCATCTCGAATGAACAAAATGAACTATATAACTTGTTAATGATTCAATGGTTTGGAAACCATTTGTATATTTCACTCTGTTAGGATGGCACTTCTGACCGTAAGACGCTCCTCCAATGTGACATGGCTCATCTAACCTCATTCAGTTGGCGCGACCCCAATTGCTCAGGACTCTCCGACCAAGGGCGTATCGTCTTGGTTCACGATCGTTATACGGGCGGGCGACCGAGTTTCTTCAAAATCATGACCCCGATCTATCCGAATCTCAGCGAATGGTGCGACAAGAAATTGCCAAGATATGTTCGGATTTTCCAGATAATTATTGGGCCAAGGTGGACGAGACGCACCAGTTTCCGACCGAACTGTATGAGGCGTTGGCATCCCAGGGCTGGCTGGGCATTTGCTTGCCACAACGATATGGAGGTTCTGAGCTGGGAATTTCAGAAGCCGCAGTGATGATGCAGACCATTGCAGAGTCCGGGGGAGGGATGACTGGTGCATCTTCTATCCATATGAACATCTTTGGTCTTGAGCCAGTTGCCAAGTTTGGGACCGACGAACAGAAAGAACGATGGCTCACTCCGCTCATTGCTGGTCGCCATAGGGCATGTTTTGGGGTCACGGAGCCCAATACGGGCTTGGATACGTTGCAGTTGCAGGCCACAGCGCGTCGATCTGGCACTGGCTACGTATTATCCGGGCAAAAGATCTGGATTTCGACGGCGCAGAGAGCGGACAAGATTCTGATTCTCGTGCGTACGACACCACGCGACCGAGTGAAAAAGCCGTCCCAGGGTCTTTCACTTTTCTACACTGATCTACAGGTTCCTCAGGTCCAAATCACCGAGATCCCCAAAATGGGCCGCGCGGCCGTGGATACCAACTCCCTGTTCTTCGATGATTGGCATGTCCCGGAGGTGGACCGGGTGGGACAAGAAGATGAAGGATTCAGGATGATTCTCCACGGGATGAATGCAGAGAGAATTCTGATCGGCGCAGAGGCACTCGGACTCGGCTTTGCAGCGCTGCGTCGTGCAGCCTTATATGCCAACGAGCGGCAGGTATTTGGGCGACCGATCGGGCAGAATCAAGGGATCCAACATCCTCTGGCCGATAGCTGGATGAAACTGGAAGCAGCGCGTATGATGATCTATCAGGCGGCTCGGCTTTATGATCAAGGCTATACTGATGGTGAATATGCTAACGCTGGCAAATATCTGGCTGCCGAGGCTGCCTTCGAAGCCTGTGAGCGAGCCATTTTGGCCCATGGAGGGATGGGATATGCGAAGGAATATCATGTCGAACGGTATCTTCGAGAGGTCTTCATTCCTCGCATTGCCCCGGTTAGTCGAGAGATGATTCTAAACTACGTAGGAGAGCGAGTGCTGGGTCTTCCCAGGTCTTACTGAATCGTATCTGCGCAATTCTGTATCTATAGTTCGAGCTAGAATGGAATGCTTCAGCGAACACCCATAAGTATCCCAGTTTATTTAGGCCACCAACCTAGGCCACCGAAGGTCAGCCTGGAGTAAAGTCAGTACCTAAAGTCCGTAAGGTCAGTAAGGTCAGTAAGCAAACCAAGATTCGGTTAATTTCGGTCTTTCCCGTCGGTTCTGCCTGAATATATCAACTCGGCTTCTTAAGCGGGGATGTCGATCGTCGAAATCCATCCAGTTCAGCTTCCACCTTAACTACATCGTCAAGCATTAGACACCTCTAAGGTACACTAATTAAAGCAGCCATGGCTGTCGGAAAGATGTCCAATGCATATATCGCTATACAGAATGCCACCCAAGTGATGAAATATCGCAGACTCTTCCCCTCACCTTCGAAATATCTCAACAATCGACTGCATTTTAATTGCAATCATACGGCTGCGCACCAAAATACTCCTTTGGAGGGAGTTCGCATTCTAGATCTCACGCGAGTCCTTGCAGTAGGTTGGTGGTTTCGATGTTAAGTGATCAACACTGATACACCCCAGGGTCCTTTCTGTACACAAATCCTAGCCGACTATGGGGCTGACGTTCTCAAAATTGAAAACCCGCGAGGAGGTGTATGTTGCCAAATATCCTCTTACACTCCCAGACTGGATCGGGCACTCACCCAAGCACAGGATGACACTCGTCTATGGAGGACAGGAGGAGAGGACCATCTATGGAAATCAACGGACGCAGATATGTCTGCATACTTTTGTGCGGTCAACCGGAATAAGGAGTCCATTACTTTGAATCTTAAAGAGGAGAAAGGACAAGAGATTCTGTTTCGGCTGGTCAAAAGCGCCGATGTTGTGTCAGTTGCCCTACTCACTGAAGCCACCACCTGTGCTAAACCTTGGGACACAGTGTTGATAATTTTGTCCAGGGGAAGATGGATGAAATGGGAATTGGATATCAGAAGCTCCGAGAAGTCAATCCTTCGATCATACATGCCAGCGTTTCTGGTCTGTCCTCGACCATCGTCAATAATCTGCAGGTAGATCTTATCGCTAATTTGAGATAGGATACGGCGCTGGTGGCCCATATTCCCGCCGTGCAGGGTACGATGCCATAGCTGCTGCTGAGGCAGGCATGCTGCACATCACTGGTGAGCGCGATGGAGCCCCGACACGACCTGGTCTGGGTCTCACGGATATGAGTACCGGGCTCTATCTCCATGGGGCCATTCTCGCTGCCCTGTATGCTCGAAAGAATACAGGCCAAGGGCAAAAGATTGACGCATCTTTATTTGAGAGTCAGGTGTCTTTGCTCTCTAACGTCGCAATGTCGTGGTTGAATGCCGGTGAACATGCGCATCGTTGGGGCACGGAGCATCCAAGCATTGTCCCATACCAAGCCTTTAAAACTAAAGACGGCTATTTAGTGCTGGGAGCCACAAATAACCGGCAGTTTCAGATACTCTGTCAGTTGTTAGAGCACTTGGAATTGGCGAGAGACCCGCGCTTTGTTGATAACAGCTCCCGTGTCCTGAATCGGGCGGAACTGAAAGGGATATTGGAGCCGATAATCCGCGCAAAGCCAACCAAAGACTGGCTGGCTGTCTTGGAGGGCAGTGGAATGCCATATGGGCCCATTAACACGATAGAAGAAGTGTTCTCCCACCCACAAACTGCAGCCAGACATATGGTGCACACTCTTCCGCACGAACCATCAGTCTCAGGGCAGATCAAAGTCCTAGGTCTGTTTTTGACTAGATATGCCGCCGACATACCCATAAAGCCATATGCTAATTATCAAACAGGATTTCCGGTCAAATTCAGTGAGACTCAGCCTCGAATCCGACGAGCGCCGCCGAGTTTGGGGGCACATACCAACTCTACGCTCGAAGACATGGGATATTCACCAAAAGAGATCGCGGCGATGCGGGAACAGGGCATTGTGTGATGGGCACCTGGCCTTAGGATAATCTAGCCCAAATTCTTATGCAAAGAGGTCTCACGGTGTCGAGTGTCGAAAGTTGCATTAGCTCATGAAGATCTTGAAGATCTCTCGTCAGCTCAACCTTGGGTTGACATTTTCCATAGTCAGCCATACCAGCCCGGAATACTTGTGGACAGAGTTATATCAGTCATCATTGAAGAATGAATAGATTACATAGCATAGAGGTACGTGGCTGCCCAGGACCACCTGCAGCACTTGAAGCTGACCGATCGGCTTACAGGCAGGTGGGGAGTTGGACCAGTTAGTTAGGCACTTGCCATAGCTAGTATGATCAGAGCAAACAACACTAAAATGGAACAGAATCCAAGTTGAACCTCTACAGTCTAATGTTGTGTCCGGAGTTGGCGGGGCTGAAGTGACCAAGTACATTCGGTGTGGCTAGCTGGCATGTACTTGGAGAGCTGACACCCTACGCACAACGAACCCCATACACCCCAATTCACGCTAACTGTCATGCAGCCCAAATCGAAATCTCGCAATATAACTGGATGATCCGCACGTCTGGGAGTTCGTAACTCCCCAAATGGTTGGGACGGTGGCTGCATCAATCCAATAGTAGAAATTCTGAAGTTGACCGCATCGAGGGGTAGTTGGCAACGAATATCAGACGTTTTCTTGGTCGCGAATAACTTCCGTCTCAAGGAAGGCTAACATGGTTTGGGGAAATCGTTCGTCATTTGTGAAGACAACAACTTCGCCTTGGGAGGAGGCTTACATGCAATGTGACAGGACTGCATTCAATTTGAAAAACGTGCCTATGCTGTTCCCCTTGAACACCGTGTTCTTGAAATCGTATAAGAAGCCCCTTCAATCCAGGACTTCTGACTGAACACCCCAGACTAGGTTCGAATGCACCTCTTCGGTCGACTGAGAAAACGATCTTCCAAACGAAGCATTGCTAGTATTGCTCCGGCACTTCAGCCAGCGAGCAAGATGACATCCGAAGCTATCGAGTACCAGTATTATCAAATTAAAGCCCGATTCCCGGACACAGATTCCAGTCCCGACGATGGCATTAACCGCAGGGTTTTTGTCCGACAGGAAATCGATGAATGGAGCGGCAAGAAGTCGAACAAAAGGCAGGTCGACCTTTTCATCCTGGCTCTGGACAAGTTTCAGAAGTTGGATCCCAAAGAAAGACTCTCCTACTTTCAAGTCGCTGGTATGTGTCGATTGATTATCTATCATCTCACCAAGGTTGACTCCCATTTTAATAGGTATCCATGGACAACCCTTTGTACGATGGGATGATCCGAGCCCGAGCCCATGAAGAGCGGCTACTGCTTTCACTCCCATGTGATATTCCCTATCTGGCACCGGCCGTATGTCCTTCTGTTTGAGGTTAGTGGACTGTGGTCTTTGATACGTTATGCGACATCTTCGGTGAAACTGTGAAAGTACTGATTCACCTCAGCAAGTCGTGTATGACATTATGATCCAGGAGGTCATCCCCCAATTCCCGGAGGATCATCAGGCCTCCTGGCGTCAACATGCCGAGTCGTGGCGCCTGCCCTTCTGGGACTGGGCACGAAAGGGCCGTGTTCCCGACCTGGCGAAATACCCCACTATCACTGTTCCTAGGCCCGAGGGGGGCTCGATGCGAATTGACAATCCCTTGTTCCAGTTCCGCATGCCGACAGACAGGCCAATGCGGAGTGAGGGGGTGGGAACCGAGAATACATGGGAGAATGACTCTGAGCAGGAAGATTATAAGAACGTAAGCATATGCATTGGTACGACGGCGATAAAATGCTCACCTGAATAGTTTGGCAATGCGATAGGTACCAGCCGTTGGCCAGACGAAGAGGACCAAAACCCGACTAGCGAGGGTTGGCGACATGGTGTTGTCAACAATCGTAAAGTCGCCGATGCCTTTAATGCCCACGAGGGGTATAATGACAAGAATCATGGTCCTGCCGCTGAGATGGTTTTTCGACTGCTCACTGTTCCTATGGACTACACCACATTTGCAAGCACTAATCCAACTTCGAAAGATCAGAATGTTGAGGGCTTAGGGCTTAGGGCTTAGGGCTTAGGGCTTAGGGCTTAGGGCTTAGGGCTTAGGGCTTAGG